CAAAACCCTCGGACCCGTCCTGCTAGCCTTTGCCTTGGCCGAAACTGGGGCTGAAAAACCCCCCTGGCCGCTCGTCTTGGGCGCGATCGAGCTTGTGCGTGCCTGTGCCTTTGCTTGTGCCGACGACGACTCGCTGTCGCTCAAAGCGATGACTCCCTCGGGGTCTTTCCATCCCTTGCGCAGCAGGCAATGGCAGGCCTGCTCCATGTCTGGATCGCCCGCCTGAACACGCGTCTCGAAGGAGTGCATCTCATGGATGCCGCGGTGCTCCTCAGATGCGCAAAATTTGTGACCCAGCTTGTCCCAGTGCCTGCTCCGGGGTGATGCCAGTGCGCCGGGATCCTCCTCATCGCACTCAAAAGCGTCGTAGTGCTCTGCGCTTGGCTCGTCGTCGTAAAGCAGGCCGACGAGAGGAAAGAGCTGGCCGTCGCGAAGGCTGGTCGGCAGGTACGAGCAAGATCCGCGTGGTCCCTTGTTCCTGTCCAGGCAGGACACTATGCAGCTGTAGCGCTCGGCTACGACGGGCTGCATAGCCCCGGAGAACCAAAACGAGGAAATGAGCGCGGCGTCAGGAGCGTGGTTGTGGGGGACCGTAGGGCGCGTCCGCATGTCGCTCCAGGCTTTGTCGTCGTAAAGGGGGAACAGAGCGCGGTTGGCGGGAACGGAGATGAAATCGCTGAGCTCTTTGCAGAGCTTCTGCACGCTGCTGGGCGTGCGCTTCCTTCCAAGTCCGTAGAAGACGGCGTGGTACCCGCAGAAGCCGTTGCGGTCGATCTTGACAATGCTCTTGTAATGACGAGCATTGTAGAGGCTGGGCGGCTCTTCCAGATCGATGCTGACAAGGGGCTGAGGGCGGTATGCCTGGGCGTCGTCGTCGTCGCCGTCGTCGTGGTCGTTCTTGCTCCTCTTACCCTTCTTCTTTCCGCTGTGCGCGCTTCCGATCCTGTACCTCGCGCTGCTTAAAGGACCCTCCTCCTTCTTTAGCGCCACGCCGCTCGACGACTCTCCCTCCTTGCTGCTCGCTGTGCCGCTCTTGGTGCTCTGCGCGGGTTCCTCAACGCTGTCCTTGGTAAGGTCGACTGGCGGCTCTGGGTCGACCCATCCCTGCCGCGCCAGGCAGTGGCACCCGTCTGGGCCCAGGCAAGCGTCTCCAGGCTGCATCCTCGTCTCGAACGAGCAGGCGACGTGAAGATCGCCGTGCTCCTCCGAGTCGCAGGAGACCTTGCCCATCTTGTCCCAGTGTATGCCGCGAGGAGGCGCGAGAGGCTCGACGAGGTCGACGGCGTCGTAGTGCTCGGCGCCCTCTGTGTCGTCGTAGAGCAGTCCCATTGCTGGGTAGATCTGCTCGAAGCGGACAGGGAGGGCGGAGGAGGAGGACTTGGGACCCTTGTTGAGGTCCAGGCAGGATACGACGCAGCTGTAGCGCTCTGCGACGACAGGCTGCATAGCGCCGGAGAACCAGTAGGCGGAGGCGAGCCTGCTGTCGGCCAAGTGGTCGCGCGCACCTCGGAGGCGAGTCTCCATGTCCGACTATGCCTTCTGGTCGTAGAGAGGGAAGAGGGCGCGGTTCTTCTTGTCGGCGACGAACTTGAGCAACTCCTCGCACAGCACCTTGAGCTCCTTGGCGTTCCTCGCGCGGCCCAGCCCGTAGAGCACGGCGTTGTAACCGCAGAAGCCATTACGGCCGATCTTGATGATCTTGCTGTAATGGCGCGGGTTGTAAGTGCCAGGCGCCTCATCCACGCTGATGCTCATGAGCGGCTTAAAGCCGAGGGTGTCGTTGTGCTCGTCGCCGTGATCGTCGTTGCGCTTGTCGTCGTCGCGCGAGCTGCCGCCGTCGATCTTCCTCCTCTTTGGCGAGGCGTCCTCCTCGGCCCCTCTTTGTTGCTGCTGCTGCTGCTGCTGCTGCTGCGTTGCCTTGTGTGAGGGCCCGCTGCTGGCAGACTGAGCACGGGCGCTGCTGGCGGGCTGCTGCTGAGCCACTGAGGCAGCAGCAGCGACGTCTTGATGCGGCTGGTAAAGCATCCAGAGGGTGGGGACGAGCTGGCGGATGAGATAGCCGCCTTGAGGGAGCAGTGGCCCGGACTCGACTCTGACCGACTGAACCGCTGCGGGGAGAGGCGCCACATCTGCCTGCCCGCGAGGGAAGCAGCCGTAAGTGGTGAAGTCGCAATATGGCCTCAGCGGCCAACTCGTGCGATGAAAGATGAGGTCCTCGTTGGTGAAGTACACGGTGCTGCCCGTGGCAACGGCGCGTACGACGATGTCGGGGTAGGGAGCGTCGCTCATTCTGGCGGCGTTGTCGCTTGTATGTCGTTCATGAGGTCGAGGGGATGACGAGGAAGAAGAGAAGGCGAGCATCGTCTAGAATGGCGGCTCATTGAGCCTCGACTTGATGGACGCGGGCCGAACCGAAGGGCAAGGAAGTGATGCTGAGAGCTGCAACCCGCATGCCAATCGCGCCGAGTGACGGCTGATCCAAATGATGCTACGGCTCGACGTCGGAGGCGGGTGAGGATGGCTTTGCATGGACTGGCGCTGGAGTATCCGGAGCAGGTCTGTGGGGGCAAGACGTCGCCTCCGCACCTCTGCTGCTTCCGCGGACTTGGAGACGTCGGGTGGGCCGGTGAGGGCTGAGGCGGCAGCGCGCTGGGTGCAACCGACGTAACGTAGCGTATGGACGACCATCTGCAGCGGCTAATGAGCATGGTGCACCAGGGTTGGCTCTTGACGCTACTTTGCGGCCGAGGGACGTGAAGGCTCATCGCCTTGTAGGAGAGAACACCGGGCTTACAGTCCTCTGGCGCGGCCGCGCTGACTAGACGGCTGCTGGCGCAGGAGGTAGGCACCACGCGGACGAGAGACTCCAGGCGCAATCTTGACATACTGCAGCGACGAGGGCAGCTCCGTAGAGGGTGACGTCGGTGATGCTAAAGCAGCCGTACGCTGTGCTTGAGTTGCTCTGAGCGTAGAGGAATGAGTGTCCAACGGAGCGGATGAGGGGCCATCCAAAGGCGTACGAAAGATGATGTCCAGCGTAGATGCAAAGCACATGTCCGCGCTCGTGCAAATGGGGTTGAGAGCCATCTTTCGGGAGCCGGCTGTGATGCTCATGTTGCTGCTGGCCGAGGGCTGGCTGATTGCAAGCAACAATTGAAGGTAGACTGAGTCGACAGTGATACCTTGAGGCGTGGAAGTTGGTGCAAAAGTGAGGATGAGGGTGAAGCGGGCGGCGAGCTGGGGGATCTGGGTGTGCGCTGCGCAAAGGCCTAGTGCTGGACAGCAACCGAGTGCGGCGATCTCTCTAATATGAGCAAAAGGAGGGTATGCGCAGTCAGCATCGTAGCATCCGCCATTGTCATGCGCGCTGGGTAGCAACCCACCGTTGAGGCTTTACTCAGCTTCTCCGATCCTTCCCCCAGGCTCAGCCGTATCTCTTGATGAGGACGTGGACAATGTCTCCTTTAGCTTTTATCCTTTTGTTTCATACCTTTGAATCGACGTGCTTTCACCGGACCACAACGATGGTGCATTTGCGAAGGCAGGACGGCGGTGATGTTGTGTGTGTGTGTGTGTGTGTGGAGCAGAGGCAAGATGTTACGTCGACTCCGCGTCGACCCAAAAACAGCCACGTCGACTTGAGATTGGATGGCCTCGCACAGCCTATCGGCAATTAAGTGGCGGGGCGGGGCCACAGGCCAGGCACAGCGGCTCAGCGGTCGGCCCGCTCTGTGTGTGGGCGCCTGTGGCTTGGCCCTGCGTCTTTCGCCCCGCATCTCGCCGCCGCATCGCTGCCCCGCCCCGCTCGCCATGGCCCAGAAAATCGCTGGCTCGACTTCGACGCCGCCTCGAGCTCCGGCTATTCTATTTTGGACGCCTGCTCACTCACACACAACGAGGCAGGCCACGCTCAATTCATGCTGAGCTCTGCTCTCTGACTCATCTCTGTCACATCTCTGCCAGCGCAACGTTGTTGATCCCCGTCTCTCCATCTTTTCCATCACTTCAATTCATCCTCTTCGCCACGACAGTTCGTATCACAACCTATTCGCCCTGACTCAGGCATGAGTGCAAAGCGAGTCGCTCGCACGTTGCTCGAACCCATCAGGCAGCGTACGAGTGGATGGGACGATTGGGACTCGATGCGCCTACTCGAGGCTTCACCGCACGTCTAGGCGCATCGAGCCCAATTTACCGTCTTGTTCAGCACACCCCTTCGTGAGGGCCCTTTCGCTCCTCCCTCATCATCGCGTCCTTCCCATCCGGTCTATCTCGCCGCAAGTGCTGTGACTGAGGTCAATACGCTTTCCTCCAGGCACCCCTTCGTCCAGCAAGACAACCACGACGATGCTGCCCACGCGCACTGACTACTTCGCTCCATCCCTCACGAAGAGTCAAGAGCGCGCACAGTCATCTACGACCCGTAGCAGCAGCAGCGGCAACGACGAAGATGACAACGAAAGCGCGACGTCATGACCAGCCTGTCACGCCTGTACCTCCTCACTCAAGCTTTCAAAGGCATTCCACCTGAATCCTCACACACTCCTCCGCTTCCCCACCAGACTCGCCGCGTTGCTCTCCCTCAACGCACCCACTCTTGCTACCCCGCTCGGCTCCTCGAACAAGCAACATGACAAGACACAGCAAGCTGCTCGTGCGACAACGTGGATGACTACCGGTTGCCAGCAGCCAAGCACGTGCGCCTCGCCAACAACGACCAAGGTCTGCAGTCGAAGCATCAGTACGGTGCGCCCATCAGCTGCCTCAGAGTCTCCATCAAGCACTACCTCTCTGCACCGTTCCGACCGCTTCTTCGCCTTCACCGCTCCTGCGCCCCTTACCACCGACGCCATCCTATCTCATCGCCCCCGCCGATCCACCGTGCTGGGGCAAGTGGCAGAAAGTCGAAGGAGACACACACTCGAATCATAGAGACCAGACAATGTCCAGAAGGCGCGCGCCGGCAAGACACCGTAGCCTAGCCAAGTCTCGCCTCAAAATTCTCGGAGACAGAGACTCTAACTTCTTGCAGCGCTCTGACGTCAAGACCGCGTTGCATCGCCAAGCATATCTTGAGGAGGCACTGCACCGTAGTATCGTAGTATCTTTGCAGGCGTCGAGTTCTCCCTCCTCAAGCTTTGCTGCGCCAATGTCATCACAAGGAGGCTGATCGTGAAGCAGTCACAATCCAGTGCTGTCCGACACCTTGCTTTCTCGCAGCACATCTCGGCTCGCCCATGGCTCCCGCCTTACAAGCAGTCACGCCGCACAGCTCGACCTTGGCTACCGCCCTGCCAGCAAAGACCCCACACAGCTCGCCCGCCCTGCCAGCAAAGACACCGCACAGCTCGCCGGACGAAGAGATGCCAGCCAGCCCGTTAATCTTTGGCGGCAACGACAAGGGCGACAACGACGACGACGACGACGGCGTGTGGGTGGACGAAGAGGACTTCTTCGACAATCTCGACACGTCTCGCCTCAACGCCGACACCATCGCCGTCTTACAAGACAAGCCCTGGCGCAGCGAGGTGGTCCCTGAGAGCGTTCAACTGGACGCCTACATGTCGCTCTTGGCTCCCGAGAGTATGAAGGTGGCACTACGGTGGGCCAATCGGAACCACTCTTCCGAGGCTTGCGTCGACCCTCGCCGCTACAACTTTGTCTTGCACAGATTGTGTCGCTCGCCGTCGTGCGGTCATCTTCCCACGTCCGCTCTGATTCGGACAACACGGGCCTCCCTTGGAGTCTGGCAGGGGTCAAAAAGGCAGAGGCGCAGGCCAGCGCTCAAGCTCACGTCAATTCCGGTCGCTTTGTCCTCCCCTTGGCAAGGCCCTTCGTCCCGCCCTCTGTGCCAACGAACCGGACGGAGCAGGAGATCCAGGACCTATATTGGCTCGAGCGCACCTTTGAGGTGTTTATCGTGGTCATTTGCGGGGTCCGACTGGCAGCCATGCTTCTCTTCGCCCAGTTCCACGGCAGGCAGGCTGTCCTTACGGACCCTTACCCACGTGGAGCGCCTGGGTTCGAGAGGAACGACGAGCAGGCGACGGCTGGCGAGGCAGGGGAGGGAGGGGAGGCGGGCTCGGTGAGCTCGGGGGCTGGGAGGAGGGAGAGGCAGAGGTCGAAGAGCCTCACGGGAGGGGCGCATGACTGAAACGCGGGATACAATGTATCTCCCTCACTTAGCGCAACGAGATAGTGCAGCGAAACGCATCAATGCAGACAATAGCAAGCGTGCATTCCATCTTCTCCCACCTTATCGTCATCGGCCGCCGTCCAAAGCGCTCATCGTATCATTTTCCTCGAACTTGACAGCCATCACCGGCTCTGTCGTAGTCGCTGTCCCGTCCCGTTGCCGCCCTCCTCTTGCCCTTAGCCTCAATCTCGCATGCGCCATCCAGCGGATGTCGCCAAAACAAGCAGCGTACGCTGGTCGGGACTTCCCCCTCTCCCTTTCTCGCACGAATGTCCCCTCTACTTACTCGACGACTCGGGGCTGTGCGTCCGGCCCGCCCCCACGGCTGAGCCAGCAAAGCCGAGTAAATCAAACCGGCGGCTCTTGCCCTCTTTCAGCGCCCTGCACGGGCCTCTCCTCCACCTCGCACCTAGCCGCCCCGCCTGCACTCGCGCCGACGCCCGCCGGTCTGGCCCACCGCCGCCGCTGCGATGCCGTCGGTCGGTCGATTCGGAAGAAAACACACAAAGCAACACGGCAACGGCAGCGCAACACGGGGTTGTTCGTTCACCCTGCGCCCACGAGCAGTCTCGATGCGCCGCCCCTCGCCGAATGCGCATTGCCCTCTCGCTGGCGATCGAGAGCGAGAGGGCGGTGCGAGTGGAGTGGAGTGGACAAAGGCGTTGAGATCGATGTGCTGTATATAGAAGAGGGCAGCTCGTCCTTCCTTTTCCCTTTTCCACCACTACCACGAACACCACCCTTTCCACACTCACGCACATAACAACATGGGATTCTTCAGCTCCGTGAGTGCGCGCGTCTTCTCACCTCTGTCACGCCAGCTGACCCTCCTCTCCACCCTCGCGCGCACACTCAGGACGCCCACGCCGATGTCTACCAGGATCGTCACGAGGGCAAATTCTCTCACGAGCTCATCGCCGGTGCCGTGAGTCCCACTCTCCTCACTCTCGCCGCTTTTTCTGACCATCTCCGCACCTCTCTCGCGCACTCAGGCCTCCTTTGAAGCAATGAAGGCCTACGAGGACCACGAGCGTCGCGAAGGCAAGCCTGCGAACCACGCCATGGCCAAGGAGCTCCTCGCTGCCTTTGTTGGCGGGGAGGTGGACAAGCTCTTTGAGACAAAGGGGCTAGACTATCTTGATCGGGAGAAGGCGAAGCGCCATGCGATTGAGAGCGCACATGAGGAGTACGATAATCGCTACCAGTAGGCGCGCGGCGCGGCGCGACCCCCCACCCCCGCCTCTGTCCTTTACTCTTGACACGAAATGTGAATACTCTCACTATGCGGCGCGTCGTTGGCCCGCACCTTGATCGTCAAATGTATGCAATTGAATGAGATGAGCATGAGCGCAGTTCGCCGCGAGACCGAATGAATGTCGAGCCAAAGAAAAGAAGACGGAGGACAAGGGATGAGATGCTAGAGAAAGTGCCGTATGCGTGCGTGCGTGCGTGCGTGCGTGCGTGCGTGCGTGCGTGTCGTGAGTGAAGAGCGGGGGAATGGTGCGAAGAAGGGAGAGTGCGACTCATCTTCTCGTGGTCGCGGTCGTCGTCGCGGTCGGCGTCGCAGTCGCCGTCGCGCCCGCAACGGTGCTACTCAACACGCCCAGGACGACCTTCAACTTCTTCATGACCCCCCTCACCATCCTCCTCTCACTAGGGCTCGTACCCCTCCCCTTCCACCCTTGCTCCCTCTCCCTCCCCGCCCTCTCCGGATGCGCGATCCCCACCATCTCCCCAATCCAATAACTCTTCAACGCCTGCACGCCACCCGTGCTTTCCACGGGGGGCAAGACGCTCACCACCATCCCGTTCGCGTTGAGATGGATGAACACTTTCGTGTGGTCGTAAAAGTTGAATTGGACAAGCCCCGTGCTCAGACGGAATAGGATGGCAGCATGGCAGCGATACCACTTGTGGACGTGTGGGATCCCTTTGCTCGTGGCGAGGTCGCGATATGTGAGCGGCGAGTCGGCACCGTAGAGTCGATCCATGATCTCCTGCTCAAAGTAGCGGAGCACCTTGATCTTTGGGTGGAGCGCAGAGGGGAAGGGAAGGTCCACAGGACGATCCCGATCGCTCGCTGCATTGTACGCCGCGACATCGTAGTTCTCGCGCTTCACGTCCAGCTCGTTGTCGCCCACCTCGTTGGCGTTCGCGCGTCTCCGGCCCCCACTCGGCATGTACTCCGCATGGCTGCGAGCGCAATTGATGGCCATGCTCGTCGAGTCGCGGAAGTACACCCCCACGCTACCGTCGCTCAAGGCGTAGCCTAGCCCGTACTTTTCGCTGTGGTCCAGCCACGAGATGACAAAGACTTTGGGGTCGGGCGCGCTGCCCTCTTCTTGCTCGAGGCGCCGCCCTGCGTGGTCGAGGGGTGCGTAAGGTAGGCCAGCTTCCGAGGCGACGAGGGCTTCGCCGAGGTAGTGGACCATGGTGTCGAGGTCGGACGTCGTGCGCGGCGGGGGAGTGGCAGAGGGGTTTGGCGCCTCGTCTTCGCTGCCTGCGGTTGTGGGGCGCGACGAGCCCGCCGTCATGACGGTTGCGCCGGACATGCCTGCGACGAGGCGCGCCTTCTGGCCGAGCATGCGACGCTCCTCTGCTGCTTCGTATTCGGAGGTCGGGGCGAGCGCGACGTCGAGATTGCGGCGGACGGTACGCGGTGGTGGCATGGCGTCGAGGGGCGAAGCATTCTCTTTGTCGAGGGGCACGGCTGGCGCGGCGGCTTGCGTAACGCCTGGCGCGGCGGCCTTGGAGGCCCCACCCTTGATGCTCATCGCGGACAGCTGTCTCGCAAGCGCAGCCCCACTCCCCCCACCACTCGACCGCCCACCCGCGCCTCCCGCCTTGATGAGCGGCTGCCTGCTCGCCTTGAGCAGCGCCGAGATGGGGCTCGCAGGCTGAATGGCCCGCTTGAATGCTGCGTCGATCTTCTCTCTCTCCTCCTCGAGCAACTCCTGCTGCTTCAACTCCTCGCGAGGGTCCGCCTCCGCCTCTTCGTCCTCGTCGTCAAGCACGTCGTCCGCGTTGGGGATCCACGCACTCTTCTGCTTGACAAAGTCGAAATTGCGACGATTCTCCTCGGGCGTGGCGGGCAGGTTGAGCTTAGGAAGCGTCTTGGTCGCGTGCATGGGGATGAACGTCGGGATGGGGCCAGCGGTGAACCAAGGGTGGTTCATAATCTCGATGAGGCTGGGTCGATCTTGCGGTTTCGGGGCGAGAATACTCGTGATCAAGTCCTCCGCCTCTGGTCGCAACCCCGCTTCTACCGGGATCTCGTAATCGTTGTTCTTGATGCGCGCGTAGATCTTCTGAATGTCCGACGTCTGGAATGGGGGGCGACCGACGAGCATCGTGTAGAGGATGACGCCTACGCTCCAGATGTCCACCTCGAACGAGTGGCCCTCGCCTTCGTCGTAGAGGACCTCGGGCGCAATGTAGTTTGGCGTGCCGCAGACGGTCTTCTTTCTCTCGCCCACCTCTTTGAGGAGCGCGGCTAGGCCAAAGTCGCCAATCTTGACATTCATGCCCTCGTCGAGGAAGATGTTGCCGAGTTTCAGGTCGCGATGAATGATGTTGTGGGTGTGCATGCCTTGGCAACCGGCGAGGATCTGTACCATGAAGAAGCGCGACTCGGCGTCGGTGTAGCGGCCGCGCTTCTTGACCATGTCGTTCATTGACTGCCAGAGATAGCGCAGCGAGGGGGGCGGTCAGCTTGGGCCTCGACGGTACACCATCTCGCACTCGCGCCCACTCACGCCAGCCTTGCACAGCTCCAACTTGAAATACACATGCTCATCGTCCTCAATGGCGTCCTCAAAGGTCACGACGTTGGGGTGCTTGAACGACGAGTGGATCATAATCTCCGCGAGGATCTGTGCGGGCGAGGCAAGCGTAGCGCAGGTCAGCAAACATCCCACGCTCATCATGCCCACACGCCGCGCACACGCCGCGCACATGCCACGCCTCACCTTCTGTCTCGTCTTTCTACTCTGCAAATGCTTCTTCGCAATAACCTTGAAAGCGCGCATCTCCCCTCGCTCGCTGATCGCGTCGTACACCCTCGCAAACCCTCCCGAGCCAAGCAAGCGGCCGCGCGTCCATTGCACCCCTTCATTGTCGACGAGGCTGGCCGGCGGGTCAGGCAGATTCACGGGCTTCTCTTGCGCTGGCTTCTTGCTCTTGCGCTCCGCAGCGGGAGCCGCAGTGGCCGTCGCAACATTGGCCGTCGCCGTAGTCGTCGGAGCGACGGGAGACTCTTTGCGGCGGGTGGGCGATTTGGTCGCGGCACCGCCGGCGGTGTACGTTGTTGCTGACGAGGGGTCGCGACGGCGTGAGTCGAGGTTGGTTGTTGAGCCAGAGAGAGGGTTGAGTGGGCCACCTGCGTTTGCGCCGTGCCCGTGAGGGCGGGTGTAGGCTGTTGTCATGGCGATGATGAGGGGATGTCGTATGCGAGGGCGTGTTTACACCGAGACGCCGCGAGTCGCGCTTGGCGTGCTCAGCCAGGCAGGGGATGGAGCTGGAGGCGACTATATGCTGGTGGTGAGGGTGAGGGCGAGACGGAGTGCGAGGACTGTATGCAGATGCTCTCCTGCGCGCCGTGCTGATGATGATCAAGAGATGGTCGAGGTGAGAAAGGACGTTGACAAGCCAAGTTGCAGGGCGCCAAACTCCAACTCCAACACAAACACCAGCCTTGGCTCGTCCCGCCTCGCCCCGCCCCGCCCCGCCGCCTCCCTCTTGAATCGCCTTCCCGCGTCGACGTCGTTCCCGGCACGTGTGTGCGTGTGTGCCTCTCCGCCCGGCTCGCTCGCTCGCTCGCGTGGCGCGGCCATCCACTTCCACGACTCGACTTCAATCTGCAACAATTCTCGCTTTCCGCCTCGTCACCACCCCGTCCACGACGCCCACGATGTCAAAGAAAGGAGGAGCCGCAGCGGCTACTCAGCTCGTGAAGCTCCTAGTGCCAGCGGGAAAGGCGAGCGCACAACCTCCCGTGGGACCTGCATTGGGCAGCAAGGGGTGAGTCGCTGCGTACCTGAAGCGCAAGATGGTCGACGCTCATAATGCATGGCCTTTGCCTCGTTCTCCCGCACAGAGTCAAAGCAATGGATTTCGTGAGTACCGCCATCTCCTCACTCTCACCAGTACCTGAGTCAGTGGGCACGACGCTTAACCCACCTCACCCCGCCTCACGCCCCGCACATCCCGCGCGCACGCAGGCCAAGCTATTCAACGAACGCACAGCCCATCTAGAACCCGGTCTCCCTACACCGGCAGTAATCACCATTTCCCCCGATAGGGTGAGTCCTGCGCCTTCCCGCCTCGTCACTTCTTGCCAATCTTCCTCCTCACTCATCACCACGCCGCACGCCGCACGCCGCACGCCCCGCCCCGCCAGACCTTCACCTTCACCCTCCGCACCCCTCCCACCTCTCTCCTCCTCAAACGCGCAGCAGGCATCACGACGGGCTCCGGTCGAGCAGGAAGTACAGGTAGCGAAGGGGTCGCGGGGACGGTGAGCGTTAAACACATCTATGAGATCGCAAAGATCAAGATGGCAGATGTAAAGGGGGTAGGGGAGGAGAAGATGTGCAAGGTCGTTGCAGGTAGTGCGAGGAGTATGGGGATTAGAATCGTCAGGTGAGCGCGGGGCGCACGAGGGCTTGTATTATTACCCAACACACCACAAGAGGGCTGCGCGGCAATCCATGCGCATGCTCAATTGCGAGGATTTCCTCCTGATCGATTCGAATTCGCGCCATTCATTTACATTCAGGCAGCAAGCACAGCGCGATATACAGGGTCGAGAGGGTAGGTAGGTAGGCAGGTGGGTAGAGAGACCGAAAGACGCGCGAGCCGATGAGATAGGTAGATAGAGTCCTTGCCACCATCTCCAAGAGTCCAAGTCCATTCGCGCGAACGCACGCACGCACGCACGCACGCACGTACGCCTCAACGCGGCACCTTTGCCCCCGCCACTCCCCCCTTCAATGGCGGCGAGCTGCTCGTCTTCCCCGCAGGCCCCGCATGCCCCGCGTGCCCCGCCAACCTCTCAGCCTCCCTCTGCCAGTATCGCGCACGCTGTTCCGCCTCCCCGACCCCCTGCTTCAACGCAGCAAGATCGATAGCCTGCTCCTTGACAACGCGCTGTAATCGCTGCGCCTCATCCGTGGTATTGCGCGCCGCCACCCCGCCAAGGTCCGTACTGGTCCGCTTCATCGATGCGGGCGTGGTGCCCGTGCCGTTGCTGTTGGTCGAAAAGTCCGAGTGCGTCCCCCCGTTCGAGCGTCGCGGAGCCACTCTGGCCCCCTTGAGCATCCGACTCTTGGCAGCAATATCCGCCTCGAGGGCTCGATGACCATTAGAGAGCTCTTCGAGCAACTTGCGCTTAAACGGACTACCCGGTCGCGAAGCGCTAGCCTTACTCTCCTCCTCCTGTCGTACGATGTCCTGCAGATTGGTAAACGTATTGGTGTGCGCAAGGTGAGAGGAAGAAAGCTGTCGTTCCAACTCGACGATCCGCGCCTCGCTCTGCTCGCGCAGTGATTCGAGAGCAAGCGCTGTACGACGCGAGTGGCTGAGCGCTTCGTCCCGTTCGCGCTCCACTCCACGGAGGGCCGTCGACGAGGAGGAGGAGCTGGGCACCTTGCCGTCTTGCAGCGTCGTCGTAGCAGCCGCCACCGCCGCCCCCGCTCCGGCCTGCGCGCGATTGAGCCGCGCATTCTCGCGCACTAGATCCTCATTCTCGCCCATCAACCTCATCTTGACCTTCTCCAAACTCGCATTTACCCTCCCCAACTTCTCCAGATCGGCACGCATCTCCCGCAACTCGTCGTCCGTCTTGCGCTTCGCCTCGGCGTACACGTGGACGTGCTCGATCGTCGTCTTGCCCGTGAGGGATTGAGCCTTGCGGAGGTCTCCCGAGAGGAGGGCGATCTCGTTGCGCATCTTTGCCAGCTCTGCATCCTTTGCTGTCGCCTGCTGCTCGGCGTGAGAGCGGGAACGTCGTACAGCCTGCTCAGCCTCGGCCCGCGCTTGTTGCTCCGCCTCGAGTAACTGCGCAGTCTCCTCGGCCTGGGCTTGCCATGCGGAGCGAGAGCGCTCGCACTCGATGAGGGCGTCCTCGTGGTCTTGCAGCTCAGCATTGGCGCCACTCAACGCCGCATCCAGCTCCCCCTTGGCCGCCTTGAGCTTTTCCAGCGCAGACTCCGCCGTATCGGCACGCTGCTTGTGCCCCTCCATCTCGCCACGCGTGGCACGATGAGCCGCCTGAGTTGCAGCGAGCTCGCTGGCCGCCTCTCCCGCCTTCTTGGTGTGTTCGTCCAGCTTGGCGGTCAGGTTGCGCTGCGCCGTAGTCGTCTCGGCGTGCTGTCGCTTCGCACCGTCCAGCTGTGCTCTGAGCGCATTGACCTGCTCGAGGGCCGCTTGTTTCTCCTTGGCATGCTCGCCCATCTGGTTGCGCAGCCCAGCAAGCTCCTCCTCCTTGATACGCTGCACCTCGCGCTGCTTGACGTCCTCGCTCGATTTAGCCTCGATGACGCGTCGAGTCTCATCCAGGTCGCGCTGCAGAGCCTCTCGCGCCTTGGCGCCTTGCGTTACTTCGGCCTTGGCCGTTGCGAGCTCAGCACGCAGCTTGGTGACGGATTCACTCTGCTGGCGTTGCGCCGTCTCGTGCGCAGTCTTGGCCTCTGCGAGCTCCTTCTCCAGCAGCGTCACGCGCCCCTCGCGCTCCTTGACCGCGCCCTGCGCAGCCTCAGCAGCCCGTCTTGCCTCCTCGAGCTCGAAGCCCACCTTGCGCACCTCGTCGCGCAGCCTCTTCACCTCGCTCTGCTCCACCCCTCGCCCCTCCTGTTCCGCCGCAAGCAGGCCTTCCAGCTCGCTCACACGCGCATTGAGTCGCTTCTGATGTCGATCCAGGTCCTCCCCGCCCGCCTTGACTTTGCGCTCCAACTCCCCGCGCACAGCGACGAGGGCATCGCGTTGCGCGAGTAAGTCGGCGTGCGTGGCGCTTTGCGCGCTCAAATCCGAGGTGAGGGTCGCCTCTCGCTCTTGCCACTCCTTTTGCCCCGCCTCGAGTCGCAAGAGATGTTCCGCCGCCTGGTCGAACGCGGCTTGCAGCTCCAGTCGCGCACCCTCCGCCTCCTTCTGCCCACGCATGGCCCGCTCGAGCTGGTCGTCCAGCTGATCCACGTCGCGCTGCATGGCCGCCAAGTCCTCCTCTAGCCCGGCCTCCCTCTCGCGTGATCGCGTAAGCTGCTGGTCCTTCTCTGCCAGCAAGGCGCGCTCAGAGTCGAGCTGCTCCTCGACGCGCTGCTTCTCGCTCTCAAGCCCGGCCTTGAGCGCAGCAAGGGCTTCCCGCTCCTTGGCGTCACGCTGCGCTCTCTCCGTCGCGAGGGCGAGCTCCGCCTCCTTGCGCTTCAGCTCCTCGTCGTGGCGTGTCGCCTTGAGGAGGGGGCGTACTTTACTGTAGAGCTGCCACCAGGGCCAGTCGCGCAGCTCGACGTAGAGGCGCGCATTTCGCTGGATAGTCCGCACAGCCGCAGCGCGATTGAGCACCTTTTTCATCTGTCTCCTCGCGGTGAACATCCGGCATCCCGCCTGGAAGCGCGAGAAGATCTCGAAAAGCAAGGCATCCCTCCTCTCCTCGAGCTCGGCGAGAACCCCAGCTTTGAAGAAGATCTTGGTCAGCCCAATCTTGACAACGCCTCCGTCCAGGGCGAGGGCCTCTATCATGCGTTGCGCAGCTTTACGCCCGTCCATGTATCCTCGCGGGATAATGTCCGGCGTGAGTACCTCGTACCTGGTGCGGAATTCGTTGAACAGCAGACGATTCGGATAACCCAAGCGCGCGATTCGGATGCCCTCTAGCACGCCGTTGCACCTGAGCTGCTCTAGGACCAACGGGAGCGCCATGACGCCTGGGGTGCGAGTGGCGTTGGGGACTATGCAGCGGACAAAGTGTGGTTGGGTGCTGCCCAGCTGGTTCATCAGCGTCGTGAGCTGCTCCTTGTGCTTCTGCGCGAGGGTACGGAAGGCGCCACGCTTCTGGCGACGCTTGGCGGGCGAGGCGCTGACGCCATTGGGCCCTGCTGATGCTGCGCTCGGCGTGGCCTCGTCGTCGGGGAGGTACTCTGCGAAGAGGCCCGCCACAAAACGATCCGTCGACTCGGCCATGACGCGCGTGAGGTTATCGTTGAGCGGATCCTTGTTCTTGTCCAGCCACCCCTCCGTACGGTACTCCACATTCCCCGCATAGTGCCTCACGGTGAAGCCTGTAGCGAAGCGAGCGGCCACAAACTTCGTCGAGCCGTGCGCCACACCCCTCTCCTTGGCCGCTGCCGCTCCCTGCACATCCCTCGCGCTCCCATCCTTGTTCGCTCCCCAGATGCGCGCACACTTCTCCGTAAAGGTCTCGTCCGTCGCTTTGGGCATGATACACTCCTCGTCCAGACAGCTCAGGATCCCCACAGGCGTCGAGCTCTCAATCAGATCGATGGTGGGTTGCAGGTCGAGGCCAAAGTTGACAAAGTCCCACTCGATGCCCTCTCGACTGTACTCCTCCTGCTCGAGGACGAACATGTGGTGGTTGAAGAACTGCTGAAGCTTCTCGTTTGTGTAATTGATGCAGAGCTGCTCGAAGCTGTTGTGCTCAAAAATTTCGAAGCCCGCTATGTCCAGTACCCCGATGAACGTACTCTTGGACGTGGGCCGGTCCAGAGCGGTGTTGATCCGCGCGACGATGCGCGCAAACGTCTTCTCGTAGAGCGTCTTGCACAGGGCGGCCATCTCCTCGACGACTTGCCTCCCCGTGCGCGACTGAGTCACCCACTCGCGGCCGGCCTTGACTCGCGGACGGAGGAGGGCTTTGGTGAGCTCCGACTCGGGGACCCCGAGGAGATGGCAGGCTTTTTCCACTTGCGCAGGGTTGGTAATGCGCGCCTGCTCTGAGCGGTCCGAGGCCAGCTCGATGTTGCCAACCTGGAGGATAGACGCTACGACGCGCAACAAGTTGTGCTGCTCCTCACCGCTGAAACCGACTGTATCCAGCGCCTTCTTCAGCGTCTGCCACTCGGCCGTATCGTCCATGCCTTCGACGTTCTGGCGCGACCCTTTCAGGTAGGCATAGTCGCCCGGGTTGCCCGTGAGGAGCAGCTTGTCGAGCAACTCCCTCTCTCCACTCCTCAGCAGCTGATAGAAGACGTGGAAACTCCTCTCCTTTTCGCTGCGATTGTGCACGCGGGACTTTTCGAGGAGGTACCAGTCGATGTTCGCTCCAGCAATGGCGCCCACCGACGTAAATTCGATGCGCACAAACTTGCCGAAGCGACTCGAGTTGTTGTTGCGGATCGTCTGCGCGTTGCCGAATGCTTCGAGGATGGGATTGGCCTGGAGAATCTGCCTCTCGAGCAGACCGAGACGCTTCTGCCCTATTGCCGAGTTACCATCCAGCCTGTCCATGACGTAGCGTGAGCTGCCCGAGCGGGTGAGGGCGCCCAGCACCGAGGGCGACGCGGAGGTCGAGGACGTTGCGTCGTTGCTGCCGCTGCTGCCCGGCGCCATATCCGCAGCGACGGCGGCGAGGTATTGAATCACCTTCTTGGTATTTTCCGTCTTTCCCGCCCCCGACTCGCCCGTGATGAGCAAGCTCTGGTTCTCCCGATTGTCCAGCATGTTGCGCATAGCCTCGTCCGCTACTGCGTATACGTGCGGCGGGTTCTCCTCTCTTCTTCTCCCCTTGTATGCTGCCACTACGCTGTCGGTGTAGATGGGAAGGTTGTGATAGGGATTGACGGCTACGAGGAAGAGGCCCGAGTATGTGTAGATGAGTCCGCGCTGATAGCGCTGCCTCAAACAATGGCTGACGCCTGCCTCGCTCAAAAAGGTCAAGTCGGCAATATTCTCGCTCAGCTCGAATCGTGGAGGATTCTGGCGCGAGATCTCGCCACTCTGAACTGTTCTCTGACTCCCATCGTCGACGCATACTACGACGGTGGTGTCCTTTGCTGGGTTCTCGTTGATGACGTAGGCGGAGAGGTAGCCTGCGTCGGGCGAAGGGATCCAGACGTACTTCTTGGACGCAAACTCGGCTGCTGCGGCCGCTTCTGCTGCGCTCGTCGAGGAAGCGCCGCCTGTGAGGGGGGCGAGGGGTTGTGATGAGGACGAGGGGATGGCAGCTGGCATCGTGGGCGAGAGGTGGGCGCGGCGCGATGCGGGTCGAGGACGAGGGCCAGGATGAGGGCGAGGCAGCCAGTCGAGGGGAGAGGAGAATCTAGTGCAATGCTACTCCAGCCTGCGTCTTGTCGTGTCGAGTCGTAGTCGCGACAGGGGCTCTTGATGATCGTCTACGCCGCCTCTGACTGGATTGGGCATGGGATGGTGAGAAGTGAAAGTGACGTCGCTCCCTCGCTCCGCCTGTGCGTCGTCTCCACCGCGCCGGCACCCGCGCCCGCGCCCGTGTGTTGATCTAACTCAGGGGCGTCGTCGTCGTCGTCGTCGTCCGCTCTCCTTGGTTGGTTGGTCTCATCCGCGAGGCGGGGCGGGGCAAGAGGGCGCACGCAGCCTGCGCCCCGCGCCGCTTTCAGTCTCGTCACCACATGGCAGCGGACCAGAAACACGCGTCTGGGTGAAATTGGCGTGCGTCTCTCCTGTCCGTCCAAGTCGACGAGGGTCCAACTCGCACCTGGCACTCGCACCCCACCTCCCCACCTCCCCACCTCCCCATCGCCCCTCGTCAGGATGCCACTTCACCTCGCTCAGCACAAGAGCTACCACCCTTACAAGCGCGAAAACATAGAGCGCGTACGGAGAGACGAGGAGGAGGCAAGACTCAAGCAAGATGACCTGCAAGAGCGAGCAAGGCAGGCCGACGCGGAAGCTCGAGTGGAACTGTTGCGCAGCAGCAGGGGTGGGGATGAAGGGGCGCTACCTTCAACAGAGAGACGAGACGAGCCTTCCTCTTCATCATCTTCGCGGGATTCCATCGTAAACCAGCGAAACCACGCACCCAATCGCTCCCGCAGTCGCGACCTTGGCGTCAACTCGGGCAAGGGCAAGGGCAGGCACGCCGACGGGGACCCGCCAGGCGTCTATCTCTCTGATCCGGCCCTAGCGCAAGACGGACCAGCATGGTACGCCTCGCCCGATCTGCAGGGTCCCAAGCAGCGCCGCAAGACGGAAGAACAACGCCTCGAGGATGCATACAAGGATACACGATCCAAGACGAGCCATGATCCGCTTACGGCCATGGAGGGGTTTTTGGCCAAGAGGGAGGAGGCCAAGAGGAGCAGCAGGGTTGATGCAGATGAGCAGGAGGCGGAGAGGGGAAGAGGGCAGGGGCAGGGAGGCATCAGCTCGTACAAGCATTATGTGCAGCCATCGACCTCGCGAGAGGATGATGGCGAGACGCAGGCGCAGAGCCAGGATTTTCAAGGGCGCCCAAAGAACATCGATCCGGGCGGCATCGCCGCAGCGAGCGAGATGACGAGCATAGACGAAGCAGACGACGTGGAGACGGGCGATCTCGCCGAGAAGAGCGGCACACCGGGACTAGAGCTGGGTACGACGAGCCACGTCGACCGGATAGGCACCGCAGAGAGGAGGATCATCAAAGTCGAAGGAGAGGTCGAGGAGATGAGGGACGACGCAGCCACCGTGGACGAGAGCGCTCCTGCTCCTCGCCACGCCGACACGAGCGGAACCACCAGCGCGGCGAACGACAGCGCGGTGGACGACAGCACGCAGCACGACAGCACGGATAGCCTCCTCGCAGCACCACGCAGTCCCTACGCGGGCGAGTCAATGTACCCCGTCCTCCTTGGTGAGATGATCGACACGGTGCTCGGTGCAGAATCGCACCTCTTCGACGAACGGGAGACGCTGGTGCTCACGCATTACGCACGGCTGCCCTACGAGGCGCGCTACCTCTTCTCGCGGCTGATCCAGCGCAAGGACACCTGGCATCGTCTCGAAGCTCTACGTCAGGCCTACGCCACTGAGATTGTCGACATCGAAGCAGCCATAGCCGCTCTTATCGGCGTGGAGACACGGCCGGAGACGGAGGCAGCGCACCCGCGCTTCCTCATCACGCACGAGGACGCCACCCCTGCTGGTCAGGAGGAGCTACTGCACCTTCTCACCCTCGACGAGCTCAAGGTCCTCGCAAAACGCATGCAAACACCAAAGGCGGGCACAACAAAGGGAAGCATCATTGCTGCCCTGCTCACAACGCGCAGTCAGGGTACGCTCGCCTCGCATTTCTTCGCATCCTCCTCACCGCGCAAGCCCGGGACCGCTGCACAGCCTGCGCCGCCCCCCTCGGCAGCATCATCATCGTCGTCGTCTCGCCAGCTCTCCCTCAGCTTCACCTCCTCGGGCCGCAAGTCTTCTCAATCCACCCGCCTCGCACACCAAGTCACCGCCCTTCTCGGGCCCCTACTCCGCCTCTCCCCCTCGGTGCGAAGCCTAATCGATCGCGTCGCCTTTGTCTTCTACCGCGGCTCCATGCTAGGCGGCACCGCTCTCACCACGGCTGTCCTCTCTCGGTCTAGACGCCGCAACTACCCGCGCTACCAGACACAGCGATCCCCGGACCTGTGGGGGAGTCGGGAGGAGTTGTTAAGGTACGAGGAGGCAGTCGCGATGGAGAATCGGATGGAGGAGCTGCTACAGTGGGGGGATGGGAGTGAGGCCACATTCCAGAAGGCGTTGGAGCTATTCGAGAGCGTGTGGCCCGTTTGGCGAGAGACGGTTCGCGAGCTGGACGCTCAGCAGCAGACGCCAAGCAACGCCGACGCCAGCCGCAGTGCGCCCGCGTATCATCGCAAACGCTTCCACTCTGGCTGGCCTCAAACGCGCATAGTCTACAAAGGCTGCACGGTCCTCGCTCGCTTCAAGCTGCACGACCGCGAAGCAGAGGTACTCCGTGCCCTCCTCGCGCAACGCCATTTCCGTCGGGGCAAACGCGGCGAGTGGTACGATCGTCTGGCGCTCATTACTGCGATGTACTCCGCGGGTCTCGGAGAGGACAAGAGTGAGGCGGCCAAGATGCGCGCAAAGGGCGAGGCCCTGACGATCGCTGTGGCGGGCGTGGAAGATCGCGATACGCACCTGATTTACCACGATCAGCTACAGCGCCGTATCGTTAGGCTGGAGGGACAGCTCCCCATTCCCAAGGGGGAGAAGCACGATTTCTCCTATGCGAAGCTGAAGAAGTGCAAGGAGCGCACCTTCTCCGGGATTAGGCTCGACGTTATGGATCATGAGAGTGGAGCCGTGGATCTCGCTGCGGGTCAGACGTTGCTTGCTCCCCTGCCTAGCCCGACGGGGACGGGGAGGGGGAGGAGCCCCACAAAGGGCGGGTCGCCGATCAAGGGAGATGGGGCAGCTTCTCCTGATACCGCGATGAGCTCGACGCCTACCTCTTCGACACCGCAGGGCTCCCGATTCCAAGCGCGCGCCCCGCTACGCAAGATAGTCAGGGTGGAGCGCCAAGTCTCCCCGCTGAAGGGAGCGCGGCCTATGAAACGCGACCTTTCGAGCAGCTCCGACCTCCTCCTTCCTCCCAGCCCTCTCGACTCGCCTGGGGGTAACGTCAACGACATGGGTCTGACGCGCAGCCCGAGCTCTAGCAGCCTACTAGACGCGTCCTCTCTTCCCGACTCTGTCCTCTCCCAATACTACGAAACAACCCGCAAGGAGCGTCGCCGCGACATGCACTCCGTCTGGCGCGGTCCGTCGGACGGCTCACCCTGTCGCGTCGAGTCCCTAGTCCTGCAGCGCTACGCTCAAGAAGGGTACGTGGGGAGGCACGACGAGGGAGGGATGTTGAAGATGCTCTTCGCCCTCTGTATGTGGGACGTGCTCTTTGCCAGCGGAGAGGTACGCGCGCCCGACGGAGGGAGCGTGGTGGTGACCGACGTCTTCGAGACGCCCTACCAACGCGCACCTCTCGATTTGGCAGAGGACGCTTTCGCCGTAACCCGCGCGGCGCTCATTCGTCCCCGGCTTGCCCTCATATCCAACGGAGGCGCGCCGCAGCTGGTGGCAGAAGTCGATGAGCGAGAGCGCGCCCGTGCTACATGGGCGGTAGGGTGTCGCTGGGACGCTTTTTCGCGCGAGGAGCTCCTCGAGGTGGCCGAGCTGATGCCGGGCCCGGCGCTCGCCTTTGTGTTCCAGATGATGTGCGAGGAGTGGGGGCATTGTAGTGGTGGTATGCCCGATTTGATCGTCTGGCGGCCGCGTGCCGAGGAGGGGCAGATCGCAATCAAGAAGGAGGAGGAGGCGGAGGAGAATGGTGGTCAGGGACCCTCGGTCAAGCTGTGCGAGGTGAAAGGGCCCGGCGACAAGTTGAGCGAAACGCAAAAGGTGTGGATCGATGTGCTTTTGCGCGCTGGGTTGGAGGTGGAGGTCAGTCTGGTGAGAGAGAAGGGCGACGAGGGCGACGAGGGCGACGAGGATGAGGGGCCGCCTGGGACGAGGAAGAGCGCCAGTCCTGTCAAGAAGGAGGCGACGTCGAAGAGAGCGGGGTGGTTGACTGTTGGCAAGGGCACGAAGAAGGGATGAGAACCCCCTGCATCGACGCGCGCACGCACGCACGCACGCGCGAGCGCACTCATCTGTAGCATATCATCAATCGCATTACGTCTCCACCTACCAATCCTCGTGCGGCGCAAGGAAGGGTAGCTGCGAGGGGGCCCCTCCTCCTCCGACTCTGGCACAAAAAGGCATTTCCATCTCTGCGAGGAAGAGTGGCCCCTCCCCCCTCTGCTCCTTAGCATTATCGGCGAAGAGAGCGTCTCCGCTGCTCAGCATCTCGCCTTCCGTCGCCGCCTCTTCCCCTTCTCGCTGCACCGGCTCCTCCTTCCCGCCTTCACCGTGCCCCTCGCGTCCAGCCTTGGCGTACACGTCCCTGTCGATCCACCCAATACGATGCTCGTCCCCGAACCCACCCACAGCATAGATCTTCTCGACGACAAAGCGCACCCACAGGGCCTGATGCGGGCTATCCTTCGCTCCAGGCGCCCAATGCGCCGCATCTGGGTGGCAACGAAGGAAGGCGCTCCTAACTTCCTCGACGGAGCTCGCGCTCGAGCTCGAGTTGAGCGGCTCCATATGCCCAAAGAGAGTGAAGCGCAACTTGCTCGGCATACCTCTCCGCCAGCTGGGACGCTTCGGGTCCCACCCCTCACCCTGACTACCAAGGTGTCGCGCGTCGGGGACCGCTGGATCCGGATTGCTCGCAACGGCGAAACTGACATTGACCCGTTCGCCATTGGGCGTGTGGGAGAGGGCGTTTCGCCAGTTCTGGGAAACGGGAAGAGCAATGAATGCGAGGTCTCCGTTGGAGTAGGCGGGGCAGAAGTACTCGTGGCCGGAGAGCGGAGGGGGAAGGGAAGGGGAGTCTGAGCCGGGAGGGTAGAGGGTGGAGAGGACGCCTACGCCTTGGTGCTCGTGCGGAGAGGAGAGGAGAGTGCGAACTTGCTGGGCGGCTGCGAGGAGGAGCAGCGAGATCCATGGTCAGCTGCTGGACGACTCGGCGATGTGACGATGAGAATCCGCTCAGCGCTCTCTCACCTTGCTCCTGCGTCTCCCAAGCAGCAATACAGGTGATAAGGCTGGAGGCAAGACCAGCAATCAAGGCGAGGTGACGTGTCATCATACAGCGATGCGATGTAGTGAGAGGGCAATGCAACGATGGGGAGAACGGGGAGGGGAAAGAGCGGACAGGGGATTCATCCGGGCTCAAACGGTGCCGTCAGCCTCGCACGGGCCCGCGCGATGCAAGGCGGTCAGGCAAGCAGGCAGGCGTCGTCTGGACGGGCAAGCCTCCCTTACATCCTCTCATTCTCACGCCGCTCCTGTCATTCACGTCAATCACGCCTCACGCGACACGTCATCAAACCAATCAAACGACGCCCGATCTTCACTTCAATCATTCATTGCACCCGCCCATCGCCTAAACGAGCGGTATCTCGTGCCACGCCGCCCGCCTAGTACTTGCCGCTGTTGATCAAAAAGTTCGCAAAGTCCACCTGCGGCCTAGTCTTCAACGTCTTGTCCACTGGCGCATCATAGTCTGTGCTAAAGATGCTCACGCTCGCTCTGCAGTCCCCACCATCGATGTACTCCGTCTCACCGGGAAGGGAGCAATCCCCACTGTTGCACTTGTTCAAGCCAGTCCCCTCGGGAGTGGCGTACTCCTCGTACTGAGGGAGATTGTTGCTCCCTACGACGAGCTTGTCGATGTTGGCCTTGCCTGTCAGGCGGGTCGTGGCCCACTTGGGCTTCTGGTTCGGGCAGGAAGACGTTGTGGGTGAGAAGTTGATGTTGAGACCAATGGCTTGAGGCAGGAGACGTCCCTGCTTGTTCTGCTGGGACCAAGCCGAGACAAAGTTGGCAATCTGGGTGCCGAGGATGTTGCTCTCGTCCTGTGCATTGTCCACATCGAGAGTCTTGTAGCTGCGCGCCTTGGACGACGAGGAGAAAGCCATAGCAGGATAGCCGCGCTCAATGGCCGCGTAGGTGGCACCGATGGTACCGCTCAGCGTGTAGAGGAAAGGGCCCAAGTTGGTCCCTTCGTTGGGCCCGCTCACGATGAGGTCTGGTCCGTCATCGCCAAAGTACTTGACTTGGTCCAGCGCCCAGAACACCGCAGCGGTAGGCGTGCCATCGAAGTACGTGATGGCCGGGTCCGTCTCGTTGCGTCCGAAGTAGGGCGCAGATGCCGGGATCGAATCGCCACGACCAGGGGTAACGATCGTCTGGTTCACGGGGAGCTTGACAGTTCCTCCCGTCCCGGACTGTTGGTGCGCCTCAGAGGCGATGGTGACGTTGTGGCCTGCGGAGCGCAGCGCGTAGTACGTGGCGCGGATATTGGCCGATTCCCAGCTGTCGTCGTTGGTGAGGATGATCTTGAGCTTGCGCGGCGAGGATTTGACATTCTTGTAGCCGCCGGCATTGACGCCGTAGGGCTTGTCAGCGCGAGACTCGAGGGCAGAGGAGCCCGGGTTCGTCGGGGCGGCCGCGGCGAGGGTCGTAGCGACTGTGAGGAAGCTAAGGAGGGCGGCGAACTTCATGGTGAATAGAGTGGGATATGAGAATGGCTTCAGGTTTGCCTCCTCCCCGTCGCCTCGCCCTCGTCTCGCATTGTTATATCATCGCGGATGAGACCCTGAGACCGCTTCCTTCGCACCTCGCACGTTCCATCCCCCCTCACCAGAATCCAAGTTTCCCCGCGAGCGCGACTCTCTGCCGCCAAGCGCTCGCCGCTCGCCCTCGCGCTCTCTCTTCGGCTAGGAATGGGGAAAGACCGGATCGTGAGAGCGATAAAATGGATCGCCGTTGGAAGCTTTTTCCGTCTTCGAAGCATGCAAATCGATTAGGAACGACGTGAATCGTCCTCGCGTGCAGCGTGGGCAGGGCAGCGAAGGGCAGGGCTGGCTGCACATCGTGCCTGAAGCAACGTGGGCCAGTGCGAGCGCGGCGGAAGGAGAAGCTTGGCTCGGCTTGGGCCCACGCGACACGCGGTGCGATCACCACGCTAAGGAAGGGGAGTGGAGTAGATGACATTACGGGGCGTGGGCCAGACGATAGCAAGGGAGCGGCAACGAGGCCTCCTCTCTCAAGCACTCGTCCCTAAGAGCTGACGCAGCCACGCCTCCCAATCCTCGTCGAGCTCTGCAGAGGGAGGCGTAGGGTCGAAGCCCCCGCCGAGGTTGGTGCCCATACTCACCCCCACGCCGGCCTCCGCACCCCAAGGCATCGCTGCCGTCAAAAGTGTGCGCTCCCTCTCGCGCTGCGCATGCTCACTTCTCCTCTTGACCTCCACAATATACTCCGGCTCGACGTCCTCTCGCCCCCACCCAACTGCAGCCTTCCTCGCCTCCCAGGCCTTGAGGAACGTCGAGTCCCCCAACACGGGCTCCTCGGGCGTGGGCAGCCAATGGAATCCCTGCCCCTTGTAGTGCGCGTCGAATTGCTTGCGCGTTCTTCCCATACCCTCCGTCCTGTGCAGCAGCGCCCAAGCGGCATCCACCGAGGGTCCCGTGGTGTGGGTCTGTAAGAGTCGAAAGAGGTGGATCATTGGGATGGCGGGAACGTGTCGCACAATGAACCAGCCAAATCGCGCGCGTACGGCGCTGTCGCGGAGCAGCTCAGAGTAGTAGGAAATACAGCGCACGCTCAACTCCAGCATGCGCTGCCTCAGATCCTCGAGCTTGTGCGTCTCCCTTCGCGCTGTCCGCCGGGCTTGCAGCGACTCCTCGCCCAAGATGGCGAGCATGCGCGCTTTGGCTAATAAAGAGCTGCCAAACCCTACGATGAGCCGGGAGAGACTGTCTGGCCCGCAGTGGCGGAAGACTTGCGCCTCCAGCCGCGCCTCGAGAACGTCGATGCGGTGCAGCTTTTCGGTGAGGGTCCAGATGGGCGTGGAGAGCTCGAACATGCCCATTGCGGTGAGCCCGCCCTGCCTGGCCTGCTCAGCGCGACACCGCTGGGCGAAATCGGCGAAGAGGGCGCGCATGTAGGGGAAGAGGGCGTCGAGTGAGGCGGACGCTTGTGGCTGTGAGTATGGCTCTCGTGGATGCGCACCTTCCGCCAGGACGTCGTCGCTGAGCGCGTTGGGTACTCTGCGCTGGACGTTGCGCGCAAGCAGGACAGGATCCAAGCCCGCAATCTCCTGGCTACGCCCGTCGAGCGTGGTAATTTCCCACCAGGTGCGACGATGCATCTCCGCCTCTATGCTCTCTCCACCCGTCTCGACGTGGAAATGCATGCGACAAGCGGAGCGTACTACGACGCCCATGACGAGACCGAGGGCGCGTGGATCCAAGCAGCGGAAAATGGCATTGGCGTACAGCGTGAGAGCTTGAACGACGCGCGGATCGGTGCTGCGCCACCCGTCGGCGCGCGCCAGCCAGTAGCGGAATCCGGCCTCGAGCGACTCGTTGCTGCACGCCGTGCTCGTATTGGGCGCCTCGAACGATGCGGTGACGGCAATGCGGTAGATGGCAAAGAAGAGTAGATGGTCGCAGGGCTCGACTTGGTGCGGCGAGTCGATGAGCTTGCTGCCGGCTGCGAGGAGCTTGCGGTGGACGGTGGGCGTGTGCAGGATCTTGATCACTGGGTCGACGCTGTCCATGAACACTCTACGCGGGGGCGGTGATCAGGTCAGTGTGGGCGCCATCGTCTTGGTCGCGCCCGCACGCCGACTCACTGCCATAGCGACCAGATCTCAAAGGCGGAGGGATGCTCAGGCACGCCCTGCCAAGCTGCAGGCGAGGCAAAGAGGCGGGACATCCCGTCTTCAGGGTACAGTCGGTCGAAGAAGTCAAAAATGGCTCCACGCCCACCCACCACCCTCGTAGGAGGCTGCAGAATCTCCTCGACAAATTCGCGCTCAGCCTTTGCCTGGATGGCCGTCGCGCCGGAGCCGTTGCTGTTGCTCGGCGGGAGGGGCTGCGCAGATGTTGAGACGGCGCTAGTGTAGTCCTCGTCTCCTCCCCCTTCCCCCTCCTCGCTCTCTGCAATACTATCAGGGTCCACACCCATCCTCCTCAATCTCCCCTCGTAACGTCGTATCTTTGAGATCAGCGTCGCCTCGGGAAAGCGACTCTTTCGCTTTCGCGTTTCGTCGGGCGGGATCACCGGCACGCACTCGACGCCAAAGCGCACGCATTGGGCACACTTGGGCTTTTCCTTTGTACACTTGACCTTGCGCTCGCTGCACCGCTTGCAGGCGTGCGAGCTCATCGTGCTTGATGATGACGACGGCGATGACGACGACATGGTGAGTGGTCGTGGTAGGGAGCAAAGGGCAACGGAGGAAGCTCGCCCGACGCACCGGGCTAATCAGTCAGGGCGGGAGAGGCGGATGCTCAGCCCGCGCGGAGCGGCTCGGCCCAACTGTGGGAGCGCCCCGATCTCAGCGCCCGATTCAGCCGCGCTCAAATCTCACGAGGTGATGCCTTGTCGCTTATCAATGCCTCGTCGGGCTATCGAGATGCCTCAGGCGGTCATCGGATCGACCATTAAATGTATAAGAAGACGCTGTTTGATGTTTTGCACCACCGAGTCGTCCCGCAATGAGCATCACCTTCCTACGCTCACCGCAACGTCCCCTCCTTCACCTGGCCCGCTCCTTCACCACCACCACCTCGCCCACTCATCGCAGCATGCACATCCTAGTCAGCGGCGCAGGAATAGCAGGGAGCACCTTGGCGTGGTGTGAGTGTGCGCGTGTGCGTGCGCGTGTGCGTGCGCACGCGCGGGCTTGACTCCATCTCTCGCGCTGAACCATCGATATCCTTCCACGCACGCAGGGCTCGCCCGCACAGGCATCCGCGTGACCCTCATCGAGCGAGACCCCTCATCGGTAGGCAAGGGCCACAACATCGATGTGCAGGGCTCGGCCCTCTCCATCCTCGAGCGCATGTCCCTGCTCGACACGCTCAAGGCCAACAATACAGGAGAGCGAGGCACGACGGTCATCGATCAACATGGCAAGACGCTCGCCTCCTTCCCGCTCGAGACAGGGTTGAGCCCGACGAATCCGCACGAGATACTCAGAGGTGACCTCTGTGGATTGCTGCACGCTGCAGCGATGAAGCAGTCGGGTGTGCAGACCGTCGTTGGCCGGATTGACCCCGGGTCGGTGCTGGTCAACGAGAAGGGCGTCACCGCCTCCCTGCATGACGGGCGACCCCTCAGCGGCGACGCACTCGTGATCTGCGACGGGCAGTGGTCCCATCTACGCTCGCACCTGTACGACCCGTCTGACATTACGGTGGTGGACAAGAACTTTTTCTCCTTCTATGCGACCATCCCTCGCGAAGAGCAGGACGGCGATCAATGGTGGCTGTGCTCGGTGGATCGCAGACGGATGCTCACCACCCGCCCGGACCCACACGGTTCTACGCGCGCCATGCTTCTCAAAGTGCCCTGCGATGCGCGCGAGAAGGAGAGCCTCGAGGCGGTGAGCACCCCGTCGCATCAGACGAGCTTATGACAAATGCACAGTAAGACTGATCTGCGGCGCATCGCACACAGGCATCCCGCGCTCCAATCGCACACCAAAAGGCCCTCGCCCGCACCCTCTTCTCCTCTACCGGCTGGCAGGCAAAGCGCCTCTGCGACGGCATCGACAAGTCAGACGACTTCTACCTGCACAATGTCAAACAGATACGCATGGCGCGCTGGGTCACGCAAGATCGCATCATCTGTCTAGGCGACACGGCGTACTGTCCCACCCCCCTCACAGGGATGGGAGCTCCCCTCGCCATCCTGGGCGCTTACACACTGGCGGGGGAGCTATCTATCCTCGAAGATGACGCGACGCGGATCCCTCAAGCCTTTTCACGCTACGAGAAAATCTATCGAGAGCATGTTGAAAAGGCACAGGAGATTCCATTGGGCAGTCTGCTGCCGGGTATCGCGCTGCCTTCCTCCTGGCTCGGGGTGACCGTCCTGCGTACATTTTTAGCTTGCCTCGCACGCCTCTGCTCGACGCCGTGGATCGCCGATCGGCTCAGGGGGGACGGGAAAGGGAGCGAGGTAGATCAGTGGAACCCGCCCGAGTATGCGAGGCTGAGAGAGCAGGGGTTGAAGAACGAGGCGCGCGTCTATTCGCGATCGAAGTAGACTGGCACACCATAGACGACGGGCGCCGCTCCGGTGAGATAGGGGAGGCGGCACGAGTCTCGACTGCTCGCGACGGCCTGCGCCAAGCTTATCGCTTTGCCTTGCTCCCTCCCTGTATCCTCTCGCTCTGCCTCCTTCAACCCACACCTGACCAGCACCGCCTCCGAAACGCTGTCCAGCTCTTTATCCGTCGCGTCGAACAGCTGGCCAACAACGCACGGGCTGCCGGCCATCATGTAGTTGTACGGGGTACCCGTCCGATCGAAATCGCCCTGATCTCGCAGTACCGCGCTCGAGCAGCCCCAGAGCATGGTAACTGCACACCTCTGCATCGAGCGCAGCTTTGTCGCCCGAACGTACTGCTCAGCGCCCGAATGACCAAAGTAGAGGACGAGCGGGTACGAGGAAAGGGCATCGCCAAAGTCGTTGGGAGCGGGCGCCCTCCCGATGACGCCGCGCCAGCCTGTCTTGGAGCGGAGGTACGGCTCGAAGCGTTCTTGCGACTTTGTGAGGTCCTTGCTTGGGTTGAGCAGGTAGTACGCGCGGCAAGAGCGAGACAGGTGGAAGGCCCCGTCCCCACCTTGTGAAGCGCCGAGCCGGCGAGCCATCTCGACGCGGTCGGCGAGGAAGGAGAGTGAGGGAACGCGACAGATCGCTCGGCCTCGCAGCGAGGGGAGGGACTCCCAGGGGATGGCGGCCGTATCCTTGTCCAGGACCAAGAAGAGGTGAGGCGCGCCAGCGTCGCCGCTGCCGCCGCCGTCACCGCTCCTATCGTTGCCGACCTGCTGGCTGCGCTGGCTCTCTCGTGCGCTGGCCGAACGATACTCCTCAAGCGCGGCGCGCAAATCGTACGCGAGCATATCCATATCCGCCTCATCCACAGGCACTGGCACGCCGTTGAGCTGATGAATATCCATGATAAAGTTGAGCAGATCCTCCAACTCCTCATCGCTCGTGGCGGAGGGCACGACGCGCGAGACCAAATCGTAGACCGCTTCGTCCAGCTGTACCTTTGCCGCCGCTCCCGCCGCCGCCGCACTGCGCTGCTTGCCCGCTGCGTGCGGGAAGCACATACGCTGAACGATGCCGTCCAAGCTGGCTCGGAGGCCACCCATCGCATCAGAGGGGGGAGCTGCATCGCCCCACAAGCTCTTGAAGGGGCCGAGCCACTGCTCCTCGATGGCTGCGCAGAGTACCTTCATCCGTGTGTCGAGCTCCCGGCGCGACGTCCACCAGGCTTTGCGCTGTTCCATGTCCTGCGAGACCGATACATTGCGCGCCGACGAGGTGAGGGCGTTGCTAGCGTCAACGATGGCTTTGAGCTCGCGCTGTGCCGCATCCAGGTCGAAGGGCGTCGCTTCCTCGTCCTCTTCGTCTTCCTCGTCTCGCCGTCGGTCGAAGGGGAGTGAGAGCACCATGGGCGGTGAAGAGGCGGAGCGACGGCTGAGAACGAGGGAGTTGCGTTCGCGCGAGAGGCTGAGCGAGATGACCGTCCAGTTTGCGGGCAGGTGGAGCTCCGGAGCGAGACCGTCTTGCTTCTCCTTCCAGAAGGCACGCCACGCTGGCGCTTCGCCTTTCTGCTCCTCCTCCTCCTCCTCTGCTTCCACGCCCTCCTCGTCACTCGACGGCGTGTGCGCTCGCGAGAGGCGCGCCGGCTTTCTCCCCTTTACAAGCTGCGTACGCTTCGTCTTCTTGACGGCCGCTCCGGGCGCTCCCTGCTGCCAACGCAACCACGCCTCCTTGGATCCCACCTCCAACTTCGACCAAACGGCATGCTCCGCCTCGCGCTGCAGTGTAACGGCCGCGGCGCTATCCAGCATCTTGAGCATGTCCTCGAGCGCGGGCGTGTCGTGGCTGAGCGTCCTGTGCAGCATGGTGGAGAGTGCGAGCCCCTTCCAAGCTCGGCGGAGCGAGACGGCGGCGCAGCCTTGCGTGACATCCTGCGTGACGGACTGGAATGTCTGCTCCGCCTTTGCCAGACAGGCGAGGACCGCCTTGGTTGAAGAAGCAGGGACCGTGCGTGCGCGGCTCTTGACCGCTACTGCATTGCTCGAGGGGAGGGCAACCACCGCATCGGAGACCATGTTCCAGACCGCGTCGGTCTTCATACCTCTGAGGGCCTTGTCCAGCTCCAATCGCCCGCAGGCAAGTTGATCATCCGAGGTAGGCTGCGGCTGCATGGCATCCGCCTGGGACATCGTCTCCTCGCTTTCCTCGTGCCTGCCCAAGACCTGCAGGAGCCAAGCTTGACGTCGCAAGAGACGACAGTGCAATTCTGCAAGGAGACCTTCTGTCAACGTTCCCGCAGTGCTACCTCGCGGCGTCTTGCCGCCGAGGGAGGAGCGCGAGCTCGTCGAAGTCGGAATTCCGCGAGTAGAGGGTGAGGGCGAGGGAAGGACCGACTCCACCTCAGTGTATGCCCGACGGAGAGCGCGCACCGTCTCCTGTCCCGTCTTGTAAGCTCTCAACGCCTCCTCCCTCGTCTCGTCCCTCCTGGCCAGTTGATCCCCTTGTATACACGCCAGCGTCGCCGCCTCCGGCAGCCAAACGTCACTGAGCAATCCAATGGCTTGGGCCACGTCCTCTTCCCCCTCCTTGCGCTTCCCCAGCTGTAAACGCACCTCAGCGCGGAGCAGAAGGGATTGAGACGTGCTGAGGCTGAGCCGAAGTCCCGTGGCCAGATCGACCGCTTCGCCGGCGAAGAGCTCGGCGTCCCGTGCAGACCCGCGCAGTTGGTAGAGGTGGGCGAGACGATGGAAGCTAATAAGGAGGTCCCGCTGTACCTGGCAATGGGTCGAGGCGATACGCACCGACAGGAGGCGATGCGCGCGCTTCGTCGACGTTGTGGTGGTGCCCAGCGTCGCTGCGCCGCCAGCCTCCTGCGCCTCGGCGGCAGCGCGCGCAGGGTCCTTCACCGGGCTACTCTGCAGCGTAGTCGTTGCCGCGACGGCGTCCTCTGCTTGTGCCTGGCCTGTCGAATCGCCCTGGTAGGTCGTCACCCTTGCCAAGAGGGAAGAGGCTCGAATAGCATACTGTGCCGCGTGAAAGGCCCCCTCGATCGCGCGCGTCCCGTCGCCTCTCTGCTCCGCGATATGCGAAAAGGCCTCCGCAGCAGCGCACACTCTGCGATATCGCGCTACCTTGCTCAGTACCTTGCTCAGCCCAGCGCGCGGCGCTTCTTCGCCCTCTTCATCCAGCGACGCAGCAAGGTCCACAGCTTCGCTGTACCGGCTGAGAGCTTCGTCGCCTTGCGCCAGTTGAGCTCGCAGCAGTGTGACAGCGCATTGCAGATCTGTCGGACCCTTCTCTAGCGCTGAAAGGAGGCTCTCTGCGCGTGCGGTGCGGCCAAGAGACATTTGATGCTTCGCAAGCGCAAGGGTGGCGCGTTGCCACGTCTCTGTGTCGACGCCACCGCTCGTGAGCCGGCGAAGGTATTGGAGAAGCTCGACGCTGAGTAGTGTCTGGCCATACGCAGACAGGTAGTCGCATGTGAGCTCAAGGAGAGGGATCAGCCCCGCCGACCCTTCCACAGGCTTGCGAGCGAGGGTGGTCCTGCGCGGAGGCGTGACTGGTGGCGGCGCGATTGGCGGCGACGCGATGAATTTTGATGATTGAAGAGGCTTCTGGACTGGCTTGCCTCTCGAGGCCGTCGAAGAAGCTGTAGGAGCAGGCTTGGCGGCGGCGCGTGACCTTGTAGCCGCAGTCGTTGTTCTAGTCGCCGTAGTACTCGCTGCTCCCACCTTCTGACCCACCCTCGTCCTCACGCTAGCCTTGGCCTGTACCTGCTTCGGCGCCTCCGTCGTGCGCAGCGGGGGCGTACGCCCTTGCGGCTGAGCGCTCCCGCCAGGCAGCGATCCCCGCTTCTCCATGGCCGTGCACGCCGAAATCTCAAACAGATCCCTCACGCTCTCACTGGCCAGCTTCGTCAACTCCTCGACCCGCTTCACCGACTCCTCCCCCTCCCCGTGTGCAGCTGCGAAGGCGAAGATGGCCAGCAGGCGATATCGACACTTGAGAATGGGTAGCTGAGGCGCGAGTCCCGCATCCTGTGCAAGATCACTGGCCTCGAGCAACGTGAAGATCTCCTTGCCGAGGGCCAGATCTTCGCCTGGGCCAGCGGCTAAGGCTGCCCTCTCGAAACGATGCAGTAGTGCCCTGGCCCTTCTGAGTGGTGAGGCTTGTGAATCGCAAAGATCCGTCAGAGTGGCGAGAAGCGAATGAACGGCTTGTTCCGCTCCCTCGGTGTGCATGCGCCCTTGTGTCCAGCTCGAACTTGCCAGGTACTCGAGACAGAGCGCCCGCGCAGTCTGGCTCGCTTTGCTGGACTGCAGTACGGCTGCTATGCCCTCTTCGCCTTCGGTGGGGGCGAGAAGCTCGAAGACGGACACCTCGAAGAGAGTCCTGAGGGTACGCGCGACTGTCGCGTATTCTGTACTGTCGAACACCTCTTCCACAGGCTTGGTCGCGGCGAGCACCTCGAGACGTTCCCACTGACTCGCGGGCAGGGCAAGAAGAGAGCGCCGCAATGCCTGGAGCGCCTCCTTGGGGCGGGCGAGCATCCTATGGCATGCAGCTGCGTAGTCCCACTTCTTGTAGAGGCTGTGCGCTCGAGCATTGAGGTCCTCCTGCTTCCCTCCCCTCGCATCGCCCTCCCTCGCATCGCCCTCCCTCAGCTCGCCCGCCTCGCCCTCCTCTGCTTCGCGCAAGCAAAGGCGCAGCGCCTCCTCTCCCGCCTGTGCCGCCCCCTCAATAAAGCGCACAGCGAGGGCGTACCGTCTCGCGGTGTAGACCCTCCCCCCGACGTGGTACAGCGCCGCCTCCAGCAAGGCGAGCTGTTGCGCCACTAAACTCGAGAAGGTGCTCTGCCCGCCATCCGCCTCCACCAAGCCAGTAAGAGCAGCTACGCCCAGATCAAGGAAACGGAGTGCCTCCTCCTCCTTCCCCGCATCGTACATGCTCAGCCCCAAGGTGCGATACCCGGCCGAATTCCCCGTCATGCCCGCAGCGATCTCGGAGTGCGTGCCGCCGGCGCGGACGAGGGTGGTGAGCTGCTGAGACTCGGCGGACAGACCTGCTTGGAAGAGGGCGAGGGGCGGGCTGGCGGATGAGGGCGAGGGCGAGCTTTGCGTGAGCCAGTGGGAGAGGGAAGCACAGCAGCGTCGCCGGAGACGGTCGAGGAGTTTGAGGAGGGTTTGTCGATCCGAGAGCGCTATGCTGCGGGCCGAGGACGCTTCGCTCGATGCGAGGAGGGAGAGGAGGGATCTTGTTGCGGCTTCAAGCGAGGCAGTGACGGATGCGACTGTGCTGTTTGGGTCGGAGCGGACGATGTCGAGGGAGGCGACGGCGGATGAGCATGATTGGATCGCTTGAGCGTAGAGGGCGGCAGGATCTTGTGGTGCGGGTGATGATGACGACGACGACGCCGAGGGAGCGGCGGACGACGATGCCGAGGGAGCGGCGGGCGACGCTGCGAGAGTCTGCGTGCCGTCAAGCCGTGAGACGGCAGCCACGTCCCCATTCTTTACCGCAAGCCATCGCCACGTCTCCTTCAACTTGGTCCACTCCTTCATCCCCTCCCACTCTTCGCCCGCCTTCCCCTCAATCTCCCGCAGCGCACTATCGATCTCTGCCCACATCGCCTGCTTCTCCCCTTGTGCCTGCCTCGCGTTCCCCTCCTTCCAGTGAGATACTGCCATTCGCTCGATGCGCGCCACAACCTGCGCCCGCCGCGCTGTGGTGGTCGCCTCGTCCGCGCCTTGCAGATTTGCGCCTAGAAGCCAGAGGATACCCACTTTACGCGCCTGCAGGATAGCCGTTGCGCTCCCCTCGTCACTGTTGGGTAGGGCCTGGGCCACTTTGCTGAGACATCGCTCCACGGCAAAGGGGAGGCGTTGTGCTGCGGGGCTGTCGGGTGAGAGGGCGAACCAGGCTGCTACGCCTCGCTCTTCACCTGCAATGGCAGAGATGAGGCAGTTGATGCCACCCGCCGAGACGTTGTGGTTGCCCTCTGCCAGGTGGTTCAACAGTAGGCTCTGCAGTTCGAGTACGAGCGTGCAGTGCGCCTTGTCCACCTCTTGTGGGCGATCGTAGTAGAGCATTTCGGCATCAGGGGGCAGATGATGTCTCGAAGACTGATGATGCATCTGTGCCCGTATATAGGCCACTTCTAACCTCAGGCCCGCTACGACGCCGAGGGCTACACAGCGCTTGAGATGGGTGAGAGCGACTTGGTGCGTCTGCCAGCGATTCGACGTCGAGGCGGCCGTCTGCTGGCTCTTGGCGATAAATACGACGCGCAGTGATATCCTGAATGCGTCGACGAGGTGCAGGAGGTTCATTGAAGGCGGCTCTGTTTGTGTCTTGGCCGTGTTTGCCGCGCAGAGCTGCCCGATCGCAGCAAAGGAGGCGTTGACGACCTCTTTGGCTAGCTGGACGCTTTCCCTCGTGGGCAGCGTGGGCTCCGATGATACCGATACGGTTGCGACAGGCTGGAGCAGCTCGAGGTCGAGCTGATGTGACGTCACCTCGAGATGGTGGAGTAGCTCAGCAATGGCTCGCGATGTTGCCGTCTCCGAGGACTTGAATGCTGCCACTACAGCTTGCCTGTCCATGGGCACTCTTGACGTCGAGGCTGATACGGAGCTGGTCGATGTAGCCGTCGTAGCCGTTGACGTAGCACTTTTTGCCTGCCTACTGATGCGCGAAGAAGACGAAGGAGCACGACTGCTCGGCGTTGCGGCTGAGGACGATGCTGACGCTGATGCTGATGCTGATGGTTTTGCGGCTCGAGCAGAAGGTCGTACCGAGGGCCTAGTGGCCGGCGGTGCGGCTGAGGCGACCTTTGCCGGCATGCTGGGGATGCTCGGTCAGCGCTAGGAGCTCTTTGAAGATGATGAATGAATGAGAAATGCACGAAAGGGAGAAAAGTCGCACCGGCAGCGCAGGCTCGACGCGTTGCTCCCTGTTGGACTCGCGGGGTGCCATCGACTCGCTCACGTGGACGGACGAGCGAAGGGGCGGCCCGAGCGCAAGCCCTTGCGCTTTCTGTGTCGTCACGCACGCACACGACGCTCCTTCCTTCCTTGCTTGCTTCCTTCCTCATCCACTCACGCACACGCGCAAGCAGGCAAGTGGACAGCCATGCTCCTCTCCTCTCCAACACGGATAGCTACCTGCTTCGCAGCCCTGCTACTCCTCACAGCACCCTCGCTCGCCATCAAATTCGACATCGAAGCGCGCAACTCGCCCACGACCAAGTGCATCTGTGAGTGGGGACCAAGACCAAGATGCCATCACTACCCCGTCTCCCTGGCATTGGCTGCGTGCTAACCACCCCGTATCATCGCAGGGAACTACGCTCTCTCCGACACCCTCGTAATCGTAACGGTCAACTCGGGCCCCTCCCCCTCCTCATCAGTAAATGCCGAAGGCCAACAGATAGACGTGGAGATCGTCGATGCCTCTCACCACAATAACGTCTATCTAGACAAGAAGGACATACGAGGAGAGACGCGGATGGCGATCAATACACACTCCCAGTCTGACTTGGGGGTGTGTATCACAAACAGATTGAAGAAGGGTGCGTACTCTGCTCTCGCCTGTGGACGGAGAGAAGGTGTAGGAGGAGAACGAGGTTGGCTCACCCCACCACTTACGCACGCACGCACGCACGCACCCAGGCCACTCAACGTCCGGGCTGGGCACACCCGGCTCATCGATCGACATCGACGTCGACATCGGCGCTGATGCGGTAGACTACAATGCCATTGCCAACCAGGAATCCCTCTCTGGCCTCGAGACGGAGATGCGCAAGTTGGAGGCAGTGGCGCAGGAGATTTTGGATGGCATGGACTACTTGAAGAGGAGAGAAGAGAAGATGCGCGGCACCAATGGTGAGTGTGTCATGAAGCGTAGAAGGTATAAAAGGGAACATGGCATTGGAGAGACAATCTGACCTTTGGATGGCTCCCGCTCCCGCACACGCACGCACACAGAATCGACCAACTCGCGCGTACAGAGTTTTGCCTCCCTCACCGTCTTCGCCCTCGTGGGATTGGGGGCTTGGCAGATGTGGCATTTACGTTCCTTCTTCCAGCGCAAGTACCTCATCGATTGAGCCCAATCGCAATCTCAATGCCCACACTCATCTGCGGCGGCGACTACTCCGTCTTGAAGCGTGACTTGCCTTCTGGGGTGAGGTACTGCGGGCGAGCCAAGAGGTGAGAATTGAGCGTCAGTCACAAGCACTCCTTGCCTCGCATGCTTCGCGCACCGCTGCCCCCGTCTCACCTTCTTGAAAGCAGCGAGGAAGGTCTCATACCCCTGCTCGTTGATGACATCCCCGTGACAGGGCACGATCCTCCTCGCCCTCCACCCAGCCACAACCTCTGCATCCATAGCGAATTGCTTTCTCCTCTCCTTTGCACCTCCCTCTCCAGCAGCTGCCCCCGCCATCCAGAGGAAGCCCGCATGGAGGGAGCGATGTGGCTGGAGGAATTTTGCAAAGGATGCCAGGAAGGGGACGGGGGATGAAGGCTTGCCCGACGAGGTGCCGAGATGCTGTTCGGTTGCGGGGAGGTTGAAGAGGAGGTCTGCTACGATGAGGGTTGAGGAGGAGCGATGGTGGAAGGCGACCTGGCGTGGCAGCGGGGAGAGGGAGAAGGGTCAGAGAGCATGCCCACCGCACCTCGCGCCTCGCACACGCACATCTTTATTCGCAAACGTGGGAAAATATCGCGCCTCAATCTCCTCTTCAAACCCGTAGCGCTTCCCCTCATCCCCCTTGCGCCCGTAAAGCCCCTCCCATTTCACGTCCTTCCTCTTAGCGTCGAGTCCCTCGACTCCAATGGCCTTTGCCTGCGGGTACGCATCCATCCACTCCCTGACGTAGAGGTGATGCACATTATCCGCAGCCACGACCCATTTCACCTCGCCGCCCATTTCGGTAATCTTGGCGCGTGTGGGATCGTCGAGGGGCGTAGAGGCCAGTACCCAGAGTGAGCCGCTGTTGGGCGGTTGAGTGAGTCGTATGGCTGTACTGCGCCCGCCGACGGGGAAGAGGCCGAAGCGGGCAAAGGGGCGGGAGAATGTGACGAGGGATGGGGGATAGGACGTGATGACGGTGCTGGTGGACGTCTTCACTGGCACACCTGATTGCGCCGCGTTGTTGTGGGTTGAAGCGGATGGCTTGGGTGATTGCTGCTCGTCGCCGGATGGGCGAAGCGTGTTGGCCGAGGGACGGGCGCTCACCTGCGCTTGCGCCTGCGCTTGCGCTTGCGCCCCTCCCGAGGAGGTGGATGGGGATGACATGGCACGAGTGAGGAGTGAATGTAGCTGAACGAGGTAACGACGACGAAGAAGAGAGGACGACGCAGCGATCATCCGGCAAAGACAGGAGATGGGAAGTCGTCGTGTCTAGCGTCGAACGACATCCGGCGGGCGGAGCGAGCAAAGCGGAGGGCGGAAAGAAAGTGCAGCGCGTCCGTCTGACCTCAACTCACACTTGCTCTACTCCCGCGAGCCCGATTTTCCGCTCTCTCACACGCTGGGCGAGACATCCTTACCCCTCATCACCCGATCTCACGGCGGTCCTCAACAACAAAGACGATTGACCGCCTTGCGAGCTTGCTCATCCACACTCACTGCTCCCTTTGCACGTCATGATCTGCTTGACCCTTTGACGTGCGCACGCGAGGAGCCTTGTCTTCCGGGCTCGAGCTTGGACCCCCCCTCCCCCTCCTTCCCCCTTCTTCTTGTCAGGGTCCTACCGGCTCGCAGAACTTATCAAAATCTCGCAAGCCACTTTTCTCATCCTTCGCATAACGCTTCCCGCTTTTGACGACTCGTCCTCGTCCTTCTTTCTCCTCTGCTTCTTCCTATGTCAGTGGCGGAGCCCGCCTGCATGACACGGGAGCGCCTCTTTTCTCTGGACGTGCGAGAGAGAGAAGACAGAAGCGGACGTCCCACCAACACTCATCGATCGGAAGCTTCGATGCCGCCGAGTGTCCTTTGACGAGAAGAAGTGGGCCTCGAGCGCCTCGCCCATCGATATCGCATCGCACGCAGCGGCGGAGGTGATTCTCTGGGTCTGCATTTTGACAGCTTCGCGCGTTCACACTTTACGGTTATGGTTCGGAGAGGAGGAGGCGGCGGCGGCTGCTGGCGGATCGTCAAAATTCTAGATGAGCCGGAGGGGATGCCGATGTGCCATGAGCGATGAGGCGGCGAGAACAAGCAGGTCGTATCACCCATCGTTGACAAACGGCGAGCGCTCCGCTTCATCGACGACCTCACATCACCCCACCTCGGATCCCCTCACGTCGTGGATTCCATACCTCGCGAATACGACGACCAGGCGTCGTGCATACGATACAGCCTTATTCCTGTGCCATCCATCAAACATCTCGGCGACGATGGCACGCGTGGAAGCAGCACCTGCCCTATCTTCCTTTCTGACATTCTCACTCTCTCGGCCCTTGGGTCCATCGAATGCCGAGCGCAAGGAGGGGGCCGCTCCCAGTGCGAAGGAAGGGTCGGATCGAGTCGAGTCAGGTCGAGTGTTGGTCTCGCTGTCCCGCCGTCCCGCTGTCCATCGTCGTCGTCGTCTTCTTCGCCTCTGGCCGCCGATGCCGCGCTGGCTTGACCTGGCCGCTGGCCCGCTGGCCGGCATCCGCATGCGTGTTCGTGTTGTGTTGTTGTGGCTGGCTTGGGGCCCAAGGTTGGCTGTGTGTGTGTTGCCGTCGTGGCTGGCCGTGCGTGCGTGCGTGCGTGCTGCTGGCCCTCCCGCCTGGCCAGGCTCGACGCTCGACGCTCGACGCTCGACGCTGGACTTGGCTGTGCCTTCTTCGCCTTGCCTGGGCCCCCCGTCCCGCGCCCTCGCTGTCGCCCTCACTTCCTTTGGCCGCGAAGAGTGTTGGGCCTCCGCCGACCGTTCGCAGCTAGAGTCGACGGGACAGAGACACAAGCACACACGCACACACGCACACACGCACACACACTACTTGCACGCACGTCGGAGCTCATCTCGCCGGACAACGACGAGCAAGCAAGCAAAGCCAACTCAACTTCAACCCTGATTCTTCACCACCACCACCACCACCACGAAGAGCGTCGAGATCTTCTCCTCTTTCCTTTGCTTTTGATTCAAGAAGCTCTTCGAGTGGACGTAGCACGCACGCAGGCACGTACGCACGCACACCTCGTCTTCCTCCCTCTTCTTCCTACCCTACCCTTCGTCTCCCGGTGAAGACTTAGTCCATCATGGTGGGTGGTTGCGGTGGAGCAGATTCAGTGACTCGTATTCGCATGCATGCTCACCCCTGTCGCGCCTCGCCCACAGTGTGGAATCTTTGCCTACATCAACCACCTCGTCGAGAAGGTGCGCCGTCACAACAACACGCGGTCTCACCTACTCGCCTGTCACTGACACCTGCTCACTCCCCCGCCATCGCAGGACCGCCGGCAAGTCGTCGACATCCTCGTCAACGGTCTCGCCCGTCTCGAGTACAGAGGCTACGACAGCGCGGGTATCGCCGTCGATGGCGACGCCGAGAAGGATGTCCTCATCTTCAAGCAAGTGGGCAAAGTCGACGCACTCAGGAAGCACATCGCCGAATCGCCCGTCGATTTCACAAAGACGTACGTCTTTGCGCCCTCAGACGCTGTATGCACCCTCTCCATGCTGAGCTCACTCATCCTCACTCCCTCTGTTGCAACCCCCCGCAGCTTCCTCTCGCAAGTCGGTATGGCTCACACCCGATGGGCTACTCACGGCCAGCCTTCCCCCATCAACTGCCACCCTCACCGCTCTGACCCGCACAACGAGTTCGTCGTCGTCCATAACGGCATCATCACCAACTACCGCGAGCTCAAGCTCGTCCTCGCCAAGCGCGGCTTCACCTTTGAGACGGACACCGACACCGAAGCCGTAGCCAAGCTGTGAGTGCTGCGAGCAGAGGCGCGGTGGCGGTGTAGCCATCGCAACGGACGCTGAATCTTCCTCTTGCCCGCACGTACGCAGCCTCAAGTACCTCTACGACTCGGTCCAAGGACGCAAGCCCGACTTCACCTCCCTCGTCAAGTCGGCCGTCAAGGAGCTCGAGGGCGCCTTCTCCTTCGTCTTCAAGTCGGTCCACTACCCCGGCGAAGTCGTCGTCGCCCGTCGTGGCTCCCCCTTGCTCATCGGTGTCAAGACCGAAAAGAAGCTCAAGGTAGACTTCGTCGACGTCGAATTTGGCGGCGCAGTCGACGAGGCAAGCACCGCTGAGTCGCGAGCTGGTCAGGCGGGCCTCCTCGCCCCTCCCCCTGCTTCGGTCGCTGGCGGTCTCGCTCCCCCCAAGGCGGGCACCAATCTCAACTTGATTCGCTCCCAGTCGAGGGCATTCCTTTCTGAGGACGGCCTGCCTCAGCCCATCGAGTACTTTATCGCATCGGACGCCTCGGCCGTCATTGAGCACACAAAGAGGGTTCTCTACCTCGAGGACGATGACATTGCGCACATCTCAGAGGGAGAGCTCCACATCCACCGCCTGCGTCGCAACGATGGCCTCTCGTCGATTCGTTCGATTGAGACGCTTGAGATGGAGCTGGCAGAGATCATGAAGGGTGCGTGCGCGCGACGCGAGCAAGCCAATCGTGCCCACAAAGACTGACGTTTCCATCCTCCTTCCCTCCGCTCGCCAGGCTCCTTCGACCACTTCATGCAAAAGGAAATCTACGAGCAGCCCGAATCCGTCGTCAACACCATGCGTGGTCGCGTCAACTTCGACACTCGCTCCGTAAAGCTCGGCGGCCTCACTGCTTACCTCAACACCATCCGCCGCTGCCGCCGCATCGTCTTCATCGCCTGCGGTACCTCCTACCACTCGTGCCTGGCCACGCGCGCTATTTTCGAGGAGCTGACCGAGATCCCCACCTCGGTCGAGCTCGCCTCCGACTTCCTGGACCGCCGTACCCCCATCTTCCGTGACGACACCTGCGTCTTTGTGAGCCAGTCGGGCGAGACGGCCGACACGATTTTGGCGATGCGTTACTGCATTGAGAGGGGAGCCCTCTGCTTGGGCGTAGTCAACACCGTAGGCTCCACCATCTCGCGCGAGTCGCACTGCGGTGTCCACATCAACGCCGGCCCGGAGATTGGCGTGGCGTCGACCAAGGCCTACACCTCGCAGTACATCGCCCTGATCATGATGGCCGTCCAGCTCTCCGAGGACCGCATCTCCATGACGGAGCGCCGCAACGCCATCATCGACGGGCTGCACGACCTGCCCGAGCAGATCCGCGCCATCTTGGCTCAGGACAAGGCGCTGCAAGCCCTCGCGTACGGTACGCTCGCCAAGGAGCGCTCTTTGCTCATCATGGGGCGCGGCTACCAGCACGCGACGTGCCTCGAGGGCGCCCTCAAGATCAAGGAGGTCTGCTACATGCACTCCGAGGGTATCCTAGCCGGAGAGCTCAAGCACGGCCCTTTGGCGCTCATCGACGAGAGCATGCCGGTTATCCTGATCATGACAAAAGATTCCCTCTACCCCAAGGTGCAGACCGCCCTCATGCAGGTTACGTCGCGCAAGGGTCAGCCCATCATCATCTGCAACGATGACGATCAGGACATCGCAAAGGAGGCAAAGACGATCCGTGTACCCCGTACGGTGGACTGCCTGCAGGGATTGCTCACCGTCGTGCCCCTCCAGCTCCTCTCGTACCACTTGGCGACGGCGGCGGGCGTTGATGTGGACTTCCCGAGGAACTTGGCAAAGAGTGTGACCGTCGAGTGAGCGGGTCGCGGCGTGGAGGGTGCGGAGTGGAGGGTGGAGAGAGAGAGGGAGGAAATGGACAGCAGGGTATGCGGCGTTGGTGCGCGCGCGCGTGCCTACTTTGATGCTCAGTGTGTGTGCGTCACTCCAAGTTCATGTGTGCGTTACTCCAAGTTCAGTCTTATACAGTGAATTCTCGCGAATCGATTCAAACCCCCATCTTAGTCTGTGCGGGCATGGCGAGCATGGCCTTGGTGATAGATGAGCATGGGCGGCGGCGTGAGCCAGGCGTGAGGAGATGCGCCGAGGCAGACGGTGAGGGCGGAAGGACGGGCGGGGAGGGTGCGACGCGTCGCCGCCACTGAACTCTGGCGTCGAGGAAGCCCTTTCCGTCGCCGCTCTTTGGGCTGACCAACACTCGTCCCTTTCTTTCCCTCTTCTCCATACCACCAGCTGCGCCTTCGTTCCCGCGACCTCCTTCTCGTCCACTACTCGACAGCATTGCGAGCCAAGAACAGCAACTACTCCCACACCCACACCTCACGCTCACACCTCGCTATGGCATCGCAGGGGAGCTCCTCCCACCCTTCCCAGCTGCAACAGGGCTCCAGTGGCGCCGGCGAGGACGATGTTGGTGCAGGCCCGCTCCTCGTCTCCAAACTAGAGGTACGTGCCTTTCTCCACCGCACTGTCTGCCCACATCTCCACCTTCTCGGTGCTGTACTGACCCGGTTCATCGCCGCATATATCCCACCATCTCTCGTCTCGTCTCGTCTCGTCGTTCGCCTCGCCCAGGAATTCGGCATCTCATCCTCCGACTGCAAGAAGTTGGCAGAAGCTGGCTACTACACTATTGAGAGCATCGCATTCACCCCTAAGCGCATATTGTGCACTGTCAAGGGGATCAGTGAGGCCAAGGCGGATAAGATTCTTGCAGAGGGTGAGTGCATACACGCAGCATGCATACAGCCACGCCGACACTCGTGCTGATTCCTCCACGCCACGCTCCCCTCCCCAGCCGGTAAGCTCGTCCCCATGGGCTTCACCACGGCCACCGAGTACCACATGCGTCGCACGGAGCTCATCTCCATCACTACCGGGAGCAAGAACTTGGACAACATCCTCGGTGGGGGCATGGAGACGGGTAGCATTACGGAGCTCTTTGGGGAGTACAGGACGGGAAAGAGTCAGCTTTGTCACACGCTGGCTGTTACGTGCCAGGTGAGGGTGCGAGGACGAAGGAAGGAGGCGCGAATATATGCTGACCCTGCTGCTCTTGCGTCGCGCGTTCAGCTGCCCATCGACATGGGAGGAGGAGAGGGTAAATGCCTCTTCATCGATACGGAGGGTACATTCGTGAGTCCCTCGTCCACTTCTCCACACCACCGTGACTCCCTCACTGAATCTTCCCTCCTTCCCCCACTTCCACGCCCGCTCACGCCCGCACAGCGCCCCGTCCGCCTTCTCGCCGTCGCAGAGCGATACGGCCTCAACGGGGAGGAGGTCCTGGACAACGTGGCCTACGCACGCGCCTACAACGCCGAGCACCAGATGCAGCTCCTCATGCAAGCCTCAGCCATGATGGCCGAATCGCGTTTTGCCCTCCTCATCGTCGACTCCCTCACCTCGCTGTACCGCACCGACTACAATGGTCGCGGCGAACTCTCTGCTCGTCAGTCCCACCTCGCCAAGTACCTCCGAATGCTCATGCGCCTCGCCGACGAGTTTGGCGTAGCCGTCGTTATCACGAATCAGGTGGTGGCGCAGGTGGATGCGGGCGCTTTTGGGGGTGGAGGGGACACGAAGAAGCCCATTGGGGGGAATATTGTGGCGCATGCTAGTACGACGAGGTTGAGCTTCAGGAAGGGGAGGGGCACGCAGAGAATCGTCAAGGTTATCGACTCGCCCTGCTTGCCAGAGGCAGAGGGGGTGTTCAGTATTGGGCCGGAGGGCATCACCGATCCCGTTGATTGACGCGGTAGCGCAGCGCGTCTGATGATGCCGTCGAGATTGGACGTCAAGTAGCCGCCCCCCTTCTCAGCGCTTTTTCCTATCCTCTCCCTTGTTCTTCTCTCTTTCTCTCTTCTCGCTCGCCTCGCCTCGCCTCTTCTCGCCTCTGTACATCATACACCCACACGACACGACACACGCACGCACGCATCGCGCTAGTCCATCCCCCCTTACAATCTTGATTTCTTCTTGTCTTGTCAAAGTCACATTAATTTCCCTCTTCCTACGAGCGACTACGACTACGGCTTCGGCTTCGACTGTTCCTACCTTGCACGCCGCGTGGGTGGGCTGGCCGAAGGGGAATGAGGTGAGGGTGGGGATCGTGAAGGCGAGACATCTCTGCGTCGGCGATGGTCGGTTCGCCTAGATCTGACCTTGCTGGACGGATAGCGATCCGAGTCTTCCTCCTCAGAATCGTCGTTACGGCGTCGACGGTTGCGGTTGCGGTCGCTCTGGTGCTCTCGGATCTCTCTGTCGTCGACTTCTTGCGCTCGCCTAAGAGCCGGGCCATCGTCGTCGTCGTCGTCGTTATAGCGTCGACGCGGCTGGTAACGCTCCTCCCGCGGCGAGCGAGAGCGCGAAGTCGTCCTGCGTCTGCATCTGCGCTCGTCCCTATTCTCCTCCTCAACGCGACGTCGGCGCTCGTACCTATCTCGGTCTTCTCGCTCGTCAACATCGTAGTGCCGCCTGCTCGAGCTCGACGGTCCACCTCCATAGTACCGATCGCGATGATCGTCGTCGCCCCGACGAGGTTCGTCTCCTCGAGGGGGCGGAGGGCCACGCGCTCCCCACCCAGAGTCTTGACTGCGCGCTGTTACGTTGCCCGACTTATCTTTGAACGTCGCATTCCCTCCGCGAGAAGGGCCAGCCTGTTCTCGCGCTGCTCCCCCTCCTCTGCTGCTGGCACCGCCACTCCCACTCTCTGCCTGTCGCTGTGCCCACCTATCCACCCCTCTCTGCCCTGAAGGAGTCGTCACAGGCCCATCCCTCCTCCTCGCCCCACGAATAGCCCCCCCATCCCTCTCCCTCGCCTCCTTCATCTCCCTCTTCTTCCTCTCTACAAACTCCCCCGGAATACCCCCCACACTCTGTTGAGCACTCAACAACAATTCCCACAACTCCCTCACAAACTCCCCCGTCTTGCCCTCCAGGAACCCACTAAGGGAAAGTTGCATCTTTCGCGGATCGAGAGAGGAGGTAGTGGTAGGAGAAGAGGCTGCTTCTTCTAGGAGGGAATATGTGTATTCGACTACAACGTCGTCCTCGAAGTCGAGGAGCTCTGAGACGCGTTGTGAGATCCAGGGACGAAAGACGCTGAGGGATACTTTGGTTAGGTCGACTTTTTGGTTGAAGGAGGAGGGGAAGGGGGATTTGGATTCTAGTCTGCGGGTGCGTGCGTGCGTGCGTCCAGGTGAGGAGAGGGGAAAAGGGTTAGCGGGTGATGCGTGAGGGCGTGGGGGGCGGGGGATCAGGACGTACTGCTTGAGCAATTTGGACTCCTTGTTCCTATAGCGCGGGTCTGATTCGGCGGATATTCCGCGATAGCCTACGTCACCCATTCTTGCCTTGCTTTGCCTTGCCTTGCCTTGCCTTAAAGATGGTATTGGGTGGTAGCGAGTGGAGGAGAGAAGGACAAAATCACCAATCCACGGAAGAGGAGACGAGCCGCGGTCGGGCTTGCGTGGAGTTGGAGCGGCAGCGGATAGAGAAACGCGACGCTGACTAAGCACTGGGTGGTCTGTGCCTGGTCGGTCAGTCGATTTCGACGTGAGACTCTCTCTGCCTCTTTCTGGCCCCTCAACTTCCTCACCCTGTCCCCCCTCTCCGTCCCCTCCGCCCACGATGCCCAACCCGCGCATCGGCCTAGCAGTCTTTCTCCTCTCTCCCCAGGGCTACATCCTACTCGGTAAACGTCGCGGTTCTCACGGATCTGGCAGCTTAGCATTACCCGGTGGTCACCTCGAATGGAACGAATCATGGTCGGGCTGTGCGACTCGCGAGGTAGAGGAGGAGACGGGTCTCTCCCTTTCTCACACGCCGGAGTTTCTTACCGCGGTCAATACTACAGGGATCGATGCTGCGCCAGGTGGGCACGAGGAGGATGGAGGGCTACACTACGTTACCATCTTCATGCTCTCCCCCGTCAACCGATCTCAAGTAGACGAGGTGCGCCTGACCGAACCGACCAAATGCGATGGGTGGAGATGGGTTCCTCTTTCCTACCTCTTTTCCCTCTTCCACGGTCAGGAGGCTCTGGAGCGATTAGCGTCGAGTAGTCGACAGCAAGGTAGCGAGTTGGGGGTTTCGATGGAGAAGCTTTTGATGGCTGAGCGATTGGGTGAGAGGATTGGGAGGGATGCTGGTAGGGAGGAGGTGGGACAGAGTGAGGGGGGAGAGACGGACGTTGTACTCGTTGCTGGAGGGGAGGAGGTGCAGCAGCTGCAGCAGAGACGCGGTAGTTTGGGGCCCCAAGACGACGAGGAGCAGGTGGTTTGGGCACTCGCTGATGATCTATTCAGGGGAGCAGGCCTCTTCAAGCCCATGATGACCGTCTTGCGCGAGAGGGGCGAGCTATTACGCACAATGCTCCGTGCTGCGGAAAGGGATGGAGAAGCGGATCGAAGCAGATCAACAAGCGCCGTCGCCGCAGCAACAGCAGCGTCCCCCCTATCCCCGCATCAACGCTCCGTCCGCCTCGCCCCGAACATCTTCCCCAGCGACGCCACCGACGTAATAAATGCGGCCCTATCCGCCCCTCCTCACCTCAAGCACTCCCTCCTCTTCCACTTCCCCGTCCCCACGCCCCTCATTGCATCCAACATAGTCTCCGTCCTGTCGGTGGACAAACCACTTCGGCCCCGGGACACGCGCATCGTTTACGAAGCCGCGAGGATGGAAGAGCAAGGTGGGGCCCCCTGCGTGAGGGTGAAGGTGGAGACGAGCACTGTGAGGCTATTGAGATTGACGGGGAATGCCGTCTGTGAGGATGTTGCCCTGGTAGTCAGGACTATGCAGGCTTTTCCCGGCAAGGCGAGCGCGGGGTTGCAGCAGAAGTTGAGAGGTACGGCGGGGGTAGGAGAGGAGAAGATTGTGTTCGAGGAGGGGACTGTGGGGACTGTGGAGAGGACGATTGCGTGAGAAGAACGAGGTGCCGGGTGTGGTGGGAGTGGGAGCGATGTTGGATGATGATGCTGATGAATGGTGTATTATACAATGCGAAAGAAACAAAGATGCAAGACGCGCGTTTGGGCGAGCGTATAGCTACGTTTGCGCTGGGTTCCCACTCTTACCGTCACTCTGTGCCAACAGAGTCAACGTCTCTCCCGTGAACCACCTCGGGCTAGGCCAGACCTGTGCGGCACGACGGGTCAGCGCTCTTCTTTCAGCGAACGCACGCCTACTCACCCTCGCCACCACTTTCCCCTTTATACACCCCAAGGGAACAGGACCATAATGTCTCGAATCGGTCGAGTGGCTCAGATTGTCTCCCGTAAGGAAGACGTGACCCACGGGCACAGTGACGTACAGGTCGGGGCCTTTGCGCTGGACTGGGCAGATGAGGAGGGAGGATGGTGAAGGTGATGCAGCTTCTTCTCCTCCTCCTCCTCCTGCTGTTTCACCTTCCTCGCTTGACTGGCCGACAACAGCCTCCGCCTCTGCCTGGGCCTCCGCCTCTGCCTCGGGCTGGGATGCCTCTGCAACCTCGCCCAGCTGTACGCGTGGGTCCATCAACACCCTATCGCCTGGCAAGCCCACTATGCGTTTGCAAACGTATCGCGATGGATTACGAGGGGAGGCGGAGACTACCATATCCCCTATTCTGAGTGGAAGGCCACACGTCGGGTCCTTCTTCGATATCCTCGTCTTCCAAGGCATCCCAGCTCCTGCTCCTGTTCGCTCACTCGCGCGCAGCCCCTCTAGCCATCTCGCAAAGGGTAGTCGCACCTGTAATAGCCAGTCCCCCTGTGGGGAGAGGGTGGGAAGCATAGATGGGCCCTCGCATCCGCGTACTTCGAAGAGATGTGTGGTGATCACGTGGAGGAGGCAGGCGATTTGTAGGCCTCGTACCAGGTAGGGACGAGTGGAGCGCAGACGATGGGACCATGCGGAGGAGGAGGAGGATGCGAAGGATCGTGAGGCCATGCTGCTGTGCGTGCAGTCACGCGAGGATGCTGCTTGAGGGAGGTGAGGCGAGGCGAGGTGAGGTGATGATGCGGAGGAGAGGACGCAAGGCGGACTGAGCTATCATGCAGGCGAGAATCGCCCGTCTTGCCTCGTCTTGTCTCTCTCCGTGCGCCTCCACGAAGGAGCTGCCGGACTTTACGCAACCGACTCGCCTCACACCTCACCTCGCCTCGCCTCCTCACTTCTCACTTCCTCCTCATCCTCATCCCAACATGTCCGCATCCCAACGTCTCTTCCCCCTCTTCGCAGCCAGCGTAGTAGGCGTAGCAACAGGCTACTACATCTTCGACCCTATCCTTCGCCAATACTCACGAGACACTTCAGGTACCTTCCAACCCGAACAGATCAATGGTGGAGCAGGAAGTTCACCCTCTAAACCGGAAGCGGTCCCTAGTTTGACGAGGGGGATCTTGGCTCAGGATGAGGGGCAGAAGAGGGCAGACGAGTTGAGGGCTAAGGCTACGATGAACGCTGCGCAGAGGGCTAGTGAGGCGGCTAAGGAGAGGGCGGAGAAGACGGGCGAGGGGAAGGTGGTGTAGTGTAGGAGAGAGGTGAGTAGAGAAAGTGCGCTGCGGAGGGGGCAGAAATTGACAGACAGACTGCTCACGCTTCTCTCGCAGGTAGCAATCGGATAGGGTGGCTCGCGACGCTCATGCTGCAATTACATATAACCATGCGCCCTCTTGGCCCCCTCGCGCGATGCGCCTCACTCACGGGCGCACTCAATACCTCCTCCCACCAGCCATGGGCATACCCCTCCCGGCTGCCGCTCCCATCGGCCCACCTCTCATCCCCCCCGCAGTCCCCATCCCACCTTGCATCCCGCCTCTCTGCGCTCCCCACCCTCCCCTCTGCGGTGGTCCCCCCATCCCCTGTCCCTGCCCTGGCCCTCCTTGCCCCTGCCCAGGCCCAGGCCCAGGCAAAGTTGCGCCGCGCAGCACATCCATTATCTCCCCAGCAGGCAAACGCGGTCCATCCCAGCTACGCAATGAGGGCAGAATGCTCAGGAAGAAGAGCACCGCGTCTGGCAAGGGGCGCTCCGCTAGCACGTTGGGTGCAGGCGCTCCTGCTGCGGAGGAGGGAGGGATGGGTGGGAGGCCAGGAGCGCCCCCATTGTTGGCTGCAACGGCTCCTCCGGCGCCGAAAGCCGAATTCTGCGGTGGGAGGGGACCACGACGCTGCGGAGGTGGAGGGGCAAGATCCCTCTCGCTGGCACCCGCCCCTGCTCCGCCTCGCATACGCTTGTTTCCCCCCTCACCCACGGCTGGCGAGTTGCCCCTTCGCGACATATCGTCCGCCGGTCGCTTCGTTGCCGCAGCAGCAGACACCGCCGCGGCCGCTGCGGCTGCCTTTGCTGCAATGGCTGCGTCCTTGCTCCCGTTCGTCGTCGTCGCCGCTGCCTCCTCCCCGCCGACAGCGCCCGCCGCCGCCGCAGCGGTAGCTACAGCCCGATCGGCCGCTGTGGCTCCGTACGTGTTGACGATGCCGAGATCGCGCGGCCCAATGACCTCCAAATCCATGTACGTCGACCTGTCCATCAACCTCTTCAACGGCGCCTCATCAGGGAATGCCTCTGCCAGTCGTGCCTCCAACTTCTTGATGCTCGTCGAATCCCCAAAGCTGTACTCGTAGCTAGACCAGCGATCCCAAATCGGGCGTGCGCGCTCCGCCGGTTGAAAGGTGGTGATGGTCCGCTCGAAGAGGGCGCGCGCATTGTTGTCGTCATTGATCGAGATCAAGAAGTCGAGGTAGCGCACCACGAATGCCTCGTCGCTCCCAAAAGTCTTGAGGGCGAGCTCGAAGACCTTTGTAGCCACGCCCGCATCCTTACTGCAGTGGTACTCCATGAGGGCGCTGGCCTCGTAGACTTGCCAGGTGCAGTGTGGCGACTTGCGCGCTTTAGAAAAGACGGCGCGTGTGGGGCGTAGACCCTCTGTGCGGCGGACGTGATGCATCCATTTGATCCAGACGAGAGAGGACTCCTCCTTGAGCGACTCGATGCGCGGCTGCGTGGTGCTGCGGAGGGCTTCCTTCTCTGCGTCGCGGGCCAACTCGCGTTTGCGCTCCTCTTCACGCTCTTCACCTTCGATCTCGTCCGCTTCACCGCCCGCACGACGAGCGGCCAGGGCGGCGGCGCGCACTTCTTGGCCCGCTGTGTCAATCTTGGCTAGCTGCTCGTCCAAGCTGGCGGCGAGGGTCTCGATCCTCTTGTGCACCTGAGCCAGAAGAGCCTCAAAGATGCCCGCGCACTCGCTCGTGGCTCCTCTCGCTTCACCGGACTCGACGAGGGCGAAGCTGAGCAGAAAGCTGCCAGGATTGGCATCCAGTCCGTCTTTGAGCCATTGAGTGGCTTCGTTCGGGTTCGGGGAGTGACTCTCGGCCCACTTGGCCGCCATGTACCAGATTTCGGGGTAGAAGCGCATGTGCATCGTCGCCTTTGCGTACGCGACGCTCACGCGCTTGTTGAGGGCGTCCGTGTCTGTGGCGGCGAGCTCGAGCGGGTCGGACTCCTCCCATTGGAGGTAGGCTTTCCAGCCCTGCAGCCTTTCGCGATCACGCGTGACGTCGGACTCGGCGGGAGAGTCGACGCTGGCTATCCAGGCTGGTAGGCGGGGGAGAAGAGGACGATGTAGTGGGTCAACGAGACCGCGCATCTCGCGCAGGGCGGAGCGAGCCGTCATGTAGGCTGGGGATCGTTCAGCGAGGAACTTCTTGGCTGTCACGCGATTGAGGCCCTGCGGAGATGAGGGGGGCGAGATTGTGTAGTGGTCAGTCACTTGCGCTCTTGTCTGCCTGCGCGCGTCCTCTCAATCGGCTCACATTCTCGAATTGGTCGTACTCCCTCCAGATCTGCTCGACGTTGGCCACAGGAACGCCCACGACGCGCTGGAAGATGCGGCGCATATCGTCCATCTTCTGCCCTTGAAGCCAAGACGTCTTTGCCTCTCTCTCCTTGACGAAGCGTAGGTATTCCATCCAGATGTCCCCGGCATCACGGCTCATCCCCACATGACGCACAGCAAAGTCGTACGCCTCCTCGATCAACTTGCGCACACGGCCATGCTCCCCCTCGTCGTCCCCACTTGCCGTAGCGCTAGGCGCGGGCAAGGGATTGACTCGACGCGTGTAGTTGAGGTAGGCCTTCCAGAGCGAGACGGAAGGTGTCGTCCTCAAGCAACGGGTGAAGAGCTGTTCTACCTCCTTGAAGTTGCCCAGGCTGAGCTCCAAATCGATGAGACTTTGCCACTGCCTGGCGGCATTTGGGTACACCTTGAAGAAGTCCTCGTACGTCTGTCTGACCTGCTCGATGGACTCGCCCTCGGCCAGCCGGGCCTCGCAGTCGGCCAGGAGGGTGAGCCACGCCTCTGAGTCGCGGGGTGAGGCTTCTACTCGAGAGAGAAGATGCGCGCGACGGGCGGCTGGGGTAGAGAGGTCCGCGTTGCTTCCTGAGGCGGAGGCTTCTTGCTGGACCGAGGCGAGGAAATTGTTGACTTGGGACATGGCTTCTTCCCTGTGGGCGGCGGATTGGAGCGGGGCCGTTTGGGGTACTTGATCGTCCTCTGGCTGCTTCTTCTCCTCCTCGGCAGGTGCGGGCGTCGACTCTTCCTGAGGCTCGGACTTGACGGGCGCGGGCGACGAAGCTGCTGCTGCCGCGGCGGCGGCTGCGTGAGCTCTAGCCCGTCGAGGATCTTGAGGGAGCGAAGGCTCAGCCGGCTCAGGCTTGACCGTCGTCGGTGCTGGTGCTGGCGCTGGCGGCGTACTACTTGCGGCAGGATTCTCGTCGACTGGAATCTGCGATGGTCCAGCCTGATCACTCTCATGCTGCTCAGCCTCATCGGCATCTGCGTATTCACCCTTGACTTGACCATCAGCGTCCTGGTGATTGGCATCCATTGCCTCGTCGGCTGCAACACTCGTCGAGGCAGCCATATCTGCGGCTGGCATCTCGTTGATCGATTCCTGAGCCGTCACGGCATCACTGCTGCTGTTCTCGTCGGCCATCGGTGCGCTCACTCGAGGAGATGCGATGCAAAGGGCTCTGCTAGGCTAGGTGAGGAGGCTCTGAGAACACGCAAGGTGAAGGACTACCGCACGCAGTGACAATGTCCAAAGAATGCGCGATTGTGAGTCAGCAAACAAGCTTCGCTCGCACAGAGGGATGCTGGGTGATGTGATGAGTTGGTAGGATGGTAAGGATAGATGGATGGATGCAATGGAACGGGAGCAGCTCGCGGCCTTGACCTGGGATTCTCTCCCTCCCTCCCGCCCGTCTGCCCTCCCACGAGCGCGCAAATCGAAATTGGCTCCACCTCACTTCGACTGAGCCAAGTCGAGACGAGGCGACGTCGACGACGGGAACAACACACACGACTGACTTTGCAGCACGACGGATTGGCTTCCTCCTCTTCTTCTTCTCAACACGCAACGCAGCAGAGCAAATCAAGATGGTCTGGCTCAACGATCAACAAAGTGAGACGGCACACAGCATTGTCGTCTAACATGCCAGCCTATACTGACATCACTCCTCCGCCTCCTCGTCCTCGCCGCACGCAGAAATCGGCGTCGGTCTCGTCTCTTTGGGCTCCCTCTTCCTCATCCTCGGAATCATCCTCTTCTTCGATGCTGCCCTCCTCGCCCTGGGCAACGTCCTCTTCACCTCGGGCATTACCCTCCTCATAGGTCCGCAGAAGACCTTCTACTTCTTTGCTCGCAAGCAGAAGATAAGGGGTACGGTGTGCTTCTTTACGGGAATGGTGCTCGTCTTCTTGAGGTGGACCTTCATTGGGATGTTGGTCGAGGGGTTCGGGTTTTTGAACCTTTTCGGGTGGGTAAAGGAGGGGCATGACTCTGCGGTGGCGATGCAAGCTGACCATCCCCTCTGCGATACGCACATCCCCACTCGTCGCGCTCGCAGCGACTTTTTCCCTGTGATCCTCAACTTTATGCGTCAACTCCCCTTCATCGGATCCTTCCTCAATGCGCCCGGAGTAAGAGAGGTGGGCACCAAGACGCATCGTTCATTTGTCAAGCAGTCTCTGACATCATGCCTCCCTCCTCCTCGCCCGCCCGCACACACAGGTCTGCGACAAGCTGGCAGGCGCACGGACATCGGCGGTATAGAAGGGTAGAGAGCGAATGATGTGGATGGATTGACGCGCATCGACAGCTGGACCAACATTGTACCATAGCGTACCTCTAACCCCCCTTTCGCCCTCCCAATACCATCGCACTTTACCACGCCACGCTCACTGACCAGCCGTGGCCCTTAGCCGGTCCAAGAGGAGCTTCCAACGCTGCCTCACGCTCTGATGGCCGCGGTCTGGCAGACGCTTGCATAGCTCGGGGATCGATTTGCACTCCTCGATGAACTCCTGCAACGGTGCGTTCAGAGGAAAAGGTTGGAACGATGAGGGGATCGGCCACGAGCATACGGTCATTCATCGACTCACCAAGATGACAAGGTCTTCCTCTGAGTAAGGCACAGAGCGGTGAGGTGCGATGCACATTTCAGATCGAAGTCGCTGTCATCAAGCTGCTCGGTGCTCGCTGCTGGCTCTCACAACTCACCACGGGTGAACTTCTGAGGCTTGGTATTCTTCCTTGCCTTCTTCTCCGTCGAGGCTCCGTCCGAGCTGCCTTCTTCCTTTTCGGTCTTGCGCTTCGCTGCTGGCATGTTGGGAAGGGAATGAAGAGGATTGGAGTAGACGTGCAAGATGTCGAAGCCGTATCGCAGCTTTGATTGGATACCGCGCTGCTCATCACCAACGTGGACAGGCCTGCAATTACGTGCCGCCATCGCTCCGCCCTCATCGTGCTGCTAAGATAGCTCGCTCCTGCTCACATCCTATTCGCGCTTGGTCCTCCAGCTCCATTCCCTGCTAGCTACCAGTCGTGATAGTCCACTCAGCACAGTCGATGCCCTTGGTCCTTCCCCCTCTCTCCATGACCGGGCCGAGGACATCGTCACCGTCGCCGTCACCTCCACGTTTGGTGTGATGCGGCCGCTGCGCCACAGCCGGGAAGCAGGCGGAGCTCGTGTTGCGTGCGGGCGGGAGCGTCGACCCGCTCGCGTCGATCCGTGTCTCCTCGCCAGGGTCCGGCCGACGGGCGGGCAGGGCGGCGCTCAGCTGATTTCCTCCTTGGAACCCGCCTCCATCACTAACCATACATCCTCCTTCTCCTCCTCACTACCATGCACCACACGATTCCGTAGCAGCCTTCCTCAATTCTCGCGACTAGTCGTCGTCGTCGCCGTCGTCGTCGCAGCCGCCGCCATTCGCCATGTCATCGCTCCTGTCGCCCTTTAGCAACTTCGGACAACGTCACGCCTACTTCTCTCTGCAGGTGACGGTGCACGAGCTCAGGGATGTGCCCCTCGTGAGCGGGCGCTTTCAGGCCAAGTGGAGACTCAAACATCCTTACAGCTCGACCGGGGGTGCAGCGAGTAGTAATCTTTCCAGGCTGTTGAGGCAGGATGACGACGGGGAGGAGAGTGACAGTGAGGGAGAGGAGGCCGAGGGGCAGCGGGAGGGAGATGATGAAGCAGGTGGAGATGCGCAGCACAGCGAAAAGAGGCAAAGTCGAGATGACAGCAGGTCATCAGTCGATCACGAGTCACACAAACATGGCAAAGGCGTCTTGTCCTCCCTCTTCCATCGCAACAAGGACCATCACGAAACGAGTGGGCGCTCATCAATGAGCTCCTCGCGGGGAGCAGCAGGTCAGGACCCTTCGTCCCCTCAACGTCCCCTCTCGTCCAAGAGCAGCACTTCATCTCTTCGCGGAAAGAGGTCTAGTGACACCCGCCGCACGCATAATGCCAGCGATGATCGCCCCATATTCGACGTCGCATTGGGCCATCACCAAGAGCCCAACGGCCACACGGAGTGGTACAAGATTCAGGACCACGGCGTCAAGTGGGAGCGAGTCATTCATGCTGGCGTGCGCATTCCCATTGAAAAGCCACGAACGGCTTCGGGGAGTCACTCGCATCACCATGCTACGCCGTCGGGCAATAGCAGCCCTGTAGACCAGCCAGATGGTGCAGGCAAAACGCTCCGCAGGCAGTCATCACGCGACGACCTCAGCTCGGCGTGGGGCCAATTGGGCCATTCGGAGCTCAAGGTCATGATACGTCAGGACGTCGTTACAGACTCGCACACCTCGGCCAATCCGCACCAGCTCGGAGTTGTCACGCTCAACCTCGCAGAGCACGCGCCGTGTCCCAGGAACCACGTCGTGCACCATCATCACCACCATCATCCGCATCAAGCAGGAGGAAACCACCACCACCACCATCTGCATCATGTTCACCACAACGCCGCATCGTCCTCCTCGTCCTCATCGCATTGCCTATGTCGCACAGAGACACGGCGCTTCCTCCTCCAAGAGAGCAAGACAAACGCTACGCTCCAGCTCACCATCACACTCGCGCACATCGGTGGCAGCCGAGAATACGTCGTTCCACCTGTTAGGCAAGGCCTCGTCGTCGGCGCCCTCGCGGGTCCCGCGGGCGTGCTCGAGGGAGAAGGCGAAGACACCGCCGGCGGCGGCGACGACAGGAGCAAGTCTGCGGTCAGTCTTCACTCGAGTACCAATCGCTCTCAACGCCACCTCGACCATCACCACCACACATCTGCAGCGCGCAAAGCGACTCGCATCCCTTCGACCAATTTCAAAAAGGGCGTCGACTGCAAAACTTACACTCCTCGCAGCACGTCGGGCGTGCCCGTCTCCCTGGTGGATGCGGGCGCGGTCAGCTCAAAGGGGAAGCGTAGTGCGGGCCAGTTGAATGGGTTGCAGTTCCACTTTTCGGGGGCGGGCAACTGGGAGAGGGACCCGGATGACGTCGTCGAGGCCCTCTTCAAGAATGCCACGTCGAGTACCAAGCAGAGGCAGACGCAGGTGCATGCACACGCGCACACGCAGACGCAGACGGCGGCTGTGTCTAGCAACACCAAGAGCGGCTTACCTCCTACGATAGGGGCGGAGAGACCACGCTGTCTCTTCCGGAGCGCTAGCTCGACGGGCAAGATGGAGCTCACCACGTCGACGGCCACGACAAAGACCTCACAAGGCAAGGAAGCAAGTACCGCCCCCGCGACGCCTCCTGTGAGCCACGCTTCGCCTGCAACAAAGATGCGCTCCTACTTCTCTTCCTCCTCTGGGCACAAGCGCACCCCGAGCGAGGGGACGATCAAGTCCATTGTGGCTGGTGGGTCTAGCAGCTCCCACAGCTCCCCCACGCAGAGTCGTCGCTCCTCCGGTGTACCGGCTGGTGTACTATCCGGCGCAAGCTCTGTAATGACTTCGACGTCGACCAGCAGCAGCAACAGCGGCGGCGCCAAGGGTGGCCGTCTCCCTTCTGGAGGCAGTGATGCGTCTGCCTCCGCGTCGGGCAGCTCAGGTGGGCAGCGCGTCAAGTGGAGCAACGATGAACGTAAAGGGCCGCGAAGAAGTCGTGGCTCGCCACAAGAAGAGGGGAGTGCTGCTCAGCCGTCAACGTCCCCCAAAGTCGACAAGCACGCGCAGGCGCCCTCGCCCACGACTCTGGGCCCTCCTGCGTCCATCTCCGAGTCGCCGCGAGCCATCACCCCGTCCTCATCAGCAGCACACGGCATGCTCTCCCCGAGCGCGAGCACGATCAAAGATGAGCGCACGCCCGTCGCCAACGACCGGACGCCCACGGGCAAGAAGGCGGCCATCAGTCCGGCTAAGCCTGCGAAGTGGAGTGCGAGCAATGCTCACGAAGACAGGCAAGAGGGCGCGGACACGCTCCGCAAGAAGAAGAGTCGAGGCATGATGGGCATTCCACGCGAGCAGGCGGAGTCCCTCGGGTACAGGGGAGCGGGATGGCGATCCAGCTCTTCTTCTTCCGCAGGCACTAAACACGACCAATCAGCGCCAGCAGCTGGAGATTTCTCCCTCGACACCTCCGCCTCGCGTCCCGGCTCACCCGATCTACCCGGCAGCCCAGGCAACCCTGCTCGTCCCTCGAGCCCCTTCGCCTTTGGTCTTGGGCTGATTCGCTCCCGCTCACCGTCACTACAGCGTTTCCCTTCTCCATCGTATCGCGCCTTCTCCCCGCCCGCAGGGGATTGGCGAGAGGAGATGACTCAAAGCCCGCCGCGCGCGCCTGTCGTGTCGATTGATGAAGCAAAGGACGAGGATCAAGATCCAAGCCACGAGCGGGATCAGACAAGTGGCCGAGCGAGCTCGCCCTTCTCGTCACGGCAGGACAATCTTCAACCGTACGTCAAGGCGCGACTGGGCAGGCCGAGGTCCAAGGTTGGGCTGAGGGAGAGTGAGGAGCAAGAGCGCCAGGCCCAGGCTGGGGACGTACTGCGCGATCCTTCCACCTCGGGCTGTCCGGGCCCATCGGTCAAGCAGGGCGAGTTGCCCTGGCCTCTGCCCGTCGATGAGAAGAGGCAGGGGGACCAGGCTACACCGGCGAACGATGCGGCGCGCAGCGGTGGCAGTGGGAAGGGAGAGGAGGTCCCCGCGCTCATCCCCGGCTCGCACGGTGTAACGCACGGCTCGTCCCCCTCTCAGAACCCCAATGCCGCGTTGTTCTCCAACGAGGCCACGCCAGGCAAGGACGATCCGGACGAGACGATTACCGACTCGGCCCCTGTACAACGTCGCAGCCCCCCTTCCCCCGCCCTGCTGGGGCTCGGAGGGAACGTTTGGGCTGACGCTCAGACAGAGCTGGAGTCTCTGCACATCCTGGACCCCTCGACGTCGCAGCCCACCTCCTCATCGACGATGGGCGAGGGTAGTACGACCCCCACCCATCTGGCTGGTCATGCGAGCTCGCTACGTCCCCCGCCGCTGCACACCCTCTACCCACCGGGGACGGCCTTCTCTTCCTCTACGTCGTCGCTCGTCAGTAGCAGGCCTAGTTCGATCCATTCGCCTTTGCCCTCGCAGAGCACGGATTCGGATTTGCAGGCCAGCCAGCCCCGGAGGGCCCGCCAGCAGGAGCAGCATCAGCAGGAGGAACGGCAGCAAGATCAGCAAGACCAGGTGGGCGAGGAGGAGGACGGAGAAAACGGGAGGGCTGCTGCGGCCTTACTGGGGAAGAGGCCGGGAGGGGTGCCTGCGCCGGGAAGCTTTGTGGTTAGGGGGGTCGATGTGAGGGAGGAGGCGATTCAGCGGCAGCACCACCACCAGCAGCAACCTCAGCGGGGACGGGAGGGAGCCGCTGCTGCTGCTGCCTAGTAGAGGTTGAGCGAGGCCGCGCTTCACATCTTGAATCATGCCCTTCTCTTTTTCATCTGCTTGTTCGGAGCGTCCCTTCCCCTCTGGTTAGCAACAGGACCTCATGTAGTCGCAAACACTTTAGATGTCACCTCCTTCACTTCTTCTCGCCCGAGAAACAACGCTTGATCAGACTACTCCTCCCGACTGAGATCGATCAAAGGCAGCAAGATGCTGGCTGTCTCTTGCTCTTGCTCCTGCTACACGTACTCCGCCCTTGAACCTCAGCAAAGACCGAGACAGTGTCTTCCACGTCTAGTCGAATCCCAGTCCGATGGGATCGCTTTCAGTGTGGCGTCGGCCCGGCTGGGACTGACGAGGGGCTGAAAAGGCTAGACTCATTCCTTGAATGCCGTGAGAAGAAATCAAGGAATTTAAGGCTCGTTCGTGCCGACAGGAGACGGGCAGATGTCGATGTCGATGTCAACGTCGGGCTTGATGTCAATCGAGCACGTCAAAAGCTTGAGCTTGAGCTTGCTATGAGGACGACAGATGCTTGCTTGCTCGCTATCGCCAAGCTTCGCTGACTTCTGGTGGCCAGCCTATCTTTCACTTGCAGGGCAGGCCAGTCGACCCTGCCTGCGCAAGGGGGTCTGCGGGTCTGCGGGTCTCCGGATGAATTGAATTGGCGAACGACGACGGGAGTGCCGGCTGTGCTTTGCCTTGCTTTTGCCTTGCTTTGCTTGCCTGCCCTGCCGGCGTCCGGACAAGAATAACGTACGTACGTACGTACGTACGCCGCCGCCGCCGCCGTCGTCTTCGTCGTTTCGACAGAGGCCGAGGTTGGAGTAGATTGAATCGTCCGCACGTCCGACCGTCGGTCCGGGCAGATGACGGCGGCGATGACGGCAAAGGAAGCGGAGAGGACGAAGACGAGGTCGATGTGGCCGTGAGATGACCCAAGATCCCGTAGTGTGGGCTTGCATGCATGCTCACTCACTCACTCACTCACTGGTCTCGCTGCGCTGCTCCTTTCAACGATCTGATCTATCGACTCCATCTCTATCTCCATCCCCACACCCACCAATTTCGCACTCGCACTCGCACCCGCGCGCTCGTCCCAACGCTGAAGCCATTGCTGCCATGCCAACCCAGGCAGGGAGTATCAGCAGCGGCAGCAGCGTCCCGTCGGGTGGTGGTGGCTTCTCTTCCTCGTCCTCGTCCTCGTCATCGGCCACAGCAGCCAACTCCGGCTCTACGTCTCTCCCCGCATCTGCCTCGTCCAACTCCTCATCCGCCTCATTTACTTCGCCATTCGCAGCCTGGCGACAACGCTCCTCGCTGCGTCGCCCTTCCTTCGTGGGCGTCACTGCGGCCACCTCGAGCTTCTTCGGTGGCAGCGCCAGCAGCGGCGCTGGGGCTGAGGAGGGCGCTAGTGGTGGTGGCAACGGCAGCTCGAGCCGGCCGGGGAGCTGGCGTCCTCGAACGCCAAAGAGTGCCACTCATCAGCAGCTCCCTGACGTCGACTCGTCTGCTCAGCAGAGCAGCGTGCACGACGAGGACGTCCCCTCGTCTACGTCCATCGTCCAAGCTCTCGCTGCTGCCGCTGCGGCTGAGAGCCCCGCTCGTAGCAACGATCTCCACCTGCGCAGAGGATCAGAGCCCACGTCGGTTCGTAGCGTTGCGAGTGGGAATAGCACGGCGAGCTCTGGCAGCCATCATGCTCGCGGTAGTGTGGGCAGCAGCGCAATGGGCAGCAGCGACTCTCGCGAAGCGCTACGCCCTGCTCCTCGGCGTATCAAGCGACCTTTTAGCAGTCAAGGGCCTACGACGACGCAGCAACAGCAGCAGCAGCAGCAGCAGCAGCAGCAGCAGCAGGCGAATCCTGGCCCGCTCATGACCGGGTCGATGCCACCTTCCTCGTCTGGGTGGTCCTTTCCATCTCCGCCGACCGCCGCCGCTGCGGGCTTGAGCTCGAGTGGGAGGGCTGGCAAGCTGGTCAATGCTTCGCCCTCCTTGGCTAGCGTGAGCATCGGAGAGGAGAAGGAGGTGGCGCCTCGTTCTAGCGATGCCACAGCATCGTCGTCGTCGTCGCAGTTGTCCCTGTCCTCTTCGAAGCCTGTTCGACCAGCGAGCGTCGTCACTCTTCGTCCTCTCGATGATGCCTCGTCCTTCACAACCGCATCGACGTCTACGCCGCCGGTGATGAGCCCACGACGTCGAGAAGAAGCCCTCGTCGACTCGCCCAGTCATGCTGCGCCGTCCGCCGCGAGAGCAAAGGGAGACGCAGCAGGCGACGACGATGCTGCTGCAGCGTCGCTCGCCGTGCTGCAGGAGGGCGGCGGCGGCGGAGGCGGCGGCGGCAGCAAGGCCCGAGCGTCGACGACGAGGAAAGAGACGCCAACTTCGTCGATTGCTCCTCAGTCTTCTCTCCTCTTTCAACCTACCCTCATCCCATCTCCATCATCGACGGCGAAGAGCGGAGCAGTATCTCCGCCTCCCTCTCCTCTGAGACGCCCTCGTCCTCAATTGCTGCACTCATCATCGTCGAGAGAACAGTCAGTGGACTCACTCTCCCCTCCACCTCGCAGCCCTCTTCGAGCTATCGCTTCGCCCACCTTGTCCACTGCTTCATTCTCCTCCTCCTCATCATCATCGACATCGCGATCGGGGAGAGATTCCAGTCAAGGCCCTACACCGCAATACGCCACGCCAGACCAATCAGAAACGACAACACTCCCAACCTCCCCTCCCTCTTCGTGCACGACATCCCCACTCGCTACACCTCGAGGCCAAGTGAGCAGGCCTCTCCCACCACCTCGCCGCTCACCGCACTCCAGGCAGTCCTCTGTGGGAGTCACGCCATTTGTAGACGCGCCTGAATTGCCCTCACCGCCTGAAGCGCCAAAGTCGGCATTCCTCGACGGGGAAAAGGCGCGAGAGCTCAGACCTCTCTATTTTGAGGCCCGAGCGAGGAGGGAGCATAGCGTGTCTAGCGAGGGGATACCGCTGACGAATTCAGCGGCTGCAGCAGTAGTGACAGCAAGGAAAACGGAGGAAATGTCGCAGCAGCAGTCGCAGTCGCAGTCGCAGTCGCGATCGCAGTCGCGATCGCAGGAATCTCTGCGGGGCAAGGCAGCGGGTGGAGATGAGGGGCGAGTATCAGACGAACAAGTCCGTAGATTGGCTTCGGCGGCCAAAGCGGGGAACGTACCCTCGAAAAGCGCGGCAACGACGGCTACGCCCACCACGTCCACGCCCACGTCCACATCCAATCGGGCAGGAGCATCCACCTCCAAGGCTGTCGCTTCAACATCACCTGCGCTTGCGCCGGTCGCCAGTCGTAATCGCGAACTCAGTAGCAAGGACTCGTTTGGCGCCAATTTGAACAGCTTTGGATCGATGCAGGCCTTATCGAGGGCAGTACCGCCGGCTCAGCAGCAGCAGCAGCAGCAGCAACATGAGGCCGGAAGCAGCACTTCGAAGGTAGCCGACACCCCTCACGTCGCTGCAAGGGACTTCGCAACCACCCCATCGTCCTCCTCTGCGGCTGGCAAGGAGCGCGCAGGCACCGACCTCGAGTCGTTCATATCTCTGGCAACGACATCGTCGGGAAGCGGCCCTGCGACTACCAAACCGGCGCGCCCAACCGCTGCTGGTGCTACCGGCACCTCGCCCCTCACGCAGCAGACGATACCGGAAGTAGAGACGCCCAAGGCATCCATGCCAGAGGTCATGTCGCCTCCCACGATCAGAAGACGGCTGACAGATGAGGACACGCCAGCTTCGCCGCCATCGACGACGCTGACACCAGCCAGGCAGACAGCCTCCTCAGCTACTCCCTCACCGCAGCGGACACTCAAGAATATCCCATCGGGCTCTCGTCTGCGGCAAACAGCCTCGTCCAATCGGCCAGCAGGGGAGAACGGGAATGGCTCACGCAGCCTACGCAAGACGACCTCCTCCGCAGCCGTCAAGGCCAACGGCGGCAACGGCGCTGGCGGCGAAGATTCGGCAGACAGTGCTGGCCAGACCGGCGTAGCGCGGCCCAGCTCTTCGGTCAAGGGCGCGGCCGCCTCCTCCTCGCACCACCACAAGACGACCCTCCCCAAGCTCCCCCACGCGAGCGTCGCTCCTGCTCCCCCGCCCAGCATGTACTGGAGCAAGGCCCCCGTGCACGGCTCGGTACCCAAGCGCTGTTTCCGTGCGCACACAGCCACGCTTGATGGCGAGACGATGTGGTTGTTCGGCGGGTGCGACTCAAAGGGCTGTTTCGGGACAGTGTGGTGCTTCGACGTCGAAACAATGTGCTGGTCCCGCCCCAAGGTCAACGGGGACGTCCCCGCCTCACGACGAGCGCACAGCGCCACCATGGTTGATCAGCGCCTCTACGTTTTTGCAGGCGGGGACGGTCCGCTCTACTTCAGCGACCTCTACGTCTTCGACACCGTTGCGCTGCGTTGGTCCAAGCCTGAGGTGTTCGGCAGATCGCCCACGGCGAGGAGGGCGCATAGTGCCAATCATTGGAATGGGTACATCGTCTTCTTTGGTGGTGGGAACGGAGTGGGTGCGCTCAATGATGTTTGGCTGTTGGATGTGAGGGATCCGAGTAGGTTGGAGTGGAGGGAGATGGAGTGCACGGGGAAGATGCCGATTGGGAGGGGATATCATACGGGGAATGTCGTGGACGACAAGTTGATTGTTATTGGAGGGTCGGATGGGCATATGAGTGAGTGCCAGCGCGTCTACAATACGCAATGCTGGTGCCGGCGGTCGCTGACTCAGTCTCCTCGCACGCTCGTAGGCTTCAACGACATCCACGTCCTCCGCCTCGACACCTCAACCTGGTACCAAATAAAGACGGACGAAGTGCACAACCGTCTTGGCCACACGTCGACGCAAATCGGCTCCTACCTCTTCGTCTTTGGCGGGCACGACTCGCGTTCTTACTCCAACGAGATCCTCACCCTCAACCTCGTCAACCTCCAGTGGGAAGCGCGACGAGTCTGCGGTAAACGCCCCGCTGGTCGAGGCTACCATCAGGCGTGGCTCAAGGACTCACGGCTGTTCGTGCATGGCGGGTTTGATGGGAGGGAGGTCTTTGATGATCTCTTCTTTTTGGATCTGGCAGCTTGCAGCTATTTGCCGCAGATAACGCAGTTTAGCGTTGTGCTGGATGATGAGGACGAGGAGGGGTCAAGGGGAGATGAAGATGGGGCTGAGTATGAGATTGGCGGGGAGGAGGCACGGTCGGAGGCGCGGTCAGAGGGGATGAGGGGTACTTCGGATCAGGGTCATCTCGAGGCGCAAGGTGGCCTGTTCGAGGATGACCCGCTGGAGTGAGCAAGCGAGAAGCGCCTGAGAGACAGCGCTGATTGGACGGTGGTGCGATTCACTTCCTATAATGCCGCGCTCTGTAATGTTATGCCGCTTGGTCACGACGTGATGATATTCTGGTGCCTTGTGCCTCAATTGGCCGAGCCAAGAGACGAAGAAGGCGCCGCACCAAGGTCGAGCCGCGCCAGACGAGGTGAGACCGCGTTCAGGCCTCTTGAATGCATCCCGAATCCAATCACGTCTTGACCTCCTCTCCATCACTTCTCATCTGGGGGAGCAGGCTAGCTAAGCTCAGCTCAGCTCAGCCAGCCATGGCTCACCCCTACCACTATTCCTCTTATCCCTACCCTTCCTATTACGATTACGATTACGATTACGGGCCGTCTGCCGAAGACTACCCGTCCGCCTCCGCCTCCGCCTCGGCCTCTGCCGCTCGCTCAGGCAGATGCGAGCATTGTGGCAAGTACGGGCACGCATCGGAAAAGTGCTGGTTTCTCTCACAGAATGCACATAAGAAGCCGGCTCATTGGCTTCCTCCCCCTCAAGACATGGACACCACCAGCAGCAGCTACGCCTCGACCAGTCGGCGTCCTCCGCCTCGCCCCTCCAACCTACAGGACTCGATGACCGAGCTAAGGGATAGAGTGCATGGCGGTGCGGCTTCATCTTCTTCAACGCACCCAACCCGCAGTCCTCAGGATCGACGATCACCACCACCGCCTCCTCCTCGCGCGCCTTACGCGAGCACATCGTCGTCTTCGGCCAGGCCAGAGCGCGGACCGAATGGCATCGCGGTGGACTCTGGCTGGGGGCGTAGGGCTTCTATCCTGAATGAAGGGGCCAGGTCGCCACGCCAGGCGGAGGTGCTGGACCCGCGACGTCGAGGCGCATCAGTCAGGAGGCCCGCGGAGGAGGGCGAGATCATGTCAGAGGTGTCGTCTTTGAGAAGTGAAGCGCAATCGAGGGATCGCGGTGGACCACCGCACAACGGCGAGAATAGGACCCGCAGAGATCCTCGCCTCGAGGAGCGTCAGAAGCGTCGCGGTAGTGATGAAAGCGCTCGCAAGCATCAAGCTCACACAGGCTCATCCGCCGACTTGCAACAGCATCTACAGGACCAATTTGAAGTCGTAGAGAGGCGCAACGAACACCTTTCCACCATCGTCAATCGGCCTTGGCCACAACAGCCCTACTCTCGAACCCAGCTCGCCTCGACGCTCTTCTCCGCCATTACTCGTCTCGTGCCCCTAGCAGAGGAGCTAGACAGGAAGCAGGTCGAGCTGGATGACGCAGTCCAGTGGGTCGAGCTGAACAAGGACGAAGCAGGAGCACAGGAGACCATCAGTCAGTTCGAGAAGGAGACGCGCGCCGAGCTTCAGAAGGCGGTCGAGGAAGCTCGCTCGGCGATGGAGCCTGTTCAGCGCGAATTCACACAGGCTCTGATGCAGCTGGTCGACTACAAGTGGATGATCGAAGCTGCTCAGCAAAGTTCGGCGAAGAACATCCTTCATATCTGCCAGGAGATGCAGGACGAGTACCGGACCGCCTTCCAGAAGCTGGACCTCGACAGGAAGGCGAGCATTGAGCGGGCGAGCAGAGAGGCGAGTGATCAGCCACGACGCATCTCACCTCGGCCAATCGCAGCAGAGGATGCCCCGCCGGCGGGCGCGGAGGCGTCTACATCAGCAACAGCCACGGCGCCGGCGAGGACGACGACGACCGAAGGCGCCGCGACTGCACCGTCTGCTCGAACAGACGACGCCGTGCGTGCTCTGCGCAATGCGCTCAAGGGAATGCAGCGTCGACTGGATCGCATGGAGGAGGAGACGGACGCCACGAACGAGGAGGCGCATGCTATGCAGGCGGAAATGGTGGACAACGTGGCATGGGAAGCGAGAGAAGCGGTCAAGGCCGAGATCCACGCGATGCGAGAGAGGAAGAGGCGGCGGGTGGAAGTGAGCGAAGGTACCGGCGAGGGTACGCCTGCAACGGCGGCGACGGCAGGGCAGGAAGGCGCGCGCACAGCATCGCCTGCCGCGCCTCGAGAGGATCAAGACGAAACGATGACGCAGGTAGCAAGCACGTCGGCCGTGCCCCCTCCCGCAGAACGCCCGTCGAGCTCCTCACTCACCTCGGCAGCACCCGCCTCAACCAGCATCGACCTCGAAGCCCTCTCCGCCTCTCTTCAACCGCGCATCGACTCCTCCATCGAGACCATCCGCACTGAAATCCTCGAACTCGCCCATCAGAAAGCTAGAGAAGACGCGAGCGCGATCGAGGAGCGCGTCAAATCCGCCTTTAAGGCCGTTGAGCAGGAATTCACCAAAGTCCGAGCTCACACGGAGGAACGCTTCGACTTCCTTGCGGCAGAGATGTTGCGGAAAGACAATGAGTGGAAGGAGCGTTTCGCGAGGTACGAGGCTATGCAGAGTGAGACGAATGAGGGGCTCAAGAGGCTTGCCGGTGGGCATGCGAGTACGAGGCAGTTGCTCATGGGTGCGTGCCCGCAGGAAGGCCTTCAGTTGTTGTCGAGGCTTCTATGGCAAGCTGACCCCTCTCTTCGTCCACGCGCACGCAGCCATGATCCCCACGGTCAACCAAATTGCACTGCCCCAGCGAACAGCATCGACTGGCGCCACCCCGAGCGCCCCACCTCATCCTCAGCCGCGACCGCAGTCTCTGCAGCCTACGCTAACCCTTCGCCCGGGGCAGGGACTTCAGACGTCCCCCTTCATGATGCATCGAGGTAGCGCTCCGGTGTCGAATGGCCGAACGCACAGTGCTGGATCTGCATCGAGTAGTCCGTCCGTGGCTCACTCACAGCCGCGCCAGCAGCAGGCCGCTCTCCAGTATTTCGGTCAACCGCCGATCCATCATCAGCAAGCGCTTCAGCAGCAGCAGCAACAGAACGCGAACCTTCAGATGCAGCCCCAGACCCAGCAGCAGCAGCAACAACAGCAGGCCCAGATGCCGAGCACAGAGTGAGCACGCGAACACGAAGCAAGACTTCCGCCCCTGAGTTCCCCTGGCCAGCACCCGCTCATCCATTCTCCTCATCCTCTCTCCTCTCCTCTCTCTCCACGCGCCTCCTCCGCAGGATCGACCCGCACCTAATCATCTTCAAAATGATGGGCGACTACTTCAAGCACATCCCCCTCTCCTTCTCCGGGTTCTCCGATACGCTGAAAGGCAAGGTGCTCAACTTGGCACAAGAGATTCTGGCTACGGGGGCGGCGAATATCAATCTGGACAGCGATCCGGGGGGTAGGACGCGCTGGGCTTTGACGCGGGCAGCCGAGGCTATCTTGAAAGAGGCGGGGGCGTCGCAGCAACAAGACGAGGCTCAACAGAAGGGTAGCGGCGGGCAGCAGGCGCAGACTCAGACTCAGACTCAGACTCAGACCCAGACTCAGCAGGATCTGTCGCAACAGCATGGAGAGCGCGCAGCGTCCGAACCTTTTCGTACCCCTTCTCCTCCCGGATTCGAGATCACCGCCGTATCAAAGGCAGCGCAGCAAGTGGTTGCTTCAGCAGCGGCGGCGGCTGCTGCTGCCGAGGACGACGCGAATGGCGCTGAAGGCACTACGAAGCGCGGCGAGGGGGATGGCGGCGGCGAGAGCGGAGAGAGCGCACCCCTGCGTAGCAGCTCGCTGACGGCACCAGCAACGACGCATCGAGACGGCACCAACGGCAATGGGGCAAGCGCAATCGCAAGGAGCAAGAGTGAGGACACGACTGCCAGTGCAGCAGCAGCAGCAGCAGCAGCAGCAGCACCCGGGGGTCAGGCCATGCAGAACATGCCGGCTTTGAGTGGTCCACCTCCTAACTCGGCTTCCTAGGGTGAGATCAAAGCCACGTGGCGACCGCAAAGCCACGTGGTCTGTGCGCAAGTTGCACCTCAGCAAGTGAAAGGCCAACTTTCCTCAACTTTGGCACATCTTCGCAAGCCTTTCACAGCGAAGAGGCAGGTTAAGCTGCTGAAGGTGGGTAGAATGCTCATCACATTGAGACAGCTCTGCACCTTCTTTCTTCAGCTGGCCCTTGTTTCGTGATCTTCGATTTCCTTTCCTCCTCAACACCATTTCTCCATTCCTGTGAGACCATTCCAATGTCCAAAGTTCCTGGCCTTGGTGCCAAGCCTGCCTACACTTTGGCTGAATCTGCATTGGTCAGAAATGCCGATTGCCTCCCTCCAACAGTTGGCAGCTCCTCTATGCTGCTGCGAGATTGCCGACCAAGCTGCCACTATCATGTTCCTTGAATGGCCGCCACTCGCAGCCACGGTTTACCATCTTGCTAGCCCGAATGGAAATCCAAACTCCGCCCTTCCGTCCCTCTCCCCCTTTCCGCTCCGCGACGTGCACATCTTCCCTCGGCCCTCTCTCTTCCCGTCCTTCTCCCTCCCTCCTCGTCTTATCTGCCATATCCCCTCCACCCATCCCTCTTCATCGCGATGTCATCAGCGAACGAGCAGTCCACCTCCACCAACCCGGGGAAACGCACCGTCTCCATCGCACTGCTGGTAGCGGACACACCGCCCGAGGACGTCGTCGCGGCAAAGGGGGAGTGAGTTGAGTTGAGTGGTGTGTCGACCAGTAAATCGCCGATGAGGACGTGGCGCTGAATCCACCCACCCACTCCTTGGCCTCTCGCCCCTCTCCCCCGCTCACTCACGCACAGTTACCATCGCATCTACACTTCCTTCCTCACCCGCTCCCTCTCCACCATCCGCCGACACAGATGGCAAGAACGCATCGAGCTCGACGTCCGCCCCTTCGACGTGGTTCACGCCCAGCACTACCCTACAGACGGCCAGCTGGCCGACGGGCTTTGGGACGCCATCCTGATAACGGGCTCGGCCACTTCCGTCTGTGATGCTTCCTCGACTCCTTGGATGGGGAAGCTACTCGACTTTGTACGTCATGTAGCCGAGGATCATCCGCTGGTTCGTATCCTAGGAGTCTGCTGGGGTCATCAGGCCGTTGCGCGTGCCTTTGGCGGGGAGGTGGAGCAGAACGAGGCGGGAGGGTGGGAGTTGGGGGTGTACGATTGTGAGCTTAATGAGGAGGGGGAGGAGGTTTGGGGGTTCACTAAGTGGGATTTGGAGGAGGAGAGGGGTAGTGCCGGTGGGGCGTTGAAGATGGTTGATGAGGAGCAGGATGAGGGTGCGCCCAAGAAGCTGGTGAGTTGCGCGAACGACCCAATGCAGGAGAAGAGTGACGATAATGTGCGTTGCCTGACATTTCCGGCCCCTCCCACCTCCTCTCCTCGCTCGCTCTGCACAGCGCATCCAACAAGTGCACAAGGACCACGTAACCGCCCTGCCCGAGGACCTGAACGGGACTCCCTTCCTCAACCTCTGCTCCACCTCCGCGACGCCGATCCAATCCCTCTGCCTGCGCTACCCTACCGACTCACCCCCCATGCCTTCGGTCGCTCAAACCTCCCAGTTCATCGCCTTCGATACATTCACCCCTCCCACCTCCTCCGGTCCCTCGCCCCCGCGAGGATGCCAGATCCTGACGCTGCAGGGTCACCCGGAGTTTGATAGGGAGATCGTGGAACTCTTGATCAAGGGAAAGGCGACGGCTATGGGTGCTGTGCCGGCAGGGATGGTAGAGGAGGCCCTGCAGCGCGCGGCGAGGGAGGATGATGCGATGAAGATTGGGAGGAGGATTTGGGCTATGCTTGGCGTGGAGGAGGGGAGGGAAGAGGGCGGGGAGTCGATGTGATGGCGTGCGACGACGTAATAGATGGCGATGCATTTACATGGGAGGGCTGGTCAGGATGGTCTCGCCGTCGTTGTTGTCGTCGTCGTCGTAGCTGACAAGACGTGCGCCACCGCCCGACTTGCCTCAACGAGGCGCTGCCTCCGCTCATAGGCATCGTCGCTCGCCCCTCCCTTTGCTCGTAGCGCGGCTATCCGGTCTTGGAGGCTCGTCTGCGCTTCGCTGCCTCCTTCTGTCGCTGATATTGCTACGCCGCCGAGGACGGAGCGAGATAGGCTGGCCAAAGTCTGTGAGAGGGCTGATAGGAGGTGCTCGAGAGCGGCTGTACGCACGATGATCAGCAGATGCCACATCGTACAGCCACGTTGCTATATGCTCACCTTGCGCGTCCGGACTCGCCGTCTCGCACAGCGACCCCTCGACTGCATCATAGAATTGCTCGCCCAGCCTCTCCAACTCATCCAACTCCCTCTGAAAAGTCTCCACATCATCCTGCATACTCCTAGTCTTCTTGACTTGCCCGCGCGCCGCCGCTCCCCCCGTCCTTGCACCACCTGCTCTACGTGCCTGGCTCTGCGGCGTATAATTGCCCATACGCTGCGCCATCGGTGTCAGTCCCGCTGCACCCGCTGCAGCTGGAGAAGAGGCGGAGGCGGAGGCGAAGGGTGTCATCGGCCCACCCTGCGCTGGGTGCGGGGCTGGCTGTTGTTGTTGCGAGGGTGTCAGAGCGGATGAAGAGGTGGAAGCTGTCGGGAGACCCACGAAGGGGGATAGGGCTGACGGTGATGTCTTGGGTAAGGGAGAGCCAGATGTCGTTGCTGCTGCGTTTAGCAGGGCTGCTTGAGATGTGGGCGGCGAGGCCATTCTGATTCAATGAGGCGAAGAATTGGGAGGGAAAGAAGAGAAAGAAGACGTGACGAATCCAAGTTCCTCTCCGCTCTCCCTCCCTACTCTGTCCGTCCACGGAGACGAGGGCCCCGCACGAGCCATGCATTTCGCCCTTTCCTCTTCCACTCGCATCAAGTTGACCTCTCCAACAAAGGAAAGCAATGCCGTCCAAACGACAGGTCATTTCCCCGGGGCAAACACGAGGAGAAGCCCCCCCTCCTTCACCTCAAGGGCGTCGTGCACCGCAAAGTCTCGTCAGCAATCGCATCAAGCTAGCCCTCCTCGCCCTAATCCTCTCGCGCCTCATCCCCTTCCTCTCCTGGGCCACGACTGCGTTCTGGCCTGTGAGCCTTCCTGACTTCTGGGTACCAGACGGATCTACGTGCTCGAACCTAAATGCATCACAAGTCGATGATTCGGTTTACGACGGCAAGCCAACAGGTGGGATAGCCTCGACGAAGCAGGAGTTGAGCTTCTGTGAGGATGCCGAGCACCTCGTTGGTGGATGGGTCTTGTTTAGTTGCGACTTCAATCGCGGGAGGTGGAATACGGTCATGGGTCCACTCGAAGATCCCGAGCCGCGAGGGTCATTGTGGATCTGGGATGCTCGGAACGGCAGCGAAGAAGAAGAAGAAGGGCCGCGTGTGCTATCTTTGTCGGGCTACCCGAAGGAGAGGGACTTCCATCCCTTGGGGACGGCGTACCACGAGGGGAGTGGGCGACTCTTTGTTGTGAATCACGCACGAGATGCAAGTAGTATTGAGGTGTTCGACCTCGTGCATGACAGAGTCAATGGCGCATGGGAAGCGCACTACGTACTTTCCTTGCGGCATCCACTTGCTACGCACACGCCGAACGCCATCGTCGCGCTGGGGGCTACTTCTTTGCTGGTGACCAACGACCATCTCCTCGCAAGACGACCTCCGAGAGACATTGAACAACTCCAGGCTACGTACAGGGCCCTCTCCCCCGACTGGCTCCCCTCCTCCCTTATCGCACCCCTAGCTCGACTAGCCAGCAACCCCCTCGTAGCCAATCTCGCCCCACGCCTGGAAACGATACTTGGCCTAGGAGGCGGATGGGTGGCACAGCTGCGCTTCACCGATGACGAGGCCAGTGCTGCGGAAGCTCGCCTTGTTGCGACGGGTATTCCATTCGCCAACGGCCTCGCCATCAGCCCGGACGGTAGCACACTGGCCGTGGCATCGACCACTACGCCTGGCGTCCGAATGTACGCCTTTACCGCACCACCTTCAGGAGATGGATGGGCCGAACCGCTAGGTCGAAGACGGGGCGTGAGCTACGATGTGGTCTCCACGCCATTCGCGCCGGATAATGTCGCCTTCTCCCGCACCAGTCGTAGTCCCAAGGGCAAAGAGAGTGACAAGACTCCATGGGGAGGGGCCAAGCTAGTAGTGGCAGGCCACGCAAACCCGATTCAGTTGCTCAGCCTCGCGCGAGGGCCCTACGATCTGGATAACGAGGGGAAGAAGCAGAAGAAGGCGTCCAGCTGGGTCGTTGCGATTGATGTCGTTGCTGCGATAGAAGGGGGAGAGAGTGAGCAAGAGGAGGACGATCAAGCGCCCCACCCCGCCTTACGCGCAGGCATGGCACGAGAGCGACTGGTAGCAGTGCATCCCCCTCACTCCAGCTCCCCAACTTCCAGCTGGGAGTATCGCCTCCGCACCCTCTACCAAGGCTCGGCCGGCTCTGCGAACGGGCCAGGGGTTAGGAGCAGCACGACTGGCCTTCTCATCGACGAGGAAGACAATCCGGCAGAGTCGGAGGCGGAGGGGAAGGCGACATTCGTCGTGCCCGGACTGTACGCTCGAGGAGTCATGGTTTGTCACGGTGTGTCGTTGTAGTATGTTCAGTCGTCGAAAGGTAATATGGGATACACGATGGGGTGATAGTGATACATGTGGTGACTCAAGAGAAGTGTGTCGGGAGGCGAGGGGAGGGACAAAGTCGCCTCGTCCAGGCGACTAGCGTATTCGTGGTCTTGCTGTCGTAATGGTCTGCTCGTGTATGCCTCGCCGTGCTGTTCTGTGTCGTCTATTAAGCGCCCGCCCTTAGCTAATCGCCTTCGCATTGCCATTGGTCTTGCTCTTGGCCTTCGAGCCAAGACCCGTGCTTGACGATGTTGCCGCTTTCTTCGATATGGGCAGGAAGCCAAGTTTCTCCTTGTTGGGCGAGATCTTGCGCTTGGTCCTGTGATCCCTGCTGGTACTGCTACTGGTCCCGTCCTGCTCCTCGCCAACAACGGACAGGTCCACATCATCATCCCGTGGCTCCTCCTTGATACGGATCGCGCTGCTCCCACCGCTTGCGCTTTCAGCCTCATCCATGAGGCCCGACACCGCCGACTCGCCATTCTCCTCCGTCTTCACCTTCTCCTCCAACGCCTCAGCCATAGCCCTATCCCTCTGCTCCTGACGCACTCTCTCAGCCCTCCTTCTCCCCTCCTCCCTCGCCTCCAGCTCTGCAGGCGCGAAGAGTCCAAAGCTCAACCTCGCCCCGCCCTCCCGCTCCTTGGTTTCCTCCTTACTCGCGGCAGGTATATACTTGGGATAAGCCACAAAGTCCCTCATGACCGGGTCGGCCAACAAGCTCACCACGCCTCCATCTCCCGGCGCAACCTGCTGGGTAGTTCTGACAATCGAATCCCCCGAAGAGGCTCCACCACGGCTGTGCAGCTTATCGCGCATCATGTTGGTGATGCGCTCCTCAAACGTGCCCACCGCGTAGAGATAGTACACGTCCACTGCCCTCTCCTGACCCTGTCGCCAGGCACGCTTGATCGCCTGTCGCTCTACGCTGGGCGTGCCCTCCGGCTCGACAAAGACGACGCGCGTGGCGCGATACAGATCTAGACCTTTACTGCCTTTGTCTGTCTTGATGAGGAGGATGTCCAGCTCCCCGCTCTTGAACATGGCCACGTACCGGTCCAGTGTAGCCTGCTTCACCCCCGAGGTGAAGATGCGATGCCGGAAACGCGCATCGTTGAGGGATAGGACGTCGAGGCAGGCGGAGATTTCGTAGAGGGAGTTGTCCTGTGAGGAGAAGATGAGGGTCGGGGCGGAGTGGGTGCCCAGCATAGAGATGAGGGCGAGGAGCTTGGTGGAGGAGAGGGAGGTGATGCGGGTGTTGAGGAAGGGGGAGGTGGCGGGGAGGCGCAGCCAGGGCGGAAGAGGGTCCTCCTCATGATCTCCAGTGGACGCCGTAGTAGTCGCGGCTTTGCTGCTCTTGTGCTTGTTATGAAGCACATGATCGTCCAGGGACGAAGCAGCGGCGCTCCCCAACAACCTCAACTTCGCATTGACCTCCATATCCTTCTTGCTCTTGTTGGGCTGCGCATGCACGTGCTTCGCCGAGTACTTCAACGTCTGATCCCCTGAAAAGATATACCCGTCCTTCTCATACTCTTCGCGAATCTTGCGCACCTCCTCCTCCGAAGCTCGGCGGGACTGCTCGTCTGCGATGAACTTGTGGCGCTCTTGTACGCCGCGCGTGATCATCTCCTCCTGGATCAGCTCGTCGAGGTCGTCCAGCGCGGAGTCGCGGTGATCCGTGACCACCTCGCCAAAAGCCTTCTGTGCTCGCAAAACGTCAGAGGCGGCAAGACGATCGCTCCCGGGTACTTGACGCCATGTCCAGGCGTTGACAATCTCCTTGCTCAGCCCCTCGATCTTGTACGCCACGTCAGCGCCCTGCCTCGCCCACTCCCTGTCGTCTACAGCGGCCTGCAGCTGGGCAAGCGCCTCCTCTAGCTCTTTGCTGCCCTTCCACTTCTCATCCTCCAAACGTCTTGAGAGCAGCTGGATGGCGTCGCGAGCTTGGGCCACTCGATCGGGCGGAGCAAAGTGCAAGCAGGCGAGAGAGAGATTGCTGATGATTTGAATGAGCCACTTGCGGTTGGACGGATGGAAAAAGTAATCTTCCCCTTCGCGCTCAGAGAGGGCCGCGTTTGCCGCAATGAGCGCTTGCAGGACGTTGTAGCTTTTGCGCTCTGGCTCTGACAAGTGGACGGGAACATAATGGCGGTGCAAGGGGGGGAGGGGACGATCTTTCGCGACGTCTGCCGGCTGATTGCGCACCATCGTCTTGCACAAGATGGCGAAGAGAAGCTTGATCCCCTCATCGGTTGGTGGGATGTTCTTGTCGGGAAACAGGGGCTTGGAGACGAATTCAGACCAGCGCTGCTTGGCCCAGAAGAGGGGTTCGTGCCCGTATGCTACTAGATCGATGTCGTAGAAGGGTGGAGTGCGTAGAAAGTTGGCGATGAGGCGAAAGAGGCGCTCGTCTATGTCCTTCTTCTCGTCCTTGGTCCAGGGGCGACGGATGATAGCGGCGGGAGGAGGTGACTCGCTGGGTGAGGTGCTGGCTGCTTGCTCGACAGCGGACCAATTCGTGCTGCCCGTGCCTATGAGGGCTTCGGCAGGCGTGCCGGAGACCATCCACCTGCTTTGGAACTGGAGCTGCGTGGTGGCTAGATCAACGAGGCGGGATGAGCCAGACAGCTTGTTGCCCTCGTCGACGACAAGGCGACGCCAACGCAGGCGGGCAAGCTGAGACAAGACGACGTCTGCCTCTTTGGCGAAGCGTTCGAAGCTCATGAGGACGACGTCCCAGTCGGAAGCCAGTAGCTCAGGTGGCGGGATGACGTCTGACTGTCCGACGACAAGGACGCGGAGCGAGAGGATATGCTTGTCGATCTCTCCAGTCCAATGGCTCTGTAGCGTCGCGGGCGTAATGACGAGAGTGGCGCACGAGAGGAAGACTGTCGTAGCTTGAGGCTCTCGAATCGGATTGCGCGAGAATTCGGAGCGTGCCGTGTAAGGGAGGAAGCGCTGGAAGTAAGGACGAGCCTGCCAGAGTTGTCTGAAGAGATGATCGGGCAGCTCTTCCTGCCCCGCCAGCATCGAGGTACCCCTATTGAGGCGAATCCTGCGAATGCACATGTCTCGAAGTGATCGCGAAGTTGCCGACTGGATCTTGATGGTGATGTGGCCTTCAGGCGTGCCGAAGCTGTCCTCGGGTGGTACGTCTGGGATGCTTCCCCTCGTGGCAGATATGAGCGAAAGGCATTCGACGGTCTTGCCCGTCCCCATCTCCTCGGCGAGTATACCTCCTTGCAGTCCATCAGGTGCATACTCGCGCTGAAGCATGACGGCGAGCGTCCTGCGCTGATAAGGATGAAGCGTGGTGCGTAGGTTGGCGAGCGGCTCAGCGCAGTCGACAAGGTTGGCCATGAAGGCGGCGACCGCCGGCGGATATTTACTGAGATTCGCGTCGGGACGAGGAGAGGGAAGAATCTCGTAGAGGTCGGAGAGGCCGTTGACCGAGGCGAGCCTGGCGATATCTTGAGTGCTGAGCGTATCGATGAGCCGAAGAGGCGAGTTCTCGTCGTAGTCTGGGGCTTCCTCATCGCTGCTCTCTTCGTCTTCGTCGCTTGACTCCCACCATTCCTTCTGCGCCTTCTTCTTGACTTTCACCTTCTTCATTGTAGCGTCCGCCGCACCAGCAGCGGACGACGAGGCTGACGCTGCTGGTGGTGCCATGACGAGGGGAGTGAGATGGTTGGCAAAGTGGGAATCGCGGGACTCGCGTCGGAAAGGCGGACTAGCAATTGTGGAGTACCTAAGCGGGCGGCGGCGGCGGCGGCGTGAGAGTGGGGCAGCCACGAGGCAGCCGGCCGCGCCTCGGTCAGCGGTGCATTGACCCACGCTCATGACGCCGAGACCCTCCTTGACTCGCTATCCATCCCTTCCAATCGCCTTCAGACCCTAGCATACACCGTCGTCCTAGACACGCAAAGCCTTTGTAAAAGCATCAGCGACGTTTCGATCGCTACCTCGACCGCTGCTACCATCTGCGCCAGCTGCAGCGAGAGCCCAAAGTAGCGCTCACAGTGACATCGACTGGAGCAGCCAGCCCGCTCACGTGACTGGAGCGACGGTCGAGCGACTTTTCGACTCTTCGACGCCCACCCTCAACTCCTTCTTTCTCTCAACCTCCCACAAGGAGGCGCACCACTCCCAAAGCCAGCTCGCCTCATCTGGCCAGCTGGCTAGCTAGGCGACCAATCATCGAGACAGACATAGACCTTGTTTGTGAGTACCAGCATTTGCATCCCCTGCGAGACGATTAAAAAAGGTTCCACGCTTGACGACTGGCGTCCGATGAAAGCGTATCCATCAAAAAAATATCTGAATCACCTGATCGCACAACGAGACGAGGGGTAGAGGCGTATCATCCCGCGAGATTGACCAGCAGTAGCTGATCACCCACTCTGCGCGCTACCAGCTAGCTGTTCACAGCACTCCTCCAAGCCAATCGCGTCCCGTCCTCCGGCCTAGACCTCAGTGTGAGTATCCAACCCAGCGTCTCGAGTCTTGCTGCACGCTCCACTTCCTACCAAGGATGCTAGAACACATCAAACAAACTAGAGTCTCGCGGCCAATGATTCGCGATAATTTGCATTCTTGTTCCCTGAGGATGAAGAAGGGCGCGCGTAGCGAGGGAGCGAGGGCGTACACCCCGGCCAATCTGATCGATGAACTGACCCCTTGGAGGGCCTCCTCTCGCCCCTCGTAGATACCACTTCTCTCCGTCATGAACGCCCTACGCGCATCAACACGAGGCTCTTCCCTTCTAGACTGCATCGTGAGTGCCCACCGCCTGGATCCCACGCCCCTGCCCGTCGCTCCGGCTCTATTACGAGATGATCATCAACTTTTTAAAGTTGGAATTACCGACTGAGTTGCAAAACGCATATTGGGTGTCGGCCTACGCAGGTTGGCACCCCTGAAGATATCAATTGGCTGTTTACTGATTCCAGAGCCAGAGCGAAGGGCGGGCGATGAGGAGGCGCATCGTTGAGCGTAACGAGAGCCCGTGTGGCTGACCACGATACTCTCGCTCGCTCTCTTTCAGGCCGGTCCATCAATACCTTGCCCTCAATTGCATCGTTCAGCCCTTCAGCCACCACCATCATCAATTGTGAGTACTCCGGCGCAGACCCTCCTCGCTCGCCATCATCGCCGCACCGCTCCGCAATCTCGCACACGCACACATGATGAGCCTCATCAAATTATCACGACGGTCTGCGTAGGGCTAATCACCCATAATGGCGAAGACGCCCGGACTAAGCTCACAAAATTCGGGCATTAATCTGAACGCAATGCGAGAAAAGAAGAAGCTGCTGCGATGCGACGATGGCGGCGAGGCCGGGGAGAGGAGAGGCCCATTAACACTCCAATGGGCAGCAGGCTGACCTCTCGTTCCTCTCTAGCCTCCGACCAGGTCATTGCCGTCACGCCCCTTCCACACAACGCCCCAGTCTCAAGACCACTACTCCACCCTAGGCATCAAAAGAACCGCCACGCCTAAAGAAATCAAGTCTCAATTCTACGCCCTAAGCAAGAAGTACCACCCCGACCTGAACCGCGACGACGAAGGGGCAAAGAAGCGCTTCCAAGAAGTTAGCGAAGCCTGGAACACTCTTGGAAACGAGAAGAGTCGTCGAGATTACGATCGTCAACTCCAAGGCGGAGGAGGAGGAGGGGGCATGGGCAGAAGGGGCACAGCGGGCTACTCGTACGACTCGACGGACAACACGGCCAGACGAGCGCGAGCGAGCTACGCCTGGGAGTACCAGCGTCGTCGTTCTGACTCCAATCGTGCACGAGCGGGGGCTGCGCGACACGACCCTTTCAACACCTCCTCAAGCTCAGCGTCAGCCTCCTCCTTCCACGCCTACGCCGAACGACAACGTAAACGCGAGTCGGCCCTGCATGCCTCGCGCGTAGCCAACGGGTCCCCGGCAGCCTCCTCCGCCGCGGCGGCTGCCGCTGGCGCTGGAGCCTCGGCGGCCTCTGGTGCTTCGTCCACGGCTAGCGCTCCAGGCTTTGAAGCGGCCGCTAGAGAGCATGCGGCGCAGAGTGCTTCGGCACTGGTGCGCTTCTTGCAGGTTGGAGCAGCTTTCGTTGTTGTGTGGGTAGTGGGGAGTGGGTTTGCTGCTAAAGGTAGTGGTAACACGGCGACGAGTAAACGACCTGTGGCTGTGGGAGGGGCGGGGAAGTAGATGTATGATAGAGTGAGTGTGAGTGGTGAGCGGTGGAAGAGTATGGGTAGCTCGTATCATTTTGTATTTGGCTCTACGAGCCGTTGTATCATAGTCAATCAGACGTCAGTCAGCATCATCTTCGCCTGGTGTCCAGCGCTGCTGCTTGAGCTGGACGAGGTCAGACCATGAGCAAGGGAAGAAAGGGTCGACCGTCCAGGTTCGGCTGCGCGCTCCTTGTCGCATCCACGATCAGACGCATCGGCCTTTACGCGGCGAGGAGAAGAGCAAATGAAGCTTTGACATTAGAAGATCTGAAAAATTGGGCAGGACGATCTTGGTGTGACGGGGTGAGAACGGTGGAGGATGGGCGGTAGACAAGATTTGGAGGCGAATGGGCGTGGGGAGGAGGAAAGGACACGAGTTCAGGAGGCGGACAGAGGACAGCGTAAACGATGACATCGGCTTGTAGGAAAAGCCGCCTTTTGTGCGCGGCAATGAGGAGGCTCCCGCTCGTTTGCGTGTGTCGTCTGACAAGGGCGAGCTCTGACAGGCTCAGAGTAGTGGTAGGCGGGAAGAGTGTCGGGTGTCAAGAGGAGGTATCGCGAGGTTGGGTGGTGAGAGGGGGTGGTGACGCCTGGGAAGGACGAATACGCGAGCGTAGTTGGGTTGCCCGACGGGTCCGGGAGAGTTTGAGGATTTGTTAGCCCTCAAGCGAGGCACGTCGATCTATTCAACCGTGTTTCCACTCGTTGAGCCGCAGCTCAATGTCACTCCCGCTTAGCGATTCCAAAGGAGCATCCCCTGGTTGATCGACTGTCCGTAGGGTACAGCGCCTCGGCCATGACGGGGCTGTTGCTGGTGCGGATGAGACTGGCCGCTCTGCTGATGCTGATGCTGCCCGTCACGCGCATCAGGACTGGGAGTAGACTGCTGGTAGCGCTGCTCATCCACACGATGATGCCTATGAGCGTGGCCCTGCGCATCATTGCCTCGCGCAGCGCCAGAGCGGGGAGGGACCAAGAACTGAGACACATGGCTGAGATAGTCGTGGATCCCTCCATCACCCTGCGAGATGGCTCGAGCACGCCCGCCATTCCCAATGCCGCCGGACCTGGTGCTGGAAGCAGGTGAGTGGTAGCTGTCCGAGTAGCCTGCGGGCGGGAGGTACTGCGTCACCGCACTCACGATCGCCTCCGGCGAGGCGGCTTCGATGCTGCTGGCCGTAAAAGGAGAATCCGGCTCGCGATACTGGCAAGAGTACGAGTGAGATCGACGGGGCTGCTCATCAGACTCGCGCGCATGACGGGCTGTCTCCAGGTCACGGAGACGGTGCGACGAGGGCTTGTTGCGAATGGCGTTGGGTGGGGCGCAAAGAGTCGAGCTGTTGCTTGGCGTGGCTGCCAGCCCATGATTGCTCTGAGCATGGCTATGACTCCTAGTCGGCGAAGTCATGGTCGCTGCGCTGGTCGTGTGGGTGCTTACCGCAGATCGGGAGCTCTTGAGAGCGAGTGGCAAAGTCGTAGGCATTTGATGGTGATCACCCGCAGCGACGGCCGCAGCGTATTGGTCATTGCGCAGAGGCTCTGTGTCACTGTGATGCGACTCGCCGAGGCTTCGCTGCGTGTCTCCCATGTTGAGGAACGAAGGAGAGTAGGGGCGCTGCGACGCGAAGATGGAGCATTGCTCGTCAAAGATACGTCCTCCCAGACCAGATTTGCTGAGCCAGTCTTCTTTGTCTCGTTGACCTAGCTGGCGCCCGCGCTCGGCGAGGGTCTGGTGAGGAGTAGCACGGCGGCGCGAGTACTCGTGACTCCCACACCCGCTGCGAAAGGCCGTCATTGAGGCTCCTGAGCTATGGTGGGCATGCTTGGTGCTGGTAGCCGTGTGCTTGAGCTCCTTGCTGTACCCGCGCTCGTGCTTCTGTGGCTCAGACTCCACAGGCGCGCTCTCCTCGTCGTCAGGTGACAAGGGTGGCCAGGCGCTGTTGTTGAGGTCCGGTCCGTCGAAAGAGCGTTCTGGCTTGTGAGTCGATCGCTGCAAGTCGCGAAAAGCGCGGCAGGCCAAGATGCCCGACAGGGTCATAGCCATTGGAGTGCAGATGTAGCCCATGAGCGGGTTGAGTGCCAGGTAGAACAAGGCGAGGCAGACCGTATTGAGTACGGTAGCCACAAAGACGTAGGCCACCGATTGTTGGAAGAGGATCCTACCTATGCCCACGTTCTTGATGGTGCGTAGGCGCCAGGCTGTCAGGATGAATGTGAAAATGTCCACTATTTCGACAAAGAGGTAGGCGAGGTTGTACCTGGGCATGCGAGAGGAGCGATTAGCTGGGCAACAGACGCCTACAATGACTGCGGCGCGCACTCACTCCCACATTGGCCGCGTGAAGAAGGTAAGGCAGAGGTGGCCCGTCCAGGTAGAGTGGATACGAGCAGGACTGCTTAGAAGGAGCGCGGCTTCTGTGGCCCAGAGAGGGACGAGGAGGCATATCACGAAAGCTGCGCACGTAGAGGGAAGTCAGGAGATAGGCATGAGCAAGCATCACTGCTGGTACACACACGCGCATACACTCACCATTCTTTTCCCAAACAGCGATGCATCGAACCACAAACATGAGGCTAGTGGTCATGGTCGACAAGCTGAAAGGGATCAAAAGCGCAATCAAGCTTGCCTCGCAGCGGATCGGCCTCGTCGAGTTGATATTGATCGCCATTGGTATCAGAGCCGCCCAAGTCGAGTATCTGATGATCAAGTACGCTAGCATCCCATGGCGCCACTTGGCCCTGCCGGTGAAGATGGCAATCTCAAACTCGAAGGTGAGCATGTGCTCCCAGAATTGGATGCCGACCAAAGAGTAGACCATGCCCTGATAGATCTGCAGCTCGTAGTTGAGCTCCTCGGACGACGTCCAGTCTTTGGCCCTGGCCGGAGAAGGCATCGCTGCGAGGAGTAGGAAAAGAAAGAGGACGGGGAGAAGGTGCGATGGAGCAAGCATGAAAGACCGGAGGCTTCTGCGCCTCCAGGGAGGGCGACTGGCGCATCGTTCTGGTGTGCTTGTAGCAGCGGTAGAGGTGTACGATCGCCCAGACATGGTGAGGTGGCTGGGTAGCGCCGAGCTGAGTGGTACGGAAGGCAGACGGGAGAGGGTCTGATGTAGCGAGAGGAGGGAGATCGGCGGTAGTGATGACGGTGTACGGGCAAAAGGAAAGATGCTGTTGACATTGCTCCTTGGCTCGTTCGGCGAGAATGCAAAGCGCGACCTCATCAGGTCGCTGTGCCTCGCATCTCTCGCCGCCTCGCTTCGCCCAATCACGCATCCGGCGCGCGGTCTACGGTGGTGTGCGCGGCAAAGTGTGGAAGCAAACGGAGAAAGGGCAGAGTGGCTCGAGCATCCGCCGCTCCTGAACGGATTGGTCGTTCCTGACTGCTGCGACCTCATCACCACGGCTTTGTCATTGGCGAGACCTCAATCACAGTGCGCGGACGAGGGCGAGGGCGCGAAGCTTGTTCCTCCTTTCTCTCGTCTAGGCCACGAGCGAGCAGGCGCCCGTGAGCGCTGATGTTGCGATGCTTCTGCGATCTCTGGAGCCGACAGTCGTTTGCGGTCAAGCCCCGTCATCATTGCGCGCTCGACGAGTATCGACGCTGAGGAGTGAAGCCAATGTCAGGGGCGCGGGAGAATTGCGAGAAGCACCGCAAAGCGATTTGGCTTGACAGTGGGTATCGTGTCGTATTTTATCATCTCTTGTCATCAGGCGGGCAGTCCACCGCACAACTGATTCCGCTACGTCTGCTGCTGAGCTAGACCCATCTCGCGATATGCAGCTGACAGTCCACTATTGACTGCGGCTGCTCCTGTCCCATTCTTTCCCTCTGCTCGACCAGCATTCATCGCAACACTAGGCGAAATAGCCCCCTCCCTGTCTCGTGATGGCGAGCGTCCCATCATTGCACTGCTGACAGAATTTGCCGACCAAGGTGGGGGCGTGGAGCGGGCGAGGTGCTGCATCGAGCCTGCACTCCCAGCCGGTGCCGCTGCGGCCGGCGTCGCTCCCGTCATGACTGCTTGATGTTGCACCCCTGCCCTCGCCGCAGCGGCCTGTTCGAGCTGCTCGGCCCTCTCCTGCCTCAGACGAGCAAAAGCCAGTCGGTGGTAAAGAGGCAAGGCTTGCACCATCTTGAGCCCGACAGATGTGTGCGCCGTCAAGCGGCTAAGCAGGTCACACGCCGCGTTGCGCACCGAGGACGAGGAGTGGTAAAGGCCGAGCGCAAGGGGTGTGAGTCCGCCGCTGTAGGAAGGGAGGTAGGAGAGGCTGTGCGCGGGCAAACAGCGGAAACGCAGTGGTCAGCAAGAGCTCACAGTGCAGTACAGGGGTACGCGGAGGGCACACTCACATCTCAAGAACCTGCCCCTCGCTCCTCACGTTCTTGGACAGCGTCGCGAAGATCAATCCCGCCTCACTGGAATGCATCGGCCTCCCTCTGCCTTTCAATCTCGCAATCTGATGCCACACATCCACCTCGGTGATATTCGTCTCGCCTCTCGCAATCTTGGCGTCAAAGGCAAGCCAAGTCGCGTACCCGGGGGAGGAGCGGAACCCTTCTACCCTGCCCGCGTTGCAAGCCAACTCCCTCGCCTCGCCTTCCCGATCCCCAAAGGCGATCCCGCTTCCCAGCTGACCGTTGAGGTATGGCTGGTGAGGGAAACGCTCGAGCATGGAGGCCATCAATGCCGTCCCACCTGCTCCTCCCTCGACGCTCCCGCTCATCGCGGCTGGTGGATAGAACTGCTCCTCGTGTCTCGTCACCAGCCGCGTGAAATGCAGCGCATACTCCATCACCCTTGCCCTCACGTATTGCTCCGAGTAGCGCGCATTCACTGCTGCAGTGAGGTCCTCCATGAAGAGGTTGTCTGGCGAGTCGTTGCGCCCATCTGGTATGCCGCCCGGTGTGGTAGCGCCCGATGAGGAAGACGCAAACGCCCCAAACTCACTGATGCCCCCACTGATGCTACCCGTCCCGCCCGATCGGTACGTTCGCAGTGAATTCCCGCCGGCTAAGGAGCCTTTGCGTAGGGAGACGCCGCCAATGCTGCTTGACGAGGGCCCATCGGAGGAAATGCCGCCACCGCCTGCGGTGAACAGGCCCGGGTCGATGCTCGAGTCGATAGAGAAGCTCGAGTGGTGCCCGTGCGTCGACGCATCGTTCGAGAGGCCCATGGAGCCGTTGACGCTTCCTATGCCGCCGCCGGTGGTTGCGCCGATCGAACTTGAGCCGGCTCCCTGGCTGTTAAAGGCAGGGAGAGGGGCAGGCTCGATGTGTTTCGAGACGGTAATCTTGCCCGTTTCGATGTTGCAGAGGACATCCCAGCACCTGAGCTCCTCGAAGCGCGGGTTCGTTACCCCAGCCACAAAGCCCTCTGTCTCCTCGAGCGTGTCAAGACTGATCAGGTTGGCGTAGGGATGGACTCGCTCCTTGAACCCCGGAATGACCCCACCGCACCCGCTGCCTAGGGCGGATGCGGCTAGAACGTGTGATGCGACTGTGGCTGCGGGCAGGTTATGCCCGAGGAAGATGACGCGCTTGTAGGTTTGCAGAGCATTGAAGAGAAGGGTGAGCGGATGGGTTTGGCTGCCGTTGCTGTGCAGGTGGGCGTGCAGGGGGCCGGCGGGCGGGTGGGAGGAGAAGGTTTGAAACAGGAGCGAGAGAGAGTACTGAGAGCGGGGCAGGAAGGGTCAGCATCACTGCCGAGAAAGGATCGGCCATGGGGCAACAGGGAAGCTCACCTCTCCAATCTCATCCTCCCACTCATCCAGCGGCCAGCGTATCGGAATGTCGATCTTGCCATACGGGATACTCGTCTCCCAAAGATGCGTATCCTTCGTCCCGCCGCCCCCATCACGCCACGAAAATGGACTCGCTCTTCCCTGCTGAGCAGCATGAGATCGCACGGACACGACAGACGCCTTTCTTCCCATGGCTGGGCGCGAGCCATCTGACGCTATGCTGGCTGACGGCAATGGGAAGCGATCTGCAAACAGGTCCTTCCGGTCGCTACAGCGCAGGATAAGCTTCTGAGAGCGGCTGAAGGTGGGAGCGGAGCTGAGGTCGAGGGAGTTGATTGCCTCGTAGAGCTTAGTGAGGGTTGCTGGACCGGGGCTGTTAAAATACTCGTCGAGCGCGAGCAGGAGGATGGGCTAGCAAGAGCAAGAGATAGGGCTACGGTCAGCAACTTATTGCAACAGATCAATGCTGCATCACCTTCTCACCTTGAATACTCTGAGGCAAGGATGGCGCGACCCAATCGCGATAGCTTTCACCAGCGCGCCTCTCCTGACGCTCGCATCGTGCTTAGTGCGTACCAGATTGAGGACGTACGTGAGAGGAGGATGATTGCGGTCCCCTTGATCTGTCGCTGTCTTGGCCGCTCCCTTCCCCTTGTCGGTCAGAAAGAATGTCGTCCAATCCTCCGACCGAGCATGCGCCCCATCAGGCAACATCAGCTCCGCGAGCGCATGATCGTCGTGCCCCTCTACCAGTGCTGGGCTGGGGTAGACGTGCGCGAGGGTCGAGCCGCGATCGATGTCAAATTCTGCGAGAAGGACGAAAGAGCAATGCTCGCCCACGCTGCCGCCCTCTGAGTTGTTGTGGGCATGACTAGACGTTGACGCCTCCGCCGAAGCCGCGGACGCTGATACGGAGGCTCTCGAGGCTCGCGAGGGGGCGCGACTGGTCCTTGTCTTTGACGGGCCTGCGACCGGCTGCTGCTGCTGCTGCTGCTGCTGCGATGAGGATAGGGACGATGAAGGAGAGGGCTCAGCCTCCATGGTGTCAAAGCGTGGCTGATGGTGATGAGGTAGGAAGTGAAAGATGTCTGTGCTCCTTGTTCCTGCTCCCGTTGTTCCTTGTCTGTCGACCCTGCCTCATCTCGCTCGATCCGCCTCCCGCCCACCCGCCGCCGCCTGCTTGCCTGCCTGCCGCTCGGCTGAATCCGAGTTGAGTGTTGGTTGTGAGATCGAGGAGCCGGGCAGGCAGGCAGGCAGGCGGGCGGGCGACTGGGACCACAGGAGGGAGCAAAGGGCCATTCGCCAGGGCTCCTCGGCACTTCTTCTTTTCATCACCATATCACACAGCCTGCCGATCAGCGTCGTCGACGATATCAACAAACCAGCACAGCATTACCCTCTTCGACAACAAGACTGCTCAATCGAGGGCTGTGATCCTCAGCGCACGCCCGAGTGCGTCATGGGCGACGACGAGGCCATTGCTTGCATTGATTTGAGCCCTTCGTCGCCGTCGCCAACACTCTCGCGCCGAGAGCGAGACCAACACTCAGACGAGCGAGCTCAGTGAGCTCAGCAATCCGCTTGTGTCTCACGTCGACATGGCCACCAGAGCATCAGGATCCGCAGTTGCCACCCCTCGACGTAGAATACTCCAGCAGGCCACTACTCCCTCCTCCTCATCTCCTCCTATCCCCTCCACTTCGCAAGCTCAGCAGCCCATCGAAGACCTGTCCCCGGAAAAGGTCCGTAATGATGCCACCGATGCCTGGTCAGACGACCTCAAGACCCTCTGCAACAATGCAGAGGAGCGCTTCCCGGATATCTCATGGACAACGGCCCCTCCACTCAGCCCGACCTCGAGCCCAAAGGCGGCATCTTCATCAGCAGGGCGAGGAAGCCGGGTCGTCTTTGCGCATCGAGCTATTGTGCTTGCGAGAGCGCCAAAGACTTTCACGGCAAAGTACCTCGAGCTCCCTGCTGCGATTCGAGCGTCTGATGCCGAAAGCTCAGCTTCGCCGTCTGTGAGGCGTAGCAGTACCAGTAGCAGCATCAGCGGCAGTGGCAAGGTGACGGCCCCGACCAAGGCGAGCAGTGCGAGGACTACTGCGCCTCGCAAATCAGCATTGCGGCCTTCTGCTCCGCCAAGACTGCAAGGAACTCCAAGAGGGACTGCTCCCAAGGCATCGTCGTCGTCGTCGTCGATCCGCAAGCCAGCCAAAGCCACGTCCCCGCTATCCTCTCCACCTCTGCTGTCCCTCGCCTCAAGCGTCGACTCCATCCTCTCCACGCCAAGCGCAGCATCGACATCGAGCGAAGCAGGGACTGAGGTGCCGCTGAGCTCGGGCGATTTGGACTTCGGTCTGCTCAAGCGCAGCTTGACTTACATCTACACCTCCGAGACTACGGCCAGCGATGGCGATTTGGCGGATGCGCTGAGGGAAGACGCCCTGCCAATCGATGCATCCGCGCCTGAGCGTCTCGAGCGATTGAGGTCCGACATGTTCTCACTATGGCAAAGTCGCCACCTCGCGGACATCACAATACGAGTCGGCGGCTCTGACTCTAACCCCGAATCATCAGCCGATCGCAGCCCCCGTCCACGCGGTATGACCAACCTCGCCGACCTCCCATCCTCATCTTCATCAGCAATCGCCCTACCCATGGAAGATGCCGGTGACGAGGAAACGGCAGGCGTCTTCTCTGCCCACCGCTTCGTCTTGGCCTCGCGCTCCCCTTACTTTGCAGCCCAGCTGCTGAGCGGCAGCTTCTCCGACTCTACGTCGCGCGAAGTCACTCTCCCGTCCCCACCCTTTACGCCAACAGCCACGTACTTCACGCTGGGATTCCTCTACACGGGAGCCCTCTCCTTCTCACCGCGCACCTTCGACCTCACCACCGCATTCCAGATCTGGCGCGCCTCAGCCTACCTGCAAGTCAAGTCGCTCAGCTCTCTTGTGGGTTCGATGATCTTCAACGACTTTTGCCACAAGTTCGTTTGCGGCGCCAGCACGGCAAGTCCGCCTTGCACGACGTGCGTGAAGCGCGTACCGAGGACCCTGGCCTTCGCCGCGAGTCCAGACGTGGCTGATGCCACTCTTCGCGCTGCGGGATTGAAGGCTGTGGGTGGGCTTCATTTTGGAGCGTATTGGAGCAGGGAGGTGGGGGCAATGGATCCCTCTCTTCGCAGCAAGATTGTGGCCCAGATCAAAGCGCGCCTGAATCGCGAGGCCGGAAGTGTAGTGCCCGTCCTCTCGCAGTTGCTGAGAGTGGAGCGCATGCTCGAGGGAGAGAGGAGCAGTAAATGGACGGACAATCTGCGCGCCATGCTGGAGGCGATAGCGGAGCATGCCAAGCAGGCTCTGCTTGGTAATCTCGAAGAAGTAGTTGCCAGCTCAGAGTGGGATGGGATGATAGAAGGAGTCGGCCTTCTCACAGACGTTCTTGAACGCCTTCTCTCCATCATCACCTCGAGCCTCGCGGAGCGAAACGCTGCGCAGGTTTACTCCGTGCTGGTGGCACAGGTCCTCCTCAAGGGAGAGGAGGGTATGTCTCCCGGTCCGATGCGAGATCAAGTGGAGCTGGCTCGGCAGGACGTGCTAAGCTTTTTGAGAAAGAGATGGGTGAATGTCAGGGCGAATGCCGGATTCAATGGCTTGGAAAAGTGGCTGCTGAAGGAGATTGCGGGCGAGATCGAGGTACCTGCCGAGGAGCTGTTGCTTCCCGAGGACGACAAGGCTACCGATGGAGCAAAAAGTAAGACGGGCCTGAAGGCTTCGCCCACCAATCCTGCGGCGCGGCGAGCAACGGTACCCACAAGCACTCCGTCGCGCCGCCCAGCCGGGGCAGCTTCGCGTCCGGCGGTACGAGCGGACGAGGGTGAGCGCGAAGCAGGGCCTGTCAATCTCAGGGCGGCGGTGCTGAACAGGAATGCGGCCAAGAGCTCGGTCACTCATGGATTTCGGTCTGGCACGACGGCAGCCGCAACCTCTGCCTCAACGAGCTCTCCGTCGAGTAGTACGACAAGGCGGGGCGCGCCGGGTATTGCAGCAAGTAGGGCGACGCCTGCTCGCCCTAGCGCTCCTGCAGCCAGAAGACCGAGCAACGGCCCCACCAGCCCCTCAGCTTCCAGCGGTAGGGCAGCAACTACAACCTCGACACCTTTGACGGCAAGGCAAAGCCGCGGCTCGTCCCCACTCTCCTCTCCGCCGGATCGACCATCACCGCTGCGGAAGTCGTCGCCTGCTGCAAGCGCGCAGTCAATTGATACGTCCACTGTCGGTTTGCAAGGTACTGCTGAGCCTGCAGAGACGCCTGTGCCACGCAATCAGCCTGAGACGCCAGCTGCGGAAGAGGCGGAAGCTGATAAGCCAGATTTCAGCAGCGAAGTTCCGGCAGCACCATCGTTGACTACCCAGCCAGAAGCCGCTGCCAAACCGGCAGAGCCTCTCGCCTCGGACACACCATCAACCACAGCACCTATCCCTGCGCCTTCATCGAACAAACCCGCCCGTCCAGCTTTAGGAAGTCGCGTTGCTGGTCTGGCAGCCCGCTTCTCCGGTCAATCACACACTGCTCCTGGCCAAACGCAGCGTCCCTTTCCGTCCGCGGCGAGTTCGAGCTCTGCTAGACTTCCTGGTAGGTCTAGGTCGAGCTCGCCGATCAAAGACAGCAAAATGAACAGAAGCGAGCATACGGGTACCGTGAAGAGGCCAGCGTCGAGGCCAGCGTCGAGGCCAAGCTCGAGACCAGCCTCGTCGGCCTCAACAGGCGGGGCAGGTGCCGCGTCACGAAGCTCAAGCTCGTCGAGGTCTAGACAAGGGAGCAGAGCAGGATCGCCTGCTGTTCGCGCACCTGCACCCAAAACGCAGGGTAGCAAGTCGGCTGAGCGGAGCGCCGATGCAGTGCCATCAACTAACGATGCGTCCACTAAAGTAAAGCAACCCGCCCTATCCTCCGATGGTCCTACCTCCTCCGCCTCCCTCACAAGCGTGCCCCTTCACCTCACCCCATCAGCCGCTGAGCCCTGGCAGCGAGGAGCCAGTGTGCCTTCATCCTCAGACGCTGCGGCGAGTTCCGCAGCCACAAAAGGACCATCTCACTCCGCTACGCCCTCTCGCGCCGCCTCTGTCGCGAACTTGGCCTCGTTGCGGGCGTCAGTGAGGAGGAGAAACGTTTCGATGATGGGGTCAGCGTCACGGGCAAGCCTGCCGCCGACTGTGGCCGCGAGTAGTGAGGATAAGGAAGAGATGAAGGAGGAGGCCAAAGACCCCGCTCTTCAGGCGGACACCGGAAAGGAGGAGGAAGGAGAGGGGCAGGGAGATGAAAGTGCCGCGCCTGTCGAGAATAAAGGGGACGAGCCCATGTCCCCACCCCAGGTGCTCACGGAGGACGCAGACGAGGAAGGCGCTCATATGCCTAGCCAAGACGGCGAGGAGGCTGGGAAAGAGCAAGTAGCTGCGCCGTCTAGGGACGAGGAGCAAGGTGCACAAGAACCTCCTTCAAGGAGCATCACCCACGATGCAGAGAGTGGCGCGCAACCTGAAGAAGAGGGCGCTTCCTCGATCCCCGACAACGGCGCCTTGGAGGACCTCGCTAGCGAGGCTCCGAATGACGTTCCCATTCCCACCTCGGAGGCAAACGAGTCTGTGGCAGATGCCGCGGTCACCATCGAGGACGAATCAACCGGCACCGCAGAAGCGAATGAGCCGCAGACTGACCCAAATGAAGCGGCGGCGCCGGTGGAACCCCAGGCAGAAGAGACAGTCGAGTCTGACCCAGAGGAAGCTGCACAGCTCGAGCCAGCTGGAGAAGATGGAGTGCCTGCACTGCAAGCCTCACCAGAGATCGGCGATATCCCTGCGGCCCAGCTAGAAGCCTTCGATGCCAATTCGCTCCGCAGCCGGGACAGCAACGAGACGCTCATGGTACCTCAAAGCGAAGGGCATGGCTTTCAGCAGGCAGACGAGCAAGAGCAAGAGCAAGACTCATCCACGTCGTCCTCCGAAATCGCGACCGACCCAAACGACACATCCGCCTCCACGCTCATCGAGGACGCGGCTGACAGCAGCAATGGCTTCAGCAGCCCAGCGAAATGCGTCTCCCTCGCTCCTGGGCCACATACTCCGAAAGCGTTGCGCAAGATGCCATTGCCGGGAGGCAGTGGAGATGACGTTGGAGAGGAGAGCCTCGACCGCACACCGAGGCCGAGCCGACCGGCCAGGCATCATGCTCCTCCGAAGCTAAGTGCCGATGACGACCCAGACGGCTCTGGCGCACCGTCTGCGTCTTCTTCCTCACCTCCGAGCAAAACCACCCGCCCGCCTCTGCGGATCCGCTCTCCCGCCAGCGCAACCGCATACGCCAACCACCTCGCAGCGGCCTTTCCCGCGGCGTGCCTTTCCATTGGCATACCCTGCCTCATCTGGCCCTCTGGCCCGCCTTTCCCGCCTCGTACGAGACTCAGGGCTTTGGTGAAATATATCGGCCCTGTGGAAGGCTATGCGGGGCCTATGGTGGGCGTGGAGGTCCCTATGCCACTGCCGCGGGCCTTGAGGGGGAGATTGGAGGGAGCTTTTGGTGATGGGTGTGCTGGTGGGGTCAGGTATTTCTCTTTGGCTAGGGGAGGGAGTGAGGTGGCCTCAGACGCTGCTTCGCTTGCTCCGAGTAGGACTTCGAGCATTGCATCGCGCGATCCGCACGACCGCTCTGGCGCAAGCACCCCGTCTACTACGCCCTTTCTCCCAGCCCCGCCGACCTTCAGCGACTCCAGCACACGAGCCATCAGTCCGGCTCCTCCATCCGCCGCAACTCAATCGGGCACGTCACGTCTCAGCGAGCACTTGGACATGTTCGCTCGAGCAGAGCGAGAGGCGCGACGGAGGCGTATCGCACGCTTGCATAACAGAGCTGCAGAGGTGCTAGCAGCAAGCGCGGCGAGTGCTTCGCTCTGGTCGGCTTCAGCGCCAGTGAGCCCCGAGCCTGATGACTTCACGATGCAACGAGACGGCCTGCCTCTAGGGAGTTCGTCCTTCTTCGCCAACGGGAGCAACAGAAGCATGAGCCTTGCACCGGGCAGTGGGATTGGCTTTCCGTCGGGCCCTTCCTCTATTCCCTTCGGCGGCCACGGCTACGGCTACAGCAACGGTCACCCAGCCTCCCGCGCGCCACCAGTCGCCCCCATCCCGCGATATGCGCCTGGCGTGCCACTGCGAATAGCGTCGGACAGTCTCGTCCCGACAAAGGCCACCACCACCACAGCCATGCAGCGCAACGCCTCGGCCACTGCCACAGCAGCAAATCTCGCCCCGTTCCCTTCAATGAGCCCGCCATCACCCGTCTCGTCGCTCTCATCGGCATCAACGTCAACCCGCAATGCAGGGCCCGCTTCCTCGGTCGCTTCCGCCTTCCTGAGTGGGTACGGCCTCGCTATCGAGCGCGAGCGGCGTGCCTCTTGGTCACCGGAGCTCGCCCTCGCCATGGCATCACGCAGTAATGCCACCTCCCCGCGCGGTGGGTCTACGACGGGGTTGAGCCCGCCCCACTGGAGGACGAATAGCACTGCCTCATCCACGCGCGCTACTGGCGTGGGACCAGGATCAGGGCTGGCCGCTCGTCGCCTCAGTCGACCAGCGAGCAGGAGTAGCAGGAGAAGTAGACGAAGCTCGATGTTCATGGCCTTTGGGGATGGACATGCCGATGAGGAGGAAGAGGAGGAGGACGAGAGAGACGAGCAAGGGTCACGTCCCGGGCTTGGATTGTTCGTTAGGCCTGATGAGGTCATGTGGGTTTTTGAGGACGAGTAGTGGAGGAGGGAGGGAAACGTTGACACTTGCTTTCATCTTTTTCTACGACGCTACGACGTCGCCATCTTTGTGTTTCCATCATACGACGCGATACCCTGTCATCTCAGTGCTGCAGACTCTTGACGAACAATGATGATGATGATGATGATGAATGATGACATTCTTCGCGTTTGACGTTTTCCTTGGTCAGAAGCCTGAATGACGGAGGAGCTCGATGGTCAGATCTCTCATCTCTTGGCCCCATCGTCGCCCTCTCATTGTACCCACAGCAATTACAATCAAAAGGACAGAGCGGTGTCCCCCCTCCATCGTTATTCAGGCCCAATTCCTCTGCAGAATAGATCCTGTACCCTTCCTCCGTACGTGCCCTTCCATCATCTAGTCCGCGCGAGGATGTGAAGGCAGCCAACTCTGCGTCCTCCTTCGACTTGCCCTTCTTGCTCTTCTTGGCCGGAGGTGGCTTTGTGGTAGCGGACGAGGAGGCGGAGGGGGCAGCAGCTGAGGGGTCGTGGACTACAGCTGGTGGCGGGCGAGCAGCAGTCTTCTTCGCTGATGATGATGATTCTGCGGGAGTCTCATCGAGCTTGTTCTTCTTCTCCTTCTTTTTCTTCTCCTTCTTGTCCGAAGTCTCTGCCGACTTGGACGATGACGCCTTTCCCTCCGGCTCAGACACTTTTGAGTCGTCGGCCTTGCGCTTCTTCGTCTTCGTCTTCACTGGCTGCTTCACTTTTGCAACGCCTTTGGAGCTGCTTCCAGCCTTGTCAAGGCCGAATATTGCGTCGATCTCTGACATGGTGATGAGAATGAAGATGCGGGTGAGGAGCGAAGGCAAAGATGCGTAGTTGTCCTGAACAACTTTTTGCCGTTTCCGCTCGACCGACTGGGCGTCTCCACTCCCGTCCGTCCGCCGTCGACCTCGCGAGCGGCTTGACCTCTGATCCATTTCATCACCCAACCCTCGTCTCGCTGCTCGTCATGGGGAAAAGGAGCGGGAAAGCTCGTCGAGCCATCGAAGATGACGAATTTTCATCCAGCGACGATAGCAGCAGCTCGCGCGAGGCATCCACCTCCAAGCTGGGTGGGAAGCGCGGTCGCCGGACGATGCATGATGAGGCCAACCTTGGAGCCTTCGGGGATGACGACGATCACGAGCGGAGAGGCAGTCGAAGGGCTACTTCCAGCCGTAGTCTACTCAAAAGGCAAGCATTTGTTCCGGCATCGTCTTCGAAACCGATTGCAGAGGAGAACGAGCGACAGGGCGAAAGCAGCGCGTCCGAGTCAGATGGAGAGGATGCTCTGATGAAGGAGGCTCAGCAGACACGAGGGGAGGACGAGCTCGACGACGATGCCGCTTTCAAGCCTGCATCATTCTTTTCATCACGAGCACAGAGGGATCGAATGGATGAGGATGCCGACGACGAGGATGCTTCAGCAGCAAGGCCCGGTATAGGTGGACGAGGCGGTATTGGCAGCAGCAGCTCGACTGCCTCAACTTCAAGGGGAGGCATAGGCTCAAGAGCGCCACCAATGTTTGCTCCAGCATCTTCTTCCAGCTCTACACCATCTTTCGCTCCAGCAGTCTCCTCATACTCATCTGCTCCGTCCTTCCAGCCACCCTCCATCCCCACGCAAGCTCCCTCCTTCACCCCATCAACCCTCCAAGACGCTGGCGTCCCAACTTCCTTCGGCGCCGCTCCCCCCGTCGCTCCCTCGGATGCCTTTAAGCGCACTCCAGCCAAAGGACCATCGAAGCGCTCTTTCCTCATGCCGCCGCAAACAGACATTAAATTCGGCACAGGCTCAGGCGGCGGATTCAACCCTGCGGCCTACCTTGCCTCCATGGGCTGGGATGGTGGCGGGCTGGGAGAGAAGGGGGATGGGATGGTGAAGCCCATCGAGGTGCAGCTTCGCCCAGAACGCGCAGGTATCGCCTTCGGTGGCAGGAGGGAGAAGACGAAGCAAGCTCGCGACGAGGCTAGAAGACGAGGGGAGGAGGTCAGCGAGAGCGAGGATGAGAAGGCTGAGCGAAGGCGGAGAGAGAAGAAAGCGGGGCGAGGTGTTGGGAAGGAGGCCCGCCAACAAGATGCGGCGGATTTGCGCAAGGCTTGGACAAAGGAGCGTAAGCCTCGCAAGCCGAAGGTGGAGCATCGCACCTATGAGGAGATACTGGAGGCTGCAGGTGGGCAGCCGGAGCAGAATGTCGGGCAGATCATCGATGCGCGTAGCAAGGATCTCAAGGAGGTCTCCTCCCTCGCCTCTGCTCTTGCGCACCATCCTGTCCCCACGAGCGATTCGATGCGCCTTCCAGAGCTGCGTCACAATCTCCGGCTCATTGCAGAGAGCAGCAAGAACACACTCGATGGGCTGGCGAAGGAGGGGACGGCAATCCTTGACAAGCGTAGATGGCTCAAGCGCGAGCAGGAGGAGAGCACGCGTCGAAGCACAAAGGCGAGGCAAGAGATTGAGCGGCTGGAGAAGGTGCTTGCGGTAGTCAAGGAAATTGAAGCCATCGGCAAGAAGAGCATGGCGGATGCGTCGGTCGGGCTGGCCGACTTCGACACTGCCGTTGCAGCCATCCAGTCAGCAAGCAAGCATGGAGCGCAGGACATGGGACTCGACGAGGCCGTCGTTGGTGCCATCGCGCCTTGCTTCAAGAGGATCATGGTCGCGTGGCACCCTCTCGAGGACGGGGAGGCTGGGCAGAGTGTGCATTTCCTCACACGATGGCGACGTGCTCTCAACATACCCGCCGAGAGCTCCAGTGATGCTGAGGGCAAGTCGCTTATCGATCGCTCAGCACCCCATCGCCCCAGCACTACCTCAAGCGCGGCAGACGAGATGTCACCGCACGGCTCTCTCCTCTACCACCTCTGGCTTCCCAAAGTCCGCTCAGCGATCAACAATGACTGGAAGCCTCACCATCCTACCGCCGTCGTTGCCCTTCTGACAGCATGGCGTCCACTCCTCCCGCGGTACATCTGGGACAACGTTGCAGACCAAGTCCTTCTGCCTAAACTGCAGCGCGCCGTCAGCGACTGGGAGCCGAAGGCGGCCAAGGCTTCGTTGCACCATATTATCTTCCCATGGCTACCCTTACTCGGAGGGGAAGACGGTGGTCGATTGGACGAGGTGATGGGCGAGGCACGCAGGCGATTACGCGTGGCAATCAAAGCCTGGCAACCCGGCGCCCTCGCTGAGGCCGACGAAGCGCTTCGTCGTGAGCTCAGCCTGTGGCGCGAATTCTTTCCCACCCACCAGGACTTCGACTCTCTCCTCCTCACCGCGCTACTCCCAAAGCTTTCCTCCCATCTCTCCTCTACGCTCAGCATTAACCCGTCCGCGCAAGATCTCGCGCCACTGCAGCGTGTGCTGGCCTTCAAGTCCCTGCTACGCAGCAAGATGCTCGCCCGCCTCCTCGAGGCCGAGTTCGTGCCGAAATGGCTGGACACCCTCTGGCTCTGGCTCCGTCAGCCTGGAGTGGACATGGGCGAGGTGGCGCAGTGGTATTCTTGGTGGAAGGCGTACCTAAGCGAGGAGCAAGGCCTGCCAATTGGGGATGATGCGAGCGGGGGCAGGGCGGAGGCGTACAAGGGAGTAAAAGCAGGGCTTGTACAGGGCATTGCACTGATCTCAACGGCGCTCGAGATGGAGGAAGGAGAGAGGGGCCAGAAACTTGCCAAGCCAGAGTTCAAGCCGAGGCGCAATGAGGGCAAGAGCGCGAAGCCCACGGCGACGACAAAGCAAGCACGGCCCGCTGCGGCCTCCTTGCGCGAGGAGGACGACGACTCCTCGTCCGCTTTCCGTCGCATCGTTGAATCCCGCCTCTCTGCGTCCGACGTACTCTGCTTCCCCCTCGGGCGGGCACATGAGCGGACCGGCCGCCCCTTGCTCAAAGCGAGCGCGACTGCGACCACTGGTGTGGGAAGCGGAGGTGTCACTTTCTACCTCGACGACGATGTTGTTTGGGCTGAGGAGCGTGTGGAGGGGAGGAAGGAGTACGTGCCCGTTGGTGTGGATGAGCTCATTGCGCGGGCAAAGAAGAGTGACGGGCCGGCGGGAAGGACTAGGAGGTGAGCCGCAGCCGCAGACACGCGAACAAGGCTGGGTGCAATGCCATTTGCTGCCAATCTTCGCCGCGGCGTGAGAACGGCAAAACGCTCGGACCGCTCGGCCGGCACGCGTCTTCTCGGCTGAGGGACGCTACTCCAAAGTACTTCTAGGCGTAGTGAACGCCAAGGCCGCTGCCGCAATATCAGGCCGCCACGGCTTCGCGGCGAGCGGATGTGTGATGCGTTCGAAGCTGTTGATTGCAATGGCTACTCTTGTCGAACGAATGAGAATGATCCCATCCTTCCTCTCTTTTCCTCACATCGCAACTTCAAACGACAATGGCTCAAGAGGATCGCATTGAATCTGGTGACGCAAGCTCGATCACGCTCCCCGCAATCACCCAGCCCCAGGTCACGAAAGAGACCCAAAGTTCAGAGACACAGACGCCAATTGGCGAGAGGTCAAACGAGAAGGGCGTCGCAGACAAGATCAAGGGATCAGACCAGGTGAAGGTCACCACGGAGGAATACGACGAGTTGAGCGGCAACAATGAGACCGTCTTTGATGCCGCGGGTGAGCCGATTGTTGTCACCGGTCAGTAGCACACTTCGGCGCCGTACAATCGTTTGTTGCTGACGGCGTTGACACTTGTTCGCAGGCTACGACGTCTCTCGCTACATCGTCTCAACTCGTGATGACGGCGATCCTCCCCTCACTTTTCGTTGCATCGTACTGGGTTCCTTGTTCTCTCTACTCGCCAGCACAATTCATGTGAGCTCGGGGACACGCTGCCTGTCTCAGTCGCCGAGCTCACCCTTTGATTCTCGCGACCTTCCAGATGATCTACACCTTCAAGCCCGCCCAAGCAGGCGTCAGTGGCCTCTTCCTTCAGATTGTAGTCTGGATCTTTGGCCAGGCATGGGCCCGCTTCACCCCTTCGCCAGAGCGTTTCAAGTCCGCCACGGTGCAGCGTGTCCTGCGTTTCCTCAATAGCGGTCAGCCATTCCTGATCAAGGAGCATGTCATTGCGGCTCTCATCTCGGGAGCGAGCAGCAATGCTCAGGCTGGCATTGAGATCTTTGCCGTCGAGCGACTCTACTACAACAAGAATACGGACGTGAGTCGGCGAATCGTGGATCGCCCAATTGCTGGAGCATGACTGACGCCATTGCCATGTCTCGCCGCCGCAGGTCCTCACCGCCCTCCTGGGCACCTTCTCCGTCACTACCATTGGCTTCGTCCTCGCCGGCTTTATGCGTCCTCTCATCGTCTACCCCAGCGAGATGGTCTTTTGGGGCACGTTGCCGCAGGTGGTGCTCTACCAGAACCTGCATCACGACATGAAGAACAATCGAGAGCGCGTCATCAAGTTCACACGCTGGTTCTCTCTCGCCTTTCTGTGGGAAGTGGTGCCCGCGTGGATCGCGCCCATGGCGAGTGGCTTGTCAGTCTTCTGCTTGGCCTCACTAAGGGCGCCAAAAGACACTCAGCAGGTGATGACGAATGTCTTTGGTGGGGCGGGGAGTAATGAGGGCCTGGGCTTGGGCAACATCAGCCTGGACTGGCAGTACATGTGAGCAGCGAGGACGAGCCATACTCTCAGCAAATATCCACGCTGACATCGTCTGGCCCACGCGCGCGTGCAGCCAATCCGGCTTCCTATCGCTCCCCTTCAAGCAGCAAGCCAACTCCTGGATTGGCCTCGCCATCGGCTTCATCGTTATGCCCGCCCTCTACTACGGCAACGCCTGGGGCGCCAAGTCTCTTCCTTTCATGTCCACTGACCTCTTCACGCAAGACGGCCGCCACTTCAAGCTGCTCAGCGTGATCGGCGATGATTTCAAGGTCGACCGAGCCAAACTAGCCGAGGTAGGCCTCCCCCGAATGACCGCCACCACGCTTTGGGGCTTCTTCACGCAGAACTGCGCAATTGGCGCCCTCATCACGCACGTCCTCCTCTTCTACGGCTCCTCCGTCATCAAGACGCTCAAGCACACGCGCGCAGGCACGCTGCAAGACCCACACTACCAGGCGATGCGCAAGTACAAGGAGGTTCCCTTCTGGTGGTACGGGCTGGTCTTCTCCCTGTCCATTCTCGCCGGTGTGATCGTCAATGCCAAAGGAACGACGACCCTCCCCGTGTGGGGCCTCTTTGTTGCCCTAGCCCTCGGATTCTTCATCGCCCCGTTCTCTGCCATCTTGCTCGGCCTCTTCGGCAACAGCGTTGCCACAAACGGCCTCAGCAAAATGGTCGCCGGCATAGTACATCCTGCCTCGCCCCTCGCCAACCTGTGGTTTGCCGCTTTTAGTCACCAAATCGTGGTCCTCGGCCTGAATCTGTCCAATTGGCTCAAGATAGGGCAGTACACCAAGGTGCCGCATCGCGTCCTTTTCCTCGCGCAGATGTACGCGAGCCTGCTTGGGGCCTTCTTCAGTTACGTGATCATGGCTACAATTGTGAGCAGAGAGAAGCCGTTGCTACTGAACGCCAATCAGGGCGACCACACGTGGAGTGCAGCCCATATTGGCGGGGTGAATACTGCGTCAATCACGTGGGCGATGGCGAGGGATGTATACTCTTTGAAGGGTCCCTACGGCATAGTGCCGCTCGGGTTGTTGATCGGTGCGGGGGCCCCTTTGCTTCACTTCTTTGTTATGAAAGCCCTGAAGCGATTCAAGGAGAGGAAGGGACGCAACCAAGGTGTCCACAACCGGAACGCCGTCTCGCCGTCGCGCTTCCCCATCGCCGCGCCCATCATCATCGCATACTCGGGCGCCTACCACTCCGGCATCACCAGCCAGATGATGTCGACGATCCTTGTTGGCGTATTGAGCCAGTACGTGATGCGCACCCGCAGGGCCAGGTGGTTCAACCGCTGGAATTACTTGCTAGGCGCAGCGCTGGACGGTGGATCAGAGACCATGATCTTTGTCCTGAGCTTTGCCGTCTTGGGAGCGGGAGGCAAGGCGGTGCGCTTTCCCAGGTGGTTCGGCAATCTGGACCAGGACAAGGATGGGCAATATCCTGATCATTGCACTGTCTTCTGATCGCGTCGAGCCAGAGCGAGATGAATGAAGGTGGCTGCACATTCTTGTTCTTCTTCCTTCGGTCCGAAAATCGCGAGACGGGTCTACATTGCGTGCACATCGCCTGGTACGGATGAAGAGGCAACGTGATCCAAAGTACTCCGCACTCTCACCTGTGACCCTTGACTGCCTTCCTCCAAGTACCTGCACCCTGTTGAAAAGTTTCATTCAACTCTCAACTTCTCTCCACACAGCTTGAGCCATCTCAACATGCCCGCCTTCTTCGTCCTGCTCCTCATCTTGACCACTTGCGCCGCAGCACAGGTCGACATCCAGGCTGGCAAGAAATCTGGCCGTCTGCCGGACTCAAATCCTATCCCCTTGGCCAACTGCTGGGACACGACCGACTGCACGGGCTTGGTACAGGAGTTCTCTGGCCCCATTGGCTCGACGCACAACATCACTCTGAATCTATGCGTGCGTCCAATGAGCGAGGTGCCTTTCGGCTGAACAACTGATGATCTCTTCGACGCCACGTAGGTGTCGATCAAGCCTGCTTCCCGCTCATTGATTGGTCAAGCATGCACCGATCTTGACTGCGCTGGCCACTGCAAGAACATTACGATGGAGACTTGCACGGTGGTGCCGACTGGACATGAATATTTTCATAGCGTGTGCAAGTGAGAGCGGAGGGGCGGCTACCAGTGCCGCCTTGCGTCTCGTTTCCTTAGCCTACAGTACAGTGATATTATCGTGGGCATTGCCGACAGCTGGTCTGGCGCGAGCCTTTGCCCAATCCAAACCTTCTCTACTCTCTGTCGCCTCGTTCGATTTAGCAGGTCCATCGGGGACACGTTGCCTCGCTGACCACTGTCCATGGAGCATGACCGTGGGCGGCCAATCATGGGCCAGGGTTGAGCGGGCCGGATTCAAAGCGTTTGTGTCCGATCTGTACGGTGTACTGGCGGTACCAACGGCGTGCTCAACCAGCAGCGTCCAACTGACTGTCTTGTCCCTTCTCCTTCCTCACCAAATTTGAACGACCGCCCTGATCCTTCTCGTATGAGTCGAGCACAACAGTGAGACATAATGGTCGGCGGCCTGAACATGCTCATCCAGAAACGCTTACAGTCTGCCTCTAGCATCGCAAAGCAGCATCCCCAATCATGCGCGCCACCAGCCTCGCTGCCACCATTTTGCTCCTCGTCGCCATCACCACAGGCGTATCAGGGAAGCTTTGCTGCTCTTCGCACATGCAGAGGAAGTGCAGTTCTCGCGAATTCTGCAATGCCGATGAGGAAGAGGTGAAGGGTTCGTGCTGCTACGGCGATAAGACTTGCTACTGTAATGGTGGATGAAAGCTGAGAGTTAGGTGGGCGGGAATCTTTCCTAAGTGGCGTGAATGTCGATGGAGAGGAGGAAGGGAGAGAAGAGGGCTTGAGCTTAGAGGTGAAAAGCCACCTGGAGTGTGATACCCCGTCCACCCGCGCGAGGGAGGAGCGAGCGGTCAACAAGCGTAGTCACAACACCGAAGATTTCGACAGGCATCATCTTGCAATCTTCTCGACAAAAGAACTCCATAGCCCTTCGGCTGAAAGTCAATGCTCATACGTGCTCTCACTGTACCCTCTCGAGAATGGGCGGAGAGTGTCCGAATTGTGTTGGAAGAATCAGACAGGTAAGTGCCGAAGACGAAAGCCACGAATCTTGTGAAAAGGTCGTGGACGACTTGATAGCCAGGCGACATCGTGAGAAAGCTGAGATGGATGAGCGTTACCCTGCCGCCTCACCCAACGGTCCCCTCCCACTTGCGGAAGAGACTGTCGATCCTCGCTTTGATCGACGTGGGGGGTCGCTGCCCCTCCAGCACCTCATCGAGAGCCTTCATGTTGCGCTGCTTGTAGTACCAAGCCTGGCATCGAGCGCGGGAGTGGTGGTTCAGCGGTGATCTGACTGGCCGTGGAGTAGCGAGACTCTCACAATGATCTTCAGGTCTTCCTCTGACCTCGGCAGAGGCGAGACGCGTCAGTCAGCGCACAAATTCACTCCGGGGCAGCGAGTTCACTTCCCCTTGGTGAACGCCTTACCAGGTCCCGTCTTCCCAGCCTGCTTGATATCTTTGATGATTTTCTTGTCCTGATCCTCCTCCTTCTTGGCCTCCTTACTGGAGCTGGTGCTGGGCTTGCTCTCGTCATCAGAGCTGAGGGACGAGGCAGCGCTTCGCTTTTGGGCGGGCTTGCGAGGTGGCATGGCTGGAGATAGCTCGTGGGTGTGGTTTGGAAAGGGAGTACAGCAACGTACGTCGTGAGGCTGATCACCAAGGGCCAGGTTGCCAACCAGAGCTCTTCAGAATTAATCAACTGCCGTGCACGACCCGTGAGGACGATAAGCACGCGGCTGCTGATGAGGTAGTGTTCACACTCGCAGGCAAAAGCGCAGAACAGATTGCGAAGCCAGTCAACTCGCATGTGCAAGCGTGCCTGCCTGTTCAAGAAAACAGCGAGAGTGCTCATGTGATGCAGCGATCCATTTGCTAGCAAAGCACTCAGCGTTCAACCACATCTTGCGCGTCTGCCCACGTCACATTGGCCCCACGCCCGCCTCCACCACCCGCTCAACCGCCTCAATCCTGCACGTAGGGCAAGCCCGACTCCTAGTCCTAAACCACGTCCGCGCACACGGCTCCTCGTGGAACACATGCAGACACTGAAGCACAACAGCCATCTGTCCCTCCTTGAACTGGCTCATGCAAACCGCACAGCGTTCCACCCTCAAGCCTAGGCAGGCTAGCTTGCTCTTCGTTTTGCCCTCTCGCGTGACACGGCGCGACTCGAGGTACACCGGGCCTACGGGCAGGGATGCCATCTCGTGAGGCGTGAGGATGCCTCCACGAGAGGCTTCGGCAGGGCCCAGGAATTCTTGGAGCGCGGCAAGCTCGTCGAAGTGGGAGCCATCAAGGTCGAGGCGCGAGGCGAGAACATCCAGATCGGTTATGCCTAGCGAAGGTTGGCGACGTGGTGGGGAGCGGGAGGGGGAGGGCGAAGAGGCGTCGTCATCTTCCGTGTTGGCGGGGCCAGAGATGTTGGAAGCTGACTGAGGCGGAGGCATCGTAGACGAGGGCGCGGAGCTGTCTTGACGGAGTCTGAAGCTATTGCTGTCAGTGCTACCCTGGCGCAGTGTAGATGACCTGCCTGCGGGTGAAGTGATAGCCTCAGAGGGCTCCGCGTTCACAGGAGGCTGGCTCGCGAGCGCCTCGCGCCCTTGTCCATTGCTTCTGGCCGGCATCGTTGGCGGCGTAGGCAAAGGCCTCCTGCCGGTATGCGGCGGCACGACGATGATGTCCGGCGGGCTGGCTACGGCTGCCGATTCGGTGGAGCTCGTGCGGCGCGCTTCTTGCCTTGGCTCAGCCAAAACGAGCGGCACAGCAGGCCTTGGTGGCAGCTGAGGTGGGCTGGCTCCGGGCATTTGAGAAACTCCTGATGCCATAGAAGGCGGAGGTGGCGGTGGACGTCGCACGGTCGTAGGCGGAGAGATCCTGTTAGGCAATGGAGGAGTTGCTCTGCGCTGCGGAACCTCCTGACCACCGTTCAATCGCTGCGCTGCCGAAGCAGAAGAGGCAGGCGGCGCCGTGGTCGACGCGGTGCTTGCGACTCGCTGTCGCGGAGGAACAGGAGGTGGGGCACGTCGTACTGCTCCGGAGCGGGAGATGGTGGATGCCAATGGTCGAGTGGGCGATGCTGGGGCATCCACCGTGGCGGGCGAAGACGCTGCACCAGCGCCCTCCTGCTGCGCGCCGCCCGTCTCCTGACCAGCCTCAAACCTCGCCCTCAGCGCTGAGATCCGACTCCCGGGTACGGGCGGTCGCGCGCGTGACCCAGGTGCTGCGCCTGTGGATGAACCGCCGTCACTCGAGATAGTCGGCGCACGGCTGGGCGGGAAGTGCCTCGTTGCGTCCGTGATCTGCGGTAAGCGGGACTGGCGGGGTAGGGGGGCGTAGGAGCTCTGCCTATTTGTAAAGGGTAGCGAAGGGTCGACTGGCTGCTGCTGTTGTGGGCGAAGAGAGCCGGAGAGGAGGCGCTCGAGTGCGGCGAGGGAATTGTGTCCTCCCTGCACACCGCCTTGAATTCGTGCGATATCCAGGAGGGCCTCGCGGCGGAGCTGTTGCTCATCTGGGAGCCCGGTGCCGACTGAGACCTTGCGTGGCGGTGCTGGCGCTGGCGGACTTGTGACGGGAATAGACTCGCCGGAGGTCTGGCGACTCTTCGAGCTTCGCATCGATGCTCGATCGCTGGCCACCGCCACCTCAGGTCCATCAATGCTACGCGTGCTCTTCTGGCTCGACCTCCTCGTCGGAGCTTGCTGCTGCGTCGACGACCCAGGCATGGGCGCGTCAAACAACCCTTTCAGTCGATCATTTACCTCAGCCCGCCTCATAGGCTGCGGTGCACCAGGCATTCGCCCTTGCCACAAGCTGCCGCTGGACCCGCTAGCCTTGAGCGACGGCTGACTACCCATCGACGTAAGCGTCGCCGTCCTCTTCACCGGCTCCATCCCGCCTTCCTCCTCTCCGCTGAACGAAGCACTGCTCGAGCTGTCCGGCTCGAACTCGCCAGCCGGCGCGGTGTACGAGCCAGGCAGATTGGGGTCGGACGCGGCATGACGGGATTGCTGCGCAAAGAGAGCGGCGTCGGCAGGCGGTCGGACAGGCTGCTTGCCTTTACTGCTAGAAGCCGTCGGGGCAGGCGCCAAAGAGCTGTCCAAGCTTCGCCTCACGGCAGCTAGGTCCGCCGCAGCGCTCGGAGCGGAGGCTATATCTTGTGTGCTCCACCTTTCGTTGACATGTCGCTGTACTTCACCATCGTCCGGGCTCAAGCTATCGTCCGACTCAGATGCTGCCTCGCCTTCGTCTGCGGATGAGTCTGACTCAGAGGCGTCGTAGGCCAGCCCGGCACCACGACTACGGCCCAGAGCAAGTGGGGGCGGCGCTTTAGGCAGTGACTCGCGCATGATCTGTCCTGGCGAGCGTGCCATCTGCGGAGGAGCCATCGCCTCGTCCTCGGATCCAGACTCGTCGGCCACGGTAGTCGTGCGCTCAGCTGCTGCGCGCATGGCTTCGAAGGCCTTTTGCTCTGCTTCCCACGCTCCTGCAGAGTCTGATGAAGCATCTGAGGCTGAGTCATCATTGTCGTCTGGTCGAACCATCGAGGACGATGAGGCGCCTTCCGATGTAGACGTCGTCGCGCGCTCCATCTGCACCCTGTGAGCCTCCATTTCCTCTCGAGTTCTTGGAGGAGGCGCAAGCGGTACATGCAAGCCGGCGGGAGAGGCGGCAACACCCCACGCTAGCCTTCTGCGCTCTGCTGCTGCTGAAGCATCGTCCCTGAAACGTGAGTGAGATTCTGAGCTTGGCCGTGGGCGAATAGCAGTTGCTTTGCCGCGAGGAATGGGAGATGCGCGCTGATCTGATGTCGAGCGGCTGTGTGACTTGCGGGCTCCTCCCGTTCGGGTCACCTGCAGCGAAGGCACGCTGAGGGCGCCATTGGTAAAGCTACTTCGGTCTGGCTGCCGAGATGAAGCGGCAGCGCGGGGGGCCGCGCCAGGCGCAGCGCTCGATGATGGAACCACGACAGGGGCTGCATGGGGCAGTTCTGGTGTTGCCACAGCTTCGACGACAGCTGAAACCTCCTCCTCTAGGTCAACCTGCGACGACGTTGGTTCTGCGAGTTGGGCTTCCGTAGCCGGCAACGGCTGGTCGATGGCAGCAGCCTCTTGCGTGGGACTGAGCGCCTGGTCTTGTGCCTCCATTTGAGCTCTCTCCACCTCGGCTCGCTGCGCAGCCTCCTGTCTCGCCTCTTGTTCCAGCATCTCTCTCACAGCCACTTCATTTGCTCTCTCCTCCCTCCATCTCTGCTCTGCCATACCCTCCTTCCGTCTTCTGCGCAGCTCCAGACGATGTAGCCGCTCCTCAAAGCTGAGCCCTCGTTGAGCATCAAGCTCCCACGCTCTTTGCTCCTCGTCTGTCACCTGCTGTACCTCCTCACCCGCTGATGACTCGCTCGCCTCGGAGGGAGAAGCTGGTCGTGTTCCGTCCACCTGTACCACCTCTGCAGCTGCGCCCTCTTCTTCTTCTTCCTCTCCCTCGCTCACGAAAGCTGGCGGCGGGCTATCCGGCACTCTCCGCCTGTAGTCCACCCATCTCCTTTCGTCCTCCTCAGTCCACGGCGTCTGCTCTTCACCTCCTTCCACATCTGGAGGTGGTGGAGCTCGCGGCGGGGTCTCTGGTCTGCGACTACCTTGTGGAAAGGGAGGAGGAGGAGTCGAGTCCGACTGCCGCCTCGAAGGGCTGGAAGGGCCCGCCTCATCGCCGTCCTCGTCGGAGTAGTCTGAGCTAGACTCTACGCCTGGCAGGCCAAGATGCGCGATCTCGTGATAGATGTTGTGCCGCCTGAGAGAGGCGCGAGGTGCTAGCTGAGTGGGGACGGATTGGGTTGCAGTGATGGGTGCGGCGGCCGGGTCTTGCACGACGTGCTCCTGAGGTAGAACGGCAGGACCGCTACTGCTGCGGCTCATGCGCGGGCGTGTTGCAGCTTCGCTGAGTCGAGAAGAGGAAGTGATTGGATCTGCAGCTTCGGCTGCTACCACTGCCGCCTGCTCCTGTTGGGCGTTGGAGAGCTGCCGTTGTCTCCTCCGAGGGGAGATGCTTCGCGACGAGGCTGCGGAGGGAGGGCGAGGCTCTGCGCCTCCTGACATAGCGACAGGCTCTGTGCGAAGACCTCTTCTTGCCACCTTCCTGGCTCGTCTCTCTCTTTCGCGCTCCTGCGCCTGTCGTCGCAGCATATTGTCTGGGGCAGTGAGCGTCATGCGGCCGAGATGAGCCTCTGCCGATAGCAGGTGCGGAGCGAGGGGTGCATCGGGTCGATTCAAGGAGGAAGATGAGACTGATACGCCCGGGAGGCCATATAGCGGAGAGCGAGAAGATGAGGAGGATGCTAGAGCAGCTGCAGCTCGATTTGGACTGGAGAGGAGGGCAGCGGATGAGGAAGGTGAGAGGCCAGGACGCTCTGTCCCGCGAGGGCGGCGGCTCCCTTCGCCGTTTGCTCGCCTCGGCATAGTTGTGTGCTAAGGATGATGGCGAGATTGCGATACTGATTAGATCAGAGCTGAGTGCAATGGCCTGCTACCATTTTCCACCACGGGTTCGGGATGCCGGCAGAGGAGGTCGAAGACGATTGGGAAAGGAAAGGAGGCGGGACAATCGACTCGCATCGCGTGGAGGTCACTCGACTCAAGTCCAGGTCTCATGCAGCCGACCGCCTCGCCTCGCCTCTCGACAACACCACGCGCCAACAGTGATCAAGGTAGACAACGAGCATTGATTGGAACACACGCAATGGCTTCGTCGGCAGGAACTATAACACTTCATAGCTCCAGGCGCTCGCTTCACACGCATACGCTGTGGAAGGAGGACCCATTGTTGGGCACCGGGGAACAAGCCGTCGCCGAGAGGTCGACGCATTTGCCCGAGCAGCCGAAGCCAACGCAGGCCTTGTTGATCTTTGAGCCAGCGGCTGCCTTGATGGACGACTGCGAGGGACATGGTGAGGTGCAACGAGGTCAAGGTCAGCTCTCGCTTGCTAGATGGAAGCCGCGTCAGCTCTCGACTCACGCAGGTGTTGCCTTGTATGTTGGTCGTAGACAAAGTCGGTCCATTGACGGCCTGACCTAAACCACCGCAGTTGAGTGTGTACCAGCAGGTGGCCAAGCGGACGTTGGCACGAGCCTCAACAGATTGCATAACGGCTTTATCGTCGGCAGCCCCGTGAGTCGGCGTAAGAAGGGCCAAGCCTGTAACGGCGGCAAGCGTGGCGAGTTTGTTGAAGAGCATTGCTGGAGAATCGGTGCAGGTGCAGGTGCAGATGCAGGTCTTTGGTCTTGAGGTGGTAAGGTAGGCGGGGAAAAGAGAGGAGAAATTGCCTTACGTAGCCTGCAATGTCCCTCCGGAGGCTCGACGTAACGAACCTAAAGGGCAAGGGTATCGCGTTTCTTGAGTGCAACGAGCGGTACGGTATGACGGTGCTCATCTCCGGCCGCCGCCTTCCTTCATTGCGCTGTGTCGGTCACGGGTCGTCTGCTCCGGCTCGCACGCTCCAGGTCTCGCCTCTCACTGGCTCATCTCCCCCACCTCGCTCCCCTGGTGCCCTCGATCTGGCTGCTCACACCTAATCAAACCATCCTCCGATGCCCCGTCCTCTTACCACGACCATCGCGACCATCATGCCTCAACCCACGACGAAGCGCAAGCGCGGCTCCTCCTCGTCCTCGCCGGACGATCCCAGCTATCAGCAGGACGCGGGCTCGTCTTTCTCTAGTGACGGAGGTTCTGGCACCAAGCGGCGCAAGCAAGTCAAGGCTGAGAAGACGGAGAAAGATGTCAAGAAAGGTAGCGGTCAGGCAAGGGCGACAAGTCGGCCATTCACTCGCGGTGAGCTGTAGAGTCAAGTCGCCATACGAAAGGGCGTCGCTGACTGTCTCGTCGTGTCTGGCCGACAGAGGAAGATCTCAAGATCATTGTGCGTACCTCTACCCACTCCTGATCGCCTACGCTCTACTGACCTTCTCCTACGCTCTTCGACCGCTCGCTCGCATGCAGGCCTACCTGAAAGAACAAGTCGACTACACCCACCTTCGAAAGGTTGTACTGGAGGACAAGCGGTCGAAAACCTCTGTGCGTGCGCGTTATCTCATGCTCATCAAGGTGTGGGAGAATGCCCTGCCCTGAGCGCGGGAGGTGTTGGTCGATAGTAGAGACTGCCAATGAGGGCAGGGGCCAATGCGGGGAAGGGTATGAATTGGATGATTGAATGGTGATACATGTGCGCGCGTGTGCTGCTTTATAGCAGCTTGAAAGTGCAGCACGGTGCTGTAGCGGCTCCTTGATACGATGCTCTTGCTGTGCTCCTCTCTCTACAATGCTAATTGCCTGAGTCTACCTTACTTCCACGCCCCTGGCCCTCCAAGTGCACGGTCAAGGAAGAGCGCCAGCCTCGTGTCGACGTCCAAGGCAGCCGTAGCGTCTCCAAGCTTGAGAAGTGTACTGGGTGCCCGCACCGCGTACTTCAACTTTCGGTGCGCTACAGGAGGGAGAGGAGGCGGTGAAAGTGGTCCCCTTTCTGGCCTTCCCTGCTTCCCATTGTACTCGCGCTCCCTCTGTCGCGACCCTTGGGCAGTCTTTCGCCTTCGCTCGACCTCCACTGGCACTTCCCTCTCGATGTGCTCGAGAAAATGCTTGTGCGGTTCCTTCGCAACGGACGCCACCTCTTTGACCATCGAGCCAGACTCTTCATCAACGAAACGATACTGACCCAACCAGCGCTTCTTCTCCTCTCTGCTTGGCCTGGGTGGAGCGTCCGCAGGGGCCCAACCGTATAGCTCGGTGACGGCGTCGTGCATCTCTGAGCGAAACGTCATCGTCTTGCCGCCATCCATACGATGGGTCCACACGTCATGAGCTTCGCGCGGCCAACCTCCCTGTTCATCTTCCTTCCTGTGCGTGGAAGAACTGCCGTGACTCTCGGCGCCATTCTCCCTTTCCCTGCGCAGCAGCTGCTCCTGCAGAATCTTTGGTGGCAAGTCCCATGCAAATTCAAGCCGTTTCAAACCTCCAACGCCCAAGTCCCGTAGAGCCTGCGCCTCCTCTGAGTCTTCATCATGGACTGAGATGGCGACATTGCTGCCGTTGTTACCTGTGCTACCGTGTCGGCCTGCGCCCCACGTAGGAGCTGCGTGGCGCGGGCCGGAGTAGGTGGAGGTAGAGGTGCTAGAGGTATGACTCTCTTCCTTGCCATCCGCCGCTATTGCATCTGAACCGCATCTGATCCGGTCGGCAAAGACGATTTCCCGCAGAAAAGGGGCGAGACGACGAGCGACGATCTCGGTGGGTTGGAATGCAAAGCGGCGTGTGTCGTACCGAACTATGGGCGAAGGTATCACCGAAGGGTCAACTGAGGCTCTTCATGCAGCCGCAGATACGCTGTCAGCACTCACTATGCGAAACGATTGGCACGCCAACACGCCGGTACATGCCGTGCACGTCTGGATGTGGCTCCCATTGGTGCTCCCATCCAAGAGACGCATTGCTTCCGGCGCGTCGGGCTTCGACGATGTCTGCTGGAAACGCAAGGCCTGCCTCTTTCGACGCGGAGTCGGTGCCGATGATGTGCACTCTCTTCAGCTCTCTGCGGCAGACCCATTGGCGAAGAACTTGTTCGTAAGTAGTCTTGGTATCCACGCGCTCTTCTTCGTCGCCGGAGTCCGAGTCCGAGTCGTAGCTGAGGCTCGTGTACTCTGCAGCGGCATCGATGACGATGGTGACTTCACAAGGCATGAGGAGCAGAGGGAAGCTGTCCAACGAGCAATGGTAGGCTGATTCGGCTGCGCCCAGTGTGAGCGTGCGAAGATCGAAATGGACGCGAAGTGGTCCACCGTCCGGACCCTTGGAGAGGGTGTCGGTGTCCATAGAATCCTCATGGGCGGATATGTAGAGAGCCCAAGCGTCGAGAAAGTGACGCCATTCATGGCTATCGAAATCTCTCATCTCTATGAAGAGATTGTCGACTGTTTTGAGGACGAAGTCAGGCTTCGAAAGGAGCCTCTTCGGTCCGAGGTAGTTCAGCATCTCTCTGACCTCTGTGGGCAGCCGTTCCTCTGCTTCCGGTTTGCCATTTCGCTCGTCACTGTCTCGAGGCGATGAGGGATAGTGTGCAAGAGTAACAAAGAAGCGCTTTGCAGCGGCCATGGAGCGGAGCACGACGGTCGTCCACCTACTTTCCGCGGTCATGTTGCAGACCTCACGTGAGACAAGAGCAAGGCTAACCGCCGTTGCCTTATCCTGCAAGGCTGCCAGATCGAAGATGATCTCGAGGATTTCCTTAGGCAGACGAGGCGTCGCCGCGGCGAGCGTCTCGCCCTCCATCGTGATGTGCGAAGGAAAGCGGGGTCGGAGAAGAGATGTGAGGTAAGGTAGGAAGGAAAGGGAAGAAGGCAAGCGATACGCCGAGTCCGGGTGGCTTGTGCGGAGGCGGCGGAGAACGCGAGTTGCTTGGCTAGCGCGATTCTCGAGGAGTGTCACGGCCAACGAAAGGGTCGGAGGATCACAAGCACGTCGTCTGGTAGATTCGACAGATAGGTATTGATCAAAAGACTCTTGAGTATATAGAGCGAGGATGAAGATCGAAAAGTGCGACCGTCACTTGGCCCTGTCCCTTTCACTCCTGATGCTCGCCTTCACGCCCACGCGCCTGGTCCTCCACGCGCTTGATCAAGGAAGAGCGCCAGCCTCGTCTCAGGCTCAAAGGCAGCAGTCGTTTTACCTAGCTTAAGCAACGTGCTCGGAGCTCTTGCAGCAAAGGCTAGCTTGCGTTGCTGAACAGGTGGCTTCGGTGGCGGCGTGGGAGGCCCCTTCTCGGGCTGGCCCATACCCTCGTGGTAGCTGCGTTGCGACTCACGGTACGACTTCAGCCTGGCGCGGTCGCTTTTGATCTGGTCGACGACCTCGGTCTCGATTTGCCTCAGGCGCTGCATGTGCGAGCTCTTGCGAAGTGAAATAAGATTCTTCACTATGGATCCCGCTTCTGGCGGAGCGAAGCGATACTGACCGAGCCAGCTGGCTTGCTCCTCCTTTGTGGGCTTATAAGGGGCGCCTGCTGGAGCTCAGCCGTATAGCTCGGTAACAGCATCCACGAGCTCAGAGCGGAATCGGTCTTGTCCGCCTTTGCTCTCGTCACCGAGCTTCGCGCCACGCTGGTCATTTGACTTCCGACGCTTGGGAGGGCTAGCCTGGTCCTCTTTGCCGTGCTGGCCGTCACTATTGCTGTTGGAGCGACGCTCTCCGAGAGTCTTGCCGGGTAGATTCCAGGCTAATTGAAGTCGTTTGAAGTCTCCTACAGTGCTGTTCTGAAGGACTTTTGCCTCCTCTGACTCCCCGTCCTCCAAGACTGACACGAACTTACGGCCGATTGACCCCTTCTGCGTGGTTCCACGTTTCTTGGCCGCAACACCAGCTGACGATGCGCGCGTTGATGTATTCTCCTTGCAATCAACGTCGCTTGATGTGGTGGGACTTCCTGCCCCGTGACCGCCTGTAGAGCTACCGGTGTCAGGCCTAGCCTCGGCGAAGACAATCTCTCGAAGGAAGGGTGCGAAGCGACGGGCGGTGATTTCGGCAGGCTCCAAGGCAGCGCGGCGAGTGTCGAAGCGGACTGCTCCACCCAGGGTCAAAGCAGGTCAATGATCCTTTTGCTTGAAGCTCTGAGTTGGTGCGCTCCACTTACTGTGTGAGAGTCGAGCCCTCCAGTATGCCGTCCGCCCACTTCCAGCACGGCACTCTTCGAGCTCCTCAAAAGGAAAGGGTAGACCCGTATCCTCCGACTTGGTATTGACGCCGACCATGTGAAGGCGAGACAGATTCTCTCGCGCGAGCCATTTCCGAATGACTTTGATGTAAGGAGGCGGTCGATTGTAGCCCATCTCTTCTTCCTCATCGCTGTCTTCGAAGTCGCTGAAATCGTAGAATTTTGCCTCCGAGGAGCCATCAACGACGATAGTCAGGTCGCAGGGATGCAGCTGAAGAGCACAGGTCTTGACACAGGCATGTGTTTCAGTCTCCTTTGCGCCGAGACTGAGGGTACGTAGAGAGATAACAATGTTGAAAGCTCCAATCTCTGGGTCCTTGACGATGAAATCATGGTCGAAGAACCAGTCATCATGATTGACATTTATGACGGCCCAATCTGCGTGCTCGCAGCAAAATCTGTGCCACTTGCTCGGATCGTAGTCGTGCATCTCGAGGTAAAGATGCATGAGACTGTAGTGAGGCATATCTGGTTTCGAGAGCAAGCGCTTAGTGCCTAGTCGCTTGTACATGGCGAGGATGGCGGGACTGAGATTGGGATTTTCATTCTTTAGAGCATTCTTCCTGCGGAGCAGCGGCTTGTGAAACATTGTCGAGAAGAATCTGGTGGTTTGATTCATGGATCGCAAGACTGCAGTGGACCATCGCTCCTCGGCGGTGATCTTGCACACCTCGCGCGAGACGAGAGCGAAGCTGACTGCAGTGGGCGTGTCGTGTAGAGCCGCCATCTTGAAGACAGTCTCCAGGACCTCTTTGGGGAGTCGCAGTGAAGAAGACATGGGCTTATCGCCCTCCATCTTGAAGAGTCAAAGAGGAGGCGAGAATGCTGGAGCAGAGAAGGTTGGTAAAGAGGTAAGGGGGCAGGGAACGAAAGGAAAGCGAGGCGGCGCGTCGGGCGGCCATGCTCAAGGCGGACCGTGCGTGGGCTAGCGAGCTCGACTTCAGGCAAGAGAGATGAAATGGAAATCGGGCCCGAACTGTGATAGCCTCTCCCTCACCTCTTGCCTTCGGACCATCCTGCGTTCACGTCCAAGCCCCCGAACCACCCTGCGCACGGTTCAAGAACAAAGCGAGTCTGGCGTCTGCACTTATAGCAGCCTGAGCCCCGCCGAGCTTCACCACTGTAGCCGGCGCTCGAATGGCGTACCTCAGCTTTCTTCCAGCAAAAGCGGCCCCGCCGGGACGCTGGCGCACTTTGGCTGCCATTGCCTTCTCGATGTTCGCTAGCCGATCGAGGTCGTTGCCCACTTCATTACGCAGAACTTCGTCGACCATGTCTCCGGCACCCGGCTTCACGAAGCGATACTGCTCGAGCCAGTCTGTCCCGTCTGCATTCGACGCCCCAGCTGGAGCCCACCCGTACCCTTCCGTGATTCTCTCGACAAGCTCAGAGCGAAGCGGCTCTGTTTCGCCGTTCCAGGTAAAGTGCACCCGCTTGAACTGCCCCACGCCCATGTCACGGAGTACCTCTGCCGCCATCGAGTCATCGCCCATCACGGAGATAAAGGGCCCTTGAACGGTACCGTTGGCGTTCCCAGTGACCGTGCTAAGCTCCATGCCGCTGCTGCCGCTATCGCCGGCGAAGCAGACTTCGCGCAAGAAAGGGAGCATGTGGCCAGCGAGTACTACGGCGGGCTTGTATGCGTACTCTGTCGTGTCATAGCGTACTGAGAGACGGGACTTCCTGCGTGAGCACACTGTCAGCACCTCGTTCTATCTCCCGCAGCTCACTCACTGTGCGTAATCAACCAGGGCTTTTCATCTTTCCAGATCCGCTCATGATTGGGACCCGGCTGACCGAGCTGTAATGTGCTTCCCGCACGAAAGTTTTGGAAGAAGGTAGGCATGCCTAGGCCAGTGATGGGAGACTGTGAGTTGATGCCGACACCGTGAATGCGCTGTAGGCCAGGACGAGCGAGCCAATCGGGGAGGAAGTCCGCGTACGTTGAACATGACAATGGTGAGCTCCCGTGCAAAGACAAAGATTGGATGCCCGCGGATTCTCGAAAAATAGATTGACTCTGAAGGTCCAAGACTGAGGACATCGAGGCGGAGTGTGATGCTCATGCCATTGTAGCTTTCGACGGGCGTCCAACTGCACTGGGAAGAGGTTTCGGGGACTTCGTAGCAATAGTCGAGCAGCTCGCCGACGAAGCTATGCCAGATCGTCTCATTGTAATCGCTGAGCTCCATGTACAGATTGCGAAGAAGAGTTGTAGCTTTGTCTGGCCTGGAAAGGAGCGGATTTTTGCCCAGATCATTGAGAATGCGATGCATTGGACTGGTCTTGATTTGCTGTCGGGTGGGCGACTTCTTCGACGGCGAATGGATCAGAGTGACGAAAAAGCGCATGGCTTGTGTCATGTCTTTGAGTACCGCTGTTCCCCATCTTCCCTCCGCAGTCAGGCGACTAACCTCTTTGGAAGTGAGGGCGAGGGCCCGGGCCGTAGGTGGATGGCCAGTGGCCGCGAGTTGCAGGATGGTCTCTGCGATGTCGACAGGGAGCAATGACCATACGCTGACGGGAGAGGTCGTTGTTGCCATCTTGATGCTGGCGAGGAGTGATGGAAAGATGGGAAGCAAGATAGGTGAGAGGCTGGCCCACGCGCGTTGAGGCGGCCCGCTTTCCGGCTTCGGCTCAATGGCAAGAAACGAGCCAAGCAGAAGGGCAAGAGGTGACGAGCTTCATTCAACAGACATGCGATGACTGACATCTGGCATGAGATGCAACGAATAGTTGAGATATGCGGTTTTGACGCCATTGAGAGCACTGCGAACCGTCTACACTGTTCTTCTCGACTTGCTGTCGATCGATAGCGATTGCAGAGGGCGGCTGGGGGATGGTGACGATGAAGCGCTTAAGCTGCTTCACACTGCGCAGCAGGTCGTCTGCGCTCAGCAGCTTCACGTGGCAGAGCTGCGCAGATGGTAGGCCTGGGCTTTCTCCCCATGATCATCTCCCTTGCTCTTTGACAAGCTTCAGGTGCGAGGAGGACCGAAAAGCACCCGATGTAAGACGGCGGCGATGCAGGATTGCAAAACGCGAGATGGATGGCTCGTGCTCATCCAAGCCTTGCCGCGCTTCCGCGTCTCACACCTCGACTGTGAGACGAGCTCGTCTCGGCCTCGTCAGGGCTCTCAGTGGAAAGGGCGGCGGCCGGATCTCGCTGAGGCGGGCGGGCGGTCCATTCGCAACTTCTCTCTCCGTCCCCGCATCTACCAATTCACAACAACCGAGCAAGCTGCCATCGTACTCCTCATCATCATTTCTGCTTTTGCAGCATACGGCCGCCGCATCATCAAAGGCAGAGGGGCCGAGCAGCCTTGAAACCTGAGCTCGCTGGCCTCTCTGTGAAACAAGGCGCAGCTGCGACGACTCCATCGCCATGTCCAGTTCTCTGACGGAGCGGCAGAAGGATGAGCTGTAGGTGCCCTACTTGACCGCATATACGCACCGTCATGCTGATGATCATCGCTTTATCGTGCCCGCTCGCAGCCACAAGTCCCTCCTTGACTACTGCAAAACACAAGGCTTCACCGCAACCTTTGAAGCATTGCAGCAGGAGGCTGGCCAGGAGGGCTTCGTCTCGGATCCCAAGGCAAAGTATGCGGGCCTGCTGGAGAAGAAGTGGACGAGTGTGATCAGACTGCAGAAGAAGGTGAGGCGCAGAGATGAGGGGGGCTAAACGGCGTGCTGATGGACAGCATATACTCCCTCTTACCGCACTCTCAGATCATGGAACTCGAGCAACGCAATGCACAGTTGACAGAAGAGTGAGTTGATTCGCAGCAAAGAGGAGGGGGCGTCAGGAGGTCCAAGCGCTCATCGCCCAACCTTATATGCCCTTCACTCATCACTCTCACAGACTAGCGACCGCTCCCACCTCTCGCCGATCAGCCTCGCAAAACGACTGGCTTCCCCGCAATCCTCCTCGGCATGTGCTGCAGGGCCATCGTGGTCCTGTAGCCAAGGTGGCTTTCCACCCGCTGTTCAACCAGATCGCGAGCTGCTCAGAGGATACGACGATCAAGATCTGGGATTGGGAGACGGGCGATTTTGAGAGGACGTTGAAGGGGCATACGAAGCCGGTGATGGACGTGGACTTTGACTCGAGGGGACGGTTGTTAGGTGAGTGAGGGCGGACCGAGGGTGAGCTCCGCCTCTGTCCTATTTGCTGACCCCCGTCCGTCTATTTGCCGCGCAGCCTCATGCTCGTCAGACATGAGTATCAAGATCTGTGAGTCTGCCAATCTCGTCCCTTCCAGCATCGTAGCCCGCCGCTCACCCTCATCCCTCCCCTCACGCCCTCCGCTCACGCACAGGGGACTCCGACAAGCAATGGGCCTGCACGTCCACATTCCACGGTCATGACCATACAGTCTCCTCCATCCGCTTCCTCCCCGGCGACGACTACGTAGTCTCCGGCTCCCGCGACAAGTCCATCAGGATCTTCGAGCTCGCAACAGGCTACTGCACAAAGACCTTGGCGGGGCACAACGACTGGGTGCGCTGCGTCCAGCCATCGAGCGATGGGCGTCTGCTAGCGAGCTGCGGGAATGACCAGACGGGCAGAATATGGGATAGAGCGACTGGCGAGACAAAGGTGGAGCTTAGAGGCCACGAACATGTAGTGGAATGCCTGGCATTCGCGCCCCTCGCTGCGTACCCCGCTATTCGCGAGCTGGGCGACATTAAGCCGGCAAAACCGGATAATACGACGCCAGGGCTCTACGTCGCGACGGGGGGAAGGGATAAAGTGATCAAGATCTGGGACTCTTCCAACGGCGCCTGCCTGCGTACCCTCGTCGGGCACGACAACTGGATTCGCGGGATAGTCTGGTCGCCCAATGGCAAGTACCTACTGTCAGTCAGCGACGACAAGACGCTGCGGGTGTGGGATCTAGGCGCGGGTGGGGGAAGGTGTAGTAAGACGATCGATGCGCATGGCCACTTCGTCACTTCGATCGCATGGGCGAGGGCGAAAGCTGGCGGTGAAGCTGCAGAGCCTAGGCCGGATAGTGGGCCGAGTGGGGGAGCGCCGTCCAAGATCAACGGTACGTCAGGAGGTGCAGAAGCGGGGGGAAAGACGGTCAATGCGGTGGTGACTACGTGCGTGGATATGACCATCAAGGTGTGGACGCCGTAGTGTGGGCGGAGAGAGTGGACAAGACATCGCTATACCCCCTCGGTGCCGCACCTGTGGCATGTAGATGCCTCCCGGACCCTTTTTCGTCTTCCAATCCTTACGGCTTACTCTACCGCCTCCCTCTGGGCGCCTTTACCCACTCGACCCTCGACGTGCGTGCTCGCACTGTCGATGAGCTGGCCTCTCCCACCTACACACTCTTTCGTCTTCTCACCGGCCTCTCATCCCACGCTCTCTTCTAGATATCAATGCGAGTGTACCTCATTGCAAGGCATGTCTGCGTATTTGCATCCTACACGTTTGCCACCTCTCGCCCTCAACGTCTTATAGGCTTCCACATCTGGAACTCGTACTTAACCCCCTTCTCCTCAACTACGCCCTGCCCCACCCCTTCGATATCTGAATTGCCCAACCATTCGCAAAGCTCAGTGGACCCGCACTTCTCCCACTCTGCGACGTTGAGGGGCTGCTGCTGCTGCTTATCTTCACCGCCAGTCGCAGCTGGATCGGCCTCCGAGCCAGCGATGCTGGCATCGTCCTGAATTTGTTGCTTGGTGCGATACTCCGGCAGAAAGACGTCGCAATCAAAATTGGGCGACACGAGACGGGTGATGAGGAGACGATCTAGCTTGGCTGGCGTGGCTGAGGAGGAATGGGAGGAAGAGGGACCAAGCTCCTTCATCGCTTGAGCGTACAGCTGTGCTCCTCCAATGAGGAAGACCCTCCCTGCATCTGCGATGTCCTTTGATTGTACATGCTCCAGCGCAGCCTGCAACGATGCAACGCAGTAGCTTCCTTTCCCCTCTTCGATGCCCAATTCCTCCTCGCGCTTCTTGTCCCCCGCTGTACGGCTGACCACGTAGTTGACTCGCCCCTTGAGCGGGCGAAATTTGGGCGGAATGCTTTCCCATGTATTGCGACCCATTATGACCACATTTTGCGCTGTGTTTCCAGTGGACAAGGCACCAGTCGAGGGGAAGGAGGAGGAGGGGGAGGAGGCTGAGGATGAAGAAGGGCCGGGGACATGGCTCGTCGCCTTGCGGAAGTAGGCCATCTCTTTTGATAGGGACCAGGGGAGGCCCCCGGCCTTGCCTAGGCCATTTGTGGGGCTGAGTGCCGCGATGAGGGTCAGGGATAGAGGGCTGCGAGGTGACATTGCTGTTGATGAGCTGGCGTCTGCGGTAGTCATTGTCAGGAGAGATGGGATGAGAGGTGGAGAAGAAGTGCAAGGCAACTAGGGAAAGTCGCGTCGCCCGCATCTCATTTTGTCCATCGTGCATCTCGCGCCCATTTCGAGGGCGGACAGAGGACCGGAAGACGCGGCTCACGATTCCACTTTCGGCCGCCGTGGAGGGCTTTGACTCCACTTTCCTTTCCCACGAGAGCCGACCCCGCATTCCTTTCCTTCATTTGTTCTTCTCACAATAGCCCATCACCATGCCCCGTGTACCGTACTGTTACCCGCCACCCGGCTCATCGCCCATCGCCGACGCTATTCGCGCTCGACGTGGGGAGAGGGGCCTCACGCCACTCGACGGGATGCTCCTCAACGCAGCGCCGATTGCAGAAGGGTGGAACAAGTTGCTGGGAGCTGTCAGGACTGGTAGTAGCTTGCAAGACGACGTGAGAGAAATCATGGTTGGTATATCGCAATGCCAACCTGTGTCAAGCCTTTTCGCTGCCATCTACCTTCGCCGCCTCCTCGCCCGCAGATCCTCCGCGTAGCAGCACGTAACCGCGCCTCCTTTGAATGGATCCACCACGAGCCCGTAGCACGCAAGGCTGGCGTGACGACTGAGCAGCTCACGCGCATTGGAGATGTTAGCAAGACGTCATCTTCCTCCCTCACTGCGGCCGGTAAGGGTCAACTCTCCCCTCTCCAGGCTGCGGCCACTGTATACGCCGACAAGATGACGTCCAGTGTCAAGGTTGACGAAGCGACTTTCGAATCTCTCAAGCACGAGCTGGGAAAGGTGGCAGGGACAGAAGGTGAGAAGCTCAATCAGCTGCTAGTAGAAGCTACAGGCACGACTGCGGTGTACAACATGGTGTCCCGCTTCCTTGTTGCGCTGGATGTCGACGACCGTGCCAACGAGCCTGTGCCCGTACCTGGCCTTCCTCCCTCCCTCTCCTCCTCCTCCTCCAGCTCGACCCCTCAACAAGACCTCGGTCCGGCCACAGGTCGCATCGTGACGCGCGACGGGCTCACTCTGGCCACGCGCACCCACTTCCACTCAATGAAGGCCCCCTGGCTCCTCCTCATCAACAGCCTAATCACCAACGTCTCCATGTGGGACTCGGTAGTCCCTCTTCTCGCCTCGCGCTACAACATCCTCTGCTACGATCAGCGAGGGCATGGCAGCTCCGCCATCCCCGATCAGCCCTGCACGGTCGAACAGCTGGCAGACGATGCGGCCGACGTTCTCTCCGCCTTGGGCATCGACAAGGCCAAAGCCGTCATCGGCGTTTCGCAGGGTGGGGCCACGGCGCTCAGCTTTGCGATTAGCCACCCAGAGAGAACGGAGTGCATCATCGCCAACGACACGCAAGCCGCTAGTCCTGAAGCAAACTTCCATGCCTGGGAGGATAGGATCGCCCTGGCGAAACGGGAGGGGATGGAGGCTATCGCGAAGGCCACGGTCGCGCGATGGTACGGCGAGGAGGAGGCTGGTGATGAGGAGGAACAGAAAGCGAGGGAAAAAGCGCACGCCATGATTGTTTCGACGGAGTTGCGAGGCTTTGAACAAGGAGCGAGGGCGTTACAGAAGTACGACTTGCTTCAGGCGGGATTGCTCGAGGCAATAGCGAAGAAGCCTACCCTCCTCATCGCGGGCGAAAAGGATGGGGCCCTCCCTAAAGGGCTAGCTGCTTTGGCTGAAAAGGTCAAGGAGGCGCAAAGTGGGGCAACGGTGGCTTTCCAGGCCATCGAAGGGGCATCACATCTGCCTATGCTCGACAGGCCAGAGAAATGGTGTGACGTCGTCTTGCGCTTTCTCGAATCTCAATAAGGCGTGAGCCAACCTCTTGTCCTCCCTCCTCTCTGTACGTTATTCTCCTCCCTTGTCTGTAGCGGCGAGCCTGAACAAGCAAAAGCGAGCGGGGCAATCGTACGCGGCATGATGAATAGAGTAGATGTAGCAAAAAATACAGGAAGAGTAGCACCGTACCTTCATTTGATCGATCGATCCGTCGCACCCGCCTGCCTACTTCCTCTTGCCAGACGTGGAGATCTTCTTCGGTAATGAGCTCGACGACCCCAAACTCGACGGCGTAGGAGATGAGCCGGGCCGGGACGTCGGTGGCGATGAGGAGGGGAGCAAGGAGCCAGGCAAAGAGATTGGGGTCGCAGTAGCCTTGCCGCTGCTGGAGAAGGGGTCGAGCCCACCTGTTGAGCGTGGTGCGTTGCTAAGCGGAACTTTGCTTGTTGTAGTAGTGGTGGATGAGGAGGATGAAAGGCTGCTGCTCTTCGGCAGTGAGGAGGCAGTGCTGGAGGCGAGGTTGTCCGTCTTGTTGGACTCGGTAGGCGGAGCAAATGTGAAGGCAGGGGCTTTCGTAGACGCGAAGCTGAAGCTGTTCGTTGCCGCCTTGGGAGCTGTTGAAGCGGCAGACGACTCTTTACTCGCCCATGACGTAGCGGCCACAGTCTTGCTGATGGCGTTGGCTTCCTCACGCTTCTGACTTGACGTAGCCGAGACGCCAGCCAGATCCATCGGTGCAGCGGCAGTGGCAGTCGTCGCTTTCGTTGCCCCAGCAGTAGCCGTCGTGGCCGTTGTGGACCCAACCTTGCGCGAGAAGCTCGGCAACTTCTCGCCCTTGACAGCTCCACTTCCAGCCTCCTCGTCCATGGTCATGTGCCCGACCAAGAAGTCGTCCGACGCCTTCTCTTTCGGCCCCTTCACTCGGGTAGCGGTCTGTCCCGCACCTCTCCTCGCCACTCCTCTCCCTCCAAACTCCTCATCGGGAAACGAGTCCCATCCAGCGCTGTCGCCCTGCACGTCTTCCTGTTCCCCTCTTGCAGCCTGCCAATCATCCTCCTCCCCTTCTCCATCGCCGTCACCACCCCACCTCTTCCCGCCATGCTGCTCATCATGATCACTCCCTGCAGTAGGCGGCGTATCAGAAGAAGAGAAAGTACCCGTCCCATCCTCCTCAATCGAAGAAGCACCTCGCGCAGCCATGCTCCCATTCGGGCTCGGCTGAGCATTGCGCGCGTCAGCGAAGAGGTAGGCATCATACGAGACGTCCTCGTCGAAGCTGATGGACGGTAATGGGGACCCGGCTTCTCCTCGTAGCGGGCTACCCACTCTCTGCCCACGCTGTCGCTGTCGTGCAGCATTCGCCGCCCCAATAGCAGCACTCCCAGCCCTCTGTCCAAGCCGGACCGGGATGCTCATCCCGTCAGCAGCAGCCGTCCGCCAATTGGGGCGGCGGGCTGGTTGACCTTGTGGGAAGGAGGGGATGCGATGCGAGGGGGAGGAGGGGTAGCCCGGCCAGGAGGGGGAAGGTGGGGAAAGGTGTCGCTCGCTTGGAGACATGGCGCTTGCGAGTCCAGCGTCGAAGCTATCGCCCGTGATCTGGACCGTCTCGCACACGTCGAGGGCACGGGTGGCGGCGCGACAGATGTCCATCAGCGTGGGCTCGGCCCTCATTGTCACCCCTTTTGGGTGAACAAAAGCGCTGAAGTGCATCTGGTGCGAGAAGTACAGTGGGGTGGGCATTGCGCGTGGGCCGCGCGGGTAGGTGTGGACTTCTGCTAAGGAGACCCAGCCGCGGGATGGAGAAACAGCTGAGGTTGGGCGAGGCTGCTTGCTAGGAGGCGTGGAGGCAAGAAGAGCAGGCGCAGGTCGTACCTCCGGCGCGTCGTGTACGCGCGCTAGGCTGGTCCAAATGGCGACCGCACGACATTGTCCTCTTGGCATCTCTGCGCGAGGAGTCGATGCTGCTTGCTGACCTCGCGACGCCACAGTTTGATTTCCCTTCTCCTCCGTCGTCCCCACGCTCTGCCGTCTCATCATCGCCGTGAGGCCAGACATGCCGCTTGACGCCGCTGCAACCATTGCTGCTGTTGCAGACGAGGTGACACCTACTCCGACGAGGCTGGAGGGATGAGGGCCGACCCGGCTCAGCGTCAGTGCCGATATGCGGGGATGGAAGGTGAGAATGTCCAGGAACGATGGTGAAAAGGCGCTGTTGTCTTCACCGCTGCTGGTGAGCTTGACGTGTGAGGTGAAGCAGGCCACAGGAGGGGCAATGAGTGAATCCGAGCCGTGGTGTGTATCTTCCTCCTGACGGGGCGCAGAAGGTCTTGCCGTCCTTGCGTAGCTAGTGAGAGTCGCTCCGAGGGGCTTGGCTCTCGGCCCATGAAGCGGTCCGAGCCTATAGATATGCACTGACCCTCTCATTGTCAGCACGCCTATACAGCGCTCATTGGGAGACCACAGCACATCAGAAACCTGTGCCGGTGTGACACCGCGCAGTAGCTTAAGGCGGTGCAGCACCGAGGGCGGCTGGGTGGCCGCGCTGCCTCGCATGCAAGCAGGACGGGATCGTATCTCGTAGACATGAAAGGCGTGCCCAAGCACGTCGGCCACGAAGATCAACGAACCGCTGCTGCTCAGCCTCACCGCTGAAGTATTCTCGCTGCTACTCCTGAAGGAGGCAATGAGCGGAAGAGAGGGAGAGAGCTCGACGACTCGGATGGTCGTAGCGTCGAGGGACTGGCTTGTCGCGGACGGTGACTGGCCGTTTGCAGACCGACGTTGTAATACCAGGCTGGGTGAGGGAGATGTCTGCAGGACTGGAGATGGCGACCCCTGTTCAACGTGAGCGGCCGAAGACTTCGTTCCACCCTGAACGTAATTGCTACCCCACTCGCTCACACTCTTGACCCCGCTTAACAGTCCACCGCCCATCTTCCTCGCCACGTCGCCCGCGTGTGCTCCCATCTCGATAGCCGCAGCGCGCATCTGCTCTGTTGTCATCTTCGCAGACTCAACACCAGGACTAAAGACTGGCGCGTGGGTGCCGCTGGGGGCTCTTCGAGCCTCAGCGTTGCTCACGAGGACATTAGTGCTGCGATCCTGCTGAGTGCTTGCGTATGCTAGGAGTCGACCGGAGAGGTGGAACGGCGGAGGTGTTGCGCCTGAGGTAGAGGAGCTGCTCACGTCCGTTATGGCTTCGCCGAGACAGGGCCGTAGCGTTACAGCATCGAGTATATGGATTGCGGGTGGCTGCGACTGGCCGATGGCGAGGTGACTGGACGTAAGCTGCATAGAGGCGGACGCAGGCGTCGTTGCCGTTGGGTTCGCGCTGGCGACCGCGGGTAACACGCTTGATGTGTCGACCACTTGAGAGTCCAGCGAGCAGGTCGAGAGGACATACGTCGATCCAGTCCCCTCCGTGACAATAAGCAACCGTGGTTGCTTGCCCTCGAGACACTGAACGCGAGCGCAGAGGACACGTCCAGCTACTCGATCGCCTGGCAGGAGTATCTGCTGAAAGTTGATGACCTCGGCGAGCTGTCCATCCTCCTCGAGGCAGTAGACTTGCAGACCGCCCGTGACGTACGCAATGATGAGAGCGCGACGAGCAGGTAGTCGGTCCCACGAAGCCCAGGAGACGCCCTCACTGCTGGGGATTCTCTCATCTAGCGCAGACAGCTGCTCAACAAAGATGTCATCATGTACAGCCGCCTCTGGTCGCCTGCCTCCCATAGCCTCGAAAATAGGGCTTGGTGAGGTACTGAGTGCCGGCATGGCGTCCGGCTGGCTCTGATGCCCAACTCTGGCTGCGGCTGCAGAGCTCAGCGACGTAAGACCAGACGCGATGCTAGTCGAGGCATGGCGCGATATGCTGGAGATTGTGGAGGCGATCGCTTCGGTCACAGGACGCTCCTTGGCCTTTGTGGGCGTGATCTTGCGTCCATCATGGCGATTGAGTGCACTGCTGCTGGAGCTAGCTGGAGCGCGTTTGAGGGATGGTTGGCGAGAGGCTCGGTGCTTGTCCGCGGGATTGAGGCTGGGTGGTGATGGAGACACTGGGTGAATTGGCGTTGTTGGTGGTGAGGAGGCGCCCTCGGGCATAGCAAGCGCGAAAGGGACCACGAAAAGATGAGAGATGGCTTGAAGATGACTGCTGTGTTGGTGCTACTAGGCCAATGTACGCTGGCTCAGTGGCGTCGATTCAGGGGGGGCAGTCTTGTTGCGCGTGGTGTTGGTGGATGGGCGGGCGAGATGGGCGTGGTAATTCAATACAGCTCGTGGATCGAGTCGTGGGTGAGACTCGAGGGCTAGATGGATGTGCTTTCAGGAGCTCGTCGGGCGGTGCAATGACGCGACTTTGTTTGGTGCGGATGCCTTTGAGTTTAACGCGATGGTGATGATGATAGTAGTACGGATGGACGTTGTACAGCTTATGCGAGGCAGTGGGTATCGTTCGTCTGTTGTAATAAGGAGCAGTTCAATGGCAGTTGAAGACGGTGGTGATGAGCAGTTTTGTTGATGATTGGTCTGGTAAAGTAACTGAGAGCAGCTCGGCGAGGAGGCCGTCGATGGATGGATGGCTTTGATTGATTGCGTGGTGGACGGACAGAGAGAGGCTCAAGGCGGCGGCGGGTGACGCCTGCGACTGATCCCACACAACCCTGACTCGAAAGCAAACACACTGCTCTCCTGCTGCGACTGAGCGTGATCATGCAGGGCGGGCGGCGAGCTAGGCCATCGATTCGCGCACAAGCCACGGCCATTTTTCGCGGCTCCAGCCGGACCGGATGAACAAGCCGTCGATGACGGACCAAAGACGAGTGCCGGTGAGCTGCGCAGCTTTATGAGCGATTCACCTCAGTACCTCTTGCTCGCTCACAGCCATCCTCTCGACACTCATCAAGAGCAAAGCACGGCGGCTCATGGCCGAATCTCTCGTCGAGCTTCCCGATGTAGCGCGCCTCTCCCCGCGAGTGGTGCGCCTCCTCGGCCAAAATCCGGGCAAGTTCACGCTCCAGGGGACCAACACCTACCTCATCTCCCCTCTCGAATCATCGTCATCGCAGCCAATTCCGACTATCCTCGTTGATACGGCAGAAGGAGATGAAGACTACCTGAAGCTCTTCGAAGACACCCTGGCTAAGCCGCCTAAGCGTCACATCTCCCATGTCCTCCTCACTCATTGGCACCATGATCACGTGGCTGGATTGGCGCCCGTGCTAGAGACGCTCGCAAAAGCGCAACCGTCCTTACCGCCGCCGTTGGTCTGCAAACTTCCGAATAGTGAACAAGACGGCGACATCGAGTCATCTATTTCTCACCTCTCCGCTGGAACCCATTTCACGGCCCCCGCGTCTTCCTCTTCGTCACGCATCCTCACCCACCTGCGACACTCTCAATCGCTTGCGATAGGCGACGATACCTCGCTACAATGTCTACACACCCCAGGACATACCACGGATCATCTTTCTCTTCTTCTCTCCTCGAGTCAACATGACCCCGTCTTCTTCAGCGGCGACAATGTTCTCGGGCAGGGCACGTCCGTCTTCGAGGACCTGGCCGCATACATTTCCAGCCTCAATAGAACACTCGACGTTCTCCCGGCTTCAGGACCAGCACGAATTTTTCCTGCTCACGGACCGGTCATCGAGGATGGGCGCAAGGCTGTTGAAGGCTACATCGAGCATCGCTTGCAGAGGGAGAAGCAGGTGGTTGAACTGATGAAAGAGAGCAGCCCGACAGGACAAAAGGAGGATGGAAGCGGCATGCCAAGATGGGGCGTGATGCAGCTGGTCGAAAAGCTATACGCTTCATGTGAGTACAAATCAACGTTCACCTCTCCTCGCCTCGCCCTTCCGGTTTTGCTCACGAGCGCTAACTCCTTCACGCCCTCTTTTCCTGTCTGCATTCCCGCGCCCCACAAAGACCCTCAATCCCTCTACCCAGCCGCAGCTCGCGGCCTCTTCCTCCATCTGCATAAGCTGGGCACAGAGCAGCGCGTGCTGTGCCATGGAGAGCATGCTGGGCCTGACGGTGCTCCACCGCCCGTAGCCCCGCTCAAGACCGAGTATATGGAACTCGAATGGTCGTTGACCGAGCACGAGGCCGAGGCGGGTGCGAGAGCAAGCCCAAACGGGGGCAGGCTGTGAAACAGCAGCGCCACATGGAGCCCTGATGTAGCATAGCTGGGTATCGTTGCTAATGAATGCAAGTGCTGGCGTCGCAGCAGCGTTTATGCAAAGGCCACGCGCTTCTTCTTCGGTGCGGCTGCCTTGATTGGCGCTCCCTTCACTTTGCGTGATGACGAGGACGAGGACGCTAGGGCGGGCACGAGCATCTTCTTCTGCGCCTTGAGCTCCGGACTTGCGGCGGCGATTACCTCCTCCTCGGCCTCATCGTTGTCAGATGGCTCCTCCTCTGCCTCTTCACCCGCCTTGACACCACTTTTCGCCGCTCGCCTCCTCTCCTTTCTCTCCCTAGCTTTTACCCTCGCCTTCTCCTTCAGCTCAGCCCTAATTGCACTCTTACTCCTCGCTGCCCCCGTGGCGGCGCCCACCTCAGTCTTTCTATTCGCAGCTTTGCGCTTTTTCTCCTGGCCCGCAGCCGCCTGCTGCTTCTTTGCCTTAATCACCTCCTTGCTGTGCTTTGAGCGTTGGCGATCACGATCTTCTACTGAGGAGCCGGCGGATGTGGCGAGAGCGAGGAGGTGCGAGAGACCTTGCGATTCGGAGAAGATTTTGGGTTTGCGGCCAGACCCCTTCTTCGAGGGTGGTGCTGCGGTCGAGGAGGGACCTGAGTCAGAGGCCTGCTGTTGCATGTGTGATGTCGCCGTCATGATGGAAGGCACAGGAAGAGGATGATGAGGCGATCAGTGGAAATGAGGATGAGGAAGGGAGAGAAATTTGAGCTCGGCCAGCCTCTCTCCGATTTCGCGCCTCTCTGTCCGCCCATTCGCCCATCCGCCTGGCCTGTCCGTCTGCGACGGAGCTGTTTGCTTGCTTCCATTCCTTCCCCCTCATCACCGTCACCTCTTGTCTCGACCCTTGTACCCATGTACGGTCGTCCGCCGCCGCAACAATGGCAGGCGAACCCCAACAACCCCAATTTGGCGCCTGTAGGGCCTAGAGGCGGCATCGGCTCTGGCCCACCACCTGTCAATGGTCTCCCTCCAGGACCACCTCCCCCAGGCGTCGGCCCAGCCGTTGCCTCTGGCCCCAATGCCAGCCCAAACGCATCTACAACAGTCTTTGTAGGCTCCATCACCGCCGGTATATCGGATAACATGCTCACCCAGCTGCTCAATACATGCGGTTCCCTTCTCACTCTCAAACGCATCTCCCCCGCCTTCGGCTTCGCAACCTTCGACCATCCCGAAGCGGTCATGCGGGCCATCGACCTTCTCAATGGGCTCGAGCTACCCGTACCTGGTGGAAGTGAGGGAGTGGCCGCAAAGAAGCTGCTGGTCAAGGCAGACGAGAAGACGAAGGCTTTTGTGGAGCAGTACAAGGTCGAGAGAGGCGAGGGCCGGGAGGAACATGAGGAGCAGCGCGATGGTGCGGGTAAAGACGGCATTGCCTCTTTCATCGCCACCTTACAGCGACCCGACGTCCTCACGCTCTTTCCCGACGCTGCTGGTGCATCATCCTCATCTCGACCCGGCGGAGGCAGCGGGGTGGCCGCCCACCTGAAGGACCTTCCGCCCGAGGACCTGCCAGAGGAGCACCGCAATAGCGTTTTGAGCGAGATCGACAAGTTCAGACAGGCGAGCGCTGCGAGGGAGGACGAAAAGAGGAGGAGAGAGAGGGTACTGGAGAGGGAAAGGATGGGAGCGCCTACAGGACCGCGCGACACCAGCTCCCCGATGGGCTCCAGCGGTCTTGGTGGGAGTGGGGGTACGAGGGACCCCCAATCATTCAATCATGGAGCGCCAGGATTTGTTCGCTCATCGACCGACATCAATGGAGCAGCAGCGGAACAGCGACGTCGCGAGGACATGGACCCAGAGGAGGCAGACGAGGCGGAGGAGCAACGTCGTCTCTCTTCGAAGCACGCAGAGGAGGCTCGCCGAGCAGAGGAGGCTTTGGCCAAGCATGCCCAGCAGGAGCGAGCGCGACTCGATCACTGGACTCGAATCATTGATGATGGCAAACGCGAGGCTGAGCGAAGGGCAAGCAGAGCAGAGCATATGGCGCAGCGGCTGCGCTGCGATCCCCCTGCGTCGGACGGCGCAGGATCTTCAGGGTGGGACGATGAGCACGAGCGCCAGCGCGATCCCTTCTATATCGACCGCAGGCGATGGAGGCACGCTCGCTCTGTTGCCTTACGCAGGGAGCAGGAGGACGACCTAGCTGATGAGCGACGCGAGGCTGTAGAGCTTGAGCGTGCCAGGCAGGAGGAGGAGAGGGCTCGGATCAGGAGAGAGGAGGAGGAAAAGAAGCTGAGAGAGGAGCAGCGTAAGGCTGGAGTGCTCCTTGGGGCTGAAGGAGAGCATAAGCCGTTGAAATTGAAGAACGCGACAGGGGTCAGCGGTGCGGCGGGGCCTTCGTCAAGCACGACAACAGGGGCCACAGGTGGCAGTACGGCAGCAACAGGCGCTCCAGTCTTCTCCTCCGCCCTTGGCGAGGACGATGAAGAAGGTGCTGAGGGATCATCACGCGCTCGCAAGAATATGGCTCACCTGCTTGACGACTTGCCGCCTACCAACGGCGCCTCGGCTCAGGACGACGCATCGACTAAAGAGCGTCGCCTCGCGATCCGCGCATCGCTGGACGAGGTGGATCGACTGGACCTCTTCTCATCACGCGGCCCTTCATCAGACACAAAGATCCTCTGGTCTTACCTCTCCCTCCCCTCCCTCTCCGCCTTCGTCGGCAAGCTGGTAAGGGAGACGGTGGGCGAGGCGGTGCCGGAGTTGGAGGAGGTCGTCATTGAGCGACTCACGCAATTCCAGCAAAAGAAGGCGGGTGCTGGAGAGGGAGATGCGCGGGACGGTGCTCAGCTGGCCAGAGATATTGGGGAGGCTGTGGAGCCCGTTCTGGCAGATGAGGCTGGAGCCTTTACGGAGAGGCTGTGGAGATGGTTGGTTGAGGAGACGCAGATTGCGGGCGGGCAGAGAAGGTAAGATGGAGCGAACTTGGTATTGGAGACAGAATACAACATAATCACCAGATGCACACGGCTCAGCTTAGCCTAAGATACGACTCTTCCACCCACTCTTGCGCTGCTTGCTCTCCGTCGTGTCTACCACAGCGCCGTCGTCGCCGCTTGCCGCGCCTTCGCCCCTCTCGCTGTCATCATTTCCCGCTGGTCCCTGAGCATGCTGATCTGAGGCGCTGCCAGCTAAATCCTCAACGCGCTCCGACTCGTCCAGAGTGCGTTGCCCAACAGGAGGACGAGCACGATGTTGCGGTGGCGGAGGAAGGGGAGCGCTGCGCTCTGGAGGCTGCTGCTGCTGCTGCTGCTGCTGAGTCTGCCTCTGCTCCTCAGAGGCGGGCGGTAGAGGCGGCGGCTGTCTCATGCGCAATCTGTCCTCGTCTTCCTTGCTGATGCTCGACAAGCTTTGCAGAGGTGGCGCATCGCTAGTCTCGCTCGATGCCGCTCCCGGTGTCCGTGGCTGCTGCGTTGTGCTTGCAGCGATGCTGGGCGTGCCCGTTGAGGCCGTGGAAAGGCTGCGCGGCGATGTGACGAGCGGTGGCAGAGTAGAAGTGCTCCCTTCTGCGGCCATCATCCGCCTTCTGGTCTCGCTGCCTGCGTTAGCATCCTGCGGCGAAGCGACAATCGTACTCGAGATGATGAAGCCGTCGAAGGGCTGGAAGGTAGTGACGGCCGCCGAGCTTGCGCTTCCCAGCGTCGTGACCGCTACGCTGGCTGTTGCTGAGCCGCTTTGAGCCAAAGAGGCATCATCCACGCCAAATGAAACCATCGCTTTGCCTTCGTCAGCAGCGGCAGACGCCCCCTGTCCTGCTTCGCTGCTTTCTGCCGCACCACTCCGAGCTGCAGTCCTCTTCCTCATCTCCTCTCTCTCCCTCTTCAACTCTTCCTCGAGCTCCTTCGTCTGCGCCTTCTCTTTTCTCTTCTCTTCAGTCTTTGCTCTGCTTTCTTCCCTTCTCCTCTCAATGTTCTGCCCAGCGGTCGCGCATCCCCTCTGCACCCCTTGACCCGCTCCTTTCAACCCAGAGAAGGCAGCCTTGTTCGCCGCCTTCTGATTACGCGGATTCGTGATGGCTTCGCCAATCTTATTCTGGGACATGGACACGAGCTCGACTATGGCGTCGATCTGTGAGTCCCCCAGAAAAGGGCCGCCGACGATGTTGAGTGCTGATTCGACGAGCGTCGGCAGGAGCGAGGTTTCCGCAATCGCTTTGCGCATCCAGGCGTTGCGTTTGCCCAGCTTGACAGATTCGGAGTCGCTTGCTCGCTCCCCGTAGATACCTGTCGGGTCTGACGAGGCTTCAGAGGATGCAGCCTGGGGTTCTCGAAGGACTGCACGACTGAGCTTGAGTTCTACATCCCGGTAGGTGATGACGTCCAGAGCACCAGAGGCATGGAGGTGCTGGAGGGAGGATCGTGTCTGCTCCAGGAGGAATTGTGCGTGACTAGGTTCGCTGGCCTTGGAGGAGGGACGAGGCGCTGTAGGCAGGGGTGGCGGTGGAGCGCTTGCTGTTGAGGCGGACATTCTGACGAATTATCGGAGTGGTTGAGATATGTTGAGGAGCATTGTGCTCGTACTCAGGGTCCAGTGTGGAGCTGCTGCACGACGCGACAACACGTGGCGACGGAAAGGGATGTGTTGCACTCAAGGCGCCCCCCCGGCTACGAGCGCTGAGCGGCTGAGCACCTTGCCATCTCACCATCTTCGAGCTGCAGGCGGTTTGGCATGGAGCAGCTCGAGCGCTTCAGGTTCGCACGGCGAGGCGTTGCAGAGCAGTCAGCAGAAGAACCTGCGGACTCGCCCTTCTCGTTCTCGCCGACTACCACCAATGCCAGTGTTCATCGTCAGCAATTTCGGGCGCCTGCTACACAGCCACTAGCATATACGAGCCAGGATCATGTCGCACCGTACCCGATAGGCTCCGGAGGCAACGTTGCGCCCTCGCACTACCATATGCAAGCCCTTGCTGGCAGTGACGCGCCGGCTCTGTCCATGAGCTATCACGACGAGCAGATTGCGCCCTCATCGCTGTATAGCTCTCCTACACCGCACGCATACGCTCAAGCTGCCTCGTCATCCTTGTCCAGTCCGCCTTCAAGGTCTCCTCTCGTGAAACCGCACCAGTTGCGATCTATGCAAACGTCAACGACAGGATCTCGTCCTGCATACAATCGTCCCTCGACCTCTCATGGCCTGAGGCAGCCAGCATCCTCTGTCTCCGTCACTCAAGGTTGGAAGCTTTGACATTCACTCTTCTCTCATTCTTGCTCCATCATGCGGTGATAGTATTCTGAACAAAAGTTTGCCGTGATTCTTCCCCTGATCTTCACTGCAGGCAACGCCCTTCAAGCTCGTCATGGCATCCCACTCACCAGAGTCTCCGAGCTTCCAGATCGTCTTCGAGTTGCATTCGGCTTCCCGCTCTTCAACGCCATTCAAAGCATATGTTTCGACGCGGTGTACAAGAGCGATGAGAACATTGCTGTCTCAGCTCCCACGGGCTCCGGCAAGACGGTTCTCTTTGAGCTCGCAATCATGCGGATGCTCACCGTTGGTGGCCCGGACTCAAAGGCAGTCTACGTTGCGCCGACAAAGGCTCTATGCGCCGAGAGAGCAAAAGACTGGATTGAACGGTTGCAGCCACTCGGCTGCCCAGTTGTCGAGCTCACGGTGAACGATCTTTGTGTCGACCCAAATCTTCCGTGGCTAGCCTCTGACCCCAACTCTTGCTGAACAGGGAGACACCGATCGAGCCGCATTCGCAGCCGCACGCAAATCAAGAGTCATCATCACGACGCCAGAGAAGTGGGACAGCCTCACTCGTAGCTGGCAGACCTACGCCAAGATTCTTGACCGTCTCGAGCTCTTTCTGGTGGACGAAGTGCACACATTGCACGAGAAAGAAAGAGGCGAGTGCACATGAAGCAAGTCCGCTTCGATGTGACGCTCACCCATTCTGATATCTTTGCGTCATAGGCGCTCGACTAGAGACCATCATCGCTCGCACACAGACTTTTGGCAAAGATGTCCGCTTCGTCGCCGTCTCAGCCACGGTTCCCAACCTCTGCGACATCGCGACTTGGCTTGGTGCTCGACGAGACAGCAACCATCAGCAACAACGCCGTGGCGCTCAGCTATTCGAATTCGGCGAGGAGTATCGCCCATGTCCACTCCACAAGCACGTTTACGGCTACCCGTCGAGAGGGGAAGAATGGGTGAGTCTTAGGCGAGACAAAGCAGGAAGCAGACTGCTCACATCCTTGCAATATCGTCCAGGGCTTTCAATCGTCACTCAACTCAAAGCTGCTTGGTGTGCTTCGCGACCACGCCCATGGCAAGCCCTCTCTCGTCTTCTGTCCTACGCGGAAAGCCACCGGCCAAGCAGCTCGAGCAATCAAGGAAGACTACGCCAAGCTAATCGCGTCCGAGTCGCCTCTACCGTGGTCGAAGCTGACAGGCATCGCCAACTACACTAATGCAGACCTACAAGGTCTCGCCGAATATGGCATTGCAGTTCACCACGCTGGCCTGCCCCTGGAAGACAGGCGCACAGTGTGCAAAGAATTTCTCGCGGGCCGCATCAACGCGCTGTGCTGCACTTCAACGCTAGCCATTGGCGTCAACCTCCCCGCCTACTGCGTCGTCATCCGTGGCACCAAACGCTATGAAGGCAGTGAATGGACAGAGCTGACGGATCTCGACCTGATCCAGATGCTCGGCCGTGCCGGTCGCCCAGCATTCGACACAGAAGGCACGGCCGTCATTCTCACTGAGCAGTCGAGGAAGCGCTACTACGAAGAGCTGGCGTCTGGCAAGATGACGATCGAGAGCACGCTCCACCTGAGCCTCGTAGAGATGATCAATTCGGAGATCGGGCTGCGTAATGGTAGGTGCACTGTGGAGCAGCTCATCGCGCTGTTGCGCAAGACCTTCCTATTTGTCAGGATGAAAGCGAACCCGCAGCACTACATGGCCGAGTGCGACACGAGGGGAGACCTCCCACCCGAGGAGACACTCGACATGCTCTGCCGCCAAGCGCTGGCAAAGCTTGAGAAGAACGAGCTCATTGCGCGCGGAGATGGGCAGCAGAATTCTCTCGCCCTTACCGAGCTGGGCGACATCCTGCTCAGGACCTGCGTGTCATTCGAGACGCTCCTCCTCCTCCTCAAGTTGCGCGCTGCTAAAGTCTCCGACTTGCTCTCCACCATCTCGCAAGCGCGAGAGTTCGCCGACCTCCGACTGCGCCAAGAGGAGAAACCTTTCTACTCCAGCCTACGCACCAATGCTGAGATCCGCTGCCCACCGGCAAAAGTGGTCAATGTGGCCGACAAGGTCAATCTCATCATCCAAGCCACCCTCGCAGGCGTGTCACTGCAGAGCGAAGCGAAGGCCAGTAACCTTTTCGAGGGATCATCGACCAATGCAACGGGAGACTTGACTGCCATCTTCAAGAATGCTCCACGCATTCTCCGCGCTGCCAGCGATGTGGCCATTGCAAAGATCGATGCGGTTACCCTACAAAGCAGTCTAGAGCTCGCACGCTCCTTGAATGGGAAAGCGTGGGACAATTCGGCCGTCGTGCTGCGCCAACTGGACAACATTGGAGAGAAGAGCATCAAGGTCCTTGCGAGCGCTGGCATCCACGACTACGGGGATGTGGCTCGCGCCCAACCTCACCGCCTCGAGCTGTTGCTCAAACGTAACCCGCCCTTCGGTCATCGACTTTGCGACGAAGCCGCCTCCCTACCAGAGCTGGAGATCACGATTGAGCAGCAGCTCAACATCGCACCGCGTGTGGACAAAGCAACGGGACTCGTCACGGTACCGGTCAATGTGGCCGTCTACGCAAAGCAATGCCCACGCAAAGGAGTGCAGCGTCGCTTCAAGTCGAAACGGGATGGGCAGCCTTACCACTTTACTGTGCTCACCATGACGTCGGACGGAGAGCAACTCATCGACTTTCGCAAGGCGCCGCTCAGGGGTCTGCTGGACCCAGAGACTGGGCAGGGAGGGGCTGCGCCTTTCCACCTCGAGTGTAAAGTGAGCAGGACCGATCAGAAGGTGATTGTGCTGGCTTCCTGTGAAGAGATCGCAGGGTCTCAGGCGAGGGCGGATCTTGAGCTGCAAGTGGACGCGGCCTTGTTTCCGGAGATAGTGATGGCAGAGGAGCGGCAGCGAGGCCACTCGATCGAGCTTGATGGGCTGGAGGACTGCTCGGAGCTGTTCCGTGACGAATTGAGCACAGCGGGTGGCAGTAATGAAGAGGCCAGCGACGAGGTGGAGCGCGATCTTTTGGCAAGGGATGCGGGCAGCAGCTCAAGTCATTCCCGGGTAAGCCAAGGCATACCAGCTCCCCCACCTAGCAAGTCGGGCCCGTATCCTGCCGCTTCGAGCAGCAAGAGTGCCCAGCTTGCGTCCTCACCGGACCAGACCGGCGTCACAGGTCACCAGCGCAGCCAAAATGACATCGATGGGCCTCAAAAGAAGCGCGCCCAGCCGCAGAGCCAAGCCAAAGGCAAGAAGAAAAAGCGTGCCATCTCTGCAGAAGAAGAGGCTGAGGTTATGGGCGGGCTGCAGCGTTTCATTCATAAGAGCCGACAAGCAGGCAGTGGCGTGCAGCATGTCTCGAACGCAAGCAAGGCGCGGGGTGAAGCCGCCGACGATGAAGAGATTCCTGCGGGTTCTCGACAGGTCGTGGCACCGGCGCTCACAGCTGCTGTGGCCAAGATCGCGAAGTCGCAAGCACGATCGCCTCGCCGATCCATTGCGGCCTCACCATCAGCCTCAAGTCGCCCCATCGCCTCTCAGCAAGCCAAGAAGCGCACCCAGGCCGCTACGCTGGCGCTGCATGATGGCAGCAACTCCGAGATTGACGAGCTCCTCTCACCTTCTTCGGCTTCTCCACCTTCAACACCTCCCTCACCTGGTCGCCTCCTCAAACCGCTCCCTCGTCGCTCACCAGCTAGGCAGACACGACGAGAAGACCTGGACATTGAGGCTGCACGGCGCGAAGCTGAGGCCGAACTTCAAGTTGAAGAGGCGAGGGATTGGAACAGAATGAGGCGAAGTGACGCCAGGAAGGGTGGATTGCGACGATTGGGAACAGGCCAAGTTGTGAATCAGTCACAAGCGCACCCCTCACAGGCCACTACGAGCATTGCCGACGCCGGTGCCAGGTCGACGGGTTCGGCTCTCGACGACGATGACAATGGTGACGTGAATCTGCACAGATCAAGCGAGGACTTCGACAATGAGATCGATTGGTCTTTGGTCGGCGATCACGGAGAGCAGCAGCGGTCCACTCTCAACAAGAATGCTCCGTTCAAAGCCAAAGCTCCAGCTCCCTCTACCGATGAGGACGACGCTGCTGCTGCCGCCAAGCAGCGTAGAGAGACAAGTAGGGCTCGACGACGCTTCTTGCGTTCGTCGTCGCCGTTGAGCAACGACGCTCCGGAGGGAAGGAGTGAGGGAGGGCTTGTTGAGAGTGAAGAGGAGGAGGGTGTTGAGTTGCCCTTGTGCGTCTTGGTGGATGGCGATGATGCTGCTTACGAAAGCGCAGAGCAAGGCCGGCGAGAAGAAGCCAGCAGTAGGCAGAGAGACAGCGCATCCAGCGAAGGCGGAACTCGGCAAGTAGCGAGCCGTCATGGGAAGGGCTCCTCACCTCCCTCGTCGTGCAGTATCGACCTTCCGGCGCATACTCTCGTCGACGATCATGGTGGTCGAACAGCGGTCCCTCAGAAGCAGCACCACCTTAGCTTGGCTGCCCTTGCTCAGTCGACGCCTGTGCCATCGTCCGCCTTCGCGGAGTCCAAGGCGATCGAGTTCGACGATAGTGAAGAGGCTTGGGATCGCTACCTTGAAGCGCATGTAGGGTAGTGGCAGAGATTTTGAAGAGATTTTCGATGGCTTTGACTTCTCTTTCGTTATCCACACTTCTCCATTGTATCCAATGAGATTGATGGCTACGTAGTGATTTGGCTGACCAGCATCACTTCTTACTGGAGCTCGCTGCTGCCCCTCCTGACCTGGAGGGGAAGTTCTTTGCCAAGATCTCTCTGGCCTTGCGTTTTCGCTCCTCTGCGTCTGCCATCTTCTGTTGGCCTTGGGTCACGGGTGCAGGTGCTGTGCAGTCGTGCGAGCGTGGCGCAATGTGGCTGCGGGTGGGCAAGGGGTGAGCAATAGAGCTGGAGGAGCAGCAGGAAGGGGCAGCTTGCTCACCTGGAACAGTAGAGCCCTTTACACCTCTCGCAGCTGGGCGCCTTGTGTTGTACCATCTCTCCACCACTCCTGACAGCCAATCCCGTCTTCCTCTCCTCCCCTCCGCCCACACTGCCCCCAACCACCAAGCTAAACCCTTTACATCCTCTCCTCTGACAGGGCAGCCTCCCCGTGCCCATCCCGCCTACACCTTCCCCTGTCTCCCCTCTCTGCCTCTGCGAGGTCCGCAGGATCCTCTTTGCCAACTCGCTCTCACTCAGCGTGCGAGAGGACTCCTTCGCTCCCGGAGCGGTACAGTCGTGCTGTGCAGGGAGGAAATGCGACTCGCAGAAGGCCTGACGACAGAAGGCGCACGAGAGGGGCAGAAAGGTGAGAGAGAGGCAGGTCGAGAGGTGACATGTTGTGCCGTGTTCCATGGCGGGGGCGATGATGTGATGGTGACGAGGTGAGGGAGAGAGGGGCGAGTATAAGCCAGCCAGTGGATAGTTGAGTCGGGACAAGCCTGGCGGAAGAAGGGACGGCAGGACGGGAGGAAAGAGACGATGCACGGACCGCAGGCAATGGAGAAGGATTGAGGCACCTCAATTGGAGCGATAGGCAGCCAGGAGCTCAGCAGGGAGCTCAATGACCTGATGCTCTCTCAGCAGAAGTAGGATTTTGAAAGTCTCTCAACATGACGGCAAGCCCCCTGTCCTGGCCATCGCGGCCGCCGCGCTTGCCATGATGGCGGCAACGGGCGACGTCTCAAGATTGAGGGACAGACGCGACGCGGGTCGACTCGTCGGGAGCGACGGAGCGTGGAGAAAGCGGGCCGCCGCCGTCGAGTTGATTGCACTCTTTCCTCCTTTCGCTCCCTTTCCCTACTAATCAATCATCACTTGGCGCTGGGAGGGAGGCTTATTCGACAACAAAGGCTACGCTTAGGCCGCTCTCACGGCTACGCCCCTATAGGTTGCCTATAAATACCCTGCAAAGCCCCACCCTTCATTGCAATTTCCTTCTGCAGCTTCTTCCTCTTCCTCTTCTTCTTGCTCACTGCAGCTGTCACCGCTTCTCAGCCCCACATGCCCTCCCGCCACTCCTCCCTCGCTATAGACTCGCCAGTGCGAAGTCCGCGACGCTCACAGTCGTCGAGAGGAGCCAAGGATTCTCCTCGCGCTTCAACCTCCTCGTCATCGAGGATCAGGACTCCTACGAAGCAGCATCGACGCGCTATCTGCGAATCAGATCTCGACGATAGCGATGATGAGGCACACTCGCCGCCACGTTCCAGCAAGAAAGACAAAGAAGCTGACAGGACGAAGAGCAATGGAAAAGGCAAGGCTTCTCGCCGCGATGAGGACGAGGACGACCCGGACGAGCTGATCTCGGACACGAATGACGATGAGGACGACGATGAGGAAGAAGAAGAGTACGAGATAGAGTCCATTCTGCGTCACAAGCTGGACAAGAAGACTGGGGCCTGGCAATTCCTTGTTCACTGGGCTGGATATAGCAGTGATTGGGATACGTGGGAGCCGGAGGTACGTCTGCCCTACTGCGCGGACGGCGTGGCGCTACGCAGCTTGCTGACCCATGATCCTTTACATCGTGCTCGCAGGACAACCTCAAAGCTACAGCAAATGAGGTCCTCGAGGCTTACTGGGAGAAGGTGAGAGAGGTGGAGAAGAAGTCAAAGGCGATCACTGCTGCGGCTGCTGCGAGGAAGAAGAGGGGAAGAGGAGTCGGTAGTGCGAGCCCGAATGGGGAGGACAGCGAGGTGACTGGACAGAGCGATAGTGCTGCAGAGCCGAGTAGTAGCAAGAAGAGCAAGACGAACGGGAGCGTGGCAAGTGGAAATAGCAGCGGCAATGGCTCGACGAGCAAGAGCAAGGCTGCCTCGAAGCCCAACTCGAAGCAGGGTACCCTCTCCCGCTTTCTGCCGAGCTTCTTCTCAGGCGGTGGCTCTTCAAGAGTGCAAGAAGAGGACGGCGTAGCAAGCAGTGAGACGGATCAGCTTGCACCTCCCGTCGACGAGCAGATGGACGGCACAAGCATAGATGACGATGGCGATAGTATCATCGAAGACGTGAGCCGTAGCGTCATCAAGACGGTGACCAACGCGGCTTCCGCGGCGGCCGCTGAGGCGAAGTATAAGATCAAGAAGATCGACGAGGAGCTGGATCGTGTCCGGCCTGTCACCGAGGAGGAAGACGACGAGGAGGACGTCGAGGACGAGCAAGATCACGATGATCATCTGGCCAAGCTGCGCAAACGCTTCGACGCTGTAGACAATTGGGAGGGAATGATCACGAAGGTACGTTCTTCCCTTCTCCTACCTCCTTGCTGCCTCACCCACCACCTGCTAACCCCCCATCGTTCTCCCTCCCCGCCCACCTACACGCAGATCTACACCGTCGTCCCCCTCCGAGACGTGGACAACTTCCGCGACCTCTTTCCCACCTCGAAAGAGAAGCAAGCTTGCGCCTGGATCGAGTTTGTAGACTGCGACGAGAGGCTTCTCTACCCACTCGTCGAGCTGCGCAATCGCGCACCAAAGACACTCGTGGACTATTTCACTCAGCACTTGAAGTTTGGGGAGACGAGAAAGTGAGAGGGAAGGTGGTGGCAAGCCGGTCTTATCCCCTTTTCGAGGGTCCATTGCTGTCATCTATCAATCCGTGTCCCGACCAGGGGCCAACCTGCGCCCTGTGCCCCAGTTTACGCATCACCCCATATCTCTCTCATCTTCGCCTCCCCTTGACGCTAAGCGCTCAATCATACCTCATTCTCTCTATTGCATTCTCTCAGACTCCCTTAAGCGTGTGAATTTCGTAAAGTTCATCATCGTTCCGGCAGCCAAAGTCCATGCTTGGCCCAAGGCATTTCTTTCTTTCGTACAGTGACTCAATTCGTAACGCGTGCCTCGTGTATCTTAAAGCTCGGCGCCTCTGCCCTTCTTCCCTCCTGTTGACGAGCCTGCCCTAGCGACCTTCTGCTGCTGCTGAGGCTTCGCGTCACCACCCTGCTTCTCGCTCTCAATCTCTCTGCCTCGCTTTGACTCCAACTCCCATCGATGGCGCAGCTGTGCGAGCCTGGCCTCTGCCTCGTCCAATAATTGTCCCACGCCCTGCACATCCAGCCAAGGGTCATCCTCGGGCGCTCCGTACCGGCTGCCTCGAAGACCACCAAGACCGTGTCGTGGATGCCCGCCTCCGAGGTACTCGTGAAGCACATCACGCACAGCATGCGCGACAGCCTCGGCACTCTCCGTCGCATGGCTGCTATGCTTCGCTCGGGTAGAAGCGGCAGGAGTGCGCAGCCTGTGGGGGTCGAGAGGGTCACGCTGCGGCGCTTTGCCCCATGCCCAGATGTTGGAGATGAGAAGCAAAGCCACCAAGCTCATGAGGGCTAGGCTGCCTAGCGAGGGGCTTGAATCGGGGAGGAAGGGCTTCATGGGCTCCAAGATAGGGCCCAAGATGTCTCCAAGGGGGCCAAGTGCCGCCAAAGCGCCGGAGGCAGCGGTAGAGGATGCGCCTGCTGACGGAGCAGGGGTTGCTGCGGCGCCCTTGCTCTTCTCGTCTGCCCCTGCTTCCTCTTCCTCCTCCTCCTCCTCGTCCTCCTCCTCATCGTCGCTGTCCCCAGGCTCCTTCATCTCGCTAGCATGCTGCTTGATGAAGCCGCGCAACTCTCCGTCCAAAGCCCCGTAGTACCCTTTCTGGCCATCGATACTCGCTTTATCGATCACACCCTTCAGCATGCTCCTCCCACTCCACTCCGTGGCGCACGTCACGTACACCCTGGCGTCGTTTGTCCCTTTACCCGCCCAAGTGATGCACGTACGGGTACGAACGCAGAAGCTCCCTCCCGAGGGCACGTCCGGTGTGCGCGTCGTGGTGAGAACCGTTATGTACTCTTCGGGATCAATGTGTACCTCCTCATCGCTGATGACGCATTTGGTCTGCTTCGGTCCAAATCCACCAGCGAGGGGCTTGATGTAGGACAAATCGCGCTTCCTTCCCCCGTCAACAGGCTTCCAGGGGCCAAGCTCGAGATCGAACAACTTCTGATTGTCCGTCCAGAACTTGCGCATGAACTCTTCGCCTCCCCCTGGTGAGTCCTCTGGTGCTGAGCTACCCGACCCACCAAAGAGGAGGGCGAAGAGCTTGACGGGTGTGGTAGGGTACGTCGTATCCAGGGCGATGGTGCTGAGGTGCTTCTTTTCGTTCTCGCAGGGGCAAGAGGTGGCCGCGTGCTTCGTCTTGCGTGGCTTCTTCCCGTCCGCACCCCCCTTGCCAGCAGTTGCGCCGGCTGCACCGCCGTTCGCCGTATCACCCGATGAAGAAGGGGCCTCCTTTGAATTCTTAGCCGAGCCATTCGCCTTGCCCTTTGTAGGGGAAGTAGCATCGACATCCTTCTTGCCCTTGAGCTTCTTGCGTAGCTTGGATCGCTTGCTGGGCTTGCTACTTTTCTGCTCGTCCACGTCGCTGTCCTCTTCGCTCTCAGCCTCGCCAGCTGCCGCTGCCGCAGCCGCTGCGGCGCCTGCCGCAGCACTGGGCACGTCTGGGTGGCTGAGCTTCCAGATGTTGGCCACAAGATCGTACGTGGCGTCGCGGGTGATGAAGCTGGAGAAGGTATGCTTCGCATGCAGAGTCGCAATCTGGATCGCGTTCGGAATGATTAGGGCCGTCATCCTCTTCTCGATGGCGACCGTCTCGCTGAAGGGAACCACGATATTTGTCACCCATCCAAAGATGTTGGCGTAGAAGCAGATGTGGTTCTCGCTTACGTATAGGCGACCCTGAATGAACACCTCGCGGACGAGGGCGCACCCGTAGTCTTCGATGAGGTAGTCGTCGTCGGGAACAGAGGGGAAGAGGGCGTGAAAATCGCTGTTGCGCTTTGATGAGGCGACGGCGAAGCCTGTAATTTGAGAGCCGACGTCGGAGGGCCAGCCGGTGCCCGCAGTAGCCGCTGAGTCGGGGGCGTCACTGCTACCAGCCTGCGCTGCTGTGCTGGCTCCATCGATGGCGGCCAAGCTGCGGGCCGAGCTAGGTTCTGCGTGGGAAGAGTCTAGCGCAATGGTGGGCGCACCATGCACGTTTGCCGTGTGCGACAAAGCAGGCGTGAGGAGTGCCCCGGCCTGCATCGCCGGGAAGTTGGCTGCGGCTGCCAGACCCGACGCAGAGCTGCCCTCGCTGTTCATCGACTGGGCAGAGGGTGGTCGCACGAGGTTATGCCCTTCATTTTTCACGCTGCCGCCTTGCGAGGATGAGCTACGTGAAACGTCCCTGGGATGGTATCGTACTTCCTGGCCTAGTTCATCCTTTTCTGTTACCACACCGCTCTTCGGGTCGCGATACACCCCACCTTGACTGCTGCCGACATAGTCCTTTTCGACCTTGGTTCCAGAAGGCGTCTTGGCTCGCGCCTGAGCTGCGGCCGCGACTGCTCTAGCATGGGCCTCTGCATAGGCACTGGGATTCGTCATGCCCATACCGGCCATGCCTGCCCCGCTTGCCGCAAGAGCAGAAGCGATTCCGCCTGCTCCTGGCTTGCTCTTGCGCGATTTGGTCGGAGACTGGCGGCCGTCCGCTGATGAGGAGGCATCGGACAAGGTGCGCGGACGTGCTGAGAGGAGCGCCGAGGTGGACTGCGATGGATGCATCAAGTGGTCGGTGCGGGCGCGGGTGTGGCCATGGGCGCTTGGGTCGTCGCTGGGCACCATGAGCGAGGCAGCGCGCTTCGAGTATGCAGCCTCGCTGGCGCCACGAGCGTGAGCGTGGCTGCTGAAGGCCGGCATTGAGTCGCTGCGCGATGGTTGTGCGGCATCTGGTTGCGGTGTTGTCACGTTGCTTTCGCTGGGTGCCAAAGTAGGCGTAGGTGGCACCCCATCGGCGAGGACGACATCTCCTGAGTTGCCCAACGCATCAAATGTCAAGCTTCCCTCGCCCGGAGTCTCCCTCTGCCTCCTAGCAGCATCGATATCGCCCCTCGCTGCGGCCACTTGCGCCTGAGCAATAGCAGCTTGTGCTTTCGCTTGAGCCTGCTCAGCCGCAATCTTGGTTCGGGGGCTCTCTGAGCCATTTGTCGCAGATCCGCGTGGCGGTTGAGCCTGTTGCTGCTGCTGCTGTTGAGGCTCCTCATCGTCATCATTGAGTGTCTCAGCCATGGCCAGCTTCATCCTGGCATGGCGGTCAAGCCCCTTGCTAGGCGTGGCATTCATTGCGTCGTTGGCGTTGGGCTGGCCGCCATCCTCTGATACGACTTTGGATCCTCGCCGCGAGCTCGACTTCATCGACCAACCAGAGGAGAAGGGCCCACCGCCACCACCGCCGGAGTGGCCATGGTCCGACTTGCCCTTTGTGTGATGCGACGTCGTCGAGCGCGGCATCAGCGGTGGGCGATGAGATGAGGTTGAGGAAGAGAAAGAGAGGGGAGAAGTCAAGAAGGGTCCAATCGGCGCCGTCCGTCGTAGTGCGTTGCTCGCAGCAGCCCCGTGCTGTTGGTTGGCTCTCGCCCTCGATTCCCGGTTGCTCTGGCGGCCGCTGCACGCGACTTTGTGAGGCCGCACCGCTCTTTGCTCCACACCCACGCTCACAGGTGACGTAGCGTGGCGCTCTAGCGGGCCGATGCAGAGGGGCGAGCAACGCCAGCTAGTCAAGCCGGCAGCGGTATTCAGGCCACGTCTAATGCATGAGCAGGAGAAAGCTAGCTGGTGGTGAGGAGGGATCTTTCAGACAAATGCCGGGCTCACACTCTCATCACTCTCACACTGTGCGCTGATCAGGAGATGGGCATTGTGACATCGCGAGAGTCTACAAAGCGCAACTCTCGACGCGGCACGGGTGATTGAATTCATCTTTCTCTTCGTCGCTCGCTCAAGCATTAAGCGCCTGGAGCACAGCGTCGCTCGACGTGAGCTTGACGTCAGGCGGGGCCTGCTCGACAAAGAGAGCCGTGACCTTGTTGTTCTCCACCACGGCAACGTAGCGCTGCGAGCGGTAACCACCGAGCAGGCCAGAGGCGTCAAAGCCAAGGCCAACAGCGTGGGTGAAGGCGGCCGTGTCATCAGCCAGGAAGTGAACGTGGTCGTTCTTGGAGCCAAGCTTGTCCTTCCAGGCCTGGACGGTGAACTGGTCGTTGACGGCTACCACGTAGATGTCCTTGATGCCCTTCTGCTGGAACTTCTCGACGTCAGAGACGTAGCCGGGGACGTGCGAGGAGCAAGGAGGGGTGAAGGCGCCAGGAACACCGACGATGATGTCTGCGAGAGGGGAAAGAGGGGGCAAAGGACGTAGGATGTGAGCATGGAAGGCAATGGCAGCAATTCGTCCTCCTTGCGCGCCGTTGCTCACTCTTGCCGCTCAGCTTGCCCAGGTCGACGGAGCCCTGCTCAGGGTTGTTCTCCTTGAGGAGGTGTCCGGCGGGGAGCTCAGCACCGTTCTTGATAGCGGGCTGCATGTCCTTGACCTTGTTAGCGATCTGGTGGGGGGGGGGGGGGGGGGGGGGGGGGGGGGGGGGGGGGGGGGGAAACGTTGATGAAGGTCAGAATGCGAAGGTGAAGGTGATCGTTCACGGTGTGGCGCACTTCGCACGCACCTTGTCAACGAGAGAGGCCATTTTGTCAGTTGTGTGTGGTTAATTGGTAGTGATGGGGAAGAGAAAGAGATGTTGCTTCTCGACATTCATCTTATGTACCTCACTTTCCCTCTCGTCGCTGGCCTGGCGCTGGCCTGGCGGGTCATGCGGCATCGGCGTCGCGGGTTGGCTGCCTTGCCTTGCCGTCTCGCCCTCCACTCCCCGCTGCTGCATCGACTCTCAACTCGAGGAAGTGGGCCCGAGCGCAGCTGCCCCGCGCTCTTCGTCTGACCGGCCGGCTTTTGGTTGTGTCCTGTTGATTGAGCGCATCGTTGCGTCAAGTCTCACATCGTCGATCAGCCTCGTCGATCAGGCTTCGGTTGAGGCTGAGGCTGAGGCTGTGGCTTTCCCCGCTTTCGACGGCGTTCGAGAGCCAAGACCAAATCGAAATTGCAAGAGGAGGATGGGCGGGTCGTACAAGCATATGCCGGGTAAGGAAGGCAGGAAGAAGTGAGCATCGCCGCCTTCATTGCACGCTCATAGGAGGGCGTCGATTCAGGGCCGTGTCACTGGAGGGGAGAATGGCGGTGAAATGCTGCAAGACATCTTGGGAGAGGAGGAGCGATGGCGACCGGAGACGGGCCTGCTTTCGAACCCCAGCTCATGTACCTCTACGCTCGTCGTGCCTCAAAAGGTATGCTCGCTCACGCGTCAAGCTAGGGCTCGGTCAACGAACTGCTCAATTTGATAGTGATCATTGAGCACGCGTAGTCGCCCCTCACACGCCGCGTTTTTCCGCCTCTCCTATCTACTCAACTGCACAGGGAATCGCTTCTCGTCGTCCTTCCATATGAGCTCCTTCGTCCTCAGCAAACTCTCAATGGCCGACACCCTATCCATGACCCTCTCCAGTCTGTCCTCGAACTCCGCGTCGTCCAGCGCCACCTTCGCGAATGCCCTCAGTAAAGGCATGCTCTGCGCGCGGATCTGATGATGCCGATCAATGGCAATCAGGTTCAAGTGATCCAAGATCTTGACGTAGTCTGGGCGAGTCATCACCTGACGAGCCTCTCCCCAGGAGATAGACGGGTCAGGTACGTCCAGGGAGACGGAAGGCTCCTCGTCCTGCTGTGGTGCTGGTGGCGGAGCGTCGCGTGATGGGTCGGTGAGGGGTGACTCGATCATTGCGCTGTGTGTTCCATCGGCCGGCGAGGGTTCGGAACCCTGCCGCGTCTCTCGTTCGTCATCGTCGTCGTGTTGCTGGGCTAGTCGACGACCGGCTGCGGTCTGCAGGAGTCGCGCTTGCTCTTCTTCCATGGCACGTTGGCGTTTCGCTAGCTCGAGGAAGAGGAGCCAGGAGCAGGTGGACCATTTCTGGCGGTAAGCACGAAAGAGGACTGGGGAAGGTCAGTATCCAATGCGAACTCGAGGCATCGTCTCGATCCCCACACATCTCTACGCACCTGCTCATCCATCACATCGTCATCGTGGTCCTCGATAATTGCCGTCTTGCTCAGCACGAATTGCGCATCATCTTCGACGATCTGTTTCGCCGCCTTCAGCATATCTCTTCGTCTTGCCACCTTGTTCAGTATGCTCAACCTCCCCCCTGTCAGACGATAGACGGCATCGAGCTGCTCGTCTGTATGACGTCCGGCATCCACATCCCCCCAGTACTGTCTCCTGCAGTCTCGAAGGACCGCCAAACTCTGACGGCGAGAGAGGTCCCGGAAAGTCAAAGTATCCATTCGGTTGGAGTGACGGCGCAATGCGTCATAGATGCGGTAGTCGTTGGATGTGATGACGAAGGTGCACGTACCCGCGCTTGCCCACCTCTCCGCTCTTTGCTGCAGGACAGTTAGGATCTCCAGCGCATCCTCATTGGCAGACTCGTCCTCCCCCTGCATCAGGAGATGCGCAGCATTCATCACGATTACTGCTGGGCGTCCCGTCTTCTGTCTTCTGCTGATCAGCGCCCGCTCCAGCTTGTGAAGGAGACGCTCCAGATGTTGAAAGGACGACATGCCGCTCAAATCTGACAGCCCCACAAGGTTGCCCAGGTAGTCACGGTGCATCGAATAGTTGCAGGACTCGCTCATCCGATCGACTACGATTGCGGGATCGGAGTGAGCCTCGAAGAAGGCGACGCCGTCTGCATTCTGCTCCTTCATTGCTTGGATGATGCTGGTCGTCTTTCCACTTCCCTTTGGCCCGAGGATGAGGTAGTAACGACCACGCTCTTGACCCTTCAAGATCCTCGCAATGAGATCGTCTTCTGGTCTTCCCTCGACTTTCGTGTATGCCAGCTGCTCAAGAGTCGCTGCCGAGCCCGTACCCTCGGACGACTGGACGAGGGCGAGGACAGGGTCGTACCCGGCTGCAAAGGCTTCCTCCATCTTGGCCAGGACGTTGGATTTGTACCAGGAGTTGTAGAGCAGGCCTGCGCCGCCGAGAAGAATGACGCCTGCTGATGCGCCCAGGGCAGCCTCTGCGGCCGTTGAGTTGAGGAAGCCCTTGATCTTGCTTGACGCGTTTTCGCTGCCGCCATCGTTGCTGCCGCTGCCGCTGCCGCCGCCCGCTCGGTGGTAGCCCCCTGCTCTAGACGATGATGAGCCCTCCGGCGATTCGGCCCCTGCCCTACGGGTCTTGCATTGGCTGAATGGCCGTCTCGCGGTGCGCGATGCGAAGGCCCCCGGCAGAAAGAAGGGAGTATGGTTGGCGGCGCTGCCGCTGCGGGTCGCCGCTCTGAGGAGCATGTCGGCGGTGTTGATACGTCCTCGTAACAGCCGGATGTGGAGAGAAGTCCAGCAACTCACAATGGAGAGATCAGGATGATGATGGATACGAGAAGGGCGGCAAGCTGCTCGACGTTGCTTCCTCGCTCCTTTGCTTCGCACCGCCAAGCACCGCCCTTTCTGCAAGTCAACGTCCGTGCACGCAGGCGGGAGTGGAAGACAGGTCCAGACGGAGGAGGAAGCGCCAGGCTGCTTCCCTTTCTGCCGTTCATCCTCGTCCCTTTCGCCCAACCAAAAAGGCAGTATCGCAAGAAGTGAAAGGGTTCGCCCTGTTTCAGCCATCACCATGGCTCAAACTCAAGGTGTTGGCGGCGCTACTGCGGGTCCGTCTTCCGCTTCGCCCGCACAGGAGCACCCAATCGCAGCCTGCCGTCGCATTAAGCCCATCTCTGGCAGCGCAGCAGACACGATGTCAGCTTGGCGGCGATATCGTGACGAGACCCGTCGCTCCGTACTCTCCACCTATCAAGTGCTCGGCTTCCTCTCTTCTGGTACATACGGGAGAGTGTACAAAGCGTGCTTGCGCCATCCTGACACTACAGGTACGCAAGGAGGTAAAGCGGGGAAAGTGCGCGATCCTGATGGAGGCGTGTATGCTATCAAGAAGTTCAAGCCAGACAAGGAAGAAGGTCCCAGCTACAGTGGCATCAGTCAAAGTGCTATGAGAGAGATTGCGCTGAATCGAGAATTGAGGCATGAGAATGTCGTTACCCTGCGCGAGGTCATACTCGAGGATCGAGCAATCTGTGAGTGTGAGGCCTGTCGGTCTGTAGCCTTCAACATTTGGACTCACCCAGCCTCCCATCCCTGCCACATAGATATGGTCTTCTCATACGCCTCGCACGACTTCTTACAAGTGATTCATCACCACAGCACAGTGTTACGTACCCCGATTCCTCCACCCGTCCTCAAGAGCCTCCTCTTCCAGCTGCTCTCTGGCGTACACTACCTCCATTCCAATTGGGTCCTACATCGTGACTTGAAGCCAGCAAACATTCTACTCACCTCGAGCGGCGTAGTCAAGATCGGCGATCTCGGTCTGGCGCGCCTCTATTCCCAGCCACTACAGCCACTCTACCACGGCGACAAGGTAGTAGTCACCATCTGGTATCGCGCCCCCGAACTCCTCATGTCCGCCCGCCACTACACCCCCGCAATAGATATGTGGGCCATCGGCTGTATCTGGGGCGAGCTTTTGGGGCTTCGTCCCCTCTTCAAGGGCGAAGAAGCGAAGGCAGACCCCAAGACGAAGAGCACGGCATTACAGCTCGACCAGATGGGGAAGATAGTCGAGGTCCTCGGAAACCCGAGCACGGAACGATGGCCAGCTGTAGAGACAATGCCTGACTGGCAAGGGTACTATGCTGCCATGCGGTTGGGCAGCGAGCAACGCCCCAATGTCCTCTTGGCGTGGTATCAGTCGCGATACAGGTCAGGCTCGGGGTTCGACCTCCTGGACTCTCTCCTCCAGTACGACCCTGCACGCCGCCTAACAGCGAAGGAGGCTCTCGCCCACCCTTGGTTCAAAGAGGAGACCGTCCCCACTCGAAACGCTTTTGCGAGCTTGCCCAACCCGGGAGGGACGTATCCGAGCAGGAGACTGCACAGCGATACGACTGACCCGGTCATGGCAGTCGATCCTTCGCAAGTGGCTCCACCTGCGCCCTTCGCTACGGCCGCGGCGGGAGGAACAGCCATGCCCCTCCCTGGACCACCGGCGCCTGCTCCTGCTCCGGCTAGTGGGGGCAGTCTACCGAATAGCGTGGGGGCGAGTCATGGGCATCTGTCAGTGGGCGCTGGAACGGGCAGCGCGGGAGGAGCTGGGGTGGCGGGAGGTGGTGGAGCTGCGGGTGGATCAGCGGCGCAGGGGAGAGGAGGAATGGTGGCTACCGCCGCCGCCAATGCTACTGCGCAGGCCCAGGCTCAGGCTCAAGCGCAAGCGCAAGCTCAGCTTCAGCAGCAGCAGCAGCAGCAGCAGCAGCAGAGCAAGAGGGCTCGTCTAGGCTAGCAGGGGCATGTAGCATCTTGAGAGCTGCCTGCGGTAGTACGATCACAATTCTATACCATTCACATCTTGCCCTCTACGTCGTCTACGCGAAAGCTTTCATCAACCCCTCATCCAACTTCCTCCCTTCCCACCAAAGCCCCCTCGCCATCAGCACCTTCTCGCACCCTTCGTCCTCGTTGACGCAGAAGGCTCCTCCGTCGTCCAATTTGCCCGTGATGGGGTCGGGGAAGGGGCAGCGGATCTGTTGCTTGAAAGGGCAGGGGCAGCGTGACGGGTGCGGGACGCAGGAGAGGGTGCGGGGGCAGAGGTAGGTGGGGCAGGTGGCTGTACGGGGGAGAGGGGGAGGAGAGTGAGAGCAAGGAAGAGGGGAGAAGGGGGAGAGTGAACTCACAGGCATCTACTCGGGCTTCAAACCATGAGGCATCACCACTCTGCAAAGCGTAGAGACATTGTCAGGATGCATTGCCCCACATCTGGACACGCAGGATAAGGTACTCACGGGCGGAGGCTCTTGCTCTCCATGGTGTTGCTGATGTTGTCCGCCGAAGAAGTTGAAGAATTGAGCCTGAGCTGCAGCACAGAGCAGAGCTAGGCAGGCGATGAGGAGAGTGGGCGTCATTGCGTCTCTCTGGTGGTGGATGGTGATGAGGTGGAAGAGACAGACCACAAGTCGACTTCCGACGGGGCGTCTGTGCACACGACGTTGAAGCCAAATTGGCGCCAGTCCGCCCGCGTGCGGTGCATCTCCCTCTCTCTCTTCCGGCGGCTGCGATCCCATCTTCTCTTTCCCTCCTCACCATCCGCCCCAGCTCTCTCGAGCGAGCGAGCGAGCGAGCGAGCATGACTATCCTAACCTCCTCCACCGACTCAGATACACGCGCTCTGGTCGAGGCACAATGGCTGTTCACCGAGTCGGACCTCTCTTCCACGCCCACCGTCCTCGCTGGGCTGATGAGTGTTGAGGAGGAAAGAAAGGCTAGGACGAGGGGGGTAAGCCTCCTCTTCAGGGTGGGCGATAGATTGCAGCTGTAAGTGTGGCGATGACCATACAGCAGGAGCGACAAATGTCAAGGGAAGACTGACATGATCGACGAATCCCCTGGCGCTGCGCCGGCCAGGATGAGCCATGTAGTCACTTCAGCGGCCATCTTCTTCCATCGGTTCTTCATGAGGAGAGCGATGCGACCGATTGGACACAGGGATGCTATTGGCGCGCAGCCGACATTTGTCCCACAAGTACGTACGCTCCGCCTCGGACAGGCTACCTGCTCCTGTATCCCACTCTGTGACTGACATTCGCTATCGTCGCCGCCGCCGCCGCCTCCGTCTCGTCGCTTAGGACGTGGCCCTTGCCTCCCTATACCTAGCCACAAAGACAGAGGAGAGCTACCGCAAGCTCAGCGACCTCGTTTCGGTCGGGCTGGAGATGGAGCCTATGGTGACCGAGACGCTCGAGCAGCCTACGGTGAGACCTCGGCATTTCCTCTCTTCTGCTCTCACTACCTCTCAGCTCATCTTTCCCCTTCCCCTTCTCAACGCAGGAGCAAAGCCTCCGCGCCTCCATCCTGCGACACGAAGAGCTTCTCCTCCCTACACTCTGCTTCGATCTCATCGTCCCTCACCCGCAAAAGGATCTTATTCTCGCGGCGAACAAGATGGCCATCGACAAGCCTCTCCTCCGTATCGCGTACGCCCATATCCACGATGCGTTTCGTGACCCGATCTGCATGTTCTTCGAGGCGCCCGTCCTCGCCGCAGGGGCACTGGCGCTGGCTTGCGAGGATCTTGGGATACCGGTGCCGGGCGAGGGGGTGAAGGAGGGGGAGGGGTCTACTTCGACCGCAGTAGAGGATGGCGAGGCACGACCGCCGACGCTGTTGGAGGCGTTCCAAGTCGATCAGGAGGAAGTGGATGCGGTCGTGAAGGACCTCAAGGCCGTCCGCGAGGTGCTCTTCGCTGATCCGAAGCTCTACCTTAGCTCAGGCAGGTTTGCGCCTGCCTCTGCAGCAGCAAAAGCAGCAACAGCAGCGCAAGCACAACGCAGCGGCATCGACTCCGGCCTGGCCACGCCGCACCATCAGTATCGTCACAGAGAGACTTCTCAGCCGACGGCGAGCTCGATGGGCAATACGCCGATCCTGAGGGGAATCAGCGCGGCGGACATGGGCGTGTCACCCTTGCCACCGCCGCCGATGGAGAGGGTTGCGGCTAGTGTGGCTGCTCATGGCTCATCGAGGCCTGACTTGGCGAGGCCGCCGAGTAGGCACGGCAGCGTGAGGTCGGAGGGAATGGCATTTGGGGCTGGGCCGTCGTCTAATCCAGCAGGAGGGGCACAAAAGCCGAAGCAGGCGTCGTACGTGCCTCTTTCCCCTGTATTAGCACCGCCGGAGGAAGAGCAAGCACCTGGACCCGCAACAGTCGAATCAAGTACGGCCGCTCGACCAAATCCCCCATCGCAACCAGCCCCGGCCTCCCGTCCAGCCAAATACGTCCCTCTCTCCCCGCCCAACTATAGCGATCCAGTACCCATGGATACCGACTCATCGCCCGCACTACGGCCGTCTCAGTCCCAGCAGCCGCGTCCACCAACGTCAGTCATGGCCTCGGCAGCTGCCACGCCCGTGCAACGTCCACGAGTCGCAGAGCAGGAGGCGGCACAGAAGGTGGGGAGGGAGCAGGAGAAGAGCGAGAGGGCGGCTGTCTCGGCAATACCTGCTGATCACGAAGAAGGGGAGATAGATGAATGAGTTGAGTGCAATGCTATGTGCTCGCTACCTTGCTTGCGATGCTATTCTGATCATGGTGGTAGTCGAGCGCCTGGAGCGAGCTCGGGTGTGTGCATCGTGCCGCGGTGAGATTTTGGCGGGCGGCAGGTGGAGATGGAAGAGAAGCGGCGAGAGTCAAGCGGGCGCCCTCGAGTCAAAGCGCAAGCGCAGGCGCAGCGGAAGAAGACTCGAAAGGCGGCGTGCAGCTTTGCGCTTTGATTTCCACTTTCACTTTTGATTCATCGAACCCACCACATCCACTTCTTCCTGTCTTCCTTCTTCCCCTTTCCACTTACGCACGACATGGCCCTCTTCCACAACAATGCCTCCTCCCCGCTCTCGGCGCTGGATGACACACGCATCAAGCGCATCAGGCCGTTGATCCCGCCGCAGATCCTCATCGAGGACTACCCGCTCACCGTCGAGGCGGCTGCGACTATCGCCAAGGGTAGGCAGGATGCTGAGGCTATCGTCAAGCAGCACGATGACAGGCTGGTCGTCATCGTCGGGCCTTGCTCCGTGCATGATGTGACCGCTGGCGTGGAATACGGTGAGCCAAGGAGCCCCGCTGTCGTGCGGACCGCAGCAGCTGATCCTCATCCCTCCTCGTACCATCGCAAACAGCCAAGCGCCTGGCCGCCTACGCTCGCAGCGCCAAGTCTGACCTCCATATCATCATGCGCGTCTACTTTGAGAAGCCTCGCACCACCGTAGGATGGAAAGGCCTGATCAATGACCCAGACCTGACCAACAGCTTCAACATCAACAAGGGTCTTCGTCTTGCTCGCGGCTTCCTTCTCGAGGTCAACAACCTCGGCCTGCCCGCGGGAACCGAGTGGCTTGATCCGATCACTCCGCAATACAACGCCGACCTGGTCAGCTGGGGAGCCATTGGGGCGAGGACGACTGAGAGCCAGGTGCACAGGGAGTTGGCGAGTGGATTGAGCATGCCCATTGGGTTCAAGAACGGGACAGATGGTAGCATTCAGGTCGCCGTCGATGCCATCAAGTCGTCCTCTTCTCCCCACTCCTTCCTCTCCGTCACCAAACAAGGCATCAGCGCCATCGTCGAAACCCACGGCAATGACGCCTGCCATGTAATCCTTCGCGGCGCCAACTCCGGCCCCAATTACTCACCGCAGCACATCGACAGCGTGGCTGCGCAGCTGGACAAGGCGGGCATGGGCCGACGCATCATGGTGGACTGCTCGCATGGGAACAGCGAGAAGAAGCATGAGAACCAAATGAAGGTCGTCAAGTCCATCAGGGAGCAGCTCGAGGGGGAGAGGGCGTGGGATCTCATTGGTGTGATGATTGAGAGTCACATTGAGGAGGGGAAGCAGAGCATTCCTGCTGAGGGACCACAGGGACTCAAGTACGGGCAGAGCATTACGGATGCGTGTGTCAATTGGGAGACGACGGTGAAGGCGTTGGACACGTTGAGGGAGGGAGTGCAGAAGAGGAGAGAGGTCGCGGGAAGCAGGGCGCCTGCGGGGATGAGGGTTCGCGGGCAGGCTTCGGGTACTGCTACGCCTAATGGTGTTGGGGAGGGAGGCGTCGAGCAAGGTCAAGGCTTCAATGACGCGGCACTGCAGGGTAGTATGGCGGGGCTGGGTCGCACAGGCTTGGGCGGCGGGTTCAACGATGAGGCGCTTGCCAAGGGTTTGGGAACTGGGGCGCTGTCGTCGTAATTAGGAAACACGAGCGACGAGCTGGCCTGTGACATCTCATCTCTGCCCGCATTGCCAATCAAAATCTAGCATGTACCGTTCGATTTCTGATGGCTACTGCCCTTCCTCATCGAGCCAGCGTTGCTCTACCACCCGCCTCCACGCCGCGTCAGGAGGAAAGACGGGATAGTCACACCTCACCACCTGTCCCTCACGGATGAGCAGAGTGCATCGCTTGAGATAGGTGTTGCCTTGATGCTCGAAGGTCGGGAGGTCCAGCGCTTTGCTGAATTGGTGGGATGAGGCTGGGTGGCTGGAGAGGAGGGGGAACTGCGCGTCACAACGGGGAGAAGACGATCAGCCAAAGAGTGTAGGTGGGTAGCAGCTCCCGACGTCGTTGACTCACATTGAGTCCTAATCTCCCGCTAACCTCCCGCTGCCACTCCTGATCATCTCCGCTCATCCCATAAATCATCACGTCGTTGCCTCCCTTCCTCTCCCGTCGCAACGCGGTCAACCCTTCCCTCACGCCGACTAGCTCCGGCGTGCATCCTCTTGCCCCCGCGATCTCATCCCATCCATTCCCAGGTGGTGCATTGGGCTTTCCCGTGTGCGGGTAGACGAAGAGAAGGATATCCCGCTCTGGGTGGGTGATGCTGCGCATGAAGAGGTCGACCTCTCCTTCTCCGTCCTCCTCGCATTCTGATGGGGAGGAACTAGAGGGATGGATGACGCGAAGAGGTGCACAAGCTGGTAAAGGGTGGCCAACAAGGTGGATCGTCCCTCCGTCGTTTTCTGGGACTGGGAGGTTGGAGGGGAGGGAGAGGCCGTGTGATGCTGCGCTGTTGTTGTTGCTGTTAGTGCCAGATGGCAGGGGCGCGGAGGAGCTAGATGCTGCGTGGGATGCCATGGCTGTGGTGGCGAAGGAGCGTCGAGGGCTCGTGCGGCGCTGGGCAGGGTGGTGGCTGTATGCTAAGGATGCTACTCCGAGCGATGCGGCGTTAGTAATGCTCCACTTGCTCTTAATGTCGCTCTTCCCCGAGTAGCTGGGCCGACAATGCGAGGTGGAAGCGCAGGAGAGAAGACGAGCCGTGAGTGATGCTGAGTCTGCCAAAGTAGCAGCGAAGGCCATGGACTCCCAAGGGCAGCTGATTTCGTTGTGTTGAAGCGACGTTGGCAATGAGAGACACGACGAGCCTTCATTCTGTGGCCCGAGCGAGACACTCCACGAGTGAAAGTCGCCGGCCGCGGCTTGAGTCAGACGACGGACAGGCGGAGACGAGGAAATTGGAGGCTGCGACCTTGGAGTCGTTGCGTCGTGATTTGCTTCCCCCCCTCCTACATCCTCAATATGTCTGCAGCTGCTGGGCCATCGCGGCCGAAAGCGCCCAACAAATCAGGCCAAGCAGCATCATCATCGTCAAAATCTACGTCCGCAGATGACAGCCTCGCCTCCGCTGGTGGTGAAGGAGGGGCAGGCGGTGAAGGCATTGGCGGCGCAGCCAGCGACGACTCGGACGACGAGGTCGCAGACTTCCGCAACCTCCTGCCGCAGCTCATCGCTCAAAGAAAGGATGCCAATGCCAGCGGTCTCGGGCATGGATCTCTTCCGAAGCGCGGCGAAAAGGACTTTGAGCCCACAGGGTTTCGCGGACAGGAGAAGAAGCTCGAAGAGAGCCGTCGGGCTATGCAGATGGTCATTGGCCAGGAGAGGAGGATAGGAAGTAAGAGCCTCTCGCTCGCAATTTGGCGCCCGGAGCTGAACAGGGCTGTGGTCGACGTTGCCAAGGGCAATACCATGGCAGCGCTAGGCGTGACGACTAGGGCGCCTGTTACGATTAGCTCGGCCGCTGAATTGCCCGTGGGCACTCAAGATGTGGTCGGGCCGAACAATCAGGTTGGGGTATGGAAGAACGACATCTTTTACCCTCGCTACACCTCCCGCCTCGAGCTCTTGCCGGAAGAAGCCCTCTATCTCCTCGAGCGAGGCTCTTTGGAGTGCCGTCTCGCCATGCCCCTTTGCGATTCCCCCACTGGAGAGCAAGTAGAGGTTCCCCTCTCACTGCAACATGCCTTCAGCCTCATGCTGAACAAGGACGGACTGACACGAGAGCGCTATCAGACGTACGCGTACCTCAAGCGATTGGGCTACTACGTACAGCGGGCGGATGTGGCTGAGCAGTTGAGGGTAAAGGCGGCTGAGGCTAGGCGAAAGGAGAAGGAAAGGGATGCCGCATGTGATGACGGGGAGGACGGAGAGATCAAGACGCCCAAAGCGGGGACGAAGGGTATCATCGCCGATCCTAAACGTCCGCTAAAGCTGGTCACGCTGTGGGACCTCCTGACATACGTGCCGAGGAGGGCGGCGCAGATCCTCTTCACTGCACTGGCGTGGCTGAAGGCAAGGATCGCCAGGGTAATCAATGCGCTCTGGACGTCGAGAAGAGGTGGCAGCGCCGCAGCGAATAGCACGAAGCCAGGGTCAGGACGAGGGCTGCTTGGTATTGGTGGGGCCAAGTGGGACTCATTTGGTGTGTACCGAAGAGGCTGGAATGACGGACCCTAAACATAATGGCTGACTTCCCTTTTCACCCCTTACTCACAGACTCCGTCTACTCGCAACTCCGCATCATACCTAGCGGACACAACTCCACGGCCTCAACCAAGGCACAAGCGACCGCCACTCCCTCCTGCTCCTCCTCCTCGAATCCCTTCCTCCCCTTCTTTTACGCCTGGCGTCCCGCCACCCACTTCAAGAAGACGGATCCGCCTCTCCCCGAATACCGCATTGCCGTCATCCCCGCCCGCTCCACTTTCCTCCCCAAGCTCGCTGAGTTCACAGAAATGTTTGGAGCGGTCCCGCTGCCATTGGAAGAGCAGGGCAAGCAGGATGATGAGGCAGGAGAGGGAGAAGGGGACGGGGAGAGGCAAGAGGAGGAGAAAGAGGAAAGGAAGAGGGCATTGGCTGAGAAGAAGCGCAATGATGAGAGCTATGGGCGGGGTTTCGTGCAAAGGAAGAAGAAGGAGGAGGCTGTTGCGAAGAGGGACAGGAAGAAGGAAGGCAGCGCCTCTGTGGAGCAGGGTGGGGAGATGCAGGGCTCGTCCAGCTGGCTGAACAGGCTGAGGATCAACATCTTCTCGCGGCTCCTGGGCATCCTCGAAAGACTCGCAAGCCTCTTCGCTCACCTCCCTCCAGGGTGCCAACAGCATGCCGCGCCACGGACATTTGGTGGGCCTCGAGGAGGGCCAGGTGGTCCTCGCCCACCATTCAACGGGCCACGTAGACCCAATCCTTTCCCTCCTCTTAAGGCAGGCCGTCGCAACGTCATCGTTGCAGTGGTGGATCATGGCACAACGAGCTTGCTGCGATTCGGAGAGGCCGAGTTCGAGCGGTGGAAGTTGATGGGGTGATTTGGGTGCGAGAGGATTGCGGTACTTCGCAATTGTGTATTTGTAGCAGTTCAGATTATGCGCAATAAGTGAAGTCGTGAGCTTCATGAGAGTAACGCCTAAGGGCTGAACCTCGTATGGGCCCTCCGCTCTGAAGTTGCAAGTCGAGCAAATTTGCGCCGTTCCGCTCCTTCCTTCCCCGCCTACAGCCTGGACTGGGATTTGACCTTGACCTGCAGCTCCCATCGTCCGTCCTCATCGTCTCTCCGTCCTTCTCGTCACCACTGCCACCTCTTCTAGCTAACCTCGCCCAACATGCATCTCATGTACTCCCTCGATTCGCAGGGGAAGGTGCGCATCTCACCTTGGCTCATCAGCTTCGACTCCTCGCGAATACCTTTGCTGACCATCCGCCTTTCCTCGCCTTGTTCGCACCTCTCCCTTCTCCCTTTTCCTTTCCTCTCCTTCGTCCCCAATCACCTCTCGCAGCGCGTCTACACCCTTCGCAAGGCTACCCCTGCAAACGAGATCACCAAGTCGGCACACCCTGCCCGTTTCTCTCCTGATGACAAGTTCTCGAGGCATAGGGTTACCGTTAAGAGGCGCTTTGGGATTCTGCCAACGCAGTTGAGGGCGAAGCCGCTTTAGATTGGCGAGAGGAGGGTATGAGGCGGGAAGGCAAGAGGATGCGGGATGGGAGGGGATGCTTGGTGATTGAGAGCTTAAGATGTAGCTTCTGAAGGGCATGAGGAGTTGAGGGCTCGAGGTAGCGAGGGATGAGAGGAGAGACGGTGTGAGACAACTTCGGTGGACGAGGCTGCACGTCCACTTGCAAGTTTGGAGAGGCGAGGGATATCCCGGGGCAGGCACCAGTCCTGCTTTTACACACGCAATAGCGATCCTGTATCATCACCTGAACGGAGGCGTCGCTGCCTTGCTCAGACCCTGAGAAGCAGTCCTCTTGCCCTTTCTCGATATTGTCGGCACAATCTGGCCCGCTGTCGGGGCACTGCTGGGCGGCAGACACCGACCAGTTCACGATGGCAAGCCTAGTAGAGCTCACCTCTCTGTCCCTCTTGCGTGCTTGCTCTATCGTCTCATTCTTCTCACGTTGCTGCTGGCTGAAGCGTTCTGGTGAGCAATGCGGATGGCGGCCAAAAAAAGTCGTGTCCTTCCGTTGGCGCAGCGCCAGTCCGCCGTCGTTTCCTTCGTACCTTGTCAACCCTACCGCACACCAAGATGGATGCTCAGCAAGGCGGTTCGTCATCGCAGACGGCCAGTTTAATCTGGTCACAGCCCTCCTCAAGCCGGCTGCGCCTGCCAAGGACGACCTTACGCAGCCTTGGACTAGCGGCAGGCAAGGGAGTCATCGTCGATGGGGTTGAGGGTGGACAGGTTGTAGATGGCCCGTCGTCCTCGTCCTCGAAGGCGTCGCCATCGAGGTGGATGGCAGCAGCCGTCGCTTGGCCTCTTGACCCCGTAACGGCGCCAGCACAAGCCTCTCGTAGATCTATTGAGCCTGCTGCGGCCGCAGGGCAAGGCTCAATACCGCTCTGCCTGTGCAGCGAGGCAAATCCTTCCTCGTCCAGTATTGCAGTCAAGCTTGCGCCGGCGCCGGCAGCTGTTCCGGAAGCTTGGGAAGTCACGCTGCGTATTCAACAGGTCGAGCAGCGAAGCAGCAGTAGCGCTGGTCAGCATACAGCCAAGCTCGATCGAGCAACGCGTGACCTCCTCGCTATATGCGCCAAGGAGCTCCTGGTGGACCTTGCCTTCCTCGTTCCCGGTCAGTCACTGCGAGTCTCAATACAGTCTACGGACGTACTGCTACAAGCCATCGTAGTAGGGCGCAGCGAGCTTCCCTCCTCTCTTGAAGAAGCGCAACGCTCCCTCGTTAGCATTGGCCGCTCCACTCGCATCAAAGTCGTCAACAGCCTCTCGCCCTCCGCTCCCTCAGAACCAGCCAGTGCTCCCTCAGCACCAACAAAACGTCTGGGCGGCCTACATCGCGAACTCGCTCAACTCCACGAACTAGTCACTCTCCCCCTTCTACGACCCCACCTCTTCTCCCAACACGGTCTACGCCCCCCACGCGGCGTCCTCCTTCACGGCCCTCCTGGAACGGGCAAAACCAGCCTCGCACTTCAAATCGCCTCTTCCTTCCTTCCTCCTTCTGCCATATTCACCATCTCCGGTCCAGAATTGAGCTCCTCGTATCATGGACGGACCGAAGCCCGGATCAGGGGTGTCTTTAGACGTGCGAGGAGGGAGGAGATGAGTGTGGTCATTATCGATGAGATCGATGTGATTGCTGGGAATCGGGAGGGGGACGGGAGTGATGCTGTGGGAAGTAGGGTGGTGGCCACGCTGCTTACCGAGATTGATGGCGTGGGGGGCGAGTACAAGAAGACGGGCAAGGGTAGGAACGGGGAAAAGGTTATGGCTGGCGAAGGGGGAGAGAATGAGGAGGGTAGCGAGGGAGGTAGCGATAGTGAGGACGAGGAGGTCTCAAGCGATGAAGACGACGAGGGCAAACCACGTCAACCACGCCCACCACCGCGCATGGTCGTCATTGCTGCGACCAATCGGCCAAACTCCCTCGATCCGGCTCTCCGTAGGCCCGGTCGCCTCGACAGGGAGATCGAGATCGGTGTACCGGATGCAGCTGCCCGTCTCGACATTCTTCAGGCGCTACTGGCCCAGACGCCTCACGACCTAAACGCGGACGACCTTCAATCCGTGGCCGATACGACGCATGGCTTTGTAGGAGCCGATCTGACTGCCCTTGTGAGGGAGGCAGGGATGCGGGTCATTCGCAGGGAGTTGGCTGATGAGCACGGCCGAGAGGAGGACCAGGGCTTGGCGCTGGCTACCAACGAGAAGCTGCGCATCAATGGCGATGGCAACAACGCCAGCGCAGACGCTTCCTCGCACCGTCTCCTTCTCTCAGACCTGACACACGTCATTCCAACTCTTCGCCCCTCCTCGCTCCGGTCCGTCCTCACCCCTGCACCCCTCCCTTGGTCCTCCATCGGCTTGGGCAGCCCCACCTCTCCCTATTCTCTCATCCGATCCAGCATCCAACAAGCCATCGAGTGGCCTCTTCGCCACTCAGACCGTATGCGTCGGCTAGGCATAACGGCCCCACGCGGCGTCCTCCTGTACGGTCCTCCCGGATGCAGCAAGACAATGATCGCCCGTGCATGTGCTCAATCCCTCTCTGGGGGAAAGGGAGGAAGTGGCATCAATTGGATAGGTGTCAAAGGCCCGGAGTTATACAGCAAGTACCTTGGAGAGACGGAGCGCTCCCTCCGTGAAGTCTTCCGCAAAGCACGCGCTGCGGCCCCGACGGTCTTGTTCTTTGACGAGATTGACGCTCTTGCTCCTACCAACAGCGGAGGGGAGTCGGACCCCGTCGCCGAGAGGATCCTCGCTACGTTGCTGACGGAGCTAGACTCGTTCGACTCGACGAGTTCCGGCTCGGGCAGTACGGGTCCAGGGGTAATCGTGCTAGCGGCAACGAACAGACCGCAGTTGCTTGCCCCCTCTCTGCTTCGCCCGGGAAGGCTCGAAGTCCATCTCTTCGTCGGTTTGCCGGACGTGACTGCTCGAAGGGACATTCTGAGGATCGCGACGGAGAAGATGGCCCTTGCTCGCGATGCAGAGGGTGCAGTGGATCTGGACCGGCTCGCGGAGATGACGCAAGGGTGCTCAGGAGCTGAAGTGGTAGCCATGTGCCGTTCTGCCGGACTGGTGGCGATGCGCGAAGCCATGGCTGCCGAAAGCGAGGGCAAGATGGGCCAAGGCGAGGATGATGTGGTGATGCAGCGCCATTTCGAGGAGGCCGCTGCCGGTGTGCGAAGAGGTACGGATCGCGAGGCGTTGCGCAAGCTCGAGGCGTGGGGAAAGAGTCTGGGAACCTGAATCAGCAGCTTAGTTCGAAGCAGACGGAGCAGGACGTGCGTTTGTTGGCAACATAATGATGATGTGATTCAAGAGACGAACAGAAAGAAGCCCGGCGCGTAGAGAGGCTCTCAAAGAGTGAGGTGAGATGAGCGGTAGGAAGGCCAGAGCAAGGAGTGGGAAGCCCATAAGAGAGTGCGTGGTGGCGTGGGGAGAGGAGGGAATCAAGAGTCGAGTCAAAGTAGTACAACGCCCGAACGCTCTGGGACGGGGTGATGCTGCGGAATGGATCGATCGTGGGGTTGGATGATGGTGAGAAATTCGTGCGCCGCAGTTGGTGCAGCTTTCCTCATGCCGGAGACCCCCCTCTACCGCTCGTCTATCTCTCCCTCTCATCGTGCCTTACCTCGCCCTCGCTCTCCTTTCTCACTGACGTGCGTGCCCGCTGCCCGCACACGTCACCCGTTCTCCCCCCCCCCCCTCCCCCCAATTACCGCCTCCCACTACTACTGCTTCCAAAGTCAACCCTTCTCGGCGTCGGCGCCGTACTGCCCCCATCCGCCCTCGGGTGCTTAACCCTGAACTCGCTCAGTATACAAATATGATCCGACGGGAAATGAGCATTTGGGAAGCCTACCACTTTGCTCAAGTAGCCGCGTTCGACCTCTCCCAGCAACCCAGTGACGGCAAGCGCATTCTGGTTGTACCAGACATAGTCGATGATGCCTTCGAAGTTGGGCGTGTAGTTGGTGAAGGGCAGCTCGCCGATATTGGCGTAGGCCGACTTGAGCGGGAAGCGATGCGTCATACCGTCAGCCGTGTAGCGGCCGTAGGTGTGGTTCATGAAGTCTTCGTGCGACCCAGAGAGGGAGCCGGAGGACATGTAGTCGTAGACTCCCGAGGAGGGCTCAGAGTTGAAGTCGCCACAGATCATGGTCGGGATCTGCGTCCCGCTCGTGTACTTGGGCGCCGGAGGGAAGCCTTCCGCCACATTGAGCTTCGGAGGGAACTTGGCGAATCGCTCAGCAATCTTGTCCAGCTCGTCCATGAGCATCGCTACTTGAACCAATTTGACGTCGCGGAAGACTGGGTCCCAGTGGATATGCACATTCACCACGATGAGGCGTGACCCGCTCTCCTTGTTCTCTAGGAGGGTGACCACAGCAATGTTGTCCTTCGTCATGACGCGGTTGAACATGTCTTCCGTCTTCTTGAAGTCGGGTCTCTGCAGCGCAATCTGGTTGAACTCGACCAGCTGCTTCTCAATGAGAGTGAACTTGCTCGTCTTGTAGAACGTCGCGCATCCATCGACTCGGCGTCGTTCGTCGTCTCGCATGGTTTTTGAGCGCGATTTGGGCCAGAAGACGCCCTCGTACTCCTGCTGGGAAAGATGATGCAGGAAGTACTCCTCGTACTGCTCTGCGACAACCTCCTGCAAACAGCAGATGTCCGCGCCGTAGGACATGACCTCTTGGAGGATAAACTCCTTGCGGTACTCCCAGGCGAGGGCCCAGCTAGGCGTGTAGCCGTACATGGATTGCGTGGCATAGTGCTCCCCGAGGACATTGTACGAGAGGGCGTTGAATGTCTCCGTTGGGGCCGAGTCATCGCCCAGAGATGGAGGGAGATCGGGCTCGATGGAGATCCACTCGCGCTCCGGTGGGGGAAGGGGAACTGGGCACGAGTCGCGCAGGAAGGCGATGACGGCTTGCGTGCCATCACGCTGCGCTAGGGAGCGGATGTTGTCTGCCATTGGGTTGCCTTCGATCCCCAGCATGTCCAGGTTGAAGAGCATGCCCAGTTCTGGTGGAAGCATCGACAGCTTGTTGTCAAACAAGTACAGCTCCTTGAGTCCCGTGAGCATGCCCATCTCCGACGGCAAGCTGACGAGATTGTTGCCGCTCGCATCGAGAATCGTCAACTTCTTCAGCTGCGCAATGTCCGGGCTGAGCGTAGTGAGGTTGTTGTGGTTGATGAATAGGGAAGTCAGGAAGTCGTAGCGGTAGAGCTCCGGAGCCAAATTGCGCAGACTGAGCCCTCCCATATCGATCGTCGTCCAGGACTGCTCGCCCTCGTCGCCGCCCGACGTCGAAGCTTTTCCTGACCCATTGACGTCCGTACCGTCTGGGCCTGCTGCTGTATCATCAGACTGCGCCTCCTTCTTGCTGCTCAGCGTGAGACCATTGGCCGCCGTCTGCGGTATATGCATGGCGCCCTTGTTAGGGTCCTGAATGGCAATCGCGGCGCTCGTTGCACTCCTCGCTGCGAGAGCTGCTGCTCTTGCGTGGTGGTGAGCGGATGTGGATTGGCGTGAGATCTATGCGCGAACAGTGTAAAAGGGTAAGTATACGCCCCCCCGACCGCTACCTCGCCTCTCATCCCGCGCCCGCTCACCTCTGCCTTGAGTAGCTGCTGCTGCCAGTGAGGCGAGAAGCCGCTGCCTCCTGCGCCACCTGCGCCGCCCATGGTATTGGACGACGACCCTGATGAAGAGTAGTGGGGAGCGGTGGTGTTGTTGAGAGCGCCGGGCGAGGGCATATGTGACAAGTTGCTCGGCGTATGAGAAGCGTGTGGATGATGATGGGGATGATGGTGTTGAGCCGGATGATGAAGCGCGGCAAAGCCTCCTGGCGACGATGGCCCTCCATTAGGACCGCTCAATGATGAAGCAGCCGATGAGTGAGCCAATGAGCCAGGGAGGGAGGAGAGGGATGGGTTCTGCTGATGCTGGTGATGGGATCTTGGTCCCCAGCCTCCCAATGTAGCAGCCTGCTGCTGCTGAGGGAAGCGGGGCAGGCCAAAGCCCGCATTACCATTGGGAGGCGGCGGTGGGCCGAAGCCATTTGCGCCTCCTCCTGCATTCGATCCGCCGCCTACTGCGCCCGAGTTGTTGTGATGCGAGTTAAGGTAGAGGTAAGCCGGCCCTGGCGATGGTGAGGGCGACGGCGCTGGTGAGGGGAACATGGTCGTGTTGTGCAATCGACGGCGGCCGTTGAGGAGCAGTCACCGCGCTGCTAGGATAATGGTCTTGGTAGGGGTGGCGACGGTCGCCGCGAATTGCTTGTGTCGTGCTGGTTGTGCTGCAGTCGTCTTCGAAGTGAGATGGCAGTGATGGAGGAGAATGTCTAGAAGCAGCAGCAACTGCCAGCAGCATGTTCCAGCGCAAGGGGTAAGATGTCGTAGAGGAGGAAGGTGGAAAGGAAGCGGAGTTGGCAGATCAACTGCAATGCAAGGTGCAGAAGATGATGATGGTGGTGGTGGGCGTCGGGTGGAGAAGCTGTTGGATCAAACCGCCGGAGGAGTGGGCTCAGGCGGCGGTGACGTCGACTTCGAGGTCAGGCAGCGTCTGAGCAAAGGCGAACAAGTGTAGCGTCGCCCTCAAAAGCTGATGTGCTTGCAACGTCAAAGTTGGATGGCTGCGCCGTCGTCTCGATGATGGTAGTGAGGGGTGTAGGAAGTTGCAGTCCTTGGACGATGGAGCGAGCGATGCGATGATGCAGCCAGGCTCGTCTCGGCGGCTCTACCTCTCTCTCTGTCGAGCGAGTGGATGATCCGCCTCGCTCAACTCGACCGCTCGATCCGTGCTCGCTGCTCTCTCCGCCCGCCCGCCCCCTTGCCTTCCTTGCCTTGCCTTGCCTCGCCTGGTCGGACGGGAGCGATGACGAGACGACGAGACTGCATGCAAGGCCGGCTCCGAAAGACAAGAACGTCGTGGTGTCACCATTAGAGGCGATAGCATACAGCGAGATCATCATTGCAATACAGAATGGAAGATAGACAACAATGAGCAAACTGACGTCGAGGTAACAAAGAGAGCTCCCCAAGTGCATACGGCCTCCATTGGCCACGCTCAGCCTGTGCTCCCGCCCAGCTCGTACGACACCCCATTGAGATGAAGGCGCAGAGCTGCCTGACCTTGAGTCGCGAATCCTGTCTTGGACGACGTCGTCGTATATCGTATCAAAGCCTCCTCGCTACCTCAATCGCAATAGCATCGATGCAAGCTGGTCATGACACGCGACAGTGTCGCGATTTGGCCGCCTCAAACGCCTCCCACGGGCGGCGGACAGAGTTGAGCTGATTTGGGTTGGCGGGATGGCCAGGCACGGAGTCAACGCCAGGCATGCGTCGTGTTCGTGTCGGTCCAGGGCAAGCGGGAGCAGGGGAGGACGGACGGGAAGCGGGAGGCGCCAGCTCTCATGCAGCAGCAGCAGCAAGCAGCCAAGCCTCCGCCGTTACTTCGTGTTGCTTTTGGCTGAATTTCTTCGCACCTCGAGAGGCATAGCATAGCAGAGCCCTCTTCTCTTTCGATCCTCATCCACAATTGCCCCTCGCGCTGAGATGTCATCAAGATCCTTCTTCGCGCCAGAAGGCCAACAGCAAGCTGCTTCGACGACTACGGAGCACGGAAGGCAGTCCCCACCGCCCTCGTCTGGCAAGGACGATGACAGGCAGCCTTTCCTGCCTAATGGCAACGCGACTGGCAGGCGAGGCAGCGTAGGCGCCAGCAGCGGCGGCGGCAGTGGTGGGCAGATGCACTTGGGAGGAGCAAGTGACTCCTTGTCGGGCGTCAAGGCCCTGCCCCCCATCCTGAGCTACTGCTCAGCTAGTATCATGATGACCGTCGTGAACAAGGTGAGCGCGTCGTCCGAGATTCGCAGCATCAAACACTTAGTCTGACCCTCTCTCCACCTCCTTCTAAACCGCGCACCCGCAGTTCGTCCTCAGCGGCGCTCACTTCAGCATGAACCTCATCGTCCTCCTCATCCAGTCCATCGTAGGAGTCCTCTGCGTTATCGCAGCCAACAAATTCGGCCTCATCGAGCTGCGTCCCCTCAACTACCGTGACGCCCGAAACTGGGCGCCCATCTCCACCCTACTGGTCCTCACCATCTGGACGGGCAGCAAAGCGCTCCAGTACCTGAATATCCCCGTCTACACCATTTTCAAGAACCTCACGATCATCTTGATCGCGTACGGCGAGGTCATCTGGTTTGGCGGCAGGGTGACCCTCTTCACCTTCTTCAGCTTTATGCTCATGGTCCTCTCGTCGATCATTGCAGCTTGGAACGACATCTCCCGCGCTTTGGCCATCGCCCAGCTCTCTATCCCGCACACGCCGGACAACATCTCAGACGGCAAGACCTTTGACCCCAACACGCACAACCCAATTGCAGCCTTTGACCCCTTGGAGAACGAGAAGGCCAAGCTCAACGCAATGCAAGCCGCTGGAGCCAACACAGACGGGGACGTGCTGGACGGTATGCATGGGTGGGGGCTGCTCAACTCTGGCTACATGTGGATGGCTCTCAACTGTCTCGTGTCTGCAGCGTACGTCCTTGCGATGCGCAAGCGTATCAAGTTGACAGGCTTCAAGGACTGGGATACGATGTATTTCAACAACCTCCTGTCTATCCCCGTCCTCCTGATCATGTCACTCCTCGTCGAGGATTGGTCGTCAGCAAGCTGGCAGACCAATTTCCCCGCCGACCGCAGGTCGGGTCTCCTGACAGCTATCGTTTTCAGTGGAGCTTGCGCCGTCTTCATTGGATACACGACGGCGTGGTGTGTCCGCACGACCAGCAGCACAACGTACAGTATGGTCGGAGCCTTGAACAAGCTTCCCCTCGCCGTGAGTGGCATGGTCTTCTTCCACGACCCGCCCGTCTCCGTCGGGTCAGTCTCCGCCATCTTCGTCGGCTTCCTCGCTGGAGTCGTCTACGCTATGGCAAAGAATGCTCAAGCGGCGGCAACGAAGAGGGCTGCGGCGGCTGCGGCTGCGAGTGGGAGCACGTTGGGCGAGTCGGCCGGCGCGCTTGGTGGGGAGGGAGGTAGCGGCAAGAGCAAGGATGGGTTGGGGGAGATCCCGATGCACAGGATGGATGACAGGAGGAGAGATTGAGGTCACCGTGTATGAGAGGCTACTCGATATGGAGTGGCTATGCTCGATTTTGCAAGTTTAAAGCTGCGAGGAAGAAGCTTCTCGATGGGTATCTGATAGCCGCACATTGTATCATGCTACAAGAAGAATGATTGATTCGCATCGAAGCACCATAAGCATGGCAGATGATAGCATTTTGCTTGCAAGTCATATCGCGCATCGCTACCGCCCTTTCCCTCATCAGCTGGCACCCCCACCTCTTCTCTTGAAGAAGTCTCCAACGGGTCGAGCGTTCTTCTTGCTCTGCCCCTTGCCTCTCTGCGAAGAAGGCGGCCCTCGTTGCGACGCTGGCGGGCCTCTTTGCGATGACCCCGGCACCTGCTGCGACGACAAGCTCCCAACAGGCATCAATGCTCGCCCGTCCTCGCGCTGTAGCTCCATGGCGAAATGATAGTCCTCGTGATCCTGCTGTGCAAGACGAAGGCGTCGTTGCTCTTCCTCTGCCCCATCCTCGCCGTCGTGATCCTCTTGCGGGTTGTCGAGGGTCGGAGCAGAAGGAGTTGGACGTGGCCGCGGGTAGATGCGTTGTGAGCATGAGGGACAGACCCAAGATGGTGGTGGGCGAGGAGCAGGATCCGGAGGTACGGGCTCGGCACTCGGTCTGCCCCCATCACTAGGAAGCGGTGCACGATCAGCGCCGAGCCCTTCCTTGCCCGGGTGTTGCGGGGCTGCTGCTTCAGTTGCTGTCGAAGTAGCGTGCCCACTGCCAGCGTCATGCTCGGCGGCTGGTCGCGATTGCGACGCTTGCATTTGACTGGCCGCCGCCTTCTGAAAGAGGGAGACGAGACCATTGGGCTTGGCCTTCTTCGTCTTACGCACTGCGGTGGGCGGCGGCGGGCTCATTGACGTCGGAGCCGTTGCAGCCGTCACCTTTGTTTCCAGCGGCGATGGCGCCCTAGCATCTGGCTCTGAGCGCTTTGTCCCCACAGCGACCGCCGCGCCCTCCTCAGCAGCAGCCGCGGCCTTGCTTGGCCCCGCTTCACTACTCTGCACGGGAAGACGACGAGGAGCATTTGCCGCTGGCCCACCGGCAAAGAACCCTTCGATACTCCGTTGTCCTTGCTCCCCTGCTTCCAGCCCCGAAAAGCCAAGCGCAATCGTGATGACTTCCAAGTTCGTCGCAACCGCCTGCTCGCCGAGTGCCTCCGCCCACAGCTTCTCCGCGGCATTGAGGATGTGCTGCGGCTGAAAGTCCCTCACGTAGGGAAAAGCCGCCTGCCTGCTCCTGGCCGTCTCAAATGGCTTGAGGAAGCGTAGCACCAGCGTCGATGGCCAGAGATTTGGCGCCTCCTCCCTCGCCTCCCTCAGACGGACACAGAGCTCCAGCGAGAGGATGCTGAGCCAGCGAGTCGCTTCGGCCGTAGTACGGATGGGCGGCTTGACATTCTTCGAGGCCAGCATTGTCTTGTTCTTGGTCCGCTCAATCACGGCAGAGTGGTCGATGCCGCGCAGCACGTCGTACACCCAGCGAGACTCATCTCCAAATTTGGTCTGCATCTCTGCCAGGGGAACACTCCAGAGGTCGCCCACCGTGGAGCTTGCCCACTCGCTCGCAATTGCGTCTCCAAGCTTGCCGCCGAGGAAGCGGATCTTCTGGAAGGGCAGGTTCTTCAGATAGACAGGAACCGCCGAGGTGGGCATGACTGTTTGGTTGTTGGGCTTACGTTCGCCTGCGCAAAGCTTGGCGAGGGTCTTGTTCGAGGCGATACCGGCTGACATGGTGTAGCCCAGGCGATCCAGTACAGCGGAGCGCACTTTGTAGATGAGCTCGGCCCCGCAGGCGAGGGCGTAGTCTGTCCAATTGGCTGCTGGCTCGATGGAGGGAGCCTCTGAAGCAGTCGCATCGGTTTCGCCTGCTGACTCTGTGGCTATCGGATCCTCTGTCGGCATACGATGTCCAAGATTGGTCCAGTCGATCTTCGGCGGCTCCGGCAAGGGCGTATCGAGTCCGTCAGGCGAGTCCGCTGGTGGCTTCGCGAGATGAGGAAATCGCTGCAGAATGACCTGCCTCACAGCAAGGGTCAAGTCGCAGTACATCTCGTCAATGGATGCCTTCTCAATTGCTCCTAGCGGGCACATCTCGTTGAAGATGGCCACGACCTTCCGACTTTCCCTGCGGTACGGGTCGAGTGAGACCTTGTGCGTCTCTGACCTGGGGTTTTCGTTGTACTCTGCTTTCTGAGCTCCTTCGGCGTATGTGGCTACGTGGACTGCCACGAGATTGGGGCACTTCTTGCGGGCAGCATCTATGTCCTCGTGTCGGGTGATGCCGTAAGCTCGTGCTGCGTAGCTGACTGCGATGAGGCCCTGCCGACGGGGATGAGAAGGCCATGACAGGTTAGGCTACGGGCATCAAGGTCTGGTCATCGCGTCTCTCCCACTTACCTGCCATTGCTGTACTGCCACAGGCGTCACAAAGGGATCGATGCCGAGTCGCTTTGCCTCGAAAGCCGCGTATGCTGCGTCGATATCGCAGAGAGACACGACCCGTAGCGGATTGGCAGCGTTCAGACTGCCAGCGCTGACGAGGTGCCGGTATGTGATCGTCGGCTGCGGTACCGAGTAGTCCATCTTAGGCTTCAGCGAGAGCTCATTGTGAGATCTTCGGGAGATGAGAGACGAGTGGACGAGAGGCAACTGCGACAAATCGTCATGCAGCTGAGCTCAAGCGCGACTCCGTAGGCACGGAAGTGGCGCGTCTCCCCCGTCGCTCGCGTGGCCCTTCAGTCCAAGTCGGACGAGCCCTTGCAGCTGGCTCGAGCGCAAGCGCGGCAATTCCTTCTTGGCTTTCTATCAACTCATACGACGACGACGACGACAACGATGCCGCCGAGGAAGAGGAATGTGGCAGCAGCCTCTACCGCAGCCTCGGACGACGGTGAAAAGAAGGAAGGCGTAGCTGCAGCGAGCGCGACAACTGCTCCCTCGCCCACGCAGCAACGCCAGCAGCTGCCCGCCTTTGTTCGCTACTTCCTCGTCTTCACGGCTATCGCCTGCTTTGCCTTTGTCGCATACGACCAATACCCACAATGGTCGCAGACAGCGCAGTCCTTTTCACCAGCTGCACCTCCCAGCTCTGGCCAGTCGGGCAAGCACCGACAGGAGCAGCCTCAGGCCAGCCCTGACGCTGATCGGGCCGCCAAGCTGCAGGAGGAGAGGAAGAAGGTGATGGAGCAAATGAAGGAGGAGTTTGAGCAGTGGACGCCCAAGCCTGCTCTGCCCTTCTTCGTTCCTCCCAAGGATCTGCCCAGCAAGCCCGTCAAGGGTGCAGATGTGCCCAAGCGCGATGCTGTCAAGAAGGCCTTCCAATCGTCGTGGGCTGCCTACGTCGACGAGGCGTGGGGAGCAGATGAATACCACCCGATTTCGCACACTGGGTCCAATCTGAGCGTTGACGGAGGCATCGGATACACGATTGTCGACTCACTCGACTCGCTGCTCATTCTCGGCGAGCAGGACGAGTACCGTCGAGCTCGCGACTGGGTCAAGACCAACCTCGCTGGTGGTCTCCAAAAATGGGAGAGGCATGGACGCTACAATGTCTTTGAGACTGTCATTCGCACATTGGGAGGCCTTCTCTCAGCGCACGCCTTCTGCAGCGAGCGCCCCTCCAATTTGCCGGACACGACCTCTCCCTTCCACCACCTGTGCGACCCAGGAGACGCAGACATGTACCTCGACACAGCCTCTCACCTTGCCAACCAGCTTCACCCGGCCTTCGACACGCCCACTGGCATTCCCAAGCGTGAGGTCGACTTCTACTCGGGAGACGCCTTCGCCGACGAGGACAGCAACGGTGCTGCGAGCCTGGCGGAGGCTACTACCGTGCAACTCGAATTCAAGTACCTTTCGTTCAGAAACAGCGACCCTTCCCTCTGGAAACTAGCAGAGCGTCCTCTTCAAGCGGTACGCACGGCCACGCGCTCTGGAACGCAGGATGGCTTGCTCCCCATCCTTCTCAGCTTCGATAGCGGCTTGTTCTACCTCTCCCCGATCCGCCTAGGCTCGCGAGGCGACTCGTACTACGAGTATCTCATCAAGCAGTACGTCCAGACGAATCGCTCTGAGCAGGTCTATAGAGATATGTTCGATCGCTCCGTCTCAGGCATCAAGAAGCATCTGGTGAAGCAGAGCACAGCGAGCGCGCCGCCGTACCTCTTCACTGCGGAGATCATCCCGCAGATGCGCATGCAGGGACAGGAGAGGCCGGCCTTCCAGCTGTTGCCGAAACAGGACCACTTGGTCTGCTTCTTGCCTGCGGCAATGATGCTTGGCGCGCACGAGTACGGAGCACCGTCTGTCTGGCCGGAGTTGGACGAAGAGGCGACCGCAATGGGCAAGCCGACGGTGCGCGAGGAGGACTGGGCAGTGGGACACGAGCTGCTGCGAGGATGCATGGCTACCTACCAGGGCACCCACACCGGCCTGAGCCCGGAGATCGCCCACTGGCGCACGATGATGGACCCACAGCACGCAGAGGAGGATTGGTATATCAAGCAGTCAAAGGACGGCGAGCCTCTCATTGACGCTCGCAACATCCTGCGACCAGAGACTGTCGAGTCTCTCTACGTCGCCTTCCACCTGAGCGGCGATTCGATCTACCGCGAGTGGGGTTGGGAGGTCTTCCAGGCCTTTGAGAAACACTGCAAGCTTGAGAATGGAGCATACGCCGGGATCAAAGATGTCGATCCTGATGACCTCGAAGAGGTCGAGCACGAGGACAAGATGGAGACCTTCTGGCTTTCAGAGACGCTCAAGTACCTGTACCTGCTCTTTGATGATCAGGCGACGTTGCCGCTTGACAAGTGGGTGTTGAACACTGAGGCACACCCGCTGCCCATCTTTGCGCCGACGCAGGAGACTGGCGTGGTATGATTGGGCGAAAGATCGACATGAGGGAAGACGAGGTTCATACGATGGTATACTCTATTATAGCGTGAGCTTCTGCCTAATCTGCAAGACAATCTCATTCCAGAGACGCCTCCCCGCGTCAGACGCGTCGCGTGATGATTAACTCTGGCCTGCTCGTTGTTCTTCCAGCCGAATCGTCTCTCAGGCTCCTTTCACTACCCTCATCGCGGCCTGCTCACCTCTGTTGCTTGCCTCCCACGTCCCCCGAGATTTCAAAGGCGGGGGCGAGCGGTGCCGCTTCGTGTGCGCACGTCCCTGTGCACGTTGGCTTGGCTCGTGCGCTCGGCGCAAAAGTGGCCAAGTGACGGCTCTCGCGCCAATTCGCTTGCCTCCCGTCCTTCGTTCATTGCTGCGTGCCCTTTCCCAACACTTCAGCCCATCCGCCGATGTCGGCGAAAGTGTTGAATGAGTAGCCTCCTTCACCTCGTCACTTCCTCGGCAGGATGTCGCACAGAGCGAGAGGGCACAGTCGCTGCCCACCATGGGAAGCCGGCGAGGGGCGGCTTCGAGACGCTCCTGCCCTCACACGAGACCGCGAAGCAGCCCGAGCTTTATTCGCCTCCAAGGGAGAGCGATCACTTCTTCTTGCCAGCTTGTGTGTCGTCTCGCCCCTTCCCTTCCTTCCTTACCACCTTCAAGCCGCTCGTCTCCTCCCCTACCCCACCATCTGACCCCTCTCATCTCCGCTATTGTAGTCGCGCGCCCCTGCCATGAGCTCGCTCGCCGACAAGCTGTCCTCTTGGACGCAGGCCTCACCAGCTGAGGCTTCGACTTCGACAGCCCTTGCATTGGCTTGGCTGAACTCACCTTACGTCTACAGCCCCCTCATCGCCGTGCTCGCTCTCCTCTGCGTTCTGCGATTCTCCAAGGCAGGTGGGTAGTCGCGGAAACGGGGAGTCATGCGCCCAGCGCTTGTCCTGACTACCAGCCTCTCCACTCGCGATAGCCCGAACGCCTCTTGTATTTGCTTGGAACTGTTTCGTCCAGCCTATTGGTAAGGTTGCGAACCAGGGAGAGCGTCTTGATAAGTTCTATCAGCACCAGGCGACGAGTGAGTAGCGCGAGACGTGTCCTGCAGAAGCTGTCTGATCGGATCTTCTTATTTTTATCCAGTCTACGATGTCACCCGCAACCACCTCCTGCGAGGTCGTAAAACGATGCTCAAGTGAGTCTCGGCGAGGACTACTCTAAATAGAGACCTCTCTGACATGCCCTCGCTTGTTCGCCCTCCAGGCTGTGTGCCGCCCAGCTCCACGAGATGCGTCGCACCCAGCCCTCGAAGCCTCTGATCTGGGTCGATGTAGGCGGCGGCACCGGATGGAACATTGAGCAGATGGCCGAGTACTTCCCACTCGAGCAGCTCTCCCACATTTACTTGATTGACCTGTGCGAGCCCTTGCTCGATGTGGCTCGCAAGCGCTTCGCCGCTCGTGGGCTCAAGAACGTCACCGTACTTTGCCAGGACGCTTCTGAGTTTACGCTGCCTGATTTGAAGGAGGGCAAGATGATCGACTTGTTCACGTGCAGCTACAGCATCTCGATGGTGAGTAGCGCGGGCTTTCTCGACTCCGCTTGACCTCTTATCTCCTTGTTCACCTTGCACTCCTGCGCAGATGCCCCCCTTCTACGCCGTCCTGGACCGCATCTACTCGTATCTTGACCCTGAGACAGGCGTCTTTGGCGTCGTTGACTTCTACGTATCAGGCAAGACTCCCCCTGGCAAGCAGTCGGCCATGATCGGCGGCGATGTTCGACGCGAATGCGGTCCCATCAGCCGCTGGTTCTGGCGCCAGTGGTTCTCCCTCGACCACGTTGAGCTCCACCCGGCGAGGCGCGACTACCTCGAGTACAAGTTTGGGACTATCAAGTGCTTCAACGGGAGGAACAACTTTGTTATCCCGTTCATTGTGCGCATTCCGTTCTACGTGTGGATTGGATGCTCTAGGGACCGAGACACAACTAAGGCCGTGCAAGCTTTCGAAATCGAGGCGGGAAACCGTGTGATTGTAAGTGCGGCGATAGGGACTCGCTGCGCCAGCCCTTGCGGTGCTGACCTCGCTCGCTCTCGACGCAGTGCCCTCCCTCCTTCCCCGAGCTCTCCTTCTCCCACATCCTCGCCCAGAAGCAGGAGGAAGATGCAACCGCCCGCTCGAGCGCTCTTCGCCGCCTCTCCCTCGCCCAGTCAACTTCGACGAGCTCCTCGAGTCTGGTGCGCCGCCGAGGCTCCGACGATGGCGAGTCGGACGAATCGCTTGGGGACGAAGGCTCGGGTTCATGGCGCCTCGACCTTGGCCCGCAGTTGCCGCTCAGCTCCTTCCACTACCAGAGACGCCAGTGGCGCCTCCCCTTCGTCGACTCCAAGTTCAGCGAAATGTTCCGCACGTGGATCTATGGCTTCACCTGGGAGGATCCCTACGTCGACATCGAGCACATGGCCATCAAGCCTACGGACTCGGTGCTCTGCATCACTTCTGCCGGGGACAACGCCTTGCACTACGCTATTGCGGCAAAGCCTGAGCGCATTCATTGTGTGGACATGAACCCCTGCCAGGGGCATTTGCTTGAGCTCAAGCTCGCCTGCATTGCGGCATTGAGCTACGAAGAATTCTGGAAGCTCTTCGGTGACGGTAAGACGGACGATTTTGCCGAGTTGCTCGACCGCAAGATCTCTCCCTACTTGAGCTCGCACGCTTACCAGTTCTGGAGGCTCAACACGCACTGCTGGGATCGCAACTTCTACTTCCGTGGCTACTCTGGCCATGCCCTGAGGCTCGCAAAGGTGGCCTTCAGCCTCTTTGGCTGCAACAGGTCGGCTGAGGCTATGTGCAACGCCGGAACGCTCGAAGAGCAGGCAAGCATTTGGAAAAGGTCTCTCCGCAAGACCCTGATCAACCCAACGCTGATCAATGTCTTCCTGAGCAACCCAGCCTTCCTGTGGAACGCGCTCGGCGTGCCCATCAACCAGTTCAACTGTTTCCGCAATGAGGGTGTGTCGGCGGGACAGTACGCTGTTGACACATTGGACCCTGTTGTAAACCACTCGCTACTCAAGAGCGATAATTACCACTATCACTTGTGCCTCACGGGCAGGTACTCGCACGACTCGTGCCCGCTCTACCTGAAGAAAGAGGGTTTCGAGGCCCTCAAGCGCAATGCGGCTAAACCGCTCGATGCCTTCAGGCTGCACACAGACTCTATTGTGAACGTCTTGAGGGGCCTGGGCGATGACTCGCTCACCCACGCTGTCGTCATGGATCACATGGACTGTGAGTGTGCGCCGTGGCACTGCCGACCTCTCTCACTACTGACTCTCCAACTCGCCCTCCTCACGCACAGGGTTTGACCCCATTCCTCCTCAAATGCCAGCACCGACCCTCAAGCAAGCCCGCGAGGACCCCGCAGTCAACAGCGCCCGTGCCACCATCTCTGACCTGGACCGTGAGATTCGCGAACTCAGTCGCGTCGTTCGTCCAGGCGGGGCCGTCTACTGGCGCAGCGCTGCTAAGGAGCCGTGGTACAGGCAGAGATTCGAGAAGATGGGATTCAAGACTGAGCGCTTGCAGGTAAGAGAGAGTGGCAAGTCGATCGATGTGAGTAGCCGAACGAGTGGGAATGCAGGGCCAAGTGGAGAAGCCGCGACTGACGTCTTTGCTCCTTCACACGCTCGCAGCGAGTCAACATGTACGCTTCGCATTGGAAGGCGACGCGCATGTCGTAACTTCGTCTCGAAGGGGAGGAGAATCGTGGGCGCGGCGACGGAGGTGCCAGCTAGGATGATGCGAAGTCGCGGCCTCTACGCTTCGATCCCTACAAATGATGAATCTGTTTTCGTGGATGACGTTTCAGTGTTCGTCGAGAACGTATACGCGCTGAAAGAACAACAAGATTGGTATGCCCGCCTCCCCTCGCCGGGATTGACCGTCTTCTGTCTGTCGCCCGCAGCGATCTGTCGTCAAGTCGCGCCCTCGCCCGCTCATACCTGATTTCCCCTTGTGAAATACGCCAAAGCCCCCCTCGTTGCCAGCTCGGACTTGGCTTGTGCAAACGTGTGTCCCTGCTCGTGATTATGCTTCCAAATCTCCCTGTAGTACCACAGAATGCCCAAGCCCTGTACCGCGAAGCCCAGCGTCACAAAGATGCCCAGAATCGCCGCCACAACTCGTCCGCTGGACCAGGACTGGATCATGTTGAGTAGCCCATCGGAGCCCGTCGAAGGAATGCCCAGGAAGATGTAGACGGAGTAGGCGATATGGCAACCGCCGAAGATGAAGAAGGTGTAGTAGAAGAGGGAGTGTTCCTTCATGAAGCCGTTGTAGGCTGGCCTGTACCAGAGCAAAAAGCTTGCGACGGACAGCACGGGGAAGTATACGATGGCGGCAATCATGTCCTTGATGCCGTCGTTTGACCCCTGGATGAGGAGGAAGATGCACCCCGCCATGTTGATGACCAAGGTGCCGACGAAGATGAGCCACAGAGAGTAGAGGTGCAGCACAACCTGCTGATAGTCAGGGGGAATTTCCGCTTTGATGTCGTGATATATCATAGGATAGAAGAATGGCCAATTGTTCCGACCATGCTTCTGAATGTGGTCAGCTCGTTGTTGCAGATCTCGTTCTCGCTGCTCGAGCTCGCGCTCTCTCCTCGCGAGGTCGTCTTCACGTCCGCCCGCTGGTGGCCGTGAGCTGCTGCCGCTGCCTCCATAAGGCGTGTCGGCCTCTGTTGCGGGTGTGGAAGCATCCCACGCACCCTTGTACGCCGAGCTGGCATCGTCGACATCGTCGTCGTAGGTGCGCGAGGAGCCTAGGGCGCCTTGGACTGAAGGGTCCGCAAAGGGATTGGCATGACGGTCCGCGAAGGGGTCTAAGAGCGCAGAGGTTGAGACAGAAGAGGTTAACAGTCTGAGAGACGAGCCAGCTACGGAGTGAATCGCCGTCTAGTACACTCACCGGCCATGTTGGGCACGAGCAATGGTTAGGGCCAGGAAGATGAAGAGGAGAGTCTAACAAGATGGCTAGCTGCGCTCGGGCCTTGAACATCGACCCCCGGGCCCCTCGTGCAGCAAAGCACAGCCAGCCGCCCTCGGCCACCGCCCACCTGGGAGCCAGGGCAAGCCACGTGGGAAATGCAGCAGAGAGAGGGCGGAAAGCGCTCAGTCGAGGTCAATTTTGGGCGGACGGCGGCCGGTCCGGACTTGTGAATTAAATGACTCCCGGCGACCTGCCGAGTTGCCATCTTACCTTCTCACTTTACCTCTTCAACCGCGTCGTGGGATGGGATGGGAAAGATGACGATATCTCAGCATGGCTCATCTTCGTCGCAGCAAGGTCCTCCCCTCGTCTCGCAAGACGCTCAGGAGGTGCATCGCTACGCCTCGCAAGCCCTTGACCTCATAACCCGTTGGGTAGACAAAGGCGCGACCGACCCAGATGAGCCCACGTCACGATGGCCAGACAGCGCTTCGCTCCGCAAGTCACGGCGTAGCAATGGTCACAAGGCCCGCTTCTCGCTCGGCGACGCAGGCGTCAGTCAAGACGAGACGGTCGCCTTTCTCTCCCAGACTTTGACGGACAGCGTCCACCCTTGGACACGCCGTTTCCTGGACAAGCTCTACGCCAAGCCCACGACCCTCGCCCCCGCAATTGAGATGATCCTCGGCGCTCTCAATCCCTCGACAGTCATCTCATCTGCGGCACCTGCGCTTTGCTTGGCGGAGGAGGAGTGCGTAGAGGCCCTCGCCCGCCTCATGGGCTGGGACGTAGGACTGGCCGACGGGCTCACCATGCCTGGCGGGTCAGCAAGTAACATCCTGGCTGTGCAGACTGCGCTCGGGAATGCGTTTCCCTCTTTCAAGCAGGGAGGCGTGCTAGGGGTGGTCGAGGATCTGGCGGGCAAGGGAAGACGCGGCAAGGCCTGTCGCCCGCTGTTGGTCACGTCGGCGCAGAGCCATTATTCGATGGAGAAGGCGGCGCTTGCGTGTGGGCTTGGCTTGGAGAGTGTCGTCAAGGTCAGGTGCGATGCGACGGGACGCATGGATGTGGTTGAGCTGCAAAGGGTGCTGCAAGAAGCGTATGAGAATACGGAGGGGAGCCCCGATCGTACAGCGGGCTGGCCATTCTTCATCGGCGCAACGGCGGGCACGACCGTACTCGGTGCATTCGACGATCTCGCAGGCATCGCTTCGGTCGTCCGCAGCTTGCAAACACACCACGCTGGCGCCCAGCCCTGGCTGCACGTGGACGGCTCGTGGGGTGGTCCGGTCCTCTTCTCCTCACACTCCCGCCGCCTCATGGCCGGCGTAGAGCACGCAGATTCCGTAACAATCAACCCGCACAAGGCTCTCAATGTCACACAGCAATGCTCTTTCGCCCTTTTTCGTCACGGCACTACCCTTGCGGCAAATGTGACCGGGGCCAAGTACCTCTTCCATGGGACCGGCACTGGGATGGAGAGGGAGGCTCTGCGCCGTAATCCGGGATCGAAGACGATGGGATGTGGGAGACGAGCTGATGCTTTCAAGTTCTACGTCGCTTGGCTTCACACGGGCGCGAGTGGATTTGGTGGGCATATCGACCAGGGAGTGGCAATGGCGCGACGGGTGGCGGATCTGTTGGAGACGGGCAAGTACAAGGAGACGCTGCAGCTCGCTGAAGCCATGCCGAGCAGAGAAGATCTCTTCTTCAATGTGTGCTTTAGGCCGCGCATGGGAGAAGACGTGAGGACAGCCATCACCAGAAGCGCGGCAGCGCAGACAGGAGGAGGCGAATCGGCAAATGGCAGTACCGCCGACCTGATTGAAACAGCCTGCTCACGCCTGGCGTCACGCGCTACGGTCCATGTTCATGCAGCCATCTCACGATCGGGCCGCTTCTCCATCGATCGAGCACCCCTTTCACCGCCGCATGGCCGAGGCTATTACACGCGCCTCATCTCGCATCCCGACACGCCATTCGAGGTGTTTGAGACCATCGTGGGTGAGATCGCAAGGGTGGGCCAGGCCTTCTTCAAGGAGGAAGTGGTGAGCGTGCTCGAGTCAGGAAGGAGTTTGAGGGACCTTTTGAGGGAGGAGGACGATTGAGTTAGAAGAGGTCGACTGCGCCGCAGTGCTGACATGGCACGCGCATAGATGGCACGCAACTACCATAGAAGAAGATGGATGTACTTTAATCATACGGGCTCGCGAAGCTCCATCAGCATTGATACACATGCGCAACTCGAGCATCACCCAACTCTGCCCATTCTCGAGCTACCTCTTCGCGAGTCCTCTGTGCGTCTGGGAGCCAGATTACCTTGCCCTTCTCCAGCGCACCGCTACTTGCTGCGCTTCTTTCACTACCACTGCTCACCGGTCTATCCTCTCCCGCAGCTTGGACCTCACTTGGAGACCTCGCTCGGATTACCTCGCGCCTTCGATTCTCCCTCGCCATCAAGACCCACAACGTCGTCGCACTTGCGATGCCTATCGCAAGCCAGATGAACGTCAGCCCAATCGAGACGTTGTACTGCTGATTGCGCACTCCACCCAATGGTTGACGATAAAGCTGCGTACCAGCAATTGCTCCAATGTTCCCGATCGAGATCTGCATAGCTAGCGCCGTATTCCTTTTCGTGGCGCCAGCAACATTCTCTGATGGCCAGGCGAGCAGGAGTGCATCGCCCGCATACACACCGGATACGATGAGGAAGGTGGCCGCGTACTTGCCTCCAATTGTGGGCGAGGCGAGGAGAACGATGTAGCCCAGTCCGGCGAGGATGAATCCACCGATGATGAATGGCGCGCGAAGCTTGACCTTTTGCGTAGTGAAGGCCGTCGCCATTGTAATGACGAAGGCGAACACGTAAGGTGGCGTGGTCAGGAGCTGGGCTTGCCATGCCCGATATCCTAGGCCCTGGATGATGCTCGGCAGGAAGAGCGAGATAGTGTACAGTGGGAAGGACATGCCGTGGAATAGGGTGCAGTAAAGGTAGACCTTGGGGTCTGTCAAGGCTTGACGCACCCCGGACCAATTGAAGCGTCCTTCCTGCTCCAGAGCGTCGCTGTCGCGTGACAAGCGGTCGTGAAGGATTGCACGTTCCCGTTGCGTGAGCCAGCTGGTCTTGGTGGGCCAAGTTGGAATGGTGAAGAAGCAGAGGAAGGAAATGGCAATCGTGAGGAGGCCTTCAAGAATGAAGATCCCTGAAGTTGTGGACGACGGCGAGTCACGTCATCAGCATCGCTCGCCTGCTGATCCTTGTAATGCTATCGGCGCACTCACACTGCCAACCCTTCTTGCCTCCTATTCCATCCATGTATCCAATGCCATACGCCAACACCCCACCGAAAGCGCCTGCAGCCGCCGCACCCCCGAAGAAGGCGCTCACCCTCACCACGCGCTCCTTTCTCTTGTACCATTGAGAGAAGATGAACACGGTACCTGGAAATAAGCCCGACTCTGCCACACCGAGAAAGAAGCGTACCGCTAGCAATCCCTGCGCATTTCCCACTAAGCCCTGAACGAGGGACAAGATCCCAAAGACCAGCGCAAGGCCGGGCATCCAAATTGGTGGGCTTGTTGCCCTCAGCCCCCAGTTGGCGGGCAGCTCGGCGAGTACATACCCGACAAAGAAGAGCGTTAAAGCTGCGCTGTACTGCCCAGCGCTGAGATGGAGGTCGACGTTCATTCCGTCGACGCGGGCGTTGGCGATGTTGCTTCGGTCGAGGAAGGAGAGTAGGTAAAGCGTTGAAAGCGAGGGCAGGAGGAGGAGGTCGATTTTGCGTACTAGGCGCGCTTCTTCTTGAGTGGTGAAAGAGATGGTGTCTAGGGAGTGGACTGTAGAGGCGCCCACCTGCTCCTTCTCCCTCGTAGACAACATGCTGGCTGGTTGTGACGGCGAGGGTGGGGCAACAGCAGCGTGCGGCTCATTGCAAGGAGCAGCCGTGTGCAACGACGACGAGACGTCAGCCTTCATCTGAAAGAAAAGCGTCGTCCTTGATCAGTGATACGAGTTCAAAGTGATGGGTTGGGTAGCTGGAAAGAGCAAATATGATCCTGAACCCTTTTTGAGGTGTCGACTACCCGATCTCGCCAACGCAGGTACGTGCTAGCGTGAAGCGACACTCAATGCTCATGGCGTGCTCAGCTTGTCTAGCGCCGCTTCGCACACCACTTCCTGACCTTAGCAGCCACCTTATTTCGCCGTCTCTGAGCTCACACGACTGATGTCAGGACTCTCGCCATCGCCCGCGTCAGGCTCGTATCGAGCACGCCATGATCCACCTCGCCTGGAGCGTGAGTGTATCGAGCCGCGCCTGTCCGTCTCACGTGGCGTTGCCGGACGCTCGAGCCATGCAATTTTGTCAAGGCCACCTCAGCGCCGTTGAGGCGGACTGCGCTTTCCCTTCTGCTTCACGCCACCGATACCACCATCGTCAGCCATGACCGACCCCCTCGACCCATGCGCCGTTCTCGAGACGCTCGCGCAAACTGTCACTACTTCATCCGTCACGCTGCGTAACCAGCACGACGCTTTCGCCGCGGTCTTGCACGCCGCCCTTGTGCGTCTAGACTTCCGCCTCGTTGGGCTTGCTGAAGAGGACAGGCTGAGCGACTATCCTGAGCAAAGCGGTCAAGCTGCAGAAGGCTCCTCATCGTCCTCTACGATCGCCTCGACCTCCCGCCTACCTTCCCCAGCTTGGTTCGCTCAAGGCCCGGAATCCTACACCTTCCGCTACAGGCATGATCAATCCAGCCTCACATTCCTCATCAAAGTCATCCGCATGTCCTCGCGCATCCTCGTACACGCAAGCAGTATCGAAGCGCAGTCCAGTGGAGAGAGCAAGACGGCTTCGCTCGAGGTCAGCGTCGACGAATACACGTCGAAGAGCTACTGGCCGTACCCTCGCCCTGAGGGACAGACGGAGCCATTGGTGAACGGCTTCATCGGTGCTAGTAGGCTCAAGGACCTGCTATTAGCCTTCAAGGGCAAGGTGGTGCAGAAGCTCGTTCCTGGGCTACGAAAGGATGGGTACCAGGAAGAAACCAGTCAAGACGAAGAGGCTGCAAGTCGTCGTGCAGCTGGCTCCTCAACTCAGCAACCTCGCCCTCGTCCCCCTCCGAGCCACGACGATGACGACCCTTTGGCGGGAGGCGGCGTCGGTGGTGTACCCTACCGACCTGGCGACATACCCGGTCGCAATCCTCTCGCAATCGGGGATCGCGACCTCCAACCGCTGGGCGGGATGCGCCCTCCTGGCTCCTTTGGACCTCCTCCCCTCTTCGGCGGCGGCGGCGGCGGCGGCGGGATCGGTGGGGGCATGGGCGGCGGCATGTATCCATCCGGCTTGGATGACCCCCTCTTCCGTGATCGCTTTCCCGGAACAGGCGGAGGCGTACCCTTCGGTGGAGGCACAGGACAGCCTAGGGGCCCTTGGGGAGGAGACGGGTTCCTACCCCCTGGCGCAGTACCACCGGGTGCGAGGTTCGATCCTATCGGGCCGATGGGGCCACAACCTGGGTTCCCAGGACAAGGAGGGGCAGGAAGAGGGGGACAAGCTCCACCGGGTAGCGGAGATCCGGATTGGGATGATGTGCGACCCCCAAGGAGTGGGGATTATGATTCAATGTTTCAATAGGCGGCGCGGAGCGGAGGCGAGCAGCAGGCTCGCCAATCTCAATCAATGTACAGTCACTCATGTCATGTTGCATGCCATGGCCATTCCAATGACTGTTCTAGCTACGTCTTCCGGCACCTCTTCACTTCTCCTTACTCTCGACCCTCACAACCAGCCCCTCACCCAATCTCTCCAGCTCAGCGAGCACTGCCTCCTTATTCAGCTTCACATTCTCCCCGCCTTCCTTCCCGTCCACGGGCATCGCGTTGAACCCGATTCTCGGCTTGAACCTCTTGCCCTCTCTCTGGCTCAACGCCGGGTTCCAAAGACCACCAACGACGTCCCCACCGTTTACATCGTAGTAGAGTCGCAGCGAGTCAGAGTAGAGGCCGCGAAGCAGCTGGACGAAGGAGGCAGCAGCGTCGAAGCCAGGACGAGGGGTGCGACCCAGTTGCGTCACTGGGCCTGCCTTCTTCGAAGGCTTGTTCTTGAAGCTGCCTGATGATGAGGAGGACCAGATGCTGGCATCGGCGCTGATGTTCTGCGGGGCGTACCTTGAGAGCACGGCTGGGTTCAGGTAAAGGAGGAAGTCAAAGTGACCCAGACTGGGCTTGAACAAAGCCTTGACTAGCGCCATCGTATCCCCTTCTTCCTGCCCATCGCGAGCAGCTATCAGTCCACACGCCCCCCTGGCCAACGTCTGCAACGCATGTGCGCTCGCTGCTGCCGGGCCACGCATCGTAGCGAGGGAGAACGCATCTGATCCTTCATCGCTAGCCTCGGCCTCCTCCTCTTCGTCGTCCGTCACGATGAACCATGCGCGGCGGGAGAGGGAAGGGTCGGATGTGCGAGCTTCCTTGAACGCTTCGAGCGCCACGTCCCTCTTGGACGTGGGGAATGGGATAGAGTGAACCGGGGCGCCACGCTGATGTTGCGACTGTGTAGCGTTCTCTGCCTTGCCTGCCTGCTGGTCCGATGCAAGGATGGCGGCCTGAACAGCGACGAGCAGGGGCTCGGCCTTCCAGTCCCATCCAGCCAGCCTGCGGAGCGCCGCCGTAAACCCAGCTTGACCAGTCGAAGGGGCCAAGCCGAGCGGGGTGTCGTTCACAAATACGCTCGCAGCGAGCAGCTCGAGCGCCTCGTTAGGAACGTGACCCTCCTCATCCAGCTGGTGGGCGCGCACCCAACGCTTCAGCAGCCTAGTCGTCTCGCCCAGCGCGGGGAAGCGGTGAACCAGTGCCGCAACGCGTGCGTGGTGCTTCGGAGCATGGGTGAAGCGCTGCCTGTGTCGAGTAAGAGCGCGAGTAGCGTCACTGCGCTGCGCAGGGGTGGCGAAGCGGTCCGCTACGATGCGCTCCAGCAAGACCCGCTCGCGATCATGTTGGATACGCAGCCGGAATGCGAAGCCGGAGGGGAGCGTGAGCTCCAAGCTGACCTCATCCTGTATCGATCCCGCACCGACCGCGTCGGCATCGAACGCAATGCGAGCGTGCATTCCCTCCCCGATGACCGTCTGCAGCGCTGCGGCTACGCGCTCGAGGAGTGCCATCTTCATGCCCTGAATGGCCTCAAGATCGTCTGGCCATTTGCCCGAGGCCTCGAAGCTCAGGATGACGTCGTGAACTGGGAGCCAAGAAGCACAGTCTGGCGTGCGAGGCGTCCCTAGAGCAGCAACGTCGAGGGGGGCGGGGATGAAGGTTGAGGTGCCTCGTAGCCCAGGACTGCAAGGGGTTGCAGTGATGAGGGAGAGGGGAACCTCGTCGGAGGGAAGGGAGCGCAGTTGCTTGACCAGCGTGTCAAAGGCTGATTGGACCAGTTGAAAACCGCCTCTCTCTTCAGGCGAGGCGAGGTACGCCGCTTTCGTAACTGACTCTGGTGCCTCTACAAGGCCGGTGAAGCCCCCTCCCTCGAAGCGAATAGCATCTCCCGCCAGCACGTCACCATGATGCCTCTGCATCACATGTCGTACGATGCGTCTCGGGATTCCAGCCCTCTCCGCCTGTCGGGGCCCCACCTCCCACACAACGCTGTACGAAATCCTTCCGTCCTTGAAGCGACGCAGCTCTGCCACCTCTTCTCCCCAGAATTGTCGGAACTCCTCTGAAGCAGCAACATCCTCCTGGAGGGGCCCGTGCTCCACGATGCGCTGTGCTTGTGTGCCGCGGTACAGGAAGCCAAGCTCGATTTGCGAGGGAGCGGAGAAGGATTTGCTGTTGAGAGTGCGAAGTTTGCCGCTTTCCTCTGCTGACTGCAGTACCGTGGTGAAATGACAGCGTGTGGCTAAGGCGCGACGTAGAGTTGTTTGTACGGCTGCCAGCGTGGCCGCAGCAGCGCTGGCGTGGTCGAAAGCTGCCGCATCTTCTGAATGCGAGCTCTCCAGACGTACGCTCGCTAACTCGTCAAACGTGAAGCTGGGGCAACTCTTCGCCCTCAGAAAGATGTCGCTGAAGTGATCCGTCGGTCCCTCGTCGTCAAGCATCGCGAAGGTCAGCCTCGCTTCATGCTGAAGCAGATCCACTGCTCCGGGCGTCCATTCGTCAAGTAGGTTCACGCTACCCGTTGGATCCACCAACACACGCTCGTACTGCGCAGTGAAGTCTTCCCGCGGGATCCGGTCCGATCGTGAGACTAAGCCGTGCTCTGGTGCGGACTTCATGAAGACTGGGTGGGAAGCAAAGTCGTGCGTGGCCAGCCAGTCTATGCACCCGCGGAAGAGCTGATAGCTGCTGAAGGTGTTGAAAAGCTTGGCGCGTGCTGCCACTCCCAGAGGTCCGGCTTTGCGATCGCTGAGCTCCTCTCCGTGGAGCAAGTGAGCGAGCACCATCGTAAGGACGAAGCGCGCCCCTTCTGTCCCCGCTACAAGTCGGCGTACACTCCCATCCGTGGTGTGGCCGGAGCCAAAGCCGCGCTGGAACGCCCAGACGCGCAGCAGAAGGGCGGCGTCGGTGAACGCTGGGCATGCTTTTGCCGTAGCGTGTAGGTAAACGAGGTGCGGAGCACGAAGGGAGTCGAGAAGGATGGAGGCGTTGTATCGTGGGGTAGGCGCAGCCAAGGCACTGCCGCTGGCTTCATCGTCGGCTGATGCAGAGCGAACATTGTTGCGGCCAGGTGCGAGGCGAGCGGGAGGGAATAGATCCGGCTGATGAGCAAGGTGGATCCTCACTTCTGCCTTGAGCTTGGAGAAGTCAAGGCCCGACTTGTCCTTTGGTGGCGATAGCACCAACGTCGGGCGGCGCTCGTCACCGCCGAAGGTCACCTGTACGCCTCTCAGTTCCTCGCTGGTCGAAATAGCCGCAGCGACTACGGCAAGGTAGAAAGCTCTCTTGTGAAAGTAGCGATAGTTCATGTGGTCCTTCTCCTGGAAGAGCGATGAGGGCATCACCAGCGCCACATCCACGTCCAGGCCAGACGGACGCTTAGCTGCGACCTTGAGTGGCCAGCTTCCCACCAGCTGCAAAGCTGCGGGAGGCTCAAAGGCCAAGGAGTACTGCGCGTCCTTCTTCGGGGGAGCGACACTGCCGTAGGGGATGGTGACGTTGCTGGCAGGGAAGCGCTTCTTGATCGCCTTTGCCGCTTCCTTAACCGATGTGGCGGGGATCGGTTCGATCGACTCGACGAGAGAACGAAGACGATGTAGTATCGCCTCGAGTGGCTTGGCTTTGCTGTGCTTTGGCGTGACGCTGGAGACCATCTCCTCTATCTTCATCTTGACGAGGCCGGATTTGAATTGCTCCCCTACTTCTGTGAGTGCTTGCAGCTCCTCGTTGGTTGGAAGCGCATAGAGGTCAACTTTTGACTTTTTCTTGCCGTTCAAAGACTTGCTGCCTCCTGCGACGGCGCTCTCCTCATCATCTTGCTCTGCATCATCCTCGCCATCGAGCAGCTCGAAGTCGTCCTCATCGCCCTCAGACTCGTATGCTGACGCACCAGCCCCGCCTTCGCTCATGTCTTCGTCGTTTTCGTCTTCGTCGTCGTCGCTTCCCTCTTCTTCTCCTTCTGAAACCGCCGTCCCAGCTTGTGCAGCCGCGAGCAGATCTTCTCCATCATCAAAGTCGTCATCACCATCATCATCATCGCTGCCATCCATGAGATCGGCAGCGACGGGCCTTGCTGGCCTCTTCGAAAGCCTCGATGGGCCAGCAGAAGCGGTCTGATCAGCTGTCGAAGCAATGGCGTGCTTTCTCTTTGTGCCAGCTGCCATGATGGACGAGACGAAGAGAATATGGAGTGATGAGAAGGATTGACGCCGCCGCCGCCGCCTTTCCGAGCTTCAAGGCGGATTGCAATTGAATTTTTGCCGCGGTCCGTCGGACAAAATTGTGGCGGTCGACTCGATGTCAAGGCGGACTGAGGATTCGGCTTGCTTTCCCATCATTACCTCGACCTCAATACAGCATATACCCAGCTCAAGCCCACGCCATGGCCGCACCTTCGGCCTCAGGCCCGCCATTCAGCTCCTTGAAGCCATTACTAGCCCCTTGGCTGCTGGACCACCTTACAGCACTAGGTTTCAGCCGATCCACGCCGGTCCAAGCATCCACTCTCCCGCTCGTAGTGCAAAGACACAAGGATGTCATCGTTGAGGCAGTCACTGGTAGCGGCAAGACGTTGGCCTACCTTGTGCCCCTACTTGAGATGGCAAGAGCCAAGATCGAGGCAGGTGACTCGCTGGACAGGGGCATCCACTCGCTCGTCATCCTGCCCACGCGCGAGCTCGCCATTCAAGTCTTCTCCGTATTGCAGGGACTCCTTGCCTCTGCTCCTTCAGACTTTCGTGAAGCTCTGATACCGCAGCTGCTGGTAGGCGGATCCTCAACACAGTACCATACCTCTGGCAGGAGAAAGGGTGTAGAATCAGGCGACGAATCGGAGGACGACGGGATTGCCTCTGTCAACACGGCGGCGACGGATTATGCGCGATTTCGCAGGGATGGCTCCAATGTTCTGATAGGCACGCCAGGCAGGGTTGAGGAGCTCCTCTCGCCTGGTAAGCGCGGCGGAAAGGTAGCGGCAAGACAGCGCTGTAAGACTGTAGAGCTGCTGGTGCTGGACGAAGCGGATCGTCTGCTGGACCTAGGCTTCATGCAGAGCCTTACGACGATTGTGGGCGCCATGCCTTCGCAGAGACGGACGGCCCTGTTCTCGGCGACGATGAGTGACGCCATGACCGGTCTGGTGAGACTGGGCTTGCGCAACCCAGTTAGGGTGACGGTCAAGGTCGAAGCGAAGCCGACGCCAGCCGCCAAGGCTACTCAAGCGACAGAGGATGCAAAGGCAGGACGCACCCCCTCGACCCTCTCCAACTACTTCCTCATCACTCCGCACCATCTCAAGCTCGCCCAGCTCATCCGCTTGCTGCGCTACGAAGCGCAAGAGCATGCCGCGAGGAAAATCATAGTGTTCTTCGCAACATGCTCGCAGGTCGAGTATTTCTATCGGGCGCTCAACGAGGTACCTGCGCTACGTAGTAACAAGACGGACAAGATGAAGCTGTTCTCCTTGCACGGCAAACAAGACCCCAAGCGTCGCTCTGCAGTCTATCGAAACTTTGTCGACGAGATTGCTCTACCGTCTTCTTCCTCCTCTTCTTCATCGACATCCTCCACCTCCATCCTCCTCAGCACAGACGTGGCCTCGCGCGGCCTGGACCTGCCCAACGTTGACCTGGTAGTGCAGTACGACCCACCACTCGACCCCAAGGTCTTTCAGCATCGCATCGGAAGGACGGCACGCGCGGGCAGGCCAGGAAGGGCAGTCTGTCTGTTGGCGAAGGGAGCCGAGGAGAGTTACATTGATTTCTTGAAGTTGAGGGGCGTAAAAGGGGAGCGATATGGCTCCTTACAGGAGCAAGACGACGGCAAGGTCGAGCGGGTGCAAGTAGGTAGCCAAGAAGACCACGACGCCAGCTCTCAGCGTCTCACAAACGCGCTGCGCAACGCCTGCCTGTCGGATCGCGGCCTACATGACTCCCTCGTCCTCGCCTTGGTATCCTATCTCCGCGCCTATGGCAAGCACGAAGCCCGCTTCGTCTTCCCGCTCAAGGCTTTGGTGGATCAAGTAGAGGCATTGGCCAGGAGCTGGGGGGCTGTCAGGCTGCCTAGGCTGGGGGAGCTTAAGGAGCGGGATGCGAAGAGACGACGCAAAGCCAAAGGGGATGCGCGAGCAGACGGGGAAGGGGAGGAAGGAGAGCAGGAAGTGGTAAGCGAGGGTGCACCACCAGGGGCAGACGAAGCTGGCTATCTTGATGGTTCTGTTGACGAGAAGACATGGTCGTACAAGGACGCAGCAAAGGAGACTGCCCGCCTCGCCAAGCTTGAAGCAGCAGAAGCCCGCCGTCAAGCTCAAGCACAGCAGGAGGCGAATGGTGAGGCTCCTTCGACCTCCTCAAACGTGGCAGCGCGCAAACGCATGCGCCTGACAGGGGACGATGATGCGACCACTGGGGCGTGGTCAGACCAGAAGAAGCGCAAGGAGCGCAAGGAGGAGCGAAGGGTCAAGAAGGGAAAGAAGCGGGAGGCCATTTGGCGTGCTAAGAAGGAGGCGGAGGAAGCCGAGGAGGCCCAAAAGAAAGCGGCAGAGCAGGGAGTAGAGGGTGGAGAGTCGGGCGAGGACGATGATGACGCTGATGCATGGGCGGAAGAGGAGCGTGAGGTTCGTAGGGAGAAGAGGGCGAAGAGGAGGGAAAAGGCAAGGAAAGCTGGTGAGAGGGGAGCAAGGCGACAGAGGGGAGACGCAAAAGAGAGTGATGATGATGCTGAGAGTGAGGGTGAGTTTGGCATGGGAGATGCGTCGTCAGGCGAGGACGGCGAGGTCGGTGCCGTCGAAAGTAACTATGGAGGCTTCTTCGACGATCTCTGAGGATGACCACCAATGTAGCATCAATCTCAATTTCGTTGAATCGTCTCACGAATGCATGAACAACCTATGGAATCGATTGCAACGAGAATGTATCCAGACGCGGCGCGTCACATGTAGTAAGGACAACAAAGAGCGGGTAGAGCAACCGAGGTAGCATGATCGAGAAGCCTGATAGATAGATGGATGGGGGAGGGTGGGTAAGGAGTGGGAAGAGAAGGATAGATTATCTACAGAGTTCGTGAGAGGCCGACCGGTCATCTCGATGTCGAAGTCGTCCCGGCAGCCATAGCTCCACCAAGCACTCTGTCCACCTCAGCATTGGTATCGTCTGCGTCTGCGTGTGCGCCCGAGCGCGCGTCAGCGTAGTCCGTCGAGTCTGGGTCAGGGTCCGCTTCCTCTTCTACATCGTTCTCTGGACCTCGGCGAGCGTGCGCTGCCGCTTCGTCGTGCTGCTCGTCATCGTCGTCTTCATCCTCGACGGGTCTCAAGGCCGAGGCAGCGACTCCTGCTCCCGCGGCGCCAGCACCAGCTCCAGCGCCAGCAGCAGCCGCTTCCCTCTGCGCCTTGTTCCTCTTCATCGAGGAACCGCGCCTCTTCAGCGAGCCAGGGATGGTCGGCATCAACAACCTCCTGAGCGTACCGCCCCTCTTTGCGTGTTGCCTGCCCGGCCTCTGCGACGGCGGAAGGTCCTCGTGGCTGAACGAGTATCCCCTAGACGGTCGATCGGTGCCCGTCAACATGTCGTAGTGCCTGGAAGAGGCGCGAGACTGCGTTGGACGAAGCTCGTGCATTGCCAAGGCATTGGGCGGGTCCAAAGCACCGGTACCGCCCTCGCCTGCCTCCTGATCGGCGTACAGACGATGGTGATGCTCCGAAGACGAAGCAGGCACCAAGGGCGCACCACCTGGCACGTTGCCGTTGTTGCCCTCCGCGTACTTGGCGCGGCTGCGCATTGTCGGCATGTTGGGGTCGTGCACATAGTCGTGGTTGGGATCGCGCTTATCCACGTATCGCAGGATATCAATGTCGTTCGGGTAGTAGCTCTCCTGAACGAAGCGGAAGATGACGCGGGGCAGGAGAGCGAGGACGATTGCGAAGATGCCTGCCATCCAGAAGAGGAAGGACGGATAGAGGAATTGATTGTTGCCGTATGAGTAGGTCCAGATCGTCGTCGGGCTGAAGGCTGCATAGACGGGGGCGAAGATGTTGAACAGGATTGGGCCGAGCGCAATGGCGAAGACCATCCACCATGTGTACGCTCGGACGTTGATCCCCGTGAAGAGGTTTGCGCACAGGACAGATGCGTAGGCGATTACGGTCGACCACTCGTAGAGAGGCACGTCGTATCCATCCCCTCGGGCGGAGGTGACATTGTACGTGTAGAGGATGAAGAAGAGCATCACCACGCCTTGGTAGACACCGTCGATCATGCACCAGCCGAAGGGGGTCAGGCCGAAGTACCTGTTCTCCCTCGAGCGGCGGTATAACTCTGGCACCTCCATGAGGATGCGGTCCGAGATGGGGCGGTCGAAGATACCCGCACCGATGACCGCCGCGACCGTCCAAAAGGCGTTCCAGAGCAAGATGTAGACGTAGTCCAATGCGTAGGTTGTAGACCAGGCGCAGTAGATTTGGTAGAAGAAGAGGTAGGAGATGTTGATGATCTCCTTGTAGAAGAAATTGGAAATCATCAGACCGTTGCGCCAGTAGGACCAATGGCCGTGCACGAGCAAAAGGCGCTTGAGGAAACGGAATTGCGCAATGGCGTAGTCGGAGGAGTTGACGGCTTGAAGACCTTCTTCTCCTGCAATACCGATACCGACGTGCGCCGCTTGGATCATAGAGACGTCGTTGGCCCCGTCGCCGATAGCGAGGGTCATGACGCCTAGTCCGTCCTTGATCAGACGAACGATAAGGGCTTTCTGGAGCGGTGAGACACGGCAGCAGATGACGGCCTTGCACTGCGTCGAGATGCTGAGCAGGAGGTCCTTGGAGAAATCCTCCGATAGCGCGTGGCCCAGCGCAGTGCCATCAATGACGAGAGCGTAGCCACCAGCACGTTGACCATTATCGGCGCCGACAAGTGACTGGTTGCTGATAGAGCTGCGGCTGTGCGAGTGTGATCGCCTTCCCTGCAGGGACGGCCTGCCACCCAGACTGAACCTGCTCGAATTGCGTCGTTCATTCTCGCTGTCTGGCGGCTGATGCTTCATCTGCGCCAGAGCCTCATGCCCACCAAAGAAGCGCTCCACAGCCCTCTTGAGCTGCTCGTAAGCCGAGTTGGGTGCACCGTACTCCCCTCCACGCACGACAATCAAGTTCATGTCCTGCGCGAGGAGCTGCGTGCTGTACCCAATAGCAATGGCCGTCTCGAGCTTGTCTCCGGTCGCCACCCAGACATTGATCCCTGCGCGCTTGAGGTCGGCAATCGTCTCCGGTACACCGTCCTGCAGACGGTCCTCGATGGCCGTCGCGCCGTACAAGAGGAAATCACGCTCCAGCTCGCTGGCGAGATCCTCCATCTTCTCCTCACGACGTTCCAGTGCAACGCTGGCGTCGTGGTAGCGGAAGGCCCACTCATTGTAGCTCTCCTCCGTCAGCTCCTTGCCCGCCAGGCAGAGCGTGCGCAGCCCCTTGTTGGCGAACTCTTCCAGAGCCTCGTCCGTGTTGGCCTTGATGTCGTCCTGGCCCGCAGCGGAGCGCTCAAAGATGATGCTGTCCGCTCCCTTGCTCAAGACGAGGATTTTCGAGTCCGCATGGCGGCGCAGGATGACACTCATACGCTTTCGCGCCGAGGTGAACTCCAGGACGCTGAGCAGCTCATACTTCTCAATCTCGCTCGAGCCGGGTACCTGCAGTGAGAGAGTGGAGCGGTCGCGACCGAGGAAAACGAAGCCAGTTTCTGCGGCCGCTTGGACCAGAGCCTGCTCATCGGGGCTCTGCGCCTTGTAGTCGATCATGCCATCGCTCGTCGAGGCCAGCGCAGTGTGGCAGAGAGCGAGACAGCGCCAAAAGCGACCGAGCTGCTCGCCGTGCGTCGAGTGAGGGTCCTTGAGCGCGTTCTGAAGTTGCGCATCCTTGAAGGGCTCTCCATCTGCGGACGGCTTGACCCTCATGCGACCGGTCTTGCCACCAGCCTCGTGCCCCGAGCCGCTCTCGACGTCAGTGCCAGACGGCGAGGACGCGCCTGCCTTTTCGTTGAGGCTGTGGTCCGCGGATCCAGACGCTTTCATCTGCGGCTGTTGACTGCCTGGATCGCCGCGGTAAACAACGCCCCCGATCGCGCACTCGCGGAAGAGCATTAGGTTCTGCGTGAGCGTACCGGTCTTGTCTGAGAAGATGTACTGAATCTGACCCAAGTCGTCGGACAAGTTCCAGGATCGAGCTGTGGTTCTCCTGTTGGTCTTCTCGTAGTAGATTTCGGCGTCGTCGAAGATGAAGTACGCCTGAATGGTACGGACTACCTCGATGGAGATGTAGAGTGAGATGGGCACGATGTTCTGGAAGGTGATCAGTGCATTGCCGAAGGTGACGAGGCCGTTGATCCGCGGGTTGTCGTCGGAGCGAGTGGCCGCGAACTCCCAGTAGGCGTTGAGGCCGAAGTAATGGACCTCAATCAGCGAGTCGGCAATCGCACAGCCGACGGCCATGCATGCGAGGATGAGCAAGTTGACGTAGACCATGGGGTTCATCTGTCTCTCCACCCTTGAACGCTTAGACGGTGTATTACCCGAATTGGCAATGATCTTCGTGTCGACGCCGGTCATGAGGACAAGACCAACGACCCATTTGGTGTTGCGCAGGTTGCAGCCTCGCAGGAGGATCTGGTTGAGCGTAACGGGGCAGCGCATCGGGTTGCCCTCCTGGTCAAATCGGTCCGCGAGTGTCACGCTCGCGTTGAGGCGGTACATGTTGGTGTCCTGCGGCTCCGAGTCGACGCGCATCGCAGCTTGCGCCGCCTCGCCTGCCGTTCTGATCATCGTAGCTAGCTCGGGCACGGCATGACGAGACTTGAGGTTCGTCTCGCCGTCGAGGTTCTTTGTCTCAATGAAGCAAGAGTCCTCCTCTTCTGACGTGGCGCAGATGATCACATCGGCCGGGATGGGCTCGTCATTCTTGATGAGCACAAAGTCGCCCACACGCAGGTCCTCCCACATGTTCTTCTTCCAACGCGGCGCCTTCTTTGCGTGGTATTTCGTCTCCTCCTCCGGCGTGAGCAAGACGCCATTGCGCATCACGCGTCCCTCGGGCGTCGTCTCGTAGCCCTCGTACATGCTTCCGACTCCCATTGTCGACGATCTGTTGGGTCCGCCGAAGCTCGTACTCGCCCTGCTGAGGGTATGTCCGAGACCCGGCGTTGACGGAGCATCGCTGGCTGAGCGATGATGACCAGGCGCAGCAGCATTCGTCGTTGGCAGTGTCTCAGGTGCCGGTCCTCCTGGCCCATCTGCTGTCGAGGCCCTCGGCGTGCCAACGACCGCTTCAGGGTTCTGAGCAGCAGACGCTTGCCTGCGTTCGAACTCCTTTGCGAGACGCTGGCTCTGCTTCTTTTTGCCTCCGAGCCACTTGTACCGCAGCCCGTTCCAGATCGCTGAGACGGATCGCTCCTTCTCCTCCATCACATTAGGGTTGATCCAGTTGTGGGCGGTCATAACGCGCACCTGTTGGCGATTAAGGTATCGGTCCGACTGATGTCGCTTGACGTCTTCGTAGCCGTCCTTGAGGGCTGTGATGGCCAGGACGGCGAGCAAGGGCAGCATGGCCAAGACTGGATTGATCGTAGCGAACTTGGGAAAGAATTGCAGGATGACCAGGACTGGAGGCAGGCGGGGATGGTAGACGGTCAGCAAGGATTACCCCACGCGCTCCTCCTGGCCTCGCCTGCACTCACTCAAGAAGAAGATGTTGGCCACTCGACGGAACTGCTCGAAGAGATTCTTGGGGATGAAGTTGTAGACGGTGTACTTTGCAGTGAGGACTGAATGAGGTGGAACAAGGTCAGCGCCTTGAACGTAATTGCAGTCGATTGCCGATATTGCTCACCCTGATTCGTAGCATAGGTGACCGACTTGAGCGGTTTGCCCTTGTGATCGAAATACTCAGCGGGCAGCGGCTCATTGAAGAACTGGCGGCGTTGGGGGAGGGCCAAATCCGATGTTGGTCAGCACCACTGCTGAGGATCGACGCTGTTCTTCGAGCTGAGACGACTCACAATTGTTCTCGGAGCAGGCGGAGGTCTTGTCTTTTGAAAGAGTAGCTCTGGATCCAAGCCTACTGCCCTGACCTTCCTCCACGCCTGAACAAACTTGTTTGGCTCGCCCATGGCTTCCGGAGTCTCCTCTGGGACCTGGTCGCGGCCTTTGAACGGATTGCGAACCATGTTTAAAGGGTGCTGGCTGATCGTCGTTGGAATCAATGAGGAGTGGCCAGCTTCTCACGGGCTCAGCATGGGCCGAGGGGAACCAGAGACGGAGAGCGGAGGCAGCTACGGTCCTGTGGCGGGGAGCGCGGCTTAGAATTGGCTGGCTAGCTGGTGACACGATGCTGCCTGGGCCCGGCTATAGCAATGAGACGCCCTAGCAAGCCGATTGTCTTAGGCTGACTCCTTGCTGAGATGTAAGGCCTGCGCAAGAAGTTGTTGACGATTGATCTTGACCCCCTTAGCTGGAGTAGCCGGCGGGCGGCTGTGCTGCGTGCGTGTTTTGGACCCCTGTACAGCCCGCTCGAGCGGCAGCCAGACTCGCACTCTTCCTAAGCTCGTGGTGGCCGAGGGGGAGCAAAGAAGTTCCAGAGATGAAGACGATGAGGAGGAGGAGGAGGAGGTGGTTGAAAATGCAGAGACGAATACACGGCCACGCCGAGATGAGTGGGTAAGTCAGGGTTGAATTGGAGGTCGCCCTCGACGACGATTCGCAGCACGAGACAATTCCGACGACGCTTCGGCCCGCGCCCGGTCGTTGACCCTTGGATTGGCTTTGGCCCTCTAGCAGCGGACGTGCCAGGGCTTTTTGGCGGGCAGGCAGATGCGCTTTCTCGGCCTCAAGGGCTTGAGTCCAAGCAAGCAAGCAGGCTCAAGCTCCGCGGCCCTGTTCCCGCTGAGCGTGCTGCACGCATGACGAAGGCCGCGAGCTCAAGCAGAGATGGGCGGGCGGCACAGGCCGAGGGCGGTGACTTCAGTCGTCAACACACAAGACGAATCACTGACGGACAGACGGACGGGATTGGACGCCCGCGGTAGGAGAAGAAGAAGCGGGAGCGAGCACAATGCAGCTCGAGGCGGGCGAAGGTCTTTGCAGGCCTTCAACGCTCGTCTGTCATCTTACCAAGATATCACGACGTGGAGCCCCTAACTACAAATAGTGGTTCACGCTGCTCTTCATCATCGCTGTTTGCATCGCCGCTCGCATTTGACTGGCATGGTCTGGCATTGCACGCGCACGGCACAAAGAATACTGCAAAGCGCCCATCGTCGTCATGCTAGCCTAAAACCTGGCTCCATCATCCCTCGTCTATTTTGTCTCTCTCTTCAAACAGCTAAGATGTGTTCAGGACCAGTTTGCTTACGCGCTCTTCTGCTTGAGAACAGCGGGGGCCTCGTCGCCGCGGGTGAAGCCACCGAGACCAGCGTAGGTAGCCTTGGGCTCCATGCCCTCGATACGGAGGAGCTGATTGTACTTGGCGACACGCTCAGATCGGCAGGGGGCACCGGTCTTGATGATACCAACACCGAGACCAACGGCGATGTCGGCAATCGTAACGTCCTCGGTCTCACCAGAGCGGTGCGAGACCATGACAGCCCAGTTGTCCGACTGAGAGAGCTGAGCGGCCTGGATCGACTCGCTGATGGTGCCGATCTGGTTGATCTTGAGGAGGAGACCGTTGCACGACTTCTTCTCAATGGCGGTCTTGATACGCAGGGGGTTGGTGACCGTCAGGTCGTCACCGATGATGGTGATGCCAGCCTTGGCACGAAGCTCGGACCAGGCCTCCCAGTCGTCCTGGTCGAAGGCGTCCTCGATGGAGCTGATGGGGTACTTCTTGATGTAGCCAAGGTAGATCTCGGCGAGCTGCGAGCCGGTGATCCCTGTAAATGTGGGCGAGAAGACAGAGGATGGTCAGCTGTGGAGTGGGGCTCCGTCGGCGTCGGCGCTACTCACACTTGCTGGGGTCGCTCTTGGGGTTCTTGAAGTCAAGGTCGTACTTGCCGTCCTTGTAGAACTCAGACGAGGCAACGTCGAGCGAGATGTGGACCTTGCCCTCGTAGCCGGCCTTGTTGATAGCCTCGGTGAGGACCTCGAGGGCCTCGTCCGAGGACTCGAAGGGGGGTGCGAATCCTCCCTCGTCACCGACGTTGGTCGAGTCGATGCCGTACTTGCTCTTGATGACGCTCTTGAGGGTGTGGTAGACCTCAGAGCCCACCTTCATGGCCTCAGTGAAAGTCTGAGCACCAGTAGGGACGATCATGAACTCCTGGAAGGCGAGCTTGTTGCCGGCGTGCGAGCCACCGTTGATGACGTTCATGGCGGGGGCAGGAAGGATGTAGGGGGCCTTGACGCCGGCAAGGTCGGCGATGTGGGCGTAGAGGGGCTTGCCCTTGGCGGCAGCACCGGCGTAAGCGGCGGCAATGGAGACGGCAAGGATCGCGTTGGCGCCGAGCTTCGTCTTGTTGGAGGTGCCGTCGAGCTTGAGGAGGAAGTCATCAATGGCCTTCTGGTCGGTAACGTCGATGCCAGCCTTGATGATCTCGGGAGCGATGATGTCGTTGACGTTGGAGACGGCCTTGGTGACGCCTGGCGCGCATAGCGAAGAAGACGAGGTCAAAAGGTGAGTAATGGCTCTGATAGTTGATGAGCTACATGACTCGCGCACTCACCCTTGCCAAGGTAGTTGGCCTTGTCACCGTCACGGAGCTCGCAGGCCTCCCACTTGCCAGTGGAAGCGCCCGAGGGGGATACTCCACGGAAGGTACCCTGGTGCACGCGAATGGCGGAAAAAGTTGGTGTCAGTCAATAGGGGCGCTCAGAGATTAGGGTCTTCCGGAAAAGCTCGCTCGCAGCTCACCTTGTCAGTGGTAAGGTCGACCTCGACGGTGGGGTTACCACGCGAGTCGAAGATCTGACGAGCGACAACCTTGGTAATAGCCATGTTGTGTGTTTGTGTGAGAAACGGAGTGGTGGTGGTGGTGGGTAGTATTGGTGGTGGTGAGGACAGGAAAGAAAGGAAGAAGTTGATTCACAGACAGCGTTGGGGCCAAGCGGCAGGGCGGCGGGATTGGGCCTCAGAGCGGCGCCCGTGCGTGCGTGCGTGCGTGCAGGGAGACGGGCAAGGCGTGGCTTGGTGTGGGCAGGAAGAACCGAGTCGAAGTCTTCGCTCTGAAGCGGCCAGCCAAGCTGGCCACACAACGCCGTCTAGAGCCTACCTTCACCGGCGCGCTACCGAGAATGGCGATGATGACGAAGAAGAGCACAGCTGATCGAATAAAGAAGGGCATCGGGTGATGGCGTCTTCCATGGCGGACCTTTGGTGAAGCAGATCCATCGCAATTGCGATGAAGGCGGCCTGTCTCGCAGGTGCGGAGGTGAGACAGCTAGATGGTGGGCTAGCAGCCCGATCGATTATGAGACGAAGCAGGTGCTCAACGGCGCTTTGAAATCGGACAATGTGTTCTTGAGTCCTCTTAAACCTCACTTCCACCGGCTCCACTGACGGGCAAGGAAAGGGAAGGCGAGAAGCAGTCGGTCGGCCAGGCAAATCACATCGTGGAGCTCTGACTTTGCTTTGCGCTCTACGGTCCCCCACTGGATTAACACAAGAAAGAGGCCTCGATGCTGATCTGCTCAGCCTTGCCACTTTCCCCAGCAGAAGGAGCTTGAGCCGAACAGCTGTTGGGCGTGAGGAGATACCGTGGCGCGGGACATTCGCAACTGCTCATATCGAGCCAGATTGAGGTGGCGCAGAACGCAAGAAGAGTGGAGTCAAAGCCTCCAGCTGTGATCGACTGACCCTCAAACGATGACCCCGATAGTGCTCTGTCAACGGCAGCGTAACAACGAGATGGTCTCACGTGTGGCACATCCTTGGCTCTCTCTGCCCGCCGATTGGCGCTTGCTCAATCCCATCTGGCAAGCTCAAAAGTGAATCGTGTTTGTACAAGCGTAGATCGCGTCCCGAGGCTTTCCCTAGCTATCTGCTACCTTGGCTGCGTCTTACCACTGATTGGCTGGCATAGAAAGGTGCGCAGGCGGCATATGACCGAGGGCGGACTGGAGTCGTGGCAGCAGCCAGCAACTGGTGTGAGCGGGCGTTTCGTGGGCGGGCGACTCGCGAGACACCTGTGCGCCCGCTCTCTCCAGGTCGACACGCACGCACGGCGCAGGCCAAAGCAGAGTGACACGCACGACGGCGACGACGACGGTCGACCTTCCTTCGCACTTAACCTCCTCACCTCACTACCCTTCCTCGTCGCGAGCAGGACAAGGGCGAGCGTCGCACTACTCAGCATCATCCTCGCCCCGTTGATCCTACCTTTTGCACTGCCAAACAAGCGCCTCCTCATCTTCACACTCGCCCGCCCGCCATGTCGCAGACTCCCGTTCTGCCGCCCGGGTGGATCGCCCAGTGGGATCAACAGGCCGGCCGAAACCTCTACGTAGAGCAATCGACTGGTCGCTCCAGTTGGCAGCCCCCCAACACCGCCCTCTCGCCAGGGCAAAGGCCTACCCACAACCAGGGAGCAGCGAGGATGTCGATGCCGCCCATGCAGGGACCGCCAGGCATGAGGCCACCTCCTTCCATGTCGGGCGCACCAGGCGGAGGCACCCCTGGCCATGAGGGGGCTACCTCACCGCCTCCCTCGGGCATTCAGGGCTCTCGTAGGAGAGCCTATCCGACTGCCCATATGGCCGCTAACAGTGTCAGCTACAGTGGGGGATTCGATGCTGGAGCGCAGGCAGCAGCAGGTGGATTCGCTCCTTCGCCTGCTATGGCGCCCGTCCAGGAGCAGCCTCAGTACTTTACGCCCGGGGTACCAGAGGCAGCGCCCGCTGCTTCTCACCCCTATGGTGGAATGCAGCAGCCGCAGCACCAACAAGCGCAGAACGGTCAGCCAATGGGCGGCCAAGGTGGATACCCCGGCGCACCAGGAGGAGCTGGCATGGCAGGGTTGGCGAATCAATTTTCCAACATGGGAGTGTCGGGGCAGCAGAGAGGGGTAAGTGTGGGGGGCGAAGGTAGCAAGTAGCAGTCATACTGCAGGAGCTGACACACCTCTACCGTTACTCGCGCAGAACTCACTCTACACGGTCAACCTCTCTGGAATGCAGCCAAATGTCAACGACATCGAGCGACCTCCTCCGGATATCAAGTTGCCAGCCAATGCGTGCATCACCAACCACCCAAAAGCCAATGCAGACCCCTCGTATCAGCGCTGTACCCTCAATGCAGTCCCCTCGACAGCCTCGCTGCTCAGCAAGTCGAAGCTGCCCTTTGGTATCGTTCTCTCCCCCTACCGCAGTGTGCGCCCGGAAGACGGCGATGAGCCCGTACCCGTTGTAACGGACTCGGTCATTGCTCGATGCAGGCGGTGCAGGACCTACATCAACCCTTACGTCCAATTCATCGAGGGCGGACAGCGATGGAAGTGTAAGTACGAGGCTCACAACTCATGTCTCACGGGTCGCCGATGCTCACCTCCTCCTTTCTTGGCCCCTCGCCGCTTCAGGCTGCATGTGCAACATCACTAATGAGGTCCCTCAACTCTTCGACTGGGATCAGGAGACGAACCAACCTGCAGACCGCTGGAAGAGAGCTGAGCTAAACCACGCCGTCGTCGAATTCATTGCCCCTCGCGAATATATGGTCCGCCCGCCGCAGCCACCCGTCTACGTCTTCCTCATCGACGTCAGCCATCAGGCGATTCAGAGCGGCATGGTGGCGACGGCAGCCAGGACCATCCTCGAGACCCTGCCTAGGCTTCCGAATGCCACCGACCGCACCAAGGTTGCCATCATTGGTGTGGACACAAGTCTGCATTTCTTCTGCCTTCCCCCCGGTGCATCTGAGGCAGAAATGCTCGTCGTCAGCGACCTCGACGATGTCTTCCTCCCGAAGCCAAATGACATCCTCGTCAACTTGAGCGAGAACCGCACGGGCATCGAGGCGCTCCTCAACCGCTTCGGCGACATGTTCAAGGACAATACAGTCGCAGGCTCCGCTCTCGGCGCAGGGCTGCAAGCGGCATACAAGCTCATCTCGACCATCGGCGGCAAGATTCTCACCCTTACGGCTACAATGCCCAGTGTCGGTCCTGGAGCCCTGAAGCGACGAGATGATGCCAAGCTGCTGGGAACAGCAAAGGAGAGCACCCTCCTGAGCGCTGCTTCCACCTTCTACAAGACTTTCCCTATCGACTGCTCCCGCAGCCAAGTCTCGGTGGACATGTTCCTCTTCAGCACCGCATACACGGATGTCGCCACCCTCTCCTGCCTGCCGCGATACACTGGTGGTCAAACGTACTTCTACCCTGCCTTCCATGCCGCTAGAGCTGAGGACGCGGTCAAATTCTCCCACGAGCTGGGTCATGTCCTCTCCTCCCCCATCAGCTACGAGGCCGTGCTCCGCTTGCGTGCCACAAAGGGGATCAGGGCTATTGGATTCCACGGCAACTTCTTTGTGCGTTCCACGGACCTGCTCGCTCTGCCGGCCGTTCCGCTCGACCAGAGCTACGCAATCGAGTGCGAGATCGAGGAGCCCATCGCGGCGCCATTCGTCGTCTTCCAGTCCGTCGTCCTGCACAGTACCAGCACGGGCGAGAGGCGCATTCGTGTTTGCAACTTGGCCCTGCCCACCACGACAAACATGTCCGAGATCTACGCGAGCGCGGACCAGGTGGCCATCGTGGCCCTCCTCGCCAACAAAGCCGTCGAGCGCTCTATCCATGCCCGACTGGAGGATGCGCGTGATGCCTTGACAAACAAACTGGTGGACATTCTCACCACATACAAAAACACGATGACTTCCGCCGGGCAGGGTGCCTCCGCTCAGCTCAACGTCGCGAGCAATATGGCACTTCTGCCGCTCCTGATCCTCTCACTTCTCAAGCATGTCGGCATCAGGCAAAGTTCTCAGATCCCTCCAGATCTCAGGGCCTACGCGCAAGCGCTGCTCACCACCATGCCCGCTCAGCTCCTGATGCCATACCTCCATCCCAACTTCTACTGTTTGCATAACATGCCGGCCAACGCGGGGACGGTAGAAGAGATCCCTGGACCACCTGCGGCCCCTGCAGCAAAGCCTGAGGGAGACGAGAAGGACGGCGAGTCCGCTTCTGCGCCGGCGATGATCCGTCGCACCGTCTTCCCTCCGAAGCTCAACCTGACCTCTGAGCGTCTGGAGCGCCACGGCCTCTACCTCCTGGAGGATGGACAGCACGTCTTCCTTTGGGTCGGCCGCGATGCTGTACCCCAGCTGACGCTGGACGTCTTCGATTCGCCTTCATACTCGGCCCTGCGCGGTGGCAAGACTACCCTGCCCGTGCTGGAGAACTCGATGAATAAACGCGTGAGAGCCCTGGTGGACGCGGTTGCTACGATGAGGAGAGGACCGTACAAGCCTACTGTGTACGTAGTGAAGGAGGATGGGGAGCCTAGCCTCAGGTTGTGGGCGCTGAGCTTGTTAGTGGAGGATAGGTTCGAAGCTAGCCCCAGCTACTCGCAATTCTTGGGAACATTGAGGAGTAAGGTCAATGGGAGCTCGTAGAGCGGGCAAAGCACGACGCGGAGTCTACCCTCTGTGGAGATAAGGCGGAGGCGGGCAGAGGCGATGGGGCGAAGCTACAAAGGACTGGGCGAGAGGAGTAGGAAAAGATCTTGTGAGGTGCTCACACATTACCATCGACATCATCATTCAGTGCCGGTCGGGAGGACCGGGGCAAGCGAAGGGACCCTTGGATCTGGTCCGGAGGAGATAGTCCGGAGGGAGAGGCCATACTCCCTTTCTCTCAACTCTTTCTTGTATCTTCGTCGCGCACGTTCCATGTCATTAGTCTACATTCACACGCAGCGTCTGCGTCCGGCAATGACTCGCAGTGAGATCAGACCCATTGGCATGATGCATTTCAAGGCAGCCTGATGGTCGACAGGCCGTGTCACATATCAAGTCGTCGAGTGTCCGTGCTCTTGCGACTCGCCCTCTCAATCACAAGGCTCCGGCGGGGAGGTCTTGGGATCAATAAGAGGCAGCTGCAATGTCCCGACCTTTTGGTATCGCGGATTCTCAGCGAAGAAGGTATTCCACGCATCGATTTGCTGGCGTGGCGTGACGATGAGGTGGTAGGAGGCAACATCAGCGATCAGTGCAAGCAAGCTTTCGACCTTGCTTCCTCCAATTCGTAGCTCTCACCTGCAAATCCTCCTCCCCCAGCCCCCTCAAATCATGCGTCAAATGCGTCTTGAAGCACCCTGTCACATACGCCCTACTCGCATCCTTGCCGGCGAAGAACCAGTAACTCCCCCCAGGCTTGTACGTCGATCCTCCCCTGGTGACATCGTACACATTACCCAAGATGCTCAAATAAATCGGCCGCGAAGGGTCCCGACCATTGTACAGTGCCAGCTCTGCAGGTGTAAAAGTTCGCTGCTTTGGCGGGATCCATCGAGAAGGGTAGCGCCATCGTCCATCATAGCCGTACAATACGTCTCCTGTAATGAATTGACCCAAAGCGAGGGCGGCAAGGACAGCGAGGAGGATCCACTTGATCAGTGTCCTCAAAGGGGAGAGGGAGAGGGGTACATCCTCATGGTCCTTGCGGAGCTCCTTCCATTGCGAGTGGACGAGGAAGGCACGATTCGCGTTCTTGTGCGCAACTGTCCGACCTGGGCGCGAAGGATCTGGTTGTCGAGGCTTGTCTGATGCCGCTGTGGATGAGGATGTCGCCGCAGTGCCTTGCGCTCCCGGCACTATTGTTGAGGCCGCAGAGGAAGACGACGTCAACGACGTCGTGGACTGTGTCTCGTCGTGCTCCTGAGCGGCGGCGGCGGCGGCATTTGGCCGTAATTGAGGAGCCATTGTACTGACTTGAGGCCAGAAAGTGACGATCTGCGCTTTCGTTTACCGCTACTGTGGCAGCTCGAGACGGCTTCAGGATCACTCGATGATAGTAGTGTGGGAATCAAAGCTGCAACGGAGCTTCGAGCGAGCGAGCGAGCGAGCGAGCAGGTGCACGGACGGGCCAGAGCAGCAGCGGCAGCGGCCTCCACGTGGAGTCAAATCGACTACTGGTCTCGCTCTCGCGCTCTCGCTGACTTCAGGCTCGACGATGTGGTAAGGATGATCAAAGTGACGATTCAGAATTGCAAAGCATATTCGGAATATGGATGGACTGCGGGCGAGCTCTGAGCCCACACCGCCCGATTTTGTCGCCCAGCCGTGACGCCACGAGCTGGGCGGGGAATACTTCTAACACAGGAGAGAAGGGAGAGACGATGGGGTAAACCAGGATAGAACAGAGAATGCATGATGCAAAGAGAGTCAGGAGAGTCGGGACACGTCCTTCTACGACGACTTGCTGGGCGCAGCGGTGTCGTTGATCTCGTGGGCGATGTTGACTGGGTTCTGGGGCTCGTGCGCACCAGGCTGGATGCCGGCCTTGGCAGCGAGCTCTTGACGGTCGACCTCGTCGGCGTCGTAGTTCTTGGTCTCGGGAACCAAGAGAACGGTAATGATGAGACCAGCGCCAGAGACGGCGAAGAAGATCCAGAAGACAATCTCTTGTCCGACCTGGTTGGCGAGGGCAGAGAAGCCCAACGACGAGATGATGGCACCCACCTTACCCGTCGCAGCGCAGAGGCCGTGAGCTCCAGCACGCACACGCGTAGGGAAGACCTCGGCGGGAATAATGAATGTAGTGGCGTTGGCACCGAAGTTGAAGAAGAGCTGCAGGAAGACGAAGACGGCAAAGAAGGGGCCAGTCTGGTGTCGCAGCGTGTCGAACTTGCCACCGAGGATGCCAAGGAACAGCATGTTCATGGCGAAACCAAGGATCTGGATGGGCTTGCGTCCCATGGGCTCGATGAGGGCTACGGTGAAGAAGTAACCGGGCAGGAAACCGGCGACGGTGATGATCAGGTTACCGGTCGCCGTCTTCATGAGCTTGCCCCAGGTGGAGCCGGTAGTGAAGTTGATGGCCGAGAGAATGAAGGACTGGTTCAGGTTGATACCGTAGAAGGTAATGTCGACCAGGAACCAGCAGAGGGAGCAGCCAATGAGCGTCTTGAGGTGGCGCCACTCGGAGAAGTACTGGAAGAAGTCGTTGTGCGCCTTCTGACCAATGGTTCCGAACCCAATGGCAACATCCTGAGTGTGGTTGGTCATGGGGGCGACGTCACCGCCAGCCTTCTCGAGGGCAAGCTCCTCCTCGGAGTCGATCTCGCCGACGATGACACCCTTGGCCGAGGCCTTGTTGAGGAGCTCGGGGTCGTCCTGGATGGCACGTGCCTGAGTGAAGCGAGTAGACTCAACGAGAGTGAGACGGAAGTAGAGGGCGATGAACGCAGGGATGAGGGAGAGACCCTGGAGAATACGCCAGGCGCCAGAGAGCTTGTGGAGCTGGCCGGCGTCAACGTAGTCCCTGTAGCCGGCAATGACGATGACGGCGAGGAGACCACCAGCGAGGTTACCCCAACCCTGGTTGCTGAAGATCCAGGCAAGCATGGCACCGCGCTTCTTGAGGTGAGCACGGTCCGAGACGACGGCAGCCGACATCGGGTAGTCACCGCCGATACCGATGCCCATGAGGATACGGAAAGCCGTCATCCAGACGGTAATGCCGTGGCCGCCAAGGTAGTCCGGAGCTGAGATGATGAGAATCACAGAGACGATGACGATGACAAGCTCCTTGCCGTAGACGGCCGAGCGACCCAGAGAGTCACCGAGGAAGCCGAACATGATCTGGCCGATAATGTTACCGATGTTGGCTGACGCCTTGAGCACACCACCGTCGAGACCCCAGTCGATGTTCTTGGCGGTCGAAGGGTACTGCGGTGCGTGGGCGCGTAACGGTGGAATCCAAGGGCAAAGGGCAAATGCGGGGGCGGGAGCGGAAATGGGCGTACGGTTGTCAGTGCCCGCTCCGCATTGCTACCGCGTCTCTCGGCGAAGCAACGTTCGCTACATCGCCGAGCGACTCTGAGCAGGAGACTCACGTAGGCACGAAGGAGAATTGCGTAAATCATGTTGATGATGAAGAGGTCATAGGCGTCCATGAAGACTGAGGGCAGAACGGAGCAAGAAGGTGGTCAGACCAACGCGTCTTCGTAGGCGAGGAGTTGTTGTACTAGCTCGCAAACTCACAGCCTACACCAGCGATGGCGAGGAGCTTGATCTCGCCCCATGAGATGCCGAGGAAAGTCCTCTGCTTCTTCTCAAGCATGGCAAGCGGGCTAGCGCCCGATGCCTGGTAGGCGTCCAGGGAGGCACCGTTGAAGACCATTGTTGCTGCTGTTGCTTGTTGCGACTAGGCAGCGACGGGGAGAGGAAAGGAGAGGAAGGTGGTTCGGTGTAGGTGAGGAAACAAGAAAGAGCAGTCACAGGCATCGACAACGGGATCTTCCAGGTCTTATACAGCCGCACCAGCCGTCTGACACGGAGTAGCTTTTGCCGCCGAAGAAAAATGGCGGTCCTCTACCGCTGCTGCTCAGGAAGATCCATCCTAGTGTACTGCCGCACTACTGCCGGCGGTGGGTGTGCCGTAGGTAGTGAAGCGGCGGCCAATACTGGGTCAAACCTCGACGGCGGCGGCGAATGCGAGCATTCATAGATGGGGAACGTGCTCGTCGTCGTCGGAGGTCTAAGTCTGGCCTCCGCCCATGCCGGGCGCTGGACTCGACTTTCCAATCTTCGTGAAATCGCGCCCTTGTCGCTACCTCCTGAATCCAGACTTCAACGAGACCTGCAGCGGATTGACCAACTACTGTCTCACGATACAGTGCGCCACACTTGCAGCCGGGGAGCCACTCAGACATCGACTTGATCACGAGAACGAGCCAGAGGCAGAAGATGCCCTTGCAGGCAGTTCGGACGGGCGGACGCTCGCCACGGCCCGGTCGTCCAAAGCTCGCACGTTCGTCAAGCTGCTACGGGCGATTCTGAGCCGTCCCTTGCCACACCTAGACTTTGGTGCCTTGCTCTCGTGCAGCGTCTGTGTCTTTCGCCACCTTCTGGCTCTGGCTCACGAAGATGATGAGGACGTACGAAGAGTCTTGAGAGGCCCTATTGGAGAGCACAGACAGAGAGACACATGCATCGCTCGACTCGCTCCGTCGCTCGGTCCGTCGTCGCGGGCGGGGAAATTGGCTCGCCAGATGCACTCGACTGCGAGGCTCACTCACGAACGCACTACGACAGCGCTTTGAATGAGCGCGAGTACGATGTGCGAACGTGCTGTTTCGCAGCCACGCATGCGAATCCCGATGAGCTCTCAGATAAGGCTGGATCCTCCCTCACTCACACGCCGTCCAAGCGGGCAACATCACCATGCTCAGGCGAGCCAATAACCGTCACGAAGTCTACCAGCCGACCAAAGCCAAGACCAACGGCATCCTTGTCCTTCCTTCCTGAGCCGCATCGTCCGCCGGCCGATCGGGCTCATGTCGCGATCATTGGATTTCGCAACCTCGTCTAGACATACTCGCTGTCGTTACCAGCCTCATTTCCCGAGCCATAAGCAGAGCCCGCGGCGTGCCCGATCGTCGCTGATGATCGAGGACCCCTCTAACCTCGCCTCTTTGAGCGCGGAGCAACGTTGAGAGTGAAGCGAAGTTGTGCCCAGGCTCTTTGCGCAGTCAGCCTAAATTCGTGATGGTGCTTGCGTGCGATGCAACGGAAAGTGTGTTGGCCGTGAAAGTACGGCTGAAGCTGGCCGGACCTAGCCTGCCATCCCGTCCGCCTTCATACGCAGGCAAGTGGTGGGTTGGTGGAAGATGTGGCTGGCTCCCTCCGACCACTTAGAAGATGAAAGTGATCAAATTGCAAGCGGCGCCACACCATGGCGACAGGAAGATGTGAGTCGCGCGACATCATCGTCCGCGGGGTGACGAGGCTACAAACCGCGGCCCTCAAGCTGCTCCGTCAGAGCGACTTGGATGACCCCCAAGCCCGGTCACGCTCGTGATGATGAACATTTGGAGTGTTTGACATGCAACGTGTTCCCCGCGAACGACCTACCTCGGCTTATAGTTGGCGACCCCGTGATGATGAGCATCTCTACACCGCGATCGTTGTGGATCGCGGTGTCGGAGTGGCTGGCAGCCGTCGACTGCTCGCTCAGCACGATCGTTTGGCGAACGGCTACTATCGCCACTTATGATTTGCGCCCTTCGAACCTGGATGACGGGACGGCATCGACCCTCATCGCCTCGCTCGATCGATCTTACGCAAACTGGACTTATCTCTCCCCGATCCTCGATCACGTTACCGCCTCCCCTAAGACACGCCATCTTACGATGCTATGTATCGGCAGGCTAGGCGAGGCGAGGACGCCGCCTTGCTGATGGCCATTTCACGGCGCAGGCGTCACGAAGCGTCTCAGGCGCTGCGAGAATGACACCTCTGGACGACCCTGGTGTGACGAGTTGACAATAGGGCGCCATGTGCATCAGTGCACGCGCAGAGCGAGTCCTTGTGGGACGTGTAACGCTTGAACCGCCATCCCGATCTCCCGTGACACCCTTATGAGAGAGCAATTCATTCACGCAAGGAATCCTCTCATCTTCTGCCGACGGTATCCATCAGGGTTCAGCGGTGCGTAGAATCCGGCGGGCGGCGTGAGGATGGGTCGCGCTCAGCCGGCGGCGAGGACGATGCCAAGACATCACCGTGGCAGCGAGCGAGGAACTCAGCTTGGGCCGCACACGTGTGCGTCAAGGCTCGTGGATATCCACTCTATGTATGTTCGGCCATATCTGGGACGATGAGAGTCGGGCGCTAATATTTGGACGATGAGCATCTCCTCGTTACCCAGAGATGTACTCTCACTGCCCTTGACTGACGGCAGACCGATCGGCCCGGGCGAGGCGAAGAACCACCGCGAGGCTGCATAGCGAATGATTTGATTTCCAGACATGTGTACCTTGCTAGGTGATCTCCTCCATGTCATCGTCCTCGTCTTGTTCTACATCTTCGCCGCCCTCGCCTGTCCCGCCTGCCTCCGAAGGTCGCTCTTCCCTACCACCTTGCTCAGCCGTGCCACCCGCCTCGTCTGCTTCGCCCACGTCGCCCACGTCAACCATATCACCATCCGCCTCGTCATCGTCATCAAGCTCACCCGTGTCTCCCTCTGGCAATCGCATCCGAAAATCGTACGTCTGATCGTCTTCATCCGGTCTCCACCTCACGTGATACCATGCCCTCAGCGCCCGCGCCGCAATCTCATCGTGTGCTCGAACAGCCTTGAGTATGGCATTGAGGTCTGCGTGAGAGATGTTGGCATCCTTGCCCAGACTAGTTTGCTCGGTGTCGATGCTCCGTAGCGCCGCAATTGCCTCATCGTGCGCAACTTGCACCTCTGGCTCCAGCTTAGTCCTCAACGCCTCGCCCAGCCTGGCCGTCTTGTCGCCATCGAGTGTGGTAGTCGGAACAGCCGAGAGTCTAGGTAGAGTGTTTCGCCCATCCGCGAAGGATACGGGCGGGACGCCCTCGCTGGTCGTGGCTCGAAGCGCCGCCTCCTCGCTCATGAAGTAATTGGACGTCCGTGCCTCTTCCTCGAGCGTGCGCTGCACATTGTCCAGCTGAGCGGGGAGGAAGGTGGACGAGGCAGATGTGAGGGAGGAGGAGAGGGAGTAGGTCTGAGAGACGAGCGTTCCGAAGCGACTGAGAATCGTAGGCCAGTCGAGTATTGGGGTCATGGCAAGCTCCATCTGTAGCTGTCCGGTTGAGGCGACGAGGGCTTGCAGCTTCTTTTGGATCTGATGAAGCTGGTCCGTCGGGCCTGTGATGGCGGGCAGACCAGAGGGGCCTGCAGATGCCATGTCCAGCAGACCGGTGGGGCCACCACCAGGGCGTCGTGAAGAGGACGCTGTTGCTGATGCCATGATCGTGACCACCGCTGCTACTTTGCGTATTGCTGTTGCCGCCGCTGGCCTCCACTCCCTTCTTTGGAAGAAGTTGCGAGGGAGGCGTCGATGCAAGCAAAGTCAAGTCAAGCCGCGGGGCGTCATCGCGTGAGGGCTCCTCGTCGCCCCTGCCGCCCGCCTCAGCTCTCGTTGTCCAACACTTGAAGCCGCGTCGCCGCCCAGCTGCAGCTCACAAGAGCGAGCGAGGCAGCGAGGGACGGGACCCTGACTGCTGAGTCTGAGTCGGCGGGCCACCGAGGCACAGCCAGGCCTTTAGGGCGCCCCGCTCACGAACCTTCGCCCCGTTGGACATCGAGCGTCCATTGAATCGCGGTGAATTTCACAGCCTGTCGCTCGCTCATCATTGCAGTGCGTTGCTCGTCCTTGCCAGCTTGCTAGGCGGTCGCTTTTCTTCCCCTTTCATCACTCACCTTTTCCATTCCCGTTGTCTCTGCGAAAGCTCCCTTCTTTGGCATCGCTCCTGTGGCCGACTGCTCATTTCGGTAGACTGCCTCATCCAAGGTGGACCCCCTTGCACCACCGTCTGCTCCTCGCCTTCGCTTCAAAGGCTTCCAACGGGAGGCCCAACCGCCATTTGCTTGTCCGCTCTTCATCGAGCCGGTCGAAGCCCAGCATCAGCATCAGCGTCAGCATCTTCATTTCGCCCCCTCTTTCACTTCTTCTCTTCACTACCACTTCTCTCACGACCACAGCACGCCACCATCTGACGATTCGACGACAGGATCAAGGCGTTACCGGACGCTCGCTTTGAAATCGCCGGTTGCGCTGTCATTGTCCTACCCCTACATCTTCGTCCGCCATGGCAGGCTCATCGTCGATGCCAGCGGAGCAATTGACGCACCTGACGTCGCTCTCGTCCCTCAGCGTCGACACCATCTTCTCCACTCTTCGTGACCGCTTCTTTGCTGGCCTCCCCTACACGTCCCTCTCCGACTCTGTCCTCGTCTCTGTCAATCCCTTCGCCACCAGCGGTAACCGCAATAGCGACGATGCCCTCCGCGAGTATACTAAACAGTACCGCGAGACGAATCGCGCCGCTCGAGGAGCTCCGTTACCACCTCACGTCTTCCAGCTGGCCTGTGACGCCTACTTCTACATGCAGAGAACGGGGCAAGACCAGATCGTCCTTCTCGCAGGCGAGACGTCTTCGGGCAAGAGCGAGCTCCGTCGTCTGGCCACCCGCATTCTCATCGACCTTAGCGCTGCAGCACCGGGCAAGAAGGGATGGAAGCTAGCATCACAGATCCCCTCGGGCGACTATCTGCTTGAGTCCTTTGGCAACGCCGCAACCCTCGAGAATGCCAATGCCTCTCGCTTTGGCAAGTACTCGGAGCTGCAGTTCAACGAGGCAGGCAGGCTCGTAGGATCAAAAACGCTCGACTACTACCTCGAGCGCAGCCGCCTCACAGGCGCTGGAGGTAGCGACCAAACCTTCCACGCCTTCTATGCTCTCGTCGCGGGAGCATCGGCGGAGGAGAAGACGCACCTCAAGATCCAAGACGGCGCCGACTTTCGCTACCTAGGCGGGTTGCGACACAAGGGGGCTGTGCGAGAGGACGCTCTTCGATTCCAGCGCATGAAGCAGGCCTTCAAAAACATCGGTCTCTCGCAGCGTCACGTCGCTTCCATCTGTCAGGTCCTCGCTGCCATTCTCCATCTCGGCAACCTCGACTTCTCGCAAGACCATCACCGTACGCAGGATGCGGTCTCGATCCGCAATCAAGAAGTCCTCGAGAATGCTGCTGGCTTCCTCGGTGTACCGCCCAAGGATCTCGAGGAGTCCATTGTCCTCAAGACAAAGCTCATCCGCAGCGAGGTCTGCACCATCGTCCTCGATGCAGATGGCGCTGCCGCCAACCGAGACGAGCTTGCAAAGACGCTCTACTCTCTTCTCTTTGCCTGGCTCAACGAGCATCTGAATCAGAAGCTCTGCAAGGACACCTTCGAGACGTATATCGGCATCCTCGACCTGCCTGGCCCACAGAGCGCAGCAAAGGGCGGCAACTCTCTCGATCAATTCTGCGTCAACTTTGCAAACGAGCGACTGCATCGCTGGATGCTAGCCTCCGTCTTTGAGAAGCGTCGCGACGAATACGCAGATGAGGGCATCTCGCACCTTTCTCCTGACGTGCCCTTCTTTGACAATGCAGACTGTGTGCGACTCTTCATCAACCAGCCAGGAGGACTCGTCCACATCATGGATGACCAGGCGCGAAGAATGCCCAAGAAGTCGGACCATACCATGGTCGAGGCGTTCGGCAAACGATGGGGCAACCACCCCAATTTCAAGGTCGGCGCGGCGGATCGCAGCGGCTTTGCATCGTTCACCGTCACCCACTTCCATGGTCCTGTCTCGTACAGCAGCGAAGGGTGGCTCGACCGCAATTCAGATGTCGTTAGCCCCGACTTTGTGTCGCTCCTGCGTGGCTCCACCGACGCTAATGGCGACAGACGACCCTCTGATGCCACACTGCTCAACAATGGCTCTGCCGACGTGTCTGCAGGGTCGACTGTACCCTTCGTTCGCAGCCTCTTCAAGAGCGACGCTCTCAAGACGCAAGCGCATCCAAAGGACGACCACACTGTCGTTGCAGCTCAGCAGTCAGCGAAGCCCATGCGTGCACCCTCAACCCGCAGGCCCAACCGCGCCACCAGTATCAAACGCGTGGGGACGAAGCGCAGCGCCGCAACGTCTTCTGCTGCCGCCAATGAGGATTCGGATGACGAGCAGCACGACGGCAAGAAGGCAGCAGTCACGGGAGTGGCAGGCGAGTTTCGCAGTGCGCTTGACACGCTCTTCAAGACGATGGACGAGGCCAAAGCCTGGACGATCCTCTGTCTGCGTCCCAACGACAATCAGATGCCCAACCAATTCGAGGCGCGTATCGTCAAGCAGCAGATCAAGACTTATTGCCTTACCGAGATGGCTCGCAAGCTCGTCAACGAGTACAGCGTCTCGATGACGCACGAGGAGTTCTGCGAACGGTACGCCGACAATCCGTCACTCAATGCTGTCAGCATGAAAGCGGCCACGGGAGGCTACGCCAAGCAGAAGTTCGCCGCTGCCAAAGAGGTCATGAGCTGGACGGACGCAGAGGCTGCCAGTGGCCGTCTGAAGATCTTCCTCTCGCACACAGCCTTCCGCGAGCTGGAAGACGAGCTTCGCGCCGTCGATCCTGAAGAGCAGGCTGCCAACGAGCGCAAAGCTCAGCTTGACGCCGAGGCGGCTGCAAAGGGCGCCAACGACCCCTTTTCGCCCTTTGGTGCCCTCTCAGGTGACAATACCAATGATCCCGAATCACCGCAGCAACTCTTTGGACTCGGCGACCCCTTCAAGGAGATGTCGAGCTCAGCGCTGCCCCTCGTCGGTGGAGCTGAGACGCCTGGCTTCACGGGCGATGACAACAAGAGCATGATGAGCGAGTGGGCAGCACCCAATCTCAACTTCACGCATCAACGCAACGACTCCGTGGCCCCTTCTGAGGCCTATGCCCCCTCACGCAACATGTTCGCCGGAAGTGGCGCTCGCGGCATCGATGAGAAGAGGCAGAGTGGTGGTCTAGAAGCGGGCGGCTTTTCTGGCGCAGGCAACAATGGGGAGGTGGCCGAAGAAGTCGGCGAATCAGGCTCTCGTCGTCGCTGGGTCGCCTGGACATGGATGCTTACCTTCTGGGTCCCCTCCTTCATGCTCTCCCGTGCTGGCTCGATGAAGCGCCCCGATATTCGCATGGCCTGGAGGGAGAAGCTCGCCATCAACATCATGATTTGGTTCATCTGCGGCTGCGCCGTCTTTGTCATCGCTGTCCTGGGCAACGTCATCTGCCCGAAGGAGTACGTATACACACCCTCGGAGCTGGCGAATCACAAGAGCGACGATCAAGCTTTCACTGCCATTCGAGGCGAGGTATTTGACCTCACGAACGTCATCAAGACGCATCGCAGCGTCATCCCCGTCGTGAGCGCCGATCGTCTCAACGCTTACGCAGGCACGGACTCGACGTCCCTCTTCCCTGTCCAGGTCAACGCGCTCTGCAACGGAGTCGACGGCAGCGTCAGCCCATGGGTGCAGCTCTCTGGCGGCAACACGACAGACGCCAATGCGCAGTACCACGACTTCCGCTCATTCCATACTGAGGATGCTCGCCCTGACTGGTACTACCAGTCGATGTGGCTCATGAGGAGCAATTTCCGAGTCGGCTTCATCGGCTACGACCCTTCCGCGATCTCGGATTTGCTCGACGACGGGCGCGCCGTTGCCGTCTATCGTGGAGGTGTGTACGATGTAACCGACTACGTCAAGCAAGGCAACAAGGGCGTCATCACCGCTCCCGAGGGCACGCAAGCGCCCGCCGACACGAATGCTGCCTTCATGTCTGGGCCCATCATCGATCTCATTGTCCAGAATCCGGGCAAGGACATCACGCAGCAACTCGACTCTCTGCCCCTCGGCAACGACGTTCTCGACCGCCAACGCGTGTGCCTGCGCAACCTCTTCTACATCGGCAAGCCCGACGGGCGCAACTCCCCTCGCTGCCAGTTCTCGAGGTACATTCTCCTCGCTCTGTCCATCGTCATGGTCTCGATCATCGGCTTCAAGTTCCTGGCAGCCCTGCAGTTCTCCCGCATCCGCAAGCCGGAAGACCATGACCGCTTCGTCATCTGTCAGGTGCCGTGCTACACCGAGGGAGAAGAGTCCATGCGCAAGACCATTGACTCGCTCGCTGCGCTCAAGTACGACGACAAGCGCAAACTCCTCTTCATCATCTGCGACGGCATGATCGTTGGATCGGGCAATGATCGTCCTACCCCGCGCATCGTGCTCGACATCCTGGGGGTAGACCCTAATCTCGACCCAGAGCCGCTAAGCTTCCAGTCCATCGGCGAGGGAAGCAAGCAGCACAACCTGGCCAAAGTGTACAGCGGTCTCTACGAGTACTCGGGGCACGTCGTGCCTTATGTCGTTGTTGTAAAGGTCGGCAAGCCAACGGAGCGTTCTCGCCCCGGTAACAGAGGCAAGCGTGACTCCCAGCTGGTGCTGATGCACTTCCTCAACAAGGTCCACTTTGGCTCGGCGATGAACCCCATGGAGCTGGAGATCTATCACCAGATCAAGAATATCATTGGCGTTAATCCCAGCTTCTACGAGTATCTGCTGCAGGTGGACGCTGATACCACGGTGGACCCGTACTGTCTCGGCCATTTCGTCTCCTCTTTCATCAACGACAAGAAGATCATCGGACTCTGTGGAGAGACCGCCCTTTCCAACGCCAAGCAGAGCTTCGTGACCATGCTCCAGGTCTACGAGTACTACATTTCGCATTACCTCGTCAAGGCCTTCGAGAGTCTCTTCGGCTCAGTCACCTGCTTGCCCGGTTGTTTCTCAATGTTCAGGCTCAGGACGCCCGACACGCACCGTCCTCTCTTCATCGCCAATCGCGTCGTGGACGACTACTCCGAGAATCGTGTCGACACGCTCCACACCAAGAACCTGTTGTCCCTCGGAGAGGATCGCTACCTGACCACACTCGTCCTCAAGCACTTTGGCGACTACAAGACGACCTTCGTCCGCGCAGGCAAAGCCAAGACGTCCGCTCCCGACGACATGGGCGTCCTCCTTTCGCAGCGTCGTCGCTGGATCAACTCTACAATCCACAACCTCGTCGAGCTTATCAAGACGCCCGGACTGTGCGGGTTCTGCCTCTTCTCGATGCGCTTCATCGTCTTCATCGACTTGCTATCGACGATCATTGCCCCCGTCACCGTGGCTTACATCGTCTATCTCATCGTCCTCGTCTCCACCACCGACCAGACGGTACCCGTCACCTCGCTGATCATGCTCGCCGCAATCTACGGTCTGCAAGCGCTTATCTTCATTCTCAACCGCAAGTTCGAGATGGTAGGCTGGATGATCATCTACATCATCGGCATCCCTATTTGGAGCTTCTTCCTGCCCCTCTACTCCTTCTGGCACATGGATGACTTCTCCTGGGGTAACACGCGCGTCGTCCGCGGTGAAAAGGGCCAGCGTGTCCTTCTCCATGACGAAGGCAAGTTCGACCCCTCAGAGATTCCCCTCCGAACGTGGGAAGACTACGAGAACGACCTGTGGGAGAAGAACTCGGCCCGCTCCATTGGCGAGATCTTGATGTCCGCGCAGCACAAGAAATCGTACGACGCTGCGTCGATGTACAGCCGCAGCGGAATGGGCGGCAACAGGAGTGGGCCGGGGTCTCAGTACGAGCCCAGCCTGTACGGGCAGACGCCGATGCTGCCTCGCTCGACGAGCTTCGCGAACAGTATCGGCGGACAGAGCGGCTACTTCGGAGGGGCAGATCCGAGGCAGAGCACCTTCTCCCTCGGAGGCATGCCGGGAGCAGGGTACGGCACGCCCGCCGCATCTATGTACGGCTTCCCTCAGCAGCAGCAGCAGCAACAGCCAGGCTACTTTACCGGCACGCCGTCCATGTACGGTGCACCCCAAGGCGGCTTCATGAGCCCGAGCAGCTCGATGCCCATGATGGCCAGCGGAAGCGGCAGCAACAACAACGCCTTCGCCACGCCGCGCCAATCAATGGGTAGCATCGGCAACCTCATAGACGCTAGCACCCCTTCGCCGAGTCGCTCCGCTGCTGGAACACCAGCTGGAGTCGCTCCTCGCACCCGCGTCGGCCCACCCTCGGACGCAGAGATCGCCAGCGACCTTCGCTCCCTGATCGCGAATGCAGACCTGAATACGCTATCGAGAAAGGCGCTCCGTGAACAGCTGCAGGCCAGGTATGGTCCTTCAGTGGACTTGGGCGAGAAGAAGGACTTTATCAAGGAGACGATTGCGAGGATTCTGGAGGAAGGAGGGGAGTAAGTGCGCCCATCCGCTGGACCTCGCACCCTCAGCAACAACGAATCATCACGGACTCTCACGCACCACGTCCTCACAATACATGCCCGTCAGCTTTACCTTTCTCTACACGTTCCCCATCTCTCAGCATCACTCTCGCACATCCTTGTATCTCTGCTCCGACCCGATTTTCCGCTCTCTACATTCCTTTACGAATCTGGAAATACATCGCTTGTTTCGCACCAGCCCCTAAAGAGCTTCAGACGTGAGACTTCCACGCAGCGAAGAGATCCATTGCAAGCTGTCCCCTTTCGTCTATCTCCGAAACTTCGTATCGTACACTGCCTCGCTGATCATCTCGCTCACTCGACCCCTTCAACGAAATTAGCAGGGAAACTGCCCTGCTCGCCCGTCCTTTCATTCTCCCCCAACCACCAATCATTGGTACTCTCGGTCCTCCTCAGTACCAGGATCACGTCACCGCGAACAAAGGATAGGTCGGTCGACTCTTGGCCAGGAAAGTCGAAGGATGCCAGAACACGATTCGATGAGGTGGCCGAAGGAGTGACGACGACTGCGTCGCTGAGGGGTAGAGAGGATATGCGCGGTTGGATGGTGGAGCTGGGAGGGGACGAGGCGATGGAAGCGTCTCCGCCCGCATTGCTGTCGAAGGGCGAGCGTTCGGCTACGGAAGATGGCACGCGTGCACGAGCGGCAGCCGCACTCGTCGCCCTAGGCGTGGTGGATTGGGTGCGGCTCGGTGGGCGCCACGCTGCGTTGCTTCGCGGCTCGTAGCCTGCCCCACCATAGCGGCCATGCCCGCCATCTTCACTCTCCGACGAATCCTCGTATCCAGCCCAGACGTCCGTCTGGTGTTGGAGCTTACTGCCCCTCTCACCGCCACCCCCTGCGAGCCAGGAAGCCGCCTTCGAAGTAGGAGGCCCACCGCTGTTCGTTCTGAAGCTTCCAAGGATCCCACCCGCTGACCCTGAGTTGGAGCGATCCCTACCTCCGCTGCCTGTGCGGAAGCCAAATTTGGGGCTAGAAGACTGGGGACGGCTGACCTTGGCGTCGCTGAAGCTGGAACTTCCGTACGAGGAGGCACGATGTGCTGCAAGTGGTGGAGGAGGCGCTGCCCGTCGAGCAGACTCTACGCTGCTTATACTGCCATTCCTTTGCAGCTCGCGATCCAGCTCGTCGAGCCCCGGGCGGTACGATGATGAGGAGATACGAGAAGAGCCACGACGCTCTCGTTCAGATTCCCATAAGTCGCCAAAGGCATCAGGATTCGCGCTGGCCCGATTGCCTGGACCCCTACCTGCCGACGAGGAGGATGAAGCAGCGCCACTGCTTCTCGCCGCAGCTGCTGCTAGGACGGCTTCTGCCGGCGTCATCTTCTTGAGCCCACCGTTGAGATAGGCTGAGGGCGATATGCGTCCGCCGGCAGTAGGATTGTAGTCGGACGAAGAACCGCCATTGTCGAAGCTCATCGCCCCCAATCTATCCCTCAGCTCGTCCTCTGCACTGCTGCTGCTAGCCTCCCGACGCGAGAAGTCCTCCGGGAAGCGCGAATCGGAGCTTGGTGCTCCATTGAGGAGCGCGTCTGGCGGTGGGGTCTTGCTCTTGCCAAACCTTCCCAGCGAGAAGGTGGAAGACGACTTGCGGTGCCCCATGGTCGGCCTCTTTCCATTCAGAGGGCTATACGAGCGTGGCGATTTGTTGTTCGACGAGGAGGGGGTGGCCGAGGAGACAAGGTCGTCGAAGTAGCCTGCTACCATTGCGCCACGTGAGCCTGCTCGTTGCCTGCCGCTGACGCCAGTTGGAGTGCTGCTGCCGTAGTCGCTGGGCGTGCCTCCGCCGCCTTTGCGAGATTGCTTGGGCGAATTGGTGATCGACCCACCGCCACCGGGAGAGAAGCCGTACGTCCCCGCATTCCGAAGGGCGTTGTCACGGTCGAGGCTATACGCTGGATCGTCTTCATCTTCTGCTGCCGCGAATGGATCGCGCGTGGAATTGGACGGCGGACCACCCCGAGGCGACTGTCTACTCGCGAGATCCTGCCGTGAGGACGAAGAGGCCATAGGCGTAGTCACCCTTCCGCCACCGCCGGGAGTCGTCTGTCCCCGCTCATACTTGCGTTGTCGCGAATCAAGCTCAGCCTGCGAGAAGTAATTCTCCAGACCTGATTCCTTCTCGCCACCCCTGCGCTGCTCGTATCGATCAAAGCTGTCTCTATCGCCCTCGTCCATGCTCCAGCTGTCCCTCCCTGCTCCGGGCTCGATCTCATCAGCGCGGGCTGCTTGGGACATGGCGCCTGTGAGGGAGAGCCGCTCGATTGTGCCAATGAGGCCAGAGGCGAAGGCGGGTACGTCGAGGGAGCCGGAGAGGATTTGCTTGGCCGTGCACGAGCGATGGTATGCTTTGGCGTTTGCGTCCGAGCGGTCCACGAGTATGGTTCCCTCCAGTGAGACGCCTGTGGCGACAGAGGGGCAAAATAGGTGGTGAGCTGAGTGTCACAAAGGTCTTTACCAGAGCCAATCAATGCTCCTCCTCACCTCCAAAAAGTCCCTGACTCTTAGAATAGCTGAACATAGCCGCCACGCCACCCCCACTGCTCAATGAGCCGGCAGCCTCCGCTGACCTTCCCAATGGTCCCACGCTCAAGCTCAAATTCCCACCCAACTGCAAGCTTCCCGTGGCCATGAAGCTCTTGACGGCTGCCCTCGAATTGAGCACAACGATGAAGTCCGTCACCTCAGCACCAGCGCTGAATCCTCCACCGATACCGCCGATGCCCAAGGCGGAGGGAGCAGACCATGAGCCGTCTGGTAGCTTGGCGACGACTACGCCTGAACCGGCACGGGCTGTCAAGAGGAAGCCGACACGAAAGATGGAGAATATTGCAAAGCCTTTCGCTCGGCGTAGAACTGTGAGGGGGATAATGCGATCCAGGCCATTGACGCTGAGGGAGCGGGACGGGGACGGAGGTTGGGAGGTTAGGGGCGCAATAAGGCGGTGTGAGATCCTTCGACGAGAGTACTCACGGGTCGACCTGGCGATAAGGCGGTTGCGGGACGTATGCAAAAGGTCAGCTTTGTTCCTTGTGCTAGGCTCCAACGACGAGAGCGCTACGCACGAAATCCTTGAGGATCTTGTCGGCTGGAGGGACGGCAGCGTGTGGGAGAAGCGAGTGAGCGGCGCAGGCTATGTGCAGCTGCTCTTTGGTCTAATCTGGTGCTCACCCTTCCTACACTCCGAGGCCAAATTGACCGGCAGTGGATTGCCCATGCTTGTGAGCGAAGGCAGGCGAGTGAGGCTGGATTGGGACAATGAGAAGGAGTAAGAGGAAAAGGGTAAAGTGATGTGGGGACGACGCAGGCCAACGTGAGGCCGAGCTGCTCGGCGGCCGTCCGAAAGCGAGGCTCGCTCCAGGCCCGAGTGGAGGCAATCGCGGACGGCACTCAGCTGCCGGGCCTCTCAGTTGACACCTTCTCAGACGATCAACCAGTACCAAAGTGCAGTCTCGCAGCACACACCAGCCGAATTATATATTCGCCCTCCCAACATGCCCCTGGATCTCTCATCTGAAGACTCAATAGTCCACCTCTCTCTCCCCTCTGGCTCAGCGACGGCAGACGTCCTCCTCTTCGGGGCTACGGTCATCTCCTTCAAGACCGGCCAAAAGGAGCGCCTCTTTCTCTCCTCCGCCTGCCCGCTGGACGGGTCCTCCGCCGTACGAGGAGGTATCCCACTCATTTTTCCCGTCTTTGGTCCCGCCTCGGACCATAAGGATAATCACGGGCTGGAGAAGGTGCCGAGGCATGGCATCGCGAGGACCGCGATGTGGAAATTGAGGAGCGAGGTTGGGGCAAAGGAGGATGGAAAGGACGACAGTGGGGAGGAGCAGGTCACAGCAAGCTTTGCGCTGAGCTCGAAGGATGTCAAAGGGATTGCGGGCTTCTATCAGTGGCCCTTTGAGCTCGAATACGATGTGTGAGTGCGACGTGGGCGAGCACCGCAGCCGCGCTGTCCACATGCTGACCCTTTCCATCATCACGCGCAGCACTCTCACCTCCACTACATTGACCACCTCGCTTCACATCACCCATGTCGCCTCCTCCTCCTCCTCCTCCTCCTCTTCAGCGGAGCCTATGCGCTTCCAAACCCTCCAACACACTTACCTGCACGTTCCGTCCTCCCTCTCTGCCTCGATCTCTGGGCTGCAGGGCCAATCTTACCTGGACAAGACGGACTCCGCCGCGACCAAGACTCTCCAATCAGACCCCATTGTCCTCAATGGAAAGGAGAGCGACGCCGTCTTCCTCGGTCCCGCGCCCCCCGCGGTCGACGTCGCATACGGTGGTGGCGAGGGAGGCGTAAGGGTAAAGCGCTCGCCGAACTGCCCGAATACGACGGTATGGAATCCCGCGGAGGAGAAGGCAAATGGGATGAAGGACCTTCATGAAGGGGGATGGAAGGAGTTCGTCTGCGTGGAGCCAGGGACGGTCGTTGGCTTCGAGGAGCTGGTGGCGGGCAAGACGGTGAGTTGCGTGCTGAGGCCGCGTCAAGAGGAGAGTGAGAAATGTGAGAACTGACATTGTTTCCTCTCTCGTCTATGGCCTCGCTCACAGTTCACGGCAACTCAGACGCTCGAGGCCTTTTGACTCGCGGAGGAGATGAGGGACTCTTCGCCTCCTCTTCGCCGCAGCGCTCAGTCACGGCCGTCGCGCAGTAAGATGTAGCTTTGCGATACCTCGTATCATCTCAGCAGCCGTGAACCAAAGCGACGTGCAACTCTGTGCGTGCCTATCGTGTATGTTCATCGTTCTTTGCTTGCTCGAGGATCGCAAGTCAGACGACGTCCACGCACCCTCTCGCCTCCTCTATCTCGAGAGGCATTCAGGCAATGTTGAAGAATGCAGACTGAGCGGAGAAGTCTCACAAGGTATCGCTGTATCGCTGTGAGCGAAGTTTGGGTGTGTGAGATCATTGCTGAGCAGAAGACGTTGCCACGATGTCCGTTGCCTTTGAGCGTAGCTGGTCAAGCTGGGTCACCCAAGGAAGGTCGTCGACAACCACCTAGCCGTCGCAGTTGTACGAGTCGCGGAGGGACAACAAGTCTGTTGGCTGGATCGCGATGCTCATGGAAACCTGAAGCTGTTGAAGGTGAGGATTGCTGGGAAGGGAGCCAAGCAAGATGAGTGAGCCGGCTTCGGCCTACTTTTGCCGCTTGGCTCTCGCATCGAGTTGCTCTCAGACCAGTGCGTCGACGTTCCGACTCCATGCCCGCCGACGCTCGTGACGCCCACAACGCGGGCGGGCACTGCAGCAGGGCGTCGCAGCGCGGAGAGAGGTTCAGCCGAGTCCAACATCCAGTCTCGAGGCAGAGTGCTTTGTTTGGCTACGAACGAAACAAGGGACGCAACGCAGCTCATCAGCTGCCGTCGACCAAAGGCGCTTGGACCTCTCAGTCTGACTCTCGTCCAATCTGCCGCCGCTGAGGAGCTTCTTTCGTCCTCAAGTCATTGTCCTAATTCGCCGCCCTGCGTAGCTCCATCGCAACCAACAACACCATCCAATTCAACTCGCTCTGCGTGATGGCTCAAGCTGGCTTCTCATCGCCGGCTCGCGCTAGCCTGCGCTCCATCGACACATCGTCAGGCGATCGATCAGCTGCCACCACATCATCATCATCGTCAACCCCTACTCGCACAATCGCCGTGCTGGCAAGGTCTTGCGCCAAGGTTCACAGACTAGCGATCGAGTCCAAGCTTACCGAGTCAGTATTCTCGCGAGCTAAGACGTAGTCATAATCGCGCTGACCTCTTCTCCCGCTACAATTGCCCGCAGAGCCGGCTTCGACATTCTGGAATCTCGACAAGAGGAATGGGCGTACCCCGATGACAGCGAGTTTCTCTACGAGTTTCTCCAGGGCCACTCACAGGCTTCCGTCCACAAGTGGATCGAGAGGCTCACAGGCAACCCGATTCAATTCATGATTCTCGAGCGCACGCGTGCTGTGCAGGCGTGGCAAGAATTGATGGGTCTCGGCGATGATGACGACGCCGCAGACCAGTCCATCGATGCCGACATCTCCGTCGAAGCCATCCGCCGCTCTCTCCGAAGTACGAAGATGTCCAGCGGCATGCCGTCGGGGCCTAAAATGCGAGAAACGTATGGGAAAGGCTTGCTCTACGGCTCACGCTCGGACAGCCAAGCGCAGAGGCAGATTGCCATCTGTGCGCCTGACTTTGCGACCGCTCAAGCCATGGAGGACCTCTCAATTGAATACGCACAGAGGGCTGACGAGGAGGAGGAGGCGGCAGACCAAAGCTACGACCCTCCCACCGAAGCAGAAGAAAGCCTTGGGACGCTTGAAGTCCACACGAACGATGTAGCCGCGGCAGAGGAGGATGGTTGTGTCGTTGTGGACGAGTCATCCCTCGTCTTCAATGAGGCTGGGGAAGCCTTTGACGCAAAGACCGGTGCCGAGGTTGCGCTAGAGGAGGAGCTGCTGCCTACTGTCGGGACGACCACTAGCAGAGATGCCCCCACTGGCCGAAAAGTCTTCAGAGCTAGGCCAATCCCAGCATCAGTTGCCACTCCCAAGATTCAGCCTCGCCTCAGCAGGGCCGCTGCGTTGCGAATGGGCGTCGAGCTACCGGCTGTGCCGGTCAGAAAGGTAGCCGCTGCGGCCGATCAAGGACCCGTGGGCATATCGGGCATGCCTAAGGCAGACGTCGCCGTCCCTCGCTCCTTGGCTGAGCCTTCCATCAAGCCGCGAGCCAATCGAGCAAGCATGGCGCGAGCGGGACCTGGTGGCATGGGAGCGTCAAGCGCAAGCCGCACGTCTTCCACATCACCTGTACGCGCACGCAAGGAGGTCGACTTCGGCAACACGCCGGGCCACAAGCGTCAGTCCATCGGGGGCGCGAGTGCTATTGCAAGCCTAGCCAAGCCGACCATCGCACCTCGTCAGAATCGGGCATCGCTAGCTCGCACCGGCGGACCAGCGCCAGCAAGTCAACGAGCAGTGGGGCCTCGACCTTCAAGCTCATCAACAAGCGCCGGCTCCTCATCTTCGCCCGGCAAGCCATCCGCTCCTCGTCAGTCCTTCAATCTCGCCAGCCTCAAGCCCCCGACCATTGCGCCTCGCTCAAACCGCGCGGCCGTTGCTCGTGGCGGTGTAGTCGCCGGGGACGGCAGCGATGAGGTGGTGCGCTCTCCTAGCCCGAATAAGGAGAATCGTCCCCGATCCAGCCTTGCTATGAATGGACGCGCAAGTGTTGTGGCCACTGCCCGGCCCTCTTCACCGGTGAAGGCCGAGACTAATCGCGAACGCCGGCCTGTAGACTTCTCGGCCACTCCGGGACATAAGAGGGCGTCCAACTCCTTCTCCATCTCCGCACTTGCGGCGCCCAAGATAGCTCCGAGGAGCAATTTGGCCGCCTCACGTCGTCTCTCTGTCGGCGGCGTTGGCGTTGGGGCCACCGCTGCCGCACGAGTTCAGAACGGCAACGCTGCACCTTCAGGTCACCGTCCCGCCTCGAGCATGAGCGGCGCAGCCATGATTAGCAGCAGGCCCGGTGTGGGCCGAGGTGCTGCTCGTCCGGCTTCGAGCGCAGGCGTTCGAAGTAGTACCGCGAATGGCGCCGCCCATCAGGATGGACACAGCCCAGCCACGGCGGCTTCGGCGTTGCTCCACCATCAGCCGCTGAGGGCGAGGGCTAATCCTCCAAGCTCATTCGAGGTTGTGGGTGCCTGATGCCATGGAGCTGATCGAACTCTGGACCGTCACCACTTCTCTGGCTCTGCTCTGCTATAACCTCTGCTCTTGCCTTACTTTTGTATTTGTTCCTTTGCTCTTCTCCGTGCTCGTCCAAGATCCGCGCTTCTGTTGTCAGCTCACACTCCTGTCTCGCTTTCTCAATGACACCACTGCGATCGTTTGCGCACGCTTGGCCGTTTCTACGCTGCCTGCTCGATAACAAGTCTTTTGTAATGTCGAGATGCTGGAGATGATCTGGACGAGGACAAGTGGGCCGTGGTCGTCCGAGTGGAGTCTGGAATCGAGCCCAGTCCGACGGCGACTCGGAGTGAGCGGGCTGAGCCAAGAAAGGCGCTCGCGAGGAGCGGCATCCCTTTGTTCGTCCTCACCTCGCCCTCGAACATTCCCATCTCTGTGCACAGGATCTCACCTTCCCTTTTTCTTACACCACCGAGCTGCCTTGCTGGCCTTCCCTGACTAGCATCGCACCTCGACGCCCTTGAATGCTGGGCCTCATCCAATCGACAACACGGTCACGCCTAGCCGGTGTGCGCCTTCTTTCTCAGACTGGTCGACGAGCCCTACTCGCCACACCCAGCGCTGCGCCAGCAATAGCAACTGCGTCCGCAAAGGCTGTACCTGCTCGCCTCTCTCACAACTCAAGTCGATTGCCCAACAACAATCGCCCCGCCACGACAATGACCGCCCCTTCGCAGGGCAGCTCGAGGTCGCTCGCCACTGCCGTATCCGGCACCACAGCTCCTTCCTCATCCTCGCTCGCTCCCCCTCTGCAGTCTCTGCCTCCCGGTTTTGAGGTCAAGACTGCATCCACTGCTTCCTCATCTTCATCCTCATCTCCCGCGCCATACGCCCTCTTCACGCGCGATCTCGAGAAGTCGCTCCTCGATGACCGGCAATATCGCATCGTCTGCCTCGCCAACGGCCTCGAGGTACTCCTGATCCACGATCCGGCTACGGACAAGGCATCAGCAGCCATGGACATTCGAGTTGGACACCTCTCAGACCCAGAGGATTTCCAAGGTCTTGCCCACTTTTGCGAGCATCTCCTCTTCATGGGCACAGAGAAGTACCCTCGTGAGAACGAATACTCCGAGTTTCTCTCCAACCATTCCGGTTCTTCCAACGCATACACGGGCATGGACAACACAAATTACTTCTTCGACGTCGGCCATTCTCACCTTGAAGGCGCACTGGACCGCTTCTCGCAATTCTTCCTCACGCCCCTCTTCGACGCCAGCTGCACAGAGAGGGAGATCCGAGCAGTTGACTCGGAGCATAAGAAGAATCTCCAGTCAGACGCTTGGAGGGCTTTCCAGCTCGAAAAGTCCCTCTCAGATCCCACACATCCTTATTCGCACTTTGGTACGGGAAGCGCAAAGACATTGTGGGACGAGCCGCGTCAGAGGGGCCAAGACGTGCGTGACGAGCTGCTCCGCTTCCACGAGCGCTACTACTCGGCCAATGTCATGAAGCTCGTCGTTCTCGGTCGCGAGTCTCTCGATCAGCTCACAGAGTGGGCGGTCGACAAGTTTTCTGGCGTGAGGAACAAGGGGCTCGCTGCACCTAGCTGGCCGACCTCGCCGCTGGGCAAGGAGCAGATGTCCACGCAGGTCTTCTTCAGGACGGTCAAGGACATTCGTCTGCTCGACATCTCATTTCCCATTCCGGATCAGTCGCCCCTCTTCCGTAGCAAGCCGGGCCAATTCATCTCCCACTTCATCGGGCACGAGGGGCAAGGGTCCATTCTCAGCCACCTCAAGAAGCGTGGATGGGCCAACCACCTGAGTGCTGGGGGTACCAACGGCGCTGATGGCTTTGAGTTCTTCAAGATCAGCATCGACCTCACAAAGGACGGCCTGCAACATTACCAAGACGTCGTCTCGGCCGTATTCCGCTACCTTGACCTGCTCAAGCAGTCGTCCATCCCTGAGTGGACGTACAAGGAGGTGGCCAGCCTCTGTGACCTCGCATTCCGCTTCAAGGAGAAGGTACCTCCATCGAGCTACACATCTGGTCTCTCATCGCAGATGCAGATCAACTACCCTCGCGAGTGGGTCCTCTCTGGGCCGTACTTGACGAGGGAGTTCGACCAGGACCTCATCCGCAACACGCTGGCTTGCCTCTCGCCTGAGCGATGCCGAGTCAGCATCGCTGCGCAGGAGTGCCCAGATGGCAGCAAGGCGTGGGATCAAAAGGAGAAATGGTACGGGACCGAGTACAAGCTTACGCCCCTGCCGACAAATCTGTTGACCTCGAGCGCAGCAGCAGATGCGTCGATGTCGTCAACCCAATCGTTTGAGGACCTCTCACTTCCCGAGCCGAACAGCTTTATACCTCAAAGCTTTGACGTAGCCAACGGAGGCTCAAAGCAGCAAGGGCCCTTCAGGCCGACAAAGAGACCAGTTCTCCTCAAGCACACGCAGCTCTCTCGTTTGTGGCACAAAATGGACGACCAGTTCTTCCTGCCCAAGGCCAACGTCTTCACCCTGCTGCGCTCTCCGCTCATCGACGCTACACCTGCAAATGCTGTCAAATCGCGCGTCTTCGTCGAGCTGCTCAAGGACGCCCTCACCGAGTACTCGTACGACGCCGAGCTGGCCGGGCTGGGCTACAACATCGAGGCACAGGCGGACGGCTTCGGCATCAGCGTCGACGGCTACAATGACAAGCTGCCCGTGCTCCTCGGTCATATCTTGAAAGCTGTCCGCAACTTCGAGGTTGACCCGGCCCGCTTCGAGATCATCAAGGACACGGTCGCCCGTGGCTACGAGAACTTCCGCCTCGAGGCCCCCTATCAGCACGCCAACTACTATACAACTTATCTGACGGTGGAGCGCATCTGGACCCCCGAGGAGAAGCTGCGCGAGCTGAAGCGCATGCAGTCCTCAGACGTACAGCGCTTCATCCCTGACTTACTTGCCCGCCTGCACATTGAAATGTTGGCGCATGGCAACCTGACCTCGAGCCAGGCCACATCTCTGGTCGACCTCGCCGAGTCTACCCTCCAAGCTCAGCCACTCTCCCCCGCTGAGCTCATCTCGCCACGCTCCTTGCTCCTGCCCGTCCCCTCGGAGACGCGTTGGCGCAAGCAGGTCAAGAATCCAGAGAATGTCAATTCGAGTATCGAAGTCTACTGCCAAGTCGGCGACGTTGGCGATGCTCGCAAGCGTGCCACTCTCGGCCTCTTGAGCCAGATCGCATCAGAACCCGTCTTCGACCAGCTCCGTACCAAGGAACAGCTAGGCTACCTCGTGTTCTCCTCTGCGCGCAAGTCTGTCGGTTCAATGGGTTTCCGCGTCCTCGTCCAATCAGAGCGCGATGCCTCGTACCTGGAGTCGAGGATCGAGGCCTTCTTCGAGCAGTTCAAGGGCATCCTGGAGAACATGTCTGCAGAGGAGTTCGAGAAGCAGCGCACCTCGCTCATCAACAAGAAGTTGGAGGTGGTCAAGAACCTCGTCGAGGAGAGCACGCGTTTCTGGTTCCACATCCACTCGGGATACTTTGACTTCCTACAGAGGGAGATCGACGTTGAGCATCTGCGCTCGCTGAACAAGCAGGATGTCCTCGACTTGTTCATGAGGCATATTCACCCTTCGAGCCCTGAGCGCGCCAAGCTGGCTGTGCACATCCAGAGCCAGGTCAAGCCAAAGGCATTCTCCATCGCCGCAGCACAGGCGCTCAAGGCCGCTTTCCCTGCCAAGCTGGCCTCGGCGCCTCAGCCTCCTGCAGAGGCGTGGGAGATGCTCCTCTCTGGCAACTCCAGCGTCGAAGCTGTGAAGGACTTCCTCAAGGAGTCATTCAGCGCCGGCGGTGCGGCTAGCGAGCTGCTCGAAGAGGCTAACAAGCTTGTCGACTCCCTCGCGGCAGAACACCCCGGCGAGGCCGTGTCATCCTCAAGCAGCGAAGCGCTCATCTCACAGGAGGGCGTCACGGAGGTAGCAGAGGATGAACCCACAATGTTCAAGGCGGGGCTAGTGCCGAGCAAGGCGGCACAGCCTGTCCGGGCCTGGAAGGAGTTTGAAGGAGAGCCGGAGAGAAGAGAGGTCACAGAGAAGGAAAGCGAGGCCGAGTCATCGGCGAAGAAGACGGCGCATCTGTAGGCAGTCGTGCACGCTACCCGATGGAGCATCGGATTGTATGGTAGAGCTAGACCTATCCTTGCGAACACTATCTGCTGCGATTCTTGCCGAATGTGATACACTACTTCTCATCCTCCCCGCTTTGCTGCTTCATACAGACACAGCCAAGCTGATGCTATCGTGCTGCGAAGTGGTGATGTGGGAGTGCCCGAGGTAGCCTTCTCCTGGCTCTTGCTACTTTGTGATCATCGTCGCTCGCCCATCTCTACCCCCACAAAAAAGGATGCTCGCGCTGCGCTTTCATATGCGCTGCAGGACCCTGATCACCTCGTCGCTCGCCTCGTGGCGCGTAGCTGTCCTTGCAAGCGCTTCTACCGCTTTGGGACAACGCCTCTACTTCGGTATGCCGGCAAGCTCGCGGCGGCGTGCCGCGCGCGATTCAATGGCCGAGCCGGGCCCTGGCTGCCCCAGCTCACGTTGGGACGTCATTCACAGGCTGAGAAAGCAACGGAAGGGGCGGAGTTGATTGAAGGCACGGAGGGCAGGGCGGACTGACGTTTCGCAGCCTTTGCTTGGCCCTATTCCCCGCAAAGAGCAACGAGGGGAGGCAGGGGGAGGGAGGTGGCCTTTCAAAAGCAGATGCCTATCAGCGAGATGTCGTCCTCCACGCAGACGGCGACGACGACGACGACGACGATCAACATCTTGACCCAGTATCCACTCCATCCGCTATTGTATCCTCAGCACCACCAGCATCCATCCCTCGTAGACGCATCGTATCGCCGTCATCATCATGTCCGAGTCCAAGACGCCAAGCTACTCAGCCGCAGAGGCTGTCAAGACGCAGCCTGAGCAGGCCAAGAAGCCGACGGACATGGATCGACGTGAGCCATTCACTCTGGATACCTGCCTCGACTTCCTCGATGCAACGCTCTTTACCACGCCTGCCCTCCTTCTCATCCCCGCCATCCTCTACTTCTGGGACAGACATCAGGTCGTCAGTGCCGGGAGCGCTGGAGCGGCTGGTAGTGGTGGGCCAGGAATCGTAGGATTCCTCTCTTCGCTCACCAAGGCAGCATCTGCCAAGGCCGCAGCTGTGTCTTACCCTGAGGCGTCCTATGCGCACATCAAGGACCTTCTCTTCACAAAGTACAAGTGGATCGGCCGCCTTCTCGTGTTCGGCCTGATCAAGAATGTCAATCACCACCTCAACCGCCTTTGTGCGAACAATGTGAGCATCGCCCGGCACGTCACCCGCTTACAATCGATCCCCATTGACCACCCTCCTCTCCACCCGCTCGCAGGCCGTGTATCGCGCCGACAAGCCCGACTGGAGCAACGAAGTCGTCGTCGTTACTGGCGGCGCCGCAGGTATCGGCAAGGCGATCGTCGAGGCGATGAGCCACAAGCGCAAGGCAAAGGTCGCCGTCCTGGACCTTGCTCCCCCCACATACGCCCCCGCCCCTCGAGGCGCCCCTGCCATCCAGTACTACAAGACAGATGTGACTGACCCTGCGCAGGTCAAGGCCGTGGCTGAGCAGATTCGCTCTACCTTGGGCCAGCCGACGATCCTTGTCAACAACGCCGGCATCGCTTCTGGCAACACGATTCTCGAATCTGACCCGGAGCACATCCAGCGAGTGTGGCGTGTAAATCACCTCTCCAACTACGTTACCTTGCAAGAGTTCCTCCCGCACATGATCAAGCACAACCACGGGCACGTGGTCACGGTTGCTTCTTCTGCTAGTTTCTTCTCTCTGCCCAGCATGGGAGAGTACAGCGGCTCCAAGTCTGCGACCTTGGCGTTGCACGAGGTCCTCAAGGGTGAGCTGCGTCAACGCTACAACGCTCCGCGAGTGAGGGCTTCCCTCGTTGCGCCTACGAAGGTGCGCACCGCTCTTGGAGACGGGATGGAAGACCACTCGATGCCCTTTCTGCACCCGGTCCTCGAGTCCTACCAGCTTGGCCGTAAGGTCTTGTGGGCAGTCGACTCGGGTCTGTCGCAGTACATGGTCCTGCCACGACTTATGCAACCCTTGCCCGCTCTGAGGGGCTTCCCGGACTGGCTGAGGAGGAGCTTTGAGCTCATTGGACACACGGATGACATGGTCAGCCACAAGTCCATCTCCAGGGCATTGGGCAACGGATATGGAGCCAACTGGCAGGGAGCAGAGGCTGCAAATCGCGAGAAGGTGATGGCGAGGATGAACAAGAAGTGATATGGCTTGATGCAGCGCGGCGCTCGCTTTCCTTGCCCTTTGTTGGTCTCATTCAGGATTTCACGCTAAACACGCTAGACGTTTGTCAATCATTCCGCATCGACTTTTGTTCCTCTATCACTTTTTCGCTGCCTGCATTTCGTCTCATGATAATACGAAGCTTTTCATTCTTCTGCATCGCGTTTCTGCCCTTTTCGTACGGCTCACATCTCGTTGGCTGCGTGATGTGCGCTCTGTGCGCTCGCAGGTGTTGGTTGGCGGGCGCCGCTGTGTGCCGTGGGCACGACGCCTGTTTGCTTGCCGGCGCACCCGAGGCACACAAGCTGAGGGCGGCTCTCTGGGCGTCGCCGCGATGCGATTGCCTTGTCGAAGAGCTGCTCACTTGGCTCGCCTCTTGTCCTTCTTTCACTCGATTCGACGACCAATCCCCTTTCCCCCCCTTGATTGCCATCGACTGAGCAAAGCATCAAGACCTAGCTGGCTCGTCACTTGACCTTGGCTTCGCAGACGGACGACGCCTCTACGCACGCACGCCTTCCCTGCTAGGCGTCGCTCGGTCGTCGCAGTCGCCTTGACTCCGCGGCGGAGATTGGAGAGCCGCCATCATCAGTCGTTGAACCCCATCGATATCGGTCCTCCCAACCCCACAACCTTACCCATTGCTTCGCATCACACCGCAACTCCACGACATCTCATCAGCGTCGTCTCGCTGCGTCGTGAGCAGCAACATACCCAACACATCCCTGCTCTGCAGGTGCGCCCGCCCCACGTCACTCGCCATCACGAACCCCTGAACTCGCTCACATCTTCAACGACCTCGCAACGACGCTCTTAGCAGCCTCACGACAACGGGTCTGACCCAAGACTCAAATTGCATCAACGATCTCACGACCAGACTCAGCGCACACGCAATGCCATCTGCCACGCAGACCTCGTCTGCACCCTCGTCTCCTGGCGGCAAGAAGTTCAGCACCATTGCCGGCAACTTTGGACCCTTTGGAGGAAGCGGCGGCGGCACAGCAAAGGGCTCTCTAGCATCCAATACCGCCACTGCCGGCTCCAATCGCCCATCGAGCAAAAACATCTTCGGCGACGCAGCTCCTACAATCAACAAGCTCGGACTAGATGATGGTGCTCTGCTCGGACGACCCGTCGATGGAGGCCGCACACCCGCAGCAGCCGCCTCGTTGGCTCCCGGGGGACGATCTCGCAACTCGACAGTCGCGCACCAGGAGGGACCGTGGAGCGTCAGTGTCGCAGAGGTCAAGGAAGAGGAAGATACTCAGCAGCAGCAGAGGAGCAGCCGCAAGGCGACCAAAAAGAAGGCAGCCAAGGGGTCGACTTCTGCTCCTGCATACACCCTCTACATCACGACGCCGACGCACAATCTCACGCTTCAAAGGTCCGCAAGCGACATCGTCGAGATGGACATGAGGCTGCGGGAGGGGAACTCCACAGCGACTGCCTCCTTTCCTCGTTTGCCCACCCTATCGTCATCACCTTCAGCCTCGTCTGGCGGCAGCAAGATTCTCAAGACGCTCTCGCGAACCCTCTCTCCCGGTGGCAATCGAAATCGTACAGGCCTCAGTCAACTCACCGGCTTTGGAGACTCGCAGACGCCCAAGTCAACGTCAAAGTCCAGCTCGCCGCTCAAGCCTGGATCTCGAGATGGTACTGTCTCACCGGCCGCAATCGAGACTGGCACAGACGAGGAGAAGACAACGCACGCCCTGGCCAGCTACTTTACGACTGTGTCCAATCTGCCAGCTGTACGCAAGCACAAGGCCTGGAAGCGCTTCGTACGAGTGCGAACCGACGATCTCGAGAGCCAGCGAGTCGAGCGTCGAGTCCACCGCGTGCGATCTGATCTGGCTTCGCACATCAAGCACGTCGTGGCTCCGACGAACACCAATGTTGGCGTCGGCCCAAGTCAGTCTGACATTGGCGAGGACATAGGCAGGACGGATGACGAGCGCGAGGCAGCTTCTCTCAGTGGACGATCCGGCTCGAGGCATTCGTGGGGTCACTCGAGTGGCCAGCTGATGCGTCCAGGCTCGTCGCGATCCAGCACCGATCGGCCTGATGTGCCGACTAGGTCGACGTCAGTAGAAGGCGCGTCCGGCAATGGCGCCGCTGGCCCCAATGGAGCGACGGGAAACCGCAGCAGCCCCAACTTCGCCAACATCCCCGAAGAGGTGGAACGCGAGCGCGAGTCGTCGATGACAAGCCTGCATCCAGAGCGTGGGCCAAGCGCGGGCACTACGGGTGCTGCCACAACGACTACGGCCACGACTGCCGCCACGACGAACGAGGCGCCCGACACAAGCGTGGACAGCAGCGCCATTGTCAAGCGCAAAAAGCGCCGCCAGCACCGCGAGCCGGAGAAGGTGACGGTCGACGATTTCGAGATGATCCGCGTCCTCGGGAAAGGCTGCGCAGGCAAAGTGCTCCTCGTCCGTCATCGTCCCACCTCTGGCCTCTTCGCCATGAAGTCGATTCACAAGCGACACGTTCTCGCCCACCAAGAGCTGCAGCATACCCTCACGGAGCAGGCCGTTCTGAAGCGCATGGCCCGCGACGTTCAGGACCCCTTTGTCGTCAAGCTTTGGTGGTCCTTCCACGATCGCACCAATCTCTACCTCGTAATGGACTTTCATCCTGGAGGCGACTTGGCGACGCAGCTCTCCCGCTGGGGTCGGCTGGGGAGGGACCGCGCCCGCTTCTACGCCGCAGAGATCGTCGAAGGCGTCGAAGGGCTGCACAAGGCTGGAGTCATCTACCGCGACCTCAAGCCAGAAAATGTCCTCATTGGCGCTGACGGGCACATTGTCCTTTCGGACTTTGGTCTGTCCAAGGAGTTCCCAGCGAGGGATACCACCGAAGGGCACAAGAGCGGAATCGACTCGACTGCACCTAGCTCTCCAGCTCGCTCCGCCTCCAATCGCGACCTCTCTCGCTCCATGGCAGCCGGACGAAGCCCTCACTGGATGTCAGCTTCATCAGACGACACGGCCACCATGTCTGCCGGCGAGGGCGGTGCAATCAACAGCCCCGCCAATCGATCTCGCAGCCGCTGGACAGCCGACGAGCGCGACACTACTACGACCTTCTGTGGCACTGCTGAGTACCTCGCTCCCGAAGTGATTCAGGGCTCCGCCTACTCGTACGAGGTCGATTGGTGGTCCTTCGGCACGATGCTCTACGAGATGTTGACCGGCATCACACCGTTCTGGGCTGACACCCACGCCGACATGTACGTGCGCGTGCTGCATGACGAGCTCGTGTTCCCGGACGATCGAGTACTGGATATGGATACGAAGAGTATTCTGAGGGGGCTGCTGCAGCGTAACCCCATGCTGAGGATGAAGGAGCCGAGGATCAAGAAGCATCCCTACTTCTCGATGATCGAGTGGGCTCACGTATTCCACAAGCGCTACATCCCGCCCTACATCCCGCCTATCGACCCTTCGAACGCCATGGACACTCAGAACTTCGACGAGGCTTTCCTGGACATGCAGCCCGTTGTGAATGGCGATGAGGATGAGGACGACGCCGCTCCTGCCGCCTCGGACGCAGGCAAGGGCAGCAAAGCAAGCAAATCTGCCAGCAAGTCAGTCACAGCAAAGAGTGCGACCACGACGGCCAGCCCCGCGAAGAGCAAGGCTTCGGAGCCTGCCAGCAAGGCAGGAAAGTCAGTCGCTGCAGATGGGAAGAGCCTCTTCGACGGCTACTCATTCCGCGGGCGTAAAGACTCGGGCTCTATTCACTCGACGGCCTACTCGGAGAGTCTGGACGCCGCCACCAGTGGCGGGGCAAACGAGTCGACGGCGGCAGCGGATGAGTCAGGTGTGTCAGGCGCGGCAGCCGCCATGGCGCCCGTTGCCGTAGCAGCAGCAACGCCGTCAGAGCCAAGCGCACATGGCCCCACTGCTGCTGCGCCTGTGGCTCCTAGCCCAATCACGCCACGTCCTTCGGCTCCACCTGCCACATCATCGTCGCAGGCCTCGTCGTCAAGCATGCCTTCTCTCCTCAACGCTCTCGCGCCTACGCCGGCCGCGTCTTACCTCAAGCAGCAGCAGCTTCGCGCTCAGCAGCAGCAGCAACAGCAGCAGCTGGCCCAGGCTCAAGCGCAGGCTGCGGCTCAGGCCAAAGCTGCCGCTGTCCCCTCCCCTGCCACGCCCACTCCACCTGCTGCACCAGTCAGGACCACCTCCAAGAATGTAGTCCCCGTGTCATCGCCACCAGTCACCGGCACTGCTATCGTTCAACAGCCTGCAGACAGTGACAGCGATGACGACGAGTCTGCAGCGCGCAATGCCGTCCTGGCCCTTGCAGCCTTGGAGCGTGAAGCCGACGAAGAGGAGGCGTCCATGCGCAGCGGCTCGGTCGGCGGTGTCGGCTCCACATCTGGGAGCAGTGTCGGTGGGCTCAAGACTACCGCCACACCCATCTCGCACCCTGCCGGCACCATCGCCGAGATGGACGGGGAGGATGCTGCGAATGACGCTGATAGCAGCAGCTCAGAATCGGGAGACGACGCTGGCGATGAGGAGTGGGATCTTCTCGACCTCGGGGCCAGCTTGGACGGCAAGCATGGCGCTCTGCCCTCTGAAGCGAATGGTGGGAAGGGGCAAAATCTCTTTGCGCGCGGAGTGGTAGACACGTACCGCTTGCTCAGACGACAGGACTCGACGAGGCTGACGCCGTCTGGTAGCGGAGCCACGCTTGGCGGCACGACAGGGAGCCCTACAGCCGCGGCCAATGGCACGGACTCGCGGCGATTCAGTCGCTTGACGACGAGACAAAAGCAGAGGAGCGCGGCTGCTGCAGCGCTCAATGGTACCAAGAGCGGGGCTGGTGCAGCATCTGCTACCAGCGTCGTCTCCTCCGACTCTCGCAGCCCTGCTGGCCCTCTTGCTCAGCACCAATCGCCGGCAGAAGTCACTCCCTCGTCTACGATGCTCACCGTACCCAGCACCTCCATGGGCAAGATCTCCTCTCCGGCCAAGAACGGGAGCAATGGCAGTCGACCCAGTTCGTCCGAGGAGCGTGTCGCAACTGATCATCACTCGAAAGGCGGTAGCTCGAGCGGGGATGGCGTCGGGATTCCGGTGAGCAAGAGCTCGAGCTCGAAGATCAAGAGGCGATTCACGACCTTCTTTGAACAGGCGGGCAGGTGAGCTCTGCCGCTGCCGCTGCCGACTTCCGCTTGTTCTCCACTGCTGCAAAACGTAGCGACCACGGAACCGCTGCCACCACCAACCAACTCACCTCTTCTCCTCTCGACACCTTCAAACACCCTTCTCTCCTCCCGCCACGTCTTTTATACCCATCACAACCTCCTTCAGCCTTAACAACCTCGCGCCACGACACACGCCACGCCAGCCTTATGTTTCTCCGATGCGCTTCCCCCTTTTGCTCACCTTAATGATCCTCACTTCGACTTCAACTCCCCACTTCTTAGACCCCTCGACACCTGTTCAACGCACACGGCGACGATCTCCTCTTGACTCTTTTCCTTCTACTTCATCACATGCGACGCGCAGACCTGCATACAACAATCTTGCCGCTCCATCTCTCTTTGTAAAGCCCCCCCTTTTTTTTTGGCCATGGTCCCGCTCTCTAGCCCGCGCCTACGCCCACGTCTAGTCGACTCAGTCACTCTTTACCAATTTTGACATTCTTTGCTTGAGTGGCCAGCGTGAGGACCGAGTCGAGCGCTAAAGCAGGAAAGAGAGGCTATCCGATGAATTGAATGCTATGTCGACGAGTCACCACACATGCTGCTCTTCTTTCCCTGTCTTTCCTCGTGCTCGAAGCCTACTTCATCTTCTTCGCCTCCTCATCTTCATCCCCCTCATTATCATCGCCATCACTCTCACTATCACTGTTCAATCCACCGCCCCTCCCCTTCCTCGGCCTACTAGCGCTGAGCTGCCCAACAAGTGGGACCATCTTACGCTTCTCGCTCCTGATATCGGGCGGGAGGAGCAAAAGCGTGCCGTTGGACCTGAAGCTTCCCGCCTGGCAGGTGGAGGTATGGTACCATCGACCTTCTTCGCCGCTGGAGAGCAGAGAGGAGCCGGTCAAGCACGGACCCCGGATCTGGACCACGCCAGCCATATCGTCGTCGCTCAGAAAACGCTGCCATCCTCCCTTGCGCGCTCGTACCTCATCTCTGGGCGCTTGAGGTTTGCTCTGAAGCGCATCAGAGCGATTCTCCTTGGCTGCGCCAGAGTCGAGGCGCATGTGCTGCCCTCCAGCATCACTCGAGTCGTCCTCGCTGCCAACTACGATCTTGAGCTCGCAAGAGACAGATGGAGGGCCGACGTGCTGTGGAACTTCAGATTTACCGCCCGCATTGTTGCTGCGGAAATGCTGGAGGTCGTAGATGTGCGATTGGCTGAGAGGGGCCGTAGTCCATACGGCGTCGCTTCCCCGAGATGGTGGGCGGGGAGTAGCGTTGGCCCCGCCCTTGGCGAGTCTTTCCCTCTGCTCCGCATCCTCACCCTCGCCTGCAGCGAGGAGGGGTGAGCGTGGAAGCCATGCATTCCCCACTGCGCAGGCCATCTGGGCACGCAGCGTGTCCATCATCGTCTGCGGGACGGTCCAGCCGTCACCTGCGATGGTGATGTTGCGCACCGCCTCGAGGCTGAGCTCATGGCGGACACGCTTGAAGAGGAGCCTATCCCAGACACTGTCCTTGACCATGGCTGCTCCGCTGCGTAGGATGCGAGTCTTGGCGGTCAGACAAAGCCAACTGAGCGGCGAGCGTCGCGTTACGGCAAGGAGGGCGAGTTGGAGGCTGGAAGCTCCACGTGGAGAGGCGTAAATGATCGTTGGCCTCATCTTGTGCAGCAATGGGGAAGTAGAAGGATTTGCGTCGCTCAGCGAAGTGGTTAAGGCTCCGACTGCGAGCCCTGCGCCGGTGTAGAGGGCCACAAGGGCGAGGCAGAGCCCCGAAGGCGTCTGAGAAGCGGAGAGGTGTGACGTACTGTTGGAGTGGGTTCCATGTTGCTCCACGAGTATGAGGTCCGAAGGGGTGGGGATCTCGTCGCTTGTTGGGTAGAGGGAGAGGTAGGCGGTCACGCCGGAGGTGAGAGAGTAGTTGGTCACGGGCACCCAAGAAGAGGAAAGCCAGTAATGCGCAAGAATGGCTTTGGCCGACTCTGCTGTAGGGCTTTGAGAAGAGGCAGGCGCAGGGGTGCGACCTCTGTCCACGAGCTGGGCGAAGGAGACAAGACGCGACTTGAGCGAAGACGAGGAGCGCTGCGCCTCAGATACGTCGCTTTGGGTCGCAAGGATGAAAATAGTTTGCGAGTCGATGCCAGTCAGCTGGGCCACTGCCTCCAATTGGTCCGAGGTAGTGAAGACGGCAGCGAGGCGATCGACTCCGGAGGGGAGAGAGGGGGGCTGCTCCGTGCGCAGGTGCGAGGGAGGCGCGACGAGGGTGCTGAAGGGTGCCTTCCCGCTTGAAGTATCACTAGATAGCGCACCAGCCACAGTGGCCTGAAGTGAGTGAATCGAATCCGTCTCGACGCATACAGCCAGGGCGATGTTGCCAGCATTGGAACCAGCCATGTCAAGAAGTCCAGCGGCAAACTTGCAGGCTTGCTCCAAAAAGGTGGAGTTGCTCAACTTAAACTCGTCGTACAGCTGTCGTGGCTTGTTGGCTTCGTCGCCCTTGGCGCCGAGGGCGAGTAGTCCCTTGACATCCTCTGCTCCCTTCTTTGGGCGAACGGGCAGGTCGAAGCCGTGAGGCGAGTTGGCATTCCGGTATACAGGAGACTCTCCCTTCTGTCTCGTGGCTGAGGTGTCTGCCTGTCTGGCAAGGATGAGTGGGTGGACGGTAGGCTGGTACCACCTATCGATGATGGTCCCTATGATGAGCAAGGCTACGACGCCGACGAGCAAGTAGAGGGAAACATCATCGATGATGACTCCCTTCTTGCCCGTCGTAGTGTCCTTTGAGGAGATCATCTTGACGAAGCTGCTTCTAAAGCGGGGGTCTTGGAATGATTGATGCTAGCTGGAGTGGTCGTCGTTGATCAAGAAAGGCATTTGCTAAACACCACGACGAAGCGAAGGTCGATGAAAGGCCAAACGAGGACCCGCTTAGGCCATCTCCAGACTCGCAACTCCGCCCTCTTTCCGTCCAGTAGTGGAGAGCCACGTGGTTGGAGCACGGGCCCTACGAATTGAATTCGAGGGCTGGGTGGCGTCGGCGACTACATTTCTTCTCAATTCCTGGAACCTGACATTTCGCCTTATCAATCTTTATCCTGGCCTCGATCATCCCACTGCGACGACACTTCACCACCCGCATCATGGCCACAGACACATCGCAACGTCGTATCGTCATCGTCGGCGGCGGTATCATGGGCACCTCCACCTTGTACCACCTCGCCCACTCTCCCTCTCTCGCGCCTCAGACGCACATCAGCCTAGTCGAGGCGGCTTCCTCCCTCGCTCCAGCAGCCTCCGGCAGGTCAGGCGGCTTCCTCGCGCAAGATTGGCATGGAGCAGCCACAGCTTCCATTGCCGACTTGTCCTACCGTCTGCACAGGGAACTGGCGGAGAAGGATGGCGGCGGGGAGAAGTGGGGGTGGAGAGAGGTTGATACGATGAGCGTACGATTCGATGACAGCAAAAGCAAAGCTTCGAATAAGCTGCCAAGTAGTTTGCAATGGGTAAAAGCTGAGCATGTCACCAAGGCAAGCAATATGGGCGGAGGAGGTACGACGGCGCAGGTGACACCGCTGCCTCTAGTAAACCACCTCGCGGAGGAGGCTGAGAAGAAGCTGAAGGAAAGGGGTCGTACCTTCGACCTCTTGTTGAACAACTACGCCGAGAAGGCAACGATCAAGGATGGCCGAATCGAGTCTCTCGACGTCGAGTCCACCTCTTCAGGCTCGGACGCCACGCTCCCCTGCACCGATCTGATCCTCTCAGCCGGTCCCTGGATGGGTCAGTTGGTCCCTTCCCTCTTCCCTCGACCCTTCATCAATTCGCATCGCTTCCTGTCCTCGGCATCTCACATAGACGGATCGAGGGCACACAGCGTCGTCATTCGCGGTTCGGCGCCTACGTCAAACCACTGCCTGTTCACGGACATGAGCTTCCAGAGTACCAAAGGTGGTAGACAAAAGGCGGCAGCTCCAGAGGTCTACGCACGGGCAGACGGGACGGTGTATGTCTGCGGGGGAAGCGATGATGTCCCACTGCCTCGCCTTGCGAGCGAAGTGAAGCATGACAGCCGTAAGACGGCGGATCTGCTCGAGCAGGCGGCGCACCTCTCGCCACATGTACTCGACACCACCTCTGGCCCGAAGGCAGGAGCCACAGTGGAGAAAGAGCAGGCCTGCTACTTGCCCATCGCCGAGCGCAGTGACTTCATCGTCGCAGGCGACAAGAAGAGCGGTGTCTGGGTCGGTGGAGGAGGTGCAAGCTGCTGGGGGATCACAATGGGATTGGGCACTGGCAAGTGCGTAAGTGAGATGGTGCTGGATGGCACGGTCAAGAGCGCGGATGTGAGCATGCTGCAAGGATGACCTGATGCGACGTGTGAGCATCTAGAGTATGCTTGCTATGCTGAGAATTTTGAATTGCAAATACCCCTTTGACTATCTCACATCGCGGCCGCCGCTCACTGCATCATCGTCATCCACACGCCCGGCCTCTCACAGAGGTCCTTCCACCTCATCACCAAATTGGCCAGCTCTGTACCCTGCAGCACCCTGTGGTCTCCCGCGAACGTCACAGGCAGAATCTTGCGGCGGACCAGCGTCGCCACACCCTCCTTGGAGCCGCCAGGAACAGTGTCAGAGTATCTCGGCGCGTCGACAATCCTGCCCAGAGCACCGATAGCCAACTGGCCAGTAGGCGGGAGCACGGGTGTCGTCCCGCCGAGTCCGCCACCAATTGAGCCAATGTTGGAGAGGGTGATCGTTCCCCCATCGCCGGTCTCTGCTGCGCCCAAACCGGTAGAGGTTGCCTTCTTCTGCAGGAAGGAGATGCGCGACGCCAAATCCAACACCGTTGATCCCTCGACCGATCGAATGGTCGGAGTGAGGAGTCCATTCGGGGTCGAGAGGGCGATAGAGATGTCGTGAGCGGCTCGCGGGATCAAGCGGGCAGCAGAGGCTGCTCGGTTGAACTCTTCGGCGGGAGTAGAGGAGGAACCTGCTGGTGCGGGTGGTACTTGCAGGCGGGTGAGGAAGAGAGGATTGTCGTGCATGGCGGTACTGAGCGCCTTGACCAAGAATGACAGGAGGGTGACCTTTGATGGCTGTCCCTCCATGCTGGCCGGGTTGCGCTTTGCTCGCATCGCCAGATCGGCATTGACCTGCTTGCGGAGAGCCTCGAGCTCGGTGACGTCGATCTCCTCGGTGAAGGTGAAGATGGGAACCGCAGCCGAGTGGGATAGGGCCTTGAACATGGCCTTGCGGATACCCGTGAGGGGCTGGGGCTCGCCTGTCTGCACGGGTCCCATAGGAGACGAGGCCGCAGCGCGTGCACGGGCGGGGGCGTTGTCCACAGTCAGGCCAGCCTCGCCGGGCACGTCTGTTCCTCGCATGGCATTGCCGCCCTGGATTGAGTGCATGTCGTTGCCCACGGACGCGGCTCTGCTTGCTCCTGAAGCGGCAGGGATGGCGCCTACATGTCGGAGGACGTCCTCCTTGGTGACGCGGCCATCCTTGCCGGTACCCGAGATGGAAGCCACGTTGAGGCTGTGCTCGTGGCAGAGCCTTCGTACCGCCGGGGTGGCCAGAGTCTGGATAGCCTCGGCGTTGGGGTGGCGCTCGATACCCACTTGCGGGCTCAAGCCCTTGATACCGGGAGCCGAAGCATCAAAGTGTGCCGCCTCCTCGAAGCCACTCGAAGCCGGAGTGTTCATGGCAGGCGACTTGGCAGGTTGGCTTACCTGCGCCGGAGCAGACGAAGCTGCCTCGATGCCTTGCTGAGCTGCCGCCTCCGATGCGCCATCCTCATCCAGCACGTCAATGTTGCACAGCGGGCTGCCAACCTTGACAATTCCGCCCACCTCACACGCCAAGTCAGACACGACGCCGGAGAAGCGAGAGGTGATCTCCACGCTGGCTTTGTCGCTCTGTACCTCACACAGAGGGTCGAACTCCTCGACTGTGTCGCCGGAGGAGACGTGCCATTTGACAACCTCACACTCGGTGATGCCTTCTCCCACGTCGGCGAGGTTGTAGGGCTGCTTGGCGGCGAGGTGGGTGGTGGAGGAGAAGAGGCGGGCCGAGTGGAGGCGGCCAGGTGAAGGGATGAGAGGGAGCGTCGAGCGAGGGCTGGCGGTGATGCTGCGAGCGGCTGCTGATGCTGAGCGGCTACTGTAGTGCAGGCCTCTGGCCGATACGGTGGCTCGCAGCGAGGCTCGTGCAACCCCTTGTGAGCGGGTGGCAGCAGCTACGGCCCACATCTTCTTCGCGCGACGATAAGGCTGAAGGACGGAGGAGGAGGAGGAGATGGATAGATGGGGAGAGAGCAAAGGGGACGTTCGTGAGGGAAGGAGAGTCAGGAAGCAAGGAAGATGGCAAAGGCAGTCGAGGCTTTATCGGCCCTTCTTTGTGACTCTTCCCTTATGATGTGTGTTGGATTGCAATTGCACTGAGCAGGCGGACCGGACGGACGTCGACCGGGGGCCGGCAGCGTAACGGCGTCGTGACCTTGGAAGCGGCAACGCTGCGCTGCACAAGCAGGCGCCGCACTTTTTACCCCGGACTCGGCGCCTACGCCGTGCAGCCAGGCTGTGGCTGTCGCCCACGCGGGAGCGTGTGAGCGTGTGAGCGTGCGCGTGGGGAAAGAGGTGAAGCACGATGGCTGGGATGCTTTGGAGAGGAGCAAGTTGTGAGGCGAGGTTGAGTCTGGATGGAAGGGCGATGCGTAATGCCGCGCGAGAAAAAGGGTCGAGAGTCAAGTGTCGTGATGGTGGGAGGAGGAGGAGCTGGCTGCCACGAGGGAAAAACGGTGAGCTATTTCGAAGCGGCTCATCTCGAATGTGGACCCTGGCCGGATCTGTTGATCATGTTGGGGAAGAACCACTCCACTCGAGCCTCGGTCCAGCTCTATCGTCTGTCATCATCTTCTCGCGTCCTGGTCACGAGTGGTCTGCCGTGACGACGCTTCGAGGAGGTGCAACGGCGACTTTGCGACGTGATAGCCTCCCGAGCCCCCCACACCTCCGCGCACCTCCGCCAAGTTGAGATCGTCGATTATGCACGCGCGGAAGGAGGCGCTGTGCCTGGGCCGTGTGCGTGCGTGCTCCTCGCGCTCACTACGAGGGAGGGAGAGAGAACATGCCGCCTCCTCGCTCATCTTGTTTCCAATCCATCTCCTCCTCTGTTGCTATATAGTGGCGGCCAAATTCCACTCGCTCACCTTGATCTCCTCCTCCTCCTCACATTCATCTCAACGATAGCCTTGTGCCCGCGAATGCTCGCAACCTCGACGATTACCACCGCTACCAAACACTGCTACCTCAACAGCTCCTCCATTCAGTACAGGCGATACCGCTTTCGATCCACTACCTAATCGCACACGCACACCATAATGGCACCCATCGCGACATCCACTGACGGCGCAGCCGTACCCAAGCTGAGCGCCACTGCCACTGCCGTCAAGGGCATCGCGCAGACCACGCTGGCCGCTTCAACGGCGCAGCCTCTGGGTGCTGGCCTCTCGAGCAAGGAAATCATCCATCTTGAGCATGAGCATGCTGCCCACAAGTAAGTGTAGACAGGACACCATTATATGCATCCTGCTTTGAATGTAATGCTAACCTCCCTATTTCCTCGCTCGCCCAGCTACCACCCCCTCCCCTGCGTCTTCGATCGTGCCTCCGGTGCTCACGTCTGGGACCCAGAGGGCAAGCAGTACCTCGACTTCCTCTCAGCATACAGCGCCGTCAACCAAGGGCACTGCCACCCGAAGATCGTCGGCGCTCTCATGGCGCAGGCACAGAGATTGACCTTGTCCTCAAGAGCCTTCTACTCGAGCACCTTTGGGCCTTTTGCCAAGAAGATTACGGAGATGATGGGGTACGATATGGTGCTGCCGATGAACACGGGCGTGGAGGCCGTCGTGAGCAGCGCGTCGTGAGCCAAGTAGAGAGGATAGCGTGAGGCTGACATGTGGTCACGTCCACTTTCGCCGCCAGGAAACGGCCATCAAGCTCGCCCGCAAGTGGGGCTACAAGCACAAGGGCATCCCCGAAAATCAAGCAATCGTCCTGTCCGCAGAAGGCAACTTCCACGGGCGAAGTATCGCCATCATATCGATGTCCACCGACCCTGACTCACGCGTAGGCTACGGACCCTTTGTCCCCAACCTCTCCCCCGGCGTCGACTCAATGCGCATCAGGCACGGCCACGCCGAAGACCTCGAAGCCGTGCTAGAGAAGCACGGCGACCGAGTAGCAGCGTTCCTTGTCGAGCCCATCCAGGGCGAAGCGGGAATTATGGTCCCGCCGACCGGCTATTTGCAGAAGGTCAGGGAGCTCTGCACTAAGCACAAAGTCCTGCTCATCTGCGACGAGATTCAAACTGGTCTCGGGCGAACGGGCAGAATGTTGGCCGTTGAGCATGAGGGAATCCGTCCTGACATGATCACGCTGGGCAAGGCTCTTTCGGGGGGTATCATGCCGGTGTCTGCTGTGCTGGGTGACAAGGAAGTCATGCTCAGCATGGAGCCGGGAACGCATGGCTCGACCTTTGGCGCGAATCCGCTCGGATGCACCGTTGCGCTGGCCGCGCTCGAGGTGCTCAAGGAGGAGAAGCTGTGCGAACGGGCTGACAGACTCGGCGCCCAGTTCCGCGAGGAGATGACGAGCTTCATGAAGAGTGGTCAGGCTCCCCACCTCGTCGAGGTTCGAGGGCGTGGGCTGATGAACGCCATTGTGTTGGACTCGGCGCAGAGCAAGAAGAAGAGGTCGGCATGGCAGCTCTGCTTGCTGCTCAAGGAGAGAGGGGTCCTCTGCAAGCCTACGCACGACAACGTGGTCAGGCTGACCCCGCCGCTAGTCATCACTGACGAGGACATGCAGAGGGGCACGGAGATCATCAAGAGGGCACTGCTGGAGATTGATGAGATCGAGAGCGTGCCAGGTGAGGAGGAGGGGGTACACTGAGCACGAGTTGCGCCTCAATGTCAATGCTATCATGCACGTCACATCCCGAGGTCATGAACGAGTGGGCTTCGAATGCAGATGATGGTATAGAGTGATTGCAAGCAAATGTGTGTGAGAGACGAAGCAATTACTGAGCTCCGTCCTAGCCTGCGCCGTCTCGCGTCTCATTCCTCGAAGACGACCAACCTGTTCTCCCCTGCCTGGCCCCTCTGTGCCTCCAACCACGCCCTGGCCAATCTGGCACCAGACTCCGTCGGCTGACTGAAGGCCAGAAGCGGTACCCCCTTCTCCCCATTTGATCCCTCATCGTTCGCACGCGACCTGAGGTCTTCCCTTAGCTGCTTCGCCCCCACGCCGTACAGTGAATGCTCGACGACGGTGTCGAGAAGACGGTGAGCTAAACCGCAGCGTCGCAGCGAGGGGAGTACGTAGATACGGTGCACGCCCAATGGTGGGGTTTGCGAAGCCGAGAGGCGTGAAGAGGAGAGGCGCAGGCCGTCGCTGCCACCAGGCACCGAGGGTTCAGCTACTTCGGCGTCGTCATCCTCTATCACGTCCCTCGCCTTGCCCTCCTCGATACGCGTCGCAACAACGGCACCTCCGAGGACGCGACCGGCGCATACGGCCAAGAAGAGCTTGAGGGCGGGCGAAGCCGTGTCGTTTCCCTGATCGTCGTGGTGTTGAGGCCTAGGGAAGAGGGAAGCAGCGCCCAGAGCCGTATCGATTGTCTCGAGGACTTCGCACAGCTTGCGGTGCAGGAAAGCCTCGCCATTACCATTGCCGCTTCCAGAGCGTCCGGTGGATGAGGCGGCAGACAAAGATGTCCCAAGGCTGTCGGGCAGGTTATACCGCACGAGTTGTACGGGGATCTTGTCGCCACCAACGGCTGTCTTTGCGACCGACGTCGAAGAGAAGACGGTGTCCAGGTCGAAGCCTACGCTCGGCGAAGCCCCTCCTCCGGCCGCACCGCTGACTCCTGCTCCACCTTGTCCTTTCATCGCCCCATCCACAATGCCTCTCCCTAGCGCCTTTACCACCTTCTCTCTGCCCAGACCAATCGTGCCGACAACACTCCCTGCTTTGCTGAGTGCCGCACTCGTTGCCATAGGCCACTCGACGCCCTTCAGCACCCGATCATGATGGCGGACATGCAGCGCACTGTCCTCCGGGCTAGACCGGTCGTAGGACATGGAGCAGTCTTTGCACGTCACTTGTATCTTCTGGCCTAGGTCGAGAATGAGCTGTTCAGCGCGGGGCTGCGTGGTCTGAGCAGGCTTTTGCTTTTTGGTGCGCTTGATGCTCCCGCCGATCGAAGTGGGACGCCTGCTTGCAGTGGCGGGCGTAGGACTGCTCCTTGAGCGCTTGAGCGGTACAGGCGAGGATGGCGGGCCGTCGTTCTCTTCGTCGCTCCCATCCTCATCTTCTCCGTCCGCGAGGTGGCTCCTCTTGGCCGAAGAGGACATAGCGCCTCGAACAGACACGGGCGTTGACATTGGCCCCACCCTGCGTCGACCGTACGTGGCTGGTGAGCTTGCGATTCGGGAAGGCAGAGGGCTGGCGTCTGTAGAGGTGCGCAGGCGAGGCAGAACGAGGGATCAGCTGATGTTTCATTGAATTGTGTGGAATGTGACCGTCGCGGCGTCTACGTACAAGTGGGAGAAGACGAAGGACCCGCAGCCGCAGCCGCGTCCTCCATAATGATGTCCCCGCCGTCTTCGCCCTCGCATTTTTGTGCCACCCTCTGAATCTGCGCCCTGATGACTTCGAGGCGCGATGCGACCTGTCGGGGCTCAACGTCCATCGTCTCCACGGCTGCGCGGCTCTCTCCCTTCGATTGCCCGAGCCCAAAGAGGTAGGCAAAGTCACTGAGTGTGGCCATAGGAAGTGCGGAGGTGGTCCTCTGCTGTTGATGCTTCTTGGTGTCCTCTGCAAATTCGCGCGAGATGTCGTTGGCCCGGTCGCAGATGCTCTCCGGCACGCCGGCGAGATGGGCCACCTGCGTTCCGTAGGATGACTCTGCGACCCCGTCAACGAGCCGATAGGTGAAGACTACTTGGCGATTCTCATCGTCGACGACGACGGCCATGTGCTTGTTGGCGCAGCGCGGATACCCCTGGAAATCGTATGCAAGCTGGAGGTAGTGGGTGAGGAAGAAGCAGAGACAACGCGTGCGCGCAATCAGGTGGTGGAGCACAGCGTGCGCAATGGCGTGACCGTCGAATGTACTGGTGCCGCGGCCGAGCTCGTCCATGATGACGAGAGAGCGAGGCGTGCAGTCCTTGACGATGCGACTTGCTTCGAGCATTTCGACCATGAAGGTGGAGCTATTCTTGAAGATCTGGTCGTTGGCGCCCATTCGTGTGCAGACGCGATCTGCTGGTGAGATGCGGGCAGACTTGGCCGGGACGCGGCAGCCCAGCTGAGCAAGGATGACGCCTGTAGCCGTCGTGCGAGCCGTCGTGCTCTTACCAGCCATGTTGCCACCGGTGAGGAGGATGACCTCAGCGCTGTCGCCGCCCATTTTGATGTCGTTGGCGATGAAGTCGGTGGAACCGGCGATGCAGGGGTGGCGTAGCTCTTCAAAGTCCACCAGGGCCGTGTCGCATTCGACAAGTTCCGGTCGGCAGGTCGGCTCCCCCATGGCGTAGGAAGCCAGGCCCAAGCTTTGCAGACAGTCGATTTCGGCCAAGGCTCGAACGGCGGCGAGATAGGAGGATGCGTTCTCATTGAAGCGGTCAAATAAGCCGGCGTGGAACTCCTTGAGTGCAGCAAGGCGAGTCTCGCGCGCCTCCTTCAGCTTGAGGACAAGAGCTCGCACCGTCGGAGAATAGTAGCCCGTCGTCGCCGTCGTGCTTGACATGACCTGCCAATCATTGGGCACCTTGGTCTTGACCGGCACCTCGATTTGGTAGATCTCGTTAGTTCCTCGATGCTTCCAGTTGCAGCCGCCCTTCTTTTCTGCGCCGAGCTTGAGCAGCTTGCGGTAGCTTCGAAGCTCGCTCTCCAAGTCTCCTTCGACTTCATCGATGTGCGCCTGCGCGGTATCATAGGCCTCGTCAACATCCTCACGAGGTTGGAAGGAGCCGTCTTCGTTGGCGATAAAGGAATCATCGAGCTCGCTGGCAAGGGAGGCAACATCCGGCACCGAATTGAGCAGCTCGCGGACCAAGGCAGACTTGAAATCAGCGCTGGCGTGCTTCAGGTCATTGACGATGGGCATGAGTTTCTTGAAGGCCGTGAGCAGACGCGTGAAGTCGCCAGGCTTGATCTTCCCTGAGTAGACCTTGGGTAGCAATCGCTCAAAGTCGGGCAACTTCTTCAGCGTAGCAAAGCAGTCTTCAAACTCGGCATTGCCTAGGAGATCGTCGACGGCGTCTTGTCTAGCCTTGATAGCGTCGACGTCGCAGAGTGGATGTGTGAGCCAGTGCTTGAAGAGGCGCTTGCCGGCGGGAGTGACGCAGCGGTTGAGGAGGCGATGAAGAGTACCGGCGTCGGAGCCATCTTCATTCTGTAGGACGCAGAGGTGGCTGAGGGTATTGGCGTCGAGGTGCATAGGTCGCCCGCTGGCCGTCCTGCGGTGCTCGAGCAGGCTGAAGTTCTTTGATGATGTGAGGTCTTTGAGGAGCGATAGTTGGTTGAGGTAGGCAAACATGCCCGCCATAGACGACATGACTATCTCTTTGTCTTGCATGGCGACGATGGCCTCCGGAATCTGGGCCTCGTCGCCGCCAAAGAGGTTGACAAGCTCGTCCTCAGTCTCTTCACGGGACAGCCACTCCTTGCCCTCGCGCAGCATCGTGATGCGGCAATCGGCGCTAGTGCAATTGCGGAGTAGGCGAAGTGTGTCCTTGCTGAGCTGACCTTTTTTGTGAATGACCTCCTTGACGCGCAGAGAGAGCAGAAGGGTCTCCAGCTGGCTACGCTGCTGATCGTCGACCCAGTGCGAGAGGCCAAAGTCACTCGTAGCAGCGTCCAGCGAGCAGATGCCAAAGGAGACAATCTCGCGGCCTTCTTCATCCTCACCGATCTCCTCCACAATGGCAATGCAGTAGGTGGCGAGGTCGTCTTCCAAGCCGTCGATTTGCGTCGCCGAAGTCATGACGTGGCGTAGCTCTCGTCGGACGATGTCGCCGCTGCTCTTGTCTCGCATCCCCTTTGCAACGGCAGTCTCCATCTGGTCGACGCGGCCGACCTTGTAGCCTAGAGCGAGGAGCTTGGTAGCGAAGAGATCAAAGGAAGCTTCAGGCACGCCGACCATGGGCATCCTACCTCGATCAGTGAGCTTGAGGTCGAGCTCACGATGGACCGTGTAGGCGTCCTCCAGAAACATCTCGTAGAATTTGCCCTTTTGAAACATGAGGATCGTGTCCATGTTGTTTTGCCTGCGCGTAGGAGAGCGATGTTGATGCATTTAGTCAGCTAACCGCATCTGCAATGCTGTATCCCCTCGTCCGAGTACTCACTTGATCTCAAAATACTGCTTCTCGAAGTTGGTGAATTTGCCCCACCATGCGGATGGGATGCGTAGAGTGCGAGGATCGAAGTCGGCGTCGCCTGGGCGGTTGCCGTCACTGTCTCTTCGATCGACAAGGAAGGGAAAGCCGGGCTCTTTGGCGCCCCCTGCCTGCCCGGGAATAGGCGTAGAGCCACCCGGAGTTGCAGAGGAGGACGAGCTCCTCGCAGGAACGAGAGGCGGACGTGAAGACGACGACGAGGCTGAGGGAAGGCTCGGGCGAGACTTCTTGGCTGGTGGCTGGCCCGTCTTAGCTGCCTTTTTGCGAGGTGGAGGAGTGGGCGATGCTGAGCCCGATGCATCCGACATCGATGCATCGCCATCGTCGTCCTCATCGTCATCCTCACTGTCGGAGACGGCCTGCGCCTTCCTACTCTTGTTCGCTGTGTCATCGTAGTCAGAGCCATCGTCTTGGTCTGATCCGGACTCGTAGTACGTCTTGCGCTTGGCAGCCGCACCTCGCTGCGACGCGAGAGCGAGTCAGAACAGTCAATATGGTCAGCTCAGGTCTTTCATGCGCATACAGCCAGCTCGGTCACCACTCACCCTACGCGACGTGGTTGGCATCAAGTCCTCTTCGTCGTCATCATCCTCGTCCATCGTGGCTGAGAGTGGACTGCTGGCCGGAGGCGTAGGCTCACCACGAGGGACAGCCTTAGGAGTCGTCGCCGTCTTGACAGCGGCTTTGGACTGAGCAACGGCGCTGTTGCTGGCGTTGGTGCCAAGCCTGCTGGAAGGCGACTGCTTCGAGCTGGACGCGACAGGAGAGACGGAGCCACCGGATACGGTGGAGGGAGGCGAGGGCACAGAGCCCCTCTTGGTATACGATGTCGACGACGATGAGGACGACGACGCGGTCTGCTTCTTTGCTGTACTGGAAGCGGCGCTGGGGGCAGTAGAGGCAGGGGCACGAGGAGGCTGAGAAGCTCCGCCAGGCGCAGCGTCGACTTTCTTGAAGAAGCTAAGCAGCGTGCCTTTGCCATTGGCCGGCTTCGCCGCCGGCTGCGATGGCATGATGGCAATGGCGACGAGTGCGCGGGACGCTGGCACGAGAAGCACGAGACGGGGATGGAAGGAAAGAGTTGGTGGGTCGAGCAAGAGAGCGTTGAACGCGAGCGGAGCGACGCGACCCAGCTTCAATTTCAAGGTCCGCGCTCGCTCGTCCGCCCAGAAGAGGCGTGTCACGGAACGGAAGAAGTGAGAATGGCATTGGTCAATCCTCCTGGCCCTGAACCTTCGCCTCTCGAGGTGCCATTGACGGTGCATGCTGTATCTGAAATTTTGACTCTGTCTTCACAATAGGATCGCAATTCCATGAGGAGGTTCAAAGTCTCGAAACAAGTCGCACCTTGGAGAGGTTGCGAATGCTGCTCAGGAACGTCAAGCTCGCTCGCGCGCTCTCTCGAAAGAAGAACAAAGGACCATGGCATTCGAGATCAAGTGGTCAACAGAAAGGGAAGCAGCGGGGAAGAGGCGACTGTTGCCTTATTGCGCCCATCAAGAGGGGCACGTGACCGCAAACTGAACAGTGCCATCGCTGTTGCGGGCCGTGACGGCGCCAGTCGTCACACCACCTTGCGAAACACTCGACTCGCCATCGAGTGTAAGGATGAAGTCGAGGGTTCCGCGGCCCTTATGGGTGCAGGCGACGCTGAGCCTACCTTTAAATTCGGAGGAGACTTTGCTAGAGCCTGTTTGCGAGGGCGAGAATGATTGAGTGCTCAGACGGTTCGAGGCAGTGAGGCTAACAATACGTACCGGGCCCGTTGCCAGACGCACCAGTGTCTTTGGGGCAGATGGTGCCAACGACTGCGGATTCGCCAGGTAGAGCCGTCCAGTTCCAAGACTTGACAGGCCCACCGATGCTGAGTGGAGCATGAGGGGTTGGGGGGAAAGGTCAGCCTCCATCTTCAATGGAATCACTGTTGGCGGCGAGCTAACGAGATGGTGTTATAAGTGCCGGAGCACGAAGTGCGCTTCATCACCATAACGCCATAGCTAGCACTCGCCATCAGAAGAAGAGCGATCAAGATGTCGGCAAGGTGCATGATGGCAAATGATGCTCTGATGAGGGCGAGCTGGCTTATGCGGGAGAGCTGCGTAGAACAGGAGAGAGAACAGAGCGCAAGGAGCAGGTCGACATCCTTGTGTTGCGGCAATGATAGTCCAGTCATGGGTCAGGGTATGCAGACCTGGGCACGAGGTGTGGCAAAGCACTTTCATGGCAACCCGCCACTGCAGCGATGGGCTGAGCGGGGCGTAGATCAGATTGCGCTCAAGGTCAGAATTGCTCCGCGTCGTAATCACTGCCGACCCTTGTCAGACTCGCTCCTACCAGCAGCTCTGCAAGCGCTAGCGAGAAATGACGTGAAGTGAAAATCACGCGGGGACCAGATAGCAGAAGGCTGTGTTGAATCTCCATCTTGACGTGCCTACAGCCTTCGCCCAAGCAGAGGCTCTGAAGAATGATGACGAGCAGCCTCGCCCCTGATGTGGCTTCTCCCTCTTAAGCTCATGCATCCTCGTCTCACGCCGTGTAGTTACAAATAGCGTAATATCCGACATTGAAGGTCGAAGGCTGTGCTCGAGACCGTCGTTCATCAGCGTTCCAGCTTGACCTCTTTTCGCCTGCTCCTCTCTCCGGACTCACATTTCCACTGAAGTGCCCATAGACAGCTCCACTTGGTTTGGCGATGCTCAGTCCTCTAGCACGGAAGCCAAAGTCGATGTAGCCCTCCTTGCCGGTGGAGCAGTGCATGAAGAGTCGCCCGATGAAGTTGCCTTCGACCTTGGGTTTTGCTACGAAGGCGACACGCCGTGGAAGAGCCATGAGCGGTGACGATGAGCAAGAGTACGAAGGGCAAGGAGAAGGGCAAGGGGGTGATGAGCTCGCTTACAATGCAGATACCCCTCCGCCCCACCAGAGCAAATCTTGTTATGATAATTCTGCCCAGCCGTAGAGTTGAGAGAGGTGAACTTCCAGTACTTGAAGTTGCCGTCAAGCCTGCGTGAAGGAAAGTAAGAGGGCTCAGCAGGGGCATGCTCATCGGCATAATCGAGCAAGAGAAGACGAGGATTCCCGGAAACGGACGTGATAATGTGGTACGCCGTACTGCAGTCAGCGCGTTCGGCTACGGTACTGATGCTTGCGGCCGTGGCGGGGTCTCCGACGAGAAACAAGACGAGCGTGGCGAAGCACAAGGGGGAAAGAAGCTGGAGGAGCAGCATCGTGGTGCTACTTTTGCGATGGAGGGGAGAGAAAGATAGGCTAGTGGGCGGGCTGAAGGAGGCTCAGAGGTAGGGAAACGCAGGGTTGCGGTCTCGCAGGCGACAACGGGGGTTAGCGTCCCACGCCAAGCACCCTCGGCCCTGCCCATGTGCTGCACGAAAAACCGTGCCTTCATGAGTGAGAACGGTGAGCAAAAGTCAAATGGGCAGCTTGCCAGGTACTCAGGACCCGGGACACCCTGGCGTGGGAAGGTTGCTGCATGCTGGACGACGTACGCAAAAGTCTTGCGGCCAGTCTCAAGTCTTTGCTTTAGCGCCGGAGAACAAGGTGAGCCATTTACAATTGGACAAGGAAGAGGCGAAATTCAGCCGACGGGAGCCAGCTGCACATAAGATATCATCGAGAGAGAACGTCGGCCTACGCGCCTGTGGCGAGGCCAAGAGACGAGTGAGTGCTGCATGGGCCAGCTCGGCGTGTTTGCTTGCCTCGCAGCCTAGAAATTGTGGTCGAGCCCGTCGTTGGCCACCCTGCCCGACGAGGACGAGCCGGTAGCCTTACGGCCAGAGGAAGCGCCCGCACCGTAGCCTGCCGAGCCACCTGAACCGCTAGGTCCGTACCTAGTACTCCCATTACCAGCCCTTCCTGAGCTGCCTCCCGGCCTGTATCTCGCATCAGCGTCCTCTGGTCCTTCGTCATCGAAGCTATCGTATCTTCCGCCCGCACTGGGTCGGCCGTCAAGACTCGAGCTGAACGAGTCATCACGACTGCCCGTGCCGTTGCCATACCCATTTGTGTACGGGTCACCCATGGCCTCGCCTGCAAGGGCATGGCGGTCCGACTTCTTCCTGCTGCCAAGGAAGGCGCGTCCCTTGGACCTGTTGCGAGCATTTCTACGCTCCGCCTCTCCTGCTCCAGGTGCGCCTCCAAATGCACCACCGCTGCTGCTGGAATTGCGCCGCAGCGAATAGGGGTCGCTGCTATCGCGCGCAGATGGGCCGGGCCTATGCTCGTTGTAGTAGCGCTCGTCTGCGAGCAGAGTCGGATCATCGCGCCTGCGAGGCTGGGCTGGTCCTTCCCCGTCTTCGAAGGTGTGGTCGCGATCGTAGCGGAACTCGTTGCCGTCATCGTCAACCATGACTCGGCTGGAGTTCTCATGATTGTAGCGACCGACCCACTGGCGCTTCTTCTTTTGCTTCTTGAGGTAGTCGTCGTTTACAAGGCCATATCGGATAGCCCTGTGTGAGGCGAAGGCGAGACGGATGTCAGCTCGACGACGTCCCTCAATGCGGTATCTAGCGCTTGTAGCACTCACCACTTGGGCGTGCGGCCGCGATTGCGGTTGTCTCTGATGTTCTGCACAAAGAAGTTGTGGCCGTGCCCGGGAATGTAGCCCTACGAATCACGAAGCAGCAGAGTGAGCAAGTGCTGCTTCTCACCGATGCATGCACCGCGTGGTACTCACACAGAGAGTCAGAACACAATTGATGAAAAAGTCTTTGCCAATACCAAAGCGAGCGGCTACGGCCAGAGGAGGCAGGAGGAAGCCGAGGATGACCTAGCGTGACAAGGGGGGAGTTTGGGAATCAGCCCGGATGCCTTGCCTGGTTCCACAGCCTCAGGTGGCCATTACTCACCAGAAGCAGGTAGTGACCGTGGTATACCTTGGGTCGGCTGATTGTAGCAGGAGAGGCAAGAAGGGGGCGCATTAGCATCTTTGCAGCAGCTGCCTTGCTAAGACACCACGCAGACTCACAAGTCGATCTTGCCGTTCTCCTTGCGAGGAATGCCTGACAGCCAACATCAGAATCAGATTTTTGTGAGCTCATCGGACAAAGGCAAGTGCGGATACCATGCTAGTCTGCCTCACCATCTCGAAGGAAGCCCATTGTGAGGGCGGCTCAGCGGCTAAGGGTTGACGAGGACGAGGGGCGAGGACGAGGCGGAGGGTGGATGTTGGTCGTGTGTTGCTTGCAGCCGCTTTGCAGCTGACAAAGACGAGCCAGGAGCGATAGATTCCCCGCTCTTAGTACGCAGCAGGAGTATCTATCGAGCAGACTCCTTTGCGATGGGTGGGGAGGCGATGATGTTGGAGGTCAAGATGCGACGCTAGCCTGCGATGCCAAGATGGGGTCAAGGCAATCCGGCCCACGGACCGTCTCGTCGTCTCCGTCTGACCGCACATCGACAAGCGGGGCGGCGGGCAAGCGGCGACAGGCTTGACCGCTTCAGCGCTGCAGGCACAGGGAGCATCAGCACAGCCAGTCAGTCGTCCGAGCGTCCGACTTGCAAGCCACAACTTAATTCCCAAGTCGACTCAGCTCCGAGCTCATTGCTACCAGTCCAGTCAGGGCGAGGCCTCAAGAGTCTCGAGATGATGATGAGAGGAAGTGCGAATCACACTTCGGGCGACGTGGATCAATGCTACTTGAGATCAATTGGCTCAATGGAATCAAAAGATGCAGAAACAACGAGATGCAGAGCAAAGTAAAGCTACGGTACTAACGAAAGAATAGTATCGCAACTGGGAATCATGGGAAGAGAAAGCTGGAGCACGACACGATGGCTAGCTTAGAGGGCCTTGCCCTGTCCAGGCTTGAGGTGGAGCTCCTGCTCGAGCTTCTCAGCAACACCCTCGACCTTGCGGTTGTCGTTGCCGCCGTGGAGCAAGCCGATCTGCGAAGCGTCCTTGTGCTTGGCACCGAGAACACCACCGCTCTGGAGGTACTGGTCCTTGCTGACGGGCTCGTGGCTGATGAGTTGGTGGACCACGGGCGCATGCTGGATCTCGTGGTGGGTAGGGATGTGCGTGTGCGAGCGGGTGTACTCGTGCGTGTCCTTCTGTACCACGGGCTGGATGACGTGGTGGACGTGGTGGTGCACCGACTCGTTGACCTTCTCGCCACGGTCGACGATCTCAGTCGTCTGGCGGCCAGCGTGGGTCATGTCCCCCTTTTGGTGGTGAGCGCCCACGTCGGCGAGAAGCTTGGCGTCCTGCGCACCAGAGGCGTGACGCTCATGGATGTTGGTGACGGCATGGCGCTTCTCGTCCATGAGCTTCTCCTTCTGGTGCTCCTGGTCCTGGATGGGCACGGCGTGGAGCTGGATGTGGTTCTGGTGGTGGTGCAGGTCACGCTCACGGAAGACCTCCTCGGTGTGGTGCTGGTGGCGAGTGTCCTCGGTGCGATGAGCAACGTGGTGCTTGCTCTCAGTGATGGTGCCGTCACCGGCAGCGCGGAGAGCCTTGGGGTCGACGTTGGCGCTGTGACCCTTGGAGGGGAGGCCAGCATCGTTGGCCTCGAGGCCAGACGAGCCGTGCGTACCAGTCTTGGTGCCAGCAGCGGTAGGGACGCCGGTGCCAGCGGTCTTAGCAGCGGTGCCGTTGGCTGCGGCAGTCTTTGCACCGGTTGAGGAAGTGGTCGGCGTGGTGTGAGCGGCCTTCTCGCCAGCCAGCTTCTGCGTGGCGTTGTTACGAGGGCTGGTCTCGGGTGTGGTGTTGGCGGTCGAGTTGTTGTAGTCCTCAACCGAGTCGTCGCTGGAGCGACGGTGGCTGTTGATGCTGAGCGCCTTCTTAATTCCGTTCATGATGAAGCGTGCGGTGAAGAAGATGTGTCCGTGGGTGTTTGCGAAGCGTGTACGGTGTACTGTAGAGAATCAAGCTGTGATGAGAAGAGAACGAGACACAGGAAGGTCTCTTCAGGACCTCCTTTTATGTGGTTATCGAGGCAAAGAGCGCTACGGACCTCCACTGCCAAATGGTCAACTTGGCAAGACCCTTGATCAACGTCATCGTGGGGAAGCCACCATCCAGCACCGCCTTCGGCCTCGCCTTCGACAATGCTGCTGATCTCATGATGTCACATACGTGAGGCAGACCGTGGTGCTGCTGCCGTGCGAAGGCACGTTTACGTGTCTTGCTTCCTCGATGAAGAGCGACCAGATCTTGTTGCTTGTAGTCTCACATTTCTGAAACGAGCGAGCAGGTAGATCCAGGAATGACGAGGCGGTGAGAGGCGTGGCAAGGGAGGAAGAGGAGGTCGCCCAGTCCACAGATTCGAGCGAGCGAGCGATGAATGATCCAGCGTCGACTGCTTGCGACGCGGAGGGTAGCGGCAGCGGCAGCGAAGACGATCGACGAAGGCGGCTACGAAGGAGTGGGGAAACGCGTTGCTCGCTCGCAAGCGTCACGGGTCCAGCAGCGTGCGGACGAATTAACGGCCCGCATTGAAGCTTGAGTCGCCGGGTGGAGGGTGGGAGCCGCCGGCTGCTGCGAGCTTGGGTTTTGGCAGGCGAGCAAACGCAACCGAGGAGCGCGCCGGGGGTTAAGACTTGCCTTTGGTTGCATCGGCTTCCATCGTGGAGGCTCAGCCAATGGGACGAAGCAGCAACAGCAGCCAAGCCAAGAGGCAGCAAAGATTCATCAACCAATGCAGCGGCCCGCAGCGATGATCAATGAGCCTAGGGGAGGTGCGATCGATGCGATACCTACTTGATTGCTCCCCGTCGTCGGCTTGGCGGGGAAAAGGAGGTCAAGAAGTGGTACAACGGCGATTGAGGCTACGTCAGGGTGCGGCTGGTGAACCCAGCAATCTACAGGAAGTTTGAGCAGATGCCGAGGGTGGTCCGCCGCATCAGCGGCCAGCAAGAAGGAGGATACGGATTCTTGGATCTTATTCGCCGACGCGGGAGCGGGCGTGGAGAGAGTGGACCCGCGACGATTAGAGCGCATGCACGCGGTTGAGTGGACGAGCGAGCGATCTAGGTGGAAGAAGCACCAAAGCGCCGGTGCTGCATTGTACGCCTGCGAACGAACGAACGAACGAAGACGACCGCTCGCGCCTGGACTTTCCCACACATACAGGTTGCACGGCTATCATATCTCGCTACATGGTGCGCTATCGCAGCCTGGCCTGGCGTACTCGCCGATGCTGACTCGTAGGTAGAGAGCGCGGCGTGGGGCGCTTCGATCGGAGGACCTGACGCTTGCGGGTCGAATCTTCCCTGTCGCCGTTGACGAAGGTCCAAGACAGCCTAGTAGTACGGCATCCTGCTCACACTGGGACTGCCGTCAGCGGCGCTGTGACGAGCCGCAAAGGTGGGCACGGTCGAATCACCGACGACGTCACCATCGGCACGCCTGTGGTGGTTTGCTGATCCGGACGCAGCGTTGCTCCTGATATCAGTGTCGATTCGCTGCGCAGTCATTGTGGTCATCGTGCTTGCATCGCGTACGGCGGGCATGGCACGGGGAAGGACGAACTGTGGATCGAGGGCAGGGTGAGTGGCAGTGAGACCGACCAGGGTTGTCAGCCAGAAAGCGAGTGGAAGGGTACGTGGGTGCGCAAGTCTCACTCACCTTCTCATCGTACTCCCTCATGACCTCGGCAGCCAGCAGCTCCTTGTCCCTTACAAGACCCTCGAACAGCGTGGCCAATCCCACGAGCGACACGGCCAGTCCACCTTGCATGAGCACAAAGAAGATGACCCAGGCAACGAATCCAGAGACGGGCAGCAATGGCCCGCTGACTATGTGCCAGAGAAGGGCTGACAAGGGCGAGTAGATGGTGAGGACGCGAAGGGTGACTGGTGGAGGTTGCCAGATGTGTAGCTCGTGGATCTGTGCGTCAACGAGGAGGCGCTTGTTGCTACCCAGATAAGGGCCGTTCGGAACAAGGGCGCCGAGAAGGGGGATTCGCTGAAGTTGTGATAGGATCAAGGAGGCAAAGCGCTCTTGAAGCCTGGGCTTGTCGTGACCATCGTCCTCCTCGTCGAGATGAATGGGAACGAGGCGCGCATTCTGGCTGGAGACTTTGCTGTCTGCGCTCTTCATCCAGAGGCGGTATCGACGGCGAGAAGAGAGACACAGGTAGGCGTTGTACAGGGAAAGGGCGATGAGGGCGAGGGAGAGGACAGAAGCTGTCCAAGACCAGGCGGCCGCCCGATTGATCTGCATCGTGCGTCGTAGGCTTCGTCTGCCGCCGCCGCCGCTGCCGCCACCGACACTGCTGCTGAAGAGTGAGCCGGAGTCGCGGCTGCTTGTACGCCCGTCAATGCCTGCCAGAAGGGAGAGAGAGAGATCCGACTCTGGCGAGATGAGATGCGAGACCAGGGATATGACATGCAGGGCAATGCCAATGGGATAACCAAGAGCAGGCTCGTGCAGGCTCTCCTCGACCGTCTGAAGAAGCGAGGCGAGACGATCATTGACGTCTGTGGGAAGCTCTTGGAGCCTGAGCAAGTCACGATGAATGACGGTCAGGTACACGATGCTCTGTCGGCGTCTTGGTGCTGCCGGACAACTCACTTTTGCTGCCATGTCTTGCGTCGGATGAACGCATTGCTCTTTCGTCCGGCTGACCTTTTGCTCCCTGGTGCCGGAGACGGCGAGGCCGCCGCTGCTGCTCCTCCGCCTCCAGCCGCCATCGTAGAGGTCGCCTTCATACCCGGGCTGCCGAAGCTTGTGCCCTTCCTTCGCACGGGGCTGTGTGCCGCCTCTGCACCAAGACCGCGGGGAATTCCTCGAGCTGCTGGTGAGGATGCGTAGGGGCTGCCACTGATAAAGGGCGACATGGATGAGGATGAGGCGGCCGAGGAAGGAGAGCCATCCCCCTTTGCCGCCGTGTAGAGGTGGTACGGGGTAGAAGAGGAGCGAGCGAGCGGGGAAGAAGGCATCGAGGAGGAGCCAGATGCGGCTTCTGCGCGAAGCATACCGCTGCGTGACTTGTGAAGACTTTTACGTGGCGTTGCCATTGCTTCGTCGTGTAATGGATCGAGAGGAAACGAAGCTGGAGGTGGATGTGAGCGGGAGCAGCAAGACATCCTGAGTCCAACACGACCTCGCGTGGCTTGATCCGCGAGTCCGACACGATCAAGGCCACGCGACATCGCTCCGCGGTGAACAGGAAGATCATGGATGCTTCAACGCTTGGATGGGTATAGCTATATACAGTGAAAGTCCTTATTTTTGCTCCTACGTCAACGCACGAAGCATCGTCGTCCTCTTCTCTGCCTTCTTCGTTTTCTTGGCCTTCCTCTGCGAAGACACCGACCCCACCTTCGCCGCTACCTCCTGATCGACGATGCGCTGCACCAGCTCCGCATGCTTCTCGCACAGCCTCTTCCCACCCACAACATAGAAGTCTTGCAGCACCTCCCTGCAGTCGTCCATCTGACATCGCAGGCACTCAGGGTGGTAGAGCTCCTTTTCTCCCTCGCTCTTACCCGCCATCACCTGCCTGCACGTCCCCTCGATCCCCTTGTGGCATGAGGCACAGCCCGTCCCCGCCCTGCTTGAGTAATGGTCCAAGCAGTATGGCTGGTTCTCCCACACGTAGAAGACGCCTTGTTTGAACAGCTCATTGCACTCGAAGCACGAAAAGCATCCACGGTGGAAGATTCCCCGCAGAGCACCGTCAGAGCTCTTGACCGCGTCCCGTTCAACGGGTTGGTGGCACTTCGTGCACTTGGGAAGATATAATGCAGCATAGTCTGCACGGCAGATGTACTGCCCGTCCTTCTCAACGAAGGCGGTGCGAGTGGAAGAGGATAGAGAGCAGTTGCACACTCGGCAGCGACGTGCTTTGCGTTCTGCCCTTTTACGCTGGCGGTCCATGTGTTCCTTGGGCGTTGTGCTGGGGGTCAGGTCGAGCTGAGGAGGTCGATTAGCTCGGCGACGCGGCTTTTCGTCATCACGAGAGACTTGCAGCGTCTCCATGAGGTCCTCAATCCCGCCTAGGTCGACCTCCTTGCGGGCCAGACGGGGCGACTTGGACAACGCAGCGTCCTTGGCTGCTGCTGTTGCGAGCTGCTCAAGTCTCGCCTTCCTCGCTGCTTCGACCGCTGCAGCAGAAGAGCTACGGTGATGAGTAGCGCCGGCCTTGCGTCCCCACGGGAAGGCGCCAGAGGCCGTCTCGGGCGACAGGAAGCCCTTTGACGGCGGCGAGGATTCGTGACGCCCTTGGTCGCTTTGCTGGCTGAAGCTCGAGCTCGGCGTGATCGAGACGCTCACTGGACCCTGAAAGGCTGACGAGGCGGCGCTCGCATTGGACGAATATGAGCCTGCGGAGGAGGACGAGGCGTTGCGCGATGGTGTGGGATGGTGGCGAAGCGTTGTGGGCTGGGGCTGCTGCTTCACCTGGTGTCGCTCCTTCGTGGGGCTGGGCGAAGACTTTGCTTCAAGCAGCTTGGTGAGCTCCTTCGGTGGCGAGTCCGCAAAGCTGGGCGAGGGAGAAGACCCTCCTGCCATCCTCTTCGCCTCGCGCTGCGCTTCGATGCGCCTCCTGCGCTCCATAATCATTTCGTCCTGCAACGCCTTGTGGTGGCGTGAGGGCGATGCTGTTGGGGAAGAGTTGGAGCGAGTCGGCATACCCGTGACGCCGAGCCCGAGTCCAGACGTCTTGGTCGTCGTCACGTCGTCCGAGGCGGAGCGGACCATACCTGATCCAACTGCTGTCACTGTTGCTGTTGGGGGCGTTGGCGTCGCAGTCTTGGAGCGGGTCTCTTCGTAGGCGGCATATTTGTGGAAGAAGGACGACGAGGAAGGCGAGACATCGCTGTTAGGCGTGGTGACGTCGCTTGCGGGCGACTTGAGCGGCGGCAGCGGCGTGATCGGCGTCGCAGGCGTTGATGCTTGATCGCAGGCATGGTCTGCCAGCTCGTCGAAGTCAAACTCCTCTAGGCAGTCAGCACATCGGGCCTTCGGAATGGGCTGATACGTGGTGTTTCGAAAGAGGCTCTTTCTTGCCCCTGACCAGGCAGCGTTGCCGCTGTCGCCGCTCTGGTCTGCGTCTGCGTCAGATGGGCCGCCGTAGTGGGTGTAGCGGGAGAGATTGGCCGTGATGTCAATGTGTTCATCGCCGTCCTCCTCTTCGTATTCGTCCTCATAGATGGTGGCGCGGCGGTCGACAAGGGATGAGCGGATGTTCCCAAGGCTGCCTCCCATCGTGGACACCGAGGGAGCTGCTAGACGATGCCCCTTGAAGACGGCGTTGCTGCTCTCTTGCGAGTACGATGAGCGATCATGACTCTGCGCTGCTACGTTCCGGCCTGAGTCACGCGAGTAAGACTCGCCGTAGCTCATGGCTGATACGCCGTCTGTGTCACTCGACCATTGCCTTCCGGTATCCGCAGACGATGAAATCGGTCGGTCATTGAGGTGATGATACCATCGCTCCGCTGCCCTGTCGCTCGATTCACCGCCACCCGAAGGCATGTCTGCATAGGCCGAGTGGCTCGATTCACCGCGGGTGTGGATGCGACTGCGACTACGACGCTCGTGTTCTTCCTGCTCCAGGCGACGTTGATGCTCAGCCCGTTGCTGTTCGTACCATTGCGCTTGACGGCGCTGGTGCTCCTCTTCCTCGGCATGCTGCTGTTGCTGCCTCCTCCACTCCCTCTCGTCATGCTCGACCTGAGCACGACGCTCCTCTTCCCACTGGAGGTGCGCTCGTCTGTCTGCCTCGTACTGCTCCCAAGCTATCCTGTCAGCCTCCTGCTGTTCCCAAGCCAATCTCTCATTCTCCTGCCTCTGCCACTCCCTCATACGGCGCGCCTCTACGTCTGCCTTGCGCCTGCTCGACTCGGCGAGGCGACGGGCGCCGAAGCCTGCCATGTTGGGCTGCTCGTCGTCATATGAGGATGAGGAGGCGTGGTCTTGCTGGTAGTGATAGTCGTCATGTTGATATTGATCTTGGTAATAGCCGCCGCCCTGTTGGTGGTAGCCATATCCAGCGACGCTCGAGTCGTGGTAGTAGGACGCCATGCTGGCGTGGTGATGGCGGAGGCCAGGATGCTACAGCGGACCGACCAATACAATGAAGGTCCTCCTGACAATACGAAGGGCGATGTTGCAAAGCAGATAGCGGAGGCCGTGCAGCGTGGAGCAATGCTGAGAGTGGATGGAGACAAGATTGCCTAGCAAGTACTTGCTTGTCGCTCAGTAGGGTGGATGGAGAAGAGTCGGGGATGCAAGACGAGTTGCGATAGAGGCGTCCAACGAAGCAAAAGGAACGTGATGGTGCAATGCGATGCTAATGCGAAAGGAGTGTGGTATTGGCGTACGATCTCTGTGGTCGAGATCGTGCCAAGAGAAACAGGGGCCTCGAGGAGAGGATGTCGATTGATGATGATGATGATGGTGGATCGATCTAGGGACCAGGAAGGATAGGGGCCAAGGTAGCGTCAAGGTAGGGTGGGCGTAGCGTGGGCACTAAGGGGTGGAGATGAAGACCATCAGGGGAAGATGAAAGGAGAGTAGGAGGAGAGAGTGAGACGGGGGGGGGGGGGGACAAGGAGCAGGGTGGGGCACAATTGAGTTTGCCGTGTGTCGACACGCACAAGATAGCATCGAAAAGGAAGACGGCGGCGGGCCGAGGGCTGGACTTGGATTTGGACTCGTCGGACAAGTCCACAGTGAGTGGCCTTGGCTTAGTGATGGTCGGTCAGACGAGCTCCCCTCTCTCTCGCCGGTCTCGCTGCGAACGAACGCCTTCGAGCCCTGACTTTCGTCTCGTCACGTCTCGTCTCTGTCGACGAGGATTCTGGCGAGGCTCGCGGGGGAGCCGCACTCCTATGGAGAAGGGATGGATGAAGCTTCGTCGGCGGCGGGAGAGCAGTCTGTGGCTCTCCATCTGCAGCGGCGTCCTCGGGACGAGAGAGCCACAGATGCACGCTCAGCTGCACGGAGGGGGATTCTAAAATTGAGATCGGAAGAAAGGGGTCAGCCACAGCGACAGTGCAAGAGAAGAAGCGCAATACGGTGGCTTGAAGCTTGCGAATGCCCGGCAAGCAGGGGCCGAGCTTCTGGGCGCGAGAGATGGGGACGAGAGCAACACGGACGATGGCGGCGGCCGCGACGCGATGTACGATGAGCGGGGTGAGTTACGGCGGGGTGGATATCAAGATCTGCTACACGTAGAACAGGCTCACACGCCAGAGAGAGGCGCAGTCGTAGCTCTACCAGCCGTCGAGCTTGCATCGAGATTGGACCGGCGCATCGGTCGGTGGTCAATCAAAGACGCCGGTGCGCGCGCTGTGCTGCCCACCCGAGCTGGTGGTGCGGCCCAATGGTGGTGCTCGCGGGGAAACCTTTGGGACATGATGCGCGCTCGCGATCACGGCTCGTAGCATGCGCTGATGGAGGAGTGGACCAGAGAAGTCGTGACGGTCATGACATTTCATCGTGATCGTGAGAGAAGCGTGGCGTGTTTCGAGCTTGGACATTGAGAGATGATCGACGATCGAAGAGCGAGACTGGGTGACTATATGGGAGACGGCGACTATTCTGGTCAGCTGAATGAGGGGATAGGGGTTGAACAGCAGACGAACAGTCAGGGCGTAATCGAGAGGTGACTATGGCGAGTTGGGGATTCGACGCCTTGGATCGAGACGTCGCTACTCAGGGAAGCGCGGCTGCGTCCTTGATACCGGCAACCATCCCCTCTGCCTCATGTACGGCCTTCTTCGCAGCGGACCCAAGATCGTGCAGGCCAGCATTGATGCCTTGTAGACCCGCATCCATACCCGCCGTGGCTGCTGCCTTGTCGTCAGCGCTGAGGAGGGACTTGTTGTTGTTGCTGTTGTTGGCGAGGATGCCGGCCACCGCGTGTTGACCCTCCTTCTGTACGGCCGAGACGTCGTGAGCTCCAGCCTTGGCGGCTTTCTTGCCTGCAGCGATTGCGGCTCCCATTGCTGCTTTGTCGCCTTCATTGATGGGCGACCTCTTGACATTATTGGCTGCGTGCTTGATGTCAGCCATGAGTCCACCCATCTCATGCTTAGCCTTCTTCTCGGCAGCAGAGAGATCGTGGGCGCCAGCTGTGGCTGCTTTCTTGCCCGCGGCAATAGCTGCTGCTGCCGCCGCCTTGTCGCCGTCATTGAAGAGTGACCTCTTGTTGTTGATGTGCCCGGTTCCAGAATGATAAGAGACCCATGCGCCGTCAAGGTGCGAGGAGACATTGGGGCTCAGCTGGCCTACGGCATCCTTCACTTTCTTGCCATTAGCATCCTGGTTGTCATCGAAGAGAAGGTCCCTGGTGATCATGTTGAACTGATTGCCGGCGTAGCCGGTCTGACGTTCGTAGACTGCGAGTCGGTCGTAGTAGCGATCATCGATGGTTACATGCGTCGAGGGGCTATTGATGTTCATGCCGAGGAGCCGACCCATGGTGCCGGACGAGTTAGAATTGTAGGCGAGGACATCCCATCCCATGGAGCGGGTGGCATGGTAGGTGGGAGAGCAGTACGAGACCAAGAAGGGCTGCCCAAGCGTGACGCGCTGCTGAGTAGTAGGGCGCAGGAGGCCTACGTTGAATGCATTGTTGCCAGAGTCGCACTTGATGTTCGAGTCGGGGACGTCCACGCCGCCGCTGCCGCTACCGGCGCCGCTGCCGGTGATGCTGTTGGGATCCTTGGCGGTCTGAAGAGGGCCATCCACTGCTTGCTCACTGTGAATCAATCCCTCGACAGAGGTGGTGACGTTGCTGAGATCATTGAAGGCGCCCTTGGAGCTGTCCTTGGTGCCACCGTTGGGAATAGGGGCGGCGGCGGTGAAGAGCGTGAGAGAAGCGCTGCTGAGCGCGAAGAGGACAAGGGTGCGGAAGGCCAGCATCGTGGCGGTGGCGAGTGGGATTGAGATTGAGTCTGGTAGTGTGGGGCTGAGGGGTTGATGAACCGAGGAGCTGAGGGGAGGGGGAAGGGGCGAGAATTCGTTTGTAGGGTAAGGAAAGGAAGAAAGGAGAGCGAGCCAGCCTACACTCCAAGTCACATTGCATTTCGTCAGCTTTGAGCGAGCGGCGAGGATGTCTGGCTGTCTGGCTGGCCAGACAAAGCGAGCGCGATGGCCGCCGCCGCTTCGTGATCTCTACGTGAGCGTCGGCTTGGCGAGCTTGACTCTCGTCCTGTCCGTGCACTTGCTTCCCGCCGCCCTTCATCTCGCTCAGTGTCAGCAAGCCCTGGCAACACGCTTTCACTCAATCGCTTGCTCCCACTCACGCGACTGACTGTCGAACAGTGACAAGATACCATCGAGTAATTCAATAATGATAGAGATGCAAAGCCGCGCAATGCTTCCTTGAGATAACCACCATGTGTGTCCGTGGCAATGTGGCAAACAGTGATTATGGATGGAGGGAGTGATACTCTACTTTCAGATCCATATCGGTCGCTGATGCCATTCGTTGCATGTTGAGGTTGTTCGTCGCCGTCATCTCATCGTCATAGCCGCCTAGATCTTCCCTCCCTCACAGCTAGTGCGACCCATCATCACTCGTCTCTTGACTCCCACCCGGAGTCCTTGCAGCCTTCTGCATCTTCTCAATAGTCGGCTTCGATCCTGGAGCGTCACCGCTCTCTGCCTTTCCCTTGCTTCCACTTTCCCCCTCGACCTCACCCCGGCCCTCATGATCAGCTTTCTGTGCCTCAAGCGCCTCGGCAGCCGCATTGAAAGGCACGCGTTGCTGTGAAGCTGACTTGGACGCTGCGGCTAGCTCTTGCTGGTGGACGGACTCCGTCAGGGAGTGAGTGCGACGACGTCGCGATGCGGATGAGGTGGCGGTGTCCGGTACGGCGCTGGACGACCCACCCTCATTTGTTGACGTCATGCCCATCTTGGCCACGTCCTGGCTCGAGACGCGGCTGTGCGTGCGACTCCTTCGTCCCCCGAAATACTCGCGGCTCGACCCACCATCAAGCGGCGTGGTGGGCGAGAAACCCATCGATCCCGATCTCGAGCGTGAATGTGTACGGCTGCGGGGCTTTGGCGAGCGCGGAGAAAGGGCAGCTCCTCCTCGAGACGCCCCAAGCAGACGAGCAGGGTTGAGGAAAGAGAAAATGGCCTCATAGTCTCCCTCATCGTTTTCCTCCTCATATGTGCTAGCTGCTGAGTCCCAGTCGCTGCTCCCTTCGCTTTCCTCCTGTTCTTCCTCTTCTTCGACCTCGCCCAAAGCTGCCGCTGCCTCTCGGTGCTCCTGCTTCTCGACCGTGGGATGTTCGCCACTGAATTCGGCCGCAGAAAGGGGACGCTCCGTGGAGCTAAGACGCCGTCGCTGCCCGTCTACACGGACAGAGCGCGAACTCCTCCACCCAAAGAGGCGCTCATCCGCCCATGCCAGCGGATGGGACAGAGCCTGACTTGCTGTTCCCCTCGCTCGAGCATCCTTGGCCTTCCACATGAATCCCTCCTCCCTCTCCTGGCTTGCACTCGGCGTCGAAGGCGGAGGGGTAGCCATCGACCCAGGCCCAACAACGCGCCACTGCATGGACTCAAAGTTCTCCCAAACCTGAGGGGCAAGCTCGTCGATCAAGGCCTGCATCTCCTCTTGGAGGCGTCGACGCATCTCCTGCAGGTCATTGATGACCTTCTGGTTGCCGGGGAGCAGGCTGACGAAGAGAGGCGGGAGACTCTTGATGATGTCCAGTGCCGTCTCGCTGATCTTCAGCGTCGAGTATGACATGGCCGGGATGATCATCATGGTATAGAGCGGAGTCAAGGCGAGCTGCTTCGTCGAAATATCAGGGCGCATCTTGCGGGCAAGGACCGTAGCAGCAGTGGCGTAGGTGAGGTAGAGGATGGGAGCTACGCCCATTGATACGAGCACCTTCCAGGTCCCAACGACATCGCGCCCTTTGAGCTTGACTTGGCTCGCAGCCAGGGCTTCACGGGCCTTGATGCGGGAAATGATCTTGGCAAGGACGATGATGGGCGAGTTGAGGATGACGCCGGGCAGGGCCATGGATCCCCACATGCCCAGTAGACCAAGTCGGTAGAAAAGGAGGCCGAGGGAGCGCCATCCTGCTCGGGTGGCTCGCTCTACTTGGTGGTCCTTGAGGCCGGCGTAGATGAGCATCTTGTTGTATCGAAGTACGTCGGATTTGAGCTTCTGGATGCGCTCGTCATCCTTGAACTTGAGGTAGCCGATGATGAATCGACGATTGAGCTCGACAACTTGAGGGAGTGTGAGGTGCTGGCCAGGAGGGGTATACAGGCGACGTGCTGCTTGGATGAGCATCAGCGTCTCGTAGTCAGGCGCGCGGACAGTGACCGACTTGAGGCCGTCGAAGACGAGATCCATCATGTCGCCCACGGCCTTGCGCTTGCCCTCTCCACCAGCCTCAAACAGCTTGACGAGCTCGTCAGACACTTCAAGAGGTGCTCCAAATTCGACTACGGCGCGAGAACGGAACTTGTCGGGGTGGAAGTAGGACAGCCCAACGGGGACGAGACGGACCTTGAGTCCAGGGTTGGCGGACATGGCACCCAGAGCCATGATGACAACTCCGGCTTTCAGCGGAAGCAGATCGGTGCGATCGTGGGAGCCGCCTTCAGGAAAGATACCCAGGCAGCCGCCCTGTGCCAACTTTTCGTAGACGCTGGCATACATCTCTGTCTGGTCGACGTAAGGCAGGCATTGGTACTCTGAGCCTACACCTTCGCCCTCCTTCTCGTCTTCCTCGGGCTGCGGACTGGCATCTTTCGCCTTCTTGCTGGGCGGCGCCTTCTTACCGCTGAGGGCACCTTTTGCGCGTTCGTCCTTCCATTCCTTCTTAATGCGAACTTCAGTGTCAGAGATGATCTCCACGACCTCCGCCGAGGCGTAGCCGGTCCATTTGGGGAGGACAATCTGACCCTTGGGTACAAGCTGCTTCTTGAAGTTGGTGCCGTGGCCTTGGACGAGGAGGGGATCGCCCGAAGGATGGTGAGAGACGACGCCTTTACCCGTCTTGGCTCCATCGGCTGCTCGGGTGACGGGAATGGATTGAAGGATCTTGGCTGCGCTGCCGATGAAGCGACGGCGGATACTCTTTTCGGCGATGAGAAAGGCGACTCTTCGGCCTGAGCCTCGCCTTACTTCTGAGGCAAGTAGCAGTGGGTCAAGGAACTGCGGGTGCGTGGGCAGAGCAATCAAAAAGTTAGTATCGTTACATCTTGGTGAGACCGGCCGCCCTTGATGCTCACTTGATTGTGATGCGGAGCTCCGATGAAGATGATGGGCCCCTCTTGAGGGATCCTCCACGCTCCTCGCGGCTGGATGCTTCGGAAGAAGACCTGGCGAGATAGAATTAAGGCGGAAAATCAGTACACTCGTGAGCCATCAAGCGCACCCGCATACTCACATTGATGATCAAGCGCCAGAACAGGAGGGCCAGATCGAAGGCGATGTTGGTCGGCATCAGTCTTTGTCTCGCGAGCAGTCTTGCGATAGTTCTCGCAAGGAGGCGGGGTGTGTAGCGGTGGAGAGGAAGAGGTAGTGACGAGAGGAAGAGGGCGAGGTCGTGAACTGTCCGTGCGACCCTCGGGGTATCTCTCTGATCTGCCCAGCGCGGATAGGTGGGTATCGGCCGGCGAAAGGCAGTAGGTGGTGAAGAAGGAGCAGCTGCGAGGGCTGCAGAGGCGACTTTGGCGCCGGACGGTCCACCAGACGTGGGTCCTGAGCCTACGTCGAGGGGAGGTGGCTTAGGGAGGTCGGGGTCTGCTTGACGCCTTTTTGCTAAGAGTGTCTGCTGGTGCTGTGCTCGCCTCGCGTCGAGAGTTGAGCGTGACGATGAGGGTTGCGTGTGTTGCGAAGGGTTCTCTGCGTTTGTTGGTTCGTGCAATGTCGTCAATGGTTGGTGAGAGGGGTCACTGGGCATAGCGTGGCGTGGCGTTATACCTTTGCTGTTTGGCGTACTGCAACGCAGGAGGCGTGGTGATGATGAGTAGGAGGCAACACTTTGCGATGGTGATCAATGAGGGTGAAGAAGGAAGCAAAAGAGTAAGGCAATGATTGCTCCGTGCCTAACTAGCTCAAGCTGCTGCCGCTCGACGCTCCTCGCCGCTGTTGGACGCGGCCTGAGCGACGCCAAAAGCTCGCGGCCCCACATTTTGATGGAGAAGCCACGTGGGGAACACGGCAGCGCATGAAGCTCAGCCCAGCCAGCCAATCTCGCCTCCACTCCTCGGATGAGAGCTGCATTCAGGGTTCAATGAGTGCAGCCAGGCAGCAAGCTGACCTGACCGATCAAGAGGCCGTCCTCACTCTAGAACCTATCTCTCATCCTTCTCTCCTCCTCATTTCCTCCAATACCCCTCACTCCTCACCTCCCATTGATGCGATTGCTCTCTTCGACTTCGGCCACCAAGCTCACGCCTCTCTTCCTTCTATCAACGCTACCTCTCCTCGCACGAAGCACTTCGTCTTTCGCACCAATGGCCTCGTCGTCTTCCTTGGGTCTGGGACAGCAGGCACCGCTGTCCGAGTTTGCCTCTCTCAACTTGAACCTCAGCGACTCTGAAAGCCCCAAAGAACCCAGCGAGCTCGCAGCACAAAGAATCGCAGACGCACAAGCAGTGAGCTGGCTGTGTGGCGCACTTCGAGGTCAAGAGTCACGCAGCTCATCCTCTCACTCGTCTCCCTCTCCCGCAGCTCTTCGGCGCCAAGCCCTCCCTCGAAATCTTCAAGCGTAGCTGGAGCCCCGATGCCATCTTCGAGGACCCCATCGCGCACTGCCGTGGATGGCGTCAGTACGCTGCGCAGTGGTGGGGCATGAAGGTTTTCAGCACGTCGGTCACTAAGGCATGGCGCATCACCAAGGATACGCCCCAGGAGATTCAGTTCGCACAGAAGCAGCACTACGGTATCAAGCGCTTTGGATTCGAGAAGACGATGATCTCGACTGTAACAATGAAGCTCGACAATGATGGGAGGATCATTCACTTCCAAGACGCGTGGGACGGCAAACCTATGCCTGGATTCTGGGCTACGGTGAGTGTGCGACGGATGGCGGCAGCACGAGTCCCTTCACCTGTTGAACCGAGCTCACCATCTTGTTCCTCGCCCGCAGCCCTTCCGTCGCGCCAATGCTCTCAGCCTGCCCTTCTTCATGAGTGCTCCAGCTCAGCATCCAGACCAAGGAGGCACCACTCAGGAGTCGCACAAGGAGCTCTGACTAGCCAAAAGAAAGGAGCGACAAGCTCGGTTGTAACGTGGCTTGCTTGCAATCTTCACGTACTTGACACGATCATTCACATCTTGTACCAGACGTTGATCTCCTTGGGCACTGCGCTAGCGTTGAAGCGGTTCGGCCCCTCGCCTGGCCATGACAAGCATCAAGATCGCACACAAAGCGTCAGCTCAGCCGCGGCCACTTGCATCTGAATCCCTTCATTCTAATATCAATGACTACGTTGGGGCGCAGAAGTGCAGGGTAGGCGATCGTAGGCGATTGGGCTATCCGTGGGAAGTGCCTTGGGCAAGAACCAGACGGTCATCAGAATCGAGATTGAGACGGACAAAGCGCATGGGGTACGAATGGGGAGAAAGAGAGGCAGCGCAGGTGGCTGCGACGGCGAGAGAAAGCCTGTGCAGCGGCATGACATCGAAAAGGTACGACCAATACTCAAGCGCACTCAAGCGGGCTGTTAAGTTGTCGCAAAGGCGCAGTGGGACGCAGCTGCAGCCCAAAACCGTGCATTCGTGCATTGAACAGATTGTGCGAGCGTCATGTGTAGGGTGGCAGCTCTTTGATGTCTATGATGAAAAGGTACTCTACTATAGTAGCGAAGACTACTCATCCCTCCCCCAGTATCCAGCCCTCTCGCTCACTTCTTGAACCAAACATCGACCTGCTTGGGCACAGTAGTTGCATTGAAGATTCGGGGCCACTGGCCTGCGCGCGAATGCACAAGACGCAAGAGAGAACGCCACGGTAGGCGTGATCAGCCTGGCAACTCGCGTGCCAACAAGGTCCTTTCGCCATGCTCACAATCATCCTTGTGACCCATAGCGTAGCAATTCGCGGGGTTCTGGGCGTCGAGGCAGAGAGCAAAGAAGGCACAGTCCTGGGGGCAGTGCCCCATGGGATCGGTGAGCCATCCGCCCATGCCGCAGGGCGTGGCTGTCGAAGCGCACTCGTAGGCATCGGTCAGTGTCCGGCTTTCAAGCACAGCTGTGGCGTCAGCACACACCGAACTCGAGCGTGTTGGGCGCCACCACGTTATAATCAGCCACGGTAACCTTCTGCATAACAGATCCTGGCTTGGTACACTGGTAGGCCCGCGTCCCTTTGCCCTCGTCCAGCATCTTGCTGTCGGCTGTGCAGTACTGTTCGCGCAATGAGGTCCAGGACCGATCAGCGACACTGATCGGTTTCTGCTTGGGCAAGAGGTAGAAGCTTGGTCAGAAGCATTCTGGTCACTGACGTGCTCGAACCCGTATTCCTTGGGCGAGCCTTTGTCGGGCTGCCAGCTGCAGGTGAAGTGAGCACCCTCGATGAGGGAGGCAAGGCTGAGCGTCAGGGAGAGGAGGGCGAGAAGAGAATGGAACATGGTGGTCAAGGCTGCCAGGTTGAGGATGAAGGGAGAGACGGAGAGGGGAAGCGGCACCGTTTCTTTATGACCTTCGCTGGTCGCCATAGCCAGCCTCTCACAAGCAGAAGGCACGAGCCCAATCACGCAAGAGCAGGCCGATGAGGCTCGCCGACCGACGATGGAGCAGATACCGAAGCTGCACCCTGGAGACCGACCGCAGAAGGGTGCTGCTCGCAAGCAATGGGCCAGGAGCCCGGTACGCATTGACCTTCAGTGCGGATGAAGCTTGCGGGAAGTGGATCCCGGCCAGGCGCGGCCGCCGCAGTACCGCACTCACTTTCGCGTTCCGCTGAATCCTCCGGCGGATCGACTCTTTCAAAGTGCTTGCCGCCTGCAAAGAAGGGCAATCTAACAGGGTCGGATTGTCACTCGCGGCAGTGCTTTCACATCCTACGTGCTCGTTGCAAGACTCCGCATGCAAAGCTGCTCACGGCCACCTTGTTGATTTCGTCGGATCAGGTGAGCGGTCAAGGTTGGTAGACGTCTATGATTGATGGTCTAGTATAGCATGAACAGCTGTTGCCTGGCAATCTGAATCTGCTCACCTTCTCGCCCGATATCGCCTCCTCACAACCTATACCAGATATCGACTCTCTTGGGCACCGTGCTGGTATTGAACGTGCCAGGCCACTGGCCTGAAGACGTAACACAAAGTCGCCAAGCAGAGAAAGATGGCATGGTCAGATCTTCGCATCGCTCGCCTCGCATTGCTTCAGAGCGACTGACAATCGTCTTAGCGAAATATTGTGTAACAGTTTGCTGGATTGTCCGGGTCGAGACAGATAGCGGCGAAGTGGTGGTGATCGGTGCAATAACCTCTCATATCCACGAGCCAGCCTCCGTGACCGCATGCCGTCACTGATAGCTCGGAGCGAATGCACTTCGTCAGCGTGACGCAGTCAAAGAGATGCTCGGGGAGGAGAAAGAGACTAGGCATGAGCACGAACCAAATTCGAGCGTATTTGGCGCCAACACCCCATAATCAGCCACCTTCACCGACTGCGCTGCCGCGCCAGGGCCGACGCAGTTGTATTGCACCATGTTCTCATTTGAATCAAGGACTTGACTGTCTGCCGTGCAGAACTGACGTCCTCTCAAAGCAGAGGTCAGCAGGCACGACCGTCTCTTGGGAAGCCGGACGAGGGGAAAAGTGCTGTAGATGGCACCACTGAGACTTACATGCTCAAAGCCGTAGTCCTTTGGCGAGCCAGACGTAGGCTGCCAATTACAGGTGAAGTGGTCGGCCTTGACGAACGAGGCGATATCAATGGCGACACAGAGAGAAAGGAGGCGATGCAGCATGGTGTGATCTGGGACGGACTTGCTCGGTTGAAGCCAAAGGAGCAGAGGTTGACAAGCTCAGCAACAGTACCTCACTGCTCCTCTCACGTCCTACCCTTATCGTCGGTCTCTTGCTGAGGGAGCACCTAAGCTCGAGCGCGCACGCAATGGCAGAGGGGTGAGGATAACCAAGCATCGAGCAGATGCGACAAATTTTTGTTTATCAGACTGGCTGGCCGGCCGTGAGTTGCTGCTGCTCGCAAGCTCTGGGTTGCGGGGCTTGTATCTGTCATTTCGACGACCTCGCAATGTGCGCTGCTTGGCGTGTTCAACTGGAGAGAGCGGCCGCAGCCTTGGCTTCAGTGTTCCCAATATTTCCGGCCGGCAGGCCCTCGTCTGAAGTGTTGTCACCCTAAGCTTGGCAGAGCGATCGGCGCAGAAGAAGAATCGTCCATTGCGAAGCTCAATAGGTTCCAAGGACCCCAGACAGTGCCGAGTGAAGGGATGGGCTGTACCACACGGCGTGGGCAATATCGATGGTCGAGAAAAGACTGCACTAGCGCACTCGAACCTCCTCAACGCGGTCCGCCGGCGCCGTTGCCGTTCGCCATCCGTGCCACCACCTTCAACCCCGCACTCGGCTAGCCGTCGTCCTGCACAACCATGCGGGGAAGGCGGTACGGTACGGCGAAGATCATGATTCAGAGCCGCTGCAATTACGGCTCTCGCCCCTCTGTGTACCATCCTTCACATCGTCGAGACTCGGCTACTGCGCTAGGGAAGCTCGTTCGCACCTATCCGAGCCGTCAATCCATCTTCTGTTTGCGCGGCTAGCGCTTTCGCATCGTGTGACAACCGCGATGATGACGGATGGCCTCTTGAGCTCAGAGAAGCCTTTAAATGGCGAATCCGATCTGGCTGGATACATCCATTACTCATCCGCATCCGCATCATTCAACAAGATGCTTCTCAGTCGAGCCTCGCTGCTGAGCCTTTTCCTACTACTTACTGGCGCTCGCGCCAACCCAGTCAGCATCGGCGAGTGGATCAGCTGTCTCTTTGGACCTACTCGTACCATCACGTAAGTCTCCTCCCGGCGCCCTGGTGCGTTGTGTCGATATCGTCTCTCATCGACGCCCCCCTCGCATCACAGGTACGACCAAAATATCTTCGTGCACACCTACTTCCCCCTCTCGAAGGACACCGGCGATTCTGTCGTCCGCATGATCTGCAGCGAGGGACCCTACGAGGACAAGATCATGCCGTCTTTTGTTGGCAGGGTGGAGGTCGAATGCGCCGCAGGGAGTGGTCTCGTCGAATTTGACTTCAGCAACGGGAAACGATCCGCCACGCCGGAGCTGCACGCCCGGGGAAAGTTCGTGGGCAACGGGGGAAATGACTATCATATCTCTTGTGTTTGAGATGGCCGGGGGAGGGAGGAAGGGGATGCCAAGGCGTAGAAGCGGAATGACAGCCGTATAGTGGCTTGCAAGGAAACGCCGAGGACGTGGAGGCAGGGCAGGATGGTAAGGTTCTCGCCACGGACAGAAAACGGTTTGGGAAGCCGCAGTACAGAACGCAGCCCCGAGCGCAGCTTGTTGGGCGCGTGAATGCCATCTTGCCGGCTTCGCAGCAGCAGCTCAGACAAGGCGAGGACGAAGAGCCGTACGTGAGGCGCCTACAAGGGTTGCGGGTCCGTTTGCGTCCACTTTGGCAGGTTACCGCCAATGAGGATCATCTTCGGTCCTTCAGGCACCTCACTCTTCGGTCTGCGATCCGGACGCTGCAGCGCAATTCTGGGCGACGAGGAAGAATAGGAACGCTTCTACTTCAGAATCGGTGGACCGAAGCAGGACGCAAGAAGGTCCATAAGACCGGTGGTCGAGCCGCACTGTTGAGTCTTCCACAACCGCCTGCAAGCCTACGCTAGACTCCAACATGCCCCCTGTCAAGATGCTCTCCTTCAGGCTCTACCTCTTCTTCATGCTGGCTTTCCTGAGTATCACTACCTTAGGCAGCTTCGACCTTGTCAAGCGACACTGCGGCACCTGTTACCATGACATCCTGTGAACTTCCCTTGTGTCGTTTTCGAAGAATTCGCTCAGCTCAGCTCACATCTCACCGCGTTATCTCCATCCACTCATGCAGCGTCGTCGGCCCTGTCAAGGAATGGCACGTCGATCCTCAACCCGGGCACTACGGATACGAGGGCGCCATATGCACGGGAAATGGGTACGGTTTCGGTCCCTGCAAGTTTAGGGTCCAAGGCGACTTCATTGCCCGAATCAACGTGCAGTGCACGAATGGAAAAGGTGGGCTGATCGACCTTGACTTCAAGAAGCAGGGATGCTCCGATGCGAGGCCGCAGGGGAAGATCAAGGGTCGATTCGATGGGCCGGTGAGTAGCGTGCCGCATGCTACCGCGTGAATACCCTTTGCTGACACGAGTTCCGGCTCCTCTCGTGCGCAGGTCGACAAGAAGAATGTTGGGTACATTGTTGAGTGCTGGTAGCTCGTTGTAGAGTGCTATGCCATCTTTACCGCCTTGCCTGGACTTTGCCTACTTGAAATTCACCAGTTACGAATGTCCGTTGTTTTTCGGACGACCAACGATGCTTGCATGGACAGTGCATTGCTACCTTCCCGCATATGCAACATCAACCTCGTCACATACCCTTCATCTCGTCCTCTCACATAATCTGCCCTACTACCTCGCAGCATTACCCGCTTGCGACCCTGGTACTTCTTCTCCTCCGGCAGCCAGCGCCTCTGCGTCCTGCTTGAGCCCGTGAGCGGCCTTTCGTCTGTAGACACTGCAGTCTCGCAGCCATCTTCGGTAGTCGCTGATGCTGTAGATCTTTTCGGCGTAGAAGTCTGGTACGGGGTTCTGCACTGATTGGCGGCTGAGGAAGAGTCAGGAGGAGGAGGCAAAAAGGTACGATGGGTGAAGAGCCTGTCAGTAATCTTGACGGATCTCTGGATCTCTGACACCTGGCTACCTTCGCCGCCCTCGCGAGCCCCGCCACTCTGCCGCCGCTACTCACCTCGGGTCCACGCGATTACGCTTGACATGCTCGTAGAACTCAGCATCCCTCTGCTGCATAGCCTTGAGCTGATTGCGATGCGACAAGCTCCACACACCGCTACCGATGAGGGGTCCCACGAGATATCCCGCGAAGGCCGAGGCCATGGTGGCTCCTACGGCCAGGATGGCCGGGTCGACGCCGAAGACGGGCTGGAGCGGATTGATCTCCGAGGTCAAGAAGAAGGAGCCGGACGCAGTGAGAGAGAGGAGAATGGTGGGGTACTGCGTAAAGAGGCCGAACCTTGCGCGCTTCTTGCGCAGGGCAAAGTAGTCGGACCATCGAAGGCGTTGGGCTTCAGCCGAGGGCGAAGGAGAGGACGAGGACGCCGCTGCTGGAGAATTTGAGGTGGCATATGTGCGCAAGGAAGGGACCAGCATAGACGGAGCAGCAAGACGCCTCGCTGTTGTGGTTGCGAGAAGTCTTGATGAGCTAGCGATGGCCATCTTGATCGTGGTAGAGTGATGGAGGTGAGATGTCAAGCTGAGAAGGCGGCTTCGCGCAGGGATCACCTTGAATTCATTGCCGCCTCCGCCCGCCGACCACCGTGGAGCAAGTAAGGCCTCGGACGGAACGGGGGATGCCCTGCCGTCGTCAGCTCGGGCCCCGCTGCTCAGCCAGCCCGCGCCGTCACTTGGCTGGCGCAGGATCGAGCGAGCGAGCGAGTGACGACGACGAGCAGCGACGACCGACTGACTCTGTCTTGGCCTTTTCCATCTTGATCCCCAACCACCACGACCATCCTCGCAACCTCATCTCAGAGCGCCCGCACCACGAACTTCAGCGCACAGCGTCTGTCGACAACAACAGCAGCACCACCGATACTACTTGTGCGCCGCCTCTCTGCCTACTACCGCCCATCAGCAACAGCATCAACACCAGCGTCACCAGCTAGCCAGCCAGCCTCCTCGCTGCTACAAGTCGACATCTTTTGCTCTTGTCGACTCGAACTTGCTCCCGTACAGTCACTGGCCTAGCCTTGCCCACTTCCCTCCCATCCTCCTATCTCCACACTCTCGTCGCCATGTCATCCTCAGGCCCTGCGCAAGGCCAAAGCGAGGCGCAATGGAGGGCCGAGATCATGAAGAATGTCAAGCGAGACGAGCGACCGCAGACGGACGACGTCCTCAAGACAAAAGGTAACGACTTCGAAGATTTCTACCTCAAGCGCGAACTTCTCATGGGCATCTTCGAAGCTGGGTTCGAGAAGCCCTCGCCCATCCAAGAAGAAGCCATCCCCATTGCCCTCACCGGTCGAGACATCCTTGCACGAGCAAAGAACGGCACAGGAAAGACGGCAGCATATGTCATCCCATCTCTCGAGCGACTCAACACCAAGAAGAACAAGATCCAAGCTGTTCTCCTCGTTCCCACTCGTGAGCTCGCTCTGCAGACTTCACAAGTGGCCAAGACATTAGGCAAGCACTTGGGCGTGGAGATCATGGTCACGACGGGGGGTACGACGCTCAAGGATGATATCCTCAGACTGAGCCAGACGGTTCACATCCTCGTTGGCACACCCGGCAGAATTCTCGACTTGGCGGGCAAGGGTGTTGCCGACCTGAGTCAGTGCACCAATTTCGTCATGGACGAAGCCGACAAGCTCCTCTCCCCCGAGTTCACCCCTGTCATGGAGCAGCTGCTTAGCTTCCTCCCCAAGGAGAGGCAAGTCATGCTCTTCAGCGCCACCTTTCCTCTTATCGTCAAAGACTTCAAAGACAAACACATGGTCAAGCCCTACGAAATCAACCTGATGGACGAGCTTACCCTGCGCGGTGTCACGCAATACTATGCATTCGTCGAAGAGAGACAAAAAGTGCACTGCCTCAACACGCTCTTCTCGCGCTTGCAGATCAACCAATCTATCATCTTCTGTAACTCGACAAATCGCGTCGAGCTCCTCGCAAAGAAGATCACGGAGTTGGGCTACTCTTGCTTCTACTCGCATGCAAAGATGCTTCAAGCACACCGCAATCGCGTCTTCCACGACTTCCGCAACGGGGCGTGCCGCAATTTGGTCTGCTCTGACTTGCTCACTAGAGGTATCGACATCCAGGCCGTCAACGTAGTCATCAACTTCGACTTCCCAAAGAATGCAGAGACGTACCTGCACCGTATTGGTCGTTCAGGTCGATTCGGTCACTTGGGTCTCGCGATCAACCTCATCACGTACGAGGATCGATTCCATCTGTTCAACATTGAGAGGGAGCTGGGCTGCGATATCGGCCCCATCCCGTCGACAGTTGACAAGAGGCTGTACGTTGCGCCGTCACTCATGGGTGACCAGTCGCAGCCGCAGCAGCAGAAGGGTAATGGCGCTGGTGCAGGGCCGGCCAATGGACACCAGGCGGGTATGCCCATGGTGCCGCCGACTCAAGCTGTAATGCACGCCAGCGCTATCCCGCAGAATGAGAACTTCACCCAGAGCGTACCTCACCGTGGTGGGCGACGACCGCAGCAGGGGCCGCAAGGAGGTCAAGCAGGGTCGCCGGCCGCTGCTCGCTCGTAGAGAGCTCGACACGACAACACGGCTTCTTCACTCAGGCTCGCTCTCTGCAACGACTCGAACCCACTACCACGCCGTGAGCTCAAGCTAAGCCAATCGTCTCCTGTGTTTCTGCTCCGTCAAGTTCTCATCCTCGCGCTTCGTTCGACTCTGCCAACCTCATCAGAGTATCGAGCGAGAGACAATCAGGGGGCGCCAATGTAAAGCCCCTGTCCCTCGCCATGCTCCCCAACACTTCAATCACCACGACCGCCTTTGTCGCGGCTATCAGCACTCAACTCAACAGTCGCCGCTTTCAACTCAGCTTCATCATGCGGTACTCTACTCGCCCTACGCTCCTTCCACCATGCGACCACGCGAAACCATCATTGGCAGATGGGCGAGAACGACACTCTATCGCCATGGCTCTCTCGCCCAATACGCCACCCGCCCCTACCTTCTCCCGATGCGTCACCGCTCGCCCCGCCTCAACCTCTCCTCGGCCCACCCACGACCTTCCTGCGAAGGCGCTGTTCCAGCTTGCGCCCAGCAGACCCGCGCATCACAACGCTGAGCTGGCACCGCCACCAGGCCAATCACACTCTGGTCCTTACTTTCACACCCCTTCGAACGTCTCCTTATTGCCTTGCAGGCAAAGCCTTCCGAAAGACTCGCTCCTGCGAGTTCTCCTACCGCACCCTCCGAAGCTAGATCCATCAACTGATCTGGCATCGCTCCCTCCAGCCCATCCTCCCTCCCGCACCCGAGCATTCAACTGCTTTTGCTCTTCACCCTGACCCCTACCCCTTCCCAACCTCCCCATACTCACCCCCCTCTCGTCGGCATCGAGAGCAAGCCGAGTCGTTCCTTGCGGCGTCTTCGTTGCATCACCAATTCCCCTCGAAAAGCCACCTATTCCACCCTCCGCGTTTGACTCCTCGGCGAACGATGACTACACGACGACGACGACTTCTACTTCGCAGCCTTCTCACACTTGCTACCTGTACTATAGCTCCCTCATCCCGATCTTGACTTCTCTCAAGTCGTCGTCGCCGTTGTTCATTGCTTTAGCTGGTGGGAGCGCCTGGCCTGACAGGCAGGAGCGAGTGGGGAAAGGGGCGACAGAGAGCCAGCGTCGTGTTGCAATGTGATCCCGGCCACAAGGCTGAAACTTGATGCCATCATTTGGGCTTGACGGCTGGCGAGTGAAGGCAAAGCCACAACATTCTTTGCAAAGCGAGTGGATCATGGAGAAAGCGTGGTAAAGCTCACCGGACCCAGAACACGGCCTCGTGTGCAACCTTGTTCCTTGGCGAGGCGGCCGGGGAAAAAAGCGAAGTAGAGCCCCACGTTGCCTTTGATCGACGTGCATATCGAGGACAAGAAAGCAAGCAAGTCGACGAAAGAGGGCAGCAAGAGCCAAGGCGATCAAGACGACACGGGATGTGCAAGCTCTCGCTTTCTGAGCGGACATGATGCTGAAGCAAGCGATGAGACTGCCGGAGCTGGTGCCGCCGGCAGAAGGGAAGGGGCCCGATCACCCTTGTTGAAGCAGCGAGGAAGGGGTTGCGACAGGAGGCAAGACCCATCGCTCTTCTCTCTGCTCTTCTTGAATGTACCATCATCTATCCTAAACGTTCTGGACACGCATTTCTGTGTATAGCATGGTTCGCTTCAACTGCCTTACGCTCTTCTCTCTCCTTGCAGCCACGACGGCTTTTGCGGTCAAGACGCCCGTGTACCTCATTCGCCATGGGGAGAAGCCCGATGATGGAGGTAGTGAGTTGACCTCCAGGACGATCGTTAACGAGCAGAGCAATCAACTGAAGTAAAGCTATGCACCACTAGACGGCCTCTCAGCTCAGGGCGAGGACAGAGCGCAGTGCCTTCGGAGTGTTTTCGGGGCCAGCTCAAAGTACAACATCGGGCTCATCATGGCTCAAGACTACAAAGTGAGTTAGAGAGGCCGTCGCAGCCTCCCTGGCATGAAAATTCGATGCTCAACACTCGTCTCACCACTCTCTCGCAGTCCAATGGGAAACGCCGCCGCCCCTACGATACAGTCACTCCCCTTGCGTCAGATCTTGGCCTCACAGTAGATCACCACTGCGACCGAGACGATGCAGATTGCGTTCACGACACAATCAAGAGCTTCGGCGACAACGGCGGGCAGGGGAGCGTCTTGGTCTGCTGGGAGCACGACGCTCTCAGTGATATCTCAAAGGCATTGGGAGACGAGTTTGACTACCCCGACGATGTTTACAATCTGATTTATGAGATCGTGGACAAGCAGTTGACGACAGATTCGCCGTATAGCGAGGAATGCCCCGGTTTAGACTAGAGTAGAGCGGGAAGGACGAGGCGCGTACGCCAGAATGGCTCTTCTGCGGATACGGAGCTTCACTGAAGCTAGATGCAATGGAAGCTACTGCAGTGTGCTGCGTACTAGTGAGCATCGAGCGTGATGTTGGCCTTGTCGTGATGCTGCATTCGAGACGATCATCCTTTGCTTGCTCGTGCTCGCAGACCGGGCCGTTGTCGCGAGCTCTATTTGCGGGCGTCATGTGCTGCTCCGCCGCTCCGCCCTGGACTGGGCGCGAGTGGGCGTCGTCGAAGCCGCCCTAGCTCTCGAGCCAGGCGTTGAGGGAGCAGGGCAATGAGTGGGCGCGAGGCCAGTGTTTCGCGACGCGGACGAGGGCGGACAGTGTGCGTGAGAGGAGACGAGAGAGAGAGGGACCTCGCAGCGAGAGATGGGCGTAGGACGAGGTGTTGCGTTGCTCTCGGGGACGGGTTGTGAATTCTCTCCCCCCGTATCTCACCTCCCTTCATCAACGCAACTGCGACCAAGACATCGTCGTGATCGAGGACAGTGCGGTCTAGCGAGGCAGTTGGACCCCGTTCGCAACCAGGTCTCGCCATCACCGCCGGCCGTAGCAGCCGCCTCAAACCCCCCCCCCCGCGTTCCCCCAATTTCCAAGCTGCGCTTGGACCCCCTTGATCTCCCATCCCCACTTCACCCTCACGTCGCCTCGCATCGCCTCGCAGCGACGTCTATCAGCGGTCTCATCACGCCACGCCACGCCACGCCACGCCACAAGCAAAGGTACCACTTTGCCGGCTCAATCTAAGGCTGAGGTTACGTCTCGCCCGCCACGCCCGCGTACACGGGACATCTCTGCAAACCCTGTCGCCGCTGCTAGGGCGTAGGGCGACGCAGCCTATCTCTCTAGCTTCGGCCTCGGATTGTATCTCAGGCCTTCTCTCCATCGATCATCACCCTCCAACGACACACCTTCGAGCACCATGTCCGCATACAGAGGCGGGCCCCGCGTCTCATCGATTGGGTCGCCTGGTCCTCTTCGTGCAACCTCCCCAAGCCCAAACGACGTGAGCAACGGAAGCAATGGCAACGCAGGCGCTGCTAGCAGTAGCAACAGCAGCTCGACCTCTGTCAAAGTCGGTGAGTCCTCTGGGCTGGCGCAGCGTGAGATATCGTCGTCGTCTGACTCACTCTGTCTTCGCTCGCAGCCGTCCGAGTGAGACCTTTGAATCCCCACGACGCCGCGACGATCCCTCCTCGATGGCAGCGAAGCGTCCTCGCACCCATCTCATCCAACAGCGTCCAAGTTGAAGCATCGAGTGGCCCGCCTCCCTCTGGCGATGCAGCAGGGCCTCCCGCAGCTGGTGCGGCTCACAAGCGACAGCAATTCACCTATGACCGCGTTCTGGGCCCGCACGAGGGACAAGAGGATGTCTATGCGGCCGTCCAGCCAATGGTCTCTCGCTTTCTTGAGGGGTTCAATGTGACTGTCCTAGCCTACGGGCAGACAAGCTCGGGCAAGTCATATACCATGGGCACATCAGCTGCGGACGTCGACTTTGAGAGCCTCGTAGCAGGCAGAAGGCCTGATCCACAGGTGGGCATCATTCCGAGGGCCGTCGCAGAGGTCTTTACGCAGATGAAGCAAATGCAGGCTAGGAACAATGGAGTGCAGTTCACCGCAAAGGTGTGAGTACGCTTGTGAGAGTTCCGACAAAGTGAGCTCAGTTGACGTTGCTCCCCTTTTGCCTCCGCAGCTCCTTCATTGAAATCTACAATGAAGAGCTCATCGATCTGCTCAATGAGACAGAGGGAGACATGCGACCCCTCGTCCAGATCAGAGAAGACAAGGCGGGCCATATCCTCTGGAGCGGCCTACGCGAGCCCAAGGTGCAAGGCGTCACCGATGTCATGAACCTTCTCTTGCAGGGCTCCTCTATCCGTCGCACAAATGAGACGGACATGAATGCTCAATCGTCTCGCTCTCACGCCATCTTCTCCCTCACTTTGACGCAACAAAAGTTCGTTGGCTCTGGTCCTGCCCCGCCTCCAAGTGCTTTCAATGTTGGCGGCGCTGGCAGTGCGAGCGGCCGCACTACCCCGGGAGCAGGTGGGAGAACAACTCCGACAGGCCGTCCCAGTATGTCGGGTCTGCCTCGTCCTACATCGATGCTTCCGCAACCACGCAGTCATACCCCGTCGGCGCTGTCTGGTCGTGCTTCTTCAGCTTCCTTGCGACCTGCAAGCGTTCAAGGCCGCAGCGCAAGTCCCGCTGTTGGAGCCAGCGGCAACGCCTCGAGCAACGTCTTTTCGACGACGGACACCACGCAGGATGGCGACTGGGTGACGATCACGAGCAAATTCCACTTCGTCGACCTGGCTGGATCAGAGCGTCTGAAGCGCACCGCTGCTCTCGGAGAGCGAGCAAAAGAGGGCATTTCCATCAATGCCGGCCTTCACGCCCTTGGAAATGTGATCTCTGCGCTAGGAGACCCAGTCAAGGCCAAGCGTACCACACACATCCCGTACCGAGACTCGAAGCTTACTCGACTGCTGCAAGACAGCTTGGGAGGCAACGCAGTGACGATGATGATTGCCTGCGTCGCACCCACCGAGTACAACGTCGGCGAGACGATCAATACCCTACAATACGCCAATCGTGCTCGCAACATCAAGAACAAGGCTGAGCGCAACGAGGTCGAGGTCGGATGGGATGACGTCGAGCATCTTCGCGCTACTGTGCTCAGGCTGCGCAAGCAAGTCGCCGTACTGCGTGGGTTCAAGGGAGGAGAAGCAGATGCCGCTTCTCTGCAGGCAATGGACAGCGAGATCCTCCAGTGGCAGGGCAAGTATACCGAAGCCAGCCAGCGCGTCTCGCAGCTGACGGCGGACCTCACCAAGCTGCAGCAAGCCACCAAGGGTAAGAAAGCTGCAGGCGATGACGATGCCGACTTCCTAGCAGCCGCAGAGCCCATCATCGTCGAGTATGAAAAGACGCTCGATGCGCTTGAGGGTCGACTCAATCTTATGAAGGCAGCCCTTAGCCACTCAGAGGATATCATCAACGAGCAGGAGGGGCGTATCTCAGATCAGGAGGAGCGCATGCTCAACGCAGAGCAGCAACTCGAGTCGCGCGAGTCCACCATCGTCGAGCTTCAGGCACGACTGGCTAAGGTACAAGACCGCGAGTCCACGGCGGAAGGGTACGCTCGCGACCTCGAGACCAGGCTGCAGACGCTGGACAGCAAAGGCGACTCGGCGTCTGAGCAATCGGCTGAGCTGCGACGAGAGGTTTCGAGGCTGCGAGAAGCAGAGGGGAAGCAGGAAATCTACATCAAAGAGCTGGAGGACCGGCTGGCCAAGGCCGACGCTTCCAGTGCGACTCTGGCTGCTCAGGTTGAGCGTCTCGAGCACGACGTGCAGAGGCGCGACGAGGCGTACAAGGAGCTGCAAGAGCGCCTGGAAATGCTAGACAACGGAGATCAGACAAAGGCCCTCGTCGAAGACTATCAGCGCAGCGAGCAGTCCAATCTGGAGCTGCGCGCCCAGCTCGAAGAACTGAAGGACGAGCGAGATGCTGCTGTCAAAGAGAGGGGCAAGCTGCACGATGCCGCGGCAGCGCATGAGCTCCATCGCGGCGACTTGGAGGATCGCATCCGCGAGCTCGAGGCAAAATCTGTGCCCGCGTCTTCCACAGACGATTCTTCCACGTCGAGAGATGCTGCGCTCGGTGCGGCAGGGGGCATCGTTGCCGGCGCCGGCGCTGGAGCTCTCGCTGCGACTGCCCACAACGGCAGCAATGGCACGGACGATGCTCTGCAGGCTGAGCTAGAGTCGCTGCGACGGCAGGTTGAAGCCTCAAGGAACGAAGAGATGCAAGCCAAGGCTCAGGTCGAAGCTATCAACGCCAAATATCAGGAGACGCTGACAGAGATGCACACGCTCAATCTTCAGCTCTCTGAGGCGAAGCTCATGGGCGGCTCGACCGGAATGACGCCCAAGCTGAAGAATGCCGAGTTTGGTACTGAGCCCGAGGAGGAGCTCGAGGAGTTAGCGAACACGTCATCGCCGTCAACGAGCAAACGCGGCAGCCTTCAAATGACGCGGAGGATGTCTGGCCAGCTTACCAGCCCCGTCCGTAACGTTGGGGAGCGCGAGCGCACCTCTTCGAACGCAGACGAGCAGCGTCGATTGCAGCGGAGGTCCTCGGGCTCTTTTTTTGGGTACAACCCGCAGCAGGGAGGCCTCGACTCGCCCTCGAGGCGGGAACGACCGCGCTCCTTGTCGCAGCAATCTTTGTCGCAGGAGTTGTTGCCGGCGCTCTCTGGAGGCCATCGTCCCCTCTCGCTCTCGACGAGTGTGGGCGTGCCAGCGCTCTCAACGCCAAGTCAAGCGCCCGCACCGGGAGCCACGACAAGCTCGAACGCAGCTGGGGACAGTTCTTTACTGTCGCCATCTCGATCATCGACCGCTATCGCCAGATCGCTTTCGGCGGGGCCGTCGACGCCCACAACGCCCACGGCGAGCTCTGACCGCAACAAGATTAACATGCTGGAGAAGGGCATCCTTTCGCTGCAGGAAGCGCTCAAGAAGAGGGACGCAGAGATTGCCCAGCTGGAGGCCACCTTCCGAGAGAACAGCAACAACAGTCAGACTCTACGAGCGCCTCTTGCCAACATCAACACCGCTGCCCCTACTCCGGCGAGCGAGCGCGATGAGTTCATCGATGCAGTGAGCCCCTCAACCTCTCAATCTCACCTGTCCGTCTATGATACCCCGGGACCGCCCACGCCTAGCGGAGACGCAACCTTGACGGCAGCCTCGCCCTTGACTCCCTTGTCCGAGGGCGAATTTGAGACGGTGAAGCAGTTGATCGCCGAGAGTCAAGCCCAGCATGGCGGTGACGTCGATGGCAACTATGCCAGTCGCCTCGACTCGCTCATTCGGTCCATGGCCCGCAAGGAACAAGGCCATCGAGAACGCTCCGAGTCCCTCGCTGCGCATTTGCAAGCCGAGCAGGCACAGCGCGAGGCAGCTGAGAAGCGAGCGCAGGAGCTCGCGCGCGAGATTGAGGAGTTGCACTCTCGAAGCAAGTCAACTGACAGGGAACCCGGTCTGAGCACGCCCAAGGCTTCAACGCGGGCTTCTGCTGCGGATCAAGAGCTTGTCACCGAAGAGCTTCAGCAGCTGCGCCGAGATCTCGAGTCGGTGCGTGGAGAGCTCACGCAGCGCGAAAAGGCCTTCGAGATTCAGCTGCAGAGCGTGAGGAACGAGCAAGCCGAAGCGCTCACTCGTGCAGGCGACAAGGGCGACTCGGACAAGGACCGTCAGCACAGCGAAGCTCTCGCGCGTCTAGTCGCTGAGCATCAAGCTGCCACTGCTCAGGCTATGGAGGAACACCAGGCCTCCATCGATGCCCTCATTGCTGGTCACTCGAAGAATATGGAGTCGCGCGATGCCAGCCACGCCACCGCCAAAGGGAAGCTCGATGAGGCCAACGCAGCATTGGAGGCGCTCCGTAACGATCACGCTGCTACGCTCGAAGCGATCCAGGGCGAGCATGCACGCAAGACGGCTTCGCTGCTGGCAGAGAAAGACGAAGCGCATCAAGTCCTCGTCGACAGCTATGAGAGCAGGCTCGCAGAGCTAGGCCAGCATCATGACGATGAGCTCGTACGCCTACACGATGAGCATGAGTCTACCCTCAGCAACCACAAAACCGAGGCCGCAGCGGCTCTCGCATCAGCGACGGCTGCGGCCGCAGCAACGGCAGCAGTGAACACGTCAGGCGAAGACGACGAGGTCGAGCAGCTCAAGAACACGCATGAGAAGGCCATTTCTGAGCTGCAATCTCGCCTCGATGCGGACCGACAGCAAGCCCTCGCTGACGCCCATGCTGCGTACACCAATGAGAAGCAGCGAGTTGCCGACGAGCACGAGGCGCGTATCGCCGATCTCCAGCGGCAACATACGCAGAGCATGGACCAAGTCACCAAGCGTCTCTCAACCTTCCGCGACGTCCACGGCGAGATGGTCGACGTCGACGCACTTCGCCTAGATCTGTCTGAGACCAGCGATGCCCTCGTCACGCTCGAGGATGCTCTCACCAGCGTTACATCCGAGCGCGACGAGCTCGCTGCTCAGGTGCAGAAGCTGGAAGCCGCACACAACTCTGATGCCCGCGCAGAGGCTGAGAGCTTGCGTCGAGAGCTAGAGAATCACAAGCTGTCCGTGGCCAATCTCAAGACAGAATTACTTCGTGCAAAGAGCGAGATTCAGCAATTGAGCGAGGAGCGCATAGACGGTGGCCGTACTTCACGCGACGGGCACGTCGAGACGGGTGGCAATGCCGGCCATTTCCCTTCGTCAATGGGTGGCACCATCAACGGTGGCAGCTTTCGCGGCAGCAAGGGCGCTCTCCCGCCTCCTACGCCCCCGCCAAGTATGCCAGTACCTCCGACACCAAGCGGTCAGCGCGCATCTCTCGGCGCTCGGGCGTCCCTCTCATCTCTGATGACTCGCTCCGACTCACCAGATCAAGCTCGTTCTTCCGGAACAACCAGCGGTGGCGGACACGGTGGCCCGTCCCTCTCGCGCTCCTCATCCGCCACGTCCATGTACACGCAAACGAACAGCATCAACGGCATGACCAACTCAGACGCAAAGAAGCTTCTCGCTGAGCAGTCTGAAGAGCTCAAAAGCCTTGCCAAGCAGCTCGCGCACTGCGAGGCCGACCTACAAGCCAACATCGACCTCGTCTCCACCCTCGAGGCCGCCCTCAACGACAGCGAGCGTAACCTGCGCAAGTCGCGCGTGCAGCTCACCGAGGTAGGCAGGGAGCGTGATCGCTACTCGAGCCAAGCAGATGATTTGCGTCAGCAATTGCAGGCGGCGCAGAAGGAGGTGGACAGCGTGAGGAATAGCGTCATTCTGGAGAAGCAGGAGTTCGAGCAAAAGATTTCAAAGTTGCACAAGGAGAAGGCCGCTAAGGAATTGGAGGCGAGGATGGAGGAGATGAACAGGAGGAAGAGCAGCCGCTTCCTTTGCATGTGAGGCGGCTACGGCCTGCTGCCCTGTCCTTGTTGCTGGTCACTCTGCCCCATCCTTTGCTCGTGTGAGTATATATTGCGCCACCTCGCGCTCCGTCTCAAGTTACCCCGTCGTCCTTCTTTCTCTTCTTTCTTTCTTGCTTTTTTTCAATGTCATTGACTCGATGAGATGGGCGCGAGACGACCGAGCGTGCGAGCGTGAGGGCAATGTGAAGGCGCCCGACGACAAAAGATCGATCGTAGCAGTGAGGCCGGGCCCTTGACCCTTCACACGCCCGTGATTGCTGCCGCACAACAATGTGGGGAGTATGCGGTCTGCTTCTGAGCTCGTCCCTGTTCCTTTTCCTCCGCACCATCGCAGCACCGTGCGTTCACCCGCAGGCATGGTCACTCTGATCGCTATCATATGCGTTGCGGTCGCCCTCAGCGTTCCTCTGCTCAGCCTCGTCACGGCGGCCAAGCGCGTCCCCAGCCGGATCAAAAGAGGCACACCTTGCGTCGACGAGTACCACGTCGTGGAGTGAGTCGCCGACTGTCCTTTCGATGGAATGACCCACTGACTCTGACTGGGCGTATCGCTGCCGGCTGCGGCCCCCTCGACGCCTGCAGACTCAAAGGCACAGTCTCAAGCTGGTTCTGGATACCTCCCGCCGGCCGGCTCGACTTCGTCGGTACCTTTTGCTCCAATGACTTTGGCGTCGGACCTGGTAATTATCTGCTCTCTACCTCTCTACAGTAGTTCCCTCTCTCTACTTGCGCCCTCGCTCATAATGCCTTTCCCGCACAGGGTCGAGCAAAGTCTCTGGCAACTTTGAGGGCAAACTAGAGGTCATTTGCAACGGTAAGGGGAGCGGAGAGATCAATTTTGTCTTTGTCGCCCACGGCAGTAGCACGGCTTCTCCTAATGGTACAATTGGCGACTTTGGGTCGGAAGACCCATCGGGCAATGTTGGGTATGGCTTGACATGCGGCGGTGACTGATGAGCAGCTTCAAAGCTCTGTATTTGTAGGGACTTGAGGTCGCTGCCTTCTGCTAGTCCATATGCTCATCACCGACATCGCTTGCCTCTGTAGTGAGCATCGTGAGCGCGAGCGAACGAGTAGCCAAAGCGGATATCCGCAGTCCTCGCTGACGACTTCCCGCGATAGCAATAGTGCCGAGCCCCTGACCCTTTTCAAGCCTTTCTCACCGATTGTTGCCCATCTGTCGGCGAAAGACACCTTGTTCTGCCTCTCAATGCCGCACCATCATCATGCTCACGACTCAGCCCATCTTCCCTGCCTTTGCGTCCCTCGCCATGCTCGGCATCCTCCTACCCTGCGCCTTCAGCGCGTTGCTCACCATTGCCTCGGCTACAGACGCCCTCAAAAGAGGAACTCCGTGCCTCGACGAGTACCACGTTCTCGAGTGAGATGAGCACGCCCTGTTGCATGCCTCTGACATCGATCTGACAGATATTCACCCTTTGTAGGATCAACGGCACCGTCGTCAGCTGGTTCTGGGATCCTCCAGCCGGCCAAACTGAAGTCATCGGTAGCTACTGCAGTGAATGGTTCGGCGTCGGGCCTGGTACGTTGAGGCCTGAATCTTCCCACTCTCTCGTGCGTTCCCTCACGCCGACCGGTCGGCTCATGTCTCTCTCTTCTCCTCGCACCCCTCCGCACCAGGCACAAGCAAAGTATCTGGTAACTTCCAAGGCGTCCTGCAGGTCCTCTGCAAGGGCAAGGGCAGCGGCAAGATTGACTTCGTCTTCGTTGCACACGGGTCGAGCACTGCGGCATCTAATCAGACCGTGGGAGACTTCAAGCCGGAAGATCCCTCGGGCAATGTGGGGTATTGGCTGACCTGCGGGGGGACGTGAGGAGTCGTTCTCGTTCGGGTCGTTTGCTACTGGTTGCTGCGTCACCTGTGCATTTGATCCGCTCGCCAAAGATTCTTGTTCCCATTTGCTGGAGCTACGGAGTGTGGACTAGCGAGGCGACCTTGAGGCTGATCCGCAGCTGCTAGCGAAGCCGGGACCCAGCAGTAGCTCCGCACAAGGTCGTGACCCTCAACGAGGGCCGTTCCGCAGCGCAAGTAGGGTACTTTAACCCCGGGGCTCACCAAATTGGAAGCCTTTCGCTGCTAAGCACATCTCCATCCACACCCACTCCTGAACATGACGCTTCTGATTCTCTTCAAGGCCTTGGCCATCGCCCTCTTCGGGCTCGTCTTCACATTGAGCAGCGTTGTCCTCGCTACCGTCACGGTCAATCACCGCTCTCTCGTCAATAGCCACACCGGCCTGACCAGGGTGATTGCCAAGCGAACTCAGTGTACGGACCAGTACCACATCGTCACGTGAGTATCTCTGCGCTCTCGCTGACCGCTCCATCCTGGCATGGTCCGTGCCGTCTGACGTCTGATCACCTGTACACCGCTATGTGAGCACAGCATCAGCGGGCCCGTTGTCACCTGGGGTTGGGGGCCATTCCCCGGAGAAGGGGCCATCAAAGGGAGCATCTGTTCGGGAGCGTCTGGTACTGCTCCGGGTACGTAGTGCACCTCTCTCCCTTTTAGCCTCTCACTCCCTCACTGACGCTACCCCGCTCGTCCCAAACCGGCAACCCCACCATCGCCTGCCTTGGCACACTAGGCTCAAGCAAGGTCTCTGGCGACTTTACGGCCACATTCAAAATCCTGTGCCGCAACAATACTGGCAGTGGCACGATTGACTTCGTCTTTGTTTCCAGCGGGGCTAGTAGCGCTTTGCCCCACGGTACGAATGGAGGCTTTGGTGGGTCCAACCCCTCGGGAAATGTGCCTTACAATGTCAGGTGTGGGTGAGGGAGGGCAAGAAGAAGCGATTAGATACGCTTTGACTCTGGATGTCAGCTGAGCTGTCATGGACCAGTCACACTACATTGCTTTCGATCTCAATTGATGTTGATCCTATCTTACTCGGCGTTGAAGAGTGCGGCGCGTCAAGAAGCGCAGGTGGCTGATGCGAGCGTGAGAGCGACTTTCAAGTGGAGTTGAAGCTCGGACCCCAGATTGCGAGACAAGCGGCAATGACCGGACGGCAAGGGGCGAAGCGCAGTTGACGAGATCAATACCTGCCATCCAACCAACATCTTTCATTCCATACCACACGCCCTGTCATTAGATCTAGCCTCAGGCAGAGTATGCCATGAGCAACCGCCCAGGTCCATCTACCTCTGGCCTGGGTGCCAATGACCGCCTCGACTCCCATCGTAGGGGCAGTCTCGACACTCGCTCCTTGCGAGCTCCTAGCATAATGACTGCGCGAGGTCATCTTTCACCATCCCCTTCGTCATCAGCCGTTGCAGCCTCGGGTTCAGCAACATCAGCGCTATCTGCCTCGCCCGAGCAATTCAACATCGGCAGAAGCCTGCCTTCCGGTGGAGCTTACGATTCGCAGGGAGGGGCGGCGGCGAGGTTGAAGAGGGTGGCGAGTAATGCCTCCATTGCCGGCTCGATTCGAGCTGCCTTCACTTCAGCGACCACGAGGGATATGGGAGAGCAGGCGCACACAACAGAAACAGCAGCTCCACCAGCAGCACCAGCAGCAGCATCGTCCTCAGCCTTGCAAGCGGCGGCAGGAAAGGGCGCTTCGAAGCCGCCACTCGAGGTAGGTGCAGCCAACAGGATGCCCACCTCGACAGCACCTCCTACCGAGTCCGTCGAGTCAGCAGCCCGTGCTCCACTATCATCGTCTGTTGACTCATCCTCTAGCACGCCCGAGACTGTGGAGAACAGCAGCGCCGGTTCCAAGCGGCAGTCACCTCCCAACAACCACTTACGAGCAGAGGCTGCATCTAGATCGACAGCAAAGAGGAGGACCTGGTATGGCTGGACCGTGGATGATGAGCCTCGTGTAGCAGAGCCTATTGCGAGCGAGTCCGGCACTTCGACTGTCGAGCAGAGTGGTCAGGATGTGGAAATGGCGGATGCAGCAACCCAGGCTGCCAATGAGGCGACGTCGACGACACCAGCCCAGCCGTCGGCGACTGGATCAGATCCGGTAGAGCCATCAACGCCGGCTGCAGGAGAGGAGACCGCATCTACTTCTGCTCCAGGCACATTGAAGGCTAACGCTTCTGCTCGCGGTCCACGCACATCTTGGCTGAGCTGGAGAGCTCCTGCGCCGCAGCCGATTGAGTCTGAATCGAACACCAAGATCGCAAGCGAGGACACTGAGATGATTGGGCAGGCAATTGCATCGTCAGGAGAAGCAGAGGAAGGGGAGGATACAATCAAGGCGAAGAAAGGTGTACCCGCGCCTGAGGCGGCGATACCTTCAGCGCAAACGGCGCAAGATGAGGAGAGCACGATGCCATTAGCCAATGCGCCTGGTGCACCGCCTTCGTGGGTCTGGCGGCTCTTTGGCAATCAGCAGAGTCAAGTCTCAGGATCGGCTACCGCCCCTTCTGCGCCCGCAATTGATGCCACGCAGCAGCAAGAGAGCGCCAGGGCCGACGACGAGATGCAAGTAGATGCTACGCCAGCCACAGCAATGCCAGCTCCTGACGGTCCAGGCTGGTCTCGCTGGATCCCATACTGGGGATCAACAGCGCCTCCGCCTCAAGCGCAGGATGAAGGACAACCCTCGCCCAGCACTGTGCCTCCTTTGACGCCCGCAGAGCAAGTCAAAGCCGACGCGCTCGCCAGACCGGAGTCAACGATTAAGTCGCCGTCCGTGGAAGCCAAGGACGCCATCCTCAATTCCGCCACACGTGACAGCTGGATCTCTTACTTTTCCAATCGCAACGCAGCACGACCTGCGCCTAGGGTCGAGTCGGGTGAGCCAGAAGTGATGCAGATTGACTTTGGAGATGACAAGTCTGCGAGCACCAGCGAAGCGAAGAAATCCTCAGCTGCCCCTTCGAAGGGCGCAGCGTCAACTGTCAAGCCTGCGGCTGTCGCATCGCTGGCCGCTGGTCCATCTTCAGCAAAGTCCAGCCGCCCATCAACACCTCGCCCGGACAATGGGCCCAAGCCAGACCCTGCTCCACCGGTTGATCGACCGACGACGCCCCTAACAAGCAGCAAGACGAAAGCAGGCGAGGCTATCAAGCAAACAAAGAAGCAGAAGCCTGGCTCCGCTCGGCCTCCAATACCCAACCTCGTCCTGCCGACGTTTGAGGATACCTTCTACAACGCGCCGCGCTCCCTCCAGCCTCCGGCTGGTGTGCTCAAGCGAACCCTGAGTGCCGTCAACACCTGGCTCTCCGGCACACCGCCCGATGCAGCAAGGCTGCGTACGGCCCCGAAGCTGGGCAGGGACGGGCGAGCCGTCTCTAGCGGTCTCTCTCCCACGCACCCCTCTCCTCACCACGACGATCTCGGCCTCGCCCTCTCAGAGCGTGCCGCTGTCCGTCTTCCCCGATCGTGGCAGACCATGAACAACCGCAGCAAAGCCGCAACGCGTGGCTGCCAAGGGATGGGCCGCATAGTCGTCATCGGCATCCACGGGTGGTTTGCCCAGTCCTGGGCGAGTAGGTTCATGGGCGAGCCTACGGGGACGAGCGTCAAGTTTGCAACAGAGATGCGCGATGCCGTGTTGCGACACTTCGCCTCTGTGCAAGGAGGAGCGATGGAGCTGAACCCCGAGGCTATTACCATGATTCCCCTTTCGGTGGATGGGACGGTCAGCGTTCGGGTGGACAGGTCGTTCGCCGCTTTGCTGAGCAGAAGGGAGTGGGTAGAGGCCCTCGACCAGGCCGACGCCATCTTGTTTGCCTGCCATTCGCAGGGGTGTATCGTCGGCACCCGGATCCTTGCCCGTCTCATTGAGCAGGGCCTCGTGCACCCGCGAAGGGCACGAATCTCCCTTCTAGCAATGTGCGGCATCCACGCCGGGCCTTTCGAGCACCTCCGCAGCACGGTGGCTGGATCGTACCTCAATTACTTTGAGAATGCAGCGGCCAAAGAGCTTTTCGATTTCCAGCGCTCTAACTCGGATGCGTATCGTCACTACGAGCATGCACTGGGGCTTGTGCTGGAGGCGGGAGTCAAGGTGACCCTGGTGGCCAGCACGGATGACCAAGTGGTGCCACTGCACTCGGCGCTTTTCAGCTCGGCCAATCATCCGTCGATCTTAAGGGCGCTCTACATCCATGGGCCGACCTTTCCTCGGCTGGACTTCTTGACGAACATGCTCACCTTCTGCGTCGCGGTGCGCAATGCTGGCTTGTCAGACCACGATCTACTCGCCCTGCTTTCTTCCTCCGTCGCCGGGTCCCTCTATGGAGGGTTGGGCCACTCGCTCTGCTACGAAGAGCGCGGCACCTACGACCTGGCCGCACGATACCTTTTTGAGACGACACATCCGCTCTGCGAACCTACGACTCGTGGTGGCGAAGAGAGTCCGCCAAAGCTGGAGGTGATCCCGCCCAGCATCAACACAAAGGGCGCCGCTAGCAATCCTCATTTGCTTCCTTGGTCCTTGCGAGGAATCCTCGAGGATCGAGCGGTGAGGGCCACTTTTGGCGAGGCGATCGATGGGCTCATCGAGTCGTATGAGACGTGGACCCCTACGACTAGGACGTTGAGGGATGTGCAGTATAGACTGGAGCCGATGAGGATGATTGCACGGAATGGGGGCAGTACGGCGAAGAGGGCGGCGACGCCCGTCAAGGATGGTGAGGAGGAGGATGCGAAGGGGGCCGAAGAGCGGGCAAGCGATGAGGACAAGAAAGGCAAAGAAGGGGCGGGCAAGAAGAAGGAGCAATCGCTGACAACTACGACTGCGAAGGGCAAAGGCAAGGCGATGGCCAAGTCACCCTCATCCTCGAAACTGTGAATAGACCAAATGAGCGCCGTGTCTGTCTGTGTAAAATTAGATTTCATCTGTAATGCCTCCTCTTCGATAACGATACAACGATATCATCAGACCTTGCTGCATTGCTTCGGCCTACGAGTCTTCGGCTGATCACTGTCATGAGCTCTTTGCCTTGTCGGCCTCCTCAACATCCCTCCTCGCCCTCCTCAGTACCTCCTCATCCTCTTCTTCCTTGGGCAACTGATCCCCACGCCAATCATTCCCATCCGTCCACTCTCTGACTGCCTTTCTAAACACGCCATAAGCCCTGTCCAGCTCATCATTGACCACGACGACATCGAACTCCTTGCCGCCATTACTCCTGGCGTACTGCAGTTCCCCTTCAGCCATCCCGAGTCGCCCGACAACGCTCTGCGGCGTCTCGGTGCCCCTACCTTTCAGCCTGTTGTACAGAGCCTCGAGGTTGGGTGGGCTGATGAAGATGTACAGAGGCTTCAGTCGCTCAGCATGGTCCCTCTTGAGAATCTTGACGCCCTGAGCATCAATGTCGAGGATGGCCCGCTGCCCGCGTTGAGAAGAGACGGCTTCGACGGCCGAGGCCGTGGTGCCGTAGAGGTTGCCGCCGAATTGGGCGTGCTCAAGGAATGCTCCTTGGGAGACGAGGGAAGTGAACTCTTCGCGTGTCACGTAGTGGTAGGAAACGCCTGGCGTCTCTCCAGGGCGAGGGGAACGGGTCGTGTCTGTAAGAGGGTGCGGAAAGTAGAAGGGGAAGGGGGAGATCAGCTGGAGGGACGAGAGAGAGAGAGATCATGCTATGGCACTCACGACTGACACTGAAGCCGTACTCTCCGGGACACTCTTCGAAGAGGCGCTTCAGCAATGTGCTCTTGCCTACGCCGGAGGGCCCGCACAGGACGACTGGGCGAGACTTGTCAACGACGGACGAAGACGATGCAGTGGGTGCAGAGGATGCCATTGCAGATGTGGTGAAGTGACGAGGTGCGAAGGGACGTGAGAAACTGAAGTTGGAGCGAAGAGTGGTTGCGATGCAATGACGCGATAGCATCCAAAGAGTTGTTGTGTCGTCTGTTGATGGATAGGTGGCAGAGAGAAGGATACAATGTCGCGAGGTGCCAAAACAGATGCAGACGCGGGGAAAACGAAAAAAGTGGTGGACCGAGCGCACCAAAGCATCGTCTGCTCGTCCTTCCTTCCTTCACCAATTTCCAACGGGATCAGAGGCGATTCAGAGGGGCAATGAGTGGCTCAACTCTGAGGGCCACTTCATCGCTCGTCAAGATTAGCTCCTACTCAACGTGCTTGTCAAGATCCATTCGCCCGCCATGCCGTCATCTGAGCTCAACACCTCGCTGCTCCTCCTCGCCTCGACCAACTCTTCCCTCACAACTCTCCCGTCTTTCTCCACCAAAACCTCAGCCACACCTCTCACATATCCTGCTCAACGACCCCTCTTCTTCTTCTTCAGCCCAAGCGATACTAAATGATGCAGCAGCACGTCGCTCCAATTTCGGTGCGGGCCATCTCGCCCAGATCACCGAGAAGCAACAAAGACGCAAGTCGGTCTCTCATCAGATGAACCATCTGGGAAACAAGGCAGCAGATGCGCAGAAGTCTGTTGCGGCTTTTCTGAAGCAGAACAAGATGAAGAAGGGACCAAGAATCAAAGAGGACGAAGAGAGGCTTAGGGGCGAGGCAAAGGAGCTCAGCAATCAGATGACGGCCCTTAGGCAGGAGCATGATCAGTTGGGACAAGACATTACGGCTCTCCTTCTAGCAAGCCCAAATGTGAGCCACGAGTCGGCTCCTATTGGATCGGAGAGTCAGGCTAAGGTCGTAGCTGTGAACGAGGGCAGCTGCCACTTGCCCACTGCTCAGGCATCTGCATTTAGAGCGGCACAGACCGAGGCGAACAATACCCAACGCAGAGGGATTACCCTCGAGGCGTGGGATAAAGAAGTGGAAGCAGCGAGAGCAGCCGCTCCATCACAGTCCAAAGAGAGTGCTACGATACGGCGCACCCATTTAGGTCTCGCGACTCTCCTCTCCCCATCAGGCCAAATAGACACTCCAGCTGGTCGATTAGCTACAGGGCCCTCCTTCCCCTATCTCACCGACTCGGTCGCGCTCCTCGAGCAAGCTCTTCTCCGCTACTCGACAGATATTGCATTGGCCAAGGGGTATCGCCTTGTGTCCACTCCAGCAGTCGTGAGGACAGATGTAGCAGAGCGCTGCGGTTTTGACCCGAGAGGTGGGGAGGGAGGACAAACGTACTTTGTCTCGTCCTCTTCTTCCACCTCTTCTCCAGAGGAGAACGGCCACCCGGACCTCTGTCTTATTGGGACGGCCGAGATAGCTTTAGCTGCCCTCGTCTCTGGACGAACCTTTCCACGCTCCTCGCTGCCTCTCAGACTTCTGGCCATCTCTCCCTCGTTCAGGGCAGAGGCCGGCGGACGTGGCCAAGAGACAAAAGGACTCTACAGGTTGCACCAGTTCATGAAGGCGGAGATGTTTGTGGTGGCTGCACCGCCCTCTGAAGAGTCCGGCGAAACGCATCCGGACCTTCTGGAGGAGCTTCGCGCGATTCAAGAGCAAGTCTTTTCCTCTCTGGGATTGACAACGCGCACCCTGCTGATGCCCACCGAGGAGCTCGGAGCATCGGCGCATCGCAAATACGACATTGAGGCCTGGATGCCTGGACGGGGCTCTGATCAAGACGGTGGAGGATGGGGCGAGGTGTCATCTGCGAGTGACTGCACAGACTATCAGGCGTCGAGGCTCGCCATCAATGTCGAAGGAGTTTCGACACCGGCCAAGGAGCAAAAGAAGCAAAAGCCGGCAACAAGCACACCTGCGCACACTCTCAATGCCACACTGCTGGCCGCACCAAGGGTGATCATCGCGCTGATGGAGCAGTACGGTGTCGATGAGGCTGGCGGAAGGCTGAGGTTGCCCGAGGTGTTGAAGGGCTATTGGCCGGGAGGGAGGGAAATGGCCGAGGAGCAGGTCGAGTGGGTGGGGGCGAAGGCGGAGAGAACAAGTGCTACGCAGTCACCGCCATCCTCGTCCTTCAGAGCAGCAGAAGCCGGTCAACAGACGCGCACCTACTCGACGTCGGCGCGACCGACGCGACCGCCGTCGAAGGAGTCATCAACAGACTCCGTTCCACAAACAGGGTCGTCGTCACCCTCATCGGCTCCTTCACAAGGAAAGCAAACTCTCATGCACAAGCTTCGCTCGGAACTTCTCGTCCTTTCACAAAGAACAGGGACCGACCCTGCCTCTCTAACAGCGTCCTTCCTCTTCCTTCACGAGCTCACGGCCATTGTGCCCCTCGTAGCCCTCTTCTACCTGCTTGGCCTACTCGGTGCTGGAGAAGCGGTTTGTCAGTGGTTCTTGAGCGCTGCGCATGAGGGGCAAGAGAAGGATGAGGTGGCAGCGTGGAGGCGTAAGGTCGGGGAATGGTTGAACGAGGGGATCAAGAGGACTGAACGATATGCGAGGAGGAAAGGATGGTGGGGCCTTGAGAAGGAGGCTGGAGAAGGTCAGGAGGAGACGCAGCAGCAACAGGCCGCCCTCATCACTGGGGGAGGGGCATTCGCGAACGCTGTGGCCGCTTATGTTCTGACCAAAGTGAGTAGCAGCGGCCCCACATCGACCATGAGAGGAATGCTGACGATCTCCCCTTCTTTGTTGCGTACGCACAGGCGCTCGTCGCTCCCCGTCTCCTTCTCTCCTTCTACCTGGCCCCAGCCTTCGCTCGTAGAATCTTCGAGCCTGCCAAGCGGTTCGTCAAAGCGTGGACGAGACGAAGGACCAAGTGAGATGGCGTCTCATCGTTACCACAAGTCTTCCTCATAGATGCCACGAGCAATGCCATACCACTCTTCTCGACGAGAACCGGATGATCTAGGGATGAAGGATCCCTCGCCTGTCCAGTCTGCGCTCAGTCATCGAGGGCTTCCCGTCCATCTATTCTATTTGCGCGCACTCGCCTACAAACCCCATGAAGACCGAAGGTCCGGATCTGCACTACACTTCTTCTCTTGCAGCCGAGCCCTTCGGAGTCGATCTGAATGAGGAATCAAGATGGAAAATCGAATAGAAAGGGCAACGATGTACGGTACGGTAGAGATGCCGAGGCAGGAGCAGGAGCTCGTGAAGGGACAAGCCGGAAGCGGGTGGGGATATGAGAGCTGAACGACGGCCAAAACAGATGGAAGACGTGCGTGCCGCCGGCTGTGTCGTTTGCTTGCGCTTTTTCCAAGTGGCGTGCACGTCAGTCAATTCTGCACGCGCCTGAGAGATGAGCAGGTGGGGGAAGGGGGACGTGGGCGCGGGACTCCGTCGAATGGTAGCAAGAAGGGAGGGGAGGGAGCTACGGGACTACGATGTCGGAGCCTTAACAAACACCCCTGCCTCCCTCGTGCTTCCCCGTCGAAGCATCCTCAGGGGTTGAGGAGGAAGCGCGTTGCGCCGCTGTCCTCTCCTCGGACGTGTCTCTCACAAGAGAATCTTTCGTCGTCCGAATGGTGTAAACGTGCTTGTAAGGGGGTCCAAGCGTATCATGTTCCCCGAGTGGTTGGACTGATGATAGCCAAGAGGATCTCCTCCCCACCCTACATTTGCTACTCTCCCACCCTCTTCCTGGCTCTTTGCCACTGATCCTCAGATCGTTACTGCTTTTTTTGCGAGTCTTCCCAACTTGCATCTGCCAAATCGCTTGCTCCTCTTGCTCTGTGCCCCCCTCCGGCGGCCCTGATTTGCTTGACGCCCTCAGTGTGTGTGTGGGTCTCAATTTTGCCGTCCGCCGCCGCCGTCGCTCGCTCACCTTTGGTTGCTCTGATTTGGATTGGTTGGCCAGTCGCCACGCGCCCTGCATCCGCACTTCGGACCGCACACACACACGCCCGCACGAAAGGCAAGGCAACGCACCAACGAGTAGGACGTTTGATCGCCTCGCGCCCGCATCGCATCGCAAGCTCGTCGTCCAAGTCGCCGCCGCCGCCGCCGCCGCCGACGTCGCCCTCCCGCCTCGTCGACTCGAATTGCATCGACCTTTCTTCTCTTCTCAATCAAATTCCCCCCCACAACATCTTCATTCACCATGTCACAACATACGTCCCTCCCGATGCAGTCGCTAGGCATCGACGAGAAACACGACCCCATCAATGGCCATTCGCGTCCTTCTGTCGGTACGCCCGGCCTGAGTGGCATGGGAGCCACAACTTCGGGCCCTTCTGCTCATTCTAATGGCATTTTGCCTGGGGCAGGGGGAAAGGGTCAGGATAACAAGAAGAAGATGCATCCCGCTGTCATCATTGTGCTGTGGATCGCCCTGTCCAGCAGCGTCATTGTGTACAACAAGTGGGTAGCAGTGCGAGACGACGAAGCCTCCACTGGATCCTCAACAGTCACTGACCTCGCTCTTTCCCCTCTCTCCCTCGCTCGCCATTGTAGGTACGTTCTCGACACAAAGACTGGTCTTGGCTTCCCCTACCCTGTCTTCCTCACTACCTTCCACATGGCCCTCAACACCGTCGGCACGCGCCTCCTGGCGCGCTACACCCGCCTCATGGACGGCCTTCGCGACGTAGAGATGACCTCGGAGCGATGGTACCGCAACATCCTGCCCATCGGTGCTCTCTTCTCCGGCTCTCTCGTCCTGAGCAACATGGCATACTTGACACTCAGCGTCTCCTTCATCCAGATGCTCAAGGCTTTCACACCTGTTGCCGTCCTCCTCATTTCGTTTGCATTTGGTCTCAAGCAGATGAGTGGGATGCTCACCGCCATCGTGTGCGCCATTTCCTTTGGTGTGGCGACGGCGTCGTACGGAGAGGTCGAGTTCGCTATGGATGGTGAGCAGACGCGATGACAGCCCCTCATGACCTCTCAGCTGACCTCAAATCTTCCTTGCCCACACCAGGCTTCATCTGCCAAATCCTGGCCATTGGATTCGAGTCGTCGCGCCTTGTCATGATTCAAGTTCTCCTCCAAGGCCTCAAGATGGACCCTCTCGTCTCCCTCTACTACTTCGCCCCCGTCTGCGCAGCCATCAATGCCTGCCTCATCCCCTTCACCGAAGGATTCGCCCCCTTCCTCGACCTGGGCAAGCTGGGACCCTTCGTCCTCCTTTCCAATGGAAGCGTCGCCTTCGGCCTCAACGTCGCTGCCGTCTTCCTCATCGGTGCGGCGAGCAGTCTGGTGCTCACGTTGGCGGGTGTCATCAAGGACATCATGCTCATCATGGCTAGCATGATCTTCTTCGGCTCTAGCATCACGCCCATTCAGTACTTTGGATACGCTATTGCGCTCGGTGGACTCGTCGCCTTCAAGCTGGCGCCCTCAAAGTAAGCGGCGGCAGCGCTCGCAACGTCGGCTCTTTGAGACGCAGCGACAGGCTCGAGGACCTGTCGCGCTCCCTCCAACGTAGCAACCTCTGCAGCCCTTCCCCTTCCAACTCGCTGGGCTGGTCTCCATCACCTCAGCTACCCAGCTATGTAAATAGCGAGCCAAGCCCTCCTTTTCCCCCCTCTGCTCGACATGCTAGGTACTGCAACACCTCCTCTCCCGCTACGCCCTCTCATTTACTCTTTTACCCTCGCTTCCCCCTCTCTTCCTTTGCCACCCTCGTTCTCCTTTACCAAGATTGGCCAAAATGACAAGCTCTAGACACGCACATGCCGCTGTGCTGAACGATGACGCATTCGATCTTTTTGACTTGGACGCGGATCAAGATGATAGACTACATGAGCTCGCCTCCCCTCGTCTCGTCTCGCAGAGGTGGCGTTGGTGGTGAACAGATGAGGGATCGAGTTGGTGATGATCAAATCACAGCAAAGTACTTCCTCCCCCTGCTCCTCCGTCGAGCCTGCTGCCCCGTTGATTCCCTCCACTGCCCTCTCCTCCCTAGCTCATCCCTCCCTTCGCCTCTTTGATCTCTATCATTCCCACCTGCCTCTTCCCGACGTCCTTTGCAGACCTACGCAGCAATGCGGTCATACGACCAGATCCTGGCATTGAAGTCACCGCTCCCACTCGCCAACAGACCACCCGCAGGGCTGAGCGAGATGGCAATGACCGAATTCTTGTGACCCATCAAGATCAGCTGCGTCTGACCAGTCCTCGGATCCCAGAATTGGATCCTCGTGTCCTTGGACCCGCTAGCAATCCATTGTGAGTCCGGCGAGCAAGACACCGAAAGGACATAGTCCTTGTGACCCGAGGACGTAGTGTAGCAGACGGCTTTGCCTGCTCGCTCCTCCTCGGGCAAGTTCTGGTCAAGCGCACGGTGTGTGGCAGAGAGGTCCCACATCTTCAAAGTGCGGTCCAGTGAGCCGGAGACGAGGTTGCGGCCGTCGGGCGTGAAGCTGACCGAGTAGATGGAGTCGCGGTGTGACTTGAGGCGCTCCAGCTGCTGGCCGGTCTTGGTGTCCCATACGCGGACGAGGGCGTCGAGCGCGCCAGCAGCGACGAGGCGGTTGTCCGAGGAGATGGAGACGGAAGTGACGCCAGCCTCTGAGGGGCCCTGCTCGAGGCCAGGAGAGGTGTAGAGCGTGTGAAGCAGGGAGCCAGAGTCCACGTCCCAGATGCGGACCGTCTTGTCTCCCGAGCCAGAGGCGATGATACGGCCGTCGCGTGACCAGTCCAAACTGTAGATCTCCTGCTTGTGGCCAGAGAAGACCGTCTTGACGCGCTTCTTGGCAATGTCCCAAACCCTGACCCTGCGGTCCTCTGCGCCAGTTGCGAGGTACTTTCCGTCGGGAGAGAAACAGACGGAGCGAATGTAGAGGTCTCCCTTGTTTGCTGCGGCTTGGTCGATCAGGATGCAGACCTTTGCGCCCGTCTTCGTGTCATAGATCTGAGCTGAGCGGTTGCACCCAGTAGCCAGGTATTTGCCGTCGGGCGAGAAGCGGACGCAGCAGACCACTGACTCGTGCATGAGAGTGTGGACCAGGTTGACGTCGAGGGTGCGCTTGACTTTGGGGTTGAAGATGGCGAGCCTGTGGGCGTCAAAGCGGGGAGGTGGCATTAGTATGGCGTCGATGTGAATCGTGCTGCTACGAGGCGCGCTCACCAATCACTGCCCTCCTTCTTGAGGTCCTTTGGCACCTCATCAGGGTCCAAGTCGCTCCAGCTAGCCAACGCATTGTTACCCGCAGCACCGCCAGCTCCCGACCCGCCAGCGCCAGGTCCGGGCGATGACTCATGAGCTCCAGGTGCACGACGAGGAGGAGCAGCCGACTCGCGCTCCCCTTTGACAGGCGCAGATGGCTCCCTGCCGGGACTTGGCGGTCCTCCTTGGCCGCCGTAACCCGGATGAGGGGGAGGACCCTGCGACCCAGGAGGACCGTCGACGCGCATACGCTTCTCTGCCGATCCTTGACCCCCGCCATTTCTATCACGATCATAGCCGCCATTCTGGTAGCCGTCCGACCCAGGTGGAGCTCCAAAGGGGGCTGGAGGACCGGATGGCCCGCCCTTGGGACCACCAGGACCGCTAGCGGATGCGGCGGCGATGGATGGAGGGGGCTGTTGCTGCTGCTGCTGCTGCTGTTGTTGTTGCTGCTGCTGCTGAAGGCGGGGAGAGTGAGGTCCTCCAGCATCCGGATTCCCACCTCCACGCTCGATGATGGCTCGCAGACGCTTCATCTCCTCGTCGTACTGCTGAGCCATATTGGAATGCCTCGACTCGAGGTCCATGATGTGTTGCTGCATCATCTGGACTTCGCTCACTTGCTGCGCGACTGCGAGAGGAGAGAAGAGGGGCCATCAGCGTCTGCGCCAGTGCAATCACAGCTTGTTGCGGGTCCACACTCACTTCTGTGCTCAAACTCGTCCCTCTGGCCTTTGAGCTGATTGGCATCGCTCGCAACAACGTCGAATTCATGCTTGACAAAGTCGAGGAGATCGTTGAGTCTGGCAGTAGATGTCGCCTGAGGAGCAGGCGCGACGGGCGCCGCTGCAGGAACGAGGGTGCGATGCTGATAGATGTTCGACGACATGGCGCGACCCAATCAATGAGAGTGTCGAGAATGAGGAGGATGAACAGGGGCGGATCGATCCTTTCGGCGCACGGATGTTTGATATCGGCCTCTTCGTACGAGGTCAAAGCGCGGACCAAAGCCAGACCGAGGTTGAGGGCGAAGAAGACGAGGCGAGTGGTTGTTTTGCTGCTAACGTCGTCGACGAAGAGCGAAAGAGCAAGGAGCAGATACGGCTACGAAACCGTGCCGTGTCGTGTCTGATGGGCAGTCGCGTCTCCTGGTAACAGTGGTAGTCGTCGTACGATGCAGTCGGGAACGAGGAAACTCGATGAGATGCAGAGCAGAGAGTCGCGAATGCGATGCGACGATCCAATCCACGACCTGCCTTGCCCGTCGAGTGTCTGTCTGCTTGCTCGCCGTCCCCCGCTCGCGCCCCTTGATCTCTCTCTGTCTTTGCGTCTACGTCTGCGTCGACCCGCCAGCCCGCCGCCGCCGCTTGCGCCCGCATCCCACTCTCGCCCGCCTTGCTTGTCTCGCCTCGTTTGAGCTCGACTCCGAGTCCAGGGATGTGCAAGCGAGAGCGGAGCAGCGGCCGAACGCCGAGACAGGCTATCGCTGAGTCCGGGCAAAGAGATGAACCACGTGTGACAGATGAGGCTGGATGAACTTCACGCGAAATGGCGCTAGCATACGACATCAACGGCAAGGCCATCACTTGCCGTGGCCTCGGATTCTACTCGAGGAGCTGGGCAGTGCTGAATGATTGGTATTGCTCTAACGATGCTCGGCGATCAACCGGTTCCTTCCTTCCATCTTGCTCCCGCTTCGTCCTCATCGTCCAATCGAAGTGGCTCACCGCCATCGCCCCCGGCATTCTCTGCCTGCTCAGGGCCTTCATTACCGCCCCCGCCGCCGCGAGCCTCCATCTTGTGCCTCTTGGCATCACGCTCATCTGATGAATGCAGAGCTACTGCGGCGCCTGACAGACCTGGCAGAGGTTGAGGCTGCCGCCCCCCAGGCGAATCAAATCCAGGTTGAGAGGCGAAGCCTGGCGGCATCATGTGCGGCGGCGGCATTGGCGGTGGCGCATTGATCTTGTTCTCCATCTGCAGCCAGTGGCAGAGAGCTTCTGTCTGCGGATTGGTGAACCACGGAGCTGCAGAGGTGAGGTCATTATTAGCATTGCTCTGTTCTACGCCGAGGTGGAAGACTACTCACGAGGACCAGGCATAGAGCCTTGGGGATCTGACGTCGAGGGAGCCGTGCGGACGAAATGTTGGATTGGCTCGACGGCCAGCGTAGCATTGCGTCCCTGCGCCATCAGCTCTCTTCTCACCCAGTCTTCTTCCTCGTCGATCCTCTTGAGCAACAAAGCGTCATCTACTGATGGGAGAGGCGTTTGCTTCTTCTGCAGGCAGAGGAAATGATTCGTCGCGCGGAGGATGGCGAGCCAGCGAGGGACGAAGCATAGCTGCGGCTTCGAGCTGCTGCCTCCGACAGACTCACTGCCCCCAGCAACCTCTTCCGCCTGTCTACTAGGCATGTCGAAGAATTGGAGGAACTTGTGGCCGGGCAAGCATTTGCTGAGGGCCAAGAACCGGGTCTCGCTCGCGCCTTGAAAAGTTGGATCCGTAGCTGCTGCTGTTGTCGTGGAGGTCGCAGCTGCTGTCTCGTCTTCCTCAGCGCCTATGTTGATCTCGTCTGGATTCGAGCACCCAGCATGACCATTTGCTCCCTTGGGCTCCTCATCTACGTCCTCCTCTCCACTATCGTCCAGGTCAATATCGATCGCCTCGGGGTTGCTCGCTTCTCCACCGTTAGATGGACCAGCTTGTGCGCCTCCCTCTCTACCCTGCGGCCCCACTTCAGTGCCCTGCCCGCCATGCTTGAACAGAGCGGCGAATTTGACGTGCAGATGCGCAGAGAACCAGTAGGAAGGACGAAGTGTTTTGAGTAGTTCTAGCAGTGGCGGACTTCCCAGCGTCGACGTGTTGATCTCATCCTTGAAGAAGGGCTTGCGCTTGATCAGCCCATGGACATCGCCATGCTGCTCGATCGTATTCGGCCAATCGTGGCTCATGACGATGTCCGGGCGTGATGAGGGGCCAGCGCTCGCGCTTTCCCTCGAATTTGCCAGGAGCTTGAGCCTCCAGATGTCGAAAATGCGAGTGTGATAGACTGAGCGGATGTCCGATGGGCTGTACGGTACCTGTTCGTGACGTCCGCTGGTGTAGTCGTGTGACTTGTATATGCCGCTCGCTCCAGCGATGATGACGCCATTGACGTCTACGGCGCCTGCCTCGCCCAGGAAGTAGATGTTGGGAGCCAGCCAACCGCCGTGCGCACTGTTCATCGTTGAGGTCGAGAAGGCGTGTCAGTACGAGCACGTCATCACAGGTCCCGCGTCTCGCCGGCACTTACAGCTCCCACATGTAGTTGCTAGCTTCATGATTCCCTCCCACAACCAGCGTCAAGACAGGCGCAATCTTCTCTCCCGAGTAATAGCGATGGAAAGATCCCATCGACCTGTACTTGGGGGGCACAGCGATGCATTCCAGATCGCCAACGTTACGGATACCCTGAAAGTCTCCGCAAAGAAGCAAGAGGTCGGTCTTGAAGCCGCCTGCCTCTTCTGCTTTGGCGATGGACGCATAGATATTGTCCAGCTCGCCATGGCTGCAACCTTCGACTGCGATCTTCATCGAGGCTACTGAGTGTGAGGCGTACGTTCTTACTGCTCTGCTGCTCTTGACGATGCCATGAAAGGGCAGGCGAGATGGCATAGGAGAGAGGAAAGAGTCGCACGAGCCATCGACTTGGAACGGAAGACGGACAGGCGGACAGAGGCGGCAACGCGGCGGCAGGGCGGGGAGAGTTCGAAGGCAAAAATTGTCGAAGGGTCATGGGCCACAGCCTTGCAGCTCGTCAGCTATCTTTGCAATCAATCACCTACGAGCTAGGGCCAGCGCAACACAAGCATAGACGATCATGGTCGACCAGTCTGAAGCAGGTGAGCATACGCCAAATCGATCCAACTCCGTTTGCCGCAGGGATGTCTGATCAGACACCCCGCTTCGCCCACACAGACACGTACCGCCTCGTCCACGCCTTCCTGGCACAACATGCTCCTTCAGCAGCAACGGCGTTGCAGCAAGCAGCACCTCAGGGACTAATCAGCAATGTCGGCTCCACGAGCAGCATGGCGAACAGGCTCGTTCAGACGGTGGCGGAGGCTAGGCAGTCAGGGTCCCTCGCAGGCCACGCCGCCTCCCTGCCTCTCGTTGGCGCTGCAGCTGCTCAAGCCGCGGCTGACGTTGAGATGGAGGAGGCGGACACCAGCAGTGATGAGAGCAGCAGCAGCGATGAAGATAGCAGTGATGAGGACGACTCTTCGTCAAGCTCAAGCTCGAGCTCGGACAGCGACTCCGAATCCTCATCTGATGAGGACGAGGCTGAATCAGAGACGGTCAAGGCCGACTCGCCTACCGAGCCTGCCGGGGCCAAGCTGGGAAAGCGTAAGGGAAGGGAGGAAAGCGAGTCATCGTCGAGCGATGAGAGCAGCTCGGACGACGAGGACTCAAGCGATGAGGAGAGCTCGTCAGACAGTGATAGCGACAGCAGCAGCGATGATGGGAAGCCGCCTGCGAAGAAGGTTGCCAAGGAGGACAAGAAGGAGGATCCCTCTTCTGATGAGGAGAGCAGCAGCGAGAGCAGCGATGAGTCGGACAGTGATTCGAGCAGCTCGTCCTCGTCTTCATCGTCAAGCTCCAGCTCCGACGATGAAGACAGCAGCAGTAGCGATGAGGAATCCTCGAGCGATGAATCTGACTCGGACTCGGATTCGAGTTCAAGCTCATCCAGCAGCTCTGGCTCCTCCTCGTCCTCGTCCTCCTCGTCTTCATCTTCATCAAGCAGCAGCAACAGCGACACCGACGGCAAGAAGAAGAACAAGAAGATCCTCTCGACGCCCGCAGCCATCACCACGGCCAAGATCGTACCAGTCGCACCTGTAGACGAATCAGCCGCCTCATCTCCCACCTCATTCGTCTCCGCCCCCACTACACCTTTCAAGCCCCTCAGCAGCAACGACGGCCCTGCATCCTCCACCCCTCCCCCTTCGGCAGGTCCACCGGCAAAGGGACGCCGCTCCATTGGTGTTCCCTTCCAACGTGTGAAGTCGGACGGCGTCAACCTCCTCGATGCCGGTCTGCGCGACATGAGCTATGATGGCAAGCCTATGGCCGCCGGCGGGTGGGGAGCGAAGGCCAGTGCGGATCTGATCGTGACCAGAGGAAAGGGCTTCACGAAGGAGAAGAACAAGAAGAAGAAGGGCTCTTACTCGGGAGGGATGATCGATCAGGGGAGTCATTCGTACAAGTTCCCAGAGTAGCGGCAAGGGAAGGCAATTAGATCTGAGAGGCCGTGTTGGCAGCAGCGGCGGGCGAGGGACGGTCGCACCGCATCCTTCATGATGATGGGTGTAGCAGCCGACCTTTTCCTTTCCCTTCGATATCTCGCTTGTTCCCTGCTCAATCACGCTGATCGCCCACCTCGTATCATACGCCCACTTCGTATCATATCTGCAATCGCGAAACCTCGTTATGATCTCAGAGCCGATCGACCTCTATCAGCTCCCCTCGCTCTCTTCACCAGCGCAACGAGGTTTTACGGCCATCCTTCCCGGACTGAGTCTCGCGTCACACCTGCTCGCTGTGGTGTGCGTCAATGTAGGCCGTATGGCAATTGCATGGAATCGTCATCGACGGATGACCTCATGAAGAGGCGTGTGAGTTGCTGGTGGGTGTGAATGGTACAGAGGGAGAGGGGAAGACAAGCCAATCGGAAATGGTCCAAAGGTTTAGGCGACGAGCTGCGTGTGCGTGAGAAGAGGGGTGATAGGATGTGAGTCGACTGCTCCTCAAGATGTCACCGAACCGTCGCCTCTGCTCGTGCTCACCTTGACGACACCACCAGCCTCCTTGATCTTCTTCTCAGCCAACGCCGAAACCCAACGCGCCTTGACAATGATCGGCCTCTGGGGGAGGCGACCCTTGCCGAGGACCTTTCCGTAGCCAGCAGCGAGCGTGTCGATGACGGGCACCTTGTCACCGGTGGCAGCCTTCTTGTGCTCCTCGGAGACGAGGGTCCAGAGCTTGTCGAGGTTGACGACGGGCTTGTGCTGCGGGTTGCGCAGAAGGTGGAAATGACGCATACCGACCTTACCGAAGTAACCAGGGTGGTACTTGTCGAAGTTGGTGCGGTGGTGGTGCTGACCACCAGCGAGACCACGTCCACCGGGATGCTTGCGGTGCTTGCCTGTGAAGAAAGAGAGCGGATTGGGGCATGGTTGGCGATACGTTCGGCGCAAAGCGGTTGGGACGTCCCATCCCCCAAAATCTCAAAGCAACGCCCTCTGCCAACCAATGACCCAAATGTCTCGTTGTCCTCGACGCTGCCTATGAGCTTGTCGCGGGCTCGTCTCAAAGAGCGCTTCAACGCTATCCCTCCGTTCTTGCCTCGCGTTGCCTCTCTTCCCAAAATGGCCCCCAACGACGTCCCGTTGCGTGCCCCTCTCGACGTCCAACCTTCCATCTATCTGTCCTCCGATCTTGGCAAGCAGCTACTCACCGATACGACCGTGACCGCCCGATACGTGTCCCCTCAGCTTCCTGTTCTTGCTCAGTCGAGATGGCATGATGAAGTGGTGATCAAGAAGGGGATGATGGAGGGAGAGAAGGACCTTCGAAGCACCAGTCGACGACTTAGCCTGCTGCTGCGACCCGTCGTCCGTCGTTCGCCTTGGCTCTGGCTAGGAATCCCAATCGAGCTCAAGAGGGCGGGCAGCGAGGCGGGCAGGCTGGGCTCTGATGCCTGAGCTCGTCGCAGTCGGGGCGGCTGCACGTGACCGCAGAAAGAGAGGACGGAAAATCGCGGACCGGAACGAAGGGATTGAATTCGTCGCCCGTTCCGTTGCCCCAGTCGACTCGACACGACTCGGCGACGTCGGCATCGTCGTCGAAGTTGGACAGCACGGACATCGTCACCACGCCTCACGCTCACGACTGCGAACACATTTAGCTATCAGCTTTGGTACGGCCAGACCTGGCTCCTCACAGGTGAGTGCTTGGGAAGGATGCTCTGCCGACGTGAACGAAGATATGGAAGGAGGCAGCTCTGGACGAAGGCGATTCATGGCGGCGAGCTGCATTCGCGCACATCCGACGATGAGACGAACCAAATCAACTATCAATCAATCTGTCAATCCCATGACTGCCGCCTTCGTGGAGGTAGGGTGACAATACACGGTCAACACTGATGGTACAATCAACCAGACGGTAGAGATGGAAAGGGCCAAGAGGGATGCGGTGGCTGCGAATCATTCCACGACGTCCAAGACGCAGTCCAGCTGACCAATGCTGATGTCCTCCCTGCCCAGCGCTTCGTTCACCTCTGAGGTGCTCTTCTCGCCTTCGTGCGCACCACATCCCAAAGAGGGTGAGTAGCTCGCTAGACGTTGGGACTTTGGCGCAGCATCTTGCGCAACGGGTAGTGGGAAGCCGAGATATCGAACGGCAGGAGGAAGCGGTACTGGGCCAGATGATGAGCAACTACAACAGAATCTTTCAACAAGGCGACTTCACCGAAAGGTGCTGGGCCAACACAAATTATGCGTTATTGTCCTGAATCGACAAAGAGCGAAGTGATGGAGCTGTGAGGTTGAGGTGGAGGCGAAGGAGAGAGACTGAGGAGCAACGCAGCCTGGAGGCGTCGAGATGGAGTCGTACCTTTCGCCGCATCTCTGATCGGTCAATCTAACGCCCGTACCCTTCCATCCTCTTCTCTAGATCTCAACATCACCAGCTTCTACTAGCCTATCATGCGCCCCACTCTCCGCCTTCAACAGTCAATGTACCGCGACCCCTGGGCTAAGCGTGAGGCCTGGCGCAAGCACCCAGTCTTCTCCAACCGATTCTACATTCGCAACATGTTCCCTGGCTTCGGCATCGCTTCGGCCGCCTTCGTTGTGTGTGAGTGGAAGCCGCGACGAAGGGACAGAGGACAACGATAAGGAAGAGCGCTGATCACCTTGCCCCTACGCCTCGCCCGGCCGGCAGACCTCATTGGCGACTCACTGGCTCACCCGTCGAACATTGAGAAGCTCAAAGAGGAGGCAAAGAAGCAAAGGGGAGAGATCTAATGCGCGAATCTGACAGAGAATTGAAAGCCAAATAGTACCCATGACCTACCACTCCTCAGATCGATCGGTCTGGCACGCAAGAACCGATCGTGTACACTGTACAATGCGCGTGCGTTTTTATTGGGGGAATTACTGGACGAGCTGCTTGTCTACTGAGCAGACATGATTAGGCGGAATTGTGCGACAGGAGAGAAGGATTCGGGTAACGAGAGTAAAGAGCGTGTGTCACAGTCGAGGGAGGGTGGCGCAAATGATACTGCCTCGGAAGACTATGAGTTGGAGGATGGAGAGAGAGGAGAATTGCCGTCGCCGTCGACGTATGTTGCGGCGTCGGGTGATGAGTGGGGCAGGGTAGCCTAGAGAGCTTCAGGAGATTGGCAGGCTCCGTTTTCATCGCTTGCCAGCCTCCTCGAGCTGAGGAGTGTTGGGTCGCTTCTCGGCGTCAGATGGCGCAGACAGACCCCCGGCCCTCGTCACCCTCTTGTAGGAGCTGGTGAGCACCTCGGACTGGTCCTTTTCCCTGACTGGCGAGCGAGCTGCCGGCGACCCCGAGGCCGGGCTGACGGTGACCTTGGCGCGGCTAGGCTTGCGGTTGTACGTCTTGCGGTAGAAGATTACGAAGAGGACCAGGTACGAAGACAAGATCGTGCAGCCCGAAGCGACGGCGTGCTCCTTGCCCGCAGCGCACGATCCCATAACCGGCAGAGGCAGCGAGTACGCAGCTACAGTGTGGCAATACGACGCGAAATAGACCACGGCCAGGTCGAGGATGAACTGGAGGATCTGGAGGGTAGTGACTGCGCGCTTCCAAGGGCAGCGGATCTTGAGGCTCGACAGGGCGTAGTAGGCGTACATGACGACGTGGACGAAGAGGTTGAGGCAGATGACGACCCAGCTGACGGAGGTGCGGCCGATGAGCTGCGAGAAGCAGAGCAGGGCGGTGGCCGAGTGGTGGTAGACGTGCAGGAAAGCCAAAGGCTTCTTCTTGAGGACGAGGAACCCGGTGTCGGCCAGCTCCCAGAACTTGAACATGTAGTTGAAGATGTACAGGCTGGGCGCGAGCGCGGGGACGATGTGGAAGCATTGGTTAGCTTCGGTCTTCTCTCTCTGCCGCAGACGGTCGTGCAACTCACGTCTCCATGCGGGGCGTCCAGCTAGACTCGGCGCAGATGGCCGCAAAGAAGCCATGGTGGTACCAGATGGGAAGGATCTCCTCGAGCATGCAAGCGAGGAGCAGCGCGCTACCCAAGCTGAGGGCGACGTTATGCAGGACGAATGGCTTTCGAAGCTCCATGGGCGCGATACGATACTTGCGCATGAGCTCACGACCGCCCAAAACCACTGTGAGATACATGGCCATGGTGAAGGCGACGCCAGTGAAGGTGGAGAAGGGTGTGCGTCCTGGCTGCCATGAGAGCATGGGCGAGTTGGCGCCGGGCTGGAGAGCAGCAGGAGCTACGAGGGACCAGAGGGAGGCGAGGTTGTCGTAGACCGGCGTGGCATGGTGCGACGACATCATGGCGGGCGAGAGGAAAGGCAAGGCTGAGCGGGCCAGGCGATGGAGTTGACAACAGATGGGTCGGATGTGTGGGAGGGGGAGGAAGCGGCTGCGATCGATCACGGAAGGTCTTGAGGAGCGGATCGTACTGAGAAAAGAAGCACTCTCGATCTCTGCGGGAACGTCGACCCGCTCCTTGCCCTTGCCTTTCCATGCTGCTGCTTTTGCTGCTTTCGCTGCTTTGAGCTTGCTTTGATGCAGGGCCGGCTGCTGGGTGCGTGTTGATTTTGAGGCGCAACTTTTGGGGCGAGCCTCAGTCCGCCGTGTCGACTTGAACGAGGCTCGCAGCTCGCGGGCCGAGCGGGGAGGCGTTCGAAAGCGTCGAACCCTGACACCGACTCTGACGTCGGCCGACCAGCTCCGCCCATCGACGGGGCGGGGCGATGACGGTGATGGCGATGTTGGTGGGCATCGAAGAGTGTCATGGTCATCGCCAACATCAAGGTACGGGGAGTCGTGCGACATCAAACGAAGAGTTTTGCCTGATGGCCCTGCCCTGCGACCGGCCTCGACGACGCCGCTCAATTTTGGACGGCGGGAAATTGGTTACTCGAGCAACCTCGCTTCGATGGCGCCGCCGCCTCCGCCGTCGCTCTATGGTAGAGGATCACCCGAGGCCAGATCTCGCTCGACGCCGCCTGCTGACCACGACTACCTTGAAGTGAATGTCACTAATCACTCGATTCGAAAGTCATGGCTTCCTCATGCCTCAGGGACGCATTGCTTCGCTGGTCTCATGCTCAAAGGACTGGCAGGCTTCCTCAATGATTCGCCGTCCAGCGACACTCGCTTGACCCTCGTCTGGCCGCGAGTGCTGACGGCGAGACGACTTGATCTTGACTGCCTCGCTCCCTCTGTCGGCCTCTCTCCCTGGCTCAGCTCCATCCACTCCGCGGCCCTGGCTTGCTCGACCCAGACTCAAGCCCAGAAGTCCGCGGCCCTTCGCCTCTTTCGCCGCTATGGCTCAGCTCATCCCCACACCTCGAGCCAGACTCTGGCATCGCGGAGCACTATTGCCCTCGATGCCTATTGAGTTTCCTTCCTTGCCTCCTTACCCATTCCTTCATCGATCACCTCCCGAACCGGCTTCGAGGCTCTCTGACTTCAGCATCTGCTTGCCCTCTCCTCGTCCATCGCTCCTCTATCTCTCGCTCATATCTCCCACACGTGCTGGCCACCTTCGACGTCGACTAGCGAGCATAGCCCTCCCTACTCCCTTGTCTCCTCGATACGAACCACTGTAATCCTCCGACCCAGTGCTCTCGGGCTCAAGATCTCCTCGTACTAGCAAGGCGACGCCCGCACGGGCTGCCTGTTTCCTCTACATCCCATTCTTCAGCATCGCCCCCAGCCCCACCTTTGCCCTACGCCATCTGGGATCTTGCTCAGCATACAGTGCGCCATGAGCTCGCCACCTCAATCAGCCTCCCCCGCAATGCCTCGGTGGCTCGAGGAAAGTGTTGAGGGCCCTCAGCAGGTGCAGCTCAGCAGTCCCACGTCTGCTCTCAACGCAGTAGCCGAAGCCACCATCAGCAATAGCCGCCCTCGCTCCCAATCAGACGGCTTCGACGATCCTTTCTTGTCTAAGAAGCTTGAGAACCAGACTGCATCGGCTAGCACCCTCGATGATCTCAACGACCAGCTTACGAAAGCCCGTCAAGCATTGGAGGGTGGGTCGTGTCGTGTGACTTGCAAGCATACACTCGCTGACCTCCGTACTATTCCTTCAACAGCGCTAGCCACCACGGAGCAGCCTCGCACCAGCGCCACTCTTCCCCTCACCTCGGTCCCACAGCTGGCCTCGCTCAGCATCGGTCGCAGTCCTCCTGCGCCTGGACAGAGGCCCACCCGCGTCACATCACTGGGCCACCTTAGTCGTCTTCCAAAGAGTGGCGTCGCAGAGACTTCACAGTCCGGCCCCGCCCTTGAGCCTTCCTCCCCTCAACGGCGCCAGCGTTCCAAGACGAGCAACGATTGCAAGCTCCCCATCCAGATTATCACTCAAGTCGGCGGCGGAGCCCGCAACCATTACTCCCTTGGCGCTCTCAAGACCAAATGGATCATCAGCGGGGACAGTCCTCGCTCTTCTTCGAGCCGAAGGAGTCGCGCAAGCAGCAGCGTGCTCGACAGCAGTCGCTCCAATCATAGCTTTGCACAGCTTGATTGGCAAGAGTCAGGGTCGCCTTCTCGCTCTCGTACACACTCGGAAGAAGTAGGCAGTATCTCTGTACCTAGCCTAGCCTCAGCCTCTTCACCTGCGCGCCGTGGACGCTTGCCCAGTGGAGCACTGCGTGCCCGACAAGACTCTGGCTCCTTTTCAGTACACTCTTTCTCCCAGAGACAGCAGTCTGCTACCGCGGCGCTGGGAGCACCAGAGTGGCGCGCCAATGCCGCACCCGCTACCACACGTACGCACAGCCAGCCGCCTCCTTTGGCGCCTTCGGCGAGTACCCTTCCTCCTCGTCATGCCTTACCCATGACCAAGTCTATGAGCGTGCTGCCGTCTACGGGCTCCTCAACCTCGCTCCTTAATTCCTCGCCACCTAGGAAACGTGCCATTACGGACATGACCGCCGACCAGACTGCAGTGCCGCAACCTCAGGGCCCTCGCTGCAGCCACCTGCTCCCTTCGGCGGAGCTCGCCTCACCTCTTCAGCCCATTACGACCCGCGACGGTGGCAGCCTAGCCGAGAGTGACAGCGATGACGAGGTTCCTCCTTCTGCAGTTGCCTCGGCCTTGCAGTACTACCGCACGTCTCCCAGCCGACCACCGAGCTACGACATTGCCCAACGTCTGCCCTGCGAGCTTTGTGGCGCCCTTGTCCTGCGATGGGCTATCTTGCTGCCTTGCGGGCATCGAGCTTGTACGGCTTGCTGCTGCTCGGGCGTCAACCAAGTCTCGACTACGCCTCCCCGAGAGCACACTTGCGCAGCGTGCGGCCAGCTGGTCGAAGGCATTTCGCTGTCGCTCCCTGCAGCAGAGGCAGCACGAGCAGCCGCCATGCCGGCTCAACAGCAAGGTCGTTCGGTCTTCTCTCTACCGAGTAATGAGGGCGACCGCGCTTCACCTCGCCGACAGCGCGAAAGGAGCTCGGAGATTCGTCGCTTCCCGGGCGTCACCGAAGCGCTGCTTGGCCTTGACAAGCCCTTGCCTGCCGAGATGGCAAGCAAGACACTCACACAAGTCGCCGAGGAGTTCCAAGTTGACAAGTACATGGCTGCCTCTGCCCTGACCACACCTCCACGAGCTGGACAGCATCTTCCCCTTTCGGTCTCCCCAGAGACGACTTTCAATACTGACGAGTCCTTCGTTCTCAGCGAGCACGCATCCTTCTACAAGCCCAAGCATGTTGGCCAGGCTGCTCTGCATATTGGCAACGACGCAGTCAAAAGAGGCAAGCCACTACTGCCTGCGCAAGGCATCTCAACAAATCTCTCTCAAGCGGCAGCGGTCCCTTTCTTCCCCACCGCCTCGAGCACGTCTGACCTCTTCTCGGCCAGCGGAGAAAATGAGCCTTATGCTGTCGTCAGGATGGACAACATTCCTTGGCGTACATCGTACCAAGACGTCATACAATGGATCCCTGAAGCCGACACGCTGTTGCCTAACGCCACTGCACTGCCGCAGCCCGTTCACGTGCCTCTCGACCTCAGGACTGGCAAGACGGCCAACAGCGCCTTCATTGAGCTTCGTAATGCAGATGCTGCCAAGAAGCTCATTCGCAAGCGTAACAACACCAAGCTGATGGGCAGACCTGTATCACTCCTCCTCTCGAGCTACGACGAGCTCCTTGCAGAGCTCTTTCCCGTACGCGAGCCTCTCCCTCCCGGTGTCTCCTACCAGCACGCCGCCTACTGGACACCATGGCAGCTCGACCAGCTCCTGCATCTCATGGACTTCGGCGCTCCTCAACTCAAGAGCCCAATCAAGCCCATTGAGCTCACCATCAGCCTCGTCGAGCTTGCACCTGCCGAGCTGCCCTACGAGCACAAGCTGCTGCTTGCGGAGCGTACCCTCGAAGTCTATTGCCAGGGTACACAGTGGCTCGCCCATGCGGTTGAGGGGCTGTCCGACGCTCTTGATCGTCTTGTGCTCGCCATTGCTAGCTGCGCCGTACTCTCGGTGGACCTGAAGGACAAGCTGCTCGAGTACATCCGCCATCTCTCGAGCAAGTCGAACCAAACCAAGAAGGTGAACACGCTCCTAGGACCCCAAGCACAAGCTTCATACTATCAACAGCAGTACGCCATGGCAACGGAGCATGGAGGTGCGCACGAGTATGGCTACAATCCCTCTGCGCAGCCGCTATCCGCTCCTGACGCTAGCGCTTCTCGCGAAGCTCTCTGGCCACCACCACCAGCGTCCACCACAACTGACTCGGGCCACTACGGCTACACGCTACATCAGCAATACACTCAGCAACGCTCCGCACCTGCTACTACCGGGCGCAGTCCCTACTACTACCCAGACGGCTCCATGAGCGCGACGATGGCTCGCCAGGATAAGCAGCTCGGCCTCTCCCACTACCCATACCAGCAGACGTACACGCAACCTCCCGACGCTGACTACGAGTATGGCGACTACGAGTACGACGCATTCTCTCCAATTGTAAATCAGGGTCATCTCTCGTCGGACTCGGCCCGTGCGCTTCCTCTCACAGGCCACGTTGGTCCAGTCGACCCGCAGAGCACCACCTCCACTCACTTCTCTCAGCACTCCCAGCATCACGACGAATCTCTCAGCCGAAGGGGAAGCTACAGCGAGCGAGTCCGACAAGGCATCAATCACTACTCGGCAACTAGCACTGCTTTCTCGGCGCACTCTGCGAATCCTTGGAAGTCAATGTATGATGAGACTCACTTTGAGCACCTTGTCAACTCGGTCGCCTCGCGCCTTGCTGCCGATAGCCACACGTAGCATCATCATTTGCACGTGCGTACAAGCTTTCTTGTCCTTCATTGGTTCCTGCTTCCTCTCCATACTCTCTTGCCACACCTCGACTGCGATTCCGAATCGACACGCAAGCATATCGTCCACAACTTCCATCAAGACTTCCATGATACACGAATGAGTCTTTCTCAGAGAAACGCTTCAAAGACTAGCCGCCTTGCCCGCGCCATGGTCGTCTTTCTCTACACTCAACTTCGCGAGACCACTAGCATCCATACCCAGCCCGGCATGAGCTCCCTACTTCTCCTTCTCTTCCGCTTCCCTCTTTTCTTCTCCTTCGATAGAGACCGTTCTTTACTCGATTCCTCCTTCCTTTTTCTCCCCACTCGAATCGCATTCAAATGGCTCTCTTTTTGTGCTCGTGATGCATTGCGTACGAGAAGTCGACAAGAGAACAGAGCTTGACGCGCCGTCGCTCACTTCCTTCCCTTCTTGCCACCACCGCCTCCACCACCTCCTCGTTCACCAAAGTCCTTACTGAAAGCGCTCTTTCCTTTCTTCGCCCCACCAGACTTCTTCGCGCCACCACCGACGGCCCCGGCTTTCGCGCCTCCCGCCGCTTGCGCACTACTCTTCGTCTTCTTACCCTTCTTGCCCTCCTTCTTTCCCTTCTTCCTCTCCACCACTCCAAGCTCTTTTGGCTTCTCCTCGCGCTTAGCAGCTCGAATCTGGGCAGCCATAGCTCTCCCGGCACTCGCGTCCTCTGCTCCTTCCTCTCTCGCCATCTTGGTACGCTTTTTTCTCCTCGACAGGCCAGCAAAGCGATCCTTCCCCTGAGCATCCTTGCGCTGTGCTGCCTTCTTCTCTTCTCGCTCCTGGTCGCGACGAGCGCGTGGGTCTACTTGACGGGCATAGTCCCGGAGGGAGAGACGGGAGGCTTCTTCCTTCTCTTGTTGGGTCTGGAACCACGTGCGCTTGGGACGAGACATGATCTCGTCGCGGTGCTCGACGAGATTCTCGCCGCGCTTGAGCTCACGCTCTGCCAGCTGAAGGGCCTTCTCCTCCTTCTCTTCCGCGAGCACCGCCTCTACATCACTGCGTAGCTCCGCGAGCTGATCGCGCACTTGACCGACAATATCCGCAGGTACGAGGCGGTGCCTTACTTGCGAGGCTGGGCTCTTCTTGAGCACAGCCTTGAGGAGGCGTCGATCTGCCTCGCCAACGAGTGTCACCGCCCGTCCCTCTTTACCCGCTCTGGCTGTACGCCCCACACGATGGATGTACACCTCCAGCTGCGCGGGCATGTCGTAGTTGATGACCGTCTGGACCCCTTTGATATCCAGACCGCGCGATGCCAGGTCGGTGGCAAGGAGGAAATCGACCTTGCCCTCCTTGAAGGACTGTAGCGAGCCCAATCTCTGCTCTTGTGATAGATCGCCGTGCAGTTCTGCCGCTGCGAGACCGACGAGGCCGAAGAGAATCTTGAGCTGGTGAGCGAGCTTTTTACTGCGCACGAAGATGATGACTTGGTGTCGGAAGGTGCGTAGACAGAGGGAGATGAGAAGGGCAGGACGAGCTTCGTCTTCTGTGCGGCGAGAGACTGCGGAGGAAGAGCCTTCTGCTTCGCCGCCTGTTGCGCCGCGCACACGCACAAACTCCTGGACAAGCTTGGTAGCCGTTGAGCGCTTCGGGTCGACGAAGAGTCTTACTGGCCTGCGCAGAGAGAGGCGGACCAGCTCATCCACATCGTCGGTCATAGTTGCAGAGAAGAGCATCGTCTGTCTTCCCTTCGGCGTGGCCTGGATAATCTCATTCAGCTCAGCCGCGAACCCTTCTTCGAGCATACGGTCAGCCTCGTCCATTACGAGGATCTCCACATCATCGATGCCGAACGAGGCCGAGTTGCGAATGTGATCGATGAGCCTGCCGGGCGTGGCAATGACGATTTCGGGTCGGGTCTTGAGCTCCTGCTCCTGCGACTTGGAGCTCAAACCTCCCACGCAGAGGCAGAATCGCACGTCCGTGTAACGTGCCAAGGCCTTGCCGACGTTGAAGCATTGTACTGCCAGCTCTCGCGTAGGAGTGAGCACGACGACGCGAGTCTTAGCTTCGCTGCCTCCTCGTGGACGGTGCGCCAGACGCTCCAAGATGGGGATGAGGAAGGCGGCCGTCTTTCCTGATCCGGTGACGGCGCCTGCTACGATGTCCTTGCCCGCCAACGCAATGGGAATTGTACGCGATTGGATGGGCGTCGGGGTCGAGAAAGAGAGTGCGGCCAGGCCCCGCAGCAGGGGCCGGGAGAGGGAAAAAGATTGGAAGGAGCTGAGTGCGTCTTGTGCGGTGGCGGCGTCCTTTGTCGCTGAGCTTGATGTCTTGCCATTGGCTGTTTCCTCTGAGGCAAAGAAGGCGGCTTTGCGCGCCTTTTCTACCTCAGTCTCGTGGTCTGAATCGGCTTCCGATGCGGATTCGACGTCGTCGTCTTGATCGCTGACGTCGTCCTCTCCGTCTTCGTCTTCGTCATCTTCATCATCATCAGAGGAGCCAAGTGGATCCTCGTCATCGTCTTTGTCCTCCTCGCTGTCGGCGTCCCCTCCAGCAGGAACGATGCCTCCTCCAAATTCGTCTGCATCCTCTTCCTCGGACTGGACATCGATGTCGTCCTCATCTGCAAAGCCTGAGAACTCGAGCTCTCCGTCTTGTCCAACCTCGTCCTCTTCGTTGTCCTCTTCATCATCCGACTCGCCCCTGGGCAGTTGCATCGGCCTCCTCCTCTTCTCAATAATGTCATCGACAGTCACCAGCCTGCCCTGTTCGGCTCCCTTCTTCTTGCCGACATTGTTGAAGTCCCATCCACCAGCTCTAGCCGACTCATCATCGTCGTCGACATCAAAGGAAAAGGCCTTGTTGACGGCCAGCTCCTCACCGGGAGCAACCATCGAAGCGGGGGCTCGTCCTTTGCCTTTGCCGTCTACCACCTTCTCGCCCTTGCGGAGACCTCCTCGCTGCTTTCCTGCTGATGTCGTAGCGTCCCCTTCGTCTTCATTGTTTGATGCTTCCTCTGCTTCTTCGCCTTCTATGTCTGCTGCATTCGCACCATCGTCGTCATCATCCGAGTCGAGGGTCATGATGAAGTCGTCCGCCTTCGCTGCCGGGGCAGCCGTGGCGCCATTCTGACTTTTCGATGGCCCAGCAGCTTTGCTTGCTAGCTTCTTTGCCTTTACGGCGGCTGGCATTGCAGCGTCGTGAGGGGTGGTGTGATGGTGTTGAAGTCAAAGTGGCACCAATTCGCAACGCAACGCCTCAGAAATTCTCGAGCTGAGGCGGACTGACAACGCCCGCCAAAGCAGAGAGGCCGCGGCTCACATCATCGCGCTCATGCTGTTCACCACTTCAAGGCTTCTTCTCCTTCTGCATTTCACCGATGGCTGGTGCAATTGATTGGACTATGTAAGGTAAGCGGGGGCTTGGCATGAGGAGCGCGAAGAAGAAAGGACAAGAACGAAGAAAGAGAGTGTGGGAAGAATAAAAGGTCAAGTCAAGTGGACTGGGTGGAGATGCTGTCGGTCCATGGCGCTATGTCCGGTGCTTTGATCTTACCTTGCAAGAAGGCGCGCAATAATGTAGAATGAAGATACCTCTTTCCCCTTCTGGTCCCCTCGCTCGGTATACGCATGCGTCTCAGCGCTGGCTGCGCTCGGCTCGGCTCAAGCCCCAGCCGCCTTCTTCAAGAACATCTTCATCTTCCCCCTCCCACTACTGGCGGCCCCACCAATCGAAGAAGCCCGACTATCTGTGCTCCTCTCCCTGCGTTGCTTCTCCGCTTTGCCTCCGACGGCTCGACGGCTCGAACCCTCGGGCTCAGACAGGATCTCATCCTCTCGGTCTACCTCCGCATCACCTGCTGTGCTTGGGCTGGCCTGATGCGAGCCAAGGGAGCCATTCCCGCTACCTGTGCCACTACCGCCGCTTCCACCGCTGCCGCTTGTACGGCCGCGGGGAGACGCTGTCGATTGCTGTTGTTGATGAGCAGGGAAGAAGCTTCCTGCTGCTGCCGAGTGAGAGTGATCGACGCTGTTTCCCTCGCCAGGGGTCTGGAACCCCACATCCTCGGACACGGCGCTCCCTCTTCGCTCGTCAGCAATGTGGTCAAGTGGGGTGGCGGAACCTACGCCACCTGATGATGACGGTGGGACGTGCAGTAGAGAGCTGCTACTTGCTCCCAGGCTGGGCATCCCTCCACTACCAGATCCCGTGGAACCTGCGTCGGCGTTCTGAGCCGCAAATCGCCTCGCAGCCACCGAGCGCGGCGGCGGAGCTTCGGCCAGTACGCTGAGAACATGTTGGTTGACGGGGGTACGGGCTTCTTCCAGAGGTGAGAAGCCAGATAAGTCGTTTGGAGAGGCGGCCGTGGCACCGCTACTGCTGCGGATGTTGATGGGCTGAGACCCACGTCGACCTTGCCCAGCGGCCACGTCCACGACGTCGGTGTCAAGCGAGCGTTGAGGCTCTACGCTCTCCTCATCAATGGTCGAGTGGCGCGGCGAGGTAGAAACAAGCCTAGTGGCATTGCCATGAAGCGAGGACGCCACATTTTCGTCTTCGTCCATGGGGTCTCGCATGACTTCTTGCGACTCGTCCGCTGCTCCTGCCGGTGCTCCAGCGCCTCGAATGACGGCGGTACGATCCATTGCATCTGCAAGATCTTGCGCACCGTCGTCTCCCACAGCCGTGACCGGCCTGTCGAGCTGAAGTTGCTGACGCAGCCCGCTGGGTACGGACGGCGTGTTGGGAAGACCAGAGACGGCTGTCGTGTCTGGATTGGCGGCTGATGGAGAGTTAGTACGAGAGGCGCCAGCTGAGCCATCACCACCACCACTGCCATGTCCCTGCGAAGAAGACACCAGCAGCTCAGGCGGTCCGTCCGTGTGCCTATCGACCGCAGGCGTCTCTCCCTCGCCCTTTGCGCCTAATCTGTTCATCTCAGCCGCCTCCGCCTCCTTCAGCAAAGCATCCTGCCACTCCTCGTCCTGCTCCACATCCGCCTCCAAGTCTGCGAACGTCCTACATAACGGGCAAGAGAAGCCAGGATGATGCAGGTTGAGCAAGGGGCGGATGCACTTGTAGTGGAAGACGTGCGAGCAAGGGGCGATGAAAAGGGCTTGGCAGACTGTTACGCTGAACAGACAGATACAGCAGTCTGTCACGTTTACTTGCTGTCGATTGGTGGGGAGGCTGCTTCCCGCAGCGGCGGCTGCAGCTGCGACAACGCCTGCGGCGTCTGAGGGCTTGGCTGGCGAAGAAATGGCGGCTGCGGGTGTTGGCAGCGGGGAGCCTTGTAGCGCACGCAGCTGGCGAAGAGCATTGATGTTGAATTGGTTGGCCTCCCGTTGCCATCCTCGGTTGAGCTCAACGCGGATCTTGACGCAGCGATAGATCTCCTCCGTTCCACCCTGATAGTCGACGCCCAGCTGTAGGATATCACCGTCCTTGACAGCAAAAGGTCTTGACTCCACATTCGGGGCCGAGAGTCTGATATGGTTGAGGAAAGTGCCCGACGAGCTCTTGGTGTCTTTGATGAAGAATTTCCCGCCGGCCTCACACCAGAGCTCTGCGTGACCGCGGCTGACGACTTTACTCTTGAAGGCAATGCGAGCTGAATCGATGCGGCCGCCTCCACCAGCTGAGCTGGGCACCGCCCCACCTCTGTTGCCGGGACCAGAGCCGAAGGGCTGAGTCGATGTTGCTGCGGCCGCATTCATTGTTGCATGGACATCTTCGCCAGGCGCCGGAGCAGGAGTACGATCCGTGAAGCGACCGATCTTGACGGCTGGTATACCTTCGCGCAGGTCCCGCTCGATGGGCTCGAAGTGCAAAGATCGAGTGGCCTCGAGGTGTGGCACGAGTCTGATGCGGTGGACACCAGCCTGCGGTGACGGGTTGGTACCATTTGATGAGGGCGCGGCTGCTGCTGACGATGATGAGGTAACATCGAGCGCCGGAAGTCCTTGCGCTGCGATGGCGCCCGGTAGACCATCGATAGCGTTCGTCTCAGCAGGCTGGCTGGGTAGCGCTCCACTTGCGGTCGAGATGTCGCGAGACGACGATGACGCAGTAGAGCGAACATTGTTTGGTACACTCGACGAGGGCAACTGCGAGGTGACTGCAGACGCTCTCACAGCCGACTGCGAGTCCAGAGCGGCATTGGACGACGATCTTGGTACGCCGTGCTGGCCCTGGCTGTATCGACGAAACATACGTCCAAATGCGCTGCCTCCTTCTCGATCTCTTGCTCCGCCCGCACCGTTACTGTTGCCATTGCCGGTGCCGCTGTGTGTCCTCGTCATCGAATGCATGGTGGGCTCGATGGGGCTGACGAGCTCCTCGGTCGATGATCCCGCCGCTGCGCCAGGTGATGAGGGAAAGTGTGGCCGGTTGCTAGCGTTGGTATCAAGGGGCAGCTGGCTTGAAGAGGATGAAAAGCGCCCGAGACCGAGACCAGGTCTAAGAGTGGTCCGCCGACGAGGAGAGGAGGGTTGCTGCTCGTCAAGGCCAGCAGCAGTGTTGCTTCCCGCCGTCGAGGTGTGTGGGCGATGGTTGCCTCTGCTGGTAAAAGGGTTATGCCGCTCAAAGAAGCCAGCAGCGATACCGGCTGGCGGGCTGTTTGCCGACGACGAGAGATTGGATGACGATCGAGATGTGACGGGCCTTGCGTCTGCGAAACCGCTCGTTGTAGCCCTGGACATATGAATGCTCGATCAGCAAGCAATCCAGCTCAGTGATGTGGTGCAAAGTAGTGCACGATGCTGTTGCCTGCCGCTGATGATAGAGATGATGATGACGATGGTGATGAGGCAAAGAAGGTGCGGCCGAGGCAGAGCCAGATGATAGTTGCGAGCCTCTAGCTTTGATGTCGTCGTCTTGCCGTCTTTGTCGCCGCCGAGTTGTGAGGCTCACACCACGCGGAGGCAGAGTGGTGCTCTCTCCTTGCTACTCGCCGTGGGGCAAGGAGGCAAAAGCCAAGGAAGCGCAACCGCGAGGCGGCGGCACAGCGTCGAGCGGCAGCAGCGGCAAACAGCAGCGGCCGGGGAAGGCAAGAGGGGAGGGAGCGGAGCTTGAGGCGCCGATGCTCGATGCTCGATGCTCCAGAACCAAAGCGGCGAGCAGCGAGCAGAGAGACTCAATCCGACGCACGCGATCCAGGCCAAAGGGCAGCCAGAATTGAGCAAACGAAGTTCGAGACGTTCCTGCAGGCAGGCGCGTGGGCTTGAATCTTGGTCAAAGCGCGATGATGACGACGATGACGGCGATGAGGGCGATGACCACCTGCTCACTTTGATATGGTGCGAAACTCAAGCGACGACGCTGAAGAGCGAAAGACCAGAGCCGCTGCCTCGGAAGCAATGCCCAGGTGATCCTGATGGGAGTATGGCAAACGGGAGAGTGAATGATGGGCAAAGGGGATAGGGGGGCCCGGGCTCAAAGGGTTTCAAAGTTTGCGGCATCAATCCTGCGCGGTCGTAGTTCACCAACGATGGGAGGCAAGGGCAAGGGCCGCACATGGCTTCTCGATAGGATTGTAAAGGCGGCGGCATTGATGAGCCTGTGTCACGTCGCTCAATCGCCGCGGCAAAAAGGTGGGTGTGGCTCAGCAAGCACGCGTCGAAGCCAGCGACAGCCAAGATCGAAGGAGCTGGGGTTTCCTCAGGAAGAAATGACGATTCAGGCGATTGCGGAGATATCATGCTACACTGACGAGCGTAGATTGAGCTCTCCCTTCTCCTGTGCCATCGTCGTCGACTGGTCATTGTCCCCCGACTTGGCCCCGCTTTTGCTTGCTGTTGTTCTCCATGTCGACTCGCGGCGCCACACCTGGCCCGCCGTGCAGGCTTGCAGCTCGCTCTCACGCGAGAGAGGGGCACGGCGTTCCGCCGAGATATCTCAGAGCGAGAAGTGTTGATTGATTCCAATTTGCCCGTGGATCGTAGCCACCCTCTTTGTCCTAATACAACTCTCCATCATCTCCCTTCGACCCAACCCCACTGTGTCGCTCTTTTAAACGTCTCTGGGCTGCGATCTGAGTGTCAAAGCAGAGCAGAGCAGAGCAGAGCCGGCTGGCTGGCGTTCGCCGATACCCCAGTCACTCGCCGCTCCTCCTTTTGCCTAGGCTCGCGACATCGGGCGCTCATCGCGACAGATAGCGCTCGTCACCCCATAGACCACATCGACATCGTCAAGCGGCTGTCGCAAGCGACATCGACTCTCATTCTCTTGTGACGCTCGCTCGGTCGTCCATCTCACCATCCTCACAGTCATCCAGCACCATGTTCGTCGCTTCGAATCTCTACAGATATGGTGAGTTGCGGCGCTGCGGTGGTCAGCAAAGGATGTGTGAGCTCACCGTCTCTCTATCTTTGACTCTTCTCGTAGCCACCGGCGGCCCCTCATCCTCATCACCGGCGGCGCATGAGCCCGATCCTCTGAACAGTCGCGTCAAGCGACATCCGAAACGCAACAACTCACAACGAACAGCCAATGGCCCTGGCACTCGTCCTAGGAAGGCCTCTAACTTATCTCCTGCTGATGTCGCCGCCGCGTCCCTCGATCCTCCTCCTTCATACGCAAGTGTCGCGTCTGGCTCCACCCAAGCTGAAAAGCAGCAAGCCAACGAAGCCAAGATAGCGATCATTTCACAGCTTCTCCGCGAGGAGGATCTCTACAAGCTTCTCGGCGTAAAGCGCAACGCCAAACAGGACGAGATCCGTCGTGGCTTCCTCAATAGAAGTCGATCTTGCCATCCGGACAAATTTCCCAATTATGCCCCTGCGACTTCGGCCTTCCAGAAAGTCAGCTTCGCGTATGAGACGCTGAGCAAGCCGAGCAGCAGGAGGATGTACGATGTCAGTGGGAGAACGGACTTTGCTGCTGCGATGAACACCGGCAGCGATAGCTCAGAGGGAGGCACTGCGGCCGGTGGTGGACTGGCAGGGGACGACACGCTCAACTCGGTTCTCTACTCGGTCTTTTGCGAGTTCATGGAAGGGGACTTTGAGATGATCCGAGTTCTGGTCAATGCGCTGAACGACAGCGGCAACTCCAGTAACAACTCTACCAGCCAGCTAGGAGAAGACGCAATCGACAGCATCGAAGCAGCGTTTACGCGGCTCCGCGAAATCATGCTGGCAGGGAAACGTTACCTATCCATCATCCGCTTTGAACTCATCAGGCTCTACGAGATCCAGCATTCGCTGAGGCAGCTGTCTTACTTCAATATCACGGGCAGGCTCAAGCTGACGCTGCAGCTCGCGAGGGTCACGATCAATATCCCTTTGGCCATTGATACGGCTATGAAGACGCCGAATGCTAGGGATGGAGCTGTACCGAGTAACGGACAGGGGAGCAACGGGACGCCACAGGATTATGAAGAAGACGATAGCAGCAGTAGCGATGAGGAGGAGGAAGATGGTGCCACACGATCCCGCCGTCAGAGAGGCCGGCCAGACCGTACCCGCGCGGCAGCCTCATCAGACGACTTTGGCGTCGCCCCCGAAGATGACGACGACGAAGCGGGGAGCGACAGCAACGAGTGGTCAGAAACGCGCGCAGAGGAGCAAGCCCGTCAACGTCGTAAAGCGAAGCGTGCTAGGCGTCGTGCTGCCAGGAGGGAGAGGAGGGCGAAGCTACGCAACGGCAGCAGCAGTGGGACGTCCCACGAGGAGGCTCAAAGTGGGGACGTACCGCAGAACGCTGCATTGCAGAGGAGAGGCTTGCTGCCCAATTCGGCCGTCGGGCTTCTCAAGGGCGTCGTGAGGGTGCTGGAGGCCAGTGAGGCTTGGGTGCCCGGTTCGACGTCGAACTCAGCGAGGGGCAGTGATGACTGAGACTGCAGGGATGGAGGTGAAAGAGCGGCAGACTAGTTACGGAGGAGCATTGTTTCAACTTTCTTGATACCCTTCTACGCCTTCCTTCGCCCACGAGCGACAGAGGCTCCTATATCCTTCATATACAGCCGATCACCGTCTTCGGGGTGGCTCATGCTTGCAAAATCTCATGATGACGCTGTTCCTGACTCCTCCCTTGTGCAATGATGGCACTGGTATTACAATTGACTTGCAGCTGTTACTAGCTACTACTCCTCGCCAACTTCTGCCGCCTCAGCTTGCAGATCAGTCATCTCAGCCCTAACTTCGACTAGCAGCTCCGCAATCCGCCCCTTACGCAGCTCCTCAATCCCTGCGGTCAAGGAGGCAATCCCCTCTTCTACACTGTTGCCCTCGCCAGGTCCGCCAACCTCATCCTGACCGTTCGTGGGCCCCGCCAGCACTTTCCTTGCCTCTTCATCTCCCTGAGTGACCAGCACCCGTCTGACCTGATCCCTCTTTACCACTTTGCGCAACACCTCATTCTCAGCCTCCTGCACTCCATCCACCATCCTGGCCAAATCTGGCCTCGCGAAGCTCTCATTATGCCTCAGTTCAAGGGAGAGGGAGCGCGTCTCGTGCGCGCAATCCAGCAGACCGGTGGTGACTAGGGATACGATGCGACTGATGAGGTTGTCTGAAGAAAGGGGGACCGTAGTGGTGGCGTAGTGACCCTCACCTGATACGGGGGCATGATCCCCGTTTGCGTGATGGCCGTTTGTTGTGGGCGCAGCGGCCTCGTCCTCATTGAGGTCGACACCTCGCTCCTTCTGCTCCTGCTTAGCTTTGAGATGTCCCTCCATTGCCTCCTCGTACTCCTTCCATAGGGATACCCTTCGATCCTGCGTTGCCATGAATGTCTTTAGGACGGAGAGAAGGTCTTTTGGTGGAGGCGGGAAGCGTTCTTCATCCGTGAGCGGGCGACCATTGAAGAGGCGAGGGTCTGATCTCGACGTCTGTTGGCCAGCGACAGCTGCGGATGAGGATGTTGGGGGAGAATCGGCACTTGGCATCTTGATAATTGTGCTCCTTGGTGTGCAGAGAAGGGACGCGCAAGTGTTGCTTTCGAGGTTTTGCTCAGCCGTGCGATCTTGCAGCAGTCGAAAAAGACTTGACGACGCGGGCACGGACTCGGCAGACCGGCAGTCGATGGGTGCTTCCCCGCACGCACAGACGGTGACGGCCATCGAAGCCGGACCCTGGAGCGACCTTGTCCTCTGGCCTCTCACCCAAACCGCACAACTACTGATTCATTGCCCAGCATGAGCAACAAGGTGAGCTGAGAGTGCTTGGGAATTGCAAGCTGGAGCTCTCTCTGAACACTTGAACTCGCCTCACCATCCGCCAGTCAGGCTACATGCGCCAGATCTACCTCGAAGGGCTCATCTCCAACCGATCGCCCACCTTTACCACAAGCACGGGCTCAGTCCTCGAATCAGCAGCCCGCGAGAAGCTGTCACCGGAGGCATACGCCTATGTAGCCGGATCTGCCTCATCGGAGAGCACCTCGCATAACAATCGTGCTGCACTCGATTCATGGCAGATTGTTCCCCGCATGCTCGGTGGAGTCGACGTGGCTGAATTTGATGGGTCCACGACACTATTCGGAGGGAAGAAGTACCAGACGCCAATCATTGTTTCGCCGATTGGGGTCCAATCCCAGCTGAACACTGATGAGGCAGACCTTGCAACAGCTCGCGCCGCAGCAGAGCTAGAGGTGCCCTTCTGCCTCAGTAGCGCGGGAGATCGCACGATTGAGCAAGTGAGCGAACAGGTGGACTTCACGAACCCAGTAGGGGACGAGGAGGGGGGATCAGAGGCGTGGTTCCAGCTCTACTGGCCTTCGGACGATAAGCTGGCAGAGTCCATTGTCAAGCGAGCAAAAGCGGCAGGGTACACTGCTTTGGTCGTGACGCTGGATACGTGGTGGGTAGACGGGCGCGACACTGTGCTGATCTCGTTCGTGTGCTCACTCCTCATCCCTGCTCTGCCACCAGGATCCTCGGATGGCGTCCTCGCGACCTAGACCAAGCTTACAATCCCTTCCTGCGTGGTCAAGGGCTCGCCCAGCTCCTCTCCGACCCTTACTTCATCGCCACGTACTGCCCGGACGGGAAGCTCCCCTCCAAAGAGCACGACAACGACGCCTTCCTGCAAGTGTGCGCTACCGCCGTCTCCCTTCTCAATCCGGGCATCTCACGCTCCTGGTCTGAACTGCGCACCCTGCGTGAGCTCTGGGGTGAGGACAGGCCACTCCTGCTCAAAGGGATCCAGAGCCCCCTCGATGCGCAGAGAGGGTTGGAGGAAGGCGTGGATGGGATCGTTGTAAGCAACCATGGAGGAAGACAGGTCGATGGTGCGGTGGGTGCGCTGCAGGCCTTGCCTACTATTGCAGCCATGTGTAGGCAGAGGGGCAAGACATGTATTTTCGATTCAGGGGTCAGAACAGGAGCCGACGTATTCAAGGCGCTTGCACTGGGTGAGTGCAACGACACTGGCTCGCGGTCATGGGACTCTCATGCTGATCCTCGTCTCGTCTCATCTCATCGCTAGGCGCTCACGCAGTCGGCATCGGTCGCCCTTGGGCGTGGGGCTTGGCCCTCGAAGGGCAAGAAGGGGTATCCAAGGTGCTCAAGGGCATCTTGGCCGACTTTGAGCTCTGTGCTGCCTTGGCGGGGTGCAAGAGCGCGGGAGAGATCGGGAGGCATATGCTCGTGAAGAGGGGGGAGAACCTTTGATGCCGAAGTGCTAGCCCGTACGCCTGCTCAATTCTCCTCTCGCAGCTCCGTCAGTATCATGCGATATGCGACCGTATCCCGGCGATACAGCTTCGTGTGGGTGTGATCGTGAGAATGTATTGGTCAAGTGGGACAGAATACAGTGAAGGCGTGGCGAGCCTCAGATAGGACAGCCGAAGGCTCGTGGTGTCGAGACCGTTTAACGGTACTGTGTGGTGAGAAGAGGGTGGATGTGGTCAGCCGACAACATTCGGGCCTCAATGGATACGCAGAAACAGGAGGGGAGGAGGACCAGGGAGCAGCGACTGATCACGAGGACGGGACGTTCTGTCCACGCAGTAGCTCAATATGTCGTGCGACAAGGCGAGTGACCGCCATGGCCCGCACAGCTGACGTGCAGCGATGGCGACGGCACAGCTCTGCCCATGATCGCGACATCGGCTACCTGAACACCATGTCTGCCTGTTGTGCTAATCACAGGGATATCCCGCTGTGATGTCCAGCCATCTCCGACATTCCCTCGTTGCACCCTGTCCCGACCCTTCTCCCACAGTCCCACCCTTCTGCACTGTCTCGCACGCCAACTCACCTTGACGAAGCCAATGAGGTGAGCCTTCTCACGGAAAGCCTGACGGCCGATGTTGAGGCCGTACTTGCGGATGAGACCGTTGTTGTTGCCGGTAACACGGCAGGCGCGAGAGCCCTTGCCGTACTGGCGGGGGTGGCTGAACCAAACGTCGGCGTGGGTCATCTTGAGGGAGAGGCTGGGGAAGAGGGAACGGAGGGAGAGGATGCGTGTGAGCTGGGTGCACGATGTGAAGATGAGGGGGATTGCGAATCCAGTCCGACTAGGGGTGCAAGGTCGAGGTCGAGTGGGGCCGGTGCAGCATAGAGGTCGACACTCAGCGTCTCAGTAGCCTCTGGTCGTAACAGCTTTGCAGCATCCAGAATTTGAATGCTACCCTGCCTCGTCTGCTGAATGCGTCCCCTATGCTTCTTTCCCTCCCGATATCCCCTCTCCAGGTTTTCTCCCGCCTTTCTGAATGTGACTCCGCCAATCGTGCTCTCGCACAGGCGCGGAGAGGTAGAGGATGATGGGCGACGTGATGTCGCCGCGCGAGCTTGCACCTGATGCTTACCTTGATCGGTGAGGGTGAGGTGGTGGTGGCGATGAGAAGTCAAAGCAGTAACTCGCGGACGCTGTTGCAGGCTGAGGCGCCGCGTCCGCCCAGCGATGATTCTTTCTCGGGCCAACCCGACCCGGGTCCGGTTTCGTCCTGCAGCTGCGGAACCGGGCCTGCGACAACTCTTCCGCCTCGCGGCTCCCCGCCCTTCTCCCTTTCCTTTCCTCAACTTGGTCACCTTCTGACTTCAGCCCTATCACCTCATCAATCAATAATGGCTAGTTACGTCGCCAAGGACATTCCCGCCGCCGGAGGCAAGGACGTCGATGCTGCTGGCTCGGCTCCCGCAGCCAAGATCCACCGCATCCGCATCACCTTGACCTCTCGCAACGTCAAGAACCTCGAGAAGGTCTGCAACGACCTCGTCTCGCGCTCCAAGGACAAGCAGCTCCACGTCAAGGGCCCCGTCCGTCTCCCCACCAAGGTTCTCACCCACACCGTCCGCAAGAGCCCCTGTGGTGAGGGTTCCAAGACTTGGGACCACTTTGAGATGAGGATCCACAAGAGGTTGATCGACCTGCACTCGCCCTCCGAGATTGTCAAGCAGATCGTGCGTAGATGACCGGATGACAGACACCGATGACAGAATGGCACGCTGACCTGCATCATCACCTCTTGCGCCCGCGCAGACCTCCATCTCTCTCGAGCCCGGAGTTGAGGTCGAGGTCACTATCCTCTCCCACTAAGCGGCTTGTTTTGCTGCAGAGGATTGATGCTCCCTCAAAATGGATGTTGATGCGATTGGAGGATGAAAGGATGTCGTGGCTCTAGAGAGAGGCGATTTGGCCGATTCCGAGTCAAACGATTCCGTCACCCCCCAGTCGTGTCACACCCAAAATTGCACACGCACCATGTAGGCCCGTCTCGTCCCCTTGACAATGATGACGAACTGCATGGTCGTAGCACCTACATACAACTCAGCGCGTGACAGCCTCATGATGAGTGAAACGCGCGGGCCCGGCAACGACAGACGCAGCGATCCGAGAGATGAGAGTGGTATCATTGCTCACAGTAGAGTAAAGGAGCGTATCCTTGCCCACTTACCAGCTCTGAGCTTCCTGCCCGGCTGGCTCAGCGAGAGCTTACAGTTCCAAAAAAAAAAGGTATCGTATCGTGTTCATCCTGCACCCCTCCCCAGTCACGTCGCGCTACGGTCAGTCTATGGATATATCTGGCGTGGTAGTCGAGCCTGCCATACCGCTGTCGTTGTACCGCTCCCAGTCTCCTTGCCCATCGCCACCGTCGTCTCGCTCAAAAGAGACGCTCGTCTCTCCACTGGCGCCGCTCTCGTCTGCCTCGCTGCTGACATCGCCACTGGCGGAGCCATTCACACTCGCATGAGAGTCGCCCGTTGCGTCATCAGGAGGAGCGAGCCACTTAGCATCGCGTATGAGAGGCGTTGCACCTCCATCTTCATCTGCGTCAACATCCTCTGCCGCGCCTCGCTCCTCGACATCACCCGTTGCGTCATGAGCCGCCGCTGTACCGTTCCTCTGGCCCGGCGGACTCGCTGAGGTCACCGGTTGCATGGGCGTAGGCAAGCCTTGCGCCTTTGCCAAAGGCATTGCAGGGGATGACGAGGGGGGCGGAAATACCTCGCTGGCTGTCCCAGCCTCTGAAACATCTGCTTCTCCAGGCGCATTGCTAGCAAATGGCGCCGGTATTGCTGCATCTGTACCGTCCTGGTCGGTCAAGCTCATGTCTGCGAGGTGATGATCGTCGCCGTTAACAACGCCATTCGCTCGAGCTGAAGGCTGGAGCGGGTGCTCGGCGAGCTCTGCAGACATGTCACTGTCCTTGTTGGCAGATTCGTCTTGACCGGAGGGCAATGCCGCTATTGCTGGTGGCAGCGGTGCTGCCGACCTCGATGGATCGCCCTGTAGGGCTGAAGAGGCAGCTGATTGCGCACAGTCGAGCTCGATAGGTTGAAGAGGAGGGAGAGCGTCCGAAAGCGATGACTGGGAGTCGGCCGCGACGAGTCCACTCGCCGCGGGCTCCTGCTCCTCGCCTTTTCCCAGTAGCGGGACCGGTGGAGAAGAGGCCCTCGGCGTAAGCGACGTGGTTATGCCGGAGTTATCGGCTGATGCCGACGCCGATAGACCCATGCCTGCCAAGCTGTCGTCCAGACCATCAGCTTCATCGTCATCGACCTCAGCCCGCGCAGCCTCCTCTTCGCGTTCGTGCACCTCCCCGACACTAAGTACTTTCATTCCCCCTCCCCCCTTCTCTTCCGCTCCATCCGTGCTCGCAACCAAAGCACTGTTGGTGGGAAGGGTAGGCGCAACAGGCGGCCAGACGCTCAATATGGCCTCCTGTGCCTCGGCAAGCATTCCGTCAATAAGGGCGCGACAACGCTGATGAGCTGCTTCTAGCTCTTTATCCTCTTTCGGCGGGCCTGCCAACCCAGCATCATCGTCGCCTCCTCCAATGGTGGGAAAGTACTCCTCATCCTCATCCTCATCTTCATCGTCTGAATCGCCTGATGTGCCAGTTGCCGAGCTTCCGCCAGGACTCCTGAGCGCAAGCGCAGAGCCATTCTCCGCGCGTGCGAGTCGTCGTTTGAGCTCTCGAATCTCTTTGAATTGACGGTGCTTGTTCACCTCGAGACCAGAGTTGATTGCCATTAGGGAGCGATTGGTGATCTCTAGATCGGCGATCTTGCGCTCGACGCGTAGTTGAGCGTACTCGATGGGCAAAGAGAAATGGGAACCCGCGCTAGGGGTGGCTTGTTCGGTGGTGGGTGACAGGAGGGCTGAGCCTGATGATGGAGTAGGACGGGTCGGTGATTGAGTGGACGGCGGGACAGGAGGTGTCCCAGTGGAGCCTGAGAACGCCCAGTCAAAGAAGCCGTTCGAGCCGGTCGCTGTGGCCGTTGCTGCCGAGCCGAAGGAGGGCTGCTCCCGGGCATTTGACAGACCTCCTACAGTAGCCTGCGGCTGCTGTGGTCGTGCCACCTTGGCCACAATGGCAGGCGGGGATCTCGGCGGACTCACCTGTCCACCGATTGGAGAGGGAGATACAGGTGACTTACTAATCGTCGATGCCGTATCACTCCCTACTGAGCTTCTTGCGGCGCTAATGCCGCTCACGGAGTTGGCCGAGGTCGACGAGATGGATTGCTGTCTCTGGTGATGCATGCCCATCGAAGAGGAGAGTGATGCTGAAGGAGCGAGAGGAGGTCTACTCAGCCGCTTACCCGCCGCCAACACCTCTTGACCTTCGGACGCAGAGTGGCGGCGGTGCACATTGAGGCCTGCGGGTGAAGCTGGTCGCGATGGACTGCTGGCACGTTGCTGCAGATGAGGCTGTCCGACGCCACTCATTGGTCTTGACGTTGGAGGCGACATCGGCGAGGATGTACCACTATTCGAATGAGGTGAGAAGACGGCCGCAGCTGCCAGCCTAGCCTGCGTGGGCGTAGCATGTAAAGACGAGGCTGTTGGGACACGCCCGAGGGTATTGGATCGAGCATGTCCTGGCATCCGAACGGGCGAGGCTCTGCCACTGGCATTGACGCTGGGAGTGGGCGATGCAAGAGAGCTCGCTGCACCGTTGCTGATGCCACTGCCTTCTGTGCCCGTGCGACTTCGAGCGATGGCGGCCAAATTTGTCTTGGATGATGAACGTACAGTGACGTTGGGTGGAATCTCGCCATGCTCGAAGGGCGAGCCTCGCAGTGGCGCTTGCTTGTTGGGTGACGCGCTACGTATTGACCCGCTAGCCGAAGTCGTGATACCTATCCTGGGCGTCGTAGGAGCGGAGGTGGATGCATGGCTTGCGGACACGCCGCGCAAAGCAGGCGAAAAGGTAGTTGACGCAGGTATGAAGGGCGTCGAGGCCGGGGCTCTACGCAGGGGGGGTGATGATGCACTTGAGGGGCTGGAAGCATCCAGCGCCGACAAGTCAACTTTTGCTCTTGAAGAGCCTCCTGCTGGTCCTCCTCGACTCCTGTGGGCTATTGGCGTGGTAGTCTTTGCAGACTTGAACCCCAAGACGCGTGGGGCTGGTGATGGGGAAGGCGTGTCGCGATCATGGTCTGTGATGACTCTTCTCTTTGACATGGCCGGTGCCGACAGAGCATGGCGGACACCCTTCGAGGCCGCGGGTGAAAAAGAGGATCGAGGAGGAGTGAGGGGGAATGGAAGCTACCAGTTGAAAGGCTCGATACCTCTGGATCAACCAATGAACTCCTCCACGGTCAGAGCGGGTGTTTGTTGCCGTTCCGACGTGACGCTGATCTCCCTCCGCCCGCTCGCCCACTCTCGCTCATCTCCGTCTCTCCCAACCACGGGCTCATGCAGCGGACTGGCGAGTCGAATGCGTCGCGTTGCCACCCGGACCGCTTCAACTGGTGAGATCAAGCCGCCTCGATCTCCACTATCTTGACCCCTCTTGACCATCGACCACGACCCTCATCATCATCACCGTCCTTTCTCGGCAAACATAATAGACTTCCCTTTTGGCCCCCTGAAGGGCACCTTTTGCATCCCCGTCCTGCTCAAGCCGCACACACAGCACAGCAATCATGCCATCCCGGTCAGACATCAGTGATGTGAGTCCATGTCCCCACCCGCGACACCAGATCTAGATTCCCCGCATCTGACACCTCCTGCTCCCCTTCTTGCTCTCCACAGATTGAAGACGGAGACGACGCCGAGTTCACCATGGACGAGGACAGCGACCCATCCGAGCTCGAAGCCGCCCTCTATGACGACGATGACGACGAGGTCTTCGACGCAGATGACCTGGACGCCGTCGCTGGGGAGGACGACGATGAAGACGGTGAAGTTGACATCGGCGGTGTCGGCGGCATCGACGACGACGATGCCTTCACGCACGACATTGCCGGCAAAAATAGACTCAAGAACTACGAAGTCGAGTACACTTGCCTTTCCATCGAGGGACTTCAACAGCAGCAGAAGAAAGACGTCGACCATATCGCGTCCATGTTCGAGATCAAGGACACAGATGCAGCCATCTTGCTTCGTCATTTGAACTGGAACAAAGAGCGACTCATCGAGAAGTACATGGACAATGAAGCCTCACTCAAGGTGCAGGCGGGCGTGCTCGATGACCATCCCAAGAGGCCCAAGATTCACAAGCGCAAGGACTTTACATGCTCAGTCTGCTTCCTTTCGGCGGAAGATGAGGACGGTGGCGAGATGGAGACTTTGGCGCTCGGTTGCGACCATCGATTCTGCAAGGACTGCTATCAGCACTACGTCGAGCAGAAGATCAGGGAGGAGGGCGAGAGTAGGAGAGTGCAATGTATGCAAGAGAAGTGCAAGCTCGTCATCGATGAGAAGACGATACAGCTGCTTGTCAGTTCGCCAATCTACGAGAGGTGAGCCGTTACTTGCGCTCAGAAGAAGACCTTGAACTGACGCCTCCCCCTCGTCTCGTCCGCCCTCACGCCACGCTCAGGTACATGACCCTCCTCAACCGCACCTACGTCGACGATTCGTCGGTTCTGCGATGGTGTCCAGCCCCCAATTGCGAAAATGCGGTCGAATGCCATATCTCGCACAAGAAGTTCAAGACCATCGTCCCCTCGGTACGCTGCTCCTGCGGCCATGCCTTCTGCTTCGGCTGTTCGGAGCAAGCTCATGGCCCCGCCGTCTGCCCTCTTGTCAAAGAGTGGCTCAAGAAATGCAAAGACGACTCAGAGACGGCCAATTGGATCTCGGCGAATACCAAAGAATGCCCAAAGTGCAACAGTACTATTGAGAAGAACGGCGGATGCAACCACATGACATGCCGCAAGTGCCGATACGAATGGTGCTGGATCTGCGCAGGACCCTGGAGCGATCACGGGAACAGCTGGTACAACTGCAATCGCTACGACGAGAAGGCTGGCGTGAACGCTCGTGACGCTCAGGCCAAGAGTCGAGCTCAACTGGAGCGCTATCTGCACTTCTTCAACCGCTTCGCCAACCACGAGCAGAGTGCGAGGCTAGATCGGGACTTGTATTCACGCACAGAGAAGAAGATGGAGCGCATGCAGCAGACCTCGGACTTGACCTGGATCGAGGTCCAATTCCTGAAAAAGGCAGTAGACACCGTCACCGAGTGCAGGATGACCCTCAAATGGACGTACTGCATGGCCTACTACCTCGAGCGCAACAACATGACAGACCTGTTCGAGGACAACCAGCGCGACCTCGAGCGGGCGGTGGAGGAGCTGAGCGAGCAGCTCGAGAGCGAGATTGATCCTACTACGATCACGACGCTCAGGCAGAAGGTGACTGATCTTACAGTGTACGTGGCTAGAAGGAGGGAGATCATGCTGAGTGATACGGCGCAGGGCTTTGAGGAGGGGAGGTGGGAGTTCAATGTGGGCTTGGGCCTGTAGACGTCCGGCGATGAGGATCAAGCATTAGCGCAACCAGCGCCAGCGGCAGCAAGCCGGGTGCATCGCCCATCTCTAGCACTGCCAGGATCGCGCCTTCCCACCAACCACTAGCATTGCAGCATCATCCCCTCTCCTCATTCGCCCAAACAGCGATCGTCCTCTCTCGGGGGCTACACAACCCAGCACGGCCCTTCGGTCAAGCACTCCTCGTCTCACACGTCTTGTCTCATCACTCTCTTCTCGCATCTTACACAAATCATACCCATCAACGACGTCGAAGCTACTTTACATTCTCTCCGCTCCTTACCACGCCAACGCAGTCTCCCTACCTTCCGCCTGTCGAAGGAATGGCACGCGCGAGGCTTTCTCACACCTGTCGTTCATCATCTTGTGACTTCATCATTGTCTTTGTATAATCGATCTGACTTGTTCGGGCTTTGCGTGTGTGCGTACGCGTGACGGGGCAATGGACGTGGCGGGTTACATTGAGCATTCATCTCACTGCTGCGGACGAGTACGATCAGGATGAGAAGAGTCACCACCGGGCGAAGGCGACTTGAGTGCCGACTCCTAGTCACCTCGTCCTCGCCCGGTGCTGCTCAATAGCCCTGAGAGCATCACTGGCAACTCCGATCTCCCACTCCAAAGCGGCCTCTCTCTCCTCTGCCCGCTTCCTCACCGCCAGCAGCTCTGCTTCAAGCTCCATCTCCCGTCTTGTTTTCGGGCCATATTCCTCTCCCTCGCCATCTTCTGCGCCGCCAACTTCCGCCGCAGCTGCAGCAGCACGATCCTCCGTCATGCTAGAGCGAAGCGCAGTGACCTCCTCCTGCACGTCCCACCCAGCCCACAAGTCATGCAACGCCCCCATGGCGTCCCGTTGCGCCGCAGTCCAGCGGGCAGCAATCGCGCGGACACGCCGTTGCTCTGCCTCCTGTCTTCTCCCACTTGCGGTATCCAGATTGGACGGAGAACGGGGGGGCGCCACCATTCCAGTGAACATGGACGTCACGTCCTGCGGTGAGGCGAGGAGGTCGACCAATTCTTTCGCATCGAGAGGTGCACGCGAGATGAGCGGCGGCTGAGCGCTCTCGTGATCGTCGCCGTGCTCTTCTCCCCGGCTGGCACGTCGTCGGTACAAGCCCTTGTTCGCGGCGTGCCTGCGACTGCGACTGATCGGAGGACGACGCGAGGAATGCGCAGCAAGCTCCGTTTCGCTCCAGCTCTCGGCAGCGCTGGTGAGATCCGAGTCCTCCTCCTCATCGCTGACCACGACGCGACGCCTTGATCGGGGCTGGTGAGGATCACGCTCTGCTGTACCATTACTGCCTGCGCTGCGAGACCTGGGTCGCTTATTCGATGAGGTTGCTGCCGCCGCCGAAGAGGTAGCGCGAGCAGCAGGGCGGAAGGTGGTAGCTGCTCCAGGGGTGGATCGCCTCACTCGCCGACTCGCGGATACCTCGCTGGCACGAGACGACTTTTTGCTTTGCGGCCTGCTTGCCTTTCCCCTACGGCCACCAGCGCCGTTGTCGTCGTAGGAATCGTCTTCCGCCTCCTCTGCATCGATGAAGCCGGTAACAGCATAGTTGATGTTGTTTGCTGCCGAGCGTCGTGGGTTACGGGCGGACTTGCGAGGCGAAACTGATCTCGATGCCTCGTTGCTCTCCAAGCCCTCATCTTCTGTGCCACCATTGAAACTGCCGACATTGGAGGACAGAATCGCCGCATCCCCCTTCTTCTTCTTGACATTCTTCTTGCTCTTGGCAGCACTCGGTCTCGTCTCCTCCGCAGCCCTCTTAGACGATATCCTCTCCCTAATCGGCTGGTGTCGATCAAGCTTGATCTTGGCCGCAGATGCCCCAATTGCTTTAGCTGCCGCCTCATAGTCATGCCCCTCCATAGTGCGGCAAGCCCTCCAAGCATGCCAGAGCATCTTCTTCAGCTGCAATGTATCCTCTTTCCACGCTTTATGACCTCTGTTCACATCACGGAACTCGCTCGTCAACTGAAAGCAGCGCGCCACATTCTCTGGCGAGACAAAGTCTACGGCCACTTTCATACAGTCGGCGAGATTGCAGACTTGATGCGCACATCCTGCGGGAATGAAGACGGCGTCTCCCTTCTTCTGATAGATGCGCCAGCTCCTCACGCCATGCTCAGCCCAGAGACGTTGCCTGTCGGTCCCATCGAGGTAGTGCAGCTGCGAGTGAATTGGATCTCCTGCATCTAGCAGGGACAGCCCACGATGCTGTATCAGGTATTGGCGAAGAGCGTTGGCATCCTTGGCGGGGAAGATATCCCATGCGGCTACGCCATCCCGGTGTGAAGGGTGGAGGGTTGCTGGATCCACGTCGGGCGGGGTAGCAGAGTAGTACATAATGTTGACTGCATCTGCCACGTCCATATGGAGCCTTGTTGACCCCTTGCCCGCCTGATCCTCAGTGGATGGCCATGCTGTGTACATCTTCGGTCCTAGGTCGGGCGATACGCCATTGCGGGCGTACAGAGCAGAGATGTTCATGCTGCCGTCTCGCCTCGTGTAGTTGGGCACGGGCAGTGCAGCATTGAAATGAGCGTACAGCTGGGGGAAGGTGTGATCGAAGCCAGATTGAGGTGGCCAGTCTTTAAGCTTCCAGGTGCCCGCTTCTCCTCCGACTGCGGCGCGTTTGGTCTCTTGGTTCTTCCCAAGAGTCTCGAAGAATTTGGAGACATAGATCTGCTGCAGACGACTATTATCGCATCGTTCAACAATACAAGGCTCGCCTTGGTACGAGGCGGTAGTGAAATTGTCTGGGCCCCAGGCGGAGGGTTGGCCGAGCGCGCTCATGCGTTCCGGATCGAGGCAATTGTGTACTACGACTGGGTCACCTTTTGCCCACTCGCGACGGAAGGTCGCTTCATCCACATCATTGTCGAACTCGGTGAGGATGTGAGAGCCGACACGTTCGTCGACTTGTGGCCCCGTCAGAGATGTGTCGAGTACGTAGTCGCGACTCTTCTCGGGTGCAGAAGCATCTCCGCCCCAGAGCGAGCCATCATCGTCGTCCTCCGCCACTGCCGTACCGCCTGCAGCTTTGCCCTTCTCAGCGGCCGCTGCAATGACCTCCTCCATCCTCGCTACCTCGTCCTCTAGCTCCTCGACTGTCAGGCGCGTGATAGGACAGAGCTCTGCAGCCGAGTGCGTGTTTCCGTAAACGCAACGAATGAGTTTGGGTAGCTTAGCCGAAAGAGCAGAGCCACCTGGTTGTGAGGACTGTGTCTCTCCTGATTCAGGTGCGTGACCATGCTGCATATCGTCTGCACACTCTGGGCAATACTCCTTGCCACAGACGCGGCAGATGTAGGAGGCAGAGAAAATGGACGTGTAGCAGTTGGCGCACCTGAAGCGCTCTGCTGCCTCTGTTCGGCGCCAGAGCGTCTCTGCCTTCTTGGCGTGCTGTCGCTCGGCTTGCATGTGCTCGAGGAGGGCACTGGCTGTCGTAGCCTTGATGCGTTGCAGCGAGACATCGTCCATTGCAGGAAAGAGGCCATCTCGAGGCGGGTAGTCGAAGTGGACGCTCGAGAAGGGCTCACTGGCCAGTCGAGCAAGTGTAGCCTTGCCGTCTTCAGTCTTCTGTAATTCAAGCTCCTCCCTGGCAGCGCCCTCAGTGAGAATGTGGGGAAGGATACGGATGTCCGCAAAGTCACAGAGTTCGTAGGGCATCTTGGAGATACAGGCGCCGCATTTCGGGTAGTTGAGGTATCGTCTGACATGGCACCTTTGCGACTGACGTTCCCAGTTGACGCCGTCTTGGGCGAAGAGCACGGGTGTAAAGGTGGAGGCTGCACCTGATTTCCTCTTTGACGATGATGTTGCCCTGGCGGCACTTTGCGATCTTGGAACATTGAGGACAGCGCTGGCGTCTGGCATTGATGTGTCCTCGTCATGATGGCGAGGGACTCTGCGACTCAATGACCGAGCTGTGGCTCGTGGGGAAGCGGGGACACTTCGTGACGAGGGGATCGCTGCAATTGGAGATGGACCTGGAGCCGGTCTTGAGCTTGGACCCTCCATGAAGTCGTCCTTTATGCTGTCGTACTGCTCTTCATTGTCAGCAGCCGTCTCTGCATAGCTGACAGAAGGCGGTCTCCTCACGGTCCTGGGTCTTCTTGCATTCAACTCAGCCTCGAGCTGTCGAGCGTATGCCTCATCTGAAGCGTCTTGGCTTTGCAATTCTCCGCGAGCAGCCTCAATTGGCTCAGTCTCAGTGGCCCCATTGAGGAAGCCGTTTGATTCGAGGGAGAGGCCCTTGTCGGACGACAGCTGCGCGTGACGAGGAGCGTCAGCGAGAGGCGGCGTCGTCATGGCATCGCTGCCGTCCTCTGGTGAGCGCCGATTGGTAGCCGCAGAAGAAGCAGATGATGCATTCATTGCACCATTCTCGGAAGATCGATTGGATGAGGGAGATATGCGTTCAATGGGCGGCGCTGCTTTCTCGATGACGATTGAAGGCGATGCTGGGCGTCTGTCAGACGTGCGCCGGCTCGAGTCGTGCACCGTGGAGCCCTCGCCGCTGGCTGGCATGATGGGCAGTTTGGCGAAGAAGGATTCTAGGGGCTCATGCTTGGGTATTATTGGCAGTTGGGTCGCCATCCGAGGATCTGGAGACGACGGATGGGATAGGCTGCAAGCTCAGCGATGGCAATGAAGCCAGGGCTCGTTAGGCGGGCCTCGAGCCATTTCCAGGGCGGCGGGGAGCGGCCAGGGCCTTGATTCGCACGGCGAGCCATCCACGTGGCTTTGACAAGGCGACGGGCAGTGGAGCGGGAGACGACAGTGCGGGCCGCATTGACTTGAGTCGAATCGAGCGTCCAACACCCACTAACCAACGACGAGGAGCCACGTAGCAGCAAGCACATCATGGCAAGCTCAGAGGGCCTTTCAGTGGAGCAGGCCCTCTCGCAGCCAGTTGAGGAGATGCTGCCTGGCGAGACTCCGGGAGCCTCGTCATCACCAGTCAATGGCCATGCGGCCGCAACTACTCCAACATCACAGGAGGACGCGAGCAACGAAGCAGAAGCAAGCACATTGAGCAGAGAATCATTGATGGACGAGCTCACCAGGGCAAGGGAAGAGCGGGATGGCTTTGAAAGTCAGTACAAGGGGTTGTTGGGCAAGCTCACTCAGATGAGGAGCACGCTGGGCGACCGCTTGCGGCAGGATGCTGTGAGTTGGAGCGACGGCAGCCAAGGCGGCCAAAGAGAGATGCTTGTAGTCTGACCATTGCCCTTCACAGGAAGAGCTGGACCGTCGAGAATCGCAGATCGACACCCTTCAGACACAGATTGATTCCCTCACTTCGGCCGTATCCACTCTCAAGACAGAGCTCGTCTCATCTCACAGCGACAATGAGCGCGTGACCCGCGAGCTGGACAGCTTGCGCACCTCTTCGGCCGCAGCACTCGAAGCGGCAACAAGGCAGGCCGCCGATGAAGCAGCAGCCGCGGCTGCAGCAGCGCGTACGAGCTCAGAGTCCGACCAGGGGGCGAGGGAAGCTCAGCTGCACTCGCTGACGCAGAGTGTTGAAGCGCTCAAGGCTCAGCTGGGGACGTGGCAGACTTCCTACCACGATGAGAAGTCACGCAGAGAGGAGTCCGAGGCCAATCTTGAGCGGCTACAGATGGACCATCAATCCCTTTCCTCTTCTCTCGCCCAGACTCAAGCCTCGCTGCAGCGCGAGCAATCCACATCCCGCAACTTGCAGCTCGTCCTCGAGGACTTGCAAGCAGATCAAGAAGCAGAACTGCAGCGCAGCCTCGGAGATTATCAAAGGAAATATGAAGCGACGGCTATGGAGTTGGAGGAGCTGAAGGTCAAGGCAAAGAGTTGGGAGAAGCGATGTAATGAGGGGAGGGACAGCACTGAGAAGGCCGGAGTGTTGGAGAAAGAGGTGCGGGAAAAGAATCTGTTGATTGGAAAATTGCGACACGAGGGTGAGTGTAACAAGACTGCGTAGGTAACCCGGCCACAGACAGCTGACTCTTGACCCCAATCTCTCGCGTTACAAAGCCGTCATCCTCAATGAGCATCTGACAGAAGCCCTTCGTAGGCTGAACCGCGAGTCGACAGACACCAATGTAGACCGACGTCTTGTCACGAACGTCCTGCTCCAGTTTCTCACCACTCCAAGGCAAGACGCCAAACGCTTCGAGATGCTCAATCTCCTTTCGACAATTTTGCAGTGGACGGACGAAGAGAAGGAGACCGCTGGCGTCGTTCGAGCAGGACAAGCATCTGGGTCTGGGTCTTCATCTGTGGATGGAGCAGGCAGGAGCCGATTCGGCCTCAGGGGGAGCGCGAGAATCGCATCCGGCTCAGCCGGACCGTCATCTAGCGCGGCAGTGGGGCAAGAGGAATCCTTCTCCAACCTCTTCGTCGAGTTCTTGCTTTCTGAAGCCGATAAAGCCAAGCAACAGCAACAGCAAGGTCAGCAGTCCGTTCCGCAGTCACCTTCAGCGAGGAGAGCTAGCGGTAGCGGCCCGACGTCGCCGCCGTCAAGAGAAGGCGCAGCGCCGCACACCGCCCCGCCGACCAAGACGTCATTTGACTCTGGATCCTTTGGCTCCTCGAGACGGAAGGAGAGTATCAGTAGCGCGGCTGGAGTGGGAAGGAGCCCAACGAAGGAGTTCAAGCGGATGAATCTCGGGCCGGGGAGTATAAGGGAAGAAGGGACGAATGGGGAGAAGGGGAGATGATGGGACGGTGTGTCCCTACATGAGCTTCAAGAGTGAAGCCCAATTGTCAATGTACTAGTATCCAACATCAGCCAACCTTTCCTCGCTCGGCAACACGCAGCCTCGGCCTGTTCCCCATTCGACCTCGTCATGAGAGGTCATGGATGGTGCTGCATTGCTCATGCCTCACAGAATGAGCCAGCTTTACGCCTAGAATCCCCTGCCTCGTCCCCTCATTCCCCCTCTCCCTCTTCCCCTGCCCCTACCCCGTCCTTGCTGCTCCTTCGGCTTCCTCTTGCCCTTGACCTTGGGCGCATCATCCACCAGCAGCATATCCAGCGGCAAGCTGTCAGGCAGGATCCAGTAGCGCGTGTTGTTGCCGCGGATAGAGAGCGTGTCGAGGGAGATGGGCTCATCGTGCCTGCCGCGCATGGTCATCTTGACCGTCTTCAAGTGTGTATTCATCTGAGGGTCCACACCTGTCACCGTGCCGTGGACGATGGTTCCGTTCTTGAGCTCGATGGTCACGGACTCGTTGTTGAGCTTCATGAGGAAGCTGCGTGCGAGTGGCGGAAGGCATGTTAGCGGTTGCCATGATCCGATGGCCAGTCATTCGTACGACTCACCGAACAAGCTTCATTCTGGGCGATGCTGAGTCTCAGCTGATGGTGACGTACGAGTCTGTATGCCCCTCTCTTCCCGCCGTGATACAGCTAGACGGCCCCCTGAAGAAGTACGACCGTTAACGATCCGGTCTCTGACAGCTTGAACAAGGAGTCACCTATCTGCTAGCTGCCCTTGACTGTGTGCGATGATGATGCTGCAAGTAGCGATGGATGGCAATCGGAAGGAGAGACGACGTCGCATCGCATCGACCTCGAGCTCCATCCGCTCAACTCGGTGGGCCAACCACGTGATTTCGCGGAACGCAACACGGGAGCGGGCGTCGACGTCGCAACAACAGAGGCGGACGGGCGGCAAGCAACTCGACGCAACCAACACTTTTGCCCGATCCTTACTCGCCATCATCATCAACATCAAGGAGCATATAGCCATCACTCCGGCTCCATCACATCGTATCAAATCGCACCGCTCAGCATGGCGGCATCAGCAGCCGCCGTAGCTCCGTCTCGTAATGGAGGCGGCTTTCGTCCTGCTTCGAGCCGCCAGCCGTTTAGACCCACCACTCGTCAGGTGCCGCCAAGGAAGGCGACGCAGTCTAAGGCGCAGCAGGAGGAGAAGCTGCCAGAGCCGCTTGACGACTCGGAAGAGAGCGAAGATGATGCAGCGGAAGATGACGCCGAGAACCAGCCACCACCGCGGATGCTCGATGCCATCAAGGAGGCCACTGCCTCTCCCAGCCCATCACCGAAGAAGGCGGCCCCCTCGCCCTCTCGATCGCCGATGCCTCTCCCTTCTTCCTCCTCACCTTTCAGGATGATCCTTGGCGCACGAAATGCCTCTCCAGCGTCATCACCATTCAGGCAGGACTCCTCAAGCCGACCGTCGTCCAGCGCCGGTACAGCCTTCTCAGACATGGAGACGGACGTCGAGGCAGAGGATGCCTCGATCGTCGCCGACCAGAATAAGGCATTCTCGCCATCCTCTCACACCGAAAGCGAGGATGAAGATGACTCAGAAGACAGTGCTCTCAACTGCAACCGTACATTGCGGTCCTCATCTCGCCAAGCGCATCTCGTCGTCTCATCCTCATCATCCTCATCACCGCCTCGCGTCTTCTTCGGCACTCCTTCATCGAGCGAAAAGGAGCAGCGCAGGCGATATTCGACGCGCATCAGGGAGAGACGTCTATTGAGGAGAGACAGCCTGGAGCTTGCGAGACGGAAGACTCTCACACTCGAGGAGGTTGAGGAGGCTGCGCGAGCTGTTAGGCAGGAGAGGAAAGCGAAGGAGGACACGGAGAAGGCAGACGAAGGAGAGGACGATAGCGTGGCGCAGAAGCCGGATGAGATGGATGCCAGTCGATCGGAGGAGACCCAAGGGTCCAGGGCAGTCGCGGAAGAGGAACCAGGCCAGCAGCCGTCTACATTGAGAAGTGATGCTCCAGAGGACGAAAAGGAAGCAGCTACCAGCCCGACCTACGGCGACGGGGAGCCGTATACCGCTCAAGCAGCCAGTCACGAGGCCAGCGCACAAGAAGCTTCAATAAGTGGGCTTTCAGAACCACAAGAAGGCAATGAACCGGAGCAACGAGAGCCAACAGCGGTTCAAGCTGCATCTATGCCGCAGAGGACAGAGCTTGAAGTCGAGGATGCCGCATTACCTCCTCCCTTCGATGAGACGCTGGCATTCGATGCGGTTGAAGCTCGAGCGACACAGTCAGAGATGGCAACTATTGCTCCTCAGTCTACCACTCCCGTCTTCGACGAGACTCTGGTCCTCAGCACCATCGAGGGCGGTGGCGCATTAAGAGCGGATGAAGATGAGTCGCCAATCATGCAATCCGTACTCGACGATTTCGCGGCTCCTGACGCGGCCCAAAATGCGGTTCAATGGGCGTCTGAGGCTGCCTCGACCTCTCAGACAGGCTTCGACGAGACTTTGGCACTCGACACGATGGAGCGTTCCGCGGTGCAAGAGCAAGTAGCGTCCACCCCGCAGTCGTCAGAAGTCGCAGATGAGCTCGTCGAAGTCCCCACTAGCTCGATCAATCGCAGCAGTCGCATCGCTCCGGCCCTCTGCTCCTTCGACGAGACACTCGCTCTGGACAGGCTTGAGGAAGCCGCTGCAGATTTGACAGCCGCCGCATACGACGCGAATTTCGAATCCGGCACCATCGTCCGCACCATCTCGCTGCCTTGCAAGGCCTTCTTCGATGAGACTCTCGCGCTCGAGACTCTGGAGGAGTCACAGCCGGAGGAGATCGAGGGATTGGGCGCTGAAGTCCCTCCCTCAGAAGCGGAGCAGGGGGCATCGCATCTCAGTGAGAGTGGGTCAGACGGTACTCAGCAAGAAGCAGCGGCAGAGGTGTCAGCAGAGGAGGCAGCCGCAGAAGGAGCTCAGCCAAAGGCCGAGGTTACCTCAAAGCCAGCTTCGGAGTCGACAACACCAGCTGCAGAGCCGCCCGCCAATGTCGGCACCACTTCCGCCTCGTCCTCCTTCTTGATGGACTCTCCGGGAGTGGGTCTAGCACGACTCGGACGCGAGGGTACGCCTTCAAGGTCAGTGCTGTCCGATATCCGCCAACAAGCTACAGGCTCCGCCATGCGTCGCCTCTTTCCTCACATCCCGGACAACTACCACGAGATCCTGGGCAAATCCACCCCCTCTTCGACACCGCGCTCGCCTGCCGTGACTCCGCTCGGGGAAAAGGACACGAATGCTAGCTGGAACAAAAGGGCGGTCAGGCTCACCCCAACTCCGTCCAAGCAAGCGCCGACCTCTCAAGAGCAAAACACCCGTCCGAAGACCCCGTCCAACACGTCACCGACGGACGAGGAGGAGCTTGTTCGCCACTTCTCGCCAGAAATGGACCGCCTGCGAGCTGCTCGAGACGCTATCCTCGCGGCTGCGGGACCTTCGCCGGACAAGTCACCGAAGAAGGCTATGCGCGTCGTCATCCCTAGCCCGATGAAGAAGGGCGGCGAGGCCGAGTCTGGAGCGGTTGACGAGAACAAGTCGCCAGTCAAGTCGCCTATGGGCACGTTTGGGCGAATCGACAACCTCTGGCAGTCTTTCAAGCAGTCCGGAGCAGATGGTGTCGACGATCATGCAATGCCCCTCCCTTCATCGCCAATCAAGGCGCCAACATCACCTACGAAAGCCAAGGTGATCAGCCAAGAGCTGACAAAGGGGCCTCTGCCAACCAGCAAGGAGCTGCCGCAGCCATCAACAAGCACCAAGCCTGCAGTATCGGCAACAACTCGCCTGCCTAAAGCGGCTCCGACCGCCTCGACGAGCCGGCTGGTCAAGCCAAAGCCGGTCACCTCCGGCATCCGTCCTCCCTCAAGTGTGGCGCCGAAGCCTCAAGCTGTCGTTGCGACACCGTCGACGTCGTCCTCAGCAGCCTCTGTACGCAAGCCACTCTCCACCAGACTGCCAACACAGAGCTCCGCCCGCCCTGCGTCTGCCGACTCGGCCTCCTCTTCTTCGAGCGTCCCTGCGACAAGAGAAGCCTCAATATCCAAGCTAAAGGACCCACGTCGTCCCCCTACTAAGCCCGATGGCACTACCAGCGTCCGCCGTGCACCTATCAGTGCGCTCCGCAAGCTGCAGCCGACGAGCGATGGCAATCCGTTCGCGTCCAAGGTCTCGGGAGGGCCCTCTGATGGCATCGACTGGCTTGCTTCGTCCGGCTACGCGAAAGCAGTCTCCAACAGCGACAATTCGGCGTCAGGAAAGGCCTCGCCAGAGAAGGTACCAGCAGTCGTAGCTTCCCCGAGAAAGCCTAGTCCAACAGAAGGCAGCTCGACGCACCTGCTCTCGTCGACGAGTCCATCACGACTCAGGATCAATCTCTCCCCCATCAAGCTGGCACGATCCGGTGGGCAAGGCGGTGCGGCACGAGCGAGACGAGTGCCCGTTGGATCCAGAGAAGCGACGCATGCTCCTGAACGGGTGGCGGCCAGTTCAGCAAGCGCGCCTGCCTCTGCTTCGATCAACAGTGGTACTGCGTCGATGAGATCGTCTAAGTCAAGCACGGGCTCGTCTGGCGCTCCTCCTACTCAGTGCGCGCCTCCAATCAGACCTGCTCCTCACGTCAATCTCCATGCGACCACGCCCATTCTGCAGCGGTCGGCTAATTCGTCGAGGAAAGCGGGGCTGAGTGCCAGCGCGGCTGGAACCAGCAGCAGTAGCTCGTCGCCAGAGAAGCCGACCTCGAGTAGTGCAAGTCAGCGTCTGGGCACTAGCAGCAGCAAGTCGTCGCTACGAGGGAATCGAGATGAGGGTCCAGCCGACAGCGAAGCAGCAGCGGATCCGTTCGCCCCCTCATCCTCATCCGAGCGTGCAGGAGAGACGTCCAAATCCACCAAGCAGCGCGCGCCCTCCTACTCTTCGGGAACCGCGAAGTCGAGCTCCTCATCCACGAGTAGCAACCCCTTCAACGGCCCCAGGGCTAGCCGCACGAAACCAGCCGACTCCGTCCCCTCGGTCCCCATCTCCTCTGCCGCTCTGGACGCCCTCACGACCCGCAACTCGCGCAAGAACGAGGCCTACTACGCCAAGCTGGACGTAGTCGTTGTGCGCATCGACGGTCCGCGCCCTCCTTCTCCCTCGAGCAAGATCCGCAAGTCCTCCGCTGGGGGCACACGCAGGCTGGGCAAAGAGCAGGCCGCTCGAGCTAGGGCGGACAGAGCGAAGAAGCGTGCTGCTGGGGATGAGTCGTGCGATATGTCTGGCGAAGGGGACAGCCTTGCAACAATGTCCGCCGCCAAGGCTCTTGAACTTGGTCAACACCGCTTGGGCGCCGGGGAGCAGGATGTCTATTGCACCCCTCCCAAGGTGCGGGCGGGTGCCAAGGGAGTCAAGTGGCATAAAGCCCTCTATGCTGGTCCGAGCGAGGCGCCTCGTGAGCAGATCGCCCACGACGATACGCCTGACTGCGGTGGTGCTCCACAGGCGAGGCGAGGTGCACATCGTATGCGTGGGGCTGGCCCATCGAGACTGGTAGCGAGAGAGTACGGCCTGGATAGACACGGCAATGTGAGAGGGGCAATGGAAGCTCCGCCTAGCCCTAGATGGACGAGGGTGAAGGTGACGGTGAGGAAGATCATCTATGAGGATGATGATGAGGAGAGTGAGGAGGAGGAGGAGGAGGGAGAGGAGTGGGAGTGAAAGGTTGGGTCGATCTTGTTGTATCATAGGCGACGCGCGCTCGATGGATGCGCTGCTCTCATCTACCCATGCAATGTTGGACAGCTACAGCGATAACACGATGGCAGAGCAGTCGTCAAGATCGTATAAGAAGAGCCTCAGCTCCTGCCATTAGCTTCAGCTTCTATTTATCCTTGCCTCTCCTCTACTGATCACCGCCCTCGGTCCCCGTAGCAGCGACAGTGACATCCCCGACCGGCTTACGCCCCACCTCAGCCAAGATCATAGCGACCCCTCCCTCCCTCTTCCTGATCCTCTCGACTTCCTCGTTACTCTTCGTCACCAAGTGCCCAGCAAAGCAGAGCGCGTTGAGGCTCAATGGCCCCACCTCTTCGCTAGGCTCGTTCTCCTTCTCCAGCGGGAAGTCTTCTTGAGAGCGCGGGATGAGATGCATGGCTCGGTGGGTGAGGAGGAGATTCCATGATGGGCGACTCTGCGGGATAGTGGCTTCAGGGTCCTGCTCCATCGCTGCTGATCGGGCAGAGAACATTGCGTCGAGGAGTTTCATGAGAATCATGCCCATCTTGGCCTCTACCTCTGTCGGTGGGAGGGACTTGAGGTTCGAGGGGAGGAGGTGAACAAAGTGCTGATAGGGGAGGGGCAAAGCGTGCACGGTTTCTATGGACGAGCATGCGATGTCAGCGCTGCTTACTCCTGAGAGTAGTCGTACACCCGCACTCACCCATCTCCTTGCCATCCCTCTCAATCCTGTCCAACAACCCTTCAATCAGCACGCCTCCACCCTCTTTGAGATCCACAAACTGCATATGGCAATGCGGCTGCGAGGCTCCCGAGTCGGGTCCGCAATTGAAGAAGCACAGCCTCTGCGCTGGATCTTCTGATGGGAGACTGGCGAGGATACGGTAGGAGAGGGCCAGAGTCTCGGGTTGCGGAGGGAGTGCTTGCGAACGGAAAGCGCGAGTGACGAGGAGGAAGTGCTCGGGGATGAGGGCAAACTTGTTCAACAGCAATGTATGATGGTCTCCAAGCTCGGCGATGAGGAGATGCTGGTCGTAAGGTGGAGAAAAGACGTCGTTTGGATTTTGACCGCCTTCTTGTTGGGCTGGCTTTGTCGGCATTGGCTCCCTTTCCCCTCCCTGCTCTGCCTTGCGCCTCTTCTCCTCTGCCTTTTGCCTCAGAGCCTCGCATCGCCTGACCGTCCAGTTGAGCGTGATATTGCCCGCTGATTGCTCAAGATTATGTACCTCTGATGGGTAGAAGAAGGCGGATCCGCTGGCCAATGCAGACTCGTAACGCGAGCGAAGGAGGGAGGCTAGGTTGGCGGGCAGATCGTTTGCTGGTGTGGTGGAGGACATCCTGGTGGAAAAGCGGGGAGAAAGAGGGTATATCGGGGGACGAGAAGCGAAGGATGAGGATGCAATTGCTGTCGTTCTTCGTATTGCTAGCATACAAAGGAGGAAAAGGGATGTGCAGGATGGTCAAAGTAGCATTGCGCCCACTCGCTGCCGACCTCTCTCTGTCCGCCGCCCTCTCGATCCATGAATCGCGTCTTCCGCCCTCGACATTGCTGTGGAGTGCCAAGTGCAGCGCAATCAAGCCTTTCTCGCATCGCCTCTTTACGACCTCAATCAAGCAATGTATCGACGACTATGGAGCGACGCAAGTCTTCGAAGTCTGGTCTTTTACACTTAGCGAGTCCAGCGGCCCCTCCGTGGAAGCGCAGGCCATTGGAGGAGGCGGAGAGCTGCCCAGCAAGGAGCATCAAGAGAATCAAGCTTCGCCTGCCTGGCAAGCCACCCTCTGAAGCTCGAGGCAATGACAATGTTGACTATGACCGTAAGCAACAGTCACAACAGGGCGAATTCATGGCTAGCACGGGCCCTTCCAATGACGACCAGCTGAGTCCGAGCTTCACGCCCGCCGGCCATCCAACCGCAGCACCTACTGCCACTCACATCGTAGCAAGCAAGCCTGCTCCCTCAATCACCGACATTAAAGTCAAAGCCCCGCCACGCAGCAGAACGGAGCAAGCCATGATGCACGACATCGTCCGGCTGCAGGCCTTCTTGCAAGGCTCTGCCACTTGCAGAAGGCAGCTTCAACCGGATCCCGCTCCCGTCGCGTCCTTCTCTAAAGCCTCCCTCGAGTGGAGCCCGCACGAAATCCTCCGTCCAGCCCAATACCTGCCGCCGCTGTGGGCCAGCTCGCACGAAGAGCTCAGTGCAGTGACCGAGCTTTATCCCGCGGCTTCCAAAAGCAAGGGCAAGGCCAAGGAAAGCCCGGTCATGGTCAAGGCGAGTCGGAGTGGTATTGCAAGGGGCTTGCTTTTGACAAGACGGCTGATGCTGGGCCACGAGGCGGCTGGCAGGATTGGGAGAGATGGTCAATTGGTCTTCGATCTGGTATCCTCGGGCAAGCGGCTAAAGAGTATCAAGGCAAGCAAGGCAGACGATGGAACAGAGTATGCTCCTGACCGGGTCAAGGAGGAACCGGCCGCACCATCCAGTAGTACACCGTGCCCCATGCCCGCGGCACCGGCTGGCAATGACAGCGATAGCACGACGTCCACTCTCCACGACCTCATCGCGGGCGATACTACACAACTCGCTCTCCACCGCGCATGGCAATATCGCGCCTCGCTCTACCTCTTTCTCGCACGCTCCAGCACAGAAGGCAGCGACACTGCAGAGAAGGGCGGCCTGTCCCTCCTACCGTGTCAGCTGCCAAATGAGGTAGGCGCTGTAGCGGTCGGCTGGGCGAGAGTAGTTGATGCGCAAGTGATCAACGCTGATGGAAGTGAAGGCATCAGAGGCTCCTCGCGCTCTCGCCGAGGCGAGGGCGTTAAAGTACGCTGGCGTCTGACTGTCGAGCTGGACGACGAGAGCTGGTGGCTTCCCTGTGTCTTGAACAATGAATGTTCGGACACTTCGCCGTCGAGAGGCGGCAGCGGCTGGACATCGACGCGAGCAGTACAGCACCTGCTTCACCCGAATACCGCCTCATCATCCGTCGAGAATCTCTTCCCCTCCAAGCCCACATCCATCCTCCAATCGATCCCCTGCCCCACTTGTCACCGCGCTACTCCGCGTCTCCGCTGGTCCTGCCACCACTGTCAAGCCTGTGACACCCTGATCCCTGCGCGCACGCCTAGTCTCCCTGCGGGGGATGTGGACTTCGGCTCCTCGCCCTTGCCTACGATAGGGCCGCGCATGGATAATGGGAGAGCAGCGTGGGACAGCGAGGCCGTTCGGAGAAAGCTGAGCACACTGCTCGGCGACGGCGGGAAAGAGGCCGTCAAGTGCGCTGAGTACTCCTGGCTGTCATCGCCGACGCCTGTGGACGGAGCAGCATCAGCGCCATCACTGGTTCACCTTCTTTCCTCGGGAGCGTGGACCAAGACAAGCAAAGGCGCCCTTTCTTGGCTTCTGTCCTCTGCAATGCCCTACGAGCGTACCAATGGCGGCAACACGTTTCAGCTGGGCCTATTGCTGGCTGACAGCGACAGTTGCAAAAAGCAAGCAGCCTGCTGCAACGCCAAAGAAGCAGGTCCTCTCCTCCATCCGCTCGACATGCCCGACCTCACACTCGCCCAACGCCTCCTCGATCTCGTCGACTCAATCGAACAACGCAGCTCTGCCTCCCTCTGCGCCCTCGGCACCAGAGAGCCGCGGGTAGCGCATCGCGCCCTCCTCACAGTAGCGGGTTGCACGGGTGCAAAGCATCGCCTCGAGCTGCCTGGAGCGGAGGCCACATATCTGCACTTGGGTGGGCCGGCCACGCTCGCTGCCACGACGGCGACTCCAGATGTGGCAAGGAAGGCAACGAAGACCATACTGAATGCCATGGTTGCGAACGGAGATATGCTGTGCGTGCCTGCTACGAAGGCCAAGAAAAGGAAGGAGAAGAAGGGGAAGAAGGCGCAGAAGTCATCAGAGGAAGCCGCAGCTGAATCCTCTGCGGCGCCGGCGCCGGCGCCGCCCGCGCCCGCTGTGACGATCACAATCGAGGCCAAGTCCCTCTGCATCGGTCTGCTCCTTCTCGCGGATTGAAGTCACTTCGCAAAGGTCGTCTGTGCGTGCACGTCAAAGTGCTTACTGCTTAATGTTTGTATTGACAACCGGAGCTATTTGAGAGAGGGCTGCGCATCTAGAAGGAACCAAGGAGACGCCGGGAGGGAAGAAGGCAGAAGGGAAGAGGGGAACACAGTTTTGATATGCTTGTCGTGTTTCGGTCACATAGTCACTTTTCTATAATCAGCAGTTGCTTCTTTACCATCGTTGCTTGACGTCTTCAATCACTCCCCGTTTGTCTCCTCCTTCTTCTCTTCCCCCTCCTCCCCAGCCTTCGGTCCATATCCTCCGCCCTCCGGCCCCTTTGGCAACCCAGCCATCGTCGCAAGCACGTCGACCACATTGCCCGGGCCGTCGAGATGCCACTTCGCAACCGTCTTCCTGCCCTTGGCTCCCACGGCCGTTGTGAAGATGCCGCTGCGAGTGAGAGCGAGCTCACGAGGGGCGTCTTCCTCGTCGTTCCCCTCACTTTGGGCAAAGCTGTTGTCCCCTTCCTCGCCTGTAGCTTCGCCCTCATCTTCGGATGAAGAGGCAGCCAAAAGCTCAGAGGAGACCTCGCGCTGCAGTCTGGATGAGGCCTGCTGTTGACCTTTCCCACTGCCGCCATTACCCACAGGCGTAGCCGTTCCCGAGTGCAATGGGGTAGGCGCGGTCATGAGGAGTGGCACATTCTCCTGATCCTCGGCACCGCTGGCCCCTTCGTGCGACACCCTCCTGCTGACCGCCGGTGAAAGCGTAGTGACCTTCGCACTGCCCGCTGCCGGGCCTTGGCCTTGAGCGCAGGTGGCTGCCAGACCGTCGGGAACCCCGCTGGCCCTGGAGGCTGCTTGCTGCTGTTGGATGGAGGGAGAGGATGGGCCAAGCAGTTCCGAGTCGATGGGGGTGAGGGAGGTGAAGAACTTCATCATGTCCTCGTCAGTCCGGTCGTCACCGGCGCAGAAGACAAACGAAGCGTCCGGGTGATTATAGACGATGCGTTTCACGATTTCACCTAGCAGCGCAGCGATGGCAGCAAGGAAGAATGTCTGGTTAGTATCTCGCAATCTCTCTTCTTTGAGCTTCACCGCACTACTCACCCTTGTTCACCGCAAGTGGTCGCACCTCGAGATTCTTCTTGCCCACCATGACCTCCACGGCGAACTTCTCCTGAGCAGCAAAGTTATCCATGTGCGCCTGGCACTCTTTCGCCTGGAATGCCCCATAATCCGGGTCTGCATTCCTGTAATGCCAAGTGATTGCACTCTTCTTCTGCTCGATCCAGCTGCCCGAAGTGCGCTCTGTGTAATACTCGAAGACCTTGCGCAGGTCGACCATCCAGCTCATATCGAGAGCTGCGGTCATGTTGACCCATTCAGAGGAGCCAGGTTCCTTGATGTAGCCGCCATGTTCGGCTGAGAAGCCTATGTTGGTTAGATGGCCGAGGATCTTGGTGAGGAAACGCTCGTCTCGCCCGGAGATGATGTAGATGATGTTGCGCGGGTCCTGTGCTAGACGCTCCATTGCGTCGAGGAGACGCTGTGAGGGCAAGGCGGCTTCGGGATCCTTGACGATGGGGGTAAGAGTGCCGTCGTAGTCGAGAAGGATCAAGCGCTTCTCTGCAGCGTCGAAGCGTTCCTTGAGAAGCGAGCGGTCCAGAGCTGGAGTGAAGTGAGCGTTGGTGTCGGAGAAGAGGCGGAGGAGAATGAGCTTGACGAGGTGGATCGCCCAGTGATGAGAAGTGTGCCCGATGATCTGACGATGCAGCTCGTCGTGGCGGAACTTGCGCTCTTCGCCTGTCAGACGCAAGCCGTAGTCGATGGCCTTAGCTACACCGTAGGTATTCCAAGGGTTGACCTGCAAGGCCTGCCTCATCCTGCCGGCTGTTCCCGTGAACTCGGAGAGGATGAGAGGGGCCTGGCTGCCATTGGCGAGGACGAACTCCATCGATGTGGTATTCATCCCGTCGCGTACCGAGGTAATGAGCGCCATATCGGCAATGTTGAGCAGCGCAAAGTACTCCTCCCTCAGCAACTGCTGGTGGTAATGAATGCATGGCGTGTGGTTGAGATTCCCAAACTGTCCATTGATGTTGCTCACCAGCTCCGAAACTTGACGCTCCAGCATAGGCGAGTCAGTCATGCTCGGCGCCGTAATCTGGATCAAGACGACCTTGTCTCGCCACTCCGGCCATTCCTCGAGGAACTTCTGGAAAGCCTGTAGCTTCTGTACAACACCCCTCACGACGTCCAGCTTGTCTCTGCCGATGATGATCTTCTTGTCCTTGTACATATCCCTTATCGCTTTGATCTTCGGCAGGACTTCCGGAGCCTCTGCATCTTTGGCGATCTTGGTCGCGTCGATGCCGATTGGATTGTATGAGATGTGCGTGACATGCCCGCTACTGGACTCGATGCTAGTCGCAGAGGCCTCATAGCCGCAGACGCGGATACACGACGAGAGGAAGTGACGCGAGTAGCTGAAGGCTTGGAAGCAGGCCAAGTCTGCTCCTAGCATTCCTTCGATGATCTCGCGGCGTTTAGGAAGGCAGCGGAAGATCTCGCTCGAGGGGAACGGGGCGTGGACGAAGAGGCCGATGTGTGCGTTGGGCACCAGAGCGCGCAGCATTGCGGGGACAAGGAGTAGATGGTAGTCATGGATCCATACCATGTCTCCTGGCTTGTACTCGGCGGCGATCTTCTCGGCAAAGGCAGAGTTGGCCGCCCAGTAGGCCTCCCAGCTGTAGTCTTCCCAGCCTTTGCGGTCACCAGGGACGTCTTGCCAAAGGAGGTAGTGAAACAAGGGCCAGAGCGTCGTCTTGCAGTAGCCTTCGTAGTGGCCGTGTGCTACTTCGTAGTCGAGCCAAACGGGCACGTACTTGATGCCGTGCGCTGGTGCGCTCTCGTCTTCGCACATAGGATCGGCGCCGTTCATCAATGGACCTGGCACTTGTCGGACAGGAGGAGCTCCATCGGCGCTCATTGACGGGTCTGCGCCAAGCACAGGAGCGTCTTGATCCCTCCAGCTCTTCGGGTCGTCAAGGCTTCCCAGCACCTCTTCGATCTCTCTCCTCTCATCCTTTGTCGTCTCGCTGGCCTCCTTGCGCTCGTCCTTGCGAGCTTGCGCTGCAAAGTGGATATCGCCGGGCCATCCGATGAAAGTCTGCTTGTGCGACTTGCACAGCGAGCGAATGCCCGAATTGAGAGCCGTATGACCTCGACGAGGTGCGAGGACCCATTGTGGAGGGGTCGGCTGGTTCTGTTGCTGAGGCGGCGTGGCTGCAGGGCTAGGCTCAAAGTCACTGATCCCCGCATTGCCGTATTGTATCGCGGCTCTCGGGCTGTCGTTGCCGCCGTCCATGCTGGAGAAGCTGAAACGCGAGCTGAAGGACATGCGACTAGGACGTCGACTTCCCACAGGAGTGTAGGCGTCCTTCTCGCTCATTGCATCGTCGTTGTCGTCATCATCGTCTACGACGGGCGTCATCATCCACGCTCTCCTTCCTCCACGCAGCCTTGATCTTGCCTGGTTCTCAGCTAAACGCCTCTCGATCTCTGCGCCGTCGAAGAGGGTAAAGACGCTGCCTGGCTGGGCTACTGATGGTCGGCGATTCGGGCTGGCTTTGGCGCTATGCTGATCCTCGCCCTTGTTCTGCACTTCGGCGGCTTCCCTTCTAGCCTGCTCTGCCGCTGCCTCTTTGGCTCTTGCTTCCATCTCTGCTTGCCTGGCTGCCTTTCTCGCCCTAGCCGCAGCCGCCATAGCTGCTACGCTAGCCGTCGCTGAGATCTGCTCCTCCTTGCGCCGCTCAAAGTCAACCTCTGCCAGCGCTCGAATCACAAAGGGGATGTAGTGGCTGACATGGATGATGCGACCCGACAATGGTTCCTCTGGTTGCTTGGCGTTGTAGTCGCTCTCAAGATCGGCGACCTGTTGTCGCACGTCGTCGAGGCTCTCAAAGTCATCCCAGGGTCCTAGATCTCCCGTCGCTGCGGTCCCTCTTCCCATGCCACCGATGCCATCGGCCTTTGGACCAGCCGCATGTCCAGCGAGGGATGAGCGTGCGTTGCTCGCCCTCCGGCCACGCATACTGCCCCAATGGCCCGAGTTGCGTGACGTTGAGCGGTTCGAAGGGTTCCGCGCATGCTGCGAAGGCGAGTCTCGTACGCTAATGGTTCGTCTCAGCGGGCTCTCGGCAGCCTTTGGTGCGAGGCCAGAAGCAGATACGCTTCCCAAAGAGGGAGGCTGATGAGCGGCAGAAGTGCTTCCAGCAAAGGCTCTCTCAAAGGATGGAGGCTCCTCCTGGAAGACTTCGGGGCTCAGAGCCGGTTGGGCGCTGTGTGAAGGAGGCGGTAAACGCCCTTGGTCACTGGCCATCGATTGGCGTACGCGCGTGCGGGCGTATCCGTGTGAGTGGTGACGATGGTGGCGATGATGGAGAAGATGGTGGCCAGGTGCAATCACTGAAGGGGCCGAGGGCGCAACGATGTGTAGCTAGCAGCAACAGCCAAACGGCGACGGCAAGTCCAGTCCCGGATCAGGGCGGCGGCGGCGGCGGCGCGCCTGCTTCGAGGCCAGACAGACCCAGACCAACGCTGGCCGCCCGCCAAGTCTTGCCCGCCGCGTCTTGCTCGCCCTGGCGTCATGCTGAGTTGCCCTTTGCCCGACGAACTCAGCGGCAACGATGCGAGAACAACACGATCAAAAAGGACTCGTATTTTTGAAACAAAGTAGAGGCGTGCGTATCGCAACGAAGGAATGTATGGTGCTAGAAGTCAGAGAGGAACACAAGACGAGGAACAGATGTAAAAGAAGGTGAAAACTAGATACTCGACGCCGCTCAAACCTGCCTACTGGCCCTACCACTCCTACTGGCCGGCCTCAATGATCCGAATGGCGACTTGGGACGAGACACAGTAGGTGTCGCACTCGCAGAGGTGGTGTCTGGGAGAGGCATGTCGAACATGCTCGTCAGGGACTCTTTGCCCTTTGATTGCGAGCTCACGCCTGACGACGACGGTCGAGGAGCATTGAGGTTGAGCGGCCCCAGCTGAGGAGGCTGGGGCGAGCTGAGCCGCGATGTGGGCCTGCTGGCCGTCGTAGTGCTGCCCGTTGTAGAGTCCATGCGCGAGTTCCTCGGTCTGACCGCGCTTGCTACGCTTAATCTGCTCGAAGGGCGTCCAGACGTGGCCTTGTCCCCCGCACCACCAGCCGTCCCGGTAGTTACGTTGCTCCCTCGCCTGACCTTGACCTTCTGATGATTATGATGATGGTGTGGGTTGTTCTTGTTTGCCAGCGAGCCCACATCATGCAGTCCACCGCAGCACGCTCGTACGTTATCAAGCCCCTCGAACCCATTGGCCGCATCCATCTCGGCATTCTCCTCGAGCATCTCCTCCGCCGTCTTGAGGAGGCGCGGGTCATCTGCAATCGCCGCAGAGGATGAGGTAGCAGAGGGGGCGCGTCGCCCGTACTCGTCCACATTTCGTTGGAAGTGGGCAGCCTGAGCGAGGTACTCTCTTGCAGCCGTGTCCCGCCGTTTGGACCGATAGCTCGCCCCACCCATCGTAGCAGCATCACTCACACTACCCCCACGGGCACGAGGCGTCGTGTCGTTGTATCCGCCACCGTAAGCGCTGATGGAGTCCGACGATTTGGTGCGATTCATGACCATGCGCGTTGCCCTAGATGCAAGGGAGGCGCGCGACCTCGGCCGGCCAATAGAAGCTGCGTCGCTCGCCGTGGTCAGGGCGTCGTACGCTGCAGCCCTTTGTGACTGCGCCCCATCCACCGAGTCTCGCTTGATAAGGTAGTTGAGAGCGTTCACCCACGCCTCGTGACGCTCCTTGTTTGGGGTTGTGACCTTCAGCTCGCGCGCGCCAGTCTGAATAATGATGGAGAGGTGGAACAACCCTGCCGGGTTCGGGTTCATGTCCTCCACAACGCGCACATCCTCGACGCAGGCACTCTTGCTAACCCCCTCAGCCATCCTAGCTCCCCCAGGATCAGTGATTGTCCAGTAGAGCGTCTTAGTATAGGGATGCACCCAGAAGTAGCGTCGGTGCCTCTTGTCACTGTGAGCATTACTGCTTCGCCGACCCATGGTCGTGCGACGGGACGTATATTTCCAGAGATATTCTCCGATCATCGTCTGCGTGATGGCCTGGATGATCTTTGGGTCCGTGGTCTGATCGTCGAAGCGCGCACCGCGGGAGGCAGGCCCTTGTCCGGTGATAGTGAGATCGCCCACCTCATCATCGTCTTCGTTTTCGTCCGCGGAGAGGGCAGACCTGGAGGTAACGTCTGAGGCGGCAGAAGCGCGGGAAGCACTGCGATAAGGGTGGCGCTGGGAGAGACGAGACATGATGCTGCCTGTGCCGACACTGTCTTGGTCGGAGGGCCTGGCGCGGCTCGATCGAGGAGCGACGTAGGCGCTTGGCGGGTGGGCTGAAGCTCGCGATCCGGCGCGGTTGTCCTCAAAGGTGCTGCCCCTTGACGCGCGAGCAGCGAGCTTGGGGGGCACAGGCGACGTCGGACGAGAAGGCGGCTGCGCAATAGTGCTGTCCCACGTTGTGGCCGGCGGAGAGATTGCAGTCATCGAAGCTGCCGACTTGCGTGACAGGTGAGCAGGGGGCGGGCTCGTTGGTGGAGGAGGTGCAGCAAGGACGGGGGGCTTGCTTCTGTCGGGCACCGTCTCAGATCGAGGAGCAGTAGGGTCGACAGCCCCCACCGAGTACATGGTAGGGGCAGGCGAGTCTCGTCCGAGCCCGAACGTGCCGATGCTGTCGCGAGGTCGGGCAGGCAGGACCGTGACGCCACCAGGACCGACGCTGGTCTCACCCGCCTTGCTCATCGCGACAGACTTGGGTCTGAGTGCGAGCTGCTCCTGCTGATGTTGCGCCCACATGGTGTCGTCTGTCTGATTGCTCGCGTCCTTGAGGTCCGCCAAGACTACGCGACGCACTCCCTCTTCCTCCGAGGGCTCCTCGGCATCGTGGAAGTCTTCCGAAGCCGCTGCCGCTGAGGCTGCTGCTGCTGCCGCCGATGCCGCTGCCGCCGCCTCAGCTGCCAAAGTAGCGGCTTCTGCCTCTCGAGCTCTAGCCTCAGCCTCTTTGTGCTCCTTGCGCACCGCATCCGTCTCGGCCGAAGCAGCCTCGAGCGCGCGGGTGTGAGCAGAATGAGCAGCCTCGAGCTCCTTGACCTTGCCTTCTTGCTCCTTGATGGCTTGCGAAAGCTGCCTCTTCGCCTCAGCAAGCTGCGCCGTGAGACTGTCAAGCTCTGCACGCAGGCGAGTGACCTCAGCTCGCGCCTTGATGACCTGCTCATCGCGCTCCTTGATAGCGGCATTGTAGTGCGACTCGAGTTGCGATACGTACGCGTCGTGAGTGGCATTGACGTCCTCGAGCTCCGCCTTGTGCCCAGAAATGATCTGCTGATGACGGCGTTCGTTCTTCTCGAGCTCAGCCTTGTGCTCTCGGATGATCTGCTCTTGGCGGTGGTCGCGCTTGTCGAGCTCGGCCTTGGAGAGACGTTCCCTCTCGGCGAGAGCTGTCTTGTGGGCTGCCTCGGCCTCGGTGAGCTTGGTGGTGTGAGCTGCGACAGAGTCAGCCAGGGCCTGAGCGTGACGAGAGCGAGCCTCAGACATGCCGGCGTCGTGTGTCTTGGCTTGCGCTGCAAGGGCGGCGGCAATAGCTGCAGCGTGAGCCGCTTCTTTGCTCGACAAGGCGGATGCGTGTGACTTCTCGAGCTCCGAGCTCGTCAGCGAAGACTTGGCGTCTCGAGAGCGAAGAGCTTCGTCGTGGCCGCGAGTGAGCTCGTCGATGCGGCTCTTATGCTGTGAGGCCAACTGAGCAAGGGCAGCGTCGTGCGACTGGATGAGCTCGTCGATCTGGGACTTGTGGTGGGTGCGAAGTTGACCAAGGGCTTCCTCGTGGTCAGTCTTGGTCGCATCGTGAGACTGGATCAGCTCATCGAGCTGCGACTGATGGAGAGCACGAAGCTGGGTCAAGATGCCTTCATGCTCTGCCTTCTGTGCCGCCAGAGCAGGCGTGAGCAAGTCGGGCTGCTCAAGGTCGTCCGTCTGCATTTCACTGTCGGCCATCTCCTTGCGGATGACGACAGACGAAGACGCTCCATTGTCTTCAGCCGATTGCTCGCCAGCACCGGCAAGCTCGTCCTCCAATTCGTTGCCAAGGGCGCCTGCGGGCACGATATCCGAGGTGATGCGGTTGCGCGGTGCTCCCTTGTGCTGAGCTTCCTGATCGTCGTCGCCACCAGCCGACAGCAGTACATTGCGAGCCAGCGGGCTACCTGTGCTAAAGCGCTTGTTCTGGTTGGGCTTAATTGTTGATCTTCGTCGGTCCTTCTTGGCGGTGCCGGTCGGATCAGCAAAGGCAGGGTCCATACCATCGAGGCTGGGACGACCAGCGGATGAGGCCTGGTCCACGTCGCCTGATGCGTCTTCAAAGGAATCATCGAGCTCGGCGTCGTCCTCCATGAGGCTCGACGTGAGGCCCAGACGGCTGGCAATGTTGGGCCGAGTCGAGCTCTTGGGCATCCCGCCTGCGCCACGCCTCCTTGCGCGTCCTCCCGTACCAGCGTGAGAGCCTGCTTCGTCTACCCAGTCAGCGCTTTCGTCTCCTTCTGCCTCATCATCAGTGCTCTCTACGTCCGACGTGGTAGGGGCATTAATGCCAGCCTTTGCGAGCATCCTGCGCAGCTCACTGTTCTGCTCTCGCAGCTTGCGCTTCTCTGCCGAGTCCTTGCCCGTCTTCCTTTGAGCCAGAGCCAGCTTGCCACGCAGAGCAGAGACTTCACGTTCAGGAATGCTGTGAGAGAATTCCTCCGAGTGAGTGCTCGGGCTGGCCGGCAGCATAGCACCTTGTGCGCGTGCTGCAGGTGAAGCAAGGCCTGCTTCGTCCTCGTCGAGGGAGTGCTCGGAGTGAATGATGCTGTTGCTGACACTGCGAGAGAGGCGTGCCTGCTCGAGCCGCATGGCCTGTTGCTTGTATTTGGCCACCTCAGTCTGCAAGTCGCCGTTCTCGCGCTGCATGCTGGCCTTCTCCTTGCGAGCAAGCGCCGTCTCCGTCTCTCGCAAAGTCATGACCCTCTCCAGCTCTTGGGCCTGACCCTCCAGCTGGACCTTGCGCTCATCTGCGAGCTCGCGAGCCTTTGCCAAATCTTTTGCGATGCGACTGCGCTCGTTGTCGACTTTGCGTGAGGAGATGCGCTCCTCTTCGAGGACGCCCTTGAGCTCGTCTAGGTTGACTTGTAGGTCCCAATTCTCCGCTTTGAGTGCATCTTCCTGCTCGACTAGCTGCAGCGCCTTTGGCTTCCAGAGGGCAAGCTCCTCCTCGTACTTCTTTTTGCCCTCGTCTGCGTCCTTGAGCTGCTGGTCACGCTGTGCTAGGAGGGCTTGGAGGCGCCTGATCTCCTGTACGAGGCCTTCTTGCAGCTGATTCACAAGATTTTGGTCCCCAATGCTCGTGGGTGCGGCCGCATTGCGAGCTCTCCTGTCAGACTGGCGTAAGGTGGGACCAGGGCTGCCAATGGACATGTCAGCACCGCTGGCTGAGCGCGTCGGCGTGACCCATCGCTCAGAAGGGGCTGTGGGCATGCCACCTGGTGCGGCCAAATCGGGCTCATGCTCGCTGCTACTGGATGGCATGAGTTCGCGCAGAAGTTTGGCCTTTTGGGTCGCCATGTCCTTGATCTCGGCGTCGATTGACTGGGTGAGCTCTCTGGCATGCTCGGGATCGCAGTTCTCGAGGTCTTCTCGCAAAGCCTTGATACGCTGTTGTTGCTGAATGAGGCCTTGCCCTAGCATAGCAGCTGCCGTTGTCTGATTCTCAGTCTCATCGAAGAGAGCGTGTAGGCGCTGATGTGCTGATCGAGAGGGGGCGATGGTCGCTGATGAGGATCCAGACGATGAGGACGTGGGCAGCGGCGGAGCGTGAGATGGTCCGTTGGTGTTCATCTCAGTGAGGGCGGCAGTGCTCTTGCGCCCTCGCAATGATGCACCCGGTCGCGTTGGCGGCTTGAATGCCAGTGAGCCGCCGTTGGAGGGAGTTGATGGTGCCAGAAAGTCGGCGGAATCGTCAGGAGACGCCATGATGAGGATGTGGACAGGGGTGTCGCCCTGCCGCAAGATCACGAAGGCGCTATTGGCTTTGCTCTCTCTCTCTTTCGCGGTTTGCCTCTTCAAAAGGCGTGGGCAGGACTGTGACGAGCGTCCTTGAGAGCCCGCGATGGCTCTGGGTGAAGCTTTTGCTGTTGCTTGACGGGATGATTAGAGGAAGAGATGAATGAGCTCGCTCCAATTGGCTGCCTCGCCTCGATGTGTGCACTTCTCAGACGGCAGGGCAGGCGGGCAGGCGGGGCAGGGCGGGCGGACAGTCCAACGACGAGCGAGAACTGAGCCGTCGGGCGCGGAGCCTGTCGAAATCGACTTCAACCAACACCGCCGCCCCGTTCAAAACAAAGACGCAGGGACGCGGCGGCGCGCATCATCACCACCCTTGACGCTCGAGGTGGGCGTGATAGCGGCGATCAGTCATCGCAGGCGAAAGGGAGGGGCGGGAACACGATTGCCAACACGACTGCCACCTGAATGAGGCAAATAACATCAGAAGTGGATGATACAAACAGAGACCCCTCCTACGCCGTGATATGCAGACGACAGTTCTCCTGCGTCACTGTCCACCGTCACCTCGCAGCTGCTGCGTCAGGGCAGGATTGATCGTCTTCTCGCCGATCTTCTCAAACAAACCGGGCAGAAACTGCGCAGAGGGAATGTGCGTCTTAGTATTCGCGCTTGTCTAGCCACCTTGGAGCATTGATCGCGGGACGTACTCACGTTGAATTGATCGCCTCCAACCTTGACCAGGAGGAAGTAGACGAGCGAGAGGAGCGAGACAATGAGCTGCGTGGGCAGTGGAAAGAGTCAGTATCGTAGCGCTTGGCAACTGCCGCTGGCTGCTCACCATCAGCTTGTTGTTGGCAACGGCGTCTTTCAATCCCAAGCCGCCTGCCCCCTCGCCACGACTCCATCTCTCCCACGTCTCATGACGCTCTCCTTCTTGCATCCTCCTCATCCTGGCGTTGCGCTCTATCAGTCCTGTGGGCGTGGGAGAAGGATGCGGTCCAAGTCAGTCGGTCTCTTACCTTATCGTATCACACTGCTGACGCTCGCCAGTCGCCACTCACTCTTGCTCGGCAGGTGATAAATAGCCAAAGTAGGCGCAGCAATGAGGTCCAACTTGGACGCCAGGTGCACCCGAGAATACGGACGAAGGTACGACGTGCCCGCCGTATCCGTCAGCGACAGGCTGGCATCAATGTCAATTTCTCCTGCGAGGAGGAAGTCCTCATCATTGTATAGCTTGGGTGGGTCGACGAGTTCGTCACCATTCACGGGCGTTGGCGGCGAGCCAGTGCTAGCGTCGTCCGATGAGGATTGGTTGGAGTGCTGGCCCTGTTTCCCTGCTGCGGCGGCGTTGAGGTTTGATCCAAATCCCCCAGCCGCTCCTGAGTTGCTACCGCCACTACGCTCTGAAGGCAGCGACGACCCGTCGTTCCAGACCATCGAGACCCATGGCTTCCCCTCTACGCCCGCCTTGTACCATTCTTCGTCCACGTCGACGCTGACGTAGATGACCTTGAACTCGTGGGGATGCCTCGACTGGAAGTCTGTGATTGTCCTTTGGTACTCCTTGAGCGGCATGCCCGCCCACTGACTGCTGAAGTAGAGTGCGACGACTTTGCAGTCTTGGAAGTAGCGTTTCAGATTGACTGGCTTGCCGTGGCTGTCCACTAAACGTAGGCGACGCAGCAAAGGATCGGTATGCTGGTATTGCTCGGCGGGGGGCAGCTTGCTTGGTGAGGGCTTGAGGGCAGGTTTGAGCGGGGTGGACAGGGTCGATCCAGATGGTGTGGTGCTTGTCGATGAGTTTGCGGATTGACCCAGACCTGATGAGCCACCGTTGGTACTGCCGCTGCTGCTGGCGTTGCGCCTCATTGTTGAGTCGTGCGAGGAGAAGTCTGAGATTGTCTGAGTTGAGGGCGAGGAGCGGAACGAGACGGAGCGTTTGGATGGTTGTGTGAGGGGTGAAGTGGATGAGGATGGATCGGGCGAGCCATACAGAGCTGTAGAGGATGCCATGGCGATTGAAGACTGCCGCCAAAAGGAAGAGGGACGGGGATGTGGGGTATGAACGGGTTGGGAGGAGCGAGCTGTGGCTCCTGACCTCGCTCGCACGGGCGCAAGCAACAGGGCCGAGCGAGATGGAGGCGGGTCGTGGGTAGCAGCGGCGATGAGTCGATTGGCTCGTCTATCTCGACACCGACTGTGGCTTGTAGGTGCGCGAAGAAGCTGGAGGTGATGTCGCAGCAGATGCAGATGTGGAGAGATAGGAGACAAGGTGTTGCTGATTGATCTGCGACTGCGTGGAGAACACGAACCACGACTGCGCTCGGACCGCGTCTCCGAAGGCTGCAGGCAGCAGCAGCAGGCAGCACCAGGCAGCAGCGAGCGCCACGCCTCCGCCTCTCTGGCAACCTGGCCAAATAGTAGCAATGGCGGCATTTCACGATCATGGCTCCGTGCAGTCAGGCACTCGAGCAAGCAGACAGCATCATCAGAGGCCCAATCCCTCCATATAGTACGGACGATAACGAGCGAGCCACCATCGACGAGTAGCAGGAGCCAGGTGGGGCCCACGTGTACGCGCTCTGGTCCGCGGCCCAATCGCAATCGCGGGACAATCGCGGGAAAGACTTTTGAGCTCGCTCGCTCGCTCGCGCACTTTCTTCTCTCTCTCACTAACCCCCTCCGAACCACCCGTCTCGCCTTTTCAGGCTGGACGAACTGCTCTTCTTTTCCCAGCGATCAGCGGTAGTCGTAGAAAAGAGGCTTCAAAGCCTTGTCGGAGGGGCAGAGAAACCCAACTAGCCCACAGGTCAAGTCGCCTTTGCTTCGCAAGCGGGGCAGACTTTCTTGGTGCTAGGCTCGACAATAAGCCGGGCGTCTCTTTGCCTGTTGAGCCCTAGCGGGACGACGGACGTAGAGAGATGCTGACTTTGGCGAGGTACATTGTAGCAAGCTGTGATGAATGATATAAGATTGCAAGTCCACGAGCGAAATTGAGCTACACCTGCCTGTGAGTGTCACCCTGCCGGCTCACAAGCCTCGACAGCATCAAGGACCGTCTTGGCGGTCCATTGGCAGACTGGCCATCCTCGACTCCCATGACGGGTGACTGCAGATGAGCCTCCCTTGCGGCATCCTGCTCATCCCTCTCGCGCTCTTGCTGCTCCTCAAAGCGACGTCGCTGCTCCTCTTGCCACGTTCCGTGCAAACGCGCAAATGTCGTCATTGGCGTTGTCGACGTTTCGAGGTGGGTGTCGCCTAGGAAGACTGGGGCGTTGTGGCGTCGCGTCGCGTCCACTGAGCTGTGAGGGTAGCACGGACTTGGCGGTAGAGAGGCACCTTGTTGTATTGAGATGTCGCCTGACGGCTCGTTGTCGTCCTTCTCTGATGTGTAGGGGATGCTCGGGGCTTGTCTTCTTTGGCCCGCTGGGTGGAGTAGCGCGACTGCCGTCCCCACGAGGAGTACGATGCCATACAGTGCCAAGAAGAGAGCAAACAGCAGCCGCTCCTTCTTCAGCTTCTTCTCGTACCCATCGATCACCTTGGCCAGGACCCCTCCCCTATTGCCTCCGCCTTGTTGAGGCTGTCCATTGGCCGCCTCCTGAATCGGCTGTATCAGCTCCTGCGACCGGTTTGCGCTGAGCATGAGCACCGTCGGCGACACGAGTGGAAAATCTGCGTGCGCGTTGTCCCGCAGCCACGTAAGCGCCTTTTCGATGTTGATGACCTTTTGTAGAAGAAGGCATGAGATGAATGTCTGGAGGGGAGTGAAGAGAGGGGTATTGGCGAATGTTTCCTACAAGGTGGGGTGACAGAGAGCACATCAGCCCAGGCTACACAGACGCCGGCCAGTGCTCGAGAGCAATCTTACGTTCAAAGCAGAGGAGATCCCGTCGATAAATTCGTTGAGCGTGTTATTCATTGTGCCTGTCGTCGTGTTGACCCAGCCAAAGAGGTGCTCGTTGAGGTCGACTTGCGCGCTGCTTATCATGGCATTGGTACGGTTGGCGTAAGAGTAAGAGGCATTGGCCGTGACAGCATTGATGCGGGTGAGAGCCGTATTGCCGAACACTTCGAAGCTACCGTCCAGTTGCTGCGGATGGATGGAGGCGGCGGTCAGCCTGGCGGACATTTTTGGCGACGCGCTTGCCCACTCACGCGCTGGTAGTGGCGCTCAATGGGTCGAATGGCGAGCAGCTGCACCTCGACACTGAGCATGCCGCAAAGTCCAATTGCCAGGCATATGAGCGCTGTAGGGTGGCCGATGAAGCTAGCCCACCATCGTACCCGTCTTTGACCTCTGGGTGAGCTGACGCCGCAGATTGACGCCGTCTTCAAAGCCCATCCAGTCAGCAGGGGATGGTGCGACATCGAGAGCAAGTCCATGAGATTGTGCTTGCTCAAAATGTGCTCCGTACCAGCCCCGCTCTGCAGCCACGTTCGTCTCGTATTGGCAACATTGCGAAGGAGGCATCGCCACGCCCACCACTCTTGCACGATGCTGACGACGAGGAGCAGAAGGATGACGGCGCCGATGGTGATGATGCCGATCAAGACGAGCTTCTTGAGAGCGTTGCCCAGCCCGTCCAGCGGGGACATGTTGAGATCCTCGCAAAATGTGATGCTTTGGCGGTCTGGGAGGGGGAGCAGGGAGGTGTCGAAGGTGAAATTGGACGTGGCTGCGACGACAAGAAAGGAGCGTGAGCTGACCTCGCTTTTGTTCGATGGGAGGAGAGGATAAGGGGCGAAAGCCACTACTCACTGGCGTTCACATCGACTTTGAGCTTCTCAAAGGGCATCTGGACGATACTGTCCATCCTCTGCTTAAATTCAGTAAGCGTTGGTAAGGTGCCATTGAGCTTGAGCAGCGCGTCCTCGAATGATGTCGGGAGGTGAACGTTGTCAAGAGCGCTGAGGTCCGGCTGAGAGATCTGAGGCACCTGGATGCTCTTGCCAACGATGGAGAGAACGTCATTGATGCCGTCGAGCGACGTATTGAGGAAACCGTTCACGCCATCGATGGAAGCCTGCACCGCACTCTTGATACCAACACCCGTTTCATGAATGGCCGAGTTCATCAGATCAACTGCAGCCATGAGGAGGGAAAGAGAGCCGCGCACCAGAAGCTCGATGAAGCAGAGGAAGACTGAACGGTACGAGTTGACAAAGAAGGTGACGAGGGCCTCGAGAGCCACCAGAGCGAGGTATACGATTCTACCGAGAGCTCTGACAGAGCCTTCAACGGCCTCCTGCGTGCGTGCATTCATTGCGTCGGCCATGAAGTGTGGCAGGCTCGCGGCCATGCTTGCTTGGTGCTCCGCATCATGACACACGTTGAGCAGACTTGCCTTGGCCGATCCTATCTTGTCATCGATGTCGCCTGATGAGAGGAGGAGATGTGTGCCGGTGAAGAGGAGAGCGAAGAGGGGTGGCGAAAGCACCGAGAGACAGAGTCGAGCTCGTAAGCCAAGATATGGATGCAGTTCACCGTCGCTAAGACTAGGGCTGGAATGGCCTGGAGCTACGGTGAGGTCGTGAAAGTCCGAGACCGAATCGCTCGGACGAGGGCTGTAGATATGGTCGGGATACGAAGGAGGTGGTTGATGCGCTAGGTTGTGGTCGTGGTCGCTGTGAGTCTGCGTGGGAGGCACGATCAGCGGTGGCAGCGGCGGCTTCATCGCGATCAGCGGTGGTGGAGGAGCGGGAGTAGATGTTGAAGCTGAACATGGTGGCGAAGAGGACGGCAAATGTAGGCCTGCTGCCAGAGGGTGTTCAGGAACAAAGCGGGAAGTTGAAGGTCAAAGGAGCAATGAGTGACAAGGGGTCGTCACGGTATGCGCCATTAGCATCCAGCGTCCCGCGTTCCTTTGTTCGCGTCCGCTTGCGCGACAGCCACCGCACCTCCTTTGTTCGGGGAGCACTCGCTCCATCCCCACGCTAGCCAGTAGCAGAGCAGCAGCTTCCACGTGCGATCGCCGAAGTCGCTCAGGCATTGCTCGCTCCCAATAACTTGCATCCGCAGCTTGTCGTTACCACAGTACGTGGGTGGCTGGCGCTGGCTAAGAGGCGAGTCGAGGGCTGAACGGCAATCGCGGGCCGGGCGAAAGCTGGCCACGGAGCAAAGGCCGTATCTCCGAGGCGGCGAGTGGAGGAGTCCGAGAATCTGCGCGAGGAAGGAAGCTCCTTGTCAGGCCACGCCTCAACATTCCGCTCTTAGAAGAGCAAACCACCCCGCACCGCCATCAACGACTACATAAAGACGCAGTGTGTTCCACATTCATCGAGACTCCATCACTAGCATTCATCGTTCAGCCCGCTCAACCACATCGTCAAAAATGGCAGACCGACTCGTCACCGAGATTCCTAGCAACGTCGACGTCCTGGCTCAGCCAGTCAAGTTCGCCAACTCGGGCCTCGTCGCCCCCAACCGCTTCCTTAAGGCAGCAATGACCGAGAGGCTCTCGTCGTATGATCAGGACGAGCCGACGAAGAGGTGAGACTGCTGCTCGTCCGCCTCTCATATCATGATGTGGCTAAATGCTCACTTTGCAATTCCCCCCCTCTTCCATGCTCCTTCGGCGCAGGGGCATCCCGTCTGACGCCCTCATTCACCTTTACGAAGAGTGGGGCAAGGGAGAATTCGGTGTGATCCTCTCGGGCAACACCTTCGGGCAATATGAGCATTTGGAAGCCCAAGGGAATCCCATCATGCGTGGCAACGAGCCAGAGCGCTTCGAGGCCTTCAAGAAGATGGCTGCGGCCGCCAAGGCTCACGGCTCCAAGTACATCGTCCAGCTTTCCCACGGTGGCCGTCAGACCCCGGCCAACATCACCCAGAACCCTGTCTCTGCCTCTGATATCCAGCTTACCAAGATGGGCGGCCAGGACGTGACGGGCAACTTTGGCAAGCCTCGCGCTCTGACCATCGACGGTATCAAGGAAGTCGTCGATGACTTTGCTAACGCCGCCAAATACGCCTACGACACGGGCGCCGACGGTATCCAGGTGCACGGAGCACACGGCTACCTCATTGCACAGTTCCTCAGCACGACGACCAACCAGCGTACGGATCAGTACGGTGGCTCCCTCGAAAACCGCTCGCGTATCGTCATCGAGATCCTCGATGCCATCCGTGCAAAGGTCAACGACCCCAAGTTCCTCCTCGGCATCAAGCTCAACTCTGTCGAATTCCAGGCTGGCGGTTTCACCACGGAAGATTGCCGTCAGCTCTGCGCCAACCTCGAAGCGCACGGCGTTGACTTCATCGAGCTCAGCGGCGGTACCTACGAGGAGCTCGCCTTTAGCCCCACCAAGACGCAGAAGCGCGAGTCGACAAAGAAGCGCGAGGGCTACTTTGTCGAGTTCGCCGACGAGGTTCGTGCAGGCATCAAGCAGGCACAAATTTACGTCACTGGCGGTTTCCGTACTGCGAAGGGTATGGCAGACGCCGTCGAGTCGAGCTCGTGCGTAGGCGTCGGGCTGGCAAGGCCCGTATGCTCGGAGGTGGACCTGCCAAAGAAGATCCTGGCCAAGCAGGTGGCCTCAGCTAGGAAGAGCTTGATCCCCGAGGACCAATTCCTCGTAGCTAACCAGGTTTGCTGCTACCAGCTGAAGCAGGTCGGTGAGGGCAAGAGGCCCGTCGACTGGAACAACGAGGCGGAGCTCAACCCCGTCCTCAAGGAGCTCGGTCTTGCCGCATAGATATTGATAGACACCCGTACGACCATTGTCAGGCCAGTATTTCTTCCCTCTAATGTCAAATTGCAAAATAGATTGCAACTGTCGAAGCCCCATCAGGCGACTGTCCTACCTACCGCCCACTGCACGATGTCTGTATTCAGCGTGCCTTTCTTGCCTCTCGCCTTGGCCACCTCAGACACGATATGAGGCTCCAGCACAGAGCGTACTCGCAGGTATTCGCGGCGCACAACTGTCGCCCTGCTAGCTGCTGGTACGAGCGTCGATTTGGGAAGCGGAGGCGGGCCCGTCGCAGCTGCCGTAGGTCCAAATGAGATGGTCGATAGGAAAGCGTCTGGCAGGAAAAGCTCGAGGGACAGCAGCTCCTCGAAAGCCAGCATCGCTCGTTGTCGATCATCGCGGGCATTGTGGGCACCAGTTTCAGCTCCACTGGCCACCTCCTTTGCAGCCTGCCTCCTTGCCTGTCCCCTCGGCGTCGTCGGCTCTACCACCTCCCCCGCCTTGAGTCCTAGCCCACCCATACCGGCCGCCTCTCTCTCCCTCCTACTCCTTCGCGAGAATGTCGTTACCTCGCTGAGGAGCATTTCGAAGTTGAAAACTGACCGATCGGCGCGCAGCTCAAGGTGCTTGGCGGCGATGAGAAGCATAAAAGGCATGGTAGGCAGGCGGTGCAGGACGTCTTGATCGTCGATTGCGCCATTGTAGAGGACTTGGGAGGAGACAAATCGGCGGGGCGAGAGGGTGGGAAATGTTGGGCTCAGTGATGCTATGCTCGGGTATAGGGACTGGAAGAGCAGCTGAGCATCTTTGCTGACGTCGATCATGGCTTGCAAGGTTTCAGTGAAGGTATCGCTGGCGAGGAGCGTCTGCGAGCAACAAAGAAGTTAGAGACTGCGTATCATTGCTCGCATCGGCTGAGCCACTCACCTGAACATCTTTCGCCCATGCCTCATCAAGCTGCGCATCTTGTCCTTCGCCCGCGCTCAGCGCCTTGCCCACAAGTTGTTTCCACTCATCGAGCGCACTAGGAGGGTAACACTGCACGATCCGATGAGAGAAGCGCGATTTGACACGCTTCTCGAGAAGATCTGTCGTGTCCGGCCTCCTCGTCATGCCGACGATGGCCAGACCTGGCCGATACGAGCCCGACTGCACGGCGTCGAGGAGACAGTACAGGAGCGCTTGTCGTGGCCGCGTTGTCAGGAGATCGAAGGAGTCGAGTGTGATGATGAGGGGTCTTGCTGACGAGCTGGTCGAAGAGGATGAGGCAGATGCTAGCATCGATAGGATGGAAGACGTAGTGTTGGAAAGGGATGACTGCGGGCGCAGGACTCAGGTTGTGAGTCGTTGGTATCGAGTGACGCGCCCCCCTATTGCGTATTATGACTTACAAGGACAGCCGTACCCAGCGCTGCCTTCTCTTCATCATCTTCCTCGTCCACATTGTTGATATCGCTCTGACGCCCATCGCGATCTTCGCCTTCGTGCTCCTCATCGTCTTCCTCTTCCAGGTCCAGCTTGTCATCCTGGCCGATGGATAGAGCGCCGAGCTGGATCAGCTGTTGAGCCAGCTCCCTCATCGCAACGCGATCTGTCGTGCACCTCCGAGCTGAGATTTGGACATGGTGATAGGAAGATGGAGATCCGAGCGAAGCCAGACTCGTCTTCAAGATCTGGAAGCGGGGTCCCGAAGCATCGTATCTTTGTAAATGCCACCATTGAGCCGCAATGACACACTTGCCTGACTCACAGCATCCTTTCCACTGCCTCTCGGCCCCACCAGGAGGATGCTGTTGCTCTCCCCCCTTTGTACAGTCGCCTTGAGGGTCTGTTCAAGCGTCACCGCCTGCTCTTGTAGGCAGACGAGGTCGTCGGTGGTGGTCACATGACCTGAGAGGCGATTCAGCACTTCTTGACGTTTCCTGTCGAGGCCGATCGTGAGCTTTGCTTTGTCGAGACGGACAAGCGCAGGTTGCGAAATTTCTGCGTCGCGGTCGTCATCGCCGTGATCGAGGTCGAGGAGCTCGTTTGCAACATCATCGTCATCATCCAAGACCTCATGGCCATTCGATTGTCGCGAACGTTTGGCGCCTCTCCTACTCGAAGAAGGCTGTTTCGTGCCCTCTGCCTCCCCCTGTCTTGATCGTTTTCTTGGCGTACCAACCGCTGCGGGCATCACGATCCCTGACTTGCCTCGAGGTTTGAAAACGTTGCGTGATCTTGATGAGGCCCCTCGTTGATAGCGCGAGATTGGTCGGGAAGACGGAGAGAGCGAGGCGAAGTCCATCTTTCGGCCGTGTTTCCGAATCGCTGGACGGGTGGAGAAGCGGGGACGACGGCAGCCCAGCTCTTCCGCACTCAAGCTCTCAATACGGCCACGCACACGCACCTCCTGTTGCTGCACTGTCGAATGGATCCTTAATCGATTCGCACGACGAGACAAGCAGGCAAGCGTTAGCGCCCGAGGCAGCAGTCATCTGTCATCACTGATCAGGCAGGCAGGCAGGCAGGCAGGCGAGCAGGATCGCATCGTGCTGCGTCGCAGCAAATCGTGATGCGAGATTGAGGTGGCCGGAGAGCGACTACTGCTGTCTGCGATGCGATCTCGATTGCACTTGCTTGTCGTTGGTCATGTGTGGTCTTCAGCATTGAGCAACAAGCAGGCAAGCAAGCAAGCAACAAGGGACTGCCACGCATGCGACAGTCTCCCCAGTCTTGTTTACACTGTCGCCCTCCTTCGTTCGCTCCAAACGCCGTTTCTTCATGCCGTCTCCTCTCGCCGTTTCTACCGGTCTCTCCGAGATTGATTGTGGCTCAATCGTAGAGGTCGAAGTCGAAATCGAGTTTGCGCTTGTCCGCTACTGCTGCACCGCCCGGTCTTCCAAACTGGGTCCAATTGATGACAGCTCGTCGATCCCGGGCGGCGAGACAGCGTCATCCATGAGAAAGGCCCAAGCTAAAACACTACACTCGCCTCTCGTTGAAGCAAGTTGGCGGCGGGGCGAGCGTGCAACCGAGAGCAGGGCGGCGTTGAGGCGAATGGGGGAACACAGTTGGAGCAGGCGAGCAGAATTGTGGGCGACTTGATGCAACTGGAAGAGCAGATCGCTCACTCCTCGCTGCTCGCCCGCCCGCAGAAAGGCAGAGGCAGGCACACGCATGCTTGCTTTGGATGCAGGCGAAGGCGAAGCCGACGCAGAGAGCTCTTCCTGGCTCTCACAGCTCGCGAGTGCTTCTCCTCTCCCTCTCTCGCCCAGCGAATGACGCTCGTCGTGCAGTACCAGATTCATCACGGGCGACCAAGTGACATCCGGTCGATCACAGCCACCTCCTCTCTTCCCTACCTGACCTCCGTTTCCTTTCTATTCTTTCTCATCATCAATCGTCATCTTGCCGCTCACTTAAGCTCAAGGTTGCCCGTCCAAGCTGGGGTACCAAACCTTTGGATCGACTTGTCGACGACATCCGCTCGAAGAGGAGACGCGGAGAGAGAAACTCTGCTCCAAGAAAGAGGAGCAGTAGGGCTGCGCAGCCCAGCCACGCAGGCCGCGCTCTCCGCAACGGCGGCCACTCGTTTCAAGTCCAGCCTCGACGACGACGCCACTTGAGGCACCGTCCCAAGATATCGTCGCTACGGGGTGAACAGAGGCACCAAGGAACGACGACAACGGCGACAGCGACTGCAGCGAGCAGCATTGGCTGACCGGCTGACAACGTCGACAATCAAGACGACTTTGCTGCTCGTCTTCCACTTGTCCTCCATTGATCGTTGGGTGTCGTCGCAAGGCCAGACGCGCTTTCCTCCCTCCAATCTCTTTCGGTCTCCTCATCCTCGCCTTCGTCGCAGCCACGCGCACGCCCGTCCTTCCTTGCTTCCATCCATCCACCTAGGCATCGTCACCTCTCCATAGGATTACACTCTACACCTCGCGGCCGCCATCTCTGCATTTAACGGCTGGCCGCGATGCTTCCTCGAGTTACTGTGAGTGATCAGGAGCAAGACGTCCAGGACAAGGTTCGAGCGGATGGCGGTTGGCGCATGAGGCTAACTCACCATCTCTGCGCGGCACATAGGCATTTCCCATCCTGCCCGAGGGCCATTTGGTGTACAAGGCGTCGACGGGTTTGAGGATACCGGCAAGAGAGAAGACGGGCTGCCCATTGATTGGCAATCTGGCGCCGGAGATCATCTTGAGAGACCAGCTGGGACGAGACTGCGTGCGTACACGGAAACTACGTCTTGTTCAGCTGCATCTGTTTCTGACCTGACGCCTCACGGATGCTACCTCTTTTCGCTGACAGTCACTTCATGCCACCATTGAGCTTGGCCGCCCCATCGTCCTCTTCTTCTTCCCCCTTGCTGGTTCGCCACAATGCACGGTAGAATCATGCTCGTTCCGAGATGCCCTTGGCGACTCGGCCGTCTTCGCCGAGCTCGACGCAATCGTCATTGGCATCTCCCAAGATACGCCGGAGACGCTGCGACGCTTCGTCGATGAGCATGACCTTGGCTACATTATCCTCAGCGATGCCAAGCGAGAAGCCATGCAAGCTTTCGGCGTCAACAAGACGTGGCTGGGCCTCATCAACAATAGGTGTACGTTCGTCATCGATCACGAGGGCATTGTGAGGGGCATGTGCGAGGGTGTACTGGATGCCAAAGGCCACAACCAATTTGCAGAGAGGTGGCTCGTTCGCATTGAGCATGAGCTGGCCGGACGCACAAAGGAGAGGATGCTTGACGATGACGAGGAGCATGGAGCGGTCAAGACGATGGCGACCGACGAGGCGTCAGGCAAGAGAATCAAGCACGGCCGAGAGAACAGTGCCAAGGGTGCCGGCATTGATCAGGCTCCTCGCTACGGCGCCGCCCCACGGACGACGCCCACCGGTTCTCTCAAGGCGAAGAAGTCAAATGGCGTACGCGACTTCCTTGCGCAGTTCTCATCGCCAGACGGCCATCCACTTCCTGCTCTTGGGGGTGCGACCTACGTGAAGCAGATGCATTCGCAGCCGCTCACACCGTCGTCAAGCCAAGACAAGTCTTCCGAAAAGGCTCCGTCTCGATTCCGCAACGTCTTCCGTGGCGGCAGAAAAGGCACGCCCCCTCCTGTCCCACCGACATACGAGAACTTCGACGAGGACATCCGAATGTACGGGCAGACGGACAGTGTGGGTAGCGGCAGCGGCAGCGGCAGCGCAGAGCGGATGACTGCAAGCGGTAGCACGGGTAGCCATCGCGAAGCCGGAGATCGCACCTCGTTGAAGAGCTCTGGTAGTGGGTCGAGGAGCACGCGAGACACGTCCAGCAGTCAACATCGCGGGCATAGCCGCAATGCGAGTGTGGGCTCATCGACAAAGGTCCCGACCTACGATAGCGTCGCGCCAATCGTCTCCCTCAGGTCAAAGCCCACGTCTTCGTCGACAAATGATGGGCCCGCTGTTCCTGCCAAGGACTTTGCGATGCCACCGAGACGGCCACAAGTAGCAGAGACAGGCGACCTGTCCAATGGCACCGTCACGCATGGTATGGATCGGTTGTCTGTACAAGACGACGGCGCTATCCCTCGTCGATCTCGAGATGCCCCCGATGACGTACCGATGGACGCGACGGATGATGCCGACGATTCAGAGGAATTTGTCACCCAGCTAGCGAACGGACAGATCGAGGTCACACCTAGGGAGCAGCGCTTCAACGTACCCATCAGCTCAATCATCGACCCTGCGCCACCCATAGTTCAGGCGCCGCCAAGGACGACGTCTAGAGCACCTGCCTCAGCACAGTCGTCATCTGGCTCTCGACCCGGCTCAGCTCGGTCCTTGGCTGACCGATCAGTCAACGGCAGCCCCAGAGGCAAGCAATCGACGTCGCGCAGAGAATCCGAAGAAGACTTCGGTCGACGCACTCCCAATGGACGGGGCACCCCAACGGCTCTCGGTCCTCCCCCTCCACGACCGACATCGAGATCAGCGCAGCGGCAACAGCAAGCGCAGGCTGCGGCTCAAGCGCCTTTGAGTCGCGCGTCCCTTGAGAGCCTAGGCGGCGCTCAAATCCAGAGTGCGAAGCGAACGACGATTCACAAGGATGCGACTCAAGTGTCACCTCGACGTGGCGACTCCTTCACGAGCGTCACTACGGCCAGGCCGCGGATCATCACGCCGCGGACCTCGCCTCGTGTTGATGCCCCACCACCAGCAGGTTCGGAGGAGCGGCCAAGTTCTGCCGCAGCGAGACAGACCAACATCCCAAAGCAAGCCCCTGTTCCAACGCATCCCCCGCCGCCCGTGCCTGGCCCCAACGGCAATGGCAGCGGCGCCGAGGAGCTGGGTACCAGCCCGCGTAGCTTAGACTCCCTCACATCGTCGAGCAATCATTCGCTCCCTTCCCTTTCCTCCCAACGGCGCCCCTCGGATACCGCGAGCATTGCGAGTGTGGGCACGTTTGGCAGGAGAGTGAGCGTCGCAGAAGTCATGCAGTTCTAAGGGTCGAGCGTGCGAGGGGAATTACTCGTGCGGTGCTTTTTGGCTCTAAGCAGCCTCATCATATGATCTGTCTCTCTAATCTACTTCTCATCTCGTACCGCGAACTCTAGTTGGATCTTGTAATCTGTCGACTTTGCTTAACACCACCTCCGTTGGCATTCATGAACGAGCGCAACCTTGACTTATCTCGACCATTTTTTCGATGGTAACGATGAGGAACAGCTGTCTCCCACCTCATTGCCTATCCACGTCGCGCTTGTATTCCATGGTATTTGCCGCGGCCTTTGCTTGCCAATCGCGCCGCCTACCATCCATCCACTTGTCATCGGCTGCATGTATTTCCCCTGCTCCCGGCCTTGATCCGGACGCGGCCCGGGCTGATCCTCCGGCTCATCGAAAAGTACCAGGCAGCAGCGCCACTGGGCCCCGCTCGAGGGTCTCGATCTAGTCGATTGGCGAATTTCGTGGCCGCACACGGATCCAGTCTCCAAGATGAGACGCGGCGGGAGAGCGGGAGCCGCGGGTGAGCTGCCTGGGACTGGCGAGCAGCAGCGGACAACGAGGGTGCAGTGGACGACGCCTTGCTCGACGCGCTGCTGTGAGAGCCAGCCGGCCATTGAAACTCCTCTTGCCCTTTCGCAGCAAGCCTCCTTCTCGGCGCCTACAGAGCTCCTTGCCTGCCTGCCTGCCTGCCTGCCCACCAAGCAGCAGCTTTGCTCTTTGCCTTTGGCGGCGTTGACGACCGGTCTTCATCTCGTTAGCATCTTCTTTTCTCCTCCTCGTCCATCATCAACTCCCTTCTCGTGCAACCTCCGGCCGTCGGACTCTACCGCTCCCCGCCTACGCCCCTCTCCGACTCCACTTCACACCTCTGGATCTCATCCACAGCGACGACGACGACGCGTATCCAGGGCAAATTGCATCTTTAGGCGTCTCTCCCTCACTACTCCAAACGACTCCCAATCATCAAGAACGCCAACCACTGGCCTGCGGGCTGATCAATTGCCAACCTGACGCCATCATCTAACTCTCGCATAGCTCATCATCCTCGCCACACCACTGAGGCGTATACCGAATCTACATCTACCCCATCTGACACGAGTGCTCTAGGATCCGCAACTGGACAGGCAGAGGGACAGCTCTCGACTTTCACAGAGTCGTTGGGGGCCAAGGGGGAGGAGGAAGCATCAGAATACGGTTCAAATCTGGAGGCAGGGCGTCAACAGCAAAGAGTCAAGGGTCTCACGCCTGCATCTCCGGAGCTATCCCCATTCTCCGATCCTCAATACCTTCAGCGCAGAGAAAGCACTCAATCCGAAGGCGCAGCATCGTCGACGTCCTCTTCAGCTCGCTCGCGAATCACCGCAGTCAGCTCGGCCACAGGTGGACGACGCAGGCCTCGAGAGGAAGACGTGCGAGAACCAGACGCAACAGACGAAGTCACGTCTGCTCCTCTAGCCCTCTCAACGAGCTACGACAGCAACCAATCCGAGGGCAGCTCTGGCTTCAAGCGACAGAGGACGACCCCCGCACGCGAGACTGTGCCCCCAGCCTCTCTCAGCTCGCCTTCATCTAAAGCTTCCCGTCCTAAGATCCGACGAGCGCCTAGCAGCTATCGCTTGACCGACTCGTTTGCCAACTCTTCTCTCTCCGAGAACTTGACCAGAGCAGCAAAGAACGGCAAGGCTGATCTAGACTCGCCGAACCACAAGCAGCAATCCTCGCACCATCATACCGCATACACCCCGTCACCTTTGGCCACTATGATGGACCTCGATGAGTCTCTGCGGGCTCTTTACTTTGCTCCGATCCCATTGATCGTCCTCGACTCGAACCGCTACATTCGCATGCTCAATCGACCTGCCGAAAGACTTCTCGCAACAACTTCACAGGCCAGCGTCGGCATTCGTCTCGAAGGTTGGGTATTGCCTGCCTTTAGACAAGGATTCACTCAGGCATTGAATGATGCAGCGCAGTCTTCGCGCGGCAAGAACTGGAATCTCCCGATCTACACTCGCCTGACCTTCATGGAGGGCGTCAGCGAGACGGCCGAGCCACAACCCGACCATGTCGTTGGCGCAGAGTGCTCCATCTCTGCCTGGTTCCCAGCCGACCAGCTCTTTGCAAGCTCTACAACGACATTCGAAGGCGGCGATACCGGGGACAGCTTCGCTTCTGGTCCTGCGTCGCCAACGAGTACCATGGACCTCTCGCCTCAAACGACGCCTATGTTCGAGCAGACGCGCAGCCTCGACGCTGTTGTCAAAAGCTCAAAGGCCTCCGCGCCGCCTCAGAACCTTTTACACGAAGCTTACTACACACTCAGTCTCATGCCGACCCAGACGAGGGAGCGTAGAATGAGCCCGACCGAAGCGAAGATTAGTAAGGCAGACGTCCTTAGAGACTCGCTCTTGCACACGTTGGACATGCCTCTCATGGCGCTCTCTCGTGACGGCAACACGCTCGTGCGAAACCGAGCCTGCGACGAGACTCTGAAGTGGTTTGAGAAGAAGGCTCCCATTCCGAACGTCTTGCCACCAGAGGCACCTGATCCGCTGGCGGAAAGTCCATCAGTGGATCTGAGTTGGCTCACCGACGCCATGACTTGCTACACCGAGGACTTCTCTCAGCTTTTCCCTCCTCACAAGTTCCCAATCTACCGCGCTGCCGTCCTCGGAGAGAGACCGCCGGTGGTCAACGTCGGATGCGTAGCCGCGGGCACTGGTCTCCGTCGCGTGTTCAAAGTCGATGGCCAGCCGATAAGGGACGCTGGCGGTTACGGTGAGCATGTCGGTGGTGTCATTCAGATTACAGATGTCACCGAGGAGCTCCAGCAGCGCAAGGCTATGGCTCAGAAGCAAGGAACTGAGTGAGTGCACACGAACATTTTGGGGTAGACGATTACGGCTTGACTGACGAGCAAAGCATTCTCATTACCTTGTCTCACAGATACTTCCAGACTATCTGCGAGTCACTTGCACAGCTCGTCTGGGTCACAGATCCTTCGGGCTACCACGAATGGTACAATCAGCAATGGTACGATTACACGGGAGCAACAAAAGAGCAGTGTCTGGGCGTAGGCTGGTCAGGAGTCTTCCACCCCGAGGACATGCCAGAGACGTCGAAGAGATGGTCACATTCCCTGCGCACCGGAGAACTCTATTCGACCGAGTACCGCTGCCGCCGCCACGATGGACAATATCGTTGGTTCTTGGGTCGAGCTCTTCCCCTGCGTGATCCAGAGACTGGAGCCATCACCAAGTGGTTCGGCACCTGCACCGACATCCATGACACTGTGGTAGCTCTCGCGGCCAGTCGGCAGTCTCAAGACCGTCTCGAGAATGTCATCAACCACGCCGCCATGACTCTCTGGGCCGTCGACTTGAACGGCATCATCACCGTCGCCGAAGGGCCAGGCGTTCGTCAACTCAAGCTTCTCGGCCCTGGTACCCCTGGAGGGACTGGCTCGGACGAGAGTGGCTCGTCAGGCTCCAAGCGCTCATTTATGATGCTCTCCTCGGGCAAGGAGGCAGCGACGACGGCCTCGGGCGAGGAGAGCCAGAGCGACCACGGAGCATTCAGTCCCAGTGCCAGTCACACGACCGCTTCACGCTCAAAGGTCTCGCAGCACCGCAAGCAAAATCGCAGCATGATCGGCAAGTCCATCTACTCGGTCTGGGGTGATGCGCCTCGCGTCTTCATTGCCAAGGCCCTCGCTGGCGAGTCGTGCGTCGAAGAGAGTGAGATCGAAGGTCGATGGTTCCGAACGCAGTATTCGGCCATCCGCAACGAAGAAGTCACTGAGGGTGGCGATGGTCAAGGAAAGATCATCGGTGTCGTGGGAGCAAGCATGGACATTACAGATCGTAAGCGCGCCCAAGAACAGATGGAGCAGTCGCTCAAAGACAAGGCCAGGGCAAAGGCTGCAGAGACGGCAGCAAAGGAGGCCAGCAGGCTCAAGTCTGAATTCCTCGCCAACATGTCACATGAGATCCGTACTCCCATCGCTGGGGTCATCGGCCTCTCCGAGCTTCTCCTCGATACCAAAGGCTTGACAGGCGAGGCGCGCGACCTAACGGAGAACATCCAGCGATCCGCTGACGCTCTTCTCACTGTCATCAACGACGTGTTGGATTTCTCCAAGGTCGAGATTGGCAAGCTCGATATGGAGAAGACGCCGTTCTCGCTCAACCTCGTCTGCCGCGACACGATCAAGATGCTTTCCTTCGCCACTTCCAAGAAGGGCCTTGCCTTCTCAGAGCAGTGCGATCTGCGACACCAAGGCCTGCTGTTGGGCGACGCTGGCCGTGTACGTCAAGTTCTCACCAACTTGCTCACCAACGCTATCAAGTTCACAGAGAAGGGCTCTATCAGCCTGACGATCCGCGAGATCTCTGAGGACGACCAGAACATCACTGTCCGCTTCGACGTTCAGGACACGGGGTGCGGTATCTCGCAGGCAACCCTGGGCAAGCTCTTCCAGCCTTTCAGCCAAGCCGATCCTTCGACGGCTCGTCGCTTTGGAGGCACTGGCCTAGGCCTGACGATCTGCAAGAACTTGGTCGAGCTGATGCACGGGCAGATTGGACTCGACTCAGTGGAAGGCCAAGGGTCCAAGGCTTGGTTCTCGATCCCTTTCGTCAAGGCGCAGGAAAGCATCAAGGCTGCTCCTGACACGCCGGCTTCTGCGACACCGGCTTCATTGGGCGTCAGCAGCGATCCTCTGCGTCGAGAGAAGCAAGACGTTTGGATCCTCGTCGCAGAAGACAACGTGATCAATGCTCAGATCGCCCTCAAGACTCTCAAGAAGATTGGCTTCAACGCACGCATCGCCGAGAACGGCAACCGAGCACTCGAGGAGCTGGCGCGACAGCCGTACGACCTCGTCCTTATGGACTGCATGATGCCAGAGTGCGACGGCTATGAGGCGACGACGCGTCTGCGCAAATCCGAGAACCAGGAGGTGAGGACACTGCCTGTCATTGCGCTCACCGCCTCTGCCATCAAGGGCGACCGCGAGCGAGCTCTCGCTGCAGGCATGAACGACTACCTCAGCAAGCCCGTCAAGAGGCCCGCCCTCGAAGCCATGCTGTCCAAGTGGTTGTTTGACCAGAGCACCAGACAAGCCCTATCGCGGTACCTCGCGCCGGTGAGCCCCTCGGTGAGGTCAGAACGCTCGTCTTTTGACATCAACATGGCCGATGAGCATGCGGTGGGCCGAGCGGCAGGAGGTGACCTCTCCAATCTAGGCATGGATCCTGCGGGGGCCGCCGCTGCCGCTGCCGCCATCAATGCTGCCCTTGGCGTTGGGACCAGTGGGGACGCGCGCTCGACACTGAGCGATGATGGGCCACGCAACCATAACGACGATGCCGATGAGGCAATGGCTCCGACCCCGAGTGCTCAAGATGTTCCCGAGCTGACCGAGGCGGCCAAAGCGGCGATCCAAGCCGGAGACCTCGATACCCTCATGAAAGAGGCCCACGCCATGGCTACCACTCCTTCGTCAACGGGCTCTGCCTCTGCGGCTTCCAATGCGCAAGGCCTAGTAGCTGCCCTCGAGAGAAGCGGCACGGCTAACACAGCAGCACTAGCAGCCGCATTGCAGCCCAGGCGCTCTTCAGCAGACGACGCCAAAAAAGTCCGCATAGCAGAGGAAGCGACGAAAGTGCTGGCTGCAGGCGCCTTGAAGCGCCCAACTGTAGGCCCGAGGAGCAAGTCGCACGGGTCAGCCGCTGATGGTAGTCATGGCAGCGAGAGCGGCATCAGCACCCCTGGCGCGGGCGGCAGCGCCGGGACGATGGCGCCGGGCTACCCAATTGCGCCATCGATGGTGAGACGGTCTAGTCGCGCGCAAGGGGGCATGGGTCGTGATCTCGACTCGGAGATGCTGCGCGCCTTGGACCGTCAGCCCGAGATGTCGCAGAAGAGCACTATCACCCCGCCGGATGAGGAGGCAGAGTCGAATATTGCTGCGGATCAGGCTGCCGTTGTCGAGAAGCAGGGCGATCAGCAGTAGCAGCAGTAGCAACAGTAGCAGGCAGCGGTCCCTCTCGTCTACATTGCTCCATTCTCACTCCCCTAGATTCACTTCTGTTGCCTTGCCTGCGCCTCTTCGGAGGCCCAGTTATAATTCTCCTCTGTCCTATCTCTCTTTTGTCTCTCCCATCTTCTGTTCGGACTCGCTTTCTCAACACAGTCACCCATTTGCTCGATGCGTAGGCTCTGTGTCCCGCTTGACACCACTTCTTTCGCCCTCGACTACTCCTCGCCTTCGCTCACAACGCATCGTCTAGCGCAAGCAGCCGTCTATGAGATGAGATCTGATTTTCTTCTGTGAGTCGAGATCTTTCTGGTCGACGGAATATAGAGACATAGGTGTGAAAAGACAATTGAGATGAATGAGATGTGAGGATCGACGTCAAGGGACGACACCAGGCGCAGGCGTAGGCCAGCCGGGACCGACGACTACTCTGGTCGGCCGTGATGATAAGAAGGAGCGAAGGAAGCTACAGAGTGAGAGACGGGAACGATGCGGCGAGGCCTGGCGGCTAGGCGGCTAGGCGGCTGACACTGAGCTTGTCTTGGGGACAAAGCATGGAGGGAGGATTTGATCGATACAATTTGTGGCTAGGTCTGCGTGAAGCTATGCTACGTCCAACGATTAGATGGCACGCGCACGAGTGGCGCCTCCGACGAATGTGTCATCCGTCCCACCGCTGCTCGAGGTCCTCGAGGGCTTGTTCTTTGTGTAGGAGGACTGAGGTGCTCTGCGATTGTTGTTGCCCTGACCCTGCTGGTAGGGCTGGTCAGCCGTGACGCCGGTGCTGCTCGTCTGTTGGTCCTTCCAGTGGGAGGGAGTAGAAAGCGTCTCGTCGCCTTCAGCTGTGGGTCGCTGGTCGATGGTGACCTCAGGGACGTCTGCGAACTTGAACTCGTCCTCAGGCATCGTCTCGATGCTGCCGATGGCGTTGCCGTAGACGTCACGGATGACTTGCTTCTGTCCGTGACCATCCCCGGCGTCCATATCGGGCACAATGGTGCCATACTTGAGCCAGACAAGCGTCTTGTAAAAAGCCGTGGTGAAGAGCGTGGCCGTGTAGGGAGCGATGTAGTAGATCCAGGCAAAGTTGTCAAAGGTGCCCGAGGCGACGTCCGGTCCAAGGGAGCGAGCGGGGTTGAGGCTGCCACCGGTGTACTTGGTAGCGAGGAGCTCAGCGAGGAAGAGAGCCAAGCCAATGCCGATGGGGGCGAGGAAAGTTCCTTTGTGCTTTTCTCCTGCCAGCATGTAGACGGTAAAGAGGAGCATGCAGGTGCAGAAGAACTCGATCCAGAAGCCCTGGTTGACCGTTGTGCCGCCGTGAAGTGAAACGCGGGCGTTGATGGGTCCAGGGAAGAGGCCTTGAGTGAGGCCAGCAGCGGCGATGCCTCCTGCAAACTGGCTGAGCGTCAGGGTAAGGCAGTCCATCCAGCTAAGGTTGCCCAGCAGCGTGAGGCCCAGGGTCAAGGCAGGATTGAAGAGGGAGCCCGTGACACGGAACCAGACCCAAGCATTGACGGCGAGGGAGAAGCCAAAGCCCAAGCTCGAGAAGAGCAAGGCGCTCGTGTCAGGAGGACCATTGGGGTCTGCCGCCGTGTCGAAGTCGATCTTGTTGCTGGCTTGCGTGGCGATGCCGAAGGAGAAGAAGAGGAAGAGTACGGTGCCTACAAACTCGCAGATGAAGAGAACAATCTTGTTCTTGATCTCGAGGCCTGTATGCGTGCGTGGTGTGATGTGCAAGGGAAGGTGACGGCGGGTCAATCGAGGGTGCCGGATGAGCCAAGCGGTTCGCTGCAACTACTCACGCTTGTGTAGAGACTCTCGGTAGCTTGTAGCCAACGTCGGGTGCGAGCGCTTAGGGTGCAAGATTGAGGGCAAGCCATCCTCGAGGACGAGTGTCTCGCGCTTGCGACCAGGAGAGGGAGGGAAGCCCGGGTGGAAGTCAGCTCCCTGCTGGCTGCTGCCGAAGCTCTGTTGGACGCCGGCCTGGGGACGAAGAGGAGAAGCGTTGTTCATCGTGTCCGCGCTTGGGTCGAATTGGTGCTGCTGTTGAGTGTGGCTCATCGTGTGTGCGATGAAAGGGCGGATGGAACGAGGATGAGTAGGAGTGGTGGGGAGGCAAGGGGGAGTGGACCGGCCAACAAGGGTAAAGACCAACGCGGTTAAGGGGAAGGGCGGATGAGGGGGAAGAAACGTCGGACCGCTCGCCGTTTTGTACAGGTACGATGGATGACGTCTCCCAAGGGCGACATTGGGGTGTAGTGGAACTCGTCAGCAAGCGGCGCTTCGTCAGAGGGCACGGGCCTGTCTCAGGGTGGATCGAGGGGCTCGAGGGGGTCGACGACTTTTTCCCCTTAGCCTCCTCGACGTCGTCTCGCCCTGTCTTCGCTCAGAGCTCATCTGTTGTGCCGCTGTGTCGAATCCTCATCGTTGCCTGTGATGACGCCGCGGCGGCGGCCCTGAAGCTAGCATTTGGTGCGCGGCGGCGCCATCTTGGTGCCCTGTGCCGCGTCAGACCCGATGATCCGTCACCACGCGTCATCTGCTACCCGCAGACTCAAATCATTGGTCGCTTCTCGCCCCATGGTATCGCTTGCAACGCTGATCAATGACTTGCTCGCACCGTCGCTTTTCCCAAGGCTACGTCAGGCCTAGATCTCGCGATCCACGACGAAGAGATCCGTGTAGCACTGTGTGAACCAACAGAAGGGGCCGAGGGGTGGGCGACTCTTGACGACGATGACAGCCTCCGATTGGGAGTCAGACGGGCGTCGAGGTGAGCCAAGGTCGAGCGGAAAGGGCTCGTCGCTGGCAAACGGCCCGCTGCACCCCGGCACACTCGCCCTACCCAGCAGCATCCGAAGCGAGGCCTCTCAGAGCCGCCATCTAGTGATCAGACCTCTTCGCACCTTCACTACCCTCGTCACCAAAAGGATCTGATCGTCGCAATCACAATGACGGGACAGCTTCTCCAGATGAAAAGAAGTGACGCCCATGCAGGCATGCGGAAGCATCAATGACGTCGCTTCGCCACATAGATGTCGACGTTGCCAAACAAACAAAGGCTCGGTGCAGGCCATGTCGATGTCGATGTCGCTGGCCTGGATGAGGATTTGATATACGGCTAGCGAATGGAAGAGGGTCGCGAGCACCGATGACTGATACCATCTCTTGAAAAGGACTTTACCATCGTCCATCACGCACAGCGTCGCCTCTTGGCTCATTCCCATAATCGCCATGCCTCTGATCAGTGAGCCATGGGCGGTACCAGACTCGGAGTCATCGCGCCTCGTGGCCTTGTCAGCCCATCTGAATCCCGGCGTCGCACAATCTCTGGCACGAGCATGCTTCTGGCTGGGCCCCTTCACCATGGGCGCAGTCACCTGGGAGACATTGTCGACGTTGCCAAGCAACTTTACCGCCCTCATCAACGTAGCGACAGATGGTAATCGCCGACTTAGCCGCCGGACATTCGACGCTGCAATGCGATTGAGCACTCTCATCTCGCAAGCAGCCTGCCTCGCCGCCCTAGCCATCTACAACGCATGGACGCATGGCGACCCCGAGATTGGCTGCGGGTCATGGCCTCGGGCATTCGTGGGAATGTCTGCTTTAGCCGTCAGCTTTGCCGTAAGCGTCTTTCTGCTGCAGGTTCTCAAGATGGCCCGACTTCCCATACCAGTAATCTGCTTGATTGGCTTTCTCGGCGTAGCACAATTGGTTCTCACGCTTGCGTCCATCGACGCCTGGCACGGAGGACTCAGGCCTAGCGGAGCGGCTTGCTACATTCGCATCTCGAGATGGTTTGGTGCATTCAGGTGAGTGCCAAGCGGCGAAGCCCCTTGTAGGTCGCAGGTGCTGAGACTTACAGCTTGTCCTCGATTACAGCCTCCTGCCCCTCATCGCCCTGTTCGTGGCCATCAGCACGCTTACCGTCGGCATATCTCAAGAGCGCATTCGCATCTCCTCAAGTCGTCGCCTTCAAAGGCCTAAGAACCTGCCTTTTACACCCCCAGTCGATGACCGACCAGCGGAGAAGACTGCATCTGAGAGCCATCTCGATCGGCTCTATCGCGCAGCAGGCGTCGAGCCACCCAATGCAGACGATGCAGAGCAGGTCGATGCGATCGGCCGCTCCTTCCTCAAGCTTAGTAATAGCGATGCAGGGTCCATCGTTTCGGCTGATAGGCATAGCGAGCGCTCCTTCGAAGCGCTACGACGCTATAGTGCGTGGGCCATTCCCACGGCTGTGACCCTTCTCTGCGGCTGCATCATCGCATTCATGGACCTCTCGCCAATTCTGCCTCTGTGAGTGCGAGGGTATCGCGGGCGAAGCATTGACCCTCGCTTACATCCTTTCTTTCCCTCGCAGCGTCTATCAACCGATTCTCATAGTCATCCCGACTCTTTGCGCCAATCGTCTCTGCAGCATGCGCATCACCTCAAGCGACCCCCGTCGCTCAACGGCATGCAATTCGGGCTCAAGCGGCAGCATGAGTCGCGACGGCCTAGGCAGCACCTTGACCGACCACAAGGCCACTCGTAGAGCCGGTCGCTTCCAGCCCCTTCAGCTGCGACTCGGTCACAGCAACGCGCCATCTTCGCGTACGAGCACCATCGATAATCTGGGAAGCAACGACGTTGCGATCGGTGGCATTCGCAAGGTGGGCACGGCTCGCTTCTTGATGCATCACGCCAGTGGTCAGTCGTTGCGCGCCCATTTCATGAACGACGGCAAGCAGCGACAACGGCAACAGCAGCAAGAGTCACAGCGTCACGGTAGCCTTCGCCACAATCCAGCAGGCAGCGTAGAGAACTTCGTGCAGCGATCTGGCGCCATCAGCGGCCCAATGCTCGGTCCTTCCTCCAGCATGCGCATGGCCATCCCGCCTGCCACCAACCTACCAGACGGCTTCTTCCGTGCTTCGACCGCTGCCTCTTCCAGCGCAAGGACGGAGGAGACCTCCTCGCCTACCACGATGATGCGAATTCGGACCGATGATGCACATGGAGATCAAGATCCGTGGAAGAGTGCACTGCTCCAGCCGCCTCAAGGCGCCGCTTTCCGCTCCTATGATAATTTGAGGAGCATGCAGCGCTTACAAGATGCTGGTGTCGCCGTAGGACCTGGAGGCGTGACATCGCTTGCTCCGGTGCCGAGGCGAAAGAAGGCTTCACTGACCTTTAAGACTCGGGCCGCCTCCAGTCGACCGGGCAGCGATTCAAAGAAGCAAGACGCCTCGACGTCAAGCACAGCAGCTGCTGCGGATGTAGCTGAAGGCAGCGTTGCGCCTTCCTCGCAGCGCGACAGCCTTTTATCTTCCCAGCAGTCGCGTCCCAGCAGTGGCGGCAAAGAGGGCGCGGGCGATCACCCAGCTCTCACCGCAAGAGACGAGGCCTTCCGTACCATTTCAACTCAGCCACCATCTCTCGCCGCAGCTGGCACGGCAATGGCCGACAGACTTGCTCCCACGACGACCGACTCAAACAGCATGCTCCGCTCAAGCGATCGCAGTGCCAATGACTCGCAATTACAACCTCGCAACAGCGATGCACGCCACTCGTCGCAGGAGCTCGATCCTGACCCACACCTCCTACGCGAAGACAGCGGAGAGGGAGGTGAAGGGACGTATCGCTTCTCTGGGCCTGGACGACCGCTCTCGATGGCTTTCGAGCCCTCTGCGCCGCGGGATGGGTCTATAGAACTCAATGGCAGCGAAGCAGGCGGACCAACTTCTGATCGCGGGTCTCTACAGTCGATGGGTAAGCACACGCACGGTGGCGCTGGCACTGCTGCTGGGCCAGATTCTGTACCCATGCAACCCTCGCTCTCCTCCTCGTCGGGTACGGGTGGTGCTCGCAAGCCTCGCGTTCTGGTTCCAGCACCAAAGACGGCCACCACGCCATCGGCGAAGAGCGTCTCGCTCGCCGACCTGGACGACGATGAGCTCAAGCAAGTACTCGACGCCCGCGGCTTCGCCATCGATGACGCCGGTGGAATCACGAGAGCCAAACGTCTATCCAACGGGTCAATTGCCTCTTCGCGCATGAGTAGGGAAGAAGCATTCGCACTGGCACTGGCGCAGAGGAAGTTCGAGGCCGACGAGGAGAAGAGGGCGGGAAAGGCTATGGCGGGTGATCAGAGGCAACAGCAGCTTCAGGCTCCAGCGCCTGCGTCACAGGCTGCGGAGACAGAGTCCTCCTTCGGTCTGCGAGATATTGCTGGCAATCCACGGCTCCGGCAGCGACAAGAAGACCTCCAGGAAGACGAGGAGGTCGAAGCTATGCAGCAGGAAGCAGAATTGCAGCAGCCGGGCAAGAAGCAGCGCAAAGACAAGCAACGTGCTGATACCCAACCACAAAGCGACCGCGATCCCCGCAAGCCCTTCTTCCGCAATATCCTTCCCATGGGCATGCCTGAGCGGACCAACTCCTCCACCTCCGCAACTGGTCTTGTCCGTGGTCTCCGAAAGCGTCCTTCACAATTGAGCGAAGAAGAACGCAAACCCTCGGACGGCTCGAATCGTAGCGACCCTACGGCGATTACGAGCTCGTCAGGCGGGAACTCGAGTGGGCAACAGAGCTCTAACTCTGGTTCGGGAGGGGCCGGCAATTCGAGCGTGAGCGGGGATGCGCCTAGTGGGAGAATGGTACTTGTTGGCCGTCGAGTAGGAGTAGGCGAGCGCGGAGCCCTGCCAGAGGGAAGTAGGATCCTCTCCAGGATCACGTCGGGACAAGTGCACCCGCAGCCATTTGAACAGGGAGCGGTGAAGACCAAGACTAGCTTTGGGCCAAGGTCGCAGCACCAACAGCAACCGCAAGCCCTGCCGGTGGCCAGGTCGCTGAGGAGTAAAGCGAGCGGCAGTGAGGGCGGTCAGTCTGCCAAGAGCCGGGACACGTTCGGCGGGAGCTTCGGCGCAAGAAGTGTAGCTGGGAGTGGGTAAGAAGTGCCTTTCGATGCTGTGCGCGCTTTGAACAGATACCTAAAATTAAAGATATACCAAATGAGACCCAATCGACCGATGCCCACGCCCCGGCGCAATGCAGCGCCCCTTACCTGCTTTCTTGCCGCCCCTTGACATGCTCAGAATCCGCCCATCCTCCTCTTCGCAGGCCTACCTCCATCTTCCGGATGGCCGGACTTCCTGCCCTTCTTCTTGTGCCTTTTACCGGTAGGCGGAAGCGGCTGAGAAGATGCAGCTGCCTGCCAGTGAGCCGGTTGAGATGCGAAGCTTGAGTCACCGGCATGCGCCGGCTGGCTCTGCGCGCCCACTCGTGGAGACATGGAAGACGCCATCTGACTGTCGCTCATCTGCTGCGACTGCGATCCAGCCCCAAGAGGGGCTCTCTGAAGGAATCTGGTCGCTCCACTCCCAACGCCCCCCGCCACGGCCTGAGAACGACGACGATGCGCTACATCACCACTCGCCTCACCCGTACCTGTCCCGGTTGCAGTGCCCGTATGCGTACTAGAGCTGACGATACTCGGCGGAGCCAACCTCCTTGCCGCCCTTCTGTCGACGCTAGCCGGGACGACTGCGGAAGAGGAAGCGACGGGCGTGCCTGTAGGAGGAAGGGAGGAGCTTCCACGTTGCGAGGTCCGCAACGGGGCTGCCGACGACCCCTCTCCATGCGCACCTATGCTGCCCAGTCCAGCAGCCCACACGCTCCGCCTTGCCACGATGGCCCTCGCTGCATCGTCAGACAACCAAGCACTGGCAGCGCTCTCCGCTCCGCTCGTCCAACCACCCGCGCCGCCTACGGAAGAAGTCCATCCCCCGCTCTCTATATCGCTCAGACCTGAGGCGAGGGCACTAGCACTCGCACTTGCAGACCTCGAGCGCGATCGAGAGCGTTCGGAGCCTTGCGATGCCCAGCCGCTTCCTGCGCTATCAGCAGAGCTGTACCCTCCCTCGGCGGTGCGCCTCGCCGCGTCCAGAAGGACGTAAGGGTCGGAGTAGGTATAATAGGAGGGGTCATTCTCTGCCGAGGTCGGGTCGAGGGAGGTGAGAGGCCAGGTGGAGAGGAGCAGACGAGATGCGAGGGTGGTGGGCGCGCTGCCAGGAGCAGCACCGCTGTTCTTACGCTTGGTGGGCTGGAAGTAGGAGAAGTGGATCGGCTCCGGTGGAGGGTAGCGTCGCGACGCCTCTTCCTCTATCGTAGGCTCTCGAGCATCCTCATCGTCGCTAAAGTCGTCCTCAACATCACTGTCTAGCTCGCGCTGGATCGGCCCTCCGCCCATGCGGGCCATCTTGCTGCGAAGCGATTCGCTTTGGTGACGAGCACCGCTTGGGAGGCGATCCTGTCTTGATGATCGGCCAGCACCTCCCCGAGTCGCGACTGTTGCCGCGTCCCACTCGGTCGACGTTTGTGCGACTGTACCGAACTCCTCTGCCGACGGAAGGGGAAGCGAAGGGAGAGCTTCGATGGTGATGGGTCTAGGTGACCACACCTCGTTCGACAAGACGAGGTGATGAATCAGCTGCCAGATCGAGCTCGTCATGTCGCTCAAAGCTGTAGGGTCCGTGTTGCTTGCGGCATAGCGCCGCACGATAGCCTCGACATGCCGTTGCCAGGTTGCTTGCTCGGCTTGCTCGTCTGTGACTTGGCTTTGAGATTGCTTGCCGTCCTGCGATCCGTTCTGACGCGTTTCGTCCTCGACCGCCTCGGCAACCCTCAGCAACGTTGCCATGGGCCATCGCTCACCATCCCACCAAAGACCGCTGGCAAGAGCCCGGCATGCGGTCAGGGCGGCAATCAGGTCGGCATTGATGCCTGCCTGAATTCTCGCTTTGCCGAGGGCAAGCAGCGTGTGAGGTGCAGACAGGCTGGAAATGGCGCCTGGTCCGTACCAGAAGGGAGTCAGGCTGCCGACGACGCAAGGTGAGCCTGTAGATATTGTCGAGGACGAGCCATGCAGTGATGCGAGGGCCATGAGGTCCTGTCCAGTGACCATGCTACCGCAGGGCACCTCGCCTACGATGCTCAGCGCCCTCGGCATCCGGGCAATCGCGTCGTACTGTGCCTCCCCTCTCCCTGTTGGCACATCCTGCATAGCATTCATCCGAGCCCATGTCGTAGCGAAATCGACTGTCGTGGCATCCTTGCGGTCTTCGACCGACCATGTAGACCCAGCCCAACTAGCTGCGTGAGCGGCTTCGACCTGGCCTACCCGACGAGCAGCGAGGACGCCATGTCCTTCCTGTGCCGCAATGAGCGCGCGTAGCTCGTGCACAGCCTGGCTTTGATACACGGTAATCGGTAGCGGATCGCGCGGGACTTGGCTGCCTTCCTGACTGTTGGATGCTTTGGGTCCGCGATAGCACCATCCAGTGAGCCAGACCTCTCCTGTAGTCGCGTCACGTTGCAATGTCGCCCACTTGCCTAGCACGTCCCTCGTCACTGAGCTTCTGCGCCATCTTCGCCAGGGACTATCAAGCTGATGGTCGACAGGTAGCAGTTGCTTCCACAATGCGACTACAGGCGCTTCTTTCGGTGCCAGATCCTTCATAGCAGCCCATTCACAAGGGCCATGCGCCTGCCAAGCTCGAGTTACGCGTCTCTGCCCCGCTGTCTCGTCTGCGAGAGCGAGGGAACAGCCGATTCCGTACAGTGTCGTCGTTGAGTCGCGTGTCGAGGATAGCAGCACAGCTGAGTAGCCTCTTTGTCCTTTCGCATGTGTGAGGCCGGGGAGGAAGGTCAGGGTAAGAGTGTCGTCGTCGAAGTGACGATTGTGAGGGATAGTGAGGAGTTGCTGCCGTGGATCTACTGCGTCCAGTACGTGGAGGGACGTTGACGAGGCGGCGATTAGGAGTGGCAGGCCGGCTTCATCTGAGTGATCCATTGTTCGTGAGAGAGGATGAGGCAGGCTCAGGTTGATGAGAGCGTGTAGACGTGACCGTCGAAGGTGAGTTGTCGAGGGTGCGGCTTCGAAGACGGACTCGATGCGGCCTTCTGTGTCGCCATCACGCAGGTCAACCACCCACACGGCATGATCGGTGGACAGGATGACCGACTCGGAGCCATACGCATCAGACCAAGCGACACGACAGCGATGATTGCGTCTTGCGGGCTTGTCTTCCTCTGCCAAATCCGGCTGCGGAGGCAAAGGCGAGTTGGAAACGCGCTGCAGGCGATGACCACGACTGAGCCATTTGTTATCGCCGGAGCGCAGCAAGTCGACGCTCCACTGCCATATGTTGCCCTGCGTGTCCACAATGAGGGCGGTTGAGCGTGACGAGGGGTCCCAGGCCACGTCTGAGACTGGGTAGCGGTCCAGCGAGAAAGTGGCGGCGGGGGGTGACGAGGAGAACTCGACGTCGTCTTTGTCTCGCTCCGCATATACTTGTCGAGTCAGTATTGTTGCGATGCTATTCAGGGTGTACGGCGGCAGCGGTCTTGAAGCCTTGTCGTGCTTTCGAGACGTGACGCGGTGGATTGCGCAGAAGTGCAGCGCGGTGAGGGTACGGATGGAGATCCATGGCCCTTCGTGGTGACGAGACCCAGGCATAGCAGGCTCATTAGGGGCAAGGGAGATATCGACGATGGGCGAGTCGGAGATGAAGGCTGGTAGCAGGATTGGTCGAAGGGTCGGTTGATCGCGATTGTCAAGTTGTCCTTTTGTCTTGCTGCGCCTTCTTCGACGCTTGCTGCCGTCCGCAGTTACCCCAGGAGGGTGTAGTGTCGAGATGTAGATGTTCTCGTTGCGAGAACCGCCCACGTTGACTATGAGGGAGACGTTGCTGGCAGCGAGGTATGGAGTGATGAGGACCTTGCATCCAGTTGAAGGAGTGCGAGATTGCTGAGCTTCGCCAAGCAGATCTCGCAGGACTTCATCGGGCGCATCTTGAAACTCTGGATGCTTGCCTCGCAGATACTCTGTAGAGGACTGAGCACCCTTTGCATCTGATGGACTTGCATAGTTGCTTGCTCGCGATGCCGGGAAGATAGCCAGCGGCTGCGAAGCAGGACGAGGAAGAATGAGGTTGCCCTGCCTTCGATTGCCAAATGCTGGCTCGAGACGTGTGCCAGTAGAGGAGCCTTCGCCGCGATCTTGAATCCATACGGATCCTCGCGAGCCCACGTCTGCTATGTGGCCGTCCATGTCATGTTGACAATGGGAGTAAGGTGGTGTGGATCCGATGATCAAAACGAGGCGCGACTTTGCTTTCTGACCTCAAATTCTTGTCCGCCTCGTCTCTCCGTCCTCCGCGTTTGCGTGCAGTCCACCGCGCTCCGCATGGGCCACTTGAATTGACTTCGCATTGAATGCCGAGAGTGCCGAAGGATTTACCCCAGATGATGCCACACTCCACTTGAGATGAGCCCTCCGCCATCTCTTCTTCTTACGGTCCATCTCATTGCCATCACTCGACGACGCACGCAATGACCGCTCATACCACCCGCATCGGCTTCGTAGGCCTAGGCAACATGGGCTACGGTATGGCCACCCAGCTCGCGTCCAAGGGCTTCCAAGTTACGGGCTACGACTTGCGTGCTCAGGTAGTGCAGGACCTGGCAGCCAAAACAGGAGCAAAGGCAGCCTCAAGTCAGCATGACGCTTGCCATGATCAAGCCGCACTCATCGTCATGACGCAGAATATTGACCAAGCACGCATGGTGCTCCTCGGCGAATCCTCAGATGGGGGCTCATCCGACAACCCCATCTCAGCCCTGCAAAAGGACGCCGTCATCATTCTCATGTCCACTGTCAGTCCTCAAGACTCTCGCGCCCTCGCAGAGCAGATCAACAAGATTAGACCCGATTTGGGCTTCATAGACGCACCAGTCTCGGGTGGTTCACCGGGAGCAAACAGCGGCACACTAACGATCATGGCATCCGGGTCTCCATCGCACTTCACCAAGGTCAAGGCCGTCCTCGAAGCCATGGGGGACAAGGTGCACCATGTTGGTCACGAAGTAGGGCAAGGGCAAAGCATGAAGGCTATCAATCAAGTCCTCTGCGGCGTTCATCTGGTAGCCGCAGCAGAAGCGCTCAGTATGGCCAAGGCGAGCGGCATTGACCCTGCTTTGGCATTGGGCGTGGTGAGGAACTCGGCGGCAGGAAGTTGGATGCTGAGCAATCGAGCGCAAAGGATGTTGGAGGAAGAGCCTCAATGCGCTTCGTCCGTGGCGACGTGGAGCAAGGACATGGGCATCGTTATGGACGTAGCCAGGGGTCAGCATGTCCACGCCCCCTTGGCAGCGGTCGCGGCTCAGCAGTTCAATGCGGCAATGGCCCGAGGTCTCAAGGATGAAGACGATACAACTCTGATCAGGCAGTACGACTTTCTCAATGGCAACGATCGCCGTTGAGGCGACGGCCATGAATTCTCTGTAGCATCTTCATATCATCATCAATCTCACGCAGTCAGTCTCTCGCCGAGTTGAGTTTCAGGTCCATTCAATTACACAAGGAGAGGCACACGAGGCACTGATGTTACAACGAATCAAGAAATCCCGTCACGATCGGTGCGTGTTCACGACTCAGGCCGCAGATTTCTGCGACGAGTTCGACGGCACACGCGGCGTGGCGTTGTTGGAGGGCACCCTGGGCGTCCTCGACAAGATCGACTTGGGCATCCTCGGCGTCTGAGGGATGACGAATGGCGTCTCGGGCAAACCGTGATTCGCTTTCGTCGTCTTGGGCGTGCTAAGCAAACTGCCCGTGTCGCCTCCTCCCAGTGGCGGCCTACGCAGGCCAGCGTTGGAAGAGGTAGACGGAGTCATTGGCACGCGCAAGCTGGTCTGACTGCCATACCTCGCCAAGCTGGCCTGGTGCTGCATCTGCATCCTCTGTGCGTGTTGGACGCTAGACATTGGCGTTCTTGGGGGGCCAGGGAAATTTCTCGCCTTCCTCGCGCTGGCCGCCACCGCCGCAGCAGCCGCGGCCGCCTCTTCTGCGACTGCCTGGCTGAGCTCGGTATTCTCGACGGCGAGGGATTTGGTCTGCCCGTTGGTCTTGTAGATCCCAACCAGCCTGCTGGCCAGCTCGAACATGTTGTTGCGAAGCGAGATGATGACGAATTGGGCATTCTTCGTGCGCTCCTTGATGAGGTTGGCCACAATGCTCACGTTGCGGAAGTCGAGGGCGGCGTCGATCTCGTCCATGACGTAGAGCGGCGTGGGCTTGAAGGCGTGGAGCGCAAAGACGAGTGCGAGGGAGGAAAGGGTCTTCTCTCCGCCAGAAAGATTGCTGATGTTCTTCCAGGACTTCTTGGGGGGCATGACACTGAATAGAATGCCCTCGGAGAATGGGTCCAGCGAGTCGACCAACTCCAGCTCCGCATTCCCGCCCAGGGTGATGGTCTGATACATCTCCTTGAGTTTGGACGAGATGATGCCGAAGCCTGTCATGAACTCGTCAAGGCGTTGGCGACGGAGCTCGTCGTGACGATTCTTGGCCGCGTCGCGTTGTTGGGTTGTTTGTTCAAGATCCTTGGCCCGTGAGAGGAATTCCTGCTCGCGCTTGCGATACTCGTCGAGGATGGCAAAGTTGCCCGAGCCCTTTTGAACGCGCTCTTCGTAGGTGGCAATGGAGGACTTGAGATCGTCCTTGGACATGGACTCGAGCTCTTCGTCCTCGTAGATGGGCAGATTGAGGTCGGGAGCTGACCGCGTGGAGGCCTTTGGCTGCTTTTTGGCCTCATTCTCTCCTCCCTCGGCGCCAGCTTCGGCCTCTTCCTGCTCTCCCTCCTGTTCCTCGTCGTCGTCTTGCGCCTCACTGTCGTCTTCATCTTCGCCTACGTAGTGCAGCTCAAGCCCAGCATGCTTCTCCTCCCAATGCTTGAGTCGCTTTCCATTCTCTGCCAAGGCGCGCTGGTTGTCATCGAGCTTCTGCTTGATCTCAAGCTCAAGCGCACGGAAGGCATTGATAGTGGACGAGCTCTCATCCAAAGCCTCTTTGAGCTCATCGCGTTTCTCCTGCTTGACCTCAAACGCATGCGCCTTCTCATCCAGCTTCGCCCTGGCCTTCGACGTCACGCTACCCTTGTCGGATGCCGAGTCCTTGAGGCCAGACATCTCCTCCTCCAAGTCATCAATTTCAGCCTGACGCTTCTCCATCGCGGTGCTGTACTTGACGATGTCTTTGTCGGCCTTGCTCTTGGCCACTTCAGCCTTCGTTGCCTTCTCGGTAGACAGATTCATCATCTCGCGAATACCTTCAACCTTGGACTGCTGAGTCCGCAACTGTACACCACCAGCATCGAGGATTTTCTCCTGCAGCGCAGAGATCTCGGTCTCGAAGGAGGTCGTCTTGGAGCGCAACTTCTTGATCTCCGCTTCAAGGGCGCTGATCTCGCCCTGTAACTCCTCGAGACGTGTCGCATCCGCTGCATCGGGTTTGTTCTGGGCCTTGAGCTCCTCAACGCGCGCCTGGCACTCCTCGTAGCGCGTTTTGCCGACCTTCAGGGCCATTTGCGCCTTCTCCATCTCGACTTCAATTTGTCCTGGTCGCTCGCGCAGGTCACGCAGCTCTGTCTCGACGCGCTGCACTTTGAGTGAGAGAGTCTGTAACTCGCCGTCCAGCTGAATGACCTCCTGCTGCATTCGGGCGATCTGCTCGGGAGAGTACTCCGCATCGGCGAACTTGGACGACATGCCGCCTTTGGCCACTCGAGTACCTCCGCCGGACATCGTACCGCTCTTGTCGATCAGCTGGCCGTCGAGTGTCACGACTCGCCAGCGCTTGGCACCGTAGGCGATGCGGTTCGCGTGGGCTAGATCGCGGGCAACGAGGGTATCGCGTAGCTGATGGTAAAAGGCAGGCAGAAAGCGGGCCTCTCGCGGCTTGACGAGGTCGACGAGTCGTGGGACGTTATCCGGCGTCTCGACTGGCTCGACGCGGAGATTGGAGACAGAGTCCAGGAGGATGAAGTTGGCACGGCCGAGATTGTTCTTGCGCAGGTGCTCGATGCAGGCTTGTCCGCAGTCAACTGTCTCGACGACGATAGAGTCCAGTCCAGGGCATGCGGTCGAGATGGCGACATCGTACTTGTCGTCAATAACGCCAAGGGAGCCCAATCGTCCATGGAAGCCCTTGATCATACCCAGCTCGGCTTGACGGGCCAGCGAAGTGAGGACAGACGACTGCGAAGCGCTAGCTTGCTGCGTCGACTTGGCATCGTCGGCCTTGCTGCGAGCTGCCGCAACTTTTCCCTTCATCTTGGCTTCGCGAGTCTTGAGCTCATTGAGGCGCTCTTCGCTCTCGTTGATTTTGTCGACGACCGAATCCTTCTCTTCAGCCAGACTCTGCAGCTCTTCATGTTTGCCACGGAGCTCGTCCTTGATCTCCGTGCGCTTGCGTCGAGCGTCCTCGACGTCGCGCTCTCTTGCCTCCTCGCGCCCCTTGATCAGGTCGACCTCTTGCGCCTTGACATCGCGCTGGCTTTCGGCCGCTTTCACCTTGTCCATCCATGGCGCAAGGTCCCGCTGCTTAGCCTCCATTGCCTCCGTCAGGTGTCCAGTCTTGCCCTTGAGGGAGTCTCGGATCGAGTCCAGCGAGGCCTCTTCCTTTTCCAGAGATGCTTCAAGCTTAGCGAGCTCCATGCGCAACGTGCCAATCTCGTCTTCTGATGACGTGAGCGTCGTTCGAGCCTCAGAAAGGTGGTGCTTGTCGTCGGACATCGCTTTGGTCAGCTTCTTTTTCTTGGTCTCAAAGTGCTTGCGCTTCTCGCCGATTTGCAGGTCTTCCTTCTCGAGACGTTCGACCTCTTTGGTCAGCTTGTCCATCTCCTTCTTCATCGACTCCCATTCCCTGCGTGCGGGCAGGCAGTCAGGTGGTCAGTCTGAGCTCATTGCAATGCACTCTCCCTCACTCACTTCTGCACAGCCGAATAGCTTGCTTCCAGCTCGGCGACATTAGCCTGAGCGTCCTGATGCTTCTCACGCTCCTTGGCAATGCGCTCGGTCAGCGTAGCAATAGAGTCCTGGGCTTCCGTAGTGGCCGATCTCGCCTCCCACATGTAGACCTGCCAGAGCATCGACTGATGACGAGTGAGGGAATTTTGATCGCGTAGCAGCGACTCTGCCTCGCGCTTCTTGCCTTCCATTGCATCCTTCTCTCGCTGAACAATCTTGAGGCGACTCAATCTCTCCCCCCTCTGCTCGTTGCACTCGTCGACGGTCTTCGCTGCAGTCTCAATCTCCTCCTTGAAGCGCGAAGTGCCAATGATGTCTTCCAGGTACTCCAGTAGACCCTCTTCATGCTCGTTGCGAGCTTTGGGTGGCATTTGGGCGATGGACTCGACTTCACCTTGCAGAATGAGGAAGCGCTTGTGGTCGAGGTCGATGCCCTTGTCTCGCAGCAGCGTCGTCACCTCGGTAAAGGTTGATCGCTTGCCGTTCATGTGGTAGACCGAGGTGTTGTTCAAGAAAGCAGTGCGTGAGACAACGAGCTTGGACTTGGGAACGACTCGGTAGGCATCTGGGCCAGGCAGATCCTCGATCTCGCGAAAGACGACGCTGACTTGCGTCTCGCTGGGACGCGGCACGTCTGCCATTGAGGGGGTGTGGATGAGCTCTCCAAGCTTTCCCTGTCGCATCTTGTTAGCACGCCATCCAAAGACGAAGAGGAGCGCATCAATGACGTTGCTCTTGCCCGATCCGTTGGGTCCGACTACTGAGGAGAAAGACTTGTGGAAAGGACCAATTGTCTGATTGCCAGCATACGACTTGAAGTCGCGCAAGACGAGCTTGTGGATGACGAGGCGCTTTGTTGGCTGCTTGGGCGCGAGCGGGGTTGAGGGGATACCATTGCTAGTACCGGGCGTGTCTGCCATAATCGACTGAGATGCTCTTGGACGGGCGGGAGTTCCTTGGACGGAGTCTTCGGGAGACGTCCCTCTTGTCGGCGCGACAAAGGTAGCATCAGCGTCGATGGAGTCGGATTTGTCTGCCTCTGCCGGGGTTTGCGAGTCGTCGTCTGCGACATTGGCATTGATGTTTTCGTCAACGGGTGGAGTGGCTCTAGCGCTGACCTTGCGGGAGCCTCTTGAAGAGGACGAGGATGGCTTGGCGATCTTATCAATGGGCGATTCATCTCGAGGCAGCGACTTTGCTGCGCGTCTGCTCATCGAGGGAGAGACTTTCGTCTTTGATGGGGCGGGAGCCTTCTTTGCTACACCACGGCGAGCGGGCTTGACTTGCTCGGCCTCCTCCTCTTCCTCCTCTTCGCTCTCGTCTGGCGAGCCTAATGCCATCTCATCCTCCCCATCCTCATCCTCCTCGTCGCTATCCGACTCGACGACCTGTTTCCTTGTTGCTGTCCGTCTTGGAGGCGCGCGAGACGATGCCGACGCGACGCGGGATGAAGAAGAAGATGAAGATGTCGGCTTTGATGCCGAGGCAGACGCCTTGCGAGGCGGCATAGCGACAGTGGTAGGGATAGCTTGGTAGTCAAGAGGCCAAGCTCGCAGCCCTTGAGCCTTTCTTTGTGTTGGGCGGGGCGGCCTCGTGTTGATCTGCGAAGTCGGCGTCGCTCCTCCCCTGCCCGCTTCCGCCGCCTCAGGCCTCAAGTCGCGCTTTGGACTCGCGTTGCTCTGACGCCACATGGCCATGGCTGTCGAGCTCCACTTCCGCCCACCACCGCCACCCTCGTCTCCCCTCAGCCAAGGGGAGACAGGGCGGGCCACCACTTAGCACCTTGCGATACTCGACAACCATCGACCGCACACCACGACCTCTGACCTTCTCGTGCGCGATGTCTTCTCCGGGAGGCGAGCAGCCATCGCCAACACCGACATCGACGCCTGGTATTGGCCTTCCCTCCCAGCAGCAATTCACGGGTCCCTGGTTGTCCCAGCAGCTCTTCCTTGCATCGACGCTCGGCCTCCTTTCCATCTTAAGCTTCTCGCTCCTTGTAAAGAGACAGTCGTGGAGAGGTTATCTCTCTCCCATTGCCAGAGCTACAGGCGCCGATGCGTACACAGATGGCGACAGACAGCTCAACAATGGTCAGCATACACGTCTCGGCCGCTTCCTGTCTGCCCTCGGCTTGGACTGGCTCGCAGTCACCCTTTACACCTCAGATGTCGCCACAGCCCATCTCTCTGGCCCACCTACGTCTTCGGTTGATACCCTGAGCCTTCTCAAGTTCTTTCGCTTCGGGGCAAGGTTGTTCGCATGGATGAGTCTATGGGCCGTCCTCGTCTTGATGCCTATCAATTGGCGCGAGAATGGCTGGCTCGACGGGGTTCGACCAGCCGATGATGGCGATGGCAGCGACCACAAGCGTAGGAAGAAGCCCAAGGAGCTGCTACTGAGTATCTTGCTAAAGTCAAGGAAGGACAAGCCAGAGCCAGGGCCAGAGCCAGAACCCCATCCTCTGCCGCCAGATGCTCCTATCCTGCCATCTCTCCCTGCGACGAGCCTCTACGATGGTGCGCACCTCGTCACAACATACCTCTTCTCCATCCTACTGCTCTGGTTGCTAGTCACGAGGACAAAGGCTTTCTTGGCCCAACACCAGCGCATCCTCAATTCCATGCACTCCCACCTCGCAGCACGCTCCGTGCTCATCCGCTCTCTACCCCCAAGTCTGCGCTCTTCGGACGCTCTGCAGACGTACTTCGGGTCCACCCTCGAGATGCCTACGAATCAGGCGTGGGTGCTGCCCGACGTAGGCATGGGGGTGCGTAAGCTCCTCGCGCAGAGAGAGAAGGCGCTGCGTGTTCTCGAGAAGGCGTGGGTCGAATGGGTGGGCAATCCGGTCAAGCGAGAATACAGGGCCGACTGGAAACCCGACCTCATTGAAGAGCGCATCAGGAAGAGGTCTGCGAGGGTCTTGGCTGGACAAGAGCAGCTGCCAGAGCGCGGCTGGCTTGTTGCGGCGAAACAGCCTAGTGGCCGCGCTGAAGCTGCAGAGGAAGGACGATCGACGACAGCTAGCGAGACCACACCGCTTCTTCCAGATGGCGATGAGCGTGACGATGTTATCCCGGATCTTGCTGGCGATCCGTCATGGGGTCCTCCCTCATTCGCAGCCCAACGACCGACACGCCGCCTTCATCTCTTCTCAACGCAGCGCGTCGACCTCCTTGCAGACCTAGAGGTTCAGTTCCTCAAACTCGATGTTGCAGTCGGCACGGTGCGAGCCAAGATGTTGCAGGGCGAGTGGAAGTCCATCGGCGTGGGCTTCGTCGAATTCAACGAAGTGCGCGAGGCTCTCGTTGCATCCCAGACGCTCTACTCTGAGCAGCCAGGACCGTGCCGCACGATCATGGCGCCGGACAATCAAGACATCATTTGGAGGAACGTGGGGATCCCAGAGCCGGAGCGTCGGCTACGACAATTCCTGATCAGCATCGCTCTCACGCTGCTCTACCTCTTCTACCTGCCGCCACTCTTCTTCTTGGGCTCCCTCCTCTCGCCGGGAGTGCTCAACAAGTACATACCGGGCTTCTACAAATTCCTGTCCGCTTCGCCTCGTCTCGAGGCTTTGGTCGAGACGTCTTTGCCCTCTCTGGTGCTCGTAGCATTCAACGCCACTCTTCCGATGCTACTCGAAGCCACAGCCCTCTGGCAAGGAGTCAAGACGAAGAGCGCCGTCGAGCTGAGCGTGCTCAAAAAGTACCACCTCTTCCTCGTCACGTCGGTCATTTTCGTCTTCTTCATCACCACGACGGCCTTCGGAGTGCTACTCGAGCTACGCGACAATCCCATGGCCATCTTGGACAAGCTCTCCCTCCTCCTTCCCCAGGCACGCAACTTCTCCCTCTCCTACGTGATCCTCCAATCACTCACTATCCTACCCCTGCAGCTGCTTTCGCTGCCTATCATGCTCACTGCGCCCTTTTACATCTTGGCGGCAAAGACGCCGCGCGAGCATGCAGAAGCGCACGGCACTCCGGTCTTCAAAGCGGGCACCATCTACCCGCAAGCGCTGATCGTCGCCACCCTTGGACTGCTCTACAGCATCGTCAAGCCCCTTGTCACGCTGTTTGCCCTCCTTTACTTCTGTGTGGGGTACATCGTCTTCAAGTACAAACTCCTCTTCGTCTTCTACCCGCCTCCCTCCTCCACGACGGGTCAGAGTATCATCAGCGGTGTACTCCGCCCGAGGCTCATCTTCGCTGTGGTGCTCTTCCAGGTATTCCAGCTGAGTCTCTTTTCTCTGCATGGTCAAGTGCTCCTTGTGGTGCTTATGCTTCCCCTCATCGGAGCCACACTGTGGTTCGGGCGCTACCTGGCTAAGAGGTTCGAGAAGCTGGAGATGTACGAGGCACTCGAAGGCGCGGTCAGCGCCGACCGTGCGCAGCGACTTGGGGACGTGGACGCGGAGCAGCAGCAGCTGATGGAGAGTGGTGGTGCCACTCCAGAGGCGAGCGACAGCCTTGCTAGCACGCGCACCCCTTCGCCGAGCGCGGAGGAATGGCCGACGACCAGCTTCGACGAGGCTGCCTCTGAATGGAACAAGGCGCGCCACGCCTCACGGCACCACGGTAGCGCGACTGGGGCCAGCACGCCTTCTGAGGCGGCGAGCAAGCGTCGTAGCGGTGACTCTTCGAAAGCGACAGCTGCTGCAGCGTCGTCGACGCCTCGCAATCTGCTCAAGGGCAAGATCCTCACCTCGGCCTCACGCCTCGGTCGTCGAGGCAAGGCGAGTGGCCCTTCACACCCTCGTCGCGGTCTATGGAACACGTCAAGCGGCACGATGAATCGTTCCATCTCTGCTCCTGGGCCCATAGCCATCTATCATCGCCCGGAGTCGCAGTACACCAATTATCGTGAGGCCAGTGGGGTGAGCGAAGGCGGCACGTATGACTCGCTGCCTGGCCTGGTTGAGAGACGTAGCCGCTTCTTCAGGGAGGGCAGATTGAGGCGCTCGAGTATTGTGGGTGAGAATGCAGAGGAAGAGAGGAGAAGGGCACAGGCAGCGGCGGTGGCCGAAGATGACGATGAGGAGTCGGATGAGGATGAGAGTGAAGGAGAGGGTGAAGACGAAGAAGGGGCCGACACCTACGAACACCCCGTTGTGCAGGGCAGGCTCAAGCAGCTCTGGCTACCCAGTGCGAAACGCTCGCATCGTTCGTGATGTTAAAGCCTCCAGAACACACGCTTTTAGCTTTCATACCCATGTATTTACGCTTCATCTCTCGCAGGCAGTAGCTTTCCCCTCTGCTCTCAATCATCATCCGAAGGTGTTCCTCCATCGCTCTCATCATCATCCTCATCGACGATGTCCCCCTTCTGCGAGAAGCCAGCCTGAGCCTCTGCCTCTCTCAACATTCTGTACAGCTCCTGACCCAAAGGACGCTCCTTTGCTGCTCCGACAAGTACGTCTACGGGCTTCTGGTTAGAGTGGTTGCGTACGCGAGGATCCGCGCCCGAAGAGAGGAGTTGGTCGACTGTCGTGAGAGGTGAGAGGGACGGTGAGGCAGAGGTGTGTCAGTATGAGAGGTCGAAGAGTGTGTCGTGGCGACTGGGCGGCACCTACCAATCCAATTCCTCCTCTCCTCATCTTCCTCTTCTCCCAGCCTACACGCTGAATGTAATGGCGTGTCTCCCTCCTTGCTTTCTTGCAGATCTACATCTACCTCTTCTTCGAGGAGCTGAGGCAATACATCTGTGCTCTGGTACATGACGGCTAGGTGGAGAGGTGTGCGTCCTATCGAGTCGGTGGTGTTGACGTTGAGCTGAGTGTCAGAGGTGGAAGTGAGAGTTGTGAAGAGGTCGAGGTTGTCTGAGCGACAGGCAAAGAGGAGTTGTTCCTCTGTTTTTGGCGCGAATGGATCAAGACGGTCAGTTTGAGACTTAACATGACGGCATTCTGCGCGCTAGCTAGTGCTCACCCGGTGATGCACCATCGTCTGCCATCTTTACGCTGGTTGGTGCTGAGTGTATGCGGTGGAAGTGATGGACAGTGGGGCGGTGTTGCTCTCTCTCTCTCCCTCACGCTCAAGCCACCTCGACACTCGGCCGTCCGTCCGATCCGTCGACTGGAAGGCGGAGAGCGAGGCATTGTTTCCGTCCGTCTTCTACCCATCTCTCGAGGACAAGGAGAAGACTGAAGCATCTGGAAATCAGGCATGGCATCGCCTCGCTCTCCTTCACCAATGACGTCCCCTTACCGTCCTCCTGCCTCGTCAAGGAGGGGACGCAGCCCCAGTCGTAGCCTTAGCCGGAGTCGCAGCCTTAGCCGCTCTCGGTCCCTCACTCCATCGAGTTCTTCATCCTCGTCTTACCGCAACAACGACAGCAACAAGCAGCACTCCTCATCGCAACGCAATCGTCGCCGACAACGCTCTCGTAGCCCTTCAACGCCTCGGGACTGCCCCTCCATCTCCCTCTACCCACTCACGCGCTTCGTTGCTCCGTGGCACTTGGAGGACATCCTGTCTGCTTATGGGCGGGTCATCGACACAATAATCGACGAGGACAGTGGATATCGTCGAGATGGCGACTTGAAGGCAAGCTCAAAGGGGTACGCCCTCTTTGATTCTCCAACTGCGGCCGAGCGGGCAGTAGACCACCTGCATCGAGGCCAGATCGATGGCGTCGTCGTGAGGTGTCGGATGGAACGCATGCCTGCCCCATCACGAACGATGGGACGAGCAGCAAGGGATGAGACTGGTGACATGAGGAACAGGAGAGACGTATACATGCCGCGATATGACCCGAGAAGAGCTGCAGGGAGCTCTAGAGCTGCCGTCTACGCTCAAGATGAGGACTATTATCGCGATCGTGGACTGCAATCACGGCAAAGCATCGGGTATCAGGATCGATACGAACAGCATCGTAGAGGCTCACCACATGCGACGAGGAGGTCGAGGTCTCCACCAACACGTCGTCTTGATGAGGATTACCGCGGAGGGCGCAGCTACGGCGATGAAGGCTACGAGCGCGGAAGACAGCGCTCACTCACCCGATCGCGGTCGGGCAGCGTCATGAGCAGAGGCAGCAGGAGCAGGAGCAGGAGCAGGAGCAGAAGTAGGAGTGTCCAAAGAGAGACCGGCAGGAACAGCAGCATACAGGCGAAGACTGCTGGCCAAGGCGAGGGCCGTGGCGGTGGCATGGACTTGGACGGCGAAGGTCAAGGGACTGGCTACACAACATCTGCTGCATCACCGACGAAGCGGGAGGGAGGCGTAGAAGACGGAGCAGATTACTCGCCGCCCCCCGCATAAAGATGGTAGAGGCAGTCCTCAATAGGTATGCTTGATATGGATAGTTCTCTCCTCCTCTTGCCATGCAACAAAGATGGCAAGGCGGTAGCGTTGCAACTGAGCGTACATCCTGCATTCCACGATGCCCTATACCTAAAGCTGTGGGAGCGAGTGGTCGAATCGAAAGTCAGTCCCTCATCGCCCCCGAACCATCGCTTGATCACTCATCCTGCTCACCAGACTATCCATCCTAGCCAGCACGGCCAAGACCCCCGCGACTCCTTCCAACATCTCGTCGCCTGCGTCGGTAGCCTCCTGTGTGCGGATGTGGCGTACCAAATCGGCCGTTGAGATGCCCATCGCTGCGCCTGCTTCTGAGAAGGCAGCGCCACCTCCACCACCGCTTGACCCTGCTGAGCTCCCCCCGCCCATACCTTCTTCGGCGGGGTCAGTTACTACACTTCCCTCTGCTATCCTTGCACCACCTGCAGACGACTTTTTCGCAGCCGCCGAGCTCGAATATGAGGTTGCTCCATTGGATGCCATGGCAGCCCCCTGTCCAATCGCACCTCCAGCCCCAGGGACAGCCTGCGCCATAGGCCATGTTCCGAATACGTCAAGCCAGTCCTCCACCTTCTGGAAAGCCGTCTCCCTCCCCTCGTAGCTCAAGTGAACAAGCGCATTGTCCAGTACATTGGCAGCAAAGGCGCAGCATACCAGTAGCAGAGAACGGAGGGCTGCGAAGCTCACATCTCCATCCCCATCTCCAGCTCCTTGCCCGTAGAGCGCCGTAAGGTGAGATGCACTACTGGTCGACCCGCTTCCTCCCCCGCCTGAGCCGGAGACGAGTGTGGTGACACGCCGCAGGACGTGGCGCTTGGCTGTGGCGTCTGCTACGGGATGGGTGGCCATGTCGAACAGCAAGAAGTTGCGCTTCTCAGTACGCAGGACACCCTTGTCTACCAAGCCTTTCGCGAGGCGTTCGCGGACCTGCTTGAGCTGATAGCCGATTTTGGAGAGGTTCCATGTTTCGCCTGGCGGAAGGGAGAGTGAGCGAGGAGAAGGAGAGGAGCAGGGTGTAAGAGACAAAGTAGTGGTCAGACAGGAGGGCCGAAGGCTTGATACGTACCACTCAGTAGATCAATCCACTCGGCCACACTTCTCTTCTCTTCCGACCCTCTAATCATCTTGAGTGCCTCATCCAGCAATACTTCGCCTGTCATTTTGACTTTGCCCCTCCCTCCCCTCTCCTCTACAACCTCAACGAGACGATCCTGTACATCCACCCTGCCCCTACTCGGGTCACGCACAACCCTCAGCCTTCTCCTCAAGAGCAGCTCAGCAAGGATGGCTCCGCGGAGAGAGTAAGAGATGGAGTCGTTCCAAAATGAGAGGTACCCTTGACGATCTTTCAGACCTAGAAGGAGCACTTCTTCCATGAGCGTCAGGCGGGGAAGGTGGGAGTCCTCGTCCGTGTTTGGGAGGTCACGCGGATCGTAGGCGATTCGATGGCCCGAAGGGGCGTCGGTGCTGCTTGATGGGCCGGCGTTCGAAGAGCCATTGTTGCTGGCGGTGGGGCGATGCTTCAGCGAGGGGGATGCGAGAGGTGAGGAAGGGCGACTGGTTGATGCGTCGTCGAGGTCGAGGTGAGCAACACCTCCTGCTCCGCCTCCACGGCGTCGTTGGGACAGGCCTGACGAGGGGCCGGGCTGTGACATGTTGCAGGCTGAGAGACAGCCTCTTCGATGTTGCGAAGACGATGCAGATGAGGGTAGATGTGCAAGATGTAATGAAGAGGAGAGGAGGAAGAATAGAGTTGGCTCCCCTCGTAGTGTTGACCCGGAGTCAAAGAGCCGCTGCGAGACTCAGACGAGCCACGCGAGTCTCGTGCACGGCCGCTCTCCGTGCCACGACGCATCGAGGGGAAGCAGGCGGCAAGCGTACTCGAGAAGCGTTGCAGACTGGTAACGATCAAGCTTGGATTCGATAAAGACAGGAAGGAAATCATAGGCACAAAAGGAGAGATAGAAGAAGTAGAAGGGGTAGATTGCGCTTAAAGATTGTAAGGATGACGACCCCGCGTCCGTGTATTTTGAGCGTGGCCTTATGATGACGTGCAACCATGCATGCGTGCCCGACCTCTTGTTCCATCCTGCGGCCGTTTTTCAAGAATCCGTGCTCTCTCCCTCCTTCTTCCCCGTCGCACTGGCAGCAGCAGTAGCAGCTCCCCTCAGCCCATCTCCAGCCTTCTCCTCATCGTCCCGTCCCATCAGGCCGTGTTTCTCTCGAACAGCCTTGAACGTCTTCAGCAACTTTCTCCTCGCACCGAGCGCCGCCACACCCTTGGCCTCGAGATCGCTGTCAGTCATGACGGCCATCTCCTTCCAGTTGGACGACTCGAAGTTAGGCGTGTACTTGTGCAGGCGCAAGTGACGCAGCCAGGCAGGTACGTCATTGAGGACCGAGAGATCAGGAACTTCTTCCTCCCCTCCGCCAGCCGTGGCAGCGCTTCCTGGCGTGGCAGTGGTAGCACTTCCGAGGCCCTTGCCGCTGTTGGGCGGGGCCAAAGGGCGGTTGTTGTTAGCTGCAGGGCTGCGCCGGCCAGCCATTGCCGCCGTATGAGGCGTGGTCAGGCCACCTGCACGGTCTCGGCGTTGCCCGTGCTGTTGTTGCTGCTGTGCAGCAGCCATAGCTGCAATTTGCTGCTGGTTCTGGAGGATCTGCTGCTGCATCTGAAGGAATTGAGCCGCATTGGCATTGTTGACGCCCATCGCCGCCATGGCATTCATCATCTGCATGTTCATTCCGTTTCCAAAGCCGCCGCTGGGGCTCTGCAGCCCTGCAAAGGTGTTGGGAGACATGGTTTGGAAAGCAGAAAACTGCGCAGAGCCTGGGTTGGGCGACGCACGCAGGAAGTCAGGCTGTTGGGCTGACGCAGAGGAGTTGGACGGCCAGGCTGAAGAGCCGAGGTTGGGAGAGTGACCGCTACCGCCGCCACCTCCGGAGCCATATTGCTGATCGTAGCCTGGCTGGCCGCTACGCCTGCGCTGGTATTTGCTCATGTCCTGATCAAGCTGGATACCGCTTCCGCCCGTCTGACCCTCGGCGACCGTAGCAAGCTGGCTAGAGGCGGCGTCCAGGTTGACGTTGCTGCCTTGATGGTCGTCGAACATGTTGGTCAGGGGCGTGTTCACCATGCTCGCCCAGTTGCCCGAGCTGGGCACAGGGCTCAGCTGATCGTCAAGCGGGCCGCTTCGACGTGGAGACTTGGCTGCGCTGGCGCCCAACACATCGATCGACTTGGGCCTACCACCTGCGTCAAGGCCAGGAGAGCGAGATCGATTGATGCTTGGGCTGTCGCCACCTCGCTCCTGAACCTGGTCGAGGCCGCTGCCCTGGAAGGAGTTGCGCTGATGCTCTCCTCGCTGATCGCCCGTAAATGTACCAGGCGCAGAGACGCGGTTGGCCTTCAGCTTAGCTCGCTGGGCTGCGAGGAGAGCTGCAGCAGCGTCGCTGCCGGGGCTAAAGTTCATTGAGGCAGCATTGGGGGAGAGGTACGAGTGCGTAGCCCTGTTACCAGGGGAAGAAGGCGTCTTCATGGCGGTAGGCGACTTGAGGCCAAGGGAAGCCAGTTTAGCCTCCATCTGCTCGGCCATTGGATTGTTGGCACTAGGGCTCAACAGAGCGCTCATGGGGTCGCTGCGAGCCATCTGCTGGAGCACAGTGATGAAGAAGCGAATCTGGACCTGTGTTGACTCCTGCAGCAGACTGTACAGGGCTGCGGTTCGCTCTGCCTCGCTGAGGACACGGAACCACTGCTCGATGGCGCTGAGCTCCTCCTTGAAGTTCTGGTCTAGAGAAGCGGCTGCCATCTCCTCGAGAGTGGCCTCGTAGTGCTGGAGATCTTCGAACCACTTGTCGATGGCCTCTTGCTCAGCATTGACAGAGTTGCCCCCGGCCATGCCGAGCATCTCGGAGCTGGGTCGGGGCCCATAGCGGGCAAGGCCAGCGCTGCTGCCTAGGCTGAAGGTGGACGAGGGACTGCGGAGACCGGCACCACCACCGCTCACACCGACGTCATGAGCTTTGCGGAGCATCTGCTCAGAGGGTGTCGAGGGCTTGCCCAAAGAGTAGCGCGATGGGTTCGACCCTAGAGGGCTGGAGGATCGTCCGATTGGAGCGGATCCCATCGAGTGGGTCTGGGGCGTGGCCGAGGAGGGTGGACGCAAAGAAGAGGCATTGTTGGCGCTAGCACCGTTGCCGCTGTTACTGTTGTTGTTGTTGTCGGACATGATGTCGAAGAAGGTTTGGTGGGCTGTGTGTCGCGAGTGTAGATGATTGGCTACCGCTCTGCGGTCGAGTTGCGTGGGCTGACTATTGCTGCTGTGCTCCTCTTGGTTTTGCTCCTCTGGGGAGTGCTACGGCGTCCAGGCCGATGCAAAGGTGGTGAATAAAATGGGTCTGGTCTGCACTATTGTACGAGGTCGGCAAAGGCACAGCCCTCGATGCCTATTGTTGTGAGGGAAGATGAGGGAGAAGAGGGAGTTGTGGATCAGTTGGAAAGCCAAGCCGTCGTGTTGAGTCTTGTCGGACCGTGGGCCCAAGCAAGCTGCGTCGCCGCTCGACCCGCTCGCCTCCCCGTCGTCCAGGCTGGCTGCAGCAGCCAGTCCGCGAGCCAGACGTCGCGGACGAGACCGAGAGAGCGACGAGCCCAAAGCAATCAAGCCAAAGCGCGAGCGCGTTGACGGCAACAAAGGCCGAGCGGGCAGCAGGGCAGGCAAATGGGCCCACTCGAGTGAGAGCAAGCGCGGGGCGCAGAGACAGGCGACTTTGGCATGGTTGAAGGTCAGCCGAGGCAGGCTAGTCACAGATGGGCAGAATAGCATCGTCGAGGGAGAGATGGTAGGTAGGCTGCGCGCAGACGTGCGAGTAAAGGTGGAGAGGGTGGCATCAATGGCATCAAGCGCCTGGATCACCTTTATGGGATGCGATTGAGCGTGGGCGTGAGCTACGTCCGAGGGTAGGTCGCACTGCCTTGGTCCACAGGGTGGAGCGAGCGCCTTGAGCGCTGATGGATTTTTATGGCCTGGATCTGACTCGTTGCCGTGGTCCGTCCGCTTGTCCGCCCTGCTGCTCGGCCTTCGCTCCTTCGCATTCTTCTCGATCCAATCATCACGAGAGTGTATGCTCCTAGCTCGCAGTAGCATCGCACGCCCATCGACCTTTGCTCGCTGTTCCCTCTTCTCCAAGGCGCCACGCATTTCACTACCTCGTCAACTTTCACCTCTGCAGGGCCCTTTAATCTCCGGTGCCCCTCTTCCACTCGCCGCCATGTCGTCCTCGTCAGCCAAGAATGAGGTCAATAAGACCGTTCACCCCTTCTCGCGCGCCCAGCTCGAGGGCTTGATGACCAAGCGCTTCTTTTACATCCAGGCTTTTGAGATCTATGGCGGTGTGGCCGGTCTCTACGACTATGGCCCCATGGGCGCAGCATTGCAGGCCAACATTATCTCGGCATGGCGCAACCACTTCATCCTCGAGGAGGAGATGCTAGAGCTCGACACGACCATCATGACTCCTTACGAGGTCCTCAAGACGTCCGGTCACGTCGACAAGTTTGCCGACTGGATGTGCAAGGATTCCAAGAATGGCGAGATCTTCCGTGCCGACCACCTCGTCGAGGGCGTACTCGAGGCAAGACTCAAGGGCGACGAGCAGGCCCGGGCTGGTGGGAGCGCACCAAAGGCGGACGTCCCCGCCGAGAAGACCAAGAAGAAGAAAGTCAAGGCCGAGGCCGTCAAGCTCGACGACGCCGTCAAGGCAGAATACGAAAATGTTCTCGCGCAAATTGACAACTACGGCGGCCCCGAGCTCGGCCAGCTCATCAAGAAGTACGACATTCGCGCCCCCGAGTCGGGCAACGAGGTCAGCGAGCCCATCGAGTTCAACCTCATGTTTGGCACCAACATCGGTCCCACGGGCGCCCTCAAGGGTTACCTTCGCCCAGAGACGGCTCAGGGTCACTTCGTCAACTTCTCTCGACTCCTCGACTTCAACTCTGGCCGAGTCCCCTTCGCGTCTGCTCACATCGGCAAGTCCTTCCGTAACGAAATCAGCCCTCGTGCTGGACTGCTCCGTGTTCGTGAGTTCACAATGGCTGAGATCGAGCACTTTGTCGACCCGCTCGACAAGAAGCACATCCGCTTCGATGAGGTCAAGGACGTCAAGCTGTCCTTCCTGCCAAAGGACGTGCAGCAAGCTGGTCAGACGACTCTCGTCGAAAAGACGGTCGGCGAGGCCGTCTCCAGTGGCATGGTCGACAATGAGACGCTCGGTTACTTTCTGGCTCGCATCAACCTCTACCTCCTCAAAATCGGCATCGATCCCTCTCGCCTGCGTTTCCGCCAGCACATGGCCAACGAGATGGCCCACTACGCCTCGGACTGCTGGGACGCTGAGATCCAAACGTCATATGGTTGGATCGAGTGCGTCGGTTGCGCGGACCGCTCTGCGTACGATTTGACGGTGCATGCAAAGAAGACGAAGCGCGACTTGACTGTGCAGAAGCTGCACAAGGAGCCCAAGATCTACGAGAAGTGGGTGCCCGAGATTGAGCGAAAGGCCCTTGGCCCCAAGTTCAAAAAGGACGCAAAGGCCGTTGAAGAGGCTATCCTTGCGCTGGACCAGGAGCAGCTCGCCTCTTTGGCTTCGCAGCTCAAGAACGGCCCTGCCAAGGTGCCTGAGACCGACTTCGAGGTTTCTTCGCCCGAGCTGCTCAAGATCGAGCTCAAGACAATTAAAGAGATGGTCCGCGAGTTTACGCCCAACGTCATTGAGCCCTCGTTCGGTTTGGGCCGTATCTTCTATGCCCTGCTCGAGCACTCCTTCTGGTCCCGCGCAGAAGACAAGGACCGAGGTGTCCTTTCGTTCGCTCCCCTCGTTGCGCCGATCAAGGTCCTCGTCGTCCCCATCTCAAGTAACGAGAAGCTCTCCCCGCTTGTACGAGACGTCGCCGCCCGTCTGCGTCGCAACGGTATCGCTGCTCGCGTGGACGACTCTAGCGCTACTATTGGCAAGCGCTACAGCCGCAATGACGAGCTGGGCACGCCCTTCGCTTGCACGCTCGACTTTGCTAGTGTCTCGCATGGAACAATGACGCTCAGGGAGAGGGACACGACGAAGCAGCTGATTGGGAAGATTGACGACGTGATTGCCGTCATCAAGGGGTTGTGTGAGGCGACAAGCTCGTGGGAGGAGGCAGAGCAGAAGCTGGAAAAGTACAGTGGTGAGCAGGCGGCATGAGCGTGGGTGCTGAGGGAAGCTCCTTGTACGTCTCTTTCCCGTCGCATGTGGCGACGCACTCAAAAACGCGACTCGTGTACTGCGATGACATTGTTTGCAAGCTGCTTGAAGGCCGAGCAAAAGAGAGTGTGAGATAAGAGAGACGGCGCAAGTCCTTGGCGCCGACAACAGCAGAGTGTTCGCAACTGCCTGACCGTATGTGTCCTTGTCCGGCAGAGTGTGAGCCCGAATGAATGCCACTATCCCGTCGTCTTCGGTCTCGCTGGCCGTGCGGTTCTTCCTCATGTGTACATTGGCCCCGTAGTGAGTCCGAGCCACTGATTGTTCTTCTTTGATTCTGCTTTGTCGCCTGCAAGACACTCCTGACTCTGGTAGGATGCGCACAGAGAAGCCCAAGCCTCTAGCCGTCGCTGAGCTGACATTCTTTGTGCTTTCTCGCCACTCGCTTTGAGCATCTGGGCAAGAGCCCTCCTCTCGCTGCTAACCCTCATGTTTCCCTGCCCCTCTTCACTTCCTCCCCTGCGCAGCCTGCTGAGCATTGTACTTTTCTTGAAAGTCCTTCTCTCTCCTGAACAACAAGATATGCGGCTCAGGCGCATGCACCTCATAATGCTCCCACCCCAAGCTCTGCGTGATCCCAATGCCACGCCATTCCGAGTCGCTCAGTATACGCAGAACCCCAGGCTCTTCGGGGTCAAAGAATGATTTCGGAATCATCTTCAGGAGGGGCTTGGGAAGGATGACGTGGCGATATTCCCATTTGTCGTCGCTGTATTTCTCTGAGTAGTGGATCCTGTGAGAGAATATTGGGGAGAGAATGAGGTGAGCATAGCGTGCGCCTTGCGGTACGAGACCGGAGCAGCACAGGAAGTGCTGCTGTCTAGTCGTTGCATCGCCCCCTCTCAACGTGCTCACCTCTCAACGTAGTCCTCGTATGTCGGTTCGTGCGCCATGATGGGGGAAGTGGACGTAGGCCGATGAATGCACGGTCTGAATGGTTCTCCCGATTTTCTAGCGCTCTCCGACGCTTTCTTGGCCTCTCCTTCGAGCCTGCTCTAGCACAACGAGGCTGCTGAGCTTTTTCAGCTACGTGATTGACGTTGTCCTGCTTGCGAGTATAGACGTTCTGACGAGCTGAGAGAACGCCACCAGAGCGTGTTGTTCAATGTGCTGGAACGAGTAAAAGAGAGCCGCGGTCGACTGCGAGCTCTGCTACGCTGCTGGCAGAATCAAGGTGGGATGCTGACACTTCGTCCCAAGGTGCGCTGACGATGAGCGGCTATGAAGTCGAAGGTGTAAAAGAGGAAGAAGAGTCGTCTGGAAAAGAGGAAGAGGGAAAAGCCTTCCGTCGACGCAGGAAGGGCCAGAAGCGCCGTGTTGCTTTCTCAATAAGACCTCAACCAGGAGCTGAGGGCGTCTGTTGCCACCACCGAGAGCAGAGATGTCTGACGCCGCGACTGATGGTGTTGTGGGGTAAGGGAAGAAAGAGGCGCAATGATAACGTTGCGAAGCTTGAGAGACTTTTCGACCCCAGCTCAACCCTCGCCTCGTCGTCTCGCGGCGGAGCGGCTGGCCTCGATCCGTCTCTTCTGCCCCGGCCTTGGCCTTGGCCAACTCGGCCTCGTCCTCCTGCCTGGTCCGCGGCGCGTCGATTCCCAGGGAAGACGCGTCGTCATCGTGCGACGAGAGACACACAAAACCGCGACGGTGACGATGGCGAGGAGAGCGACAGTTGGACTGATACGATGACGAACAACCACAGCATATCGTGTCAGTGAAGCAGATCGATGTGATTTCGTATGTGATCGTCACGAAGGTAGATCAAGAGACCGAGACAGGCAGAGAGACAGAGAAAGAAGGCGGTCGTCCAGTGAGGGCGAACGACGGACTTTCTCGGGTCTCGTAACCAGGGAGAGGGTGCGAGAGTCGCGGGTCGTATAAAGAGAGTATGAGTGTGTCGTCGGGAGTTGTAAGCAGATGAAGATGGTGACCTGGAATGTCCCGGAACGAGAAGTGAGAGAGAAGATCAGAGAGCTAGATGGTATCGGGCCCGGACAGGGTAATGTGGCTCGGGGAGTAGAACAGGGTCAAGAGGGTGAGGGGCTGAAGACGTGAGCAGTGGGCGAGGTATTGGTGGAGGGCGGCGAAAGGCGCTTGCTGCTCAAGACAGCTTCTTGTCGGCTCCGTTGCAAGTCGAAGAGTTCGAGTCGCTATTGTTGCCGGACGTTGCAGTGGTAGGCGCCGTATCATCGCTGCCGCTGCCACGGCTGTTACTGCCGCTGTTGACGCCCGACTTTGTGTCCTTGCCCGATGACGAGGTAGTGGCGGGGGTTGAAGAACTCGTTTGCTGGGCGCCGCGCGAGTAGCTACGCTGCTCATTGAGGGCATGGACGAAGCCCTCCTTGAGTGGCGCGGGCACCCTGCCTCCAGGCTGGACGGCAGTGGTGCCGAGCCTCTTTGTGGCGGCTCGCACGTCGTCGCGTAGGCGACGATTGACGTGTTTGAGGGAGTGGAGCTCGAAGATGTGGCTGCTCGAGCGCTGAGTCGCCAGCTCGCCAAATACGGACGAAGTAGTGGTGGCCGTGCCCCCTGCGGCAGCGGCAGCGGCAGCGCTGAAGGTGGCGTCCTTCTGCTTGTCATTGGCCTGTGCCGTGTTCGGGTGGCCAGCGCCAATCTCGTCGGGGGTCAGTAGAGCTACATGGACGAAGACGGTGGGAATGGTGTGGGCGCCGGGCATGACCGCCGAGGGGAAGAGAGTTGACTGGACCCACGTGACCTCGTCGGCTGCGTTGTACATCTGATGCATGACCGTCGTGACAGTAATGCCTCGAAGGCCCTCGAGGAGCGCAGGCATGGCTTGCTTGTTGACCATCTGCGTCAAGTGCCGACCGTACAGTGATGAATGGTCCATTCCGTCAATAACACTTGCGGCTCCGTCGGTGGCAGACAGGACCAGGCCGTCGCTCGAAACCTTCGCCCAGAAGTTTGGCCGCTGGTCGTCTACGGTGGCCTTGACGGGTGCCCAAGCCAAGTCGTAGACGGGGCGAGGGCGACCAGAGGAAATGACGACCTTGCGACCCTTGCCTTGCTCGAGGTGCAACTTGCCTTTGCTTTCAATCCACGAGTGGCCAGAAGTCTTGTGTCGCATACGCATGAGGAGGTTGACCTCGGGTCCACCCTGGCCGACACCGCCTTTGGTAGCACGGTTTGCGTTGCCGTCGACTCGGTGCGACTTCTTGGCCGCGGCATTAATGCTGGCATTGCTCGTCGAATCCTTGAGCTCCCGGAAGACGGGTACGACATCTGACGGGTGGCAGAAGTCGGAAATCGATTTGCCGATCATCTCTTCAGGCTTCCATCCGAGCAGTCGCTCCACTGAGGGTGAGACGTAGAGGAAAGTCCCCTTGAGACTGAGAACGTGGATGAGGTCGTGCGAGTTCTGCAGCATGATACGAGCCCACTGCTCCGAGTCTGCCTTATGGCCCGCCATGGTAGCAATGAGCTCTCGAGCCACACTGATCTCGCGCGCGGCTGCCTCTTGATCGAGATCACGAGCAGCGGCAGGGACAATCTGCTCGACGGTACTAGCGGGCAAAGTCACGGCTGCGCCACTGGTGTAGTTGACGACGTAGGAGCCATCTTCTGCGCGCTCGAGGACGGCGCTTGGCTGCTCGACAAGGTCGACCTGAAAGCCGACGAGGTAGACAGGCTCGGGATTGTCTCCCCAGCCGATGGGTACGATGGTCACGAGGTTAATGAAGGGGGTGCCGTTCTTGCGGTAGTTGATCAAGCTCGCCTGAGACTCTTGAAACGCCTGCGAGTGCTGCTTCATGTGGGCGACGGCGGCGTTATCGGTGTGAAAGCGCTCGGAGCCTCGGTGCACCCTTCCATCTGGTGACTGCAAGAAGCGGCAGTTGCGGCCGAGGATCTCGTTGCGGTTGTAGCCCGTCAATTTGCAGAAGGTGTCGCTGCAGTAGACAATAGGCTGCTCAGGATGTCGTGCGTCGCATACGGTAAAGGAGCAAGATAGATCGACGGGACCAAGAGCGATGCGCGGGTGAGGTCGCAGCATGACACGAGCAAGGGCGCCGAGGAGGTCAAATCCTGAGCTCGAGTAGGCGTCGCTTGCTACGGGTGCTGCAGTCGCTGCAAAGGAACTGTCTTGGCGCACCATGGCAGCTGGTTGACGAGGTGGGTTCTGTTGCTTGGAACCCACAGGAGGGCCGTGGATATGGCCAGTCGTAGTGGTCATGCCACGCTTCGCATTGCGTCCACTGACGGAAGAAGAGGGTAGAGTGCCCTGCGTCTGTTGCGTTCGTGTCTGCTGGGCACGACGAGAGTTGCGACGACGCTCTTGCAAAGTGAGAGCCGGGCTTGGTCCGATTGCACGACGTGCCGATTGACTGAGCGGTACGGAAGCTGAACTGACGCTGCCACCGCTGCTTCGTTGGCCGGAAAGGGCTAGTGATGCGGCACTGACCGAGTTTGGGAAGCCAGCCATGCTTGGCACCGACGGTAGCACCCCTCGAAGAAGATGTGAATGATGCGCGGCGATGCGCGAGCTGTACCTCATAGCATCGGAGCTGAGAGCACTGTCCTCGCTGGATGAAGGTGTGTCAAGCTGCGATGTGCCGGCCAGATGTCCGGGCTGAGACTGCTGCCAATGGGTACCAGCGTGCCAACTGTTGGCGGCGATGGGCATAGCAGGCTTGCCTGGCGCTAAGCTGTCAGGACCAGAAACTGCCTCTGCTGATGCAGCAGATGCGGAAGCCATGATCGACTCGATCAGATCATCGTTCTGCTCCTGCTGCCCAATAGTATCTGGGTAGGCGGCTGGCAGGCCCACATCGGCGTTCACTGGCGAGTTGAGGAAAGCACTGAAGTCGAAGTCCTGCTGAAAAGACATTTTCGCCAGGACGAGTGTGGTGGGAAGGTGCAAGGGGTGTTGTCGGTGTGGGAAGGTGAGTTGACCTTATTGAAGAGGATGAAAAGATTTGTTGATATCGTTCCTTTTGGCTGTAGCGCAATCGGACAGCAGGATACGATGCGGGGAGAGGGAAGGATCAACCTGTCCCAGAGGAGGGGGATGGAAGTCTCGCTCACCGCGTGCAGCGGTCAGGAGAAAAGAGGATGGGTTTGAAGCTCTGAAGAGCGTAGTAAACAGCAAGGTCAATAGTCAGAATGTGTGGTTCCAAACGTGTCAGGCCGTGGTGTGAAGACTCACTCTAAGCAAAGCTACTGCGCAGCAGACGCGAGAGCGGTCTGTCGTGGCGAGTAGAGGAGGCTGAGAGGAGCCTTGATGAGAACGAAGCACGAACTTTCGGCTGAGCGGTAATCGGCAGCCCTAAAACGTGCAACGTAGAGAGGAGATGAAGAATCTCTTGGTTTCACTCAAGAGTGTTGATGGTGCGGGATTGGTCTCGGTGCGTGGTTCCTGGTCAAGTCTCGACTATTTTGAAACTGGCTCCGAGTATCCAACGGAGCAGCGGCAGTTGTGTCGCTGCTGATCGAAGGCGAAGCTCTTACGTTGGGAAGACGAGAGAGAAGACGCAGGTGTGGGGGTCGTTCTGAACGCTGTGGTGTTGCGTAGCCGTATGGGACGCGGTCAGACGTTCAAGATGGGAATGATGGTAAGAGACTAAGTCAGTCCAGAGATCGTTGACGACCTTGAACCCTTGCCCCAGCTCCAGCTCCAGCTTGAGGGCCCGAGAGCGCTCGGCGCTGTGGCGGACGGTAAAATGAGAGAGCAAAAGCAGCAGAGGCATCGGCGCACGGGGGACGAGCACTTGGGACTGAGGCACAAGGCCAGTCTCATCTGGACCCTGCGTAGTGTCTGTGGCCCTGCTGCCGCGCGCGAAAGGAGCGAGCACAATGACCGCCACGCGACGCGGAGGCCACGCATAGTCTAGCGACGGGGGCTTCAACGAGATGATCTTCACGATCTACAAGAATGCTGATGGCAAAGGGTCGAGGGCCGATCCTTGAGCCATGAGAACGATCAGGCAGGAGGGGAGGCAGCGCCCCCTCCGTGAAGAAGCTCGTGCGATATCTTAGAGTTGCGGCTTCTGAGCTGATCCCATTGGGAAGACGACGGTCTCTCGCTGGCCGCGTTCCTGCCTTCTCACTGTCACCAGAGATCGACGAAGAGCCTCCTCCCGCTGCTGTCTCGGTCAGGTAGAGGTCCCATTTCGAGTGTCACTGGTGTCGGGCATTGAGAGCATTGTCTCACGGCCGGCGCAGAGACACCCGGCCGCACTCCAAGGAGGGCATGTCTGGCTTAGTCAGCGCTACCCTCTGCCGCCCACTGACAGTGAGCACAACTGAGCGACTTGGGGGTAGTACTTTCTTGTGTCACCATCATCTGTCTGCCTGTCTGACCGTAGGGCGCCGATTCTTCGACTGTGTCTGGACCTGAGGCCTCAGCCAAGAGTTGGCGCCACAGAGCCACTTTCCGTCGCATGCTGTCGTGGTCAACAAGGAGAATCGACGCGCGGCAAGCGTTTCTGTGTCTGTGCGGAGTTGGTGTCGTCACCGGCCAAATCGAGCGCCCAGTCGATCTCACCGCTTGACATCACAGGGCTTCAATTCGGCGTCCCTTTGCCTCGTGTCTGACCGCTCTCCGCACCTGGCCCTTCATTTCACTTCTCGATCACCACACATTTGCAGTGAAGTTGACAAACAAAGGCCTCGACAGACATCTCAGCACACCAACGACGGACGAATTCAAGCCTGCATCGTCACGCTTCATCGCTATCAACAACGGCGCACCGGTCAGTCGTCGAATCCGCGCCCTCGCTGCGCCCACTACCATCCTGACAGACCATGTCTGGGCGTCAAAGCCAGCCATGGTCGCAGCAGCCTCCCAACGGGGCCGGAGGGAGCACATCCACTCACAATAACACCTGGCAAGCGGGCAACGGCGCTTGGACGAGCAGCGGCCCCCCTCGTCAGCCTCAGCAGCCTCAGCAGCAGCAGCAGCAGCCGCAGGCGAATCAATTTGCGCCCAATCCAGTGCAGCAACAGAGACCGCCGCAGCCGATGTATGCCCCTCAACACCAGCAGCCAAGGGACCCCGTCGCCACTGGCTTCCCTCAGCAGGGTTTCGGAGCATCGCAGCACGAGAGACAGCTTTCAGGCCATCAGCAGCCAGTGCCACAACAGCAGCAGCAGCTCAACAATCAATTCGCTCCACCTCCTGCTTTTGCCCCCGGTACCTTTCGCGAGTGGCATGGCCATGCGCCACCCTCGGTCCTCACACCTACGTATGAGCAGCCACAATTCAGCTTCCCACCAGGCATGCAGGGGCAATTCACGTCGCAGCATCCCAATCAAATGAGGGGCGGACATTCTCAGAACGACGGCTACTCGGGAATGAAGGGGGAGGATGATGACAAGGGTGCAGGTGGGGGGCCCGGTGGGCAGAAGCAAGGTGAGTGAGCGGGGGCAATGACATGCGTGCCCAGGTGGCCCGGTGGCCCGGTGGCCCGGTGGCCCACTGTATGCTGACGCCCTCTTTGCGCACAGGCACCAGCGACTTTGTCAAGAAGCTCTTCACCATGCTCGATGATCTCTCGTACTCATCCATCGTCTCTTGGTCTCACACGGGCGACTCGTTCGTCGTACGCAACATGAACGACTTCACCAAGCACATTCTGCCGCGACACTTTCGTCATTCCAACTTCGCCAGTGCGTTTGGTGCTGGTACGCGCTTTTGACGACTCCAAGCTGACCTTTGCTTCTCCTGGTGCGCAGGCTTCGTCCGTCAACTGAACAAATATGATTTTCACAAGGTCAAGAACCCTGAAGAGCAGGCGACTCAATCCGTTGACCAAGTCTGGGAGTTCAAGCATCCAGACTTCATCCGAGGTCGTGAGGACTTGCTCGAGAACGTGCGTAGGAAGCTGCCTTCGGGTAAGAAGAAGGGCGGCGCTGGTGGCGGCGGAGACGATCGCGACCTCAGCCCCACAATGCTCAACCCTGCAGAGGCGGCCGAGAGAGGTGCAGAAGAATATCAGCAGCTCAAGGATCAAATAGCGACGCTCACTGCGGCTCAGGACCAGATGAGCGGTCACATCTCCAACTTGACCAAGCAGTACCAAGGCGTCATAGGCGAGATGCTGACCTTCCAGCGCAACATGGTCCAACAAGATCAGTTGATGCAAAATCTCATCCAGTATCTCATGAACCTCGAGAACGATCGCAAGGTCGAGGCCTCGAGCGTCGCCTCCGGAGCCCTCGCAGACGGCCCCTTTGTCCCAGCTCAAGAGGCACAGAAGCTCATTGGCAACTATCAGGATGTTGCAGAAGCCACCTTTGGACAGATGAGCCAAATTTCACAGCGTGTGGCGCAGTCATCGAATGACGAGGCGACAAGAGGAAATGATTCGTATTCAAAGGGTGGCAACGGCGGCGGTCATGACTCGTACAGCACACCAAGCGGCCAATCGACAGTTGCATCACCGACATCGCAAGCATCGAGGGTCTCGCGCCATTCGTCCATTCGCCAATCGATGGCGGGCAACCTCTCGCCAAAGAGCATGGCCACGGTCCCTTCGCCGGCCACTGTTCCGTCACAAAGCGCCTTGACACCCGCCGTGTCTGAGCGACCACAGGGCATCCTGCGCAACAATTCAGACGGCAAGAGCGATGAGATGAGCATGTTCCTGCACCCACCACACCTCGACGATGACGAGAGCAACACGCTCTTTAACACGGCCGCCAACATTGTCGACAATCCGAGTCTCGCCGGCTTCGAGGGAGCTGGACTGCGCGTGTTCACTGTTGGCACACTGCAGCCTCGCGAGGGCAGTAGCGCCGATGGGGCGGGTGGCTCCTCTCTTAATGCAGCTCTCGGGCGTGCGACGTCAGAGGGTAATGGCGAGAAGCAAGACTACGGCATCTCCGTTCCCCCGCTCGAGGACCTACCCGCCGACATGCCCAAGGTCGACCAGCGCACGACTTCGACGACCACCACACCAGCGCCAGACGACGATGGCGACGAAGATGCAGATGGGCGTCGCCGCTCTCTCACGCCCAGCGATCCAGGCTCAAACATGCTCCGCGTGCGTCGCTCAACATACGTCCCTGGATGGGCAGTCCCACCTCGCGTACTCCTGGTAGATGACGATGCCGTCTGTCGCAAGCTCTCTTCCAAGTTTCTTCAAGTCTTTGGCTGCGCGATCGACGTTGCAGTGGATGGAGTCAATGCGGTTAACAAGATGACCATGTCTGACTATGACCTGTAAGTCCTTCAGGCATTGTCCGGCCGCACAAGCCCCACTGACAGTTCTTGCCTTTGCCGTGATCAGCGTGCTTTGCGACATCGTGATGCCCAATCTCGATGGTGTGACGGCTACGTCCCTCATTCGACAATTGTACGTATCACTGATCTCGACTGTTAGCGCCCGAGCCCTTCGCTAACCGCCTTTTCCTCCCCTCCGACAGCGACCCACGTACTCCCATCATCTCCATGACCTCGAACACCTCCCCTGACGACCTTCTCACCTACATGTCCTCGGGCATGAACGATGTCCTGCCTAAGCCTTTCACGAAGGAGGGGCTACTCAATATGCTCGAGAAGCACTTGATTCACCTGAAGACGGTGCAGAAGATGGACCAGATCCCCAAGCAGCTCGGTCTCCCGCCGGTGAGCAAGGAGACGCTCGAGGGCGTACTCCAAGCCACCGCGGCATCAGCCGCTGCGCTCGGTACTTCAGGAGCATCGGGCTCTGGCAGCGGCAGCGGCGCAGGCAAGGGCAACGGCAACGGCGAGAGCAGCGGCTGGCCCTCTTCTTCTTCTCCTGGATCAGGCAAAGCACTGCCAGCCGCAGCCATGATGGGCAATGGCCCCAATGTGACTGCAAAAGGCGCCTCGCCACCGGGGGCAGCCGCGAGCAGCAGTAGCGCCGTCGACACTTCTTCCACAGGCGGCGAGGATAACCCCAACGTCGTCAACCCGCTTGCTGCTATGGGCTTCTCGGACGAAGAGTACATCAGCATGATACAGTCGCTGCTTGCTGCGGGAACTGTTTCGGGGGATATGAGCGATGCAGTCTCTGGTGTCATGGGCGTCATGCGAGGAGAGGGAGCTTCACGTTCTACCCCTCCAGAGGCCAGCGGGAGCGGTAGCACCTCGAAAAAGAGAGGAGCGGATGGATCGCCGCCCGTCGAAGAAGGGTCAGGCAACAAGAAGGCCAAGGCTAGATTCGAGGAGCTCAAGACCTGACCAAAGTGGCACACAGTAGACGCTTCGTTTTCTCCCCTTCTCGATCCCCTCGTCTCCCACGGCGGCACCCACATTCTGGTCTCGTACTTGTATTCAGCCTCATCCCTGTGCTTTCTCTGTAACAATCGCAGTCTCGTGTCGCATGTCAGCCATCGAGGCACGGCTCAATCCTGGACTAGAATTCGGCGAGAACCATTCCTGCGCAAGCCTCTGAGCCGATACTGCCCATCTTTGCTGAGGCTGTTGCTCCCTACCCTAGGCTGAGGAGCACTTCGGAGCACGATGTTGCACCGCAGCAGACATCTTGACTTCTCACTCCGAATCACCCAATGACGACCCTGACACGCGCTTGACTGGATAGAATGGATTTGAGATAAGACGTAAAAGGCTGGTGACCGGTCGTGTGTGCTCGGCTGCCAATGAACGTGCGTGGACGATGTGGACGACTGGAATATGGTGGTGAGGGGCGTGAATGTGACTCTGGGTCGAGGGCTAAGCGACAACGAGAGGAACAATTCTTTGGGGATTTGCGTGAAGCGGATGGGGGTCGAGGTGGACGCAATTGAAACTAGCTGGTGATGGTGATGGGAATAGAGAGGCGATGATTGCCTTTGATGAAGTGGAGACGATCTGCCTGATGAGGTCTGGTGGAAACGCCTCTCTTTCGCCCCGGGTCTTTGAGCGTGTGGCGTGCCACAGCGCATCTCTGCGTGCTATGCTGTCGCCGCGGCCTCCCTAAACGTGCTTCGGTCGTCTCGAACGATGCCACGTCGGCATCTTGAAGTGGACTGTGTGAATTGCTACGATCGCCTGCCGTCATTGATCCTCTCTCCTCCGCTTGTATGCTCGATCACATGCGGAATAGGAACTGCAGGTCTGCGACGGTCAGGCGCTGGCTCGCAGCGTCGTCGTTCGACAGAGTAGCGTTGACCATCGCCATTTTCTTCGCTGAAAGCTCAGCGACTCGCGATTCGATGGAGTTTTCGATGATGAGATTGGTGATGATGATGGGCCTCGTCTGCCCAAGGCGGTGAATACGGTCTGCGGCTTGGCCAATGGAGGCTGCGTTCCACCAGGGGTCCATGACAAAGACACGGCTAGCCTCGGTCAAGTTGAGGGCGACACCTCCGGCCTTGAGCGAGACGAGAAAGACGGTGACGGAGGGATTGTCAGAGAAGTAGCGCACAGTGCGGTCGCGTGCCTCCGGGGTCATGCTGCCCTCGAGCCTGGCAATGGTGAAGCCGGCGCGTTGAAGTCGGAAGGCGATGAGGTCCAGGAAGGACGTGAACTGCGAAAAGACGATGCTCTTGATCGTTGAGTCGTCGCGGCGGACCTTGTTGAGCTCCTCGACGAGGGCTTCGATCTTCGTGGAGCTCCTCCAGTTGGCGACGTCAAGCCTGCCGAGAATGCCCTGCCTCGTCTCCTCGGGCCTCGCGTCCTCGAGGGCCTCCTGGTCGAGGTTGATGCTTAGATTGGCGTGGCAGTAGGGGCAGTCGGGGACGGGAACCTCCTCCGATGCAGACTCGAGGTACTGGCGCACGCATTCGCGGCAAAAGACGTGCTTGCACTTGGAGACGATGGGCTCTGTGGCCTCCTCAGCGCAGATGCGGCAGAGATTGATGGTGTCATTCGACGCATCACCCAGCAGCTTTTTGGCAACTCCCGTCTTGGAGCGCAGCACGAGGTCAGGGTGGCATGAGAGCTGACGCATGCGCGTGATGAGCGTGAAGATGTTCGAGTAGTTGTTGAGGATCGTGCCCTGGCTGACAAAGGTCGAGAACTTGCGTGCGCCATCGTTGTAGAGCGAGTCGTAAAGGTCCTCCTCCTCCTCGTTGAAGTAGTCCTTGCGCACCACGACGGTGCGAGGGGGCAAGCCCATGTCATCTGCGCGCTCAAGCTTGGTGCGGCGCAGCATCATGCGGTCGAGGAGAATGCGCAGGCGGCGGAAGGCCTCACCTCCCTCTCCGACACTGGTGCCATCGCGCTGGATGGGACGAAGGACGGAGATGTTCCAGAAGCAGACGTGATGCATGGGTGTGTGGCCGCACTTGTCGCACGAGCGGCGATCGCTGAACTGCCAGTGAAGGCTCTTGCAAGGGCATTGCTTGCAATAGTAGTAGCCATAGGGATCGCCATTCAAGAAGCGAATCATTGAGTAGAGCTCTCCCACTCGGTTCATGAGGGGCGTCCCACTGAGGCACCAGCGATAGGTGCTGCTGAGCTCAAACGCAGCTTTGGCGGTGTTCGTGGCGCGATCCTTGATATTGTGCGCCTCGTCCAGGACCACACGGTGCCACTGCACGGCGTGCAGGGCTGACTTCTCCTTGACGAGCTCCTTCTTGCGCTTGAAGCCGATCTCTTGCTTGCGGAAAGATGCCTCCATCACCGAGTAGCTCGTGAGAACGACGTCGTGCTGGGCGAGCTTCTTGGCGTCGACCTCGCGCGAAGCGCCGTGCCAAACGAGGACCTTGAAGCCATCCGTGTACTTGGCAATTTCGTTGCGCCACTGCATGATGGCAACGACGGGTGCAACTACGAGAGTGGGCTTGTCGCGGTTGGAGAGAAAGAGCGAAATCATCTGGATCGTCTTGCCCATGCCCATCTCGTCGGCGAGGACACCTCCAGACCATGGTCCTTTCTCCTGCTCGAGCAACCAGTTGAGTCCTTCGAGCTGGAAGGGAAGCAGCGTGGCTTTGAGGCCGTTGGGCTGGACGGTAGCGACATTCTTTGGTGCGCCAGAGGTCTGTTTGAGATCATCCCAGAGACCAACGAGCTCGGGGTGGTGCTTGCCGAGCGACTGCACCGTCTTCTGGTAGGGCGTGAGCTTTGGCACCTTCTTGCGTCGAGCGAGGTGCCTCTCGGATTTCAGTCGAGCTTGGCGCTGCTTGAATGTCTCGTACCTGATGTCCTCGCCGTGGAGGCCACGAGCGCTAGAGGGATTGGCAGAGGTGGATGCGCCCACCTCGGGGGAGGTGGATCCAGCGTCGGCGCTAGCGAGAGCAACGGCGTTGTGGGAAGCGTAGTCGTCAACAAAGTCCTCGTCCTCCGAGTCCTCCGAGTCTTCATAGTCGTCGTCGCCGTCAAATTCACGGTCTTGCAAGCTTGCAGCCGACTTGCGTGGGGCTCGTCGCTGACGGCCCTTGGCGCGAGGCTTGGCGAGCAAGTCCTCGGCCTCGTCTTCAATGTAGCTGAGCTCGCTGTCCGAATCGTCCTCGTCTTCAATTCGCTGCTTCGAGCGGCTGGGGCCCGACGCAGACCTCTTCTTGCCAAATTTGATCGATGTCTTGAAGTCATCTTCATCGGCGTCCTCAATGTCGTCCGACATGTCGTAGTTGGCCAAGTCATCGGCGATGTTGAGCTCTGGAGCCTTAGCCTTGCCTTTAGCCTTGCCCTTGGAAGTTGAGGCGAGAGGTACGTCGCTCAGCTCGCTATCGTCACTGGGCTCGTCCTTGTACGACTTGCGAGCAGACGAGACTCGGCGACTGGGTCGACCGGAGGAGCTCACACCACTCGAACCAGAGTTGATGCTGAGGTCAATGATCTCTTTCTTGGCTGATGAAGCAGGCTTCTTGCCGCAGCTGGTGCTGCGACGCTTGCTGATAGCAGGCTTGACGTCGTCGTCATCGTCCTTTGCGATCATTGCGGCAGACGAGGTGCCGGCTTTGGAGGAGGACGCAGAGGCGGAGCTCTGCGCAGTAGTAGCGAAACGGCCACGAGAAGGGCGTGCGCGTGGAATGACAATGGAGAATCCAGGATCATCCTCGCCGACAGCATCTTCAGGGCTGCCGGTCTGACGCTGAGCGGAGCGTGAGTGGAGTGGAGATTGATGAGCTCAAGGATTACGGAGCGTGGCGCGTTTGCATGCGCGTGTACTCACATTCTTGGTGTTGGCTTTGCCAGTGTCATCACCGATGCTCGTGGCTGGCGTTATGACTCCAGAGGTCGTGTGACGGCTGGTAGTACCAGTGTCGGCGGTGGTGCTAGGCGTGGGCGATAGCGAGTCGGGGCTTTCCTCAGCCTTGACGGCTGCCCTGCTCGCGCGACGCTGCGGAGGCGCCATCTTGCGCGATGGTGAAAGGGAGCAGAGCTTGCCAAAGGATTGAAAAAAGGGCGGTGAAACGAAGGGTAAGGAAACAGGGGGGCACCAGTGGGAATGGGAAGGGGATGGTGAGGATCGAAAGAAGGAATGGGCGAATTTGCCACTAGGCTGCTGCCTCGAATCAGTCGACTGCTCAGCCGCTGCCGGCAGCAGCAACGGAAAGGGAAACGCGTCAAGCAAATGGGCGTGCAGGTGCGGGTGCGGGGTACGTCGAGGAAAGGCAGCAACGATGACACACGACCGCCAATGCGATGGCAGAATGCTCGAGGGCAGAGCCCAAATGAGCATGATATTGGTATCGAGAGCTGCATAAGCCAACGCGCGTGATTGTAGTGGCAAGGTGTTGGTAAACGGCCTGCCGATTTGAGCCCTCCGCTACATCCCCCCCCCCCCCCCCTGCCCCTGCTGCGCTGGTGCTGCCGCCTGCCTTCCCACCGTATGCTCTTCCCTTATTCATTGGTTACGTGTCGAGCGATGTTCATCCAGGAGGATCCTGCGTGTTTGATGAGTAGGTGGTAGTGTGATTGAGAGGTGCGGGGCAGCGTCATCAAGTCGCGAGGACAGCAGCCGGCCACTGCCTTCCCAGCACACCTTGCTGCTATTGAGCTTTAATTTTGATGCTTGACTCGATATTCGCTTTGTTCCGAGATATTGGCTGGTGATTTGTCGCCTTGCCACGCTGCTACCTCCAAGACCAGCCCAGATCGAGGTCGAATCCAGTCTTGGTGCCGGGAAGATTGACTCTCAGCAGCCTCGAGGCGTCAGCAGTCGGCTTCCATGGCTGAAGCTGATCCCAGTATGAAGTAGCCAAGAAGAGCCCAATGACGATAGCGGTGCAGTAGAAGCTGTCGCAGAGATGGACGAGGACAGGGGGGGAGGGGATCGGGGTCAGCTCGGGTTCACGCTCAGATTTCCCTCTGACGTCGATACTCACCACGGCCGAGTCTTGATGAAGTAAATGACAACGAGGAGGACGAGCAGCTCAGGCGGGCATGCCGGCTTGGCGATGAGAAAGAGCGGGAGCCACCATGAGAGGCAGTTCATCATTGGGCGGCAAGAAGCGTCGTGTTGGACGAGGGGCGACTCTGGTCCACCTCAAGCCCGATCGCAGTTCAAGGCCACGTGGTTAGTCGGGGTTGCCGGGTCAGTTGTCGAGCTCGTACGGCCATCAACGAGGCCAGAACCTCGTTGGCGAACAATGATGGGCCAGTGGAGCTGGCGACAATGGTGGTCACTCATTCAGATTAGGGCGGCGTTCCCACAAAAGCATCCAGTGAAACGAGCAGCTTCTCTGTGTGCGATGTCGCCGAGCGCTTTGCTCGCGCTTCGCCACCACGCCCTTACGTCTCCGTCTTCGCTCGAGTCAAGCCATTGTCAAGCACGCTCACCACTCGGGCACATGTACGAGTCATGATCGGCGGCAACCACTTCTCCATCTCGATCTCTGCAGTCATCTCGTGTCTTCGTCGTCGCAGATGTGGTTGATGCTGCCTTGCTTGCTCTACCTCGAATTTTGCTGCATCGAGCTGCTCGCCGCAATCTGCAAGGCTCAGCCAGCCCGTTCGGGACCGCGCGCTGGGCCAGTCGACGATTCGGGCGTAAGGGGCGAAGGCAGGCAGGCAGGCAGGCAGGCAGGCAGAGAGCCCAGAGGCGAGCGGGGCGGGCAAGCGGGCGAGCGACGTCGAGCTGAGCCAGCCATTTCCAGACGACTTCGTCTTTGTTACCACCACCACATCCCCCCTTAAGAAGTGCGTTGCCGACACTGCCGCTCGAAGCACTCATCATCATTCGCTCACTCTTCACTCTCCATTCTCGTACAGACTCTTCAAGATGGGACGTCGCCCTGCCAGGTGCTACCGCTACTGCAAGAACAAGGTGAGCGCCAGGCGAAGAAGAGATGAGGCTCCTTGGGACGTTTTGGCTGACCGTCCTACCACCTATTCCTGCACCGTTTCCTCATTGTAGCCGTTCCCCAAGTCCAGGTACAACCGAGGTGAGCTTGCGATGGGCAGAGAGACGAGCGAATGGAACTCGATCTGACTCAAATTCTCCCTTCCCTTCTTCCAGGTGTGCCCGACCCCAAGGTCCGTATCTTCGAAGAATTCGCTGCGAGAGATATCATATAGCGAGGCTGTTATGAAAGGCATGGGGGGACATATCGTGGGCGGTGGCGTTGCCGCTGCTTCAGGTGCCAGGCATCGAGGCAGTGCAGCGAATTTGAGGAATGGGGATGGGAATGGATGGAGGATGGATGGGTGGCGGACAGCTTGGCGTCGTAGCCCTTTGACATCCGACTGACGCTCCTCCCCGTTCTCTCTCGTACAGATCCGCATCTACGACCTGGGCCGCAAGAAGGCTTCCGTCGACGACTTCCCCTTCTGCTGCCACCTCGTCTGCGATGAGCACCAGCAGATTACCTCGGAGGCTCTCGAGGCCGCCCGTATTTGCGCCAACAAGTACATCACCAAGACCTCGGGTAAGGACTCTTTCCACCTGAGGGTCCGTGTCCACCCCTTCCACGTCATCCGCATCAACAAGATGTTGTCCTGCGCCGGTGCCGATAGGCTCCAGACTGGTATGCGTGGTGCCTACGGCAAGCCCTACGACACCGTCGCCCGTGTCGACATTGGCCAGATCCTCCTCTCGGTCCGCACTCGCGAGTCGAACCGCGCTACCGTCATGGAGGCTCTCCGTCGCTCTCGTTACAAGTTCGCCGGTCGCCAGAAGATCATCATCTCGAAGAAGTGGGGCTTCACCAACATGAACAAGGACCAGTACCAGCAGGCCAAGGCTGAGAACCGTGTCATGAGGGACGGATGCTACCTCCAGTACCTCAACGACCACGGACCCCTCGAGAAGAACCTCAAGATGCGTGCTCAGGTCGCTGCCAACAACGCCAAGTAATTGGTGCGTGGCCGACTTACGACTCGTTCTTGTCTCCTCACTCTGTACAATGTCCCCGCTCGTCCATCATCACGATGAGCTCACAGCAATGCCATTGTGATGTCGGGCTTCCCATCGTGCGTGCGTGAGCGTGAAGGAGAGGACAGAAAGACAGCGGAAGTTGAGTGTTGCAGAGCAGGGCTCAGAAAGGGCTCGAGGGGCGGGCGGTGCAATGAGCAGCGATGACGAGGGGCTGTGGGCCACAAGGTCGTCCGGCCCCACCTGCCAACATCTACAGTGATTGTGCGTTTGTTCCTTTCTTGCCCTGCAAGATTCCAATGCTTGTCTCAATCCATTGCTCGTTTCCTTGTCCTCTTCTCAATCCTCGCGTTTCGCTCAGACAAATGAAGTAAGGTGTCGTGGGCGGCACTTGCGGGCTGGCGCACGACGCCAAGCCAAGTCGCGAGAGCGGCCCAAGCGCGAAGCGGCCCGTTGCTGCATCGCGCTGCCTGTCGGATCAGACATGGCCCCCCCCTGAATGTTAAGTGGTGCGCCTCTCTCTGTTCCTACCATTCTCGTTCCTGTTCCCATTCCCATTCCCATTCCCATCGCCTTCCTCTTCCTGCCAGGCCGGTCTTTGGTCACAAACACCACAGACTTGTCAACCCTGTCGCTGCTCGCGCTGAGCCGTCGTCTCTGGTAGACGCACTGCTAAGGGCCCACGCAAGATGCCGGGCCTGCTACCGAGCAGACCGAGCTTCAGTGGTAGTCTGTCTGCCACTGGTGGCTCGCCTCGACCACTCTCCCCTCATAATGTCGACCCCAACATCACGGCCCCTTATGATGAGGGCCCACAATACGCCCCTTATGTCTCCGACCCTACCCACCCAGACTATGACCCTCGCATCGACCCTGCGCTTCAGCTACGCACCGTACGAACGGCAGCTGCGTCCATCGCCGAGTCGCACGCATCTGATGCTCGCAGAGAGGCAAAGAGGAAGAGCGACAAGAAGAAGATGGGAAGGTCAAACACGCTTCTAAATAAGCTCGGTAGAGGGAGAACGACGCGGCGAAAGAACGGCAGTCAGCAAGGAGGAACTCTCGGCGCTCTCATTCAAGACGAGCTTCGTATCGCAGGCCAGGGAAAGGGAGGAGCACAAGGGACTGGTGGGCAGGGAGTAGGCGTACCATTCGATTCTGCGCAGCAAGACAAGACGCCCGCAGTTCCTGTGGCTGACCTTGACGAAGAGGCAGAGCAGGAGGCTCAGAAGGAGGCCAAGTCAACCTCAAATGGCCCAGCTGGATCTCGGCGCAACATCTACCTCAACATGCCCTTGCCCTCCTCGGACCTCAACCGCAGCGGGGAACCCCGTACCATGTACCCTCGCAATCGAGTTCAGACATCCAAGTACAACGTCGTCACGTTCCTGCCTCGCTTCCTCTTTGAGCAGTTTCATCGACTGGCCAATGTCTATTTCCTCGGCCTCGTCGTGATGCAAATCCCGAGCATCTTTGGCGCCACTCTGCCTCAGATTGCCATGCTGCCCCTCGTGGCCATTCTGACGTTGACCGCCATCAAGGATGGCATCGAGGACCACCGCCGACATATCCTCGACAACCAAGTCAATAACTCGGCCGTCACCAAGCTCGGTGGCTGGCGCAATGTCAACCAGCCCAAGGATGCGCGTACCTGGCTGCAGAAGTTGCTTGGCTTGAGCGGGAGAGGGGAGGCCAAAATATCGCGAGGCGTACGCAAGCTGCGAGAGAAGGAAGATGCCATCGGTATGAGGTCGATGAGGGAGAACAAGTCAAAGTACCAGGCTGGCGCTGCCATCACGCAGGACAGTCTGGCTCAGGACCAAGGCTGGGGCATGTCGACCATTGCGTCCGAAGGGGAGCGCGAAGATGACTCGTCCATCGCCCACAGCGCTCGCGGTCCCTACGGCGCCACTCCAATGAGCAGGAACGACACTTCGAAGACAGCGGCCGACATTCACCATCCTCCAAGCATTGGTGGACCAGGCTCCCAAGGAGTCGTTGACTACCGTCGTACCACCTCTGGCTCTGCACGATGGGAGCGCACGCTGTGGAAGAAGCTCGAAGTCGGTGACATTGTACTGTTGCGCGAGGATGAACAGGTGCCCGCGGACATCATCGTCCTCAACTCGTCTGGTGAGGACGGCATCGTCTTTGTCGAGACGAAGAACCTCGATGGCGAGACCAATCTCAAGCCGCGTCGATCGCTCAAGGCCACTCGTGCGATCCAGTCAGAAGAGGACATCGAAGCGTCTCGCTTCCTCATCGACGTCGAGCCACCTCACGCCAATCTCTACTCCTTCACCGCCTTGCTCAAGTACACTCGAGGCGACGAGGATGCGCCTCCCGACTCGAGCGCCTACGCAACAGCTGAAAAGCACGTCGAGCCAGTGACGATCAATGAGCTCCTCCTGCGAGGCTGCGCCATCCGCAACACCGAATGGGTCATCGGCATCGTCGCCTTCACGGGAAGCGACACGAAGATCATGCTCAACTCGGGTGAGACGCCATCGAAGCGGTCGAAGATCGAGAAGGAGACCAATTGGAACGTCCTCGCCAACTTCGTATTACTTCTCTGCATGTGCGCCATCTGCGCCATTGTTGGAGGGCTTGCTTTTGCTAACACAGCGTCCAGCCGGACCTACTACGAGCCTGGTGCCCTTGACTCGTCTTCCAACGTCCTCAACGCCCTTGTCATTTTGGGCTCGTGCTTGGTTCTCTTCCAGAACATTGTGCCCATCTCACTCTACATCTCGATCGAGCTGGTCAAGACGGTACAGGCTTTCTTCATTTACCAGGACGCCGATATGTATTACGAGCCGCTGGACCATCCCTGTGTCCCCAAGACGTGAGGACCGAAGACGAAGGCGAATCGGGCGAGCTTTTTGACTGACATTCCATCCTCATCGCGCACGCAGCTGGAACATCTCTGACGACCTCGGTCAAATTGAATACATCTTCTCGGACAAGACAGGCACGCTCACACAGAACAAGATGGAGTTCAAAAAGTGCAGTATCAACGGCGTCTCCTATGGCGAAGGCGTGACCGAAGCCCAGCTCGGCGCCATGAAGCGTGAAGGACAAGACGTCTCTCGCTTCTCCCCAGAGGCCCAAAAGGCGCAGCTGGAAGAGAACAAGCGGGCCATGATCCAGACGATGACGAGGAGCTACAAGAGTCGATACCTGCGCGAAGACCGGCTCACGCTGATTTCTCACAAGCTCAGCGAGGACTTGGCTTCGGGATCTCCGCCTGATCAGAGGAGAGCGATCATTGCCTTCTTCAGGGCGTTGGCGCTGTGCCACACGGCTCTCACTGACAGGCCAGATGGAGACGACCCATTCACGCTCGACTACAAGGCAGAGTCGCCTGATGAAGCGGCGCTGGTCGCCGCTGCTAGGGATGTGGGCGCCGTCTTCCTCAACAAGACCAATCAGCAGGTGAGCGTGCTGAGGAGAGAGAGTAGTCTAAGAGGGGCGAGCAGCTGACCTTGCACCAACTTGTGCCCGCACACAGGTGGACATTGAAGTCATGGGCCAGCCCGAGCGCTACACCCCGCTCAAGGTCCTCGAGTTCAATTCGACCCGCAAGCGCATGTCTGTAATTGTTCGCGAGCCCGAGGGGCGCGTTCTCATGATCACTAAAGGCGCAGACTCAGTCATATATCAACGCCTACGCAAGGATCATCCCCAAGACCTCAAAGAGTCAACTCAACGTGACCTCGACGAGTATGCCAATGCCGGTCTCCGCACTCTCTGCATTGCGTACCGCTACCTGGAGGAGAGCGAGTACATAGAGTGGGCCCGCACCTTCGACGAAGCGGCGGCTTCAACCAGCGACCGAGAGGACAAGATCGACGATGCCTGCGAAACGATCGAGCACGACTTCACCCTACTGGGAGCGACTGCGCTGGAGGACAAGCTGCAGGAGGGGGTCCCCGACGCAATCGCTCAGCTGCACGAGGCGGGCATCAAGCTCTGGGTCCTCACAGGAGACAAGATGCAGACTGCCATCGAGATCGGTTTCTCCTGCAATCTGCTCAACGCGGATACCGAGGTGATGATCATCTCTGCTGACCATGAGGCGGGGACTCGTTCGCAGATCGAAGCGGCTTGCAACAAGATTGCAGCTGCGGGGAGGCCGATTCTGGTGGAGAAGAAGAAGAGTAACAGCAGGGGCTTGGGAGGAAAGCGCAAGTCGACGATTGGATTCGAGCCTACCCCTGAGGCGATTGCTGCTGCCGGGCCAACGGGGAAGACGAGCTATGCCGTTGTCATTGACGGAGACACACTGCGGTACGCCTTGGACCCAGCGCTCAAGCCTCTCTTCCTGGCATTGACGACGCAGTGCGAGACAGTCGTCTGCTGCAGAGTCAGCCCTGCGCAGAAGGCTTTGACGGTCAAGCTGGTCAAGGACGGCAAGAATGCGATGACGCTCGCGATCGGAGATGGCGCCAATGACGTATCGATGATCCAAGAGTGCGTACAATGCGCGGAGAAGACTATGAGCAAGCAGGCGGTCTGACCTTCTCTCTCTACTAAATTTGTCCCGCAGAGCACACTGTGGCATCGGTATCGCAGGCGTCGAGGGCGCGCAAGCGTCCATGTCAGCAGACTACGCCATCGGTCAATTCCGCTACCTAACTAAGCTTCTCCTCGTCCACGGCCACTGGTCCTACGTCCGTATCGCCGACATGCACAAGGTCTTCTTCTACAAGAACGTCATCTGGACCTTTACGATGTTTTTCTTTCAGCTCTACTGCGACTTCAACGCAACCTACCTCTACGACTACACCTACGTGCTCCTCTACAACCTGGTCTTCACGTCGCTGCCCGTCATTATCCTCGGCGCGCTCGACCAGGATTGCAATGCCAAGGCGCTCCTCGCGTTTCCGCAAACGTACATGCGCGGAATCAAGGGGCTGGAGTACACGCGAACTCTCTTCTGGCTCGCAATGCTGGACGGCATTTACCAGTCGTGCGTATGCTTCTTCGTTACCTACGCCTGCTGGTCCTTCTTCCCCGTCGTATCGGCGGACGGCCATTCAATGGACGGAATCTGGATCTTTGGCACGACTATCGGAGCTGGAGCAGTCATCTCTGCCAATCTCTACGCAGGTTTGGCCATGCGCTACTGGACTAGCTTGGTTTGGGTGGTGCAGCTCGTCTCTATCCTCTCGTACCTCGTCTGGGCGCTCGTCTACAGCGCGTTCGACGGGACACTGTACACGGACACGGCGTACTGGGCTATGGGTACCGTCATCTTCTGGTGTCAGATCCTCCTCATCGTCACTCTGTCGCTCCTTCCACGCTTCTTCGCCAAGGCGTGGCGCACCAGCTTCATGCCTACGCAAGTCGACCTAGTGCGCGAGAGCTGGATCAAGGGCGACCTGAAGCAGAAGCTTGGCCTCAAGGAGAAGCCAGACGCGAGCCTTACTGATGTCGAGACGGGCAATGATGTCATCCGAGAGGAGCCGTACCGTAGTCGCTCGCGCTCATCAATGCGCGGCGCTGGTGGCAATGATAGTGGCGAAAGTGGCGGCATGTCGACGTCACCCTCGTGGGAAACGGCGGACACGACGCAGCGTCAATTGCGCAACTCGAAGATGTGGCATGACGGGCGCGGTACAAGGATGAGCTACTATGACCCGGATATGCTCGTTGGCGAGCCAGGCAGTGGACCCTCGTCGCGAAGAACGTCGCGTACGCCTGAGTCGCTGGGCCAGGAGGCCTTTAGTAGCCATCACCAGCAGCATCAGCCGGAGCAGTACGAGCGACAGCAACGGCCCACTCGTGCGGATCACGCGACGCCCATTCCTCAGATCAACATCCAGCGAGCTAGCGGCGCGAGCTCCAGCTTCTACCCTTACCGCCAGTCAGCGGAGTACAGCGATGAGGAGGACGACGAGGAGGACAGAATTGGTCACAATGGCGCTGGAAGGAGTAGGGTGGCGCTCGTCGATGAGAATGGCAACGTGCGCGGCGAAGAGTACCGTCAAGCCGGGTACCGAACCCAGCCACGCCGCGACCAGCATCACGACGATGACGAGCTGGAGGAGGATGATTACGATCACATGCGCGAAGTCAGCGACATTTCGTGGCATACGGCGGATGGTGAAGATGGAGGATCAGGCGGTGTCGCGAGATGATCGCAATGACGGCGTTCAGCTGTCGCTATTTTATTCCTCAAGACGACTTCATTTGACCTTAACTTTTACCCATTCATCAACGGACTCTGTAATGTAGCGCTACGAGTGGTGCGGCGCCCCCTCTTTTCTTTCCTTTTCTTCAGTTCATCTCTTTTGTCCCACCTTTACTACTTCTCCCTTCCTCCTCTGGCCCTTACCCTTTGTAAATGCGAAACACCACAGCGGTATCGATCTTGACGTTGCGCCCAGACGCGGGCTCGGCTCAGTCAGTGGCCAACCAACACTTTTGCCCGCCCTCGTGAGACGCGACTCGACGGCGGCGGAGGTGCGGAGATGAAATGTGAGCGAGGTGGACACGCGGGCCGAGGGCGGGAGGCGGGGTGCGATGTCGAGGACCGATGAGTTCATGACGGCAATTCTCCTCTTGCTCTCGCTCCTTTGCATCATACGACTGCCACGACAGCTTTCTCTCATGCCGCTCTCACCACAGCGCCCATTACTGCTCTGAGAGAGCAGAGCATCAATCACTCGAGATAGCCCAAATGGCAGCAGCCACGTCAGCCTCATCGGCAACGACATCGACTCCACTCCACGACCCCTTGAGACCAGCGGCACCATCGGTAGTCAATGCAGGCAATGCAGTACCCTGGGATGAGCAGGTAGTTCCTGCTCTACGCAAGCGCCTTGAGGCAGAGAGTGCTCAGCTGGCTGAGCGGATCAAGGGGAGTACACATCGAGGTGGAGCATATCCGAGGGGGCCAGGCGCAGCATTTCCTAGCCAAGATGCAGGGCGAGACGTGCATTCTTCCTCTTCGTCGTCGACGAGCGGCAGTGGAGTTCGTCGGGCCCCAAGCCAGGGCTCACCTGCTCGAGCAGCGGGCAGCAAGATAGACATGGCCACTGCACGTCAACGCGCGAGGTCCATCAGGGACCGAAGGGACGGCAGCGCCCCCATCTCTGGACGAGGAGGAGCATACAATGGCCAGGCGCAAATCCAGAATGAACAATACTCCTACAATAGCAGCGTGAACGGCATTGGCAATTCAGCAAGCCTAGGTCGCACAAGCTCCAAGCTTGGCCCTTCAACACGCAGTGGCGCTCTCCTTGCCTCATCGTCCTCCACTGGCTCGGCCCTCTTCCCCTCTGATGAGCATCACCAAGACCAAGATGCCGCTTCATCCTCCTCGTACTACTCGCGAGGTAGTCAGCGACCCATCACTGGTTCTTCAGTCTCCTCGATTAGAACCAGGACTCAGTCAACACCCATGCAGTACATGGGTCCATCGTCATCTTCGACGTCTGCCTCGGCGAGATACGCCGCCGCTGCCAATGCCGTTCCTCCGATACCCCCCAATGGCGCTGAAAGCAGTGGCCCGCAGACGACGAGAACTACTGCTGTGCCAAGACAACGGGTGCAGGCGCATGAAGAGAGCAACCGCTCCGGCCAGTCGCAACGACCAAATGGGCAGGGAGGTCGCAACAGCAATGTGGAGATGGAATCACCTGTAGTTGAAAGCAGCAAGTACGGGGAAGCCATGGCGCCTCGCTGGCCTTCCTCCCGTCAGCAGCCATTCCTCCCCGCAACGACAGCGGCAAAGCAGCGATCTGCGACAGTCGATGCAAGCCAGCAGCATCGTCTCCAACCAGACCCCCCATCTGACTCATCCCAATTACCACCATCAACCAGCGACCCCCTCCTCCTCCACTCGCCCCTGAGCAATCATGTCACTCAACCAATCTCGCGCTCGACTCGCGCCGTCACTGAGCCTCCGACGGGTTCCACACCATGGGACTGGGACGAGGTCCTCCCGCCCACGATTGCGCGTCGTGTAGCACAAGAAGAGCTGCTGAAGAGAGACCCAAGCCTGCAGGGCGTGGAAGAATTGATCGATACGTGGGACAAGAGTGGGAAGCCACTGACTCAGAAGCGTATCAGGGAGCTGTGCGAGGAGAGGGAGAGGAGGGAACGCGGAGAGGACATGGGAGAGGAACCAGGGAAAGCAGAGGAAGAGGGCAGTGCATGGCCAACAGCAGAGGGCGATAGTCTTGCGGAGATGAGCTCTTCCTTTGACAGGACGGCGAGCAACAGGCAGGTCAGACTCTCCTCGCTCGTTGATGGGATGGGCTTCGGCCCGGCATCTTCCAGCCCTGCGAGGGGTGACGGGAAGAGTAGCATAGCAGCAGGTGCAAGCCCGCAGAGCGGGGACCTTGTGAACTTCCAAAGCCAGCGAACGCAGCAGCAGAGGCAGGTCACTCCGCAGCGCGAGCCTTCTCCGAATGGACATGGGTGGCAGCAAGGGCCTCAGCAGCAACAGCGAGCCACAGTCAATGGCCATCAACCAACTTCAGCGCCGACGTCATCAGCAGCAGCGCCGGTGTCAGCAACGAGCGGCAAGCATCAAAAGCCAGGCAAGGACGACTCGCACGATGCAGGATGCTGTGCCAAGTGCCTTGTCATGTAGCATCCTTCGTGGCGATGATCTCTTCTTTGCTCTTCTCCGCACCTCAGCTCGTCCGGGACAGTGGTATACCTTTGTGCTTCATTCTTTCTTCTTCGCCTTTCATCATTTCAATCCTTTCAGCCTAATATCATGAGATGTGTACACGCATGATCATGTGAAGGCGATGCGAATCCGATTGTGACAGATAAGGGTAGTACGATTCCTCATTCTCACTGCTCAACATTCTGCGTGACCGCACCTGTACTGCTGACACGCATAACCTGCAATGCAAGTCCACCTCTCAACGCCTCAAACGCTGCAGTGCCTCTTTGCATCCAGCCCACGCCGACCAGCCCTCTCCTCACCATCGCGCGCTCGTATCTCGCCTTGATTAGCTCCCACGCCTCGCCCAGATGATCAGCATCGAGGTGCGGAGAGAAGGAGGCAAGATGCTCCAGACGCCCTCTGCCCTCCAGCGTGGGTACCAATGGATCCAACGCCCAGGCTGGGGCGACGAGGAGCTGGTGATGCTCAGCTGAGGCTGCCTCCTCGTGCAAGCGCTGTATCTCGAGAAGCGGATCAGCTTGCGAGGAGTGGTCATGCACGCTGACTCGCACCTGGACGTGATCACCGTTACTGCCTTCAGCCGGCAGAGGCAATGCCAAGAGGTGTCGCGGAGGCATGAAAGCCCGCCAGAAGTGGATGTCTACCTGCACTGGACCCGTCTTGCCCTCGCTGTCAGGGAACCAGTCTGACGACGACGACGAGGATACGGTGGGCCCAGCTGTGGCATTCGTCGCCTGCACGAGATGGTCTTGCAGAAGGTGCACCTCCTCCCCCACCCTGAGCAAAGCGGGAGCAACGCCTCCCTGATGGGCAAGGGAGAAGAAGATCACCATTCCGGCTGCTTGCAGCAAGTGCAAGGTCATCAGGATGGGTCGTAGGAGGGAGCGGCTGCTGCGCAATTTCCGCTGCGGCTTTCCCTCGGCTGTTGAGGAAGATGGTCCATTGGAGTCGTCCTCATCTCCGGAATCGCTACCCAGCACCACCAGCAAGATAGCCGGCGCTACCAGAGGCAAGAGGAAGCGTGGCTCCTGGTGCGGCTGGGACGACAAAATTGCGAGGCAGAGAGCAATGGTGCAGAGACTGAGCATACCCAGTGGGAAGGAAGCCTGCTCCTGCTCCGTTGCCCTCTGCCTCCTTGCCGGTCCAAATGAGCCTAGTTGCTTGACCATAGCCGTACAGCAACCCAGCCAAAGCGCTGCAGAACCTACAATCATAGGCGCGTTGACGCCTACATGCAACCAGCGTGGGTGCAAGCCATGCTGTGCGAGGTTCTCTTCCCTCATATTGTAGCGCAGTGCATTCCATGGCGCGACCGTCAACGGCCAGGAAGAGAGGTTTGCGAGCCGATTGAGGACGGGCGTTATGCCCATCCGCTCAAAGAGGAGGCTCAGGGAGACGTACTGGGTGGCAGAGCCAGATGCTGCATGTGCTGCTTTTTGGATAACGAGGCGGTAGTATACCGTATCGTAGAGTACGTGAGCGAGGGAGCAGAGCAGGAGACCGTTGAGGGAGTCAGAGAGTAGGATGAGGGCTTTGAGGGGGCGACGCAGCGATGCTGGCGTCATGGACACGTCTTCGTTGTCTGCTACTGTCGTTCTAGCCGTAGCCAAGCCGGACAGGCGCCACACAAGCCCAATGTAGTACACGCCCAGCGGTGCCGCAAAGACCACAAAAGTAAAGCGGGAGAAGGTGCCCAGCGCTACCAGGAACCCCAACAAGGAGGAGATGGCCGACCAGAATGAAAGGCTGCGGTCTTGTCCTGTTATTGTATTCCATTGCTCTACTTCTCGATGCAGCTGTTGTACGAGGACGAAGCAGACACAGAGGATGGCCGCCTCGACATTATTGGTCAAGGAACGGAGGGCGAAGCTGAGCGTCGCGCCGCTTGAGGCGTACAGAAGGAGGGCGGTCGAAGCGCGGCCCTCATTGAGCTTGATGGATCTTGAAGATGAGTAGAGGAGCGCGGCCAAACAGCAGTCCACCAGTATGCTCAGCGCAAAGCTGGTAAGTCGCTGCGTAATGAAGAGCGTCCACCCGTCAACGCGTTCCTCACTCAACCACTTGAGCAAGACGACTGGCAGATTGAAGAGCTTGACGCTAGCCATAGAGCGGCAAGGAGAGGTTGGATCGAACTCCCATGTCTTTACGGCTTGCAGCTGGTCAGAGAGGGCAGCCTCTGGCCCTTGGAAGTATTCGTCTGGGTGGATGTACCCAGTGCCGAATATCGCGAGGGCGAGGCGTAGGGCAACCAGCAGGCCGTAGAGTGACCAGGCTGTTCGTGTTTTCATGCTGGCATCGCTTGGATTGAGAGGAGCCTGACAGAGGCTTGACGCCTCCTCCTTATATGCGCTTTGTGAGAGGCTTGCTTCGACTTGCCTCAGTGGATAGAGAGAGGAAGATGCGGAGCTGCCTTTGCCCTCGAGCCGGGTGGACGCCGATGTCTCCGTCTCCATCTCCGCTCGACGTCCAGTCGAGTCGACCGCTTGAGTCTCTCCGTCCGTGCGAGGAACCAACACTTTTCTACGACTGGGCTCACCCTCCAAGCCTCCCCTCCTTCTTCCTCCATGATGAGGACGATCGCTGGTGTAGCAACCACCGTGGGTCGCCTTGTGGCTCCTTGCGCGCTCGCAGGGCCATCAAGATCAGCATATCCTCCTCTGGCACCCTCGATACCACCATCTCCGCTGCGACTTACACCGCCGAGACATCTGTCCACCGGCCCGCAACGACACGATGAAGAGCAACGCAAGCCCTCGATCCCCTCTTCACCTCCTCCCAATGCTCTCACCTCTCACATTACCACTCTAACTAATAGGCTTCGCACCTCTCTCACAACACATCGATCCCGACTCGAGCCCCGTATACGCTCCTCCTTCTCCAACCTCTCAGATCGGTGGAACACCTACAGCGGCTACGCTTCCATCGATCTAGCCAAGCAACGAGTGCACGAAGCAGAGCAGCGCCTTGCATCACTCCGTTCTGATCAACAACAAGTCCGGGAGCGATATGTCTCTGCGGTCTCGCAGCGTGCCTCTTCACAGCGAACGATCAACGACCTCCTCTCCCGGAAAAGCTCATGGAGTGACGAAGACCTCGTCTCCTACACCAAACTGCTGCGCAGTGAGCATGCAGAAAGCAGGGCAGAGGAAGAGGCGCGCGCTGAGTTCGAGGAGGCAGAAAGGAGGGTGGGAAAAGGGTGGGACGAGGTTGTGAAGCGGACGTTGGAGCGATACCATGATGAGCAGGTTTGGTCCGATCGAGTGAGGGAGGTCAGCAGCTACACGCAGCTTGCTGCAGTGGGTCTCAATAGTGAGTTGCAACGCTGATCGTTCAGAGAGGGTCAATCCTCTGACTGACCCTCCCGCTTGCTGATTCGCGCCCACAGTCCTCATCTTCCTCATCGCCATCTTCCTCGTTGAGCCATTCAAGCGCCGCAAGCTCGCCGAAACATTTGAGACTCGTCTTCTTCGGGGGGAGGAGCAAGGCCGTCTGGCGCTCGAAGGAGTGATAGCGCAGTTCGAGCAGAGAGTGGGAGAGGTGTCGGAGAAGTTGGTGAAGCTTGATGGTGGGCAAGAGACTTTGCTGGCGGCTGCTGGTGCTGGTTCAAGGAAAGGCACGAGGGAGGAAAGAATGGATACGAAGGGGAGTGCTACAGTTGTAGCTGCTGCGGACGATGGGCAGGTCACAGTGGAGGGAGCTCTCGAAGGGGAAGATGTGCTGAGTCGAGCTCGTCGTCAGATACGATGGCTCCATACACCGCGCAGCGATGAGGAGAAGGAGCAACGGCGCATTGCTGCTGTTGCAGCTGGAGTTGGAACAATTCTTGGAGGATTGCTTGTCGCATTCTGTTCGAGATAGCCTCCGCAATAGCATAGAAAGTCAAGGTCTGCTGAACATTAGGAAGGTCGTGGTAGTGAGCATCGCGGATAGACAGACACACACAGGCGGCGGAGCAGCGGAGCCTTGTCGGCGTCGGCGCACGAGGGCCGTGTCGCTCAGTCGATTCTTGACTCGCTCCCTCGGACGGACACAGCGACCCGCGTCGACTTGCTTACTTGCTTCTACCCATCACCACCACTCCTCCCTGATATCAGACAAAGATGGCAGCAGCAGGAGCGGGATCAAGCCGCTTTCAGGCATTCATGAACCACCCTGCGGGGCCTAGGACGGGTGAGTTTGCGTTGCGATGATTTGAATTGGCCTAAGGCGAGATGAAGAGTTGCGGAGGAAAGGGAGCGATGAGCTTACTGCGCCGCATCCTGCGATGGACGGTCCCTATCGATGACGAGCTATGTTACTGACCATATGCCAATCCCTCTGCCTTCGCCATCATTGCCGCTATCGACTCCCTGCTGCCACATCCTCTCTCATGAACACCCTCGATCCTCTTTGGCCGCATGTCCTCCGCTCGCTCAGTCTTCTTCTGGGCCCCCATCATGAAGTGGTGCCTCGTCGCCGCTGGGATCAAGGATCTCTCTCGCCCACCAGAGAAGCTTTCCGTTTCTCAAAACATTGCTCTGGCAGCTACGGGCATGATCTGGGTTCGCTACTCCCTCATCATCACGCCTAGGAATGTCAACTTGGCCGCTGTCAACTTCTTCGTGGGGGCGACCGGAATGGTACAGCTTTACAGGATTTGGGAGTGAGTGTGGCATCAGACGTGGTCAGCATATGCGGTGAAAAGACCTGAATTGCTGACACCCCGTTCCCTTCACTCTCGCTCGCGCTTCGCAGCCAACGCCGTAACCAGGCGGCTACACCCGTGCAGGCGGCCATTCAGCAGGAGCAGGCGCAGAAGTCGTCGTAGTCAGCCTATGCGGGACGCTGCTGCTTGTATCTGTATATTTTGGTCGAGGCGAATCAACATATTCACACACATTGAGGCATTTTGTGCCGCGTCCATCCACACAAGCATGACGATGCTGAAGCGAGTACAAGTACATTTTCGGCGAGGCGAGGATATGGGAAGGCGAAGACATGATAACGGGAGGGGGGATACGGCAAGCGTATGCGCCCGTCTACTTGAAAAGGATGATGAGGGCCATGAGAATGACGATGAGTCCAAAGAGGGCGCATAGGGAGCCTACGTGATGTGGGAGGTCCGATGGGGGACGTCAGCGGTCAGATCTTGCCAGCGTCTCTTCCCGAACACTTGATCACCGCCCTCTCCTACACTCACCATGCTCTCTTACCCCTCTGCTGACCTTCTGCAACTGCCCTCCTGCCCTCCCCAGCCTCAGCCCCGTCCTTTCTACATCTCCGTCGAGATCCTCCAGCAACTCGCCCTGTAGCTCGAGCTCTTCGTTCATTCTCATGCCCAACTCGTGCTGTCGACCGATTGAGAGGGAGAGAGCGTCGAGCTGTGTGTCTTGGTCGTCAAAGATGCGACGCTGTGCTTGAAGGAGGGCGGTATTGTCCTGCGAAGGCTTCGGCGCGAGAGGGTCGGACGGGGAGTCGTCCTGATACGGCTCGTCGTCGCTATGCTGTTTTGATTGCTTCGGAGCGGGTGTCGGCGGTGCTGGTGGTTCTGATAGTGCTGTCAAGATTGGATGGCTGCGAAGGTATGAATGCTCGTACGTCGGTCAGCCTGGATGTATGCTCCACCACCTAGACCCTCGAGGCTCACCTGTCCCTGGCCTGCACAAGCACCTTGCGTCCATCCTCGTCTCTCTCCAACGCCTCCTGGATTCTCTCCCACTTCATTCTTACGTCCTTCTGCTCATCCTGCCCACCACCGCTACGCTCGACTGCTTTGGCGAAGGAGTCGATCTGTCGTTTGAGGGTGCGATGTAAGCTGGGTGGGATCGTCGCGCTAGGCGCTTGAAGGAGGGAGGATCGCTCGTGAAGGGTGGAGAGAAGGGTCGTGTAGGCGTGTGAGAGGGCCATGCGGCTGTGATGCTGATGATTATGATGATGAGAGTCGGGACGAAAGGAGGCCGTAAGATGAGAGGATGCGGACAGACGGGCGGGATGAAGGCATCGAGGCGCCGTTGCGACGTCGAGGTCAGTTGGACTGGACGCACCAGCCACCCTCGGCAGTCGGGTCGAGGGAGCAACTCACCCTTCGCTGTTGCCTTCCCTTCATTTCCCGCATCATCACCTATCGCCTTACGTTGCAGTGATGGCCATCGATTCGCAAACTCTACACCTGCAGCGAGGCTTCCTTGAGCTCAATCACATCACACCAGCAGTCGTAGCTCAGCTGCTCAATCCACTGGCGCAGCACCAGCCGCAATGGGTCGCCCTCGCTGTCCTTCAATGCTTCACCAACTTGCAGCGAGCCAGTCACGTCTCGAGCATCGAGGCAGCAGACTCTTTGCTGCAGGTCGGCATACAAGCGGCATCGTCACCTTCCTCACAGCCTTCCTCATCTTCCTCCTCATCGCCCTCGCCCAACGTACATGGCGTCCTCTCCTCCGCCTCCTCGTCCCTCAAAGCGTTCCAGAAGACAGGCATGGCCGTCCATCTTCAAGAGGCCGCGTCATCGGCTCAGTCACTACACGACGAGGAAGAAGACGAGGATTCAGCATGGTTTGACACCAAGCGGTCCCAGACTCCCTCTCCCGCTCTACCAGCATCAGCGCCGTCAATTCACCTGGCTAGCCTCCTCGTCAGCCTTGCCAGACCGCGCAAGACAGCATTGCTTCTCGCGCCATACCCTCCGCGTCTAGTCGTGTGGCTGAGGGCAATCAATATGGAGACTTTCGCTAAAGTAATCTGGCCAGAGCGTTACAAGATTATCGAGGCCAGCTTGAGACATCTAGCCATTGCGGATGGGCGGCTTGATGATCTCGTTGCTGCTCGTCTTCTTCCAAGGCTGGACGGCGATGATGTTTGGCATGAGCTGCTCAAGGGTGGTCTGAATCAAGAAGAAATTACTCGCATTCCTGAATGGTACCTCAACCAGGCGCGTAGCCTTGATGCCCGATATCAAGCTACACAGCTCGCCCTGGAGCTTGTCCAAGTCGGAATGGCCGTTGCTCCTGCAGGTGGAGACGACGACACCGCTGCTGCGCTGAGAAGGCTTTATGATCAGCTCGAGACGTCGCAATGCTTCGGCAGACAGCAGGAAGGCAGCGTCGACACCAACCTCTCGCGCGATCCAGCCTCTGTCATCTGCGAAGGGCTGGCAGCTGGCATCCTAGTAGGCGGCGAAGGGCTCAAGCGAGCCCTGCGCTTCGCCTGCTCAGCGTCGAGGCAGTCACAAGATACGCTCATACGGCAGGTTTGCTGGAAGATGGCGGAACGTAGAGAGACAGAGGCGATGCCGAGCTTCTTGGACTCTGTCCAAGCTAGCCATGAGGAGCGCCTCCGCATTGGCCTTGCCATCCTTTTGAGGGCAACTTCGACGCACGATGTCAAAGGTCTGGAGGCTCTGCTCGTTCAGCCACTACCGTCGTCATCCGCCTTGGAACATCTGTCAGACAAGATGCGCAGGCACTTTCCTCGAGACAAGCATGCACCATTGCCTACGTCAGAAGAGCTCTTCCAAGCCTTTGTCTCTGTCGAAGATCTCACAATACTCGTGCAACGCAGCCAGCTTTATCTTCAAGCACTGGCTCAGACCCGCCTGCGCCAGCTGTTCTCCGCAGCAGCGCCCTATCGACTCATTACGGCGACCACAGCCGAGGACCAATCAGACGTCCTGAAAAGCTGCCTGTCAGATCGGCATCCAGGTACAACCTCATCGCCGCAAGAGTGGCTCACCCTCCACTCCGCGCTTCTCTCCCTCTGCGGCAGCCCAGCGCAACTCCTCAATGCTCTGACCCCCGCCATCGTCTCGAGCTTATTGATCCGAGCGGCTCTCAAATTTGCACCGCACGAAGCAGCACAAAGCCTGATTGAGCAGGCCATCGAGTCGCCTTCCTCCCTCCAGCCCGATGAAATCGACTCTCTCTTGATTCAAGCTGCACGCGACATCATAGATCGAGCTACCGGGGGTCGAGCTGGGGTGGCGGATCTCAAGCGGGCGAGGCAAATTCTCTCCCTCACTCCTTCCTCGCAAACCTCTCCAATCCCAGCATCCCTCCTCTTCCTCAACTCCGTTCTCCGGCTAATGCAGCTCTCTCAACCTCTGCCATCCGCTCTACACGCTTCCGTCACAATGACCCCTCTGGAGATCCGACTGGCGAGCGACAAGCTGGATATTGTGAGGAGATGGCTGAGCGCGGGGTTGGATGCTGGTGTATGGCGAAGGAGAAATGATGTACTAGAGACAGCGATAGGGCTGTGCGAGGGAAGTGAGACAGGAGCCGTAGGGGAGCCTCTGGGCGACGAGGACAAGAATAGCAAGTCTGCGAAGGCCAGTTCAACGGTATCGCGCACATCGCGATCCAAGGAGTCCATCCGCGTCAAGGTGCTTGCCATGCTCGCCGAGGCGGCCATGTCTCACAGCGACATCTCTGCCACGGGCGAGAGTCTGGACGAAATGCAAGCTGCCCTCAAGGTGGTGCAGAGAAGGGCAAAGCGGGCTTCTACTCCTGCGGCAGGTGGCCAAGGCGACACAATTCTGCTTAAGGAAGCCGCTGCGGCGGAGGAGACGGCCTGGACCACCTTATTCGCCATGAGCAAGCATCCCAACGCCATCAGCGGCGATGGTGAAGCAAGACAACGTCGCAAGCAATGGCTCGGCGAAGCCATATCCCTCTGCCCGCCCGAGCGTCTCTCTGAGCTACTCAAGCGCTGGACGGCCATGGTGTCCGAGGATGGAGAAGAGGAGGCTGCGGACGCAGATATCATGGGAGCGGTGATTGCAGGCTTGCCTGGCCACACTGCAGGCAGCAAGGGTGCTACCAGCAGCGCTTCGGCAGCCCAGGCTGTGCAGGGGCTTGGAGCGGGCGTATTCAGCTTGGCGGCTGCCGCAGTGAATACTACGGCGTGGTCCCTGTCGCCGTCGTTGGGCACGGCTGCCCTTCCCTCCGCTTCAAGTGGGGCCTCCAGCTACAGTCCTGCCACCGCAACGGCAGCTCTGGGTTCAGGTGCTGGTGGAGCGTTAGGAAACGCCCTATCCTCACTTGCGGGGCATGGACATCGATTCCGCAGTGGTCTGTGGGGCGTGGCGAGTGCAGCGGCGGCCCCTGCACAGGCTGTGGACTCCTCACCTTCCTTGGCAGCGGAGAGAGAGCTTCAGCCGCCCTCTGTCAGCGCTGCTACCGGCAACAATCCTTCTCCTGCGCCGCGTACAGCTGCTTCCCTCTTCGATGACTTCGGTCCTCCTGATGCTAGTCGGGCAGGGCGCAGAATAAGCAGCGATGATCCCTCCGCCTCAGCAGCTCGTTCATCCTCCCCTTCCGTGGCAAACCCATTCGCCTCCTACCTCGATCCGGCTGAGAGGGCTGCTAGGGCTGCTAGAGGTTTCTTGGGAGGCGGCAGGGCGACCTCGTCTTCTTCAGCGGAAGCAGGGGCGGCGGGCGGTGGTGGTTGGTCGGCTCTGGGTAGCAGAGGGATGAATTGGTTAGTCGGAGAGGAGGCAGGGGATGGGCACAGTAGATAATAATTCTGAGGTGGGCGGTACAGTCATGGGTGCGCAGCTTAGTTGACTGCGGAACTGTGGTTATGTGGCGAATTGAAGGACGGTCGTCGGTGACGAGTCGTCGGTCGGCCTACCGCCCTTGCTCGCTCGCTCGCACCGTCACGGTGCAAAGGCGTGAATGCTCGTTAGCGGTACAGAATAGCATTGAGACGCCCACTTTACAATTACCTCTTACCCACTGCCCTTGTTGTTGATCCGCAGGTGCCGATCCTTCAGCAACGATCGAGGAAGCGGTGAACGCTGGTGTTGCTATCGATGCAGTGTTGATTTTCGCCTTGATTTCGGAGCAATGCAGAGGGTGAGACAAGCACTATGATCTGCAGCGGCGGTAGACTTCCCGTGACCACCATCGTTGTTGCCCTAACGTCCTCCCGCTCGGAGATGAGCATGAATGGCTCACGAAAGCAATCGAATCTCGCACAGCCCACGGCCCGTATCTCGGTCCTTATCCGGCCTCGTCGCCGTCACTGTCGCCTTTCGTGCGTCCCAAATGGAGCGAGATGGCGCAAAGTTGACGAGTCGATTAAGGCATACTCGGGCGGGCGAGTGGATGAGGCGAGGGCGACGGCGGGACGTGAGCTTGCCGCAATCCATGGAGAAGAGGGACCGGACTCTCCTCCGACTTGCCCGCTCGACCACTTCGATGGCTCCGTCCGCATCGACCTGCTTGATGGGCGCGGTTGAGTGTCACTGAACTGAGAAGTTGTGACTGCCCAGTAGACGGAGACGCCGAGGCGCGATAATCATTTCTTCCTCGCCTCCTTTTTAACTTCACTACCATCCTTGCCCATTCGATGCCTTCCGACGATCCCCTACGAAGACTCATCCTCCCCATTGTCCCCTGTCGCTAGGTAGCTAACTACTCAGCTCAGCCACACACACTGCCTACTCCGAATCCGCGCTCCTTCATCGATCATCAACCGACGCCCAGCTCCCCCTGATCCGAAGAAGGCTTGCGCATCGACACTACCGGCACGCTGAGTCACAATCAGACGCCCGCGGCCAGTCAGTAGCTCTTGTCTCTCCCTTGTGCTCAGCAGCCGCAGCGGCCGTGATCGACGGAGCTTGAAGCGCCGCAACCGTACACGCGACGGCTCATCACGTACCGCAGACCCCCTTTGACACCACTTGGCGGCCGTTCATAATAGCTCTTCCGAGCACCTCGATTTCCAGGGGTTGACGCTGCCAAGAACGTCCGATCAAGCAGGCAAGCAGGCAGGCAAGCAAGCAAGCAAGCAACGACGTCGACGTGTAGGAGCTCCGCAGCTGCCGTTGCTACCAGCCTCCGCCCTCTCCTGTTCATGCCTTGCGCCGCCTCAGGCTGAGCAATTGACCTCCGCCGGATCCAATAAGGTCACCCGAAGCCTTTTCGCTAGAACCCAACGAGCGCGGCCGTGCCCCCGTTGCCCCCATCAAGCCCACTTCCCCTTTCAACAGCTTTGATCTCTACTTCTCCTTCGCTCAATGGTCCTCGTCTCAAAGTTGATCACTAGCATGCCAACCCCAGGCGAACACTCGTACTGGAGCTTGGCACGCATCAACACCGCTGCCGGACAATTCTCTGATCCTACGGCTGGGGCTGCGATGCTGGGCGAGACTCAATGCGAGAGCGCTATCAGTAGCACGAGCAGTCCTGGGCCGCCTTGTCAGCGTGAGTTGCTCACGTCGGTGCGCCTCATCATCATGCCAGGGGATGGAGAGGGGCTGCTCGGCGAGAGTACCGAGGGCGATGGTGCTGAGCAGGCTACTGGTGGGCTCGCAGTCGATACAAGGGTCCGCGCACAACAAGCGGGCAAGAAGTGGATGCTCTTGATCAACACGACAGCAGAGGACGAGGGTCACGGCTGGTACGTATGCTAGATGCTCATGGCGGAGCTGAGGCACACTGCTGACTTGCACCACGTTGGGCCACATCTCTGTGCAGGCTCTACAGCGTCGAAGAGGTCCCTCCGAGCTCGGGCAACTATCGTCGCACCACGCGACCCCTACTACAGCCTATCGAGGATATGGTCTGCTCGATTATCTCTCTCCGTCCTGGTCCCACGACTCTGTGGACTGCGCAACATCTGCACCATCTATTGGACAACGAGGTGCAGCTGCCCGACGTCGTGCTGTCCGAGACGGCGCAGGACTGGTGCTTGGACGTCATTTTCAAGCTCGAGAGCGAAGGATACCTAGAGAGCGGGCAAGCAATCAGGCTGCAGGATATCAAGGACTGACGGGCGTGGAAGAGCATTGCGAGCAGGCCTGGCAGCAAGATCGGGTGGTAGCACAGAAGCATCGCCCGTACGGCTGGGCAGCACGTGCGCCCATCGGCATCACCAAGCATGATAAGCAAAGCGAGGCTGACAGGTATCGGTCTCAACATGCGCCTACGATTTTCGAAAGGCTTCCCAGCATCATCATCATCATCATCATCATCATCATCATCATCATCATCATCATCATCATCATCATCATCACCGTCCCCTCGCGGCCGCGCTCGACGCGACAGCGACCGGCCGGAATATATCAAGCATCTCGATGCCAATTGGGCTTTCTCTCATCATCACTACCATTGATTTCCGGGTCACAGGGTCCGACGCTGGCGCCTGGACGTCCAAATTTCGCTATGTCATCATCATCGAAGCCAATAGAGCAGGTCTCAAGCGGGAGTCATGCCCGCTAGTCTCACCACATCGTGTTACCACTCCACTTCTCAAGCTACCGAGCAGTGAATTCTGTCGCGAGTTCCAGTTGTCATCGTCGCTTCCACGCGCTGTCTCTGACTCGTCTTGCACAGAAGAGATGCTGGCCATCTTGTCCTGATCAATCCCATCCTCATCGTCACCGTTTGCCTGCCCGTCGCTGTCGCCGATGTCGTGTCGTCCAGAATTGGCCTTCCCCCCTCTCCCCTCGCCTTACTTCACCGCCCTGCGTGGTACATCGGCGGCCGAGTGGACGCAGCGGCTCAGCCCACGCCGTCGCCCCGCCGGCCTATGGCAGCAAAGGCAAGACTTGGCGCATAGAGCTGTGAGCCCGTTCCGCCCTGCAGAGTAGCAGACGATGCAACACAGGACGCCTGGCGCAAGCCTCGCCTACGAGTGGGCTGTGGGCGGTGTGCGGGTGGTGGAGTTGATCGATGCTCAAGTGCTCATCTCTATTCTTTTCTCTCCCTGTCAGCCATCCCACGACCACCCATACGGATCTTTAGTCGAAGACTGTTGTTCCACGACATCTAGCAGCGAGCAACAGCAACAGCAGCTCTTGCCCTCATCCTCATCGCAACCCATCTTCCTGCCTCTGCTCCATCCTCTCCCGCCCCCGTGCGCGCAGACGCCGCCGCCTTCGCCGCCATGTCAGGTGCAGTGCCCTTCGGATTCGGCCAGGATGGGTCGCCCTTTCCACCTCATCCTACTCGACAGCCAAACGGCAATGGCAACGCAAAGCCGCATAAGGCCACAGCGACAGCATCAGCTCCTGCTCCTCGACCTCCACCGCTGCCTCAGGGTGCACATCAGCAAGAGATGCAATGGCGCAAGCAGAATGGCTATCCTGTGCAGCCCTCTTATCCCTCACAGTCCTTCGCCCCTGGCCAGCTTATCATCCCGCCTCAGCAGAAGCAGAGGGCCAGCAGCTTCAGCCCCATCTCTCCTGGCGCTGCACCCTTCGCAGCTGGACCCAGGCATCCTTCCCAAGGCTACTCGACGCAGCTCAAGCCTGGTCAGCCTGTCGACATGCCGCCTGGAGGATACTATCGCTCAGCCAGTGTCGGCCCACCACAGCATCAGCAACACCAGCATCAAGGTTACGCTGGCGGCGGCGGCGGCGGCGGCGGTCACTTCCAGTCGCGGTCCTACGATGATCGACCACCAGCGCCACTCCCGCCTCCCCCTCTTCCGCATCCCTCTTCGTCCTACCACGCAGCTGCACCGATGCCACAGCCTCGACGAGCTAGCAATAATCACGCTGCGCCGCCCCCTGCGGCCACACTCGTCAAAGAAGCGCGTCGCAGCAGCGCAGACGCGACGGGAGCTCCCGTCCTCGCCATGCCCCTCACCGACATGGAGACGCTCACCGCTCGCCGTGAGAAGGCCCTCGCAGCCAACCTCGAATCGATGAAGCTCGATTGGGCTCGTCTCGTCGTCCGCTACGTTGAGCGGGTCCACGCAGACGCTATCAGCCTGACGGACCCCACGCTCATTCGCTACGTCGACGAGGCAATGGCCGTCATCAACCGCCGCGCTTCTTCTTCCTCTCCAGATGCTCTGGGACTCTATATGCGCGGCGACCTGCGAGCATCAGGCAAATTCCCTTCGTATCACCGCAAAGACCCGAAGAATGCCTTCAACGACTTTGAGCTCTCCGGCCGACTTGGCCATGCAGCCAGCTGGTTCCGCATTGGTCAGGACTACGAGCATCTCGATGACCCTGCACGCGCTCGTGAGGCCTACGCCCGTGGGCAGGCCCTGAGAGATGTAGGCTGTATCTACCGCATGGGTATGATGCATTTAATGGGCCAGATTGGCGCAGCGACGGACTATCCGCTCGCCATGTCTCTGCTGAAGGAGGCATCGGAGCTCAGCAACGAAGAGACACCGCAGCCAAGCTACGTTCTGGGCATGCTATTTCACGGCGAGTTCTCGCATATCCCCATCCCTGCGCACCTTTTCAGTCCCATACCAGACCCGGCTCAGCCCCGCGTCCAGCCGACGAAGGAGCGTACAGCCTACCACCTCATTGAGCGGTCCGCTTTCCTTAACTTCGCGCCCGCGCAGTACAAGCTGGGCTGGGCGTACGAGTATGCGCAGCTGGATTGCCCCTTTGATCCTTTGCTGTCCGTGCAGTATTACTCGCTCGCCAGCAAGGGAGGAGAGGTGGAGGCGGACATGGCTGTAAGCAAGTGGTTCCTCTGTGGGGCTGAAGGATGCTTTGACAAGAACGAGAGCCTCGCCTATCTCTTTGCAGAGAAGGCAGCGCGAAGGGGCCTGGCCAGCGCTGAGTTTGCTCTGGCATACTATCACGAGGTCGGCGTCGGGTGTAACAAGGACGTGCCCGCGGCAAAGGGTTGGTACAAGCGGGCTGCGGCGCGGGGTAATGCAGATGCAAAGGAGCGCCTCGAGGCGCTGGAGAAGGACCAGGGGACGACCTTGTCGCGCAGCGAGCATGAGGCACAGTTGGATGTCAGGCTGCAGAGGAAACACACGGCTGCTCAGGCTCTCTCCCAGAAAGAGGGAAGGAAGGCAAGGGATCAACGACAGATGCCCCCAATGCCTACGGGAGGGGCAAGTGGGCAGGAGACGCTCTCGACTGGGTTTGAGCACCTCAATCTCAAGAATCAGGGAGGAGGTGGCCAGCAGCAGACCGCAGCTAAGCCACCGCGAGACGTCAGGAGAAGGCAGACAATGAGGATGGTCGACGATGCGGCCTCCTGGCGTGGCTTGCCCTCGCGACAGCAGCAGCAGACGCCTGCTCCTCCTCTTCCTCAACAACAGGCGATGCCCATGCCCACACCTCAGCCGTTCCGCGCCACTACACCTCAACCTGCGCCAGCTCGCCAGCCGCCAGCAACCCATATGGCCACCCCTCCTCACCCGCAAGGACGTCGTCCGTCCTCTACCATGTCGCCCGCGCCAGCCCCACCTCAGCCTGGCCCTGCCTCGCACCACCGCATGCCCCCTCCCGCTCCTTTCCCTTCCGGCCCATCGGGACCTAGTCCTGCGCCAAATGCAGCAATGATGGGGCGCCGCAATCCGTCGAGCCAGGGTGGACCCCACCAGCAGGCACCTTCCTCCTCGTCCGCGTCGACATCATCGCCGCCGCGCAAGGATCCACAGAAGTTTGATACCTTTGAGGAGATGGGTTTCGCAAGTAGTGCAGTGGGGAGCGGGAAGGATTGTGTGGTCATGTAGGCGGGACGAGCTGGGAATGGAGGGTGAAGAGGGTAGCAAGGCACTGCATCTGAACATTGACATCTTTATACCTTATCATCTACCTCTTGAGAGCCCTTTTCGCTCAGCCAAACACTGCAATGCAGATGCAAACTTGCCTTCTCTCATTCGGGTTGGTCTTGCGCAAGGCGATGTCGTACGACAGCAAGGAGGCGAGGACTGCGCGCACGATCGCGAATTTGTGTCGTGAGTAATCTCGGGGATATGACTATTACTGGTACAGATTGAAGACCAAGAGCTCCACCGACTCTCCCTCTCTATGCGGACGCTACATCTCACTAGGCACCGAAAGCCCCCCTGGCCTCTGCCATCCACAGATCGTCCCCCAAGCTATGCAAATTGTCCACGACCACTCCCTTTCCCTGCGCCTTGATCTCCTCCGTACCCAGCTTGAGCCTCCCTATCGCCAAAGCATGCTCCTTGCCCTGCGCCAGGACAACTACCGGCGCGTCTTTGGGGAGGGCTTCAGAGCTGTCTGGTAGCCTGCCACCCGCCGAGACAAGGCCGGGAGCCATGATATTTGCTCCGGAGAGGAGGAAGCGGATCGCACCTCGGTCGACTCGAATAGTGGGAAGGAGATTGGGGTCTGCGGCGATGAGGGCAAAGTCAATGACCGCGAAGGAAGGAGAAGACGAAGACGAAGCAGGTGGAGCATTGTCCGCTGCGCGCCTACTCACATTGATGCACAAGCCTCAAAGTCGGGAAAAAGCTGCCCTCGAAATGCTGCCAGAAGATGGGTCTACCCTGTCTGACGATGAACTGCACATGCTCCCTTGCAAATTTCACCAGGGTGACATCCTCCTTCTTTGGCCAGATTGCCTCGAGCAGCACACCACCATCAGCGCCGAGCGTTGTCGGGTATTGCGCTAGCAGCTTGGCGCGAATTGATCTTTGGACGGACGACTTGAGCGAGGTGGAAGAGGAGATGTCCCCGGAGCCTTTCGAAGTGGCATTGAAGGATTTGAAGAGGGACATTGCCGGGTGATGAGGGGTGTCGGGGAGGTGGAGAGGATGAGGAGTTGAGAACTTCTCAAGGGCGAGGGCGAGTGCATTTCGATGTCGCTCGCTATCCGTGCTCGTCCCCCCCGAGAGCCTCGCGTGGTCTTTGGCGCCCCGCTCGACTGAATGGGCGACGGCGCCGTCGTTGGCTCCGCCAGCCAGCTCGCCAGTCGACGGACGGCTGGCTGCCCTCGTCCCCGCCCTCATCGTCCCAACCAACCAACACCCTTCCTTCCTACTTCACCCCTGCCCCTCCCCGCAGTAGCAAAGATGGATGCACAACAGACGACCCCTCTCTCTCAATACGTTGGCTTCGACTCGATCACGAGGCAGATCGAGAGCAAGCTGCTCAAGCGCGGTTTCCAGTTCAATGTACGTCCCGAGAAGCCAGCCTCAATGACCCTGGGCCCTAGTGCACCATCTCATCCCCTTGCACTCCTCTTTTCCCCCTCCTCTTTCACAGGTAATGGTCGTCGGTCAGACTGGTCTTGGAAAGTCCACGCTGGTCAACACCCTCTTTGCCTCTCACCTTATCGAATCCAAGGGTCGCCTCGAGGCTCACGAGTCGCCTCGCTCTACCACAGAGATCCACCCCGTTTCGCACTTGGTCGTAGAGAATGGAGTCAAGCTGAGGTTGAACGTCATCGACACACCCGGCTACGGGGACCAGGTCAACAACGAGAACTGGTGGGTAGCGACTGTGGTTCATTAAGGATGATGTGATGGCAGCGTGCGTAGTGACTTACACTTGGACCCCGCTCGCGCCTTCAGCTGGGACCCCATCATCAAATACATCAAGGACCAGCACTCGGCCTACCTCCGCAAGGAGCTCACTGCCATGCGTGACCGCTACATTACCGACACTCGTATCCACTGCTGCCTTTTCTTCATCAACCCGTGAGCGCAAAGGGACCGCCCAGCCCATTGATGACTTCTTCGCTGACACCATAAGCCCTTTCCCCTCCGCGCTCGCTCCCAGTACTGGCCACGGTCTCCGACCCATCGATGTCACTGTCATGAAGAAGCTGGCCGACGTAGTCAACGTCGTTCCCGTCATCGCCAAGTCGGACAGCCTCACCCTCGATGAACGCGATCTCTTCAAGGAGCGCATTCGCGCCGAGATGCAGTACCACGACATCCGCATCTACCCCTTCGACAGCGACGAGTACGAGGAGGAGGAGCGTGAGCTCAACGAGCGTATTCGCTCCTTGATCCCCTTCGCTGTCGTCGGCTCGGAGCGCAACGTCGTCGTTGATGGCAAGCAGGTCAGAGGCCGCAAGAACAGGTACGGGGTCATCAACGTGGAGAACGAGAACCACTGCGAGTTCGTGTACCTCAGGAACTTCTTGACGAGGACGCACCTGCAGGACTTGATTGAGACGACGGCGCTGAGGCACTACGAGGCTTTCAGGAGCAGGCAGTTGCTGGCACTCAAGGAGAGCAGCTCCAAGCAGCAGGCTGCCCAGCAGGCGCAGCAGCAACAGGCTCAGCAAGCGTAAGGGGAGGAAGGAGTAGCAGTGGTAGAGCAGCGAGTCGGAGGAGGAAGCTTCGACCTCAATACCCAACACTAATGGCCAGCGCCGAGCCTATTCTTGTCAATGGGCAGGCGCCCGCTCCACGAACACTCTCTCCCAACCCTCTACCAGACAGAGCTCGACAACTTCCTACCAGGCGTCGTTCCACTCCTTCTGTAATTGCCCTTGTGCAATGACCGTCTTCCGCCTCTCATCTAGCTATCTTCTTTGTCTCCTACTCTAGTCTTCTTGTTTCATGCGATATTTGCTCTCATTCGTCCGAAGCAGCGTGCCAAGCAGCGACTCTCGTTCTGCGATCCTCCTTGCAATGCCTCTCTACTGGTTGAAATCGTACACTTTCTTCCCGTAATATGCCAGCGCGACCAGGCCAAGCCCTGTCAGACCCTTGGGCACAGGACCCTTGGCGAATCTAGGCGCTGAGCTACCAAGAAGCAAGAGAGAGTTGAGAGCCGCGATCTCGTAGCCGTAGTCCTGACCTGTCTGGATTCGGCGACCTGCAAGGGCGTAAACGAGTCCTACGCCGACGCCTGCAATGAGGGAGGGCTGTATGTGCGAAGGTGCCCGTGAGAAGTGGTCAGTTGCGCTGTTGAGGCGTTAGGAGGGTCAGAGGTACCCACCCTCGAACGAGTGCGCATGAAGCCAATGGTGCCTCCGAGAGAGGTGAGAGCGGCGAGGGTGTAGGCTGGCCGGGTAGGCAGGGAAGCTGTCAGTCAATTCACCTGCTTGTGAGCATGGACGGCGACCGCTCACCTGGGTGCTCGGACATCGTGAATATGTGGCCGATATGGTCAGACGTTGAGGAGCGGCGAATGGCACGGGCTGACGTCTCGTCGTCATAATTGAGTAGGCCCAAGCACATCGTCGTGCAGCTGCTCTCTCTGTCACGTCGTCCGCGTGGCTCTTGTCATTGTCTGCCTCGGGTCGGGTCGTGGCCCAAGGTCGACGTTGAAGTGGGCCCGGCCCTCTCTCGGGCAAGGTCGGCGTCTGAGCCACGCACGCACGCTCGCTCGCTCAGAGTCGAGGGTGGCCTCGTCGTCGAGAGACTGTCCGTCGATTGGCTGGCTGGCTGGTTGGCTGGCTGGCTGGCACTCGAGACCGTCTCGGCGCCGCCCGCCGTGTGCCCGCCCGCCCGCCCGCCCGCCAGGGCCGCGCCCCGCTCTGCCTGCCTGGCTTCTTCTTCGTCGGCCGCCCGCCTTTCCTGACTTAGCTTCTCCTCACTACCACCCTCCCTTACCACCACTCCTCCTATCACCCATAATCACGATGCAGCGAATCGCACTGCGAGCTCCTCGCAACCTCGCGCGTCAGGCGCAGGCTGGCAACAGCGCTTCCAGCCGTGCTCTCTCGTCCTTCGCCAAGGCGGCCGTCGCACCCGCTATGAAGGCGCCCGCCGTTGCTGCTGGTAACGCTGCCCGCCCCTCGCTCGCTCGTATGGCGGCCAAGGCCCCTGTTCAAGGTGCGTACAGCGAGATGAAGTGAGGCGACCGAGATTGGGTGGTAAGGTCAGAAGGCACGGCAGAATTAGTGTCTCTCACTTTGAGGAGAGGGGCGCAGTAGGCTGCACGGGCGATGAGGAGTCGACATAGACGGTTGTGTACATGCTAGCAGAGCAAGAGGAGGGCTATTGAACCCTCACCCTCTGACACCATCGAGCGACATCATACTCACATTCGCTTTCACCCTGCTTCGCAGCTCGCGGCCTCGCTACCCCCGCTCAAGGCCAGATGGGTGCCGTCAAGGTAAGCAGCCAGTGACGCCGCCCACAACACACCCCTCTTCACTCTTTTCTCACACACGACCTCATTTTCGTCCCCTTCCTCGCCTCGCAGTCGGTCATCGGCCCCGTCGTCGACGTCCAATTCGACACCGAGGACCTCCCCGCCATCTACAACGCTCTCGACGTCCAGGACGTCAAGGGTGCTCGTCTCGTCCTCGAGGTCGCCCAGCACCTGGGTGAGAACACGGTCCGCACCATTGCCATGGACGGTACCGAGGGTCTCGTTCGTGGCCAGAAGGTCCTCGACACTGGTGCCCCCATCCAGATTCCCGTCGGCCCCGCTTGCCTCGGCCGTATCCTCAACGTCATTGGCGAGCCCATTGACGAGCGTGGACCCATCAAGGGCGTCAAGCAGTCGCCTATTCACCGTGAGCCCCCTGAGTTCGTCGAGCAGTCGACCGCTGCTGAGGTCCTCGAGACTGGTATCAAGGTTTGTAAAAGCGCGAGATGGGGTAGACATTGCCACCGGCCCTTTGCTGACTTGGGATTCACCTTTATGCTCGCTGCGCAGGTCGTCGACCTCCTCGCCCCCTACGCTCGTGGTGGAAAGATTGGTCTCTTCGGTGGTGCCGGTGTCGGCAAGACCGTGCTGATTCAGGAGCTCATCAACAACATCGCCAAGGCCCACGGTGGTTACTCCGTCTTCACCGGTGTCGGCGAGCGTACCCGTGAGGGCAACGACTTGTACCACGAGATGATCGAGACTGGTGTCATCAACCTCGACGGTGACTCCAAGGTCGCTCTCGTCTTCGGTCAGATGAACGAGCCCCCTGGTGCCCGTGCCCGTGTCGCTCTCACTGGTCTCACCATTGCCGAGTACTTCCGTGACGACGAGGGACAGGATGTGCTCCTCTTCATCGACAACATTTTCCGTTTCACCCAGGCTGGTTCGGAGACCTCGGCTCTTCTCGGCCGTATTCCCTCGGCCGTCGGTTACCAGCCCACCCTCTCCACCGACATGGGTGGTATGCAGGAGCGAATTACCACCACCAAGAAGGTGCGTTGTGCGCGAGGTAGCGAGGCTGTGCGGCCAGGCAGAGGTGCTAACCTCCTAATTTTACCTTCTCACGTGTCTCACAGGGATCTATTACCTCCGTCCAGGCCGTCTACGTGCCCGCCGACGACTTGACTGACCCTGCCCCGGCCACGACCTTCGCCCACTTGGACGCCACCACTGTGCTGTCCCGTGGTATTGCCGAGCTCGGTATCTACCCCGCCGTCGACCCCCTCGACTCGCAGTCTCGTCTTCTTGACCCCAAGGTCATCGGTGAGGAGCACTACTCGGTCGCTCTCCGCACCCAGCAGCTCCTTCAGTCGTACAAGTCGCTGCAGGACATCATTGCCATTCTCGGTATGGACGAGCTGTCTGAGGAGGACAAGCTCGTCGTCGAGCGTGCCCGCAAGGTCCAGCGTTTCCTGTCGCAGCCCTTCGCCGTCGCTCAGGTCTTCACTGGTATCGAGGGTCGCCTCGTGCCCCTGAAGGAGACGATCGACTCGGTCAAGCAGATCCTCGACGGCAAGCACGACTCGCTGCCCGAGGCTGCCTTCTACATGGTCGGTAACGCCGAGGAGGTCATGTCGAAGGCACAGAAGCTCAGCGCTGAGAGCAAGTAAAAAGGCATCAGCGGTAGCGTCTGAGCGGAGATGGAAAGGGGATTGATGGCTTTGAGGTATTCCTGTTGGTGGAAGAGGGGCGGCGGTGTGATCAAAGAATCGCGTTTCCATTCTCATCGCTGCTTGTATTCCCACCCAATCGTTCCTCTCCATCAATTCTCTCTGGTAGCAATAGCAGTAGAAACGAAGTGTTCACGGCTCGTCGTGTGATCTAGTGTGCTTTCAATGAGATGATGCAGGACTAGAGGCTCTCCGTCACGGGCAGGAGCTTTCGCTGGCTGGCCTGTCTTTGCCCAGGCTCGAGGAGCGGGAGGCGCCCGCACGCGAACGCGTCGAGCAGTCAAACGAGGCGGCGGACCGGGTCGTGCGCGAGACGGAGCAGCAGACGACGACGACGACGACGACGAGGAACGTCGGGCGAGCTCAAATGGATTGATTGAGCTTCCTTCTCATCCGCATCAATCACCTCGTTTCGCCTCAACAGCTAGTGTTTCACCCCTACTTGGTCGCCCACGATGACCTCTGCGGCCTTCGACAACGAAGAGATTGCCGCTTCGATGCAGCGCAGCGAGGAGTACAAGATCTGGAAGAAGAATTCTCCCTACCTCTACGACCTCGTCGTCACCCATGCCCTCGAGTGGCCTACCCTCACCTGCCAGTGGTTCCCCGACTCGGATCAACCCTTAGCTAGCACCAGCAGTAGTGGCAACTCTCGCTCCAGCGACAAGCCCTACACGACGCATCGCCTCCTCATCGGCACGCACACCTCGGAGCAAGACCAGAACTACCTCCAAATCGCCCAAGTACAGCTTCCCAATCGCGATGTGTCCCTCTCTGAGGCTCAGTACGATGACGACAAGGGTGAAGTAGGGGCGTATGGAGGCAATGCTGCAAGGGTCAAAATTGTCCAGAAGATCAATCATGATGGCGAGGTGAATCGCGCGAGGTACTGCCCACAGAACATCGACTTGATTGCGACCAGGACAGTCATGGGGCCGACGTACATCTTCGATAGGACAAAGCATAGCTTGAACCCTAGCACCGATGGCAAGTGCAGGCCGGATATGGTGTTGAAGGGGCAGAGCAAGGAAGGGTGAGTGCGCGACGGGCAACGTGAGACGAAAGCTGCAGCGTATATAGCGTGTATGCTGATGATACATTCCTTCACGCTCGCAGCTACGGATTGTCGTGGAGCCTGCTTAAGCAGGGTCACATCCTCGCCGCTTCGGAGGATACGACTGTCTGCCACTGGTAAGTGTGCGAGCTGTCAACATCGCAACGATCACGCGTTCACTTTGCTCATCTCCCTCTCCGTGTGCCGCCTTCTTCCCCACCTCTCTCTCTCTCTTCCGCAGGGACATCAACCAATACAAAAAGACTGAGCGTACCCTGCAACCTCTCCAGACCTACCGCGGTCACACAGCCTTCGTAGAGGATGTGGCTCACCACCACTTCCACGAGTCCCTCTTCGGCTCCGTAGGCGACGACCGTCAGTTCCTCATCTGGGACGACCGCAACCCTGGCTCTGCCGGTCCCAAGCAACGCGTAGCAGACGCACATGCTGGAGAGATCAACTCGCTCGCCTTCAGCCCTTCGAACGAATACATAGCCTGCACCGGTTCGAGCGACAAGACTGTGGGCCTCTGGGATCTGCGCAACACCAAGGTCAAGCTGCATAGCTTGGAGAGCCACACGGACGAGGTGCTGCAGCTGAGCTGGAGCCCCTTCCACGAGACGGTCCTTGCGTCTGCTGCGGCTGATCGTCGGGTGATGCTCTGGGACTTGAGTCGCATTGGGGAGGAGCAGACGAGCGAAGATGCGGAAGATGGGCCGCCCGAGCTAGTCTTTGTGCATGGTGGTCACACGGCCAGGACGACGGATATCGCTTGGAGCCCCGTGGCCCCTTGGCATATGGCGACTGCGGCGGAAGACAATATCCTGATGGCCTTTTGCCCGAGCGAGAATGCGCTGGGTGAGGCAGCGAGGCCGGCTGTTGGTGGGGCGGCTCAGACCAAGGCAGATGGAGCAGCACAGAAGGAGGGCGAGAAGGATGAGGACGAGGTGCCAGAGGGAGAGTTGGAGTGAGCAGGTGGTATGAAGGGTGCTCGAAATGTAGAAAGCGGGCAGGCAAGCAATCTACCAAGTCATGTCAAGTGAAGATTGGCTCATTACTTTGTCTCCAGCATTGAGTGTATCGAGTACATGTCTTCCGCTCAGCGAGGTCGAAGCGTCCTTCCCAGCGCTCGTCGCACCTTCCGCTCCTCCGACCCTTCCCCAATCCCCTCTCAACTTCACCTCGTAACGAAAAGCCGATACCGTTCCGTTGCGCCGATTGCCCATTGCGCCTTTGCCCGCGTCTCGTCGTCCACGCTCTTCTCAGCAAGAGCACGCAGCTCACTGCTCACAGGAGGGGGAGGAGCCATCTCCACGTCAATGACGTTCGTCCCGCGCTGAAGTCGCGCGCCACTGAGGTCCAGAGAAGCCACGCTCTGCGCTGCATTTGCCGGAAGAAGGGTAGGGTATGGTGTTGCGGGAGATCTGCTCGAACGCACTGCCTTGTGCGAAGAATCAGAAGCGAAGGCCGCTTTTTCATCCTCTTCATCTGCTTCCGCATCACTGCTCCCATCACCACCCTGTGCCGAGGCTGCGCTAGCCTCCGCCGCATTCCTGTGCCAGCGGAGCGGTATCGAGTATCCATTGACGGTCGCAGCGATGTAGGGTCGCCAGGTGCGCGTCCGAGACTTGGGGAGGGGAGGCGTGGCCAGCTCCATATCGCCGTCGCCATTGCTGTCTGTCACTCCGTTCACCCGGACGGGAGCAGCGTGGCCATTAGCTCTCTGCTGCACGGCGGGCGCTTCGTCGTCGTCATCCTCTCCCTCGGCGTCGGCGTCCGCTGAGGCATCAGCATCAGGATCGCCCTCGGCTGCTGTGGAAGCGTCTTGACGGGGAAAGTCTTGCACCTTGAAGAGGAGGATGCATTCTTGCGCTCTCGAGTGCCTCAGGCCAGTGCTTGTTATTCCGTTGAGCGAAGCAGTGCCCTCTCTGCTGGCATCCTCGCTGATGCCGTCATCATCAGCAACGCTGATTACAGCTTGCCTACTGTCTACGCCAACACCATCCTCATCCAGGTGCACAACCTTGCAGACGCTCTTGCGTCCTGCTCTCGCTCCCTTCAGCAAGACGAAGCTTTGTATTGCCGCCGGCCGTCTGATCGTGGTATCCTTCTCTGCCAGGTAGACGGACGGAGAGGCAAATGACGACGGAGGCACGGGTCCGGATAAGCGGCCTTGCTGTGATTTTTGTTGCTGTGGAGGATATAGCTGCTGCTGGGAAGTCCCAGTCGATGCGGAGGCATGGTAAGAAGGAGGGAAGGAGGGGCGTACGCCTGCTGACGCAGGAGGAAAACCCCCTGGCTGCTGCTGCTGCTGCTGAAGCGGACCGCCATGAGGGTAGTTTGGGTGAGGAACACCCCCGGGTAAGGTGGCATAGGAGCGAACAGCACTTGACGGCGAGCCGGCGGGGAAAGGGCTCATTGCGTGGGAATTGCGCTGCTGTTGATGCTGCATGGGAGGGAAGTAGCCGCCCGGTGTGCCTCCAGGAGCGCGCAGGCTAGGGGACGGGCCTGCCCCACCTTGGATCGGAGACCGACCCTGAGCAGGAGGACTACTGGCTCCTCCAGTCAGCATCTGAGGCGAGGCGCCGCGAGGCGCTGCACTGGTCGCGTTGCGAAGTGGTCGACCAGAAGCGGAGAGGGAAGGAGCTGAACTGGGCGTCGCCGTCGTTGCAGCTGGGCCTGGCGTGGGAGTCGAGGAGGGCATGCGCTGCTGATGCTGCTGATGCTGCTGATGCTGCTGATGCTGCTGTTGCTGGTAAGACGGAGATCCAGCGGGGCGCTGAGGTGCCGCCAGCGGCGAATGCACTGCACCAGTAGCGACAGGTGAGGCGGCGCCCGCTGGCGATGGCTCGGCCTTGACGCCTGGTGGGCCTGGAGCTGGCAAAGCTTGACTGCCGCTACTGCTGGGACGACCGGCCAACTTAATCTTAACGCGAGGCTGTGCGTGGCCATGTAATTGCGCGTGCTGTGGTTGCTGAGGCGTAGGTGGGGCAGGCGATGCTGAGCCGCCCGAGTCGTTTTGCATATACGGGGGCAAGACGCTTGCTCGAGTATCGTTTGGATCGAGGGTGAAGCCTTCGCTCAGTAGGCCAGGAATGACTTTGCCATCAAGGTGTTTCTGCGAAGGAAGGAAGGAAGGAAGGGAGGAAGGGAAGAGGGAGGACGGACGCGCGAGGGCGCAAGGGCGGACGGAGGTGGACGTTTAGACATCGGACGCTTTGCTTGCACGCCCATCCTGCTCTGGTGTCGAACTCACTTCAAGGGCATCGGCGTCCTGCCAGACGATGCTGTGCTGCTCGTTGTACCACTTGGCATTGGCAATCATGGCCCTGACGTCGGTCACAAAGGCAAAGGGCGTCTTGTAGCCTCTGGTGCGCACATTGTCCGTGATCTCCTTGAAGGAGACAGGAGCGGTGATGATGGTGTAGTAATCTGGGTAGTCTTCGCGACTGGGCAGTTCCCTAAAGAACTCAGAAGCAGAAGTCCCGCTGTGAGTGCACCAAGGGATGGCAAGGTCAGCCGATTCGAGTCGGTCCGAGTCGGTCTGCTGCGCCTCGAGCTAGCTACTCACTCTGGCTTTTTCAGTGACAGCAGCTCATTAGCCCAGCCCTTCATCTGGCTCTTGAGCTTTCGTCCCCTCCCACCTGGTCTCTTCTTCTTGGCCTCGAGATCACCGATGTCGCCCATAGTCACGTCGCCGTCGACGTCGCCGTCGTCCTCGCCCTCGGCGTCGTCATCGTCATGTACCCCAGCCTCGTAGACAGGCGAAGCCTTGCTAGCGCCGCGTGACGTGCTAGCCTTCTGTTCTTGTTTCTCAAGGTTACTAGGCTTGCGCTTGAGAGTAATGCGCGTACCCTTGCCTGACATTCCAGATGGTGATGACGAGACCGGAGCGGGGAGCTCCATGGGCGCCACTTTACCCGGTGACGGCGGCTGCGAGGTAATGGGCTCGACATCATCTGGACCCTCCTCCAGCAAAGGGAAGCTAGATTCCAGCTTGGTTGATGCGGCGTCTGGCGAGAGAACCAGGTCTGCAAATGCGTCTTTGATGATGCCATGTAGCGCTCTCGCCTTCAACCAAATGGGCGTGTCCTTGAGATTGTAGCGCTTGGCGTTCTGGCAAACAACCTCACAGTCGTGCTTTGCTTCTTCGAGAGAGCCATATCCTCTTGCAGCGAGCTTGTGTCGCACGTCTTCAAAGGTGAGGGGTCTTCGGATCACCTGGTGATAGTCTGCATAGAGCTCTGCATCGGGTAGGACGAGGAAGGGCTCGCAGAGGAGCGACTGCGGATCGTCGTCGGCTACGTCGCGGACGTGGTAGATGACATTGAGAAGCTTGTATCCTAGGCGGGCCACTTCCTCTGGCTCGGTAGGTCCTGTGCGGAGGTGAGAGGATGAAGGCTGCGATGACGAAGCTGAAGCACCTGCTGCTTCGGAGGCAGATGGTGGAGACGAAGCATCGACGTCTTGTCCGCCCTTTCTCTTTCGCGACCCTTCAATAATCTGCGCGGACGAGTGATGATAGCGTGTACGACCAGGCGATGTTGCTGTTAGCCGTGTGACCCAGAGCCAGCTACTTTATATGCTGCTGCTGCTGCCGCTCGACTCGTCCTTGGGGACGCGACGTGATGCATCCACGAGCCAGTGGCCGCCGCGCTCCGTCACTCGGGTCAGGGCCAACTCACATTCGATGCCAGTACGCCTGGAACATGGCCTCTGACCGGAGGCATTGCGGCAGAGGAGAGCGAGACGCTCCTTTCTTCAAAGTCGATGCGAATGAGCTCTCAGAGGGATTGGGCTAATGGTACAAAGCAGCTATTTCGCGCGGATCCCACTTCCCTCCCTTCCGCGTCCCCGCCCGACGGATCGTCTTTCTCCTCGCTCGCGTGGTGGTCGATCAGTCGACTGGCGCACGGCCCGCTGACGGTTGGGCGAGTTGAGGTCAAGTCGACCTCTCGCTCTCGCTCATTCCACTTTTCCTCTACACATCCCTCTTCAGCTTCTCGCAGCCGCCAATTGCTCGGCGCCTCTAGCAGCAATGCCTCCGTCTGGCGTTGCTCACGCGCCGGGCGGCCTCACAGCTGCGACTGCCCCATCGGCAGAGGTCCTCTCACGGATCTTTGCCAACCTGCGATCCAGAGATGAGCAGACACGACTCAGTGCTGCAAAGGACCTGGGCCAATATGTCACTCGTTCGTCATCAGAGGCATCCGGCGATGGTCTCTCGGCATTCAACAGTGACCTCAACAGACGCATCTTCGAGCTCACTCACTCGCCCAACGCTCACGAGAAGCTCGGAGGAATCGTAGCAATCGAGTCCCTCATTGACCTCGAGAGCGAAGACAACAGCGCAAGACTATACCGCTTCTATCAATACCTCAAACCCAATCTTCCTTGCAATGACGCCTCGGTGATGGTTGCAGCATCAAAAGCCTTGGGTAGAGTGTCCAAGTTCGGTGGTCACTCACTGGGCGACCAATTCATCGAGTTCGAAGTACTCAGAGCGCTCGACTTCCTGCAAGCTGGCGATCGCAACGAGTCGGGCAGATATGCTGCCGTACTAATCATTCGGGAGATGGCACGCAACGTCCCAGGCCTTTTCCACGTCTACGTCCCGCGAGTACTCGAGCGTATCTGGGTGGCCCTTCGCGACTCTCGCGTCCTCGTGAGAGAAGGCGCTGCAGAGGCGCTAGGAGCTTGCCTGCAGATCATTGCGCAAAGAGAGAAGCAAATGGGCTCACAGCTCTGCGAAATGATCTACGAAGAGGCAGAAAAGGGGCTCAAGACAACGCCGGTCGAGACCATCCACGGTAGCTTGATGGCGGTCCAGGAGCTCCTTCAACACTCCAAGAACTTCATGAGGACGCGATTCCACCGAGCCTGCGAGCTTATCCTCCGCCTGCACAAGCATAGAGAACCTCTCATCAAGCGTACCATCATCAGCCTCATCCCAGTCTTAGCCAACTATGACCCACACTACTTCGCGGACCAGCATCTCAACGCCGTCATGACGATGCTGACCGACCAGCTGCGCAAGGACCGGGATCGAGCGACGAAAGAGTCCATTGGCCAAACATTTGAAGCCATCGGACTCGTTGCAGCTGCCATGGGGACCAAGATGAAGCAGTACATCGACTCCATCCTGGCATGCGTCAAGGAGTCACTGCAATCTAGGGGCAAGAAGAATGCAGTGCCCGAGGGGCCCGTCTTCTTCTGCATCGGCTACCTCGCAGCTGCCGTCGGTCCACACCTGACCAAGTACATGCATGAGCTCCTCGACCTGATGTTCGCATGCGGTCTCAGCGAAGCCTTAGTTCAAGCGCTGGAGCGACTTGTGATCGCCGTGCCGCCCCTCCTTCGAGTCGTCCAAGACCGTCTCCTCGACATGCTGTCCCTGATTCTCATAGGGCAACACTACAGAGCATTGGGCGCACCAACACTTTACGCCAACGGCGACTCGATCAGCTCGACGCAGAGCAACGCCGCTGCCGCGGCAGCGGCAGCAGCAGCAGCTGCCGCATCGCAGAATGGACCAGAGAAGAACATCACCACAGTCGCCGTCGCCCTACACACATTGGGCTCCTTTGACTTTAGCGGGCATATCCTCAATGAATTCGCCCGCAACTGCACGCTGCCCTACCTCGAGGACGACCACGCCGAGATCCGCAAAGCGGCAGCAGTCACTTGTGCGCGTCTCTTTGTGCAAGACCCCATCTGCTACCAGACGAGCATGCACGCCATAGAGGTCGTCAACGACGTGCTGGATAAGCTGTTGACCGTTGGCATCGCCGACTCAGAGGCCGATCTGCGCTGGACGGTGCTCTCGGCTTTAGATGAGCGATTTGACCGGCATCTCTCTCAGGCCGAGTATGTGCGCTCACTCTTCGTCGCCCTCAACGACGAGGACTTCTCTGTGCGCGAGGTCGCCATTACTATCATTGGCAGGCTGGCCAAGCACAATCCGGCGTACGTGATGCCATCGCTGCGCAAGGCCCTCATCCAACTTCTGACCGAGCTCGAGTACTCGACCCTCAGCCGCACGAAGGAGGAAGCGGCTCGTCTGCTCACTGAGGTCGTCCGCGCGTCCTCTCGGCTCGTCAAGTCGTACGCTCTGCCAATGCTCGAGATTCTCTTGCCGCGAGCCAATGACCCTAGTCCTGGCGTCGCCGCCCGTGTCATGGAATGTTTGGGCGAGCTGGCGCGCGTGGGAGGCGAAGAGATCTCGCCTCACGTCGAGCAACTAGTGCGACTGGCGATAGAACAGCTCGCAGGGCACTCGGCGCAGGGATCGACTATGAAGCGTGACGCGGCGCTGCGTACTCTTGGCCTCGTGTCCTCCAACACGGGTCACGTCATCGACCCCTACCTCAAATACCGCAATCTCCTCAGCACCATCGTCAAGATCCTCAAGACGGAAACGACACCAGCCGTCAGACGCGAGACAATCCGTGTGATGGGCATCCTGGGTGCTCTTGATCCGTATCGCTACAAGGTGCTTGAGAAGCAGCCAGATGAGGGCGGCGCCGAGGCCAGCAAAGACTCATTGCCAACGGACCTTCTCGAGATGGCCATGACCATCGGCACTTCCTCCGAGGAATTCTATCAGAGCGTCAGCGTCGAGGCCCTCCTCGCCATACTCAAGGACCCTGCGCTCCCCACCCACCATCATGCAGTCATTGAGGCAGTCATGTACATGTTCAAGACGCAGGGCATGAAGTGCGTGCCCTTCCTGCCACAGATCATCCCAGCCTTCCTCAACGTCATCCGTTCCTGCAGCACGAGCTTGAGCGAGTTCTACTGGCAGCAGCTGGGCATCTTGATCACCATCATCAAGCAGCACGCTCGCAACTACCTGCGCGAGATCTTCCAACTCGTCCACGAGCAATGGAACACGACAAATAATGTGCACATTATCCAGCTTACGATTGTCTCCGTCGTCGAGGCCGTGGCTAAGGCGCTCGAGGGCGAGTTCAAGAGCTACCTCCCCATCTTGCTGCCGAACATGCTGCAAACTTTTCAGGGCGAGGTTGGTGCAAAGCAGCAGCCCACACTCATCCGGGTACTTCACGCCTTCTGTGTCTTTGGCTCGAGCATCGAGGAGTACTTGCATCTGATTCTCCCGCCCATTGTTGAGCTCTTCGAGCGGCCCGACGCATCAAATGTCTGCCGTCGCTCAGCCATCGTCACGGTCGGGCAGCTCACGCGCAAGGTCAACTTCTGCGACCACGCTTCTCGCGTCATCCACCCACTCGTCCGTGTGCTCAAGTCTGGCAGCCCAGAGCTTCGCAACCCGGCGATGGACACGCTTACGGCCTTGGCCTTTCAGCTTGGCGGGTCCTACGCCATCTTTGTGCCGGTGGTCGGCAAGGTATTGGCACAGCAGCGCATCCAGCATGCCAAGTACGATCAACTCGTTAAGAAGCTGCTTGCCGGCGAGAAGCTCAACCAGGAGACCGGGCCTGTCGACGGCTCACTCGATGACAAGGTCGAAGAGGCGCCACTTGCCGAGGCGACGAAGATGTCTGTCAACCAACTGCACCTCAAGCAGGCCTGGGACACATCCAAAGTTTCGACAGCAGAAGACTGGCGCGAATGGCTTCGTCGTATGGCCGTCGAATTCATGCGCGAATCTCCATCACACGCGCTGCGCGCCTGCCGCAGCCTGGCGGACGTCTACCACCCGCTTGCATATAGCTTGATGAATACGGCCTTCGTTTCGTGCTGGCCGGAGCTCTTCTCCCACTACCAAGAGGATCTCGTCAGATCCATCGAGGCGGCATTTGACGCTCCTGAAATCCCCGACGACGTCGTGATGCGCTTGCTCAACCTGGCAGAATTCATGGAGCACGACGACAAGGCGCTGCCCATCAACGTCCGACTCCTCGGGCAGAAGGCGTACCAGTTCCACTCTTACGCGAAATCGCTCCACTACTACGAGGCAATGTTTCTCGCAGAGCCGTCGGCAGAGATCGTCGAGAGCCTCATCGACATCAACAGTCGGCTTGGCAACCAAGATGCTGCCTTCGGTACTCTGACCTACGCCCGCGAGCAACTGGACATCATCCATCACGAGGAGTGGTTCGAGAAGCTCGGTAGGTGGGAGGAGGCCCTCGTCGCGTACGACCGCAAGGCTAGTCAAGGCGACGACGACCTCGAGTCCACGTTCGGGCGCATGAGGTGCCTTCACGCCCTCGGAGAGTGGGAGCACCTCTCGACACTGGTGCAAGAGAAGTGGGTCACGTCCTCCAGCGGCGAACGCACCCAGATGGCTCCCTTGGCGTGCGCTGCGGCCTGGTCGCTGGGCCAGTGGGAGGTAATGGAAGACTTCATAGGGTCGATGCGCTCCGACTCATCTGAGCGGTCTTTCTATCGTGCCATCCTGCACGTCCACCGCTCGCAACGGGCGCAAGCCAACAAGCACATTACCCGCGCTCGTGACTCTCTCGATCAGGAGCTTACGGCCCTCATCAACGAGAGCTACAGCAGAGCATACGGCCTGATGGTCCGCACACAGATGCTCTCGGAGCTCGAGGAGGCCTTGACGTACAAGCTCGACTTCCGCGATCAGCCTGACCGCCAGGCCACCATGCGCAGCACATGGATGAAGCGACTCAAGGGCTGCCAACCGGACGTTGAGGTTTGGCAGCGCATCTTGTCTGTTCGTAGCATCGTCTTGACGCCAGCAGACGATACAGACACATGGATCAAGTTCGCCAATCTGTGCCGCAAGTCCGGCAGGATGGTCCTCGCAGAAAAGACGCTCAACTCGCTGCTTGGTCCTGAATCGGCAGCGATGGATCCTCGCTCGCCTATGGGCCCGAAGGCCCCGCCGTCGGTCATTTATGCTCATCTCAAGTTCATGTGGGCCAGTGGGGCCAAGCTCGAGAGTCTCAACTACCTGCGCGACTTCACTGTCAATCTCGCGGAGGATCTCGGTCTGCACGGCGTCGATGAGCGAGGCAATCCGATCCAGCCTGATTGGCAGGCCTCACCCCGTCTCGCTGACTACGGACGCTTACTTGCTCGCTGCTTCTTCAAGCAGGGAGAGTGGCAGGCGGCCCTCAACGAGGACTGGGTGACGGACGACTCGCTGGACGTCATTGATTCGTACCGACGCGCTACCGAGCTTGATCGAGGCTGGTACAAGGCATGGCACGCCTGGGCCTTGGCCAACTTCGATGTCATCTCTCATCACGAGCGACTGGGCAGCAACATCACAACGCAGATGATCGCCGCAAGCATCGTGCCATCGGTGCGTGGCTTCTTCCGTTCCATCGCCTTGGCTAGTGGCAACTCGCTGCAAGACACTCTGCGTCTGCTCACCCTCTGGTTCAAGTTTGGATATCAGGAGAATGTCGCCGAGGCTGTCTCGGAGGGCTTCTCGAGTGTCGTCGTCGATACGTGGCTCGAGGTCATCCCGCAGATCATCGCTCGTATCAACGCTCCCTCGCTGAAGGTTAGACGACTGATCCATCATCTCCTGTCGGACGTCGGCACGGCTCATCCTCAGGCTCTGGTATACCCGCTCACTGTGGCAGCCAAGTCGCCGAGCCACCAGCGCATCCAAGCGGCCATGGCAATCATGGACAATGTGCGCGAGCACAGTCCGCGCCTAGTTGAGCAAGCTCTCCTCGTCTCAAACGAGCTCATCCGAGTTGCCATTCTCTGGCATGAGCTCTGGCACGAGGGCCTCGAGGAAGCCTCCCGCCTCTACTTCACCGAGCGCAACATCGACGCCATGTTCGCCACGCTGGAGCCTCTGCACGAAGCACTGGAGAAAGGACCAGAGACGCTGCGCGAGACGTCCTTCGTACAGACGCACGGCCGCGACCTGGCCGAGGCGCGCGAGTGCGGGCGACGTTACCGTCAACACAGCGAGATCAGCGATCTGAATCAGGCGTGGGATCTTTACTATCACGTTTTCCGTCGTATCGCCAAGCAGCTTCCTGCCTCGAACTCGGTACAGCTCGATCTGCAGTATGTCTCGCCTAAGCTCCTCGCTCTGCGCGACCTCGAGCTTGCCGTGCCGGGCACGTATCACTCAGGTCAGCCCGTAGTGCGTATCAGCAACTTTGAGCAGATCGTCCTCATCATCGCATCGAAGCAACGCCCGCGTCGTCTCAAGATGAAGGGCAGCGATGGGCGAACGTACCAGTATTTGCTCAAGGGCCACGAAGACTTGCGTCAAGATGAAAGAGTCATGCAACTTTTTGGTCTCGTCAACACGCTTCTCTCCATCGACTCGGAATGCTACAAGCGCCGCCTCGACATTCGTCGCTTCCCTGTGATCCCCCTTTCGCCTAATACGGGTATGCTGGGCTGGGTCGAGAATACGGACACGCTGCATGTGCTCATCAAGGAGTACCGTGAGCAGCACAAGATCCTGCTCAACATCGAGCATCGACTCATGGTACAGATGGCGCCCGACTATGACCACTTGACGCTCATGCAGAAGGTAGAGGTTTTCGAGTACGCACTGGACAACACGCCGGGACAAGATCTGTATCGCGTGCTGTGGCTCAAGTCGCCGAGCTCTGAAGCGTGGCTGGAGCGTCGTACAACGTACACTCGCTCCCTCGCTACTTCTTCCGTCGCCGGCTACATTCTCGGTCTGGGCGATCGTCACCCAAGCAATCTGCTCCTTGACCGTCTCAGCGGCCAGATCGTACACATCGACTTTGGTGACTGCTTTGAAGTAGCATGCCATCGTCCCAAGTTCCCAGAGAAGGTGCCTTTCCGCCTCACCCGTATGCTCGTCAACGCAATGGAGGTGGGCGGGATCAAGGGTACATTCAAGGTGACTTCGGAGAACTCGATGCGCGTACTCCGCGACAACAAGGAGAGTGTGCTCGCCTTGCTGGAAGCCTTCGTACACGATCCGCTCATCTCGTGGCGACTGGTGACCGACGACGCGACCAGCGAGCCACAGCGTGCTCCAGACGCTTCAGAGCATGAGGCAACACGTGAGGGCCTACAGAGGTTGAGCCAGGCAGGCGACGTACGCAATCAGAGGGCGTTGGAGGTCGTTAGGCGTATTCAGAATAAGCTCAACGGGCGAGACTTTGGGCCTCAGGTCTTGACGGTTCCGCAGCAGGTGGAGAGACTGGTCAGAGAAGCACGATCGACGGAGAATCTCGCAGTGGCTTTCCTGGGTTGGTGCTCCTTCTGGTGAGGCGGCTAGAGCGCTACGATCGACTCCAACAATCCTTGTACTATTACAGCGCCTCGATGCAATTGAACAATCTCATGACTCCAGCTGCGCTTGCGATGTGGAGAGGGCCGTGCATTCGCGCGAGCGTGGGTGCGAGCATGCTGGCATCGACCAACAAGTGATGCGCTGTATCGAGTTCGCCGTCCATCGCAGGCTGAGATTGAGCTTTTGTGGTGGCGACTCGGTTGGCTCTTCTTCGCAGGCGCCCCGGTTGGCTCTTCTTCGCACGCGCCCTCCCTCTCGCCCCCTCATCTTTGCCACCAGCGTGCGTCTCTGCGTTGGTGTCTGCGCTGTGAGAGCCAGCCAACACGCCAAGCGACTAAAATTTGGACTCCCTCTGCCCTTTGACTGTTCGTGGGGCGCGACGGCGTTCGCAGGCGTCCTCCTCCGCGGGGACACACGGACGCCGACGTGGATGGGCACTGAGGCAGAGCGAGCCTTGGTGCGTGGCCTGTGGCCTGGCCTGGACTCACTCGGCGCCTTGACGGACTTGGCCCACGCTCTCTTTTGAAAGCAGCGCAAGAACAAGATCAACGACCTTGAAAAGCCAAAACGGGCGCATCAATCCTTCTTACCTACCTCCCCACTACCATTCACCCAGGCACCGTTCCCCCCCCTGATCCGCGGCTTTGCTCCCCCAAATTCCTCTTCCCTTGTTCTCCCTCGTCCCGCTTCGTGTCACCTTCCTTAGAGCATAAGGATGTCGTCGTCTGCTGTCGCACCTTCGGCCTCTGAGGCTATCCCACGCAAGTCGAGCACAACCGCTTCGTCCAACAAGAGTGATTTCCCGACCGCCGACGTCCGCTATTCGACGAGACAGGCGAAGGCATACAAGAAGGAGGACCTGCAGCAATTCAACGTCCCTGAGCTCACGATCAAGGACCTTCTCACCGCCATCCCCAAGCACTGCTTCGAGCGTTCGACTAGCAAGTCGTTCATCCACCTCCTCGGAGACTTTGTCATCGTAGCGGCTCTTGGCTATGCTGCCACTTGGATCAACCCGACGATCGCTTCGACCAACTGGGAGGCTTCCCCTCTCACTCCTTACATCTCAGCCTCGGTCCAGGCCAGCGCCGCCAAGACTGTAGGATGGGCTTCTTACTGGTGGTGGCAGGGTCTTGCCATGACTGGCATTTGGGTCGTCGCCCATGAGTGGTGAGTTGTCTGACGAGGCTGGGTCTGCAAATCAATTCTTGTCTCGCATGATGTACTCACCTGTTTCACCCCTCACCTCGCTCTCCTCGCAGTGGCCACCAAGCCTTCTCGCCTTCCAAGACTATCAACAACACCGTCGGCTGGGTCCTTCACTCGGCTCTCCTCGTTCCTTACCACTCGTGGCGTATCTCTCACGCTCGTCATCACGCTGCTACCGGTCACTTGACTCGTGATGAGGTCTTCGTCCCCAAGACGCGTGCTCAGAAGGGCCTGCTCCCTCTGCGTCCCGCTGAGACTTCTCAGTCGGACGCCGAGGACGAGCAAAACGTCAACGAGGCACTTCAGGGCTCGCAGAAGGAGCAGGAGATTGCCAATGCACCTGCTCAACCGCCTATTGAGGAAGAGACGTGGGGCGAGTTCCTCGCCGAGCTCTTCGAGGACGCTCCCGCGTACGCCTTCATCTATCTCCTCGTTCAGCAGCTCTTTGGCTGGCCCATGTACCTGCTCAAGAACTCGTCTGGTCAGCTCCACTACCCCAAGGGCACCAACCACTTCAACCCCGAGTCCATCATCTTCGACAAGCGTCACCGCAGCCAGATCATCGTCTCTGACATCGGCATCGCTCTCACCATTGGCGCCCTCGCCCTCGCTGCCCACATGACCTCGTTCCGCGACGTCATTGCCTACTACGGTATCCCCTACATCTGCGTCAACCACTGGCTGGTCATGATCACCTTCCTCCAGCACACCGACCCCATCCTTCCTCACTACAGCGCCGACGCCTGGACTTTCCCTCGTGGCGCCCTCTGCACCATCGACCGCAAGTGGCTCGGCCCTATCATCGGCCCCTACCTCCTCCACGGCATTGCCGAGACGCACGTTGCGCATCACATCAGTTCCAAGATCCCTCACTATAACGCATGGGAGGCCACTGAGGCTCTCAAGCAGAGGCTCGGCGAGCACTACCACTGCGCAGAGGAGAACGTGTTTGTCTCCCTGTGGAAGACGGTGCGCAAGTGCAGGTTCATTGACGAGAACGACAAGGTCGCCTTCTACCGTGATGCGCACGGCGTGCCTACGAGGGTAGCCAAGGATGTCGACGGTGGGTCGGACTCAGGGTTGGCTCTGTCCGAGTAAGCGCCTCAAGGTCGAGCGGTCAATTGGTGGTCGTCCGAGGCTACACACGCATATAGAGTACGATGTCCCCTCTTCATCCATCACTCTCCCTTGCTCCTGCTTCCCTCAGGAAGCTGTTTCTTCGCATCACTCTCCACTCGTCCAACCGATTTCGTGCACTCACTTCTCTACTCTAGAATGTCTGCTCATCACAATAAAGATATGCTCTTCATTGCCCAGCACCGCCTCAGACGGCACAGCCTGACGCAAAGTAGCACATCTCGTCCCCCTCGCCGTCATCACCGCTGCTCAATCCCTTTCTTTCCCCTCGATTGCTCTCCTCCATCGTCGGTCAGTCGCCGCGTCGACTTTAGCCTCGGTCTCTGGCAGCGCCGCCAAACTCCAAGTCTCGAGCCCGCCTCGTGGCAAGCAAGCCCTCGCCTGAGTCTCGCCTCCTGGTTCGACGCCGCGCTTGCGGAGGCGGCTATGGGCTGCGCTCTGGCCCTTGCCTGGCGCGCTCGCCCTGCTTGCCCTCTAAGCCCGCCCGCCCGCTAGCTGCCGTCGTCAGTCTCCGCCAATTGGCTGCTCAGAGGTGCTCTACGGACTCGCGACGCCAGCTTGTTTGCTCCCGGGCAGCCCTCTGTTTCACTTCACCCTCATTCGTCGTCTCGAACGAGACGCGCGCTGTTGCTGCTGCTACATTTTCTTCTTCGCCCTTTCACCTTTGATCCACCTCCATCATCATCCTCGACAATTCGCTGCAGCGAAGACAGACGGCGACGAGTTGCCGTCTGAAGATTCACCGCGCCAACCCGCGCTCACAGCCCCGCACGCCCACTGCACAAGACACTTGAGCAAAACCCTCCTTGGATATCGACGCCCCTCGCCCTCTCCCCTCATTGCCGCCACCATGCTCGAGGCTCTCTAGGCTCCAGCGCGAGCGTGCGCCTCCTATCTGCATCAGCTATACCATCGAATTCGTCAACACTTCATCATCATCATCTCGGTCGCCGGTGCAGCTCCGGTAGAGATCCATCCAAGCTCTACTGCCTTCGCTCTCTCTTCGCCGACTCAGAGGTAGCGTTCCCTTCCACTTCTACTTGCGGACAGCAACCTCTTGTCTCCTGCTTCGCTTCCTAGCGCCACCTTACACAACGAGCGCCGGCCGCTCTCTCGAGGCCCTTCGACCCCGTGTCCGCGGCGCGGTAACCTGTACAACCGCTTGTCGCCACTTCTCAATCTCGTCCCTACTATTCCGGCTCGGTGACGGCTCGCTTAGCAGCAAGCCACTCGATCACCAGTTGCACCACGAGTATCGCTCGAGCATCCTCCTCTCCGAACCTACAGCCGCGCGCATCCGCAACCATGCTCGCTCTCCATCAGCATACAGACAAGTCTTCGGCGTCGTCCTCCTCTTCTTCCATTGAGTCGCTGGAGGACGACCTCGACTGTGACGTCGAGCCGCCAGAGAACGAAGCAGAACCCATTGACATCCCTCGCCCAGCAACCTGCTTACGCCCACCATGCCTTAAGAGGACCGGCTCCAGCCCTTCTCAGGGCTCACCCCTCATGCAGGGTGCGTCTTCTCCGCCTGCCATGTCATGGTCGCCGCCCCCCTCGTCTTCCTCCGGTCGATCTGTCTCCTCACCAACACCTTCGACTGCGCAAGTCTATTCCTACTCCTTCTCCACACCCCGCTGCTTCTCTGCCACCAACAGCGGCACAGCCACACCGCGCCACGTCCACTTCGATGCCGACCCGCCAGAGGCATTTGATACCCACTCGGCGCAAGATTACGACCGCTCGCAGATTGAATGCACGCAAGGTGGATCCGAATTTGACCTGAGGCTGCCGTCAAAGTGCAAGAGGTACAATGGCGACGGAGAGGAGGAGATCTCAGAAGCAGAGGATGACGAGGATGAGGGAGCATTCTCTGAGACTGGATCGGCTACTTCGAACTCGTCCTTTGGTCGATCGCCCCCCCTCGGCGTCCACGGCAGCACGGGTTGGGCTTGCCTCAAGAGGGGCTCTGTCATTGGCGGTCTCTCCTCGCGAGGTAACAACTCGACTGATCCGTCATCGACGTTGACCACTGGCGCGAGCGAGCTCAGCAGCCTCCCCTCACGAGGCCTGCGCACAGTCGGCGCCCTCTCTGGTCGGGGCATCCTCAGCTGCACAGCCGCACCACCGTCCCTCTTCGACGAACGCAGCGGTAAGCTCGGCTCAGTCGACGACAGCAGCGGCGACGATCGCACCAAAACTCCCAGTAGCAACAACAGTGTCAGTCAACAGTCGTCCACATCAGACGTGGATGAAGACGACGGTGGAGCTGCAGCCTTCGAAGCAGCCGTCCTGGCTCGCCACTCCACCAAGTCACCAGATGCCACGCCCAAGCCTAGTCCCAGTATTGTGCCGCGATGGGCAAGATGTACGGACTACTTTGCCGAGCCTGCCGCCGAGGATCACGAGGTGAAGCCTGCAACAATGAGTCTCTCAGCTGTTGAAGCGTCTCCTGAAGCGCGCAGCCTCGAAGGAGCTTCGAGGGACGCTGAGGTCCACGACGGTCGACGCTCGCCGCCGTCAAGCGAGTCGTCTTCACGAGGCGGAGATGCATCTGCAAGTACCTCTGTAGAACACACGCCCAGGATGAGCCCATCTTCCTCCGCCGCTCTGTCTCCCCTGCTCGTCGACACGGTGCGAGACGGCAGCCCTCCTGCGGCAACCAGGATCGACATCGATCCCGGCCCTGCATCCTCTTCATCACCACTCGTCGACACGCTCGCCGCGACGCCTGCTCCAGCCAACGAAACTATGTCACGGCGCCCTTCTCTGAACCGCCCACAAGCCTTTTCGGGCGTTTCGGCAGCGGAAACGAACTCCGTGACCGTCGCTAGCGCTCCCCTCGACGCCCAGCATGACAGCGCCTCATCCGCCTCCCCCATATCAAGCCGCTGCTCCAGCGTAGAGCCTACCTACCACCCGCAGCTCTGGAGTAGTAGCAGCTGCGGCGAAACAATCAGCGACGAGGGAGCAACGACGCCGAGCAGCAACAGCAGCACCACCAATATCAACAGCCCAAGCGCATTTGCTGTCACACAGGGCGGAGAGTGGTCTAGCTGTACGTCTCCAGATGTCGGGCCCGTGAAGACTGTCGTTGCAGTGACGGGGCAAGAGCAGGGGAATGCTGTGGATAAGACACCAATGCTCCAGCACCACAGCTCAAGTCAAGCGGCACAGGGGCTGCATCCTAACGAGGACGAGGCCGACAGCGCCGGATCCCCATCGCAAGAGTCCGATCCGTCCACTATCACTCAACAGCATCACTTCGCCGACAACCTCACAGTGGACAGCGACGTCTCGTCAACCACCCTTCCAACCTCACCTTACTCCCACTCGCACGGCGTCCCCGTCCTGAGCAAAGCCATCTCCCGCATGCAAATGCTTCAGCGGACAGACAGCAGCACGAGCAGCCGTTCGGATCATTCTCCTCTTGCTGGCACCTCGTCCGCAGACGAGGAAGCCGTCGCAAGCCATGATGACGAGCTTGGTCTTCCTGCAACAAGCCATCGAAAGTACAGAAGCGAGTCAGCGAGCGCTAGCGGAAGCCGTACGAGTAGCAGGAAATGCTCGGCCACGTCGTCGACTTCATCGTCGCGACGCCCATCGTCGTCTTCTTCCCCCGCTGCCACTGCGGCAGCAGCAGCACGCAAGGCCCGCTTTTGGGGCAGTGAGACGGACGCCTCCTCCCCACGCATCAGGCAGTGGGGTTCCGTGGCTATGGAGGCAAGCAGTAGCGCGGATAGCGCAATGAGCGCTAGCGGCAGTCGAAGCGCGAGTGGAAGCGGGACCGGCAGTGGGGGTTTGTGTAGCCCTTCCTACGAGGCGGCACCGACAATGCACGACGAAGAGGACACACTCGGTTCTTCAGGGTTCGGACGTCGTGCCGCCTCCACCTCTTCCTCGTCAGACGACAAGAAGGAAAGGCGTCGCAAGTCATCCTCCTCTTCGCGTTCGCGCAAAGAAAGGGAGCGTGAACGAGCAGAAGCCTGCTCACTAGCAGACGATGAGGACGCGGGTTCCTTCTTCCCTCGCAGCACCACAAGCAGGGGAAGCAGTCGAGGTCGCAAAGCCACTGCGGGCGCTTCGCTGGGCTCATCGTCAAGCTTTTCATCCAGCGCATTTGAGGACGAGGGAGCTTTGGGAGGATTTTGAGGTAGGGCAAGACGGGGAGGGTGTGGAGACGCGGCGGTTCCTTTTCCTCATCTGTCTGCGCCTTTCCCCTTTTCTCCTTATCGATTCACCCCATTTGTACGCACGTGCTTGCACGGATTACACACACATCACATCACACACACACACACACACACACAGACAAATCAAGATCGAGCTACAAGACTTCTTTGCAAGATTTGACTGGCAAAAGGCGTGATAGAGGCGCGGCTGAGCAGACCCCAGATGCACAAGGCTCAGCCGTCGCGCCCTTTTCCCGTAGCCTGAGACGCACGAGGGGAGGGCTACTTGATTCAAAGTAGACCCACTGTGTCGCCATAGAACGTCGTCACTGCTCAGTGCTTCGTCGCATCCTTCCTGACCATGCCCTGCTGCGTAATCGAGTCCCTCGTGTGGGAAAGTGACGCCGCGAGGCGACCGCAGGAGAGGCTGTGATGACCACTCTCTGCCTTTGCTCTGCAGCTCAATCAGTTTGACGGTGACATTTTCCTCGAGGAGGGGCTCGAGGACGTCTCTGATGGCCAGAAGATTGAGAATGAAGAGATCAGAGGGACCGGCAGGAAAAGGAGACTGATCTAGGGGAGTTGAACCGCTGCGCTGGGCCGCCGCACTGGCAGACGGGGCCATCGGTATCAGGCACGGCGGGTGGGACACATGGCTTTGAGGATGAGGGCAGCACTCTATCTGAGGAGTCTGGCGGTCGTCATCATCCTCTTCGGCCGGCTGCTCGTGTGTTGCCAGGCGCGCCCATGCCCCCACGAGCACGATAGGCATCGAGTCGCTCTTGGAGCTCCGGTTCGTGCTGAGCGAAGAGCGAAGAGGAGAAGAGCAGTCGAGTCAGCATAGAAGATCCTACCCACCAGAGTTGCGACCTGCTTCTCGCGCGCATACTTACTATCACATCCTCCTTCAACTGATTGCCCACGGTTAACCACCCACTCCTTGCATTATGCCTCCTGCCGAACAACTCCAGCTTCCTCCCTCCAGGGCACATCCTCTCGATCAGACCGTACACTTCGTCAGGCTTGCGCGATGTGTCGCGCACCTCGGAGACGAGGACGTCAGAGTCGAGGCCTAGGTGGGCCCAAGCTGGGATGGGGGAAGAAGAGGAGCGGGACTTGGCGCCGATGAGGCAGTGCTCTTTGGTGTGGTTGAGCCAGTGTCCAGTACGGCCGGTGCGGATGAGACGCTGCGTCTGGCCCGTCTTGATCCAGACGAGTCTGCGGTGGTAAGGACGGCGGTGACTATGTCAGCATACGCGCTATGTAAAGGTGACGCCCTTCGTAACAGCTGCTCGCCACTCACTCGTCCACCCTAGCATAACCCCAATGCTCCAGCAATTCTCTACCCAGCTCCATCGCTCTCCCCGTCACCCAGAAGAAGATGAAACCTTCGTCCTGGAGCTGCTCGATGGGCATAGCGCGTATATCGGCATCGGTCATTGTGCCGTAGGGGAGGGACATGTGGATGTCGAATGCCGAGTCCTGGACAATTACGTCGAACTTGCCCAGGACGGTGAGGTCAAAGAGCTTGAGGTCCGCATTGAGGAGTTGAGCTGGATGACGGTGCGAAGACGTGGGCGAGGAGGGGACAAGCCAGGATTGGAGGCCAGCAGCGCTCAGCGCCTGGCTTGGATGCTGTACAGCCAGCTCAGAAAGGGCGATGGCGTCCCCCTTTGGTGGTGGTTGAGACCAGTTGGCATTGGACGATTTCCATTCATAAGGAGGAGCAGATGGGTGTACCGTAGGGAGGAAATGCATGTACTTGCACATTTGGAGTCGATGGCACCCCGATAGGTAGGAGCAGTGGCCGAAGGCCACGTCTGTCTGCGGGAAGCGAAGGATCTCAAAGTGGATATCGCTGCAGTGCGCGGGATGAGAGGTGCCTTCGCCCTTGATCTGGGCTTGCTCGCAGTCTTCGAGGGTGAGATGATGGCAGAAGCGCTGATGGGCGTTGTGAGGTGGTTTGTACTGAGGGCAAGCAAGGGTGGTAAGCGTCAGATGATCAACATTCATCAGCTAGGTAGTGAGAAGCGCACTCACCAGCTTGGCTAGCAGCAGATCCTTTGCAGTGGGCTTGGCAAGGATATCAGAGTAGATGGCCGCCGTCGCGCACTCATCAGCGTCATTGGCATTGGCGAGGGCCATAGCAGCTGCTGCCACGCTCAATGGTAGTCGTGGTAAGGGAGCAAACCAAAGTGTTGGTTTGTTGCCCTCGGCTCCCGTCTCGTCTGTCCGCCGCGTCTTGGCGTCGATGCGAATCCATCGGACGAAGGAGACGAGTGGAGGCACGCGATGCTGTCTGTCTTGCCGCCTTGTCCTCTTCACCAGCACCACCTCTCTCACAATTTCCCTTTCTTCCCACTCATTCGCGCCAGCATGCCCGCCTGGAATCCAACCCGTACAAAGATACAACTCAAGCTCGCCATTGAGCGGACAAAGATGCTGCAGGAGAAGAAGGAGGCCATAGCAAAGAAGGAACGAAAGGAGATTTCAGCTCTCATCGCGAGAGGCAAGGAGGAGACGGCTAGGATCAAGACGGAGGGAATCATTGCAGAGGACGTAAGTACAAGACGCAGAGGTAGTGTAGCCTGCTTCGCCTGCTGACATCGTTTTCACGACGTCGCTTCGACAGATCCACATCGAGCTCCTAGAGATCCTCGAGCTCTACTCCGAGACTCTGCTAGCCCGCTTCGCCCTCCTCGACCTCCCAGGACGCGAGCCAGACCCGCAGATCAGCGAACCCATCGCAGCCTTGATTCATAGCGCTCCCCGCGTCGAGCTTCGAGAGCTACACATCCTCAGAGAGATGCTGCTATCCAGGTACAGTCGCGAGTTTGGTCAAGACGCGATAGAGAATAACAAGGGGGTGGCGGGCGCGAGGGTGACCAGCAGGCTCAAGGTCTCGACGCCTAGCCCGGAGTTGGTGGATCTGTATATCAGTGAGATCTGTAAGGCGTACGACGTCAAGTTCGAGTCGCCTCACCTCAAGGCGGGCGAGAGTGACAAGGAGGAGCAGGATGCGGTAGAGGAGGCTACATCCTCAGCGGCGGCGGCGGCCGCAGCCAACGGCGAGACAGCATCAGCGACGTCAGCAAATGGTGGGTTACCACCACCGGCAGCTGAGCCTACCCTCGACCCGAAAGCAGGCCCCGCTACACGCTCCGATGCATTGACGTCGAAAGCAGTGGGGAATACCGTGCCAAAGGAGGCCGCAGATAGCAGTATGGCGAACAAAACGTTAGGTACAAAGAAGGAGGTACCGTCGGGGGCAAGTAAGGAGCAGAAGGACTACGACGATCTCGAGGCACGATTTGCTGCATTGAAAAAGAGGTAATACCGCGGCCCAGTATACAAATGAAAAGCTCTCCACGTCATTGAATAACAGACTGTCTGACAGTCGCGCACTAAGCCCGACTACCAGATCTCCCACTTCTGCTTCCCCAAACTAGCCAGCCTGTTGAAGACCTCATCCCTGCGCGGCATAGCAGTCATCTTGAATCGCTCCCCCTCATCAGTCGTGATCTCAATCCCATCAGCCACCTCGCTATCCATCGCCCACCCGACCACCAGCTTGGCTTTCCAGCCTAGCCCGCCGATCTTACGAATCTCACGAATCGAGTCGACCTGGATCGAGAAGAGGGCCTTGGGGCGAGCAGCTTCCAGTGCACGCTCAAGGACATCCCTACCAGAGGCAGTGGAGTCCGCGGCGTCTAGGGCTGCTTGAGCCGCCTTGGCGTGTGCACCCCACTCGGGCTCGAAGGACAACGAAGGGGTAGCCGCCGTCGTGATGACATCGACGTAGCCTCGCTTACCCCTGTAGCGACCGCGGAAGCTGGAGGGACCATCTCCGCGAGCCTCCTGTTGCAGGTGCTTCTTGACAACGCCTACGCGATTCTTCGAATGAGAAGAGCCCGCTGAGGCCTTAGCACGGTTAGCGCCAAGAACGGTTGCACTGCCAGCGAAGGCGGTCCCTTTGAAGAAGCCGATGATCTTGGAGCCATGCTTTTTCTTCTTCTTCGCGCTCGAGTCATCATCCTGATCGTCGTGGGATAGAGAGCCAGACTGGGCATCTTCGCGTCCCTCGGCGGCGGCCTCCTTCATCTCTTCCTGGTACTCGGGCGGGAGCTCTCCGACCATCTCGTGCCCTTGAGCCGCATCTGGCTTGGGCGCCGCAACAGCTGGTGGCGGAGGCGGGAGGGGGGACTTAGCCGCCTCTGCTATGCGCATGAGCGTGACGGTGAGCTGAGCATTGGTCGGGACGCCCTTGAGGATCGAGTTGCGGAGTTCGAGCATCTGCGGCCAGTTGGGGTAGTGCGTGTCGAGCCACTGCTTGACGTCGGATACCTTGAGGCGGTCGAAGAGAGGCTGACCGAAGAAGCCGAACCCGACGCCAAACCCTGTGCCCTTGTATACCATGTCCACTGTAATAAACAGCGAAGCTAGGAAAAGGGGCAAGACGAGCGCAGACGCAAGGAAGAGACGCGGCCTGTGTTGATGGAAGGGAGGAGTAGGGGAGAGGGCATTGGCGAAGCGCTCCCAGGTATCACAGAGATCCTCGAGAGCGTGCAGGAGAGGGTGAAGCTTAGCCCAGACGCCCTGATCAACGGCAGCGGCCGTGTGGTCTCCAACTTCCAGCTTCTTGTCCCCGGACGCCTTGGTCTTCGCTTGGGCACCAGCGGTTGCCACATTCGTTGGATCGGGAATCGCGTCTTCCAGCTGCTTGGCTTCGGCCTGGCTCTTGTCCCCCGCAGCGGCTGCGGCAGCATCGTCTGGGTGTGGCTCGGTGCTCGACGGTGCGCCCTTGCCAATTGCAGTGGAGACAGCCACGGTAGAGATGGAGTTGACGAGGTTGCTTGCCTCTTGCTCAACGGCTTCTCCCTTGTACGACTCAGCTGCCCCAGTCGCAGAGTCCGCGCTTCCTAGATGGCCCGCCTTGGGTACTTGCGCCGTTCCCTTCTTGGAGATGGCGGCCAGTGGTGCGGGAGGGAAAAGGATTCGACGTGCTCGAGGCGAAATGAGGAGGACGAGCAAAAGGGCAGAGAAGGTTGGAATGAGGTAGTTGAAGATCCAAGCGACGAGGTAGATGACCGCGAAGAGGGTGGTGCGGCGCAGCTCTTTCCATGAGCGTAGGCGGGCGACATGCGTGAGCAAAGCGACCATGCTGATCCCTACAGTGGTGTAGCATCGCTCCAGTGTCGAGCGTAGCTTGTCGGGGAAAAACTCGTCCTTGTCCGCAATGTTCATGTCAAGTTGGCCGTGGGGCTCTTCGTCTACTGCCTTGATGTGGAAGGTCTGCTTGTTGAAGCGGCGTACCAGTACCCAGACATCTTCATTGGTCATGCCGTGAATGACTGGCTGGGGAACATGAGGATCCTCGCTCCAGCCGAGATCTTGAATCTCAGGCTCAACAGGTCGCACCTCGTCCCCCTCTGCAACCTTAGGTGCGTCTCCCAACTGCGGATGGTCAAGGACGCGCTGAGGCACATCTTTCTCATCAGCCTTGGGTACGGCAGAGTGGTCCGTCTCTGCAGCGACGCCATGATTGGCCTGCTCTGCTGTAGAGCCTAGGGCGGTGGCGGCTTTGGCTGCTACGGTGCTGCCAGCAGAAGCGGCTGCTTCGCTCGCCCCCTGAGCAGCGTCCGATGCAGCATTGATTGCGCTACCAGCGGCTGCGTCGGCGGTGTCAGCCACCTTTTGAGCGGTGGATGCGGCCGTCTGTTGGGCTTGAGCGGCTACGCTTTCGTCTTGTGAGGACATGGCGGGCCGGTAGATTGATGGATTGAAGATGAGTCGATTGGGATGATAAGAGAAGAAAGGGCGACTTCCCTCTAAGGGTCTCAACTGGCGTGCTGAACAGGGTTCGTTCCTGCCGCGACCCTCGGCGTCCCATGACGAAAGTTGCCGCATCTCACCCGTCGCGCCGGCAGATCGACTCGGCGCTAGGGTCGAGGTCGAGTGGAGGTGGTGACTGGGGCGGCACGTCAAGCGGGCGGCCTGGTCAGACATTATTTCGAGGATGCCGCACGTCTGGCTGCGATATCATGATAGCGATGATGGAATTGCCTAGCGAACACATTCATTCCTTGATCGAGTTTGCTCCCCTCACTGAGCTTTCTGCGCCTCCGCCTTGAACTCGCCATCCAGCTTCTCGGCCTCCTCAACAAAGGCAGGCGCGACGCCGAATCGTGCTTTCTCAGCCAGCACCTCCCTCCTCGCCAGGTACATGCTGAATGCAAAGCCCGGCCCCAGCAGGAGCAGGCCTGTTGATCCAAAGACAATGTCCTCCACCAGAAGACGAGCGCGATGCACCCTCGGCCCACCGCACTGCACAGCTCTGAAGTCCACCTCAGCTTGTACGAGTACGAGCGCGTACGCTCCAGCGAGGAGACCACAGATATCCCAGAAGAGGAGTGAGGTAGCGTCATCTGGCCATTGAGCAGTAGAGCCTCGGATGATGCGCAGGAGCTGTGGGATGGCAACATATCCTCCCCCCCACCAGGCCGGAATTGTCAGATAGGCCAAGAGGCGGTACGCATTGGAAGCAGCGAGGCGCGGATCGACGTGCTTGCGGTGCTTTGTGGAGCCTGAGCGTGAGCGGAGGATGAGAAGGGGAAACCAGGCTAGTGGAAAGAGCACGGCGCCTATGTTGTTGTAAAAGGCGAGAACGGGGTAAGACTGGGCGTCGATGAGGAGGAGACCGAGGATAGGAAGGCCAGAGATGGCGACGTTGAGCACGACTGCCTGGACGACGCTGGCGTCCGGCGAAGGCAGAGGCCGAATGACCGAGGGCTTCTTGGTCGCCTGACGCCAGCCGTAGATGGCCATTGCGGGTACGCTGACCAAAGGGATGACGCAGCCGAACATGTACACGCCAGCAATGATTACAATGAGGGCAAAGCCTTCGATGCCCAACGGCGCCCTCCTCTGGCCGACCTTGAGCCCCTCGATGAGCTCTGCGACGAACCACGGTAGCGCGATGCTGGCCATGATAGCTACCAGTCCCTTGCCCAATGATGTGGCTGCTGCTTGGACGAAGAAGAGGTCAAGGACGAGAAGGATTCGATCGAAGGGACGAGGAAGGTCGTCGAGAGATTGGTGAAAGCTGCGCGGCAGGCCAGCTTGGCTGCGCAGCGCCGTCGGTGAAGTAGACATGAGGTCATGAAACCAGCCATGAGGTGTAGCTTGCATGCCCCTGTAATTGCAGTAGATGGAAAAAGCGACCGTCAAAGTAGGGATGAGCCATATGAAAAGGGAGACAGGAGGAGGAGGAGAAGGGGGTGGTGCACGCTTGGCAGGCTTGCGAGGAGAGGACGAGGTGTTGGCCTCCTCGTGAGACGAGATGGCGGTAATTTTTGCCATCTTCTCCCCTGAGCGCGTGTGTTGATCACCAGGTGAAGATGGTGTGTAGACCCGCGAGGCTGAAGCAGGCGACGAGGATCAAGGTGCCAAAGGTGACTGGGCCGAGCATCTGTGAATGGATGTGTTGAGTTGGGCGGGAGGAAACAGAGGCAAGTCAAAGCCGAAGCGGCTGAAGCGCACTTGGGCTCCTCCTCGTCTCTCTCTCACTCGCTCAGTTGCAGGGCCGTGCGCGGCGAGTCGAGTCGAGCGACATGGAAGTAGCCGCCAGCATCTTTCTTCCTTTGCTACCTCTCGGACAAATCAAAGCGGCAGCAAGCAAAGTGTACGGAGGGCGTCCGTGAGCGCAGGTAGTACGGCTGAAGGCTGCCAATCGACGAGGATGGCGCGCGCTCCAGCAGGAGAGAGGAAGCAAGGCGAGTATCGCCGCCAAGTCGAGGTCTTAGCCCTCGTTCTTCAAGCTCTCAGGACCCTACAAGGCGGCCAAGCTCCCGCCATCAACGACAGCGACATAATCAATGCCAGCTTAGTCGACTACAAGGCCCATATCCTGGTCACTACCGTATACAGAACATCCGTTACCGTGGACAAGGCTCGTCAAGTCATCCACGCCAATGCCGAGCTCCTCCAACAAGAGAAACCTCCCTTTTACGTCAACCTGACCGAAGCAATCAAGGACGGAATGAGCAAGAGCGAGATTTGCTCTGGTATCAAGAGACAGGATTACTGGAACAACCTCAGAGGCGGTCTAAAGCTCAGAGGACGCGACTTCGAGATCGACGCCAACGTGAATCATCAAGGTGAGTCGATATGCTCGACCGGCATCTCCTTGTCTCATTGGCGCGCTGACGAACCCTCTGCTCCGGCTTTTCTGCACTCCTTTTCTTAGCCGTCCAGTTTCTGCGTGCCCTCGAGATCGAAGGCGCCAATCCTGCCATGCACGCTGAACAGGGGGAACCTGGGCCGTCGAACGGGCAATCCTCTTCGTCAATCCCAACTTGCTCCCCATCATCCATCTCCATGACCGACTGCCTGCGAGCAACCAAGGCAAATGAAAATGATCTCGTCAAGAGCTACTGTCCCAGCCTTGGCTGCAACTTCAAAGCATCCAATTTTGCCGAAGCGCTCTACCACTGGCTCAAATCATGCAAAGTCATCAAGACCGACTATCTCTGGTGTGGCTTCTGTTGTCAATTCCTGCTACGCCCACCTGTGCGCAAGGGGCAGCTCGCCACACAAATGACTTCGTCCCAGCTCAAGAAGGTCGAGGCTCCTTATGTCGCTCATGCCCGCGAGTGCTCATCGCGCTGGGCGGGCAATGAGGGATGGACGACGGCCCTGGGCGCAGGTCTGGAGTACCATGTGCCCCGTAGCCGTAAGAACCCAAAGACAGAAGCAGAGATGGAAAAGATGGAACAGCGCTACATCAAGGAGCGCGGTGCCCGTCCTTGCTGCTACTCAGTCCCCAACTTCTTCCTCGATATCGTTGAGAAGAAGCTGGTGGGTCCTTCAGCTTTGGACTCGTCATCACTGAAGCGCAAGACGTTGCCAGAAGGGGTCAATGAGACGGTCATCTACCACTTTTGTCCGGACTGCACCACCGCGTGCGACATCGAGGCTCGAGCCTTCTGCATCCATCGCCGGGCAAACGGGCTCGCCCAGCATTATCAGGATCATCTGCTGCGTCGAGTGACTTTGCAAGGCAATAGCCATACTCGTGCACTCGTCCTCGACCCTTACTACCCGACCTGGAAGTGTACCTACCCTCGATGCGACTTTGAGGCTGCAGATGTCGTGCAGCGAGTCAACCACCTCTCCGTTGAGCATGGTATCCCCTTGCTTGTGGATTATCGCGGCCTCCCTCATCCTGGAGAGCAGGTAGAGGAGGGTCACGAGTTAAAGAAGTGGTCAGTTGAGAGGATGGAGCAGCCGTGCAGTGAGCTCTTCTTGACATTGGGCCTGCAGGAGATGAGGAAGAAGGGGAAGGTGACGGCTTGGGAAGGCTTGGAGAGTGATGTGGGGGAGGACGAGGGGGAGGACAGCGAGTGAGGCTGCTTGCAGTACTAGACTCACACCAGATTTGTCGTGTTCATCGTCATCAGCTATACCCTTCAATGCAATTCATCCCTCGATCCCACAGCCACTCGAACGATGCAATCAAGGGTCCAGTCTGAGTGAGCGGGCTGAGCCTGGCTGAGCCTGGCCGAGGGGCGGCAAGCGCGGACTGGCGGCGCTGAGGCCATCTCGACTCTCAGGGCGGCAATGGATTGCTCCACTCTTTTGTCCCTTGCCATCATCCTAATCCTCCTCATCGACTTGCGCCATGAGCTCTCGTCGAGGTCGCAATGACGACGGTGCAGTGTCCATCTCGTCTGGCGAAGAAGAAGAAGGAGGTCCTTCGGCAGCCGGATCATCACGACCAAAGCGAATCGTCCTGAAACGCGGCGCCAAGTCGGATACCGCTGGTCGCTCAGCAGCTGCTGCCGGCAATGGTGGTGGGGAAGAGATGATGATGGAGGCAGACTACGTGTCTCCCGATGAGGACGGGGATGACGGAGAGCGTGACGCTACTTTTGGAGCTCGACGTGGCGGCGGAGGTGGGACACAGCCGCTCAACACTGGCCCGCCAACGATGGGAGCGACGATTGCGCCTCGTCAAGTCACGAATCGCGACTTTTCTCATTTACACCTCAAGCAGGATCATGCGTCTCGACCGCTTTGGATCTCTCCTGATGATGGGCATATCATTCTCGAGGGATTCAGTCCAATCGCTGAGCAGGCCATGGACTTTTTGGTGGCCATTGCGGAGCCTGTTAGTCGGTGAGTAGGCCGGATGGCAAGCAGGCAATGCCATTGTGCTGTCAACTCACACTGCCATGACCTTCGCTCTCTCGCAGCCCCGCCTTCATCCACGAATATCGCCTCACCCCATACTCCCTCTATGCGGCAATCTCAGTCGGCCTTTCACCCTCGGACATCCTCTCCGTCTTGGATCGACTGTCGAAATCGACCCTTCCCGAATCCATTGTCGAATTCATTCGCGATTATACAGCCTCATTCGGCAAGATCAAGCTCGTACTTAAAGAGAATCGCTACTTCGTCGAATCGGCAGAGACCGAGACCTTGAGGACGCTGCTGCAAGACGATGTTGTGGGAAAGGCCAGAGTGAGGGAAGAAGATAGAGCTCAGCAAGGTGGCGGGGACGGCGAGGTGTTGGGAAGGAGTAATGCGCCGCGTAGAGGTGATCTGGTCATTCCAGGAACCACCGCAGCTCAACGCAATGCACAGCAACAGGGCCAACAGAAGCAAGGCCAGGCAGATGCAGCCACAGCAGGTAGTAGTGCTAGCAAGGACGCCGCCGCTGCTGGTGCCCCTCAGCCAGAGACAGACGCTGCCGCCCGTCGAGAAGCTGAGGCCGACCTTTTCACCTCCATCATCGGGCAAGAAGACGACCCCACCTCACTGGACGCGGATGAGGACACGGTTCACTCCTTCGAGATCCGCGAAGAAGAGATAGAGAACGTAAAGCGCCGCTGCAACGAGCTCGGATTGCCCATGCTTGAGGAGTACGACTTCCGTGCCGACTTGCGCAATCCTGACCTCCCCATCGACCTCAGGCCTTCAACGCATATCCGACCCTACCAAGAGAAGTCCCTCTCCAAAATGTTCGGAAATGGGCGTGCCCGCAGCGGGATCATCGTGCTCCCCTGCGGAGCGGGCAAGACGCTTGTGGGTATTACGGCGGGGTGTACGATCAAGAAGAGTACACTCGTGCTCTGCACCAGTAGCGTGAGCGTAATGCAGTGGAAGCGCGAGTTCCTCAAGTGGTCCAACGTCAAGGAGGAGATGGTCAGTGTCTTCACGGCAGACGTCAAGGAGAAATTCTCCAGCTCGGCTGGTATTGTCATTTCCACGTACTCAATGGTGGCCAACACGGGCAAGCGATCACATAGCTCGCAGAAGATGATGAACTTTCTAGAATCGAGGGAGTGGGGTGAGTAGGCACACCAATGACCTGACGCAGTGAGCAACGTACTGAGCTCCCTTTTATCGCATGATCCAGGCTTCATCCTCCTCGACGAAGTCCACGTCGTCCCCGCCAGCATGTTCCGTCGTGTCCTGACCCGCATCAAGGCCCACTCCAAGCTTGGTCTGACCGCCACATTGGTCCGCGAAGACGAGAAGATCGACGAGTTGAACTTCCTCGTCGGCCCCAAGCTGTACGAAGCGAACTGGATGGACCTAGCCGCCAAAGGTCACATTGCGACCGTACAGTGCGCTGAAGTCTGGTGTCCCATGACGCCCGAGTTCTACCGCGAGTACCTGCGTGAGAGCGCGAGGAGGAAGATGCTGCTTTACTGCATGAACCCGAACAAGTTTCAAGCCTGTCAATTCCTCATCAACTACCACGAGAAGAGAGGAGACAAGATCATCGTCTTTTCGGATAATGTGTTCGCGCTCGAGGCTTATGCCAAGAAGCTGGTCAAGCCCTACATCCATGGTGGGACGCAGCAGACGATCCGAATGAGGATTCTCCAACATTTTCAGCATAATCCGGCGGTCAACACCATTTTCCTCAGTAAGGTGGGCGATACCTCGATCGACTTGCCTGAGGCCACTTGCCTTATCCAGATCAGCTCGCACTTCGGCTCGAGGAGGCAAGAGGCGCAAAGATTGGGGAGGATCTTGAGGGCCAAGAGAAGGAACGACGAGGGTGAGTGGCGCGAACGCGCCACGCTGCGAGCAAAAGGCGATGACCACGCAGCAAGCTGACATTCCTCTTCTCACCATCCGTCACCTTCGCACAGGCTTCAACGCATTCTTCTACTCGCTCGTCTCAAAGGACACAGCAGAGATGTTCTACTCCACCAAGCGTCAGCAATTCCTCGTCGATCAAGGCTACGCGTTCCGCGTCATCACCGAGCTGGTCGGAATGAATGAGATGCCCGACTTGGTCTACCGTACCCAATCCGAGCAAATCGAGCTGCTGCAGAGCGTGCTCATCGCGAGCGAGAGCGCGGCGGATATCGGCACGGATTTGGATGGCACCAACGACCTCTTGGTAGCAGGCAAGAACGGAGGAGGCGGAGGGAGACAGTATGGCGGTCCTCCGAGAGCCATCAGTGGGGCAGGTGGTGGCCGGTTCGAGAAGGCGAAGCGCAGCGCCGGTTCTCTCAATGCGCTTTCTGGCGCGGAACACATGTCCTACATTGAGCGCAATCCTTCGGCTAACAAAGCTATCACGAGGGACAAGGAGAGGAACAAGCTGTTTGTCAAGAGGAGTAACGAGCTGAAGAAGAGGAAGCAGATGATGGATGAGGAGCGCGACTGAGGTGTCTGCGTACATGTGAGATCGTTCATTCTGAGACTTTGTATTTCTAGTCAATCTACACCATGACAAGTCTAGTCGCCACGATATCTCGCCGCCTCGTACCTGGCCCAAATATCCTTGAAGACAGCCTTGCCCGCCTCTGCACTACCACTGCTGCCTCCAGGCCCCATGTGGCCGGAAGAAAGTAGATCGTCGTTGGCCAGAATCCAATCACGCTCCGCCGTCCCTCCTCCGAGAATGCCGCACAAGTTCGTCAGGCCACCCCCTCTTCCTCCAGCGCTGCCTGACTCCACAATGGCACCAACGCCGCCTCCGCGTCGTCTACTAGAGTTGGTTGTGCCAGCTGTATCTCCGAGCAGCTCCCGTTTCACTGCCGCATCGATGTAGCACCCAGGCTGGAGGATCGCATGGACGTAGCTGAGGATCACGTAGGCCGCGTGCTTGGAGAAGGGGCGGGAGAGAGAGTCGATTGATGCTGCAGCTTTTGCTTTCCCGCCATTGCGCAAAGGCAAAGAGCCACCAAAGGGGCCGCTGGATGTGCTTGTCGATTTGGCTGAGATGGTTTCGAGCAGACGTGAGAAATCGCGTGCCTCATTCGCGCCCAGAGCAAGGACAAAGGGAATGTTGGCAGCTGAATCACTCATCGCTGGTCTTGCTCTTGCGTCGTCGTCCCCTTCAACAGCCACGGTCAACCATCTTGGCATCCCCTCCACCAAATTCTTCTTCTGCCTACTTGACGCCTGAGGCAGAGAACGCCTGAATAGCGGAGCAATCTGCGCCAGCACGATACCCAGCTGCGGCAGCAGGGGAACGAGCAGCTCTCTGCGCAGTCGGACGAGGCTGCTTAGAATGGAGATGATGCTGCTGAAGATGGACTTGGCTATCTCGAGTCGCGAGATGCTGGAGTGCTGCCTGCGAGGTGAGCGAGTGATACTCGAGCCCTGTCCTGCCATTAAGCTGGAAAGCAGGGACAAGACGAGGTTGACGTCGACAGGTCGGAAGGCGAGAGCGCGGCCCGTGGCCACAGCTTCGAGCATCCGCAGGCACGAGAGGAGCGTCTCGCTCGAGCTCCAAGGATTTTCCACCGCCGTGCGGGCGGCGGTCAGAGTGGCCGTCTGCACCCTGGCGAGCGCCGCAGTAAAGTACCGCTGCGCCACGCTCAGAGTCTTCGGCGGGGCGGTACGCAGGGTCAAGCCGAGTGTGTAGAGCAGGGCGCAAAGGTTGAGCTGAGCGTCCTCGCCGCCTCCGCCGACATGATCCAGAGCCTTGTTGAGGGCATGCAAGGCACCTTCGTATGCTTCGGGCGTGAGGCGAGCCAAGAAGTGGGAGAAGGGCGACTCGACATCCTTGGGCAGAGCAGCTAGTGAAATGAGGGGAGGCCTAGTGGCGAGAAGACTCGCCCAGGTCAACACACTTCGAGCGCCGATGCTGACCGGTGCGACGAGCTGCTGCTCGGCGCAGCTGGCCAAAAGAGCAGCGAAGGCGCTCAGAAAGGCCTGCGCCGCTTCCTCTGAAGCATGAGCGAGAGGCTTAGAGAGCTTCGCTACCAATGAGGAAGAGCAGATGTTGGCAACGCAGACACCGCCCAGCTCTTTGCGAGCCTCGAGGTCTTTCTCTTGCACCGCAGCGAGCGTGAGGGCTAGCCTACACTGGTCGAAAAGCGAAGCCAGTTCGCTGATGGACCCTAATGGCTCAGCGGTTTCCAGAGCCTGCACAGCCATCTGGGCCCTCGACAAGTCGCAGAGGTCGGGCACCTGAATCTCCTTGACCGCCTGCGTCGATGACGTCTCAATGAGCGTCTCGACCAGCCTGCCCAGAGATTGAGGGTCCTTCGCCGACACGGAGGTGACTATGCTTTGCAGCAATGAGCCGGTCATATGACGGGAAAGGATGAGATGCTTGAGGGCAAGCTGAAAGAGGCGCGTGCTAACTAGGAGGAGGCTCTCGCTAGCGCTTGCCTTCTTCGAAGTCGCAAAGCTCGTCAAGCGCTGCGCAAGAGCCTGTTGCGCCTTCTCGCTGAGCCCACCCTCCCGTGAAAGAAGAGAGCAGAGCCACTGCTTAATGGCGATCTCGTCTTGCTCTGTCGTATCGCCCCTGTCTTTCACTTGCAGTGCTGAAAGGAGGAGACCCTCTCGTACGCTCGAGGGAAGGTATTGCACAGGCAGGTGCATCAAGGCAGGCAGCGCCTTCTCGTCTCCCTGAATCGCAGCCACAGCCGCTTTTCTCCACCTCTTCATCTCCCAGAATTCGGCGCTCGAAACAATAGCGAGTGAGCTCGTCCTGTAATGCACATGGGAAGGCTTGAGAGTCGAGATGAGCAATCCCGCCAGCCGCTCCAGAGAGGCCTCATCGCATGCGTGCTCCAAGACAAGGATCCAACGGCGGGCAAGCATGTCCCAAAGTGGTGCCTGCGATGAGGTTTGCGCAGCGGCGTCGTCGCAGAGTCCTTGGACTGTACTTCTCCAGAAGGGAAGGACGGAGGCGGAGGTAAGGTAGAAAGGATCCTCGACACCCCTCTCCAGAGCTTGTTCAGACTTGAAGAGGAGCATCCGTGCCATTTCCAGGCGCACCGTAGAGTCTTCATGGTTTGCGAGAGCGGTGAAGAGCTCGAGCCAGAGGTCGTCCAGGATGTTGAAGTGGTCTCGAGATGTGGTAGCATCATTGGTCGATTGCTCAGAAGAAGATGCTTTCTGTCCGGCACAGAGGCCACAATATGACCACAGAGCGCTAGCAACGACCTGGAATGCTTCTCTTGACTGCCCGCCAGCTGCCTTGTTAGACTTTGCGAACTTTGTTCGCTTCGTCTTGCCGCTATCTACTGAGCCGAGAGCGCTTTTGATGCATCGACGCAAGACTGAGACGATGCGTTCGAGGGAGGGAGACGCTGCTTCAATGAGCGCAGCAGGGACCGGCAGAGATGCCACAATCGGGTGGGCGGTCTTGAGAAGGTTGGTCTGTCGGGCAAAAGGCGCCACAGGATCACCCTCATGGCCCCTCTTCATGCTAGGTGTCGAGGCTTCGTCCTCCGAGGATGAGTCGCATGCCATTTCGAGTGAAGTAGCCAGGTCTTGGAGCACCTCGACTATTTGCGTAGGCGGCAGCTGAACGCGCACGGCACGACCAATTGCTTTGTTGAACCACGTTGAGTCCAGAGCAGCTTCGTTGTCGAAGACAACGGCGTCGCACTGTGCAATTGATCGTTGAATCAGCCGCAGGAGCTCCGGCAGCTCTTGCACCCTCGCAAATCCGTCGAACAGGTCGTTGAAGAGGCTCTGAACGCTCGAGCGGACGTCCGGAGAGATCGGCTTGCGCAGGACACACAGGATGATTGCACTAAGCTGCTCTCGGATTAGGTCCTGATCAAGCTTCCAGAGCAGCTTTAGGCTGGTGAGCGAATGCTCGTCTTTCAACTGTGTAATACCACCAGCTTCGAGAGTGGAGCGGACGGCGCCCATTGTCTTCCGCAGCATTGCGGACCATACCGGGGTCCTTGAGAGGTGGGCCGCGAGCCCGGTCTGTACTGTGATGTCCAACAGCTCCGAGCGAACAGCGATGACCTTGGCGCTTGCGTCGGGCGAGGACGTCAGGGCGAGGGCAGGCGCTAGCATGGCGTCTTGGAAGGCTTCGTACAAGCTCATTGCAGCAACTTCCGGCGCGATCGCTTCGTCTCCTTCGGTCGCCTCTGCATTGGCGGCTTTACGGGCATGGTTGCGCAGCGAGTTGGCCAAGTCGCTGCTGTGTAGCTTTGCGCTGCGGTACGCCGAACGAATCAGGCGAGGGAGGATGCTGACTGCTACTTCACTGCCTAAGTGTGCAATGGACCGAACGCAGTTTGGCGATGACGAGGACGCGGACGCCGGCAGTAGCTGAGAGCGAAGCGCATGGACGTTGAAGAGTGTGCTATCCGCCCACTGCCAGATGGTTTGCTGCAGGACATCGAAAAGCTCATCACTCTCGCTCAGCGCGGACATGCGAGTTGAGGCCTTCGCAAGCTCATCGATGTCCAATGCCTGCAGCGACTTGACGCTCAAGGCAGAATTTTCCAGCGCGGCCTCATTGAATGGCGCGTGCAAAGCTTGGAGAAGGGCAGCGATGCCCGCGGCTGCTTCAGCATGCTTTTTTGACAGGTCGCTCGTCTTTTTACAGGCCGTAGTGAAGAATTCGTCGATGCTGGAGCGGGATGATGAGGAGAGATGTGCTGCGACCTGGCCCAGCAGTGGGGCGATAGAAGTCGAGGCTGTTGGAAGACATGCCTGCGTACATGTGAAGTCGAGCTTAAGTAGGCATGATGAAATAAGAAGGAGCGATTGCGGTGTCAGACGAGGGGAGAGCGCGGTATAGGATGCTCCCTTGAGCGCAGGCTCGTGGAGAAGCTCGGTAAGAAGATGCCAGTAGGCAGGTTGTCCGAGGGGTGACTTGGAAGAGATGTCCTGCTTAGCCTTGGAAGCCTGCTTCGCTGAATTGGAGAGTGTGTCCAGCACCCACTCGACGAGTAGTGGCGCCAGTCGAGGGATTTGTAGGCCTTGATGACGCTCGCGCCATGCCAAAGCGGCGAGGTCAATCTTTGGCAAGGCTGTATGCGAACAAGTCGCCTGGCCGACCTCAGCGCCGCCGCACTGCACTGGGTCTGCGGCGCCCTTGAGCTTCCTGATGAAAGCTTCGGACGTTGTGATGCCTAGAGATGCTAGACTGGCTCCCGCCATGCTGAGTGAGAGCGAATGTGCGGATGAGAGGAATAACAAGACGGAGTGACGGACTGCGAGGAACGAATGGCTCGACCAAAAATTGAGCGTCGCTTTCCCTGCTCCCGCTCCCACTCCCGCTCCTTCTGCCACGCGATCGGCTGTTCGGACGGAGGGGGCCGGCACTACCAAGCTCCCGAGACAATCGTCCCTGCCGTCATCTCTCCCACGAGCGAGCGATAGTCAAAACTCATATCACATCATAGCGAAAGCGGGCCGCACGCCTTCCTCCGCAACTTTGCTTCGCGGCAAGCATGGTCGCAGGATAATCGCAGGGCATGACCCAGGCTGGGAGGCAATGTGACCCAGACTCAACCGCACGGCAGCGGCACACGGCGGCGAGAGCAACCGTTGGCGGCAAATTGGCGAGTGCGGTATCCAACAGGACGGCAAGCGGCATGTTGAGGCCGCTGGCGTGAGAACCGCTATGGCTCGTCTGGGCATAAGAAGGCGCCCTTTCTGGTCTCTTGGCCTCCAGCCTTCATCAAATCTGAACAGCCAAGGATGACTACCCAAGTCGACAACGTCTTCAGCCCCGAGCAAGCCTACATCGATTGGACGCAGTATGCCAGGGGACGTGCCCCTTACCAGAAGCGCATGTTTGACATCATCTACGACTATCACTCCAAGGGAGGCGCTGGCTGGGATCTCGTCATCGACCATGGGGCTGGCGATTGCACGCTGGCCCCTTTTCTCCTCCAACGCTTTAAGCATGTCGAAGCCACCGATGCCAGTGAGGCCCAGCTCAAGATCGGCGAAGAACGTTTGAGGAAGGCTGGAATAGACGAGACCCGCCTGACGATTCGCACTTGCCCTGCTGGAAGCAATCCTGGGCCTGATGCCAGCGCTGACATGGTCACGGCCGCCACCTGCGTGCACTTCTTTGACATTCCCGCGTTTTTGACCGACGCCGCTCGCCTTCTCAAGCCCGGCGGCACGCTCGCCATCTTCACGAGTGGCGGAATCCCTGTGATCATCGACCGTGACCAGAGCGGCATGACGAAATTGTCTGCTACGGGTGAGATGCTGATGGAATGGTTCAGCAAAACGGTGATGACCGAGCTTGCGCGTGTAAGTGTAGCAGCATTCAGCGCGCAGCAGCCGCATTGCTTGGACAACCTGACACGTCCTTACCCTACAGCTGAGCCCCAAAGTGGCCAGTCAGCTCAACATCGACAAGATTGCCATTCCACCTGTCCACTTCGAGGCCGAGATGCGCTACGACTTGGGCGCGCAGGGCGCCGACAAGAACGGCTACATCAAGCTGTGGAACACCTCTCCTGAAGATCGCAAGTTCGGCAAGGATGCCACGGTCGTCAAAGAACGTCCTCAGGATCCTCGCAAAGCCATCGTCTACCGCAACGACGTCACTTTTGAGGACCTTGACCGCTTCATCATCTCCATTGGGCGCGCCAAGGGTGAGGGCCGCGTGCCTTGGATCGATAGTCAGGAATGGAAGACCGCTCGCGCTGAGATGGTCAAGATGGCAGGTGGGGAGCACGTCAAGATGGAGGCTGTCTATGTGAGCAGGCTCGAGCGCTGCAATACGGTAGAGCCGCATTGACCGCTTGCCTCCCCTGGCATCCTCTCGTACACCCTCACAGCCCCTGACGATGCTCCTTGCCCGCAAGAAGAAGGCTTGATGGCGACGAAAGCTACCCTCGCCGCCATTTGCTATCGCCACTCCCGTATACACGTGACACCTTTCCAATAGAATTCAATCCACCCTCTCGATCTACTGCGTTCCTCGCAACCGCTGATGCGGCCCGTATGATCCGTTCAGCCTGATATTTGCCACGGTGGGATGAGACGGCACGGTCCGCTTCGGCCGCAGTTATGGAGGCAAGGCTTGGCTGCTGTTATTGCGTTCGTTATTCACCACGGACCGTGCGCTCCCATACCGTCCGAGCGCTGCATCTACGGCAGGCTCGAGCGCTTATTAGTTCTGCTCTCATTCAGTCTTAGCCTGTGCCCTGTCCCACCAAAGCATCCTCCCCATGACGTCTCAAATCGACATCACCACTCTCAATATCTACGGCAAAGCAGGCGCAGAGAGCTGCGACTGGACCAAGTACATTTCAGGCCGCCAGCAGTACCCTGCCCGCCTGTACGACACCGTTTTTGCCTATCATCGCGGCGACTGGAAGGAGGTCATCGACTTCGGCGCTGGCGATTGCACGACGTCGGCTCAGCTGCTCAAGCGCTTCGACCATGTTGAGGCGACTGATCAGGCCGAGGAGCAGCTCAAGTTGGGTCAGGAGCGACTGCGCAAGGCTGGCATCGGAGAGGACAGACTCAGCATCAGGGTCTGTGAAGCTGGAAAGCACCCTGGCGAGGCGGGCAGCACGGACATGGTGACGGCCTCGACCTGTATCCACTTCTTCGACGTGCTTGCGTTCATGGAGGACGCGGCTCGTCTGCTCAAGCCTGGAGGAACACTGGCCGTCTGGACCGGCGGATTTGCCCCCTACTTTGTCGAAGCTATCGACGGCAAGGCCAAGAAGTCGCCCTTGTTCGACATCTTCCACGGGTTCATGAAAGCAGGGATTGCTCCTGACATGGAGCAGGTGAGTGTCTTTGGCGGGACAGAGCAGCCGGTCACAGTGGCTGAAGCGCTCCTCTCGACGCCAGCATTCTCGTCGCGTCATGTACCTGATCAACCTCGACAACATCGGCGTCCCTGCTCAACTCTTCAGTGACGAGACGCGCTACAACTTCCATCCACCCAAGGGCATCACCTTCTTGAACAAGACGGAATGGCATGACGACAAGATGTACGCCGTTGGCCCACATGCCCAGGTGATCGACGATATCCCGACGCTGCTCCAGCAGTGCGCCATCTACCGTGACGACTTTACGTTTGCTGATCTGGACAACTATGTCCTTACGGTGGCTCGTCCTCGCATCCATGGACCAAAGACGAAGCGCTACATCGACACCGACGAGTACAAGGCTGCGCGTGCCAAGATGGTCGAAGTAGCTGGTGGTGAGGACGCCAAGATGCAGGCCGTCTTCCCTATTTCGCTCATTCTGGCTCGCAAGAAGGATGCCTGAGGCTACGTCGTAGCGTTGTCTTGATCTCCTTTATTGCTCGATTTTTTGACTACGTGCCTTCCATCTGAAAATCTCAAGAAAAAAAGAGGCGTGGGCTCGCCGCCCCCCTCACTCGTCCTGTCGCGCATGGGCTGTCGTGTGTCTCCGAGTTGGCTCGGCGTCTGCCGCCGCGCTCGTCTTCTGCCTGAGGAGCGGCGCTTCGGCCACGCAAATTTGCTTTCGCGCTCGAGCCAGCTCGAGCGGAGCAGGACGTGAGGACGACGTCTTGGAGACACCCCCTCTGCTCCCCTTCCCCCCCTTGCCTTCGCTACCACTACACCTCCCAGCCTGGCGATTCCACCCAGCCTTGAGCACCAGCTTCCTCGCTCACTCACGTGAGCTTGGCTGTCCACCTGAGAACAGCGCCTGCTCACGCTCAGTAATTGGGCCCTCCGAAGAGGACGACTCCGAAGTCGCATCCGCTTTTACCTTGGTCATCATCGCTACCGGCAACTGTTTCAGGTCGCGCGAATCCGACATAGCGTCGCAGTATCGCGTTTGAGCTCGCTCAGGCATAGCCATCTCTGAAGCTGCTCAACGACCTCGACGTCGGCTGCACATCATCGACTGAGGAGAGCGATCACCAATCACCAATCCCACTCCCAATCCCAATCTTCCCCTCCCGCCGCCGCACGGTCCAGCGGTCCAACGCCATCAAGACGCACGGATCACTGCGGCTCGACCAGCAAGAACTTCTGTTCACGGTGCTCAGAGCTTGACAAGACGTTTGATCGACCTTGTTCGTCAATCATACACATCATCATCATCGTCGTCGTCGTCGTCATTGCCGCCGTCATCACCACCAGCTCACCTCCAGTCATCGCCACACCCACGCGACGCGATTTGCATCCGCGCCACCACGAATATGTCCACTCGTCCATCAGCACCTGGTCCCGCTGCCTCCATCTCTTCACCACGTCTCGGACATCCGCCAGGGACTGGAAATCCACCTCCCTTTTCAACTGCCTCCCCTGGCGGATCCCCTCGTCACAGCTTCGCGCTGCCTGGCCACATGTCGCCCTACCGCGATTCCACATCGCGCTTCCCCCTTTCTGGCTTGGCAAGCCCTCGAGGTAGTGCACTGTCAAGGATGAATGAGCCTGGCGTACCTCACGCTTCTACGTCTACCAGCACCAACTACCCGACTTCGGCTTCAAGACCAGTGTCTCCTGCTTCGGGCGATGAGGATGGCGATGGCAGGGGCAGAATCAGCCAAGTCAGGGGCGAAGAGTCCAGTCGCTTCTCGCGACCAAGCTCGCCACTTGGGGAGCAGGAGCTCGATGCAGCCAAAGGTGAGCAGATTGCACGTACACGCACTCAACTCAATCTTCTGACCTCTTCTTGTCCTCCCTTGACAGCCTTCTTCCCAGGACTGGCACGCGTAGCATCCACCGAGGACGCACGCTCCAATCCTCCTTCTCGACTGGCCAGTCCTCGCCGTGACCTCTTGCAGCGCAACTCGCCTGCTGCCACCTCTCTACGCTCCGGTATCTTTGGCGGACGTGATGCGTCGCCTTGGTATCCCGAAGGCGGTCGCAACTCCCCTTTTGCATCCAGCTCGGCCAGAGATTTGCGCGGCGACGACGGGCGTGATGGCAGCGGCGACGAGCGTGACGGTGAGCCTAGTCGAGGCAAAGACCCTGCTTCGCGCCTTCGAGACAGCGGTGCAGGCGAGCCCGAGCGCTACTCCTCGCCAGCAAGCTTCTATGCGCACCACGGACTTCAACTGCCTACAGCCACTTCGACCGCACTTCCATCAAGCGCATCGCGCGGTCAGCCAGCCTACTCGTCGCACGCTCCTTTCCATCCAACGGCAGCCCAGTACTACGCCTCTCGATCTGGCAGCCGCGGTGATGATAGCAAGGTTGCACCACCCCCTCCCCCTCCCGGAGGAGGTGCCTACACCACGCAGCGCCCGGGTCCTCCCTCTTCGTACTATTATCCTCCTGGCGCAGCATATGCTACTGCTGGCAGCAGCCGAGGAGGTGGTTACCCACCCGCAGACCAGCATGCCGGCTCTGGCAATTATCTCGGGTACGCCATGCCCCCTGGCAGCTACGACTATCAACAGCAGCAGCATGGTCAATATCCAGCCCCTCCCTATTATTCGCACCCTACTATGAGCTACCCTGGGTTGTCTCAAGCAGAGAGTCCCACCGAGCAAGATGACAAGGCCGCGGTCACTACTACGGGCAAGAAGCGCAAGGCTCGGGCCAGCGAAGGGGCCAGCAAGGCAGCCGGCGGCTCCACCGCTTCCGCACCTCGACGTAAGCGCAAAAACTCCGTGTCCAGTAGTGCCAATGACAGCTACGCCCCAGACCACGATGCTGGAGGTCCCAAGCTGCACAAGTGCGAGTCCTGCGAAAAGACCTTCAGCCGTCGTTCCGACCTCGCGCGTCACAATCGCATTCACACGGGCGAGCGCCCTTACCCTTGCACGCACCCGGGCTGCAACAAGTCCTTCCTACAGCGATCAGCGCTCACTGTCCACTCGCGCGTGCACAGCGGCGAGCGGCCGCATGAGTGCGAATTTCCTGGCTGTGGCAAGAAATTCTCCGACTCGAGCTCGTTGGCTCGTCATCGTCGTACCCACTCGGGCAAGAGGCCCTATGTGTGCGAGTTTACGGGATGTGGCAAGATGTTCACCAGGAGGACGACACTCAATCGTCATGCGCGATGCCATGAGCCCGGATTCATCAAGCCTCCGCCGGGCAAGAGGGGCAGGCCCAGGAGGAAACCTTCTGGCGCAGATGGCGGAGAGGAGGACGAAGAAGATGAGGATGAGGAGTACGAGAGCTCCCAAGTTGGATCCGATGGAGAGGACGGGCCTGTTGGGGGGATCGGCGATCAGGACCAGCAGATGACCAGCGCGGCCGTTGCGGCTGTAGCGGCTTATCCTGGCGGCAACGCGCAGGAGCCTCCCCCTCTCCCACCAGCTGCACCCTCCGACGGCTCCCCTGTACCTGCTGCAGCTTCTACCGCAGCGCCGAGCTCCACGTCAAAGTCTTCGACCTCGCGGCCGGGCGGGGGCAAACAGCGTCGCCGACGTGCTTCCACCAATGCGCAGCGAGCAGCTGAGGCCCTCGCGCTGTTTGGTCACCCAGGCGATGCGGGTACAGGTGATGAGGGTGGGCCATTCTCGCCCTCGCCTGCACCTGTAGCTGACGTCCAGCCTCCGGGGCAGGCGCCACCTCAAAATCAGAGCAACATGATCGACCCCGCCCTGACCATGTCTACCAACACGTCTAGTGCGGGCCCTGCACCGGTCTCTTCTACCAGCAGCACTGACGCTGCAGGACAAGCGGAGGACGCCATCGCAGGATTGGGTATGCTCAATGTTCCGCGAGATGACACCGCCAATAACCCTAGCAGCTCTGTTGGGGAGTTGAGCGCTCCACCTGCATTGGCACCCGCGCCAACTGCTCTACCGTTTCCCACGGGCAATCACCTCACTGACCTGAGTGATGCGGCCGCACTGGCCCAGAATGAGGACTGGCCGCGTACCGTACCTTCGACTCCTAAGGCTAGTCAGACGCAGACGCCAAGCAGCAGTGGCAGCACGGCCACCACGACAGCCGCGGCTCCGGCCACGACGACCACGACAGCCGCCGGCCCCGGTCCTTCACCCCTTGCATCCACCGTAGCCACCAATCCCGCCACCAGCGCGGCACGCGTAGCATCGCCCGCACCTCCTTCGGGTACGGCTTCCTTCCTTGCCTCGTCTGCACGCGGTCGTGCTCGTGGCTCGCCTGTCGTCGGGGCTACCAATACGGGCAAGGGGGACTCGAGGCCGGTCTCTAGGGCAGCTACGCCCTCTACTACGGCGAAGAAGTGAGCATTCGAGGTGTTTCGACACCAAGCGAATCAAAGGCGGAACCTCGTCTGCTCTGTGACGAAATCGATACCCCCTCTGCGTTCCTCCCCATCTTTCCGCATCATGACGACCACCCGTCTCCTTCATCAGCACCACTCCTTCTTGACCGCACAAGCTTCTCATCGTCCGTCGCGTTTTCCATCAAATATGTAGACTCTCGCGTGTACCGACCCGTTCCCTGTTTTCTGACCTGACTACTGTGAGATTCGGTCGAAATGTAAAGTGTCATGCAATCCACTGTTGCGCGTGCGAGACCGGCTAGGGTCGCGACGTGTCGTGCGCGACTACCCCTGAAAGGAGCCATCTATCTCTGCTGGCGGCCGATGAAACTGTGGCGACTCATCTGCTTGTGCCGATGCGACTCTCACACAGTCCAATGCGGGGCCCGTTTCCCCCTTGATGGCACACGGCTGCAACTCGACGTCGACGCCGCGAGAGACACACGGCGGAGGAGGCCACGCGGAAGGTGGCCCCCCTCTCGCCGCTGGGATCACCCTCTCAACGTGCGCTAGGTCTTGCCGACCCGCAAACAAGGCGGACTGGGCGCGGCTTCCCCGCGCTAAATTGGCTCCACTGGTCCTCACGTTGCCTCAACCCCTCGACCCCGAGTGTTGGTCTCGATGAGAGCATGGAGAGCACGATGCATCGAAGGAGGGGCTCACAACATGGTGGATGGAAGAGGACGTCCGCGAGATGGTAAAACACTGGCCCCCTCACGCGATCAAGCGTATTCTCTTCTCCACCATCTGCTTCTCGTCTTGGCCGTTGAGCATTACAGAAAGCGGCCCGCAATCACACATCGCCCCGCCGAATCCACTCAAGAGCCGTAGCCGCCCTCGTCAGCGCCGCTTCCACCGCCGACCCTCTCTTTATCACCGCTGCGCTCTCAGTAGCCACCCATCGGCCCATCATGGCACCCATCGCCTCCTCCTCCTCTCACCACTACGAGCATCGTCGTCTCAACTCGTCATCCTCGGCCTTCCCCGTGATGACAAACGACACCATGGCCACCGCCGCCAGTCCGCTGAGTACAACGACACTCGGCGCGGCTAATGGGACCAGCCTCGCCTCGCCGGGCATTCACCCACCCGTACGCAGCATTTGCTGCATCGGCGCAGGGTACGTAGGGGGGCCCACGTGCTCCATCATTGCGGCTCGATGCCCGCACATCGACGTTACCATCGTCGACATCAATCCGGCACGTATTGCCGCCTGGAACTCGGACCCAGACCCGCTGACGGGAGACTTGACGGGGCTGCCCGTCTTTGAGCCTGGGTTGAGTGACATTGTCAAGGAGTGCAGGGGCAGGAACTTGTTCTTCAGTACAGACGTGGATGAGGCTATCAGGAAGGCAGACCTCGTCTTTGTGTCGGTTAACACGCCCACCAAAAAGAGTGGTGTGGGAGCAGGATATGCTGCCGACCTACAGTGAGTAAACAGCGAGCCAGTGGCACCTCGCTCTCCTCTCCAACTCACGCCTCGCCCACCTGCCTCGCCAACAGCTACGTGGAATCCTCCACCCGTCGCATTGCTCAAGTCGCGACGTCCAGCAAAATTATCGTTGAGAAGTCGACGGTACCCTGCCGCACCGCCTCGTCAATGCGCGTCATCCTCGAGTCCAACTCTCGCCCAGGCATCCACTTCGACATCCTGTCCAATCCGGAGTTCCTGGCCGAGGGGACGGCAATGCGCGACCTCCAAGCCCCAGACCGTGTGCTCATCGGCAGCCTCGACACCGAGAGCGGACAATGCGCTGCTGATCGACTGAGCGAGGTCTACGAAAACTGGGTGCCGGCGGAGCGCATCTATATGACTGGCCTGTGGAGTAGCGAGCTGAGCAAGCTGGCTGCCAATGCATTGCTCGCTCAACGCATCTCCAGCATTAACTCCCTCGCTGCCATCTGCGAGAGCACGGGTGCTTCGATTCACGAGGTTGCGCATGCCTGTGGATTGGACAGACGCATCGGACCCCAATTCTTGCAGGCGAGCGTCGGCTTTGGAGGGTCTTGCTTCCAGAAGGATATCCTCAACTTGGTGTATCTCTCGGAGAGCCTGGGATTGACCCCGGTGGCCAACTATTGGAAGCAAGTCATCGAGATGAACGAGTGGTCCAAGAATCGATTCGCGCACAAGGTCGTGCAGACGTGAGGAGCGCCTTTTCCTCTGATCCTACCTCCTCATACGCTGACCCTCACCCGCTCTTCCTGGATGCGCCGCACAGCCTCTTCAACACCATCACAGGCAAGAAGGTCGCCGTGCTAGGCTTCTCCTTCAAGGACAACACAGGCGACACCCGCGAATCTCCCGCCATCACCGTCTGTCGCTTCTTCCGTCGCGAGCTAGCCCGCGTCAGCATCTACGACCCCAAGGTCCCCGAGGCGCAGATCCACGCCGACCTCGTCGACCGCGAGCACGACGCCACTGGCGTAGTAGCTCCGCAAGGCACCAACAACGTCACCGTCTGCTCCTCAGCCCTCGAGGCCTGCAAAGATGCGGAAGCAGTCGTGGTTCTCAGCCCCTGGCGCGAGTTTAGGTGTGAGAACCTTGATTGGGGTCATATTTATGAGAATATGAGCAAGCCCGCTTTCGTCTTCGATGGAAGGGCTATGCTTGATGCTGAAAAGTTGAAGAAGATTGGGTTCAAGGTGCACGCTGTTGGTACGGGGCCGGAGAAGACGGATGCTTGGCTGTAGGTGGGCCGAGCGACTGATGGCTCGCAACCTACGACGACCAAGATGCTTGACGCGAACGTGTCCGCCTGTGAACGCTATCCCTCTCTCCTCTAATTTAACGATACTCCTCACTGCTCCTCACTACTCTCTTGTGGGGTTCTGTGGTGATGAAATGATATTACAAGGTGATGATCAGCTGAAAGAGGGAGTATCGACGCGGGCAGGCATGTTCCTCTTCCTCCTGCCCAGCTACGTCCGTCTCTTCGACGATCTGTCCTGAATGGCGCTCAAAACTGTCTATGCCGGCCAGCCCAGGAAGCCAGCTCTCGGCGCCGGCCTTTTGATGGCGAGCGGCGATGGCGTGCTCTCGATGCCATTACTGCTCCGTCGCTGTACCGCTCCACAGCCCGAATGCGACGCTGTCTGGCCGCCTGCGCTCGCCTGATCCTCTCAAGCCAGCCTGCTCCGCTCGCAGCGGAGAGGCGCTGCTCTATCTCTCGTTACTCAGCCCTCTCTAGTCGTCTCCCAGGAAGAAGTAGGTTCCCGCAGCCTTCTGCTCCTTGTCCTTGATGGAGTGGTACTTGTTGAATCTCGGCCTGAACGTCGCATTGTCCCTCCTCATACTGACATCCAACGCCTTGAGGAAAGCGTTCATTCCCGTCAAGAGGGATTCGGGCGCCTTCGCATGCGCCTTGATCGAGGGCGTACCCTCGTAGACGATGACTCGGTCCGCAAGATAAGTGGCCATGATCAAGTCGTGCTCAACCACGAAGGCCGTCTTTCTCGAGTGGAGGATAAAGCGCTTGATGAGCTTGGCGGCCAAGATACGCTGCTCCGAGTCGAGGTAGGCTGAGGGCTCGTCGATGAGGTACACGTCTGCTGGCTTGCCCAGCGCGAGGACCAGGGCGACTCGCTGCAACTCTCCACCAGAGAGGGTCTGCACCTCTTGGTCCATGATGGCGTCCAGGTTCATGGGCTTGAGCACGTCCGTCTGGAACTGCGGGTGCAGGAAAGCTCCCTTGATCTGCTTGATGAATAGCATGCGCACCGTTCCCGTGAACTTGGGTGCGATCATCTGTGGCTTCAACGAGACATTGATCTCTGGTGGCTTCTCGCTCTCTCCATCTGGCGCAAGCTTGCCCGCAAGCATCTTGACAAAGGTCGTCTTGCCCGTTCCATTTTCACCGAGGAAGACGATGATCTCCGAATCACGGAAGTCTCCTGCGTCGATCTCGAGCGAGAAATTGCCTTGCGTCTTCTTCATTGCCGGGTAAGGGACGGAGCCACTTCGCTCGACGACCTCGTCCTCGGCCGTCTCTGCAATCTTGAAGGTGAGGGCATCGTCTCTGAATCGCATGTTCTCGGCGGGGATGTACCCTTCGAGGAAAATGTTGATCCCGTCTCGTACGGGGGAAGGGACGGTAACTACTCCGTAGACGGAGGGGACACCGTATAGGCAGCAGACAAAGTCCGAGAGGTAGTCGAGGACGGACAAATCGTGCTCTACTGCGATGACGTAGGTGTGGTCGTCGAGGAGCGAGCGGATGACGTGCGCTGCCTTGAGACGCTGCTTGACGTCGAGGTACGACGAGGGCTCGTCGAACATGTACATGTTGGCATTCTGAACGCTGGACATGCCAATGGCGAAACGCTGCAGCTCTCCTCCTGAGAGAGCCTTGACGTCTCGCTCGAGGACGGCTTGGAGGTCGAGAAGGTCGACGATCTGATCCTTGTTGTTTCGCTCCAGCTTTGCGTCGAGAAGCTCGGACACATTTTTGAAGCCCTTGATGGCGCGGGGGATGTGGTCGACATATTGAGGCTTGATGAGAGCCTTGATGTTGTCCTCGAGGACCTTTGTGAAGAAATTCTGCAACTCTGACCCGCGGAAGTACTTGAGGATCTCTTGCCAGTCGGGCGGCTCATCGAAGCGGCCCAAGTTGGGCTTCTGCTTGCCGGCGAGGATCTTCAAAGCTGTTGACTTGCCGATACCGTTTGTGCCTACCAAACCCAGCACCTGACCTGCTCGCGGTACGGGTAGCCTATGCAGCTTAAACGAGTTTGCAGAGTAGCGATGTGTTGTCTCTGCCTCGAGGTTGGTGGGCAGCTTGACGATGTTGATGGCTTCGAAGGGGCACTTCTTGGGGCAAATACCACAACCAATGCACAGCGTCTCAGAGATGAAGGCCTGTCGAGGGGGGGCCGGCGAGGATATTGGGTCAGACGATGATGGACGATGCAAGGGATGCTCGCCCGTTACTCACAATCTTGGACGTCGGCGCCACCTCGATACACAATCTTCCCATTCTTACGACTGGACATGATTTCTTGCATTCCTGCTTGCACTTCTTTGGCTTGCATTTGTCCTGATTGACGATTGCGATTCTCGTCTCCTTTGCCTCGGGGCCGCCCTTTGGAGGCTTTGGCGCCATCGCGGCGAGAGATGAGTCGGGGAGCTGAGAGGTGAAGAGAGGGAGAAGGGAGAATGGAGGATTGAGGACAGAGTCGTGGGAGTAGTGGCTGCTCTGGCGCTGATGATATGCGGTGCTGTGGTGCGTCTAAGGAAAAAGTGGTGCCAACTGTTAGGACTTTGCTTTGAAATGGTGTCCACTCGTCCTTCGACGCAGGCCTCGCTCTCGTCTCCTCGGACGGAAATCGATTCGAGGACAGGCCTGCAAGTCTGAACTGCACAGTCACGTGTCGGCGAGCTCAGCCCGCCCCCCCTGCCCTCGTCGACGACGACGTGGAGTCGCCTCGATTGACATGGCTCGTTCACGCTCGCATGACGTCGGAATCTCTCCATCACCACCAACCCCCCGTTATGAGCTCGACCAACGACACAAAGACTCAGCTCGCGCAGAGCATCGTAGCATGGCTCAAGGACTCCAACACGCAACAGGGAGCCGCCGACGCTGCGCAGCTTGAGCAGGCAGCCAAGTCGATCTCGAGTGCATTCAACCTGCCCTCGTCCTCGGCATCTAGCGGCCCTGGCCTCCAGACCATCTACGACGTCTTCCTGAAGACGCAGAGTAAGATGGGCGGCGGCGCAGCGTCGACACCCGCAGCAGCAGCCTCGTCTTCATCAGCGCCTGCAGCAGACAAGCCCGCCCCCTCCGCCGAGGCAATCGCGCAAGCCGACCAGCACAAGACGGACGGCAACAAGTCCATGTCCTCCAAGGACTACTCGTCCGCCATCGCATCCTACACAAAAGCCATCGACCTCAACCCGAACCCAGTTTACTACTCGAACAGAGCAGCCGCCTACTCTCAAGTTGGGCAGCACGACAAGGCAATCGACGATGCGAGGCATGCGGCGCAGCTTGACCCCAAGTTTGGCAAGGCCTACAGCCGCCTGGGCCATGCGCTCTTTAGCTCTGGAAAGTACTCCGAGGCAGTCGATGCGTATCAGCAGGGCTTGTTGGTGGACCCGGAGAACAAGCTGATGAAGAGTGGGTTGGAGACTGCTAAGGCGCAGGCAGAGAAGGAGGGCGACTCTGGGGCGGGTCCTTCGAGCGCAGCTGCTACCAGGGATGCGCCGGGCGCTGGTGCTGGTGCAGGCGCAGGGGGTGGGTTCGGTGGCTTCCCTGGGATGGGTGGCGGAGGAGGAATGCCCGACTTGGCTTCACTGATGGTGAGCAGTGTGACGCCACGAACAGAGCCGGGGTCCCCGATTGATGCTGATTTGTTACCCTCGCTCGCTCGCTCGCGTCCTCAGAACAACCCTCAAATGGCAGCAATGGCACAGCAGATGATGCAGAATGGCGGACTCGAGCAGCTCATGCAGAACCCTATGCTAAGGCGAATGGCAGAGAACATGGGCTCGGGAGGAGGGATGCCCGACATGAGCCAGCTTGGCGCTCTCATGCAGGACCCGCAAATGAGGCAGCTCGCTCAGCAGTTTGCAGGTGGTATGGGACGAGGCGGTGGTCAAGGCGGTCAAGGAGGGCAGGGTGGTAACCCGGGCAACATGTTCGGTTGAGCAAGGTGGGTATGTGCGCTGGTTCTGGCTGGGATGGCGAGAGCTGACCCTCTACCCCACGCAGGGTTACCATAGGCGATTGCGGCTCCACCAGAGGCCGGTGAGGGCATGATTTCTGCTTCTCCCGATTGTACAAGACCACCGATCTCTGGCGGCATCCAAAAGTTTGAAATTAGAGTACAAGACATCAGGAGTTCACGCCCCTTGACACGGCTTGCTGGGTGTGAGCTGAACGCGGCCGCAGAAGAGGGCAAAGACTTCGCGGAGCGAGCGACGGCGTGAGCGCCGAGTCGAGTCAAGTCGAGCGGCGAGCCAAGGCTCAGCTCCAGCATCAGGCGAGCTGAGCGGAGGAAAGGGCGGTGCGTCGATGCGAGCGTCAGAGCAAAGGGAGCATAGAGCCGCTGGCATCGAGCCGCTGGCACATCTGCCGCTATTTACATCACAGCTTTGCTTTCCACCACCATCACTGTCCTCTCCACTCTCTGATCCTCCCTCTCTCCCCCTCTCCCCTCTCCCCTCGATACACTTCCCACATCATCGCGACCCTCCGCATCTTTTCTCCTCATCCACTACTAGCTGGACCAACAGCCAGCTCCTCTGCTCAGTCAACACACCTAGTCTCCTTCGTTTTCGCACCGCCGCGCCCGTCGAGTCAGGAGCCCATCACCCATCAAGTCAAGTCGGTCAGTATGCTCTTGCTTCCGATTGCTAGCCCATCAGCCGACACGCTGACACGTTGCCCTGAATCCTCCCCTCTGGTTCGTAGAGGTCGAGTGCACCTTGAAGAGCCCTCATGCCTGCTTCGGCTTCAAGGTCATCGACGAACGGTCTCGAACCTAGTGCACCGGCTCCATGGTCTGACCTGCCCGCATTGGGAACCACGATCTTGCTGAGCACTACAAGAATGCAAGGAGCAGGCAGCTCGGCTGGCCAAGCACGTCGATGAGCTCTTCCAAGGAGCCATGCGTAGGGTGGAAGCACGTCGATTCAAAGAAATAGATCAAAAGGAGAAAGCTACAGGAGACTTCATCCACGTCATCATCCAGTTAGGGCCAAGGAGTCCGAGCACAAAGAACAAAGGAACATACCCTAAGCCGAGCCTAGAGTATGCCGAGCCTCAACATGTGGCACGTCAAGATTACCAGCAGGAGGCCGTTCACAGTCGACTCGGCTTTGCAGGTCTCGGATCAAGGCGAAGCAATCTTTCTCCCCGTAGCAGCCATACGGATCAACAGGCAGGTGGAGAGCACCCACGGTCCGAGCAGCGATACTTATGACCGAGGCAATACAGGCACACTGGCAAGAGATTATCGTGCTCGTCAAGCGTCACGCTCTTACACCATCGTTGATAAGATGTGTAAGCTCCGCCACACAATCTTCACCTGCCGCCATGGCCAGGACTGGGACTTCGAGGAGATCAAGAGGACAGGCAATCCGCGACGCCAAGCTGAGCCGCAGCGCAGCAATCGCACAGCTGCAGTTGACCATCCCTGGCCTAAATTTTCGGGCCCTTGTCATCCTTTCAACCAGCATCGTGACGCCTCTGGGCGTCCACGTCGCCACCTTCGTCTACACTTTCACATCGTCGGTGGACCAGATCCGGCAGGTTGATGACTCGCCGGACGGCGACGGATCTCCCCTCGGACACACGCTGGAGTCGTGCGCGCTCGTGCCGGCGATGGTCCAGCAAATGAAGCGCAGTGCCCCGTTGTTGGACATTGCACTTGTATTTGCTGCCATCTCGGTCCAGGCGACGGTCAAGATGAACGATGTGCGCAGGAGGGCGATCCTGGAGAAGCTCGGGTTGATCTTGCAAGGCGGTCAAGGCGTCAGGGAGGCCTTCTGCAAAGCTCGTCACGGCGCCAAGATGGCCAAGAGTCTGGCGCCCCTCAGTCGGGCGATGACTGGTCTTGTCATGGCCGAGCCAGACCTTAGCGAGGTCGAGGCTCTCCGCACGGCTGTGCCAGGTGCGCCTGCCAAGGCCAACATCGACACCCTGTTGCAACTTCATCTTACCCTCGCCTCATCCACGCTGACCGGTCTAGAAGATAAGATCGACGAGCAAGAGGTCAAGGCGTATACAGTCAGCACCTCAAGGAGAACGTGTTCTTTGCGAACATCCTGCCAAAGGTCCTCAAGCATATTCTGAGCACCCTTCGCAACTTTGCTGACTCAAGTCTCGCTTCAAGGTCAAATTGATCCGCAACGAGGACCAGATCCCGGTGATCTTCCTTGGAAACGAGAAGACGCCGTCATTGAAGATCCTGCGGCTCGTCCTTGCCGTGGTTCTCAGAGGGCTCTTTTACTGCGACCTGGTCGTGCTCGTCCGCTGCGGCTTCCTCGTTCTCTGGCCGCTCGAGGAGTTGATCCTCCGCCCTTTCTTCGTCTGGATCGTCCACTTCGCTCGTCGCGGAGCGTACGATCGCATCTCGCAGCTGAGGATGGTGTTCGATGGAGCGCCTTGGTCGCCGCTGAAGCCGACCCTCCTCGCGCACGTCAACCACGCTCGCGTCTTCGGTGTCTGGGCTCACCCCGACGAAGGCGAGCGCGATGAGCTCGTCCCGCTCGATGACAAGGATGCTTTTGTTGAAGAATTCGTCAACATCTGCGTGCAGCCGTGGGTGATCAACAAAATGCTCGCCTCGGACGCCCCCGCCATCATCGTGCAAAAGGTCGAGTGGGCTCGCCCGGCCGTCGAGACCATCCTCCGTCGGCTCAAGGAGGCCAAGCTCGTCGACATCACCGACGAGGAGATCGGCCTCGTCGACCAACGCCCGTGCACGCTTACCTCGGACCAACTCGCCGCCATTCGCGTCAATGGCATGACGGCGCTGGAGGAGGCCGGCAACTACATCTACTAGGCTGGATGAAGCTGATCATCGACCTGTCTCTCTCCTGTTTTCCATAACCCCCCCTCCCCTCTTCATCTCTTCTTCGATCACGTCTTCAATATTATCCTTTTCATCTACTGAGACTCGCGGGTGAAGCGGTGATGCAGTGGGGCCGCTTCTACGGTGCCGCAACGGTCCGACTCCACGTCACTGCAGCGATGAGTGCTCCTCAGCTCTTAGACTTCAGTACTCAGCATACAGCTTTAATGCACACTCAATCGTCATTCTGAATCATTGTGCTTTTGATTGAAGGGAGAAACAAAGAACAAATCGTCACTTCGTCTTGCTACGGTGCTGCATGGGCTCTCGACCTCCCTCCGATGCGACGCACGTCTAGTCAATGCTCTCCATGGCGCTCTCGCCCGTGACCTCCTCGGCAGCTCCCTTCGACGAGTCCTCAGCAGCGTCGAGGTCTCCGGCGTCATCGATTGACAGACCGAGGGAGATGAGCTTGTGAAGACGGTTGGCAAAGGTGCTGGGGTCCTCCAGCGAGAAGCCGCTGGTAAGCAGCGCCGTGTCATAGAGAAGCTTGACCAAGTCAGCAATTGTCGGGTCCGAAGCGTCGCTAGCGACCTTAGAGCTCAACTCTTTGATGATAGAGTTCGACCCGTTGATCTCTAGGGTCTTCTTGCTCGCCATGTACTGAGACATGGACGAATCTCGAAGAGCTTGCGCCTTCATGATGCTTTCCATGCGAGCAGACCAGCCGAATTGGCCGGTGACGAGGACGCAAGGCGAGCCGACGATACGCTTCGAGACGACGACCTTCTCGACCTTGTCGCCGAGGATCTCCTTGATGTTGGAGCACAGGCCCTCGAGGGACTTTGCCTGCTCCTCGGAGGCCTTCTTCTCCTCCTCGGTCTCCTCGAGCTCGAGGCCGTCCTTGCTGACGGAGACGAGCTTCTTGCCCTCGAACTCCTTGAGGTTGGTGACGCAGTACTCGTCGATGGGGTCGACCATGAGGAGAACCTCGAAGCCCTTGGCCTTGAGACGCTCGATGAAGGGCGACGTCTTGGCTGCGGTGAGGGACTCGGCGGTGAGGTAGTAGATGTTCTTCTGGACCTCGGGCATGCGGGTGATGTAGTCCTTGAGCGAGGTCATCTCGTCGCCAGACTTGGTCGAGGGGTAACGAAGGAACTCGGCGAGCTTGTTGCGGTTCGTCGAGTCCTCGTGGATGCCCAGCTTGATGTTCTTGCCGAATGCCTCCCAGAACTTGGCGTACTGGTCCTTGTCCTCGGCGACCTCGCTGATCATCTCGAGCGTACGCTTGACGACGTTCTTGCGGATGACCTTGAGAATCTTGTTCTGCTGGAGCGTCTCACGCGAGATGTTGAGGGGCAGGTCCTCGGAGTCGACGATACCCTTGACGAAGTTGAGGTACTCGGGGATGAGGTCCTCGCAGTCGTCCATGATGAAGACGCGGCGGACGTAGAGCTTGATGTTGTTACGCTTCTTCTTGGTCTCGAAGAGGTCAAAGGGAGCGCGCTTGGGCACAAAGAGGAGAGCCTTGAACTCGAGCTGGCCCTCGACGGAGAAGTGCTTGACGGCGAGGTGGTCCTCCCAGTCGTTGGTGAGTGACTTGTAGAAGGTTCCGTACTCGTCGTTGGTAATCTCCTGCGGGTTGCGAGTCCAGATGGGTTTCGTCTTGTTGAGCTCCTCGTTGGTCGTCTGCATCTCCTTGACCTTCTTCTTCTCCTTCTTCTTGGAGGCGTCCTCGTCCTCGACCTCCTCGATCTTGTCGTCCTTCTTCTCCTCTTCCTCCTCCTCGACTTCCTTCTCTACCTCCTTGGTGACAGCGAGCTGGATGGGGTATGAGATGAACTCGCTGTGCTTCTTGACAATGTCCTTGATGCGCTTCTCCTCGAGGTACTCGAGCTGGTCCTCCTTGAGGTGGAGGCGGAGCTCAGTACCGCGGCCGAGGGAAGGGTTGGTCGTGTCCTGGGTGATGGTAAAGGTGCCACCGGCAGCTGACTCCCAGATGTACTGCTCGTCGTCGTTGTGCTTGGTGATGACCTCGACCTTGTCAGCGACGAGGTAAGCCGAGTAGAAACCGACACCGAACTGTCCGATCATCGAGATGTCGGCGCCGGATGAGAGGGCCTCCATGAAGCCCTTGGTTCCGGACTTGGCAATGGTACCGAGGTTGTTGACGAGGTCAGCCTTCGTCATGCCGATACCAGTGTCGCGGATCGAGAGAATACCTGCAGCGATGTAAGGTGGAGTTGTGTCAGTGGACGAGTCCCAGTTTCGCTCTCCCTCACTCCTCGCACTCACCATTCTCCTTGTCCGGGGTGAGGCGGATGTAGAGGTCCTTGCCGGTCTCGAGCATCGAGGGGTCGGTGAGGGCGGCATAGCGGATCTTGTCAAGGGCGTCTGATGCGTTGGAGACGAGCTCACGCAGGAAGACTTCCTTGTTCGAGTAGAAGGTGTTGACGATGAGGTCAAGCAGCTGGCCTGGAGAGTGCGAAGAGTGGCGACAGGTGAAAGTGGTCAGCGGCTGCGCTAATCGTTCTCGCAAAACTCGGAAATGAACCCACTGATATCAGCATTAAAGCCGAATGTCTCCTGATTGTCTGCCATGATCGCGATGCTTGGTAGGGGTGAAAAGCTTCAGCGAGTGAGAAGTTGATGGAGAGAAGGCAAGAAGGAGCGCTCGCAGCATGGACGGACCAAGGCAACTTCTTCAACGGAAGTCTCGAGAACAACGAGAGGCGAGTCGCCATCGGAACGGAGGGCGGCAAGGGGCGGCTTCTCCACTCGAGGCAATCACAACGAGAAGTTGAGGTCGAGACAATGGCATGGGAGAAAGCTGGTCGACGCAAGCAGGTGCCAGACCCTTCGACGTGAGCAGTGACACGCCTTTTGCTCGACATCAGTGAGCGGACGGACGTACGTACGAGCGTGTCATGGTGAGAGGTAGGCGACGCTGCGAAGGCCGTGTGGCAGGCGATGGCTTCGAGACGGACCCGGGCCCGGGCTCGCCAATTCTGCTTGATCTCTCAGTGGCCTTCGAAATTGTAATGTTGCGCCGTCTCACATCGTGTGTCGCTCAGAGTAATTGAGATGCGACCACCAATAGACGGCGACGACGATGACGACGACGTCGACAAAATGAAATATTTTTCGCACTTCTTCCATCCTCTTGCCGCCCAGCTCACGAGGAGCTAGCCCGCACTCCGCCCTGCCCAGCAAGCAGCCTCACCCTGGTGTCAACTTTTCGATGAGCAACGAGAGCGCAGGGCAGCGCCGGTAACAAATGACTAGCTTGGCTAGCTCTACTAGTCCGCATTGGCTTCTCGTCCGCTCTCTCCTCTCTCTCGTCCGCGGAGGCTGGTGTCGTGGGCGAATCTTGCGGGGTGTCTTGGTTGAGTGCCGCGGGCGGGTCTGGCTGCCTGCAGGCGGGCCAGCCAGCCAGTCCAAGATTGGCTCCAAAGCGAGGGGAAGAGCGAGGAGAGGCAAAAAGGCTAGACCGCCACTTACAGCGGGGGCGGGAGCGGCCAAGCAAGCCCAAAAGGAGTCGAGCAAACGAGCTTCAGCAGCGCCCCCGCCTTTTCCCCGCACATCCAGGCTTCAGGAACGATGCGAAGGTCAAGCGAGCGGTCAAGTGAGCAATGCATGCCTGCTCGCCTGCCGCAAGAGGGCCAGAAAAGAAAGGGGGGCTCGAGCTCGAGTTTGGCGGCGAGACGGGCGACGACTATGAGTTGCGGTCGTCGGTCGTCGTCGCTCCCGCGGAGGATGAACACAATTGACGGCGAGACGAGACCTTCAGCTAGCCAATCCCAGGAGGCCTCCCCCACCGTTTGCACTTTTGCACCCGCTCTCTCTCTTTCTTTTCCTCCCTTCCTAACCATTCCCATCCTACAACCTCCTCTTCGTCATCCTCATCTCCACCCCCTTCCTTCATCGCGGCTCAAGCCCCTATCTGCCGCTGACCGCCAACCGCCAACCGCCACCCTCGCACTCGGTCTCGGCGTAGTCGCCGCCGCTCTTGACCGCTGCCTCCTTTACTCCTAACAGGCACAGTCCAATCAGTCCTTGTCATCGCCGTATCCGCCTGCTTTCCTCGCCCAAGATGGCGGTCGCAGCCATCATGAGCGCTTTCCACCCCAACCACGACACGGCATCCACCATGAGCAAGCCAGCAAAGAGCCGCAAGCGCTTCTCGCTCATGGCGCTGCTGCCCTCGCGCAAGCTCAACAGCAGGCGTGCCACTGCCTTGCCCACCGTCAACGTGGATTCTCAGCAGTCTAAGCAGCAGCAAGCCTCGTCATCATCATCACCACCGCGAGCTCACCGCAAGCAGTCATCGCTTGACCGCCACGACATGTGCCGCGAGGCTAGGTCCATCATCGATGACGGTGACGTCGACCATCCGGCCAATACCACTGCTCCTGTAGCAGCAAAGACCACGCAGGAAGTCTGTCCGATTGCTCGAGCCATCCTCAGCGATGCGGCCTATAAACAGCGCCTGGCTGTCATGGCGCTCCAAGACAGCGCACAGCCTCAACCACTTAGCAAGCACGGCGTCCCTCGCCTTCCTCGCGGCTCCCTCACTTCGGAGAAGCTGCCACTTCTCGACCACGCCTTGGCTCGTGTCGCCCTCAAGAGAAGCACGTCCGATGTAGAGGATAATGGCGATGAGGACGAGCAGCACAAGCGCCATCTCATCGTCAACGGTCGCATCGCTGCCGTGCCCATCCTACCTAAGGACAGCGCAAAGTCTCCTTTCGAGGACGACGACGATGACGCTTCCTCCAACCACTCTAGCTCTGACGGCGGTGCTGGGACGGGTTCAACGCGCGCCACTAGCCATGGAGCACAGCACGGCTTCCGGGTAGGCAAGGTCTCCCTCGCCCTTCCTCGCCGCACTTTCGATGGGGACGCTCGATCCCTGCTTCCTCGCCCTTCTACGGAGCCTACTGCAGACGCTGCCCCTCGTCGCTCCTTTGGACGCCCGTCTTACTCGCACGCCCCTCCTGCCTCGAACCGTTGGGCTAAGCAGCACAGCCAACAACAGCCACAACGCCCACGCAACGAGCGAGCACGAACGACTTCGCCGCCTCTGTCGCGTAGCTTCAGCCAGAGAAAGCAGCAGGAGGCCAGCGCTGCAGGCCGTCAAACCTCACTACCTACCAGCCCGTCCCCTCCGACATCGTACCGTCGTGCGTCCATGGAGGCCAAGCGACTTAGCTTGCTCGCCCTCAACTCGCTCGGCGGTCACGCACCGCAGAGGGACTACTTTTCGGAGGTCGCGCAGTAGGTGCGATGCTTTCTCGCAACCACGTCACTCGCTACGTGCCCGCTACAACGTCATCCTCAGTCTCAAGCTTCAACTTTCCTCCAACACGATACCAATGGGTCGATACCCTACAGGATGCGCCACGATTCCTCACGACCAGATCCCATACACGCTCGCCGCTTGTCACTCATCACCGCTCGCCTTCAACGGCTGCGTCGGCCCCTTACCCGAATCGTAAGGATTCTCACAGCTCTTCGATGAGCTAGCGCCGGCTGCCCTTAGGCCGCATGCGCTAGATCTCAGCCATTTCTACCCCTCGTCATCTTCTCTCTCTTTCTCTTTCTCTCCTGCGCCCAGGCTTTCTCAAAGCGCCCTACGCACCGCTCGCGATGTATCTTCCCCAGAATCTCTCTTCATCTTTCACCGTCCCTGTCCAGCCACTACAACAATAGTCACGTAACCACCTCATGATATGCACGACGCTCGTTTGACGCTCGCTCGCTCGATCTTCCCTGCCAACAGTCTTTACTCGCTCTCTCTTCTATGTCCTCGCTCCCGTATCAGATTGCTCCACGCTTCCCACTGTCTCCTCTGAACGACTCAGAGAGGATCTCGCGATCAGTGTGGCCATGCGGCCCTCGTCGGTGCAATTGCGGGACGTCTGACTTCTCAATCATCAAACCTCGACCACAAATACAATTCAATCTCAATCTAGAGTAGTCTATTCCAGAGCAGTAGCAAAGATTCGATCATGTACGCTCCTCGTAAGGCGTACCACCTTAGTAGCCCACATACCCACCATCATCGCCACCATCTACTCCGCTCCCTCCACGCCTGAAGAAGTCAACCAGATCCGCATCCTCCAGATCCTTCCTCAACGTCGTGTTCGCCAGATCAGGGCGATCCATCAACTCGAGCGAAACACGCAATGTCTCCCAGAGCGAGCCATTGTTCCCAGCATCGTCCTTCTCCTTGCCCATCTGATGCTGCTGCTGGCGCTGCTCCCCTGCCTCCTGCAGGCTCAACGCAGTATACGTGTGCCTCGCGGCCTCCTCGAACATCTTGAGGTTGAGACAGCTGATCGCCAGATTAAAGTGGCAACGCGCAAAGTCTGGCTTGAGCTCCAGTGCGTAGCGGTAGTACCCTAGAGCTTCCTCTGATCGGCCCGAGTTGGAGAGTACAGCACCCAAGCGATTGTATAGGAGCCAGTCGTCTGGCCTCACGGAGATGGCTGCGGAGAAGCAGTCGACAGCTTTGGCGAAATCATCGGAAAGGTTGAAAAGGACGCCCAAGGCTACTTGCACGTCCGCGTCTACTTCGCCGATGTGTGCGCCGGGGCCTTGACGTGCCATGCTGAGGAGAGATGAAACGATCTGCGCTTGACGCTCTGCGGGTGCAGAGGACGTCGTGCGAGGGTGTGCGGCTGCCACGTCTGGGTATCGGTCATTGGCGCCGATCCAGCGCTCGAGAGCCTCGTACGTTGCCAGGCGATCTGACTCGTTGGTGTAGCTGACCGCAAGAGCGAGCCAGGCATCCTTCATGAACGGGTCGATCTGCACGGCGCGATGCAGTGCTGCGATGGCGGACCGCTCACGCTCGTTCTCCTGCTGCTTGACGCCCAAGCTGTACCACGCGCCGCTGTCCGTTGGGTCTGCCTGAACAGCTGCCTCGCTCTCGAGGATGGAGCGCACCTCCTCGGGCATGGAGCTTGCGGTGGTGTGAAGCAAGTGCTGACGCGTTGTAGCAAGGTACGGGTTGTCCTGCTGGAAAGCGTACGAGGGGATCCTGGAAGCAGTAAAGGGCTGCTGACGGGCATTCATGCGCAGCCCCTCAGGTCCAGCCTCAAAGGCATCCCAGTCGCTCTGCAACTTATCCCACTCTGCCGCTTGACCGACATGTGAGCGACCACGCCCCTCGGCGCCTCGCCAGCTTCGGCCCACGAAATCCTCTTGACTGAAGAGATCGTCATCATCCATCTTCTCCTCCCAGCCTGTGCGCATTCCGGCCCCAGCCACGTTGGCTCCAAGGTCACGGTGCTGCCTAAAGAGCTTGGCCTCAGCATCATCCTCCGCCATGCGGGCAGCCATGTCACCGCCGTCACCGATGAAGGCGCGATTGGCTGCGGTGTTTTGACGAGCACGCTCCTCGATGGCTTCACTGCGTCGGTCCTCCTCGGCCCACATCTCGTTGAGCCAATCTCGATCTTGTCCTTGCCCTTGCGCGCTCATGGGGGCTTGCAGATTGCCATCGGCGCCGACGCCGCGGAGCATGGCTTGCCGGCGCGCAATCTCCTCTCTCTCGCTCTGCGGTGCGTGCATGGAGCTGTCGAAAGCTCGACCCTTGCCTTTGTCAAGGCGTGCGGTCCCTTCCACTTCCTTCTCGAGGCCGCTCGCCACCGCAGCGCCCTGCTGCCCCTCGATAGGCACGATATCATCACCTTGAATCCCCGCCTCACGGTCGCGCAGCTTGCGCATCAAGTTGAGGAAGTTGCTCTGCTTGAACTTGTCGTTCTGGTCGTGCTCAACTGTGGAGACCAGGCGCCCGGCTGTGCGAGCGAGCTCGTCTGCCTCGCCTGCAGTCATCTCTGGGTGGACATGCTTCTCCTCGATGATCTGCTGAGGTGGCGCATCAGTGACTGGAGCTTGCGCAGAGTCATAGGCAGTGTAGGCCTCGCTCCAGTTCTTGTCATCTTGAGGCTGTACGGTAGCAAGAGGAGAGGCCTGACGCTGTTGATACATGGTGGGCTGATACATTTGCGGGCCATGCGAGGCAAAGCCGCCCATAGGACTGCCGTATCGCTGAGGCATGCCGCCTTGGCGGGCATAGGTGGCAGGGCCGGTTTTCGCAGATAGACCTGGAGCCTGTCGAGAAGCAGAAGCTTGCGATGGACCACCTGCGAGGAAGTCTGATGACCAGGCATGCGATTGCGGTCCTGGCTGATGCTGCTGCTGAGCAGGTGGCGGAGCACGAAAGCTCGCCTCGAAGTTGGCCTGATTCGAGACGCCCGGCGCAAATTGATGAGCTGCTTGTGGCGCATGATGATGAGGCAGCGCATGCTGCAGAGGGGTCAAATCAAGGGGTCCCACGGGATTGAGCTGAAAGCCATCCTGCTGCGGCTGTTGATGCTGTCCAGAAGCTGGAGATGAGCGAAAGCCCTGCGTGGTGGCCAGGAGCGGTGGCAAGAGAAGAGAAGAGGATCAGCAGACTGGTAGAGGCTCAGCGGATGCTGCCGCGCCTGCTCACCGAAGACCTCGAAGACCCAGCCTGATTGAAGCGGTCAAGCTGGCCACTTCGATCTTGACCGAATCTCTTTCCCAGCGTCTGCAGAGGATTCGAGGGACCACATGCGGCGGCGCCACCGCCGACGAGATCTGACATTGGCATCGGAGCGAGGCACGGGCGCTTGTGTAGAGCTAGACCAGCTAGATGCTTAGCCTCGAGGGGGGATGGATGAGCTAGGTAAGACGTAAGATGCGAATCGCAGCCAGTCCGAGTCTTGATCTTTAGCCCTGACTTGGGTCGGCCTCCGGCTCTGTCGCTCACCCACCGGCAAGTTGAAAGTCGGCTCAGCCCACGCCCGCTCCACGTGGCGTGAACGCCGAGCGAGCCCACTTTTGAGCTGGCCGGCCAGGCCGCAGAGAGACGAGCAAGGCTTTCGAGTTAGGATTGCCGGTACGAACGAAGCCAGAATCGCTTCTTCGCAGGGGTACACAACGTCTGGTAGGGTTCGATGCAGGTGATCGTCTTTCCTCGACTTCCGGTTCACGATGGAGTATCCTAGCTCGCGAGATGGTCCAGGATCTCTTACCATCGTCGTCTATCCTGCGCACACCTCTCGGCGGAGCGAGCTGATGAAGCGCTATCAACAATATCCAGAGGGCGTGACCAGACGCCGCAATCTGGCGATGGTGACCTCGTGACAAGAGTCGTTCACCGTCCTCCTTACGCTCGAGCCATCTTCTCATGCCATGAAGCCAGGCTCTATTTGCGTGGTCACAGGCAAGCTGCCATTTCGCATCTGACTTTCAAAGGTGGGGAAACAAGGTAGCGCCAACGATGAGGGACCATGTAGCTCATGCAAGTGCCGGTAGTAGCCAAGCTTCAATCTATCGTTGCCCGTCTTTCCCACCTCCCAGTGGGCCACATGACTTCCTCTTTGCTCTGCCCCGCCCACCTGACAAGCTTTCCCTCTGCGTCTATCGCCTCACGCCGATCAAAGGGCCCCGGCGTTTGGTCCTCTTCCGCTGCACCCTGCGTCGCGGTGGGCCATTCGCCGCCCTGAGGCTCCACAACCGTGTGGGGAAGGAGCTGTCCCACTGTCCCATTGCTAATCGATGGGCGTCCAGTAGAGCCAAAGTGTATATCTATGTGGGAGTCTGTCATCCGGGCCGTCTCAGAACAACCACATCACCGCTCTCAATCTCCATTGCCACCTGTTGCGACCACAATGTCTTCTGGAAAGTATGTCAAGTGGGACGAGCCCAAGGTCGAGCACGGCGCTGGACCTGAAGAGGATGCCCTGATCCACGAGATCGAGCAGCAAATGTGAGCAGCGCAGCCGCCCGTCTTCAATCTGGTCCATTTCGGATCGTGCTGAGCATCTTTCCGTCTCACAGTAATACCTGCCAGAATGCAGTCTGGGCCGAGTCCCGCCACGCTTACAGCGGCACTCACGTCAAGTCGCACGCCTTCCTCAAGGGCGAATTCGAGATCCTGTCCGGCCTCCCCACCGAGCTGGCACAGGGCATGTTCGCCAAGCCGGGCAAGCACAACGCAGCCATGCGCTTCTCCACCGAAACGACGGCAATGATCGACGACCGTGTTCGCCAGCCTCGCGGTATCGGACTCAAGGTCTTCGAAGTCGAGGGCGAAAAGTTGCGCAACGATGGCGTCGATCCAAAGACGCAAGACTTCGAGTTCAACTCGTGTCCCGTCCTTGAGCTGGCCAACGCAAGGACCTGCCGCGATATCATTGCGCTCAGGCTGAAGCATGGGGGCTGCCCTGCTGACCTGGATGGGGCACTCAAGAAGCGCGACGACTATGAGGTCCAGGACGGGCGTAACCATATCCCCGCCGTGAACCTGCTGGGCCAGCGCCAGTACGGCCAGGCGGCTTTCAGGTGGGGAGACTACGTGGCCAAGTACGCCTTGATTCCTTCGCCGAGCCAGGTGAGCGACAAGGAGCTCTCGGACAAGGACAGTGGGCACGCATTCAGCGAGCAGTTGCGCAATCACTTTGCCAAGAATGGCGCCGAGTGGTAAGCACCGAAACGCCCGCGTTGATCAGAATCACTGGCACTGACCACCTCTCTCGCACTACCTGCTGCGCAGGGACTTCCAAGTCCAGCTCTTGGAACGCTCCTTCTTCGAGAAAGAGCCCGAGTGCGTTGAAGACGCCCGCATCAACTGGCCGCAAAAGGAGTACCCCTTCGTCACCGTAGCCAAGCTTCGCATCCCCGCGCAAGAGAGCATGATGCCCGCTCGCCGCGTCTTCTGGGAGGATCGTCTGCGTCTCAATCCTTGGGATGGCCTCAAGGTCCACTTGCCCCTTGGTAGCATCAATCGAGTCAGGAAGGGAGTCTACAGAGCCTCAGCTGTTCACCGTAGGAAGTTGAACGCGACTTTCGCGGTGGACTGCACGAGTATTGACGACATCCCTGATGAGAAGCCGATTGATGAGGAACTCAAGAAGGCGGGCGTGCCTATTATGGCTTGAGCTTGGCGGCGAGGGGCCAATGATTATCATCTTCTCTTTTGCGCTTCGTGACGACCTGAAATGTATCATCATGCGTGTCTGTCATTAGTGATCTGCTTGCAGTGTTTCTATGAGGATCTACGGCCAATTGCGAATGTTGCTCCTGGGAATGCGAGGAGGCGTCAGTATCAGTCTGCTCCTCCCAGCGACGGCCGTTCCCTTTGCACACTGCCTACTCACCAAACCTTGCTGCAGTCTGCATTCTCTTGCAAGAAGTCCACGAATCTGTCCATCTTGGCAATCGTCTCTGTGGAGACCCGCTCACCAGCATCGCCGCTCTCCTCGCCTTCCTCTGACGCATCACCTATCCTCAAGGGCGGACTAGTCGGCAGCATCCTCTGCTCCGCTTCCAGGACCATCCCTACCTGTGCCCCCTTCAATCTCTGGCTGATTGCCCCAATAGCCGCCGGCTCGCACAAGATTTCTACGACCGTACCGTCCTCCTCCAAGACCTTCTCCTCCGCATCGGACTCAGGCTCTTCCACCTCTCTGACTTCCTCTGCCCCATCCTCGAGCGCCATCTCAAAGACTTCGTCAAAGGTCTTTCCGCCCTCCGCGGGCAACGCTACTCTGACCACGCCCTTGCGCTCAAAGAGGTGACTGACGGAGCTTACCCTCGCCCCGCCATTCATCGAGGGCTTGTTGAAGATCTCCTTGATCCTCGCATGCGTCCTGCCCGGCGAATCGGTCGCACACTCAATAATCATCGCCACTCCGTCCGGTCCTAATGCCTCGTAAGAAACAGTCTGCATCCCCTCGCCGCCCGACAATTGCCGTACCGCTTTCGAGATTGTATTCTCCAGGCGGTCCTTAGGGAAGGAGAGCTCTTTGGCTTTGCGAAGGCACATAGCCAGGCGGGCATTCGTGTCCGGCGAAGGGCCGTTGGCTCGTATAGCTGCGCCTATCTCGCTCGTGAGGCGACCGAATGTATTCGAGCGAGCTGCATCGAGGATGGCCTTCTTGTGGCGGATTTTGGACCATTTCGAGGATCCCGATGCTGCTGGAGATGACTGCGAGAAGGAGCGAGAGGGCGCAATGATGCGTGATAATGCTGGTGGCGATTTTGTAGCCTCTGTTCGCAAGCAGAGCCGCGACGGCCCTGCGATGCATAGGATGCTGGACATGACGAAAGAGAATGGAGGATGAGGATGGCGATGCAAAGGCAGTTAAGTCACATCTTCGGGCGAGGCGGAGAGGATAAAGTGGCTCTCCGCATTACATAAGCAGACGCGTTCCCGGCGCGTCCACCTGGTCCGCGCCTTCAGATTGAAGCCTGTTGCATTTCGGCCACTAACCACCATCTGACCTCCCTCTTCATCTTCACTCATTGGCGCAATCGACACCGTCCAAGGAGGTCGAGAGCTCTCTCACAAGCTCATGATCTGATTGTACGTCATTTGCAAGCGCCGACGAGGGCGCAGGGTCGTGCTCAGCAATGGGCATTCAGGGTCTCTTGCCGATTCTCAAGGACGTTCAGGTGAGCCGAGAAGCGGGCGTCAAGGACACAGTCTATAACAACGCTGATCTCGTCGTCTCTTTTCGCAGAATCCCATCAATGTCTCTCAGCTCAAAGGGCAGACGCTTGGCATAGATGGCTATGTTTGGCTCCACCGCGGGGCTTACGGCTGCGCAAAGGCCCTCGTCAAGGGCGAGTCGACAACCAAGTGAGCAAAGCTTACAGGCTGCATGCGACATGGCTCCGGCTTCTCTGACCACCTTGTAATCCTCGCAGATACATCAACTACGCCCTTCATCGCATCCGCATGCTCCAACATCATGGCATCACGCCCTACGTAGTTTTCGATGGGGACCGGCTGCCGAGCAAGGCAGGTACTGAGGAGGATCGCGAGCAAAAGAGGGCATTCAACAAGGCAAAAGCAGAGGTGAGCTTGCATTTACGGAGACGAGAGCCGAAGCCGATTTCGCTCACCGTCGTCCTCATCTCATCGTCCGCTCGCTCGCGCAGGAACTCAGCATGCAAGGCAAGGACACTGCCGCCTTCGAGTACTACGCCAAGTGCGTCGACATCACGCCGGAGATGGCCTACCAGCTCATCAAAGCTCTCAAAGCCCAAGGAGTCGACTACGTCGTCGCTCCGTACGAAGCTGACGCCCAACTTGCCTACTTAGAGCGGAACCGCATCATCCACGCCGTGGTGACCGAAGACTCAGACCTCCTCGTCTTTGGATGCAAGCGCGTTCTTTTCAAAATGGACGCAAAAGGAGACTGCATCGAGATCCAGCAGAGCCGTCTCACGGCTTGCCGGACCCTCTCATTCGTTGGATGGACCACAGACCTCTTCCGCCAAATGGCCATTCTGTCAGGTTGTGACTATCTGCCCTCCATATCCGGCATGGGCCTCAAGAATGCACATCGCCTGCTCACGCGCTACAAGACTGTCAAGAAGGTTCTGCAGGTCGTGAGGCTAGAGGGAAAGATGAGAGTTCCTCCGGACTATGCCAGGCAATTCGAGCAGGCAGAGAAGACTTTTCTGCACCAACGTGTGTGGGATCCGAGGGAAGACAGATTGACAACGCTGCAGCCATTGGGCGAAGATCAGAGCAATCAGGTACTGCACTACATTGGACCCGACATCGAGCATGACGTCGCCTTCGCCATGGCTCGCGGAGAAGTCGACCCCATCACGAGACTGCCGATCAAGGACCTGGTACCCGACACACGATATCCGCAGCAGCAGACGACGAGCGGAGCTCTCAAGAGGGGCCCGCCTGCTGCGCAGACCAGCAAGGGTCAACAAGGTCTAGGATCGTTCTTCAAAAAGGCGCCAGTTGCGAGGGCGTCGTCATCTGGCAGCAACGGTCTGCAAGCTCTCGCAGGACCTTCTTCACTTCGCCCACCTTTAGCACCTCGAGATCTCAACAAGGCATCTTCTGCGGGAGACTCCGGCACAGCAGCCACGCCCAAGAAGAAGAGCAAATACTTTGGTGGGGCGAGCAAGGGCATCGGCAAGGCCGTATCGGCAGAGGAGCCCATCAATGCCCCTCCTGTTCTGCCAACGAAGGAGTCCGAACGAGGTCATGCTGCCTCTCCTGCTGCTGCCGTGGACGACACAGCGCCCCTCCTTCAGCACCCAAACAGCCAATCGTCCCCAATTGCAGGCATCGGCGACTTCTTCTGCGAGCTCGACGGCGCTGATGCGGACATGCTCTGTGCCGATGAGCCTGCCGAGCGCGAAGAGGAGCCGGGCATGCGTAGCCCTTCGCCCGTGGCAGCGCCTCGACAGAATGACGATGAGATAGTCATGGGCGTAGCAGCGACTTTCTCAGAGGACCGTTGCGAAAGTGGCAATGAAAGGAGGGTGGCATGGGCGAGCGAAGATCATAGCGATGTCTCTGATGCTGACTCGACGCCCAGCAAGAAAAGGAAGCATATGCTGGACATTCTCTCTTCGCCGCTCAGCTTCGACGGAGACGAGCACGAAAGCCGGCAAGGTCTCGCCAAATGTAGTAACGCTGTTTCCGTTGACGACAGCAAGACCGGGCTCACGGCTCGCGGCTCTTCGCCGGACCATATCAACTCTTCTCCCTCTCAAGACGCAGTACAGGTCACAGCGCCAGCAGCGGGTCCGAATCGTGCGAGACAGTCACGATCTCCATCGCCTGGCTCACCTACGGCAGCAGCAGCGTTGCGACGCAAGCCTGCGTCGCACAAGCCCCAGCGGAGTGGCCGCAAGTCTCTCTCACTCGTCTCCGGAGCTCCTACTCCAGTCAAGGCCAACGAAGAGGACGGTGTTGTTCCGGCCACCGACCTTGCTCGATCCCTCTGGGCAAAGTACGCCCATCAAGACATCGAAGGAGGAGCCCAAACACCCGCAGCGAAGGCGGCGAGGCCTGCCAGGGCAGCAACGACTTCGCGTCCCACCCTTGGTCGCTTCCTCACCACGGGTAGTGCTGTACAGGGTGCATCGTCTTGTCGCCCGCTACGACTGTACAAGAGTGATGAGCCTGCGTCTCACCTGCCTTTCGCGCCCAGCAGCGCAGTAGACAGTCCCCTAGCACAGCGGGAGGTACGCGGTGGCTGCCAGATCTCTGCGGCTGGGCCTGCTCTTCAATTTCACTCGGGCCCACATCACGACCCCGCTCAGCAGGCAGATGACGCCACGCCTACTCCCATGATGAAGTCCAGTCGAAGTGCACCCAACGTTATGACTACCTCGGCCCTGAAGAGAAAAAATACGCTCAGCATGACGACGGACACCACCCCGGTCCGCCCACCTCTCGGTGCCAGGAAGAGCAGCAATGATGCCAGAGACGCAAGGACGAGCAGCATCAAGCGTCACAAGGCAATAGGAAGCGGGAAAGGAGCTCTGCGCCTTTCGACTAGCCCTCAACCTCCGGCTTCTTCTGCTTTTCTCGATTCGTTCCGCTTTCAGAGGGGAGGGGCGAGGGGAAGTGTTCAGGGATGAGAGGGCAGGAAAGGACTGCTCGTGAGAGTAGAAGGACGAGGATTGATCAGCATTAATGTGAAGAAGAGAAGCGCAGTTGTGTTCATCTTGTTACCTTTGACCTCAATAGCATCTAATCTTAACGAGCCCCACAGCGAGGAGAAGGAGCGAAGGGTGAAAGGTGGAGGTGGGACTCGAAATGCTGGAGGCCCGTGCGGTCTCTTGTCGCGACGTGATCGAGACGAGCGAGGATCCAGCGAAGGCGTCTTTCTTGGCTTCTCATCACAACGAAACTTTCTTCGATAGGCAGACAGCATGGATACCGACGACGTCGCAGCTTCGCCCCCCGCATACAATGGAGACACCCCGCGAAGCGAGCATCCACGTCCAGACTGGGTGCGCCTGAGCGCTGGTAGCGTGCAACCAGACTACACCTCCTTGAACGGCTCCTGGCTCTTTGCCTTCGACGATGAGGACCGCGGTCGACGAGACAAATGGTATCTCGACTCAGCACCAAACCGCAATCCCATCTTCTCAAGAGACATCACGGTCCCTTTCGCCTTTCAGACCGAGGCGAGCACTCTGGGCGAGCGGACCTATCATGAGATCCTATGGTTCGTCCTCCAGACGAAGAGGCGCCTGCAAAGGGGATGCGATCATCTTCTGCACTTCGGCGCAGTCGACTATGAGGCCGACGTTTGGGTCAATGGCCAGCATGTCGCGAGCCACAGAGGTGGTCAAGTGCCCTTCTCCGCGGACATCACAGCCCAGATCGAGGAGGAGAAAATTTCTGGGACACCCTTGACCATCTTCGTCCGAGCTCATGATCGCATTCAGGACCTCACGCAGCCTCGTGGAAAGCAGGTGAGCAACGCAGACGCATGAATTCAAAAGCGGCGTGCACACGCGACTGACGTCTCCGATCCATCACCCGCAGTACTGGAAACCCAAAAGCGAGTCCATCTTTTACACGCCTTGCAGCGGCATCCACCAATCCGTATGGCTGGAGGCTGTGCCCAAACAACGCATCGAGCGCGCTAATTTCGTCCCCAACATCGACAACTGCACGCTCGCCATTGACGTCGCCCTGTACGGCATCGATAGAGTTCACCAGATGCACACTCTGACCGGCAAGGCGACCATCGGTGGCCTCCAAGTCGCGACGGCTAGCAAGAGCATTCCCTACAACACTAGCCGAGCCTCTCTCACCCTAGACATGACTCTACAAGGCATCGAGGCCCCGGGAGACGTCCAGGTGAATATAGGTGAGCAGGCCATCAACAATGGCGCCTCAATCTCTATAGTGCCCGATACCATCTCCGGGGACACCTGGCAAAACGGCATCGCCCTCTGGTCTCCCGAGCATCCGGCTCTCTACGACATCGAGCTCGAGCTTCTCAGCGACGCATCTGGCGATATGGTGGACCGCGTCCGGACGTACGCGGGTATGCGCAAGGTGTCCATCGAAGACGGTCTCTTTAAACTTAACAATCGTCCTTACTTCCAACGTCTTGTGCTCGACCAAGGTCTCTGGCTTCAGACGGGCTTCACAGCTCCCACCGACGAAGCTTTCAGGGATGACATTCTCAAGATGAAGTCGCTGGGCTTCAATGGAGCTCGCAAGCACCAGAAGGTCGAAGATCCGCGATACCTATATTGGGCGGACCGCTTAGGGTTCCTCGTCTGGGGAGAGATCGGCAACGCGTACGAGTGGAACGACACGATGGTGGAGCGATTCGTGGATGAATGGGGGCAGGCGGTCAGGAGGGATGTCAATCATCCTTGCATCGTGGCGTGGACGCCCGTAAATGAGAGCTGGTCGGTTAACGCTCTGCCCAACAATGAGGCACAACGGGACTTCCTGAGGACATTGTACCATCTCACAAAGACGATTGACCCGCAGCGCAGGCCGGTGATCGACAATGATGGGTGGGAGCATGTGGTCACGGACCTCATGACGGTACACGACTATGCGGATGGAGAAGGGCTTCGCAAGACGTGTGGTAGCTTGGAAGGACTTCTGGCGCCCAAGGCAGGAAAAGATGTAGTCGTCCGTGGCAGCGAAGGATACAAGGGACAGCCCATTATCCTCAGCGAGTTTGGAGGGGTGAATATTGTCACTGAGGGTGGGACGCAGAACCGGGCCGGAGGGAGTGAAGACTGGGGATACCATACGGCAAGGAGTGCGGAGGATTTGGAAGGCAGACTCAAGGCTCTCATTGAGTGAGTCTTACAAGCGCGCATGCTGTTGAAACGAAGAGCTGACCGTTCGGTGTACTTCCTCCACCCCCCACTCCCGGCTGTGTGCCTCCTCTGCAGCGCCATCATCGACGGCGGCATCGTACAGGGATATTGCTACACGCAGCTGGCCGACTGCGAGCAGGAGACCAATGGTATCCTCACCGCAGACCGACAGTACAAGCTTGACCCTGAGAAGTGTAGGGCCATCTTTGGGAGGAAGTCGAGATGGGAGATGTGAGGTCGAGTCGGCGATTGCCGACGACGTCGCTTGATTGTCCATCTACTCGCGTGCTGGCACGCCACACCTTGTTGACATTACTTCCTTGCTTCGACATCCAATCTGACCAGGGTCGGTGTTGACCGTCTCGCTCATCTGAACCAAAAGTTCACACTCGCGCTTGTCGTGAGGCTAGCGACGCAGTGGAACCATCCACGGGGCAGAAAGAGGGCATCCCCAGGCTCCAGCGTAACATTGGCAGCCTCAGCTTGCTTAGCCGCTTCGTTCAGGAGCGGAAAGTCTTTCTGTCTCTGCCCCTCGTCAACGCCGCGTAGCAAGTAGTTCTCTGTAGGCACCGTACTGGTATTTTGTTGCCTGCCTCCCTTCTCGAGGTAGAGATAGGGCTGCGCTGCCGGAGGGAAGACGTGAAACCTCTTCTTTCCCACCACTTGAACGAAGATGTTCTCGTATGGGTCGCGATGGATCGGTGTAAAGGTGCCCCTGGGGCCGACCCAGGTGTTTGTGCGCCACTGCTCCTGATCGCCTCGAGGCCCCACAGTGGTGTGAGGAAGTGAGGGACATTGCTTGGCGAGGGTGGGTGAGAGGGCAAGGAGATCTTGCTGCGCCACATAGCCTATCAGGTCTGTGGTGCTGCTGGTAAGGGAAGGGATGCTGCCGGCGATAAAGGCGTCGAGGAAGGTGCCGAAGGGCATCTTGACCTTCTCCCAGCTGCCTTGATCCAGGTATCCTCTGCCTCTCTGTCCCACCTCAACCTCGATTATGGATTCCTCCATCTCGTCGACTCTCATTCCCTGCAGCGTCTCTCTGCCCTTCTCATCGACATGGCTCCATTTCTCTACAGCTGCCCACGAGTGAGGATTAGAGGCGGCGGGTCTGACGAGCTTGGGAAGCAGGAGGGGTCGCTGCTCTACTGCAGGCAGGCGAAGGTGAGCTGCGAATGTTTCGAGGCTGGGCAGGGAGGCCGGACGCTGCAGCGGTCGAAGAATTGACGACAAAGCGGTCATAGGGAGCCCGTTGTAGCCGCCGCAGCGCCTTGATTTTTTGACTTCTGCTTGTGTTGGATGCTTTGGCAGGTGGCGTTGACGCAAGTGCGGGAAGAAGGCGGCTGCCCGCTCCACATCGTCTCGACTCAACTGCAGCGGCACTGAGAAAGCCGGCCTGTGGGGAGGGGCGAAGACAAGAAAGCCGAGCGCTTTCTTCAGCTCTTGTCGATCGACGTTTCGCTTTTTGGCCTTTCTTCCTTCCCAACTATCCTCAACGCCCATCATGTCAATCCCAGCTTCAAGCCTTTTCAATCTCTCAGGAGGCGTCGCGCTCGTCACCGGAGGCGGTACTGGTGAGTCGAGCGATACCCGCGTCACCACCTCCTTGGATGGCGGCATTGACTTTCTCTTTCTCATTCCTCGCTCACACAGGCATCGGCCTCATGGCCGCCCGCGCTCTGGCTTCGCAAGGCGCCAAAGTCTATATCACTGGCCGCAGACTTCCAGTGCTCGAGTCGTCCGCCAAGCATCATAATCCCGCCCTCTCTGAGCATGGCGGCAGCCTCGTGCCGCTCCAGCTCGACGTTACCTCCAAGGAATCGATCAGTGCTGCCGTCTCCCAGGTCACTCAGCAGGATGGGAAGCTTCACATACTGGTCAACAATGCAGGAGTGGAGGGACCTGTGACCCATTTCACAGCTGAAGACTTCAAGGAGGGAGCGTCGCCTGAATCCAAGGCGGAGCTCATCTCCAAGCGTATCATGGAGTCGGAAGACTTTAATGGCTGGGACTTTGTATTTCGTGCAAACGTCCACGCCCTTCACTTCTGCAGCGTTGCATTCCTCCCTCTCCTTGTCAAGGGCAACTCCTCACCTCCGACGGGTCGTGAGCCAGGCTCCTCCGGCGTGGGCACCTCGGGGTGGACGGCTGGCATTGTCAACATCACGTCTATCAGTGGGCTTGTCAAGTCGTCGCAGAATCACTACGCGTACAATGCGAGCAAGGCGGCCGCTAATCACCTGACGCAGATGTTGGCGCATGAACTGCAGTTTGGGGCCAAGATCCCTGTGAGGGTCAATGCGATTGCACCAGGTCTGTTCGCTACGGAGATGACGACGGTGAGTACCCAGATGAACGGCCGTGGCATTCCTTGGCGAGCAGCCAGCTGATGTCCCCTTCTGACCCATACCTCGCCCGCACAGAAACAATCCAGCCAAGCGACTGGCGGCCAATCAAAGGTGGAAGACCTGGACCCTCGTATGAGCAACCCGGCCGGCAGGACGGGCACCGAGGCCGAGATGGCGCAGGCTGTGCTCTTCCTTGCGAGCGGACTTTTCACCACGGGTGTTGTTGTGCCCGTTGATGGAGGATTCGTTACTGCGACGGCTAGCAACCGATGAGCGCATGCGCACGAGGCTGTGATGCGTAGTCGCCTTTGACCCGTCGTATCCATCACTGCCACACCCTACGCTCTGCAATGCCATGATCGTGAATACAATTGCCCGCCAGACGTCGCGTCTACAGGTACAGCTTGTTCTTTGAGTCCTCGCCGCCCAGCTTCTGTCCCAAAATCTTGCCAATCGCCAGCTCAAAGTCCGCCGCACTAACAACGGTCCTCCTCTCCCTCAAGCAGTACATGCCCGCCTCGGTGCAGACACCCCTGACTTCGGCACCACTGATCTGGCCCATCTTCTCTGCGAGGGCGCGCAGGTTGATACCTCGTTGGAGGGACATCTTGCGCGAGTGGATGCGCAGGATCGAGACACGCGCTTCTGGTCCTGGCGGAGGGAACTCGATCTTGCGGTCAATTCGACCTGGGCGGAGAAGGGCCGGGTCAAGGATGTCGATACGGTTGGTGGCCATGATAACCTGCGGACGCAAGGAGAGAGCACAGGGTCGTCAGTATAATGTATTGGTGGCCGGTCATCATCGTTCATCTGCGCACTCACCTTGATGTTCTTGGTCCCTTCGAAACCATCGAGCTGGTTGAGCAATTCGAGCATAGTCCTCTGCACCTCGCTGTCCCCACCACCGCTACCGCCCTCCTTCCTGCTGCTACCAATCGAGTCAATCTCGTCCATGAAGATGATACTCGGCGCATGCTCCCTCGCCATGACGAACAGCTCCCTCACCATCCTTGAACCTTCACCAATGTACTTTTGCACCAACTCCGACCCACTGACACGAATGAAGCGACAGTCGGTGTGATGCGCCACTGCTCTGGCCAGCAACGTCTTTCCCGTTCCCGGAGGACCATAGAGCAGCACACCCTTGGGCTGCGCAATACCCAGAGATTCGAACAGTTCCGGATGCTTGACTGGCAGCTCAATGACTTCCTTGATCTCTTTAATCTGGCGGTCCAACCCACCGACCATCTCGTACGTCGAGTCGGGCACCTTCTCGACCATCATGAGCGAGACGAGCGGGTCGACCTTATTAGGAAGGATGCGGTGAATAGCGTATGAGTCTGAGCGAAGCGCCACTCTAATCGTCGGCGTCAGACTAGCGATGGGAATACTGTCGTCAAAGTCGACGATGTACTTGCCCTCGGGCTGAACCTTGACGAGGACCTTCTTCTTGGACATGACCTTGATGACTTCACCGACGTGAGAGCCGGGCTCTTGGAGGAGCTGCATCTCCTCGCGAAGCAGTCTAACACGTCCATTGAGCTGGTTGCGTTGCGCCTCAAGGCGACGAAGATTATGAGTCTTGTCGTTGATGAGGAGCTGGTATTGGGAGATCTTGGAGGCGTAGAAGGACGAGATGCCCGAAGCATTGCCCTTTGCGCCGCCTTGCTGCAGTGCTGTGGCGGATGAGGATGAAGAAGATGACGCCTGGGCAATGGAGCCCGACTGAACCGCTGTTGCGGCCATGATGGAAGTCGAGGGGCAGTGGCGGTTTGGTGGTGATGTGAGGATCGAGACGCAAGAGGATGAGCGGCGTTGCGAGAGCGGAGGCGGGTGGAGAGAGCAGCGAGGCTTGCGTGGCCACGACCATGTGGCACAACCTCAACGATGTAAGCCACGCGAGCGGAGGAGCGAGCAAGCCTCGCGTGCCCGCCGCGTCTCGAGTCCGTCAACAACGGGACGAGCAGCAACCAACACTCGGGGCGAAACGCAGAGGTGCAGCTTGACTCTGTTCGTCATCCAATCAACTTCGTCCATCATGTCAGGACGACCTCTGGGTAGACGGTCCCTCGGGGCTCCCTCTTCTTCATCGTCATCCGATAGCGCAAAGACTGCTCCCATCTCGCGCATTCCCAAACGCGCTCACTCCATTGCGCCCTCGGACCTCAAGCCAAAGGCAGGATCAACAGCAGCAGCAGCAGCCGCAGCCAACAATGTACTGCGAGACAGAGAAAACCAGACGCAGCCCATTACATCCTCCACGCGCCCCGCAGTAAGTATTGGCTTGTATAACGAGCGAGGCAGTTAGCATTCTCACACCGCTTGCACCCCGTACAGATGGGCCCTCGCAAGTCATCCATCCGCACTCGCCCGCCCCAAGTCTTTGCTTCACCGACAGGCATGTCACGGAGTCCCACTGCACCCCCACCTCGCCAATCAGTGGCAGGCGGTGACGCATCAGTCGTCGTCACGACAACAATCGCAGCTGCATCGACCAAGAAGCGTCCCGCAGCCGGCGAAGAGGTTCAATCGCCCTCTGCAGCCGCTCGCTCTCGCAAGTCAATGGCTGCCCCCGCCTTCAGCGACTCCAAGACCGTTGACGTGAATGAAGAGCGCAAGCGTCGCCGCGTAACCTTCAGCACTCGTCAGGAGCGTACGGACTTCATTCGCGATGAGCCTACCATGCACATTCGCCCGCCAGTCGAGTCGGACCTCGCGAGCATGTCGCAATCGACTGGCTCGTCGACGCCTAGCAGCCAGAGAGATAGTCTCGTGCCGCGTCTTCGTGGTTTTGGCGAGGATGTGGACGACGACGAGTCGGAGAGCTCGTCTGAGGAAGAGAGCTCCGAGGAGGAAGAGGAAGAGGACGCGAGTGCGATTGATATGGAGCTCGCGACCATGTCCGACATCGTGGCGCCTCGAGCGCAGGAAGCAGTGGACGACGACGAGGAGTCAATGGCAATGGACTTCACGCAGGTACGCGGGACCATTGTCAGGGGGCGTCGCTCCTCGACAGCTCCCTCCGAGGCAGACGAGAGCAGTGTCGCAATGGATCTCACCTACGCAGGCGACGATGGCCAAGGCGAGGAAGACGAAAGTGCCATGGAGTTCACGACCGCTGTTGGCGGCATACAATCAATGGGCAAGGGCAAGCTGCGCGCACGAGACAGCCTCGCTGCTCGACCTTCCTTCGCCAAGGCGCGCTCCTCGCTGCTGCCTCCGCCCACTGCTTCCGCTGCCAATGAGTCGTCGATGATGAGCATGGACATGGACGACGCCAGCAAGAGCGCCATGGACATTACGGGCAACTTTGGCGCCATTGCAGACGAAGACGAAGATGAAGAGGCTGCTGAAGAGACTCAAGCCGATGCAGAGGACAAGTCTGCCATGATGTCCCTCGTTGGTGCCAACCAGTCCTCCTCGGCGATGGACCTCACCGTAGCTCAAGGCACCATCGTGCCCGGCGACACAACGCCCAGAAAGTCTCGCCCATCTAGCACTGGCAGCGCTCTCCCATCTCTGCCCTTCCAGCGATCCCCAACCAAGTCGCCTGGCACGCCGAGCAGATTCAGGCGATCCCTTCTGGGCGGTATCTCCGACTCGCCTAGCTCGCCCGCTCGACGAGTGCAAGTGCCCATTGACCCAGAAGAGCTCGCCCGCATGAAACCTGCGACGCCGTCCGCCGTTTCGAAGGACTTCTCCTCGCAGTTCCTCACTCTCTCGGCGCGCCGAGCGTCGCCGGAGCGCCCGCCCATCTTCGCAAATGCGATGCCATTGCGCAAGAGCATGGGTGGTGCCCTGCCCTCTGCCCACGCCCTCAAGCCAGGCAAGGTCTCAACAGCGCCGCAGCAGAAGTCGCGAGGCGACAATCGCAGCTCGATCGTTGCCGCTGTCCTTCCTGCACCATCCTCCTCCGACTTCTCCTATGATGGCACCGAGGAGAGCAACAACTCCGCAGCAGAAGCAGCCATCACCGCAGCTGCCGCGATGGGGCCTCCCTCTCAAGTGTCATCTTCCGCATCAGGCAGCGAGGAGCACCCATTCTACGACGCTCACCACAGCGTAACTCGCGCCCCTTCACCTCCCCTCGACGATGAGATCTCTCAACCTCCTCTGCGCAACCTGACTCTCTCGGAATTCTTCAGCCTCAGCGGCATGAACTTCCATGACGACACCCGCCCGCTGAAAGTGCGCGTTCTCCCACCCCGTGATGGCCCGCCCTCCCTGGAGGGTAGCAAGCGCGCGACAGCCCAATTCAAGGCAATGGCCGGTTCAGTACCCATGCTCGAGACGCTGGTGGACGCCTGTCGCGAGCTCAAGCAGTCCGTCTCCGACGGGTCGGCGGTGCTCAAAGAGATCGAGGAACGCTTCGTTGACTCACCGCCGGATCTCGTGCGCGAACTGCTCAGCTTGAGCAGTGAAGCCGAGAAGAAGGAGATGGAGTCGCAATTCAAGCTACAGAAGCAGGCGGCACGCGCAATTGCGAAGGAGGGGTACTTGGGCTGGTGCCTCGACAACCAATATGGGCCGGACATTGTCGCTGCGCTCGAAGCGACCAAGCGTGGACTTGAGCAGGACCTTCTAACAATCAAAGCAGACTGTGCCCGCATGGAGCAAGAGATCCTCCCAGTCCTTAGAGAGCGGCGCAACCTGCTCCGAGCACAAGTGCAACGCGTCAAGTCCCGCCAGAAGGAGATCGAGCTTTGTCCCCTTTCTGACCTCGAGGCCCTACATGGTGGGATGGCTGAACTCCTTCCCGAAGTCCAGTCACGTCGATCCGTCCATCGAGAGAAGAGTGACTCTCTCGAGCGAATGCGCGCCAAGCTCGAGGAGAACCTCGCAACCAAGGCCGAGCTGGAGGCGGGCATTGAGGCTGCTAGACAGGTGTGTGAGCAGATCCAGGGCTACACGCGCGGTGAGGCTGCGAGGTTGGCAGCGGAGGTCAGGCATATCGAGCGAGTCCACCTTTGGAAGATCCACTCCGCCTCGCTGGGCAAGTTGCACCTTGTGCACGACTCGGTGTTCGATGTGGTGGTTTTCCTCGACCAAGACGGGACAGGACTGTGCGAGAGTGTCGAGCTTGCTCTCACCCCCTCGGCTAAACTGGCGGGTGATGTGCTCGTAGGAGAGATGCTGGAAGCCCTGCGCGAAGATCTTCTGAACACGGAGGCACATTCAGGCGTGCAAGGCTGGCCCGTCGCCAAGCTGGTTCGCCACATCTCGACCGCATGGACTTCATGCCGACACTTGCAGAGCGATCTTGCTCGCTTGGCACTGCGTTTCCCAATCGACGTGACAGCCCTTGCGGCTCAACAGCTGGCGGGCGAGCCGCGCAACGTTGCTGTGCACGCTACCATGCTTCTGCCAGAGGAGCGCACCAAGCTTCGTCTCGCGTTGCGAGTGGATATGGAAGCTCTCATCTACGGGGACGATGCTGCCCTGTTCTCTCGGCGAGTCGAGTCAGACGAGGACAGGGACGAGAGCGTAGAGGTGGCAGGTGCGGTCCGTATCGAGGCTGTGTACGGGCAAGCGGACGCGGCGGGCATGGCGCAACGTGTGGCGAGGAGGTTGAGGAGCCACGACTTTGTGTTGGGCAGTGGAGCCCTTGCTGAGGCGTGTGCGAGCGTGGTGGACTCATTCGCCTGAGGGCCAGTGAGCATACAAGAACTTTCACTTCTTTCCCACGGCGCCTTGCGCTCTTCGATACCATGACTTTTTTCGTTTGTTGTCTCCTTTTACTCGTTCGATGGCTCACTTGCCCCTCGTCAGGCTGTCAAAGCAATGCACATCTATGGGACTCGTATCAAGATTGACTAATGAAGCGGGTTCGGAATGGTGATTCAACGAATGAGAGTGTGGTGTCGCGCTTCACATGTCTACCTCGTCATCTCGGCCGCCAGGAACAGCTTCGGGCTGCGACGAGCCTGCCGCACCAACAGAGCCAGAGCCAGACCCGCTCGCACTGTGCAGCATGGCCTCATCCTCGCCCGCAGCAACGGCACCGCTCTCTACAAGCTCATCGTCATCCTCGCCGTTGTCCACGTACCTCCTCTCCCTCCCCTTACCCCTACCGGCAGGCGCCAATCTGGGTGGCGCACCTTGCGTCTGCTCGGCATAAGTCGGCAGTTGGCCCTGCCCTCCCTGTTGCTGCGTTGGCTCCTTGTACGTCAGGCCCTGCTGGACAAGCTCGATGCGGAACGCCAATCGCTCAGAAGTGGCAATCGTAGCTTTGGCTTGCTTCATCGTCTTCTCAAAGAGGTTGCTACGCTCGTCTTTCGGAAGGCGGACAAGGAGATCGTCTACCCAGTCCAGGCGCCAATCGCCGCGCGAGGCAGTGTCGTGAGTCTTGTCACTGCTATTGGCCTCGCCGCGCTCGACAAGAGAAAGGCATTCCGCCCTTGCTTGATCCATTGACCACCCGAAAGCCTCTGCGAGCCTGGTCAGGCTTACGGTGGTGAATGGTGCGAGAAATTGTTGCAGTCCCCTTCGGATCACGAAGCGCCTCAAGGTTCCAAGCCTAGGCGCGAGATAGAGGTCGAGGGTGTGGCGATTCCTCCATTTGTCGAGAAGAGCGAGGGTCTTCTCGTAGTCGCAAGCCCAGAATGCATCCAGTAGCTCGCGAGTGGGCGGATCATGCTCTGTGAATGAGCGGAATGTTGGACGATCCATCACCATGCGTTTGAGGCTGGGACGAGGGAGGACGGCAATGCTGCATAGTGTGGAGTAGAGGGCGAGGTCGCCGGGTGCGAGTAAATGCGCGAAGCTGGACGCATAGAGCGGGTCCGTAGCCAAGAAGCTGGTGGCAGCGGCCTCGAATCGTCCTTGTCCAAGTGCAGCCAGCCCTCCAGCGACACACAGGATCGCCTTGATACGAGCGACTTCATTCTTGACCCTGGTTTCTCCAGCCGCATTCCCTTGCCCACCGTCAGCGGACCCTCCCCTCGCTGCCTGGTCTCCCGATGCTGCACTGGCGGCTGCGCTCCCTCCTGCTCGGAAGAGAGCGCCAATGGCGTCTGCGCCTGAAGTTGAGGCTCCCTTGCTGGGAGGAACGATGATGGACGACGTGGTTGAAGTAGACGTGCCGCCAGCTCGAGCTGAGCCTCCAGCGCTACCGGCTGCTGCGGCTGGGTTGTACGTCTCGAGAACTGCTTCAGCTTTGTTGACAAAGGCTACGACGGTAGCGTAGCTTTGCATCTCGAGTGCGACCTGGGCGAATGCGAAGAGAGGGTAGATCATGAGCTTTACACAGGCTGTCTTCCATCGGGAACCCCGGTCCCGCTCACTCACCTCAATGACGCTCAAGCACATATCCATGACATGTTCGGCAGTCGAGCAATGCTCTCTCGTCCTCTGATAGCACTGCAATGCCTCCTGCAACAGTCCGCAGCTGCGATAGTAGTCGGCCAAGTCGCGATTCGCCATGCGGATGCTCTCCTTGATGAGGTTGTTCTGATAGTTGCGCAGTTCCAGGTCGAGCTTTTCGCCTTCCTGTTTGACATGCTGAGTTGTCTCTTGGATCCAGATGTCATCTACTGTATAAGTGGGCTGAGGGGGGACGGCGTTGCAGAGGGCGACGAGTTGTTGGTAGGCTTGGACGTCGCTCGTGGCGGACTTGACGATGTCGGCTGCTTGGGCTGCGGCGGAGCTTCGTAGCTGAGGAGCAGTCTTGGCGATGTGAATGAGGCGAAGAAGTCGAGCACGGCCCTGCATCGAGGCGAGAAGGTGTTGATGAGCAACTGTTGGCTGTGTTCGCATCGTTATATGCTCGATGGGCTCACCTGATAATTGGCTACGTAAGCCTCCCAATCAAAGGCATCATTCGTCGCCGAGTGGACTTCAGCCAGCGGTGCGCTCATGACCATCTGAGCGATGCCGCTAGACGGGCCTGCCATGGCAGAAGCCATCTCGACGTCGTCTGTCTCTGCCATGGTGAGTAGGACGAGATCAGAGTAGCAGATTCGTTGCAAAGGACGAGTCGAGCGACACGACGGCTCAGCTCAAATGCATGGCCCAAGCGCACCGCCGCGCCAGTCCGCGTTTCCCTGTCCCGTGTCGCAGCTCGCTCGAGCTCCCTCTCACTCTCTTCACACGAGCATCAAGGAATCGTTTATTGCGGCCACAAGTAGCTAGTCTACAGCACATTCGCACGGAGCTAGGTGGGTACAATAACAAGCTGCTGAGCCGTCTTCCCCTCAGGCATGCTCGTCTTAGTAAAGAACTGAACCTCGGCATGAGCCGTGTCACCAATGATGGCAGTCTCGTTTTCATTGGCAAAGAAGAGGCGCGACCCAGCGCCAGAGCTACCGTAGATATACTTCCTGTCAGGAGGTCAGAAGCTGGTCAGCTCTCATCACTCATTACTACTGCGAGATCTGACCACCATGACGACTCACTCGAGCATCCAAAGACGGTACTCTTCAGGCACCTTGGTGCAGAAGGAGTCGACAATCGAGTTGCGCGCCCCCGTGTTGGCGTCATTCTTGCTCTCGAGCGCCAAGCAGTGCTGCGTCGCTCCCTTGGGTCGGATGATACCATAGCTCAAGTTGGTAGGACCACTCGTGGGCGTCTTGTAGCCCGGAGGGAGCGCGTGCCCATCATCACTGGTACATCGAGCAAACTCCCACTCTTGCGGCTGGACTGGAGAGCCATCGTCGTTCTTGGTAACGAGGAGATGGTCATTGGATCCGTCGGTGCCGCTATGCTTTGCATTGGGGACGATGCCTACGTATGTGAAGGCAGAATCATTCTCGCCTTCACTGGCGGGCTTCAGGGCGAGTTGGCCCGTGAAGGACGTCGAGCAGGTTGGAGGAGTCTGACGACGGACAGAAGCGGCAGAGCTGATGGCTGCGAGGGAGGCGACGATGAGGGCGGACTTGAGAAAGACCATGGTGCTGTCTGATTGGTGTGAGGAGGATTGAATGACTTTTGATGCGAGCAGGAAGGAAGAGACGACTCCTCGAGACCTCGTACTTATACATTGTCGTTGACCACCAGATCTCGCAGAGTCGACCATAGGAGTTCCGACTTGCCTCAATGTCTCGTGCCGCTCCCCCAAGAGGCCTCACCAAGCCGAGCATGCTACATACGGAAGCAACTCCCCATGTTCCTGTCGCTCTCGCTACGACGGACCATGCTTCGGCAACTTGACCATTTGAACCTGCTCGCCGGCGGCTGACGGCGACAACGGACTTCCATGGTCTTGGTGACCGTCATCTCGCACAAGTGGAGGCCTCTTCCGCAGGGCTGGGCTGGGGCCGGCGGTAGTTCGGCCACTCGCACTCGCATCTGGTTCGCTGATGACAGACAGCTCTGATCGCATCCCGATCTCGTCAATTCTCTCTGAATGCGTTCAGGTTGCAGTCGACGAGGAGCCGGAAAACGAGTGGGGCCCTGATGAATGGATGGCTAGCCGCCGGTGACGGGGCCATGCGCCTCATTTTACTCATTGACGCCCGTCGCAGAGAGTAAAGAAAGTGCAATTAAGGATCAAAGGGATTCATGATGGTGCTGCTGCTGATGATGTTGTTGTTGGTGGTGATGAGGAAGTAAAGAGCAAAGACATACGCTGAAGCCTATAGACAAAGTTTTCGACACGGCAACAGAAAACGAGCGGAACCCAAAACACTGCGCTTCCTTGCCGGCCCGTCACCAGCCAGACCGCTTCTTGTCTTCAGCAAGATGACAGTGATGGACCGATAACTTCGATGACTTCGACGTCCGAGCTCGTGGGGGCGCCTCGAGGTGACTTGGTGATGGTGACCGCCCATGACATCGGTGTAGTCGCCGTCATCGTTGCAAGCGTGTATTCAGTCGCGAGTTCGCTGGTGCCATGAAGGTGGGAGAAGAGGGAGAATTATAAAGTCGATGCGTGAAGCCAATGAGAACAGACGGATAGAGAAGGTAGAGCCTTGCTGGACAACAGTGCAATGGCCACGGCGAGTAGGAGTGGAGTGATGATAACGATAAGTCGGGCAAGGCGAGAACAGGAGCGGAATCTTGCTGTTGAGACGTTGGAGAGGTATCGACTTGTGTGCTGCTGCTTGCTGATCCTGACCCGCTCGCTTCAGGGAGTCTTGTCGTCTGCACTTGCGTCATGCTCGAGGTCGGTCTTCGAAGGGCTCTGCATCCTATTGCCGCCTCCGACGATGCCCTGATTGCTGTTGCCGCGCTTGAGGAGCGCTTGACCTTGGATGCTCATTTTGGCAATCGCCTTTGCCATCTCTTCCGTGCTGGCGTGACCTGCAGCAATGGCGATGTTGGGCACTGACGTGGGAGCTTTGCTCGTCGCGCTGTGACCATTCCCGTTGCTGACGGCGCCGGCTACGTTGTTGCTCTCTCCCGATGCAACTGGGGAGAAGTAGTTGGACCCGTCGCCGAGATCGTCGCGCATTGGCGTGCGCAAGGCGTCTGCATCGAGACTGGGCCTGCGAGCTCGTTCGCCTGAGCCGGCCATGCCCCCCTCAACTGCCGCACCTTCACCAGCGGCCAAGGCTGCGCCAAAGTAGCCAAAGCTTGAATTGGACACAGAGGCGGGATGAGCGCCGTAAACACTGGGCGATATCGCCGGAGAGTTGGTCGACGCCCTGCGAGAGACAAGCGAGATGGAGCCTGGCCCCAGGTGAGGTTTCTTAAGCGTTGACGAGGAGGGCTGTGCGAGCGTATTTGACGCTGGTTGAGCACCATCTCCCTTGGCCATTTGAACGGCATCGCCCTTGGTAGAGTTGGCAGCGGCCGTGTCGTCGCTAACGACAGTGGGGAAAGGATAGCCGTCCGAAGCAGCGACCAGAGGAGGAAGAGGCGAAGCAGAGCGAGACGAGATTGCTGAGCCGTCCATATGAGCGGCCTCTGCGGCGGTGCCCGTCTGAGCGGTGGATGATCCCGCCGATCCCGCATTCGATACAGCCCGCTCGCCCCCAACTTCTCCAGCTCGCGAGCCACTTCTGGCCGATTGCTGCTGCTGCTGCTGAGTAGGCACTCGATACGGCTGTCCCCAGTGAGGCGTCTGCGGCATTTGAGCACCGCCCATGCCTCCGTAGAAGGCATTGAAGCCCGATCCTCCAGTCTGTCCAAAGCCATTTCCTCCGCCGCTAGGCGGCACCATGCGCAGAGGCGCGCCGGGCGCAGCGCTCATGCCAGGATACTGCCAGGGTGTAGGAGGAGCCTGCACGCCAGGCGTGGTGGGCATATGGTGGTAGCCGGGGATCGGCGGACTCATCATGCCCAAGCCAGGACTCATCATCGGCGCAGTGAAAGCAGGCGGCGTCTGCGGGGGCAAGTTGGCGAAGGAGAAGCCAGGCATGCCAGGCGTGAGTGGGACTCCGGGTGTCATTGGCACTGGCGCTCTTCCCTCTGGCGAGAAGGTGCTGCCCATTGCATAATGCTGCTGATAAGGATGAGCCTGCTGCTGCATGGACGGTGGCGATGGCAGAGAGATGCGGCCAGGAGCAGCGTTGACGCGACTCGAGCCACCCTTCTTCGCTGCTGTACTGGAGCCGACCGCTGCCTGTGAGCTGATCTCCTGCGGCAGCGCCTGTACTTGACGTGAAGGAGGCGGCTGTCTCGCATAGCCATGTTCATCCCCGACGACAGGTGAGGCGGTTCCCAATGCTGAGGGTCGACGTGATTGAGATGTCGGCTCGAAAGCCTGCAGCAGGCCTGCGTTCGGCGTCGATGATCTGCTTGGAGGAAGACTGCCACCAGATGGTGTCCCAGATGCGCTCGACACTGATCCACGCGGCGTGTACACGCCATTGCCGAAGTTCATCCCTTCCTGCCCAAAGGCTGTCCTCTGCGACCATGACGGCTGCTGCTGCTGCTGCTGCTGATGGTGGTATGGGAAGTGTTGCTGGGACGGCATCATCTGATGCTGCACTGCTTGCTGCTGTTGCTGAGCGGCCATCTGGCTTGCCTGTGGCTGCAGAGCGTATGGGCTGTGACCAGCTGCCATGAGCTGTTGCTGTTGTTGCTGGAGCAAGTAGACGGCAGGGCTAGCGATACCTCCAATGCTACCACCATTGCCCGTACCGCCAGCTCCCATCGCCTTCATTGCGCCTCCTCCACCGGCTCCGAGGTTGCTTGGCGGCTGTGCAGCACTGAAAGCACTCGTGTAGTCTTCTGCCCTCGCTGGGATCAAGATACCCAGAGGAGGAGACTCCATGCGAGCAAAGCGGTCAAAGTGTACTTTGAGTGTGCGCCCATTGTGGTCGTAGCCATGAAACATTCGCACTGCCCTGGCTGCCTCCTCCTTGCTGCCAAAGAGAGCAGTTCCGAACCCGCGCGAGCGTCCTTCTGAGCCAAGGGCGATGTCAGCCCGAAGGATATTGCCTGCTGCTCGGAAGAGGTCCTTGAGGTCTTGCCACTGCGTCGCGTAGCTGAGGTTCCCGACGAAGAGTGTACGCCCATAGTAGCTCCCGTCAGGCATGCCACCGTACTCTGCCAACACGCGAGCCTGTTGTGCAGCGACGGCAGCTTGTGCAGCCTGAGCAGAGAGGACGGCAAGCTGGTGCTGGGTAGGGATGGCGCCTGGCGGGAGGCTGGACTGCGACGATGGAGAAGGAGCCGGTGGTGGAAATGGTGGGAGGGGCAGACCTGGCGATGATGCGGCCGAAGATCCGGGTCCACTACTGCCAGGAACCAGTCCAGCGCCAGAGCCTGCAGATGGTCTGCGACTGCCGCCTGAGAAACTGCTTGCCCGGAGCTGTTGAACTTGCGGAGGCGGCAGCGTCGGAGTCGTCGACTGCGACAAGGACGAGCCTGGAGGCAGGAGGAGATTTTCTGACGAGCGAAGCGCAGTAGGAGCTCCACTGGGCCGACGAGATGGGCTAGCGTTGGAGGGAGCGAGAGATGGGGATCGTGCATCTCGACGCCTATTGTCGCTTCCCGGGCTGAGATGGTCGAGGGGACCGCCAGCAAGGCCTGAGTCGGGACGAAGCAGTGAGCCGCTGCTGAAGGATCGTTCTCCAGAGTAGGGCGAAGCAGATGCCTGCATTGGGCCGGGCGGATAATGCAGGGGTCCAAAGCTCTCAGCACCCGAGCCAAACCTTTGTTGTTGGCTGCCCAAGGCTTGTGTATGGGGCATCGGCGAAGCAGAGTTGAAGCTGGCAGGGACGGGTAGTCCTGCTTGTGACTGACTGCCAGCCACGCCGTACGTGGAGGAAGAGTCCAGCGTGGGATAGAGGGGGCTGCCATCAGGAGCAAAGCCCCAACCGCCGCCGCCGCCCCTCTCAATGTGCACTTCGAGCTTTCTGCCCATCCACTCGAAGCCGTCGAAGCACTCTTTGGCTCTCTGCGCATCCTCGCCGTCTCTCATTAAGACTGAGCCAAAGCCTCGGGAGCGCCCGTCAGGTGTGAGAGAGACGTCAGCGCGAAGGACAGTGCCGGCCGAGCGACGGAAGAGGTCCTGCGAAGGAAGGAGATGGCAGAGTCAGCGACGAGGGTCAGATGGACCAAACGAAAACGATAGCTACTGACCTTGACATCTTGCCATCGTACCTTGAAGGGGAGATTGAGGACGAGAAGACTGGTTCTCTGATCGCTGGAGCTGAGAGGGCCGGCAAGAGGAGGTGTGACGACAGGTGGCTGTTGCTGCGTCGATGAAGACCCGGCGAGACTTGATTGTATGCTACTCGAGGCAGACATTGAGCTAGACGCGGTGTACGTGGGTGCGTTCGCCGACATTGGTGAGCCCACTGAGCCAGCGGGAGAGCCAACGCTTGAGCTAGAGGAGAGTGTATGCGCGAGATTGGGTGGCGCAAGGTTGCCTGTTGATCCTACAGAAGAGGATGGCAGATTATAGAAGTCGCTCGCAGAGGGCGGCAGACCATCCGAGAGAGTCTCGCGCAAGGATGGTCTGGTTGACGTTGCATCACGAATGGCGTCTGTGACGCCCGCAGCGGGTTGTGTGGCTCCAAGGCGAATGGGCGCGTTGCCTGTAGTGACTGAGTCAGTAACTCGATTAGAAATGCTGCGGCTGCTCTCCCTCGAATGTTCGCCACCACTCCCGCTATTGGTGCTTGCTGCGCCGATGGAACGACTGCCAGAGGAGGCTGTGCGCTGAAGCAGCGTGGGGGGATGGGCCATGAGGGTATGATGAGGAGAGAGAGGTGATGGGTGATGCGGAGAGTGCGAAAGATGGTGTGGTGAAGTCATGTCGGCCAGTCGAGATCGAGAATCCGGAGAGAGCCAAATTACGTTGGCGGGACAATGCTACCTCGATATTGAGTGATCGGTTGGACTTTGCTGGCTTGACGCGGGGGTGGCGTGTAATAGCGATGACTAGGTTGCGACCTTGTTCAAGATCTCATCCGATGTCTACCAGCGAGCAAAGCAGGCGAGGGGGCACGGCCAAGAGGTGGTCCAGGGCGATGACCGAGAAGAGGCTGTGACCAAGTTGCGGCAGTATGCCGGTTGCTCTCGTTCCTGCAAGCCGAGAGGTCTGAGGCTGCAGACCGTGAGAGGGAGAAGAGGTAGTGAGGGGAGGGGCCGATGGCAACGTCGGCGGCGGCAATGACGGCGAAGACGGCGATCTTGCAAAGGGCAGTAAAGGGTGAAAGGAAGGCAAGCCGGGTGAAAATGATGAATGCCCTAGACGGTCGTCGGTGATTCACCCTAGGTGATGAGGAGGACGAGGGGAACGACGACAACGATGCTGCTGTTTCGGACTGATGACCCGGGAAAAGGCGGAGGCAAAGCCAACAATGGAAGCGACTCGATGCTGACGATCTAACAAGGTGACGACCTCGACGAAAGGAAGCGAATTGTGCGGTATCGCTGCCGTCGTCGACCTCGGAACGATGTCAAGGGGGAGAAAGGGAAGAGGGGAGTAGGGCAGAAAGATGTCGCCTGGACCTCGCAGTCGTCGTCGGCGGCGTGGTCGTCTGTCGATGTCGACCTCCATTCTCACTTTCGACGGTCCATCGCCCGCGGCAGCGAGCCAGCCAAAAGCCTCAAGCCCCTCTGCTTGAGCTGGCTGCAAGCCCGAGCCCGGCGATTTGAATACAACGTGGCGAAAGGCGAGGAGCGCGGAAGTAGCACAAAGGAGGGCCGAGTGCAGCTCAGTGAATATTTTTGGACCATTAATCAAACGACAGACGGCTCAAGCTCGACGAGAGGCCACGCAAGCGGCCATACATCGACAGAGTAAGACTGCGGGGGAGACGATCCTGAGAGGCGGTGCCACGGCGATGTCGGATATCGATCATGAAGATGTCGACGGCGGCATGGATATGTTCGCCGAGCCAGATGATTTTCGACCAAAGACGCCGCCGCCCCAAGTCATTGTCGTGCCGTACGACTTCACAGGCCAGGGCTCGACAATGACGCTGCTGCCGGCTAGTGATGACCAGGGCAAGGACGGGGATCACCTGAGGATCCATCTGCTGGGCTCTCATCCACTGTGGGGTCATCACCTTTGGAACGCTTGCCTCGACATCTCGCGGTACCTTCAACAGCATGCTGGCACATTGCTCAAGGGCAAGTCTGTTCTTGAGCTTGGCGCGGCGGCTGGTGTACCTAGTATTGTCTGCGCTCGAGAAGGGGCAGCCGTAGTCGTGGCTACCGACTACCCTGATGAGCCGCTACTCGACGTCCTGCGGGCCAACGTCAGCGAGAACTTGCGTGGCGACCACGGCGGTCGCATCGTAGCTGAAGGCTACTTGTGGGGATCAGATACTTCTCAGATCAAGACGTATTTGCCCTCAGGGTCAACAGGCTTCGACGTGCTCCTCCTCTCCGACCTCATCTTCAACCATCAAGCGCATCCGGCCCTCCTCGCAACGATGTCGACCTGCTTGGCTCAAGAGCGTGCATCGCCCTCCGTTGATTGCTCCCACCCTTCTCAGCAAGCCGCCCAACTTTACGAGCACGATGAGTCACAGCCCGGCTTTCCCAATGACCTCCTTGTTGGCAACTTCACAGAATCTCCGCCAAGCGGGCCGTGCGTGCTCGTCTTCTTCACTCATCACCGCCCGCATCTGGCGGCCAAGGATATCGACTTCTTCGTCAAGGCAGCGGAGCAAGGCTGGCAGGTTGAAAGAGTAGGGAGATGGACACGAGAGGTGATTGCCATAGCGCTCGGCCAAGTTCTCTCCGCATGATAGGTGTGACTGACCCTCTTCATCTTCATCGCCATTCGCAGCCGATGTTTCCAGATGACCCTGGCTCTGCGATCGTACGAGGTACCGTGCACGGCTTTCGACTGTATCGACGCGAGACGTAGCGAAGTAGCAAAGTAGCACAGCAACAAGGTACCAGCTTGAGCCGAGTGAAGATCGAGCTCGAGGAGCCAGGTCGCCGCTGTCCACAAGCTTTCTGGAACTCCGATCTGTCAACAGCGTCATCTTCTCCTGTCACTCGCTTTGAGCGGCACAGTAATGAGTGCATCGCGCTGCCGGTCTGCTCGCAAAGCGGGGACCTGCTGTTCGCTATGACTTGCAATGCAAAGAAGAAGCTCCGCGACTTGGCAGACGCCATCACGATCAGACAGAACTTCGAGAGCGTCTTGACAGCACAGTCAGCGTTGCATTAGTGTGCTCTGTGCTCATCGTGATGGCCGTGATGGCCGCTCTGGGCCGCTGCTTGATCTCTGGGTCTTTTCCCTCTGCTGCGGGCTTGCCTTGTGCTCTATCACGAGCTGACTGTGGCCTAGCTGCTGCCTTGCCGCACTTTGCTTGCTTGCTGCACGTCTATGCCATCGCTTTCACTGGCGCGTGGGGGCGGGCAGCTCGCGGCTGAACTGCAATCTGTGCCCCGCCTTTGGCTCGCTTCGCACCCAGCTTCCTTCCCTCGCATCAGCATCAGACCTTTACGCCCACCATTTCGCTGCTTCTTGATCAGTCACCACGCGAAGTCGCTCGCCCAAATGGTCGTTGAAGGCCTTGATGCCTGCGTTGCGTGAAGGCTGTCAATTAGAGAAGCTCCCCGGACGCCGGGGTACCATTTCGTCCCGCCTTTGTTCTGGCCAAGGGCCACACGGAACTTTGGGTCCGATGAAGAAGTCAAGCTCAAGATGCCCCATCGTCGCGAGCTAGCGGGAGTGAGCGACCTTTAGAGCGCCGTCGACATGCACATCAAGTGGACAGTCGGGAAGTCGAGTCAGGAGCAAGAGCCCGGGGCTCAGGGGACATGGCAGGCGCGACAGTTCCAATGCCTCTGCCATCTCACGCTCCTCATTAAAGCGCCCGCATCTCGGATCGCGTCGTGAGCAGTATCTTTTGTCGCAGGCACGGGACAGCACCCTGTCCTGCGGGTAGCTATATACCGTAGTCACGTCCATGGGCCGCGACTGTTGTCCCTCTCCCTTTCGCAGTCCACCATCCACACCAGTCACACTGTGACCACCATGATATCACTCTCCTTTTCCCGTGCTCCATCTTCGATCTTGACCCTCAGTGCCATCGTTGCTCTTTGTGTCTCATCTCTCTTCTTCTGGACACCCGCCGTTTCTTCCTCGCACCCTCCCTCAGGCTTCGCCAAGCGTTTCGCCAACCAGACAGCCGTAGATGCCTGCAAGTCCATCCAGTTCACCTCGAAAGACAGCACCATCCAGTATGATCTCGCTAGCGCCTTTTCGTCGTACTTTGGCTACTACATGACCTCGTCATCCAACACGCCTGCGTGCCTCGTCAAGCCAACGACAGCTGATGATCTGTCGGCGGTGATGAAGGTGATTGGCCAGAAGCGTATCAACTTCGCCATTTCGAGTGGAGGCCACACAGGTAACCCAGGATTCTCGAGTACGAAGGGCATCCAGATCACCATGAAGGGATTCCAGGGCGTGAAGCTGTCTTCCGACAAATCCTATGTCGATGTAGGCTCCGGCAACATCTGGGACAATGTTTACGCTGTACTCGAGGGGAGCGGGCGCAACATCGTGGGCGGGCGCGTGACCGGGGTGGGGGTGGTAAGTCACGACGGTACGTTGATGTAGCTTTCGACATCTCTTCTGACCCTTTGATCCGCCCTCTCAATCGTAGGGCGGCTTCGTTACCGGAGGAGGCGGCTTCAGCTGGCTCACAAACCAGTACGGCCTGACGGTCGACACGGTACAGCAATTCGACATGGTCCTTCCCGACGGAACGCAAAAGAGCGTCACAGCTTCGTCCGACCCTGACCTCTTCTGGGCTCTCAAGGGTGGTGGAAACCGTTTCGGTGTCGTGTACAATTTCCGCCTGTCCACTGTCCCCCAGAGCGCTCAAGTCTGGGGCGGGCTGAAGACGTACACAGAGGACCAGATCCCGGCCATCGTGAACGCTACTGCCGAGTTTAGTAAGGAGAACAAGGATCCCAAGGCGCAGGTAATTCCTACGTACAATTTCGTTCTCGGTGCGCCGGGCATCTCGCTCCTCGCCTTCTACGACGGACCATCCCCGCCGGCTGGAACCTTTGATATGTTCGACAGAGCTAAGAGCTTCACGGCCGACTGGAAGGCGAGATCCTTCGGCGATCTTGTGCGATCATCCCCTTCCAATGCAACAGGAGGCCACAGGGGAGCGTTCCACACCGTGTCCTTCACAGACTACTCGGTTGATTTGCTCAATGCCATTGTGGACGAGGTCAAGTTCTACGGACAGCAGAGCTTCACTCGGTCTGGATTCTTCATCTCGTACGACGTTGAGCCCTTCCTCAAATACCCAGCCAAGGATGCCGCGTGGAAGCACACCAACTCCCCCCTGCCGTTGAACATGTGAGTCCAATCCTTGGCTTTGAGACCGGCATGAGCCTTGAAGCTGACGCTTACCCTCATTGTTGTTGATTCTGCAGCTACTACGTCTGGGACAACCCTCAGGACGACAACTACTGGCGCAAGGAGATTGTTGCGTCTGCCAATCGCCTCACGGAGAAGGCCAAGACAGAGGGCCAGCAGCTCGACGGTTTACTCCTTTACCCCAACTATGCCATTGACACGACTCCTATCGACCGCATCTTCGATTCCGCTTCGCTCCAAAGGCTCAAGTCGATTCGCAGCAAGGTCGACCCGAACAACGTCATGGGCTTGACGACGTCGTTCAAATTCTGAGCGAGGGGGCGATCCCCTACGCGCTTTTTTCTTGCTTTCCTCTACGCGCTGTTCCTTCTCCTCTAATCGATGTCGTCCTTGCAATAATCCATCATCGTTGGTTTGGGAGTTAGTCGCCGGTCGTAAGAAGGTCCTCTCGAGCCGGACGCATCATGCCGTCGGCTCAGAGCTGCCAGTCGGTCGATCGATCGGAGAAAAGCCACAGCTGGGCTGCTGAACTGCTCCACTGCTGCAGGCGTGAGCGGGCCGAGGAAATTGTGATGGGACCCAGGGAAACGCATTGCCGCCGTCCAAATCTTAGTGGCTTGGCAGCTGCGACTGCGCTGCGCTGCTATGACGATGATCAAGTGCGAGTGTCGGTAAGCGGCCACTCTATGCGCTTTCTCCACTCCACCTAGGAAGTCGATTTCGAGAGTCGCACCTCAATGATCTCATTCAAGACGAGGGCTGCTGGCCATCATAACTGAGTATGGCAACTCCTCTCCTTGCGACTGCGACTTCCTGAGCATTCCCCGCTTTACGACATGACCGCATCGACGACAGCAGCAGCGTCTGACGGTCGTCGCGGATTGCAGCAACTTCAACAGCACCACCATCATCCTCACTCTCACATTCGTCGACCGCAGATCCTAGCATTCGGCGACGACCAGGAGGCTCTCGTCAAGGAGCCGGAGCCGGAGACGCCTCCACCCTTTCCCTTGGATCACGTCCTCGAGTCCTTTCCTGCTTCGCCCATGTCTGCGACGAGCACTCTTTCTCCCTCCTCTTCGGGCTCTAATGCAGAGGCAGGGAGCGTAGCAGGTGTCGTTGAGGGGGAGCACGATGCGAACAAGCAGGCTGATGTCCTAAGCACCTCGCCAAGCGAATGGGACGCTGCGAGGGAGCAAGCCTGGGAGAGCGTCCACAAGAGGGCTGGCCGGAGGAGGAGGGCAATTGGGAACAAGATTGATCAGGCTAGACGGACGCCGCGCCATCGAGACGGTGAGTGACGAGTGCCAGATTGCGGTCAACATGGGCGGTAGACTTAGCCGGCGGCAACAAAGTCGTCCGTCGCGCACGGGCGTTGAGAGGGGAGAAAGAAAATGGGTCAAGGCCGCTCTTTCTTCTTCTCCTTCTCCTCTCGGCTACTCTTGACTTTCGAGCATGCTACCATGGCCCGTCGCTCCCTCGAGAGCTTTCGACTCGGTGGCCCTTGCGGAGGAGATGCTCGTCACTACGACATCGACGACGAAGAGGGCCAAAGAGGCGCCGTCGGTGGCCATGGCCGCGACAATGAGCATAGCATCGTCGAACGAGCTCGACGCCCCTCTTTTAGCTTCTCTCTTCGTCGCTACAGTCGGACGATGCGCAGAGATGTCGGTTCAGATGGCAGAAGTTTGCTGACTGACACAACCAACAACCCTTCTTCCTCGCCCTTGTCCACCATTACTCGCCGTCTTCGTCATCGCTTTGCGCTTCATACCGATCATGCCAACGCCACTACTACACCTCGGCCATCGACGTCGTCGCATCGTGCCCTTCCTCGTTCCTCTTCACCGCATATGCCATCGCCATTCGTCTACGGCTCTCTGTTCCACATGCTCAACACACAATCGCCGCGCTTCATAACACCTACTCGCCCTACGGCCATCATACGCCATCGCACCTCATTGCTACGCTCACCCAAACCTTCTGAACGCGAACCGGATTCTCCGTCGACTCGCTCCATATTGGCCGAATGGACACCGAATCCTCCCCTCGATACCATCTATGGCGGCGCCACTCCATCAGAAATCGAGTCGTCGTACTATACAGGCCGTCAGGACGCTCAGCAGCAGCCAGACCGGGGCATGAGCCTCCTTGATAGCGAGACCACCGACGACGACGATGAAGGGCTCGAGGAGATTAATTCAAGGTCGCTGCACGACGTCGAGGAGGATGACCTCGACGAGGCGGACGCATCAAGGCAGAGAGGTCCGAGGGAAGGCCAAGCATCTCCATCAGGCTTGACCGAGGTCGAGACGCCCAGCAACGAGGTCATGTTCCAGGCCTTCATCGACGAGTTTGGCGAGCTGCAGCAAAGCCATGACCACAAAGAGGAAGAGAAGTGGATCGGCGCCATCACCGCCATCCTCATCAATTCGGTTACCATTCGCGGCTCCCTCCTCATGACGTCTCACCGCCTCGCATTTGTAGCCATGGTGCCAGCAGGTGGCACACAGCCCAAGGGTAGCGGGTCCAGGACGGGAAAACCCGACGCGCACCCTCAGAACCGCATCATTCGCAAAGGCCCAGCCATCCTGCACTTCCCCGGCTGGCGACGACATCGCACCGCCTGGTTCGAGCTGCGCGACGATTCGCTGGTATGCTACCGCAACTCGACTTCCCTCTATACCCCGGTAGGCTCAGCCAGGCTCAGCGACATGACTTTGAAGCCACTCGAGTGGTCACGCTCTGGCAAGGTCAAGAACAACTCGACGAAAATCCACCTTCATGGCCCCACAGGAATCTACACACTCGAATTCTTCTCGCACGAGACGGCCGTCAGCTGGTACAAGGACTTCGAGGCAGCCATGTGGTCCTACAGCAAAGCGCAGGAGCGCGTAAGGTTGCTGGTCCCCCTCGAACGGCTCAAGGTCTTCCGCGTCGATCTTGAGAAGCGGGTCCATATATCATTGCAGCTCGAGGTGCTGATGAACACACCCAAGCACCATGACGGGCACTACGGTCGCTCCGAAACGCAAAGCTTCGAGCTTGGCTGCTTTTCCCGTGACATCTGCTCGATCAATGAGCTCGAGGATGCATATGAGAGCGCACAGAAGAGGACAAGAGCGGACATTTACGATCCCAGCTCGATCCCAGCGCCAATAACCGAGATCGAGGGGTCGCGAGAAAAGGCTGAGGCGCTCAACGAAGCTGCCAGTCATGCAGACTCCGACGGTCTGAGCGCTCGTCTCGTCAAGCTCTTCACCCTTAACGACGCGCCAGACGATCTCAAAATCGTCAAAGCCGACATCATCAAGGGCTACCCGCTGTCCGGCACTCTCGCTGTCGGCGCCGAGTATCTTGTCTTCTATCGTCATCGTCTGCCTCCTTTCCACGACGTACGCGTAAAGGTACCTCTCAGCGATCTCGTAGGCGTCGAAAAAGGCAGCTCACTCAAGTTTCACTACCATGGCATCAAGATCCTCATTCGTGGCAACCCTTCGCTGCACTTTGAGCTGAAGAGCACCAAGCTTCGAGACTTGGTAATGAAGGCGCTCGAGGGCATTTGCGAGCAGCGTACTGAGCAAGAATCGACCCTCGCTGCTCCAGTCGGTCAGCCGAGCCACACCTCAACGATGTACGCAGACCCACTTGAGGTGTTGCTTGCCCCTGTCAAAGCCCAAAAGACGACAGTGTTGCCGTACGAGACGATCAAGCAGTTACCACGCCTCATCAATCCCGCTGCCGACTACAGGCTATCCGTCGAGCCGATGAGAGTCATCTGCTTGACCATTGGCTCTCGAGGAGACGTCCAGCCATACATTGCACTTGCCGTCGCCCTCAAGGCACACGGCCACTCTCCCGTCATCGTCTCGCACCCAGAGTACCGCGAGTGGGTTGAGAAGTACGGCATCGAGTTTCGAGGCGCAGGTGGCGACCCGGGCGCCCTCATGAAGCTCAGCGTAGAGCATCGCCTCTTTTCTCCAGCGTTCTTCCGCGAGTCGCTGGGTAAGTTCCGCGCCTGGCTCGACGAGCTCCTCCGAGAAAGCTTCGAAGGGTGTTGGGACGCCGACCTCATCATCGAAAGCCCCTCAACAATGGCAGGCATCCACGTTGCCGAAGCGCTACAGTGCTACTACTTCCGTGCCTTCACCATGCCCTGGACCCGCACTGCAGCCTTTCCTCAGGCCTTCTCCGTCCCACCAGTCGACTTGGGTGAGGCGTACAACCTCAGCTCGTACACCCTCTTCGACCGCGTCTTCTGGCAGGCAACGAGCGGCCAGATCAACAGGTGGCGACGTCATATGCTCGGCCTTGCCCCGATCAACTTCGCAGAGCTTGACCAGGACTCGGTTCCTTTCGTCTACAATTTTTCGCCTGCTGTTGTGCCCCACCCTGTCGACTGGGCTGACCGCATCGCCGTTTCCGGCTACTGGAATCTCGACTCCTCGGCAGAGCAGTGGGATCCACCGCAAGAGCTGACCAACTTCATGGAGAAAGCACGCAAGGAGGATAAGAAGATTGCCTACATAGGCTTTGGCTCTATCACGGTGCCTGACCCGCACAAGGTCACTTCGAACATCTACGACGCAGTCGTGAAGGCCGACGTACGAGCTATTGTTGCCAAGGGCTGGTCAAGCAGGGCTGGAGATAGGGAGAGCACAGGCGAGCAGGGTGAGCCAGAGGTCCCGGCCGAAGTCTACGTCGTCGACTCGATTCCGCACGACTGGCTATTTCCCAAGATCGATCTCGCCCTTCACCACGGCGGCGCAGGCAGTACGGGTGCATCTTTGCGAGCCGGTCTAGTCACTTTGATTCATCCCTTCTTTGGCGACCAATTCTTCTGGGCTGGCCGTGTGCAGAAGCTTGGTGCAGGACTGCGCATCGGCGATCTCGACGTCGACAACATCGCCGAGGGCCTGAAGAAGGCATCACAGGACCGCATAATGCGGGAGAAGGCGACGAGCGTGGGAGAGCTGATTCAGAGCGAGGATGGGGTGGGCAACGCCATCGCATTTATCGAGTCGCATTTGGCGCTGAGCGAGCGCAAGTACCATCCGTTGAAGAAGAAGCGCGACAGTAGCAGCAGCGGTGGCGTCGCAAGCCATGACGAAGATGAGGAAGAGAACGATGAGGAGGATAAGGAGAACGACGAGTGCATCCAGCGTGACTCCAGCATCCTACGCCGAGCCTTGGCTCTCGCCCTTCCGGGCAAGAAGAACGGTGCGGCACAAGAGGGGCTATCGTCGTCATCCTCTTCCCCGTCATCGTCAGCGTCATCATCAAAGCAGCCAACACCATCGCGCAGCTTCCTCTCACTGCAAGGCAACCACCTTCCATCCTTCAATGGTAGCTTCACCTCCTCCCTTAAGGACCTTGTGCCGGGACTACACGGCAACGGGCATGACAGCAGCCAGGAGGCGCAGCTCGCCTCGATCAAAGAGGTAGCGGACGAGAAGCAGGTTGAGGGCGATGATGCTTCACCAAAGAAAGGTGTCAAAGAGGACGAGGAGGAGCTGCGTCGCGCAAAGAAGGAGGAAAGGCGCAGCGCAAAATGCGAAGACGAGAGGAGGAGAAAACTGATGGAGCCGAAGTTGCAAGAGAGGAGGAGACTACTGGAGCAGAAGAAGAGAGATCAGGATGAGAGCGCTGACCTACCGAGGAGGCGGCGGTCTGAGCATCAGGAGCAGCAGCTACGCGATGAGGTGAAGCAGGGGGTGTGACGCAACTACTATGGAACCATTGACTCGCCACCGCCTAGCTAGCAGACTCGCTCCGCAGAAGGCACATCCATTGACCACCACCATCACCTCGTCTTGTCCGCAACGAAGTCCCGCTAATCAAATCATGCTTTACCGATACAAGCCCTCTCTCATCTTTTCGCTCGGCGAGACTTGGCTGAAGCGGGTCAGCGTCGTACCGATGGGCACAGGAACCAGTGAAGGAAAGAGGAAGCAGATGTCTCTGCATCGTCGGTCCCCGGTACAGATGCCTCTACCGTGGCAGCCATTGCGCTCGACAAAGCTTGCTCCATTGCTACATGTCCGGAGCGACTGGGCTGAAGGGCGAATGTTGGATGTCAACGTATCAGACTTGGCTGATACGTTGGCAGCTCTGTGATCGCTTCGAGTCTTCCCTTCCAATTAGCCCAACCTTCGCGATGCTCTACCAAGTGATCTCTGCCGTCAGCTTTCTCGTTTTCCGACTGGCCTCCTGCTCCAGACTCCGAGCCTTACATCACCGGGACCTGCGCGACGACTGCAATGGCGATGGGGTGCAATGTATCTTGTGTGTAAGCGCTGTCACCTTGACTTCACCCTTCTTTCTTTGCTCAGTACTGCTCGCTCCTTCTTGACATGCTGCCAATTGCAGTTCCGGCCGCAGCATCTGGGTCCGGTCAACATATATCGTCGAGGAAAAGCGTTACTTACCGGAGAACACTGGCATCACTAAGATCGATCCCCGCACCGGGGGAACAGGGTACGCTACGGGCTGTGGTGGTAGTACGGTCAACTGGGCTCTAGCTGGACCCAGCTCATTCTTTGATGGTCGCAATACGGCGAACACGACGAACACCCACTTGAGAGTGAGTGCTGTCTGTCAGAACGGAGCGCGAGCGCCTTGTACGGGTAGCATCACAGACAACTTGCACGCTTGGGACACACAGGGCTTCTTCTCTACGGACTTCGACCGGAAAGTGAGTAGCGTATCACTGGAGCATTCATCGCGCTGGACGTCAGCTGACGGAACACCGCTTCGCCTATCGTCCTGTACGTGAGCAGGTTCTCAATGAGCTGCTCGACACGAACAGCCCTGTTGCTGATTTGATTCTCTACTGTGATGTGAGTTAGGCAGCAAACAGCCGATCCGCTGCCTCCTAGACCGTGCAAGCTGGTGATCAAATTGATGACTGCAATCCCCTCCGCTGCATCAGAATTACTAGACCTAAGCGAACATTCCGCAGCAGCAGCAGGGTCGTGCCGGACGTCGACGAAGGGGTTGGGAGAAGTCAGACGTCACAGAATTGGTGACGGAGATCTTCGACCCGAGCTGGCTCGAAGTGTATCTCTCGCTCATTGCCACTTTCAACAAAGTTTGTCCCTAATGAGCCATCAATCAGTCCATATTCCACCGCTCATACCCACCCCCACTGATGTCAGCGAGCGGCTGGGCGCAAGGACAAGCGGGAGTAAGCCAACGTGCCCTGCACTGATGACCAACACGCCAGATGCAACTGTCAGAACCGTGTCCTCACCGTTGCGCTCACTGCCGGCTTTTTGTCCTCACCAGTCTTGTCCCCGTAATGTTCGTTCAAGCGATCCTCGCAATCTCGCTGCTTCTGTCCGGGCTGGCAACCTGCTCCACAGGTCTCGGCTTCTCGCTGCCCCGCACGGCTCGAGGAGATCTTGGGGAGGAGTGTGGCACCGAGCGGATCCAATGCCTCATGTGCGTGCGACTTCGCCCTGATTTGGGCGGGAAGGTGCATCTGACTGACCATCCATTGGGAACTGACCCATCGCAGCTGCGACCGAACCATCTGGATCGATTCCAAGGAGATAGTTGAGCAGAAACGCTACGAGACTCTGGCCCTGACTCTTGTCAAGATCAATCCTCGGACTGGAGGAACTGGCTACGCCCGTGGCTGCAATGGCAGCACTGCCACTTTCTCTCTCGCCGGGGCTGCTTCGTTTTTCGATGGCAGAAATACGGCAAATACGACCAACACGCACATAAAAGTGAGATGCTGGCGAGCGAGATAGTCGAAGGCCGGAAGGGCTTTTGTGACTAATGAGTTGTCGTCTTGACGCATGCAGGGCTTCTTCAATACGGACTCCAGCAAGGTGGTGTGTACAATGGCGCCAGAGCCCACTATCTGGGACACTGGAGTAGGCTGACGCTCATGTAACCTCGATCGCTTTTGCTGCCATGCACCGACGGCTCAAGGTCCTCAACGATAAGCTTGATACTAACAGCGCGGCCTCTGATCTTATCCTCTTCTGCGATGTGCGTGAGCGAGCAGCGCTGCCACCAATCGATTGTCAGACTGACGACCCGGTGCCCTTGCCCTATCAGAATGCCGGCGCTTAATGCCATTCATTGCCTACCTTGTTACGGCCTCTGCTCCGGACGTCCACGCTCGTGTTGAGGCGACAGGAAGCCGCAAGGCTCGCGAACAGACTGTGTTTATCTCTGCTCTGTGGTACAATAACAATGTGATCCCGCGTCAGCGCGTCATGAGAAACCGCAGCGCTATGCATGGGAGTGAACGTGGCTCGTCTTTTTGCTCTCGTCGACTCGCTCTTCACTACTCACCGTTCACTCGACCTTCCTCAAACCGCGCCCATCTCCCCATGCACGTCGTAGTCCCATTCCTTCTCGCGCCCCTGTGCGCCTTAGCGGCTGCCTTTCCCCTGCCTGGCAACGGATTCATCGACATCATCAACGCCAGAGACGCCGAGCTGGGCGAGCAGTGCGGCTACCCCGGGCAGCAATGCCTGTTGTTCGTAGGCTGGCTGACTGATACGCCTTGCCTCATCACTGACCATGCTCCCACGTCCATCCTTCAGCACGGGTCGAGGGATCCAAGTCGTGTCAGACGCCATCGTAGCATCGAAGCGCTACTTCCCCAACAACTTCTCAGTCTGGGTAATTGACAACAAGACGGGGGGAAATGGCACGGCGACTGGATGCAAGACGAGTCAGATCTCCTGGCAGCTCAGGGGCGCCAACTCGTGGTTCGATGGGCGTGGTACGGAAAACAGGCACTTGCGAGTGAGCACCCAGACAAGGAAGCGAGGAAGTTGTTGATGCATCACTGACCCCTATGCGCCACGGCTGACCATTCTTGCTGACTTTGTCTAGGGCTTCTTCGACACCAACTCGACCCGAACCGATGTGAGTCGCTCGCCGAGCTACGGGCCCTGCCTGTTGCCGGCCTGGGACGAAGATGCTGACGGGAAGCACTCCACCTCCCATGTGATGCGCGGTGTCCAGCACCTGAACGAACGAGTTGATTCGAACAACCCAGATAGCGACCTGGTTCTGTGGTGCGATGTGAGTGTCATCCGAGCAACCAGCTTGGTGAGTCGTGGAAAGTCGAACTTTACTGAAGCCCTCAGCATGCTTGAACGATTCCACAGCACCAAAGACTGGCTGGGTGACCGTACAGTTGAAGGGACGTCTCCGGTCTCCGGCAACGGCGGATGACGCCGGTGCGAGTACAGGACCGAAGTGTGGTGACCTTTGGAATTCTGCGACCTTGTTAGAGCATTGCTGGTCAGGCTCAACTTCTCTCGGTATCGTCAAGCTGTCCCAATGCGAACGACAGTGCGCCCTTGACAGAGCCGAAGAGTGGAGCTTGGTAGCATCGGGCCGCGATGACGAAAGCCCAGGTATGAGAAGTGCCTTGCCCATCGATGACCGCGATGCGCAATGAGGCTCGAGATGGCGGAGCAGTACCCATTGGACGGTGCGATATCCTCTCTATGATTGTGCCCTTGGCCCTCGCATGACTGATGTTGCATCTCGCCTTCCCCGTCCAAAGACCCCCTTTTTCCATCCTCTTGCTCCTGCACATGCGTCTCGCGGCCACGATCCATCGCTTTGCATTTCTCCCCGCTGTCATGGCTGCAATGGACCCCAGGCTCAGCGCCATGCTCGACAGCGCGCAGTCCACGGAGCTTGGCGAGCAATGCGGCCAGCCCGGCTCTCAATGCCTCATGTGCGAAGCAGTTCTTACGCTCGCGAAAGACTGCTGGCTACTCAGACACACTGACCACCTCTACTGGCCCGCTCCGTCCGCAGCACCGGCCGCAGCATAGTCGTTGAATCCGACAGCCTTGTCGCCTTCAAGCGGTACTTTCCGAACAACTTCTCTATCTGGGTCGTCAATCGTCGCACGGGCGGGACGGGCACTGCCCGTGGCTGCAAGGATAGCCAGATTTCGTGGGGCTTGATGGGTCCTACCTCGTGGTTTGACGGGCGCGACACCAAGAACTCGACGAACCGCCATCTGAGGGTCGGTGTCCTCAAGATGGAGAGGCAGATGAGAAGGTCAACTGACCTCTGACTGTTCTTGCGCAGGGATTCTTCGACACGGACTCGACAAAGACCGATGTGAGCTCCTCACAGCCATCATGCGCAAGGCTATTTGCTGACGTGGTGCATATTCTTTACCTCTCTCTCACATGGCGACGAAGTATCTTCATGAGCAAGTTGAGACGCACAATATCGACGCCGACCTGGTCCTCTGGTGTGATGTGAGTGGGCATTCCAGAAGCCAGAGACGCTTTGTGCATGCTCAAGAGTCTGGCTGCCGAGCAGGACCAGCTGATGGAGGAGAACGCTTTCAATGGAGTCGTGGCCGGGTAGGTCGCGCGGAATCTACTCCACTCCATTGCCTGGATCAGTGCGCCACTTTGCGACGATCATTACCCCACACGGACACTCGAGCTGCTCAATCATGGTGATCAAATACAATGACGATGATCTCTGCGAACGATGCCAAGCTCTTCTCATGGCTGTGAAATGCGACAATTGATCGAAGTGACGATGACCCTCGATCGTCGATCATGGCGGTGTTGAGCGTGAGCGTGAGAGTGAGAATGATAGGAAGAGGGGCGACATGGGAGAGGAAGCACCGTGGCGCTGCCGGCGGAGCAGTCGAACGGCGCCGCGGGGATTGGCCCCTCACGTCATTTCGGGAGCGCCAGACGAGTGCGTCGGATAGTCGAGTCGAATCGATCGCGAGCGAGAGGGGGGAAGGCAGCATCAGGGCAACAGGGTCCGGCGCGCTAGGGTCGAGGGTACCAGGTCTCCCTGCTCGCCAACGGCCACGCTGGCCTTCGATAGCAGCACAAGCGTCTTGGCTGGTGTCGAGTGCGTCAAGTCAGTCTACTCTAGAGTAGAGTGCGCATGAATACTGAGTGGGAGTGGGCAGAGGCAAGTGGTGAGCGCCGGCCCGCCGGGATGAACGGCGAAGCGGCAAAACCAAGGAGCCCAGGTCGCCCGACGCAGGCGCAGGCAGAGTCAGACTGTGGCTGGGCTGCGAGGCTGCGAGGCTGCGAGGCTTGCGAGGCGCGAGACGGTCATCCCGACCTTGTCATTGTTGCTATCTCTCCCTCCATTCCAATCAGCTCAACAGAGACAACAGTGTATCATCGCACCCCCTATTCTTTGGTACAGACAAAACACCTCAGACCATACGATGGAGCCATCCGATCCTGCAATCGAGATCTCACAATAGAGCTACGTGGTCCTTTGAGACCAGTCACCACCGACATCAGCACCGGCAACAACGCCGCCATCATCATCAACTCCCTTGTTCCCCGTTTACCCACCCTCATCTAGCAGCATCATCAGCATTTCTTTGCCGATATGGCATCGTCTCCTATCCCATCTTCATCAAAGAAGCCGCCGCCGCCGCCCTCGGCAGAGGAGGGCAGCGCCTATGGTTGCTCGGCGTCGTCATCCTCTTCATCCATTTATCATCACCCCTTTTCCAGCTTCAACTTCGACGCCTTTCACGAAGCCGCTGTAGCTTCCGACAAGGAGAGGGATGATAACGGCCATACCTCGTCTCGCGATGAGCAGCGCCTCTCAGCTCGCTTTGGCGGCCTGTCCATCTCGCCCAAGGATCATCATCATGTGCAGCATCGTCCCGGCAGCAGCAGAGAGGAATCGTCATCCCCCAATGTTCCTCCAAGCCCTGCAACGAGCTACGCAGAGAGCACGCACAGTATGGAAGAGTACGAGATGGATTCGCCAAGCAGTCTGAGCAGCTGGAACTCCTTCATGAGCGGACATCGAGGCGACTTGGCAGATGTCGAGGATCTCGAGCTGGGTGAGCCGGAACTTGAGACCGTCTCAGAAGTCGACGAGGACGCAGGCAACAACACGTCAGCGCTTCCTCCTCGCTTTGGGCAAGAATCTGAAGACGATGAGAAGAGGCATGATCATCGACAGCAGTCGCACAATTTTGGTGACAGCCTCGCTCGCCGACGGACAGTGACTCAACATTCGCAGGCGCCGCCATTGTCTCACTTTTCGCCTCGAACTGGTGGTCACGGCCTTTCGCATCATTCGAGATGGACGTCACGTACGCCTGCAAGTCTGGCTGCTCGAAGACGCAAGGGGCGCATTGCAGAGCTGGCCGAGGAAGGTGGTGGGACAGAAGCTCATGGCATACACTCGACCAATCTCGGAGCAGCCGTGGCAGCCAACGATCGCTCTAATTCGAGTAGCGGCAGTAGCAGCCCTACGTCGCTCCTCGCTCCTCAGCAATCCCAGCGCTGCGAGCACCCCTATCCTGGCACGCCGCCATCGACGCAGTGGTCCGACTTCACAGGCCCTCCGGCACCTCCAATCAGACCAATCTCACCTAGTGAGACGGTGCCTGCCGTACCAAGTCCACTGTGCGAATGTATCAGCGCCGAAGCTCAAGCAGCTGCGGATCAAGTCACACCCACGTCCTCCGTCATCAAGTCACAGTCGCACACGGCAGATCAGACGCAGCCTCAGCCTCAACCGCCGAGCCCACTTCCTGCTCCTTTGCCACGTCGAGGCGTCTTCGACAGCGTGACGCAGCAAGACCTGACGCGCAGCAATGAAAGGACATCGCCTCCTAGTCCATCATCGACCCACACGGGCAGGACGACTGCGAGCAGTAGCGCAACGGATGGCGTGCCGGCCCCCTCTTCACCCGACACCACGCCGCCAACGTCGCCCGTCCAGGAGCTGAAGCGCAAGACCTCGACAAGCGGCAGGGCTCGCCGTGCCTCGTCCCCGCCTCGCCCGCACCACACCAAGGTGCCCCTCCGGCCCTGCTTCTCGCGCCGAAACTCAACGCAGACGGGCTCGTCCTCCGCTTCAGAGCAGGATGGTGGCTCGCCGCGTGGACGCTGCCATGTTCGCTTCTCACCCGCCCCACCGCAGACGATCCGCACCCATTCCCCCGTCGACTATGATCGATCTTCATGCCCTATCAACAATCGGCTGAGCCTCAAGGATGTCGAAGAGCTTCAGGGACTGGAGATGGACATGGGCCTCCTCTCAGCCAAGTGCAGCGCTATTGCCGCCATCACAAGCTGCAAGTTGCCCGGAGGAGGCAATAAGAATTCGATTAGCGAGCCGGCTTCTCCAGCTGAGCCGACTGACGCTGTTCGCACCGCCTCTACCACATCGCCGTCCACATCGGCGCCCACCAGCATCTACGACACGGACGGCTCAGGTCGACCTCGTCGCGATTCGACGGGCGGCTTTGCGCACCATATTGGTGGCGGCATCGCGGGTAAGAGCCAAAATGCAGGACGTGCAATGGCATCCTGCTCTTCTTCCCCTTCCCAGAGCGGCGCTGGCGGCGATGGCAGTCAGGTCAGTCCTGCCGACTTCCTTCGAGCACAACGTGAGAAGGAACGCGAGCGTGCCTGCCGCATGGCTGGAATTGGTACTGGGCTAGGAGGCCGCAACCTGGGACGCGGTGTCCGCGGGCAGGCCACAAATCCGCTTATTGCCCGCTTCGGTCTGACTGCTCCACCACCACCGTTACCTGGCTGCCCGAGATCTGCGGCCGCGGCTGCGACTTCGTCCTTCAGCGGTGGCGAGGCGCCGATGCCCTCCTCGTCATCCTCCTCCGCCCTGCCGACAAAGGCTTGGTTCGCCGAAATGGAGGAAAGGCGTGGCCGACAAGCGGCAGACGACGGGTATGCCACGCCCCCTTCATCCTCGCGACCGGACTCTCAGCTTTCTGATCACGATCGAACCCTCTCGCCTCCCGTGCAACGCCGCGCTGCTGGTCGTGGCGGTGGAAGTGCAGCTCCAATTGGTGGGCGAGCTTCGTCGCTGCATCGTACGGATAGCGAGGAGCGAGCCATCTCCCGCACTCGTCTCGTGCAGTGCGCAAGCAATAGCGACCTTGAAGCGGATCTCGAGCGGGATCGGGGGCGATCGCGCGGGGCAGCTGTAAGCAGACCACCTCTACCCGGCGCGACTCCCGCGAAGACGACGCCAGCCGCACCTGCTCTAACGCACACCAGCCCCAGCCCGCCCGAATCGCCTCGCCTCACCTCTTCGCTGGTCACCATGGAAGAGCCGTATGACCCTGCTCCTGCGTCCTCCTCTGCTTTCTACCAACGGTTGAGCTCGCGATCCCCTTCCGTCTCGCCTGCCTTGACGCCGACGGACGACGGAAACGGGAGCGACATCACCACGTCTGCTGCCTCATCGGCAGCACCCGCCATAGGCGAGATCGACTCGACGGACCGGGCGGCCTCCTCCCCCTCATCCGAGCTTCTCCTCTCCACCTCCCCAATGAAGACTCCCCTCGCCACGGACAGGGCGAGGTACAAAGCCTCGCGTACGCCTTCTGACACCCGTTCTGCGCAATTGAGTCCAGCGAGCGCTCTTCTCACTCCGTCGAGCAGGTCACCACCCTCTTCTACGACCTCGTCGCCGGGATACTTCGACTGGCGACCGAGCAGCGGGAATGGTACGCCGAAGGTCCAACGCCAAAGTAGCGGGTCGAGAGGGCGAGGCAGTGCACGCCCGGCATGTGGGTACGACTCGCCGGGCTCGGCGTACGAGAGCGGGAGTGAGTTCGATCTCCTTGGGGGATGAGCGCAGCACCGGCCACCCTACGGACCTACGGACCTTTGTCCTTTGCTTCAGAGCCAGCACTACCGGACGATATATACGTACGTCACCTTCCTCTTCAGCATCCTCATCATCTTTCTGTCTCTTTCTCTTTAATATTCCCCCCTTCGTCCCACTCCAGCCCCCACGCCCGCTGTATTATATCCGCTTTGCGTTGCCTCTGATCCCTTTGAATCCAAAAACCAATGTCACTGTCGCAGTCTTCGCGCCTCATGTCGTGCTGGCTGGTTATCACGACTGACATTTTGATGCAGGTCAGAAGCTGGCCAAAACCCTCTGCGCCCACGGGTCCTTCTCGATACGCTCGCGATACTCCTCCGTCACCTTGCGCAATTCTTCCAACTCCCCTTCAGCGTCCCCTTCACCCTCTGCCCCGCTCTTCGGCCTCTTCGCGCTCCTCTTCGCCCATTCGGCCAAGAACTCCTCAACAAGCGCCGTCCCCTTGTCGATGGCTGGCTGAGGCATATCGAGCGCAGCGCCGTGCTCACCCTCGTCTTCGTCGTCAGACGCATAGTCTTCGAGCTCTTCAGCCTTGCGCTTCGCAAGGCGGATGACGGACGGTGGGAAGCCGGCCAGCTCGGCAACGTGGATACCGTAAGAGCCTGTGCGGAAGCGATCAAGGGAGGAGGCGGGGTCAGGAGATTGGCCGAGGCGATCTCTTCACGCCACACGCGCATACTCACGATCCGAGATGCCCTCCTTCACCTTGTACAACAGCGTGATATCCCTGTCCTGCTTACCAGCCCCCTGCCCAGTCTTACTGCTCACATGCGCCGCGACATGGAGATTCTTGACGTGCGCGAGCTGATCTGCCAAGCTCGTAATCTCCGCAAAGTGACTGGCGAACAATGTCTTGCACCTGACCTTGGTAGCCATCCACTCAGACGCGGCATAGGCGATGCCGAAGCCGTCATACGTGGACGTGCCGCGCCCAAGCTCGTCGATCAGCACGAGTGAGTCGGGCGTAGCCGTCCGTAGGATTTGCGCAAGCTCCAGCATCTCCTGCATGAAAGTGGAGACCCCCTTGAGCTGCGAGTCCCCTGCGCCGACACGGGCTAGAATACAGTCAAAGATGGGCAGCTCGGCGCCGGCTGCTGCTGGGATGAAGCAGCCTGACTGGGCAAGAAGGGCTAGGATGCCTACTTGACGGATAAAGGTTGACTTGCCGCCCATGTTGGGGCCGGTGATGACGAGGAATTCGGATGAGTCAGGAACCATCTCGACATCGTTGGCAATGAAGCTGACATCTTCTTGGACTTCGAGGACCGGGTGGCGCGCTTGCATTGCTTTGAGCGGCGCAGCTGCGGAGCCGGTGCTAGAGCCAACAGCTTTGCTCCTTTCATGAAGCACAGGACGTACGTAGGGCTCAGGAGCGTTCGCTGATACATGCGCAAAGCTGACGATGACGTCCAGCGTGGCGAGCTTGACGTTGAGCTGCTCCAGAGGCAAGCAGTACGACGCCGCAATCTCGACGACGTTCTTCGCCAGCCCGCTCTGCTGCGTATCGTACTGGCTGCTGAGTGACTGGAACTCCGCGTCCAAGTCCTTGATCTTCGCAGTCGTAAAGTAGACCCCACCTTTGATGGTGGTGATCTCCGAGTAGCCCCGCTTGCCCTTGAGTGCAGACGCCTCGCTACGGGTCACGCGCATGCACCACCCGTAGGAGGAGTGGTTTTCGAGGTGCAACTTCTTGTCCAGCTCCAACTTGAGCTCCTTGCCTGCGCTGCGGTGCTCCTCATCCAACTGGTCACGTACAGCGTCTAGCTCATCGCGAATCCGGCGAAGCTTCTCGTCGAAGTCGGGCTTGATGACAAAGTTATGGTGCTCCAGCTCAGCGAGATCAAGCGTGGCCTCAACCATCTCTACTAGCTTGGCGAGATTTTCATCGTGCTCACGGAGAGGTTCAACAAAGACCTCGTCCAGGTTCTGGCGTAGGGCGGGCGTGGAGCACTCGGTGTCTGCAATGGCTTGTGTGAGGTCCGCTAGCCGCAGCACGGCTTGGTAGACGCGAACCACGTCCTCGAGAGTTGCGACGCCCTTTTGAAACTTCTTGGACAGGCGGTGCAGGTCCGGCATGAGCTTCAGGTAGTCGTTCTGCAACGCCTGACGAGTCATGGCGTCATCCACAAAGACTTCGACGAGGTCGTGTCGTTTTTGAATCTCGTGAAGGTTGACGAGGGGCTGCTTGAGCCACTGGCTGAGGAGGCGGGTGCCCTGCGCCGTCTTACACTTGTTGAGAAGGCCATGGACGCTCAGCTGGCGGTTGCCTGCGCCGCCTCCTTGACCTGGTTCGGAGAAGAGGCTCAAGGCTCGCACGGCTGATGCGTCGAGGCGGAGGAACTGAGAGAGGTCGTGGGTGGTGATGCGGAATTGGCCAAAGTTCGTATCATCGTGAAGAAGGCCAAGGTAGGAAATGAGAGAGTTCATGGCGCCCATTGCCTGCTTGAGGTTCAGCTCGGGGAGTGTGGCGGGAGCGCCTTCGTCGCGAAGAAGCAGTCGATCGATGTCCCTGCACAGCATGTAACGAGATGACAAGGGTCAGTGCGTGCCAAGCTGCTTCGACGGGCCCTCGTACTGACTGTTCGATGTTTGCGCCAGTGAACTCTCCCTTTTTACGCTCGGTGATGATTACGCCACAGCGGTCTACGACCCTCCACAGTCGATCAGCGTCCGGGTCGTTCTTCTCTGCTGCCAAGAGGCACTCCTTGACACCCAATTGGATGAGTAGCGACTCGACGTTGCTGAAGAGGTCATTGTCAGCAAACTCTGAGACGCCGAGCGTGCGATTGGTAGCGTCTGCAAAAGCGGCGCCAATATGCGGCACGCCATCGATGGAGCGAAGCTTGATCGCCATGACGATGGGCGAAGAGGCAATGTCCGTGTGGACGAAGAGGAGGTCTTCGACGCCTTGCAGATTGCCAGGGGATGCCTGCGAGTGAAAGACGACATGCGTCAGAACCTCAATTCCTCCTGTCAGCCATCGCTCGCGCTTACCTGCGTCCCCAATGTCCATCCATTGCTCCTCTTGCCTCCTCCCTTCCAAATCTCGATCCTCATCTGCCTAGCTGTAAGCGCGTCACGAAGGAACGTCTTGGCAGTTGAGGGGGTCATGGTCACAGAGGGCAGGGCATTGCTTCCACCGCCAAGGTATTTGATGACCGAAGAAGTCTTGAATACGGACGTGGCTACGAAGAGGGCATCATCGCCGTGAGCTGAGTAGAAGTCCTGGTGTGAGCAAGGAGCGTGGAGGCGCACGGGAGTCAGCGCTGCGGAGTAGCGTGCAGGCGACCACGCATAATACGTACGCCTCGATCAAAGATCCTGACCGTCGCGCTAGGCTTCTCCGGCATCGACTTGAAGAAGGAGATGAACGATTTCTCGCCCGAAGAGTCTGCGTTGAGGCAACGAGGAGCATGTCAGCATACCTCCTCCCCAGCATCTTTGGCTGTGCGGCAACTCACCCAGGCCAAGGTCAGCTTGCGGAGCCTTGCTGGCCCCGGAAGAGCTAGCCGCAGCGCCTCCGTACATGAGGCTGCCCATGCTGATGGTGCTGCTGAGTCGTCGAGAGATAGGGAGGAGCAATAATGTCCAAAAGTGTTGCTTGGCTGCTCCGCCGCCATCCGCGTCGAGGCGTGGCGCGGCGCGCTTCTGCTTCTGTCTCTCAAAGTGGCGCGAGTCGAAAGTTGGCCGCCGGGGGGCGCAGACGCGCTGAGGCGCAGAGGAAGAAGCTTGTCGCCCGACGCCTTCCTCATGCCTCGCCATGGCTAGAAGAGGAGGCGAGGGCAAGCATGAAGTTCATGAACCGCCGCCTCATTGGCCAGCGGGCATCAGATATCTCTCCAACCACTGTCAACCATCTCCTGGTCTCTCAAGAAGTCAGCAGCAAGCCCTTTGCCAACCGCTGCCGGCTTCATCGCCATTGAATGCAAGTCGCTTTCGCTCTCACGGTTGGGTCAAGATCCAACCTATCAAAGACAAGGCGCACCCTGCTTATGGACAGCATGGACTCTTCGCTGCGCGAGACATCCCTTCACGAACGCCAATTGTGCAATACATTGGCGTCGCACATACAGAGGCGGAGAGCGATGATAAGAGCGACTATGACCTGAAGGTGTGGAGTGCGGGGCAAGGGGAAAGCCTAGGCATTGACTCCACGGTGGCAGGGAATGAGGCCAGATGTGAGCCGGCGAAGAAAAGCAGAAATCCTCGCTGTGGCAGTAGCTGATGCCAAGACCCGCTTTACCATTCTCTACGCAGTCGTCAATGACTACCGCGGCATCGCCCAACGGCAGAACGTCTTCTTCGACGACTTCGAAGAAGGTGACCAACGCGGCCTCATCTTTCGTTCGGGTAGCAAGCCCATCAAGGCAGACGAAGAGCTACTTACCAGCTACGGCAAAGGGTTCTGGGCTGCGCGACGTACTGCTGAAAGAGAAGAGGTAGATCAACGAGAAGGCGCTACTTCGCAGCCTGCTCCCCCTCAAGCGCAGTCGGTCTCTGCCTCCAACCCTGTACATGCCATGCTCGAGAGACAGCGGCAGCGCCTCCAACAGACGAGGCTTGCAGCTCCTGCGACATCGAGCAGCAGTAGAGACTTCAAGCTCGATACGCTGACGTCTAGTCTGCAGCGGCGTTTGCGAGCCTGCAACGTCAAGCTGCCCCACCGGAAGGCCGAGCAGCTCGCCTTCGATCTTGCGATGACGGCTGCCGGAGTCAAGTGAGTAGCTCGGCTTTCGAAGAGCACCCTCGACCACATTCTGACCAGCTTCATACAATTGCAGACCCGCATGCCTCATCGACGCCTTCTTCCCGACTCCTCAGACCGCGGCCACCTTGCGAGGGATTTTGACTGACGACTTGCCGCTGTTGCCCTCAACAAGTAGCCATGCTGGCGCCAGCGGTCTCGCTCTCGTCTTCCTACCCGGTCAGGAGCAGCTCTTCGCCGTCAATATCGCTAGGACGAGGCAGCGCTGCAAAGACATCTATTCAGGGACAATGTGGATCAACGTGGGAGTTGACACGGCTGCAGGATCGAAGCTGTTGGGCCCTCCCGCGGAGGTGCAGAGGGCATTGCACCGTCTCCTTGCATCTCTTGATGACGGGGAAGACACAGGAGCACAAAGCATGTCGCTCGACATCCAAGGCAATGGAGCGGCCGTAGCGCTTGCCGGTTTCTTGTTAGGCTACCCGGTCGTCTATACGTACGCGACGACTGAAGAAGGCAATGCCAACAGCGGCAACAACCTGGCTGATCAAAAACTCTGCCTCTTCAACGTCATTCTCGTTCCAGCAGGCGCAGCGAGCGTTGTAAGGGAGGAAGCGCATCAGATCCTGGCTTTCACTATTCCGCAGGCGACGTTGAATACGGCTGGGCAGGAGGATGAGCTTGAAGAGCTACGGCGTCAGCTCAGCCAGTGCGTAATGCAGAGACTGGAGGAGTATAGAGAGCGCCTGACTTCATCGAGAGGGCAGGAGTACACAGCTTGGAAAGCATGGCTTGCCGACCGCGAGGTGACGGTGACAGTGAGCGAGAAATGCCTACCGATGGTAGCGTTGTAGATCAGGCTAAGGCATGGAGAAGAGAAGGAAAGTCATCAATCCCAAAGCATGTGGAACAAAGATGGGAGAAGGTAACAAAGTCGAGTGAAGGACAGTGGACAGTCAAGATCGGTAGAGTCGAAGTTCGAGATCAGAACAGCAATTGCTCACAGGCGACGACTATCCTGCAAGTACAGGTCATCGTCCTCATCGCTGAAGTTGGAGGAGAAGGAAGCCGAGAAATTGAGCGATGGAGGACTGTGCAGCATCGAGCCCGTTGAGGACGAGCTTGGTCGTCGCGACGAGAAGGAGGAGGAAGAGGAGGATCTAGAGGGCAGCTGCGGCGAGACGATGGCTGAAGGGGAGAAAAGATCCTGTTCGAACCCATCGCTACTGTCGCCGCCCAAGTCGCTTGGGCTGGGCGGTGCGTGCAACATGGAGAAGCTGCCGTCTGAGTCTGACTGATCGCTTCGCGACGCGGCCGATGGAGACGCTGCGCTCGTCGGTGACGAGGCTGCGGGCACCTCGCGGACTAGCTGCCCAAACCAAGCGCCGTGCTTGCTGCCCAGCCTAGAAATCAGCAACTCTTTCACCTCTAGCGCCGAGTACCCCCGAACCTTGACACGATATCCTACGTGATGAGCCGTGTTGGGCATAAATTCAACGTCCGTCTCACGAAGGCGGTGCTTCTGCTTCTGTCCGGAAGAAGGCAGCAAAGAGGCAGATCCGGCCTCCATCTCCTCGAGCAGCTGCCAGACAGCACGAAGCTTGAGCTTGTGCAGATGATAGCTGTCGCTCGTGAGCCGAGCACGATGTTGCAGCTCTTCGGTGAGCATATGATCGCTGGAAGTGTAGTCAGACTCGCCGTCGTCGTCGAAGGATGAGGGGCGGGCGAGGATGGTGACCAGGTCTGGCTCCATAGGGATAATGAGCTCGGTGGTAACATCGGCTGTGGTAGGCGCGGGGGTAACGGGGGCTTCAGGGAAGTAGAAGCTCATCTCGTGTGAGGGGAGCAGTCCCTCAGCGGGCACTGCAGGAGTCTTGGCGTGGCCCTGCTTAACAGGCGCCTTGGACATGCGGGGCAGCTCGACCTTTGGCGCCTTGCTGAGTCCTGCGCTGCGGCGGGGGCTTCGGCGCATGGGCATCTTGGTGGCACTAGCCTGCCCAGGCTTGCCGGTATAGCCCGTTGCATAGCCATCGCGCAACTCATCACCGCCAAGACGCAGCGCAAGGGGCGCATTAGTGATTAGGTAGGCTGCCTTGGGTCCTGCAGAGGAGAATTGTCTGGCGGTCTGCAGTCCCGGCCCCTGAAGGACATGCTGACCAGGAAGGGGGCGGGCACGACTTGCGGCGAAGCGCGTCCAAGTGGCGATATTGCGCTGCGCCGAGCGATGAGCGGCGAGCATGGACTGGTGGTAGGAGGCGTGATGGGTCGGAGGAGCACGGAAGACTGCCCCTGCCCCTCGAAGGAGCGGGGAAAAGTCGAGGGTGCGGAGCAGGCGAGTGAAATGCTGGCCCAGCTTGCTAGTAAAGACATCTGTCAAAGTTGAGGGAGAGGTGGACCGAGGCGGCGTCCGGTGGTGATATTGGCCTCGCAGCAGGGGCCGAGCATGGCTCGAGCCATGCACCGGACGAGGAGTGAGGCGACCATACCGCGCAGGGGCGGGATGGTGAGCACTCACCCTCGTCAGGAGGCCCCTGAGGAAGGGTGGAAGCTTGGAGCCAAGTGGCATCCGTGCAACGAGCTACTCGGCTGACGTTGAGGTGGTGATGGTGGTGGTGAAAACGATCAAGACGCGAAGGGACCACTGTGGCGATTCGGTCCAGGCCGCCTCGCGAGCTGAGCCGAATTGAGGCGGTGCACTGCGAGAGGCCTCGCACGGGCCTTTCCACGTGGTGCTCCAGATGTCGACGATCAAGTCCACCTCTTTATGCTGCGACTGCACCCCACCCTCCTTCGAAGCAGACAAGTTCGCTCGGGCGGGCGGGGCGAGTATGGCGCAAGCAAGGAGTTCAACCTATGGCACATCACAAATGATCGTTTTCCAGACTCGGCGCGATGCGTGCGGCTCACTGCCAATGAGGGCAGACCTGATGTTAAGGCTTTGCTGCGCAACGATCGGCTCTTCGACGGGAGGAGGTGAGCTAAGTCATTGCTGAACCGAACAGTATCGTAGTCTCAGTCAGTCTTGCTTCAACGCAGCGTGGCACGAGTCATTCAATGGCGACAATCTGGTGACCTCGATCCTCCCCTGCGGCGAGTCGATGCCGCCGACAACATCTTGGTCTGCAAAACTAAGGCGACGGAAGTTATCTGCTCGATTGCTCTTGAATAATGTACAGTTGATGCTGACCCGCCATCGCCGCTAAGACTTATCCAACAGCTTCAAGAAGCTCTCGCTCGGTATACTGACCCTGCCAACCATCATTTCCCTCATTCTCTTCTTTCCAGCCTTTTGATTCTTCAGCTTCTTATCCTTACGCGTTTGGTCTCCACCATACATTCCTGCAGTCACATCGCGCCTGAAGGCTTTGACCGTCTCGCGGGCTACGACCTTCCCACCGACAAGGGCCTGGACTGCTATCTCAAAGTATTGACGGGGAACGACATCCTTGAGCTTCTTGGCCCAGGCGCGTCCGGCTAGGATAGACTTCGAGCGATGCATGATCATCGAGAGGGCGTCGATTGGCGTGCCGGATAGTTGGAAGGAGAGCTGCGAGTGCGGTCAATGTGATACCAGCGTAAGACTGGGATCTATGGGCGCTGCGTCCGCTCTTTCTCACCTTCACGAGGTCACTTGTCTGGTACTCATCCCCCTCAACAATCTCATACTCAAATCCAGCGTACCCGCTCGAGCGCGACTTGAGCTTCGGGAAGAAGTCGGACACAATCTCGGCCAGCGGCAGTCGGTACTTGAGCTGCACCTGTCTCTGCTGACCCGTCAGCTCTGAGAAGTTGACATCTACCTCCTCACCACGATGCTCGCTGCATAGCTGCATCATCTCTCCCGTGTACTCCTCAGGGCACGTCAGCGTGCCATGCACTACTGGCTCTTCAAGCACGACGCCGCCTTGCTTGGATCGCTCCGCGTCGGTAGGAAAGTCGATGGGACTCGAGACGATCTTCGTCGTCCCGTCTGGGTACGTGACGCGATAGGGTACGGTGGGCGCTGTGACGAGAATCTCTTGGCCATACTCTTCACTGAGGCGAGTGCGGAAAATCTCGGCGTGCAGAGTACCTAGAAAACCCAGACGACAGCCTTGTCCGAGGGCCATGCTTGACTCACGCTGCACGGTGATGGAGCGATCGTTGAGCGCTAGGCGATTGATAGCCTCCTCGAGCTTGACGAAATCCGTCGTGTCGACTGGGTAGGCTGACGCGTACACCATGGGGACTGACGGCTTGAATCCAGGCAGAGCTTCAATCTTCTCGCCAAGGAGATGCATCGTGTCTCCAATTGTGGCCTCGCGCATGTCTTTCATGTTGCAGATGACCCAACCGACCTGTCCCTTTCGCAGAATGCCGGTCGAGCGAGCATCGGGGTAGTTGACGCCTACATCGAGAACCTCGTATCTTTTCCCCGAGTGCGCAGAGACGATGAAGTTGCCTTTCTTCATAGCGCCGTCCATGATGGAGACGAGGGCGATGACGCCCTTGAATGAGTCATACCAGCTATCAAAGACGAGGGCTCGAAGGCCGGGCCCCTCGCGATCGACGACTGCCCCTTCCTCCGTGCCCGGCAAAGCGGATGTCCGCTGTACAATGGCTTCTAGTACCGCCTCGACGCCCTTTCCCGTCTTGGCGCTGATGAGCAGAGGCTCGTGCTGCGGATCGATGATGTCGATGCCGAGCTCTTCGAGCTGCTTGAGGCAGCGGTCTGGGTCTGAGGCGGGCAAGTCGACCTTGTTCAGCATGGGTATCAGAGGCAAGCCGAGGTTTTGAGCGAGCTTGAAGTTGGCAATCGTCTGCGCTTGAACTCCCTGCGTTGCGTCGATGATGAGCAGTGCAGACTGGCAAGCTGCGAGACTGCGAGACACCTCGTAGGCGAAATCGACGTGTCCAGGCGTATCGATGAGATTGAGCAAATACTTCTTGGCATGGTCACCAGAGCCATGGTCATAGACCATGCTTACGGCCTGACTCTTGACTGTGATACCGCGATCTCTCTCTACCTTGAGCTTGTCGAGGACCTGCTTATTGGAGCCATCCTGCGCAATGGTACGAGTCCGCTCAAGGAGCCGATCGGCAAGTGTGCTCTTGCCGTGGTCGACATGGGCGATGATGGAGAATGTGCGTGGCTCGAGCGTATCGAAGAGACGAGGGTCGCCTGGCTGATTTGCAGTGCCAAGACTGACCACGCCACTAGCTCGGAGAAGGTGCGAAGTTGAGAAGGACGCTGCTGTTCGCGGCCCGCCTCTGGTCAGTGGACGACATCTTGGTGGCGTGAGCACGATTGTGGCGAATGTAGCCTTGACTGACGCCAATGGCCTTGCCAGCATCAAGCAAGAGCAGAGCAGTAGACGAATCGTAGCGTCGCAGGCGAGGGTAGGTGAATGAGCGGGAAGACGCCGTTGCTGTTGCCGTTGCCGTTGCGAGAAGAAAGCTAGGCCATACCTACGCCCGGGCCGCCGTCCGCTCCGATTGCCGCGGCCTCGCTGCCCTGCTGCAGAGCAGATGCATGAATCCAACACCTCCCATCACTCCCGACACTCGCCGCTGCCCACGCTCTGCCCTCGTCTTGCAATCACTAATCTCGTCGCACCGCCACCAGCTCCCCGACGTCGTCGTATCACCAATACTCTCGATATCAAGAGCAAGGATGGCTTGCCAAAGAGACAAAGTCCCGAGATTGCCACTCTTTCTGCCGGTACATAGCTAGCGACGACGACCTGCTCAACGCCACCGCTAGGCCAGCGAGGCTACGTGCGCTTCCCTGCCGTGATGTCCGAAGTCTGAACCTGGATCAGCCCGCATAGACATCACCGAAGATAGCGTGTGCTTGCTCCCAGTCTAAGTCCCACGGTTGCGATCTGTTTGCTTGCGCGATTGCACGACTGCTCCATCGCTCCCTTTGTCTGCATGGGTACGTGCGTGCTGCGCTTGTCTCATCAAGAATACTCAACGATACGATGACCCGCCGGCCGGAACCATCCCTCGTTCAGCAGCGTCGCTAGCCGCTGCCATGCCAAGCCACGACGGCCTGGTGCGCGAAGCCGGATCTATTTGCTGTCCATCTGGATCTTCATCGTCGCTACCAGCTCGGTGTCGCTCGTCAAAGCTTGGTCGAAGCGAGAGTCGGCACTCGTCGATAATTAAATGACAGTTCTCGGGACTGAGGGAGCTGCGAGCAGGCAAGGTGGGCCCAGTAGCCTGGCGACTGTGGTAGTGGTGGTGGGCTGCGCATTGGCCCGCTCGAAGAGTCCATTTTTCGATGCTCACGTCGGATTGCAGCATCGCAGCTTGTCTGCCTAAGCGCGACTGCCTAACCGGGGTCCCGTAGAGCGAGCCAGCCAGCCAGAGCAGAGCGGGCCTTGTTCCGCGAGCGCACTTTGTCTGCCTCTCTGCGACTCTGACCCGTCCAACACCGACGTGCCCGGTGTGCCAGGTTAGGCAGTCCACGGTCTAGTCACATACGCAGGCAGGCCCGAGCTTGCTTGACGGAGGATCAACGACGGCGAGGCGGCACCGCTTCAACAACGACAGACGGACCCAGAGCTAAGACTAGAGTTCCGGGCCAAACGACGGATGGCTCTACAACGAGCTCGTCACCAGGCTAGCCTTTTCATTCGTGCCACTCGTCCATCTTCACTCGATCCCCTCTCCTTCCCCTCCTCTCCCTCCCTTCGCCATCTTGGATCGCTTTACGACATCATCTCTATGAATCTTTGACGACCCAACCTCCCTTGTGAGTGACAATTCTCAACGCACGACCCGTCGTGGGAGAGACCCAATGACGGCAAATGACCGCGATGGCTGCGATGGCTTGACGCTCGCACCCTCTACGCCTTCATCTCGCACGCCTACCTCGTGCAAGATGACGGCGCAGTGTGGCTTCATGCAATGCCTCCCTCGCTCTGTCCTCATCAGCATCGCAGCACTGACACCCACTCTCGCTACGCGCTCTCAGACGATACGAATCCGCTACGACCCTTCTACGACTCCCTCAACGACGATCATCTTGTGGCCATACCAACCTCAGCCGCAACATTCAATCAACTCACGACCTCACCATACCACGCCCCACAAGCTCTTAACGACACTCGACGGCATTTGAGCAACGACCTCCGCTCTGCCCTATCAATCACGAACACGCCACCCTCTCGATCCAACCTCATCAATCTCATTCCTCCCCAGATCCGTGGTGCTCGTCGACTTCATTTGGACCCCCTCCACGCTCAATCTGCCCCCTCGAAAAGGCTAGGCCACATCGCATTCGCCATCTCTGAGCGCACGATCGCAGCGCTCCCAATCTATCGACGCGAACGGGCCTTCTCAAGGCGAACGAGCCCTCGCACGCTCGTCATTCAGCCTCCAACATCATCGACAGCGGCGGATATCCCCTGAACGCCAAACGTCATATCGCTGTCAAGGCGCACGCCCTCAGCTTTCTCACACTCTCATACCGCATCCGCAACCCCTCTCCACCCACGCCACCATCGACGCCATGGCTAGAACGAGGTCTGCCAAAGCAGCAGTTGCAGGCGGCTCGACGACGGCGTCAATGGCAGTGGCTAGCGCCCAATCACCCACCGATTCCGATGTCAAGTCTAACCTCCTTAAAGCATCGTCTCTCCAAGACTCCTTTTTTGAAGCCCCCAATTCCACCTCCCCAACGTCATCTGCCTCCTTTACCTTTGATCTTCGGGTCTCAGAGTTCCCTGGTACTCCCGGAGAAAGCACCAACAGCGGCAACTCAGACGCCAATCCATTCTTCCACCGATTCGAAGAAGACACCGCAGCCACCAGCCCAGGTGACGACGGCCAACAGCTCTCATCGCTACTCCTGCCGGCCTTTGAGACAGACTGGGACGCTACTCTTCGTCAGAGGCAACGCACCTTCACTCGCATATCCTTCAGCTCCTCCGCAGCGAGCTCCACGACTTCCACCGCTGCTTCTGAGAACGGTGACGAATCAGCCGACGTAGACTGGGAAACGAACAATTTCACAGCGATGCGACAACAACAACAAGTCAACGGCGCAGCCGACAACGGCCTCTCAGAGGCATTTGAGCAGCACCACCTTGCCGGGCCATGCAGCTTTCAAGACCATCAGTACGATCCCTCGCACTACGTCCACAACGAGCAGCAGCAGCGCGATGCCGCCAACAGCATCAATCCCACGGGCGATCACCGACCCATCCCCTCGTTCAATCTCGAGGACTTTATCTCTGACGCTGCCGAGCAGCCGCAGGGAAGCGAGCCCACCAGCTCAGAGGACCAGCAGCGCAACATCGCCTCGTGGCAGGCCGACCCTGCTTTTGGCAGCATGTCCAACGCTGACATGCTCGCAGCCCTTCAAGGTTCCATCAACGAGCACAAGCGCAGAGAGACATCCGAATCAACAGGCACTGCCTTCAGTGGCAGCTCTGCTGGGTCACCGCCCTCACCCAAGACACCTGGGAGTCCAGGAGACAACGCATACGGCGACAGTCAATCAAGCCACCAGTCGTCGCCTTATGTCACTCCAGCGCGATGCTCGCCGTATAACACCGTGTCACGCAGCATGAGCTTCAACGGTCATGCCTCGTCGCCCATCTACGCACAGCAGCAGCAGCACCAACATCAACAGCAGCACCAACAGCACTTCCAGTCGCCCCAGCAGCTCTTTGTTAACGGCCAAGGTGTCGTCGCTGCTTCCCCTGTGCAGCACCCCGCCTTGCTCCGAGTAGGCGGTGGCGCCCTTCCTCAGACGCCCGTACGCAGTCAGTCGACGTCCAACTTGCCCAGTATGTTCGATGCGAGCCTCTCGTGTAACCCAGCCTACATCACCCCTGGAGATGTAGCCGCCGCGACTCCTCTCGAGGTGCAGCACCAGCAGGGCTACTTCCAAGGTGGCGGTCACCGCAGCGATTTCCCTGACAGCCCGGTTTCATCAGCCTTCTCGTCACCCCTGCAGTGGACAGCTGTCTTGCCCAATGACGATGGCGCAGGAGAGGATACCTACCGCGCTTCAGCCTATGGTGGCGGCGCCGGCGGTCCCTCAGCCGTGGGCATGTCAACCTCGCTCCCATCGCGCTCCGCCCTTCTCAGCGCAGGCAGTGCCATGGGCTCAATGCCATCATCTCCGCTCTCCCTCGCCGGTCAGCCCATGCGCCCAGGTCGCCCCTCGCTACACACCTCACCTTACAGCGTTCCGATCCCCATGGCAGAAGACCCGTCGTCTCGTCTGGCCCCGCCATCAGTTAGCGGCCACCACCATCACCTGCTTCCGCCCAATCATCCGCTCTCTCACCTGCACAACCCCTACAGCAACGTCATCACCAAGCGCTCTCGCGGGCGTCGCGTGCCCATCACGCCAGAGGAGATGACCAATGTAGGCAAGTCGGGCAAAGTCTACACATGCAAGGTTCCCGGCTGTGGCAAGCTCTTCAAGCGTTCAGAACATCTCAAGCGTCACATCCGTAGCATTCACACGGATGAGAAGCCCTTCACGTGCCAGATCTGCCACAAGAAGTTCTCGAGGCACGATAATCTCAACCAACATATGCGCGTTCACGGACCCGCCGCGGTTGCCGCCTTGGCTGCTCAAACGGCGGCAGCTGGTCAAGATGGTGGTGGTGACTACGGATCGTCCTCTTCCTCCTTTGGCGATGACTCTTCACCCGGTGCTTCTCCGCTCTCCTCTGCGAGTCACCGTGGCGTGCGTCGCCACTCTTTCCTCTCGCAGGGTTCGCCAAGCCACTATGATGAGATGGAGGCCCAGGGGGAGAACAAGGGCACCATCAAGGGGCGACGGCAGACCAATGCTTCGGCGCCAACGCTGGATACCGAGGTGTTCGACTTCGATGATGGGAGCGCAGTGGAAGATGGGGACGTGCAGCTCTTTTCGCTTTGATACCGTGACTCGCCGGATTCGATTCCCTTTCCCCCTCCCTCCCCCCGCTCTTGTTCTCCTCACCCCCTCTCCCCCTGTCTCCTCGTCCCGTAATGACCAGGCCGGAGAGCGATCTCTGGCCTACCTAGTACCCCTGTGCTCCTTTCTCGAATCGTCTCTCTCGCGCGTCTCTCTCATGACCGAGCAAGCTCTCTTCCTCAACAATTACCCTGCCGCGCTTCGGATCCTTTCGTGCTATCTCTTCTCTCTTCTAATGACATGACCTTTGGCTTTTCTCTGGATCTTGAGTGATGATGGCGGCAGACGATGGTAGCGTGTCGAGTGACAGACGGGCGGATTCAGGTGCGGAGGGGGGCGGGCGCATATGCAGCGAAGCCGTTCTCGAAGGGAGGGCGACAAACAACACGTCTAGGCGGGCGGCGGGCACTGGAGCAGTCTTGCCGGTGGTCGGCGGGCAGCAGGGCGGGCGTCAAGACGCGAGGAGCGAGACAGAGAGTGAGAGAGAGAGTGAGCGGATTCATTGCTCCTAACGACGGTGCCTCGCATCTTTGACTCCTCACCATCCTCTACCATCCTCCTTTCCAAATCACCTGCTCCGTAGTCACTGCCGTTGAAGGCAAACGACGCTACGATGGCCGCCTCCTCCGAAAAGACGCCTGAGGGCCAACCGTATCGTCGGTCCACACTCCTTACCATGGGTCCCCCACGTCGACGTCTGCCCACCCTCGCAGAAGTCCTCGCCCGCCGAACATTGCCCCCCGTCGACCTCTACTGCTACTACCTCTTCCTCCAGCGCGAAGGATCTGAGGACTCTCTCGACTTCTGGCTCGATGTTCAGCAACATGAGAACCTCTGCCGTGCTTATTTCAAAGATCTCAGGAGGACGGGAAAGAGTTTGAGGAACGAGTGGCCAGATTACTGGAGGCAGGCGAAATTGAGGGGATCTATTTACAATCGAGTCAATGGGGTGGATGAAGACGAGAGTGATGGGACTACGACTGGGGAGGGCATGACGGACAGTCAGGGGCGATTTGAGACCACGACGGGTGGTGATGGCTTGACTAGGAGTGGGCATAGGACTGCAGAGGGAAGGACAGACGAAGATGAGCGCGAAGAGCTCAGAGGCGACGACGATGATGACGACGATGAGCAGGGATACACTGGCGGACCTTCGTCCTCCTCAGCCCACCTCACGTCATCGCACGAGGACAGTAGTCGCAGCGGCCCTCGTTTCCCTGGCGACCCAGACTATCCTCTCGAAGGCACGAGCACAAACGCACACCGACGCTCTCTCCTCGCCAAGCGCGCCTCGCTCGCACCTACAGTCATCAATCGCTCGTCCGCCATCACTCGCAACGATCTCGTTGCTTCGGCGGAGCGCATCTATGCGCGCTACTTGCTGCCGGGAAGTGAGAAGGAAATCTACCTGCCTCCGCAACTCAGGATTGTTAGCTTCCCCATTGGTAGCGACAGGCCGCTGGACGATAGGGATCCGGAGCAGATGCAGGCTCTTGCCAGGGTGCCGGATATGTTTCATCCGCAAAAGGAGTGAGTGCACCGGCGACGATAACTGCGAGGTCACTCGACAGTAACGACAAAGCTGACCCCCATGGCCCCCTCCTCGCCTTGACCCCTGCCCTTACAGATACGTCTTCCGCACGATGGAGGCAGACGTATTCCCCCGCTTCCTGCGCGCAAAGGCGTTCGGCAACCTTACCCCCATCAGCGCCCTCGTGCGCCTTTCCCTGGGCCTCCTAGCCCTTTGGGCTGCCCTGGCCACCGGATTTGCCTTCATTTTCCTCGACGTAGGACGCGTCAAGCGATGCTGGGTCATCTTGCCTTTCAGCATTGCTCTGCTACTCATCATCAGCCACCAGTACGAGCTGGACCCACTTCTCGTGCTACTCAATCGCTCGGAGACTACGCCGTTCCACGTCATTGGAGTGAGAGAGAAGTACGTCCGCAAGCTGCTCAGGCAGAGGGCGGTGGGAATGTTGTTCGTCACCGCCATCTTGACGGCGTGTCTGTGCGTGTTGTTCATCTTTGTGCCTGGGCACAGGCTGTAAACCGGTGCGAGAAAGGATGGTGCTGGGCGCCCCTTCATGGACTCTTCTTCATACGCTCTCAAGCGAACGCTCTTTACGTTTTGTTCCACTTTCTCTTCGCTTATAGCGGCTTTCGTTTCTACTCGTATCTTCCTCCCCTTCCTTGTCATCCTCACATCTAAGCCTTGCTTACGATGAATCGTAACTCTATACCCGCCAATCCCGCGTCGTTTGCTCACTCGTCCCATGGAGCGCTAGATTAGGTATGCATTACGGGAGCCACCGCAGACTCGCTCTCACATGACGGTACAGTCCTCCTTGACCTTGAATCCATACATCTCCCGATCCACATCCCTCTCGATGCGTTTGAAGTCGCACCTCGCCTGCAAGAATTCGTACACGTCATCAGGCCCCAAAGTCCCCCTCGTCAAGCTCCCCGCATCCCTCACCAGATGCGCCAGCTCCCTCGGCTCTTCAACGATGTATAGACTGCCTAAAGCCTGTAAAGCCTCAAAGTAAGGCAGCAAGCTAGGCTGGCGCAGCTGTGTCGCCACAAAGTGGTGGTAAGCATTCAAGTCGTCGATGATCTTGAATCCGCCCTGAAGAGAGATGATCTGTCGCTTGAGGTGCTTGCACAGGATGCTGTGAAGCCGTAAACCGATCTCCTGCCAGAAGACTTCCAGGATCGACTTGTCCGCACAACCAACGAGCAGCTTGCAGTGCGTTGTCAAGCAGGCTAGGGCCTCAGCGCAAGCCCGAGTGGGATGGCCAAGGTCCATGTCCTTCTCCTTCTCTCCCTTGCCCTTTGTCGCCTCCAACTCAGGATAGAAGTCTCCGGCCTCTTGCCGTGTTGCGATGATATGCTCTGCTTGACTCATCAGCAGGTCCACTCCAGCGTTCAGACCCGTAGCTACACTCTCGTCAAGTGAAGACTCGAAGCGCTTCTTGTCCCTTACCACAGGGTTCAGGAAATCGTCCTTATCGATGTGCCTGGAAAGCTCCTGGTCGAAGTAGACTTGCACCATTTGGGCTATCGTGTCGCCTACGTGGACCAGCTCGAAGAAGTGGACAAGGGGCTCGACATGTTGCTGCTCAGCGGTTGCTTTCTCGTCGTCCACCGCTGTGGTCGCAGATGAGGGGTCCCAGGCACGGACTTGACTCGTAGCCTTGGCGAAGCCGGGGGCGACGTGTCGCTCGCCAAGACAGCGTAGGAAGGAGCTGGCCACTTCTTCGATCTCCTTTTTGATGGTGACGACGCGTAATTTTGAGCCGCTCGAGCTCGCCTTCGCTGCGGCACTGCTGCTGGCCCTTGGCCTGCCCGCTTCTCCTTGTCTCGCCTCCGTCGTGGCGCCGTCTCGAGTCGCCGTGGTAGTCGCTGCGGCCCCAGCGGCGGCTGTGGCAAACGTCTCGATCCTCTTGATAGAGTCTCGATTGAGGTGGATCATCTGTAGCGCAGTATCCAGTGAGAGAAGAAGCTGCATTCGCTGCAAAGAGGCAGGCGTGGGTCGCTCCTGTTGAGCAGACGTAGGCGTAGCTGATCGTGACGAGCCAGTAGGAGTACCTGGAGTGGCGCCAAGAGCGCGCCTGGCGAGATTGCCATCCTGACTTGCCGAAGCAGCCACTGCGCTGTTTGGGCGTGAGATGGGCGTCGAGGGCCGCATTGCTGCAGAACCGGCCGTCGACCGCTTCTTTGCGTCGCGACTCGACGAGGTAGCTCGCTTCTGCTGCTGTCGTTGCTCACTGCTCGTCTGACTAGCTTTGTTCGCCACCTCCTTCCATGCTCGGACCTCCTCGTTCCACTCGTCCTCAATGTCCACCCCGTCGAAGCCGCCGACATTCGCGTCAAAGTCGCCTTTGTAGTCGGCTTCGTCTTCCTCATCTTCCTCGTCACCGTAGAAGGCCGTGGAGGAGCCGTCGGTCCCGCCATGGGAGAAGTCGATGTAACCTTGGCCTACATTCCCCTTTGAGCCGGAGTCATGCGTGCGCCCAAGTCCAGGAGAAAAGAAGCCGCCCGTACCACCTCCGCTGCGCTTTGCGGAGATGGGCTCCTGAAGCGATGAGGATGACGCTCCTGCGCCCGCACCCGTACTTGCTTGTGCCGCCGCGCTCGATGCGTTGCCCTGCCAGTTCAGGGGATTGACATAGCTCACCCCCTTTCCCACGGTACGGAAGGCAGCACCGCCCACATGCACAGCAGTGCGGGGCACGACGGTGACGGGCAGTAGCAATACGTCCTTGAAGCCCGTGAGGACTGAACGCTTGACCGCTGCCGGGTTCTGGGCGGTGAGAAAGGCGGCATCTACGCGTGAGGCGCTGGCTTCATTTGCAAGCTATGCGGTGAGAAAGCAAGACGACCTATCAGCGGGGCGTCGTGATGGGCAAAGAACAGAGTGCACTCACATCCTCTTCCCACTTATCGCCCACAGCACTCATTTCCGTCTTGACCCATTCGCGCTCGGCTATGAGGTACTCCTCAACAATATCCGCCCACGCCTCGTAGACGACGTCGTTGCACAGGTCAGCGGTGTAGAAGCTCTCGAAGCGCCTTCGCCAGTCTGCACTTTCTTGCGCATTAACCTCACTGTCGACCGTATTGGAAGATGTAGCATCGGATTTGTTGAGCAGCGTGGGAGCTGGTAATCTTGTGGGAGGCGTCACGCTGCGGATGGCTTCGGAAAGCTTCAGTGATTGGGCAAAGCTGGCTGCGCAGCAGCGTAGGTATAGGTGGACGGAATGCGAGTTGGCGTGATCCAGCAGAGGGCGAATGTACGTCGTGATCTGACACAACGAGTGCAGATGACGTAGTCAGTGAAGACGCCAAAGGGATCGCGTTGATTGTGTTGCCCACTCACCAGCTCTGAAAGCACAATTCTGGCCCAAGCAAGCAATACGCCCTGCTCAGGCGGAAAGATGCTCGCAATCATCTCGCCCTCCTCTCGGAAGTTGGTCACGAGTTGCGACATGACGCTGTCCATCGGAGTGAAATTGAGAGTCGGAGGTGCGTCTGGTGAGGCGAATCTGTGATGATGGAGTGGATAGGGCGAGCATGAGCGAGGACAATACAAGGTCTACGCCTCTTACGAGCGGCTCACATGAAGATGTCGCGGTAGTCTGCCTGGCCTCGGGAGTTGCTGGAGAGTGAGAGCGGCAGCAGGCTTGCTTGACGGGTCTTCAGCCATGCCGCCTTGGCCTCAGAGCCAGGCGCTTCATTTTCTTCACTGGTCTCCTCGTCCCCGCCCGCGGCACCATCGAGAAGCCAGCCTTCCGCTTTCTCGCCATCTTTGCGCAACAATGCTTTTAGTCGAGCACTCTGTTGACCGAGGTCCCACAAGCTGACTGCAAAAATCCTCATGTCGCCCTCAGCACGGGCGACAGCGGCGTCTGTACCCGAAGCACCATGTGATGCTGCTCTGAGAGCGTCGGAGCGCTTGTCTGACGACGCCTTGAACATGGAGAGTAGGTTGGAGGTAAGGACGGAGGCTGCTTGGAGAAGGCCAGCGCCTAAGGACTGTTCTCTGATGGACCCATCCCCGTTGACACCGTCATCTTGCCCTACCAAATCTGCAGACTTCTTGCTACACTTTGCGTCAAAGAGCGCCGCTCCCTCCGGGTACGGCAAAGAGCAACGTATCAGGTTGCCAAGCAGCGCAGCCTGCTCACGAGCTCCCCAAGCCGACGAAGAAGCGTCGGGTCCGAGGAAGATCAGACTCTCCTCAATATTGCTGGTACCAGCTGCAACACTGTCAGCAAAAGGACGAAGACATTCCTTGTACGACTTGAGCACCTGGTATGCCTCGATCTTTGCGCAAGAGGGCAGCGACGTCTCCGCCCTGAAGGAGAAGAGTGATTTGGCACCTCCTGGTCTTCCCGGCTTCATTGGTGCCTGAAGTGAGGCAGTCCCATTCGCTAGAGAGCCTCCCGAATACTCGCCGAAAGAGTCATCTTCATTGGGCGATGTCGATGAGTAGGGCTTTGGCATGCTGGCCTCTGCCGGACTAGCAAAGTCTCCCCAGTCGTCCGAGGCGCCTTGCTGGAGTGATTGAGGCGCCTTGATATTGGAAGGTGGTGGCGACGGCTGCGGAGCTGATGTGGTATGCTTGACCGGTATGCTCTGTATATCTTGCCATTGGGCTGCCTTGACTCTTGTGAGCCAAATCTCCTCCGAGGCTACGAGTCTGGCGAGCGGGCGACAAGTTGCCATGTACCGCACGAGATCCTCGACGGGCAAGATCTTTGCGATAGCCTGATGGACAGCGAGAGGAAAGCTCCCTACAAGCTCATCTTCCTCGTCGATTGCTGCGCCTTTTCCATTTGCTCCTGCTTTATCTTGACTTGCTCCCCCTGCTACTGAAGCATACTGCGACGACGAAGGGGCGCTCTGAGCCCAAGCTGGTAGGAACGACCGCCTCTTGGCTACGTGAGCAGCTGGTGGATGAGGCTTAGCTGGTGGGGCATGCCGCGTTGACTGAGCTGGCGGAGCATATAGGGCTGCTATGCGTGCATCGTTGGCCGCCGAAGATGAGGATGAGGAGGGATCAGAGATGGAGCTCGACGCGGCATGCTTTGGCGTCGGATTGAGTGGCTTCCACTTGTCCATGGCTATGCTATTACGATGAACCACTGGTTGGCGGCGGAGATGATCAACGTCACACTTGCAAAGTAGACGCAGCCATCAGAGAGGTGAGTGACGAGTTGCTGCTGTGTCAAAATGAACAAGACGGAGGCAGAAGGCGAAAGCGGCACGCACCTGCAACTCGATGCCTGTCCGCTCGCTCTCTTTGGGTGGCTCGTGCTGAGCATTTCGCCTTGCCGCTCCTCCTTTGCTTCCCTACCACTCATCGAATAGATACCAATTCACCAATGCATCGTCCACCCACCACTGCGCCGCCTTCTGGCGCGCAGAGCCCCTTAATCAATACTTTCAAGCTACCCGCACAGCCCAGCAACAAGAACCGCCGACCCTCGAGCATCGAAGCCTCCCTCGCCACGACGTCGCTTCGCCTCGCCCCATCTGATCGATCCGACCCCTCTGCAGCATCCACGACGTCCCGCAGTGCGCCTCTCGAGCCTCGTCGTCCCACGACCACTACCGCTGTCTTGTCTTCAAAGAAGCGGCCCTGGGCTCCTTCGCCCGCTTCTCGCCCGCCTTCCTCGTCCAGATCATCGCAGTCTCGTCCCCCTACCCAGACCTCGAGGCAGGGTACGTCCAGGCCTGCAACGGCGCGAAGCGCTCGTCTGGCGTCGATTGGAGAGACGATTGGCGGGAATTGGCTCACAGCTGTGATTGATAGTCGTGGCACTGGGGCTGGCAGAGATGTCGGCATCGCAGCCATGGAACGAGACACGGGTAAGGCGGCGCACCAAGCCGCATATACGCTCACCTTGACTTAGTGACGACGAGAATGTTGACCCTGACTATGCTTCGGAACTGCTCTTCTTCCCGATGGTGCACTACAACCAGGTCTTGTCGTCCTCACGCAGGTAAATTATGGGAGGAAATCGCTGCCGCAGCATCATTAGTCTGACGTTCCTCATTTGCCAGCTGTCTGACACGCAGACGTACGCAAAGACGATCCAGCAATTGACGCTGCGTCCCTCTCGCTCGATCCTCGTAGTCAGCAACCGTTACGCATCACATCGCATCAAATGCTCTTCATGCTGACCATGTGGACATCACTGCCTGCTCATCTGCTTCCCCTGCAGCCCGAATCGAAGGGATCTTCAGCACGAGCCGATGGAGCAGCCCCAACGGACGACCCTCTGCTCGTAGTTTGCCTTCGCGACGCCTTCTTTTCTGACATCGTCGGTCTCGCTAGGAGCTTTTGGAACTCGAATGAAGGTGCGACGGTGGCTCGCGACCAGCATATAGCCTTCTGGCTGATCGTCTTGCTTGCTCAGGCGCCGAGTACATCAACCAGCTTCTCATCAAGAGCATCAAGAGCGAAGATGGCTCGTCCAAGAGCTCTGGCGGTCTCGAGGAAGGCTTCACTACGCAAGAGTCCATCCAGCTTGCCACCGCCGACAAATACTACGCGCTATCCGCCTGCTCTGCGCTGTTCAAGCACTTCGAAATGACGGGCACCGCCATGCTCAGTCGCAGCTCTCTGAAGATCGTCTACATGCCACCAGAGGGCACCATCTACCTCGATGCTTCTGCAATCGAACACCTCGACTTGCTCCCCTTCGGCGACAGTAACGCCTCTGCCACGCTCTATGGTCTTTTGAACAAGTGCAGAACACCCATGGCATCCCGCATGCTCAAGATGAACCTGCTCCAGCCCTTGACCGCAGTCAGCACCCTCAATGCTCGCTTAGACGCGGTTGAGGAGCTGGTTGAGGCGCCAGAGCTTCGACATGCCATAATCCGCAGTCTCAAAACTTTCGAGACGTCCAAGCTTGACGTGGACCGACTGATTGCAAGACTCGTCAGCACGCACAAGCAGAAGAGAGGCGGTCGGACCGACACGCAGGTTGCTGACGAGTTGCTCGGCATCCTGCTTGCCCTCAGGAGCAGCTTGCACGCTCTCGAGCAGCTCAAACTCTCAGTCCAAGGCGCCAAAAGTCCGCTCGTCCGTGCAATCGGTGGCATCCTCTCCGACGCCGAGCTAACCGATATCCTCGACATCCTCTGTGACTCGCTCAACGATGACATTGGGCAGGGGAAAGGCAGCCTGCATTCTCGCAACGCCAAAGTCTACGCGGTCAAGTCCAACTGCAATCCTCTCCTAGATGTAGCGCGCAAGACGTACGACGAGAATGTCGAGGACATCTATGCGCTTGCGAAGGAGATTGGCGAGCGACACGGCTTGCCTCTCAATCTCAAGCTGGGTGGTAATGGCTTCTCGCTCCATGTCAAGGTCGAAGACATGCGCTCTAAACCTCTTGCTGCGGAGTTCGTCGACGTGGTCAGAGACAAGCGCGGCAAGACTATCACGATGAACACGCTACAGCTCAAGAAGCTTGATCGCCGCTTGAACGACTCGCATAACGAAGTGCTTCTACTGGTCAATAGCACTGTCCGGCAGCTCTGTGAGGACGTGGTGGAGAAGGTCGCGATCCTATACAAGGCGTCCGAAGCGGTAGCTCTCGCCGACGTCTTCAGCTGCTTTGCCGACCTTGCTGCCTCTCAGCACTACGTTCGCCCCGACTTTAGTGCCGACACCCTAGCCATCAAGTCCGGCCGACATCCAGTCCTCGACGACCTCACCACAGGCCACGCAGTCCCCAATGACACGTACGCGGACGAGTCCTCGACCTTTTTCCTGATCACCGGTCCCAACATGTCAGGCAAGACGACCTACCTCAAGCAAGTAGCTCTCCTCACCATCATGGCTTGCGTAGGCTGCTTCGTCCCAGCGCACTTCGCCTCTTTCAGACCCGTGAGCGCCATCCTCACCAGGCTGGGAAACGACGACGACATGGAGAGCAACCTGTCCACTTTCGCGGCAGAGATGAAAAGCGCTGCCTCTATCCTTTCGCTGGCGTCGCCGAGCGCTCTAGTGCTGATTGATGAGCTGGGCAGGGGGACGAGCCCACGGGAGGGTTTGGGTATTGCACACGCCATCAGCGAGAGCTTGGCGCGGTCGGGGGCCGTGACCTTCTTTGCGACGCATTTCGAGGATCTGTGCGAGACGTTGGATGGCTTCCCGAACGTGAGCAGCCTGCATCTGCGAGTGGACGTTTCGAAAGGTGGAAAGCGTAGGGATGGAGGAGAGGTGGGTCTCGACTTTCGATATCAGGTGACGAGGGGACGTGATGCGAGGTGAGCGAGCACGAAGCGACAGATACCATTTGAAGTCCACGCGTGAGCTGATGGCCTCTTCCTGCTCTTCGTCTTGACCAGCACTCTCAACTACGGCCTTGAAGTCGCCAAAATGTCGGGCCTCCCTACCAGCCTGATCGATGAAGCGGCGCAAATTGCCCTTCACCTGGACTCGCAGAAGGTACCAGGAGAAAGAGCGACCAGAACGAAGCAAGCTGTACGACGGGTTCGCACCATGCTCAAAGTGAGCGCGATGTTCTATCGTTGACGACTGTGAAGTGATGATGTGTTGGAGGAGCTGATGAGTGATCCCACATGCGCATATCACAGTACGCCGGCCAACTCGAGCAGATCAGTCGCAGCCAGCACATGGATGAGGCCAATCTTGTCGAGCTTCTTGCGCAGCTGCAGGCGGCTTTTATCACTGAGGCTGCGGATTGTCTGGGTATATCTGCCGATGGCGATGAGGTATCGATGGATGAGTAGTACTCGCGGCCGAGAGATGGAGGGGCGGTGTTGGTTGGACCAGAGCAGAGTGGAGGAGGGCGGAAACGCGGGGACGACGCGAAGGCAGTGTCGAAGTGAAGTGACAGATCGAATTTCGTCCGCTCTTCCTCTCCTCTCACACGACTTCCCAATTCATGACATTCAGCCGCTCTGCTCTTACCTGCGATGGAAGGTCGCTTTCCTCCGTAGCGTAGCGTACGACGCCCTCGCATCGGGCTCGATTCGGCCTCGCAGCAACACAAAAAGGAGCGCTAAGACGCCTGCCTAGCCGCAATGACAAAGGGACCACGCCGCTGGGCGGAGACGGGCGCAGCGACGGCATCGCGAGGGCTGACGAGGAGGAGCCATTCGCCGAGTAAAAGAGAGCCGACGGTGGCGACGGCAATCTGCTTGGCCCGTGATGAGATTGAGAGCCCTTTGAAGCCGCCCAGCGTTGCCAGCCCTCGATGCGCTTTTGTCCAAGGTGCTCGCTCCTTGCCTACTGACCACTACAGCCCCTTGCATTACTGAGCCCCTTTCTCTGCCACCTTTAGCAGACTGGACCAGGTGCACAGATCATCTAGTCAAGGTCATCCGATGGCCCTAACAATCGACGTAACCAACGGAACGTCAGCCTCCGCAGCTGCTGTGACCCCTCACCACGCTACCAAGGGTAAGGACCGAGAATCAGAGGCGGTGCACCGCAGCCCGCGCACCGCAGCAGGCGATGCAACGCCTGCAAAAAGGGCATGGCAAGCCAGGTCGTCTCATTACAGTTCTGGTGCAGATGAGTGGGAAGAAGAATACGAGCAAGGTGATGACCAAGAAGCGGGAGCGGGAAAGGAGCGATGGTTCAAGGAGTTCGACAGGCAGTGGAACGAGTCGCGTGCCTCGTCATTGGGTCGGGCCTCGAGAGAGTCAAAACCCCCCATCATCGACGTCGACGCCCGAGACGACGCTGAAGGAGGTTCAGCTAGTCGCACCAGCAGCCGTCTTCGCCCTCATCCAGCCGACTGGCGCGTCAGCGGCATGCTAGGAAAGGCCAACAGCAGCACGACTTTAGGTCGAGAAGCTCGAGATCCCATCCATGGCTACCTCAACTTCACCGCCAGTCGTGGTGGAGCTGTGCGCACCTTCGCGCTGCCTCCCTCATCCATTGATGGGCTCACATACGAGACCCTCGCTCGCATCCTCGACTTGGAGCGTAGCCTAGAGGACTCATCATGGGGTCTCCCTGGCAGCGGCAACAGTGCCCGGCGCAAGGGCAAGCGCTCCTCAAGTTCGACCAACTTCTTTGGCTCAAGCAGCCGATCTCGCACCTCTCATCTTCCAACTCTATATATAGAGCATACTGTGGACCCCTCCATCCTCGCCACCGGCTCCAAGCGGACACCACGGCCGTACAGCAAGTGGTCTCCCCTCACCCCGTGGCCTCATCCCAACGAATCATTACAAGGTTTCCTGATGGCAGACTTCTTCCGGCGACAAGTCACCAAGGGGGCATGGGTCCACCTCACCATCAAGGAGAAGGGGGAGCCCCCACCAAAGGATAGTGAGGCATTCGGACCAAGTGGAGTGGCGAGGATTGGCAAGGGGCTGAGCAGATTGAGTTGGGGATTGGGGAGCCTGTTTGGTGGGCTGGACTCGCCTGCATCGCCGCGCGAGGAGCCCGCGAGGAGGCAGCAGTACCTCCAGCTCAAGGACAATTTGTTAGACAGCTCCGAGGAGGGGACGGACGATTCGAAGATGACGGGCAGGCAAGCGAGGGCTGCCGTAGACAGAGATGTGAAAGGCGAGAAACAGCGCGAGCCGGGACCCGTGAGGAGGTGGCTGCGCTCTGTCTTCCGTTTGGGAGCCAAGTCCGAGACGAAGAAGCCAGATCAAGCTGCGCAAAGTCCGGAGGTTGGCAGCACCCGCCCATTGCTACCTCAAGCCAGTGAGCAAGACGCCCCAGTGCTGGACATCAATGCCATCACTGCAGGTGCAGCTGCTGCTGCGGCTAACCCTCAGGCCAACCCCGAGCCAATCGATCCTTTCCGCGACCCTACTCCACAACCACAACCTCAGGCCCCTCAGCACCTACACCGCACCTCTGCGCGCTCCAGCTCCATCCGTCAAACCTATAGAGAAAGCAAGCAGCGTCTCCTCACCCGCAGCGATCCCGGCGAGACGGCCCGACCTAAGATCAAACAACGTCTCACCTCGCTCCGCGCAGCCATCGTCACTCCTCTTGCCTTGGCCCTCAACATGCGCTTGCCTCATTCCTCCTCAACGGGCAGCAGCCAAGACGAAGATGACGCCTTCAACAGACGCGAGCGGGAGCGGCTGAGGAAGCGCACTTGGATGACACCGCCGACCGTGGAGGATGAAGAGGACGGGAGAGGGAAAGGCAAGCGCAAGTCATTGGGCAAGTACGTCTCCTTCCGGTCCCTAGCCAGTATGACCTCATCTCCAAAGCACCACACGCCGCCAGATGTGGCCAACGCACCACTGCGGGCGGCACCACGATCGGCCATGGTGACGCCTGCCCCGCTTGCCTATGAGCCTCGACGTGGCAAGCTTATTGAAAGGACAGACTTATCCACAAGTGGCCTTAGGGCGAGCGTTCCCTTGCCTCCGCAGCCTTTTGAAGGCTTTCGCAGCTCAAATCCCCAGGAATGGCAGGCACTGAACCGCTTGACCGCTCTCGATGGAGGACCATTTCCGCCAGTGGCGCCGCTCATACCTGGACTTCCTGGTCCTACATCCTCCAGCCCGAAGGCCGGCAACAGCAGTGGTAAGGGTAACGGACAGGCAGAAATGCTGTTGGGCCAAGGTAGCGCGGATTCGAAACACACGCCCCTCAACAGCACATTGGAGATACTGGATGTACCAGACCATGTTCAGGCGCAAAGTGGTGCGCGGCATCTAGAGGACGTGGAGCACACCGACGACGAAGAGGATCTTGCCCTCTCCTCCAGCGGAGGGCCGAGGGAGGGGGAGAAGCATTCTATTCTAGGACACTCGACGAGGCCTACCGCAGTAGGGGCGGCGTCATCCTCGAATCTTTCTCCGCTCGCTTCTGAGGAGCTCCGAGGGAGCGTGGGCACAGAGGGAAGAGCGAAGGGCAAGGGGAAGGGCAAAGAGAAGAAGAAGAAGAAACCTTCCGCTTGGAAGAGGCGTTTCGGCGGAGAGAGGGAGAGGGACAGCCGAGGCAAGTTGAGTGAGGGAGAGAATGACGAGGATGGCCAACGTCAAGTCCAAGAAGCCGCCCGCGCTCCTCTCGCAACGCCTTCACGAGCAGAAAATGGGGCTCTTGGTAGCGACGTCAGCGTGAAGGCGCCCATCAATAGCAGGGGCAAGGGATCAATCGACACTCCTTCCCGTCACAGTAGCCTGCGTCGTCACGACCGAGAGCATGCAAAGGAAAGAGAGCGCAGCCGCAGCGCAAGTCGTGGTGGTGCTACTGCTACACCTGCGGGCGGGGCAGCGATGGGAGAAGGTGGCGGAGCAGAGCTCGTCCGCAGTGCGGAGGATGCCACCAAAGGGTTCATGAGGAGAGCTTGGGAATGAGAGATGGGTCGTGATGTCTGAGCGCTACTTTCCCTCTTGCTCTTTATCGTCTCGTCAACGATGCTCGATACCCTGTAAGCATCTCATCGTCGTAATGTTCACATTGTGCTTTGACTCAGACTATCCACTGCAGCCCGCTTCTTCCAGCCTTACGCATTGAAGTGGGTGAATGACTAGATTTCTCAAAAGAAGAGAGACTGAGTGATGTGGGTACTGTTGGGAAGAGCTTTTCTCTCAAGTGAAAGTTGTAAAGAAAAGGGGAGCTGCGCCACGTTTGGGCACGATGGCGACAGAGAGTCTGAGCGCGAATGAGGGAGTAGATGCTGATGTTGAGGGTGCTGATGGTCCGCTGGCCTATGAGGCGAGCGTCTCAAGATGGCGTCGGTACGCTGATGTTGGAGGTTTCGACAGAGATGTGCGACGAGGCTTGGGGCTGAAACGAAATGCTGATACATGTAGACCTTTGTCGGCGAACGTGAAGCCCCTTGCACGCCTACTCGGTTGGTCAGAGCGGTTGGCGCGGGAAAGACGACGTTGCGTTTGGCCTCGATGGAATGAATGCGACTTGGTATGATGTGTTGGGAGACTTGGATAGTTTCGAGGCGGGATTGAAGATGGGGGAAGGGGGTCAGATTTGTGTGCCTCTGGCCACTCCGTACTGTATTGTTGGGGAAGTAGACTGGCTTAATTGAGTGGGTGTGGATCGGATGAGGACCAGTCGAGGTGTGAAAAGGCCAGCTATCTGCTAAGCGGCGCCTTGCCCGTCGCACTTGACGTCTTGATCAGTGCTGCCCTTCGCTTTTTGTGATCTTGACTCGAAGAATTCAGTCGTCATCGATGACAATGAATTCGCGCGGCACTGCGGCCGCCTGTGGCTGTTGAGCTCCAATCTGAGGTTGTTGAGCTTGAATGTCGTTAGCCTCTGCCGCTGGTGGTGAGGCAGGATCTTCTTCTTCTTCTGCCTGAGCAGCAAGCATCGCTTCCGCCTCTGCGTTGATTGCGATTGCGTCCAGCACGTCCAGTCCCTCAGCCTGGGCAGCGACGGCGGCGGCGGGCTGATCAGCAGGTGCTTGATCGTCGTCGCGTTGTCCTTGCGCGTCTGCAGCTGCTGCCGGAGGCTGCGGATCGTCTTGCTGTTGGTCGGCAGGCTTTCCATTCTTGGGGCAGAGGTGGTTGTACTTCTCGCAGTGCTCAACATTATGATGCTGCGTTCGGCATTCGACGCCGTACCTGTGGGAGTGGCACGTCGAGAGTCAGCGACTGCTTCCCCAATCACGACCTAGTCTTTGCATGCCTCGACTCACCAGCAGTCAGGGAGATCTCGGATTTCGGCCTTCAGAGTATCTCTCTTGTTCTTCCTCACATCGTCCCACCACCAATCGACGACATGACCGAGAGCTTGAGTGGCACAACCGCCGCAAAGATTACCGCAGAGAAATGCGTGTGCCTCAGGCGCCTCGAGCTCGACGACTCTGTTAGAGGACCAGCAGATCCACTCGCCGTACTCTGGGTAAACGTTAGCCATGGCTTGGTGTCGAGCTTCTTTACGGCGGCGCTCAACTGCCTCGGGGCTCTGATCTTCCTCCTTGGCCTCCCTCTCTGCTTGCTCCTGCCGAGCCTTGCGCACGTCGACGACTCCGTCCTCGTCAGCGACCCCATCACAAAGCGCGAGAGCGAACTCGACGAATTGAGCAAAGATTTGCCTGGGAGTGATGCCGTGCTCAGTCCAGTACTCGTGTGCACGCTTGCGCTCGACTGAGTTGAAGCGAGGGTTGAAGTGGATGAACTCCTGAGGTGCTACTGTCAGTGCTTGTTCTACGGCACTGTGGTTCTCCATGGTCGTCCAGGGATGCTCGACTCTGGGGCAGCGGCCGGTGGGATCGTAGGGCGTGCAGATACTGTTGCGGCAGCCGACACCTGCAGTGGAGACGTAGTCGATTCAGTATCGCGAATCGCTCAACCTTCTGCGGCGTGGCTCACATGTAGCCTCAGAGGGTCCGTTCTCAGGGATCCAGCAGGTGCATTCCTCGCAAGACGTGTGCCTCTCCATAATGCTGCCAGCGGCAGCGGAGAGAAAGGGCTGTCAACTCGGCGTCAACAAATGCTCAAGATACTTGATGCGGCTCACTCTGGCATGAAGTCCTCCAATTCATTTAGATCTGGCCAGACCGCACCCCTCGGCGGTCGAGGAGGCATTGCACGGCCAAAATTTTCAGCCTCAGGGAAGGGCCTCTCGCACACGTAGCCAAAGGGGTTGTTCGGGTCACAGCAGGGGCAGCGCCTAAAGGGGTGGCAGGTTGAGAGGGCAGGTGATCAGCGCTCGGCACGAAAGGCTCGCCGCGAGGCGGGTACTGCTCACCAGAATGCGGGCACATCGTCTTCATCATCGTCATCTTCAGCCTGGTATCCATAGCCGCCTACGCTAGGGCGAAGCGTCGTACTGCCCGCGTGTGCCAACTTGTATGTCTGGAACGCCGTGGCTTCTTCAGCAAGTACCTCAGCAGGTTTAGCAGCGTCTGGCTCAGCCTGAATGATCAAGTCGCAGATGTTGATGAGAGCAGCGTTGACTTTGGCTTCGGTGGTGACGGTCTGGCAGCGTGGGCACTTGTTCCGGCCGAGGAGGTACCACTCTTTGACGCAGGACCAGCAGAAGTGGTGGACACATGGGAGGACAGCTGACGTGCGCAAAGGAGAAGAGGCGGATGGGGTGGCGAGATGTCAGTAGGTGAGGTCCCCGGATCATGAGTGGTGGTCCAGCGAGCGACACTCACTTGTAGCCCTAGTGGCAAGGTCGAGGCAGATGTTGCAGGTCTATGTGGGCAAGACGAAGAACAATGTGAGGCTGATGTTCGAATGACGGTAGCGCCGAGCTGGCCGCATCCACTCACTAGCTCCTGCTTGATAGCTTCGGTGTCGAGAGCAGGAGGCTTTTGTTGCTGAGTCTGGGCGTCGTCGTTGGTCTTGACGAGCTTACGGTCTCGGCCATCATCGTCGACCGTAGTCCGCTTCGACGAGCTTGACGGGGAGCCCTCCTGATCGTCCATCGTTGACGACGATGAGTGGAGTTGCTTTCTCGGCGCAGGTGTGGGCGGTGGGGAGTGTTGGTGTCTGATGAGGCGTGTTGATGTTGGAATGTGGTCAATGAAGGGGAGAAGGGGGAACAAAGGCGTGGGAAAGGTCGGCACGGAGGCTTGGGGTTTGGGAGTGGTAAGGAGCAAAAGAGAGATTGCTTTCCCTCGCCCAATCTGAGTCGCTCTCTCGACGATGTCGAGCTCAGAGAGTCGACACAGGACGGAACCAGGACGCGTGATGCAGGACACGGCTCAAGTGCCTCTCGCTGACTCCCGCTGCCTGGCTGCAAGTGTGCACGGGCCGTCCTTTTTCGAGGCTACGAGGTGGGCTCAGAGCATGGAGGGTGATGATAGATTGGTATCGCATTGAAAGCGTCGCTAGATAGATACAAGCCACATGAAGAGCTGAAGCACTCATGACTCCAACGAAGAGCTCCCACGCTCAGTAAATTCAGCGGCCATACCACGGAGCATCGCTGCCATCTTCTCCACCACGTCCTCCTCGCCCCTGCCCTCTTCTTCGCCGCTTCCTTCGCCGTGTGCACGCTGAATTACATCGCGGTGTAATGGTGCAAGATCCTCCAAGATCGATGCAAGCTTTTCCAAGGCAGCCGATGCTCCACCCTGCTGCTCCTCAAGGCAACTTGCATTCTCTGGATGATGACTGATGGCAAGGCCGAGCGCGAGGGCGATGGAGGCGCGGAGGATTGCAAAGTCGGCAGCCGCAACATCCAACGATACTGACCTGTCAGCGTCGTCTGGAGCGTGCGTGGCCTTTTCCACATGACTGGCGCTAGCCCTCCAGCTCTTAGTCACAATGCCGAAGAGCATTGTGACAGCCAGCTGCCCCTGGCATTCGCCGCTTCCCGACATCCCCTGGCCTTTGGCCGACATTCCCAGCCTGATGTTCGTCAGACGCTGTGCAGTGCCTTCGTAATGCTCGAGAAGGTTCGTGACAAGCGCCACAGCCAGGCAGAGCACATCGTGACCTATAGCGTCGAGGCCGATGGCGGTAGTAGGGCTGTCGCTGCTCCCATTGCTGGCAGTACGAGAAGCTGCACTGCTCTTGAATGGGGCTTGTGGTGAGCTGCTGTTGCCTTGCGACTTGCGTGGTGATTTACGAGACTCTACGAAGGTAGCTGCTGCTGGTGATGCCGACAGCGCAGGTCTGGCCAGAGTGACGTCGTTCATCGTTTCCGAAAGCTCCACGATAAGGCTTAGGATCAGCTCCACCGCGCCGTCACTGTCCGAGACGGCCTTGCACCACGCTTCGTTGCCCTGCGTGAGTGCGATGAGAACCTTGAGCCAGTCGCCCATCGTACCCAAAGCTTGTAGCGTCGTGTTCAACGATGACGACGGTGAGAAAGAGGAGTACTTTGTATGAGCTCGCAAGTAGCGCACCGCATCGACAACGTAGTCGGCAAGCAGCGGCTTGCATTCATCATCCGCGAGAGCCGTCGTGGTTCCTCCTGTGGCCACCTCGTCGAGGGATCCTACGAGACGTTCGACCAAGCGAGCAATCGCGCCCAGCACATCCATCGACGGAGCAGATGATCCGGACGGTGATGACGAGAGCATATCGGCGCCCGCATCGTGCTCGACGAGCTTGCAAGCGGCGATTCCGGCCTGCCGTCGAAGTTCGCGAGCGACTGCGCCTACGATGGTCGCAGGTGGCTTGCCAGCAAAGGTGTCGTTACCTGCTTCGTCCGTGAGATCATGCGGGGTGAGGGGGCGCTCGAGAATGCTTTTTCGTGGTTCTAGCGAAGCGGTAGCTGGCAGCTGCGTGACGGCGCCGGTGATCGAAAGGGCAGCCAAGAGCAACGAAGGCTGGCCAAGCGCATCGACTGGAATGAGGCCGATCTGTGCGCTGAGATGACCCAGTGTAGCCCTTTGCTCCTCAAGACGACGCAGTACCTTCTTGCTCTTGCTGGTCTTGACGCTCTGACCCGCCTCCTCGATTTTATTGTGAGGCCGAGCTCTCTCGGATGCCTTCTCCAGCACAATTCGTAGCACAGCCCAGATGTCACTGGCGTGTGTGTCGAAGAGGCTCGTTCCCATGATGCGAGGCTCAATGAGGCGATCGAGGACGATGACGAGTGCCCAGTCAAGGATCTCGTCTTTGCCGTTGCCCGCTTCGGCTGCTCGCAGAGCAGTCCAGACCTTGTCGTACGCGTCAGCTGCTTTCAGACGAACCAGAAAAGTGGTTGAATCCGAGACCGCGGTGCCATCGATGCTATCTTCTCCACCTGCCTCGTCTCCATCAACTGACGTGCCTTGTTCCTCTCGATCCTCCGTTCCCTTCAACTGTCCACAAAGACTTCTCGCAATCTCTATGCTTGACGCCTGCCTCGCGCTCAACGAATTCGTCTCGGGCTCCAAGCCTGCTAGAGTATAGTCGAGCTCATCCATGAACCTCTTCAGCGACCCGACCGACCGCAAGCTGGTCAAGGACTTCAGAGCTGGCTGGGCACCTGCTTCAACATCAAGACTACCTCCTGCGCCAGCCTCCTCGATGACCCACTTCTGCCGCATTTCCGCATAGCTCTCGCGCTGCTGGCTCTCTTGCGTCTCTGTAGGCCATCTATCCGCCATCGAGACTTGCGATTCCGGCTCAAGTGAGTCTGGGGAGTGGTCGCCGTTAGCTGCTGCTGCTTCGCCGCTAGGCATGACGGCCAGATAGCTGCGCACGCCGGCACCGTAAGTGCGTGGTCGACCTCGCTGGCTTTCTGAGTTGACAGCATTCCGCGCATGGGTGTCTGGCTCGTGGGATGAACGTGAAGGGGAGACTTGGCGGGAGTTGCGTGTAGAGGTGAAAGGGTGAGGCGATGCTACTCGGGAGCCTGAAGTGTTGGCTTCTTGAGATGCCTGTGACAGAGACAGGCTGCTCTCGATCTCGTCTCCATCCTGTGCATCTGAGACAGGCAATGGTCTTTTGGCCTTGCCCATCCTAGCTGCGATGCCCTTCTTGAGAGGAGAAGAGGGCCCCGCAAGAGGACCGGGGGTGAGTTTCGAGGGCGAGGCAGAGAGCTGCGGCTGCTGCTCTTGTCGAGGCCTGACACCCCGCTTGACCGGTGACGCAGAACCAGGGCTGGCAATCTCGAATGCTTCTGCGACATCTTGAGACAGGACAGGTCGAGGCGATGTAGGGGTCTTGTCGCGACCCGCGAATCTCACACGACTTGCCCTCTTCTTGGTTGGAGAGGGAGATGCTGGTGATCGGACAGCGACAGCGGCGGATTGCTTCACTTCAGCCTCCTTCTCTACCTCCGGCGTACGAGTGTTGCTGGCGTCGGCGGCGGCGGCCTTGGAGGAGCCTTCGCCTCGCTGATTGTAGATGAGCTTGCGTCGCTTGCCGGAGGAGCAGTACGTTGCTTGTCTTGCGCTGCGCCTCTGTGGCGTTGTGACGTCCATTGTGTTGCAGGACTACCAACTTAAGACGTGAGAGAGTGTATGGCTGGCGACGAGGGCCATGAGAGCCACAGAACTGGCGCGAGGTAGAAGTGTGGATGATGAAGAGACAAGGAACGAAACGAAGGGACGGCGCTCCGCCGCCTGCTTCCGATTGCCCTCCACTCGCATCGCGTCCATTTCGCAACAACGACCTCGCGCCGTGTCGTGCAGCTTCTTCGTAATCAAGCCAAAAAGCAACATTGCCTCGTCAACATCACGATGCCAATAGCAAGACGAGCCTCCTCTGGGCGAGCGGCAGCCAACGTTAAGCGGGTCAAGTACGCTGAGAGCGACGACGGCGATGAGGACGACTCTTCCACTTCCCCGCCGACCGAGGAGGATTCAGGCAGCGAGTTTGGCGAGTCTCAGGCTGATGCGGAGGAAGCTGCTGACGATGAAGATGACGACGAGGATGATAGCGACAACGAGGTCAGCAGCGAGGAGGAGGTCACTCCCAAGAGGAAAAGAGGCAAGAGCAGCGGCGCAAAGACAACGCCAACTAAGGCGAAGTTGGCGGCCAGGCGCATACAGCCTGACAAAGTGAAAGCGTCGCGCAAGAGAGACTCGGATGATGACGAAGATTTCGAAGACAAGGATCAACAAGAAGACGATGGTCTTGTAGGTGGCGAAACTCTCTCGGTCACGAAGCTCGTCGCGGCTCCCACCCTACGCCACTCACCCGGCCAGCTCGGTCGCCCCGTCATCGACTTCATGACCAAGCTTCTCAGCCCAAAGTACAATGACCGGGAATGGTTCCACGCAAACGAGCGCGTCTGGAAATGGATAAAACAGGACTTCGATGAATTCTCTTCACACTTTCTCGAAAGACTTATGGACGAAGTAGACGAGACGGTCCCTTACCTCCCTAGCAAGGATATGGTGTATCGTATCCACCGGGACGTGCGGTTCAGCAACGATAAGACGCCCTACAAGCGGACCTTGATGGCTACTCTGTCTCGTGGAGGGAGAAAGGGACCTTTTGCGGGTTATCACCTTTGCGTACGAGCAGGGGGAGAAAGCGGCTTGCATGCAGGGACGTGGGAGCCGCCCCCTGATCGGCTCAATGTGCTCAGAGATCACATCAAAGAGGAGACAGAGGAGTTCCAGCGATTCAAGGCGATCATCGAAGATCCAGAGTTTGTCAAGGTGTTTGGCGCTCCGAAGCCTGACATCGCCAAGGGAATCAAGGGATCGCTATGGGGCAGGAACGAGCTCAAGGTGCGTGGACGTGGCAGCAGCATGGGAGGTCATTCTCAAGCTGATCTCGACTGAGCTGTCTTCGCCTTTTGCGCACGCAGAGTGCACCAAAAGGAATCGACAAGACACATCCACACATTCACCTGCTCCGTCTCAAGACATTCTGTGTGTCTCGCCACTTCACAGACGCAGAAGTCGTCGATGCGCAAGGCGACGCGGACGGAAGCGACGATGCGAAGCCCTTTCCGAAGCAGGGCAAGAAGGGAGCATCAACAGCAGCTGTGGTGAAGGGCGGGCGAGGAGGCGGCGACGATACAGTGAGCAGGGCAGGTAGCTTCGAGGACAAGCTCGTAGCTGCGGCGCGTATGGCCAAGGACTTTGTCGAGGTCCTCAACGATATGATGCACCCGGCCCCACCGCCGCCGCCGGGCTTCGCTGGGGATGTAGCTTGAGGGAGACGAGACACGCGTGCAAAGCGCAAAGTGTGAGGCGTCACGGGGGGAGGAGTCTTTGATCTCTGTATTATTGCTATGCTGATTCATGCTGCGCCGATGCGTAAAGCGCTAGCTTTTGTTGATTGTGGGTATGCTTGTTTGAGGTGCCGAATTCGCGTCGCATTCTAGAGTAGTCCGCGTCGCGTTCTATTTGCTGGTTGTCGCTGAGCTCCCTTCTGACGTCGTCACGTTCTCCAGCACGATCTTGAGGCTGGTCGTGCACATCGGTCGCTCGATTACACGGCAATCTGGGTGACCGTATTGGCCCTGTGAGTCTTCTGTCCCCACATTCCGCGCTTGCGACTGAGTGAGTCGTGATGAGCATCGCTTGCTCTGCCTTGAATAAGTAATGGACTGAAACGCTGGCAGTTGACCAGCTTTGAGCGCTTCACTACTGCGAACTCTGCAGCCAGATTGGGCAATTGCCCATTTCTAGGCTTGTTTCGCTGCTCAGCATCGGATGTGTCAACGTCGCTGACAGACCCATTCGGGCTGGGTGTATTACCAAGGTGAGATACTCGTCTCAGACTGCTGCGGACGCAAATACGAGTCGAGTCCCCATTCCGGTAAGCGAGCTCTTGGCGGTTGCGTCGCTGCTACCAGAGGGGCGGCACAGCAGTTTTGGCACTTTTGGGGAGTGAGAGCGGTACCAAAAGGTCGGGTCTCGCGCTTAGCGAGTCAGAGCCTATCCAGAGCCGCGCGGTCTGCAACCCGGTGATACAGCCGTCGTACGCTACACGAAGAGCACAGTCTCGTAGCTGATGGCGACTTCAGTGATGTCGACGCTCGATGCTCTTGCAATTTGAGTGCTGGATAGACGTGAAGAGCCACAGCTTGCGCGAGCTTATGTTGGAGGGCGATGCTACTCGTGATCCCTCCTATATAGTCACAGGAGTGGCTTGCTTGCCGTACTCGTATCCGCATTTGAGTCGTGTTGAAACTCCTTTTTGGTGGATTCGATGGACTCTTGCTGCTCCTGGTATAGTCTGAGAGACAAGGGTCTTGTCTGTTTCGCGCTTCTCTTTCGCGCTTCTAGAAATGGTCCCGCTGCCTTCTTGTCAGGCTCTGGTCCCCTTCCGTTGCAGGATCCTGATGCGGATATCCGGGCTCCGTGTATCTGAGCTCCGTATGGGAAGTGCTTTGCAAAGCGCGAGACTTTCGAGGGTGCTTCTTTGATCGAACGTCGCTGCGTTGCGCTACGGTCTACAAAATCAGCGAACTTCCAAGACATTGTCCTCGTCCAGCGTTACGACCATGTCTTGTAGTCTCACGAGGTGCAGGCCATTGAGACGTGCTGACCATCGCGCTGGCCGATATGAAGTCGACGTTGGGGTCCACCCAGGCCTTGAAAGCTATTAAAGGAGGCGTGTTGTCGTCGTCGTCTCTTCTCTTGGATTCCGTCTTTGCCATCTCATTCCTCCTCCTCCACGTCGAAGGGTATCATACCTGTCTCTTCACGTCGAAGCGCATCATCCCCTTCCTTCACGTCGAAGGACATATTCCCTTCCCTTCAGCACGGAGAGAATCATACCCTTCCCTTGACGAGGCAGACCGCGAATAGTCAGCCACGCCATGGCGTACTCGCCCGACATTTCTGGTTCCATGAGCGCCTTTCCTGGTGATAGCCTCAGGCAGGCCAACGCCATCATCGACACTTCCTTCTCTGCGGGCGCAGCAGTCATGGACCCTACTGATTTGGCCACCGCCCAGAGGGTCGTTTCATTCATTGCGAATGCAGCATTCGCGCCTCGAATCACGGATCGCCACGACAAGCCTTCGTCAGAGCTTTCCTCGACGATCTTGACGATGGCCAATGATACGAGCTGTGAGTTCTCGGAGGCAGAGCCCCACGCGTTTTACGCGACGCGAAGACGCGTAAAGGACCTTGAGCTGACCGCCGGCTCCCACTCTCGTCCCACGTCGTTTTTCTCAGCGAGCGGTCCGGCAGAGGCTCTCACGCCAGACCCATTTGCTCATGGAACCCCGTCATTCATGCGCAACCCGGGCCTAATCCTGGATTCTGAGGTGGAAGAGGGTAGGCAGATCTGCGACGAGATCTTTCACCGAACGCCATCTCTAGAGCGCTCCACGCCTGGTAGCAGCTGGAGCTCATTTGCCAGTCCGTCGACTCCCGGCCAAGTCGGTTTCAAGGTGGGAGGAGGGGCAGCTGTCGCGGCCAAGGAGGCGGAGTCGGAAAGAGAGTGGGCGCTTTGCGGGGCGCAGGCTTCCTTGGTTTGGGAGTCCAACACCGAATTGGCCTCGAACAACACCACCGCATCCAACATCGTCATCCCTGACACCATCCTCACGGACTTGCATGACCCAGCTCCCTCCGCCATCTCACACGATGCCGTCATGCAGAGGGTCAACAACCTCTCCCTCGGCGACCATGTCTGGCTTGCTGAGTTCGCTCAGCAGCAGCTGCAGGGAGGCGTCGCTATGGGACGATCCGATCAGGATGGCCTGGTGGCTGCGAACCAGCGCAACGAGCCGGGAGCCAACGGAGGTGGTGTCGGTGGATGTGCCCCTAGCACAGACGGATTCCCAATGGGAAGCCATCCGGATCCTCAGCGCTCTCAGCACGGCACCCAACTTTGCTTCGCACCGTGTCAGCCGCTCTCTGCCACAGGCCCTCAACCCTATGCGGCCGCTTCCAACGGGAGGCAACCAGTACCAGCACCAGGGCGCGTACCAGCCGTCGCCTTTTGCACCCAGTTCAGCGCCAGCGACAGCCTTCGCCTTCGCTCGCGCGGGGACCCGCTCTCTTCTCATTGGTCCGAGCTTGGCGCCGATGGCACCTATACCTCAGTCGCAGCCTCTTGGCATCCAAGTGCAATCGGTGGGCCAGGTCTTGCACCGCCCGACATTACCTCGTCCGTCTTCAGCGCCTATGGCCAATCTGCAATGGGAGCCGCCCCTGCCGCCAGCTCTGCGCGCCCACAAGAACAGCAGAACGCTGGATTCCCAGCTCCTTGCCTCGCGAATGGTATCATCGAGCAGAAGTTGGGCGATCACCACACCCTCAGTGAGTGTGGCGGGCAAATGCAAGGAGGGTGGTCGCAAGAGCCGCTGCTGAATAGAGGGAGTGCTGCTTCGGTGTTTCTCACTCGACAGGACCTCAACGTGCAAGGCCACAATCATCGTTGCATCCAGCATGAGAAGCAGGCCGTCCCTACGGTGAACCCTGAGGCACTTGGCGGTCGCGCTCCCTCGATCAATGGCGGCGCCAATCATGGCGTGACCTCGTCCAAGCACTGCAGCCGTGAGGTCGGAGCTGCCTCGTACCAGGATTGTGTCGCGAACGACGGTTGTCCGCCATCGTCTTTACGCGCAGGGCCTCAGCAGCATGCGGCGCTCAGCCAAGACCCCTCTGATGGTCCTGCGGTCCCACGCCTCAGCCTTCTGCCGGTTGATGGTCCTGCGTTCCTTTCTGGTGCGCCACAGGTGCCTTCCCAACTTGGTCCCTTCGCATCAAGCAGCAAACGCGCCTCTGGCAGCCGCAGCAAGAAGTCCAGCACGAAAGATCCAGAGCGCGCAAAAAAGATAGCCTGCAACTGCTGCCGCACGGCAAAGATCGGGTGCGTGCAGGATGATCCGACTGCGCCTGCTTGCGATCGCTGCATCAGGAACAATTGGCCCTGCGTACGGCCTGCGCACCGGAGGTATCGCGGCGCGGGCAGAAAGGCACTTGTCGTCAAGTACTTGATGAACAAGGGCATGTGCGAAGAGGAGGCCGGGGAGTTTTTCTTAGGAATCGATGAGAAGGGCAAAAGGCAATTGTTTTCCGAGGCCCAGGAGTGGGAGAAGGAGTCGAAGGGCCCGAAATGAGCTCCCCCTGAGCTATTGAGAGAGTTCCTTTGTAATCGCTGCTGCGGCACCTGGCGCTTCGGCATCGATCGTGTCCTTTTCTTATCCATCATGTTCCGTATTTTCCGTCTCGGCCGACCATCCAGTCCTCATCCATACATTGAAAAAATCAAAAAGCCCGTACATCGGAGTTGTTGAGTGACTTGCAATTTCGCGCCTCAGTCGGGTCAGCGGCAATGGAAAGAGGCGTTGATCTCGTCTACCTGCCTTTGCTCGCTTCTCTCTTCGAACGCATTGCCTCTCTCTGCGCGTCCTCGATTGCCCTCTCTCCTCGTAGCTGAGCATCGAGGAGCTTGAGCTTTTCCTTCATCGTAGTGGCTTGCTCGATGTCGTTGAAGACATCTTCCGGGTCGCGAGCTTGCGGCTGATGTTGTGCGTCGTGGTGTCGCTGTTCTTGTGAGAAGAGGCCTGTGAACCATGATGATGACGACGGCTTGCTCGGCGCTGCTTCATCGGCTGGGGCGGCTTCGTATTGGTCGATTGATGCAAGTGGGTCCTTTCTATCCTCCTCGGTCTGAGGGAAAAGGCCAGCGAGACGTGGACGCAGATAATTGCCAACAGCTTCGGGCAAGGCAAAGGTCTTGGGAATGAAGCCGTGAAGGCGGTCCGTGAGGTCGTACACGTCCTCGATGCCCAGCACGCGACGTCCAACCTCGACGACGACTACACTGGTAACAGCGACGATGGCCGTGGCGGCGCCAAAGGCCTTGATGGCCGTCACAGCTGGTGGCTCATCGAAGATGGGCTTGCCATCTTTCATTCTGGGTAGTGGTACAGCATAGCGTGCCGGGAGCGATGCTGCGGCCGAGCCTGACTTGGAGAGTACCGATGGCGCTGAAGTGCCCGCTGAGCCCCAATCGAGACCGCGAGAAGGCGACGTGGTAGCGCGAGGTGCATTCTTGCCGCTACTACTGAGGGCAGAGGGTGATTGAAGGCGAGCATGGTTTGCGCCCACGCCTCGACCTGCGGTGCCTGCGTGCGCAGTTGATGCTGCCGCAAGCGCCTCGCGAGCCTCGTTTAGATCCGCCTTCTTTGCAGCTCTAAAGCCGTAAAGAGCAGCGCCAGTAAAGGCGACGAAGAAGAGGGTTGCGCCAAGGCCCAAGAAGGGAGGCCTCTTGATGACTTCCCTCGTGGGTGATGACTGGGAGGGCGCGTCGGCAGCCAGTGAGGACTGTGACGCTGCGGCGTTCAAATGGCTCCTATGAGTCTGCTCATGCTGCGCAGTCGTCGTTGGCTCGTCATCTCTCGAGCTCGACGACCTCCAGAGCATGCAAACGGCGTCGAGTGAAGATGATGACTGACAAATATAGGGAGAATTGGGGAGGCGAGGTTGAGGAAATCGGAGGTTTCCCAGCGCGGTGACGTGGAAGAGGGTCCACGTATCAATCGAGAGAAAACGGTAGGCGGTGCCCAGCGGATTCGCAGTCGTGTTTTGGCAGCGAAATGGTAGAGTTGTGTATCAAATGATGGAGTTGACCTCCGTGCCTCGCCGTCCTCTTGCACGGTCCGTAATCCTCGCGCTAAATCTGCGTCGCGGCCTTTGCGTGCACCCACTCCAAGAGCGCCGTAGCCAGCCATAGCTCGCCTGGTCCACCTGAGACACGGGACGTTCCTAGTTTCCCGTAGCCCATTGCCGCGCTGTCCGGCTCAAGCCCCGCAGCCACGTGAGATGACGCTGGGACTAGCCCCTCGTGTTGGACGGCGGACGGAGAGCAACACGGGCAGCGAGGTGGAGCGGCTCTGCTTAACGAACATCGTCACGAAGCCATACCATCAATCAAGCGACCAGCGATGCTCTCCTGAATCGACGTCCACCATGAGCGTCTCGTGGCAGGACAATGACGATGCGCTGGCCGAGCTGGAGCTCCTGGCCCAGAATCAAAGGAAGCTTAATCAGCTCACACAGCGCATGACGGGCATTTTGTCTGGATTCGATCGACGTCTCGCAAGTCTCGAAGGCACGCTGCTGCCCATTCATCACCGCACGCAGACGCTCAATAGAGTCGAGAAGAGTGCGTCATTCTCGAGACAAGGGCGGCAAAGGAGGACGTCGCTGCTGACGCTTTCTTTTCGCACGTAGATGTCGAGGCCACTCTCGAGGCCTTGCAGCATACACTTGGCCATTTCAACGTCGTCGACGAGGAAGAGCCCAAGATATTGAAAGGGTAAGGGGGTGCGACTCTGGTTGGATGACTCAGCATCTGATCCATTCTTTACTCTGGTCCCTTACACAGCCCCGATGTTCATAATGTCTCGTCGTACCTCGATACGATAGACAGATTGGTCCGCGGCCTGGAATACCTCAAGCGATCAGACCTCAAGAGTCAAGAGGGCGTCGTCAGGAGGATGGTGTGTGTCGCGCGATCGGATTTGGCACGATGGCTGGCTTAATGGCTCACTCGTACCTCCCATGCCATGCACAGCACGACCTCATTGAAACGGGATCACGCAATCTGACGACACTCCTTGAGGAGTGGGTATCAGCAGAATCGGTTCCCATTAGTCCAGAGGACTACGGCCCAAGAGGCGAGTAGATAGGCGTGGCACAATGCCTTCTCACGGCTCGCAGCGGCCGTTTTTGTCTCACATCATCCTCTCCTGGCCCCTCTCGCAGGCTTGCCCCTCCCAATCCTCTCTGGCTCGACGCTGGAAGCCATCATCCCCATCTTCTCCCGCCTCAAGACGCTTCCTACAAACCCATCCAACGGATATGCGCCCTTCCTCGCCGCTCTCTCCCTATACTCGGACCTTCGCGGAAGCTACCTGGAACAATCCATCGCACCCCTCGGTAAACGCCTCGTCGATTTTGCTACCGACCGTGTTGGCAACAGCAACGCGTCGCGTGGGGCAATGATGACTGCCGCGTTTGATGCCGAGGGAGAGGACGAGGGTGCCTATCAGCGCGGCTCGGCAGGGGCGAAGGAGTGGCTGGCGGCCATCCTTGATCTGGCAGAGAATGAGCACGCCATTCTGACAAATTTGCTACGGGGCTTGACACCGCCGTCTTCCAGTAGCACCATCGCATCGACCTTTTCACGGCTGCTGAGGCCCGTATTGCGGCACTTCACGGCGACGGTCACCGCCTTGCAGAGTCATGTCAGGCGGAACATGTCGACGCATACTCTCTTCTCCCTCGACCTGATCGGGGCACTCTCCGATGCGCAAATGAGGTGGAACAGCGTCATAGTCAACGCGGCGGGCAAGGGAGGCGGCGGCAATGAGGACGGGATAGCGTCTTCCAGCGATGGTAGCGGGGCTCATGCGCTGGGCGAGCAGCTGCAGTCACTGCGAACCTCGACGATGAATGTCTTCATCGGCTTCCTCAACGACGTACAGAGTCTGCCGAGGCAGAGGGAGAGCGAGGTGCCCAGCAGTAAGTGCCGAAGCACTGTGGCTCAGGTTGACTGCATACGAGGCTGACCTTTCGCGCGTCCCCATTGCGCAGCCAACATCAACGAGATCACGTACCTCTGTCTCACATTCCTCCGCCAGATGTGCGACTACGCAGATGTCGTAGCGCCGCTTCTGGCTACGCTGGGCGCTGGCAACTGGATGATGAGCAGCAACACGGCGCCTGTCTTGTCACTGTCCATCAATCCGGGGGACCAGCGGGGCATCCTCAGCCAATATCTGTGTGATACGCTTGCTACTGTATTGGAAGCATTGCGAGGTAAGCAAGCGTGCGCCATTAGTGAATGAGAGCCTCGCTGACCGCCCCGAATGTCGATCGCGCACACAGCACGCTCACGCGCTATCAAGCAGCCATCGACGGCATCCATCTTCCTTCTCAAGTGAGTATAGCGAGGTTTCAATTCAAATCGCATCGCGCGGCGAGATGCTCATGCATACCTTCTGTTTCTCTGCTCTGCTCAGCAACATCGGTCGTCTACAGCGCGATCTGTCCATGACTTCGATCCTCTCAGACTACCTCGGAGCGACGGGCACCGAGCTCCTCCAGAGATCCATGGGAGACGCACGCAACGCCTACCTGGACGCATGGCGCAGTGTCGTCTCAGCTCTGCAAGAAGACAGCGGTGACGGCCCCGGTGCTACCACAGACAACACGTCGGCCAAGTCTCAAAAGGAAGACGCCAAGCAACGCTTTGCCCGCTTCTTCGAAGGGCTTGAGGACCTTGAGCGATTGCACCTCGCCTACCCTTTGAGCAGGGACGATGATGAGTTGCGCCGTGGGTTGCGGCGAGAAGTAGTCTCGCACATGGTGCTGCCGGCCTATCGTCGCTTCGTTGCTCGTCAGATGGCGGCGCAGTTTTCGAGCAACCCGAGCAAGCACATGCGGCCAGAGGGGGAGGTAGAGGATCGGTTGTTGAGATTATTTGCATAGAGGATGGCGGCGCCACAGCTAATTCCAGACTTTCGGCAATGCTTCATTCGTTGAGGCCCTCTTTTCGCCCTTGATTCACCACTCGATACGAGCCGTCTTCCTTGCTCCTTTGCGGGCCAAGGGGCCCATCGTCGCCATAGAGAGCATCGAAGGCGGCTTGGAGTGTGTCCATGTCGAGGTCTTCGAGGCGGACGTCGGCATTGTCTGATGAAAGAACTTGCGGTGATTCGGCGTCTTGCTCGTCGTTGGCCGTGGGGTGAAGGACCATCCCGCCGACGGCTTGTTGTTGCTTCGGTACAGGCGGTATCAATCCACCTCGCCCCTGTTGCCAGAAGGACTTGACAAATTGGCCGACGTTGCCGCGTCCGAGCGTCGTTGTGGAGCTAGCACTGCGAGCTGAAGTGTTCGATTGCACGTAGAGTCGTGCTCCCTGGTACAGCGCAAGGAGCAGCGTCGTGGCCAGGAGGACGGAGAGAAGGCGGCGTAGTCTGCCCGGCGGCTCGGCGGGGGGAGCGCGACCCTTCCTTGCAGTACGAGCACGAGGCGCTTTTGATGGCACCTTTATCTCCTCTGTGCTATCATCGCTTTCATCTCCTGTGAGCGCCTTGCGGTTGCGCAGTCGGTTGGAGCGAGAAGGCATGGCGAGGTGGTGAGTGAGTGAGTGCAAGTCAGGAAACGACGGAGAGAGACACGACACTTCTTCCCAAGTCACTCTGTCCGTCGACGTGGAGCCTTGCACGGACGCACGCGTGAGCGGCTTCTCACAACGTGTCTGATTATATTTGTGCTATTCTGCGCGCCGACTTTTAGCGGGAATAACTCAGTGGTAGAGTAACCGGTTGCAATTTCCTCCGAATCGCTTGACCCGGTAAGTCCTTGGTTCAAACCCGAGTTCTCGCTACTTTTTTTGTTTGGCGTGCTGGTAACGAGCAGACAGCATGTGATGACTCCGACTACCTCGTCGTGCGTGGCATCTGCTATTTTGTAGTTGAAGATGGTCAGGTGGCTGTCATATGTCTCGTGCGGGCGTCACACGCCCCTCGCGTCCGACCCTCGACGCACAAGAGCACGCTCGTCGTCCCAATGCTTCGCCAATTCCGCAGACAGTGCGCCTCTTGTGGGGCAATGAAGATGAGTTCGCCTGAAGTCAGGTGCTGATGTATTGTAGGCAACAAGAGACAGGTCGAGGGCGCGTGACGGTACGGTGACAGGGAGCGGACGCGATGCTGACTGCGTCGGAAACTAAATGGAGAGATGCAGCAGCGCTCAATACATTAGTCCACGATAGTCGTGATAACGGCTGCTCCGGCAGAAGACATCGAGGTCGCAGTCGGTGTTGGCATGCTCGATGTGCTGCTGTCAGAGATGGACGCCGTCGAGCTGACGCCCTCGCTTACTGGGCAGTCTCTGTCATAGATGACATTGGCGGCACCTGGCACAGGGTTAAGCTCAACGGCCGCCGTTGTAGTAAAGGTGGCGCAAGCGAAGCCGTTAGCAGCACCGCCGATGAAGTAGCTCATGCATTGTGAGTCGGCGAGACACTGTGCCGCACACTCTGATTGGGTGGATTCATGATCCAGACTGGTGTATGTGAGCGACGCTCCCTCGGGCTCGTTGCTGCTGCGGTAGCCTGCGACTCCGCAGATGAGCGCAGGCGGCGTCGCTGTGGATGGCGCAGTTGAGGTGGACAGGCTGGACGAGCTTGTCATGTCTGTCGAGACGGTGGACGTCGCGAGTTTCGAAGTGCTGATGACTTGAGTTCCTGGATCGGTGACAACGGAGAAGCTGATGATCCTTGTTGCTGAGGTGGTATCCTGACTCGTCGTGCTGCTAGCCTTCTTCGTGCTGCTTGACTTCGACGTCGCGGAAGGAAGGCAGACCTGGTGACCCTTGAGAGCTCCACACTTCCCGCTACGGCACATGTTGTCCTTGTAGCAGGTCTGCAAGTCAGCCCGCTTCTCTGCGCACTTGGAGTACTGACAGGACTGCGACCTGCACTGGCTCGACTCGGAGCACCTTTGGCCATTGGCCTGGAGCGACGTAGGAACGCAGCGCTGGACCTGGTCAACCTTGGCGCACGAGTCGCTCTGGCACATGTTGTCTTTGTAACATTTTGACCAGTTGGACAACTTCGTCGCGCACTTGGAGTACTGGCACGAGTTGCTGGCGCATTGGTAGCTGTCGGTGCACGTTTGGCCGTTCTTGCGGTGGGAAGACTGAGAGGCCAAGGCCTCACAGACGGCCAAGGCGAGACAGACGGTGGCAAGGATCTTCTTCGAGAACATGATGAGAGACGTTGAGGAGAGCAGTTTGGGAGTTTTGAAAGGCAAGGTGATCTTGACACTGCCCCTCCTTTAATCTGCCTGGTCGTGCACCACCGACTTCGTCGCCTGACTGAGGCATCTTTGACCTGGTCACATCGAATTCAGACTTCCGTTCGAAGTCCAGCTGAGCTCACCGACTGCTGCTGGATACTCGATGGAATAGAAGGAGTTGAACAAGGCATAGCAGTCCCGATGCACAGAAGTACGGCTTAACGTCGTGCCGCCATCTCGACTTGGATCTTGCGTGGCGTTCTCCACGCAGCGGAGAAGCAGCAGCTGCCTCCTTTGCCCTTTCTCTTGGGTCGAGGCCAGGCAAGGCGCACGCGGAGGCCGGGCCAGTCCAGGCCGCGGGAGGGCTGCATGGCGTCGCCTCGCACTAGTCGTCGTTCGAGGTATGGAGACAAAAGAGCTTACTCTCGCAAGCCACGTCCAACTCGTAGCCGCAAAGCGACTACAGTAATTGATCTTTACTGAGAATGCACTGCCGCAGAGGAAACCTGGCTAAGACAATCGAGAACCTCACTTCGTCGACGACTCTTGGAAGCTAGCGCAGCTTGAGCCTGCTCGCTCGGCCTCCGGCTAGCCGGCCGTTCCGTGATGTTCCTTGCCTGCCAGGGCAGCGGCCATTCAACCTTCACACGGGCATTGGTAAAGACGGTGCTGTGCGGCCTTCGTCACAACCTTTCGAAGGTCGTGAACGCTGCCAGCGATGGCTGATCACTGCTGCAGTTGCGCAAAGTCTCCATAGGCTGCCAGAGAGGCTGTGACAGGTCACCGCGGAGAGCGCCGATATCTCCTTGGTCGACCTGGTAGTCGCACAATATGTTGAGCCTCGGCCCAGCGCATCGAAGGATGGGAAAGCCTTGGTGGCCGATCATAAGCCGAGGCTTGATCATGGGGACCCGGGAGAGGGGAAATGTGGGGAGCTCATGGGTTGTCATCACAGCCTCTCGCTCACCGGCGCCGCGACCACCGCTCGTAGCAAGGGCGGCGCTTGCTCAAGCACGTGGAGACCCGCACGCCATCTCCTTGCCGTATTCTTATGCCCACGTCCGAATTCGCAATGTCGTCAAGTGGGACATCCGTAATAGCCGCATGGTATAGCCGGGCACGCAGATTCTGTTCGCGATGATCGGAGCCAAATCTCACAAGTGGGTCATGGAGCGATTAGGATATGAGGGACCAGGCAAGGCGGAGCTGAAAGACCTTCACGCTGATGGATGACGACGGGTTGAGGGTCCTTCGAATCGCATCGCATCGCTGACATTGCCGCTTGCCGAGCTGACCGGTACTCGGGCGCTTCACTCATCATCGGCGACACCGTGGATGCACCGTGATAATCATCACGGGTGCAACGCGAGTACGGCAATGCGTCATGAGAGGGGAAGTTGGAAGCTGGTCCAACCTCACCAGAAACGACGCAATGCGCGGCAGCCAAGAGCTCGTTAAACGGGTCTGACAGGACGGCAAGCAGCCGACTGCCGACAAGGCATCTGGTTACACCGAGCAGGCGGTAAGTGATCAATTGGTTGCGTCGATCGATGGCCGTACAGCAAAAGCTAAGCCGAGGTCAGCGTGTTCTGATCGCCTGTGCCTGGTCACATAGGCAAGACTCGCCTGCGTTTTCGCACCTTGAGCTTGCTTCTGTAGGGGAGGGACCCCTCGGTTCTTCTCGTTGACGATTTTGCCTGCAAAGCTTTTTCAAAGGCCGGCGGAGCCCTCGTTGCCGCCGCGGCGCCTCTCGACGCGCCTCTTTAAGCCTCACTTTCATCAGGCTTCACACGCGCGCTCTCACGGCCTTCTGTCTCACACCTCGGCGCCACCTTGTTGCGGTCCCAGCATGATTCTCCCACCCCATATGCTCTTCGAAGGCGCAGCCTTTACGAAAGAGGCTGAGACGGCATGCCACTTTACGCGGTGTTCACCACGCTCACGGACGAGAGATGGCACCGAGAGCGCGACCATGGTCCCCAATTTTTCGTGTAAATAGATGTTGTTCCTTCTCCACGAAAGTGGGCTTTTGGCAAGACGGGTGTCGTTGAGTAGCAATCAGCAAACAAAGGCTTTTCCGCGATTGCGATCGGGTGTGACGGGTCTGAGAAGATCGCGCGCTCCCCCAGGCCGAGAAGAAATGACACGAGGCGAAAACGAGGGACCGAGCTGCGTGGTGCCTCGGTGCGAGGTGTCTGTCAATCCGGCAATCTGGACCTACGTCGGCCGCCGGTGAGACGTCAATGTGCTGCGCCGTCGCTCGAGCCTCTTCGAAGCCTGGCCCCGACTGGTCTGCTTCTCGTGCGCACGCACAACGCGGAGCCCGATTGGCGCCGCCTTCGTCTGCGCAAGGACGCGCGATTTTCAAGTCGCCGTGCAAATTCGCCGAGGGACCGTCCCTGCGAGCGACACGCCGCAAAACGTTGATCGAGGGTACACCCTCCTCACTCTTCAAACGAATTTGACCGATCAAATGTACGGCGACGATAGCGGCGAGGGCGACGATGCGAGGCGTACGGCGACGATAGCGAGGACGACGAAGATGCGAGGCAAAGCTGCGCAGGAACAGCGAGCTTCTACTTCTGCCCGACTGGACGAAAATTCCGCGTAGCCGGCCGATGTGCGAGGATGAAGAGACTCGAGGGCCCGACAAGATACAAAAGGGTGGCCACTGGGCAGATTCATCCATGATTCTGATCCTCATCAACTTATACTACTCCCTCCGCTCTCTACTCTCTCTCTCCTTCACTCACTCTCACTCCGCCACAATGAAGTTCGCTGTCGCCGCCTCCTTCGCCGCCATCGCTGCCACCCTCGTCGCCGCCGCTCCCCTCGAGAAGAGGATGCACTCGGGAGCCACTGCCACTTGGTTCACCCAGAATGGCAACCCCGGCTCGTGCGGTCAGTACCACTCGGACAACGACATGATCGTCGCTGTTTCGGCTCAGCACCACGACTCGTCCAACTGCGGCAAGACGATCACCATCGAGGCCAACGGTGTCCAGCAGGTCGCCACCATCGCCGACACCTGCCCCGGCTGCGGCTTCGCCGACCTCGACCTGTCGACTGGCCTCTTCCAGAAGTTCGCCGGCCTCGACCAGGGCGTCGTCACCATGAACTGGTGGCCCAACTGGTAAAGCGCCTCTCCTCTACGAGCGCCGCTTTCCTTCCACCGTATCACTTCACAACCTCCTCAGTTTCACGGGCTTTCAAACGTCACCTCTCTAGACTTCGCGTCACGGGGCTAGTCCCCACCTCCCAAAAGGCCAATCCTCTCCGGAACAGGGGCCGTCCACTCTCTTCACACTCTCCTTGCTCGCAGCCTTTCTAATCTGCTCGTAGCATCATCCACCTTCAACTTCACTCCGGGCCTCTCCTTGAGAGTTCCCACTTTCATGCTTTCTTTGCCCTCTGTTTGGACTTCGTGTCCTTTGTAGCATCACACTCGTTCGCAACCTTCACCTCTTGATGGTCCTCTAATTGCATCGTCATGAGATAGTTCCACAGCAATGACTTGAGTGAAACATTCGGCCGTGACGCTCAGACCTTGAGAAGAATTGATCGCCGCGACGCTCGGACGCTGTGACGGCCGCGGCCCGACTCCACGCTCGAGCCGCCATGTCGACTCGAGCTGCCAGACTGACTTCCCGATGTTGTCTCCGCTTCGTCACCACTACGACCATCGTCCGCGCTTCCCTCCGCCCGCGATGCCAAAGATCGTCTCGCGCTCTGTCATCTCCTCCTCAGACGGCCCTTCATCAGCCACAGGAGCCGGCAATGCAGCAGCTGGCGGCTCAACGCAGCCTTTGCGCATCTTCTACTGCCTCTGCGGCGACTTTGCCCTTGTATGCGACCAAAGCCTCGATGAGCTGCCCAAACGCCCTCTGGATGGGGCGAGGGTGATGCGATGCCTCGACTCGCCCAAGGGAACCAAGAAGACGACATTCAAGCTGAGTGCGAGGCAGGGGAAGCAGATCATGCTCCGTAGGCCGGATGGGACGTTGGAGAAGCAGTACAGATTCCATTGCTCGAGGTGCGATCTGCCTCTGGGATATGAGGTGACACCGCCGCCACTCAAGAGCGGCAAATTTACCTACATACTACCGGGAGCGCTGACGTGAGTATCGATGGCATACAACAGAGCGATATAGGATCAATGCTGACCGAAGCGGCTCCACCTCACCCCACTCGCAGTGAGGTCCAAGGCACTGCGCCTCCTGACGCTCTGCTCGAAGCTTGACAGCCCCTCGGACCTGAGTCGCAGCCAGCTCTTGGCGCCCTTCCCCTCATCATCACCGCCTTAGTATACCAGCGCCTCGCACATATGTACATCTAGTCACACGCTGCCGCTCACACTTCTGTTGTCGAGAAAACATTCATTCACTTCTCTCTTCACACCGACTGCTCTAAAGCAGCAAATCTTGCGCAGCCTCCGCATCCTCGTCGCCCTCTTCATCTTCCTCCTCGTCCTCCGCATTCGCCCCTCGCCCGCCCTTCTGCGCAACCGTGATCCTATCACCCAAGCTAAGCGCGATGCCCTGCGTCTTTGCCCTGATCCTCACATGTCCCTGCACGCTCGTCGTCTCCTTCTCCTCTCCCGTAGCCGGATCCGTCACCGTCGAGACGACCTGCTCGATCGAGACGTTCGCCAGCGCATCCTCACCAAAGAGAGAGCGAGCGTACAGGTTCGCCGACAAGAACCCACACGACCCGGCCAGCGATGCGGAGGGCGTGAGACATGACATGTTTGTGGATCGCATCATGTGCTGAAGGTACTTGTGCAAGTCCACAATCGTAGTGTTGACGTTGACCTTGTTCTCCCATTCGAATTCGGTCCACATGCTCCTGAATTGCTGTTCTGTGCAGCTCGCCGGCTTGATGTAGTCCATGATATCGACGTGAATGTCGTTCAGCACCACGCAAGCCGACTCTGGTGCAGCCGTCGACGTCTTTGCATTCTTGTCCGTCGCCTCGTAGATGATGTTGCCGAAGATGACGCCAGTCTCCGTCGATGAGACCTTGATCGTGGCCTTGATGCTTTGGAAGGCATACGGGCCTAGTGTGTGGGAGGTAGGGCGCTCCACGAGCTTGAGGTCGCCGAGGGTTGCGAACTCGATGCCGAGGTTTTGCAGAGTTTGCGAGGTTTGGTTCACGACGAGGACATCCAAAAGGATGTCGAACTGCTGCACGTTGACGTAGGCTTCCGCGTATACTGCGTCTGAGAAGCCAGTCAGCTGGACTACGCGCTTCAGCTTGCCAACGAAGTCCTCCTTGGACTTTTCTGCGAGGCCAGTCGCATTCGTCAACTCTCTTTCAGCGTCTTCCGCCTCGGCCTCCGCGGCGCTCTTCTTTGCCAGCTGTCTGAACGAGATGATATCATCAGGTTGCACCTGCTTGACCTTGTTCTCCCTTGCCTTCTTCTCTGCCAGCTTCTTCTCCTCCGCGGCCACCATTTTCGCATACGCAGCCTTGGTGTCGTTGAGGAAGACCTCTTCTGCCCCCTTCATGCTCCTCTCCGGCGCAGCCAGGTCAGCCAGCGTCTCAATGCAAGCGAGGATGCGCTCCTGCGAGTCCTCGTCAATCGGCGCTGAGACGAACTTGGACTGTCCAGCGCGGACGATCGAGGCCAGAAGAAGCATAGCCTCTGCTCTGCGCTCGTTCTTGCGGCTGGCAGCGACGTTGGGGAGCTCGTGGAGCCGTGAGATGAGCTTGGCTAGTGATGAGGCGAGTGCTGTAGCGGTGTAGAAGTCACCGAGGAGGATCAAGGAGCGGAGTGGTGGCTTTTGGGCGTTCTTGACGAGGTCCAGGCGGGCAGACGCATTCGCATCCGATGTAAAGGCGCTGCGCGAGGGCAGAGCGTGAGTAAAGGTCAGCTCCAGTCGTAATATAAATAGCCTCTCGTCTCCCTGCGTTGGCGACTCACGTCTCGGTGGCATAGGTCCCATCTGCTCGTACTCTCGTCTTCGTAGCGACCGCGCTCGCCCCATTGACCTCAGCGGCACCCTGCTCTTCCTTGTTCTCCTCCTGCTGTAGAAGCCTCTCCTCAGCCGCGAGGATCGGCACCTCACCAATGACGCTGCGAATATGTGACAGGGCATCTTCAATCTCTTCTTCTCTCTCGCAGTACTCGCCCACAATCCACAATCCGCCTCGGAAGACCTTACCGCTCTTGATCGAGGCAAAAGTGCTGAGCAGCTTCCTAACGATGGATGGGCGCAGCGCCGGGAACTTCTCGACCACTTCGCGTACGAAGACGATGACATCGACTGCGGAAGGATTTGACGAGTCGCCGAGGAAGTCCATGAGGGTGTGAATGACCTTGGATGCCACCTCTGAGAAGCGGATGGCGCACTGGTGGATCGATTGAATGAGGAGCTGACGGTATTCGATGTTGCGCTCCGCCGTCGTTGATCCAGTGGCTTCCGTCGTTTTAGTGAGCTCCTTTTGCAAGAACAGGGTGACTTCCTCGACATTCCGGCTTGAGACCATCTGCATCGCGATAGACAGGCCTCGTCGCTTGACGTCCATGTCCGGGGCAGTGAGAACGCGCAGCAGGTCCATGACCAACGGGTCGATGACATGGTCATGCTTGGCTCGAAGTACATCGAGGCGAGACAAGACGATGAGCTTGACGTTGTTGTCCGATTCCTTTACTGCGAGTTCAATGAGAGCCCCAGCCGTTGCCTTGATAGCGGCCGAGTTCTGCGTGAGTGTGGTGAGGGTGATGGCTGCCTCGTACTTGACGGCATGCGAAGGAGCAGAGAGGAGCTCGGAGATGGCTCGAATGTACTTTGGCCTGTTTGCGCTCTCTCCCTTGCACTCCTTGCGAATGAGCTCAATGACGGCCAACTGCATGAGCTCGTCCATGCTGGGGATCGACTCGAAGTTGTCCATGAGGTACTCAGTGGCCTTGTCCGGCGCAGCATTGCAGAGGAGAACAAAGGCGTTGCGCCTGCACGTCGAGTCTGCCTCTGCTGCGAGGAAGGTGAGCATGACCTCTGGCGCGTCTGAGATCATGTTCTCGTGGTGCTGGTAGATGGCGAAGAGGCAGAAGACGGCATTCTTGCGCACGTAGGAGTGACGATGTTCGAGACATGCGCGGACAGAGGGGATGAGAGGCTCTAGGAGCTCGGGCTCCTTGATCTTCTGTAGGAAACGGAGCGTTGACCCTCGGATGTATTCGTTGGGATGCTGCAGGTCGTTGCGAATGGCGTTGACGACGAGGATCATCTCTTGCTTGAGCTCTCCCTTCTCGTCGTACTTTGGGCAGACTTCCCAGTAGAAGTGAAGCATCTTCTTGATTTGCCTAACAGGCAGAGCGGGGAAGAGGGTCAGCGCGAGAAGAAGGCGGCATATACGCAAGGAATGCGCGGTCACAACAACTCACTTGCTTTTGGAGGGAAGGACATATTGGATGATGGGCATGAGAAGTGTCGGCTGAGGCTGTCCATTGAGGGTGGAGACGATGATGCGGCGCAGTGTGTGTAGCTTGGTCTCATCGTCTGCCTTTTGGAGGATGGTCCTGAGCTCAGAAGGTGAGAGCTCGAACTGCGACGAGTCGTCGAAGGGGGCGACCACGGTGTAGGCGGTCGAGTCCATGTTGACTGGCGGACGCTACGTGGTGAGCAGCAGCGGTGGCGTCGCTATGCCAGTCAGGGCGATGATACGGTAATGTAGAAGGAAGGACGCTGGCTGGCAGTTGGAAGGCGTGCGGGGTCAAGGCGAGATGGTTGATAGTTCGGGCGTCGACATCGACACGACGTGCTGCTGCTTGGCTCTGGCCCGCCCCGTCTCGTCTCGTCTCATTGGCTGGCTGGTGCACCCCGCCTGCCTCGTGGCACGTCTCCGCCACGTCCACGTTGCGCCCCCTTCCCGACAAAGGACAGGAAGCCCTTTCCGCCTCAATCATGAGCCAACTTTTAGACTTAGGTGTTGCAGTCTTTCGCCTCCGGGACAATACCACCACCACCACCTTCGGCATCACTCATGGCAGCCGCATCTTCGGTAGCGGGACCATCACGGTTCACAGTACGGTCTCTTCCACGTCTCAGACCTGCTCAGGCGTCCACATGCGGCTCTTGCAGGCCACGGCCGCCTCCGCTGTTCTCATGCCGCCTCAACTCGACGTCGACGCAGCCTTCTCTTCTGTCCCACCCGGACGCCATCGTCCGCCTGGCCCATCTCACTTTTGACGATGCGCAAAACAGCTCCACGTCGAGCTCGGAGAGCGATCTCGATCCTTCGAGTCCCCAATACGCTCGCAGAGCTAAGCGACTAGCAGCGCAGCGCGAAGTAAGGGAAGCTTGGGATCAATGGAAGTCATCACAGCGGCAAGCTGCAGAGGCTCGACGCATGATCGAGCAGGAAAGCGATGAAGAGATGCGACAGCTTGCAGAGGAGGAGCTGCTTGAGCTGCAGGAAAGTCAAGAGTATCAATTGACCAACATCAAAAAGGGTCTTCTTGGCACGACGGACACCGCTGCGAATGAGGCGAGCGGCGCCATCCTTGAACTGCGACCTGGCATCGGCGGCGAAGAGTCGGCCCTCTTCGTCTATGAGATGACGAGAATGTATCAACGCTGGGCTTCAAGCTCCTCAGCAAGCGGCGATGAGAGCTCACAACCATGGGATGTAGCCCTTCTCTCAGCCATTCCGACCGAGGCCTCCTCTGGCTCCGGCTCAAGCTCGCCAGCATACAAGGAGGCCATTCTCCAAGTGACAGGCCCAGACGCATACCGCCGTCTCCGCTACGAGTCAGGTATCCACCGCGTACAGCGTGTGCCTGTCACTACCAGCGTTGCCAAGATGCAAAGCAGCACGATCACCATCGTCGTCCTTCCTGTCATCGAGGGTGACAATGACGGCTCCTCCAGTTCTGCAGACGATCTCGTCAACCCAGCCGACGTCAAGACGGAAGTGATGCGCTCACGAGGCGCAGGAGGACAGCACGTCAACAAGACGGAATCCGCCATTCGTCTCACGCACTTGCCTACGGGAATCACCGTCTCGATGCAGGACTCTCGCTCGCAGCACAAGAATCGCGAGCAAGCCTGGAAGATTCTCAGGGCGAGACTGATGGACCAGAAGATGAAGCGGGAGGAGCAAGAAGCTAGACAGGCAAGGGGAGAGCAGATTGTGGGACTTGGTAGGGGTGATCGTGTGCGCACATACAATTGGCCACAAGATCGGGTTACAGACCATAGAATTGGGGAGAACGTCAGTGGGTTGGACGTCTTCATGGAGGGCGAGGGGGTCGGGCTGGCGCACTTCGTCGACGAGTTGGAGGAGAGGACAAGGGAGATGCAAATGGAGGAGAGATTGAGGGTGTTGATGGAGAAGAGGCAAAAGACCGAAGCACAGCAAGGTGACGGCAAGGCGAAGTAATTCAAGGGACTATCACATCCGAGACGGAATCTCACAAGAGCCTGAGAGGAAAACGACGGAATGACGATTGAAGCACGGTAAGGACAGACAAGCCGGAGCGATACAGTGACTATTGAGACGATGCACGAAAGGAGAAGAAGGGGGTTTCAAGACGAAGGGAAACTGGGATCAAGAGCTTAGACCTCGGCGCGCTCAGGTGCTGAAAGAGGTGGAGCTGAAGCTGGGAGTCACGAAGGTGAAGTGAGGGTAGGCAGACTGGAGCGTCTTGGCGAAGCGCGCGCTCTCCGTCTGGAAGTAGTTGACAGCCTCAACAAACTGCTGCCTGGCCGACGAGGCAGCAATCTCGGCCTGATTCTTCAGCATGGCGGCGAAGAGCTCGGCCTCAGCCTGTGAATAAGCAGCGAAGGCCTTGGCGAGCTTCTGGCCCTCAGCAGATCCGGCAGCGAGCTGGTCAGCGCCCTGCTTAGCAGCCGCGTCAGCCTGAGCCGCGATGGCTGAGCCGAATGCCTGGAGCTTGGCCGCGTAGGCCTGGCCCTGCTGAGCGAAGTTGGCAGCCTGGGACTCAAAGGTGTCCTTGAGGGAGTCGGCCTGCGACTCGAGAGCAGTCATGCCGTTGGTGACCTGCTGGCGGAAGGCGGCAGCAGCAGCCTCACCCGCGGCCTCGCCCGAAGCAATGCCAGACTGGACGGCAGCGGCTCCAGACGCCGCCTGGGATGAGAGAGCAGCGGCACCGGACTGGAGAGCCGCAGCGCCCTGCGAGGCAAGGGCAGAGCCCGAGGCACGAGCGGCAGAGGCAGCGCTGGCGATGACCTGAGGGACCGAGGTGGGCTTAGGCAGTGCCGTGGTTGCACCGATGAAGCTGGAGAAGGCGGACTTGCCGGCGTTGATGCCCGAAGCAAGGGCGCTCTGACCAGCAGCTGCACCGCTCTTCGCCGCAGCCTCACCCTGAGCGATTCCGGTAGCGGCAGCCTGTTGGCCGCTCTTGACAGCGGAGACGAGAGCACTCTGGCCCGCAGCCTCAGCGCTCTTTGCCTGGTTGGCACCGCTCTGGAGGGCGGCGGCACCTTGGCTCACGCCCGACGCGATAGCGCTTTGGCCGGCTGCTGCGCCAGACTTGACAGCGGAAGCACCAGCGGCTGCTCCGGACTGAAGTGCTGCGGCTCCGCTCTGAAGAGCTTGCTGGCCGGAGGCAGCGCCCGAAGCAAGAGCGCTCTGGCCGGCAGCTGCGCCCGACTTGACAGCGGAAGCACCAGCGGCTGCTCCTGACTGAAGGGCAGCGGCACCGCTCTGAAGAGCTTGCTGACCGGAGGCAGCACCCGAGGCGAGAGCGCTCTGGCCAGCAGCGGCTGCGCTCTTGGCCTGGTTAGCCCCACTCTGGAGTGCGGCGGCACCCGACTGAACAGCTGAAGCACCAGCAGCCGCGCCAGACTTCAAAGCTGCGGCTCCGCTCTGAAGAGCCTGTTGGCCGGAGGCAATGCCAGAGGTTGCCGCGGCTTGGCCAGCAGCTGCGCCTGACTTGAGAGCTGCAGCACCCGACTGAAGAGCTGCTGAGCCCTGGCTGGCAAGAGCGGCGCCCTGGCTCTGGAGAGCGGCGGCACCAGACTGAGCGGCTTGCTGACCAGAGGCGACGCCCGAGGAAATAGCAGCCTGGCCAGCAGCTGCGCCGGACTGAAGAGCTGCGGCCCCCTGCGAAGCAGCGGCTGCGCCTTGGCTCTGAAGAGCAGCAGCACCGCTCTGCACGGCCTGCTGGCCAGAGGCAATGCCCGAGGAGATGGCGCTGCCGACCGAGGGGCCCTTCGTTGCGGCGGCGCGGGCCGAGGAGGCAGCAGCTTGGAGGGAGCTGGCGAATGCCTGGCCTTGAGAGATGACGGCTGCGGTCTATAAAGTGAGGACATAGGCAGTCGTGTCAGTGTCAGTGCACAAGAAGCTAGTCAAGATTCTTCGGTGCTTTCGCGTACTCACGGGGACAGAGGAGGGGACTGTGGCACCATTCTTGAACTGGTTAGCCAGCGACGAGAGGCTCGACTGGATGGCTGCAGCTGAGGCGCTGTACTGGTTGGCGTTGGGAAGGCCGGAGGCAGAAGCGGCAGCCTTGGAGAGAGAAGCGATCACGTCGCTGGCAGCAGCCTGGAAGGCGCTGGCCGGGTTGCTGGCGCTGGGGAGAGTTGGGGTGGGCATCGCGTTGCCATTCTTGGTGCTCGTCGAGGACGAGGCGCCACCGTTGGTAGGGGCGGCAGGGACACCAGGGGCCGAGAGGCCAGGAAGCTTGCCAAGCGCACTGGAGAAGGCGCCCTGGTACTCGGAGAACTGCTGAGCAGCGCTTGAGGCCGCACCTTGGAGCTCAGAGGCACCCCTCGTAACGTATTGGGTCACGGTGACGGGAGGTGCGCAGACCTGGCTGGTGGGGATGATGAGGGCATTGGAGGCCCCGAGCATGGCGACCAGGACGGTGCCGACGGTAAGCTTGATAGCGACCATTGTTGCAGAAGAAGTGTTGTGGGGAGGGGGTCGGGTGGTGCGAGACGAGCGGTATGGGCGGGGGGCGAAGTAAGGTGGAAGGGGCGTTCAAGAGGAGGAGCGAGCTGGAGAGAGAAGAGGCTTTGTCGATGGAGATACTACAAAGTGATTGTTCGACGCTGAGGGACCTCCTTTTATGCCTTTTCAGCGTGCCCATCGAAGTTCTCATGGCCTGGACAGAGAGCGATGCTTGGATCTAGTCATGAAGCCGTGCCCAAGCAGGGCGCCCGCGAGGGCACGGTCTTCAAGGACAACCGCATCAGGTTTCACCATGATTGCGCTCTCGAGCACTCTTGGTGACCTGTCGGCCTCTTGCCGCTCCCTCCAACGAGGTACAATGGCGTTCGGGGAGTGTGAAGGAGAACGCTCATCGCAATCCCAGCGTTGATGGTGGGCCAACCCAGCGGTGAACACCGCCGCACTTCGAAGGCCGTGACGGTCGGCGGCGTCGACCAACACCCACAACCACATCCACTTTCGTGAGACTAGAGGGGAAATGTCTCATAGGTGCGCATGCGCACGGGCGTGCAGTGATTGCTGGATTGCTTGGTGCTGGGTCCTTTGCTGATGATGTGCTGCACACCGGATGAGACACAAAGAAGCTCCATCGGGCTTTGAAGTTGGCGGCGGTCTGTCTGGCCTGGTCTTCTCCGCCCCCGCGGGGTTTGCTACTCCGCCACGGATTCCATCCCCCGTCTCATTTACCGTTCTCGAGCCCACAGCCCTCACTCCTCAGCTCTCCACATAGCAACGAGCGAGCTAGCGCCTCTGGATATTGCAATGGTACGCCCGCCGAGAGGATATACAGTGGATGAGGATCCAAGGAGTTGACGCAAGCGGTTGCATCATCGCGTCGCGGCCATATTTCCTAGCCCCCGAGAAGCTGGCGAGAGAGCACCTGTCAATCAAGATGCAATTTCAGCGACTCAGAGTGCGAGCGTGAGCATTCATTGCTAGACCAGGATACAACAAGGTTTATGACCAGGCGGTTTCGACGCCCACAAATGGCCCTCAGCCTGTCTCAACCTTGATCGAATGCATTCAAGGAGGAATAGCCATCGTGATCGCCATTCCTCCTGGCGACCGGCAATTGCGTGATCGCGAAGCGTCCCAACAAATTGACATCCTTGTACGAACTCGCCAGGAAGGTTCAATGAAGCAGGAACAGATGATGAGATTTCAATCGACCTAGACCTCCAATGGCGTACGATTCGAGACGTTCGGTGAGCTGCAATCTTGATCACGCCAGACGAAGGGAGGCGAGCAACGCAGTGGCACACCGATCTCGTCTCTCGGAATGACGAATATCGATATCGATATTGAGGCGACGATGATTCATCATTGCGGGGTAACTAGGAGGGAAGGAGGGATCGATGATTCCGGGATGACCACGCTTTGCGCATCCGATGCGGCTACGGGCGCGGAAGACGGGCGGTAGGTCAGATCGGGGTCTGGAGTCTCCAGCTTCCATGCAGCTCACGATGCCCTTATTCAATCTCAGGGCCACTATGTGCGCGCTTCGGTCAGCAAATGAGCTTGCAAAGAGTCGGACAATTGGACTGATATCTTGCCCGCAAATGCGGGAAAGGCGTTCGCTCACCGTGGCATGGGTCTTTGAGTCTCCGCCCCTACGCCCGACCTCATATCCATCTCCGACCCCAGACTAGCGTGCATTTCCTCGAGCACGTGCAAGTCGCCTACGGCCAGCTACACGACGATTCAATGGCCACCATCGTAGTCTTGCAAGCCGGCAACACCGTCTTTTGGACCGAGACATTCGATCGCTGGCCCGCAGCAATGCGCTTGGCTCAGGCACCACCTGCTCTGCATGCAATTGAGCGAGCGGGTGAGAAAGCACGCGAATGAAGAAGACGCCCACGTCAGACCGTATCGTACCGACTCACGGTGAGACGGCCTAGCGGGTGTTCATTGTCTGCATCAGGCACAGTATGCACGCCCGCCGGTACGTCAACCCAAGGCATGGACCCTGTACGAGAGTGTCTATTCCGCGACTACCAAGCACCTTCGCAGGGATCAGACAGGTTCATCAACGCGGAATGGCCTTGTCGATCCTCAAAGACCATTGTCTCATCGACGTAGGTGGTGAACGGATTTTCCGAAATAAGCAAGACTTCAGGCTGCCAAGAAGCCGGCAAGAAGGCGTCTCTTCATCTTCATACTCTCACGGTCGATCGCCCGCTCAAGTCGGCGCGTCATGCTCTCAACGCCGCGGTGGCCATGACCATGACCACGCCTTGACTGATGAGCGTCAATCGCACGGGAAGACGACGAACGTTCGAGCATTCCCACGCCGTCATCCCCATGAGACATCAAGTTGCGGTCGTGCCTGATCGATCGAGTCAGAGTCGAGCGAGGCACAATGCATCGATTTCAAGCTTCTACGATTGCCGGACAACATAGCGTCGACGACCGGATCGACCTGTCTTATTTCGGCTGGATTGTCGGCTCCCTTTCTTGCCCGATTCGTCCCACGAAGCACTGTCGGACGCCGAGTAATATGTATCAGAAGCGGTTTGCGTTCATCTAGCCCCCGTTTCCCCAGCTACGTAGACACTGTGGTTGCGCTGCGAGAGCGTACCAAGTCTAGCATGATGATATAGGGGCAGGCTGGTGGGAGGGATCGAAAGAGGGAAGGGTGAGTGTGGAAAGGGAGAGGGAGATGGAGGCTCTAAGGCAAGGTGTGGGTCTGACGGGCGAGGGGTCGAGCGGCTGCTGGCTATGGCAAGATGCGATAGACCATTGACCTGCTTCATGAGCGGTCGAAGTCCAGTCTTATCTCATCTTCGGACAGCCTCAATGCTGATTATATTGAGTCGGCGGGCTTGGGCTTGATCGAGAATGGGTCGAGGTTGCAAGGAATGAGGGAAGAAGAAAAAAAAAGCCTGGCTCTGCCCGACGTCGAGATGATGGGTCAAAGCAGCCGCGGCAGGCGGACTGAGCGATGGCTCACCTCCACGCTCCTCGCCTCGTGTGCCTCCACGCTTCGTCCTGGTCCTTGTCCTCGTCCTCGCCATCTTTCCCTCCTAAACCTGCCAATCCTTCCTCCTCCCTGTCACCATCTCCGAATGCCTTCAGTCTCAAGGCAGACATCGGGTGGCCATGCCCCACCACGTCCCCTGATCGCGACTCACCACCAGCTCTACGTCGGCGGCCTTCTCGCCGTCGTCGTGACATTCACCGCCCTCTCCCTCGTCTTTCAATCGCACGCGTACAACGTCTCCCTTGCGAGACTACCGAGCACATCGTCCGTTCCACCACTCAAGCCCGTGGGATCTATATTCGCCCGCAAGTCCAATTTCATCAACACGATCTTCATCAAGAAGGCCTGGCTATGGACCACACTTGCCCATCTTGCACAACTCCTCACCTTGAGAGCGCCGCCAAGTCAGGAGGCAAAGATTGCGTCGAGCAGGGCAAGGGGTAAGAGGAAAGCGGACAATGACGCTTCAAGCGTGGAAGGTGGACCGGAGGACCAGGAAGCTACGGTGGCTAGCCCCTTTGCTAAGAGCTTGCTGCGATGGGCAATCGCAACTGTATGCTGGCTGTGTGTATCTGCGCGCCCTCTCAATGTGAGCTGCGCACCACCCGCTGATTCGACCCATGCTTTCTTGTACCGCACGCAGCTCGTTCGCCGTCTGGCTGTTCGGCCCGCCCCTGATGAACCGTATCCTCACCTCCTCCGGTGGTGTCTGCGTACCCCGCAGTGACCAGACTTTGGGCGGCTTCTCCAACCCTAACGATGGGCCAGCATCAGCGCCTGCGCCCTTCCGAATGCCAGACAAGAGGATTGACGATGCCTTTTGTCATGCTGGGCCGAGGGGAATCTCAAAAGAGGACAGGCCCGAGCTCTTCAGGGCTACTCATGCTGTGGTGGCTGATATGACCAGGGAGGGGAGTTTGAGAGGGGCCTGTGAGTGCGAGGAAGAGAAGAAGGCGAGCACACGACACGGCGAGCAAACTCTGACTTGCTTCTCTCACGCCGCGCCCTCCGCAGGGAAAGGTGGACACGATGTCTCCGGGCACACCTTCATCCTCATCCTCTCTTCTTTGCTGCTCCTCGAGGAGCTGACCCCTTACCTTGCCCAGTACTGCTCAGCTGTGCTGCCACCATCCCTCTCAGCCAGCATCGTTTCCTGGATCCCACGCTCCCTGCGCGCGACCAAGGATCCATACCGTGGGGAGCGGGCAGGAGCTAGCATTGCGGCTACCAGCTTTGTCCTCGCACTCGTGGGACTCTGGTTGTTCAGCCTGGTCAACACTTCGTGAGTCTCAGCGGTCGCACCTGCGCATCATTGCGAGATCTGCCGCAATCTGACACCGCTGCTGCCTTTGCGCGACAGTCTGTTCTTCCACACACCAGCCGAGAAGTTCTCCGGGGCACTCATTGCCGTCGTATCGTGGGTATTGCTGCCCAAGGGTGGATAGCAACATTGCAATCGCAGACATAGCAATGAAAGACGCGAGCACGAGCTGCGCATGGTAGTACGCGCGCCGTCCTCGCTCGCCATCTATTTTCCTGCGCAAGCAACACGCAGAAGAAGTAGCCGCGGATGACCGAGCCCCGTTTCTATTCGCGGTGGGCGACGAGCGACGAAGTAGCAGACCGCTGCGACTGCCGACGGATGAGAAGAAGAGTGCAGCGCGTACGAGAGAGCCGACGTCAGTCTCGATCTGGTTTGGTCTCAGTCTGCCAGCCTAGCGCGACGCAAACAACACTTCTTTGCTGCGTGCTTGTGGGCTGTGAGCTGCTGCGAAAGAAAGAGAAAAGCAGTTTTCGAACCAGGCGGGACTATGGAGCAGCAGAGGCGGGAAGGAGCGAAGAGCGGCGGGCGGCGGGCGGAGAGACACGGACTCGACGGCGCAGAGCAACCAGGGAGAGAGCTGTGGGTGGTGAGGCGATGTGGTGGGCGCTTTCGACTCGAGGCGAGCGAGGGGCAGAGAGGAAAGGGCAGCAGAGGCGCCTTCCTTGTCCGCGGCCGGCGGGGCGGGCGTCTCGCCTCTCGTCTCTGCCTGCGTATTGGCTGTCGATCTGGCGCCGTCGCTCCGATGGAATGGAAACGTTGACCGGCCATCGTCCACCTCTTCCTGCTGCTCTCAATCTCATCGACTGGCCACGCCACGCTACGCTGAGAATCACTTCCTTTCCTTCCTCTTTCAACCAACTCCCTTCTCTAGTCATTGCAGTAGCGATAGAAGCCGGCGGACTGCAAAGCTCGCTCGCATCTTTGAAGACGAAACCTTGTTGCTAGACGACAGATACACACGGCAGTACGCTCCCACCTCCCACCACCACACGCACGCACACACGCTCTCTCTTTCACCGACATCGCCATGTCCTCGACCAAAGTAGACACACTCGTCATCGGAGCAGGTGAGTAGCGGGCTCGAGGCGGATGACACATTCCTCTCATCATCGATAGCTCACCGCCGAGAGCTCACCGCCGCCACCTTCTCCCTCGCTGCTCATCCCACTCTCCACCATAGGCCCCACTGGTCTTGGTGCCGCTAAGCGTCTTCACCAGCTCCACTCGACGGGCGCCGCTTCCTCCTCATCCTCGGAGCCTTGGCTGCTCATCGACTCGTCAGACGAGGCAGGTGGTCTCGCCTCAACGGACGTCACTCAGGAGGGCTTCCTCTTCGATGTTGGAGGACACGTCATCTTCTCGCACTACGCCTACTTCGACGATGCGATCAAGGAGGCTCTGCCCAAGGACGACGACTGGTTTGAGCTCCAGCGCGTCTCTTACGTGCGATCCAAGAACGTTTGGGTGCCCTACCCGTACCAGAACAACATCTCGGTCCTTCCCGTCGAAGACCAGTGCAAGGCCATCGATGGCATGATCGACGCCGCCGAGGAGCGCGTCCGAGCCAAGGATCCCCCTCAGAACTTCGACGAGTGTGAGCAGCGGACCCCCTTCGCTTCAGGCACACCCTGCCTCGATCATTGCTGACCCTTTTCGTCCTCCGCGTCCATCTGTACAGGGATCATGAGGATGATGGGCAAGGGGATCGCCGACCTCTTCATGCGCCCTTACAACTTCAAGGTCTGGGCCTACCCAACTACCGCCATGCAGTGCAAGTGGCTCGGTGAGCGAGTTGCCGCCCCTTCTCTCAAGCTCGTCGTTTCCAACACCCTCAACAAGAAGGTCGCCGGCAACTGGGGCCCCAACGCCACGTTCAAGTTCCCCGCCCACGGCGGTACCGGAGGCATCTGGAAGGCAGTCGCAAAGACGCTGCCCCAGAACAAGCTCCAGTTCCAGAAGAAGGTAGTCAAGGTCGACGCTGGTGAGAAGAAGGTTCATCTTCAGGACGGCAGCACCATCGAGTACCAGCACCTCATCAGCACGATGGGCGTCGACTACCTCCTCGAGAACATGATCGTCCCTAGCGCCGATGCTGCTCTTCACAAGCAGATGCAGGCGGCCGCCAAGGAAGGCTTGATCTACTCGTCCACTCACGTCATCGGCATTGGAATTCGCGGCACCCTTCCTCCGCGCATCGGCGACAAGTGCTGGCTCTACTTCCCTGAGGACGACTGCCCCTTCTACCGCGCAACCGTCTTCTCCAACTACTCTCCCAACAACTGCCCGCAGGCAGACGTCTCACTCCCTACGCTCCAGTACGCCGACCAGTCCAAGGGCAAGCCCGACTCGTCCGCCCGCCCTGGCCCTTATTGGTCCCTGATGATGGAGGTATCCGAGTCGACGGCCAAGCCTGTCAACTACGAGACCTTGCTCCAAGAGACGATCAAGGGTTGCGTGAACACGGAGCTCTGCAAGCCCGAAGACGAGATCGTGTCCGTCTACCACCGCAAGTTCGAGCCGGGATACCCTACTCCTTCGCTCGGCCGCGATGCGGCGCTCAAGGACATTCTGCCCGCTCTGTGCGACAAGTACGGCATCCTGTCGCGTGGACGCTTCGGTAGCTGGAAGTATGAGGTGGGCAACCAGGACCACTCGTTTGAGCTTGGTGTCGAGGCTGTCGACAGGGCCCTGTACGGTAGCCCGGAGATTACGCTCGACTCGCCGGACTATGTCAATGGGAGGATCAACACGGAGAGGAGGTTGACTTTCGCCAAGTAAGAGCACGGTGATGATGGATGATGGAGTGAAGAGGCAGAGAGGGAGCAATGGCTCAGCGGAGCCCTTCGATCACTCCTGTGAATAGCTCGTGTACATAGCCTTCCACTCTGTCCCCTCTCTCTCTAAACTCCCCCTTGGCGACGCAACCCCATCCTTCATGCTAGCAAATACAGCTGTTCCCTTTTGCGAGCCGCATGAGGCTGAAGATATTGGACACGTGAGCGCAAGGCAAGCATCTTGTTCGCAGGCATGAGTGAAAAGGGCTGGGTAGAAGATGCTGCTGATTGAACGGGCACGAGAGTCGAGATGGCGGTGAAGAGAAGAGAGGGTACCGAGCAAAGCTTGCCGTTGCTGCCACTGCTGCAGTTGCTATCATCATACGACGGGCTGGATGAGTGTCTGCAAACGAAGGGATGAGAGGCGTTAGCGCTCTTGCTCAACCTCACTCCATCACGGCTGCTACCCACAATATTATCTCCCTTCAACAATATCCTGCCCAAATCCTTCCTAGCGCCCGGAATCTTGCCTGCCCCTTCATTCCTTCTGCACTTTTCTGTATAGACCTCCTCTGCTTCGCTAATGACGACGTTCATGAACTCGTCGAAACCGACGATGCGCCCTTCGATGCGTGTCTCGAGGTTGTCGTAGAGCCAGAGGGAGACGCGAGTCTGCTGTTGGAGGTAGCGGAAGAGGACTGTGATGGGCTGTGAGAAGTGGCGAGGAGGTAGTCAAGACAAGCCAGCGGAGATGGGGGAGGTTAGTAACAAGGGCGAAGGGAGCAAAGCGGAGGGACGCTGATCGAGTGCTCACCTGAACCATCAGCTTTTGCTGCTTTGAGCTCATCTTGGGCCAAACTCCTCGCGGAGGGGCAAAGGGGTCACGAGGTGAGAACGAAGGGGCTTGCTCTGCTCGTAAGATGGCTTAGTTAGCGCTTCCAGATTACGGGTATGGGTCGAGGAGAAGGCGCAGTAACGAGGGATGAATGGGAAGAAGTGAACAAGCATCGTCGTAGCGCAGCGCGGGCGGATGGATGGCGCACGACGAGACGAGCGGACGGAGACGAAGCCACTCAAGGCCCGCGCCTCTGTCCGACTCGACGTTGGTTCGCTCCCTCGCTCGCTGCATCCATCTGTCCATCCTTCCCTCTCCACCACATCGTTCACCAAATCACATCGATCCGCTCATCGATAGCCTGCTGCTAGCTATCAGAGCAGCTACGACGCAATGTCAGGCCAGCACCAGCCCTCTGCTGGCCCTTCGTCGGGTCGAGGTCGAAACGTGGGTGACGGGAGATGAGAAGGGAATGGCTCAGCTCCGCCTAACTCGCTCCTCTGACGCTCATCCCTCTTCTGCCTTCAGCAGCAGCAACAAGACGGTCCCTCGCAGAACCAGGCTGCTGGTCCTGGAGCGCCGCGAGGCAGAAGACCCATTCAATATCGTGGCCTCTTCCAGCGTGACTGTAAGCACCGCGACGAGGCACCAGGCTGTCGAGGCCCTGCGCGAAATGTGCTGATTGATCGCGATCCCATTCATGCTGTCCCTTCGCCCTCCCATTACAGTACCAATGATGATGTACGGCTTTGGCGATTCGCCTCAACCCGACCCCCGCAGCATAGACGTGATGGAACGCCTTACCATCTCCTTCCTCGTCGACCTCTGCCACCGCTGTCGGCCAGCCCCTTATGCCCACCCTTCTTCCTCCAATCCGGCCCGCAATCCTTACCTCACCCGCTCTCGAGTCAAGATCGACGACCTCCGCTTTGCGCTGAGGAAAGACGACAAAAAGCTGGCGAGATTGGAAGAGCTGATCTATTTGGACGGAATCATCAGTGGGGCCAAGAAGATTTTGGACACGGGAGCGATTGATGATGTTGCCAGGCAGGTAGAGGCAGAGGAGAGGCAGAAAAGGGGAGGAGCTGGCGATGATGAGGAGGGAGAGGACCAGCAGCAGGCTCAGGGTGGTGAGGGGGAGGCGAGGGAGGAGGAGCACGGATTGCAGCTTCCTGGTGGGAGTGGCAGGGGACGAGGTGGTGGCGGTGAAGAGGGAGAGAGAGGAGCGCAGAGGGGCGGTGGACCTGGGAGGAAGAGAAAGAGGGGGGCTGCGGTGTAGCTTGGCGCAGGTCCAGGACCCCTTGGGCGCCACACAGCATTCATTGTACATACCCGGGCGACTCACATCTTACAGCGGAGTCCGCCACAGCGCGTCCATCAGCCCATCAATCACGCATTTGTCTCACAGTCAATATTTAGTGTGTCGTCGTCTTCGAACCAGTCGTCTCAGTCTCTTGCCTCGTCTACGAAGAGAAGTTCGCCTAAAGTAAAGCCTGTGATGGGCACCACAGGGCGACATGGCAGAGGGGGGCTCAATGTCGGTGGCTCGTGCGTCCCTCTTGACGCCGATTTTGGATCTGGAGGCTGAGTCCGGACGATGGGCCCCTGGCAGCAAAGCAACAACACCACCAGCGTCGTCGCCACGCAGACCCATCTAGGGCTCCGACTTGACCCTTTCTTGTCTTATCCACGCATCGCGTCAGCTGTAGCAGAGTGATTGGTTCAACAGTAAAGTTATAGCATCATGAGCGTCGCCCTCGAGCCTGCGGGGGCTGCCTTTGGTGAGTGGCACCTTATCCCATCGACTGGCCTGAATCCCTTCCTCACTTGTCTTACCACCTCTTTCCAATTTCTTCCCTTCTTCTCTCATCAGACTACCTCTTCAAGTTCATCATCCTCGGAGAGTCCTCAACGGGCAAATCGACCCTCCTCCACCAATTCATCCATCACGAGTTCACCCCAAAATCACACACGGTAGGCGTCGAGTTCACCTCACGCCTTCTCCTTCTCGACCCTTCATCTCCCAATCCTGCTCGGATGCTCGGTGGTGATGACGTTGAAGGCGGTGGATGGGGAAGGGAGCAAGAGTCACACCTCCGCGGCAGAGGAGGACCGTCGGCGCCCGGGGGGAGCCGAAAGGCTAGTGCGGTCAAACTTCAGATATGGGATACGGCTGGACAGGAGCGATTCAGGAGTGTGACTAAGAGCTATTATCGAGCGGCGAGTGGGGCTCTTCTTGTATATGATGTCACGAAGTGAGTATCGCCAAACCCGCAGCCACGAGCCTGATTTGGGCACAACGGCGATGAGCAACTGACATGGCCGCGTGGTTGCGCTGCGCAGACGTTCCACCTTTGACAATCTGGGCAGATGGCTAGCAGATGTCCGCTCACTGGCCTCTGAGAACCTGGTCGTGGCCATTGTGGGCAACAAGACGGACCTCGCGGGCAGCCGCGATGATGGCGAGGCTGCCGTCCGTCCGGGTGAGGAGCACGATCAAGACGCCGCGAACTCATCGTCAGCATCGTCCACACCCAAGCGTGAGGTATCTCGCGAGGAAGCAGCAGCCTGGGCGGCATCACAAGGATGTCTCTTTGCGGAGACGTCGAGCTTGACTGGGCACAACGTCGAAGCTCCCTTTGCGCTTTGCGCAAGGGGAGTGCTAGACTTGATCGAGCAAGGTGTCGTGGCGCCGGAGCAGCGTGAGTAGCACGCCATGCCACGCAGATGTAGTCAGATATTCGAGCAACAGCTGACAAAGTCCCTGCTCGAATCGGCCATCTCGAGCAGAAGGCTCAGGCGTCTCCTACGGTGATCGCTCCCTCCGACCAGGCACGTCACGCAGCAACTCTCGCAGCGCTGATAAGAGTCATCATCGTCTTTCCTTCGCAGACATTGTGCAGAGTGGCGGAGGAGTGAGTAGGAGAGCAGCGAGGGGGAACACGGGTGGTGGATTGATTCGGCTCAAGGAAGCGATAGGGTTGGATAGGGACGGGGGATGCTGCTGAGAGCGGCAAAGATCGAGTTTACGACACTTCACCAGCATCGGCAGGGGTCTTTGTGTTGCTTCTAAGATGTCTTAGGCTGTGAATACAAGATACTCTTCATCGACCTCTCCATGTAGTCTTTGGCTTGAGCCAAGCGAATCCCGTGGCGCCTGCGATCCGGCGTCACGTCAAGGCCCGGCGCCCGGACGGACGGAGAATGGAGGGCCTTCTGTCGAAGAGCCGTGCGGGGAGCGGGATGCGCCGCCACTTTCACTTTGGTCCCGCATCTCGAGCCTCCTTTCTTGCCTTGGATGAGGTGACAGATCTGTCGACTAGATGGCACAGTCTTGATTTTGCTCTATCAAGGCGTCGTCAGCCAACAATCAACCATCCAAGGCAGTCTGCGCTGGTCAACACCTCACCCACGACCTCTGCCCCTCTCATTCTCTTGAATCATGCACCAACACTCTGGTTCCAGCTCTTACCCCTCAGCGATCTCATCACAAAACGCTCCTCGTCGGCGCACCTACCGTATGGCTACCTCTCTCGCCTGCCTGCTCCTCGCAGCAGTAGCAAGCCCTGCACTCGTCGAGGCGGTCCCACCCTTCAGGCCTCCTCCTCACTTGACCGCTGCCTTCCCGCAAGGATGGGAACGAGACTTTGGGCCACCACCTCCTGGCCTGGCGCTGCGCAGCAACGGCCTCCCCTCTGAGTCGGACGCCCTCTTGCACTGCCTCCAATCCTCCAACATCGAGACGATGACCTCCTCCCTCAACGGCTCCGCAGCATACTGGGAAGCGGCCCAGTCTGACAATCTGCGCTTCCACTACCATCCCGAGGCCATCGTCTACCCTCGAAGCGCCAAGGAGGTCTCAGCAGCAGTCAACTGCGTCTCTGCCCACTCCCCTCGCACGGCCATCGCTGCAAGATCAGGTGGCCACTCCTTTGCAGGTCACGGTAGTGGAGGATGGGATGGTAGCTTGGTTGTGGATTTGAAGCACCTAGATTCCATCCGTTACGATGGCAAGAGTGGGACTGCGGCCGTGGGCCCATCAGCCAGGCTAGGAGATGTAGTCAAGGGACTCTGGGGCTCTTCAGGCCAGCTCAAACGCGCTATGCCTCACGGAACCTGTCCTCCAGTCGGCGTGGGCGGGCACGCCCTCTGCGGCGGATTTGGACCAACGAGCCGACAGTGGGGGATGACGACTGACAATCTGCTTGAGGCAGAGGTGGTGTTGGCGGACGGCAGCATCGTGACTGCCAGTCCGAGGCAGAACAAGGAGCTCCTGTGGGGGCTCAGAGGGGCAGGGAGCAATTTTGGCATCGTGACACGGCTCACCTTCCAGACGTACGATGCAAGTGGAGAATGGGTCTTCACTGAGATGAGGTGGAGCCCTAGCCTCAAGACGGGAGCTGATGCGGCAAAGGTGGTCCACGCAGTACAGACTCTGGCAACGGACGACTCCATGCCGCGCTCGTACGGCTTCCACGTTCAGCTTCAACCGGCAAACCGCGGCGATCCCCCTGGTGGACCATTGGCGTTGCACATGCGGGGCATTTGGCATGGCGAGCGTGCAGAGTGGGAGCGGCAGATAGAGTCGAAGCTACTCAGTGGCCTCAAAGCAGCCGGTGCACCAGAGCCAGACGCAAAGACGATCACACCGATGAGCTACCGTGCCGTCATGGAAGAGTGGGACGACTTCGGCAAGCCCGGTGACAAGCTCGACACTCTCGCTGAACGACTCGTCCGTAACAATTTCCTCGCTCGGACGCGCCTGACAAAGGGGCAGAAAGGATTCAGCCTAGCTAGTCTCGAGGGCATGATGGCTCCCCTGCTCGAGCGGGCCAAAGGAAGCGAGCCGACACTTGAGGAACCCTTCATGTGGAATGTCTATTTGGAGATGTACGGCGGTGGCGGCAAGCTCGGGGCCCGGCATCGCGATCAGGATGTGATGGGGGCATCCTCGCTACCTCACCGCGACTCACTTTGGCTGATACAGAGCGCTGCAGGTACTTGGGGCCGTAATCAGCTCCCAAGGAAAGCGCACGACGTCCTCGATGAGCTGGACGAAGGGTTCGCAAGGGCGCTGCAAAAGGATGGCATCGAGGACAGCGGGTACGCTTGCTATGTGGACGCGAGGGAGGACGCGGAGGAGGCGACGAGGCGGCACTTTGATCAGAAGACGGCAGAGAGGTTGAAGAAGTTGAAGAGGGAGGTGGACCCGAGGAATGTATTCAGAAATCCGCAGGGGATCGCGGGGACTGAGTACATTGATGAAGGGGCGACGGAGCTGCTTGAGGCGGGGACCTCGATGATACATATACGGCCACCACTCGCGCATCCGTTGCCGAGGGGCGTAAGGGCAAGGAGGGCGGTCTAGGGATGAGGCGACAATACTGCGGCCGATGAGGAGCGGCAGACATTACTTGATACCCTGTACGGAGCTTCACCTTGCTGGTCGAATGGTACAACATGCGCGGTACGCACATACTATCATCACACCTGAATTTCGTTATCCCGATTCTGGAGCTTGCCGTCATCTTCCCACGCTTCCCAGTCCTCGCTCCTGCCTCTGCTTAACTTCATCCTGTAATGCCTCCGCCACGACCAGATGCACCTTGGCCGCTGCCCTCTCCAATGCTCGCACTGCCGCGTCCATATCGTCCAATCCGAGGCCAGACCCGCTGGTAGTCATCGTATCGAGGGAGATGACCGAGCCGAGGGCTGGCATTGTAGCCAGGGAGACGATGGAGGAAGAAGCTGCCGAAGAAGAGGCTGCGGCCGCTTCGGCTGGGGTGGGATCGATGAGGATTCGAGTAGGGGATGGGGATGATTGCACGCTCGCAAGAGCCCCAACAGCCAATCCCCACATGTCCACATCGGCCAGCGCAAGAGCCGCACTCGCCGCTGTCAGTCCCAGAGCCGCGCAGCTCTCCAGTGACGCTGTAGAGGCAGGAAGTGAGCTTCCACCAGTCGAGCCGCTCCCACCCGCATCCAGGACGGTGAGGTAGATGTCGATGGCTGCCTTAGGTAGGAGGTCGAGCCGCACTGCGGGCAGTAGGGCCGAGCGAATCCGTGAGGAGAGTAGAGTCGAGTCGAGATGTTTGCCAGGCTTCATCCTCCCTCCCACCCCGCCACCACCGCCCGCGACAGCGAAGGGGGCATACCTGCATTCAACGTTGAGTTCAGCCTTATCAGCGAATCCGGCTCGCCCACCGCTCCCACCGGCAGAGGCGCCAATGGAGGGTTGACGGGGACCGTACACAGCACAGGCGATTTTGATGCTGCGAGAGGACGGCGATGATGAAGAGGAAGCAGATGGGGAGGAGCACTCGATGTAGCATGACCCGGTGGCCTGCGGAATGAGGGAGGTTTGGATATCTGCGCGAAGAGATGCGGAGTTGACCGAGCGGCGTGAGTATATGCTGACATTTTACACCGATGCTGAACACTGCTTGCCATCGCATACTCACAAAGTGGCCTCAACTCTTCATCTCTTCCCCTTGAGCTCCCCTCTACCATCCTCCCTTCATCGCCCTGCTTGCTGGTCTTCTCCACTCCTTTGGCATTCGTCGCCGCGTTCGAATCGCGAAAGACGGGCATGTGAAGGCGATCAGGCCCGTTGATGCGACGTTTGTCGATTGCGGCTGACATGATGGACGAAGAGGAGGGATGGGACGATCACAGTTTTGCGATAGCTTGCTTGCCGGCCTATATACCTGTCCAGAAAGGTATGATAGGACGCCAGAAGGAGAGGTAGGAATCAACGCAGCAACGCAGCGCCTCCTTCCACTTCCGCTCCTCAGACTTTTGAACGGGTCGGAAGAGAAGAGCTCCACGATGACATACAGCTTCTGGGTTCTCACACGAATTAACGGCGACAGATCATGAGTGCAAAAGTACATCGATTCGTATGGCCAATGTGTCAAGGAGTCATCGTAAGAGGTGGCGGCGCAAAGGGGGCTGCAATGCAGACTACAGATGGGTGGAATCGAGCGTGCCGATGATGCTAGGAGTACCACAGCTGATCACCGAGCACCTACTGACGATGCTAGGGAGACCAGATGATCTCCGCTTCGCCTGCTCTCCTCCAACGTCTATATCCAACTTGCCCTCCTACGCCTACGCAACCGCTTAGCGACGAGCACCGACGACGTGACGGCGGCCCGCACGTCCCATGTCGACGTTGGGGGCAGCGACGGCAGTGACCTGAACGGGGATCGAGTCGAAGCCGAGGCCACGGAGCATCTCCTTGGTCTCGACGTCGACCTCGAGGGGAGCGACCGAGGGGTCCAGGGCAGAGACCTCGGGGACGTATTGGTCCTGCGATTGAGAAGCGGAGGTGATGGGAATGGGAGCGAGAGGAGGGAAGAAAGAGTCAACATAGGTGAAGGGGGATCCATCGTAATCTCTCCCATCTTGTAACGCACCTTGCGCTCACGCTCCTCCTCCTGGAGCTTGAAGGAGATACCGCGAACGGGTCCCTTCTGAATACGCTTCATCAAGTGGGTGGTGAAGCCGGCAATCTTGTTGCGCAGACGCTTCGAGGGGATGATGGCGACCTCGTCAATGACCTTCTTGTTGGTGTGGAAGTCGACAGCGTTGAGGCGAGGGTAGTACTTCTCGATGAGAACGCGGGCAGCGCGCTTCGTCGTCTTGGTGCGAACTCGTCCCTGTGAGGCAGAAGCGTGGGAGGGAAGGGGGAGGTGAGTACGCCATTCATCACCCATGAGGAGCACGGCGTGCTGTCTGGTGAGAAGTCTCTGCTACGAGATGATGACAGGGCGGCACGGTCGGCCAGCCCTGATGCTGCCTCTATGCCTGTTTTGCCGATCCTCCTTTCAACCTCCCATCTTTCCCAGTCTTCTCGCCAGCATCACGCTTTTCTACGCCAGTCGACTGCCAAATAATTCTCGACTTGGCATGCCCACGCCCTGCCCATATGCCTGCGATCGACGTCCATCGTCCGAATCATCACGAGGAATGCCCATCCCATCTCTTTCGCTGCTTGCCCTCCCCTGGCAGCATTTTACTCGTAGCAGAGACTCCATTGACAGCACGCCTGTCTTCTGAATCGCATCTCGTCTGGATGCGCACCATGATGAAGAGTGTGTGAGGAGGAAGAAGATGGGGTGTCGGTGGTGGTGATGAGCAAGAAGCGTTGACTCTGGACGGGGCTTGACTTCGAGTTCTCGAGCCTCGAGCCTCGAGCCCTGAGCCACGAGCCGCCGCCGCCGCCGCCCAGCTGCCGTCGAGTCCGCCCTGCTACGACTGGCAGCTGGTTTGACTGGCCGGACCCGTCGGCCGAGCTTGCGGCGCGCACTCGACTGTGGGCCTTGAACCTCAAACGACGAACGGGGCGGGGGACCATTCTCGCGTGGCTCGACTCGCCGAGGCCGCGAAGATCATTGGTTGGCTGTTGCCGTCCCGTCCTCAACTTCTCCTCGTTACCACTATCGACCTCCTCGACCCCTTCATCACCCGTGCGTGTCCGACGATGAGCGACCCAACATAGCGACAAGCTGGAGCAGAACAGCGATGGGCTGACCCTATTCGCTGTACCTGCCTGGCTCTTTCTTTCCCGCAGACTTGATTCAACATGGTCCGCATCTCTGTCCTCGTGAGTATTTGCGATCCCAGCTGCGACTTTCAGGGCTTCCGAGCGATGCGATGCTTACTCTAGTCTTTCCTGCTCTCGCATCCAGAACGACTGCCTCCAGTCGATTGTCAACGCCGAGCGCAAGGGCAAGCGTCAGGTTCTCGTCCGCCCTTCGTCCAAGGTCGTCGTCAAGTTCCTTAGCACCATGCAGAAGCACGGTTAGTATCTCAGCGCTCTCCCGTCACTCCCAGTTCTACCTACTTGCCCATTCTCCGAAGACTCGGGCTTATAACTAGTGGACATTGGATCATCGCTCCCACCGATGCCCACCTTTAAGGGTCCGAGAGATGAAACCCAACAGAGCGGTCACAGAGGCTTCGTGTTTCTGCGGCCCATCTGCCGCATCTGCTAAGGACATGTCTGCGATGCTATTTGCTCGCCATTGTCAGACATTCAAGCGGATGTCGGACATACGCCGCAAGGCGGTCTCGGTAGAAGAGAGAGGGGCATGCAGAGAGAGGCGAGGCTTGATTGAGAAAGACTCGTCACCATGTCCTTCCGTTCGAGCATCACACTTACACCTCTTCTGACCCCGCGCTCCCACCAGGTTACATCGGCGAGTTCGAGATCATCGACGACCACCGTTCGGGCAAGATCGTCATCCAGCTCCTCGGCCGTGTCAACAAGTGCGGCTGCATCTCGCCCCGCTACAACGTGCCCCTGGGCAAGATCGAGCAGATCATCGCTCAGCTCCTCCCCGCCCGTTCGTTCGGTTACGTCGTCCTCACCACCTCGGCTGGTATCATGGACCACGAGGAGGCACGCAGGAAGCACACCGGTGGAAAGATTCTGGGCTTCTTCTACTAAGCGTCTGAGAGCGCGAGAGTAGGTAAGAAGGCGGAGTAGAGGATGAGGTGCGCAAGTGCGCCCTCTTTGTATTTCTTTAGCATCATCAGCGCCGTCGCCGCCTCCTTGAGTGAGGTTGGCGTCGAGCTGCTCTGAAAATGTCATACCGTCATGTCGCATGCGTTGCGGCTGAGGTTCATCGACTCTCATTGTCTTTCGCGAAGTGCCGCGTGCGAGCCTGAACAGGAGCAAGCGTCTATGCATTAACAGAGCGCGTGTACGTACGTCTACGATATCCAGCCCGACTCTCTGCGAAAACCTACCACCCCCTCCTATCAGCCAGCTGCTCTAAACGACTATACAGCAGGAAGATGATAGCGCTGCTAGGCCCTGAGCGCAAGCAAGTAACTCCACAGCCCGCGTACAGCCCTCGGATACCCCTCGTAGCCCAGATACGCTGGAACGTCGTCAAGAAGCCGGAAGGGGCCACCTTGGCATTCCCGCTGCCCGCAGCAAGTTCCGCCTCGGTCTGCATTGTGCTCTTGACCACGTCCGCAGGGAAGAGGACGACATTGTAGCTAACGCCGGCAGCGGCCCCTGCTACCACCAGTTCGAGGGAGGAGAGGTCCGCCTTCGTCACCTTGTTTCCCCCTGCGACGACCTGCTGCTGCTGCTGCCGCCTCGCTACGAAGGAGCGACAAGCCCCCTCGAAGGCGAGGAACCAGGCTACTCCTCCCCCCGTCTCTCGAAGTAGAGTTCCCGTCTGGCCGAGCCAAAGACCGCGGATGCCGTTCTCTTGGATGGTCTGGCGAAGCAGCGCTACGGGACCGGGCAGGGAGCGTCGCGCTGCATTGAGGGCTTCGACTGTGACGGTTGAGCCTGCGGTAGACCCTGAAGCGACCTCCTTTGCCAGCAGCTGAGCCTCTGCTCCGATCATCTGTACTTGCATGCGACACTTGATGAGCTCTACCGGTGTGAGGACGAGGGAGGTAGCTGCTCCTGCGCCTGCGGCTGCGATTGCTAGTTGGGACATTGGCAAAGCCGACTCCTCCTCCCCACCTTGATCCCCAGTCTCTCCTCCTGACACCTCCCCATTGAACCGTCTGAGCTGGCCCTGAATCGCGTTATACGTAAAGAAGAGCGTCGCGTTCTCCATGGTCGCCCCGAGGATGGGCATCGAGAGGCCGCGAAACAGCCCTAGGAAGCCCTCCTTGCGAATCGTGCTACGGAAGGCGTCTAGTGCACCGTTGTAGAGGGTACCACGGGGTTGTTGATTGGAGCCGGGAGGAGGTGTGGTGAATGGCTGTGTTTGAAGACGGACTTTGATGAGGTCACTGCGGCATCATTGGGAGGGAACGGGTGAGCGCGAGGAGAAGGAGGAGGAGTGAGAGGAGTTGAGGACGCGAATGCGGCAATTCCGACCGCTTCTCCCATCAACATAACTTTCAACACTCACAAGGGATGCTCAAAGACCTTTGCAACCATGCCAGCCACGCTGCCGAAAAGCACATCCTTGACAGCCCTGCTCATCCTCTTGCGAGGGGCCGTTGGAGCCCCGGCGGTTGTTTGCGGCGGCTCGACAACGGAGAAGGCTGAGATGCCGGCCAGGGGACCGGAAAAGGTCGTGTGTCGGTGGAGAGAGGGTGATGGTGATGGCGGAGAGGAATTTAATGGGGGTGATGAATGAGAAGGAGCATCGAAGGCGGGGAGCGCATACAAGGAGGGCTGTGCAGCAACTTTTGACGGTAGCGTCGCACGGCTCGATGACGAGGCCCCCAGCCGTGATGGCTGGCGCTTATAATCTGCGCAGTCCATGCTGCTAGCTGGTGATGCGCTCTACCTCCTTGTCGCCCCAACGACGATGCGAAGAGCGGAACGAAGGGAAGAAGATCGTAAAGCGACGGCGACCCGACCCTTATCGTCTCCGATCAATCGCCTCGGTCTGGATCGGAGTTCGATTTTGGAGGGCGCACGGGGCAACACAGGAAGAAAGCAAGGCGACAACGCCTCACCGGGCAAAAATGAGGATCGTGTGACATTGAAATGAGCACTGTTCATTGTTCACATGACAATACATGAAAAGGGCATTGACATCGTCCTGTCTCCGTGCCCTCCCTTCAGCCCTGCCACTCGTCTAGTAGGATCGGCCGAACATCGTCCACCTCTTTGCTTCGTTCTGGCACTGCGGGCACTTCAGGCCCTCAATGGGCCCAAATTGCTCCTGATCAAAGGGAATGCACAGCGACTTGGCACCCATGGAAGGGGCACGAGAGTCTTCGTCTTGGCCCTCTTCCGACGAACGCGCAGAGCGCTCCTTGATGGCGTCTTCGCACGTCTCCATCTCGCACCATGGGATGATGACGTGGTTCTTGCCGTTGAGCTCGCGGGTGAAGTTGGACCTGCGAGTGAGGACAGAATGAGGTCAGTAGATGTTCGAGAGGCCGTTTTGAGAGAGAAAGCCGCGCCTACGCACCACTCGGTAACCTTCTTCCTCCTCGCGGTGTACTCGGTATTGGCGCGCTCGTACATGTCGTCGTGAATCTTGTTGAGCAGCTGGGGCACGTGGGAGACCATCTCGCTCGCAGCGATTGAAGCCTTGACCCCGTTGTCTCGTCTTACGAGAAGGCGCGAGTCCCTGTAGCATGAGGAAAGAGCGAGATTGTCAGTCGTCGTTGCCAGTCACAGCTCTCTTGGCGTTCGGGCGCCACTCACTTCTCCAGGTCCTTAGGGCCAATCTCCATCCTGATCGGGACACCCCTCATCTCCCAGTCGTTGAACTTCCACCCAGGACTGTACACATCCCTCAGATCCGCCTTTGCCCTTACGCCAACAGCGAGCAAGTCTTGCTCCGCCTTCGCACAAGCATCTTCAATCGCCTTCCTGCCCTCAGGCGTAGTCTTGACACCGATACCGCACGGGATGATCACGACCTGCACTTGCGACACTCTGGGAGGCATCACCAAGCCCTTGTCGTCGCCGTGTACCATGACCATGACTCCGATGGTGCGGGTGGACAGACCCCACGAGTTCTGCCAGACGTGCAGACGACCTTGCGGCGTGCCACGTACGTCGGCTGAGGCATTGGGATCTTCTACTGAGATGTTGAACATCTTGGAGAAATTCTGGCCCAGGCAGTGAGACGTGCCTCCTTGAATCCCGCGACCAGTCGTGGGGACAAAGCCCTCGACAGTCGTGGTGTAGAAACCGCCTGCAAATTTCTCCTTTTCTGACTTGACACCGGGCACGACGGGGACGGCAAGCAGGTCTGTGTAGACTCGTCGGTAGAGGTCGAGAATCTGCTTGACTTCCTTGTCCGCCTCTTGGAGGCTGATGTGCGCCGTGTGACCTTCTTGCCAGAGGAACTCGCGAGTGCGCAGGAAGGGCTGGGGGTGCTTGAACTCCCAGCGGACTACAGAGTTCCACTGGTTGAGCTTGAGGGGGAGATCACGGTGTGACTGGATCCACTTGGCGTAGTAGGGGTACATGACCGTTTCAGACGTCGGACGGATGGCGACAGGCTTGTCGCTGGGCAGTGAGAGGTAGAACAATGCTTGGTTAGTCGGTGGCAGAGAAATGCTTCCGTAGCCGCCAAACTTACAGGTCGCTCTGGCCGGCACGGGTGACCCAAGCCACTTCAGGCGCAAAGCCCTCAATGTGGTCCTTTTCCCTCTCGAGGACGTCCGAGGAGACGAACATGGGGAAGTAGCAGTTGGATACGCCAAGCTTCTTGATCTCACCATCGAAGAAGGCTGTGGGACCGAGGCAGAGGAAAGGTGGTCAGATTTGTACAGTGGACAGCCCTTCCTCGCAGAAACGCACATTGGATGCTTTCCCAGACGGTGTAGCTCCACGGCTTGAGAATGTAGCACCCGCTGACGTCGTAGTAATCGAGCATGTCGCCCTGCGTGCGAGAAGAGACGTGAGCTCTCCGAGCGTGTTTGCCTGGCTAACCTCCTCTGTCTACTCACCTTCCTCAATACCTGCTGATACCACTCCGAGAAGTCGCCTGCCTTCCTGACCGTAATTCCGACCAAGGCCGCATCATCAATGACCGCAGCCGACTTGGACAGCTTGGCCCCACGTGCAGGCGCTGCTGCCTTATCTGCCTTAGCTGCTCCTCCTGCCGCCGCCGCACTCGCCGGAGGAGCAGGCGCTTTGTTCTTGAGCTCGACAAAGTCAATCGTCTTCTGCTCAACCTTGAGGTGGTCGATGTACTTTGTGAACTCTGATGCGGGGATGGAGGAGGACTCTGTGCTCGAGGACGAGTGGAACGCGAGCCTTGAGCCGGCCGGGGCTAGGGTGATGGCCGAGTCGATTACGAGGAAGATGGGGTGCGAGCCGCCAGGAGCATTCTGTGCTGACAGGGTAAGAGGGGAAGCTGATAACGAGCGGTGAGGCAGAGGTCAATGACGACCATTTTTGAAGCGCATACAGGCTGGTACCGCTGCTCACCAGTCTCTTTGTCTGCGCCAAACCAGTCCTTCCAGATATCGTCGGCTGCCGCCCTCATCTCCTTGATGCCGATCTCCTTTGCAAGGACATTGGCTGAGCCAACGTCTGTCGACTCGAGCGCGACGACAACGACGGGCTTGACCGGAGCAGACTTGCCAGCCTTTGGCTTGAAGACGAGCGTCTTGGTGGGCAGAATGCCCTCGGGAAGCTGCGAAGCCCAAGGGGCATCAGCTGAGGGGGCAGCGTGGGAATGCTTGGAGACGTCGAGATTCGACATTGCCGATGACAGGGAGTCGGTCATGGCCGAGAGTTGGGGAGAAGAGAGGATCAATGAGAAGCAAAGGAAAGCGAGGACCGATTCTTGTCCTTGGCTTGTCGGACGAGCAACAAAAGCGCTTCGACTGGCGGAGTCAGTCAAAGAGGGACGGAGACAGAGGCACTCGACCGCGCCTCTCTGTCCGCCGCTCGGTCCAGGTCCAGGTCCAGGCTGGAGACGACGAGCGCGGCGCTGTCGACTGCTCTCTCTCTCTGTGACCATCACTACTTGCACAGCAACATCAAGATGCCGCCCAAAGCAGCCATCGTTGATGACTTCGATGATGACACAGATGTGAGTACGCGTGCGATACATCACCCACTGACATTACCGCTCATCACGTCGTCGCCCCTTCTCTCCCTTACAGTTCGCCCTCCCCACTCCACCGCCCTCAACCGGAGGAGCAGGAGCAGCAGGAGGCCCACAGATGCCCGCAGGCATGCCTCAAATGAGCCCCGAGCAGATGCAAGCATTCCAACAGATGATGATGGGCGGTAACAATGGCGGCGCAGGCAGCAGCATGGGCGGCGCCTCTGCCCCACGCGGCACGAGCAATGCTCCACCAGAGTCGAAGCGCTGGATCACCCTCTACCCCATCTACTTCGACGCAAAACGCAGTCACAAGGCAGGTGAACGTCGTGTCCCCTGGTCTCTCTCCAGTCTTGCTCCCCAGTCGATCCACATCGCTCGCGCCATTGAGCAGTTGCGCGGGCTGCGTTTCACCCACGAGCCTGGCAAGACGCACCCTCGTGATTGGGAGAACCCGGGAAGGGTCAAGGTGGAACTCTTCAAGGATGAAGAGGGCACGGAGGTAGTTGATCAGAAGCTCAGTAACAGGAAACAGCTCCTTCTGGCGGTAGCGCCGCTTGTGCAGCAAATTGCGGCCAAAGGGTCTGGGGGAGGAGCGGGGAAGCCGCCCACCGACGTGCCGAGAAGAGAGAAGGCCAAGAGGAAAGGGGAGAAGAAGCACGAGAAGAAAAAGGCAGCAGCAGCAGCAGCTGCTGCCGCAGCTGGTCAGGAGAACAAGACTGCCGCAACGAGCAGCAAGGGCAAGGCTACGGCAGGCAAGAAGCAGTCAGTCAATTCGTCCACCGCTGCTGCGCCTTCCACCTCTCAGCAACAGCACAAGCCCCGCCTCGGCCGTCGCCTCCCCTCAGCAGGCAGCTCAGCCCGCTCCTCACGCGTCTTCCGCGAAAAGGCCCTTCGTCCGCACCTTCCTCCCGCGCACGTCCGTCTGCCCCCACACTCGCCAGCAATGGCCGCCGATCTCCTCAACATGGACATGGGAGCCATGGCTGGCGCTGCGGGCGGTCTTCCTGGAGCTGGCGGAGGAGCAGGTGGAGCAGCGAACCCGATGGGAGCACTGGGGAGCATGATGGGCAACTTGGGCTTCGGAGGTGATGACGATGAGGATGACGATGCGAAGAAGAAGGAAGAGGAGGAGAAGCAGCAGAGGGGACAGGATCCATTCAGAGGAATGGGCAGGCGAGGCAGAAAGAGGGTCGTGCGTGTAGGGCGTTAATGACGAAGAGCGGCCGCAGGCGAAGCTGGCCAGCCATGAAGGAGGAATCGAATCAAGTCTTTGCATTGAAGAGGATCAGAAGCGGTCGGCGACGGCACTGTTTGTTTCGTCTCCTTTCGTCATCCGTGGGACCCCCGCATCCTGTCTGCGCAATAGATATGGCTGGCTGAGCTCGCAAAGGATGCACATCCGATCATTTCCTCCTCCAGCGGCCATCGATGATCCGCTACTACCTGCGCCGCTATCTTTCCCCATTCCAGCTCGCCTCGTGCTGCCCACCTCGTCCCCACACAAACTCTTCCCGCTTAGGTGACCTTCTTCCTCTCGTCCATCGAGAATCCTCCCGGTCCCTGGTTGACCAGCAGCAGCAACCCGCCCACGATGCTCAGCGTCTGGAAGAAGTCGTACCTCAGGAAGTCCCTCGCCGGGTGACTAGGGTGCGTCGCCCAGAAATTGTTGACGAGGAGATTGAAGACGGAGAGGAGCAAGACGAGGAAAGACGCAGACCAACGGGCCTTGAAGCCTACGGCGACCATGATGCAGGCCCCCAAGCCAAAGATGGAGACAAAGACGCGGAAGAGGGACCATTGGCCTTGGAGAATGAAGCCGAGGAAGAGAAAGATGAGGAGGACACGGCCTGCGAGCTGTAAGGGTGGGCGGAGGACGAAGCCAGTCAGATGCTGCGTGACCTCCAACTGCTTTCCACGCTCGCTTTGACTCACCTGGAAATAAATCCTCTTGTCCGTCTCACTGATGTTGGGCAGCCCAGCAAAGATGTTCTTCTTCTTGCTCAACGAGTCACTCAGCACCATGAGCAGCCCACCAATGACAGAGAGGTTGCGCAAGAAGAAGTTGATATCGAAGATGAGGCCATAGCCGAATCCTTGGACGACGACGACGCCAAGGAGGGCACCTACTGAGATTTCGGGGTATTTGCGCATGATGACCGAGATGGAGGCGGCGATCATTACCTGCGCGAGTGGGAAAGGGGACCGTGTGGGTGTGAGCTGGTTTACCCCGTGCAGCGTTCGAGCGCTGCTCGACTCACCAGCACATTGATAATGAGAAACAAATGACTGATACCCCAAGGGAAATGCCTATGACGCTGCAGATAGTACTTCTGGTCGCTCCACTGCGTCACGATGCGCAGTGCGTCCTCGAGAAAGGTGACGACGATCAAGAAGCGTCCCAGGGCGGGGAGGTGAGGCTTGATAGGCTGCGTGTAGACATCGATGTAGTCTTCCACTTTCGACGAGATGGCTCGCACCTTATCCAGGGGCGTCTGTTCAGTGGGGTTCGAGGAGGCCTGGCCGCGCTGGCTGGCGTAAGGGGATTGGCCGTATGACATGGCGAGGCTGAGGATGAGGGGGTGCTGCGAATCGGTTGGATGCTGAGGCCCGTTACGACGGGATCGGGATAGTAGAGTAGCGTACCGTCTACTCCTCTGTCGTCGTTGCCAATGTCGTCGCCTTCGTTCGTCGTAGGCTAAGGTAAAGAGTCAAGACGACGGGCGTTGTTTGCTTGCGAGATGAAGGATGGATCGATGATTCCGTCGTTGGTCGCAGCTGAGTGCGTTGTGCTGCCCCGTGCTCTGTTGTGTGCCCTTGCTTGCTTGCTTGCTTGCTTTGCAGAGAGAAGGCGCGGAGCGGACGAGGGTGAGCGTGTGCGGGCGGGAGGGCGGGAGCTGAACGGGAGCAGAGTGGCCTGCCTGCCTACGTGTCGAAGCGTGCCTCGCAGCGCAGTCAGAGGGAAACAGAGTTGGATCCGCGAGGCTGCTTGCTGCTACCGCGACGATGGCTTCGCAGCGATGAAGGGGGAGATTGAGGACGACAAGAAGGACCAGGAAAAGCGGTAGCGCTGTGGCCTTTGTCAAGCGCTCTCATCGGCACAGGCTATTTGTATCTTTTCCTCTCGCCGTGACCTTCTGCCAAACCAGCGCCAGGTCGAGTGGTTCCGCGATGCTTGCCTGCCTCCATTTCTTCTCGCTGCCCGCTCCACGCCAACGCCCCGCCCGCTCCGACGCCATCTTGCATTCGGACCTCGAGGCAGGCTCAAAGGGCGTCAGACAGCGGGTGTGCGCATCAAGGCTGGTTCAACACACTGATGTCTCTATGCTTGTTGCTTGTTGCGAGAATGTAAACAATGAAGAGAGGAGGACGACGTCAACATCGACAGCGATGCCCCGATTGATGTCCAGCTCAAGACGTGCCTGGTCGGCTGACAGGCAGAGGCTATCGATGCAATTGGGAGCTGATTGTGATTTGAACGATAATAGAATGTAGTGCAAGTCCAGCATAAGCAGAAGCACAGAGAGTCATTGTAGTATAGATGCTGCTATCGAACCTCGCCGTCCACGTCGCTCTACGAGCTCTCCGGGTCGCCGTACTCATAGACGCCTAGATGTCTCCTCCTCGCCTCCTGGTTTCCAGACACCAGGCTCTGTCCCATCTTGGGATAGCTCTTCCAGTAGGGCACCCTCTCATCCAGCAATGCCCACCCTTCCTTTGCCAAGCTGACGTTGATAGACGCCTCAGGCCCTGCAGCGACATTCGCGCTCGCCGGGTCGTAAAGGGTCAAGTGAAGCACTTGCCCCTCCTGGTAGTCAACGTTGGCGATGAGCTTCTGACCAAGGTAGTCGCGGAAGCGCTCTTGTGCCTCCCAGGCGTACTCGTTGACTGCGCCGGCCTCGCCTGTTCCCGCTGCGGGAGCAAAGAGCTTGACGAAGCTGAGCCTTGCTTCACTCGCCTGCGGGGCCAGCCTTGCCCTGCCAAACTTCGCGGCGTCCAGCGGCTTGATATCGCTGAAGGGCACGTCCTCGAGGAGGTTTCCGTAGTCGTAATACAGCACAGTGGCCCTCTTGGCCGCCGGGCTTGCCTTCAGCACCTGTGCGCGATACCATTCCCCATCCTCAAATTTGGCAGCTACGTCGCCCTGAGGGCGGAAGCTGGCGGGCGCGGGTGCCGAGGAGCGATACGTCTTCGCCAGGTCATGCATAAGCTGCTCGAGCTGTGAGATCTCGCCACCAAGCGTTTGGACGCTGAAACCAAAGGGCTTTTCGAGAGAGCCATCCCCTCGAACGTCGCTGATAACCACGTCGCGATAGTCTGTGCGCGCCGGTGCGGGTTGGTTGGCCACTGCTCCTGCAGGAGGGCGAGCACCCCATGCTCCCTTCGCGGCGGCACCAGCGATGGGGCCTGATGATGCTGAGCTGACTGCGCCTGCTGCGACGCCGTTGCCATTCTGATCAGCTGTCACAGCCTCCCCCTCTTCCGTGTAGTCATGCCACATCCCTGCCTTGGCCTTCTTGGCCGCCTCTTCTGCAGCGAACAGCTTCGGCCCGTTCGGCGTGCCCTCAGCGCTATGCCCATGCACACTGGCCAGACCAGCCTCAACCAGCATCTGCGCAAAGTCCTGCTTGCCATTGGGCCCGAGCAGATAGAGGCAGCCGATGAAGCCGCCAACCTTGTCGAGGGAGAGGACCTCAATCTCTACGTCGCGCTGCAGGGCATGAGAAACGGCAAAGTCCTGCGCTTCCTTGCCAAAGGGTTCGTCCTTCTCCTTTGGGTTGCGAGCAGTGCGCGGCGCCTTGATCCCCGCCAGGACGAGCGTGAGACGGGCGTTTTCGCGGGGGACGAGGACCTTGAAACGCGATCCGCTAGCCACAAAATCGATGATCGCTTGTGCTCTCCCTGCCCTCTTGAGCCCAGGGAGGTAAGAATGGGCTCTGCCCGCATTCTCTGACGCCTCGACAAAGTTGGGCACAGTTGCCGCCTTGCCAGAGTGGATTCCCTTGGCCTCGCTTGCAGCTGTGGCCTCTGCTGCGAGGAGGTCATCAAAGAATGGCGAACGGTCCTCATCGTCACGACGATGTCTGACTACTGTAGCTAGGCCGCGTTGGATCAAAAGCTCGCCAACGTTGGCACCCTTGGTTTCCTTGGCGCCCGTCGTGGTTCGCACAGTCGCGTACGTGCGCTCGTCGAAGCCCGCCTCTGCTGGTTTGATGTAGTCGATCTGCACCTGGACTGTCTTGCCAATCAGTCGCTTTCTCAAGCACTCTCTTGCCTCGTACGACCACCCTCCTCCCTGCTGGTCCTTGGGCGGCTGACGAATAGAAGAAAGCTGGATACGCTGCTCGGCTGCTGTGGGGCGCTTCACATGAATCGTGTCTCCGGAGATGACGCGGGTGACTACTGCCTCGAATGTACGAGCGGCAGCAGGGACGGACATTTGGCTTGAGATGGCCGTAGGTACAAAGTCCTTCCAGATATTGAGGCGACGATCCTTGGCAACTTTCTCTGCTGCGCGATACTTCTCCATGCCGCCGACTGAGGCCAGCATGCCAGTGTGCCAGTCGACGACTCGGGCGAGACCTGCTGAGAGGAGGAAGGCGGCGATGTCACCGTTGGGGTGAATTGCCATGCCGATGAGGACTGATGCGGTCGACTGCTGTTGCTGTTGCTGCTGCTGTTGCGCTTGCTGCTGTTGCGTTGATCCAAAGGGCGTAGGGGTGGCTAAAGGTTGCGGCACAGCGAGGAGCGTGACCTTGATGTCGCGGTTCAAGAGCCTTGTCTCGACGAAGAACTTGCTCTCCTCTCCAAAGGCCTCGCCTCCCGTGTCGACGCTGTTGGGCCCACCACCACCAGAGACTCTCGGCGTCTTGATTCCCGCCAAGTGCAAGTTGATGAGCTGATGTCGCTTGGGCGTGAGCAAGAGGCGTACTCGTACCAGTGAGCCATCACGGACCTGCTCGACGATAGCATCGATGGCCTTGCCCTTCCATTCGGTAAGGAAAGCGTGCGAATTCTCCGGCATGTTATACGAGACGGCGAGGAGCTCATCAGGTCCCCAGATGCCCAGCTTGCTCAGCTGCGCCTCATCCTGTACCGCGCGCTGATTAGCCTTCCAACCGCCCTCACCCTCTTCTTCAGGCACAGCATTGGCATTGCGCCTGGAGCCAGAGTCGTGCACTTTTGCCCAGCCGGCTGCCAGTATCTCGTGAGAGACATTGGTGTCGGGAAGACCGGGGCCCTTTGGTGGGAGAAAGACGTGGGCGAAGTTGCGGCCCATGGCTGTGTATGCTAGTCGGTAGCGGATCTCGCGGCCGATGAGAAGGTTGCGCAGGAATTCTCGAGAGGCAAAGGCTTGGGGCTGCAAAGGATCCCAAGAGAAGGGCAAGAGGTGAGTTGCTGCGCTTCCTTGCATTCCCTGTCACTGCCAGGCGCCTACTCACCTCGTCATCGCGCTCACGGCTTCCCATACGGGGAGCCGCCAGGCCTGCGATGTGCAAAATCTTGAGGCCATTCTCGGCATCCTTGCCAGCCTGCGCAGTCATCTGCACGGGGCGTACGACGATGGTGTCTCCAGAGAGGACGCTGTGGACGCGGACGCCTCCCTGGAGGGGCGCCGTCGGCGAAGGCATCACGACGGGAGCTCCTGCGGACATTGCTGCTGATCGGGACGATGCTGGTGGGGCTACGATGCTGAGTGGATGATGTACGGTCGAGAAAAGCGTGTTCGAAGGCAAGTCGATGGATATGAAGTGGAATGAAGCGAAGAAGAGGATGCCAATGAGGTGGCGCCAACCAAATGCGAGGCTGCGCTGCCAGGCTGCGACTCCACGCGGGCCAGAGAGACGAGCGGGAAGAAGTCAAGGCGGACAGCGAGCGAGCCGAGGCTTCTCTGCGGGGACCACGAGTCAAACCAGTCGCTACGTGGTCATCAATATCGCTACTAGTAAGACAGGATGGTAAAGATGGTCAAAGCCAAGAAGAACATACATGAGTGGGTAATCGCTCCCGTTTCCCTCCTTCCTGCGCCTCTCTCTATCCTTGCGCGCACCTTCTCTACAGCGTCGCCTGCCACCTACTCCTATCCATCCTCATCCACACTCCCCTCCGCGTCCTCGTCGAGAAGCTCACTCTCATCAAAGGCCCAGGAGCTCGGAGCTCTGCCCGCAGATGATCCAGTCCTGCGCTTCGATGTGGTACTCGACCTCGCCCCTGAGCTGGCCACCCCGTTGCGAGGCGTACCACCCTTCTTGTGTGGAGGCGTCTTGGTAGTCGCAGCGGAGCGAGGTGAGACCTTCTTCACGCTTGGAGCTGAAGGGGAGAGCTTGGCCTTCTTGTTCTTGGCGAGAGGTGTTGCGAGCTCTTGAGCTTCAAGTGCAATCTCTGGCTGCGTGAGCGAGACGGGCGCTGGAAGTGGCGCGGGAGGCGGGACATTACTCGCAGGCACGATGACTGATGGACCGATCGCATCATCTATAAGGACTTGCTCCTCGGTGCCCGAGCCGCCTTCGTTGCCTTCTCTGATGGCGTCTGCGGGCTGAGTGAGTGAAGGTGCTGAAGAATTTTGGCCTGGATTGGCAGCGGCAGCTTGGGTATCAGGGCCAGAGGCAAGGGATAGAAGCCCGTCTAACCCGCGAAGCTCAGCTTCGATGCGTTGACTGTCTGCTCCGTCTGTGCCCGTTGCGGTGGGTCGCGAGGAGAGCGAGGGCGGCTGCTGTTGCGGTATCGCGTCCTCGATACCCAGATTGGTACTCTCTTGGCCATTGGCAACAGAGGAGGAGGATTGAGTGGCGCCATTCTCGACTTGCTGCGTTGTCACGGTATCTGATGCTCCTGCCACCAGCCCCAACGCGGATGCAGGAGGAACGCCAGCTCCCCTCGTCATCACGAATGGCGTCCACCTAAGTCTCTCCGGCCGTACCTTCATATACCCCTTGCTCTCGTAATTCTTCAGATGGGCAACGACATATGCCCGATCGAAGTGGATACGGTACGAGGTCGGAAGAGCATTGGCGCCGCTCTTGCTCTTGGCTGCATTGGCCGCTGCTGTGGCGCGAGCACGGCCGCCTCCTCGACCGCGACGACGTGGGGGCTGAGGAGTGGACGTAGTAGATCCATCGCCACCGGCGCCGTCGCGCGACTTGTACTTGAGCGTTGCGGGCAGGCGCAACGATGATGCCGCTGCGGAGGGGAGGGTGGAGCTCTCTCCATCGTACTCGACGATCATATCCTGCTCTCGTAGCACGTAGTGTACGTCATCCGCAGTCATAGCCGTTGCCTTGCAGATGTCCTCAATGGTCACCTCGTCGGGGGCCTCACGCAGGTATCCAAAGACGGCGAGGGTCCAGTAATTGCGGTAGCTCAGCAGCCCGAGGTCAGAGAGGGGCTTCTCTGGCGAGCCGAGGTTGCCTTCCTTCTTGGAGAGGAGGTAAGAAACATCGATGATGAAGTTGCCCCACCCTCTCCTTTGGCGGATAGGTAGTGTCATGATGCAGGAGAGGTTATACCCCATATGGCTGCGCTTCTCCTTGGAGAAATAGCCGACGAAGTGAGCCCCAAGATCGTCCACTTCGGTCACAACGTAGAAGAGAAAAGGCTCGACATCGTAGTAGAGGGTCTTGTGGTCGAGGAACATCTTTGCCAAGAGGCAGAGATTCTGGCAGTAAATCTTGCTCTTGCGACCGTCCACTTCGAAGATGCTGACATTGCCGTCACGGTAGATTTCGTCTCCTGGCGGGTGGCGGGCTTTACACTTGATGCGGTGACGTTGAGCCATGAAGCTGCTCTTCATATACTTGAGGCAGAACTCGCACAGCCAGAGTCGGCCGTCAGGGACGAGAGAGTACTCTTCGGGATAGGGTGCTTGGTACCAGGTATCGATATCGAATGTAGAGAAGCGGATTTGCTTGATGGGAGTTGCCACGCCTGTGTCGGCAACGGTGGCTAGCGTACGTGGGTTCTCTGTGACAGGCGTGGGAACCTCTGATGGCTGCGACGAAGAAGCATCGACCGGAGTCGCGATGGCAAGGCGGCTCGGCGCTGGTGGCGGAGGCGCTGCTGGTTGTGATGAAGAGAAGACGCCGCGGAGTGATGAAAAGAAGTTCGAGGTCGTTGAAGTCGAGGCAGACGTCTGAGGTTGAGAAGCCGCCACCATTCGCGGCGTGCGGCTAGCCCCATCTGCAGCTCCCGTTCCAGCCCATGGCGATCCAGCAAAATACCCAGCTGCCGATGAGGATGCTACAGGGGTGCCCGACCCAGTCGACGCCCCTCCAGTCGCTCCTGCAGCTGGGCCCGTCCGCTTGATGCCTCTGCCCGTGCTTGTGGTGCCGGGTAGAGAGGCGACGGCGCCTCCGAGCTTGGCCTCAGCGGACGACTTGCTCTTCTCGAAGCGCATCTTATCCTGTGGTTTCGGACGGGTCTTGCTGGTATCTGCATCTTCTGCTGCAAGTACGCCGCCAAAGCGCTCTTCATCGCCTTCCTCTTCCTCTGCATCCGACGTGTCCGACGGGCTGTGACGACTGAAATGGGAGCCAAGGCGAGACTTTCCCTTTTTGCCGTAGCTTTTCTGACCCGGCCGGCCGCGATTGGAGGAGCCTTCGGCTGCTGCTGCTGCCGCCGTTGATGAGGAGTCGCTGCGGTAGTCTCTGTTCCACGGCTCGTCGCTGTCCGTGGAGTTTGCATCGTCGTCATTGTCCGAGCCTTCCTCGCCGTTGGTCTCAGCATCGAAGAAGTCGACGAGTTTCATCGCGCCAGGCGTCGGTCGCTTGCGCGATGGCGTCTTGCCATTGATCGCCTCTGACCCTCCGAGCGAAGATGACTTGCGTCCTCCTCTCCCCCCCGACCCAGATGCCATACTGCCCAGCTTGAGTTTCAGCAGAGGCATGCGACGCTTCGATGCTGAGCCATTGAGGACTGTTTGCGACTCTTCTGAGGATGGGCTGGCAATCTCATAGCTCTTGTCCTTGTTCGTCGGCTTGCGCTGCCGCCTTGTACCACTCCTAGCTTCACCGACTGTCTGAGGCCCTCCGTCATCTTCTCCTGGCGGAAGCGGCTCACTAGCCAGTAATGGGCCGGAGTAGTGATCCGTTGTGGACGGTCCTTGCTCCCACGGCCCGTAGCTCGAAGCCAAAGGTGAGGAGATAGACGGCGAGCGGCCAAATGTGTTGCTTCTTCCGCTGCTCGCTCCGGACCAGTCGTCTGAACGGACCTTGTGAGATTTGCGGGAGACTGCTTTGACATGCTCGCCGAGCTGTTGGCAGGTCGGGCAGTACCACTGGCCCTTTGGCGGCCCGTCGAGGGGAGGATCGAGGCAGTAGAGATGCCAGCCGCGATCGCAGCGATCGCAGAACATGATCGCGGCCTGAGCGGAAGAGGAGAGCGAGAGATACACATCAGCATGTAGCCTCTTGGCAATGGAAGCTCTCGTCGTACTCACATCGTCTCCCTTCTCACCACAGACTTCGCAATCCTTGCATTCCATACAATGCCAAGCGTACTCCTGTGCCACAGCTATCTTCCTCGGATTACGACCCCAGCGCATACAGGTAGGATGCCCGCTGCTACCACATGCATGGCAGCTAATGAGCTTCTCTGGCTTCTGATGTCGATTGAGAAGATAGCCACAGAAGGCGCATTGCTGGCTGGGAGGGGCGCGCTTCTTGACATTATGCTTGAATTGGCCCGTCTGAGGCTTGGGAGCCTTGACAAGCTTGCTGGAAGAGGATGCAAGAGCCAACGGAGCTGTCATTGGGAGGATCGGCGAATTGTGATTCGACTCGCGCCTTTGCCTCTTGCTGCTTCGATGAACTGCTGACGAGGATGATGATGATGATGACGAGGGTATGGATGGAGCTGGCATTGCGAGGGCGGATGTCGATGCCTGCGACTGGGACAGTCCGTCATCAGGACGATGGGCGTAGCCATTGACGAGGAGTGCAGCCCCAGAGGACATGTCAAGGCTGAGCGCCGCCGCCTCTGACTGCTCCGAGGCTGAGGAGGGGAGAGTGAGAGGAGGGAATGATGAAGACTTAGACCCTCGAGGGCGGAGACGCTTGCTGACAGGTTCTTCTGAGGGCGACTTGAAGGAAGATGAGGACGACGAGAAGGGAGAAGAGGAAGAAAGGAAAGTCGTGAAGCCTGTCGACGCGTTACCCGTTGCGCGCGTATTGAGGTTGGCGGGTGAAGTTGATGGACGAGGGAGAGGAGAGCTCTCGTCGTGGCGTCGGTGGAAGGGGAACAACCTCTTGAGGGCCTGTATCGTGTTTCTTGTCGTTCGTGAATGCCTCTGATCTGACGCTGGGATCAACGACGATTGAGGAGATGCGACGAGGAGGGAAGGCAGGTGACCAACTCGGAGGCGATGATCCCTGTAAAGAGTCGTGGGTCGTGATGGTCGCCCTCGACGGGGCGCTGCCTCGCGCCGCGGACTCGGACTCAGCCTCAGCTCACGCCGCCACGCGACGGCACTTTGCCTGCCTGCCGCCTCTCGACTGACCTCGCCCGACTCACTCCCGTCGTGCATTGGCCGCCTTGGCCTCGAGTCGACAGTGGAGCCTCGCTCTTACGACTCCTTTACGACCGGTCGCAACGTCGACGAGGTGGAAGAGTATGGCACCAGCGCCTCTATCGACGCTGCTAGCATTCTACTCTGCAATCGCCAATGGCAGCAGTACAGGAGACTGGCTTCCACCTCCCGTCTGCTCTCACACCTTCATAACAGACACGCTCGCCTCGCCCGCCCTCTTCCTCCTCGTCGAATTCCTCAAGGCGGCGAACAACAGCAACGGCCAGCAGCCAACGAGCATACTCTGGCTAGCGGCCGATGCGTCCGGTCAGAGCCACCTGTCAGCCGTAGCACGGCGAGCAGGAGTCAATCTCACTCAGCTTACTGCGAAGGGGCGATTCACCCTCATCGACGCGGCTCAAGTCATCCTCGACGGCGATTCAGATGAGGCAGCTCTTCGCTCCCTATATATGCGCGTACAAGGGGCCCTTCCAGCCCAAAATGCTGATTCTGAGCTAGGCGCGTCTTCGCAACGCCCTCGCTGCATCGTCATCATCGACGATGTGAGCTCTCTCCTGTGGAGCGTGGCCTCACAAGGCGACCCAGCCGTCCGCTCTATCCATCGCTGGATCGTCGCGCTTCGCTCGCTTTGCACTCGTCACCAATCATCCCTCGTCACGCTCCAGCATCTGGCTTCCACTTCTCCCTCGGCTGATGCGGCCTCAACCACCCTCTTTCACCGGCTGCTACGTTGCTCCCACATTTGGATCGAGGTGAAGGAGCTGTCCTCCGGCAGAGCGAGGGACTGCTCCGGCGAGATCAGCGTACACCCACTCGTTGACGTGACGAGCGTACAGCTCGTGAGCCCCGCTGCAGGAGGTTGGGGTAAAGGTGTGCTGTACAACGTTGCTAACGATGGGTCTGTGGTGATCTGGGCAAAGGGGACCCAGGGGACATCGTAGAGCGAGATCCGGCTTCGCGAGTCATCTGTATTTGTAATAGCATAGCATATAGAATCGCAATCGCATCATTCAGGCGACTACAACCTTCTTGACTGCCGCTACAAGATCCCCATCGGCCTCCTGAAGAGCAGTCTCCGCTTTATGTCTCGGCAGCATGAGCTCACGGACCTAGTCGCGAGATCAGAAGTGCGTGATCAGCTGTGGAGTCCTTGGAGCGACGCAGTCGACCCATGGTTTCTAAGATGATGCTCACGAGGTACTCTACGTCCTCCTTCTTCACTTTCTTGCCCTGAACAGCCTTCTCTCCCGCCAGCTTTGCCTGCTTCTTCCTTGCTTCATCGGGCATATCAACACAAACGGCATTGATTGCCTCGCTCATCCTTCCCCGCTCGAATGTGTATGGTCCGGCTGCTGCGCCTGCTGGACCGGGTAGAGGGACATAGTCTGCCCAGTCTTGGATGACCTCTGGAGCTGGGGCCATGCTGAGGAGAGTGAGGTGAGTGACGTCGGTGTTGAGTGGAGCGGACGATTGATTGGACCAAGTGAGCGCAGGCGGGGGTCGAGCTGATCCTGGTCCGTCGCTGCCGGCTGAGACGTCAGATTTTGGAGACGGAAGCGCGAGCGGCAGCGATTTCGCATCTTCTCGTTCAGCAATCACCACCACAAGAAGCTGGCTCACTATGGCGCCTGAAGATCATGAAGAGGGTCCGAAGAAAAGGGCGAGGAAGGTGAGCACTCGCGCGTTGGAGCCGCATATATCGGTGGTGCTCCTCGAGCTCACGCCTTTCCCTCCTGTCACGCAGCGCACCCGCAAGTCAAGATCAAAAGCAAAGGGAATCGATGACGATGGTCAAGAAGGCGAGACCTCAATTCAGCAAGAAGAGCGACAGGCAGAGGCTCCTTCGACGTCAACATCTACGCAACACCCCGCTCAAAGCGCTGACGTAGCATCTCACTCAGCGCCCACAGCAGCCTCCATCCTCACCTCGAATCCGCACAAGCCCTCCGTCCTTCCGCGTCCCTCCATCTACGGTCCACGCAAATACACCCTGTCCGTAGCCATCCCTTCGAGCATCGTCTACAATGCTCAGACGATGGAACTCAAGACGCGCCTTGTTGGCTCACTGGCACGAGTCTGCGCCGTCTTCAATGTCGACGAGATCGTCGTTTGGGACGATGGGACACCTCCGCCTGCAAATGCTGGTGGGGGCGCTGGTGGACCTGGAGGGGGAGGCGCAGGCGGCCAGTACGGCAATCAGCACCAAGACGGGCAGCAGCGAGGCAGAAAACGCAACTTCGACGAAGACGGTGCAGGTCCCTCCAACGGGAATAATGCACCGTTTGACGCCTCCCCTTTCATGGCCATGATCCTGCAATACCTCGAGACCCCGCAGTACATGCGACGTCAACTCTTCCCCATGCATCCGCACCTACGTCTCGCCGGTCTTCTACCCCCGCTGGACTGCCCACATCACTTGAGATTTGAGGACGAGTCGCCATTCAGGGATGGCTTGGTCGTTGAGGCGCCACATTACGCTGCGAGTGCGCAGAGTCGAGGTGCTTGGGTCAATGTGGGACACAGGGATCCGCTCCAATGCGATGTCCTTGGCTCGCAGGTCCCGCCAATCGGGTCGAGGGTAACGGTGGATATGGCAAACTCGGTGCAAGGCAGGGGCACACTGGTGTCGCCGCGCACGCCTGTTCAGACGCAAGGGCTCTACTGGGGCTATTCGGTACGGCTGGCTTCTTCCCTCTCGAAGGTGTTCACCGACTCACCATTTCCCAGCAGCAGCAGCGAGGCAACCCCAGCAGAGTACGATCTGGTAATCGGCACAGCGGAACGAGGCGATGCGCTCACCGACGTTCTCTATGCGACCAACCTTGGTTCCGCCGTTCCCTCATCCAAGGACGGCTCCTCCACCATTCAACCCCTTCCGGAATCTTTCGAACACGCCCTCGTCCTCTTTGGCGGTCTTTCAGGTCTCGAAGTTGCCATTGAGGCAGATGAGGGCATCCCGTTGGGTATGGAGGACGCGAGGGAGCTCTTTGATGTTTGGGTAGACTCATGCGAGGGTCAGGGGAGCAGGACGGTGAGGACCGAGGAGGCTTTGGTGATCACGCTAGCAAGGCTCAAGACGGCCTTGGAGCAGAGGGGAAGGAGATGAGTACTGGGGCGCATACCTCGAGCGGGGTGCATAAGTAGATGGTGATTTTGGAGGAGCTTGCTAGTCCTTCTGTACAATGTCGTATACAGCTCCATCGGCCGCACAGCCCGTTACGCCTTGACTTTCTTCTCTGCCGGCTGCGAAGGCGTAAGAGGAAACAATCAGTCAGCTACTCCTCTCTCAGCGGACGAGGTACACCTACCACTACCACTCACCGGTGAACCTGCCTTGCCCGCAGCCGTCTCCGCCGCTGCGGCACCGCCAGCGAATCGCTCTTCGCGCTTGCGCTTCCTCTCCTCGTCTTCTTTATCTACAAGACCGAATCGCTCTGCTCTCTTCCTCTTTGCCTCCTCCTCCTTGGCCTTCCTGGCAGCAAGCTCAGCCTTGGCCTCCTCGCTCATCGGCTCTTCCTTCTTGGGCGCTTCCTTCGCTCCATCCTTGGCCTTGCCATCCGCTTTCGCAGCAGTAGACTTAGCTGCGTCCCCTCCTCTCTTCTTTCCCGCAACGCCCAACTCCTTCTCCAACTTCTCCAATCCCTCAACCCCACCGCCGTCCCCCTCACCCATGCCAAACTTCCTCGCTCGCTCCAAGTTGCGCTCGGCCTCCTCCGCTAGCTCTGTCTGTCCGAAGCGGGCAGCGCGAGCTTTGCGCTTCTCGAGCTCGGCAATCAAAGCTGCTTGACGGTCTGCGGCGCTTGGAGCTGGCGCTGCTGCTGCTGCAGGTGGGGATGACGCTTTACCAGCAGAAGGGGAGGCGGCTGAAGGAGCAGAAGCAGGAGCTGCGGGAGCGGCCGCGGCCTTGGGGCTTCCAGCGCTAGTCTTGGGAGGGGACGCTGCCTTTCCAGCTGCCGAGGGAGCTGCTTTACCTGCCTCTGCTGGCGCTGCTCCATCAATGTCCTTCGGAAGGGCCTGTGGATTCTCGAGGAGACGCTCGATGAGGTTGGATTTGACTCCCGTTGTGGCCAAGTTGTGTGCTTGGAGGAGCTGCTTAAGCTCGGGGACCTTGAGTGACTGGAGATGAGCTTCCATGATTGCGAAGGGAAGATGATCCCAGCGTGGATGAGTGGATGGAGAGAATGAAGAAGAATGGATGGGAGGAAGGAAGGATGAATGGATGGCTGCTTGCCTCGATGTCGTCCTTGCCCTCGCCGCCTCGAGTCGGACCGCCGCCGCTCAGACCAATTGCAACGCGACGCGGAGGCGGACGGACAGAGTGGCTTCAATGTCGAGTGAGTCGACGACGACGAGCGCGAGGGAACACGGCTCATTCATTCTCCTTGTCAACCTCAAAGCTTCTCCCTCGCCCATCATGCCTCGCAAGAAGCAGCAGCCCATTGTCGATACCGCAGCAAATGGCGACGCCTCGATGGACACTGATGGCCCCGTTGCTGGCCCTTCATCGGCAGGAGGAGCGGCAGCAAGATCGCAGGGAGGCGTCATCTCCGAGTCGATCCGCAAGCAGATGAGCCTCGAGGGCATTGAGGCGTACGAGATGCCCAAGGCTGTGCTCGCTCGTGTAGCAAAGGCAGAGGTCAGTCGGCGCTATTCTACACAATCAGGCGACTACCGATCAGCCGCTGAAGCTGATACTCTCTCTCCCTCGCACCCTCAGCTGCCCGAAAACGTCCAGATTCGCCGCGAGGCCCTTCTCGCCATCTCCAAATCAGCAACGATCTTCATCTCCTACCTCGCAGCGGTGTCCGACGAGCTGGCCAAGCAGAACAACCGCAAGACCATCATGCCAGTAGACGTAGTTGAGGGTTTGGGTCTAATGGAATTCCCAGAGGAGATCAGGCAAGAGTTGAAGCGGGAAGTCAGGGAATTCAAGGTGTTGGAAGAGGAAAAGAAGAAGAGGGCGCCTGGAGGTGGAGGAGCTACTGCGGGTGGAGATGCCAGTCCAGGGCCGGGAGAGGATGGGGAGGAGGAGGGAGGAGATGAGGAGGAGGGCGGCGCTGCTCGTGATACGAGCGCGATGGACGCCACCGGCGCTGGTGCAGGAGATGATGACGATGACCAGTCGCGAGGCGAGCAAGAGGATCAGTCCATGGATGCGGCTGCACGAGTAGGTACAGGAGGTGCTGAATTATCTGCTGTGCCAGAGCAGCAGTCAGCAGCAGCATCAGCGCAACCACGGAACGACTCGAAGTCACCTCAGCCAGAGGACGAGGAGATGAGGGATTGAGCAAGACCTCAATGCATCACCGTGGGCCAAGCAAGACAACAACAGTGTACGGCCAAACACAGCAAGCGATGTCGCGGCTTCCTTTCCCGAATGTACATCACCTCTTCTCGATCACGCATCACGCTCACTTCTTCTACATGGCAGTTGAGTGAACTGAGGGGTATCGTATTGGATGACAACAGATCGTGTCCAGCGCCCGGCTCAACTGGCAGCCGTCGCAGTCGCCGCTGCCTTCTTCTTCGCCTCGGAAGCAGCCATTGCCCTCTTAAGCACGTCCTGCTCGAAGCTAGCCGCGGCAGTGGGCTTCGAGGCGGATGGCTGAGCTGCGACCGGCGGCGCCCTCTCTCTTGCAGTTCCCTGAAGTGCCTGCTGAAGCTTGTCAGGTCGGCTCCTCCGCCAGTAGAGGACACGCTCCGGCTCTCCGACCTTGGAGCCTGGCGGAGCAGCTTCCTCCTGGCTCTTGTCATTCGCCTCCGCCTCGCCATTAGCCTTCCTCGCCTTCGCCTCTCTACGCCTCCTTTGTTGCACCTCCTTCGCTGAGGCCCATTCAACCCAGACCTCTGAGTAGTCTTCCCCTTGCCGCACCGCCGCTTGCTGACGTAGAGCTTCGTCAAGTCTGAAATCGCTGCCCGTCTCCACGAGGCGAAGCGCTGCAGTCATGTCCTCGAAAGTGGCGAGACAGACCACCTCGGAGGGACGCTTGCGCTTCTTGTCTTGATCGCCGTCATCGGCTGTCGGTGGCATTGTTTGTTTGAAGTGAAGGAGGGGCCCGAAACATTTGATCAGGGATGACCGAAGTGAGGTGCCGTAGGATGGGTCGGCACCGACCGAGGCAGGGTAGAGGAGACGGACGGTCGTGTCCAGCGGGCCGATTGAGGGCTCGCTGATGTCTATATCTACCTGACCAGCCTGAGCCGTCGTAGCTCCGTTGACAGCGCCATTTTGCTTTGACGACGCTGCCGCAGCCTCTGCTGCCTTTGCCAGTCCTTTCCTCTGCTGCTCCTCCTCTCTTGACCTTCTTGCGGCTTCCTCCTCCCTCAACCGTCTTCCCTCGTCTCTCAACCTCTCAACTTCCCCTTCTCTCCTTCTCCTCTCTCCTCTCCTCTGAGCCTCTTCCCTTTCTCTCTTTTCGAGTTCCCCGACCATCCTTTTCCTCTCCTCCTCAAACTTCCCCACCCTCTCTCTACGCTTCTCCTCCTCATCCGCTTCACGCGCGAGTCTCTCTCGAGTTGCAGGGTCGGAGAGGAGCTCATAAGCTTTGTGCAGCGAGGCGAAACGGTCTGCCGCTAATTGGGGAGGGACGTCTCGGCATTTGTCTGGGTGGTACTTCAGCGAGAGGGAGCGGTAGGACTTGCGAATCTCGGCATAGGTTGCGCTACGCGGGAGATGGAGGAGGGAGAAGGCATCTCCGAGGGAAAGGTCACCTCCTGGTCCTCCTGATGAGGACGACGATGCCATCTTCGCCGAGCGTCTAGGTGGATGCAAGGCCGACCTGGCAGTGGCGGATGGTAAGAAAGGGAGAAAGGCACGAAGCGCGGTTGAATGTGGCGGCAGTCGGCTTTTGGCTCAGTCCGGTGGACGCGAAGCAGCGGAAGAGGATCAAGCGAGATCACGCAGGGGACGGCAGCATGAGGTATCGAGTTGAGAGAAAGCAGAGAAGAGTGGATCCACACAGGAGGACGAATGGGCATGAGAGGCAGGACCGGCTGCCCCGCTTTGTGAGATGAAGTGGGTGACAGCCCGGCCCTTGACCATCAGCCTGTCATGGCCCGCTCACCTCGTACACTCCACATAAATCAACTCCTTTAACTGCCCCCGACTGAGCTGCTCCTTTGAATAGTCAAAGCTGAAGAAGCTCGGGTCCAGCGGCTCAGCGGTCGGCTCGTCCTCTGGATCGTGGTAGGGCTCCAAGTAAGGGTGAGCGAGCGCTTCGTCCACCGTGATGCGCTTGCGTGGCGAGAAGGTCAGACAGCGCTCCATCAGGTCCACGGCTAGCGGATTGGCGTTGGGAAACATCTGAGAGAAGTTGCGTCGCTTTCTGAAGGGGAGGGCACGAATGTAGTCTCGGGAGCGCGTCGAGGAGATTGCGTAGAAGTCGTCCAGCGAGGGGGTGCCAAGGATTTCGAGGGTGAGGGAGAGTTGATGGTGGTCTGCGAGCGCGAGGGCAAGGGCGAAACAGGTATGAGCCAAGGCCCTACTCTAGATCATAATGGGTTGTGAGCGCCTGCTCACAGTCACGACCTGGGAAGAGAGGCTTGCCTGAGAGCATCTCTGCCAGGATGCAGCCGACGGACCAGACGTCGATTGCCTTGGTATACTCCTTGAAACTGCCGGTGCAACGCAGAAGACGAGGAGGTCAGCCTCCGCTACTCCAATCAGTCATGGTAGCCGCCCATCTTGCGCCTGCTTCCACTCACGTCAACATGATCTCCGGCGCCCTATACCACCTCGTGGCCACGTACTCAGTCATGAATCCCGTCCCCTCAGCCTCAGGCTGATTTGCGCTCCTCGCGAGGCCAAAGTCGCAGATCTTCAGATCGCAATTGGCATTCAACAGCAGATTGGACGGCTTCAAGTCTCGATGCAAGACTTGCGCTGAATGCAGAGCCTTGAGGCCTCGCAGGGTCTGGTAGATGAAGTACTGGCAGTGATCGTCCGAGAGCTCTTGTGTGCGGATGACTCGGTGCATGTCTGTTTCCATGAGTTCCTGCAAGCGAGTAAGAGGGCAAGCCATGCGTTATCAGCGGCTGCTCGATGGCGAAGAGTCTGACATAGCTGCGTCTCGCCGGCTCACCTGAATGAGATACACCTCGGAGAAGGTCTCGAGGTTCGTCGGCCTGATGATATCCAGGATAGAGATGATATTCTCGTGATTGAAGTGACGTAGCAGCTTGATCTCTCGCAAGGTGCGCAAGCAGAACATTGAGTGGTCAAAGGGCGTTATCCTCTTGATGGCTACGCGGGTCTGTGAAGGAAGGTGGATTGCGGAGCTGCGGGGGGCGGGAGAGTAAAAGAGGATGATCATGATGAGTCGGCCATCTCTCTTGCACTCATACGCGCTGCACACTCACCAGACGACACCGTATGCGCCTTCTCCAACCACGTCGACGACCTGATATGTTGCCCCGACGTTGAATGCCGCATGCTGGACAGCTTGCTGCTGCTGCTGTTGCTGCGTTGACGTCATCTTCTGTCCGTGGATGGAGATGAGGACGGTATGTGCTAGCAGTGACGAGAGAAGGCTGTTGTGATCGTGACAGTGACACAAGAATGGGCTTTTTCAAGTGAAAGAAGGGGAGCGAGCTCGCTGGCCGAATGCGTTGCGAAAGGAGATTGTTAAGTGGCGCTTCGTTGGCTCGTGCCCTTTTCACCGGAGGGCGGAGTGAGTGTGCACTTGAGTGGAGATGTTGGCCCAGAAATGAGCCGAAGGAGGCAATAAGGCAGGCCAGCAAGAGCTCTTTAGGGGTAAGTCTTGGTCTTGAAGTGATGAATCAGACGATGTTGAGGAAGGGCAAGATCGAGGACGGCAACGACAGGTCGAGAGTGAGGAAGAGAAAGGGAGCTGCTATGCGATCGATGCATGGCTCCCTCGACTCGACGACGAGACGCATGAGCTCTCACGACGGAACACGGCTTGCCGCCCTTCTCCTCGCCTCGCAGCCTCACCTGGCGTGCGTCCATGCGTCGACGCCAGACGCCAGACGCCAGACGCCAGCGCCAGCGCCAGCCCCTCGTCGTCTTCCATGCCTGTGCGTGGGCGCCAGCCGGGGCAACTCATACACGATCCGGTCGCCTGGCGTGACAGACTGATGAAGTAGCTGGCAATCCCGCAACGCGGGGGAGCATCGAAGAAGCAGGCGGGAAGCAGCAAGGCGACGTCCGCCCGTGTTGGCGTCAAATCGGCGTAGGCTCGCGACTAGCATACCAGCCTTACGACGAGCGTGAGCGAAAACACGCATAGACACACGAGGAAGAAGGGTGTGTGAGTGCGATCCGAGGGCAAGGTCAGCATTCCTCTTGAGCTGTCGAGCTGTTGAGCGGCGTAGGCGTCATCTGTTCGCAAAGCCCTCACGCTTCACGTCCGCCCTCTGAGCAGTCAAGGCAGATTGTGTAGTCGCGTACCAACATCGTCGTAACAGCGTGGTAGCAATCAGAGGTGGGTCAGGTGTGGTTGGTCAATCATTCCATGTATGTCGGTGCCATACCGGTGCCAACTACCGCGTCATTTGCTTCGAGGGTCGTGGTAGCCCTGACGCGCGTTGCGCCTGCCCGTGGTCCTACTCGTCTCCTCCACTCTTATTCACTATCAGCAACATCAGCATCGCCAACGACGAACAGGATGGCAAGCAGCGAAGCGAGCATGACCCCGGACGAGAAGCGCAAGGCCGATGTGGCTCGTCTACGCTCCATCATGGGTGACGGACTCGATCAGTCATTCTGGTCCAAAGCATGGCAGGCCAAGGCCACTCCATGGGACAAAGGCTCACCTCAACCATCTCTGATTAATTTCCTCACCAAGACCGACGCAGGCAAAGCTCTAGTGGCGGCTGAAGGCAGCAAAGGCAGCGCTCTCGTTCCCGGAGCGGGGACAGGGTACGACGTGGAAGTCTTTGCGTCCTTGGGCTGGTCTAAAGCAGTTGGAGTAGACATCGCACCGGAAGCCGTCGAATCGGGCAAACGCTGGCTGGCAGAGCGAGAACACAAGCCGTACCATGAAGAGATGCATTTCAAGGTGGCCGATTTCTTCGAGGATCCCAAGGGGGAACTGACGGGCTTTGACCTGGCGTACGATTATACGTTCTTCTGCGCCATCCCACCGAGCTTGAGACCGAAGTGGGGAGAGGCGTATGCGAGGAGCGTGAAGAGTGGGGGGCATCTGATTTGCTTGGTCTTCCCTATTGAGGGGGACCGCCCCAACGGGCCGCCCGTGAGTAGCCGTTGAGAGACAGACTGGAGATGCGCGTCAGGCTGACCAGAGAGTATCTCCTCATGCCCACAGTACTCGGTCTCGCCCGAGCTGATCACTCAGTTCCTCGAGCCGCACTTTGAGCTTCAGTGGCAAGGCGTGCCCCCCGATCAGCCAGAAGAGCGCAAGAACATCGAACAGGTCATGCTTTGGAAGCGCAAGCAGGCTCGAGGATGAGTCAGAGCGATGATCGAGGTATAATACGATTCGAAATCTTAGAGCTCGGTCCTGGTCCACTGCTTGTCCGCATCTGTGAGGGGCACATAGCGTACGCCGTACATCTTCTTACGGGTAACTTTGCCACTCTCGTCTTTGTCAACGTGGTAGATGTCTCTGCCGGGTGGAGGCGACATGGTCAGCTGCGGGTGATGCACTTTGAAGCTAGGTAGTGCTACTCACTGCGCTCCTGAGGCAGGATCCTCGACTGGGATGAAGAGTCGCCCAGGCTTGGCGAGCTGTGCCTCGAGCGCATCGATGACGCTTGGTGGGGATGCCGCGCCTACGTGGATGGCGTTGTAAGGCGCTCTTGCCGGCCAGCCTGTGCGCAGCAAAAGAATGTTGAAAAAAGTCAGCAGTTGAAAGGACACGGCCGTTCTTGTCGCTCCCTTGCCTCACCTTTCCTGCCATCGCCAAGCACGACCTCGATCTGACCCTTTGACATGGCGTCGCTCAATCCGTCCGTCTTCATATTCTCAACGCTTTGTTTCACCAGCGGCTCGATATGCTCAATACCAATGACCCGACTGCCACTATGAGCCCCGCTAACCTCACCCTCGTGCCCCGGCATTGGCTTGACGAGATGGTGGAACAGAGCAGCAAGGTAGCCACTCCCGCTGCCCACGTCAAGCACAGATGAGTCCGGCTTGAGATACTCCAGGAGCTCCTCTGCAGCGTGCGCATGCATATGAGGAGCAGAGATGGTGGCTGAGTAGCCGATGGTCTGAGGCGAATCCTGATACGCTGAGCGAGGGTCGGGGCAGTAGGCCTTGCGGTCCACCTTGGCCATTGCCTCAGCCACACGGGTGCTGTGAATGAGCCCCTCGCGGCGGAGATTGGAGATGAGCTCTTGGTTTGTGCGACCCGAGCACATCCACGCCATGGCTGCAGATATGGCCTTGAATGTGATCAAGGAGGAGTTCTAGGAGAAGGTTCGGTGATGCTCAAGTTGAGACGGGATGAATGGTGGAATTGACGCACAAGCCACACGCATAATCCAAGGCTATTCACACCGCCGCCTCGGAGGCGGAGTGTGATTTGGGGGAAGCGTGTCGATGTGGAGACGAGAGCTCAAAAGAGGCGCAAGCGACAAGACGCCGGCAAAGCGGAGCACAAGTCGAGTAGCGCACGCGGACTTGACGGGAGGAGCGAGAGAGCGAGAGAGCGAGGGGTCCACCCCAGCATTCAGCTTCCAGCACCAGCACCAGCATATACCCCTCGACCAAACACAGCCTTGCCCATCTCGAGCTCCTCACGATAGATGTCACCTTGCCATTGTCCCCTGTGCCCCTTGTAGATGATGGCCTCAAGCTCCGTCGTCACGCTACCATGGCCATCATGTCGCGGGGCAGTCGTCGCAGGGCCGACATCTAGTCTCACGACAGTCACCATTTCCAGCATCCACGGCCCCTATAATCCCCCGCCTCCTCATCATCATCATCAACATCGTTCACGTCGATGCTCGCCCAGTCCGACAAGGGCAAGCGTCGAGACGAAGCGTCATCGCTCGACATTCCGCAGCAATCGTCAAAGCAGTGACGTTCACGCAGCGTCATACCGCCCGTCAACATCGAGTGGTTTGGCGCTTGAGCCGTTGCAAGGCGGATCGCAGTGCGCCTTCTCTTCATCTGCACCTTCATTTACGCCACCAGCTAATGAGACGTCCCGCTCAACATCCAGCTCGTCGGCTCCCTACGCCTCGGGCTCATCGTCGAGATCAACCGTCGACTTCCTCAAGTGGTGGAGGCGATCTCTCAATTCCTCAAGCCGTTCAAACGAAGCACGGCCAGAACAAGCCACCTCAGCTCTCACGAATCCCCTTGATGGCCCAGTAGATGACATCAATACTTTGATGCGACACCCAGCCGTCTTCGACAACATCCGCAAACCCCGTCATACAATCGTGCTCTGCCATGGTTTGTATGGCTTCGACTTCAGCCGGCCTTTCTTCGGCATCGAGATCCACTACTGGGCTGCCGTGCTCGACATTCTGCGTAAAAAGATTGGCGCAGATGTCATCGTCAGAGGAGTGCCCGGTACGGGGTCCATAGCTTCGAGGGCCAAGGCGTTGCATGAGTTCCTGCTTTCAGACGAGGCGGGCGTAAGAGGGCAGAAGGTCAACTTCGTCGGCCACTCGATGGGAGGATTGGATGCGCGATACCTCATCTCGCACCTACGTCCCAAGCCAGAGGAGTACATTCCTGTCTCAGTGACCTGCATCTCGACGCCTCACCGAGGCAGTCCTTTCATGGACTGGTGCAATGCCAATGTGGGCATCGGCAGGGAGTACGTCGAAGAGTGCATTCGCGAGTACGAGCTCAAGAAGGGCATGTGGAAGAGACGAGAGCAGGAGGATGAGACTGGCGGTGAAAAATTGCCCTACAGTCTGAAGACGCCCTTGTTTGTGCGGCCAAAGAAGAAGGACGCAGCAGCCAATGAGAAAGGAGACAGCGCTGCGGCCTCGTACAAGACGAAGGAGCAGCAAGCGCAGGAGAGCATGGCAGATAAGGTAGCCGATGCCATCAGTGATGTTGGCGGAGCAGGAGCAGTAGCAGCGGCTGCTGTCACGGGCAACGATGGGAGCGGCGACTCCAGCACCGCCAAGAAGACGGCGCCAAACTCATCATCGCCCTCTTCATCGTCTTTCAAATCCCTCTCGGCTCTGGAATTTGTGACCCCTCTCACCCGTGCCTTGTCCTCCTTCACGGGCTCCTTCTCCTCGTACATGCTATCCGTCCTCGACCAACCAGCCTATGCTATGCTCTCCACCCGGTACATGAGCAAGGTCTTCAACCCCTCCACCCCGGATATGCCCAATGTCTCCTACTTTAGCATTGCAGCTCGCACTCGCAAGATCCCACTCTGGCATCCTCTCTGGCTGCCCAAGGTCATACTGGACGCCGCAGCCGAGGCAAGGACGGCGGGCAGTGAGAGGGATGGGAGTGCAGATGCCTTGGGAAATGCAGAGAACCAGGGGAATGATGGCCTCGTCAGCGTGCAGAGCGCTAAGTGGGGCACATTCCTGGGCGTAGTAGAGGATGCGGATCATTGGGATTTGAGAGGAGGTGGAGGGCCAAGATGGGGACAAGATAGGAGTATCAACCCGGCAACGGGAAAGCCTTGGCGAGAAGCGGCCGGTGCAGGGAAGAAGGCCGAGGAGCTGCCGAATGGCAAGGAGAAGAGGGAGGAAGGATGGATGGCGATCAACAGATTACTGGGCGGGATCGTCGGCTCGAGGTCGAAGGAAAGCGAGGAAAAGGCGAACGACAAGGCATCAGATGCTTCCTCGTCGCCAGTCGCGGAGGTCTCGACACCAAACGGCAGCGTCCCTGCGGCAAGCTCATCGCCGGTTTCATCCTCTACCTCGTCTCCTCCCGACCAGAGCAAAGCGCAAGCCTTCCTCGAAGAGTATGCGATTCTCCCCTCCTCCTCCTCCTCCTCCTCCTCTACCCCAACCTCCTCAGCAGACTCCTCGAACTCGCCAAATCTCCCCGTCCTCATGGACGAAGTCGCCTCGTGGATTTCGGAGCGTCTCCCCGTCGGAACTGAGGAGCGCAGACAATTGGCGAGCGATACGGCCAAGGAGCAAGAGGAGGGGGTGAAGGAGGCGATGGACAACGCTGTAAGCGTAGCTCAGGAGGCCGTAGGTGGTGGGACGGCAGCGAAATTGCCCTCTTTGAGCGATTCCGAATGGTCAGGTTCAGACGTCTCCGCTTTTGGCATTGCACCTTCTGCGGACTCGCCTCCCTCGTCATCCCAGGCAGAGGCCTCATCAGAGCAACAGCAGCACAGACGTCGCATCCTCAAGCTACGTCGCGAAGCAGAATGGCTCGAGTCGCTCAGCAGCAATCCATCTTCCTCCCCAGAGGGCTCAGCCTCGCAACGGGAAGACCGAGTTCGCGAGCTTCGTCGCGAGATTGAGTGGCACCGAGAGGAGCATGAGCGCTCCAAGGGCTCCTCATCCTCGGCCTCAACCCCCTCGTCGCCGGAGCGAGCTCGTGCGTCGATTGGCAAGAAGGGTCAGGCGGAAGCGAAGGAAAAGGATAAGAAAGACAAGGAAAAGAAGAGCAACGGAGACGAGCAGCTGGAACGATTTTGGGTCGCTGTATGCCAGAATCTGTGGGTCAGGGGATTTTGAGAGGTGGTCACGAGGGTGGAGGAGTGCTAATTGATTAGATTGACAAGATTGACAACAGTTGAGAGGAGACTTGTGGCGCGGCGGGGCGCCTTCACTCTCGTTTCGTTTGGACGAGGGAAGTTGATGTGGATAGTGATGTAACGAAGACGTTAGAAGGGGCGTCAGGACAGAGTGAGCCGTGCGCTATGACTGCTGGGCTCGCTCGTACCCGCTTGACGTCTCGTTTGGCGAGCGAGAACGGATGGAGGAGTAGAGGTATCTGAGTGGCTCGAGCATGTGGCCGCTTTGTCTCGCTGGGTTGACCTGCATTGGCGTTCGTCGATGAGGTGAGGTCTTCGCGGCCGAAAGGATAGATTGGTATCTGTTGAGAAAGTGGGCGACTGCCGTTAGGTCGGCCATCTTTGGCGAGGCTGCTGATCGCGCCGACGCTGGATGGCTTGGTGGCTTGGGTCTGCGATACAAGTACATTTGACGAGTGAGGATGGCTTTGGGTCGATGTCGGTGACTGAGTTGTGCTCTTTCTGGCGAGAGAGCTTTCCGCACGTTCGCCTCTAGCCTTTTTTTCTGTGAACTAATCGCTCTCAGGCTCCTGCTTTGCCTTCCTCCCACGCTTCTTGCTAGCAGCGGCACCATTGCTGCTCCCGGCCGCAGCAGTGGCAGCGTTCTTTGGGGGCCTACCGCGAGGCTTCTTGACCTTAGGCTTGACGTCCTCTTCAGCATCGTCGGCAGCAGCGGCAGCCTTCTTGGGAGGTCGTCCACGAGGCTTCTTGATCTTGGGCTTGATGTCTTCTTCCTCGTCGTCGTCGCCAGGTAGGCGCAGGCCGGCACCGCCGCTGGGGCCGGCGCTATCATCCTGCGCGGGGGCATCCTCTTCCTCGTCACTGTCGGCCTTGCGCTTCTTTCCCCGTCCTCCCTTGGCAGCAGAAGCCTTTTTAGCCTTTGCTTCAGTCTTGGCTTTGGGCCCCTTGTCCTTTCCTTTGCCCTTGACCTTAGACTCGGGCTCAGGAGACATCTCGGGCTCGGGAGGAGGCTTGTTGACGGCGGTGGGCACCCCTCCATTGGCCTTGGCCGCAGCGTCGCGGGCCTTTTGCTGCTCTTTGAGCGCGGCCGTGATGGCTTTGGCCCTCTCTTTCTGCTGATTCTGCCACTCAGCATGTTCAGGGTCGGCCTTGGCGGGTGGCTTGCCCGCCTCGCGACGTTGCTTGATGTCTTCAGGGACCTCGGAATCGTGGACGAAGCCTCGGTCGAAGACGCGCTTGATCGGCTCTTGATCATCGGCTGGCGGGCCAGTGGAAGTGAGAGAGGGCGATTCGGTCAGTGAATATGGGCCGAGAGGCAAAGTTGGCGCTGCCGACTGTGTGCTTACGGTGTAGCTCGTCCCAGCCGTCAAAGTCTTCAATCTCATCGCTGAATCCGGCCTTCATGTTGTTGATGGTGCGCTTAGTGAGGCAAAACCAGTGGCGCCTGTCATCGAAGCAGAATGGGTCGTATCTTAAGATGAGCACGCGACGTCCAGCAGCCAAGGCGCCAGGGCAAGGCTGGGCGACGCCGAGCTGAGCTAGGACTCACCATTTGAAGCTTTGAATCTCGGCATGATCGCCCGTCTTCGAGTGGACTGTGTATGAGCGCAAGAAAGAAGGCAGAGTCAGATATATGCCAGACGCAACTGCTGGCGCTGGCCCACGACACTGACTGTTTGGCAACTGGACGAGGACACCGATACGAGGGCATCCCTTATCGATCTTGATCTGGGCAGCCTTGCACGACACCTCCTGGCAAACGGCAGCGCCAGTCTTGGCTACCTCGAGGCGATACACGCCACTGACGGGCATGGCGGCGTTGATCGAGGGCTGAAAGGTGCAATGAGCTGGTTGTTACGGAGGCGAGAACGGGATCGACGAGATTAACCGTCGGACGAGCCTCAACCTCTTTGTGCCGCTCGCCCTCCACCCATCCACCCAACCCACACGACACGCCCTCGAAATCGTCGTCGGACCCTCTCGACATCGACGCGATGCATTTTGCAGGCGGACCGGACCGCCCCGCCTGGCGTCGACGTCGATTTTGCTGTTGGGCGCAGGGCGGACTGAGGGTCTAGAATAGAGCAGCCCGGCCGTGATTTGCCTTTTCTGGACCCTTCACTGCCAACCATCATCAACAATCATCTTCGCGGCCGCCGCCAGAACAGCTTAGTACAAGGCCATGTCTCACGATCCGTCAGGCAGCGACCTGCGATACAATGCCAGCAGACGAGGGTCTCAGTCAGTCAGGCCTGGTACAGCGGGCAGCGCAGCACCGGCTGGCAGAGTCGTGGCGTCCGACTTCCCATCGTCGATGCCTACCAACGCATCCGCTATGCTCAGGTTTGCGGCTGCGGGAGGCAGCAACAGCAATGCCAACGCTGCCATGGGCACCGCTTCATCAAGCTCTCACATGGATCCCTATTCTCCTAGCTGGCAAAACGGTCGGCCTGATTCACTGGCTAGCATTTCTTCCTTGGGTTCCGATGAGGGTCTTTCAGACGACGGCGGCGACGGCGATAATGAGAACCCAAGCCGCCGTGGTCGCAACCTTCGGCAACTCGATGACGAAGCCTTTGATCTTGGTCCTGCGCAGTCGAGCTTCCAATCCAGCTTCGTATCCGACGCGGCAGAGATGCTCAATCCCAACCTCTACCTGCACGCCCAAGAGGCGTGGAATCAGTGGGATCAGCATGTCAAGGTCGGAGGAGAGGATGGTCATCACGAAGAGGAAGGTCTAGCAACAATCAGCGAGTCAGCATTTGAGCGACAAGAGCGCATCAGCGAGCGCGCCTCGCTTCTTTCTTCGTCGTTGGCCCAACGTCGTACATACGGCGCCCTGCCGGCTGGGCCACCACCCGATGAATCTACCTTCAGCAGCATTCGCCATCGCGAGAGGGTCCTCTCTGCCATCCATGACCAGCCAATTCCTGCCGAGGCTACAATGAGAGATGCCATGAAGACGGCAGACATTGGAGGCTCGCCCGGCTCGAACCTCGGTCTCGTCCTCATTGCTATCGCACAGCTGTGCTACTCTGCCATGAACCTCTTCGTGACGCTACTCGACGAGCGTGAGGGAGAAGACGCGCCAGGTAGAGGCAAAGATCATCCTCCAATCACAGCACTCGAGGTCGTGCTGGTGGAGTGCTTCATCATCTGGCTGGGAGCCACCGCAGCCATGCTACTCTTCCGCACGCCGCATCCCTTCCTCGGTCCCCCAGGAACGCGCGTCCTTCTCACCCTGCGAGGGATATTTGGCTTCCTTTCCACCCTCTTCCTCTATATGGCGCTGCAGAACCTCACACTGAGCGACGCTACCTCCATCACCTTCCTCGGCCCCCTGGTCACAGGTGTAACGGCTGCCCTCGTCCTCCACGAACCGTTTAGCGTGCGTGAGGCTGTCGCAGGCATGGGATCTCTCGGCGGAGTCCTCCTCATCGCTAAGCCTGCAGCCATCTTTGGCTCAGCAGCTGACGGCAATGTACCAAGCAGCGGTGGTGGTGACACGCCGCCCATCGAGGACGGCTCCGACACTCGCGATGCCTCGAAGCGTGTAGTCGGCGTCATCGTTGCCCTGCTTAGCGTACTCAGCATGTCCGGGGCCTGGGTTTCACTTCGCAAGATCGGTCGCTCCGCCTCGACCTACCACAGCATAGCCTACTTCGCCCTCGCCTCCTGGACCCTTTCTCTTGCCGGTATGCTGGCTCTTGGCCAACCTCTCGTAGTTCCCAGCTCGATTCAAAGCGGCTTTCTCCTCGCGATGGTGGGCGTCTTCTCCCTCGGCGCTCAAGTAGCACAAACGCTCGGCCTGCAGCGAGAGAGCGCGGCGAGGGCGGCGACGATGAGCTACCTGCAGATCATCTTTGCCACCTTCTTCCAGGTGGTCATCATCGGAACGAGCCTAGAGTTCTTGTCCGTCGTGGGATCGGTGCTGATCTTGGCCAACGGAGCGTGGGTAGCCGCGAGCAAGAGGCCGGAGGACCTTGTTGCGGGTCATTGAATGGATTCAGCGTTCGTAGAAGACAATGGAAGACGGGTGACGACGAGTGATCACCCAAACTCAGCAATCCATCATCTGTACATGCGCTGCTCTGAAAGACATCCTTATGACATTCTTTGATAGATGACGAAGCTCGATGAGTAGAAGACAAGGTGATGGAAAGCGGAGGGGAATGAGAGAGGCATGAGGGAGGGGTCGCAACGGTAATGTGCTACAGGAGACAGAGGTCGAGCGTACAGACTATGTGACGAGGCTTTGGTTGGGGGCACTAAATACATCGACAGGAGAGACATGGATTGTATGGTATCAGTGAGAGTGGGAGGCGTATGACGTGTTGTCCTGCCGGCGTTGTGAACGAGCGACCGGTCGCGAAGAGGATGGAGGCGGTTCATGGACCATGTACGGTCTGAAGTCCCGAAGTCTAGGCGGCGCCAACGCAACGTCAGGGTGGTGTTGCAGTTGCTCGCGCTGCCCAGCGTCTGCGGCTTCAAAGATGTGCTGAATGGACGGCAACTTCTTTGACGATGCTGAGATTGACGTCGACTTCTCTGGCGCCGAAGGGGTGGGCAGCCGACCGGTCTGGGCCGTGAGGCCATTGGTGTAAGCACGAGATGCAGTGATTGTAGACGCACTTGCAGCAAGGTGGTTAAGGCCCGCCATCGCTGATGCTGATTTGGATATCGGCCCATGAGGGAGGAGCGAAGGGCTAGATTTGTCGCCAGAGCGCGTGAAGGGCGTGACGAGAGCGGACGAGTGCCCCGCCACCCAGCAGGTTGGACGACTCTTGATGGGAGCAAACAAGGGAAGTGCCGATGAGGAGGTGGCTGAGTTGTAGGCTTGGGTCGAACAATCAGGCCTGCATACCTCTCGAGTCTGACCTTGTCCTTGTCCTTGCCCGTGCGAGCGGCGAAGCAGGTCCAAACGGCGGTAATAGTCGCTCTCACGCTCGAAGCCGCTCACGCCATCATCTTCAAGGCCAGGCCGGTCGGATGGTGGTGCCTTGGCTGGGGGTGAGATCGGAACAGTGCGCGAGTGTGAAGGTTGATGGACAGCAACAGCTGTCGCCAAGGCTCTGCGGGGGTCTGCGGCGGGCATCGATCTCTCTCTTGAGTGTCGGGTCGGTTGAGAGGAGGCAGCGAATCGTGGTCTACCGGACACTTGGAGGCTTGGGAGAGTATGGCCCGAGGGTCCGCCCGTAGAATGAGCACCGTCGAGCAATGGCGCTTGATCTAGTCTAGCCGCACCATCTCTCGAGGGGAAAGATGGACGTAATTGAGGGGAAAGGGCTTTTGCTCGGGAGCTCACTCCCTCTGCCTCTCTTGAGTCTAAAGACGTGCTCTGAGTAGAGGAGACTGCGGGTGCTCCCGTTTCATGTCAGCTTTCATAGCCTCTCGCCTGCTCGCAGATCGACGCACTCACCAGTATGAGGTCGGTGTGCTCGAGGCTGGGGTCGCTGGTGCAAGTGAGAGGTGTGTGCTGGATATGCTGTCGGGCGTGAGTCGAGACAATCATAACGAGTCCTGTTGTCTTGAGGTGGCGCGACACGAATAGTTGGTGCAAAGGTGCGCAGGCCGTCTGCTCCTGTCGAGCCGGATGAGCAAGAGCCTGATGAAGGTGTGGGACTCTTCAACTCGTCCATCTCATCCTCGTCCCCGTCGCCATTGTAGAGCGCCTGGCCACGCCCTTCGATCTTTCTTTTCTTCTTCTTGACACCCGGCTTCAAAGCTTTCGTCGAGTCGGCCGCCTTGATGATCCTGAGCTTGAGACCGCGTCGAGCGATGGCTCTAATGAGGTCCGATGACGGGCTGAGGCCTGGAAAAGTCGCCTTCTCATGGACCTGAAAGACCTCGGAGAAGACGGAGCCAAGAACACTGAAGAGCAAGTCGGAACGATCAATGACATCGATACGAAGGCGGTAATTGCCCTTCTTTCGTACGCTCAGCTCGGAAAATATGAAGTAGCTCTGATCTTGAGGCGGGTATACCGGAGCAGTGAAGGCACATTGGTCAAAGTCCCCTGATAAGGCCTCGAGTCCGTTTGGAGTGAGCTTGACTTCCTTCGTTGGCGTGTCGATGCTGACAAGTCTGACGCGCAGAGATAGGTCAAGCAAGCTGAAAGCGCTTCTGCGAGATATAAGGAGGGGTGGCAGAGTGAGTCGAATAGACATTCAACAACGACTTCACGTCATGAGGCCAGCCTGATACTCACGCAGCGCCTTGCTCCTTAGGAATGAGTTCGCACACGAGAGGAGGATCAAGCGGGATGGGGCGGGCACTTCTGTGCAGTGCAGTGTCGTCACCAGACGCCAGGCCATGGCGGGGCTGTTGACGGATGACAACGCGAAAGCGAGGATCTGATCCGGGATCGCGACGAGCGCCGCACGTTGCAATAGAGTTACGTATGCTTCTGAGATTGTGGATGTCGAGAAAGCATGCCAACTCGGTAGATGAGCTTTGCTCCTTCCTCGTATCCGCTGGTGAGGAGAGCCTATGGCAAGGCGCCGATGCTGTAATACTGTTAAGCATTGCCCTATCGAGGCCTCCTCGAGGTCCTAAAGGCTCGCTGGACAGCACCTCCATAGCGGCAATGGCGTGCGCTTGCTGAGCTAACGGTCTCACCAGCAACGGCACTCCGCCAGCACCGGCAAGGATGGAAAGACGATCGCTGCTGCGCTTCCAGATGCTTTGGAGCTAGACCTGATGAAGATAGCGCCAAGAGAGGGTGATTGAAAAGTGAAAGAGGATGAGCCACAGTGCTGCAGAAGCTGGTGTGAGAAATGATCGTGCCCTTGGTCGACGGTGAACAATGTCAAGCTTCGAGATAGGAGATGCTTTGTTGACATAAGGAAGAGGACGACGAGAGACAAAAGAGGTCAGCCAAGAGACAGGCATGGGCAAACGGAAAAGATGGTGAGACCAGATGGTGTATTGGGCCGGCGTCGCAACATGCCCAGCGGGCGTCGAAGAGGCAGCGAGCAGCCGTAGAAATGGCCCGCGTCGGCCGTGATCGAGAGCGGACCAGATCTGAAAATACGGCAAGCCAGATTAGGCGTGAGGCGAGCGGCGTTAAAATCGCTGCTTCAAAGGTTGTCAAACACATTTCCAACAGCAGAAGACAAGAGACGGCAATTTGAGGCCGAGCCTGTGGTCCGTTGACGTGAGCTTGAGCCGCTGGTAGATGCATGGATCTGCCTACAGTGGCACCAGCTTAGCAACAGATGGATATCTTGCTCCGAGCAATTGCGATTGAGGACGATCGACTTCTTGAACGGAGTGCAACTGATATCAGACGAGCGCGTATCACGGCGCAAAACTCCCACGCCGCTGCGCTTTGTTCCCCTTTTCCCTTTCTCGGCAGTCTAGACGGCACCTGGTTGGGCCATTCTTAGTGCATAATCAACGCTGCCAAGCATCTTCGACAACCGACAAGATGACGAGCTCACCGCCGCCGTCGATCCGGGTTCGGCGGGCCGGGAACAGAATCGTGGACGTCCGATTAGAAGCGCCCGCTATGTGCCCCGCTATGTGCCGTACCGTGGGCACGAAGCGGCCGGAAACAGATCCCTTGCTTTGTCAACCTTCCATTGCGTACGTACCCTTGACACATACACGTACCCGCCGCGACTGCAGCGGATAATGTAGGCATCGAGACCCACAGAAGTGACATGATCCTCACACAGATGCTTGCCTATCTGTCGCCAGGGCCTTTGGCCGAGCTTGCAGGAAACAGTCGACCTAGAGCTAGACGACGACGGGGAAACGACGACGAGCCACAACTGCGTACGCGTACGACGCGCTTATGCACACGCCGACGTCCGCGGAGCTGCCAAAGGGGCAAAGAGGAGAAAATCGGGCGTCTCGTCCTGTCGACGGAAGAGCAGCGACGGGGACCAGCAAAGGCCCGCCGACTTCGTTTGGAAAAAGGAGGTCAAAGACCTCGCTTGCGTGCTGTTGAGTTCTCTATGTGGGATCGACTGAGACTCGCCCGGCTCGACAATACAATACCACACGAGCCGTGGGCGGTGCTTGACACAGTCACATGTCTCCGGCGCGGCTGTGATTACTGAGCTTCTGCTAGTCGAGCAGACCGGACCTGACCTGAATAGCGTAACCAGCTCCGCAGCGCCATGGTACCATGCCCACGCGCAGCCCGCGTTTCGCTCATTCGAGCTACCACATCGCAAATTGATTTGAGCAAGCTGGTCATCAGGGAGCTCAACTGCTGTGCAGCATGCACGCACAAGCTCGGGCTGTCATTGACACCGCCGTTTTGAGCGTCGCAAGCGGGCGTTGCTGAAAGTGCCCGGGGCTCCATCCACGGCTTCACTCTTACTCCTCTTGTGTGCCAACGAATGACGACGTCTCTTGTTTCCTCGTTTGCCCCGAAGAGCTCCAAGGCGCATATCACAGCTTGCCGCTGCAAGGGCATTGGCCCGTGCCGAAGGCGCTATCCGCGCGTGAAGGGCGGCGGGTAGCAGAGACGAGGAGGACACCGCGTGGGAGGAAAAGGCTCCGAGCCAATGACGCAGGATAATCGTCTTTAGGAAGCCTGCAATCGGCAGACAAACAACATTGAAGCTCCTTCCGACCGTGTTGCTCGCGATCGGGTCGTCCCATCGCCCCGGCTACAGCTCCGAGACCAATCTCATCACTGAGCGAGCTTTCCGCACGGTTGGAAGCGCAATCGTCTCTCTAAACCCGGTGTTCAGGCACAGCACGCCCACCCTTCCTCAACTGCGGGGTAGCAATACCGGCCCATTATGCTCCAATAATGAGCTATCACGAGAACAAAGCTCAACCACAAGGAAACTGCATTTTCAACTCGATCATGGGCTGAAATGTACCGGAGTGTGTCGCCCTGGTCATCCCAGCACCACACTCTGACGAGACCCTGATGAGATCCTGATGACGCCCTGTTCCGATCACATCGCGAGATGGTCAATAAGGCAGGCTGGCGCTCATGCCGTGCTTCCCTTTTGGCTTGTACGGCTTTGCAAGACAGCAGAAGTGACATGATTGGTGGCGCCGTTCAAAATCGCACTCGCGCCTGTAGCCAAGATAGGAAGAATCAGGACTGTCACGAGCGCGGGTAGCGAGACAGGAAAGAGCCCGCGCTGATTAGTGAATGCATCCCGCTCAGTCGTACGAGAGTCGCGAGATCATCGGATCCTGCTGCCTCTCTGTCTTGCCCTTTCTCTCCCTCGCCCATCTACCGCCGATCCGAGAAGAACTCGGCTGGGTCAGCCACTCGATTAGCACGTGAAGGATGCGACGGTCCTTTCTATCAATATGCGAGCAAAAAGACGACCGTCAAGTCCGTGCCGTACTGTGCCATTCCATTGCCCGCCCATCAATCCAACTCCCGCTTCGTGACCGAATACTCTCCTGGTTCTGCTCCACGCGCAACATTTCTCCTTTTCAGATCATCAGTAAGCGTGCCCGATGCCGCTCCCGCAGCCAGGCCGCTCGTCGACGCGGAGTAATCAATGGCAGGCAATGACCCGGCGTGAGTTGCGCCCTCTTCGGGTGCTGACATGAACTTGGCCGAGGGAATGAGGGAGACGGGCGATTTGCGCGGCGAGGTGTGCGTTGAAGAGGACGAGCCCGCAGTGGGAAAGGGGGCAGATGGTGCCGAAGGAGGCTGAAGCATGCTGTTTGTTCCGGTGGGCAATGGCGGATGTAACGTCTGAGGGATGGGCGGCGCATGCGCCAGACGAGGCAGGGAAGCCAGCAGGGGCGCCATAGCTTCGTCGTAGGCCCGTTGGTAGGCTGCCCGCCCCGCCATTGTCGCACGTTGATGCTGGTTGTGCATCTCATCGCGCTGTGCAGGACTGAGAAGTGCAAAGTACTCTGGGTGGATGCCGGGAGGAGGCGCACCTCCTCTCGACTCGGGCCAGGCCAGCGAGACAGTAGTTGGGGCGCCAGTGATGGACTGGGCCCTCGCGATGGCTTGAGCTTGCTTCGCATGGAATGTGAGGAGCTCTGCTGATTTGTTCTGAGTCGGTGGCGGCGGGGCGTGTGGATGCTGAGAGGCTGTGGCTGATGACTTGCGACGACGTGGAGCCGTATACGTGGATGCGCGTACAGGGGCGCGGCTTTCGCCTTTGCTTGGTGAGGCCGACTCGCGCGAGGGTCCGCTATTAGCTTGATCATCGCTGCTTGCCTTTCGATGCGAAGAGGCCAGCTTGTGATCGACGGAGGCAGCTCTGCGTGGAAGGTGTCTGGCTTCTTCGTGGCTCGCACCCCTCGTTGATATTGGCTTCGGGAGTGACAGAGGTGCGGCGGAAGCCTTTGGAGGCTGGCTGAAGGCGGGCGCTGGGACTAGCGGGGTTGCACTCTCCGTCACCTGTGACGGGTCTGAGGATACAGCGACCTGCGTCGGCGCAATTCGTCCGCTAGGCTGCGAGCTGGCAACCACTGGAGGGGTATCACCGGGGCTGGATACGGGCGAGGCATTCACGACGACAAGGCTGGACTGGACCAGTGGCAGGATCGGCGTGCCAATCGAAGCAGCAGAGAAGCGATCATCGGCCTTACTCCTAGGCTGGGGAGGCGGGAGATCGAAGTAGCCAGAAGCAGGGGCGGCTGTTGGCGCGGAGGCAGATGGATGGAGCTCAAGCTCCAGCTGCTGCTCACTGATGAAGTCAGGTGCAATCCTTGGCGCGACGCCAGCAGCATGACGCTCAAGTCCCAACGTCTGCCCTCCCTCGCTTCCTTGAGGCTCCACGACCGCTTCGGCCTGCAACGCCGGTTCGGGTGTGGACGCCAGCCTCAGTAGCACATCTGCCGCGCTAGGATCTGGTACGACTTCTGCTTGTCGTTTTGATCGCGAGCCAGCGCTGCTGTCCATGGCCTGCAACACGCCTTCTGATGGTCTGCGCACGCGATTAGACCCCGAACGTGCCGCTTGCGCCATGATGCCCGCTTCGAAGGTACTGCCGGCTGGTAGGAGGGGGGATGGCTGCCCTGGTAGGAACGCAGTATCTGTGGAGCTACCATCTGATTCAGAAGTGGGCTGCGCGCTGGTCGCTGCGTCGCCCGTACCTCGAACTCCATTTCGAAGCCAAGGCTTAGATGGCGGCAAGATCTCGTCCTTGTTCGCAACCTGAGCGCCCTCCATCTGTGAAAGGGCGTCGATGAGTGTGCGTGGCTTGTCCCCGGGTGAAGTCGCCCCGAAAGAGGCCAAGAAGGAGGCCGAGTCCATGCCGCGTCCACGAAGACTTGGGGAGGTGCTGCTTCCTGCCGTTGCCGCTGTCGATGGTGTCAGGATCTGACCTGCGGAACTAGGCTCTGCAGCTGCTGGTGGTTTGCCCGCTTCATCCGTGAACCACGCAAAGGGGGAACGATCCCATTTCTCAGAGAAGCGCTTCTGCTTCTGCCGATGCTGCGGTGACAATGGCGGGTTGTCAAGACGTGGCGAAGCTTGCAGGGACTGCCGCGCTTGATGGCGTCTTGTGGAGATGTGGTCCTTCTCTGGCACCACGGGAGGCCGCACATCTGACTCGTCGCCTGTCGGAGAGACTGCCTCTGAGAATGACTGGTGACGCTCCTGTATCTGTCTGATGAGAGGGGTCGCCCTTCCTCCCAATGCGAGCTCGGCTTCCAATGCTGCTAGTCGTTCTGCGGGCGACATGCCTCCGTTCTCCAAGCCCGAAGCCAGAAATGCAGGGCTCGACGGCCTGATCATGCCCGCCTCGCTGAAGTTGCCCGATTCAGATCGATTGCGCGCGGCTCGAAACTTGGCTACGGAGATTGAGGAGCCAGCCACGCTTGCGTTCTCGTAGATCCGCCTACTTGCGCCCAGAGAGGGAGAAGTGGGAGCTGTGCCGCTTGCGCCGCCTTCGTACACCGTCATAGGGTCCTCGTAGACTGACAAGGCAGGCGATGTCGCCTCTGCGGCTGGCGGAGTGTCCGCCGACGGAGAGTCGGGCGTTACGGGAGAGACGGCGAGGGCAGACTCTGGCGCTTGGCCTGAGGATACGAGTGGGAAATAGGATGATGCGAGCTGATCTTGCCCTGAGGTTGGAGACTTTCCGGTTCGCACATTGTGCATCGAGCGTAGAGTAAAGGATCCTCCCTGCTCGAGGCCCGGCCGAGTCGAGTCGCTACTGCCTGCGACGACTGGGCTTGTTGGCTTGCTACCCAGAGGGAGCCCACTCATTCTGCGTGTCATGGCTTCCAGAGGATTAGTTTTACGTCCTGTGGGCGGCGACATTGACGCTGTGCGCCTTCTCTGCTCTCGATATGCTTCGTTGGGCCCAGGGATGGTGGGTTGGCCGCTGGGCCCCGCTTCCGGAGATGGCAGCTGCGGTTGATTCGGGAAGTAGGCTAGTGGATTCTCTTGCGGTGAGGTAGAGGGACGAGAGCCCTTTGATACGCGCAGCACCTCGAATGACGACGGTGGTTGCGGTTGCTTGCTGCCAGAAGGAAACAGTGCGTCCAACAGGCCTCTGGACTTGCGACGACGATGAGAGGATGTTGCCTCACTCATGTCGTCACGCACGGCGGAAGAGGAGCTTCCCTTGGAAGGCGAGCGACTGGCTATCGTTGATGACATGGATGCATTATGCTTGAGCGTCTTGTACGAGGTTGGCGCAGTCGATGACCATTTGCCTAGCAGATTACGGCGACGAGGAGAGTTTCCGCTGCCATTGCCCTCGACAGGCGATCCATCATCATTATCATCGACGACAACGTCCGGTAGCGGGTCCCGTCTGACATCCAGGCTCTTTCTTCCCACGCCCATTGCTCTGCTGAGGGACAGGCTGACTCTTGGCTTATCTGCGCCATCGTCCGGTGTTCCTCGTCGTTGAGTGTGATCCTGAGCCAAGTTGGTATGTGACCGGGCAAACGGATTGGCCGGCATAGTGAGAGTGCTCTCTCTCTCGAGCCAAATGCTATGAGTGCCTGGTCTGACTCGCGGGTGGGTGGTTCATGTCATGGGAGGCGCCTAGATGGATGATGAGGATGATGTCGATCGTCGATTAGGTGGATTGCATCGCACCGCCCAAGAGTCGCTCGAGCCAGGCGGTTTCACTTCGTCGGATTGACGTGCTGCCTGGCCTATTTTTGGTCCGCTGCCGCTGCCGCTCACTTCATCTCGACTGACCGCCGGCCCGCCCTCATGCACTCACTGCACGGCCATTCGATATCGACGTACCTGCCGCATTGCCGCCGCATTCTTTTCCTCCAAGTCCATGATCCTGAGCTCAGGTCGGCAAGATGGCGTCCATCGCTGGTGGTAGCCAGAGGCAGTCGCCGCCCTACTCTCAGCTCGGAGCATCGACCCAGGCTACTCAAGCCACGCAGAGCTCGCTGCCACTCGTCGCTGGCAGTCCTCTTTTGCAAGGTGGAGCAGGACGACTTCACAACCTCCATGCGTCCATCACCGACGAGACAGGGTGCATCGTAGTTTCTTCGCGATACAAACTGCCGTCAGGACCCCCAACACCGTCGAAGAGAGGCAATCACAAGGCGTCATCTCCGCCTGCGTCAGCTCTCGGATCCTGGCAGGTGATCGTCTCGAGGGCGGTCGAGGGCAGCGTAGGTTGGTATACGGCACAGTGGGAGGGGCAACAACTCAAGTCGCTGGTACGTTCGACTCAGGGAGTCAAGACATCGCTAACAGGCGCTCACTCTCTTCTCTCCCTCATAGCTCGATAGATCCGTCAAGACGCTCGTCGCTCTCGAGACCAAATGCTTCGAGGCCTTCAAGGCAAAGCAGCTCACCGTCGACTTGCCGTACGGTCCATCAGGTAGCATGACGGTGAGCAGATTGTGGCGTACGCAAATATCATGGACTTCCATCTGACCCCTGCCACAGCTCTGCATAGGCAACGCTACGACCAAGCAGCTGCCGCTATCCATCAAGCTGATCAAGGAAAGTGACTCACAGGCTCTCCTTCTCGCTACGTACACAGCCGTCGAGGTGAGCCACATAGGCACGGCGTGCAGCAACTCGCGGCGTTGCGGGCTCACTTCATCCTGCTCGTCTCTCGCCCCTCGTCATGCCCGACCCCCAGCTCTGCAGGCAAAGTGAAGGTCGCCGCCAACTCCTGGACTCAACGCAGGCCAAGCTAGACCAGAGTCGCAAGCTAGCAGGCGTGGCTCCACCCTCTCAGCCCGCCAAAGTGGACTCGTCGCTCGTCAACCCGGGCCGTATCAAGCGCAAACGTGATGATGACGAGGGTTTCGAAGGGGACGATGAGGAGGTGAATCAGGGAGAGGACGAGGACGAGGACGAAGAGATGACCAAGGCGCCGAGCCGGGTCGAGAATGGCGTCAAGGGCGGAGAAGAGGATAAGAGGGATATCAAACTGGGCAATGGCGGCCGGGATGGTGGATGCAGTAAGGACGAGGAAACGGAGTCCGAGGAGGAGATGCTCTAGTCGAGGCAGGAAGTCCTCATCGTGCACCATTTGTCACCTATCTCTCATCTTGATACCTCTCGCATCAATTCTCCCTTTCACTACCTTCGCAAGATCCTGTCGGCTTGCGAGCCCTGCTTCGAGGTGCTTGAAACTCGTTCTTCTGACATAGGTCAGGTGATTGTCAATCAGTGCATCTATCGTGCACAGCCACCTCGTCAATCCCTCTCACGCCACGCATCGCCTTGCGACCCAGACTTCGATTGGTAGTGGTTGTACTCGGATCCAATAGCGCACACATCTAGTAGCCCACACCGAGCAGGTAGTCACCCAGCTGCTCCACAACCTTGGTTGCCTCACCTGGCAAGATGGGCGACGCGTATTGGCCTACGAGAACCGCTTGGTTCGTCTTGACCAGGACAACGCCGTCGGCCTGCGATCGCGCATGATGGCGAGAAGTAGTCATCAGCTGCGTGTTCATCTGGATTTGATGATTGCTGCTGCTGCTCAACACCGCGCACTTACCCCTGCCTTGCCATAGATGCTCCTGTCATTCGCCTGAAGGCAGAAGTACTTTTTGCCCGCAACGTGCAGTCCACCTGATTGAAGCGGCGAGGGATCGTCGAAGCCCTTTACGAGAGCAGTCTGTTCTTGCGGTGTTACCTGAGGGCGGAGGAGGGGGTACAGCAGTCAGATTCTGGCGCAGGATTGACGAGGGCGAGCATCTTTGGACTCGTGGAGGCCTGTACGCACAGTGAATCCCGGGGAAGCTGCCCAGACTCCTCCCTTGATACCGAGGATGGCTGCCTGGGTGATAGACTTGGTGCCTACCAATTGGTTGTCAATGTATCCCTGCCACGACATTGTTGCTGTAAGCTGATGAGGGGTGGCGTTAGAAAGGAAATGAAGGAAAGGGGAAGCGAGTGGGAAGAAAGGCGGGAGTGTTGGTTGGTCGGTTGCTGCGTTGGCCTTGGCTTGCTCGCCGAGCCGTCGAGGCGGCGCCGCTCAGCCCCTCGTCCGACTTTGGCCTGGCGTTCCGGCCTCGAGCGTCGGGGGCGGCGAGTGGAGTTGACGACGACGGGAGCTGAGACAATTGCGAAGGGCGAGGGAGGAAGCGCGGACGGAAGAAGAGAACTGTGAACCCTTGAAGCGCATACGTCCACTTCTCAATCTCACCAGGCATCCTCAGCATGGATCGCGACGAGCTCTCCTCCATCTTGGAGAGCATTCGAAGCGCGCCGTCATCCTCCAAGGCGCCTGATGGCGGAATCGAGGCTCTGCGTGAGGCCCTGTCACACGCTGGCCTCGCCAAGCAGGACGCAGCTGCCAAGTCGGCTTACTCGAGGGAGGAGCTCGTCGAGCAGCTCAAGGACAAGTTGCTCACCCCGCAGGCGTCGCTACAAGGGGAAGAGCTGGTCAAGCGCCAAGTGTAGGTATCGTAATGGGCTTTTGAAGATGGATTCATCAGCTGAACTCGTGATTCCCTTTGCATCCGCAGCCACTGGCATCGAAAGCCCGACTTCTCCTCACTCTTGCCTGCTCAGCCACTGCCTCAGACAACCTCTTTGCGCTTTATTCGTACAGGGCTTGGCAGCAATGTCATTGGCACAAAGGAGGTTGTCACTCATCAACCTCCCTCGACTTCTCAGGCAGCCCGCAAGGCCCGCCTCGAAGCTCAAAAAGTCAATGCTTCACAGCGCAAGGGGATGAGTTTCGTGAGGGGCCGCAGCGGCGGGGCAATGTTCATGCCCGGAGGACTGGACGATGATGACCTTCTCATTGAATCGATACAGGGTGAACGGGTAGATCAGGAGCAGGGCATAGAGCGCGATGTTGAAGAGGTAGAGGAAGCCATCAAAGGCTGGGGTAGGGGGATGCGCACAAAGGCACCTGGACTCTCACGCGGCTTCAAAGCGGCGACAGACGAGGATGAAGATGAAGAAGAGGTCGAGACCGGCGCGGAGATGGACATCGCCAAAAGTCTGGTACCGGCGCCTGTCTACCAGCCCTCATTGAAGGCTTCCCTGCGCGTAGGCGGCAGCGCAGCCGATGCTCCGCAGCAGAGGAACAGCCAGCTTGACGAAGAGCTCGACGAGCTTCTTCCCACGGAGAAGCCACCTACACACAGTTCGCGGCGTGCGGCAAAGGTGGACCTCGAAGAGAAGACAGAGTGGGCTCATGTGCTCGATGCCAGCAAGCGACTGGCCAACTTCAATGACCTTGTGCCGGATATGGCGCACAAGTTCCCCTTCACGCTCGACCCATTCCAGCAGGAGGCCGTCTACCATCTTGAGCAAGGTGATGACGTCTTTGTGGCTGCTCATACCTCGGCGGGTAAAACGGTCGTGGCCGAGTACGCCGTTGCTCTTGCGCAGCGACACATGACGCGGTGCATCTACACCTCCCCCATCAAGGCATTATCAAATCAAAAGTTTCGCGATTTCAAGCAGACCTTCGGCGCAGAGAATGTAGGCATTCTTACGGGCGACGTACAGATCAACTCGGAAGCGCCGTGTCTGATCATGACGACGGAGATCTTGAGGAGCATGCTCTACCGCGGCGCCGACCTCATTCGGGACGTAGAGTTCGTTATCTTCGACGAGGTCCACTACGTGAATGATCAGGAGCGAGGCGTGGTGTGGGAGGAGGTCATCATTCTGCTCCCTCGCCACATCAGCATCATCCTGCTCAGTGCGACCGTGCCCAACACCAAGGAATTTGCAGACTGGGTTGGTCGCACCAAGAAGAAGGACATCTACGTCATTTCAACGTCGAAGCGTCCTGTGCCGCTTGAACACTTCCTCTACGCTAACAAGGATCTCTTCAAGATTGTTGGGGCTGATGGCAAGTTCGCCGAGCGAGGCATCAAGGATGCGGGCGATGCTCTCAAGCGCAAGCAGGACAAGGAGCGCGAAGCCGCAGGCGTCGCACAGCCGACAAGACAAGGGGCTCGGGGTGGTGCGGCAGGTGGGGCCAATTCGAACTCGAGGGGAGGGCGTGGGTCCTTTGGTCCGCAGAGAGGGGGCGCTAGGGGCGGTCGCGGCGGCGGCGCATCTTCCGTCGCTCGTACGATCGGCGGCGACACAAAGAACCTCTGGGTACATCTCACTGGGATGCTTAAGAAGAAGGATCTGCTACCGGTCGTCGTCTTCGTCTTCTCGAAGCGCCGCTGTGAGGAGTACGCGAGCAGTCTTCCCAACACAGACTTCTGCTCTGCAAAGGACAAGAGCGAGGTACACGTCGTCATCGAGCGCTCTATCATGCGCCTCAAAGGGCCAGATCGTACCTTGCCGCAGATTCAAAGGATGCGCGAGCTCCTCGCCCGTGGTATTGCGGTGCATCACGGTGGTCTCCTCCCCATCGTCAAGGAAATCGTCGAGCTCCTCTTCCAACGCGGCCTCGTCAAGGTCCTCTTTGCCACCGAAACGTTCGCAATGGGCGTCAACATGCCTGCGCGCTCTGTCGTCTTTTCCGGCATCCGCAAGCATGACGGGCACGGCTTTCGCGACTTGCTGGCGGGCGAGTACACGCAAATGTCCGGTAGAGCTGGAAGACGTGGCCTCGATGCTACTGGCGTGGTGATCATCAACTCGGCAGACCAGCTGCCCGAGACCACGACGCTGCACAAGATGCTGCTCGGCCAGCCGACGAAGCTGCAGTCGCAGTTTAGGCTGACCTACAACATGATTCTGAATCTGCTTCGCGTGGAGACGCTGAAGGTTGAGGAAATGATCAAGCGTGAGTAGTTGTAGGGACGGGGCGAGGCAGCATGTCTGGCGTGGCTGACTTCTCTTACCACTCTTTGCTCGCTGCCAGGCTCCTTCTCTGAGAACGCGTCCCAACGGCTCCTACCTGACCAGCAAAAGAAGGCAGCCGAGGCAAGAAAGAAGCTCGACAGGCTGCCGCAAGTCTCTCCGCCAGAACGAGCTGACGAGCTGAGTCAGTACTACGATGCAGCATGGGCCGCCTTCATGTCAAACCACAGCGTCCTCGACCTTGCCCTCGAGCAGCAGCAAGGTAGCCGCATCTTTGCGCCTGGGCGTGTGGTCCTTCTCCGCGATGCGCACTTCGATCACAACCCCGCCGTCATCGTGAAGCAAGTATCATCACGCGAGTTCCTGGTCCTGGGCGCCGTAACGCAGCAACGCAAGGAAGGTCGACTCGATGTGCCGGACAAGGCCGTCCCGCCGATTTGGCCTCCCCAAATGAAGCGCGACGCTGGGGACGAGCTGGTCTACGACTTGCGAGAGGTGCCACTCACCAGCTTCGCCTTCATCTCGGCTCACGTCCTCAAGATCGAGCAATCGATGATTATGGCTCACCGCAAGTCCGCCATGAACCGCACCGTCGACCTCATGCGCGAGCCCATCGCCGAGCTGCGCGTTGAGCTCAGAGAGGTGGATTGGACAAAGATGCGTCGTCTCGACTTCCAGGAAGCCCTCAAGAGTCGTGACGAGCGCGGCGCAATCGCTGTGGCTCACCTCGTGGACACGACTCTCCCCGACTTTGACAAGCAGTACCGCCTCACACACGCCCGCAAGCAGCTCGAGAAGGAAGTAGCGCGCATCGAGCACTCGATGTCCAATCAGAACCTCGAACTGCTCCCAGACTACGAGCAGCGTGTCGGTGTGTTAAAGACGCTCCGCTTCATCGATCCGCTCACGGAGTCTGTGCTTCTCAAGGGGCGCGTGGCTTGCGAGATCAACTCGGCGGACGAGCTGGTCCTCACTGAGCTGATTTTGGACAATGTTTTTGCGGGCTATGAGGCGGAAGAGATCGTAGCGCTGCTCAGCGTCTTTGTCTTCAAGGAGCGCACAGATGGTGCAGAGGAGGAGGAGTTCCCGCCGCGGCTCAGTGAAGGCTTGGCGACGATTCTGGGTACGGCCGAACGTGTTTCGCAGGTACAGGCGGAGCATCAGCTCAACTACGACGACTACGCTGTCAGCTTGAAGACGGGCCTGGTGAATGTGGTCTATCAGTGGGCGAGAGGGAGATCATTTGGAGAGATCATGGAGATGACCGAGGTGGCCGAGGGGACAATCGTGCGCGTGATGACAAGATTGGACCAGACTTGCCTCGAGGTGAGGGACGCAGCGCGGGTGGTGGGCGATCAGGGTTTGAGGGAGAAGATGGAAGAGGCACAACAGATGATCACGCGCGATATTCTCGCGGCGCCGTCCTTGTACATCTGATCGCTAGAGCAGGCGCCAATCAATTGTCATTGCTTGCTAGACTTGCCCGGCCCTGCGCCTGCTTTCGTTCTGAGTCCGAGGGCGTCAACGAGCTCCTCCTCACTCAATCCGGCCGCACGCAGCCGCTCGACGATCTCGCTCATTCCTTCGAGCTCCTCGCACGTCGTACGGACCTTTTCTCCGCGGGCGACCGGCGTTGATGTGGATGCTAGCGGGCAGCTCAGCAAAGCCCTTGCCTCGAGGCTAGGGGCATCCTCCCCCTCCTTGGGCTCACAGATCCACTCCTCCTCGCTCCTCACATTGATAGCATGCCACTGCAGGCCCTTGACCCTGCGCACCACTTCGGTCACATCCTCGCTCTTGCCCTCGAAGCAGAGATAGCCTGGGTACCCGATCTTGAGGACTACCCAGAGGGAGAGCTCGGAAGACCACTTGGCGAAGTCACGCCGCTTGGAGGGGGCTATGAGGTGGTGAGACCAGAATATTGTGCGGGACATGCTGAGAGGTGGAGGCGGCGGCGGCGGCGGGGGCGGCGACGGCGGCGATGACTTTGCTTCTTGGCTGCTCTCTTTCGGCATTTGCTGCGCGTCGCCGTGGCTAGAGAGGGGATGGTCGACGATGTGCTCTTGCAGGGCTGTGAAGACGTCGAAGATGCGGTGCTCGACGCCTGACGATGGGTGCGCTACGTATGAGCGCGCGCGCGTACGCCGTCGTAACGTCTGCACGTCGCAGTTGCTCACCTTCGTCCTTGCTTGCCTGCCACCTTTGCGCACACACGTCGCGAAGAGCTTGGAGCTCCTTCGCCGCCACATCCTGGCCCGTGACAGCCAACTGGTGCTCGTCACTTGCTCCAGGCTTGCGCATCCTCACTTCGAGTTGGCATGCCGGCTCTATGCTCAGTCGAATACCGAATGCGAAAGGCTCGCTATCGCTCTCCTTACCAGCACATCGAGCCTCCCATCGCTTCACCTGCTCGTCTGCATCTCCTCGCGCCAGCAACCAATTGAACTCGTCGCCCGTCGTGCAAGAGCGCAGCAGCTGGACCTCCTCGATCTGTGATTCGGTCTCTTTGTGGGCGAGCGCCATTCGAGCAACGCTTGGTGAGATCCTTTCCTCTCGTCTTGGCGTGCCTCAAATCTTGGGTGAGAGTTGCGAGGCAGAGGTGAAGAGGGCGCTGCGAGGCGGGTTGAATCAGTGCAGTGCGCAACGGCCGGCTGAGTGCACGTGATTATATTTGATTCTTTTTAGCGAACTTCTCTGATTCCTTGTTGGTCTAGGGGTTATGATCGCCGCTTTTCAAATCATTGAGCCAAAGTGGCGCCACACAGTTGGCCCGCGGCTGACCCGGGTTCGAGTCCCGGACAGGGAAACTTTTTGCTGCCCATCTCACCCGGTTGTTGACAGACGTCGTTGCGCTGATATCAGAGGTGCAGCTTGTTCAACGTGTTGACTATGCTCAGGGAAGGTTTTGCCAGCTGAGGAGCTCTCTGCGGTGAGCGGCGACCATCTCCATCTTACTCGCGCCGGCTGTTTCGTATCCCGGACTCGGCGTCTGCAACCGGCTAAGGCCGTGCGGTGCGGGGAAGCGGGGCGCAGGCCGGCCTGACTGGAGGGTGTCGAATGATGCACACTTTGGCTTTACTCCTACTCCTTCCCCACGTCATCCTCTCCCACTCTTTGGCAGCGATGAAAGTCTCTGGCCACATCTACTACATCTTTGGCGGGGCCAGCGGCTTAGGCGAAGCGACAGCACGACGACTGCACGCCCAGGGCGCCTACGTCGCTCTGTGGGACCTCAACGACGCGCTCGCAGCAAAGGTGGCAGAGTCCCTCAATGCTGGAGAAGAGGCCAGCAAAGTGACACCGGGCCAAGGTGCAGAGCAGAGAGCGCTGGCGCACAAGGTCGATATCTGTGACACGGCGCAGATCGAATCGGCTATCGCGGCGGCTGATGACAAGTGGAAGGGCGTACCCGTGGGTGGAGCAGTCGTTGCATCTGGTGTCGGCATGGTGGGCAAGGTGAGGCGGCGTGCAGGCGGCGGCGACGACGACGACGACGAGAATCTGCTCCTGGCTACTCACATTATCACCCTGTCTACCGCCCAACCCTTCGCTCGCAGACGATCGAACGCGACGGCAGCCCGCACAGCATGGACCTCTTTGAGACGATCATCCGTATCAACCTCACGGGAACCTTTAACGCTGCCCGCCTCACAGCCTCTCGTCTAGTCCGAGACGTGCCCAAGCCAATCGCAGCGCCAACTGAGGACACTCCATGTCGCGGTGTCATCGTGACGGTAGCCTCTCAAGCAGGCCTAGAGGGGCAAGCAGGCCAGCTAGCGTACGCAACCAGCAAAGCCGGAGTAGCAGGCATGGCGTTACCGATGGCCAGGGACTTGGCGTGGTACTCGATTCGTACCGTAGCCATTTGCCCATCCATCTTTGAGACGCCCATGTCCGTCAACATGCCAGAGAGGGCGAGACAGAAGACGCTCAAGACTACAGAGTTCCCGGCGCGCTTTGGCAAGCCAGATGAGTTTGCGCATGCTTGCCAGAGCGTCATCGAGAATGATATGCTCAATGGCTTCGCGCTGAGTGAGTCACGGCCGCACAGCAAGAGGGACGAGGGCCTTGTCACCGCTGACGTCTTTTTTCGCTCGCTTTCACCCACAGGACTCGACGGAGCTACTAGGCTAGCCAAGCTGTAGATATACTCACGGCTGAAGATGATGGATTCGCAGCATAGTCATCTCTTCCTCCACGTAATTTCTCAAAAAAGAGGTCTCGGCAGCGACGAGGTGGCCAGCACCTCTTCCTTCACTGACACATGATTAGCAGGAGATGACTAAGTCGGTGCCGTTGCCGTTCTTCGAAAAGAGCGCCCTGCCATGCTGAGAGAACTGGTCAGGATTGTCACTGAGCACAGCCTTCAAGACGCCAAAAGCCGTAGCTGTGGCTGTATAGCCTCCGGTGGCGAAGGAGAATTCGACGCGCCCTGGTCCACCGCAGGTACCGTCTGATGAAGCGCAGATGGGACGTGGTGGTATCAGGCATTAGCCTTCACTGAATCGCCTCTGCTTCTGATCACTCACGGTATATCCCAACTGTCGGCACCGTGTACAGTATGATGCGCCCGCCATTCTCGATCTCGCCATCATCGCTGCTGCCCTTGGAGTAGCTCAAGTCGCCGCGCCATGCGAGAGGGTCACGCAACCGGATGCAGTGCACGTAGTTGAGGCTGAAGCAGGTATCCTTGATGGAGCGCCCGACCTGTAGCTCAGCAGGCAAGGCCGCAGTGAAGCGGCGAGGAAGCGTGGCGAATACCGTGAAGATCGTGGCGAGCGAAAGCCTGAAGAGCATGGCACGGGGAGGAGGGGGGAAAGGATTGATAAAGAGGCAGAGAGGGGGGGACAAAGTAGCAGCAGGTCAGTCCAGCAGCATTGATCTTTAAGACATCCGAGACACCCTCGTCAGTCTCGGCGCATCAAAAGCCGGCGAAGCTCTGTCGGCCCGCTGGCGCGCTTGCTGTGACCCGCCGCAGATCTCATCGGCCTATCATTGTTTCTAGACGGTTGGATTGTGCCAGCGCTACGATCTATTATACAGGCGTCGGATGGGAAGCTGCGATCCAGATGCAAACGGCAATGCTACTCTACAGGGCGAGATAGGCAGCCGCGGCGAGAACAGTCGATGCTAAGATGGCCATCGGTCCCAGCCCGGCAGCTGGCGCGGCGTTGAGCTCCCCCTGCTGCTGGCCTTTAGGCTGGCTCTGCGAGAAGACGGACGTAGTCGCCGCGGGCACAACGACGATGCTACGGATCACGGTGCTCGTGTACTGGGACTGCTGCCCGTCGTCCCCCTGTACGGCACCGCTGTTGACCTGCGTGAACTCTTGTGTCTGCTTGCGTGAGGCGCCCGCTACCGTCACGGCCGTTGCGTCGGGCGCAATCGTGACTGCATCGGCCGTCTTGGAGACTGTGACGACGGGAGTGATCACGACGGGAGGGCGACGGTGCGTGCTGCTGGTGCTAGTGGTTTGTGTTGTGGTGGGGCTGGTGCGCGTGCGAGTGCGAGTGCTGCTGCTGCTGCTACTGTAGGAGCTCGATGACGAGGATGTCGAGGTGTCGCTCGTGCGAGTCTGCTCTCCGCCGTTGCCGTTGCCGTTGCCGTTGCCGCGGTCGCTTGAGGTGCTCGAGCTCGTCGAGGAGTCAGTCGAAGACGAGTCGTTACCGTCACCGCCTGCGTACGAGGTGGAGCTGGTCGACGATGCGCTGTCCTCGCCTCCTTCGGAGTCCGTTGACGAAGATTTACTCGTCGACGTCGCGGCAGAGCTCGAAGATGGCGCTGTGGTCATTGTCGACTGAACGGGACTCGACCTTGATGCGGAGATAGAGCTCATGCTCGATGACTCATCCTCATCGCCTTGGTACGATGCCGACGATGATGCTCCTTCGGCAGATGAACTGCCCTCGGCGCTGCTTGAGTCTGTCTGGGCTGATGAGGATGACGACGACGAGTGATCATCTTCGTCTTGAGAGCTTGTAGACTGCGCTGCCTGAGATGCTGTTCCTGACGATGAAGAGCCGCTCCCGCCGCTGCTATTCGAGCTCGCTCCCTGGCCGCCATCTTGCCTCACCTGGAGCGGCAAAGACTGTGATGCGGTGTTAGCCGAGTACGTTACCATCAGCTCAGCATCGCTCTCGCTGCTCACCAATTGTCTGGCAACACCAGCCTCGTCGCTACTCAGGGGCGCAGCGAGGCTGCACGAGCTCAAGAGGCTAAGCAACACCAAAAGATAGAGAAATGATGCTGGTCGTGACATGCTGGGAGTAGGTGTGGAAATGGACAGGAGGTGGTAACGTGGAGGTGGTAACAAAGGAAAATGCCGGCTTCACAAACGTGACGCAAAGCAATACTCAACTCTGCCTTATCCCTCGCCACCACGGTGCCTGCTTCAAGCTCGCACAACCTCTCGCCCCTTGACCCTGTTCGCCCTCGCCTGGACAACTTTTTCGCATAACGTTCCCCCGCGCCTCGCAGTCGCGGCGACGGCGACGACCAACAACCCAAGGAGTGGACGTCCAGTCGTCCACGACCCCAAGCTGAGGACTCGGCGTCCCGAGACAGTCAGAGACAGGCAGGCTGGCAGACAACGGCTTACAACGGCTCGTGTCATTACGCAGATCCGCCGCCGCCGGCCGTTTTCGCCAAGGCCTCAAGCAATTCCCGATGTCGGCAGAGCGTTCCTTCCTTGTTCGTTCATTGGCTCGCGAACCGCCTTCTGTTTGCTCTGTGTGCCCTTCCGTCTTTTGGATGCACGGCCAAGTCGCCGCGTCTCCCAGCAAAGCATCATGACGCACAAAGGCGTGGCGCGAGCGTCGTCGGCCAACGGCGACTTCGTCCTCGGCGTCTTGAAGTCCTTCCCGCAGGCCGGCGGACAGGGCGACAACGAGCGATAGTTGGTGAGCTAGAGCATATATCAGTCTGTATCTCTGCTTGGGATCGGGTCACGCTGCACACAAGCTTGAGCAACAGTAATGGCGATTGACTTCATGCAGCAATGACGACAGGCCGCGGGGAGCGCAGGTATCAGGAGCGTATCTACGCCGCGGCGTGCGTAACCTAGTCAAACCACCACTCGATCTTAACCTGACCCTCCTCCTGTGAAGCTATGGCGTCGAAGAAGCCTTGAGAGAGGTCGATGTGGCCAGGACCCTCGCAGGTAGGGCACTCGTCTGCGACGAAACCATGGACTCTTTTGCCATTCCTCTCCACTGTGATGCCCTTGCCACAATTGCTTCCTCCGGCGTACACGGGGGTGTACAATGCCACAAGGTGTTCGCTGTCTGAGTGGAATTGACCGCAGGCACCCGGATTCCCGCCTTGCATATAAAATGTTGCCATCTGGCGGCCATTCCACCAGGAGGGCGCGGCAGTGGCAGCAACCACGAGGGCCGTGAAGCAGGCCAGGACGTGAAAGATGTTGTTGCGGACCATTGTAGGATTGCAGGGGGAAATAAGCGGGAGCAGGGTGCTTTGGTGTGGGCTTGAAGAGACGAAGAACAAGAACCGGTCGAGTTGAAAAGGACGAAGCTACCTGAGCTATCGTGGAAAGAAGTGGTAACGAGGCCGAGCCGAAACGGAGAAGGGGAGACCAGGGAGACGGGAGCGAGCGAGCGATGGGGATGATGAGGAAACAAGAGGTGTGGACGAGGCCCTGGCAGCATTTTATAGACAGTAAACAAGCCGCTGATCGAAGGCATCGACCTGATGCGAGTGCGCTGAGTGACTTGAGGCATCATGCACTCTCCGGGGCGTCAAGCTCCTCGTTACGCCTCGCTGAATGACTAGGCTATTCTCACAGCACCGAGCTTAACCTGCATCCCGATTGCGATCGCGATTGTCTCCAACGCAGCCAGGGTCGACGATGACAAGATTGGCCGTGACTCGGCGCTGTTTCCGTGTCGCTGTCAGCCTGAAGGTGGGTGCCCATGACTTGGAGGTACGATTCAAAGTCCTCAATGCCCGTATCTTCTACGCCCCTACGGCGATTTTTCTAACCAGCGCCCTCGGCTGGCGCTTGACGCCCGAAGACTCCCGGGCCTTGGGTCTTTGGCGGGGGCAGGTCCGAACGTCCGGCCAAGCTCAAGCCATCGACAAAGTGGTTCTTGCTGCTGGGTTCTACGAGGCGATGAAGCTTCAATCAGAGATGAACAGACGGTCACAGTGACTGTTCAAGCACGATCATCGCGTTCCTCGATTCCCACCTTGCCCCGCAAAGGACGGAAGGAAGCGACTGCCTCGGGCCGTGTTCTTCGCAGCGGCGGGACCCCTGTGGCTTCGACGCAAGTTCTGCCTCGTTTGACACCCTTGCTTGAGTTTTGAGAAAATGTGAGAACGCTTTACTTGAAGTGCTTGCTTACTGTCAGACCAGAGCAAGTTGAATCTCGATCTCATTGGGCGCCCACCGCCTTCACGCCGAGCTCCTTCCCCCTGCCCCCCTCCTTCCTCAACCTTTCTCGAATGCGAGTGTTGAATGTCTCGATGCGATAGGCCTCGGTCGCCCTCCTTTTGTTCTCACTTCTCGATCTTCTGAATGAAATCGCCTTGTATCGCCCGCCCGCCCCCTTGTCGTCATTTTGGGTCGTTCTACTTGCGGATGCGTGCGGCGTGCGGTCCTGTTCGTGGCAGGTGGAGAGAGCCACAGGAGCGTCACTGAGCAGCAGCGAGGAGCAAGACTGAGCCCAAAAGGCAAAGCGCGGACGGAGCAAGAGAGCGGGCGGGCGGGCGAGGGAGCGAGGCACCCGGCCTAGCCACAGCCTAAGCCTAGCGCGGGCCGCGCCAATCTCGACGACGTCGTCGACGACGACCGAGAGGAGCGAGAGAGAGAGAGAGAGAGAGAGTGAGAGACATCTGATCTACGCTTCTCACCATCCAGTCTCGTGCTTTCCATTACGACCTCCAACAGCGAGGCCTGCTTCCTTTCATCCTCTTCGTTTCGGCCGCCCCTTCTTCGTACCCTCGCGCGACTTCCTGTTAGCCCGGACCCTCTTGCTAAGGACTCGCTCATCTCTCGATCTCGACCGGACGCAATCCGCATCCGCTCATACCTGCGAGCGCGAATCACATACAACGCGACGACAGCAGCGACGACGACGACGACGACGACGACGACGACGATCGCCACTGCGACGCCAGCGCAGCGCTCACAAAGACGACTGCGCTTCAATCCTTGCCATCCGTGGTTAGGCCTCGCGACGGGTGATGTCCATCCCGTCTTCGTCCAAGGACGACCCGAGACTACCGCATCTGCATGAATCGGCCCTCTCACCCACCGAATATTCGAGCTACCTCAAATGGCGCAAGGCCATCGCGGCTAGCCCGAGCGGTGTAGAAGGGCTTCTTGATGAGCAGGATGCTCTGGCGTGGATTAGAAAGGAGTGCGGCGTAGGGAGATTAGACGAGGCAAAGGTGAGCTTACCGTGTGCGATCCCCACACTCGAATGATCTCGCTGACGCTTCTGCGTATGCTGCACAGATCCTATCTCTCTTCGACCGATATCCACTTGGTCTGGAGGCTGGTCATTTCTTTGCGCTGCTGCGCCTGACTTCTTGGGCGCAGCAAGGCTCACAGCCGACCAAGGCACTCGTATTCACTCAGACCTCACCGCCTGTCATTGGCTTGAAGGAGAACACACCTTTCCCTCTGCCCACGCCCACAACCGTCAGCGTGGCAGCGATACGGCCTACACTTCCCTCACCGCAACATCCAGCAACCGCCGGAGATGCGCCGCTAACCCGCAAGCCAAGCCTACCAAGCAGCAAAGTGCCATTGCCCGCAGCACAGGCGCAGACACAGCCACTGCCGCCGCCTACATTAGCAACGCCAGCTCGTCCCTCTGCTGCATCTGTACTTGCGCCTCCCGTACCGCCAGAGTCGTCCAAGCCGGCGCGCTCACCAGGTCCCTCGAATCCTTTCAGAGACTCCGTTGCTGCCACTGGTGGCCACTCACGGTCGGCGTCGCTAAACGTGGGCGAGTCTCTGCAAGGCTTCGATCCAGCGCCGAATCCTTTCAAGCAGACAAAGCCAAAGCTAGTCAAGCCCACGCCCATCGTTGCGACGCCTGGACTACCCAATCCAGTGTCATCAGCCGCTGAGCCATCCCGTGCAGCTACAGCAGGGTTGCCGGGAACTTCAGGGTTCTCAACAAGATCGATGAAGAGCATTGACGACGTGCTATCACCCCCTCTGCCGCCTCGTCCGACGATGGGCGGCATCGACAAGCCTCCTCCTCCGCTGCCACCGCGAGCCCACATCTCGCCGCTCATCCAGGCAGGATTGGACGCCAGCTTGCAGGTCAGGAAGCAGAAGGATGCACTGCCACCAAAAACGTTCACCGTTCTGCACTCTTCTAATGCGCGAGCCAAGGCGAGCGAGCCACGCCTGCTCACCGGTGAGAGCGCTCCCTTGTCCCTTCTCGAGGAGACGGCGCCCTCGCCACATCATCTCGCAAAGAGGAGGGTCTCAGGGCAGGAGTCGAGAAAGTCAATTTCAGAGACGGTCGTCGGGGGAGGTATGCCGACCCTGGCGAGGCAGAACAGTGACGAAAGCGCAGAGCCGCAACGAGCGGCGACGAGCAGAGCGACGGTGATTGCGGCGCCCAAGCCGTCGAGACCCGGCGCAAGTCGACGTCACCATCATCATCACCAGGAAGACAGGCGGGCCAGCGGCTCTGCCAGTGCCCAGTCTAGTCAGCAGCCAGGTCGAGTAGCGGCACCAAAGGCACAGTATGCGAATGGTAGCGAGTCGATCAGGACCAAGCCGACGTTGCCGTCGTGGCTCAGGGAGCAGGAAGAGCTGCAGCGCTCAGCATTGATCGAGGGCAGGCCGCTTTCGCCACCGCCGGCGGACTCAATTCCCGACGATAGCGAGGAGCGAGCGCGAGAGCTTGAGCGTAGCAGGCGAGCGCCAACGGTACTGGACGACGAGTATGACGTCTACCCAACGGAGTTGTCAGAGCAAGCCAGCCGAGCAGCCAGCATCGACCGACCACACAACCCCTTCATCCATCGATCTTCCCAGGCAGAGGCGGAGAAGCTCAAGGTGCAGCCGCTGCTGAAGCATCATCGCTCACTAGCCAAAGCGCCGCACTCTCCCGAGCTCCACAAGCCGCTCGCTCGATCAAAGACTCTACACGCCAAGGGTGCTCCCCCACCTCCTCCCCCTCTGGCAAGCCAGGCTGCGCAAAGGAAGCGTCTCGAGTCTTTGCCCGCTACGCTCGACTCTGGAACCTACGCAGGGTTCCGCCATCCTGCTTCTGGCGGGTTGCGCCTCGTACCGCCTTCAGCCAAGGCCGACGTAGGCATTAATGCCTTAAAGAGGGATGCTGCAGAGCGTAGAGGAGATTCAAGCGCCCTCAGTGTCAGTTCGAGCTCTGGTGCGCCACCCATGAGCCCGCGAGGCGACGAGGAAAGTGGAGAGACGAGCGTCAATTCGACAAACCCCACGAGCGTCCAGGGGCTCGCTTCAAGCTTGGAGCGCAAGCTCTCTGGTCGATCAGACGGCGCATCCACCTCGCTCAAGAGTCGCGTCTCTGACTTCTTGAAGCTGCAGGACGGCCCACCAAAGGGACAGCGGCCGATCGATGACCTGAAGCGGGATGCGATTCGGTTGGCGGAAAGGAGGGGCTGGATCAATCGGAGTGCAGATGGTGGAGAAGGCTTACTCGAGGATGTGGACGAGGTGCCTGCGCAAGGCGAAGACGGTGAGGAGGGGGAAGAGGGCCCGGAAAGGTGGGACGATGCGCCAACGCCTGATGATGACTACGCGTACGGTGCTGGGGAGTCGAACACGACTACGCGAGGCATCATCCGCGACGCCACGCCCACCGCCGGCGACGCTCGTAGTATCCTAGGCAAGGGCACCCCTCCTCCCCCGCCTCGACGCTCAGCAACGATGTCGGCAGCTCCTATCGCCCGAAGACCAAGCGGATTTGTTGCACGCCGCGCCTCCAAGCTCGAAGAGCACTCCCAGCCCTTGTACCAGACGACTAGCCTGGGACGGGCCTCGAGCTTCTCGGGCAAACATGCCGGTAGGCCTCATGCTGCGGGTGAAGGCAGTGGGACAAACAAGCGTTCCAGCTGGATTGAAGCGTTTGAGGCGGACAGAAGAAGGAGGGCTGAAGGAGGCGGCGATGAGGTTGAGGAGGAGGAGGAGGAAGAGGAAGAAGAAAGAAAAGACGGTGAGACGGGTAGAGAGGTGCGCGGTCAAGAGCTGGAAGGGTGGAGGAGATTGGACTGAAGGACTATCCTAGCCCACCACCAAGAGGCCACCAAGAGGTTAGGCGATACCATACATTGACGACGACATTCTCGCCGAAGGACTCGCTCGCTTTTCGTTCCACTCTCTCATTCTGCTGTGCGTCGTATACTGATGATGACTCCAAGCTGTACCACCACCACCACCACCACCACCGACACCAACATGTTCGTTCTTCTCCGGCTTCCCTTCGCTTTCGCAAACCACCCTCCTACTCTTCCTCTAGTACCAAATGACATACTCGCCGCGCGCGCTACCGCTATGCTTCATCGCTTTCGTCTCGATGGTCTGACGATTCATTGTCTTGACCCACACCAAAAGTAGAAACAATCGAGCAACTTTGAACCTGTCGCATCGGCTCTCCTCATCCTCAGCATCCCGAGCCCATGACGTGACATCCCCCACCCTTTCCCTTCCCCCTTCCCGTGCCTTCTTATAGTGGCTTCATTCTCCTTTTTCTAGTCACCGAGCCTCTCCTACTCACGACGCAATTGTACGCCGCTTGCCAAGCCAGACGAGCAGATCAGACTGTACGCACGCGCGCACGCACGTACGCTCACTTGCTGTTGCAGGCTGCCCATTTTCTTTTCTCCTTTCGTCGCGGTGTTCTTTCTTTGCTGCAAGGTGGGGCTGCACCAGATGATCTCCCGTACGTTTGCCAACTCCAGCAAGAGCCAAGGCCGCACACGGCGGTGGGCATTGGGCAAGACCGGCGAGCTGGGTGTAAAGGGCTGAAAGGAGAGCAGAACGTCAAGTACGCAGAGTATGCTTGGATGAATAAAATGCTTCGATCAGTGTACCGCCCTTCAAGCCACGGACCGAATCTGAACACGATGGACATGATGGAAGTGAGTCGATGGACGTGCGTGGCTGGCTGCAGGATTCCTCGGGCGCTGCACAGGACGACGAAGGAGGCTTGCTTGCAAGTCCGTGGTCAGACAGACATTGGAGCGGCTCGTCGCGACAGGGCGGACGGACGCAACGCGGGACGTCCGTCCAACCAAGAGTGGCTCAGGCTTAGGCTCAGACCGTGGCTCCCGGGTCTCTTTTGGACACCCCAGCCCATTTCCCGATCCTGCTCTTCAACCTTTTCTCCGTTTCCACCTTCTGTACCTCCTTCGTCCTTTCTTCGTCCCTCCAACGCCCTTCAAAGCGTCTCTGCCTGCAGCTGCCATCTTTCCTCTCTTCCTCCTCTAGAGATATACCCAGAGGGGAGAGCCGCTGCTGCAGATTGATTGCGAGAGAAGCCATCATCACTAGAGAGCCATTTTGAATTGCACGGAGCCTCTTTCAGCGTCAACCTGCCGACCCTCTTCACCACCATCGCCCTCACCCTCGCCCACTATCGCAAAGATCTCAGCCTGTGCGCTCTTGCACCAAGCGCTATCTCAGCAGTCTGCTCCCCAGGCTCGTTGTCGCGTCCGAGTTTGAGCTGATCGAGCACGGGCGCAGCATGGTAGTCTCGGCGGCACCGAGCAACTACACATCACTGCCTCAAGATCTCGCGCATCACGCAATGCCTCAGCATCTAGCCAATGTGAGCGGCGCAGGGCCGTCTTCATCCTCGTCCTCATCTTCAACCCAACCTCCGCACCTTGTGCCTAATCTCTTACCAAAGCTGGAGACGGCACCCCATGCGGGCGATCGCGAACCATCAATCTCGGTATTGGGGCTTGACGAGGGCACCGGTGTTTCTGCATCCTCATCCTCATCCGCCTATCCTCGCTCGGGATCAAACGGCAGCCTCGCAGCAGCGCCAGGGTCTCGCACAGCCTCATTCTTTGCTGCTGCCTCGTCGAGCCCCGTCCTCAGCCCGGCATCCGTCGTCTCGCAGCAAGGCCACAACAGAACAGCGAGCGCTTCGTCGGCCAAGTCACTCACGAGCCTGCCTCCGTCACTTCTGGCGCCAGAGCAAGGCTACCGCAGCCAGCGGCTGAGCCATAAGAGTTCCACCGGCACCAATGCTAGCGTCTGGTCGGGCGATAGCCAAAGCAGCGATGCAGGACATGGGGGTGTCGAGGACGAAGCTACATCATCCCGTCGCTTTCGTTCTCCAGCTAGTGGTGGTCCCTCCGCCGGCATAAGCACCGACGCGGCCGGCAACAGATTGGCCCCCACGTTGATTCGCCTTCCAACGCCGACAGATTTCCAGCCTGATCACCAACTCCATTCCGCTAGCTCCATTCGATCTCGCCGCAACTGGGACGAGTTTGAAGGCAAACCCATATTGCCATTACCAAGCCCTGCCGTCCAGCAGGATGCCCTTGAGTCAGGCGACTCCATGTTCGTTGGTCTCGATGAACAGCAGCATTCTGCTCCTTCGAGCCAGGTCCTCTTCTCGTCGCCTGGAAATACGTACGATCGGCATGCAAATGGCCAGCCGTCGTCCTCGCCTTTTCTTAGCGCTCCCAGCACAGCAACCAACTCCACCTTCTCAGCCGCCTCGACGGCTTACACATCACAGCCTGCACCTCCGAGCCCATCGCCATCGAATCGCGATGGCGCGCTTGGCGATGGCTTTCAATCGAGCGCTGCTTCATCCAGCAAGACGAAGAGCTTCTTTGGCTCGGGCGGTCAGTCCTCCCCAATCCCACCTCCTGCTCGCGCTCCATCTCTGCGCAGTCCGAGATCGAGCACTAGCGAGATGAGCCGCCACGCTCGAACGGCCAGCGGCCAAAGCGACGCCAGTCAATCGTGGAACAACACCTTATCGCCTGCTGCGTCGCCTGCAGGCTTCAAGACGGGCTTCCCAACGTTGCCTTCTGTGTCCTCTAGCCTAGCTTCCTCAGCCGATCAATCGCCGGCTACGGGTCCCGCAGCGCTGCCTCGCTTCCAGCGTCCCAGTCGTTACCCCACGTTGCCCTCGCAAGAAGGAGGCTCGATCAGTGGTCTCGATGGTAACTTCAGGACGCCTATGAGGAAAGGTACAGGCGACAGCACAATTACGTCAAGTGCATCCAATGCCTCACTAGCTCCGTCATCCAGCTTCCAGGCTGACTCGAGCGACTCCGTCAGAACACCGCAGCTCAGCTCTGCATACACTGAGGGCTTCTCTAGCATCGGCAAGGGACCTCCACCCGCTTTTGACTCGACGGGAAAAGCTGCCAAGACCAGGCATGTCCACGGGCCGAGTGAGAATGCGACGGGGAGCAGCTTGATACCCCCTTTCGACAACCAGCAGACAGACTCGCCTTCACCGGCAATGCCAAAGAGCACCCCGTCAGCTCTACGACTCGAGGGCCTGCCGTCACACCCTCTGTCTACCCATGCGGAGTCGTTGTCCATCGATGTCTCTGCAGCGGAAGCGTCGCGTGCCAAGCAGCAGCAGCAGCAACAACAACAGTATTTGGGCGCTGATGGGCCGCTTTCAAGTCCACGGGTACTTGCAAGGGCAGCACAAGATGCGGCTGCGGCCGACGAAGAGTCAGAGGACGAGGCGGTAGGGAGAGTAGGGACATACCGCGTGCAGAAGACGCTCGGCGTCGGCGCTTTCAGCAGGGTGGTGCTCGCTGCTCCTATCGTCCCGACGCCGATCAGATTGTCACCCGCTGCTAGCGATACCGAAAGGGAGGGCAGTGGTGGTGAGAGCAGAGAGGCGCCGATGAAAAAGAAGTCGAGTCTGCAATCGTGGAGCAAGGCATTCCGGTCGAAGAGCTCAAGTCCGGCGCCACCTTTGAGCACCTCGTCTTCATCATCATCGACACCCAAGACTCGCGGCATCACAACGACGCTCGCTCCACCCGCAAACATCACTGCGAGCGATGCTGAGCCAGAAGGCGCGCCCATGTACGCCCTCAAGATGATGGCTCGCGAGCCCTTTGAGCAAAATGAACGCATGAAGGTCAGCTGGGTACGAGAGGTTGAAGTTCTGCGGCACATCCACCACCCTTCGCTCATTCACTTCATCAAGAGCTTCTCAACTCCGCGTCATCACGTCCTTGTTCTCGAGCGCGTGGCGGGAGGCGAACTTTTCGATGTCCTCTGGTCGCATAAGGTCGAGATGGCCAAGCGCGAATGGTTCGTGAGGCGACTCTTCGCCGAGCTGGCGAATGCGGTTGGGTGGATGCACAGCATCAATTTGGTGCATCGAGACATCAAGCTCGAGAACATCATCCTTACGCGAGACGTCTTTGCCGATCTGGACTCTCTGCGACCGTCGAGACTCGGCGGAATTCCTTTACTCAAGCTTACCGACTTCGGCCTGAGCAGGTTCATCGACGCCTCCAAGCCGATGCTAGAGACGCGCTGCGGGTCAGAGGAGTATGCCTCTCCGGAGCTCATCATTGGCAAGAAGTACGACGGGCGCAAGACGGATGTATGGGCAATGGGAGTTGTCCTATACGCACTCGTCTGCGGGATGCTGCCCTTCCTCGACCAGGCAGAAGGAGGAGGAGGAGCGTCTCAGGAGAATCGCGAGGGCGCAAGGAGGGAACGAGGGCCAAAGGAGCGCAAGGCTCACCTGCTGCGGATCGCAAAGGGCGATCTGCGCTGGCCTCTCGAGGTCAATGATGAGCCTGCAGATTCACCTGCCCCATCTCTCTGTCCTGCGAGCAATCGCTTGATTACGCCCTACGCCAAGCACCTGATCTCACGGCTGCTGAGGCGAGACGCAACAAAGCGCGCTCAAGCTTGGGAGTGCTTTGACGATCCTTGGCTCACTCATGGGTCCTTCCACGCCCATGGAGAGGTATCGGCGCATGGTGAGGCCATTCAGAAGGGTGAAGGATGTCAGCTGGGCTTGCCGCCTGATCCCAGGAGCGAAGAGGGACAGGCGTGGCTGCGGGAGAGGGCTGAGGTGAGGGGTGGAGACGTTAGTCTGCTGGCCAAGCACGATTGAAGAAGCGGAGGCGTGGCCATCTGGCACTAGCTATCGCGCGCGTGTATATTTTGGTCATGCGACCGTTTGCAATGTCTCGACTACCTTGTTGTACCATGACCATCCGTCTTCGGCCCTGTTGAAATCGTCTGAGAATGGAGGCAGCGAGCGAGGCCACGAGGAAGGCGCACTGCCTCACTTTGATTCGAGCCCTTCTCCCTCGCCTCCTCTCTCTGCTCCCTCTGCCGCCCCGCGCGTCTCAGCTCTCGGTTTCGTTTGGCCCTGGCCGTCCACTCGCTCTCTCGCTCGCTCTCCGTGTGCCTTGCTCACTCAGACGTCGCTCATCCGTGGCCGCCCTGCCTCGGTGGCCGCCTAAGCTGAACCTCTGCCTGTCTCTCTCTGTCGACACAGGTGTTTGAGGAGAGACCCTGAATCGGCGACCACGGGCTCAGGCTCACCCAACACCACACACCAAATTGGCCGCCGTCTCCTTTTGCACAACTTCCTTCCTCATCTGGCCATCTTACGACCAATCCAAAGAAAGAAGCAAGGAGATTTTGCGAAGACGTCGCACCCCTCTTCGCCTCTCCAAGATACCTCTTCTTTGCATTGGACGACCACATCATCATCGCATCGCTCTTGTCCCCGCTTCGTCGCTCCCTTCGCAGCCCACCTTCCTCCTTCCCCTGCATCATCGCACCATCATCTTTCCCACTTGACCTTCACAGCGCCGCCACTAAGACTCCACGAACATCAACAAAAGGTCTCACCTCATCATCGACCTGAGAGCTGCTGGTCAGACAATCGGAACACTCGGCAACAATAGGAATACGACTACGACGAGAATAACTACCACAACACGGTCCGCTTGCAACGATGACATCAACTGCTTCGCCCTCACACGCCTCCCCGGCGCATAGTTACCACAATCGCTTCGCCAATGAAGGGACGATCTCCCGCTCAACATCGGCGGCGGCGCCCGAAAAGGCTGAAGCAAGATCAGAGTCGCCCTCTGCTACCACGCCCTTTTCATTCGACTTCTCCGAGTTCAAGGGACTGGATGGCGGCAATGAGCCTGCGTTGGGCTCCTTCCTCTCGTACCAGCAGGCGCAGCAAAAGCAGACTGACGCAGCACCAGCAGCAGCACCAGCAGCAGCCCCACCTGCTCCGTCAATGCCAGCACCTCAGCCTCCCTCGCATCTCGAGACTAGCCAGGACGTAGCAGCACTCGAGGCAGCCGTCGACAAGCAGGAGAGCGATGAAGCCGCTCAAGACCAACCCAAAGCCAACAGCGGCGGCGACGGTGACGACGCTCCCATCGCTCCATCTGCTCAACCAGCGCCTCTGCCTCGCCCTCCGGTCGTCATCGACCCCGTAGAATCGCCCACGCCAGCTGCAGACCAGTCTCAAGTCTCCTCCCGCGAGGTCTCGCAGCCTTCGATCATTCCCAGCTCAAGCAGTGCTCGCTCCCTCTCCAAGTCGCCCATTGGCAACTTCTCGCGACCGAGCAACCTCGTTCCTTCGTCCCAGTCGACGGCCTCGAATGACTCTGGTCTGGAGCGCGGCATCGGCTCGCTTGACCTCAATGGCGGTCGAGACCGAGACCGCGACGGCGAGGGGCGCCACAATGATATGCCGCAACTCAGGAGCGTCCAGGCCCAGCAGCCCATTCTCTCTCCTGGCGGAGCAGGCGACGACACGAGCAGCAAGGCATCTGCCACTGCTTTTCCATCGAGCGAGACAGAAGAGTTGGCGCCGTCCGTCGTTCCTCGACAGAACATGCAGGAGAGGGAAAGACCCAGTAGCTTCTTCGGATTGCAAGGACCGCCCGCAAGTGCCAGGCAGAGCGCCATCGACCAGCAACAGAATGTGCCTTCTGCTGACGACTCTGGCTCGGGTTTCTTCGGCGGCGCAGCCAGCGGCAGCGGCACTCGACCTTCGTCCTTCTTTGCCCTGAACAACAGCGAGCCGACCTCTGCCATTGGGTCGAGCCAGTCCGGTGGCTTCCATCGAGATGACTCAGGGCTCAGCGCTCCTGGTGCTCAGAATCGCAGTACGTTAGCAGGCGGCACAGGAAATGCCGCTATTCAGCACTCGGGATCCTTCAACTTTGGCTCCGGCAATGGACGACCTGCCAGTATCGCGCCCTCTGTCACCACTGGGCCATTGCTCGACCACAGTCATCTCAAGCCTGGAGAGCAGGCAGCACTCCTCTCGCACAACAAGACGCTCGAGCTCTACCGCCAGAATGCGAAGAAGACCAACGATCCAGATCTCATCTATGAATTCGCTGTCTTCATGATCGATGCGAGCAAGTCGATGCCGGAGAGTCCGTCAGGTGCAGTCGGCATTGCCTCTGGCTCCAAGGAAGACGTCATCAAGGAGGCCATTGGCCTACTCAAGAAGATCGCCGAGCGAGGTCACGCCGACGCCCAATACTTCCTGGCAGACTGCTACGCCAATGGCATCGGTACGCCCAAGGCGAAGCAGGACTTCGATCGAGCCTACCCTCTCTTCGTTCTCGCTGCCAAGCATGGTCATCCCGATGCAGCGTACCGTGCGGGCACCTGCTACGAAAAGGGATGGGGATGCCGTCGCGACCAGGGTAAAGCTCTGCAATTCTACCGCAAGGCTGCCTCGCAGAATCACCCCGGCGCCATGTACCGACTGGCGACTGCGGAACTCAACGGCGAGCTCGGCCTGAAGCGCTCAGCCAAGGAAGGCGTCAAGTGGCTCAAGCGCTCCGCCGATGCTGCGACGCCTGAGTTCCCTCACGCCCTCCATGAGCTCGCCCTCCTTCACGAGCGCGGCATCGACAATGTCCTCTTTGTCGATCCCGAGTACTCTTGCGAGCTCCTCGCCCAGGCAGGCGAGATGGGCTACGCCCCCTCTGCGTACAAGCTTGGCGTCAATTACGAGTACGGCCGCATGGGCTGTCCTCAAGATGCAGGCTTGAGCATCCATATGTACAACATCGCTGCTCAACAGAACCACAAGGAGGCCTGCTTCGCGCTCACTGCCTGGTATCTCGTCGGGGCGCCATCCATCTTGCCGCAAAGTGATACAGAGGCGTACCTCTGGGCGAAGAAGGCTGCCGAGCAGAACTTGGCAAAGGCCGAGTATGCTGTCGGCTACTTCACTGAGATGGGAATCGGGACGGTGAAGGATTTGAAGGAGGCCAAGGAGTGGTACAAGCGCGCTGCGGAGCATGGAGACAAGAGGGCTAATCAGCGTCTCACTGGGCTGGGAGGGCGTCCGGTCGGGCCGCTGCCTGGCGTTGGAGCTGGTGGAGCTGGTGGAGCCGGCGCTGGTGGTGCGGGAGGCAACAAAGCCGGGCAGCATGGCCAGACTCCAGGAGGCTCAGACTATGCCTCTATGCCGGTTGCTTCGCGCACTCAGCCGACCAACGCTCCCTTCCCGTCGCGAGTAGAGGTGTCAGCCATGAGCCCCTCGACCGGCGGATCAGGCACCATGTTCCCCTCGCCGCTCACGATGAGAGACACGCAGTCTGCCATGCGCGAGGAGCGATACCTGGCCAATGTGGCGGCGGCTCAACAGGCCGAGTATCGCTCTACGAATCCACAGCAAAGGCCGCCGCCCCAACAGCAGCAGCAGCGGAGCATGACCGGCCCATCAAGCGGAGCGCCCAGTGGCTACAGCAACGGTGTCTCGGGCGCCCGCCCGCCACCTCAACAATTCCCGCCGCAGCCGCGACCTCCCCAGAACGGCTTGAATCCCTACGCCGGCCCACACCGCTCAGGCTCGATGCCCCCGCCTCCTGGTGCTGGAGGATACAATGGGGTTGGCCCCTCTCCAGCCCACTCGGCCGCATCCGCCTATCCGACCTACTCAGCCCCGAGCGGCCCAGGAGGCTCTCCTTCATCGCCTGGCCGCCCTCCGCCGATCAACACGAGCTTTCTGAGCGGTGGCTCGCCGACGGGACAGCAGCATTCGGCGCCGCCGCAGAGCTACCCTTCATACGGACATCAGCAGCCGCACAATGGCCAATGGCGACCTTCTCCTCCCCCGGGTCAGCAGCAGCCAGGGGCCGGCATGACTGGTCCGCGTCCTCCGCAGTCCAATGCTCCAAACATGTACTCGTCCCCTATGATGAGCCCACCGATGCAGCCTGGCATGCCTGGCGGTCCAGGAAGACCCAACGGTCCCGGAATGATGTCTCCCAACTCTGGCCCTGGAGGGATGCCCTTCAGCTTTGACTCTGACGATGCCACTGCGGCGCAGATCTTCCAGAGGGCGCAACAGCAGCAGCAGCAGAATGGCGGTGCTTCGAATGGCGGAGACCAGCAGCAGCAGCAGCAGCCCAAGAAGAAGAAGGGATGGTTCGGGGGCAGCAAGTAAGGTGGAAGGATGACTGGCAACGAACATGTACGGACGATCTACTCCCTCTCTCTCTTCTCACATACAGCTCCACCCATCCATCAAACGACATACACTCCTCGGATTCTCGTCAACGAAACGCATTGGCACGTCTCTGTTTCTTCTCCTTTCTTGTTCATCTATTCATGAAAAGTCGAATGCTACCGGCGCTGCGTCTGTGAGGGAGTTGCGGATTGGCTGCTCTGAACCCTGATGCAAGGCACACGCGATTGCAGACCACGCGACAAACGAGAGAGACGCGGAGAGAGAACGAGCGCCGACAGACAGCGGTTGGTTGGTCGATGATCATCGCGATCTTCCTTCTTGCCATCCTACCGGAGCCTCCCTCCCTATTCTTGTACCTTTCTTTTCGTCCATTTGGCCTCCTGATCACCTCGCAAGTCGAAGAGCAAGTAGTCGACTCCGCCCCACGCCTTGTTCATCGCCTCTCGCCGACCGTCAAAGGCGCATCAATCTCTACGAGAAAGCAACGCGCCGCGCCCTACCTCGCGCGACTCGATCACGGCCAGCCGCACGATAGGCCGAGTCAAATTGCTTTCACATCACTCTGTATCATCGTCATCTTTCTCGCTAGCTCTCGACATCGCGAATCCCTGCTTCAAAGGACGACACTTCTGCGCCATCCACCCACGTTCCGTCTCCTCCCATAGATCTTGATCGCTCATCATCGTAGCGCACCTCTCACACAGCATCTCATAAGCATCAAACACATTCCAAGCGCCTCAGCATCGGCTCGCATCACATCGCTCCGTTCAACACCATGTCGTCATCCAACAACAACACTCCCGCCTCGTCATCCTCCCTCCTTCCACCGGCCCCGGGATCAAACGCAGCCGCTACCACGCCTACCCCAAGCCGCTCAGTGCCCTTAACTTGCTCCGGCCACACGCGGCCCGTAGTCCACCTAGAGTTCTCCGACCTGCTCGAACCAGACGGGACATACCTCCTCCTCTCATCCTGCAAAGACGGCAACCCCATGCTACGCGACTGGCTAGGGGACTGGGTAGGCACCTTCCTCGGACACAAGGGCGCAGTCTGGTCTGCCAAGCTCTCCGGCGGGGAGGGAGGATGCAGTAGAGCTGTCACGGGGAGTGCCGACTTCTCTGCCAAGGTGTGGGACACTTTCAGTGGGGAGTGCTTGCATACTTTCCCTCACGACCACATCGTGCGGGCCGTAGGCGTTGATAGGGAGGGTGGCAGGTGTTTGACTGGAGGGCACGAGAAGAGGCTGAGGCTCTTTGACTTGAACAGGCCAGAGGCCGAGCCGGTGGAATTTGGGACTGGTCGGGGCGAGGGCTCATCAAAGGCGCACGACGGAGTCATCAAGAGCATCGTCTGGCCTCGCGCAGGACCCGCCGCGTCATCGCAGGACCTCATTGTCAGCATGGGCGAAGACAAGGTGGTGCGCTGGTGGGACTCGCGTGCACCGCGGTCGGCGGTACGAGAGCGAAGCGGCTTCGGTGACGGTGGTCCGATCACTTCGATGGAGCGCAGCTATGTGCCTGCACTCGCTGCGGGGTCATCTGCACACGGCAGCGCTAGCGGCGAGATGCTCACCATCTGCTCGGGCAAGTCCATTACTTTCCTCGATGCCATGGACCCTGAAGGGTGGCAGCGAGACGTCACGCTCCAGCAAGCCGTCTCCTCTGCCTCATTGCACCCGACGCAAGCGGATCGATTCGTTGCTGGGTCGACGGCGGACGGATGGGTTAGAATCTACGACTTCCCTGCGGGGACAGCTTCTGCTACGAATGGCGATGACAGCAACGGTGCAGCAGCGGGACTGGGTACACCCTTGCAGGAACGAGAGCTGCACAAGGGACACCACGGACCAGCCCATATCGTCAGCTACTCGCCCGATGGAGAATTGGCGGCTAGTGGGAGCGAGGATGGAACGATCCGGCTTTGGCAGACTTATCCAGGAAAGAAGTACGGGCTTTGGGTCTGAGGGGTCAGTGCAAGAATGGAGTGAGAAAAGTAAGCGCGCAAGAGGAAGGCAATCTTAGCGCGTGGCAGGGCAACGTCTGCGCGGGCAGTCAGCGAGCGTGGCAACACGACTTCGACTTCCTTCTCATCCTTGTCGTTCCGGTCAGCATGGCCAACAACACCAGCATTGCGTTCAATCATCATCATTGTCATCATCCCAAAATTGTTCCCACAAGCCTGCGATCGGCCGTCAATTGGGGCTCTCTCGCCGCTGCCATCGTGGTCAAAGAGCGCCATTGCCATGACGCCTGAGCGGCAACCGAGCTTCAGCTGGTTGTTGCGACATTCACCTCATCTCGCAACATTGAATATTGACAGCGCACGAACCCTTGCATCGGGATAAGACCGACGCCAAAGCCCCAAATCTAAATGATGATGAGTGCCGAGCAACGGGGAGGCTTGCCCGCCCCTTTCGCTCTTTATTCACTCCGGCGATGAGGGTCTCGACACACGGGCGGCCGAGCACTCATCATTGCGACAAGCGGGGTGGCGCACTCTGGCTTGATCGTGGTTTCTCTTTCCCCTTTCTCATGCCCGTCGGCGCAACGAGCTGGATGGGATGGGGTGGGATCGATGCGATGCAGGCCTCCCGAGTCTTCGCCCCACTTTCGTGGTGAAGGTGCGCTGACATAGGCTGGACATTGGCGGAGGTGCGGATCAATGGAGCTCTCGATCGCTGAGATGAGATCGATGATCGAGAGAAACCAGCAGAGCAGCGTGTCGACGTCCGGACTAGCCATTGATGGCTCAGCATCCTTGGTGAGCTAGTCGTCACCAGCGCCTTCCAGCCGTACACGGCTGAAGAGCAGGCGTACGGCGCGCTCAGACGGTCACGTTGGAACGCTATACGAGCTCAGGATACTCCTCGCTGGGCTTGACCGTGCGCGAATCCGTCCTTTACCGCACGGACGCGAGAGCCGTGCACATGAGATGGGGAGCCGATGGCGTCGATCCATTATCGATCCATCGCCCACCTCTTCGCAGGAGACAGGAGGCCCTTGCCACCGTAAGGGGGCGGCCCGACCTGGCCTGCAGATGGATGGGCGGGAGCAAAGAAGACGGGCTGGCCGCGGCAGCGGCAGGCAGCGGTAGCGTGAGTCCCGTAGGCAGATGGAGGCGAGCTGCCCGCAGGCCCGCCCAAGCGCGAACGGGCGCAGAGAAGATGGATCGATCAGGTTCCTAATCGCCTTTCTTTCGCAGCGAATGCCTCTCAGACCAGGCCTCTGGCTCTTCTCCTCTCTTCATAGCCCGCTGGGAAACCAGCCAGTCAGACAATCAAACGCCTCCTTTTGGCCCCCCTCGCACAAGCTTGGCGAGAAAGTGAACTGATGCCCCGTGTCAGGACGAGCACGGCGTAATTGGCGGAGCGAGGAGGGAAAGCGGCCCTGCTAGCCACCGCCTCGAGCGGGCAGATGCCGTTGCGCCTCTTTGCTCGCCTCTTGACCCGTCCGTCTGCTCTGGCTACAAGATTGTCAATCGTGCGCTCGACCCCATCCTTGTCCTCATCTCTTTGACCATTCTTCTGCGTCCGCCACAAAGCTCCCGCCTCCGCCCTCCTTCTTCGTCATTGTCTATCTGCGTTGCCGCCTCCGCCTCGATTCGACTTGTTCGTTCGCGTCCACGAATCCCTCTCGCTTCGACGGGCAAGGCGCCTCGCCCAACAGTAGACTCCGCCGCCCGCCCAGCCAGAGGCGGCGAACAATCGAGGACGTCGAGCCAGATCTGAATATATAGACGGCCTTGCCCTCATCTTGAGCTTTTGCAGCCAGCATCCTGCTCATCAAGCGCTCTTTCCTGCACCCGTTCGTGTCATCAATCATCAAGCTACGACATGGACATACTAGGTGAGCATGTCAATGCCAGCTCGTCACTGCTGCGCGCCCTTCCTGCTCTGCCTTTCGCTCACCGTTGACCTTCGCCCTCAACCTTGCTCTCTCTTTTTCCCATCAGAACTGGTTCATGACGATGTCAAGGCCGAGAGCAGGCCGCACGAGTGCCAACACAAAGGCTGCCCCAAGGCGTTCAGCAGGGTGAGTAGGGCTTGACAGTCTCTGCAGGGTTGCGCACGGTCTTCGATGTCATGCACATCGCGCACGGACAAGGGGGAGATCGACTTGACAGGCGGGCGGCGTTTGTTTGGCAGTAATTGCATCGACAGAAACGAACAAGGCAAGCTGACCCAGACCCACCTTCCTTTTGCTTCATTGCCCGCTGCAGCGAAGCGATCTTGCTAGAGTGAGTCAAGATGCGATCTTCAGCTCCGTGCTACTTTCTGCCCAGAAGAATTCTCGTCCCGTCCCTTCCCGTCAAGTCCATGCAGCCGAGCCTTTTCGCTGGGAGCGGGCGATTCCTGCGGGGCGGGATTGAAGACAAAGAAAACTGAGATGCTCAGACAAAGGAGGCGTCGAAGGGGACTGTTACCGAGGCCCGAGGTCGTTGACTCCTCGCGCTGCTGCATGGGAATCGAAGCTCACCTCACTGTCTCCTTTGCCACTGATAGCATGCGCGCATTCATTCGCAAGAGAGGCCATTGTGAGTGCGAGTCCTTCGGCCATTGTAATCGGAACATGCGGCTGATGATTTCATCATGTCGCTTCCCGCCTCCACAGTGGTTGTCCCTACATGGGATGTGGGAAGACCTTCATCCAACGAAGCGCTTTGACGGTACATCTCCGCATCCACACCGGTGGGTACTGTATGCGATGATCAGTGATCTACATCGGGCTGTGGAGCTGACTTTCGACCATCTCGGCCTTTCGCTTCGTCAGGCGAACGACCTCACGTGTGCGAGGTCTGCACCAAGGCATTGTGAGGATGTCGCGATCGTGATGCCAGAGCTAGCTCCGAACTCACACTGGCCCGTCTCCTCCAATTTTGGTGCGCAGTTCCGACTCAAGCTCTCTGGCCAGACATCGCCGCATCCATAGCGGACGTCGCCCCTACAAGTGCCTGGCAGAAGACTGTGGCAAGACCTTCTGTCGCAAGACCACGCTCATCAAGCATGGCCTGCGTCAACACCAAATTGCCACGGTGCCAAAGGGCAAGAAGTCTCTGTCCACCAGAGCTGCCGGGCCAATTGTTGTAGGGTCGCAGAGTGGGCCCGTCACGGGCAACGGCGCCTCGGGTAGGCAGACGCGGGCCTCGACGGGAATGCATCACCCGAACGGTGGCTCCGTGACATCCTCTGGCGACATAGTATTCCCTTCTGTCCCCTCGCACAGCCACCAAACTCACTTCATGGACGCTTCTCACGCGCAGAGCCATGGCGGGCCGGTCCTACCGTGGTACCCTTCGCACGACAGCGGTTCTGCCTACACGTCAAGCACAGCCGACGGGAGCTACTCGCGCCTCGGCAGTGAGACGAGCACATCTTCTGCTGCCAACAGTCATGGAGGCTACACGCACGATCACCACCTCCACAACCATCATCATCACGGCACTTCCTCTGACGTTGACGCTGCGGAGGCGGCCGCCCTCATGTTGCCCATCGGCCCTGGATCGATGTCTATCGATAGCAGCTCGGTCAAGGCTGCCCCCGTCAAGCTGCAGGACCCCTACGGGCGACACTACCGTACGCACGACAGCTTGCCCGGCTGGAACGCAGACTACCATGGCGGGGAGAGCAAGGTCTTTGCCCATCAGTCCGGAGCGAGCACGCCTCATGGTCAAGGCCCTCCGCCCATGGCGCCTTCGCCAACTCACCCTCAACAGCATCTCCAACATCATCAGCAGCAGCAGGGAAGCTACTTCCCATCGGCGTACGCTCAGCAAAATGGCTACGCTATGCAGCACGGTCATCAGCACCAGCGCTCGCTCCCCATTCACCACCAACCTCAACAGCAGAGCCAAAATCAGTACTCGACCCTCTTCTCTGCCGGTGTCGATGCGCAATCTGCCACTTAAAGCGGTGGCTACCGTCTCCGTCTCCCCGTCTATTTCATGATATCCCACCTATTGTCTCATCATGCTTTAATCGATCATCTAAGATGCGACTCGATCGACAGAAACGGTATCAATCATAGCGCTGTTCACGCTCGAACGAGGAAACGAATGATACACTGCTGGGTATTGGAAATGCTTTGCGTCCCGCATCAGCGCCGTCACTGTCAGCGCCTTCTAAACCGCCTCTTTCCTCTTCTTTCTCTTCTTCGTCTCCCCATCCTCACCTGCCTTCCCTCGCCTCTTCTCTCCCTTCTCCTTGTTGCGCTGCTCCCTCTCCCCGAAGCCACCATCGGCCAACTCCATCCCGGCGACCCGCTTTGCAGTCGCAACTCTGTTCAGCTTCTCCAGTACGCGCTCCTCAGGCATGGGTAGCTCTTTCATCTTGTACTGGCCCTCTTTCTTGCCCTTGACTCGCAGGCGCGCCTCAATGCCTTGGAACACGTCCACATCTCGTTCCCCGACGAAGCTCACGGCCCAACCTGAGCGTCCGGCACGAGCAGTTCGACCCACTCGGTGAAGATAGTCCTCCCATGCGGCGGGCAGATCGTAGTTGACTACCATGCCTACCTCGGGCACGTCCAGTCCACGCGAAGCGACATCCGTAGCCACCAAGACCCACTTGTTGGGAGCTCCTCTGAACTTCTGCAGGTTTTCCAGCCTCAAAGGCTGAGAGAGCTGGGAGTGTAGAGAGAGACAGGGGATGGCCATCTCCCGGAGCAAACGGCACAGCAGCTCTGCGGTTCGACAACGGGAGACGAAGATGATTGTTGGGATAGGAAGCTGGCGGAGGAGGCGATGTCCGCTTGGTGAGATGTAATGCCGCTCGTAGTCTGTTTCGGCGTCGTCGTCGTCTGAAAAGTTGAGGTCGACTGTTGAGTCTTCTGAGTCCGCGACTGAGGCATCATCATCGTCCTCCTCGTCGCTGTCCTCTCCTGATGCAGAACCAGAGGAAGAGGTCTCGTCCTCGTCTTGGTCCTGCTCATCTGCCACAATTTCGCCCCTGTCCTCATCCTCCTCGTCATCGCTCTCCTCTGGGCTGAGGCTAAGTGAGTTCCTCCTTCGCCTCTTATGTGCCCTTGGATCTGTAGGCGGGTGTGTCAACAAATGGTAGAGGTACACCTCCCTAACATGGGAAGGTACAAAGATGTACCTTTGCCTCAGCTTCTCCGGCGTGGTGGAATCCATCTCTATCCTTTCTACCTTGATCTTCCTTCCCTTGCCTGCCTCGGCCTCGCCCAGGCGCTTCTGTGCCAATGCCTCGATTTCCTCGGTGAGAGTGGCCGAAAAGAGGAGAGTCTGTCTACGCTCCGGTGGTGGCAAATGCTCCATGATAGATCCAAGTGCTTCAGCAAACGTTGGGGTGAGCAACCTATCGGCTTCATCGAGGACAAGGAACTTGCAACGCTCGAGTCCCCATTCTTGATTTCCACCGCTCACAAGCAGATCCCATAGCCTTCCCGGTGTAGCAACGACGACATGCGGTCGTCCTCTTGCCAGCTCCGTCGCCTGCTTCATCATGTCCATGCCACCGAGTACCAAGCTACACTTGATTCCCATCTTGGCTCCCTGCGCCAGGGCAAGGAAAGCTTCGTGCAGTTGAACGGCCAACTCTCGTGTCGGGGTCAGAACGACCGAGTGACCTCCGACGGGATCGCGGAGTAGGGAGTGGAGGATAGGGAGAGCGAAGCAAAGTGTTTTACCAGTTCCCGTCGGGGAGCCACCAATGAGGTCGCTACCTGACAAGATGGTAGGGATCGTCTTGGATTGGATGGGCGTAGGGACGGTGATGGAAAGATGGGAGAGGGCGCGAAGCAAGGGTGGAGAGATGGACAGGTCTTTGAAAGATGCGGCAGGCTTGTCTGCCTTTAGCTTGGATGGACCTGCCTGCGCTGAGGCTGAGTCATTTGTGGTGGCCATGATGATTGACTTGGGTGGGAAGAGACGGAAGCAGCGCGCCTTGCAGCCAGGTTGAAATCTGAAATTGAGCCCTCGAGTCGTCCGATGTCGAGTGGAAGCGCGGCAAGCGGCAGGCCAGCACCTCAACGGACGCTTGGACCACGTCGACGACGGTCGAGGGTCGACTGCCTCCTTCTTGGTCAACACCATCACCCAGCTTCGCAGCATGAGACTCTTTGCAGCCTCAGCAGTCGCCTTGACTGCCATTGCTACCCTTGCCAGCACAACCGCAGCTGCTGCTGCGCCCTTTACGGCGGGTAAATTCGCCCTCTCCACCGTCGATGGCTCTTCCCGTTTGTCAGAGCCCTTCACTCCTCAAGCCGGCATAGCTTCTCTGCCTACAAAGGTCGACTCGGATGAGATCATTCGCCTCTCCTTCACTGTACCTACAGGAGGGAGTAGCGATGATGGCGATGAGTCCTCCTCGTCGTCATCATCATCATCGATCCCCAGCCAGATTGTGCTGCAGCTCCTCTCCAAGAGCGATTCCTCCAAGGCGGCCAGTTTTGTGCCCAACATCAACAAGGGCAATGGCAAAGTCACCTGGAGTCAGAGAGTCGATCGGCTGCCTGTTGAAGCCCTCGCAACCCTCGACGCTGCATACACTCTGCGCCTGCTCATTGCAGGGGCATCGACCAAGCCTCTCTCACTCGAGTTGGGTGACCTGACGATCCCCACTCTCACCCTCGACGCATCTTCTGCTGGTGTTTCGTCGACGAGAGAATACAAGGCGAGGGAAATGGGCTTCTATCCGTGAGCAGATCTTCTCGAGGTACAGTACATGGCTAGAAAGAGTGCTAATCTCCCACGTCGCTGCGTTTTCAGGTGGCCCGAGCGACGTCACACCTTCCGCAAGGAAGTGACCGAGGGCATGCCAGGCAAGACGAAATCGCTCGTTGTCCTCGCAGTCATCGTAACCGTCCCTTGGCTGGTACTCTTAGGTTTGGTGAGCAGGCGCATCCATTCATTCCCAGTCTTCACCGGCATCCAAAGCTGACCACGCCTCCCTCCCTCACTCACAGCTCACCCCTCTGCTCGGCTCAGTCAAGCTCAACACCTCACCCAAGCCCTCCGTCTGTCTGCTCCTCGCCTCGCTCCTCTTCCTCGAGACGATCGGTTTCCGCTACTACCGCGGAGACTTCACATTGTTCAGGATGCTGCCCTTCTTCCTTGCAGGAAGCGCCGTTGCTGCAGGCTCCGTCGTGGCAGGGGCGTTGGAAGGCGTAGGGGCTGCGAGTGGGTCAAGGAAGAGCGTCAAGAGTAGCTGAAAATGCTCTCAAAGATGCAATCATAGAATAGTTGAAACCGTGCTCGCAGACTACTACCAAACGCGTAGAGTACAGCGCGAGCAAGAGGGTGGTGAGACTCGACGACCACGTGGCAACCATCTGCTTCCCTCGGATGCCGAGAGACTTGCGTCTCGAGTTCCGCATCTCTCTTGTTTCCCGGCTCTGGTGCGGCGGCCCGGGAAAGCAGGCACGACTTAGCGATTCGCCTTTGCCGCTACAAGACTGTCTTGCCATTCTTACCATTGCCGTCCTCGCCATTCCATCCCACCTGCACTCGCCGAAGCTTTATTAGCCTCGAAGAAGCGCGAGCGACGTAACTCCACGCTACGCCGACGCCGGATTACCAGGGCCGAACAGGCAATGATCACGGGCTGTCTTGTCCTCGGCGCGTAAATCCTTGAGCTCCTTTCGATAATTTGCATCGCTGCATTGTCCGACAAGTCCAATCCTCCATCTTCTCCTCGCTTTGACATCCGCCATGCTCAATCACAGCTGCATCCGCTGTCGCAGCAAGAAACTACGCTGCGACGGCCAATCTCCTTGCTCCAATTGCTACGACAAGGGCGTCGCAGCGACCTGTCAGCGGGCGCTCAGAAAGGAGCGACCTCGTCGCTCTGATGCGATCAAGAGGGCAAGCGATGCAGGTCGAGAAGGCCGAGGCGCAACCATCGATGAAATCAATGTTGGTTCCCCTTCTCGCCCATCAATGGCTTCTGACAGGGTCATGGCGCCTCTAGCGCAGGATCATTCGCACTTCAATACCCAGCCCCTAAGGAAGACGCTGGGCATGATTGGCTCCGCATCCACCGTCGAGTCTGTCCCTACGCCTTCCTCTTCGGCAAAGGTCACAGGCCTCATCGGAGGGCCCGCTGCACCGTCCTCCTCAGCGCAGCAAGAGCCAAGAGGACCTCGTCACGACGACGTCTACGAGATGGCTCCCGCTCGCCTGCGTGGCTGCCTAGTAACAATGCAGCAGATTCACCTAGCCCGCAAAGTACTCGGCAGCCCGCGGTCCTGCGGGCGACTTCTCAGCTTCGTCTTCCACTACCGCTGTCAAGCCGTAATGCACAGCTGCATCCACCTGCCCACTCTCAAGAAGACGTTCCGCCAAGTCTTCTCCGACGAGTGGGCGCCTGAACTCACAGTGGACCAGCTCTCCCTCGTCTTGATGGCTATCGCCGTCAGTATTCAGTACACTCCTCGCGCGGGGCCTTACGGCTACCTCTATAGCTTGGTCAGCGAGATGGGCCCCGAGTATGCGCCCAACGACAGGCAGATTGCGCTGCATGATATGGCTAGGCAGATCATCACGGCTCGCTTGTCCTCGCCTACCGCTACCCTCGAGGGACTGCAGACCATTGTCCTTTGTCTCATGTACGACCTGGATGAGGACGCATTCAAGGAGCACATCTTCGATCATGCCATTCGAGGTTCGCAGAGACTCAATATGCACCACATGTCTGCCTACAAGGAGGCCGACCCTTCTTCACCCTCAAGCTCGACTCTACCGTATGGCACCACGCCCGTCGAAAAGGAAATGATGGTCCGTCTCTGGTGGTATCTTGTCTCCCGTGACTGGCTCACAGCCCTCACCCGCTCGACATACTCGGTTCATCCGAACCACTTCACTACCCGCCTCCCTATGGTCATCACGGACGAGGAGCTAGCAGAGGGCAAAGCGCCCGAGTCTACAGCAGCAATTTGGTCGCCTGTAGCGGTCTCTCTCCCTTTCATCAGTCTCGCCTCCCTCGTGCGTCAAATGGTCGACCTCCGCAACCAGCGCAATCTCGACGGCAGCGTCGCCGGTCAAGAGGACAAGTCTTACACGGATCTGGTATCAGACGCATTTGATGCATACGCCGAGTCCCTTCCCGAGCAGTTCGGCTTGGGAGCAGCATTTGTCGAATCCGATTTCGACAGCGTGGCTAGTGTAAGGGCGGTGCAGCGTACGGAGACTGAAAGGTGGCTCCTGCACCACGAGCTCTTCCACGCCTACCTCCAACTTCACGAATATAGGCTCGACTCGCCCATCCCGCCCGTCATGGCTGCCCTTGCCTCGCACATCCTCGACATACAGGACAAGATTCGGCTCCGCTGCCACATCATCGACTCCCTCCGCATCAACGTGACCGGCGTTCTGCGGGCCATTACGGTCCTCTGTGTCGACCTGATTCAGAAGCATCGTACCAGCCAGATGAGCTTGTTCAGACAGATGCAGCTGGGCAAGATTAGAGAAGCGATCAGGAAGACGCGTGAGGCCACGAGGTTGATGGATGGGGATTTGGATCGTATCGAAGGCCTATTGGGCATGGAGGAGAATGCGTGGAGGGGAAAGAGAAAGATTGCGAGCGGCGCAGCGATGTCTGCCAATGGGCAAGCAGGGGTCAGTGGGACTGGGCCAAGTGTGGCTCTCGCGGATTCGAGCTCCTCCTCCTCACCGCCGAGTGGGGTTACGTCGACCTCGAGTCCGACGGCGGAGAGTGCTTCCTCCCCTCCTTCCTCGCTGCACCACCGCCCATCAGAGTCGAGCATCCACGCGGGTAGCATGGGTAGCACGGCGGCTACGAGCGCTCTTGCAGAGATGGGCACCAGTCTTCCCTCCTCCAACGGAGGGGCCTGGTCGCCAATGATGATGGACAAGGGCACGAAATTCTTTGCGGCTCATCATCGAGAACAGCAGCAGGGGACTCAACAGTCCTTTGGCGCCGCGAACCAATTCATTGCAGCTCATGGGAATGGGGCAGCAAGCTCGCTGGACCTTTACCCCAATCTTCGACCGCAGAACGCACCCACGCATCCGTATAATCCTCCTCTCCCACCTCAGCAGCAGCCGCAGCAAGCCTTCGCTCCGCATCTGCCCCATCCTCACCACCAGCACGCAGCTCAGCTTCAATACCACCCTCACGCGCCCACGCCTGCCCATCTGGCGGCTCACAACAACCCACCCACCTCGGCCGGGGACATGTCCTACCTGGCACAATGGATCGATCTCCTCCCCACAGACCAGGCAGTCAGCCCCGTCTTTGCGCAGGGAGGCGGCAGCTTGAACGAGCCCAGCTGGGAGGAGTTGTGCGCCTTCTTACAGGGAGGGCAGCAGGACGCTGCTCAGCAAGGTCAGCAGGCGCACGCGCCTGCGCACGTCGTGTAGAGAAGAGCTCTGAAGGAGAAATAGGCTCGTGTTTGCACATAACTTTCGGCTTCACTACGTCTTGTATTACCACCTCTTGAACTCTTTCTACGGACGATGGACAGAGATCAGTCTACTTCTCCCTCCGTCCCTTCCCATTCTCGCATCTCGTCATTGGCTATCTTCTTTCTCGCGTCCCTCGTCCTTCTTCTTCGCTGTAATGCCCCTCAATTGATCGATTCGACCTTCCTTACTCTTCACCCAGCCTGCGCGCAGAGGGCAGTCGAGCAGACTGGCGAGCCTTCTTCCGCGGTTGTTGCTGCCGGGGCTGCGGCTGCTCCCTCCGCTTCGACGAGGGAGGGCGTTCTTGCTTCGGACTGAACCTCGTTGCGTCTTCCTTCTCAATCTCCTCTTCAGGCTGAGCACCTCGCAGGCTCCTCAGCCTCTTCCCTCCATACGTGCTCGCCGCTCGTCCACTTCGCCCGCGAGGGAGGAAACGCGAGGTGATGCGGGGAGCTGCCGGGGAAGGTGTTGTAACAGCGAGGTCGGGGTTGACGCGGGAAGCCAAGGGAGGAGGAGTGGCTGCAGCGGCGGCTAGGGTAGGGTCAAAGCTCGAGGTGATTCGAGGGGTCATGGATGACGCTGATTTTTCACCCGGTTGCGAACAATGGTCTGCGAGAACTCCGCCTACGCCATGAGAAGTGCCCAACCCGCTCTCACCCGCTTTGGAAGGCGAAGGAAATTCAGGTAGGGGAGTGTGGAGCGCGTCGTAGCCATCTTGATTCTTTTGCCCATCATCGAAAGGCAGAAAAAGGGATGCTTGGCTTGCCTGGCTGTCGAGAGGTGAGACAGCCTGCGAGGCGAAGTGGTGCTGTTGGGAGTCGTCGGCATGGCGGGAGACTTGCGAGGCGTGTCCGCCAAAAGGGGATGGGCGATCGATGCTTCTGTCGCGTTGACTTGCGGGCATCGATGCGGAGTAAAGCTCCTCAACGGCCCTTTCATTGCCGCCCTGCGCTGCGATTGCCTGTTCCCTGCCCCGAGCCTGTCTCTTTCTCTGCTCGCCACCAGGCGTCCAACCCTCGCTCAGAACCTCTAATTCGATCCCGCCGCCAGCCGTAAAGTATCGCTCTCTCACCCTCGCCATCACCCCTTGATCTTCACAAATCCTCATCACCCCTGCTCGGCCGCGTTGCTCAAGAAAGCCCTCCTCCAGCAGGCGTTCACGCAGCCCCTGAGCGACCGCTTTTGCCTCGTTCTGCTGCTGAGAGGGCTGCTGAGACGAGGTGGAGCTGCCATTTTCGTTGGCGGCGCCAATGAGTTTTGCAAATCTCTCGATCCCACCTGCAGGCCAGGTGCCGTACTGTAGTAGCTTGAAAATCGCGCGCCGAACTTGCGAGAGGTGGCACAGGGCGAAGTAGCGTTCGTCTTCCGTTGCGTCATCGTCAGCTCCAGTACGGCGATGGCGTGCAAGGGTGCATGACCAGCAGGTCACCTTCAGAGAAGGGTGCGAAGATGCCAGCCCGCCGAGATCATCGTCTAAATTGAAGTGGTGGGCGTGGCCGTAGCAGGCCAGATGGAGCCAGTGGCCGCAATCCTCGCAGGGCGTGAGATCCTCGTCGCTTCCCTGTAGATTGCAGTCGCACTGCACAGTGATGGGCGACGGTGACGCCTGAGGTGAAGATGCTTTCGTTGCCTGACGTGCTCGAGTCGAAGTCGACGGCACGGCACCAAGCTGCGGTGCTCGCTCACGCTGCGAAGCTTGGCCAGGCTGTAGCGGTCGACTGTCCATATGTTGCGCGAGCTTTTCATTGATCGAAGCAGTGGTGGCACCAAGTGGTCTGGGACGTGGAGCCTTGAAGATCTCGGCTGTGGAGCGAGTGCCGACGAAGCGAGCGTGTGAGCCATCTCGAATCTCCTGTGGATTGCGCACAAATGTGACTTACATGGCTTGCTTGTCGCCAAGTCCTCCCCACGAACATCCTTCGGCCGCTTCTTCTCCCATTCCATCAATACGTGAGCAGGCACGGGCTCTTCACTGCGAGTGTCCGCCCTAATCAGCGCGCAAGGGCTCACAACGCTATCGCTGCTCCCTCCGCCGCTCACGCCAGCACCGAGCAGCGTACTCATTCCAAGCTTGTCGGATGGCGCACTCTGCTGCTCAAATGCAGTGTTGACATCGAAAAGCAGTCTCTCGCCGCCCTTCATCTGCTCAAGGCGCAGCTTTGGGTGCACATATGCATTTGTCCTGCTCCTCGCCATTGTGAAGCTAGCACGATAACCTTCCATGCCAGCGTCCTTGTACGATTGGAAAGTGGGTGTCTCGCATGCGTCGGGGGAAGACTCAAGAACCCAGCGATGCCCTGCTGATTCAGGGGCGAAGAAGCCTGAGGGCATATAGTCGGGTGGTGCGCGATGGCTGAGGCTGGCTTTGAGCTGGAGGTAGAAGCCAGATGGCATGCTGGGCTGGTGTGCGAGGGTGAGCTGTTGCGTTTGGAGGAGGTCCTGTGGGCAACAGTAGGAGGCGATGATGGTGTTGAGAGCCAGCGAGCGGCATCGTTGGTCCTGTTCACTCACGTATATGCTTGACATCGTCGCTTGACCCCTCGCTGGCCCTTTATCAACAGCATAATCAAACTCGTACCGCCAGTACTCGAGGAGTGGGACGGCCCCTTCAGCGCTGATCGCATGCCTGCTGATGGGGAACCCCAGGCTGATCGTGTGAAGATAACCCCGATGTAGGGCTTCAAGGGCGGCTTCGATCTGAGCGAGCGTAGCACAGATGTTGGCATCTTCTGTGGGACCTGCGAGACGATGTCCCTGTGACAGACCGGTGATGCACAAGTCAGCGGCGGCAGCACTGAACAGAGTTGCGTTTGTAAAAGCCGTCCTCACCATCATCGAATACTCCTTGCCCCTCCTCTGACAGGCGATCCGAGTCGGCGTATACACAGCCTGCGGATAGATCTTGCGTGCGAAGAGGATGGCGCCGATCGCATGCGTGATGAAGTCGCTGACTGTAGCCACCATTGAGGGCACGACGGTGAGTTGAGCATGTTGAGTGACGGGTGGGTCGTGCTTCGTAGCTGGGCTGCGAGTAAGCATAGCCTGTTTGAGCGAGAGACAGGGGATCCAAAGCGACAAGTGGCGCATATATGCGGGTGGTGAGGTCACGCGCGTAGCGAGAAATGCTCAAAAGGAGCCCGACTGCTCACCTGATTGCCTCGTACGATCATAGTGGCACCTTTGTTCGGCTTGTTGCTGGTGGTAAAAGTGGGCATCGCCTGAGCGTGCGAGGAGAAGATGATGAGCTCGAAGACAAACCACGTGAGGCTATATGCGCGCCTACTCACCTGCGAATGGGCGGCGTCCTCGCATTGGCGATGCTGAGACGCCCGCGTGAGGGCAGGCATTATCCACTCTACACTACTCGGAGCGAAGAAATTGAGAGGATGGAGAGCAAGGTGAAGAAGAGGATAACATGGCTGAACAATTCGAATAAGATAGAGGCGATGCAGAGCCCGGTGAAGAGCGCGCACTGATTGCCCTCACGCAGCAATGAAAGGCCGCACCGCAAGTTGGTCGTGTTCCTGGGAGTCATGAGCGCATGATCTTGCTCGACATTGCATTACCTCGAGCCATTCTACTTTACTTCTTTTTTCCCTTCTTCTTTTTCTTCTTCTTCTGCGAGACGCTCTTCGCATCATCACCCTGGGCGGTCTCACCATTGCCTACCCCCCCTCCCGATGCGTCCGCTGCCTCCCCTTCAGACTCTTCGCCGCTGTTGCGCGCGCTTGCTTCTGCGCTGACGGAGTTACTGCCATCGACATTAGCCATGGTCGAGCTCGATGGCGGTGCAGCTTGGATGGCTGATTCATGGTCATCGAGTGACGATGCTTCTGCTGCGTCCTTCGCTTCTTCCACGACAGCGGCAGGAATTGAAGGTTTGCTGTCTTGGCTTTCAGCAGGCTCGTCTTGGGTACCAGACTCAGCAGTCGACGCGATGGGCGCAGACGCAACTTCATCTACTGATGGTACTGATGGCTCTGCAGTCGTCGCGGCCGAAGTGTCTTCTTCCTTCGTCGCTCCTGAGGGCGCGGGCGCCGCCGGATTTGCGGCTGCGGCTGCGACGGCCTGTCTTTCCCTCTCCTCACGTTTGGCCTTTAGCTTCTCTGCCAGCGTCAACTTCTTCGGCGGACCGGTCGCAGCTGTTGGATTTGCTGGGAGCTCTTGAGCGGCAGTAGAGGGCGAAGGAGTGGCGGCCGTCAGATGAACGGTGGATGCAGAGGATTCTGGAGCAGTGTGAGGAGCGCTGTTTGCCGCTGATTGAGCTTTGGTATCTGTCTCTCCCTCGGCTTTTGCGTCAGCCTCTACCCTCTTTCGAGCTTCCTGTTCCCTGGCTCGAGCTTCTTGCTCCACCTGCGCCTTGGCATTGATCTCTTGCTCCTCCTTGACTTTGGCTTCGGCTGCTGCCTTAGCTCTAGACTCTTCCTCCTCTCGGTCCTTCTTTGTTTGCGCTTCCTTCTCAGCGGCGGCCTTGGCCCGGGCAGCCTCCTCCTCTGCCTTCCTCTTCGCCTCAGCAGCAGCAGCCGCGGCAGCCGCCTCAGCCTCAGCTCTAGCCATCCTAGCGCGCTCCTGCTCTTCTTTTCTCTTTGCCTCCTCGTCGTCCCTCTTTCTCTTTGCAGCAGCCTCAGCTTCAGCGCGCCGTCGAGCCTCTTCCGCTTCCGCCTCCGCCGCCGCTGCTTTTCTCCGCCGCTCTTCCTCCTCCGCAGCAGCCTGTTTTCTAGTGCGTTCTGCCTCCTCTTCGGCCTCCTTTCTTCTCTGCTCCTCCGCCGCGGCCGCAGCCGCCGCCTCTGCCTCTTGGGCCCGTCTTTGTGCGGCCGCCTTCTCCCTCTCCGCCTTCTCTTCAATTCTACGTCTTCTGTGCTCCTGCAGCTCAACCCTCCTGGCCTCCTCACCCTCATCCCACGCCGAATGAGCCTCAGAGGCCCACTGCCTTGCAGAGGTGATGTGCTCCTCCTGTCTCTTGTCCTGGGCGCCCAGAAGCGGTAGTGACGACTCCGAGCAGCCAAAAACGTCCCGCCAGAGAGCGCTGCGCAATGCTGGGGCCACGAAGTCGAGGAGAAGCTCGAGTGCAGAGGCGGCAAGGAGGCGCTCCGCTTGTGTATGGCGATGTGCCGAGCTAGCGACAAAATCAACTTCTTGGCGGTCCTCCTCGTCGTTTTCCGCATCTTGCTCAGACCTAGTGAGAGTGGGCAATACAAGGCGATTGCTATCCTTCTCCTCCCAGAGCTGCTCAGGCAACCTGGCGCAGTAGTGCCCGAGCTGCGTGATCGTTTCGAGTAGAGCATGGTCCAGCGCTTGCATTGCATCCCGTCTGATCTCAACGGGGGCGAAGGACCGTAAGCAGTTCAGCCCAATGAGAACATCATTGAATAGCCTTGCGAGGGAGGCGAAGTACGGGACCGTCTCCATGCTGAGTGCGTCGCTTGCGCTGAGCTTGCCCACATCTCTGATTTGGGTCAGCCAGCTTGAGGGTGCCTGACCCGGCGCAGACGGGATGCACTCGACAAAATTACGGCTTGCCCTTTGCGCTGGAACCCGCACGATCTCCAATGCTGCTTCCTGCAATGCCTTGCCCGCCGTCAGAGCCAAAAGAGGCGCCACATCCCCTCCGAGTCTGGCGAGAGCCGCAGCCGCGTAGGAGAGCTGAGAGTGGAGCGCCATGAGACTTGAGACCAAATCGTCCGTCAAGCGTGTGACTTCCCGCGTTGACGTTCCTGAACTCGCTCCCTCCCTGACCTGCCCCACAAGCTTGTAGACCGCCCTTCCCACCTCTCCCTCCAGCATCCTCGTGTGCCGCCTGAGAAACGGGGAGAGAAGCTGCGGCATCTCGTTCAAGTCAGGAAAGAGAGACTGGGCCATCGCGCAGGTATCAGAGACCCCTTGTCGCCAGACGTCGATGTAGGCTGAAAGGTGGGCCGTCGCTGGGTTGTGCGAGGTGGAGATAGACTTGCTGAAGGAGTGAGGGGCGGAGAGGAGAGATCGGAGTAGGGTAGCCCGTGCCCGGAGAAATGCGAGGCAGAGCTGTGGCTCGGTAAGGGCAAGCTGCTGATGCTGCGGGGTGGGCTTGCTCGAGGAGGCGTGACCCACACCCGGCGCCTCGTCCAGTTCCTTGAGACCGCGCAAGCTTGTCATGCACCGTCTCGCCGCGCTTAATGCCAAGTTTCGACTCTGCAGCCCTTCCAAGAGCTGGTCTCTCAGCTCTTGTAAGCTAACCCAGCTTCGTGCCCTCAACGACTGCAAGATGGGGCCCCCACCCAGCGGGGAGTCCGGTCTGGCCAGCTTGGCTATGTAAGCCGCGAGCTCGATAGCCTCGCGATGGTTTCCATTTCGTATGCAGGTGGTGATGAGGTCAGGAATATCCAGCAAATCGGGCAGATTGGAGGCATGTGCTTCGAGGAGCTCATTGGCCCTCTCCCTCGCTGCGAGCGGTTCGCGGGTAAGGGAGGGAAAGTTGCGGGCCACTATTGCCAGCTGAGGGAGGTTCGTATCTACCAGGCCGCGAATATCGCCCTGCACCGACTCAACTGCCGCTGGAAGGGCAGAATTTGATTGATGGACGTGAGAAAGGGGGCCAACATGTCGCTGGCAAAGGGCTGAAAGCTGGTCGTCTAATGTCTTTGATGTTGAAGCTAGAAATTGCGGCTGAGATTCAAGGCTCTTGAGCGTTTGCGTTGTGAGAGAGGCAAGGAATGCTGATGCTGAGGATGCCGGATTGTCCAGGTCTGCGAGCGTTTGGGCAATGAGGGCCTTGCTGTCTTGGACGGTGGAATCGTCATCGAGGTGACTGGCGGCCGCCTGCCTGATGAGAGATTGGAGGGTTCCGCCTTGATTCGATGGAGCCGCTATCGAAGCTGCTCCTCTTCGATGGCTGGCAGACGTTCTTCGACCAAGTAGAACGCTCGACCGGCGCTCCGACTTGGGCGAGAGGGACGCCATGAGAGGGCGAGGTCAGTTGGGGAACGACGAAGTGAGGAGGAATCAATCCATACGAGGGCCAGTCAGTCTGGCGGTGGTCCGGGCGGCGGCGGACAGAGGCCCACGGATTTGGCGACTTGGCGACTTCTCTCTCTTCCGATCCAACACCATCACCTCCTGACGTAGCATCCTTGTTCTGCGCATGGCACCACAAAAGCATTGACTAGGGGCGTCACATTCGCCAACGGATCGTTGCCATGTTCGAGCGCACCCTCGAGTCGCTCATCAAGGGCCTGCGATCTCATCGCGGCGCAGATGAGGTCGCCTTCGTCGCGACCATTCAGGATGAGATCAGACATGAGGTCAGGTCGGGCGACGTGCAGGTCAAGGCCGAGGCAGTGCTCAAGCTGACCTACGTGAGTGACGAGGGCTTATACTAGACATTTGTATACGGCGTCTGACATTTTGTCGCGATCTCGCCCTCGCAGCTGCAAATGCTAGGGTACCCTCCAGCCTCGTATGCGTCCTTCCCTATTCTCGAGGTCATGGCAGCCTCGCAGTACCACATCAAGCAAGTAGGATATCTCGCTGCTGCGCAGACATTCAATCAGGACACCGACGTGCTCATTCTGGCTACAAACCTCGTCAAGAAGGTCAGCGCAGGCGCATATACACAGGTCCGTTGCAGACCTCACGCTGATCGCCGCTTCCCTTTCCTTGCCAGGACCTTCACTCTTCCAACCCGCTTGAGGTAGCGGTAGCAGTTAACGGACTATCTCGTATCGTCACGCCGGACCTTGCCCAGCATCTCGCCCCAGATATCATCGGTATGATGTCTGTATCACGATGTCATGCGGCAGTCAGAGAACGGCCAAAGCTGACCTCCTCGCCTCTCATCCCTCTCCTCGGCATCGCTCCCCAACAGGAATCACAGCAAGCCATCGATACGGAAACGCACTATCCTTGTCTTCCACTCTCTGATCGCCCACTATCCTCCCGCCTTAGACCAAGGCTGGCATCGCCTTCAAGAAAAGCTAGACGACGCCGACCCCTCTGTCGTCTCCGCCACGGTAAATGTCGTCTGCGAGCTTGGACGCCGTTACCCCAAGAAATTTTTGGCTCTCTCACCGCAATTGTTCGGCCTGCTCACAAACTCGACGAACAATTGGATGCTCATCAAGCTCGTCAAACTTTTTGGGTACTTGAGCCCGCATGAGCCCAGGCTGGTTCGCAAGCTCCTCCCGCCTATTAAATCCATCATCTCGACCACGCCGGCTCTCTCCCTGCTGTACGAATGTATCAACTCCGTCATATCTGGGGAGATGCTCGCCCTAGATGACGGCAGCGGCAGCTCGGACGAGCTGGCAGAAAGCTGCGTGGATAAATTGGCGGCCTTCTTGGAAGATGAGGAGGATCGCAACCTCAAGTACGTGGCGTTGCTCTCTCTCGTGAGGATCTTACCTACGCATCCGCATCTGGTAGGGCGGTATCATGAGGCGATCTTGGGTTCAATGGAGGACGAAGATTTGAGTATCAGGATGAGGGCTCTCGACTTGGCCGCGGGGATGGCGAGCAGGGAGACTTTGAGAGGGATCGTTGAGAGGTTGATGGCGCATCTGGAGGAGCCTGACACGAAGAAGCAGAAGAGGGGTACCGCAGCAGAAGGAGGAGCAGCGGCTGCCTTGCGCAAGGCCCTCTCCAGCGGTCCCTCAGTCAATGGCCCTCAAGCAACCACACCTTCATCTCTCGTCTCAACAAGTTACCGCCAAGAGATCGCGCGGCGCATCCTCCTCATGGGCTCATCAAACACATACGCGCACATTGACGACTTCGAGTGGTACGTCGGCGACGTCTTACTGCCATTGCTGCGTACCCAAGAGGGGGTTGCAGATCTGGTCAGGGGACAGTTGATCGACGTCACCTTGCGTGTGAGGGCAGTCAGGCCATTCGCAGTTGAGGCGATGGAGAAGCTTCTTGGCGATGCGTCTTGGAGTATCGGTGGACAGGGGATCGAGCAGCTGCATGCCCTCGCTGCTGCGGCGTGGATCTGTGGAGAGTACCACGAGCACGTCCTCAACCCGCGCATTGCAGTCGATCTCCTTCTCCCCACGGGCCTACTTCCCGGTGGTGCAGGAGACGGCAATGACGACGACCAGTCAGATATCAGGGTATCGACAATGTCCGTATGCATTCACGGCGCCGTCAAACTTTTCGCGCACTGGGCTGCTTCTCTCTCCACCGGTGCGGGGTCCAATGGCAGCGATTGGGATGACACTCGCCTCGAGGAGGTCAGCAACGTTGCCGCCCTTCTCTCCGAGAGGCTCAACCTCTTCGTTGACCAACCGCACTGCGAGGTCGCAGAGAGGGCGAGAGAGTATGCACACCTCTTTGAGTTCGTGCTTAAGGATCTGGAAGGGGCACAAAGGGCTGCAGCGGCTTCCAAGCCAGTAGGTGAGGAAAGGGCAAAGAAACAAGCAGCGCAGTCGTCCGCTACGCCTCTTGCGCCACCTCCAACCGATGAGAGCACAGCAAGTTGGGGCGAGTCGACCGCTCTGAACCTCACGGCGTCTTCCTCCTCGACATCCCTCTCATCCCAGCCGAGAGGGCCAAAATCGCTGCACCTTCTCTCCCCTCTCTTCACGCCCGCGCCAATGGGCCCCGTCGCTGCTCAGGCACAGAAGAAGGTGCCGCCGCCACCACACTTGGATCTGCGAACGAGCCTGGGTGGGGAATGGAGCGTCGTGATGCCGGAGCCACCGGCCAAGAAGGACAAGGAAAAGGCAACAGGGGCTGAGCCTTCTTCGTCGAAGCTGGCTGCCCCGAGTGGCAGTAAGAAGACCAAGAAGAGCAAGCGTGATGAAATCGACCGTAACATTAGCGAGGGCAAAAGCAAGGCCTCGTCATCGAGCCCAAAGCTAGTCGACGACGACCTAGAAGATGTACCCATCGTCCGCCTGTCCCTCTCTGACCTACCCGGCCTGGCTGAATCATCATCGGCGGGAGGAGCGCGCAATGGCGAGGCGGAGAGCAAGAGCGATGGCAGTAAGAAGAGAAAGGGGACGAGAGACAGGGAGAAGGACCTGTTGCAGGAGGTGGAGGAGATGCCGCCCGGTGTTGCCGGCCCCGATCAGAAGGATGGTGCAGCATCAAGACGTAAAGAGAAGGCTTCTTCCGCGAAATCTCCTCCGTCTGCTGCTACTCTTCAGCAGCCTGCCAATGGATCAGCCTCCAAAGCCGTTGGCGTCGGTACGCCCGCGGACGTGGACAGAGGCGCAGAGACACCCTCACCGACGCCAACGATGGTAAAGAAGAAGGACGGCGGCAAAGCGAAGAAAAAGTCGAAGAGGGCTGCGGCCGGTGTAATGATAGACTGAACTCGGCGACAGAGGGTGGCGACGCGACGCTGTAATGCTCAATTGTTTTTTCCAATGAATTGCCAAGTCACTAGCAGCGACGAATCCCTGTACAGACGATGCTACCACGTCACGAATGTCATATTCTCGCCTCAAGGCCACCCACCCCCATACAGCTCCTGATCCTTAGGCTCATAGTCGATTCCCTTTGCCCCACCATCGACCTTCTTCAGAGCCTCCTTCCACGGCTCGTAGTCCTCGCCATACTTCTCCAACAACCTTTTCAAGTCTGCCCTCTGCTCCTGCAGGGCTGGCGGTGGGTTTGCCCAGGTGTCCTCGAACAGGACCGAGAGGGGGGGCTTGTGGCGCTTCTCCGCCTTGTTCATCGCTGCGAGCACGTCCTTCCTGTGCGTCTTTACGAGGTCCGCCTCCTCAGCGTCGCTCCACCAGCCGCGAGAGATGAGGTACTTGCGCATGCGGTGAATCGGGTTGTCTGTTTGGGTCCATTCTTCTACGGAGGACTTGGGCCTGTAGGAGCCCGAGTCGTCGGAGGTGGAGTGATGGCCTACGCGGTACGTCATGAGCTCGAGGAAGACGGGGCGAGAGGCTTCGAGGGAGCGTCTCTTCGCTTCAGACACGGCGTACAGGACCGCGAGGGCGTCGTTACCGTCCACGCGGATGGTGAGGGTGCCATAGCCTGGCCCACGAGCCGCAAGTCCATCTCCTCTGTACTGGTCGATGCTCGCAGTCGAGATAGCGAAGCCGTTGTTCCTCGCCAACCAGAGCACAGGGCAGTTGAGGGTGCTGGCGAAGTTCAATCCAGCATGGAAATCGCCCTCCGACGCTGCGCCTTCACCGAAGAAGCACGCGGCTACATTGTTCTCGCGGCCCGCGGTGCGCTTGAGAGCGTAGGCTGCTCCTGCTGCGTGCGGGATCTGGGTCGCGAGGGGGGAGGCGACAGTGTGGAAGTGAAGAGCCCTGGAGCCAATGTGGTTGGGCATTTGACGTCCTTTGCCCTGGTCCAGTCTGCGCAGTGAAAAGGGGTGGGTGGGATGCGTGAGCTCTGCACCCCAAGACCATGGCGCTCTGTGCCGCTTCGACCGTATACTCACGTTGTCCCCATGACCTGGTTCATACAGGTGTCGAGTCCGAGTCCTCTGTGCATGAGGACGCCAATCTCTCTGTACTGTGAGAAGACCTCATCGTCGGTCGCGAGAGCCTCTGCCGCACCGACAATGGCTGCCTCTTCACCGTAGGAAGTCATCCAGAAGGAGACGCGACCCTGCCTCTGCGCAGAGTAGCAGACCTGGTCCAGCTGAGGCAGGAGGGACATCGTCTTGTACATCTTGAGGGCACGCTCCTTGTCAATCTGCAGCAGCGAGCAATGACGGGAACATATCGTGTCAGTTTTGCTCGGCCACTATTTGAGCTTGGTCCGCGCTCGTACTCACCACCTCGCCAATCAACTCCTCGGCCATGCCATCAATAGCCGCTCCATCGGCATCCATGAGCCTGAAAGTGGGGATCGCCTCGAGGACATTGCCCTCTGCGTCCTTCCACACGCGCATATTGCTAAAGAAGCAGTCGTCGATGTCACTTAGGAAGGCAGAGCCGGGCTTGTTGGGCAGGTGGCCGGCCATTGGGCGCGAAGGGGGAGTTGGGGGGCGACGACGAGGTGAGACATGCTCGTTTGCTGGCTCGGAGACGGGGGCAGATGAGGATGTGTTGCGAGTCAAGAGCAGAGCAGGGGCACGGGCGGCTGCTCGCGAGCTGGCTGATCGCCAGGCGGAGAGGGCGCCGCGGGATGCTGTGGTTGAGGAGCGCAGCATCTTCAACGTCGTCGTAGCACGGAGAAGTGTGGCAGGATGGAGATGGTAGGGTAAAGACAGGAGCGAAAGAGGTCTGAGCTGCCTCTGACTCCTTCTTGACCTGTTGGACAAGACGAGATCGGCAGCCGCCTTTGCCTTTGCTGCTGCCGCTTTGCTTTGAGCGCGAGGCTGCTGCGTGGGTTGGTGCGTGCGGGGAAGCCACAGGCCTGGAAATGCAATGGCTGTAGCGGACCGATAGTGAGGCGGTTGGTGTCCTGCCCTCGCATAGGGCCGGTCGGCGAGAGCGCCGCGAGCCGCGACACTGCACTGCGAGATGCATGGTCAGGACGCGGAGCGAGCGGACGGACAGGGCGGGGGACCGCATTGCAAAAGCCACGAGACTCGACCTTGTCTCACGGCAGCCTCGATCACTTTCTTGATGGGGGTCGACCTGGCCCAGCTACTGCCAGGCAAGCGCCGCAAACGAAAGATACACCAGCCTCGCGCTCTTCAATTGGCATGACGACGAAGGGGCTGGGCTAACGATGTGATGTGATGTGATGTGACATGGTGAGGGATGCCAGAGGGCCCCAGGTGAAGAAAGGAAGAAGGGCTAATGAAGAGCGAACATAGATGCCGTGTTTGCCCTGGTTGGAACGAAATGAAAGGTAACGACGGTGCACACGAGCTCGTAGACCAGGCTCATCGATCTTCACAGCATATCTCGAAAGCGATGGCCGGGCTCAAGCGCTCTCTCATCCCTCACTTTACTTCTTCAACCCCAATTCCTCCTGCACCACCCCCACCTTCTCCCGTAGTACCTCCGGGAAGCTCTCAGCGACATGCGCCAGACTCCTCAGATCCTCTTCATCCAACAGCTTGATAGTGATCTTGGGCGCGCCCTTGAAGCCGAGACCCTTGATCTTCTTGAAGAGAACGTCGCCGAGTTTCTGCTTGCGCTCGGCTTCGCGAGACTCGGAGAGGATGCGGTCCATCATGGCGTCTGTGGACGACCAAACAGCTTGGTCGACGGGGGCCACAGGGAGTGAAGTCGGAGAGGCGCGGGCGAGGGAGACGATCTCTAGGCAGGGGAGGCGCGCTAGGGAGGCGAGAGTGTGGGTGGGGCCGCCGGCTGGAGAAGTGGCGGATGCGGTGGGCTCCGCAGGCTTCGTAGCGGCGGCAGCTGTGACTCTGTCGGTGCTGGCGCCCTCCTTGGCGAGTTCAGACTTCGCAGCACCAATATCCTCGTCATCGTTCATCTGCAAGATGGCTTGCGCCGCGTCAACCTTTGTCTTGAGATAGTCGCCGTTGAAAAGGGCCATCGCGCGCTCCTTCTTGGGCAAGCCGACGAGAAGCTCGACGATATCGTCGACTGACGATGGGGAAGCGGTGGGCAGAAGCTTGACAACTGCTTGTACGAGACGCTCCTTCTCTGTTTGCGGAGTGGGTAGAGGCTCGACAGTCGATGCTCCGTTAACTTGAGCTGCCGGCCCTTCGGTCGCAGCGGCTGCTACAGGCGCTTGCTTCTTCTCGGCAGGCAGGTCCACCGCCGCTGGCTTCGGTGTGTCGGCAGCAGCGGGCTCCTTCTTTTCCTCTTCCCTCTTGATCTCTCGTACGTGCCTCTCAAATGCCTTCGAGTCATTAAGTGCCCCAATCTGCTCGCTCAAACTCAACCCTACCAATCCCTTCACGATTGTCCTAACATCATCGTCATCGTTCCGCCCAGGCAATTCTCGTGCCCGCTTGATAAACTCCGTCATGATGATGTCGTCCCTTTCTGTGGGCTCCATGCGGGACAGCTCGATCTCGTCGAACGCGCCCGCCCCTACAGAGGTGGCCGTCGTGCTGGCCGAGAGCTGTTCATTGCCCATGGGTGTAGAAGTGAAGTAGCCCTTGTTGCTGTTGGAATTGCTGGGAGAGACAGGCGAGCGAGGGCTCATTGACGGGCTGACACTGGGGCCACGACTGCTTGCACCACCTGCGCTACCCGCACTGCTTGAGCCGCTGAAGATGCGAGCCAGCTTCTGCTCGCGCACCTGCTTGGGTTCGTGAACGCGGATTGTGATGGCCTTAGTTCCTACCTGCTGCCCGTCAAGAGCCCGCATGGCTGCCGTGGCGCTTTCGGGGGTGCTGTAGCTGACGAAGCCGAACTCGCGACTCTTGCCCTGGTCGTCGCGCATGACGCGGGCCGAGGTGATATGTCCGAAGGACTTGAAGAGGGAGAAGAGCTCGGAATTGTCGATGCTGGGACAGAGGTTCTTGCAGAAGAGATTGCAAGGGTCGATCGAGCCTGAGAGAGGGGCAAACTCTTGTCCTGGCGCGGAGGAGGCTGTGGGGACAAAGGATGGCGCACGGGCGCTCAGCTTGGAGCCGACCCCGGGCGCATCGCCTACGCTCGGTCGGCGAGAGGTATCGGGGGCGACGGAGATGAGCTTGCCACTGATCTCGAGGCAGTGCAGCTGGTTCTGGCCCTGTGCAGCGAGAGCAAGGGAGGCGTAGTCAGTACAAGTACTGTTTAGATGGAGCGTACCCGCTCGCACCCACCTTGATCGCATCAGCTTCATTGTAGTAGACAACGTTCGCCATACCCTTGAATCCAGTATAGTGGCCTTGAAGATTCGTCTCGATGCACTGAACGCGGGCAATGGCGCCAAAGGGTCGGAAGAGATTGTAGACGGCAGTGTCGTCTGTAAGAGGAGGCAGCCCTTTGACAAGGCGGGGCTTGGCAGCAGGCTCAGGCTCCTTGTGTGTCACTGGTCGAATGCGGAGGCTGACATTGCGGACTGTGGCTAGAGCGAGCTCGGCTGGTGGGGAAGGAGACGTGGTAAGCGCGATGCATACTGTCGCCGCTTGTTTGCTGCTCACTCTTCTCCATGCTCTGAAACTCGACTGTGCCCGATGCAAGCTGGCCAGCAGGTGTATTGCGATCAATGTTGAGTCTGTGTACGTGGAGAAAATTCAGTTAGCAAGCTGCAAGCTATCTACCCCTCCTGTGGCGGCTTGTCGCGCGTACGCACCTCACGGGTAGGCAATGCGAGAAGACCTCCGAAGCCAGCTCTCGATCATCGATCTGCGGGTCAAGGCCAGTGATATAGAGGAATGGCTGCGACAGATATGGATGCTCAGGTGCATCTCGGAGGGTATCCTGTGCCTCGGCAAAGCCATTGCTGTTGGCCATGGTGTGTGTGCGGTTCGAGGGCAACGGGAGCTTCCTTGGGGTTAGGTGAGGTCGTCAGCGGCGAGGTATGCTTGATCTTGGCGTTCGTGCTCTCTTCGTATGAGAGGTGTTGGTCGTCAGCAGCCCGGGTAGTCGAGCGCGCGCGATGATGTGCGCAGCAGCAGGGTATCGAAGGGCGAGGTCGAGAACTCGTCGTGGAGGAAAAGGGAGCGAAGGTGAGAAAGTGTTGGACTCGTTCACGCTCAACGCTCTCCCGCATCACCCGCTCTGTCTGTCTGCCTCCTAATGCGCCCGCTCATCTTTCGCTTGTCCGCCCAGGAAACCGCCGCGACGAGTTCAAAATTGGCAGCCCCGAACAACTCCGCGCCCACGCGAGCGAGCCGCCCGAGTCCACGTCTCACTGGTGGTCAACGGCCATTCGATGTCACGATAGCGAGACAAAGAGCAAAGCAGATGAGATGGAGAGGACAAGCTCGCGGCCCCTTCTCTTTGACCGCATTGATGTCTCAAGGACCCAGCGTCGCATTCCTGAGCCGTCAAAGCACCGCTGTACCACGCGCTGCGTGCGCCCATAGCCCGGCGTCAGTCTGAACCTTGGCCTCGCGGGCGTCGCCGCTGTGGAGGTCTGGCTGACCAACTTCGCAGCAACCGTGACCTGGACCCTTGAATAGGCCAGTTCGCTGTCCGTCCATCCACTTTCGCTCAACGCTCTAAATCTTCTCCCTCTCTACACCTCGCATCTCAACCACTATCGCAGCAATGGCCGGCCCCTCAAACATCAACAAGCCCTACGCAGAAGCTTCTCACGAAGGGGACGGTGTTCCCGCAAAGGCTAAGACGGTCAACCAGCCCTCTCACATCGAGGAGAAGAAGGAATCGCTACGTTCTCTGCATCGCGATCCGAGCCATTCGCCAGAGGCCATCTCGAATCGCGCTACGTCGGGCAAGAGCGGTGGGTCTGGCACGTCCAACAACTATGGGAAGAGCCACTCGAGCATTGCGGCTAGTCATGGAGCTGGGGGACAGGGGAACAACAGCAGCTCATTTGCAGGGGATGCCGAGCAGGTGAGTTGGCGTGATGAAGGCGGCAATCGTAGTGAAGGCACCAAGCTGAGTGTATTCACAACTCTGTCGTCCGCAGCCGGAGCCGCCTCTCTCACCATCGCTTGTATCATCAAAGCGTCTGGTATAGATTGGAATGGATATAAGCGCCACGACCTCTCTTCTGCATCATGTTTCCAACAAGCAAATGACATCACCATCACTTCGCAAGCCATTTTTACATGCGCCTCAGTCAACATTGCCATTGCCTCTCCTCTTCAGCCTTACTTCCTCTCAGCTGATTCCGGTATTTTGGAAGCGGGGACTGCGCACCATCTCCGTGGCCTTTGCCAGCTGCTTCTCGGTCTCTGCGGAGAGTTCCCCCAGATGACGCAAGAGCATGTCCAACAACATCAGTCCATCCTTGATTACGACATTTGGCTGCTGCTTCGAGGCGGCATCGCTGAATATGCGGTCGTGCTCCGCCTTGAGGCGCTTCTGGGCTTGGCCGAGATCCTTGTCCACGCTTTGCGCGCTCATCTCGTTGAGCTGGGCAGTGAGGCTGACGAAAATGGCTGATACTTTGCGCACACGAAGGGAGAGCTCGCTGACGGTGGCTTGAAGCACAGCGTGGTCCTTGCTCCGCACAGCGCATTCAGCATCATTAGCGAACGCGAGGAACCTTTGCCGGAGCTGATCGTGTTGCGAGAGGAGCGTGAGATTGGCTTCGAGTTGAGGTGTGAGAAGGTCTTCGCGAGGCGTGGCCTTGTGATCGTTGTCCCTGACGGTGGGCTCGAAACCGGTGAATCTGTGCTGCGGTAGCAGCGGCGGCGACGCCGGCAGAGTCAATGCTTCGGGTCGTTGCTCCTTTGTATTGTCAGGAGGCTCTTGTTGAATCAGAGTGCGATCCGCATCGAGAGGCGGATTGCTTAGCGCAAAGGATGCCTCCTCCTTTGACTCTTCCTGCCGCGAGGGTTCCTGGATGTCTACAGCGTCGTCGTACTTATCATCGTCGTCCGATGTGTTGGCCAAAGGCGTGGTCAGCCGAACAGGATGGGATGGAGGAAGGATGCCGTTAAAGGCCACAGGCGTGCTAGGGCCAGAAGCGGGCTCATCCATGTCTATGAAGAAGCTGTGCGCAGGACTTGAGGAGGTGGAGAGGGAGGGGGCACGCTCTTGCGCCTCTACCATGATGCTCTCGCTCATATCTGATTCTGCCGCTCTCGACGGCTGAAGGAGATCACGCTGTCTTGAGCTCGTATCCGACGCTCGGACCTCTCGCAGCTGTCAATGGCCTCGTCGTCGCTCCATCTGTTTGGCTGCATGCGAAGTGAGCAGGGAGCGATGAACGGATTGATAGGGATGGACGAAAGGAGTGCGGGCCGAGATGAAGAGAGACTCGATGAGAAGGACGACGAGAGGAGAGGTGGCTGGCGGCTCGAGATGAAGTTGGCTTGGAGACGCACACACATCAGGCTCTATGGCCTGCCAGCTCTGCTAGTGCCTTTTCTACCTCGGCAGCCTGGAGTCTGCTATACTCGATACTTCTGAAATGGTATCACGGTTCCCCTGGAGGACCCCCTTTGTCCTTTACGCAGCATAAAGTGCTTCTTGATCGTTGCTTGCTGACCATGACGGCGACAGGACGATGCTGGCACCTCTAGTTTGGCGGCTCTTTGTTGCCTCAGTTGCCACCTGGGTCGCCACGCGCTTGACTCTGCAGCCGCGCTTCCGCTTCGTGCCCCTCTGCTCCGCCGCCACCGCCGCCGCCGCCCCCGTGGAACGCTGAGGCCACCGCCCACCGTTCGCCTGCACGTCCGCCTTTGTGCGACCTCGACTGACCGCTTTCGACCTTGTCTCCATAACCTCACGATCGAACTACTGCCAGCTCCTCGACTCTTACGCAGGCTCCTACCTCTTCACTCAGACGCCATTGATTGGTGCGGCTAATAGCTTTTGTTTCTGCGACATCGCCCACCGCCACTATCAAATCGCGATCACGTCACACCCGCATTCGACGCCATCCGACCCCAAAGCATCGTCTCCTCTTCCGAGTTCTCCTGCAAACACGGTCTCAACAAAGGCCTCGACGACGACGTTTCTCAGAGGCTAGCTATCTACGCTTCCCTCCCAACTCTGTTCACATCTGGTCAAACAAGTCACTCACGGCCGCTTCGTTCTCTGTATCTCGCTGCATAGGACCCAAGTTGCTGTATCTCTACACCAATTGTCCACCAGAGCATTTTCTCTCCAGTGGCCTCACCATCGACCAAGACTTCCCAGCAAGTTTCTGTTCTATCGACCGACAACCATGCTTGCGACGATGCGACCTAGCTCCGTTCAATCCACCAACCTGCATCAACAACCGCCCTCTAGAGCCAGTTCCATTGCTTCTTCCCACCACTCCTCCAAGTCTACCGCATCCTCCTCCAACCACCGCATGGCAGAAAGCGCCATCGCAAAGCCTAAGACCGCAGCCAAGCGACCCAACAACAAGTCTGGGGCTGCAGGCGGTCACAAGGCGACCCACGTCTCTTCTGAGGAGAAGCAGGGCAGCGGTAGCAACAGCCCTCGTCCTCGATCCAAGAAGGCTCTGCCCTCGCACGATGAGGTGCACTTGCAGGCAATGAAGTCAACCCCTGGTCTGCTGACCCTCAGCAAGCCGCTCGAGGAGGAGGCGGTCTCTCGTAAGAGCACAGCAAAGCCGAAGAAGGACAGGAAGAAGGCGGTCGCAATCGATGAGTCGACTCCCGAACCTCCTTCCTCTTCCATCCACCATCTCTCCAGCTCTGCACCGGAGACATCACGACCACTGAGCAAGAGGAGCGAGAGAGCGGCACCTGAACGAGATGCAGCTGCATGGGAGATGCCTTCCTCTGGCGGATCAGCGCAGGGCCAGCCAGCACTCAATTGGCAGCAGCAGCTCATGAACGCGCAGCCGTCGGGCAACAAAGCTGCGACCATCTCCGCAGCAGCCACAAAGAAGGCGGCGCGCAAGCAAGCGCAGCAATCTACCTCTTCCGCGAGCAGCGATGCCCTCACTTGGCAGCAGGAGCTCTTTAATCCAGCCGCCAAGGCCAAGCGCGGCCCCCAGTTCGACGTCTTCGCCGACGCGCGAGACGTAGAGACATTTGGCGGGGTCAGTGAGGATGAGAGCTCTCGCTCTCGTACCAGCAGTGTGGGCGAGCTCAAGGCTGGAAAGACCGGCAAGAAGGCTGGCAAGGGGGGCAAGAAGGTCAGCGCCGCGCAGGACATAGCAGCTGGCGACCTGTCCCTTGATGAAATTTTCGCTGCAGGGCCGGGCTCAGGCTCCGCATCTACGGGGTCAAATAGCAAGAGCCACATCCGCATCCAATCCATGCCGCCTGGTGCTGGCGGCCCCTCCACTCCCGCGAAACGCGCCAACCCTCCATTCTCCACGGCCCATCACGCTTCCTCCCCAGCCTTGAGCTCCAACCTCGCTCCTCCTCACGACGCAGCGGCAGCAGCCGCTGCGGCCTATGCAGGCCCAAACTTCCACAACTCACCCAGCGCGGCTAGTCTGCCGGCGCCCAAGTTCGGGAGCCGCATTAGGGAAAGGTCTTCGGCGCTACAGCGTCAGGACTCGAGGAGTAGCACCAGTAGCGGGGGTGGGCGGGCAGCCGGCGGTAGCAGCGATGCGGAGGGAGCAGCAGCCTCCGAAGTCGGCTTGCCTCGCTCAGCCAGGGGCGCAACCGCCCCCCCTGCGCCTATGAGCTCTTCTTACCCTTCCTCTGGCCTGCCGGGGTCTTCGTCGTCGTACGAGGCAATGCCAGCTGACTCGTCGTCTTCACTGTCCTCCAACGATCCCGCTAGCAGCGGAGCCAACAAGTCGTCAGCGCCGTCCACGATGACGATGGACAAATCGGCTACTATCGAGAATCTTCTTGCTCGACTGATGGGCGGGCCGACGATTTAAGCCCGTTGTCAGCTCATCACTACCACTACATCCTCTCTCTTGCGACACCTACCCTCGATCCCTCCACACACACCGCGACATCGACACGATCCCTCCTGCGGCTTCAACATGACGCAGTGAGCGTAGCTACGTCGCCGTCAAAGGCGCCACCCTTCTGCTCTACTTTCGCCACCCTATGACCTCCGATCCGATTTCGCAACATTTCCGTTCCCCTTCTATCGCGCTCGCTCTTCCAAAGCTACCAGTGCTTGTACCTTCCCCGATTATGCGGGGTCGTGGAAGAGCTATTTACCGCGTGCTTCATCCTCTTTCTCTACCTCCTTGCGCGCCCTTCATCTTGTTGCTTTTCTTCCTTCGACACCTCATTCGTCCTCAGTTCCCCCGCTCTTTCTCCTCTCCCAGCGTACACCCCACCTTCCAATCCGATCATCCTACAACCTACTCGCCTTTGCTCGGGTGGCCTGCATATCACGCGTGTAAATCACCTGTCTGACAGCAAGTCGTAGGTACTCAATCTCCCCACTGAGAGAAGGTGAACAGAGGCAATGCAATTCCTACCCAACTGTACGTCACCCTTCAATCAGCCCATGCACTCTGAGCCCGTCTCACCTCCTCTAGACCATCAGCATGGTCGAGGAATCTTCCATCCTCTCTGGCGTCTTCATCGCCATCCTCACTTCCACTTTCACTTTCACTTTCGCTCTCGCTCTCGCTCTCATCTTCGTCCTCCTGCCTATCCTCCTCTTCTTCATCGCTCTCCTCCTCGCTTTCCTCCTCCTCCTCCTCCTCCTCCTCGCTGCTGTCCTCGCTACCGCTGCTTTCCTGCTCTTCCTCACTCTCCTCGTCCAGAAAGGCGTCTAGGTCCTTGTACTTTCCCTTGCCCTGCGGCGGAGCAGCCATCATCGCTGCCGTAGTGGGAGCGCCACCGACTGGTGAAGCGTGCCCGGAGCTCGACAGGGATCTCGCACCACCACCTATAGCTGCACCAGCGCCCGAGCTGCTGGGCAAAGAGGCAGGGGCGGCGAGAGGCTCAACGGCAACTACGTGGTCTCGTACCGAGGCTGGAGGGAGGGCAGAGGGGCTCGAGGTCCAGGAGGGGAGACCGAGTCCGACTGTGTTCGCTTTTCTGTCTACCATCGAGGATCGGAGGAGCGGTGATCGGCCCGCTGGCAAGAGGGCGAGTCTGGCCGGATCCAGGAGAAGGGCGACATCCACATCGCCCTGTTCAGGCGAGGTCGTTGCTGTGGAGACATCGGGTCGCTCATTGAAGAGTACCTTGAGTACCTGTTCCCTTCTCAGCCTCACGCCAGGTGTGGCAACCGCTTCTTCGTCCTCCTTCTTCCCCTGAGTCTGTTTGGACGCGCCGCTCTCAAGGCCAGCGGTCAAGCCCCTCAAAAACCTTGCGCGGTCCCTCACATCCACGCCAGGGTCGTACCGTGCAAGGTCGAGGATGTAGGAGAACAAGTGACGCACTGCGATTGGTGTTTCCGTTGCCTTCGCCTCGGTGGAGGGCTCAAGGAAAGTAGCCAACTTCGCGCCCATCCCCAGAATAGCGAGTTTGGCTTCCTGTCCCTCTGCGGAGAAGTTGAGAGCGGCTTTGCGCAACACTTCAGGAAGAATGGTCTCGGCGAGGCTCCGGTGCTGCGGTTGTTGCGCAAGTGGAGCACTGATGTTCTGAGCAGCTACAGGTACCTTCAGCTGACAATACTGACCCAAAAGCCAGAACAGGGTTGCCCGCGCTTGTGTGTCGTGGAGAGAGGATTTGCCGAGCAGTTTGAGACTGCTCGAAAAAGACGATCCTTCGCTGCTGGAGGCAGAGGGCACGTCGGGCCTGAAGAGGTGCTGCGAGAGGGTGTAGACGAGCAAGCCTGCCGCGCTGTCGCTGTTCGAGGATGGTTCTCCTTCCGTCTGGGCAGTCATGCTTGAGCCCTTGACCTGTACAATCGCCTGCAGCACGTCCACTGCTCGCTGAACAGCACGGCTGTCTCCCTCGCCAGAGGCGCTCTGCTTTCCTTTACTTCCGGTATGCGACGAAGAAGACGAAGTCTTCAGCATCGCGAGCAACACCTGCGTACACCTGTCCATCACGCTGTCGGCCCCGGCTGCGTCCCGCATCGCAGCCGCCGACGTGGCGAGGCGACCAAGGGCTCCTGTCGCATGAGCCTTGAGTGCTGCCTCTGGTCGGTGCAATGCGGCCTCTTCGAGCTCGTCGAGAGCGAGATTCTCCACCGACCCATTGTGTTTTGAGCCGATGGCCAGGTCCACGAGGACATCAAGCTTCGCCATGCTGAGCCACACCGGTTCTCCCGCGAGCGTCGTCAGGGACACGAAATTTGCGGCTACTGTCTCCGAGCAGGATGCAGCGAAGAGATCCGGCCGTATTGAGTTGAGGACACGGACGAAGTGCAGGGCAACGAGGGCTTGCGAGGCGTGAGAGTGGGTGAGACGGAGGAGGGGCTGAATGAGCTGGGTATGCGTAGGGCTTGCCGATGGGAGGAGGGACAGGTAGAGGTGGGCTGACGATAGGACCGACGCCGAGTTGCGACTCGAAAGAAGCGGCTGCGTCTTTGCCAGCAAAAGCTCCAGATCCGCATCCAATCCAGTTCCCCATCTCGTCCTACCCGGCACCTTCTTCTCTCCTCGAGGATCCTCGACAGCTTTGCCCGCCTCATCTGATGGGCGTGGCAAATTCAGCCTAGCGTAGCTGGCCAACACCCGCAGCGCTGCAGGCTGATTCCATTCATCGATGTCGACCAGAGCGTGGCAGATGCGGCGAAAATGTGGATGGAGTAGGTCGTACCGATGTGGGATGGTGCAGGTGAAGGCGAGGAGTGCTGAACCTAGGACGGAGGGATGCTTGTCGGCGAGTAAAGTCGAAAGGTGCGGAACCAATGAAGGTAGCAAAGAAGGGGCTAGCTCAGAGCACTTGGCAATTGCATCTGCCGCAATTCTTCTTACGTAGAAGCTGGCATCGCGCACGCTGCGAGCGATTGCCATCTCCATGATCGATGCCGCCATCTTTACTCCCAAGCTGCTGAGCACGCGTAGTGCCATGCCACGAATCAGAGGTGACGGATCGGCGAGATCGCGCTGAAAAGAGTTGATGGAGAGGAGTGCTACATCTGGTTGAGCAGGTGCAAGGCGCAGCGTGACGAGGTAGACGAGCGTCTTGACCTGCAAAGACTGGACGGAGGTGAGCTTGAGGACCGAAGGAAAGAGGTGATCGGCGGCAGGTAGTGATTTCGAGATCATGGCGACTACTATGCGTAGACCCTCGATGCGTTCATGCTCTGCGCTGCTCTCGAGCTTGTTGCGTGTCGCTCGTAGCCCTTGGTCGCCTACTGCACCAACGTCGACTTGTGCCAGGTAGCGATCTGCTCCTGCTGGGCCGCCGCCATGTTGTCCTCCCGGTGTCGAGCCACCGAGGGCTCCAACGAGGGCGGCTTGATAGTCCTCTGCCCGCTCTGTGAAGTAGGAGATGGCTCGCGATGCCGACGAGCCGGGCGTTGATGTCATGACGAGCAGCACAAATGGGAGAGGAGCAAAGGAAGCTAAGAACCAACCAACTTGAAGCCCAAAGTCGCGCTTCCGCTTCCCGCTCCCGCTCTCGCTCTTGTTGCGAGTGGCCCGAGCGAGGGGCGGCGAGGGGCAATGGCGAGGCTCAGTCCAACGGAGGCGTCATGCAATCAGCAATCGGTCCTTGTCCCTTGTCTGTATCGTGGAACACAGGTCAACACCACATCCACACTGATTCCTATCCTATCAGCATTGCAAGTCCCGACTGCAACTCCCTGCGTCTACACTACCCGATCTCCTCCTCCAGCATTGGGCCCTCGTCGGCCTCGAGTCTTGCCACTCGCCTCGCCTCGCCTCTTCTCTTCATCCGCCATGCGCATACATCGCGCTCACGATGGCAGAACAATCGATGTTCAGCAGCCCCTCTCCAATTTTGGCTCCGTCGATGAGCTCCTCGACTCACTTTCCCTCGCAACCGCCATCCCCGCAGATGGTATCATTTGCATGTCCGCAGACGGGGTCCAACTCTCAGACGATCTCCTCGCAACCCTCTCGGCTCAAGCAACAGATTCGTCCTCGTCACACCTCGTCGACTTCTTCGTCTTCAGCAGAGACTTCCTCTACGCAGATGTCGATTCCATTGCTCAGGAGCTCGCAGAGAGCCCCAACTTAGCCAGGCCGGTCGAGGCTATCGACATCGTTCGCCCGCCTACGCCGCGATCACTCGAGGCCCTCGTCGCTTGGACTCATCAGGTGCTCGAGGCGATCCACAGTCATGCTTCGACGTCTCGCAGCCATCATGAAGCTCTCTGTACCATTCAGCGCAGCACATCCGTTGCTCTCCTCAACCTCATCTCCCACTCTGGGACAGTGCAGACCAATGGCCTCTCCATGAAGGAGAGGAACAACGCAGAGCTCAGCCGGATGGCCAGGCTCCTTGAAGGCTACCAGCGCGACTTTGAGATTCTCGGGCTCGTACAGGTCCATCCCCGCCTTGCCACCAGTGGCAATAGCGGTGGTAGCAGCAATAGCGGCAGCAGAGATAGCTCCACGCCCAATCCTGCCAGCACCAATGGCTCCATGCCTTCATCTTCCAAACGCACGCTGGCAGACTATGTCAGCAGAGTCAAGATGGGAGCTGTCGCCGACGCCTGCTTCAAGGTCCATTCTGAGCTGCGCGCCCGTCTCGATGAGCTCCAGGGCAATGCAGATCAGCTTGACGCAGATACTTTGGACGTGCGGCATGACATCGAAGGCTTCAGCATAGCACCCTCGACGGAAACATCAGACGAGGCTATACATACACAAGAAAGGGCGGAGGACCTCGCAGCCTTCCTCGTCGATACCTGCGCTCCAGACGACAATGGCTGGCCAGTCGCAGACAAGCTGCAGGGCGACGCTCTCGGTCAAGTGGAGTCAGCCGTCGAACAGCTTAAGGCATTGGATCAAGCATCAAGGGAGCAGGTTCGCCGCCTCACAGCGGACAAGAACGATGTCATCGCTCGTAGTCTCGCTCACTTGGGCGACATCAGTAGCCTACAATCCGACTATGCCGACCTCGCTGCTAGCATGGCCGCCTTTCAGGGCGAGCTCACCTCCAATCGCGTCGATGGGTTTCGCCACCTGCAGAGGTTGAGCAATATGCTTTGGGCGTATGGAGCGACTGTTGTCGAGACTGTACGGCGAAGGGAGTTCAGCCGCCACTTCTTGACAAAAAGTCAGGCCCTCGCGGAGCTCATGGCCAAGGTCTCAGCGAGAGAGCGTAAGCGCAGAGGCAAATACCGCACAGATGTGGCGGGCCAGCTGCCGTGGGAGGTCAAGGGCATGGACGAGGCGCCGCCTAGTCTGGAGATCTCAACGACCAAGAGCACTGGCCTCACGCCTGAGCTGGAACGAGCCGACATTGACAGCTTAGTGCAACTCATCGAGGAGATCGAGACGACACTCGCCAAGGCGGATCAGATCAGCGGTACATCATCAGAGGCTGCGCATCTGACACAGGTCAAGGAGGCCTTGCGCCAGCTTGTTCGTCGCTTGGACATGATGGATGAAGAGTTTGCTGTCCTTGTCGAAGATGATCTTCTTGGCGAGCGAGTTGAGGATGACGATGAAGACGCAGGAAGCGGGCACAGCGATACTAGCCTGGCGATGACAAAGCGCCGAGCTCGTGAGCGGACCGGTACCCTGGAGTACGAGCGCAAAGAGAAGGAGCGCCTCCAACGTGAAGTGCAAGAGCTGATTCACCAAATGAACCAACGTGAGAAGGCCGACCTTGACCGCCATCAAGTCGAGCTCTCCACCTTGCGCACCGAATCCTGCTCTGCACGGAACGAGTCCCGCCGTCTACGCGAACAGCTTGACAAGGAGCGTCACGAGGCCGCAACCGCGCGTGCTGAGCTCGAGGCTTTGCGCAGCGACATTGAGACGGAAAGAGAGAGGCGCATCAACATGTCTGATGAGTTGATAAACCTTCGCAAGGAGGCTCAAGCCGCAAGAAAGGATAGCGAGCAGCTTCGTCGCGAAGCTCTGGAAGAGAGTGAGCGAGCCGCCGATCTTGAGACGCAGCTGCACGATGCTCAAGCCGAGCTCGAGGAGGCGCGCTCTGCTCGTCAAGACGCCAGCCACCGTATAGAGAATTTGCTCAGCGAAGGCAGCAACGTCGAGCGCGAGCTCTCTGCTGCCACGGAGCGGATCGAGGATTTGCAGCAGCAGCTCGAGGTCGCCCGTCATGAAGTGCGAGAAGCACGAGAAGCTCATGCAGAGGCAGAGACGGCCAGAGAGAGGGCCGTCAGATCCTACCGCGCTGAGGCGGATAGTGATCGTGCGATCCTCGAGGAGTCGCTGCGCGAGCGTGAGGCGGAGGTGGCTACTGCTCGATACGAGCTTGAGAGGGTGAAAGAGAGCACAAGGGTCGAGATGGAAGCTGCGCAGACGCTGCGTAGCCAGCTGAGGGGCGCAGATGAAGCGCACGAGGAGCTTGTAAAGACGATGGAAGCGGCGAAGGATGGGTGCGCCGAAGCTGAGTTTGGCAAGAGGCATGCAGAGAGGGAGAGGGAGCAGCTGCACGAACTTGTCAAGCCGCTCCTGCAGGCCTTCATTGAGCTTGAAGAGCATGTGCAGGGCTTGCCTGCTCTGTCTTCTTCAAGGACTCCGTCCACCTCTGCAGCCGACAGGAACGGCGATGCCACCAACGAAGCCGCACCAAGCAGTGCCATCAAGGAAGAGACTAATGCACTGCGTCGTACTGCTCTCGTCAGCTTCGCCTCATCCGCTACTTCGAGCAAGCCCGTCGACCCCGAAGTCACGCTCTCCGCTCTTCGCCTGTTGAGCCCACACAGTACCTCAGACACCGTCAAACAAAAGCTCACCCTCTTGGTCACCCTCGTCCGCAAATGGCAAAAGACCTTCAAGCGTCACTCGCAAGAAGCCTCCACACGTCTCAGCCTCGCCACTCGGGAACGCATCGCATTCCGCAATTTTGCCGTCGGTGACTTGGCGCTCTTCCTCCCTTCAAGGAACAACGTCCTCGACCCAAAACCCTGGGCGGCATTTAATGTGGCCTGCCCGCATTTCTTTCTCAATGCGCCGCAGGGCAGCGTGCTTGCTGAACAGCTACGACAGAAGGAGTGGATCGTCGCGAGGATTGTGGGCATGGTAGAGAGGACGACCAGCGGACAGCAAGGAGGTGAGGGGAACCCATTCCAGCTGCCAGAGGGGACGAAGTACTGCTTGCTAGATGTGGATGGGTGGAACCCGAACAGTGGCATCGCTGCGACGAGGCCAAGTAAGAGCAGGCAGGTGTCGACTAGGAGTGCGAAAGGCGCTGCTGGCGCGCTGGCTGATGTGCCGGAGCAGGACTCTGGGGCGGGCAGGCGGGAGTCGAGCTCCGGAGATGCTTCTCTGCCTGACACGCCTGCTGCTGAAAAGCCTGCGGATCTCGCGCCACTGACGAGCATGGTAGACGCACCAGCCATTGAAGCCCCCTTGGAGACGCCGAGCCTCACCTCTCCCGAGGCAGTGCTGGCAGCGACGGTGCCGACGTCAACCAATTCAGAGGCGCCCGCCGTGCGAGGCAGGCAGGAGATCACCGCCAGGCCGCTAGACACCTCCGCCTCTTCCTCTCCTTCCGCCCTTACTCGCGCCATCCTGGCCTCACGCTCCAACTCACTCTCGCGGCCCGGTTCAGTCATCGTCCATCCGGCCCCGACGGATGAGAACAATCTGACGTCAAGCACCTCTACAGCTCCGGCTACATCGACTGGCGCTCCGCGAGAAACTTCTAAAGGAGCCATCTCTCGCAGCGCGACCGAAGCGAGTAACCTCGGCCATCGTGGCGAGGGCAGCATGACGAGTAGTGGCGGCGGCAGCGTGACAGCGAGTCGCAACATCCCCAACCCGGCTTTCGGGGTCCGCTCATCTCGTCGACGAGGCCTGCTTCGCACGCCCAGCGGCCAGATAGCGAGCGCGGCCACTTCTCCAGGTGGGACAGTGGGCGTGTCATCTTTGGGTGGAGCTGCGAGGGCCTTGTCGGCCTCTGCTGGTGGAAGAGTGGCGGATCTCGCCTTCGAGAGCATGGGCAACCCCTTTTCGCAGAGTCCAGGAGCCGCCCAGCTGGGCAGCTCCATGCCGAAAGGGATGGCTGCAGCACAAGGTGCTGCAGCGGCTTCCAGCCCACCTGATGGTAAGCCGGCCAACGGCAACGATGCTGCACCGTCGAGTCCTTCTGCCACCGCTGTGGGCAAACGGCGCGCCCCTTCCAGCGGAACGTCAACCTCTCCAGCAGGGAGTAGCGGCTTCGCCTTCACGCGCCCCTCAGGTAGCGGGACTGGACGACCGGCCAGCTCCTTCTCGCCCTCGAATGCCTCCGGCTCAGTCATCAGCCTCGCCGCCACACCCATGCCGTCCCTGGCCGCGGCCGACTTGACCTCCGCGCTGGGCGAGACTAGCAAGCATTCTCGGGCAAGCAGCAGTGGCATGGGCCAGGCAGCAGCGTCATCTTCGAGCTTCAGCGCCGGTAGTGGCGAGCGCGCTGGCGGGTCGGGCTTCTCGACTTCAACCATGGCCGGCGGTGCTGAACAGTCGACCTCCCCTAATAAAAGTTCAACAATGCCTCGCTCCCCCTCTTTCCTGTCGCGGACCTTTGGAAGGAAGATGAGCAGCGGCGCTGCAGGGACTAGCTCGTTGGCGTCCAGGAGAACGCCAGTGCAGTCCATTTTCCCTGGTACGTCGCAGCAGCAAGGTCAGATTGGCGGGAGTGGCGGAGAGGGGACCTCGCCTGCTTCAGCTAGCCAGCTGTTGAGAAGGCTGAGTGAAAGGCAAGGGGGATCGCCGCCTTGAGTAAGCGTTGAAATAGTGATATAGATACATGTCGGGGAGGATCAGCAACGCTACGGCACAGTGAGTAGCTAGATGCAATGCTAAGGCTCCCAGCCACTACTGCCATCTCCGTCGGTCGCACGTCTGATCCTCGCGCGTTAGGAAGCTGTTACAATTCCCAGCTGTCCAAGTCTTGTAATTGCTCTACGTGTGCTACAGTATTATCGAGGCACTGTCATCATGGTCGTGGTCATCATCATCAGAGGGAGGCAGGCATGAGCATCCAAAGTCCAGCGGCTACAGAACCGAGCCCAGCGATGGCAAAGACGGCGATCATCTCTCTCATCAACCATTGGTAGGCCCTCACATCCTTCATCGCCGCCGCCTCATCTCGTACGATTTCAACCATCCCTGCCTCCCCGCTCGCGTGCCCCTGGTACAAGCTACGCTTCATGCCCAAATTCCAAACGATCAGTCTGCGCAGAAGCGCTCGGCTGATCTGGAGCCTGTTTGCTTCCCAGCGGCGTCGAGGGTAGTATCGGCCGAAGGTCGTCGTGAACCACATACCCAGGTACGTGGTAGTGACTTTGAGGCGCGCAGAGAGTGTTGGCTTTGGCAGCCCCAAAGCACGAGAAAGAGTCCCGCCGACGAGGGAGGTGGTGAGAGCGCAATGCAGCTCAAAGCTAGTGTGGAAGGGCGGTCTATCCGCTATTCCCTTCAATATCTGATACGTCGGTGGTAGTAGCGCCTTATCCCCACTCGCAGCATTAGCTTGTAGAGTCTCCTCGTTGAATAAATTCTCCACAGAAGACCAGATTGCTCGATCTGCCGCGTCTGTGCTCGCGAGGTAACGTCGCACGAGACGATCGTCCACGCCCATCAAGTAGCCGACGTACCTCCATACCGAGAGGTAAGCATCCCGCTCTGCTTGGGTCAGGGAGAGGCCCATCCGTTGGAGTGAGGCGAGAGGGGCCGCGGAGAAGGAGAGGAGCGTTCCGAGGAGGTCGGCTTGATTTATGGGCGTAACATTGGACTCGAGGATGGAGGGGTTGAGGGATGAGATGCGTGTTCGGACGCGAGCGTGCAACAGACGGACTTGGTAACTTGCCCGGCGGCCAGCGCCCATTGAGGGGGACTTCTCTGATGAGGAAGATGAGGAGAAGGAGTCGGCAGCCTCGAGTGAGCCCACCGTCTCCATAACATCCAGGACCCATTGCGTCGTCTCAATCATCCTCTTCCATGCCTTATCGCCCTCTTTCTTGGTCTGCTCCTTCTCCTTCTCCTCGTCCTCCCTCGCCTGCTTCTCGCCTCTCACATCGCCCGCCAGCTCCTCGTCATCGCGCTGGCGCTGCTGCCTCGCTGCAGGCACAAGGTAGCCAGTGGCTCTCAATATGCCTGAAAGACGCGGAGAGGCAAAGCCCCCAGCGAGGGAGAAGTGAAGCAAGGCGAGGAGGATGCCTCCAGAGTAGCGGTAGAAGACGTCTTGGCCCAAAGAGAGAAGACGACGTTCTTCGGCCAGCTCCTCGGCCAAGTCGGCTTCGCTCCGCTCATTGTCTTCTTGGACTTGGAGCGCTTCGCGTTCGGACTGATGACGAGCTGCTAGTGCTGGATCTTCGATCTCGTCTTGTGGGATGAGATCGTCATGGCTACGTGCAAGCTCGTCAGTGAGCCACTGCGGTTGCTCTTTGCCCTGACGAGCGTCTCGGGCTGCGTACCAGGAGAGGGGAAGGACGCCTGCACCTCGTGGTGGTCTTCGTGCTCGAGTATGTGCTGCAAATGCTGATGCTTCGACAGGTGTATCTGAATTGGATGATGCTTCTTCTATGCGGGCGAGGAGGTCGTGCGGTGAAGAATGATGCTGATCTTTGATGCTTGAGAGAGCGGCGTCTGCGAGTGGGTCGCCCATCCCTTCCCAGCTGTAAGCGAGGAGGACATCAAGGCAAGGTCAGCTGCGCGCTCAACTCGTGCTGAGCCCTGCCTCTTGCCCAGCTACTCACGCTCTCAAAGCGCTCAGAGGCAAGCATCCATCATCCTCTCGCCAAACAGCCGCCCGATCCCATGTCGCCAGCAGCTCATCCTCTCGCGGCCCACCTGCACCATCGAACCAGTCGATTTTCGATGAATTGACCAGGCGCTGCTGAAGTCGCCATGGCCATGTGCGGTAGTACCACGAAAGGCGAAGCCATTGAGCTACGAGAGCTGGCGAAAAGGGAAGCGGGTTGAGCCACGCAGGGATGGCTGCTTGCTTGCCGCTGCTGACTGTGATGCTGAGAGGTACGCCGAGGTAAAGGAGTCCTCGTGTATTGATGGTGCAGATGGTGATGATGGCTGCAGCGAGAGCGGTGATGACAACCGAGATTGCGACTGGGATCGTTGAAATGCCATCAAGGCTTCCCACTGCCGCAACCACGCCACCTAGCATGGCAGGTGGAGCTTGTCAAGGCGCCGTCCTGGAGGTGTTGGATAATGCAGACGCCCGAATCAGTATTGAAGGGTGCGAATGATTGGTGCTAGAGAGAGCGTCAGATATGCTGAATGGTGATGGACTGAAGCTTGGGAGGGTCGGCCATTCTTGAATGTGGTGCGAAATGAAACGTCCCTCAACGGAGTTGATTGAGCCGGCGTCGCTCAAGTAATGCATGCGCCCTCATGCGCCTCTTTCCGCCTTGCCGTCTCTCTGAGGGCAGCGCGGCCGCGCGAGAGACGCCTCAATCAATTAACGCGTTCAAGGGCCAGGGCGACGGCGCGCGTGGAGCAACACTTTAGAAGAGTTGCAGGCGGTGAACGCTCCGACTCTGCTGTTCTTTCCCATCATCACCACATCTCGCTTTTGCAATGGTGCCCACCAATACACTTTTTACCCGCGCCCTCTCGGCCCCACTGGACCTCATCGACGAGCTGGCCAAGTCGAATACACCAGCCGATCTGCCCCAAGCTGTGGGCCAGGCATTTGAGGAAGCTTTTGGGGATCGGGAGAGCAGGAGCAGAGTGCCCTTCTTGACTGCCAAGAATGCTGAGAGCCTGGTGGGCAAGACTGTCAGGTGGAGGGCGATGGTGCAGGACAATTCGGTGAGTCGGCGCAGGCTCGAGATCATCACTCAGAGCAAATCATCTCATTCTCGGCTCTCTTGCCCGCCCTTCGCCTAGCTCGGAAACGAGATCGTCCTAGCGATGATGCCTCCTAGCGGTTCTCACGGCCCACGCAATGCTCTCTATGGAGGTGATTCCCTCATCTCTCCCGACGACGCGAGCGACGACGCCGAGGCATCGCTAAGCAGCGATGCCTTCACCTCTCCAAAGCAGGAGGATCTGTCCGAGCGAGCGGTAGTCTACGCCTGCAGTCTGCCTGGCCGTTCGGCATGGGCCACCCAGGCTGATGCATCTTACTCTGCCCTTGAGCAAGGCGCTACAGCCCTCGAGAACGCTGCAGCAACTTCAACTTCATCCTTCTCTACGTCGTCATGGCGAGGCATCAAATCTAAGCTACCCCTTTCAGACGACGAGGAAGCGACAGGCGTTATCCTCAAGATATATGACCTTGCAGCGGCAGAGGCCCTTCAAGTGTCAGATGTGGTCGACGTCGTTGGCATTCTGGATCGCTCGAACATGCCAAACGCGGAGTGGGCCTCAAGTGGGGCACCTTCTTCATCTTCTTCCTCCTCATGCCCTCCCGCAGCGCAACTACACCCGGCGTTGCACGTCGTGCTGATGGAGATGAGTGAGGATGTCTGGTCATCGTCGCGAAGCAAGAAGGATGCGGCCGACCTGGCATCATCTGCAGCTGGGCTCAGCGTCTCAGGCGATGTAGACCCCCCCACATCTGCCCGCACGTCTCTCATCTCCGCCCTCTCCCAGCACCTGCATGGCGACGTCTTCGCCGCAGAATGGGCCCTTCTAGCCAGCATAGCGAGCATACACACACGCAAAGCGCCTTTCAGCCTCGGACACCTTTCGCTGCGCCTCTTGATGCCAGCCTCAGATTCGGACGACGGATCAAGCGACCTTGAGTCCTTCCTTTCCTCCGTTCTCCCCTCCGTCGCCCCCTTGGACGTTACTCTGAAAGACCTCAACGCAGCACACGTCCGCCTCGCCCCTCGAGCGAGCAGTAATGATGCCGATGAAGGGCTCGGGCTCCTTTCCGGCCGGCTGCAGCTGCCCAAGGGGACAACCTTGCTTGTACGAGAGTCTATGTCAGAGGGTCAGCTCTCTTCCCATGGGCTGGAGAACCTCCAGGCTTTGCAAGGAGTGCTGAAGTCGCAGAGTCTGGGATACGTCTTCCCTTACTCGCCAAGCCCTTATGCACTTCCCGTGGATCTGGCGACGATAGTGGTCAGTGAAGGGGCGGAGATGCCTGGCGGAGAAGGCAAGGGAAAGAGAAGAGCAGCTGCCACTGGCGGGCTGGTCGAGACAGATGTTGAGGTGGCGGTGCAGGCGGGATCACGACAGGCAGACGAGGGCTCTTCGTCAACTTCCGGTGCCTCCCTCCCCTCCCTCCGCCGTCACCTCCTCCAGTCACGTCGTCTCGCCCGCACGCTCCGCGTCAGCGAATCGGTCGCTCAGTCGATCCAGGCGGACTTTGTCTCGTCTCGCTCGTCATCACGAGCCACCTCCTCGCAAGAAGATCTGCTTCGCCGAATGGACGTGGCTCGCCTTGTTGCTGCATCGCAGCTGAAGGACGAGTTGAGCTTTGAAGATTATAAGAGGGCCAAGGAAATGGATGAGCAGAGACTGGTGAGGCTGCAGGAGAGAAAGGAGGAGGTCAAGAGGGGCGCGGCACAAGGCGCTGGGCCAGCGGCTGTCTCGAGGTAGTCTAGGCAGCTGCGAGCTCCACGGTCCTCTCCACTGTCATCGCGCTCATGCTGCAACGTCATACCTCATTCCTTCAATATTTTGTCTCACGCGTGTGGAGGCTGCGGGTGCGAAGAGCGTTGCTCCGACTCTGAAGTTTCACAACGCCATCGCTGCCTCGTTGTTAGATGAGACAACGCCTTCGAGGCCAGCATGTCGCAGCAGTCTCCACACTCTTGATTGGGCGAATTGGGCGACTACTTTTCTTCATATTTGACCACGTACATTATATGACAGGTTCAGGCTTTCATTTGCGTAGATGAGGGTGTGAGGAAAAGCCGTGCAGGCAGAGCAAACATGGAATGCCCTCTCCCTGCGCTTTGCTTTCGTCTGGTTTACCAGATCTGGTGGCCACCCGACACGATGACGTCGGAGCCGTTGCAGAAGCTCGACGCGGGCGAGGCGAGCCAGACGGCCACACCACGGATCTCAGCCGAGCGACCGATACGGCCAAGGGGGTTCGAGGTGGACCACTTGGCGAGGAGATGCGGGTTCTCGTCGAGGTAGACGCTCGTCATGCGCGTGCGGATGTGTCCGGGCGAAATGCAGTTGACACGAATGTCATGAGGACCCCACTCTGCGGCCAAATTACGAGCCATCTGGAGGACGGCTGACTTGGAGGCGTTGTAAGCGACCCAGTAGTGGTCGCGGTTCACAATGGAGCCGGACATGGAGGCGATGAGGATGATAGAGCCGTGGATGTCGGGGTTCTTGTACATCTGACGGGCAGCGGCACGGGCAGTGAGGAAGACTCCGGTGGTGTTGACGTCAAAGACCTTCTTGAAGGCTTCGACGGGGTAGTCGAGGGCGTTGTACGTCTGGAGGATACCTGCAGCAGCTACACAGATGTCCATGCGGCCAGAGTCGGCCGTAATGGCCTCCATGACCTCGTTGAGCTGCGCGTCATCGGTGACTGAGCAGGGAATGTACTTGAGGCTGAAGGGTGAAAAAGCAAAGAGATGGTCAGATACGAGGCGCTGAGAGCGATTTCTATCGCCTATCCCACGGCACCCGCACTCACTTCCTGTTCATGATGCGGCAGTGCTCAGCGACGATGCGGAACTCCTCGGAGGGACTTTGAGGGATGTCAATTGCATAGACGTTGGCGCCGGCCTCGACGTAGGCGAGGGCCATCTCGAGACCGAGACCACCGTTACCACCAGAGATGACAGCCGTCTTGCCCTCGAGGGAGAACTCGGAGAAGATCGTCGTCGTGTGGTTGTCTGCGCGTAAGAGCAAGGAGAGAGGGAGGAGGTCAGGCTGGGCGCAAGAAAGTGTCTAAGGGCGAACCCTCATCAAACGCACCTTGCGAGTTGGGGTTTTCGCGGAGAACGGCGTCGACACCGACCTATTTGCGGGAGGATCGTGAAGAAGCATAGGAAGGTCAATCTATGCAGTCCTGCTATTCAGGGCAGCCATCTCGAGCTCACATTCTCAATGGGAGGGGGAGGGCCCGGGTTCTGCTGGCGCAGAGAGCTGTGGTCCATGCTCGAGACCTTCTCGCTGACGTCGGGCGCCCAGATGTTGACATTACGGGTGAGAGCAGGGGCGATCTGCAAAGCGGGGAGGCGATGTGGTCAGCGGGTGATAAGGGTCAGGAGGCTCGTGCACGCAAGGCATGCTGCTCACCTTTGCCTTGGGAGCGACTGCGTGCGTGGGGAGGTGAAAGATGGTGGCAGCGGGGCAGAGAAACAAGGTCAACAACTTTGTACCCTCAAGCTGAGATGTCTCGCTGAAAAGCCCACGCTTCTACTCACCAGTGGGCCTGACGAGGTTGTTGCGAGCCACCTGGTTGGCAGCTCGAGTGGAGCGGAAGGCGGTTTGGCGGGCGACGCTGCCGAACATGATTGTTGGTATGCGGTAGTGTTGGTGAAGGTGCTAGGCTTGATGTGTAGTTCGCGGTACGAGACGTAGCAGTCGTCAAGAGATCAAGGAGTTCGTGGTGTTGAGGTTCGGGAGTCAAGAGCCAACGCAACTTGGTCGCCGAGAAGGGCCAAGTCGGAGGAGGGGCAAAGGGGGTGTTGGCGCGGCGGCGGCGGCGGCGGCGGCGGCAGCAGCAGCAAGGCAACTAACCGCCGCCATCGCTTGGCCAAGCTGGCAGCCTCGAGCCGCCTTGAGCGGTTGAGCCTGCCTGTTGCTTGCTTGCGCTGGCCTGGCCTGTCGGAGAGGCGGGGGCCCATGCACCGTTGTCTTTCCCCGTGTTTCTTCCAATCCTCCACCTGAGACCATCCCGACGACGCAGCGAGGGCGCGCGTGCAGCAAAGGCGACCAAGATTGCCAGCAGCCCGCCAACGGCAGAGCAAGCCAAGCCAACGGGGCAGGAGCAGCGACGCTCCTTCTCCGCGGTGCAAGAGGCGCTGCGTGCGTGCGGTGATGCTCGCTGCGTGATTCTGCTCGGGCGGGCGGACACGGCCGGCTTTTGTCGTGCCCTTGACTAGCGCTGAGCGAGAGAGTGAGCGTGAGCTTGTGAGCTCTAAAATTCTGCAGCCAGGATGAACACTGAAGCGCAGTTCGCGCTTCAAGGACGAGTGGCAAAGGCAGGCCGACGTCACCAGATCGGGCGGGCCAAGCTCACCGTATGCTCATCGACATCGTCATCTGGCAGCCTCGAATCGGAGTCGATTGCCAGTTCCAACCTTGCTGATAAGATGGAGGACCGCGCTATCGTGACGTGGCTCGAGCGCTCATTCTAGCGCGAGACAATCCCGTGGCTACGGTCAGCTCCTCCCTTTCGTCCAACTAACTAAATCGCAAGCAAGATGCGGCCTGCCGAGCGACGCTTGCTGCCTTCACGTCTGACATGACTCCCGCAGCCCCACGGTGACACAGGAACCAAGCTCGCTCGGCGGATACGCTCCCGTGCGTGCGTCGAGAGAGATCATATTGAGATGGTCGCACGACTCTAGTAGTACAAAATGAGAACGAAGGAAAAGGGATCAGGAGGCACAGAGAAGATGCTGTAGCGGGACTGAGTAGGGAAAGGAGAGCGATCGAGTAGCGCGTGCTTCTGATTGGCTCGTTGATTCGTCGCGTCACGGCTATGAAACGCGAGCGGTCCCCGCGTTCGTCGCAGCCGTAGCGGCCGCGGTGGTCGGAGGGGGCTGGAGCAGCGAGATGAGGTAGCTCTTCTCGTCTGCAAATTGCTCGTCGTCCTTGTCGTTGTGGAAGTTGCTGAGGAAGGTAACCAGCCTCTCTCGGTTGCGACGAAGGATGTTCTCGATGACGGGAGGCTTCTTGGGGTTGGCGACGAATACCTGCGGCGGTGATTGGGGAGAGAGGAATGATTGGAATCAGAAGAGAGATGAAGTGCTCAATGCTGGGTGTCACCACTGACCTTGAAGACATGAAATGCCTCGAACTGGATATTCTTGCTCTTGTCCCTCAGCAGATTCATCATCATCTTGAGGTTCTCCTCCGACGAGATGTACTTCGTCATGACCTGGAAGTTGGTGCGGTCCAGGAGAATCTCCCCGAGTAGCTTCAGGGACTGTCTCTTGGTGACGTAGTTGGGCGACTGCAGCAACGTCTCGTACATGTTGAAGAAGCGGTCGTAGTTCTTCTCGAGGTACTCGGCCACCATTGCCTTGTGCTTTGTGAGCGTCTCCTTGAAGTTGGCAAAGGCGTCGCATGAGACTCCGAAGGTCGTCTTCTCGATGTAATCGGGGAAGGTGTAGAACCTGGCGCGACGAGGTGGAGAAAGGCGGTCAGCTGGATGCGGTGTTTCGTGCCAGCCAGAGTCGCGGCCCTCGTACTCACTTGTCCGAATACAGCAGCGTCTTGGCGAGCGTCTCGTGTCTGAGCATCTCCCTCAAGATCATTCCCGTGTTCAGCGCCACGTCTGCGTTCTCGTAGCCCTTGAGTGTGGTAAAGAGGACCTCGGGCTTCGTCGTCAGGTATTCTACCGTGGGCATCCTTGAACCGATTTGTCTCCTGAGCAAGTTGTTGAAGATCTGCGAGACATCCTTTCTTGCCTCAAATTCGAAACGCCAGATGTTGGCGACGAGGAGCTGCAGGACATCCTGATTGTAGACCTCTTGCGCTAGCTGAGCGACTTGCTCTGGCAGCGGCTCGTTCTCTGCGACGCCCCAAGCGAGAGAGATCAGGCGTCAGGTGGAGTATTGTGAGATCAAGCTGAAGCTGCGCATGCTCACCACCATCGCCGTAGAGGATGACCTTCATTTGGTACAGGCACTTCGATACCTCCTCTCCCGCCTGTCGTGCAACGATTGGGACAGGGGTTCAGCTGCGTCCACTCCTCTTCATGGGCGTCACGCTACCCACCTTTCTCTTGCCCTCCGAGCTGCCCCCTTGTGACTCCATACGGCCTACAGCATCGCGCAGATGCTTGACCAAGTCCGCCGGTGTTCTATGCTTGCTCTTGAAGATAAAATTCATGATGTGTCGGCCAGCTCAGCACGATTGGGGCGTGATTGACACTCTCGAGGGCAACTGTGAGCTGCTCAGGTGAGCAGAGTGCCCCGGTGAGATGCAGTGGTGGTCAAAGAGCTGCGAGACGAATCGTGACAAGTGGTAGGAGGATTAAGATCAGCTCACCCTTGTCGCAACCTCGGGCTCCCAACCTTGTGAGCGAATGAATGCTGCGAAGCACAACAATCGCCTTCTACTCGAGGCCCTCGCTGTCTCACCTGCTTGCGTCGGGTATCGATGCCGCAGTGTGAGATGTTGAAGTGTCTGCTAATGGCACAAAGGCTGCTTAGACGGCTATCTCTATGCCTTACTGCAGTTGCCGCTGATGTTGATATCGCGCGGCGAGCTCCTTGCTGCGTGGGGCCCCAATGACGTCGACGAATACGACGCACACTGCCTGCCTGGTCTGTTGACGATGAGCAGATGGCGACAAGAATTCAGCGCTAGGCGATGACGAGGCGTTGGTCGAGATGTAGGGGATTGGCGTGTAAGGGGTGGAACAAAGGCAAGCGTTGGACCTCCTGAGTTAGAGGCCCTAGTGTTGGTTGGCTCCTCCAGCCCGCCCTCCATCTCAAGTCAAGTCCGAGTCCAAGTCCAGTCGACCCGCGTTCTCGCCTGGTTCCGTTCAGCTCAGCAATAGCGAATTAGGCCGCTCAGGGGCTTTCGCAGCGAGCGAGGAGGAGGACCGCCCGCGCCAGGCCACTGCTGTGGCCGCTAGTCGCAAGCAAACAGACCAACGCAGGCAAGCAAGCAGACAGCCAGGCGAAGCATAGCAACAAAGACATGCACGAGGTGATCATGGTGATGGTCGACGATGCCTCTTCTTTACTTTGCGATCAAAGGGAATAGGTGGGATCGTCAACATGGATGAGAAGAGGCACTTGCCGCTGCTGCTGCTGCTGCCGCCGCCGCCGCGCCGCCACCGTCAAGAGGTATCGAGCCAGAGTGGTTGAGAAACAAACGGCATGTATAGAAGAAACGTGCGGTCGAGCCGCTAGCAGCAAGCTGCGTTGAAACAAGAGAAGAAAGAGAAATGAAACAGTGTGAGAGATGGCAGCTGCCACTTGCAGCCAGGCGTCTCAACCACGCTGTGAGGCGGAGCGAAGCGTCGAGCTGCCTTTTTGCTGGTTTGCTCTTTTGTTTATGGCGGTGAAGGCTTGTCACCATTTTAAATACTAGGACGAACCAACGAGACGATGAGCGAAGGTGAGTCGATGTGAATGTGATGAGCGTATGCGTAAAGCTGCTCTTTTGAGGTTGTCTCGAAGACTCGTGAGAAGCGCGAAACTGTATCAGGGTGGTAGGGGCGTAAGGTAATCTATCGTGGTGAAGAGGAAAAGGTAGAGGAGCATGCGTGATGCTGCGACACTCAGTGCGCACTCGCAAGGCTTCGCCCGCTGTTGAGTAGCTCCAGAAGGGCAGAAGGAGCCAATGGCGCGTTGTGGTCGGTGTTGAGTGATGATGAAGCTGTCGCGGCAGCCGCCGCTGCCGCCGCCGTACCACAGGCGACGTCGTCTGACCACGAGCGAGTGTCAAGCGACGGCCTCTGCTCACGACGCTCCAAGCCATCCTTGAAGAGAGAGGCACTCGCAGGTGCCGACTGGTGGTGCTGATGCTGCACCATCAGACCGGCCGTCGGTCGCTTCTTGTGCTCGACTCGCCTCTCTTCACCTTCGAGATCGAGGTGCTCGATGACTCGTGATCCAAGTGCGGACAGCATGTCATCGAGGGCGAGGAGGACTCGCTGCGACGTCTCGCGTTGCGAAATGCTGGACGTCGCTCGTGGGCTGCTTTCGCGATGATACTGGGCGCCACGTCCTGCCTCGGGGACGCCTGCAGTCTTATCCTCCTCACGACGCTTAACGCGCTTGAGGAAGGAACACCAGACGGAGTGAGGGATGGCAATCTCGTAGTTGCAGCGAATGAGGTAATATTGCTCGAGCTTGTTGAGCTCGATGAGCGGAATGCCCGTCACCTCGCTCCATGTTTTGTTGAGGAAGGTGTTGTCGTCCAGGTGCTTGTTCGCCATCATGAGGCCCAGCGTGAGGAGCTTGAAGGGGGCGGCAGAGGGAGGCGATGCCAACAGCTCGACGGCCTCGTGGTCTACATTGCCGCTGGTGTCGACGGCGAGATAAGGAACCCTCAAAGCGAAGAGCAGGCCCAGGAGGAACGCAGTGGGCGAAAGTAATGTCTGAGCGAGCACTTGATGGGCAAAGCGACGAAACGCCGGGCTGACTTCGCCTCCAGCAGCGAATGAGGCTGATGCTGAGCTCGCTGCATGTTCTCGTGGGGAAGTCGGGGAATTGTGCTCGCCTTGCTTGGTCTTGCGGGCGTTCTTGGCAGTAGCAGCCGCAGTCTGAACGAGCGAGGGGAGAGCTTCGGCGGCACGAGTCCACTTCCAGTAAGGCGAGACGAGGGCCAAGACGGAGAGTACCGCAGTCTTTGAGCGCTCTTGAGACTTGGTGCGGAAGAGGAGGGGACCGGGCTTGCCCGGACCGGTTGCGGTCGATGTCGGGGAGGAGATGCACATCGGACTCCCATCACGGAGAGAGGGCCGCTGATCTTGTAGAGCAAGGAGATGTGCAGCTGCCGAGGCATGACGCGCGGCCTCGCCGTCAGGTGATGGCGTCCCTGGTCCAGAGCTCTCGCGCGATGAGGAGCTGCTTGAACGTCCTGTCCCTACCCTCGTCCTCTTCTGCTGGTGATCGCCTTTCTTCAGGGCAAAAAGGTTTTCATCGAAATGACCATTGCCAAAAGCTGCGAACGAGGGCATGTCAGAATCCTTGGCCAGTAGGTGAGGAGAGTGAGGCGATGTCGTGGGCGTGCTGAGAGAAGGGCTCGAAGTAGCTGAGCCGCTGCTCGGCGACGTGGCATGCGCAGAGAGAGACTGCTCCATGTAGGCTTCCTGAACCAGCTCAGGCTCAAGGAGCGTAGCGCAGGCGTACCAAATGAGCTCAGCGCCAAAGGCCGAGATGGGAACACCAGACTTGTCGAGGGTGGCGGGAGAGGGAGGAGCTGGACCCTTGTTGGTATCGTCTTCAGCCGCAGCGGCTATGGGCTGAGCGGTGGCCTCGTCAATCTTTTGGGTTGCCTGAATGTCTGCAGCCCCTTTGCGAGACTGGGCGGCAGACATTGATTGACTTCTCCATTCGCTGGATCTGTCGACCCTCTCCTGCTCGTGCATGGTGCGCTGATGCTGCTGGTGCTGCTGGAAGTTTTGTTGCTGCTCCTGCTGCCACGTACAGTCGTACGAGCGGGTGCCACGCTGTCGAGCATTGCCTTGTACGTACTGCGAAGGCCAACCGGCCGATTGGTGGCCATTGGACAGCCTTCCTTGTCTGGGCTGTTGCTGATGGTGAGAGCGCCAGTCGAGCTCGTGGAGTGACGGCAGCCTCTGGGAGCGCGTGCCATCTGCCGAATTGCGGCCGTAGTCATGCGTAGATCGCGATCGGATTTGTGCTGCTGGTCCGAGTCCTTGGTGATGGTCCTGATGGCGTGGGTGTACCTGCTGGATGTTCCGACTTTCATGGGCAAAGGGCGCGGATGTCATTTGATGAGCCCCACCGTAAGAGACATCTCCAGGGTACACCGCGTCAGATGAGGGGGCAGGGGCCATTGAGGTCGGATAGTAGCCGGGCGCTGCCATCGACATGGCGATCTGGCTCTGGGAGGTCTGTATCGGCTGCGACGTGATGGGCGCAAGAGGTCCCTGCTGGGCATGGCCGTACTGAGCCATCTGCTGCTGCTGCTGCTGCTGCAGAAGAGCCTGCTCTGCTTCAGCGTGTTGCGCGGCGATGGCGAGCTGCTGCTGATGCTGCTGTGGAGTAGCCCAGGTACCTCCGTGCGCATACCCTTGATACCCAGCTAGGCCACTCTGCGGGTAGTGGTAGCCACCGACGCCACCCCAACCTCGAGCAGCCGCCACAGGAAGTCGGGGAGCTGGAGGCAATTGCCAGTAAGCTCCGGTGCTGGGGTCCATTGCTGTTTGCGAGTAGCCATCGGCAGCGACGATGCCGGGATACATTGCTTGTCCCGGATGAGGGGCATACATCGCTCCAGGCATAGGAACATTCGAAACCATTGCCGTCATTGGATGCGACTGGACTTGACCTGGGGTATAGCCACCTGCTGCTGCTGCTGCCGCCGCCGCCGCCGCGGGGTCCATCGCAGACATGTGGGCTTGTTGTTGACCTTGTTGATGGCTCTGATAAGCCTGCTGCCCGTGGTACGCCATGTTGAGATGCGGGTGAGGTTCTCAAGGAGAGCTCCTCGTCAACAAGACGGCAGCGGATGCCGGTCCGGTGACGGAGAAGATCCTTGGATCGAGGCGAGCCCGAGAGGATAGCCGCGTAACGGGCGTTTAGGCCGCAATGAAAGTCGTTGACGAGATTTTGGATAGGATGAAAGGGGGCTTCGAGTAGTGATGGACGGGTGAGACGACCAGCTCGAGCTGATCGGCGAAACTGCCGATGGGACGATGCAGTGGGGCGCAGCGTCGAGCGATAGGGACCGCTTCAAAGGTAGCTGCAGGTGCTGCTGCGTCTGATTGCTTCCCAGAGAGAGGCAACTGAATGCTTCCCTGGGCTCACGTGTGCGCGAGTGGCGACAGAGATGAAGCGTAGTGGGACGAGGGGCGATGTCGATCGCGTCGTAACGGATGACGAGAAGCTGCACGGCCCTACTTTCTCTTCGGCGCTCGGTGGTGAGGGCGACGAAGAAGTTCCGAAAGAGGAGCGAGCAAGACCCTCAAAAGCTCAGCCGACTGAAAAATACGGTTGAGATAGGGCACCAAGCAGCCAGAGATGAGCTCTCGACGAGGTGAGCGCGCTTGTCCAAGTCGCGCTACCAATCAAGCTCTCTTGCTTCTCTCTGTCTGTCTCTTTCTTCTCTTCTCGTCGTAGCGGAGGGGGTTGAATGAGGCCGAGGAGCTGCGAATGGGATCCACTAGCCCTTCTCTGAACCTCTCTTGACCAGTAGGGGAATGGGATGGTGGTGAAGAGAGATCGTACGCCCAAAGAGGCGCGCGACGACGTCAGGTCGCGGCAGGCACAGGCTTGAACGGTGAGCGTCAGGCGAGGCACAGGGCTCAGCCAGGGTCGGCGGGCTCTCAGCAGGCGGCATGAAATTGCAGGCGGCCCGCGCGAAAATCCAAACCCGGCCGCGCGAGGTGAGCCGGGTCCGTCGGGTTTCACCACGGGGCGAGCGAGCAGGGCTCTCAGGGCCTAATGTGAAGCGATGAAACGCGAGGGCGACGGGCAGAACGAATGGAAGGCTGTCCTCGTCACCGCAACGAGGGACAAGTGACGCCAATTGGCCCAAGATGGTAGGCAAGACTGAGTTTAGGTAGCAATGAACGACATCTGAGCGAACGAGGAGAACCAAGTGTCACTCGACTTCCATTCTACGCTGTAGAGATGAGCGCCGCCACTCCCCTCTTCACATCCAGGCTAAGGTGCCAACACGATGCAGTCGCGCCAGGCCGATGCCGCATCATCTCCGCCGCTCATCGAGCGTCTGCCGCCGGCGTCGTTGGGCCTGGAGACTCTTGCGCTCACACATGCGACTCGAGTCACGATGGGCTCACACGATGGAACGACAGACAGCTCGCTGGCCAAGCAGTGGGCGCCTGCTGACCGACCCGTCGACTGTCGCCGTTGCTGACGCCTCGCCTCACCTCGCCTGGCCTCACCTCAGCTGGGCGTTCACCACTCGCTGCTCTCTCACCGACGAGCGAAAGGTAGACTCAAAACAACAAGTCTGCTACCCCATCGTCGTCGCTCCTTCCCTTCCTTCCTTCCTTCCTTCCTCACCAACACCAACTAACCACACTCAACCCACCACCTCTTCCCTTTCCCTCTCTCCATCGCCTGGTCTTTCCTACCTTCCAACCTTCCAAGCCCTCCTCTTTCCTCTAATAGTACGCCTACACTCTCCCCAAGATCATCCTTCGACGTTGCCCTCTCCCTCACCGCTACCGTGTCGGACCACTCAACCAGCACCAACACTACCCACGAGACTAGGCCAAGCATCATCGCGCTCACCTTGTACTCGCGCCCACTCCTCTCCTGACGCACCGCTAGCAGGCAAGCCACGACCACCTCGAGGACCACCTTGCACTCTTGCACGTCTTCTATCTCATCTGCCAGCAGCGCTGAAAGCCCCAAAGGCACCTCATCAGTCTCAACCACATGGCTCCCAACCTCAACATTGCTTCTCACCACTCTTCCAGCGGCAACGCTACGCCCGTGGCCAAGCCTCGCGTCGCCCTTTCCAACATGACCAACATCCCCAAGAGTCAGCAAGACCGTGCCGACGACAACGTCAACATGAAGGACACTGCTCGCGCATCCAAGGCAGACGCAATCAAGCTATCTCAGAGCGTCACCGTTGCTCCCAAGGTTGGCTCCAAGCTCGCGGTCGAGAACACCACGGCAGCTGCCGATGAAGACTCGCCCGCCAAGGGCAAAGAGGCCGACAGCGCCGCTCAGCAATCGATCCTTTCCGCAGACGAGTCCCCTAGGGCGGACGGAGATGAGGCCAGGAACAATGGCGACTCTGCCCCTCTTTCTTCTCACCAAGGTGATGCTACCACTGCGCGTATCAACGCCAACGACAAGCCAAAGGCCGACACTCGCAGCAGTCAATTCTGGAACGAGCAGCAAGGCTTTGACCCTCAGCTCCTTGAGGGTGCCATCAAGGCCGTCCTCACGGAGCGCTTTGGCGTTTCCAACCTAAACCAGCTGCCCGTCGCCGACGCCGAGTCGCTCCTCAGCGGTCCTCTGCCCCAGATGGTCGTTCAGCACATGCAGCGAAGTGAGTAATATGTAGCGCACCAGGGTCATCGTGAGCGGCTCATCTCACCATTGATTGCCCTCCGACCGCTCTTCCAGACGCCTCAGCTCAGGGTGGCAAGGCCTCGATGCCCACCACGCCCCAACGTAGCAATGCCCTCGGGCTAAGCTTCGCCGATGGCAACTCGCCTGCCTCGCCAACCACTCCCGGCAGCAAGACGACGCCTTTCCCTGCGGATGCTCTGCCTTCCGAGATCCAGCTTGAACAGAACACGAACCTCTATCTCAACGGTCTCGAGGAGCAGTGAGTATGGCCACGAACAAAGGTGCATATATGCAGGGCAAGATGTGCTTAAGGTGCTTCTTTCTCCCATCTCTACTTTTTCATTAGCATCACCGATGACGAATTGCTCCGCATCGGCTCTCAGTATGGCGAGATCATCAGCCACAAGGCCATCATCAGTTCGGAGACTGGCTTGTGTGGGTATCGCGGCGACTTGACTTTTAACCCCATCATACGCATTGACTGACTCACATCCTCGCCTCTCATTCTCGCACGCAGGCAAAGGCTACGGCTTCATCATGTATGCTCGCGCTCGCGATGCTGCGGTGGCCATCGTCGAGCTGCAGAAGAAGGGTTTTCAGACCTCCTTTGCACGACATGAGTCATTCAGTGCTAAGCTTCGCATGATGTCCGACTCTCGCTCGACCAACGTCTACATCAGCAACCTGCCATTGGCCATGGGAGAAGAGGAACTCGAGGCTTTGGTTCGACCTCACCAGATCATTAGCCGTCGCATTCTCACCAAGCCTGACGGCACTAGCCGCGGCGTGGGCTTCATCCGCTTTCAATCGCGCGACATCGCCCAGAGCTGCATCGACCTTCTCCACGGCCGACGTCTCGATGGTCACCCCCATCCACTCCAAGCCCGCTTCGCCGACAGCGAGAGCCAAAAGCGCCTCAAGCAGGACACGACTCTCCGCAAGATCTATGCCGACTTGGACATGGGCGTGCTCCGAAGCCCCTCTGGCCACAATCTCCGCCCCACTCCTTTGAGCAACAACAACGTCTGGGCCTCTGGTGCCAACTATGGCGCTGGTCGCTATGGCGTCGTCCCTCATGGCGCTCAAGTTGCATCGTCTGCCATGCAAGCCATGACGGGAGCCATTCCCATGCGCTTCACCAACAGCGAGCCAGGCATGCCACGCCACGCGGGACAGCGAATCGCCAACAAGCATCAGCACCTTCACCAGCAGATACATCACAACCAGCAACAGCAGCAGCACCAGCAGCTCATGCGTGCTGCTGGCCAGTACAGCGCGGCCGTACCCATGAGTGCCACGACGTCCAACGCTAGTTTCTATCCTGGCGCACCATTCACCGGTACCCCACCTACGTCGATGTCGCCCTGGGTCGCTGCCAGCGGCGGCGGCGTTATTGCTACCACCGACACCGACATAGGAGTTGCTTCGGGCCTCTGGACGCAGCCCGGATCACCTCTGCAGCCCATCTTCAATGCGCAGACTGCTGCTAACATGGGACCCAATGGCTGGCTGCTCCCCTCATCGACGGCTGCCACGGCGGTCGGTATCAAGTCAGCGCCCCAGGTCGACAAGACCAAGGCTGTCAACAACCGACTCTGGAGCCCGTTGCTGTCCACGGATGGCAATCTCGCCCCTGCTAGCCCTTCGATCGATGGCAGCACTGTTGGAACCAACACGACGTTCAACTCTCCCGTCTTCCCTGCCAACGAAGGCAGTTTCGCCAGCATGGCCAAGCCTGCTCAGTGGGTCGCGCCCACCTTCAATGCGGTGCCCCGCATCCGCATGGCCGATGGCACCGAGTCTAGCGCTTTGGAGCAGAAGCACCTCGGCTCACTCCTTACCAGCGGCATCAACGGAGGCAGTGGTGGTCTCGGTGACGGTGCTGCTACTTCTGGCACCGGCAATGGCAACGCCAACCAACAGGACTGGCTCCAGCACTACGCCCTCAATGGCGATGCAGCAGTCATGATGTACCCGCCGGAGCTCAACTTCGTACGCGCCAGTGGCCAGACGTCAGCTGTGCCTATCATCAACCCTCAGACGGGGCAGCGCTTTCAGGGCAAGTCGTCTACAGGCAACGAAGCGGATGACGCCATGTCTGAAGCTCATGCCTCGTCTGGCTCGCACGAGCAGCAGCAACGTGGGATGCAGGAGATGGGCACCAGCAAGTCGACGCCTAATGCGTTGTCCGACATGGCGGCTACGCCTACAATCGCCTCGTCGGTCAGCGCTCCCACTGGCCTCAACCAGCAGCAGGGCCACTAAGGGCATCCGCGAACTCAATCGTCAAGAAGTTCAATCAGCAGCTCAAGTCCTGCCGCCTATGACATCAAGCAGCCAGTGTAGATCAAGCTCATGCCCAATAGAGCCTTTCATCAACCGCACTACCAGACTCCAGCGACATTATGAGACCAATCTGGCAGACTTCCGCTTGCCTCACGATGCTTGCGCGTCACGCTCTCCACTACAGACAGCGCGCACACCTCGATCCCAGCCCACACCTCTCCTCTCGACTCATCCCTATTCTGCTCTTCGTCTTCAGTTCCTCTATCCCATTCTCCTCTGCTGTCAGCCACAGCCTTCCCACTCCCTTCTCCTACCCATAGAGATTGTCCTTTGTCTTACTCTTCCTTCTCTGATCGATCCGACGACCTAGCTCATCTACGGCTATCATCAATCGAAGACCAAGTGACACCCTCGGGTAGACGACTGTTATTGTGCGGCGTGAGGCGAAGAGCGCAGAGGGAGCGGGCGCCAAAGCTATCATCAGCAAGGCGTCGGCGTAAAAGCGGTGATCAGATTGAGCATTCGAATCTGGTTGAGGCAAGAGCTGACAGGATATCAAAGATTCGGGATGTGCGCAAGACCATTGTCGTGGCCTGCGTCGCAAACCAAGAGAGACGGCGAGGAGAGAAGAGATGCCGACGGCTGTGATCTATCCTCATCTACTGGTGGTTGATAGCTCCATATGTAGGTGGAGCAGCCTGAGGTTGCACGCCAGGAGCGGCCTCGTACTTGCCTCCACCGACGTAGCGGAACCCTGCGTAGCCGTAGCGCTCTTCGGCTTGCATCTGGTCGCACAGAGGCCAAGGGGGAGAGGGGACGTCAGCGTGAGCGTGCGTGCTGGGCTGGGAGAGGAACGGAGGGAGCAGACGGACCTTTTTGTAGATGAGCCAGAAGGCGTGAAGGTGTCCTGGTAGATAGCCCAGGATGGTCAGGAGAATGTTGATGAGAAGGTCACACGAGCAGCCGGTGATGAAGCTGCGAGGTGAGTGAGAGCATTGAAAGTCGTCAGCTCGTGGCAGCCAGGGGTTCCATCGTGTCAGACCGACTCACGCAGCGGCAGCCGGTGGGAAAAGAATAGCCACTAGGATGAGGAGGATGTCAGATGACTTGACCATGTTGCTGCGATCAGAGAGTGGTAATGACGATGAGAGACGGCAACCGGCGGTGCTGCACGGATGGGTCTTGAGCTTGCTCACCTCCACAGCAGCCCATCTTGCCCTCTCGCCGTCGACTGACAGCCACGCGGAATCGGCGAGACTTGCGATGCGCACCTGCACTTGGACTTGGGGTCCTGGGTCCTCGAGCCGCCAAGCCACCAAAAGACCAGAAAGCAAAAGGCTCTCGTACCTCGATTCCTTTCTTCCACTGTTCCTTCCCACTTGATCACAACCGCTCCTCTCTCGTCATGACGGCCGACACGCAAAAGGCACCTTCGGCTGACGCCAACATCGCTGGCTCCGGTGGAGGAAAGGGAAGGCGAGCCTCGCTCAAAGGAAGGAGGGGATCTGGAGCTGAGAAGATGGACTCTCATGTTGGCATCAGCGAGCGGGCAAGAGGCGGGAGGGTGTGGGAGCAAAGACCTCGTATCAACCGCAACTGACTCGCATTTCCCCTCTCTCTCCTCCGCTTCGCAACCGCAGATCGCCTCCTGGCACACATCTTCCCACAAGCACGAGCGCCGCCCGGCTGCTCAAGAGGAGCAGCTCAACGAGGAGGTCAAGCGATTCGAGGAGCTCTTTACCCTCACGCCTGAGCGCCTCAAGCACATCACCGACCGCTTCGTCACCGTCCTCAAGGATGGTCTCGATGCGCCCGGCAAGACGGTGCCCATGCTTCCTGCCTACGTCTTTGGCTGGCCCACAGGCAATGAAGAGGGGCGAGTGCAACCGCCCGCCCTGTCTTCCGGCTCGTCATACTGATCGGTCTGCTCTCCTCGTCGCTCGCTCGCACAGATCTTACCTCGCCCTCGATCTCGGAGGCACCAACCTCCGCGTCTGCCATGTCGTCCTCAAAGGCAAGGGCAAGTTCGAGATCACCCAGACCAAGTTCAGGCTCACCGACGAGCAGAAGCAGATGGATGGACAGAAGCTCTTTGACTTCTGCGCTGAATGCCTTCACACTTTCATCAATGACCACTTTGGTGGTGGGGAGGGCGAGGAGCCCATCCTTGAGGAGGATATCGCGCTTGGCTTCACCTTCTCCTACCCGATGGAGCAGTGAGTGCCGTGCGAGGCAACGATGTAAAGAGAGAAAAAGGCGTCGGTGGCTGACGTCTGCCCCAACGACGACTCTGCTCACAGGGACGCCATCGACCACGGCAAGCTCGTCCGCTGGACAAAGGGCTTTGGCAACCCCAATACCGAGGGCAAGGACTGTGCCGCCATGTTCCGCAAGTCCCTCGAGTCGCAGAAGGTCCCTATCAAGATGACCTCGATCATCAACGACACCACCGGTACCTTGATCGCCTCCAATTACGTCAAGCAGGACACCAAGATTGCCTGCATCTTTGGTACTGGATGCAATGCTGCCTACATGGAGCACATCAAGAACATCCCCAAGATTGGCCACTACAACTTGCCCGGCGACGAGGACATGGCCATCAATTGCGAGTACGGCGCCTTCGACTCCTTCGAGCACAAGCACATGGCAGAGATCCGCACAAAGTACGACGAGCACATCGACCTGCACAGCAACAAGCCACATGAGCAGTCCTACGAGAAGATGATCGCCGGTCTTTATCTGGGCGAGATCTTCCGCTTGTGCCTCTGCGACCTCATCGATGAGGGCACACTCTTCCTCGGCCAGAACACGTACAAGCTCGAGAAGACCAACGTCTTCGACACTGCCTTCATGTCCCTCATCCTCGTCGACCCTACGGACGAACTCCTCACCTGCGCTGGACTCTTCCTCCACTTCTTCGGCCTCGAGACTACGCAAGAGGAGCGCAACTTCTTCAAGAAGCTCGCCTACATGATCGGGCTCCGTGCTGCCCGTCTCTCCGCTTGTGGGATTGCTGCTCTGGTGACCAAGATGGGCTACCTCGAGGAAGGCTGCGGAGTCGGGGCTGATGGGTCGCTTTACTCCAAGTTCCCCAAGTTCCCAGAGAACTTGCACAAAGCGCTGGAGGACATCTTTGGTGAGAAGGGCAAGGGCATTGTCACGCATCAGGCTGAGGATGGTTCTGGTGTTGGAAGCGCCATCATTGCGGCTATGACGTTGAAGAGGAAGGAGGAGGGCAAGTACACGCACTGCTAAGAGTGGTCTGGCAGAGGAGCATCCGACGAAGTTCATTATACGCAATACGACTCGAGTGGCCTAGATTGTTATGTGGGTGTCAGAGGGATCTGCGAGTGCGCTTGTCTTCGCTGCCTCATCGTCAAAGAGGTACCGCGGTATCGCTGAAGCCGCGGCGGCGGCGGCGGCGATAGCTCCGAAAGCGTCAGGGCAATGCTGAAGACAAGGACGGAGCGAATGCCGTTGTCGACGAATGAGGGAGAACTCGAGCTCTCAATACCCTCGAGCTGTCCTTCAGCCAAGCTTGGCATATCCCTCTCTTGAACTTCCCGTTTGGCAGTCGTGACCTCATCATCCTCCCAGCCACGAGCGCATCCCGACGGGTTTTGCCCATTGCCTCGATCACTAAAGAGTCAGCGCACTTCATCTACGCATCAGCTATCGCCGCTACGGCCAAACGAGCCCGCTCGCTTCGAGGAGGAGCAAGTGATCGAGGTCGAGCGTCGAACCCCGCTTCCGCTCACGATCCCGCTCGAGCACATCGCACCGCCCTCGACTACTACTACCCGCGGCTATCTGGTGGGCAGTCAGGGTTCAGTCCCTCACTCACGAGCCTCCGCCACATCCGCTCTCCGCTCGCTGCCTCACCCGCTGTCGTCGATCACCCTCAGTCTGGTTCAAGCGGGAAGCGGCCATTCACAGAAAGAAAGGACCGCAATCCCTCCCCTCCTCCTGTCTGGCTCAAGGTTCGGCAGCTTGAGGGACGGCAATTAGCTTTGTCGTTCACGGCTGAGATTGCTTTCATTCGAATACAACACTGCCCGGCGCACTCGCCTGCCTTTGCCGCTGCTCCTGCCCGGGCACTGGCTGCTCCTGCCCGGGCACTGACTTCGCAGCAAATTTTTGGGCCACTCTATCTTCCTCTCGCAGGCTTTGCGCAATTCATTTGTGTCGTACGCCGCCGTCGCTGTCGATCATTTGGGCAATTGTAGCGAGCGTGTTAAAGCGGTGGAAAACTCGGCATCTAAAGTGTCACTCTCTAGCGCAGTCACTCAAAGAGTCACACACGCACCAGCCCTGCTCCAGTGACGTCGAGGTGCAGCACCAGCGCCGGCAAGCAACACTCAATCCAACGACGGACGACCGAAATTCTCAGCCACCCCACCCCGGCTCACCGCTCACCCTGGGCCGCCGGACCAGCACCACCTCGTGTAGCTTTTCTCTCTGTAGTCGAGGTGCTACTCTACCAGCATAGACGAGCTCTTGCTCCCTCGCTGCTAAGCCTCGCTAAGCCGAGATCACTCAGCACCGTCCGGCATCTCACTCGCTCTCGCACCCTCTCTCACGTCCAACGTCTCGCGGTGCGGGCGGTCGGACCCCTTCCCAAAATCGACCGATCCGCTAGACGCAAGCTAGCCAGACTTCGCAAAAGGGCAAAGGTTGGAGTCAGCGCCTCATTGTTCTTCCCGTCGTCGCCGACAATAGCACACGACCGCGAACCGGAGAGAGCAACAACGAGGCGAGTCTGCCCTTACGCTGGGCATCTCTTTTGCGACTTGGCTTCCTTCCCTCCATACTCCTTGCGAGCCTTCCACGTCGGACTCGCATTCCGTTCTCACTCTACCTTCTCTCTCATCATCCATCGTGCGCTCTAGCGCCCTCTTTCTCCTCTCTCGTCCTCCTCATCTTGCCTCTCCATATCGTTCTCTCGGTGCCCGTTCGCAGTAATGCCCGCCGACACTGTGTCGACAGGGCCTCGTCCGCCATCATCAGCAGGCTCGATGGTTGGACCAGACGATCACCTCGGCGCCAAGCTAGCAGACTTGCGTCAAGCTACTGGACGCAGCGGCGGCGATAACAACAGCAACTCGCGCTCGCACCAACGGCAGCGCGCAGACACCGTTACCGCCCCTCCTCCGACCTCATCGTCTTCGACCTTGAGGCTACCATCGGGCCTTGCTCGCCGCATCAACAGCAGCAGCAACGATGACAGTAGCACCAGTCCGACCGTCGTCCGACGAACGGCAGGCGAGCTCATCCGCCACGAGCGGGAGCGCAGCCAGCTGCTACGCTCCATCAGCCACCTCAACAAGACTCAGAGGCCTCCGACTGCCGTCAGCGAGGACCTCGAAGAGTGGGCTGCGCCTGCTGGCTTGTCCACAGCCCACATCATCTCGCCGCCTCCTCTCCCTTCGCCGCCCACGTACGAAGCTGGCGAAGCGCTGAGCGCTACTCGATCATCGCCTACTACATCCTTTGCCTCGAGACGAGCTCGTTCTCGGTCCTTTGGCTTCATCGATGCCGTAGCCCGGTCGCAGAGCAACGCACCGACATCGCCGTCACTCCCTCTACATCGTCGATCCTTCTCTCGCTCCAACCTACGAGCAGCTCTTGGCTCCTCATCGCCCGAGCAGCAGCAGCAGCAGCAGCAGCAGCAGATTGGGTCCAACACCAAGACGGCAAAGCGCAAAGCGTCTATGCCACAGCTGGGCAAATTAGCAGCCGCCTTCAAATCCCGTGATAATGTTGCTATTGCCTCGTCTTCGTCCACGACGACGAGCTTTGATCATCGAGGCGACCTATCTTCTCCCTCTGCTCTTGCTTCTCTAGCTTCCGCATCGACGTCAGCTCTCGCTATCACAGATTCCGCAGCTGCAGTTGCTCCACTTGCTCCACCGCCTTCCTCTTCTTCCTCGTCGATGACGCGCACGTCAGCGTCGCCGCCATCTGCGCCCGCGACTTCGTATTCGCAATTCAACACCAGCGGAAAGCTTGGAAACCCTGACGCTGTCTTGGCCGCCACAGCCAGACGATCAGGGCGACATTCAGGCGCTGGTTGTCAGGGTGAGGGTGGTGGGAGTGGTGCAGTCGGCAGCGGAGTTGACGCAGCGGCCCCACACCAGAGGCAGCAGAACAGCGTCGGCGCGGACAGCACTAGCAGCTCGACGACTCGCAGCGACAGCCCCCAAGCCCGCCCTGCTCGCCCCTTTGGACAAGGGCTCCACAGAGGAGACAGAGATGGCGTCGTCGACGTCGACCGCGGAGTGAGCAATCCGGACGACGGGACGATCGGCCAAAACGGCATGCGCGAAGGAGGCGACGAGAGTCAGCGTCGCAGCACGACTGGGTCACCGTCTCCGCCGGGCCTTTCAGAATCGCTTTCGCTTTCGCAGCAAGGACCATTCAGAATCATAGCAACGTCGTCGGCCTCGGCGTCTTCTCCAGTCTCTCCTCCTTCATCATCGTTAGCAGCGGCATCTCTTTCAGCATCATCACCGCCACCACCGCCGCCGCTGTCAAGAGAGATTGATTCGTCTTCGTGGGTGTCATCATCATCAGCATCATCATCATCACCGCCACTTGCACAGCACGCCGCCAATTGCCGCAGAGCAAGCGGGCCAATTAGCTTGGCATCATCAAAAGCAGCAGCAGCAGCAGCTGGCCCTCGCTACTCATCTTCTCAGCTACAAGCATCTTCACCATCTTCATCGCCCATCACCAGCTGCATTGGCATCAGCGAGCCGCTAGCATCAAATCCCTCGCTTCATCACCGACGACAACGATCCTCAGCATCAAACAGCTACGACTTCAGCGAGTCCACGCACACATCTCCAGTATCTCGCAGTCCAGCTCGCGTCTCATTCGATCTCACTTCAGCCCAAGAGCGTATAGCAAGTAGACAACCCTCTCTCAGTCAAATTGCTACAGCGCCGCCTCTCCCAGAGGAGGAGCCTGGCCATAATTACCTCGAGACGTCAACGTCAGGCTTTTCGTCCTTTGCAGACCTCTCCGCGCTCGATACATCCGAAGAGAGTGTAGGCTCCGCCATGAGCGTCGTACACCCGCCTTCCGCCGTGGGTGGTGTCAGCTTCACAGGGCACGATGTACGCAGAGGCAGCACAGGGACAGCAGGAGGCAAGTTGGGCAACAAGATGAGAGGTTGGGCAAGTCGATCATCTCACAACCTCACATCGACGGCCATGGCAACGGCAGATCCGAAGCTCTCGAGAACGAGCATGGACGCTGCTGGACACACGACGAGTATCGTCGCCCTGCCAGGCCCACCTGATGCACCGGCACGAGGAGGGCGAAAGTCGATGTCTCTCTTCCGCTCGAGACCATCACAGGTTGCAGATCCCACTCCAAGCACTCGTCTGCGTCGTCCGAGCTTCATGAGGCCGCGTGCCTCTATCTCGGGAGGTGCGGATGATGACGAAGTCGAGGCCGACCAGACCACGTCGACTCGCTCATCAATCAGCAACACTAATGCATGGTTCAAGAAGGTCATCCTCAGAAGCGGCGGCGGCAGCAGCAGTCGCAGAGGATCCGTTGTCAAGACCATCCCAGCGGGAGCGCCCTCCCAATCACCGGCGGGTGACGATCCGACGCCCACTGCGGAGCAGGCTCGAGTAACTCTTGAATCAGCCTTCGGGCCCGTCCAACGCTCTCGTCAGGGTGTCGAAGAGGATGCCGCCTCTGTGGAAGCGCAGGACAGCAGCAGAGGCCTCCCCATTTCCTCGGCGAACGGAGTTCCCTTTGCATGGTCAACAAAGTTTGGCGCTAGTGGCAGTGGCGCGGCTCAGCCCATCGACGACGACGTTGGACCCTTGGACAAGCCTGCGCCCCTCATCGATGTCGGACGACAGTACTCAGCCGATGGGAGAAGCTCATGCAGCTCGCCGGCGCAGTCTGGTCCTCACTCGTACCAGTCGACGGCTAGTGTTAATACACAGCAGACGAGCTCGACATCACCGACAACAGACGCTGTTCCGGGATGTCTTGGTGAGGTCTCGTTGCCTAATCAGTCAGCTGTGAAGCATAGAGCGGAGCGATCAGATGAGAATCGACACGACTCGTCAGAGAACACGACCGTAGACGGAGAGGCCTTTTGTGATGCACAGGAGACCATGTCCCAAGATGAGGAGCCAAACATTGCCTCTCAGCAGGCTCCGTCCAGCTCGGCGACGTTGCCTCAGTACCCTGCTCCTGTCGTAGCATCATCTGCGCAACCGCCTCGCCGACCTGGACGAGGTAGTCACGGGATCTCGCAGATGCCTCGTCTCAACTCGATGCGTATTGTACAGGGTGGGGGTGGTGACGAACGCGGCAATGGCAATCACGACCGCGACGGGACAGGTGGATCGGGACCCAATGGTGGTGGCCAAGGAGGAGCAGGAAGTGGTCGTGATGGCGGAGGCGGCGAGGACGACTCTGCAGAGAGCAGCGGTGACGAAACGCAAGACGTCGCTACCGAGGAGGACGAGGAGTCTGAGACGGACACCGATGGCGAGCATGATCCAGATGAGACGTCGAGCGACGTTGACTCGAGTCGCGCTCGCAACGGCCCGCCCATGTTGGACCCCATCGATACTTCCATGCCAGGCTCCTTCTTCACGTCGGAGCCTCTGAGCTCGTCCTTCTCCGCCACAGGCGACCGTGCCAACAGGCCTGGCGACATCGCTCTGCCTCCCAGACCAACCTTTACGCCCGTCAGTGCAGCCGCTCCAGCTGCCGCTACAACCGCTGCGAATGCGCCGCAACCGCAAGCGTTCGACGACGACACGAGCGTCGCTGGCCGCCAGTCATGGACACGCTTTAGCGAGACGCCCTTCGAGACGCCTACACCCATCGCCAGCAATGCAGCTGGGTATCGCACTCCCGGCGCCTCAATTGCGGCCAGCGAGCCATCGTACTTCAACTCGCGTCCCGCGACGAGCAGGAGTGCAGCTTCTTCTACGATGCAGAGCGACAATGCTCCGCCGCCGTCCCCGTCGATCATCAGTCGAAATCGCGCTACTTCGTCTGCGAGCTCTCGAACAGCGAGAGTCTTGCCCACGCCAGGCAGAGAAATCCCCGCACCACCTCTGCCGCCGATGCATCCTCTGCAGGCCAAGAAACCGGAGCGAGCATCGACCCTATCCCCGGCTCTCTCGCCTGCATCGTCTCTGCGGGTTTCAACGGCAGCAGGCTCATCCAAGATCTCGCCTCCGTCTGATCGTCAACAATCGCCTCCAGTCCCTCGACCCATCTCAATGGCAGACCTCATGTTGCCACAGCCGAGCGCTCCAGGCAGCCAAACCAACAGCATTGCTTCGCCCTCGTCCCCATCTCAAGGGTCATCGCCTGCAGTCGCTCGTCCTCCTGGCATAAAGATGGAAGGCAGCCGCGACAACAACTTCCGACCTGGCCTCTACTCGCAGCAGTCTCGCTCGCTCATCGATCTTCCGAGTGCTACTCGACATCGAGAGCTCGATGCAGGGCAGAATAAGCAGCAGTCAAAGGACGATGGGCGAGTACTGAGTCCCACCTCCGCGAAGACGCCTGCAGGGGAGGCAGCTCCCCTCGCAACGCCAGACTGGGCCATGTATCCTCCTCCTACCCCATCGACAGGCAACTTCGCTGACTCTGCACCAGCTGGAGTACAGCGTCGTCGCTCCATGGTCGAAATGACCGCCGCGCCACCTGCGTACGCCATCATTCACCGCCGACCAGAGGGCCCGCAGATGATCTACCCTCGAGAGGAGGAAGGGCGAGAGAAGCTCCCCAAGTATGGCTGTGCAGTGCATATTGAGGGGTATCTGCCCCGCAAGATGGAGTTCAGTGCACCGGGTATTCAGGCAAAGGACCGAAGCTGGAAGCGTCAGTACTTTGTGCTGCACGGTACCTGCCTCAAGGTCTTCCGCAACGACCTCAGCGGCGCGAGCGGGGCTGGCGCGAATGGGTCTAGTGCTCAGTGGGGCAGCATGAGCGGCGTTCATGTGCATCGCGAGCCCATCAATGAAGATGGGAGCAATGGAGGAGCAGGCTCGAACCCTGGCTCGGGCCTCATCGACAAGGTGCAAAGCAGTAATCTGCCCTTCGGCTCCAACTCGCACGACCGCAACGGTGGCCTCGTCCGCAACTACACATTGCAAGGCGCCGAGAGCGGTCTGGCGGCCGACTACTTCAAGCGTCGCCATGTAGTGCGCGTGCGAGCAGAGGGCGAGCAATTCCTTCTCCAGACCGTGTCCGACAGGCATGTCGTAGACTGGATCGAGGCACTCCAGGCTGCCACTAACATCTCGCAGGACTTGGAGAGCAGAGCCATGCCCAAGTTCATTACATTGCCGCGAAGAAGAAGGAGGAGAAACAGGCCGGCGGCAAGGCAAGAGGAACAGAGGGAGGCGGCAGACTTGGCAGAGGCACAGCGACGATCGTTGGCCGATGCCAATGGTAGCGGTGGACGTGGCACTGCCAATGCGGCTTCGTCCGCCAATCGCGCGAGTGGGAGCGCGAGACCCAGTGGGGACAACACGCCAGATCCGAGTGCACGCTTCGATGAGATGCTCCGCGAGGAGCATGAAGACTTTGTTCGTCCCACGCAGAATGCTTCAGTCATTTAAAAGGGCGGACATGGAAGACTCGAAGGAGGAAGCAGGCGGAGTAGACGAGCGAAGCAGCAGCAGCAGCAGCAGCAGTGGCCAGATCTTTTTTTACACGACGTACTCGACGGCTCGTTCACATGTATCTCAGAACCTCAGAACCTACTTTCAATGCCCACGTCTCTCTGTCACTTTAGGTCCTCGCTGCGACGGCGAAATCTCACGTCTTGGATGGCTCGGTGATGGTGCGAGCGATCCGGCTGCCAAATCCGGCACCCCAGCCTCGACTGCAAGCTCCAATGCCGGATCGGCTTCGGCGCGTGGGCCCTGCTGCCGCTCCGCCTCCAACTGAATGTCGGCCTCCGCTCCCTCCATCGCAGCTGCGCATCGTACGCCTTTCATCCAGTCCATCCAGACGACCAAAGCCGCTTGAAATTGCTCCAATCACACGGACATGGCTTCGTCATCGTCGTCGTCGTCAATGACGACCGCTCCTCGTCAGGAGATGATCACGTCGGCCATCTCCTTCCTCCAGGACCCAAAGGTGGCCTCGTCGTCGGTGGCTCAGCGCATCGCCTTTCTCGAGTCCAAGGGCCTCTCGTCTGGGGAAATTGACGAGGCGCTGCGACGCAGTGGAGTAGTAGGAGGTGGGAATGGGCCGCCGCAACAGCAGTACCATCAAGGACAGGCTCAGCAGTATTACGGAACTCAGCAGCAGCAGCAATCCGGGTATTACTACCCTCCACCCCCTCCTAATCAGTCGCAAGGGAGGGACTGGCGTGATTGGTTTATCATGGCTGTCGTGAGCGGGACGATTGGGTATGGTGTCATTGCGCTGGCAAGGGTGAGCATCCGATCTCGTCGGTAGAAAATGGCTGTATGCTGACCCGCTTTGACTGGCACCCCCCTCTCCTGCACCCCCAAAGCGCTACCTCTTCCCACACCTTCAGCCCCCCAACCAGACGATCCTCGAGTCAGACCGCGACGCCCTTACAGCCAAATACGATGAAGTGGCTGCTACTCTCTCTCAGCTGGATAGCGAGACTCGCGCAGTGAAGGCTGGTCTAGAACAGCAGAAGTCGGCGATTGACTCGGAGCTCAAGTTGGTCGAGGAGGCCCTGGAGCAGCTGAGGACGGGGGAGAGGTCGAGAAAGGAAGAAATGGAACGGATCTCCAGGGAAGTGGAGAGTATGAAGAGGGATATGCCCAAGGTGAGCCCAAGAGTGAGGGGCGAAAGTATATGCTCGCGGATCGCTGACCGTTGCCTCTTGGCCCCTTGAATCGCAGATGTTCGAATCGTCTTCTTCTTCGACCGCTACGTCTCTCACAGAGCTCCAGAGCGAGCTGAAGAGTCTTCGATCTCTCCTCGTCTCTCGCACCTCGTCATCAGCAAACAGCGGCGGCGGGGCCAGTGGGATGACAAGCAGCGTCAGCGGCCCCGTCAACGGCTCCTCGGGCTACTCTTCGCCCATGCGCACAGGCAACGGCTCGCCACCCTTGCCCGTGCCGCCCTTTGGTATGGGAGCGACGAATGGCGGCAAGCCTGCGATTCCGGCATGGCAGCTCGCTGCAGGTGGGGGCAGCGGTGGAGGCAGCGCAGCGTCCTCGTCGTCTGAGAAGGAAAAGGCGACGGAGGGGGCGCCGAAGGAGCAGCAACCCGCGCCGAAGGAGAATGGAGCGTACGATGTTTGAGAGTACCTGGTGCAGCTTCTCGTTGCAATGTCATTCGATTTGTTTACGTCTGCACAATCTCGAGGGGTCGTCCCGCCGTCGTTGAGCCGTACGTAACCTTGGCTCCCTCGCCGCTGCCGCCTCGAGTCGAGTTGCGCCCGGCCGTTGGACTTGTGCGAGGCCCAATTGAACGCGCCGCACCTTTGTCTCGCTTTCTTCCTCTGACCATCTCCACTACGCAGTCTTATGATCGTCGTGACGACGACAACGATGATGGATTGCCCATGAGACAGTGCTAACACTCGTCAAGACGACATTCGCACCCATCCCTCCTCGCCTTGGTGGCTGAAACGCAACAGGGCTACGAGCTCACCTGGCTTCTTGGCAGGCAGCCGAGGCATCATGTCATCTTCATCATCAGATAGCGACCACCATGAGCAAGGCAGCGCAGCAGCATCCTCGCCTTCATCTCGAGGGGACGAGGTACTGGCCTCATCAGCGGCCCCTGTCCAGTCATCGGCCCGCTCCTCTTCCGACTCGCTGAGGACGCTGCGCAATGAAATGGCAACGCAGCTGGCAGACAAGAATGTCCACCTCACCCCTTCCCTGGGCCAGGGTCTTGCCTTCACTCGCAATCAACTGAGGAACGCTTACCTACGCCTCCTCTTCCATGCTCCCTTCACCAAGCAAGCACACAATGCAGAGGCGGGCATGTGGACTGAGACGACGCACAAGGTTGTTGCCATCTATCGTAGCAGGCTCGCAAAGCTAGAGAAGCAGATCAAGGCGTCCGCCAATATCAAGGACAAGACTGCTTCGGGTTCAAGCTCTCCAGCTCGAGGGTCAGCCGAGACGCCTTCTACCCCTCCAACAGCGCCATTATCGAATAGCAAGCGACGCGCTCAGACGCAAGAGTACAGTCGCCTCGCCGAAGCGTTGCGCAACTTTCTCGCCAAGGAAGAGATCTTCTGGAAAGCCTTGGCCGAGCGTCTATCCATCGTCTTCCGTCTCACAGAGACGGAGGGTGCACTAGACAAGGCCGGCATCATTTCGTCGGGACCAAAAATCCCCGTCGGTCCACGAGCTATCATGGGTGGAGCTGGAGGAGCTGGAGAGGATTCGCAGCCTGCCGGCCTCGCACGTATGCCAGATTCTCCTTCAGCTCTCGATGCTGCCATATTCAAGGCTGCGAGCCTGCCTAGGCACAAGGAACGATTACTTGAGATCGTCTTCAAGATCCTGCTATACTGCGGTGACTTGGCGCGCTATCGCGAGATCTACCGGGACCTCTCCTCAGTCAATTCGCCCACCTCAGCTCCTCCAACACAGCCTAGGAGCGGTCGCACCGGTCAGCAACAACGAAGGGCAGCTCCAAGCTCCGCGGCAGTCTCGACCTCGCAACGCGACTTCACTCCCGCCATCGTCTGCTACGAGGCTGCCCGTCTCCTCCTCCCCTCAGAAGGCAACCCCTCCAACCAGCTTGCCGTCGTCTCTACCTACCAGAGCGACACTTTCGGCGCCGTCTATCACTACTATCGCGCTCTTTGCGTCAAGCGGCCGTTCGACACTTCGAAGGTCAACCTCGGTGCCGCATTCGGTAAAGCGGTTGATGCTTGGCTACAAGCGGGAGGTTTGGAGGCATCGATCGGCAGCAGCAATGGGGCAGGGCCTAGGCGACGTAGCCCTTCAAGCAATGAGCTCAAGCACCGAGTCACAAAGGACTTTGTCGTTCTGCAGGGCCTCTTCTTCACGCACAAGTCCTTCACCTCCCTACCTACCCTGGCCGTGCGCTTCCTCGAAACGTTCGGAGAAGCCGTGTCGGACAAGCTCCTGTCGACGGACATCATTGTGCGCGTCGTCGTGGTAGGCATTGCCGCATCGTGGTCTGCGAGACTTTGGCGTCGATCTGTGGATCACGGGCGCACTCAGACGCTCAAGCATGGGGCATCTAGCCACGGAACAAAGGAACAGCAGTCGCAGCAGCAAGACCCCAAATTGGCCCTCAGTATCGAGCTGCAGCTCCTGCACCACGCCATTGGCGTTTTTCGTCTTCTTCTCGACATTTGCGCAACACAGGTTCGACAGGCCATCGAGGATGCAAAGGTGCACATGCAGCCCACAATACAATCCCGCAATGGCGGCCCTCCTTCATCAGCTGCTCTAGCAGAAGGAGGAGTTGCCAAGCACATGACAGCCGTCATGCGACGCGTCCTGCCTGCGCTTCGCATCTCAAGCAAGTGGGTCAAAGCCCACCTGGACTACATTGATCGATGCGAGAGCGGATGCATTTCTCGTGCGGCAGAGGGCTTTGCGGATCCTGCTACCACCAAGGGCGGCTCGTCCAGCTCAGATACCACTCTCGCTACCCGAGCGACCGCGGAGCTTTCCCTCATCCAAGGTGTCGAAGACTTCTGGTCCTCATACGTGGAGTGCTTGAACACTCTACGCTTTGCATTCCCCTTCGACTCGCTCCCCTCACTCGGAACAGTAGGACCCGCCGGAGCCGCCTCCCTGTCCCTGGAGGAGGATGTCGATCTACGAGGCTTTGTACCCACGCGCCGCGGGATGCTCACGCAGGACGATGCGGCTGCCCGACACGACTTACCGAGCCGAGCGCAGGGGCAAGGGGGGCAGAGACATCCGAACGAGGAGCATCTAATGCGGATCGCGGACCTGCTGGTAGATGCGAAAGTAGTGGCAGAAAGCGAGGCAAGTCCGATCTTGTTCGACGATGCAAGAGGAACATTCAGGGTTGATCCAAGTGGGAAGGCGGGGATGCAGCAGCCTGCGACACACCCGGCCAGTGGGGAGGCGTTTGCTGCGAACGAGGTCCAGGCCTCACTGCGTTCCATGGCCGCCGCAGCAGCAGCAGGCGCGGGCACGGGTACGGACGACGCTCAGTCTCTCGGCTCGTCCACGGAGGACGTGGTGGATATGGCTATGCGGCACGTAGCGGAACAAAGGGCCCAGATGCAAGGCGGTGGCCATCATTTGCCCAATGGGCTGGTTTCTGACGATGACGAAGACGACGACGAGATACTGATTCCGGCAGCTGTGGCTGCTCGACGGCAGCCGAAGGGAGCGTTCGGGAAGGGAACGCCGACTCACGCGCCTGCATCTACTCAACAGGGCTTCTCATCCGCACCTGGGGGTAGTCCTTTTGCTCAGCAGGGCCAGCAGCAGCAGGTGCGCACGTCACCTCCCTCCAATCCCTCTCGCAATGCATTCGGAATGGACCATCTCCAGAAGGCCTTGACCGTTGGCGGTCCGGGCGGTATGATTCCACCTCAAGTCCTTGCCGCCCAGCAGCCCTCGATGCGTACCGCTCAAGACCTCCTCCTGAACATGCTGCAAGGCGGAGGCACTCCGACCGGTAGCAGTGCAAGCCCTGCTCATACCTCAGCCTCAAACAGCGGCGCCTTTGGCGCGATTGGCAGCGGGCCATCGTCTTCATCGCCCGCGGGTCCTTCCCTCCTCTTCGGCGGAGTACAATCGCCTCCCTACCCTCATCACAAGCAGCAACCTTCCCACTCGAACCTTGCAAGCATCTGGGCCCCCACGCCGGGAGAGGTGGGAGGGAGCGCTTCGCCTTCGCGTATCGCTATGGGCGGTGCTGCGAGTCCAGAGAGATTTGCTACTCCTCAGGGGTTCTCTGCCGCTCCGGGAAGCCAGATGTATGGCCAGCAACAAGGCCAGCCGGGGCAGCATGGAGCGATTGGTAGCCCATTCGCCCAGCCGGCGGCGCAGCGACGAGGTGACCCGTGGGGGGCATCGATTGACACACCGCCTGTGTCTCAGACTCCATCACAGCAGCATTTTGGCCAGCAGCAAGGGCTCTACGGCCAGCAAGGCATCTACGGCCAGTACCGCAACTTCCAGCCCTACAGTCAATTTCAGCAGCAGCCATTTGATCGCTGAGGAGATAATGCGGGCCAGCAAAGGCTCTGACACTCTCTCTCGTCCATCAAGGCTCTATAACAGTCAGCAGAACAAGACCGTTGAGTATGCAACGGCAGTAGGCATAGGCCATCCGCGCCGACGAGCGCTCTCGCTCGCATCACCGCACTGCAGCGGCCCCACAGCCGGCCTTCCTTTGCGTGTGGACAGGGCTGACTGAAAAGCGGGATGAAGGCAATGAGTGACGCTCGTTAGAGAGAAGCAAGGGCGGACTAAGAGCGAGTTGAGTCGATTGCTTTCTCGAACGGCACAATGAACGAGCAAGGGTCCCTGAGCGGAGCGCTACCAGCAGCTCAGTATTCCTTGGTCCGCGCCCTCCATTCTTCTATCTCCCTCTGCGCTCTTTCCTGACACTCTTGACCAGTGATCAGACCAGAAAATCACTGATCTTTCCTCATTACTGTCTGTGCCTGAATGAACGGATCCTGCACGCTCCTCTGCTCTGCCTTACATGCTGACCCAGAAGCAGCCTTCGTACGCTACACTCGCTCTGCCTCCCAGCTAACCACGTGGTTTCAGCCGCGCGAGATCGGACGGACGAAAGTGGGACAGCCTAATCCGCTCCGCTTGTCTTCTTCCGCTTCTCAATACCATCGTCAACTCTCACACTCTCCTACTTATCTGAGTGAGATTGGCCGTCAACATGTTCTTGCTTGGCCATCAGATGCCGGATAACCAGAAGGTCAAGGTGAGCCTTGGAAATAGATGAGTACTGGCTGGCTGGCGAGAGGGAGGGAGAAATTGCTCGCCTCCCTCTTGTCTGGACATCGCCTTCTCATTGCTCCCATCGATTCTCATCAACCTATATGCTGATTTGCCCCTTTTCTTTTGCCCTTTCCATTCCCATAGGCCGCCCTGACAGTCTTCTACGGCCTGTCAACGGCCCTCTCCTCCCGCCTCTGCGCCCGACTCCAAGTGCACGACTCCTGCCGTGTAGGCGACCTTACTGAAGCTCAAACAACACAACTGAGCGCCTACCTCTCTTCACCAGGATCAATCCCTGCTCGTCCTTCCAGCCCGACAAGGGGGCCCCTCACATCTTCCTCTGAGGCATCTTCCTCCTCAAACGTCTGGCGCCCTTCCCAAGCCGCAGACCCCTCTGCCGACCCGTTGCGATCCCTCGTAGTCGACTCGGAGCTGCGTCGTGCCCTCAGAGCGAACATTGCGCATCATCGTGCTGTTGGCACGTACAGAGGGAAGCGTCATCAGCAGGGTCTGCCGGTGAGGGGACAGAGGACGAGCACGAATGCCATGACGGCCAAGAAGTTGAACAGGATCGAGAGGAGGGGAATGGCGACTACCGCTGGCGACGGAGCGAGGGAGGCGGTGAGGTCACAAGAGACAATGAGTGTTAGAGAGATGCTGCCGCCGAGTCCATGGTCACGAGGGTCAGCGGCATCGTCGCCGTCGGCGCTGTTCAGGTCGAGCTGGAGGCCGTCAATCGCATAGAGAGAGGCTTGCAATGCTGCAACGAAACGTCATCATTGAGCTCGTACGGTATATTGTCTGCCTCGCCTGCACGTCCAGTCGGCCCCCCTCCTTGCCCCTCTTTCATCTTCTCAACCAGGTCCGCCAGACGTCGCTACCACTTCCCATTTCCCGCATTCAACCCTGCCTCTCCAAGAAGGCAGCGCCTTGCATCTTCAGCTTGCGCTCGAATTGCTCCAACCACTTCTGTAACAGCGGCACCGTCTGATGGGCCGAATCCGGTGCGAACGAGGACAGGAAAGAGAAAATGTTGTTGGCTTGCGAGATGGAGCGAACAGAATGAGGTCAGCTCCTTGAGCAAAAAGTGGGAGGCGAGGAGGATCGTAGAGCTCACCAATCTTAGGTGCCAGCGCCAACGCGAATTGAGGGTCAAGCGCAGCTGCGGGTGGCTGGCCTGCCCTCACTAGCTGGCCTTGCGGTTCTGCCGTTGACGCTGCGCCATTACTACCACTTGCTGGCAGAGTAGCCATCTGCGCCTGCACACTTTCCAGAGGCTCGACGCTGATGCCCAAGCTGGCCACATTCCCCACCGTCGCTCCAGCGGTCGCATTCCCCATGCCTGCGCCTCCTCTTTGCTGTTGTGCGCCAACCTTGTCCAGTCCCTTGATCCTAAAGATGGCGCTAGGCTTCTCATTGGTCAAGGAGCCCAGTAATCTCCACCCTTGGCCACACGTGCTGGATCCAGATCCAGATCCAGACCCACTTGGATCCGGCAGTTGCAGATGAACCGTCGCTCCCAGTCCATCAGGGAAGGGAGTCTCCCCCGTCATCGAGACGACGACATGGTTCAGCTGGTCTGCCCTGTCGAGCGTGAAGATGAGGTGGGTGGGTGAGGCCTGCGTTGCATTGGAAGAGGTGGGTGTGAGGGGCAGCCGGCCGGGGGTGAGAATGAAAAACATTCTGTTGTGGGTCGGGGCGAAGGAGGGACTTCGAGCCGGTTTGAACAGAGAAGGTATCGTTCAGGGCAGAGATGGTAGTGCTGGATGACCTGGAGACTCCAGTACCAGTAAGACGAGGCTACCTGGTAGCTGCGAGAATGAATCAACGGACGGAAGAAGGATGGAAAAAGGAGACGCGACCGATCGCGAATGAATGCACGGACGCGGCGAAGAGGGTGGAGGGAGGAGGCACGCACTCCTTCACTCAGAGGTCCTGACACACATTGACGAGAGAGGGGGGGAAGGAACAACTGTCTGTTCGAATGACATTTGCAATTCTATCTAAATCGAGTCTCAAAGCGTCGCTACATCTGTTTGCCCGGGGTAGGGAACGCTGGAGCGGCAAAGGCGGGAAGGAAGAGGTAATTTCCGCACGCAGGTTGAGGAGAGCCAGCTCCTCCTGGCGAGCGGCGCGAAAGGCAATTGATGATGTTGATGAGCAATCGGTATGGTGATGGTGCTGTTCGTGAGATGTATGCGGTCGTTGTGCTGAATTGAATTTTTGGCGGGGGAAAAGATGAACGATTGGTGAGGAGACGGATGTCGGCGCTGAGGCCACGCTGCTCATCCATCACCACCCTGTTGGGTGACGCCCTTCATCCTCGTCCTCCTCTGCCTCGTCGTGCTGTCATCCACGTCGTCAGGCGGGGTGAAGCCCATGTAGTTGGGACGCTTGTGCGCGACAGCGGACGTAGCTGCACCGGCCGTCGTGGCGGCGAGGGTGTCGCGCGTCTCAAAGTCGTCCATGACGTATTCTTCCTCCTCGTCCTCGTGAGCCCCAGACCTCGTAGCATCCTCGTATCCAGGAGGAGGAGGGGCGCCCTGCCCTCCCAGGTAAACGATGGGCTGGGTAGGCTGAACGAAGCGGACGTTGTGCTTCTTGAGGTAGTAAGTGAGCGCTGCGCCAAACGCATTCTTGCGGTGGAACCTTGCTCCCCAGTCCTGGTAGTTGGCGCGATGCGTCATACCGCAGGAGATCTCCCAGGAGCGCATGTTGGTGATCGCCTGCGGCACCAAAGCAGTCGAGGGCTCGAACATGCGGTCCGGTTCTGTCTGGAGCCAGTGGCACATGTCGCGCTCTACAGCATCAAGCTGGTCGAGGGAAGTGGACAGGTCCACCTGAATGAGGAAGTTTTCCCACTGATATCCCGAGCGGCGGAAGTTGACGATCATCATGTTGGCCAGTACGGCGTTGGCCACATACATATCCGTCCCATCGGCCAGGGTGAATTCCGAGGACAGAAGGCTCATCTTCTTGACACACATGACAGCATCGCCCAGCTGAATACGGTCGCCCGTGTCCATTGGGTGAGTGACGAAGATGAAAACGATCGAATCGAAGACATTCTGCGCCGACTCCTTGAAGACGAAGGCGAAGGCAATACCCAGTGTGTAGAAGGTGGTGAGCGTCTTGCCAACGTTGACGTTGAAGATGCCAAAGGCTTCAAACATGATGATGACGCAGGCGATGAGGAAGAGGATGAGATCGAGTTGAGCAACGGCATGGTTCGTGTCGCCAATGGCCTTCATGAGGTGGCGACGCTCCTTGTACGTGGTCATGACTGAATTCTTGATCTCCATCTGCGAGATGTCTCCATTGCCGTCCTTGTCAAACACGGAGAAGGCTTCGCGAGCTTCAGCCGCAGTGGCGTAGGCGGGCTCAAAGTCGGACAGGATCAGGTACGAGCGGTGATGACGTCCACGGAAGGCGTTGAAAATCGTCTTGGCCAGCTTCTTGGCGTCGGCGGGCGAGTTCATGTCGGCGAGACTTCCTGCTTCTGAGCTCTGCAGTGCAGCAAGTGGGTCTTGCATGGCCATTCGAGCCAGCTTGCTCGCTGAACTTGCCGTCATCTTGATGTTCTTGAGCGCGACTCCTCGAGCTTCTTTGACCTTGTTAATTGCAGCGCGAGGATGGGCCTTGCCAGCCTTAGGTGGATAAATGCCCTCCGGAGGCGTCATGTTGGGATCCGTCGTCTGTGCTCGCTTCGCAGAGTGCTTGTTCTTGTTGAAGGGGAAGCCTCGCTGCGGTGACGCAGAGCCACTGCGCTCGTCGCCCTCCATAGGCATTGGGCTATTGCCTGCCGACATTGTGAGGCCGGGGAGGCCGGAGGGCGAGCGACCGCCACCGAGCCTGAAGCCCCTAGAGCCTTCCTTGTGCTTGGGGCGATAGTCCTTGAGGTGGTCAAAGGTCTCGAGCGCCTTGGTAACGTCTCCGATACGCTCAGCAAAAGCCGACTTGTGGAAGCTGAGGGCCACGTTCTTGATCATGATCTTCTCGGCACAGATGGTAAGGGTGACAAAGAAGAAGAACTCGACGACCTGGTAGAGGCGGTAGAGGTAGGGTGCACGACTCTCTGTCTGAGGGTGAGCGTGATTGTAGAGATGGAAGATGCTGTTCATAAGGATGGCAAATGAGGCCCACGAGCAGGCTGCGTAGAATAGGGGCTTGATGTAGCCTTTCTGCGCAGAGTAGTACTCGGCGGCGTTGAGGGCCTCCTGATTGGTGCGTCCCCAGATCAAACCGACGACAGCCAGAGCAATGCGAGGGAAAATCTCGACGAGGATGTGGAAGACCCAAGACATGAAGAGGTTGAAGGATGCCCAGATTGTCCAAGCCTGAACATTGTCTGTGACATAGTCGCGGTGGGCCCTGTCTGCGTCGGTGGCCTCATTTCGGTATACGAATTGCATGACGATGGCAGGAACCACGAGAACGGCCGAGATGAAGAGGTTGCCGAGGAAGGAGGTCAGGAGCCATCGGCCGATGCTCCAGGGGCTCAGTCGTTTGCTGCGAACCTTGCGAGCGGCAGTCTCCTCTTTCTTCTCTGCACGAAGGGTCTCTTCGACTCCCTCATCGTCTGACCAGTCGAAATCATCGTAGCCGAATTCCGACTGCGTGTTGATCGAGGCCTCTGAGCCACGGCGAGAGAAATTTGGGCGAGGTGTGGTGTAGCCAGATGCGGGAGGGTAGTCTGACTTCTCGCTGAGCCCAAACTCTGGCTTGGAGAGGTTGCGAGTGCGCATGTCGTGGAGTGGATCGGTGACGGCGATACGAGGCAACTGAGGGGGAGCCGTCGAAGTCGATGCCTGGTTGCTGTGCGAGATTTGCTCCTGTCGGCCTGCACGCATGTCGTCGCCCTCTCTAGCATGGTCACGCAGCTTCTTCTCGACTGGATAGCCATACTCGTCAAGCCTTGCAGCAGTCTCATCTCCATAAGACTTTTCGCGAGCGGCGGCAGAGTCTGGGCTCTGCGATGAGGACGATGCTGCGCCGATGTCGGATCTGCTTGCGTAGCCAGGAGGGAATCCCTCATAGGGCGGCGAGGCAAGCCGCTGAGCTGAGGGAGCCAGGCCCAGCGAGTCCGCGCTCTGGTTGTGGCGATGGAGATGCTGTGGCAAGTGTCGAGGCGAGCCACCGCTATTGCCGCTCATCGTGACGGAGTGGTGTTGAGGTGATGGCAAGAAGGCAAGATGGCAAGATGGGCTGTGCGCAGTCAAGTCGCTCCTTTGCCAAGATGTGCTGTCGACGCCAATCGACGCCCGCCGAGCTCAAACTCTTTGTGTTCCTCGCGTGGCAGTCGGACCTTGAAATCGGTCCGTCGCGTCCAGGGTGACGGAAAGGCAAGGCAGGCCCATTTGACACGACCGACGCGGAGAGGCGGCGAGGGAGGACGAAGCGTTGCTGAGCATTCGTTCCCAACTCCAATCCATTTCGCCTCCTCACCATCATCACTGTCCCATTGTCAGCTCATCATGACTGACGTCAAGCTCAATGCAGGCGCCATCGACCGCATGCGTAAGTGCGCGCAGCATGGCGTGAAGACTGTCCTTTCACTCACGCTGCATTATCCTCATTTCCTGGCCTCTGGCACGCGACAGTTCGTACCACTGACTCGTCCGAGGCTGTGCCACCCGAGGAGGCTGTGTGCCAGATTCTGAGCATCAAGAAAATCGCAACTAGTCAGCCAGGAGCGGGCGACCGATACCGCGTCATCTTGAGCGATGGCATCCACTTTGCCCAAGGTAAGCACGAGTGGCGGACAACTGTAGGCTTCGCGTCTTTGACACTTACCTCCCCTCTCTTGCGCAGCCATGCTCGCCACTCAGCAAAAGGTCTTGGTCGAGAGCGGTCAGATCGACCGCAACTCCGTCGTCCGTGTAACGCAGTATGTCGCAAACAGCGTGCAGCAGCGACGTATCCTCATCCTCCTCGGCCTTGAGCCTCTTGGTGCTCCTCTGGGCGAGCGCCTGGGTGACCCAGCCAATTGGGAGACGGCTGCAGCGAATGGTGGTGCTGGTGCTGCTGGTGGCGCCGCCAATGGCGGTGGGTCGAATGGCTCTACTGCTGGTCCGGCTGCTGCCAACAAGGCGGGCGGCGCTGCGCCGTCGCGTACCAACTCAGGCAATGGAGGCACGAAGCCACTCTCGCGAGGCCCAAGCATGGCCAACGGCGCTCCCGTCTACCCAATCGAGGGTCTCTCCCCCTATCAGAACAAGTGGACCATCAAGGCTCGCGTGACGCTCAAGTCGGACATCAAGCACTGGTCCAACCAACGTGGCGAGGGCAAGCTTTTCTCCGTCAACCTCCTCGACGAGTCTGGCGAGATCAAAGCTACGGGCTTCAACGACGCAGTTGACCGCTTCTACCCGTTGCTGCAGGAGAACAAAGTCTACTACATCAGCAAAGCCCGGGTCAATATTGCCAAGAAGCAGTTCAGCAACCTCAACAACGAGTACGAGATTGCATTCGAGAACAACACCGAGATCGAAGAGTGCTTGGACGCGGCTGATGTGCCAGAGGTCAAGTACGCCTTCGTTCAGATCGACCAGCTGGATGGCGTTGAGCCCAATCAGACATGCGACGTCATCGGCATCATCGACGAGATCGGCGATGTAGCCGAGATCATCAGCAAGGCATCGCAGAAGCCCATCACCAAAAGAGAGCTCACCCTCGTCGACCAGAGTGGTATGAGCGTGCGCCTCACCCTGTGGGGCAGGACGGCGGAGCAGTTTGATCAGAATCTGGACAAGCCCGTCATCGCTTTCAAGGGTGTCAAGGTGGGCGACTTCGGTGGGCGATCCCTCTCCATGTTCTCGTCCTCGTCCATGATGGTCAACCCAGACATCCCGGAGGCACACGGCCTTCGAGGGTGGTACGATAGCGAGGGAAATCAAGCAGCGGGCAACTTCAAGACCTTTGCCGGAGCAGGGCTGGGTGGCCTGGGCGCTGGTGGTGGAGCAGGAGGAGCTGCCGGCTCCAACAAGAACGAGCGTCGCACCATTGCCCAAGCGAAAGAGCAAGGGTTGGGCATGTCAGGAGACAAGCCCGACTACTTCAACATTCGAGCGACGGTCGTGTACATCAAGCAAGAGGGCCTCTCCTACCCCGCGTGCCCATCGGCCAATTGCAACAAGAAGGTGGTCATGGAGGATGAGAACAGCTGGAGGTGCGAGAAGTGCGACACCACCTACCCTGCTCCGCAGTACCGCTACATTCTTGCGGCGAATGTCGCGGACCACACGGATGGAATCTGGCTGAGTGGTTTCAACGAGATTGGCGAGCTTTTGATCGGTCAGACTGCGAGCGAGCTGGAGGCGGTGAAGACGGAGAGCGAGAGTAACTTTGTTGCTGCGCTGCACCGGGCCACAAACAGGAGCTACATGTGAGTGGGCGGGACAGTGAAGCAGGCAAGGCGACCCTGCCGCGGAGGAGCAAATGAGCTGACTATCCCCTATCGACTACGCAGGTTCAACATCCGAGCCAAGCAGGACACCTTCAATGACACGACGCGTGTGAGATACACAGTGACCAAGGCCACGCCCGTTGACTGGTCGGCAGCGGCAAATGAGCTCGCGGACGACATCAAGGCGCTCATGTAGGGTGGCGTGGCGGGCGCTCTCGATTTCTCCCAGTGTACTATACCGACGATGGGACCAGTGTGGGGAGTAGCGAGGTAGCTACCTCAACATGCTCGTCAGCGGCATCCATCGGTGTCAATCGTCTCTCTCTCTCACTTTCTTCGCGACCTTCCTCTCTTTTCTCACTTCACTTTCCCTTTGTGCCAACGTGACCCATTGCAATCTGATCCACATTCAATGAAAAGTACGAGGGGTGACTGGGTCGAGGACGAGATACATTGGTGCGTAGGCGTGAGGGATAGAGTAATGACATGGAAAGAGGTGAAGGGGTGGGGGGGGGGGGGAGGGGGAGGGGGGCCGAGCGCTAAGAGGGGTAATGTCCAAGTTTATCTGAAGGGTGCATGGCGGTGAGATGAGAAGGACAACTCATCCAGACGTGACTAACGCGACCATGATGCGTGAGGTCGATGAAGGGACTAGCAAGGCGGTACGGCGGTTCTCTGGCGATGCTGGTGCGTGTATGCTGATGCCAAGCGTTCCTCTTTCCAAGAAACCATTTGGCGCTTCGCCACTTCACATCGTACCCTTTCTCTCCTTTTCATCCTTCTTGTCACCGTCACCCGCGTGCGTGTGCGCAGATCCAGACCCAGACGCTCCATCCTCATCCGCATCGTTGACCCTCTTCGAACCACTCGACCTTCCGAACCTCATCCTAAAGTTACGCAATGCGCTTCCCCCTGCATTACCAGTAAGAGCGGCGAGCGAAGGGAAGGAGGAAGAGGAGGAGCTGCTGCTAGAGGTGGTGTGATCGGGCCGTATCTTGCCCTGATGCACCTGGGGAGTGGGGGACGACGAAGAGAGGGCGGGTGAATGATGCTGAGGGCGAGAATTGGCCTTTCCTTGAGATGCGCTGCTCGAGCCATTCTGCCTCGCGTGACCGGAAGGAGAAGTGGTACTTGTGCGCCTGCTAGGCTGCGGGCTCGTCTCGGGAGTCGGGACCGCGGACCGAGTGTCTGTTCTTGTGACATCTCCCAAGCCGACAACGCCGCTGCTGCTGCTGTCGTGACCGTTGGGCAGGCCGGTGGCATGCTCGTAGCTTGGCGGCTTATTTCTCGCGGCGCCCTTGCTGGTGCTGCCCGCCCCTTGTTCACCTTCGGACGCAGCAACGAGGATGCTGCTCTGCGATTTGCGTGGGCGGTGTGCGCGTGATTGGCCCCCGAAAGAGGCCTTGCCCGATGTGAGGTCAGAGAGGTTGATTGAAGTCGGAGCCCCGGGACGGACGATGCTGCCGTGGCTTGGGGAGCGATGCTTCTTCGAGGGGGCGGTGACGTGGGCAGGCAGACCGGAGGGACCTGGGGAGGAGAAGGGTGATGAGGAGGAGCCTGCTGCAGGCTGAGCTGCAGGGCTCGAAGCAGAGCCTTTGCCTTTGCCTTTGCAGTCTTCAGCAAGGCCTGGAGAAGGCAGTGGTGCAGAGCTAGACGCTTCAGCCCGTGAGCTGCTCGCCTGAGCCTCTGGTCCACTACTCCCGTTCGTACTGCTCATCTGGAGCCAATGCGGGTGTTCTAGGTTTGGGCTGCCACCTCGGAAGCCGTTGACTGCCGCCGAGCTGGAGATGCTGATGCTGCGCGTAAGGTCATCGAGGGACATGTCTTTGTGCGAGGAGAAGACCGAAGGCCGGCGATTGGAAGAGGTGGAGGGGGAGCCGCCGGTGCTTGAGGCGTTGGTGGTCGACATGATCTCCTCGAGATGACGGCGCAGGGCGACGGACTGGTCGATCTGGCAGTGCAGGAGTTGAATCGGGTAGCTGGACGTGCAAGAGGAGAAAAGGATTGTCAGCTACGAGGTCCGAGTCTCTTCATCGTTCGCCCGACATACGTACCCATCAGGATCAGCGATCGCCCCGTATCCGAGCTCATTACTCCCCTCCTCGAGAATGCTGACCCCCAACCGTCTACAGCGCTCCACTGCCTGCTCCAAGTCGGGAACGGATACGCATGTATGGCAGAAGCCGGGCGTCACCACGTTGACACGGAAGTTGGACTGATTCTCGCTCCCCGCGACGTGGACCAGCTGGATGAGGCCGCGACGTTGCCCAAACTCGAGGTCGGGATCTTCACAGTCTGGCGGGTTTGGAAAGGCAAGGAACATCATGTTGACGTCTCTGCGGGTATGGGGCAGCGTAATGGCAGCTTGTTAGCTACCAGCGTACGCGCTATGGGTGCCGCCAGGCTCGTACTCACCCAATCTCCGTCTCCCTGACCACCTCCATCCCGAGCACGGTCGTATAGAACCAGCGGCTCCTCTCCGGATCCTTGATCTGCAGCGCCAGAGAGTGCAAGCCATAGCCAAAAGTCTCACGCTCCACATTCTTCCTCGCAGCCGCCTCTGCCATCTCCTTGAACTCGCGGTCGGCTTGCGGAGTCTTGGAGATTGGGTTGGGGGTGGCGATGGCGCTTGCCTGGCCGGAGGAGGGAGGGGTCGGCATGAGGGTCTGCTGGTGCTTTGAGGACGAGGACATGCTACCAGTGTAGGAAGAAGCAGCGTGGTCCTGGAGGGCTGCCGGTGTTGGGCTGCCTTAGGGGTTTCGACTGAAGAGGAGAATGTCCTGAAAAGTAGAAGAGTAGCAAAGCAGACCTTTGCAGCTGCAATAATGCTGAGTCCTCACGGTCCTCAAGATAGTCTCAGGGATGACAAACGTGGTCTTGAAGGAAAGCTCTTCTCATCTCTGTTTCCAAGTCTCCAACGAGAGAGTCTCAAATTCGCCGAACATTGACCCTGGCCCCGCTCAATCCTCAACCGCTTCAACGCCCGCCCCGCCCCGCCGCCGCCGCCAAAGTGGATGCGGGGAGTGTGTCTCAGCCTCTGGTGCCTGGCCGACTCAGGCACGGCGAATTGGCAGGCGGGGCAAGCAAATCAATCTCCAGGGCGCGGGAGAAAGAGGGCGGCGTGAGGGTGGGGGCGCGTAGCTGGAGACAGGGCCCGAGGTGCGGCGTAAAGCGCTTTCATCTGTTTCATCGAGTGAAGTGAAGTTCTCTGGCAAATGAAGCAAAAGAGGTTGGCGTTGATATGAGATACAATTGCCACGACGCGCCATTCCATGGCTGTGAGAGTGTGTGGCTGTGTCTCGTCTACATTGGATCCTTCGGCCTTTTTGCTATTCCTCTACGACTACCACTGCCTCCTCTACCACTATTCAGTCTTTGCTGACTCTTCCACCTTCTCTCCCTCCTTCCCCTCCTCAGCCCCTTCTCTCTTCTCCTCATTCGCCTCAGCGCTGGAAGCAGCCACAGCCACATCATCCAGCGGCACGCTAACGACAGTTCCGTCCTCGAGCGTGCGTTGCACCATCCCGCCTTTGACTTCCGCGTCACTCGCCACGCCCGGACCCAAGGGCTCATCAGCATCTGCGGCATGCGCGGCCGTGGGGTCCGTCGAGCCGGAGGCGGATCCAGAACTAGCGCTACTACTTCTTCTCCTTGCCACCAAGCTCGTCGCGGCCACCTCGCCAGACATCTGTTGGCGAAACTGCGCAAGCCCGCTGCCAGCTTCTGAGCTTGAAGAGCGACGATGTTGGACTGCGCTGCGGTAGGTTGAGGAATCGGCCAGGTCGACGAAGGGAGTGTCATCCTCCGTCGAGGAAGTCGGGCTCTCGGGCGGGGTGGTACCTTCTCCCTGTCCACTCTCGTCAAAGGCATTGGCCGCCCAGTCGGCCGATGTGAGGGGCTGGTTCGCAGAGGATTGGAAGTCGCCAAACCCGTCCCCCCCGCCACCGCTGCCGCTACCCCACTCCTCATCATCCCCAGTAGAGGATCGCACTCGTTCCGCAGATCCAGGTTCAAAGACGTCCTCAAAGCCAGCCCCGCTGCCACCACCCGCATGATGTTGACCGGAGACCCAGCTGTGATGCGCAGCATCGTCGTCGGAATCGTCATCGTCGTCGTCGTCCGACGCGTTGCCACCGGAATTCATCTGGGAGGAGAGGTACGATGCAAAGGCGTCATTGTCCCCTGTCTGGCCCGATGTCCCGTCCCCGAAGCTGTTGCCGAATTGGGACATGGCCATTGGACGTCCACCGGCGAGTGGGGCAGCTTCACGCTCGCGGTTCTCCTTCAATACGTCTCTGACAAAGTCGTCCCATTCCGGCTGCGGCACCTCGACATTCTCGGCCACATCCTTGGGGTATCGCTCCAACAACTTGCAAGTTTCTTCGGCAATCAAGTTCATATGGCCCATGAATCCTAGGCGGATCTTGCGAGGGCCAGCCATAGACTCGTCATTGCGGCGGTGCCCGTCGAGGATCTTGGAGGGGAGGGAGCCTTGCGAAAAGACAGCAAGGGTGAGGCTGCGATTCAGGCCGGAGTCCATGCGGCCATTGAAACATCTGCGCGGGCAAGGGCGAGAGCAAGGATGTCAGTCGGTGGTGACTCTGCCTGAGCTGCTGGTACTCACTGCTGCAAAATATCGTAGACGACATTGTGCAAGAAGTTGTTCCACGGGTAATTGAAGAACAGCCCCAGCACCGAGGGAATGATTCCTACGTCGAGGAAGCGTTGCTTAAGGAGATCACCCACCACCAGCGCTTTCTTGTTCCCATCTTGCAAGCTGGGAGATGGCGGCTCGGAGGGAGCAGGGGAGGTGAGGTCGGCGAGCGACATGCTGGAGAGGGCGGAACGGATGCTCTTGGCTTCTTCCTCCTCCTCTTCTGGCGTGCGCGATGGGGAGGTGGGCGAGGCGGCGCTGCCGGATGCCTCGCCACCGTCGTCGGCAAATGGGTCACTCTCGGTGTTGGTTGACTCGTCACCGCCGATCGTTGAGGCTTGACGAGTGTGCTTGCCGGACGAGGGAGATTTGGGTGGTGATGACGATGTCGACGAGGTTTGGCCAGCCGCAGCAGCTGTCGCTACTGGATCAGCGCTATCTCCTGCCGTGCTGTCGTCAGCATCAGAGCCTTGCAGCGTCCGTGCCAGGACTTGGAGACCCTGGATCCCACCCTGCAGGATGCCGTCTACCGAGTATTGCGGTCCCTCCCCTTGCGCCCTGTTGAGTAGCGCCATGTTCGAGCAGTGAAGCAGCTCGGCATAGAGCTCCGTAATACGATACCGCTCAAAGGTCAATGGCCGCACTTTGCCCAGCGTCGTAGTCAATTCCTGCTGCTCCGCCGGCGTACGCTCGATCAATGCCTGGAAGTCACTGAGTCGCTCGCAGAGCACCGAAAGCATCGGCCCGAGATGCACAATGCCCAGCTTGCCAGTCATCTCAGCCATTGCCTCTTCCATGCCCTCCATCTCCTCGTCCTCCTCATCCTTTGGCTCCTCCGTCAAAGTCCCCTCACTGCGCGCCTGCGCCTTGCCAGCGCTGATCTCCTGTTGGCGCTGCAGTAGGTGGGAGCGCAGCGCATGGAAGAGATGTTGCTCGAAGTAGTCGGAGTTGTTCTTTCTGATCAGCTCTATGAGGATACCGATGCCGATGATGAGGGACGATGAGCACGTCTCAGGTGACACCGGGCACATCGGTGCCTTTACTGGGGGGAAGAAGTCCGTTGGGCGTACAGTGACGGTTGAATCGCGGTGCATGGGAGACTTGCTGCTTTCGAAGGCCGGCGTAAGCGACGGATTGAGAGGAAGGTCGTCCTCATCGTCGTCTACGGCTGTCTCTTGGTTCGTGGACAGGCCGAGGAGTCGATCTGAACGCTTGCCCTTGGAGAGGGAAAAGGACAGCCCACCCTCGTCATCATCATCCCCCTCATCGTCGCTTCCTCGACCACCTTCGCCCGACGCTACCTGGGACAGCCGCCTCTGCAGGTTGGAAGGGTGCGTTGAGTCCAGCATGAAGGAGACGAGCTTGCGCACTATCGCCTCGCTGGCCAGCTCTCGTACCAGCTTATTGACAACGCCAATTGGCTGCTCCGGCTGCCCGAACGAGGAGCCTCCGGCCCCGTAACCGAAGCCGTCCTGCCCCACCATACCTGCCGGTGAAGGCGCTGACAGTGCAATGATGGCCTTGATGAGCTCCGAAACGGTGTTGTGGAGATCGACAGAGTGCGAAGGTGAAAGTAGATCGACGATCTGCGGTACAAGTCCTTGCTCCGAAAGCCACTCGATGACTCCGGCGTTGGGTAGCGATTGCTCGCACGAAATGATGCGATAGAGGAGGTCGACGACTGCGGGCGTCTCCAGATGAGCGACGAAGCGCTCTACGATGCGCGGTAGAGCGTGAATGTATGCTAGCATCTCGCGAGGCTTCTTGTCGAGGAAGACGCCATTGACCTTCGCCCAGTATCCAGCGAGGACGCTCTTTCCTGGTCCATTGTCGCTCGCTCTTACTACGTGTGGGCCCTCGGACGAAGAGTGAAGCGATGAGGTCGATGCTGAGGGCATTGACTGGCCAAGCGTCGGTACAGATGAAGATGATGTGCCTTCAGCCTTTTTCTCATCCTCATTGCCCGCAGTCGAGCCGCCTCCCAGGACAGTAGGGAGTGCCATGCTTGGTGGTGGTTGGGGCGATGCTGATGGTGAGCCGGCGAGGAGCGGGTGCGAGTGATGGGGCAGCGGTGCTTGTACATGACCAGGCTTCGAATGCAAAATGGCATTCCAGAATGGGTCGAGAAGCTCTTCTGATTGAGCGAGGGCGGCCTCTACGATGGCCAGCGTCTCGCTCGAGAGGACCTCTGATGCGACGTACGGGTATCTGTGCATGCGGGCAGCAGAGTAGGAGGTGAGTACGTTCGTCACAGCTTGACATCGGGCTAGAATTGACTCACTTGAATCGAACCTTTTCCTCCCACTCTCTGCCGCCAGGTCCTGATACCTCTGCGGACCCAACGACATGCTCGAAGAGCCTCTTGATGACGCGCGGCTGCTTGAGGAAGTCGACGAGCTTGGCATTCTGAGCTTTGCATTCCTGCAGTAGGTCATCCTCGTCGAGCAACTCTTCGACTGTGATCCCCTGCTTGTCGAGGAGAGTGTCAAGCGTCGAAGTCGAAGCGAAGCCAAATCGCCAGAACATCTTGGCGACAAGGGGAGCGTTGCCGCCCTACAAGAAGGTGGAAGAGGGATGTCGTTGCGACTGGCGGCGTGGCTATGCGATATAATGGTGACGAGCAATGAGATTATGCAATGGAAGGGGTCCTCGTGTCGTTGTAGTCCTTTGATGCTGATCGAGACCTGCTTGGAGCAGCGCCTCTGGCGGTGACGATGGGTTGGGCGTGGTTTGGTTGATTTTGATAGGAAGAAAGACCCTATTCAAGCTGCCACACTTCTCGACGACTGGCCTGTCCGCGGCGGACCCCTCGACTCGAGACTCGAGACTCCGTCTCTTCCTCGCAGCCGCCACTGCTTGCCGCCGCCGCCTCCCGCTTTGGCCGCCTTCTCGACTGCGCCCAACCGAGCGATGAGGGGCGCCGACGACGATGACGGCGTGGGCGACAAAGGAAGGCGAATATCAGAAGAAGTGAAGTCCTAGGCCTGTGCTCTCAGTCTGGCTCATGCTGAGAGAAGTACGAGCTTCACTGCCGGATCTCTCGAACGCTTTTCTCGATACCCGTCACCGTGCTTTACCTGCGCCTGTCTAGCTGCCTGTCATGTGAGCCCATAATCACCGGGCTTCTTCCCGTCTTGACCCCAACACCCGCAATTCTGGCTCAGAACAGCAAGCATGCCTTCTCCAACCTCAGGGCCGCCCGTCGTCGGGACAATGGGAATGTTCATCGTGGACACCTTTCTCTACCTGGATTCTACCACAGGCCAGTCACGCGGGGACGGCGGCAAAGGCTCAGCGTTAGGTGGAGGAGGCCTCTACTTCGCTGTCGGTGCTCGTGTTTGGCTGGACCCAGGGCAAATCCGTATGGTCATTGATCGAGGCAGCGACTTTGAGCCCGAGTGGCAGACGACATTGGATCGATTCGATGACAATGATGCGGGAATGTGGGCGTGGAGGCAGAGGAAGGATGGACTGACTACCAAGGCGGTCAACGTCTATCGGGGAGATCAAAGAAGGTAGGAGCTGCTGCCGCCCTTTGTGTAGGCTACCGATCAGCCAACTCACCTTGCTCCATCCCCTCAGCTTCGAGTACCTCACCCCCAAGCTTCGTCTCGACCCTCGCGACTTGGTCAGCCCTACCTCCCCAGACTTGCCGCACTGGGTGCACTGCATCTGCGCGCCCAGAAGAGCCATGGAGATCCTCGATGAGATAGATGCCATTGACGCCAAAGGGAAGCGCAAAGAAGGCGGCAAGGGCACAAAAGTCTGCTGGGAACCGATACCGGATTCTGCCTTGCCTGAGAATCTGGAAGAATGCTTGCAAGTCATGAGGCGGGTCGACGTCTTCAGCCCAAACCACGAAGAAGCCGCCTCCTTCCTGAGCGTCGACTCTGGCCTAGTCTCCGTACCCTCGCCCCTCGCCTCCACAGCTCAAGGTGCAGCCGTACGACAGGCTCACCTCACCCACCTAGCCAGGGGTTTCAAGGCTCGCTTTGACGAGGCGTCCAGCCAAATTTCTGGCGGATCGGATAGGCCACGCTGCCCGCTCATCGTCATCCGAGGCGGGGCAGCTGGGAGCTGCGTCCTCTACGAGCGTGAGCCGGGGCAAGCCAGCATCGAGGCCGATGTGCCAGCTTATCACACGGCAGCCACGTCAAAGGCAGTCGTAGACGTTACCGGCGGGGGCAATTCGTACTTGGGCGGTTTGACGGCCTGGCTAAGCATGCACCAGCCGCCTGCGGACACAGAGGAGGATACACGCCAATGGCTTCGCGGTGCTCTGGGAAGGGGTGCGGTCTCTGCTTCGTTCGCTATTGAGCAGCTGGCTCTGCCTCGTTTGGAACAGGAGCAAGGGCAGGGAGAGACGTGGAACGGCGAGTCGCCGCAGATCAGGCTGGAGGAGCTGCTCAACCGGGAGGCATGACCAGGCGACTCCACTCTGGCGCACATTCTGTAGAGTAAGTCGTCTGCGCATTGCGTCCGTGCGAGGCGGAGAGAAAGAAGTTGTAGAGAACAAAGAGTGCAAGTCGAGCAGGGAGTGGGTGAGAGATGCGTGAAAGAGAAAGAAATGCTGGTCGTCCAAATTCGTGAATGTAGCCAAATAGATGCTCTACTGTTCCTCCTCCTCATCGCCCCTGCTGCTGCTGCTGCTGCTGCTGCCTCGCCGCCGCCGCAGCTCCAATGGTCGCCACCACCGAGCGCCTTTGATCGAGTGTCGCACTCCCGCCGACCGCACTAGCACTCGTCGCCCTAGCAGGCAACCTGAATCCAGGCCCACCAATATTCATCCTCTGATTGTACCTGTCAATCTCCCACTGGGCCAACCCATCCGTACCGCTCCAGTTAGCTGAACTACTCCTTGGCCTATTCATCCTCATCCTTCCTGCATGGTCCTGCGGCGGCATGAGGGTCTCGAGGTCGACATTGCCCGTAGGTACACCGAAGATGAGATCGGCATCCATCTGACTCTGGGCTTGCAGGGCAGACTGCAAGGCGTCACCCTTGGTCCAAGGAGCAGCACGCGCACGACGCGCTTGGGTCTCCTCATCTTCTGAGTCTGAGTACTCCGAGGCAATGCTGGGCAGAGAGAGGTTGTCGTCTTCCAGGTTCGGGGCGACAGTTCCAGTCGTGCCGTACGCTGCGAAGGCGGGCGTGGCGTTGCTGGCAGCGGCAGCGGCAGCAGCTGCGGCGGCGGCTTCTTTGCGAGCTGAAGCCTGTGCAGACACCTGGTGCTGGGCGGGTCGTTGTGCCGAAGGAGCAGGGCCAGGTCGTGCAGAGGAGGCCTGGAAGGGATTTTGCTGCGAGAAATTGTTCGTGCTCGTCGACGAAATCATGCCTGGCTTGGTGCTAGCAGGTCGGGCTGCCTGCTGCCCGTTGGGGGCCGTCTTGAGCGCTGAGGCTGGGCGAATGGTGCCATTGCCCTGAGGCTGACCTGGGCGGACCGTCTTGGGCACAGCAAACTTTGAGGCGGTCGTTGTGCCGGGTGCGAGCCTGTTGCCACTGGCTGCCGTCGAAGGCTTGCTGACGCTGGATGGGACGGATGGCACGATAGGTGGGCGAGCCTTGGTCTCCTCGTCGCGCTCTTGCGAGAGGCGGCGCTTCTTGCCATTGACGTCCTCCGAGCTGTTCGTCGCTTTAGGAGCCGGAGGGCGAGTGACTGCAGCGGTGGAGTTTGCGAATTGGCTCATGACTCGAGCCTTGGGCTGGCCGTTGGGTGCACCGTTCTGATTGAGGCGAGCAGTGGAGGCGGTGCTTCTGGCCTGTGTGTCGTCATCATCCCGTACCCGCTTCTCACCCACGTCCGCCTTCGCAGATGGGATTGCCTTGGCCGCTGCAATCTGCTTCCGCTTATCCTCGCGCTCCTTGCTCCTTCGCTCCGCATCCTCCGCCTCCTTACGGCGAAGCTGCTCGGCTCGCACCACGCTGGCAGGCTTGGCAGACGTGCCACCAACGCCTTGCGAGCTGGCGAAGTTAGAGCGCACGACAGTCGAGTCATCCTTTCCAGGTGCACCACTGACGGAGCGGTTGAGCTTGTTGGGCTGGAAGCCGGTGCCTGGAGGTGGAGGGCCAGCAGCATGCCCGTTGGGAGCCCCGGTGATGCCGACGAAGAGGCCTTTGAGGCGCGAGCTCCAGCCTGGTCCGCCCGCATGCGCCGTAGAGTCGTGCCTGGCAGCGAGGGGCCCGCTCTGCGATGGCTGCGCTGCGGAGGGCAAAGCCGCCGGACCTTTGCCTTTGGAAAGAGCCTGTGTTGCTGTGGCCGATGCTGGCAGAGTAGCAGCCGCCTTTTTGCCTTCGAGATCTTCGAGTGTGAGCTCGACGCCAAGAGAGGAATCGCCATCGCTGTCATCGTCGCCTTCCAGCGCGTCCTTGAGCGAAGTCGTGGTGCTCTCGGCACTTTTGCTTGCCTGCCCACCACTGAGGGGGCGGGTCACCTTTGTAGTTACCGCACCGTCCTCTTCGCGCTCATCATCGCCAGCATCACCATCATCCTCCATTCGAGTCGACTCCTCGCTTGCTCTTGACCCCTCACGCGATCGCGCCTTCTCCTTCACCTCTGACGATGCAGTGACAGCACTGCCGGCCGAGCTTCCACTGATTTCCTCAGGGCGGTCTACGACGGGAGCGGCGGGCGGTAACGGAGCCGGCTGCGCTGGTTTGGTCTTGGGGACGGGGGCGGCTGCGGGTGGTGCGGGATTCTGCTTCTTCGTGGGCGAGTGCTGAGGAGTAGTGGACTGCATCGAGATAGGCAAGGGCAGTCTCGAGGGCGACTTCTTTGCGTCGAGAATTCCGGTCGACTTGGGAGGAGGAGAGCGCAGACTTGCCTCAAATCTATCCCTAAGCTGAGAGACGTTGGAGCTGCTTGGAGCCATTCCGCTGCCAAATCTGCCCTTGGCAGCAGGCTCGGGGCTGGACGGCGCACTGCCTTGACCGAGGATCGGACTGGTGATGTTTTTAGCGCCCAGGCCGACCGTGCCGGGATTGACGGATCGTTGAAGCCGGGCGCTTTCGAGCTTGCTACGAAGGAGATTAGCAGACGGGCCCTGCTTCGCCCCAGTGGCAGAGCTGTGTTGTGCAGTGGCGGCAGTAGACTTTCCACTCTCCGTCTTGGCTGCCTTCTGCGCAACCACGTCAATCTCGTCCACCTCGTCACTCTTGCGTTTCGAGGCAGAAAGGCGAGGTGAGGACCTAGTCTGCGACGCCACCGATGTCTTTGTGCCCACCATAGCCGCCGCATTGGCCTCGGTATTCGCCTTGAGGGAACCAGTATCGATGACCGAGTCGTCGCTGTCCTCAGCCGCCACACCATCATCGTCCGTCTTGCGGATGGAAGCCTGACGCAGACTCTTGGTGAGGAAGCTGCTCTTGAAGCCTGAGCTTGCTGGCGTCTTGGCGGCGATCGGCGTCTGAGCTGCGTGGGCCATCGACATCTTCGCTCCCCCGAATGAGGCCAGGGTACGCTTCTGTCGCGGTGCCGTGGTCAGAGCGACTGTCGCTTCAGCTGCGCTGTCTGCCTTTTCTGCCCTGCCAGCATCTTCGTCGTCGTGCGACTGCTCATCATCCTCTTCTGACTCGATGGCGTCCGCAATCGGAGCTAGCGTGTCATCCGAGAGTCGTAGACGGTTGCGACGAGCAGAGCCAATCTTCTTGCCGGTCGGTGTTGAAGCGGTAGGCCTCGCGACGTCGAGCTTCTCGAGCGTGCTCTCCACTTCCATACTGTCGTCAGCTGCGTTAGAGTGAGGCGGCTCAGAGGCAGGTACCACCGCCTCGTCGGCCTTCGCTGCAGGCGCCATGGGCTCTTGCGCCTTTGACGGTTGCGCAACCTCTTCCATCTCGTCCTCTTTCTTGTCCTCCTCCTTCTTCTTCTTTCCCTTGCCTGCAGCCGTTTTCTTTGCCGGTGCCTTGGCAGCCTTTTTTGCTGGTGCTTTCTTTGGTTTGCCTTTTGTCGTCTTCGTCGTCGCCTCGGCGGGAGCGGCTTCGTCTTCCTCCTCGACACCCTCATGCGCAGGCACGCCGACGCCCTCCACCCCCTCCTCCGTATCTACTGGATGATCTACAGCCTTGCCCTTGGCGGCGACGGCGGCCAACTTGGCCTGGAATGGATTGGGCAACTTGGCGATCGCGCTCTTGTCTGCCTTGCTCCTCGTACCTCGTGCCGCGCCTGGTGCGTTCTCCTTGTCCTCTTCCTCGATATCACTGGCGCCGAATGGGTTGGCACTTCTGCTCTTCGCCAAGTTGAGCTTTGAAGAGGCTGCTCTCTGACGAGCGGTTGCCTTCTTGCGCGAGGGAGTCTTCAGCATCTCGCCAGCCATTGTTGCCTGTTGATGCGCCGAGTTAGCCTCGAATTGGGCGCTGCGGACGACAAAGGAGGTGAGAGACGTCAGCGCATATTCAAAGTCAAGGATCTGTGCTTCCTCGCACACTCACGCCCACTTGCTCCTTATGTCCTTTGCCTGCTCGATCATCGATTCGATCCAATCATCGCCCGTCATGCGCAGCACCTGCTCGAGACCGACGAAGGTGGGCGTCTGCCTGATCTTGTTGACGTGATCAAGGAGATTCTTCTCTGCCAACGCTCGACCTGGCACATCTGGCTGCGACGATGGACCCGCAGTCGCCATCTTGACGAATCTGGAGTGGGAAGAGGACGAAGCAGTGATGAGAGTGATGATGATGAGATGCGCGGTTGCAGCAGCCAAGCCGAATGTGTCAATCTCGACTCGCCCGTCCGCACGCACGCCCGCACGCCTGTCCGCCAAACACGCGCCCCGCTCTCGCCCGCACGTGAGGCACACACAACAGGGCGAGGAGTGGAGAAGGCTGCAAACGCGTCTGAGCATATTACTACGATCCATCGAGATACGCTTGCAGGCTTGTCGACGCAGATGTAGTATCTATACAAAGCAGTGCATGAGTGTACAACTCCCGTCTATCGCTCTATTCATTCAGAGTCCTCCTTGCGGCATGCTCCCTCGAAATCAGCATACTGATCCACCCTCTCCTGAACGTACGACTGGAATCGCTCAATCTGACACGAGTTCCCCGGCCCATCAGTCAGCTCGGCTCGAGGAAGCTTTTGAGCCGCACCGTTGACTACTACCCTCACGTATGTGCCCTCACGTTCCGAGTGGTCCCCACAATCGAGACGCTGGAGTGCTACGTGACCGAGGAATGGCAGGACGTGAGACGTCTGCCAGACGTACTGATCCCTCGGCGGCATACGATCGGTAGGCAGGCCGCCGAGCGCAGTCTGATTCCAGATTCCCAAGGCAACGAGGGCGACGGGCGGCTCCTCTCTGTGGGTAAAGTACACAAAGATGCGCTGCGTGTGCGTCGAGTCGGGCGGGTTGTCTGGGTCAGGAAGGTTGCCGTCCTTCTTCTTGCTCGCTTCAAAGTGAGGGTGCTTCGGCGCATCAGCAGACAGAATGTTATGCGCAGACACGTTGAGCCATGGCGTACCCATGTAGGGCGCCATGGGCGAATTGTAGCCGACCACGTCGTTGTAGAAGAGATCAAAGAAGTAGCCAAAGGATCGGAAATCCTCCTCAGTGAAGAGACCTTGCTTGCAGAAGTGACTCGTGCCCCGGCCTTGAATTGTTTCTTCGTAGCCGCACATCATCTGCATGGCTATGATGTCGTCGAGCTGCCAGTCGAAGTCCGGCATCAGAGCCTTAAAGCGGGCCAAAGGGGCAGGGCCGTAGTGGCTCAGCCAGGTACGAGCTGCCGGTTTGCCAGCTTCCTTGGTCCAGGCAGGACAGATCTGTGCGGGATGGCGAGGAGGGAAGACGCATTGAGCATTCGATTTCTCGCGCGAGCATCAGCCATCTTGGAGGCTGCCTGCGCGTCTCACCTTATGCGGGGTCAAGGATCCTTGCCAGCTCGGATCCTTGTTCGGTACCTCAACGAGCTGCACGTACTTGCCATCACCCTCACCACCATCGCCCTCGTGCCGCTTGGGAAAGCAGCCGCGAATGAATGCCTTGGACGTATCGATGTCGCGCTCAGAGCTGGCAGTCCATACCTTGAATGCCACTTTGGGCTCCTTTGGCCCTTTCCTCTTCTTGCTGGTGCCAAGATCCTTGGGCGGGAAGAGGTCAGGGTAGAGCTTGCGCATCTGCTTGCCAAACTCGAAGGCATCCTTCTTACCAGGCTCAGTGACCTGCTCAATGGTGTCCTCGGTGACGACGCTCTTCCAATTCTTGAGGAAGGCGAGGGGGCCAGCGCCCTTGAAAGAGCCCTTGGCATCCTGGTACGTCGTCACTTTTTCGACGAAGCCCTTCATGTACTCGTCCCACTCCTCGTCGTTACCGCCAATGGCAGTGTGACGAATGAGATAGGCCGACGCTGAGACGTGACAACCGGGCGGTGGGCGGACGTCTGCGCCTGGAGCATCGTGGTAGCGAGCAATGCCGCTCATGTGCTCTTGCGGGTCCCATTGCGGCGACGGGGCCGAAAAGGAGAACGGGGCTTGGCGCGGGGCAGCAATGGCACCTGATGCCGCTAAGATGGAGCTGATCACACCAAAGACGAGCATCGTGATGAAGCGTCGTTACGGTGGTGAGGATTAAGGATGACCTCGCCGCGATGTGCTAAGGGTCCGCCCGTACAAACGATCCGAATGCAGTCAGCGACGTCAGTGAGCGGAGCTTGAAATGCCAAGGTGTGTCTTGGCCTTGAAAGTCGCGTGGCTCAAGTGAGATGAGGGCGCCTGGCGCTTCGAGCTCTCTTTATTCTCGTCGACTTGCAGGCCGTGATAGCCGTCCGGTCATCTCGCATCGCAAGGTTGTGTCGCACGAGCGAGGGTCGGGACCTAACTTCCTTGATGCGCAGGCCGCCTCACCTCCGCTGAATCCCCGCCTCGTCATGGTCAGTCGTTGCGGTATGGCATCTCCTTGCCACTCTACCGCTTCCCTCGTCTCACCATGTCATCGCAAGCTCTCCCAAGCAGTCAGCCTCCGAGCAGGCTAGCTCGTCTTCCTCCCTTCCGGCATGAGGTGAGCACGAGAGGTCAGACATTGCTCTCGTAAGCTGATGGCGCTCACACACGTTCACGTCCACATGACCCTCTCTTCGCCAGCACGTCGGTAGCTTTCTGCGGCCTCAGGCCATCCTCGACGCCCGCACTGCTCACGCCGAGGGCAAATTAGATGATGCTGGTCTTCGCGTCGTAGAGGACGAGCACATCAAGGCGCATGTCGAAAGGCTGCTTTCATCTGGCATCCCAGATATCACGGACGGCGAGTACAGGAGAGCGTACTTCCACATCGACTTCCTCAAGCACCTCGGCGGCGTTGATGTACAGAAGAACTCTCTCGAGCAGCAAAAGGGTTTCGCACCACCCACACTCGTCGTGACCGACAAGATCAGTTAGTAAGCAGCCCATCTGGGTCAAGCCGGAGCTAGCAACTGACCACTTGCCCCACACCCACTGATCAAACAGAGCACATCCACAACATCGAAGTGGACAACTTCCTGTACCTCAAGTCCTTGGTCCCCGCCGACAAGCATCGTCACATCAAAATCACCATCCCCTCGCCCACCATGCTTCACTTCCGCGGTGGACGCAAAGGCATATCCGAGAAGGCCTACCCAAATCTCGACGACTTCTTCGCCGATGTGGCCTCGGCGTACCGCAAAGAAGTTGACGCCCTCTACGCCGCGGGATGTCGCTACCTGCAATTTGACGACACCAACCTGGCTTACCTCACCGACCCGAAAATGAGGGAGGAAGCCAAGGAGCGAGGAGAAGATGTCGATGCGCTGCCATCGCGCTATGCCAAATTGATCAACGCATGCTTCGCGAACAAGCAGGACGATATGGTCATTGGCATCCATCTCTGCAAGGGCAACTTCCGATCGCAGTTCTTTGCGAGCGGGAGCGATGAAGGGTACGCGCCCGTTGCCAAGGCGCTCTTTGGCGAGCTGAACGTCGATGCCTACTTCCTTGAGTGGGAAAATGAGCGTTCGGGTAAGGACTTTTCAGCTTTATCTGGCAATCTCTCGGCCAACAAGACGGTCGTGCTCGGCTTGGTCTCGTCGAAGGTGTCGGACATGGAGGACAAGGAGACGCTGGTGTCTAAGCTGCGAGAGGCTGCCAAGCAGCTGCCTGGTGGGCTGGACCAGCTAGCCATCAGCCCGCAGTGTGGGTTTAGCTCGACTCATCATGGCAATGCAATCACGGAGGAGACGCAGTACGCCAAGCTGGAGCTTTGCAAAGCCGTGGCAGAGGAGGTGTGGGGATGAGGAGGAGGGAAGAGGTAATTATTGTAGAAAAAAGGAAAGCGAAGCATATGCAACTGAGACGTTCCCAGCAAATCCAGATTGCCATCCTCATGTCCTCACATTCCCCCTAGTCGTGCGACCACAATAGCGAAAGGAGGCGCCCCCATCCCCTCGCCGGCTCAATCCATTGCTCTGGATTCTCCTTCCACTGGTCAAGCCAGGGACGGATGCGCATGTCGCGCGATTGGATGAAACGGGTACGACGAATGATCTTGAAGGCGAGGTAGAGGAGAATGGTGATGATCGGCATCGCGTAGGCCGAGATGAGGCGCTGTGCCGTTAGGCGCGGAAGGCCCTCCCCGATGAAGAGGGTGAAGCCTGGGCGCAAGGGAGGGTTGGTCAGAGCGGCTCTGCAACGCTTGATCCTCGTGACTTACCGTTCGTCACGGCGCACAGGACGCTCATTACTAAGCCGTACCAAGCAAGCCAGGGCTGACCCCAAGGGCAGAATGGCAGCGATTCCTGACTGATGCCCTGCTCCCTCATCCCGCTGTGTAGGCGAACCGTAGTCCAGCAGATGACAATCCATTCCATGAGTGTCCCAGAGGCCCCAATGGATACAAAATATTCGAACACGATCGAGGCCTCCTGCGAGTATACCGTAAAGGCCAGCGGCATGAAAGCGGCGCACACCAAGACTCCCCACATAGGTATGCCCCACCTGTGCGTCTCGGCGAAGAAGCGTGGCGCGTGACCATCTAGAGCCAAGCCCATCAAGGCTCGACTGGCTGCCAAGAGGCAAGTGTTGTTGGATGAGAAGACGGAGAGGAGGATGAGCGCATTGACGATTGAGGCGATGCCTGTGATGCCGACGCGATTCGCTGCTATAACGAAGGGAGAGGCAAGGGCGTTGCCTTCTTGTGAGGTGAGGCGCGGCTCCGTTGAGGAGACGGCCATGGAGAGGAAGAATAGCGAGCACATCTGGGCGAGGAGTGGCCGTGGTCAGCGTTGCCTGCCAGCTCTCTGCCGCCTTTTGCGCACATAGATGAAGCCAACGCGGAAAAAGACTCCTTTGCTCGCTCGAGCGATCACCTGGCGAGGCGATCGGGTCTCTGCCGCGATGAAGGAGGTCGCTTCAATGCCCGAATAGGAGTAGACCGCCGACACCATGACGGACCAGAAGCCAATGAATTGTCCGATTGGGCCGTCGACGAGATACGCCTTGAAGGGCGCAGGCTCAGTCCAGTAACGGAAGCCTACCGTCTTGCCATGACGTCCCGCGCCGAGGGCTACACAGAGGCTGAGGATGTTGAGGCCTGGCAGAGAGGGCGAGGCGCACTTAGCTGATTGCTTAGCTGCGCGCGGTCAGCACCACTCACCAATCACGGTTAGGATCTTGAGCATCGCGAAGAAGCTCTCGAGCTCAGCATACACACGCACGTCCCATATATTGGTGACGAGGCTTGCGAGGACAAAGAAGCAGACTGGTAGAGCCGCGTCAAGGTCAGGAGCCCAGTACTGGCAGAGTACGATGAGCGAGACGATGCCCGCCGGATTGGCCACTGCGTCTGCAAAAACAATCGACCACCCAATTGTGAAGCCCAACGCCGGATCGACAAACATGGCCGCGTGACGAATGTAGGCTCCGGTCGTAGGAACAAGGCACGAGAGCTCAGCCATGCAAAAGACGACGGATATGACCACGGAGCTCATGATAGCGTAGCCTACAAGCAAGCTGATAGGCCCAGCATGAGCCAAAGTGCTGCCGGTTGAGAGGAAGAGCCCACCGCCGATGGCACCGGCGAGCGAGATGAAAGAGACATGGCGCGTCCGCAGGCTTTGACGTACGAGTCGCGTCTCTAGCTTGGCCTTCTCTGACGACGGTCGACTAGAAGCGAGCAAGGTCGGCGATGGCGATTGGTCTTGTCCCTCTTGATCGGCGCCACGTTGGCCCTCGCCCTCTCCGTGAGTCGAAGCAGAGCATTGTCGGCGTCGATCGCGGGATTGATTGGGCAGCTGGTCCATGAAGATCTCATTTGCGGATGGTCTCGAAGACATCGCAGGGCTGAGTGGGTGTGACGTGGCTCGAGATGGAGGCAAGATGAGTGTGATGATCGAACTCAAAGTGCTTGCGCGCCCAATCGACGCCGAAGCAGTTGGCTGACGGCCCCTTTTGTGCGCCCATCAAGCCAGCGGCTGTGCCTTACACTATTGCCACCACACATCAGCCGCCCGGGCGCACAATTGCCCTGACGCCTTGCAGTGGTGAGGTGATGAGGTGGCAAGTGCATGCCGCTGCGCCGTGCCTATTGCGCTCAGCTACACCATTGCGTCGCCAGCCTCGTCGCCAGCGATGGCCGCCTCTCCATCAGAAAGAAACGGCCAAAAGGTGTTGCCGAGCACTGACGTGAAAATGTGACCGCAACGGGCGTCCTCGACATCCTCTGCTCTTTACCCTCACAACGACGACAGACAGACGCTGATCAGAGCGGATGATGGCGGCGACGACACTTCAGCCGTACAACTCGGCCGCGGTGACAACCCTGTCAAGCGAGTCGAGCTGCGCAGAACCGTGGACGGGCGCAGACGGCATTGCTCGGCGACAAGAGAGAGCAGAGCAAGGTGCTGACTGGCACGGCACAACTCACTCTGACAGTCTCAACGATCTTCTCGACTTCCATTCATCCCTTCAATACTTTGTCACTAGTCAAGCACTCCCACAGCTGCCATCGCAGCAGCATACCGGCGGCTACATGCATCCAGCTCGCCCCTGTAGCGCGCCGGCCCCCTCAACTTCGCTGCTTGCTCCAACGGATGATCTACTCAGCGACGTGCTCACGGTGGATGAGCAGCAGCCGCAGAAACCGAGGCAACCTCTGCTCAGCAATGACAGCGTTGAGTGGAATCACCCCTTCAAAGTAGCGCAATATGATATGAGCGACAGTCTTTCACGAGACTGGCAAGACAGTCCAGCTGCCACTTACTGGCCTCTCGCTGTGGAAAACAACCGGCGTGGCTCATCGCTGAGCTCGGCCTCCTCGACAGGCCTCGCGCTGTGGAACAGCACCAACACGACTCCCGCAACTAGTCATGCCGGATCACAGAGGAGCAGCTTCAGTCTGAACGATTCTGTCGTGCCAGCATCGTGAGTAGACGCAACGAGCTTGCCTTGCTTATCTGCTCTGACAGCGTTCACCTCCTCATCGTGTCGTAGCCTTGATGCCGCAGCAAGCGCGTGCTTCTGGCCCGGCACCAATGACCCTTTTGCCCCCATCTGCGCCCCTGCTTCGCAGGTGTGCGAGGCTCTCCTCGCCTTCGATGATGCTCTTCAGCACGATACCTTGCGCAGCACCAGTCAGCAGCCCACCACCCCGCACACAGCCAAGCCTGTCGGCAGCCTGGCCCAACGTCCCGAGACTTCGCTTGGTCTGCCCTCAAGCAGCCTCCTGGCCAGCGGACCAGCACAACGTCACACTCTTCTCGGTCCAACGACTAGCACTCGCGTCAGCGCTGTACCGCTCTTTGCGCACGAGTCAGTCCCTTCTTTGACGCCGACGCCGTTCACCACATGCTTCGACCAAAGGCAGCTGGATGCCACAGTGAGGCTCACTTCTGAGCCCCAGCCCCGACTGCCCACTTCGGATCTGCCTTTACTCAACCTAGGGGAGATTCCCTCCCCTTTGGGCTCGCTCGTAAACGAGCAGCGCCGCACCGTAGATGGCGTTTCCCCTTCGGCCGTTGAAAGTCTTCCCGGAATCATGCTCTCCAAAGACGCCATTCCTCCTTTGCAGACCTTTACGCCTTTGTATGGCAGCCCAGGCAAAGCAGTCACGTACGACGAAGAGCCCGGGAGCTCTGCCGTTGGTAGCGAAACGAAAGCCAGTGAGAGCCCAATCGCAACGGCGTTTCGTCGCAAGAAGGATCGGTCGACCGTCGGTGAGCCGCAGCACAGTGGCATGTACGCAGCTACAGACTGGATCTGACCGTCTCTCCATGCTCTCTTTGCCAGCTTGCAACCCTTGCCGCAAATCTAAACGCAAATGCGATGGAGACTGGCCCTGTGCATCTTGCCGACGTCGAAAGGACCCTGCTTACCTGCACTGCACCTACGACCAGCGCGTCTCGCCGGGCAAGCGTCCTGCCAAAGTCAATGCTACGCCTCGAGTCAAGAAGAAGAAGAAGCCACAGAAGCGTTTGCTCGATGTCAAAGCGAAGATTATGCCTGAGGCTAGGCGTCAAGAGCTCAGTACTACGGCTGGCGGCAGCGGTACCATGGACGGGCAGGCAGCCGCCAGCAAGACCGGCCCCCTCGCGCAGGATCTGTGGGACTCGGTCGCGTTCGTTCCAAGCCAGCCTTTGGCGACCTTTGGACACTACGATCAAGCCTACGCCAGATCCGACTCAGGCCTGGCCCTGCCGACCTCCTCGATCCTGCCGATCCTTGACTACGCTTCTTCCAGCGAGATCAACGACCTCTTCAGTACTGCACTGCACGTCTCCAGCCTCGACGATAGCGCTGGGTCCTTCTATCCCGAACTGTCGCCTCTGCCTCCTGCAACTCCATGCTTCGCGCCTAGCATCGGTGGCGAACATCACGCAAGCGGGGGACCCAGCGCAGCGGGCGAAGCACAGCAGCAACTTGGCTACGTCCTCCCCTCGACTTTGCCATTGGTACTGCCGCACGCAGTTCTGCCAGAGGGCCATGCCCCTGACGCTACCTCTGCAGCTAGGAACGCGCTGGTGCCCTTCAAAGGAGGGGCGCTTTAGTAGGAAATTCACCTCCCCTACCATTCGTGTCCTCCTGACCAACAACCGGTAGCTCAAGCGCTGCGACCTAAAGCTGAGCCGCACGCTGACGCCACGAGTCATTGCAAGATCACGACACACCTTCGATCATCGACGGACCCCATTCCTCGCTCTCACTTCCAGACTATCCATCACCTAATCACGCCTCCGTCGAAGCTTTGTCCTGTCCTTGTTCATATCCGATCCAAGTGATCGCGCGAGCTAAGCTTTCCCCTGTCGATAATGCTCTGCGCCCTCTTTTCATAGACGTGACTCAACCCATGCTTGCGTGATGATCTGGGCAAATTTGAGCGTGAGCGGTTCTTGATCTGCGAAGGGGGCAAGAAAGGGAAGGAAGATGCTCTGGCTAAAGAGGGACGCCCGGTCGTGCTGTCTCGCCTGCAGAGTAGCGCACGAGAACATTATCGCCTCAACGGGAAGTCAGCGAAAGAAGCGGAGCATTGCGCACTGCGGAGCACTGGTGAGAGTTTGGATAACCGCTAGCCATTCGATATGTCGTCGTCTGCCCGCTCAATCCTACAGATCCTGCGTTGTCGCCTCTACTTGGCGTATTGCTGCGTCCACTCTCGGCTCACTTGAATGGCCCTGAGTTGGCACAAATCGCATATATGCGGTCGCGCGCGAGATCCAGTCAGCCTATCGCACATCGCCGCAGCAAGCCAGCCTGGCCTCCCTCTTTCTCTCGTACTCACCCCTTCTCATCCCTCTTCCAATGCTCCGCAACGCCATTATCCAGCGGGTCATCCGGGTTAGGCGCGCTCAGCAGTGCTTGAATGCTCAGCAAGACCGTCCTAATCTGCAAGGCTGGGGACCACTTGTCCTTCAAGATGTCGAGACAGATGCGGCCCAGCTTGTCGATGTTCGGATGGTAGATCTTGGTGAGGAAGCGCACCTTGGGTGGGGCCATGGGGTACTCTTCGGGGAGGAAGAGTTCTAGCTTGAAGGAGCCGCCTGACAAAACGCGAGGGGATCGAGGTGGAAGAATGCAGCGTCAGCAGGAAATAGTCTTCATTCTGCCTCATGCTCGCGGCTCACCCTCGAAGGGACTGCCTCCCGGCCCTGCGATGATAACATCAAAGTAGCGCAGGTTGTCCTCGTGCGGTGTGGCGCTGATGCCCGGCGCAGGGTCAGCGATGAGTCTCTCGGTCTCCTGCGAGCGCAATCAAGTGAGAAGAATGCGAGCCAAGGGTGAGGCCGATGTCAGACTAGGCTTTATGCGATGAGCAATCTGGACCCTTGCGTATCGCAAAGGTGCAAGCGGACTGACCTTGATGATTCGCTTGGGGAGGGCCATGTTGTCAGATCAGGCTCACGACCGAGCAAGATGAGGGTGAGAAGGGAGCTTGATCTAGTTAATTGCAGCTCTTTTGCCTCCGAGGCAGTCGTTTTGATGCTCTTGTCTGAGATTTGGAAGGATGGCTAGGATGGAAAGCCGAGGGAGCGATTGGTTGGGCCGCGAGTTGGTCGCCTCGCCTTGCGCTCAGACCAGCTCCGGCGGCCGGGCGGACAGAGGCGAGACAAGCGGAGAGGCGCAGCCAGCCATTCGTCCATCTTTGATCCCTTCCTCCTGCCCCCCCGCATCACCAAGATGACGACAACCAATGGCGCCTCTTCTTCACGCCAGCCTCCAGCTGCGGGCCCTTCTCACTACTCTGAGATCCCACAAGATGCCCGCCTCATCTCCCTCATCATCGCGTCGATGGGCATCCAGGACATTGAGCCCGGAGTCGAGATGATGCTCCTCGAGTGGGCCCATCGTGAGTCGAGTCTCTCTCTGCCATCGTTGACCAGCCTACTGACGTATGATCGTTTCCCTGCTCCTCTTCACACGCCAGGGTACATTCACACAATCCTCTCCGACTCCCTCCTCTACGCCTCGCACGCGCACCCTTCCTCTTCGTCGAACCCGCAAATCAGTCTGGCCGACGTTACTCTAGCAGTGCAGTCTCACCTCTCTCACTCCCTCATCCAGCCGCCATCCAAGTCTGCACTTCTCAATCTGGCCTCCTCCCTCAACTCGACCCCTCTGCCGCCTATCAGTGACAGGTACGGGCTGAGACTGCCGCCAAAGGAGCATTGCTTGACCAACGTCAACTTCAACATCGTGCCGGACGCCCTGGATGATGAGGATGACGAAGAGGATGGAGATGGGGAGGACGAAAGAGACGAGGAGCAGAGAGGAGCAGGAGCTGCTGTGGGCGAGGCGGATGCGGATGATACAGCGACTGCCGGCGCAGGGGATGTCACCATGACTGAAGAGGGAACTACAAATGGACGCGCGGCAGCTGATGAAGACGATGCGGCGGGGCGAGGCGTCAAAAGGAGCCTCGAGGAGGACGATGAGTACGATTGAGTGGGCAATGATCGACCAAGAATAAATTGCGGCAACAAATCATGTACAGTATTCGGAAAGAGAACCAATGGCAACCATCACGATCAGCCTCGCCAACCTACGACAGAGGGCGCCACTCCTAGATCGTTTGGCGCTCAAGCGCTACGTGGGTAAGCGTCCTCACAATCCTCGCAAAGACCAAAGCTCGCCGAGCGGCCGTCGTCCCCTCCTCCGACCTCATCTCGCTCAGGAGCTCTCGCATGCTTCGTGCCGAATCTGAGAACAGCACTCGAGCCCATGATGCCGTCGGCCTGCCTTCCTCGGCCGCGACGGCTTCCTGCTCCTCATCAGCGAAGACGGCAGGCAAGAGCGGAGGGGCTGGCACGAACTGCTGCAGTGATTCTGGTAGTGGCGGCAACGCCTCAAATCGACGAAGTGCAGCTTCGTATGCTAGCTCGCGAGCGCGTGCGGAGAGCAGTAGATGCGCTGTCCGTTCGAGTGCGCCAGGGGCCCAGGCTTGCTGCTCGTTGAGATTGCTGGCGGCGGCATGGGGCTGTTCTGCTGGAACATTCTGAGTTTCTGCCTCGCCCATGTCCATTGTAGGGAGATCGAGATGGAGGTCGAATGCACCGACGTCGGCTTGATCCCCTCGGGTCGACGGAGTCGTATAGGCAGAGTGTCGTGACGGCGGTGTGCGACGCGTACTTGCCGTCGATGGCGAGCTGGCTGTGCGCCAGCTAACATCTTCCTCCTCCTCAGTCGCTACGCTGGCAACCTCCTCTGTCTCGCTCTCTGTCTCGCTCCCGGCGAAGTCATCCTCGAATCGCTCCTCTGGGCCCAATCTAACTCGCAGGGCAGCATTGAAGGGGGCGGCGTCCTGTCTCCTCGCCGACGAGTCCAACCTTGCTTGCACGGGGTAGCGTAGAACGTCTGCACCGCTCGAAGAGCGCGGCATTGCGAGGAGATCGATACTGTGTGTCCAGAAGTCGACATTCTCGAGGTCATTACGCTCTGCGATATCCTCAGGCGGGTACTGCAGCGGGCTTGCCGTCGTAGATGGCGTGGCGGAGGCGAAGCTTGGTGGTTCGAGCAGGAACGATGCGTCCTCGAAGTCTTGATTGCTGGCTGCTTGCTGTTCGCGGGTCTCGAGGCCGAGGGCGTTGGACATGCTAGCCGTCTGCCTCAAAGACATGGTTGAGTCCGTAACCACGCGCTCCTCCTCCTCCTCCTGGCCCGCTTCCTCATCATCATCAGAGATTACGAGCAAAGGTTGCGTCGCGTCGTCGTCGGCCCTCATCCCGTCACTTCGCCCTTGACCGGGCAGCGCTTCTACCATCATCGCAGGCTGCGTTGCGACAGCCCACCGCAATAACGCCCTACTCCTCAACATGACCAGAACGTCGCTCTGCATCGCGGTGAGAGCTGCGACACATCCTGCTGCCCCAGCCGTCAACAGTCGCAGGAAGCGAGCGTGACCGCGCCCTGCCACTGCAACACTGCAACACCGCAGATCCTCGAACAGTATCGCTGCGAGACCTGACGTCACCTCCTTCCCCTGAAACTGCAAAGGCCTGTCTTTGGAGACCGCTCGCGTCAGCGCCCAGGCGACTCCGCGACTGGTGGTCACGTCGTCTTCGTCTGCGCGCCCGTGCAGAGAAAAGAGGCACGGAGGAGATTGAACGCCGTAGGCGGGAGTGAAGACGCCAAAGCAGGTGCTCCAGGCAGATAGGGAGACCTGATCCAGAAGGAGGGATAGGAGGCGTAGCCCCATGATGTGCTTGAGATAGGTGCGCAGTGTAGGGTCGAGCCAGCTTGCAGGCTGGCGCGACGCTGCAACGGCCGGAATGATCGTCGCAGCGGTGGCGCGGGATGCGAAAGCGTCGTAGGCGGCGTCGTTGTGGTGCTCGAAGGGCGTCTCCCCTGGTCCCCTTCTTGCCGCTCGCGCTGCTGTTCGTCGCGAAGAAGGAACAGCAGCTACTGCCCGCCTCCTCAACTCCAATTCTGCAGGCACGCGTGCTGCCTCGCGAATAGCGACTGTAACGCCCGACGCCGCGGCGACGGCCGCGATGGCTAGCACGCGTGTCAGAGACGTACCGACAGAGCTGGACAGGCGCTCGCTGGGCGACCCGATGCGCATGTACGCCAGGCTGGAAGCGGCCGTCCATGCAAGGCTAACGGCAAAGGGTCTCCATTCGATGTCCCTCAGTGTATCCAGAGCATGTTGCGTAAGTAGGCGAAACTCTGCTGACCAGGAATCGGTAGTTGATCTCGTCACCGCGAGACTGGAGGCAAACCCCGCTGCTTCATAGAGGGGCATCACCAGATGGATCACCACGACCTGCAGCGCTTCGGGCATGAACCAAACAGCCCAGTGAGCCAGCCCCAAAGCCCAGCCTTCTGGCAATTCTCGAATCATGAGCCTATCGAAGCATTTCGCGATGACGAATTGCAGCCAAGATCTCGATCTCCTGAGAGGCGTAGTGCAGGCTGCCAAGATGTGCTCAACTTTGCCAGCCAGTGAGCGCAATTTTACGTGCGCGCTGGATACTGCCATACGGAGAATGAGCTGAACTTGCTGTGCCACGACTGCATTGTGATGAGCACCTTTGTTGCCACGAGGACAAAGTCGTCCGGCCTTGTCCACGCTCAGGAGGCGGTGCTTGAACGGATGTCGGGGAGCAAAACGAGGTTGATCATGCGATCGCCGTCGCTGGATGGGCTGGTGGAATGAAGATGCCGCTCGACGCTCCCGGTAATGCGGGGCCATCGAGAAATCTTTGCCTAGGGAGGGAGGCGCCACGAGGGGATGAGTAGACATGGTGACGAAGGCGCCAAGGTGACAAAGATGTGAGGTGGGGAAAGGCAAAGGTCTCACAGCAAGATTCTTCCGACCCTTTTGAACGGTCTTATGGAATGGTACGAATTCAAGAAGCGCCTGTCATTACTTTGTGTTGCTTCTCGATGATCAGGATGAGGACACGACGCGGCTTGTGCGTTACTGGAGATTTAGCGCATGGGCCCTTTCATCCTTCGCTTGTCAACGCCGTCGAGTCTAGCAGCTCGGACTGGCGACGAGGTGATGACACGGCGGACAAAGGAGCGCGTTGGCGAATATCAGGGCGCCAACCGCCTTCGAGTGCGAAACTGTGCAACCTCACAAGCTCGCCGTACCAGAAAAATTGCATGCTCTCAGTGGCGATGAATTGCAATGCCTAATCATTCTCGCGACGCGTGGCCTCTATACCTGCTCCTCGGCGTGGGCCCCCGCAACCATCCCCTCTGCCTGCGCCATCGCCCTCCGATCCGCAACCACCCACTGCACCCTCGGGTCGACCCTCCTCTTCCTCTCACTCCTAGGCAGCTTAGCCCAACGCGGCTCAGCCAGCCCTGCCTCATCCCACGTCTTGCTGATCGAGCGGCGCGAAGCTTCAGTCCACTCTGTGCGGAAGAAGTGGATGCCGACGGGGAGAAGGGAGTGCTGCGAGATCAGAGAACGCAGATCTGCTTTGAGGGAGAGGGGTGGGGTGAGGTCAAGGGTGGAGGAACTGGATTGCTCGAACACCAGTGTCACATAGCGATGCCTGCCGGAGCCTTGGGAGGGCATAGGGGGGAAGTAAGGCAGGACCTCCTTGCCGCCGAGCATGTCGCCGCCTGGTCTGAGAAGACGCGACGGCTGCGAGCAGAATAGCGGGATGTCTGCGACTGCCCAGTGAATATTGATGTCGAATCCGTCCTGAGATGGCGTGTCCAAGTCCACCAGCATCACCGTATGCTTCTTCTCTTGAGTCGAGAAGCTTGTGAGGCGGAGAGTGGGCTGCTCGAGAAGGTGAGACTGCTCGATGATCACGCCGGGAAGGATGTCACCCGATGGGGGCAGAGAACGATCTGTGTGGTCGCCAACGCCCGGCCCATCTTCTGAGCCGAGAATGACCTGAACGTCGATGGTGGGGGTGATGTGCGCGATCGAGTCTGGGATGACTTGCTGGTCGCGTATGCGTTCGATCTAGCGGCGGGGGAAGGAGCAGAGAGAAGTGGACTGTGAGATTCCGGGATTAAGGCTGCTTCGACATAGCGTAAGCGCCACTCACCAGCTTGTCGAGACTTCCACACTTCCTCCACGCCCTCTCTCTCAGATGCCGCACAGTCGCATCCGTCAGATCCAGCTCGTCATCCTTTGTCCTCTCAAACGCCCAGCGCACTTTCGGGTCGTCAATTTGCGATGCGACGGTGAGGCCTTCCAGTACCTGCGCCTTTTGTTCAGCGCTCAATGAGGAGTCTCCTTCAACTTGCTGAATACGACGCCGCAGCTTGGCTTGGTGTGAGGCGATGTATGCTAGGGCTTCGTCGTAGGCTGCGCAAGTGCCTGGGGCAATGGGCGGGGACCACGACGATGAGGAGGAAGAAGAAGAGGAGGAGGAAGATGAGGCGGCGGCGGTGGGGCTTGCTGCGTGTGAGGCAAGATAGCGACGACCACCACTCTGCCTTGCAAGGCGTGCTGCTGCTCTTGACAAGGATGATACGGAGGCAGAGGACATTGCGAGCTGGCTGGAGGATGGCTAACAGAGAAGCCAAAAAGCCTCTTTCGACCTTTGCTCCCTCGTCCTTGTCCGCTCTCTTGTCTCCGCCCCTCCCGCCGCCGCCTTCCGCTCCGATGTCCGGCTGCCATGTGCGCGAATCGAGTCGAGTCGCTGCCCGATTCGGCTCAAGCGGAGGCCCGCACCCAAGGACTGGATTCGCTGAGCCGGTCGTGAATCAGCGTAGCGAATCCACCACATTTCCTTGCCATCCCATCATCGTCAACCACGCAACCCTTACTCGCGCGACACTCCGCTGCCTCTTTTCTTATCACGACCTAGCGCTCCGCTCTCTGCCCTGCCACCGTGTCCTGCCCAGTATCCGGAAAGACGGGAGGGACTTGTCCTGCCTCTTCGTCCTCATCATCACGCATAATGCCAGCCGCTCCACCAAAGCCGTGGGAGAGGGCAGGAGCTGCGGGCTCAGCAGCAACGACGACAACAGCTGCACCGTCCACGGTAGCTTCTACAGCAGCACCGGTCGCGACGGCAGCGGGTGCTCCAGCCGTCCCTGAGCGACCGTCATCACTCGCATCCACCTCCGCAGCAGGTGAGTCCCCGTGCTAACCCCACTCCCATCATGAACTAACACCCCTTCTCCCCGCCCCCACACACTTCGCCCTCGCAGATCCATATGGCTCGACGGGCGCCTACTCATCAGCGCTGAATCGCCCCGGTATGGCAGGCATGACAGGCATGTCCGGCATGTCCGGCTATGGGGGCGGGTATGGCGGCGCGTACGGCTCGCCCTACTCTCGCATGGGAGGATACGGCGGATATGGAATGGGGGGATATGGTGGATATGGTGGAATGGGAGGCTACGGGAGTGGATATGGCGGACTCGGAGGGTATGGAGGGATGGGAGGGTACGGGATGGGAATGGGAGGGTATGGCATGGGCGGCATGCCAGGGATGCCGGGAGGGATGCCTGGCCAGGAGATGTAAGTAGGCCAGGGTGAAAGAGGCCCCTTTGTCTGCCGATGCAATGCTGATCACCCAACCTCACCTCTCCTCATGCAGGTCATTGACGCAGCGCATGGAATCCGGAACCCAAGCAACATTCGAGCTCATCTCCTCAATCGTCGGCGCCTTCGGTGGATTCGCTCAAATGCTCGAGTCAACATTCATGGCCACACACTCCTCTTTTTTCGCAATGGTTGGAGTTGCCGACCAATTTGCATCACTGCGCAACTACCTCGGACAAGTGCTGAGCATCTTCGCACTCGCGCGTTGGTTGAAGGGATTGCTGTTGAAGGTGACCGGGAGAGCTCCGCCGGTGGATTTGAACGCAAAGGATTTCCAGGACTTTGCGACAGCGAAGGCCAATGGCCAGCCTGGCAAAGCAAAGCCCAGCAAGCGACCGCTCGTGGTCTTCTTCCTCGCTGTTGTTGGTCTGCCGTACTTGATGGGCAAGCTGGTGCGGCTCATCACGCAACGACAAGAGGCAGAGCGCTTGCGCCTTGAAGCCGAGCAGCAGACTGGCCAGCAAGCAGGTCACCTCTCTCTGCCCGATGGAGCCTCCATCGACCCCAGCAAGCTCAGCTTCGTCCGTGCTCTGTACACATACGAGTCGTCTGACCCGCTGGAGCTCAGCCTCCGGCCGAACGACATCGTTGCGGTACTGAGTAAGGTGGATCCGAGTAGCGGGCAGGAAAGTAGCTGGTGGAGGGGAAGGACGCGCGATGGAAGGATTGGCTGGTTCCCGTCCACGTATGTTGAGAGTCTGGAGACGGTCAAGCAGAGGGCGGCGGGCAAAGGCGTTGCCGAGGAGGGGAAGGCTGTCGAGGGACAGGCAGCGGCCTCACCAGCCGCTACGACGCCCGCAGCCGTGTCTGTCAAGTCATAACGTCGCTCGCTCGCAATACCAATGCACTTCACCCGACGATAGTGCATATACGTCTATGGTTGATTGATTGATCAAGCAGGGAATCGAGGCAAGATACGCGAGCGAGCTCCACCAGAGTGCCCCTTGCGCGCGCCTACGCCAACAAGCGGGTCAAGATGTTCGTCGGCAACCTACTGACCTGCTCGTAGATGTCGCTCGTCTCCTTCTCTCCGACTCCGCTGATGTCTACCATCAAGTACGCCACATCCTTCTTGCTATCTGTGTTTTGCTTGTCGACGTTGTAGTTGCCCAGCAGCGAGTTCAAGGCACGCAACGCACCGGGCTGGTTGGCGTGGACGTGACAGATACGGATGACGCCCGTGCCCTCTGCTTCGGTGATGGCTCGCAGGTCGACCTCCGGGAAATTGACGGCGCCTACTGACCCGCCGAAGTTGATGTAGCGGATGAGAGCAGTGGCAACCTCTTGACCGATCATCCGCTGAGCCTCTTCTGTGCTGCCGCCAATGTGAGGGGTGAGGATGATGTTCTTGCAGGCGCGCAGGCGCGACGCCCACGAGTTGAGCGAGTCGGAGAATTCCTGGTGAGAGGGGTCAGAGGTAGGATGGTCAGCTACAGAGCGAGACGGGATCGAAAATGCGGGTCATTTGTACTCACCCCCTTGCCATTACCCTTGGGCTCCTTCGGGTAGACGTCCACCGCCGCACCCGCCAAGTGACCAGACTCCATCGCCTCGCACAGCGCAGGCAAGTCAACGACGGTCCCACGCGCATTGTTGAGGAGGTAGGAGCCCTTCTTCATGGCCTTGAACTGCGGCGTGGACATCATGTTCTTCGTCTCTGGCAGCTCCGGGACATGCAACGTCACAAAGTCACTGGCGCCCAGCAGCTCCTCGAGCGTTTCCGTTTGGCGCGCGGTACCGAGGGGCATGAGCGGGAGGACGTCGTAGTAGAGGACGGTCATGCCCTGTTGCGCGACCAAGAGCGCAAGGTCAGCGTGTGGAGAGAAGAATTGGGAGTACTCAACGCGCTTACCATCGACTCGGCGAGCACCGACAGCTGCGAACCAATATGGCCGTATCCGACGATGCCGAGTGTCTTTCCTCGAATCTCGTAGCAGCCCTTGGAGACCTTCTGCCAATCACCAGCGCGCAGCTCCGAGGCTCGATCGACCAGCTGGCGGGACAGGGCGATGGTCTCGCCAATGACGAGCTCAGCGACTGAGCGTGAGTTGGCAAAGGGAGAGTTGAAGACGCATACACCGCGGCGGGCGGCTGCTACGAGGTCGACCTGTGGCGTAGAGAGGGGTTAATGGTGGTCAGCATTGAGAAGGAAAAGCAAAATGTCTGCTTGGCGCTTGCACGCACCTGATTCGTCCCGATGCAGAAGCAGCCGACGGCAAGCAGCTTGTCGGCAGCCTTGAAGACCTTCTCCGTCAATTTGGTCTTCGATCTGATGCCGATGACGTGGTAGTCGGCGATCTTCTCCACTAGCTGCTCCTCACTCCAGGCATCCTTGTGATAGTCGACCTGGTAGCCCTGCTTCTGCAGTTGGTCGACGGCGAGCTGGCTGACGGCCTCGAGCAGCAGGATACGGATTGAGCTCGTGTTGAAAGGAGTGAGGAGCTTGGGCATGTGCTGGGTGAGCCCGCCAGCCGAATGCTTGCGCGGCCTCGATCCGGGGATAGGAATGGCACCAGGAGCCGTGGGTGAGGAAGCCTCAATGGCCGCGTGGGCATAGGCAGAGGGAGACTGCGCTTGGGCGGCCATCATTGCTGAGAAGGAGCCAGGCGCAAAGGCCCCGCCGTTGGGAGGCGAGGCCGTTGGTGGAGACGTCGAGGGGCCATTGACGAGCGTTGTACGGCGATGAAAGGCTTGGTTGTGGGCCATACTGGGCGACGGGTGGGCGTGGTGATGATGGTGAGGAAGAAACGTTGAACCCTGATGGCGGACTTGACCGGACAACTCTCCCTCGATGACTCGCAATCACGATGGCGAGCTTTGAGTGTGCGGCCGGCGCGACTTTCTTCTCAGCCCGCTGCTGTGTCGTGCATGCAGGGCGGTGAGATGACCACGTGGCTTTGTATCCCTCCGCTTGCTCGCCACTCCCGCTCGCATTAAAGGCACGCTCATCTAAGGCCGTGAGGCTGCAGGCCGTTGATTCTTGAGGCTACCACGGCCATAACAGCAAATCCTTCCCTTTCAAAAAGGCCACTCAAAGTATTGCAAGATCCAATAGACTAGAGCTCTGCAATAATGTCGACACTCTCCGCGGCACAAGGGCCGGCCCCTTCGCCCACGTCGTCGCCCTCCACCTTAATCGATCCCGTGCCCCTCTCAATGCCCTCGATCCTCGTCAACCCCAGGTCAAGCAACTCAGCATCCCACACTCTGGCCAATCGTGCCATCAAGCCTCCTCCTTCCGCTTCATCCACGTCCTCCTCACACCGTCACATCGGCCGGCGCAAGCTTCTACGCCGCATCAATTCAGCCCCTTCGTCGCACAACCCGCACGCCGTCGCCCGCCCACGAGCTGCAGACTACCTACCCTCACACTCTGGTCAAGAGAGATACCGTGGTACATTTCCCTCGCCTACGCCGCACTATTTGCGCGAGGTGGGTAAGCAGGGAGAGATCCGTGATGCAAGGCAGGCTAGGGACTTGAGGGTCGAGTGGGAGCAGGGGCAGGAAGCTGCGCAACAGGGAAGGAGGGAGTTGAGGCCCGGGGACAAGGGATTGGACGATGCAAGATCAGACTTGCCCCCGGATAGTGGATTGTTCACGATGAGTATCCAGGAGGCGCGCTTCTTTCTGCATAGGAGAGCGGGCGTCACCATCTCCAGGAGCGGGAGACCGCATCAGCGCTCCAATGAGGAGGCCTCGCCGCCGCCCCCGCCGGAACAGACTCCGATGCAACACCTCATCGACTGTCTCGAGAGAGAGTTTCAAGACTGGGCAGATCAGGTCGTCTATCTCCCCACTACCTCCACGGCAGTCGGCGGAAGCCTCACCTCTCAACCGACCATTCTCGTCGAGGCGAGTGACGACGGCACTGCCTCCACTGCATCTCGTGCTCGAGTCGAGGAACATCAGCGTCTACCTCAATCTCTAGTCCTCTGCGTGCCAGACGCGTTCGATCGTCTGGCGGTGCACTGTCTCGCAAGAGTCTGGGGTATGAGGAGCTTTTCCAAGCCCGCGCCCAATAGCGGTGAGGAAGGGACAAAGTTGACGTGGATCTTGAAGCCTCCTCCGAGTAAGACGACGATGCAGAAGATGCGGGAAGAGCACAGGCAGAGACAGCGTGAGGGAGGCGCTCCCTTTGGTTCCCTTTCTGCACCGAATCCTGCCGGAGCTATGCCAGTCGGCATCGTCTCCCGCTCGCAAGGAGGCCTCGAGACGCCGCCCACCACGGACGTTGGCACCAGTGCGAGCGAGCTGGGCGACTCGTCCGATGATGATGACGGGTGGAGCGTGTCTGAGGCTGACGCTGCGGACGAGACGGCGGGGAATGCCACGCTGCAGCCCAGCGAAGGCGACGCTACGCTGGACATCGTTGCCGAGGAGGGAGACGAGGAGGACGTCAGCGTCAGACGAACAACCAGCCAGCTCGCGACGGTCACAATCGCCGACGAGCATGACGGCTATGCTGGCAGCGGGGAGAGTGCGCCTGGTACAGACGACGAAGAAGCTTATGACTATGCTGCAGACGATGACGACGGCAGTGCTCCAGCATCACCGCGGCTGCACGCTGGATAGACCTGTAGATGATCGCAATGCATAGAGAAGACGGTGCGGAACTGCACAAGGATATCAAAGGGAAGCCACGACTGAGCCTGCCTGCGTACCCGACCTAGTGCGCAAATTCTGCCCCCTTGCGTTCCACCCAGTCCCACCCTTCCATGACCACCGCCGCGACATCATTCGCCTTGATCGCCTTGAGCAATGTCGAGAACTCTGGCGATACTACCGCCGTGCTGCTCAACGACTTTCTGCCATTCTTTCCCTGCGCCTGAGTGGGCGGGGGCAGAAGCGTTACTGGCTGGGTAGGGTGATGCAGCTCCACGCTCCTCAGCCTTCCTCCAGGTCGGTCGAACTGCAAGCACAGACTGAGCTCGCACCCGTCCGCGCTAGACACGTAGACGAGGTTGAGCCTCTTCTCGTCAGGCGCCTCGATCCTGCGCAGGCCGAGCAGACCCTTCAGCAAGGCTAGAGTGGCGGAATGGCTGGCACACGCCGCCTCAACATGTCTATCGCGCTTCCTGCCGCCTACTCCCAATTCCCTAGCCTCTCTCGCTGCACGCTCCGCTGCGTTCTTCTCGGATGATAAGCGGTCCACATCCTTGATCGCCGCCTTTGCGTCCGAGCGCAGCCTGACCATCAGGGCGTCGACGTGCGTATTTGACTCTTCCAGTGCGACGAGCTCCTCCTCTTGACGCTCGCAGAATCGCTCCGCCTCTGCAGAGGTGAGGGTGCCCACGGGAGGGAGGGTCTCGAGGTCCATGTCCTCCACGTCGACATCCGTGATGCCGGCAGCCCCGCTCTCTTCTTTCATCTTCACCAGCTCGAGCTCTAGGTCCATGCACTCATCGAGCAATGACTTGGCTTCTGCACACGAGGCAGAGAGTGCGTGGTACGGCTGGGCGACGCGTTGTGCGAGCGAATCCACGTCATGGCGCAGTGAGCGGACGACTTGCTTTGCCTCTTTGAGCTGAGTTTTTGCCCGCAGCATCTCCGCTTCCTTCTCCTTGACGTCTCGAGGTGTGTAGACGATGGCCTCGCGAGGCGGATCCGCCTCCAAGTCATCGACTATTTCCGTTATGAAGCGAATTTTGGTCTCGTGCTCGAGGTGGATGAATTTGAGGTATTTGTAGTATTGCTGCGCGAGACGTGGCGGAGAGGAAGGTCAGCCTATTGAGATGCAAATTCATGCGGGTTCGCGCTCCTACCTACCTTCATCTCCTTCTCCTCCAACTCCAGTCCCTCCGGCCAGTCCTTGAAGAGATCCCAGTCGACCTGGAGAGGGTCCCATGCACCTCCTTGGCCGTTGGCGTCTTCGACTGTGGCGAGAGATCTGCGCGGATGCTCGCGAGACGAACGAGCGGATTGACGACTGGCAAAGGTGCGCAGGAGTGCGTGCACGTTGTAGGGCGTCGTCGATGAGGACGCAGCAGAGGATGGGCCAGCCTCGACGTCTTGAGACGAGATGATTCTAGGCGTAAAGTCGCGGAGGTCAGCTGCTGATGATTCTCATATCCCTGCTTTGCACCCACCTCTTGGCCTCATCCATGGCACTCATTGCCCTCTGATCAGCCTTGAAGGCACCCGGCAGACTACCTCTGCCTCCCTTGGCCAATTGATCTCCATCCGGCGTATTCGTCGAGTCTGCGAAGGCGATGCTTCGACGACCCGAGTTAGCTGTAGAAGCGGACGCATGAGCATTGCTACGTCGCGAGCCTGCGATTGATTTGCGTCTCGGTGAAGATGTACGAGCTGGTGGCATGACTGCGTCGAGAGTTTGATAGTGAGGATGGGAAGTGAAATCGGCGAGGCTAGGGCGAGCGTATATGCAGCGTCGAGATCAACACACGGCAGCAGCGGCGCGAAGGGCGGCACTCGGGCAGATGCGCGTGTCGGACTGGCCTTGACGCGAACCTCAACCTCAATCTCGACTGACTTCGTCCCGTTCCGCTTCAACGAGCGAGCACAGGCCCACTGATTTTGGCGTCGACCCCCGTTGACGTCGCTCATTTCCGTCCTTCCTGTCACTCATCCTTCATCATAACAGCGTGCCCGTCGAACGACGATGGCTCCCGCCATGGGATCATCGTCTCAATCCACTTCAACGCGCGTCGCTATTCTCGTCTCCTTGTATGCACTCATCCTCGTCTGCTTTCCTTATGCCCGCTCCCTCGTCTCGGTGCATCGACGTCCCATCGATGAGACTGCCATTGCGCAGTGGCAGAAGAAGCAGCAGACGACATGCCCGATTGCGCTTCCTGCGCTCATTGGCATCAAGGGAATAGAGGCAGAGATGAGAGATGACGGGTGGGGTCAGAAGGTGAAAGAGCGCGCTGCTGCGCTCCTTCAGCAGGCCACGGATGCTCCGTCCAGTCACGAGGAGAGCTGGTGCTTGAAGTGGGATATCACAACGGATAACATGAGAGCAGAGCAGGCAGACTTTGTCTATGACGTCCATCCGTCCGCTTGGCTCCATGGCTCAACAATACACCATCTGGCTCTGCCCTCCAACACTTCGTCCTACTCGCCCGACAGCGTTGCCATCGCTCTCGCTCGACGCATCGCCCTCGACTTGAATCTACCTCTCAAGCACCTCTTGGTCAACACCGAAGCAGGGGCCCCGACAGGCACGGAAGGTAGTAGTAGTGAGGCAGCAGCCGTAGACCCAGTACCAGAGCCAGAGGCCGCCCTTGGTGAGCTGCACACAGAGGCGCCGCCTTTTTCCCCTCAGCGCCCGCCAAGGCCCCCTTTGCCGGCTCTCAGCTTAGCAGACGACGAGGAGGTGCTGCGAAGACTAGAATACGACCAGACTTCAGCAGGCAAAGTCGACGCCCACTCAGACATCTCAATTCCCCTCCCGCCGCGTCTGCTCCTCTCCCTACACGTCCTAAATGAGGACCTGCCTTCCATTCCCCAGTCGTCCAACACTTCCCACCCTCCACAGCTCCTGGCTCCCCTCGCCTCGTCGCCTTCCTTCATCAAAGACCTTCAATCCGAGCTGCACGACGTAGCTCGCTCTCTACAAGGCGTCACTCGCATTGGGTTTGAGACGCATTGGGGCTTGGACGCGAAGACGAATGGCGTCAAATGGGAGGAGGTCGAGTGGATGACGGAGGAGAAATGGGTGGAATGGGAGGAGAGGGAGTTCGAAGAGACAGTGGACGAGGAGTACGACGATCCGGATGAGGACAAGGCTAGGGCGGGAAATGACGGCCAGGAAGAGGAGGCATCAGCGGCTCCGTCACCACGCAAGCGTGTCCGCAGCGTCACCCGCACACGAAAGGAGCGCGTGCCCATCGACAAGAGCCGTCCTGTCACCAAATCAGTGCACGTTCTCTCTCCCGACCAGCTGGAAATCTTCGTCGATGAAGGCGCTTGGGGGCTTACGGAGACGTCTGTCTCGCCTGCGACGCCGCCTACTGGAACGGAGAAACGCAGGAATAGATTCCCCGACCTCTTTCCTCGACAGGACAGTAGCGCAGATGAAGCAGAGAACCAGGAAGAGACCAAGACCCTCCATCTTGTTCTCTACAAGCCTTCTCGAGAGCACACTCCCCTGATTCACTTGGCCGCCACTGCGCTTGACGAGGCAGGCACCGAGGCGGATGGGGATGTCGACGTCTCATTGCAGAAAGAACAGCAGCAACAACAGACCAAGATTGCAGCAGCCGTAGCTCAAGAAGCCGAGCCGGTGCATTGGGGCTGGACGGTCCCCGGTTGGGGAGGAGTAGTGATCTACAATGAAGGGCAGGGCGAGAGTGGTAGAGAAGGGGCAGGTTTGCACCTTCTCTCACCGAGTGAACAGGATCAGCGGGATATTCTCGATTTATGGGGACGACAGATCCGATCTTTGCTCGGCTTACCAGCCGTCCAAGAGGAGCAACACGGTGCCTCTCAGCGACGCGCCCACTTTCATCTGCTCCGTCTCACCCTCCTGAAGCGTATTCGCTCCTCACTCGAGTCCCTCATTGCTCTACACCAAGTCCTGGCACGCTTGCCGTCCCTGGAGGTCGGACGGGCAGTGCAAGAAAGGGTTGAGCTGGCGCTCAAGGCATTGCAAGAGCTCGACGGTGCCACCTCTCCTGCTTCTTCCTCGTCAAATTCGTTGAGCCCACCTCGCTCGCTCCGCTCCTGCTTTTCCCTCTCCTCCCTTGCTGAGCGTCACGCAGGGGAAGCATTCCATCACCATCGAATGGTGGGCTTGCTCTATTTCCCCGCTGAGCACACTTGGGCCGTCTATACTCCGCTGTTCGGGCCGCTCATCGTGCCGCTGGTCTTGGCGGGTGCCAGGGAGATGAAATTGTGGGCGCAGAGAAGGAAGAGGAGGAGGAGAGCAACGGCAGGGAAGGTGAGATGAGAAGTGATCCTAGAGGATGCACCGTTGCCGGTCATTGAATGCAGCCATTGTACACGCGGTAAAGGAATACGATTCACACTGATAGACGTGCCTACATCGAGCGGGTGGACCCTCTCTGCCCATCTCACGCCTGCCCAACGGCCCCCGCTCAATTCGTCTGCGCGCCCACCGCCAACCTCTTGAGGTGTTCCAAGAACACCTGCAACGACACATCGTCCGTGAAGATCGCCTGCCCGGCAGCCGGCGTGCTCCCGTACACGCCTCCGGACATGTGCGTCGTACTCGGATTGAGCTTGCTCAGCAGGAAACGTGCCTGCGATCCTCCCTGGTCGCACACGATGTATCTCGGAATAGGGCACCTGTCTCCCAGCAACTCTGCAGCGTCTGCCTTGGGATTCTCGAGCACCTCCTTGAAGTTCTCATAACCCTCTTGATCTTGGTAGCCTGCATTGCGCCACTCCTTGATCGTGGTGCCGTGGAAGATAAGGACGTGGAAGAAGGTGTCGAGCAGCAGCACGACGTCGGGGCGAATGGACACCGAGTCCAGCAGGACGGGCTGCGGAGGATCTTCCAGTCCATAAGACATGAGGGTGGGCTGAATCATGATGAGAGAGTTGTTCACATCCTCCACATTCAAAACGTGACGGTAATAAGCCGTCTCGTCTGGGGAGTTGTTGAATACCTGCAAGAATTGGGAGCGACGCAGATGGAACATGAACTGCGGGTAGATGCTGAACCCTTCCTGCAGGCGGAAGGATGTTGGGTCGTCCTTGCGATAGTCGGCGAAGCGTTGGCAGAGGCGGATGAGCATGCGATCCAGCCAGCGGAGGACGTCGGGCGAGTCGTCAATCTCGGCTTTGAAGACGGCAATGCGAGCCATGAGAACTGCTGCGGCTTCTTGGTCAAAGGAGGACGCGATCGCTTGCGTGCCGCCCGTGGCTTCCGAGGCAAAGGAGCGGGCGATCGTGGTGACGCGAAGGCGGTAGGTACCATTTGCGTGCTGGTAGTGCGTAACGAACTGGACGAGTCCGCGTGCGCCTGGTTGGAGCGGTGTGCCTGCGGGAGTGACCACTTCGAAGTAGGTGCCCAGCGCTGTTCGCGGTGTGACGCTACAAAGCTTCCAGGCCGATGTCCCACCAATACCTATCTCCGTCTCAGAGACGCAACCCGACTTCTTGTTGGCAGAGATCGCGTGGCCGATGAGGCCTGATACCTTGAGCTCTTTCGTCGTCTGCACGTCTACGGTAGCGTTGAAGCCCATCTGGAGGTCGCCATTCTCGTCCTTGCCGAAGATCTTTTGGAAACTCTGCTTAAAGATGCCCATCTGGAAGCTGTCCGCCAGCACCATGTTACCATTCGTCGCGTTCGCCAGCGCCTTCATCTCGAGGAGACCGACCTGGTCCAGGCACCCAGCGAAGATATCAATGGCATGGCCATTCTGCGCCGCCCGCCTCGCCATCGAGTCGTAGTACTTGAGGGCGCGCTTGTAGTACTTGACGTTGTCCTTGTCGATGTCGTGATGCGAGCGAATGCGCTCACGCAGCTCCGTCGAGACAACGTTGCCCGGTCCCTCGGAGCACGGTCCCCCGGAGAAGAGCATGATACGAGCGCCTGTGTTGGGGAACGAAGTCTCCAGCAGACCAACGGCGACACCCACGGCCGTTCCCGTGCATCGCTGTGCCCTCTTGTCGCTAGCTACGGGCCAGGCATCCTTCTGCAACTGCTCAAGGATGTTGGTGAGCTGGAACTCGCACTGCTGAACAGGCAAGAGGAAGCGAGCTGCACCGATGCGAGAGGGCTGAGCCTGTTGTCCCGGCTGAGCTCCCGAGGGCCCGCCGGCTTGAGGCGGCATACCGGGTCTGGCTCCGGGCGTGAGGCCGAGCATGTCCTGAATGGCTTTGGGTGCATATTCCTTTGTGCCACGGAAGACGTAGGACTTGGGGCAAGCCTCGTAGCCCAGCTCGTGGACCTGAGCCATTGTACCGAAGGTGATCAATCCCACAAGGGCATTGGGGGGCAAGAGGCTCAAGCTGACTACGAGGGCCTCGCGCAGCCCCTTGAGATCCTGTTCATCGAGGCAAGTGTCGACGACGTAGAGAAAGATGGGTGGAGTGGGCGCCGGGCGTGACAAGGTGTACTCGATTGTGGTGTACTTGGGGAGCAACTCGGCGGGCAGGTTCGTCGAGGAGATGTCGCGATAGTGCGGGGGGAAGGCGTTGCGGGAGAGACAGAAGGGGCAGATCCACAGCTTGGCTCGCACGTCGATTTGGCTAGCAGCGGAGGAATAGGGGCAAAAGGGTGAGTATTGTAATATGTATGCATACTGCTATCTCGGCGCACGTACCAGTAGGGATTGAGGACGGCACGGCACGGCGCCTTGCAAGTGACGGGCTCATACATGACTGGTGGGAGATCTTCCCTCTCCTTGAGCGGATTGTACAGAGCCGATACGGGGACTACGGTGCGGGTAGCCTCCGCTCGTGTCGCCGGCCAGACGTTCCACGAGAGACGGATTCCATCGCGATCCTCGACGTCGTCGACGTCTGCGTGAATGCGGGGGTTGGCGGGGGTAGACGGGTGCAGAGGTGAGTCTGCGAGTCCCAACAGCAGTCTGCTAGCCCTGCGCGGATGCTCATGGTACTCACTCATGATGCCTGGGTGTGGTGATGGAGGTGATGTCGGATACGATGAGAGACGCGAGAAGATGTCGTCCTTGGACTCGGCGCCGTCGTACGTGGCTGGTGTTGCTCCGTCGACGGCTGCCTCGCTCGCCCAATCGCCCCGCTCTGGCTGGCATTCGACTGAGACGGCGACACGACGACAGTAGTTCCGCCCAGCCTTCCGTTCCGGTACTCGAAGCTCAGTCCGTCTGTCCGCTTGAGCAGCCCAAGTCGGCCTGGCTCGAGCACCAAGGAAGCACGCACGAGACATGAGCTTCCGTCGATGTTTCATTTCAGTCCTCCTTGGCTTCTCAATCCTTGAGCCAGTCAACTCGCCTAGCCTCTCCATGCGATCCTCTTCAGCACTCTGCCTCGAGCCTTGACGCGCTTTGTCGCCGTCAGGCCTCATCATCTCGCGCAAACGCGATGTCGATCCCTCAGGTCCAGGTAGATGAAATCGAAGCACTTTCCTCCATCCTCGCAGACGACTTTGTCCCAGGCCAACTGGTGAAAAAGTCAGCATGGGCCGCTGGTCAGACCGCAACTCAACAGCCCTTCTTTGTGATCACTCTGCGGCCTGACGATGATACATTCAAGCATCTCGACGTCTGGGTCAAGATTGAGGTTAGACTTCCTAAGCGATATCCAGCAATTGCATTGATCCTCACCTGCCCGACGACGGTGAAGGAGGCAACCAGCCACCATGTCACAGAGGCACATCTCGTCGCCCTTGAGAAAGCGCTGAGAGCCAAAGTCAGCGAGCTTGCAGCAACAGGAGAGGAGGCAATGTGGGAAGTCTACTCGTGCGGAGCAGAGCTGTTATCTCGCAACAATGCAGTCCGCGAGCAGCAGCAGCAAGAGAAAAAGAAGCAGGAAAAGCAGAGGCAGTCGGACATGGTGCTCAGTTTCGAAGAACAGAAGCGCCAGAGAGATCAAGAGGGCGCAAAGGCAAAGGAGAAGGAGCTTCATCTGCAGCAAGAGGCTGAGCGGAAGAGCACCGCCGAGAAGGCGTCGTCTCTCGCCAAGGCCATGGAGGAAAGGGAGCAGGCCATCAAGGCTGAGCGAGCGCGACGCAGAGTGGGTTTCCAAGACGAAGACCAGGTCGACAAGGAGAGCGTCCAAACTGCTCCGCGATCGCCTGGCTTCCCCCGCTCAGACACCATTCACCTAGCCACTCCCTTTGAAGCAGCCCTCAAGTCGCCGCCAGTACCATCGCCCTCGATGATATCCACTCGCACAAACCTCAACATCTTGTCCTTCGACCCACCACTGCAGCTTGATGGAGATCAAGGCGTCGTCCGCCATTTCGACATCTCACCCGCCCTCGGCCCACTTCGAGGACTCGTCAGCAGCCATCTCGCAATCCCCGCCCAAAGCTCGGCGCTTCCTCGCCTCCTCTCTCAACTACGCATCACCTCGCCGTATTTCTCTACCTCGAGAGGGCGTAGAAAGCTTGCTGGGCTCGAGAGAGAACTGCAAGCGCTGTCGCAAGTCCGGCACTCGACCATTCGCTCCCTCGAGGGATTCCAACTAAGTCGCGTAGAGAAGCATATTGCTGAAGGGTCAATTGCGGGCTTTACGTGGGACAATGCAGATGGGGAGTCCTTCTTGCTCTCTCTCGTCGAGGCTCCTTCACCGCCAGATGCCCACGAGTCGAAGCTGCAATCGCTGCTAGCCCTCCAGTCGTTGGCTACCTCGAAGATGCTTCAGGTGGCTGCGGATCTCCTCTCGGCAGTATCGCATTTGCATTCGCGCGGCCTACTTCTCAAAGACCTGCCCCTTGAGCGAGTGTGCGTCCGCCCTCAGACAACGCTCATCGACAGCGTCTGGATGGGCAGCGTCTTAGAGCTCCACCGCGCCAACCCTCTGCAAGAACAGCAAGAAGTGCAAGAGCCTTGGAGCGAGGGGTGGGCAACGCCTGAACTCAAATCTGAAGCGCGTCACACTCGGAAAGGGGACGCATTTGCCGTCGGCCGTATTCTCCTGCTTTGCCTCCTCGGGCCAAGCGCCGCCGACTTCAACGATCCCTGGACGGCCCTCACAGCTATCGAAAAGTCATTCGACACCGATGCCACTTTCAATCTGCTGTCCAAGCTTCTCGAGCGATCTCCAAAGAGACGCATTCTTCCTGCCGATGCCCTAGCTCACCTCGAGTCCACCGTAGACGAAAGGACACGTGCTGGAAAAGCAGGGCCGATCCCAGACTCTCGTCTCGGAATAGGAGCGCCTCCTGCCGCTTCCACTAAGAGCCCAGCGACTATCAGGGATACTTCACCTCCCGCTTCACGCCAAGCTTCGCAGCTCTCCAAGGCTTTCTTCTCCTCAGCTCAGCTACAGCAGCCGGCTGGTCCATCACCATCTCGCTTTTTGAGCGACTTTGTTCCGCTCTCTGTTCTGGGCAAAGGAGCATTCGGCGTCGTCAGCAAGGTCAAGAATCGCCTCGACGGCGGCGTCTACGCTGTCAAGAAGATCCGTCTCGATGGAGGAGAGGAGCAAGGCGAGGAGAAGACGCTCAGGGAGATAGGTGCTCTTGCCCGAGTGAACCACCCTCACGTCACTCGCTACTACGCTGCGTGGATCGAGGAGATGCACACCGAAGAGGCGCAGGCAGATGGCTTTTCAGACCTGGCGACGAGCGCGACGCCTACGACGTCGAACGAAGAGCGAACGGACGGCTCAACACCGACGCACAAAACTCAAGCTCACAGCTTCTCATTGTCATTTGGTCCTCCGAAAGATTCGGACTTCGATGATGCAGCGCGGGCCGAAGAAGAAGACTTTCTCAGCCATGTCGGCTTTGCAGCGGATGATGAGAGCGAGGCAGAAGATGCATCGACATCAAGCAGCGATGAAATCGACAGTAATGACGACGACCAGAGCGGTAGCGGCGATGCCTTCAATCAGAACGGCCTCGTCGCCACGCAACGAGCAATGCGGTCAAGAGGCAGCGGCAAGAGCAAGAGTCACGCGGTGAGCCGAGCGGCAAGTCAAAGTTCGCAGCGACGCAGTATGTCAAGACCTTCAGTTGCACCTCGCAAGCCACGATGGCTGTACATCCAGATGGAACTCGTCGATGATCTGACGCTACGAGAGGTCATCGAGAGAGGTCCAATGAGCATGGACGACTGCTGGCGCTTTCTCAGACAAATCCTCAATGCACTCGTCCACATTCACAATCTAGGCATTGTTCACCGCGATCTCAAGCCGTCAAATATTCTGATGTCAGGCGCAGACATCAAGATTGGCGACTTCGGTCTCGCCACCACCCTCGAGACCGTGCCGACCGCTGCAGCTGGGGGCGAAGCCTCCCTGTCTAACTCTGGTTTCCTTCCTCCCCTACCGCAAGACTCGTCAGGCCGAGCTCTTATTGACAGCGAGGACATGACGGGCGAAGTAGGCACAGCCCTCTACGCTGCACCGGAGATTGTCAAGCAACGCGGTGCTCGCTACGGGTACAAGGTCGACATGTACTCCCTCGGCATCATCGTCTTCGAGATGGTCGCGTCTGGGCGCATCTACTCGACGGGCATGGAGAGAGTGCTGAGACTGAGAGCTCTGCGTCAGCCTTCCGTCGAGTTCCCGCCTTCGTGGCCAACGACGCTCAGCAAGGAGCGCGACGTCGTCAAGTGGCTCTGCACACATTCGCCGGAAGAGCGACCCAGTCCCTTGGGGCTGCTGCAGAGCGAGCTACTCCCGCCGAGGCTGGAGGACGAGTCAGTGCAGGAGACATTGCGCCTCGTCACAGATCCGTCATCAGTGTATCACCTTCAGCTACTTGACTCGCTCTTCGCCTCGAAACCGTCACGAGACGAGGAGATTCGCGATGCTACCTTCGACGCAGGCTCGCAGAGGGAGACGCTTGCGGATCCGAGAGAAGCCGTCGTCATGGACTGGCTGCGCACTGTATTCGTCAGGCGGGGCGCTATCGAGCTCACACCTCCGCTTTTGATGCCATCCAAGAGCGGCCTGTACTCGAGCAAGGACGGCGGCAATCCGGTCTCGCTTCTCGACTCGACTGGTCAAGTCGTGCATCTCCCACGCGACCACCTCGTCCCATTTGCTCGTGCCGTCGCTCGAGCGCAGTACCCTCGACTCAAGCGCTACTGCATCGGACCGGTGTACCGCGAGAGTCTGCTTGCCGGCGGTCAGCCCATGGCTATCATGGCCGCCAATCTGGACATCGTCACGGGCGCCGACATTCCTATGCCTCCAGCAGCCGAGGGAGAGTGTCTTGCTTGTTTGGAGGAAGTCCTCAGCGAAGTGCCCGGCTTCAAAAATGATTGGGTCATCCTGGTCAATCATGGGGTCATCCTCGACTTGCTCCTCGAGCGAGTGCCGGTCAATCAGCAAGCTTCCACGCTCGCAGCCCTCATGACGCTCAGCTCAAGAGCAGGACCAGCAAGCAGCTCGCATGCCGCTCGCACCAAGCTGACGCAGCAGCTCCATCTTCCCAAGTCAATCGTCGACGAGCTCGAGCTCTGCGCGTCAATGTGCGAAGATGTGGAGACGGTCCATGCAAAGTTGGATCGGGTGATGCCAGTGGATCATCGTCCCACCCTGTCTCGAGCCGTTCAGGCCATCATTGAAGTGCGAGAAGCGGCGCGCAAGCTTGGCGTGCCCGCAGAGCGTCGCTTCCTCCTTTCGCCGATGCTGAGCAACCACAGTCAGTACTTCAAGGGACAGGTCTTCTTTCAAGTCGCGCGGCCCACGGGGGGCAAGAAGAGACGTGGTCGATGGGACGTCGTCGCATCAGGAGGGCGCTACTCGAGCCTCATCGCTCGATTTGCAACGCCTCTGAGCGGCAACCCGCCGAATGGCGTCGGCATTCAGATCGCCGTTTCGAAGCTCGTGCACGCCCTCGCAAAGGATCAGGAGATCAGCGAGCCTCGTCGTCCCCCTGACCTCTGGACGCCGCGACGAGCGGACGTCTACGTTCACTCTGCGCCAGGCATGCTCGACACGCGCATGGAGGTCACGCGCGAGCTTTGGGCGAATGGCGTACGCGCAGACGTCAGTTACGAGGATGACGCAGGGCAGGAGTCGATGCTCATGGTAGCTGCGCGATGCAAGGAGGAAGGCTTCTCTTTCCTAGTCTACGCGGCAAGGTCGATCAAGGTGCGAAGCTTGTGGACCAAGATGGCCGACGTCGAGTTTCAATCCACCCTAGACTTGATGCCGTGGCTGCTGGAACATCTTGCTAGGCTGCTGGGTGGTGGTGCGGGTGGCACATACGATGCGTTGGCTGCTGCTGAGCCGCAGTTGCAGAGTGGAGGCGTGGGTCAGGCAGGTGGCGTGGGCACGGGAGCCTCTGGGCAGGCAGGGATGGGCGGCGCAGCTACCAGCGGAGTCAGCAATGCTGCGCTTGCACTGGGAGGAGAGGGAGGAGGTAGCAGCGCCACAGGCACGAGTCTCAGCGCGAATACAGGCTCACTTGCTGGCGGTAGCGCCATGATGGAGACCCAAGTCGTGCTGCCCGTCCACGCCTCAACGCGCCAAAAGGACAAGTCAGACCGCGGAGCGAACGCGGATCGTCGCGTCAAGCTGTCCACGAATCACCCTGTCATCCACTCAGCAACTCGTGAAGCCCACCGCCTCGCGGGCGCGATCTCTAGCGGTGAGATTCCCGTCATTGCGGTCGATCTGCGCGGGGATGCCTTTGATGGCCTTTGCTCGGCGGCCATGGCCAAGGATACGGCGAGGCGGGATGTGGCGTGGAGAGGGTTCTTTGATACATTGAGCAGTGGAGAGGAGAGGGAGTATGCGAAGAACATCAGGAGTCATATTGAACGGAGCACAAGCGGAGGAAGTGCCGGAGGGCAGGTCATGCTCTTCTCCATCAGAGAGAAGAGGAGCGCCATCGTTGGGACGACGCCAGCCGGGAGGTGAGCGAGCGAGCGAGCGACCTCAGATGGATACCGGGACGTGTACGCAGAGCATCACATCCAATCAGCAATCATTGCCCTCGTCGCGTCGACGGAGCATATCTGCAAAATAGAGACCTATGATCAGGAACGAAATGGAGCGAACGAGAAAGAGCGGCTGCACCTACGGACCGGTTTGCCGGGCGCTGAAGCTCATTAACTCGTGCACATTGCCGACTCGGGAAGCTCCTGCCGTGATTCGAAGCAGCGATCTGTGCTACGCTGATGAAAGGTACTGATGATCCGCTGAGCTTTCGAATGCCGTCAACGAGTGGAACGACGACAAAGATTGCAACATGCGGCCCGTACGCCAAGTTCAGCGAGTGTGCACCGCGTGACTAGATTGCTCTGGCCTTGCGTGTCTGGATGCACCGTCGCACTCGCCAGCAGATGATGCTCGAGAGCTGCTCGGCCGCCTTGAAGCGTTTGCTTGTGTATCATCATAAGACGACCGCTCCCCTCTCGTCCAGCTTCCACCACTGCGATCCTTCCCCAACCTCCAACCCCGAACCCGTACCTACACACTGTGAGTTAGGTCATCGCTGTCCTACTCGTCCCTATCACTCACCAACCGCCTTTGCGTCCATGACGTGCAGATGCTTAAGCTCACGACCGCCTTTATCGCACTTGTGACCTTCTTCGCCCTCGTCCATGCTGCCGGCCAGGGTGGCATATCTGTGAACCACCATGACTTCTCCGTCAAGAAGCTCGGGGACAGCCACCACTACAGTGTCGATGTCAACGGCAAGCACTACAAGTGAATGCGGCGATTGCTACCGTGACATTGCGATTGATCGCGAACACACGCTGACTCCTGCTATCCCTCCGCCGCTCTCGCTACAGCGTCGACACCACCGAGACGTCTTGTGTTAACAGCAAGACCGGCTCCAAGGTTGACTGCCACAGCAACATCGCCGTCGACCCAAACGGCAACCCATTGGGCCAAGGCGGGCCTCAGCCCTACGGCCCAGTACAGGGCAGCTGCTTCCAGTGTCGCTTCTTCTCTCAGGTCGAGCTCGTAGCCCAATACGCCACGACGCTAGGGGATGAGCACACGGCCAACCTCGAGTGCCTCTTTCTCCTGTTCAACACTTACTCGCCTACACGCGACTGGGCTGTCACCATGCTCAACCCTAGCCAGAGTGGACAGGGTGAGTCACGTTGTCAAAGATACGATCTGCACGCGGCAAGGCTGACCATAGCACCTCTTGCATCGGTGATGCTCGCTATCAGCCGTCATTGACACGGGTATGGTCGACCTGCGCACTGCCTCGTACATCCCCAATGGCATGAGTGGCGGCGGATGGGGACGCCAGAACTTCCGCTGTTCCAACGGCGCCATTGCTCAGATAACCTGCCCCCTCTGCCGCACGTCGGGCCCCTACTATCCTGGGAACGCCGTCGACGGTGGTACGGGGCCTGGGATGGGGCCTGGAATTGGTGGTCCCCCAAACTTCAAGGCCAAGGCCAAGGATGGCAGCGTCAAGCTTCAAGGCGCTAAGCCTGTCGCTGATGCTCAGCAGGTCGACACCAACCTCAAGTCCAAGGGTGGGCACAATCAGAAGAAATCTGAGTACGGGTGGCGTGGAGAGGGTGACGATCAGACCTGATGCAGGTGGGTCGACGTGACTCGGGCGCCGACCGATAGTAGAAGTCTGACCTCGAGCCTCGCCGCCATCGCTGCTGTGGCAGGCCACAACTCATGGCTCGGCGCCACGGCTGTCCCTCAGACCCTCAAGAAGGGGCCTCAGCGCGCGTCACCTCCTATTCCCCTCATCTGACCCTCATATCAGCCACACTTACTGCCTCGCGACGCCTATCGATGCCTGCTCCTTCTCAGTCCTTCCCATACTACTTCTTCATCCTATAGTCACAGCCCTGCACTGCCTGTATGCCCCCAGCCAACGTGCTCCTCGTCGCAGCCACAGGCACGCTCGACCGCAGCTATTTATCTCAATTCATTGAACCCCTTGTTGCCTGTTGTGCTGCGTCCGCTCGCTTTGCCTGACCTTGGCGATCGTCAAGTCTGGATGTTGCGATTCTGCCCTTGGACGAGGAGGCAAAAAGAGGAGCTTAGGCCGCCCAAGAGCGCGTCACGCTGGCCACGCTGCCATCCCACCTCTGCTCGCCGCTCCGCTCGCCCGCCGGCCAAAGCCTCGCCTCGTCTCCTGTGGGCGAGTCGACTCGGGCCGCCGTCGATTGCAAAGGGAGCAAGAGGACGAGAGCCGACTTCTTCCTTGGGTCAACTCCACACCTCGTCGATCCCTCGCTTCACCTCCTCCTTTCCCGCTTCCCTTCATCCCACTAACACCACAACCACCACTCCCTCGACTCGCTCACGATGCTGCCGCAAGTCAGTGTTCCCTCGCGTAGGGCAGCGCTGCGATCCGCATCAGCCGCGCCCTTGCGATCGCAACGATCCCTCAGCTGCCTCGCAACCTCTACCCCTCGTCTCCAACAACAACAGCAGCAGCAGCAGCGAGCAGCAGTGGCATCGCCGCTCCGCTTCTCGTCTCTCCCCAGGCAATCACCCATCGCGCCAAGCGCCGCTCGCTGCTTCCATGCTTCACAAATCTTTGCCGCAGAGACGGTCAAGGTGCCGCAGATGGCTGAGTCCATTTCGGAGGGTACGCTCAAGCAGTGGAACAAGAAGAAGGGAGACTTCGTGCAGGCGGACGAGGAGGTTGCTGTGATCGAGACGGACAAGGTAAGTGCGAGATGGAATAGACACCCTGCTTCATGGTCGACCTTGACTGACGCCTTGTTCCATCCATATCCGCCCGTCTGCAGATCGATGTTACAGTCAATGCTCCCCAAGCCGGTACCATCACCGAGACGCTCGCCAACGAGGAGGACACTGTGACCGTCGGACAGGACCTCTTCAAGCTCGAGCCGGGAGAGGCGCCCGAGGGAGGCAGCAGCGGTGGTGGAGACAAGGGCGGCGAGGAGAAGGAGCAGAAGCAGAAGCAGGAGGAGGAGGACTCAAAGAAGCAGGAAGAGGAGAAGAACAAGAAGCAGGAAGAGTCAAAGAAGAAGGAGGCTGAGGAGTCAAAGAAGCAGGACCAGCAAAAGCAGCAGCAGCAGCAACAGCAGCAGCAACAGAAGCAGAGCGAGAAGAAGGAGTCGAAGCCCTCATCGTCTTCATCGTCCAGTGGCGCCGACTCTGCTCCCTCGAAGCCTCCCGCTGGCTCTCGCGGCGAGCAGCGCGTCAAGATGAACCGGATGCGCGTCCGTATCGCCGAGCGCCTCAAGCAGTCGCAGAACACGGCTGCTTCGCTCACCACTTTCAACGAGATCGACATGACCAACCTGATGCAGTTCCGTGCCCGTCATAAGGACCGTATCCTCAAGGAGCATGGCGTCAAGCTTGGTTTCATGGGCGCTTTCACCAAGGCTGCTTGCCTTGCGCTCAAGGAGATCCCCGCTGCGAATGCTAGCATCGAGGGCGAGGGCCTGGGCGACACCATCGTATACAGAGACTACGTCGACGTCTCGGTTGCGGTCTCGACGGAGAAGGGGCTGGTCACACCCGTTGTGAGGAATGCGGAGAGCATGAGTATCATCGAGATTGAGCAGGAGATTGCGCGATTGGGCAAGAAGGTGAGTGGCGCGACGAGCGACAGGATGACGGACGTCTCTTCATGCTGCAGTCACTGACGTTCTTGCCTCGCTCGTTCCTCGTTCGCGCACAGGCCCGCGACAACAAGCTCACCCTCGAGGACATGACGGGCGGCACCTTCACCATCTCGAATGGCGGTGTCTTCGGCTCCCTCTTCGGCACACCCATTCTCAACCTTCCCGGCTCGGCCATCTTGGGCATGCACGCCATCAAGGAGAAGCCGTGGGTCGTCGAGCACCCAGATGGAAGCAAGACGATCGAGATTCGCCCCATCATGGTCATTGCGATCACGTACGACCACAGACTGCTCGATGGTAGGGAGGCTGTGCAAGTCGGTGTGAAGCTGAAGACTTATCTGGAGGACCTCGGGGCTCAGCTGTTGTAGAGCTGTGAATGAGGTGGTGGAAGAGTGGGTGGAAGGCAGAGAGATATGTGCACAGCGGTGGAGCGTTGTGGGCTCTGAGCAGCGGGGGAGGAAGAAGGACAGGCGTCGATACACGGCAAGCCCATCGTGGCCCTCTTGAACGGCCTCGTAATGGACCTAGCACACAGCCCGTCTCCAATGCATTTCTATCAGTCGATGCTCTCGCCTCTGTCACTGCGTGATTTGCCCTCCCACATTTGGCTCCCACAGCTGCCCGGTGCTACCAATGACTCTCGCCCGTTGGCAACCACGTGGCAGAGGGAGAAACGTCCAGAAGATCTGTGCGTGCGGAGAGTGTGCTTTCTTGCCCTCCGCACCCTTTCACTTTCCTGAGCATCTCTTTGACCCTTTGAGCTCACTCGCGTTGCGATAGACTCGTGCCTAACAGCATGTCGACTTGGAACAAGGTGAGATAGAATGCTGAGGTGTTCGGTAGAGGGTCGAGGGGCTGCTCGCTGCGAGAGCCAGTCGCAAGGTGGGACCGCGATTCGGATGTTGGACATCGTGTGAGCTGACTTCGGCCTCTGTCCATCCTCTGACTTGTCCACTGCGCTTCTCAGCACTAGTGAGTAAATACGAGGTGCCAGATTGCAATGGTAGTCACTCCCTGCGCCGGCTGCTCAGATAGCTCACCAGCCCCCCCGCTCTCCCGCTCGACCTCTCTCAACCGCATCAGCCACTGGAAGACAAAGGGCTGCACGCCTTGGTCGAAGCAGTACTTCACCGACCGTCTCGTCGGCCAATCAGTCACTGCAGGTGATGGCATCGAAGTTCGCATCGACCGCCTTGAGACGTTCGATGGCGATGTCGAGCTGGGCAATCGCAAGTGAGTACGAAGGGAGGTGCGAGAGCAGGTATGCTGCGAGGACTGCAGGCTGACCAGTCGCCTCGCGCTGCTCTCCAGGGGCAAGCTGATCACGATCTACGACGTCGACATGCACCTTGCCTGGGTAGCCACCTCGTCTTCCTCCTCCGGCTCATCCTCCTCATCGTCGCCAACTACGATCGCCAAGGGCAAGTTGCGCTTTCCCGAAGTCTCGCACGAGATCGAGGACCAAGGCGACGACTACACCTGGGAGACGACACTCGACTCGGAGAGTGACGAGGGCGTAGAGGAGAAGCAGAGGCAGGTGGCATACAAGGCCGTCAAGAAGGACCTGGCAGAGAAGCTGCTTCCTGCTTTCAAGGACTTCAGGGCTACGCTGGTTGACAAGCACGCGAGGGATCTGGGCCACGAGGACCAGCAATCTGGGCCAAACAGTGGGGCATCGACGCCTGCTGCCGCGGCTGCTGCTGCTGCTGCTGCGCCAGCCGCCAAGGCCGAGCAGTCCAAGCCAAAGGCAGCTGCGGCCTCTTCTTCGGCGGTCTCCACCTCAACGGACGTCGTAGAGCTCTCAGCCGCGCAAGCCTGCTCACAATCGGACCTCTGGGACCTCCTCACCAACCCAGCCCGCATTCCGATGTGGACTCGCTCCCCCGCGGACTTCTCGCTCACTCCTGGTGCCCCCTTTTCCCTCTTCGGCGGCAATGTACGCGGCAAAGTGCTTAGCGTCAATGAGCCGTCGAAGTTGGTTATGGCATGGCGTCCCCCTACCTGGGAGCCCAAGGACCACTTTGGTGAGCTGGAGCTGAGGCTGAGCGAGGGAGAGGGGAGCACGGATCTGAAGATCAGGCTGCAGGGTGTGCCTCAGGGTGAGGAGGAGAGCAGTAGGAAGGGACTGGAGGAGATGTACATGAATGGGCTCAAGAGGTTGGGTTTGAGTGCGGTCATCTAGGCGAGCAGGTCGTGCAAGGCGAAGCGATAGCTCTTGGACACTCGTGCGCAACAATAGAAGCGATGGAGCCAATCTAATATGGTACACAAGCATAGCATGAAGAAGTGGCGTAAAGTCTAGTGGCGTGTAGAGGAGTAGTGATGCCTGGCAGCCACGCCTCGATTGGTGTGTGCGTGCGCAGAGGTCAAGCGACAGTCGGTCCTCTCGGTCGCAGTCCGACGTCGACACGCATTGAGGCGTCGACTGTGTCTGGGGTTCGCGGCGGACGACGGTGGACTGAGCGCAGGGCTCAGAGCCAAAGGCAGCCACAAATTGCCTCGGAGTGTCGCACCACAGCCTCTAGATCGCTCCTTGACTTGCCTCTCTCCGGTCTCAGCACAGCAACGTCATCATCATCATCAGCAGCAGCAGCATCGGCGCAGCAAACGCATTATCGTCTCATGTCGTGAAGTAGTCCATCGCCGTCGCCGTCGCCGTCACCGCCACCCTGCCGCGCCCACTCCATCGCATCTTACTCGGCCAGTCGCTCCTCGTCATCGGGGCTAGCCGCAGATGCCTTTCCCTTCGTCGTCGTCCTCGGCCCACGACATCTCGGATCACTATGGCCTCGTCAATTTGGGGAACACTTGCTTCCTCAACTCGGTGCTGCAACTCCTTGCCGTCACTCGACCTCTTCATGCGCTCCTCCATCCTGAAGGCGATCTCGCCTTGCCATCGAGAGCACTCGAGGATGGTCTTAGAACAGTCAGCCTCACCCCAAACCGTGTCCCTCGACGGAAGGTTCCTGCCCTACTCGCCATCGATGAGAGCAAGCAGAGGGCCATTGCTCTTCCCGATCTGACAGACGAAGAGATCGATCAGCTACACGCACTCCTCTCCCTCTCCGAGTCGTTTCGCTTCACGCTCGACAAGATGTGGAAGCAGGGTTCGAGTAGTAGTGGAGGCGCAAAGGCGAGCAGCATCAGCCCAAAGACACTCCTCAAGCTGCTTGCGAAAAAGTACGACCAGTTCGGAGACTACGAACAGCAGGACGCGCACGAGCTACTTCGTCTCTTGCTGGACGCCATGCGAATGGAGGAGATCGATTTCATCAAGAAGGTCAAGCCAAATCCGCGAGGCTCGAGATCACTGACACCCTCCGCTTCGACGGGCACACTGAGCGGCGCAAGTTCCGTATCTTCGGACGAGCGTGACTCAGCTGCTACAAGGCAGTGGAAGCGATCCTTGCCCACCGGTGGAAGAGGGGACGAGACACCAACAGCGGGCGAAGAGCAGCAGCCTTGGACTTCTCTCGTCGACGTTCTCTGGGGTGGCAAACTGGCAAGCATGGTCGTCTGCGAAGGCTGTCGGCATGTCTCGCATACATACGAGGATTTCCTGGACCTCTCGTTGCCGCTACGCGCAGAGGATGCCCTGAGCAGAGGTGGAGGCAGTGGCAAGGAGCGGCGCTCGACGAGGATGAGGCTCACAGATCGATGGAGGAGCAGCAGGCCGGGCTCAACGACGCCTGGACCGTTGGACAAGAAGGCGGCGGCCGAGGCGAGAGACACAATCCTCAAGGGAACAACAGAGGACGATGCCTTTGGCCCGAACGGCGTATGCGATACCGAGCCCAGCGTGGACACGTCGTCTGCGCAGCGAAAAAAGCATAGAGGCATCAGACCAAGCAGTGCCTTTGGACACCGAGCAGGCAAAGAAGCTGCCTCTGCGGACGAAGGCGAGGGAGCAGCGGCAGGCAGTAGTGGCAGTGGTGGCTGGGGAGCTTGGGCAGCTTCGCTCGGGAGGAGCAGATCTGCTCGTCCAGCAAGCGCGAAGCCGCAACAATCATCAAAGACTGTCAGTGCAGCTCCCTCTGCCGACGAGCAGTCAGATCGAGACGCGATCGATATGCCCGACGTCGCGTCCCTCGCCATCAGTCAGCCGCCATCTCGCCCTTCTTCAACGCAGCCTATCACCGCTACAACTGCTGCGGATCCAGTCCACGCTAATGCACTCAACGCAGCTTTTGAGGCAAAGACCAGAGGCTCAAAGGATCTCCTCAGCGCCTTGAGCAATGCGTCGAGACCAAGCAGCCGCGCAACCAGCAAGACAAGGGAGCGATCCGCTTCTTCCGGTCTCGGCCCGCAGCTTGCGCCTGAGTTGCGAAGTAGTAGCCCCGGCACTGAGAGGGCCAACGCCGCCCAACAACGAGGTCACCACCCACATCATCAGCATCATCACTCCATCTCGAACCTCTTTCCCTCTCTGCATCACCATCCTGGCTCCTCCTCGTCTTCCTCGTCGCGCAAGGAGCCCTCCGACCAAGCAAAGTACATCGCCCGCGTCTTCAGCGAATCACAGCTCCATTCGGGCGCGTCAGGCTCAGATAGCCATCAGCATCAACCGCCTGTGAGCAAATTCCGCGCAAAAGTCAGATCAGACCAAGCGGACACGGGTCTCGTATTGGCTCTACGCACTTTTCACTCTTCTGAGGTACTCAGCGATGCCAATGCCTTCCATTGCAAGCGCTGTTGGCGACGTCTCAACCCTGCGAAAGGTGCGGAGAGAGAGATGATGCGCCGCAGGAGGGTCAGGAGAGGGAAGAGGGCGAGCGGGAGTGAGGATAGTGATGATGCAGAGGAGAGAGAGGGGGAGAAGAATGAGGAGGAGGATGTGATGGCAGGCGACGCGACGGGAGACAGCGACGGCGGCGGTGATACAGCGCCCACGCCAGTGCCGCAGGGCTTGGCTGCGCCTGTGAAGCTCGTGGCTCCACAGGCTAAGCGTGTCGCTATCCCTTCGCTGGGTAGCTTGAGTTCCGATGAGGACTCGGAGGCGGAGGCGATCGCACCGACAGCCGCGAGCGGCGACGTACGTATCGAGCCCCCGTCTCCTCCAGCAAATCCGAGCGAAGGCGACTCAGGTGCCAGGACTCCCGTTTCGCGTACGCCGTCAGACACAGCTCGGCCGTCACCTGCCGTTACGGGCGGCGCCGACGATGCATCGAAGAGCTATCTTGACGCGCGGTCGGGAGATCCGGAGGCTACTGTGAAGCCGGGCGAAGGCGAGAGCCTGATAGCACAGCTGGACGCTCAGGCGGAAGCGCAGACTGAGGAGGAAGCGGCTGCTGCTGCTGCTGCTGCGGCACCGGCTCCCTCGACCTCCGTGTCTACCACATCGACCATAACGACATCCTTCCCAGGCACATCGACGTCGAGCCTTGGCACCCAGTCGGACGCGGCGCCGTCTCTCACTACCTCGGACACTGGCACGTCAGCCGACTCGACGCAATCCAGTCGCCTCGCTCCGCCGGTCGCAGCCCTGAGCGAGGTCAGAAGCAGCGATTCGGATCCGATCTCCTCATCGAAAGACCTCCCTGGCTCACGCAAGGCAGTAGCTGCCAACGGCGCCCGTTCAGCGCCCGGCAGCACTATGCCCTCCCCACGCTCGGCCACGACACCTCTGCCGGTCCCTCGTCCCCTGCGCATAGCGCAGCGCTCTTCCCAATCCATCCCGCGACGGGCGCTCAAACGCTACCTTATCTCCGAGCTACCACCGGTGCTCGTCTTCCACCTGAAGCGATTCCAGATGACCTCGGGCCATGGCAAGTCCTCCTTCATGTCCTCATCGGCAGGCAGTGGCTCATTCAGGAAAATCGACGACGTTGTGAGCTTCCCTGAGTGGCTGGACATGGCCGAGTGGATCGCCCCGCCTAGAGAGGAGTACGATCGCTTCGGGCGGTTGAAGGAGACGAGTGACTCGAGCGTGTTGGAGGAAAGGAGCAAGGAGATGACGCAGCGTCAGGCCGCTGTTGTAGCGAACGGGCACGCGGAGGGGTCAGCTGCGGACGGCGTGGAGAGCGGTAGTGAGCGCGAGCCTGACGCTCTTTTGTCACCGATGCCGAACGGAGGAGCGAATCTGGGCAGACGACCCTCCACCTGGAGCCGTATCAGGGCACGAGCCACCAGTGGCGGCAGCAATAGTGGCGCAGAGCGTCGCGTCAGCGCTGATGGGGCGTCGACAGACTTGCCCTCGCGTACTGCGACCCCGTCGACAAGCGAAGCTCGCGTTGCTACTCCCCGTATCACTCAAGAAGAGCTCCACGAAGCCTCAGGCACCAATGGGGCAGCCAGCCAGCGTCCGCCACGCACGCCTTCCCCTCTGTACCGCCTCTACGCCGTAGTAGCGCACCATGGCGCTACGTTACACGGTGGACACTACACCTGCTTCGTGGCAACAGATCGTGCTCGTCCCCGCTCTGGCGCTGGCGGAGCTACAGCAAGTGACGGGCAGAAGGTCAAGAAGAAGTCGTCTGCGACGCTGAGCAAGGAAAGGCGACAGGCAACATACGATTCGACAGCCACAGTTGTTGCCCCCGTGCCATCAGCGGTGCAGGGCGGCGAAGGAGAAGCTGTAGAGTGCGCAGAGCCGGCCGGCAGCCAAGACGCTCAGCCGCCTGAGTCAGCGACGGACGAAGAGCGTCGAGGCTCCTCTGCCTCTGCACAGTCCACGGCTTCGTCCGCTTCACGTTCGTCGACGTCTTCCTCCCAGCATCTGGCCGACACAGCCCCTTCGACCTTTGACGCTGAGCCCAGGCAGTGGGTGCATTGTTCAGACACGATGGTGCGGACGGCTACGCTTGAGGAGGTTCTGCGCTGCAAGAATGCGTATCTGCTGGCGTATCAGCGGGTGGAGTAGGCGGAGGATCTATGTAGAGGGCACAGGGAGAGAAGATAGCAAGGCCGAGAGCCAGGAGCCGGCCCTCGCGCGTGTACATACAATCATTGCCTTTGCTAATCAATGCTTGCACGCAATCTCATCTCGCTTGGATTAACTTCATTTCGCTGAGTCGGACAATACGCACGATTCGTAGGTATATGAGAAAGCATTCGGAAGAAGCTAGGTAAGGAAAAGCGCAGAGACGAAGTGCAAATCGCGAGACTCTTAAACAGGCAACATCCCTTCCTCTTGACCAATCATAGCCCAAGCCTCCTTGCTCGTCGTCGTAGCCAGGACGAGCCCCAACGGCCCCATCTCAGCAAAGAAGTCGGCCCTCCCATCCACCTCCTCGCGGAGCACCTCGAGTGAGTCGTGCAGCGGGCTGTTCTCGGGAAGCTCTTCTGCACTCGCTGAGGACACCTTGCCGAGTGCGGCAAAGTAAGAGACCGTGGCGTGATGATTGAAGGCGGCGATGCGGAGGTAGAGGGGGCGGACCGAGGGCGGGCATCCGGGCTTGCTGTCGCCAGAGGTGCTGGCAAAGAAGGTGAGCGAGCCAATCATGCGACTGTAATCCTGGACAAGGCGGCGAAGGTACTCGAGCTGCGTGCCGTCATCATCCTGCTGCCGACTAGGGTCTCGCCTGCCCTCGTAACGCTGCTTGCCCAACAGCGTGACAGCGCGACTGAGCCAGAGCAGGGCGCAGGCCGCGAGGGCGAAGATGTGTGGCCCGACGTACGACCGCATCAGCAATGTCTGCGGGTCCACCGGTGTCCTTGCCTTGCCTGCTAGTATGCACTCCTCGAGCACCTCAACGAGTGTACTGACCGTCTTGAGCGTCGTGGTCGTGGAGTGCGGGAGGGTCTGCATGCGGTAATAGAGGCGAACAGCGCCACGCAACGAGTAGCGGAAGGCTTGCATCGAGTAGATGGTCTTGGTGCCCGGGGGGCTGTCGCTAGACGAAGAGGTCGGCGCAGGATCATCGTCCTCGCTCGCACCGCAGCTGTGAATGATAGACTCGCAGTCGTCCACGGTGACATTCTTCCATCCACCGTGTTGATGAGCCAGATCGTTGAGCGAGCCGAACATGAGAGCGCAGCGCATCACTTCGGCAGGGACAGTCTCGAGTGGATTGGCAGAGAGGTCACCAAGCGACTGGATGAGTCCTTCGTGCGAGAGGGTACCGGTGGGAAGCATGCGTTCGTGCATGACGTGCGGAGCATTAAAGGCGAAGGCGTGCCAGCGGTCCACAGCGAAGAGGACGCATCGTCGCCTTGCTGCGTCGCGCGAAAGTTGTCCAGAGAGGCTCGTGGCTGCGATCTTGGACGAGGCGGCTGCCAAGGGTGAGCTGTCTGTGTTGCCTTGGCGAAGTCCGTCAAGGTAGCAGAGCAGGAGCGCATCCGCCTCCAGAGCGGCAGTCGCTGCTGCCATCTTGCGTGCGGCCCGTACGGCGATCAGCCCAGAGGAACAGGCGTCGAGGACACCGTCGGCACGGTTGTACTGGAGCCCACCCATCGCGGAGCCTTGCAGCTGGGCGAGTCGAACGGCGTGCGGCTTCTGATCCTTGGCCGCTGACGAAGAGGTGGATGAGGACGAGGAGATGTTTCCCACGGAGCCCAGCGGCGGGGATGCGGGTTCGAGGCAGAGCTTCATCGCTCGCGTGACGAGGCGATCATTGAGGCCTGCCATGTCCGTATCCTCATCGACGTTGAAGGGGCGGATGGCGAAGGTGGCATTGACTTCTGACTTGACAAAAAAGCCTCGCATGGATGAGGTCGCGGTGCTTAACGGCGTCGTCGATGCAGTGACCGGAGTGGCGAGTTTCTCGACTGGCACCGGTCTGGCTTGCTCTTGTGGCTCGCGCCTGAGCTTCTCCGTGGACAGCTCAACCATGGTCTCGGCTGCCTCACTGTCAGGTGAACGCACCGCCTCAGGCAATGGAGCCTCAAGTTCGTCAACCTCTTCTGCCTCCTCGACGGTGTCGGGTACCTCTTCATGTGGGCGCTTACGAGGTGTCTGATTCATTTCTGTGGCGTCCTCCCACGGTCGGCTAGGACGTGATATGGGAGATGTTGAGAAGCAGGACGCGTGGTGGCTGCTAATACTGGTCCTGGCCATTGATGTCTGGCGACTGGACAGTGGGAGCTGCTCGCCTCGAGATGAAGGCGACTCTGATAGGCGACGCTCTTCCTGAGATGCTGCAGTCGACGTCTGCTCTTGCTGCAGTGTGTTGAGGCGCGTCTCGAGGTCCTTAATGTATCCCTTGGATGGCCCTCTCTTGGCAGGTCGACGCGAGTACTGACAATCGACACCGCTTCGGACACAGTTCGTGCATGGCTGAACGACGATCATGTCTTCCTCGCTAGCGTTGCTGTGCGAAGGAGGAGAGGTTCCCGTGTAGCCTGCCTCTCCAGGGAAGGCCCCCACTGCGTCACACCGAGTTTTCCTCCTTTGACATTCGGCACATGATCGACTATTACGCAGCCTCTTACGAGGTAGCATGGACGATACGCTGCTTCCCATGCCATACCATCCGCTGTTGCTACTCCCACTACCATCGCCCATGTCGGGGTGCTGGGGCGCGTCCCAAGCGAAGCCGTGCGTGCCGTGGGCCGAGATGGGGGGTGTCGGCAAGGGCGGATGTGTTGGTCTCTGTGGCATATGATGGTAGCCGTCATGCACGTGGTGGGCGTTTCCTCCGTTCCAAGCCTGAGAGATAGGCTGCGCGTGGTGCGGCAGCGGCGCCACGTCACGGTGATGATGGTACGCTGAAGGCATACCCGTAGGCACTAGTGAAGGAGGCTGCAAAGGCGTGGCAGGCGTCAAGCTCTCGTAGTGACGCTCTCGTACCGCGGCCATGGGTGGCGGGGGAAGAGTCGAAGCTGTTGGCAGTCTGGGCAGTGCATGAGATGGCGAGGGCAGCATTGGGCGATGTCGCTCGCCTCCTGTTCCGCCGACGGCGCCACTGCTGCCACCAGACGGTGGAGAATAGTCCGCGTGACGGAAGAGAGATGACGGAGGCGGCAGTCGCGGTCGTTCTGAGAAGTCGAGACGGCTCATCATAGGGCGCGCTGAAGAGGATGGGAAGGACGAGGAGAAAGGTGGACAAGATGGTTAATGCCTCGGTGGAGCGTCGTCGAATAGGCGATCGAGGCGCACGGGTAAGACGGAGGGAAAGGCAAGACCGACGAGCGAGAAACTGGAGTCGTTTCGCTTGTCGTTGCCCTCTACGCCTCCTTCGACGCCTTTGGCGGTGTGATGTGCTGTCGTGGTAAGGAGTCGGACGGGTAGAAGGGAGAGAAGAGAGGGCAACTTGGTGCAGTCAATAGAACTTGTTCGTCCTGTCCCTCTAGCTCGGCACCTGCTGCAGTGCGACCGTCACCGATGCACTGTCGCAGCATCAGGCAGGGATCGCAGCGTCCGGCACTCGTCCTGTTTCGCCCCCCCAGATTTTGCGGCCCGCTTCTTGACGTGCAAAAGCCCCGCCCGCGCTTTGCCGGCTGGGCTCCATCACCAACCTAACCAACTTGAAGACAGATCCCGTTGATTGCTGAGCTCAAACGGCTACACAATGAGCCGCCTCAGCTAGCTCGCGCCGTCTCAAGCCACTACCATCATCAGGATGAGTGAGCGTATCCATCTCATTCCGACCGGGATGGATGAGCCTTTTTGACGGGCCAGAACGACCCATGTTGACCTCCGCCCATAATGGTCCGCCTTGAAGTTCGGAGCTACGACGGCTGCCGGAGAAGGGAGAGACGAAAGGGGGGCTTGGACGGCCGAGGGTGCTAGCTGGCTGCGTAAGAGGTGGCTGCAGGCATCCACAACCGCACGCAGAACAAGCGATTCCGAGAGGTAGAGCGACTTGGCGTCGTCTTGCCCCTGTACCAAGAGGCGATCAGCAGCATCCGAAGCATGGACGGTGAGATCGTGTACAGTCGCGCGCGCTGGGCGTTGGCTAGTGGCTTTGCCAGTTCCTGAACTTGTAGAATAGCTCTGGTATCTTGCCCTCGAGTCTCGCTTTGAAATCAAGAGCAGTGAGTGGTTAATGGTATCGAACAGTTTCGCCGCGCCCAAACCAGTGGTAGCATGACCAGAAAGGCCAATCGAAGCAATCTTGTGCGTGCCCGCCCCCTCTGTACTTTGCCATGGTATTGAGATGCTGTGCCCCGCAGAGTCAGAGAGCAGCAAGAAGCGTTCGCGCACCCGTCAGTCCGCTCACAGCGCCGCTACAGCGCCTTGCTCCGATCCATCCAACGAATCTAGGCCCAATCCTCAGACTCAGCCAAAGAGGCCGTCCGCGGTGAAGTCCGTCTACCGACTCCGCCTAGAGCCTGGCCCACCTTAGCGTCGACGGCGACGACGACGACAGCAACGACGACGACGACGACGGAAGGCGACGGACGAAGAGCTGAGCTGGTGGTGACGGACGGGTCTTCCCGATCCAGGCTGCGACGATCGTGACCGCTACGCCGACGCCGAAGCCAACAAAAGCTTGCAATCGGCCCGTGGCGTCGTCCGGACGCGCCACCTCAGCGTGAGCAGCCAACATCTCGAGCGCAGCAGATAGGCTTCCAATACAGAACGGCCTAGATTCACCGTAGCGCCGCTCGAACCGATTCCATTGACTGGACCCTTTCCACTGAGATGGCGGCTCAGCGGCTCATACTGTCAACCGTGGCGGGATCGTCGATTCCGACTGTCATGGCGTCAGGATCAACAATCAGCCGTATTCTGAGCGTGAGGCTGGCACGAGCGACATGCGGCGTGACGAGCTTGGCGCTTCGACAGCTGTCGACGACCTCGAGGCTGGATTTGTCACACAACAGTGGCGGCAACGACGGATCAGCAAAGAGGCATGGCGTCCCGATGATCACCCTGTACACGGGCACGTATTGCTCGCTGTGCGATGTGGTCAAGGAGACGTTGAAGGACGCAGCCAAGAGCGAGGAGGTGAGCTGGCAGGGGCCGTCGTGCGTAGCAACGCTTGGCTGAACGAAGACTGCCCTGAATGCCGCATCTGCAGACCCCGAAGTTCGACGTCTCAATTTATGATATCCATGACGACTCGCTACCAGACGTTCAGCGGTGGCGTAGAGCGTATCAGTACGACATACCGGTGATACATCTTGATGGCAAAGGTGAGATTGGCTGGACGTGAGAGACCAAAACGCCGTGCTGACTAGGCGACTGTGACGCAGAAATCGCGCGCCATCGTCTTGACAAGGCCGTGCTGCTCGAGAAGCTCAGAGAAGCGATTTCTGAGGTCAAGCAATCATAGCGTCTGTAGTTACGAGCGATAGCAGCAATGAACACTTTGATGATGATGCGACTTGGTAAAGCTTGAGGATCGTTGGCCTGAACCCGCAGCGCCGCCCTGCCCTTCGGTTCCGCGCGAGGTCACACAACAAACGGAACGGAACGGAAACTGGGACGAAATCGATTCGAGCCAGGCGGGCGGGCGGGGCGACTCGAGGAGCAGGGACGGCGCGGGCATGAGAGCGGCTGTGCGGTCGACGACGAATACGAAGCTCCCTCGACTTTACCAGCCTTTCTACCATCCCCTATCCTCCGATCACCATCAACAGTGAGTATCGGCTTGAAGGCCGATCAGGCGGCATTACTACGCTACTCTATGAGTTGCGAAGTCAACGAAGGATTGGAAGTCGAGAATGGCTAGGAGGGGTCGACAAGAGAAGGCAGAAGTTGGCCTTCGCGGAGGAAGCTTGGGATCATGGTGATGGCAAATGGAAAGAGCCAACATTCGCTGGCGAGAAGGGAGGAGTGCAGGCAGGCAGCACAAGTAGAGTGGGTCAGGCGTAATCACGGGCAGACGATGGCAAAGAGGCATCGCACAGTCAGATCTGGACTCGAAGTGAGCCAGCTGATCTACGATTGCCTTTCGTTCAGTGCCTCTGCGTCGTCGCCAGGCAGATGATGGGAGGAGCAGGAGCATGGCGAGGTGGAAGGATCTAGCGCAGCACAGCAGAGTCGTCGAGCAACGTACCACCACTGCTCCGCCAATCGTACTGACTCGCAGCCCGCTCTTTCTCCACCCGCAGGCAACATGTCCGCTCAGCAGGAGGCCTTCAAGCGCTACGTCGAGGTTGGACGTGTCGTCCTGATCAACAAGGGCGAGGGTGAAGGCAAGCTCGCCGTCATTGCCGAGATTGTCGACCACAACAAGGTGAGCAGCAGCAACTCGCGAGCGCAGCACATGCGGATCTCCCCACTCACATTCTGTTCCTACTTCCCTTCCTTTGCGCAGGCCATCGTCGACGGCCCCTCGACCGGTGTCCCTCGCCAGGTCATCCGCTACCGCTACACCACCCTCACCCCCTTCGTCGTCCCTGGTCTCCCCCGCGGAGCCGGTACCTCGATTGTCAAGAAGTTCTTTGACAAGTCGGACGTCGCCGAGAAGTGGGCCAAGAGCTCATGGGCAAAGAAGAGGCAAGCCATGAAGGCCAAGAGGGAGGCTACCGACTTCGACCGCTTCAACATCATGTTGCTCAAGAAGCAGCGTAGGTTCTTGGTCAACAAGGCGGCAAAGAAGCAGGCCAAGGCGTAAGCGGGTTGGTCGATTGGCCATCGCTCTCTTGTCTCGTCTTTCTGCATCACACAACCATTGGAGTCCGGTTTGAGCCGACTCCGTCATGTCCATGTACTATCAGCCTAGCCTGCTCGCACGGTGGGGGGCGAATCACACATCAGCTGACGCGAAACCCGCGCCAGCTTTTTCCAGACAGAAGATGGCGAGCGAGAGTGAGACGAGTGACTGATGTGTGGGAGGGTTCGCGTGGGAGTCGAAGGATGATGACGTCTCGCGATGGCGTTGAAGCGAGTACTCGTCGCTCACGTCGGGTACGCTCATCGTCACGCTACGGGAGCGGGTCCTTGCTCTGCCCCGCGAGCGCCCCACTTGCCCTCACAGGGTGCGCTCGACTTAGCTCCCACTCAGAAGAGGGAAGAAACGCGTGTTCTGCCTTTGGTGTTGTTGTTTGCTACGCGCAGCGTCTAGCTCACCATCCTGGTCCTCCACCTCCCGGCCCAGCCATGACGGCCGCCCCTCCCGTCGTACCAACAGTCACTCCGGCACCAGCCGCCTCTGTACTGCCGCTGGCCTGCGGATCCTTCTTGTACTCTGACTTCTCCACCTTGACCTCTCCGTTGATGAGCTGATAGACGTATGAGACGACGTTTGTTCCTTGAATGTCCAGGAGCACGAACGAGGGTGTCGGTGGGGGCGCAGGTTTGCGAGCTGGCTTCTTTGCAGATGGCAGTGCTTGCTTGCCGTCCTTCTTTTCGTCTGATGGACCTGTCGCCTTTGCGTCTGACACCTCCTCTTTGCCGGCCGCCTCGTCTCGTTCTATAGAGCGAGTTCAGGGCCGTCCGCGTCAGCTACCCTTGAATCATGCGAAATCAACACGCCCTTTGAGCCACCTACCCTTGTTGTCGTCTTCGTCCTTCTTGTCTGCCTCCGCTTCCTCCTTTCTGTCCTTGGTCCTCCCCTCTCCCTCCGCCTCTCCCTCCTGAGCGTCGGCGAACAACGGCCAGTGACTACTCCATGCTCCAGTGGCACTGCCCGGGTTCACGTAGAAGCGCCCTTCGTACTCCCAGCTCTGGAAGCGATGCGTGGAGCCCGTGAGCAGAATGTCGACATCCATTTGTGTAGCCACTGAGTGAAGAAGGTCTCGGTCGCCGGGTGGGAGGATCTGATGACCATGCACGACGCCAAGGCGTAGAGATCCGTGCTGGAGGATTATTGTCTGAGGTAAATGGGGTGACTGCGAGAGTGGGGAGAGGGGACGCCGTCGCGGTAAACAGTAAGAGGATGAGATAGGCGACTGGCATCTCTTCTTACCTCATCAAAGTCTCCCTTGACGCCCTTGACATCAGGCGCAATGGTCCGCAGATAGTCCCACGTCTCTCGATCACATACATTGCCCGTACAAACGACTTGCTGGATCTTGCCCGGCACGAGGAGCTTTCTGAACTTGACTGGCAGCGCCGCTGCTCTGAGTGGAAGATGCAGGTCTCCGACGACGAGGACAAGCATCTCGATGTCGGCGAGGTCGAAGTGTTGAATCGAGAAGTCGAGATTGACTTGAAGGCCTCTTGTCGTCGCCAACGCTCGCTCGGGCCATCAACTCACCGTAGGACGCACCACGTGGGCGATTAGCTCGGCGGGGCTGGCTGCGAGCCAAGCTTGTTCTGTCGTCCGAGGCTCGTAGAGGGAGGCGAAGGCTCCTGCCGATGCACGGCAGCTGCCTCCGCGACGGGAGCGATCCAGACAATCGACAACACTCAACTCCCCGACACTCGATCCTGTCCTTCTTAGCATCTCTCGCGCCATTTCGACGAGCTTGACCGCTACCAGGCCCCTGCGTGCTCTTGTCGACAGCTCTCGCTCGCCCTCTTCTCTCCCTCCTCTCCCTGTGCACGGCCTGGCTGCCGGCTCTGACTTCTCCCTTCCCAACACAAGACGGTTGCAGCATCGGCGCGAATCTACGACTGAGATCACCCTCTTGATCTGCAATTCCAGTCCTCTGTAGCGACTTCCTCTCTCTGCGACGACCCGAGATGTTTTGCACCGCCTCGCCGGCAAGGCAGGCGGCAAAATCATCAGGCGCGGCGCCATCGTCATCGGCAGGGCAAAGGGCGGCTTCGGCGCTGCGCTCGCTTGCTCTCCCCTCGTCGATGTCGTCGCTCCTCTTCATCGCCGCATTCGCCGTCACACAAGCAGTAGCATCGCCAACACCATGGTCACCGCGCCTTGACGAGCGACAGACACCTCCTCCGCCTGGCTCATCAGGCGACTTTACTGGCCTGACCAGCATGGGTACCCAAAAGACTATTGGCCTGATTCTCGCCATTGGCTCATCGCTGGCCATTGGCACATCCTTCATCATCACCAAGCGGGGTCTGATGGATGCCGCAGAGCGTGGTGGAATGCAGAACGCCTCCGAGGGCCACAGCTACTTGCAGAACCCAATCTGGTGGGCAGGGATGGTAACGATGATCGTAGGCGAGGTGGCCAACTTTGCCGCCTACATGTTCGCGCCGCCTATCCTGGTCACGCCATTGGGCGCCTTGAGCGTCCTTATCGGCTCGATCCTCGCATCTTTCATCCTCAAGGAGGAGCTTGGTCGCCTGGGCAGGGTAGGCTGCACCCTCTGCCTCGTAGGCACAGTCATCATCGTCGTCAATGCCCCCGAGGACAAGGAGGTTCAAACAGTCGACGAAATCCTCAACTACGCACTCCAGACCCCCTTCCTTACATATTGCTTCCTCTCCTTCGTCTTTGTCGTCTGGATGATCTGGCGCATGGTGCCCCGCTACGGCAAGAAGACGCCCCTCGTCTACCTCTCTATCTGCTCTCTGTCTGGCAGCATTACTGTCATGGCCGTCAAGGGTTTTGGAGTCGCTCTCAAGCTCACAGTGGACGGCAACAACCAATTCACCCACCCAAGCACCTACTGCTTTGCCATTGTAGTCGTCGTCTGCATCCTGGTCCAGATGAACTACTTCAACAAGGCCCTCGATCAGTTTTCGACCAATATCGTCAATCCGATATACTACGTGACATTTACAACCAGCACCATCTTTGCCTCGTTCCTCCTTTTCCGCGGCTTCAATACGGAAGGAGCCGCTCCGGCTGTCTCGCTTTTAGGAGGCTTCGTCGTCATCTTCATGGGAGTGTATCTCCTCAACATGAACAAGCTCATAGACCCTGTGACTCAGCAGCCGCGTATGAGCTTGGTGACTGGAGAAGGGATCAGCGGGACGGGAAGGCTGAGCGAGTCGTATGAGCGGGTGGGGCTGATGAATCGCCATCACGGCGATGGAGGCAGCAGGACTAGCATCGGAGGGAGGAGTGTTGGTGGAGGGCAGAGGAGCTCGATGAGTCTCGCTGATCAGTACTGGGCTGCTGCTGCAACCAATAGTGGGGGAGCAGGACATCAGCATAGCCACTCGAGGAGAGGTAGCAACGGCAGCACTCTCTTCAATGCGTACGACGATCTAGGGGAGGATGAGAATGTGGGGACGCGGCATCATCCCCACCATGTGCTCGGTCAGCTAGACGAGGAAGACGACAGTGGCGTGTCTTCGCCGCGTGACGACGCATACTCGATGTCGCCGATCTCGCCGCGTCAGCACGGCAGGACAGGGTCGCTGGGCAGGTCGCAGGGCGCCAATCAGCAGCATCGCCGCAGTGCGAGCCTCAAGACGGTAGTGGGCTCGAATGGCAAGGTCATACCAGGCGCGCCTGGCGTAAATGGCAGCACAACAAATGGGACAGCCGCGGCGTCCGGAGGCGCGGTGGGAGCCGCAGGGGCGGCGGCGTTGCTCGGGGCTGTGAAAAAGTGACGAGGGCGAGGATCGAGTCATGAAAGCGCGGAGGATGGGGCGCAATCGCGCTTGTTGTAATTCAAGGTATTGACAAGCAGCGACGCGTGTAGGGTTGACGGGTAGCTGATCGCATCAGCGTCGAGCTACTCAGCGTCGAGCTACTCAGCGTCGAGCTACCTGGATCCAGCCTTCTTCGCCCTCCGACATCGTAGCGACGCTGCCATCGTGAAAGGCGCTCTTCTGCTCGGATTGCCAGCTGCCACGGTCCGCCGCTGGCTCTGCTTGTCCCTCCTCGGCAGGCGTAGTTGCCGCGTCGGACTCGCCGCCCTCTGTCGCCCCTGTCGCTGCGGCGGCCTTTTTCTTCTTCTTGCCCTCCACGGCTGCTGCCTTCTTCTTGTTCTTCTTCCTCGCTCCGCCCTCAGCAGACGACCCGCTCGAAGAGATGGAGGAGCGCCGACTGTCTCGACCTTCAGCTCCTGCTGCATCTGCCTCAGCTGCAAGCTCACGCGCTCGAGTTCGCGGACTGACACTACGTGGGGGGGCCTCTGGACCGGCAGAGTGATGGGAGGCGCCCGATGCTGCCGACGTCGAAGAAGCGGCTGAATCTGATCGCTCTCGACACAGCTGATGGCGTGCCTTGGCAGTGGGGCTGGCTGAGCGGCCACCGCCTGTGCGGGGGGATCGCGCTGGAGTGGATAATGGTATACCGCCTGTTGGCGTCCCTTGCTGCTTTTCTTGGTCGTCCGGTCCCGCCCTCTGCTGGCCCTGCTGGCCTCCTGTGACCCAATTGGTGAAGCGCCAAGGGGAGCTTTCCTGCCTCGCCGCCTCGAGCTTCTCCCGTCTGCGCCTCTCGAATGCGTTCCTGTATCTCTCGTAGCCTTCGCGGAAGTTGGGGGCCACACGATTAGAGAAGATGATCTCGCCTCTTGGATTTGAAGACGGCGGGATGGGAGGGATGGGAACACGGCGAACTGTGGGTGTCGCATCGCCGCTGCTGGTCGGTGAAGGCGGGCCGCGGACAAGGCGTGTCTGTGAAGCATTGTTGCCAGGTGAGCGGGGAGCGTGTGGTCCTGCCTCGGTAGGTGACGTCGAGGAGATAAAGGGTAGCGCTCTCCTCCACCATGACTTGGTAGGCGGGGGTCTGGTATTGAGGTACATGTTGAAGGGTCTCAATGCCCTGTTGGCCTGTGGCACGAATCGATTTGCAGCTACGATGCGCTCTGCATACATGCCCGAGGCAAAGAAGAGGAAGAGTGTCGTCGAGCATACGACGAGCAGAGCTAGCTGGGCGTAATGCAGCGGCAGGTAGGCCTTGGGAAGGAATGCGACGTGATAGCCCAGGAAGAGGATGGCACAGCACAGCAATGCTAGAGTAGTCTGGTACTTGCGTTTGCGTCGCAGCAGACGAGCTGCATTTTGTTTGAGTCGCTCCTCGAAGATGAGGAGGTCACGGAACGTCGGTCCATCAGGTGTTGGAGGCTTGGCTGCTGGATTGGGAGAGTCGAGGTGCACGCTACGCTGTTGTCGAGTGACGGCTTGCCTGCGTGGCGCCGTCGAAGCGGACATGGCTGCGGCCGTTTCCTCCGTAGTGGTACCACCACTATCAATGGACCGAGGCTGAGGAGTCTGTGCCCGGTCTCATGCTGCCTCATGCTGCCTCACGCCGCCTTCCGTCCCGTGTCTGTGCGCCTCCACTCGCGGTCCGCTCGGACTTGACGGCGTCGATCAACAGCAGCGACTCGCCTCAACTCCGCCACTCGGATGAACCAATCATCTCCAGCTCTTCGCGAATCAACTCACGACCCTAGATCGAGGCGGAGTCCGGTAGACAGCCCTAGTCGAGGATGCTTTTTTCTCCCCTTCTTGACCACGAATTCCAAATTTGCATCCATGTATCGGCCTGCAAAGCTCGATGAGGAGAGCAGACGCATTCTCACCACTCTGCAGCTAGCGCGTCTCGCCCTCGATGAGGCAGACGAGTACAAGCAATTTCACTCGCAGAGCCTGACAGAGGCTGGCGGCGAGGGCAGCTCTTCGCGCGATACTCAAGAGGCGATTGGAGCCATCCGCAAGTCATTGGCCGTTGCCTTGCAAGATGAAGGTGAGGATAAATTCAGCGCTCAAGAGTACGCCAGCATCGTCGACTTTGAATGGAGCTCCGAGCAGGGCAGGACACATCCAGATGAGAACCGATGGGCGAATGTGTGGCCTTGTGAGTGGTCCATAGCACCGAGTAGTCGACGATGTGCCCAATCTGACGTAGCCATTTCCTACACGCCTCCAAGGGAACCACTCGCTCCTCCCACCACCGTACCTCAACGCGTCTACGCTCCCCTGCCTGCCATCATCTCTCCTTCCGCTGCCCACTTCTCAGCCTTACATTGCAGCGCAGGCACCTCTGCCCAACACCTTTCCCGCCTTCTATCATCACATCCTCTCGACGCGTGCCACACTTCTCGTCAACCTCACCCCTGAATTCGATGCCTCGCGCGGTTTCAAGATGCGCAAGGGCCACCGCTATTGGCCCAAGGCAAAGGGTAAACCGATGGACGTCGGTCAAGGGTGGAGCGTCGAGCTAATGGAAGAGAGCAAAGACACAAGGCTGCTGGATGTACCAGTCAATGGGCAGGCAAGCTCTGGCAGGCGCTTCGACCCGACGAGAGACTGGATCATTGTGCAGAGGCGACTCAAGATCACACCTCCTGCTGGATGGGTGGAAGGACCCGCCTATGACTTTGGAGCTGTCACGCAGCAGGGGGAGACACCATCGAAACCAGCTACATCGCCGGCGATACCGCGCATCATCACCATGCTTCACGTCGAGGATTGGTCGGACGGAGGAGATGCCGCCGCCGACAACTTTGCACGCCTAGTCGAGCTCGTGGCTGCGCACCAGCGTCAAGAGCAGGGAGACGTGCAGCCGCCTCAGTCCCCACGGCAGCAGACAGCGCCTCGCCCGCCCATCTGGATACACTGCTCGGCAGGCATCGGCCGCACAGGCACTCTCATCGGCGGATTGATGGCGAGGGACTTGCTTCTCCCGCTTCAGCAGCAAAGAGTGAGCGGCCCCGCGAAGGGCGACACTGCAACTCAAGCCACGAATGGCAAACCCCACGCACAAGGCCAAATGCTCGCCACGATGCCCGCCCTCGCCTTGACGCTGCGGATCTGGAGCCACATGCGGACAAGGCGCGCAGGCCTCGTCACCACGGCCGAGCAAGCGCGAATGATAATGAGCGAGATTGAGAGGATTCGAGGCGCAGCAGCCGCGTAGACGGGCCTCAACAGCAGCACACGGGACGCGCCGCGACTAGGATGGAAGAGGAATGAATTCGAGGTTTCTGTATCATGATGGCAGTGACAGGTGAAGAAGACCCGCAAAGAGGAACGCGCACCGCACGCTCTCGGCCCCCCAGTCTATTCTAAGCACTCGCGCCGCACACGCCCAGTCTAAGCGGACAGGTAGATTCGACCCTCCAAGGGGCGCAGCTTGCCCTCGTCGTGAGCATCGCCGTGCGTGCCCAGCGCCAAGTCGAGATTCTTGCCCTTTGCCTCGGCGGGCAGGGTGAAGGCGACTTCCTTCGTCGTGAAGTTGAGAGCCACGACGGCAATTTTACCCTTGGCTTGCTCATCGCTCAGCTTGGCGTAGACGAGCGTCTCGTCGCTCTTGGGGTCGTGGATGCGGAAGAGACCGTGGCCGAGGACGTCAATGTGCTTGGTGCGCAGCTGCATGGCCTTGCGGTAGTAGTTGAGGACGGAGCCTGCGTCCTTGTCCTGCGAGGCGACGTTGATGTCCTTGTACGTGTCATTGACCTTCATCCAGGGACCCTTGGCGTTGGTCGTGAAGCCGGCGTGTTGCTCAGCCGACCACTGGACGGGCGTGCGAGCGTGGTCGCGAGCCAAGGCGGACAGGTTCAGCTTGGCGGTGTCAAACTCTTGCTGAGAGGCGCCCTTGGCCTTGAGCATCTTCCAGTAGTTGATCGAGCCCTGCAAAAGGAGCGGAGAAGAAGCGCGGGGTCAATGAAGAGGTTTCAGCACCCGCAGTTCAGGACCACACCCACAATGTCCTGGTAGTCTTCGATGTCCCAGTCCTTGGGGAAGTTGACGGTACCAATTTCTTGGCCCTGGTAAAGGAAGAGCGTGCCGGACTGCGAAGCCGCCAGCGTAGCGAGCATCTTGCCGGAGGCGACGCGGTGCTCAGGCGCGTCGTTGGCGTACCTTGAAATGGCCCTGGCGATGTCGTGGTTCTCAAGGAAAAAGCTGGGCCACGAGTCGGTGCCCTCGACGTGCGTCTGGTGAGCGCGGATGATCTCCTTGAACTGGCTGAGGCGGCGCTTCTCCGCAGGAAGGAGTCTATAGAGATCATTCTCGACGTCGCGACCAAAGTCGCACAGGCTGAAGTGGAAGTTCATCGACATCTGGGGGTCGCTCGCACTCGTGGCGCGAACAGAGCGCTCAAAGGTGGCGTTGGGGAACTCGCCTACTGTCATGCTGTCGTACTGGGCAAAGACCTTGCCGATCTCACGCAGGTAGTCTTCGAGCTGAGGACCGTCACAGAAGAGGTGGAAAGCAGGCTGGTGCTCGACGTCCTTGTCAATGACGGGAGCGTCAGGGAAGTCCATGGGCTTGCTGTACATCGAGGCCGTGTCGATACGGAAGCCGTCAACGCCCTTCTCGAGCCAGTACTTGATGGCCGAGTCGATGATGGCCTTGCGGCACTCTTCATTAGTCCAGTTGAAGTCGGGCTGTCCAACGACGAAGCTGCCGGCGTGAGAGCAGCGAGTCAGCAGAATGGTCGGATGTGCGTTCCTCGTCGCACACCCACAGGTGGAGGTAGTACTCTTGTGTCTTCTCGTCCCACTCCCAGGCCGACTCGCTGAAGCAAGAGCGCCAGTTGTTCGGAGGGTGGCGCTTGCCGTCAGCGTCGTACTTGGCTGGGCGCCAGATAAACCAGTCACGCTTCGGGTTGTCCTTGGAAGAGCGCGACTCCTGGAACCACCTGCGCGTGCGACATTGAGCCAGCGTCAGCAAAGCTCCGCTATCGCCGCCCTCGATTCACTCACTTGTGCTGGTCACTGCAGTGGTTGATGACGAGGTCGCACAAAATGCGCAGACCGCGCTCGTGGCAGCCCTTGATCAACGCGTCCATGTCGGCCATCGTGCCGTAAGGAGGGTAAATGGCGTTGTAGTCCTGGCACGACGGCGAGGGTGGATCAGTATGGCAGTTTTGGGAAGTCTCGCTCCAAGCCACTCACGGCGATGTCATAGCCCATGTCGATCTGAGGGCTGTCATACATGGGCGACAACCAGATGGTGTTCGCGCCGGTCGACTTGATGTAGTCCAGGCGCGAGATGATGCCAGGGATATCACCCATACCATCGCCCTAGCACGTCGAGACGAGATGTCAGCTTCATGTCACCCGCGCAACTTCCTCAGTATCGCCTCACATTGGAGTCTTGGAACGAAGCTGGCCAGACCTAGCGAGGAGGAACATCATTAGTCAGGATTTCGAAACCTCGTCTCAGCCAATCTCCCGCCCACCTGGTAAATGATGGCGTCTTGCCACCACCTCTTGGGACCACGAGTCAAAACGGGGCTGTTGGCGTTGGTCATCGTCGTTTTTACTCGTCGAGAAGAAGCTGGAGATGGTAAGGAGGGAAAGAGAGCGGAGAACCGGTAGGGCGGAGTCAAGTACCGCTCGTGCACGTCCCCCACCCCCCCGGCCCCGGCCCTCATTCCCCCGCACCTGCCCTGGTCCCTGCAGGCCTGCAGCAGAATCGATCTTCGCCGGACGACATACGGAGCAGGCAAACGGCGAGCCTGAGCGAAGAAACATGAGGGCAAGACGCACCCTTCGGGGAGTCTCCTCTTCTTGATCTCTCCGGATAATGCTTCGCACGAATGGTGCGCCTTGGAAAGCATCGTTGATCCGATCATCAGCCTCTCAGACTAGGCCTGACAGCAACCACTCGATGGCCGATGTGTGAATTGGCTCAGATCGGCGAGTTCCACGGCTCCCACGTCTGCATCAGAAAGGCAGGCAATGCTCAGAAAGACCTTGCTGGGGTGGGCCGAGCATCATCGCAACCTTCGTCATCGGTCGATTTGATCTTCGACAAAATCTCGTGGCCCTCGCCATTCGCTTAGGCTACGAGGAGGGACATATTCGCGAGAGTCCTTGGCACTCCAGTCACGTCTTGTGGGGCACCGACTGGAATATGGAGCCCCGTCCTCTCATCGCCGGCGCTTCTCATCTCCAGAGCATCATCTCCCCGCGTGTTGCAGTCGAGTCTCAATCGAGCTTTGGAACATGGACACGAAGCCGCAGATCCCTTCATTGATTTCCCCGCGAGGTGGCTGGTGGCGCGGGAGGCGCACCATGCGCCACCCTTTGCCAGGCAAAGAGGTGACGACGATTGAGCAATGTGGCACCTTCAATGGTCTACCGCGGTCGGCCAGTCGTGGCAAAGACGATCACTCTCAACCAACGAGCCCGGTCGCCGGCTCGCCGTGGATGTAGTGCTCCTCAAACTAGGCTCTCGCCATCAGCAGAGCTTGCGACAAGCTTTCTGGGGGTTGCTGTTTGTCGAGGTCGTGTGCTGCTGAAGCCGACTCCGCCCTTTGGTAACATCGTCGACGGCGACGGCTCGGCGAGAATATGTCTTTCCTCCTGAAGGCATGGCGCAAAGACGGGCATGAGGATGAAGGGAGCAGACTGCTGTGGTGCCAAGCGATTCGAAGCGAGTGGCGCTGGCGCGCCGTCCAACGCGGAGACGCGGGGACGGCTGTGCACGCACTCAGGCGAGCGGTCCGGACAGCCAAGTCCAGGCCCAGTCGACAAGTAGGCGCGAGTCCGCGAGCCTGTCCGTGGCTGAAGGTTGCTAAACGCAGCTAGCGCCGTCCTCAAATTGTTCCGTAGCGGCCGGCTAGGCGGAGAGGTCACGGGCAGTTGCCACTTGTCGACGATCATTTTGACTACTAACTGCATCCTTTGTGCCGGCAGATCGAGCACTTTCTGTCAGGTGCCCTCGACGCCCTCTGCGCATCGTCGATCAGGCGCAAGAGCAACAGGAACGATCTCTCCGTGAGCTAGGCGCTGCCTATTCTTACGACCTGGAGCCCCTCGTCATCGGGCTGGATCTGGGGTAAGAGCAAAGTCGGTATAAGACCCCCGCATCGACCTCCATCCTCGACTCTTTTCCCCATCAACCTCAACTGGGATAATCAGGAGCCTCCTTCCCCCTTTGCTCTTCGTCCCAGCCACCACCCTCCTCCCTCTTCCTCACCCTCAACCTCGCCCCCCCTTACTTCATTCGACATGCCTGCCGCCGTTGACACTACCCAGGCCGCCGAGGTCGCCAGGATCGACGACAAGGCGCAAGCCAAGATCGCTAGCCAGGTCGAGGACTACAATGCCCTCGTTCACGACGCCGCCGCCGTCATGGAGGAGGAGCACGGCATGACCCTCTGGCAGACGATCAAGGACCACCCCACCGCGATCATGTGGACCATCCTCTTCTCTGCCGCCCTCGTCATGGAAGGCTATGACACGATGCTGCTCGGTAACTTCTTCGCCCAGCCCACATTTGCAAGGACCTTCGGTACCTGCAACGCCGCTGGAGACTGCGAGATCCCTGCCCCCTGGCAGACGGGCCTCTCCAACGGTGCACTCGTGGGCGAGATCATCGGTCTTCAGATCGTCGGATGGGTCTCGGAGATCTTCGGATACAAGCGCACCATGCTTTTCTCCCTCATCGCCATGACGGCCTTCGTCTTCATCCCCTTCTTCGCCTCAAGCCTGGCTGTGCTCCTCGTCGGTCAAGTCCTCCAAGGTGAGTTTGCCGTTGCCGTCCTGTGCCGCGCTGAGCCGTTCCGGGCCGCTGGTGCCGCGGCTGCCCTCGCCGTCACCGCTGTCCGCGCCTTGACGCGTCCGTCACGGTAGACGCGTTATGCGCTACGGCAGCTGGGACTATCGCAGTTCATACTGTTCTGGCACTATCGCAGACTAGGACTTTCGATAGTACTGCGTCACACCTCCTGCAAGCGCACTGCGTCACACCTCTGCAAGCGCAGATTCTCCGGCGGCGGCTCGCGACCTTCTCCTTGTCTCCGCAGGCAACCGCTGACCTGTTCCCCCTCTTCCTTCTTCAAAAAGGTATCCCATGGGGAGTATTCCAAACGCTCACGACGACGTACGCCGCCGACATTGCTCCTCTCCAGCTTCGCGGGGTACTTACTACATACAACAATCTTTGCTGGGTCATAGTAATTTTCATTTGGGAAGCCCCCACGCGTCTACGGTCCGCAGTAATCAGCGATACTGACGATTTTCTCCTTTCCGCCGCCCACTTCTTGCCTCTTCGTCACAACAGGGGTGCGTACCATCCGTCAGATTGCTTTTTACGTGAGACTCCCTCGCTGACAAGCTCTCCATCACCTTCTTCAACGCTTCTCAGTCAACTGATCGCTCAGGGCGTACTCAGAGGCTGCCTGTCGCGCACGGACAAATGGGCTTACAAGATCCCGTACGCCTTGCAATGGGTTTGGATCCCAGGAATTCTGGTAGCATGCCTCTTTGCCCCTGAATCGCCTTGGTTCCTTGTTCGCAAGGGACGCAAGGAGGAGGCAGAGAAGTCGCTGCGTCGCCTCTCTTCGCGTTCTCGCGGTCTCACTTCCGAGCGCGCCGCCGCCAAGATTAACGAGATGGTGCTCACTGCCGAGCTCGAGAAGCAAACCGAGTCAGGCGCCACCTACCTGGACTGCTTTAAGGGCACCAATCTTCGCCGTACCGAGATTGGCATCATGGTTTACCTCACCCAGGTCTTCTGCGGCGCACCTCTTATGGGCTACTCGACCTACTTCTTCAAGCAGGCTGGCATGAGCACCGAGAACGCCTTTAACATGTCCATCGGCCTCTTCGCCGTCGGTTTCGTCGGTACGGTCAGCTCTTGGTTCGTCATGCAGAAGGTCAACCGCCGTAACCTCTTCCTCTGGGGCCAGTACGCCATGTGCGCCATCCTCATCATCGTCGGAGCCATCGCTGCTGGCGCTGGTGAGCAGGCCGGCGCCGCTTGGGGCATTGGTGCTCTCCTCCTCGCCTTCACCTTCGTCTACGACGTCTCTGTTGGTCCTGCCACCTACGCCCTCGTGGCTGAGATCCCCGCGTCGCAGGTGCGAAGCAAGTCTGTTGCTCTCTCGCGCAACTTCTACAACATCGGCGGTCTCATTGCCAACACCATCCAGCCTCGCATGCTCAACCCTACGAGCAACATCTACATCGGCGCTCGCTCTGGTTTCGTCTGGGCCGGCCCTTGCGCTCTCTTTGCCCTCTGGACCTTCTTCCGCCTGCCTGACCCCACTGGAAGGACGTACCTCGAGCTCGACGCCCTCTTCGAGGCCAAGGTGCCTGCACGCAAGTTCCGCAGCACCCGCCTGGAGCTCTTTGGCTCGAACCAGGCCAGCCTCATGCCCCGAGGCAACTCGCAGGACGAGAAGGCCTCGACCGACGAGAAGAGCTCCGGTGTCGAGCACTCGACTCTTGGCTACCAGGGAGCATGAAGCGCGCACAGCATCAATACCCTCCAGCACACGAGGTGATCAACGGCAGGCGCCGCTCCACACTTTGCCTGCTCTGCTGTCGCGTCTCTCTCTCCTTTCTCTCACGAATGTCACCTCTCATTGCCGCAACGATCGTTTCAAAAATACGAATGTCACCTCATTGCATCCTCTGAGTCCCGTCTGGCCGCACTGGCGTGAAGGTGTTGAGGGCGATGCCGCTGCGTGGAAGAGTGAGATGTCGCGAAGGCGGAGAAACGCGTGCTTTGCGGCTAGCGTAGACGTAGTGCGAACGGCCACGTGGTGGGGTCAAAATCACGTGTCCGCGTCGGATAAACTCGGCCGAGTGATCCGAGTCCGTGCGTATGTTGTCTGCTCAGCGGCCCGCCTCGCTGTCCTTTGTCCCTTCACCACCTAATCACCACCTAATCACCACCCTAATCACCTCGACACCATCATCATCGACCCCACCAACACCCCTTCGTCCACTACTGAACTTGCTCCTCGAGTCATCCACCAAGCCCTGGCCGGCTCGGCCGGGGCTCTCGCGCCCATCGCCTGCCACCACCGTCAACAACCACAGTAACTAGATACACCGATGAAGCGGCCTACGACGAACACCACGGACGTCTCGCCCGGCACTGTCTCGCGACGTCTCCTTCACTGCCTTATGCCCTCACGTAGCTTCACCTAGGTCTGGCTCTCTCACGCTACCACCACGTTGCTGCCCCACCGCACTGCGCCCCCACCGGTCCTTTCCACACCAAAGGAGCACACCGAAGGCGATACACCAGCCCTTTCCAACCCCAAACCAGATAATCCTATCGCATCACCTGGCGGTCTATCTTCAAAGCTGCACGGAGGATACACGCTTCACAGTGTGATAGTGACAGCACGCGTTCTCCACCCTTCACCATTGGACTGAGGAGTTGTCACACCAACGCCGACGCCCGTCCAGCGCAGTTGGAGGCGATGTGAGTTGCTGTGTTGGAGTCCTTGCCTCGAGAGATTCGTTATGTACGACGTCGACACTCACCCTCGCCTTTTCCCGTGCCTTTCCCGCTCCTTCGCTCGACGTCTTCCTCTTCTATTGCTGGTGCATATACTCCTTTTCAATCGATATCCTGCCTCTACCTCTTCGATTGCTCATCTCCCTCCGGTCCATCTTCGCATCGCTCGCTCCGCGTGGCTATCATCTCACATCTTCACTCGCCGAAGACACTCTCTACTACAAGTGCTGGCAAACATAAGGGACACACCAGCAGCAGCTGTGACAACTCAGTAGAACGAATTTGGGAGCAAGACATGCATGGACTGCATCTCTCCGGTCATCTCACCACCACCACGACTCTGCAACTCACGATGCCAGAGCAAACCGTCCTCTCAAAGCGCTGGAAGGAATGCCGCGCAAAGAACACGTGTATGGACTGCGACAAAACCCTGTCCAAGTGAGAATCTCAGACCAAGAGCGACGGTGCGCCTCTGCTTACATAGAGCCCCTCCCCGCCACAGCACCAAGACTCTGCGAGAGCACAGGAAGAACTTTCACAAGGAGGAGTTCATCGCTGTGTGAGTCACTCCGATCGGTGTGCATCGGCGAACACCGCTCGCGTTACTGATGTCCCACTCCCCCCCTCCGTCTCCCTCTCTTGCGCTGCTCTGCTGCTCCTTCATCACTCCACTCCCTGCTTGCGCCAATGTCAACGCCTCGTCTTCCCATACGCCTCTCCATCTTCAGAGACCTCCGGGAGGAGGCCAAATGGCCGCGCCAGTGCCCGAAGTGGTGAGTGGCTCGTCACCAAGGCGGCTCGTCGAATACTGACTTGTCGTCATTCTCCCTCCTAGCTCGCGCCACTTCTGAATAGCTGGGACCATGACGTCGCACGCGAAGACGTGCAGCGCTGGGCCTGCTGCCAAGAAGCGCCGCATCGAGGCGGCCCCTCGCTCCCTCGGCCTCGACCAGCTCTTCCTGGACATGCTGTCGACGATGAAGGAGAAGGGCCTTGGCTTCGCCGACTTCGTGACGGACATCATGACGAAGACGGAGGACCATGTCGCGGCGATGTGAGTGACGGCAATGCCTGCGTGAGATCATTTGAGGTGACTGCCATTCACTAATAAGACTTCTACCTCTCTACTTCGCAGCTTCCTCGGCAAGGTCGAGCCAGAGCGTGATGACATCGTCAAGATCGCATTTAGCATTGGCCTACCAGCCACAAATCTCGCCAACGACATCGCGACGATCTGGCACGACTGGAGAGGACCACTCACCCACTTCACTTCCTCACTCCATCCCGTGCATCGTCTGCTCGCGACTCTAACCCTGTCGCGGCAGCTGCTCCTTCTGAGCTGTGTCCACCCTCATTCAACCAGCTCGCGGTGGCTCGCGGCGCTCCGCTCACCCGCCATGCAACCTGGCCTCGAAGTCGCAGGCTACTTCCGTGGTTGGGACTTGCGACGTCCGTTTTCAGTCCTCATACAAAATCGCTCTCTGTCGCCTCACGATATGGCGACCACAATCACACTACACACGTGCACCGAGTGTGCAAAAGATTTCTTAAACGACCGCACGCTGCAGATTCACATGCAGCGTGAACACCAGCCAGGGCAAAGCGGCGGACACGGGGCAATGGATGCGGAGGGCGAGACAGACGACGAGTCGACATCGAATGTCGACCTGTCTGCCTTGGAGAATGAGGGCATGGACGTCTACATGCTCGACGACTTCAACGTCGACCCGGCCGCCTCCTCAGCCCCCTCCTTCACCACCAGATCGGCCGCCGCCATCGGCCTCGGCTTCGCTCCGCCTGGCGCGGCCGCCTCGCCCTCCTTCACCACCGCCTCGTCCTCCTCGTCAAACGCCCTCGCCGAAGCCATTGGCCTCGGCTTCGCCCTGCCTGGCCAGGCAGGCCCCGTCACCACACCAATGCCTGGCCTGGACGCCCCCTCCTTCGCCCCCGCCCTCGCCCTCGTCGACGCCGCTGGCGTGGGCAACACCATGCCTGGCCTGGCCGCCCTCTCCTTCGCCCCCTCCTTCGCCCCCTCCTTCGCCCCCGCCCTCGCCCTCGCCGACACCGCTGGCGTGGGCAACACGGATGGCGCGGGCAACACCATGCCTG